TTTTTTCTTTCATTTTACAATGGCAAATTAAAATACAAAAAATACTCAGATATTTACAGCCAAAACGAAATCACATAGAATCACCCAACAAAGTCCTCAAGTACTACTTTCACAATCCGCGCGGATCACTCAAAAAAAGGATTGAAACTTATTTTACAGCTTTCAATTCACTGTGTTTTCGTTTTTTAATGGAAAACTCCTCTTAAAAAATACAGCGTAGATGCAAACTCACGGTGATGGTATTTCGCATGTCTAAATGTCATGTCATAAACTAGCGAGATTATGTCACCCACTCGTTACATCTTCGTTACGATTTTGTAACGCTAGCTTTCGGGTGATAGATAGACTGTATTATGATAGTCCAAAAAGGTTGTTTATTACCAAAAAGTAAGCGCACAAATGATCGTTTAGCAACGAAAATAAAAAAGAACAAATCCCCCAAAAAGGTATACTGCAAATGATATATACACGGGGTTTAATTAGTATATGTTCTTCTTAGAATGATCAATGATTTGGCTTTAATAGATTCGAAGGGAAAGGTTTGAATACTCTGGGTGTTGGTGGTCTTACTTTCAACATTTGTCAATGGTAATGATTTGAAACAATCCTCCCTCCTCTAAATGCTATGCTCTTGAGAAACACAACAGAAACCAGGGTCTAGAGAGAGGGTGTTCAAAGCATCGGGATTGGTTGTTTTGCGAAAAAAAGCATTGCTTATGACGACATTGGGCCTTTGCGGCGATTCTTATTTAGTTTCCGTTATGTTTCTGTTTCTGTTTCTGTTTCTGTATAAGTATTAGTATGTTATGTATTGGATCGCTTTTTCCATGACTATCTATGCTCTTGATTGGTTGGCGTGGTGACTATCGCTTTTCAGCTAGCCTGACTGCATTAAGGTAAGCAAGCAGCAGTATATAACTCGAAAAAAGTACGGTGATAAAAAAACAACCCAAGGCAATGCGATGCTTGCAGAGTATGCATACATAATTAAAACAACATAAAATAAGTAGTAAAAGAAAAAGAGAAAGAGAAAGAAAAAGGAACATAAAAAAAGAAAATAAATAAAGAAATAAATAATAATAGACAGTGAAAATGAAAAAATAAAGAGGAGCCTACAGCACCCCGGATTCCCATGTTGTCTCCAACCATAGTACTAACGAGGCCCTCAGACGCTTAACTGCAGTGATCGGACGGGAACTGGTGTTTTCGCCTAGGTATGGCCGTGGACGCACTTGTTTTCGTCTGACGGTCTATCCGTAATAGTAATCTTGCTATTCGCATCTCTTGTCAAACAAAAATTAACGACGAAAGACCAATATGCTTTCTCATCAAAGATGAAGCAGGTAGTTGTAAGAGACTAATAACCCTTTTGTTTCACCAAATGTTTGGTCTTTACATGAATGAATGCCATTCATATAACGATTTGTAGAGGATCGTACGTAGTCTAGACTTTGCTTTAACTTCTCTTGCATTGATGGTTTAATACTCGAATTATTATTTTTGACGTGTATATTTTTTGAAAATATTGCCTGAAAACCCTTTTATGAGCTGTACCGTTTTATGGTAAATTCACTTTGCTACAGCAACGATTAACCGATCTCTGAGTTATGGAAGACTATACCTTGGTATGCTTATTCGTTAATTAGAGGGGTTTGACAAAATAAATAGAAAATAGAAAATAAAAATTGAAACTTTGAAACTCTTGAAAAGGAGATAGGAGGTCCATCTCCATACCTTACAACAAGGTTAACTTGGTTTCCCAAAGCTAGATGTGGATACAAGTATGATGATTTCCAATAGCGGATATTAGATAAAACGTATCATATTATCATCTAATTATGTAACTATTTATTACGGACTTAGTTAGATGAACCTAAGACGAAAAGCATCGCACAGTCGAAAATGTTAGAAATTTCCATTTAAGATAAAATTCAATAAAAACATACTATTATAGCCATATTTTCGGAGGTTTGACTGCATTAAAGATGTAGTCTTAGCGGCAATCTAACAGCGTTTGGAACAATCTTACCGCTAAATTACTGTTTGAATTAGTAAAATAATAACGGTGATTTCACCTAAAAACCGGGCATGTGGTGTAGATGGTTATCACGCTTCCTTAGCATGGAAGAGGTCCCAGATTCGAGTTCTGGCTTGTCCAATTTTTATTCACAATAGTCACTCAGCCAGTCTTGAGAGTATGTTTTTTAAATGGAACTATAGTTGCACATGATTTTGTTTATACCAGCCTTGCCAAATACTTCAAAGCTTCTGTGATAAAAGCTTTCGAACACGATTATAGGCCATTTCCATATGAACATCAATGGACCACAAAGCTTCACCAAAACTTTTACGGGTTTCAAAAGCAAGGGATTAGTTGTGCAATGTGATATTTTTGTCAATCTTCAAGTTCACGAAAAAAAAGTAGTTATTCATTTTTTTCATTTTTTTTTTTTATATCTATACGCTGACTTGATAAAAACTGTAATACGCATTAATATCTGTATAATAAAAATGCTTCTGAAATGAAAACGGCACATAACCTTTGTGAGTGTTACATATCTATTCGTTATTTATTTATTTATTTTTTTATGTTTATTGTTTCTCTAGTGATTCTATAATTAGATTTGTGAATGGTAAGCCAATCGATTGATTAAAATATATAAGATTTATCCTTTTTTTCGATAAACTGTTCTGTACTTTTGTTTTCTTTTGCTAGACATTTTCATAATATTTAGGTAAAATTAACAGTCTTTATTGTTTCTATATCTTATTCATGGATAGCTAAAGAACCATTGGAATTATTACAAGTTGCAACATGAGACGGCCCTTCAACTCAATTTGGTTTTGCCATTCCTACCTTGTAGACAACTTTTTGGATGTTTGACTCATATACTATGTAAGACAGTACAAATTAACAGGATTTACTAAACCAACGTGCAACTATAAGTATTATCGTTTCGGCGAAAGATCAAGTAGCAACTTTTGTTTAGTGTATCTGGTTTCGCTTGATATAATACGCTAACTGTCTACCAGTTATACAAAGCAAGCAGAATCTTTTATTTTAAGATTTTATTGAATTCATTGTCCCTTGTACATGAATCAAGCTGAATTAATGCAAAACTTTTTCCTTTTTTCTTTTGTAATAGTAAGTTTCGGTTGCCTAAGTTATATATTATAAATCATAGGCGGAAGTCATGATAACTTAGATTATGTAGATGTGTATGCTGTTTCAATTTGATATTTTATTATTTCCGAAATCTTTGAACCATATACTTACTACATATCGCACATGATCACATACATCGGCTAAATAAGATAAAAAATCATAGACAAGAACTGGAAGACATCAGAATAAACACTGAAATAAATAATAAAAAAACTTAAAGAAAGTCACAAACAGCTATTAGTTGTTACCATAGATGGCTTGCACCGTTAATGCTAATTTTCAGCCATTGAGATCTAGTATTCTTCATGTCAACTTGATGTTTCCAAATGTGCATACTTGATAGTTCTGGGCGTCTATCATATCAAAAACACAACTAACGGACATGTGAAAAAACTTTAGTCTATGTGAGAACTGAAAATGGAGCACAAAACAAAAAAAAACAAAAAAAAACAAAAAAAAAACAAAAAACAATGTTCTTACAAGATTTAGCAAAATCATGTTTTGTGCCTCAAAAGGTATACTCAGCGGTATCTAACGTATTAAACAAATTTAAGAATATAATATATTATGCAACAAAGATATAGTATCAAAATATACAACCAAACATCATAGTACAAAAAATTGTACAGTAATAATGCACCACGGCGGTTCACATTGCGTGGTAAAACATGAAGATTCGGTATGCTTTTATAACTCAACCATTTTAAGCAAATCTTGATTGAATCAAGTAGATCATGAATAATCCAGTTGTGATTTAAATTGCTGGTTTGGCAGTTCAATTCGCTGATTCCAGGCGACTAAAAATAGAGAGTGTACTTGCGCTGCACTGGACTTGACTGAACTGGGGACATTATTAAGGACGGTATATTCTGTTACTGAAAAGCATTTCCTATCTTTTTTTTTTTTTTTTTAAATGGAGTTTAGACGTCGATTTTTATAAACAAATTTATTAGAAGTTTGAAAGTTTTTCATTGGTTTTAAAGACTGATTATTAGTTATTTAAGATACTTAAAACAGAAGCACAATACCATGTAGTACCATAAGTACCTCTACTTTTTGAAATAGTAATCTGATGTTATGAAGCTTTTAGCGTGGAAAGCTAATATGGATCTTCCTTAGTATAGGGGTAGTACACCAGCCTGTCACGCTGGCAGCCCGGGTTCGAATCCCGGAGGGAGAGTAATTTCTGTTTTTCCTTTTCCCTTTTTCAATATTTCTTCTTCCTTGTGTTTCCTTGTTTATATTGTTTTTTAATTCTACAGTTAGTGTCTGCATCCATAGCGATATTTCCTTCGTCAGTTGCAAAGTAAATCATGGTGTGATGGGTGACAGATGCAGACCATGCCGTTCAGCAACCGCAAACAAGGCAGCGAAAATCAAGTGTGTATTATTTTTATATAAAAGATCTGCAATGATCCAACTATAGAATTCACCGAAAGAAAAAGAAACTCGAAGAAATGAAAAATTTGAAAAAAATTGAAGGCTATGACCGTGCCAAGACTCGAACTTGGGACCGTCTGCGAACATCAAATGTTAAGCAGAAATTATAACCATCTAAACCACACGGCCTTCGTTGGATTTTAAAGTCGTAAGGGTGTAATGAAGGTATCTGTAATTCCTGGCTTATTAACCCTCACTAAGTTTATTCCGCTTCATGTCTTATCTCTTTTGTATGAGAAGGTTTACTAAGTATTATTAACATATCAAGTAGTTCTTTCAAAACAGTCAATTGAGAATGAATACATTGAAAACATGAAGCGTATATTGTAGTCATTAACAGTTTACCTTATTTTGTCCGTTACTATTTCTAAAAAACTATTTGCCATCATTTTTGCTCATAATCAAAGGACATTTATTATTTGCGAGTTTGTCACTCATTATCAGATATGAATGTATGCGAAAAAAGGTATTAGATTAGCACTTGCTTAAAAAAAATCAGTCATGGAAGTTAACAAACATTCTTCAGAACTTGTTTTATACGTCCTTTAGCATTTCTAGGTTTTTCGTTATTGTTATCGGAAAGATCCTCAAAAGTATGCAAACCAGTATCCAAATCAATGTCAGCTAAAGATCGAATATACGTTCTGTCATAAATCTTGTAACCGATAAAGAAGACAACAACCACAATAGCTGCCAAATAACCTTGGAAGAAACCTGCTGCATTAGGTTTACCGCCAACAGGGAAGAGCGATACATAAAATTGAGCAATTAAACATAAAATATTAAAGCCTAAACCAATACATGATCCCCAAATACCCATAGGGGACACAAAACCAAGAGTATCCAAAGAACGACCTTGCTTTTTCATGGCGAGTCTAAAGATAATATGGCATAAGTTAATACTACCCCAAGAAAAGAAGCTTGAAAGACCGGATACAGCAAGCAACCAGTTGAATACTGTTGTACTTTTGTTTTTGGCTTCATTGATATAAGCGATGAATCCAAATGCAAGAACCAAAATCATGGCCATTAATGGACGACCCAATCGATCAGTATAAGTTAAGAAAGAAGGTGCATTCTTGTTGAGGGCAAGGGCGTGCAAGGTACGGCTTGCAATATAAGTACATGAATTGGCGACAGAAATAACGGAAATAATAATAACGGCATTAAATACAGAAGGAAGTCCTTTAATCCCAGCTTCTCTTATAGCAAGCACGAATGGGGACACACTGGTATTACTGCTGTTATTCATCAGATCGCTGTCATCAGGGCTAACTAGTAAACTTATCATAAGCAAGCCAACAACATAGAAGATTGCGATACGCCAGAAAACTTGACGTGTGGCATGGGGCAAAGATTTTCTTGGGTTCTCGGCCTCAGCAGCCGCTAGACCAACAGCTTCGGTACCACTAAAGGAAAAGGCTGCTGTTGTGAAGACAGAGCAAAAGCCTTTGAAACCGTGTCGAAAAGGTTGATGCGAAATAATTTTACCACCAATGTAACCTCTGTGATCGGTAGGAACACCACCACAATTGATAATGATTGCCAAAATAATAAACCCGGTAGTAGCAATCACCTTTATTGTCGACAGGATGAACTCGACTTCACCATAACCTTTAACTCCAAAGAGATTGATGAAGATAATTAAAAAAAGAAAAATGGAAATCCAAACAGCACTATTTATCTCTGTCCAATATTTAAAAGTGATAGCACAGGTGGTTAATTCTAAAGGAAACGTAACGAAATAATTAAGAAAGTAATTCCAACCGCAAGCGAAGCCCCAACCCGGGTCAATAAAACGCATGCAGTATGTGTAGAAACCACCGGCCAGCGGATAAGCGACAGCCAATTCGCCTAGAGCGTAGACCGTAAAATACATCATGATACCAATTAAGGTATAATCTATAATGACAGAAGCAGGACCACCATTCGCAAGGGAGCTACCCGAACCGACGAAAAGACCTGTACCGATAGCACCACCAATGGCAATCATTTGCATATGTCTTCCTTTGAGACTTCTTTTTAAGGCCGCACCGTCACCTCTGGTAGTTGTTGCAGGCTTGAAATCGTTGATGATGCTTTCGAAAAACCCCTCCTTTTTTGGCTCCAATTCATAGAGTTCACCCTGTGGAGCTGTCGTTGGTGAATCTAAAGGGAGCTTTTTTTCATCTTTTGTATCCTCGGGAGTTATTGTGTTAGAAGGGTATTTTTCGATTTGATTTTCGTTGACAGAACCTGACATTTTTGATAATCAATATTAAAAAATTGGAAATAAAATAAAGTAAAATGAAGAGAGGACAATGGTTATGAGAGTATGATTTATCAATTAAAGAAGCCGGCAAAGACAAATTGAATTATATAACAGATAAACAAACCTTGGAAAGCAACGAGATCTCTTTTCGTTTTATGACGCGTGTATGTTTATTCAAAGAGTAATTAATAATATTTTAGAAAAATGATAGGAGACGAATTTGTCAAGACTCTTCGATATGAATATGAAAAGACCCTTCTAGTTATAGAAAGTGATCTTGGAAGGAGTTATAGAGAATGCGAAAACCTTGTTCAAAATATAGGAAAGTATTAGTAAATATTCTTTTGTACTTTCCGTTTTTCTTAATTTATCTATCAAACAAAAAAAAAAAAAAAAATCACACAAAAAGAACCAAAAGAACAACAACTTTAATTTGAATTAATCACCTCTTTATACAATCACAATTCCTTCTACAATGAATTGGCGACAGCAATTCTTATATATATATATATATATATATACAACCACAGAAGAGGTTTAGGCACCACTTTATACTCACATGCTACGATATAACTACCCAACTCAATGCTGATAAGTGATGACTAGGACTATCACGCTGATAAGATTAAGCAAGCATATAGTACGTCAGGTAAAGAAAGAGGCGAGAAGCAAATATTTTGTTTCGTAACCATTTGTAATATTTAAGTAATGAGAAGTAAATAAAGAAGACAATTGTTGAATTAATTTTCCATTTGCTTTTTCTACAAAATTGACTTTGAAAGACGTCGAAAAGCTTTTTACGAGCACTAATTGTGAATAGATCAAACGTTGTCATCTTGATACGTTAAAGCTTCTGTTACCCATCCTTTCCCATCTACTCGACTATCTAGGTTCGATATCTATAACAAATTTCAGTAGTTTGATAAACACATAAACTCCTTTTCGCACCAGTAGTTTGTATTTTAGAACCAATAATTGCAATTGTATATAATCCGCCTAGCCTAAAAACAACGAATTAACAGACTGTGATTGTTTACATCCTGACAAGAGAAACCTTTCTCCACTGTTACCGCTAGCCTTAATTTGAAGTAACAGATACAAGATCAAACCATGGTATGTCAGTGGGTACCTTGTAATAGTAAAAAAAAAATAAAAATAAAAGAAAAATAAAAGAAAAAGAAAGGGACTGGAAACGAAAAGATAAAAAGTTCTATTACATGATCTTTCTAAAAAATTGCTACTAGTTCCATTAATCTAGGGAATATTTCTGTTCATGCTCGATTTTGTACAAAGCTTCTTTGATAAAAAGATACTAGTCACTTATTTGATTTGAACTTTAGGACAGGAACAATTTTAGTACTTTGATAAATAACAGAAAGAAGCAAGATATAAACAACGAACTGCGTAAACATAAACGAACTTGCAGCTCCACTTTCATTTAACTATTCCTATCGACCTGAAGAAGGGAAATGAGTTTGCGGTATTTTTAGTTTGGTACAATACTTACAATACTAGTAGTGAGTGACTCACACTTCTGTCATTCTTAAAAAGTAACAACAACTTACGATGCCTTCTATATGGGGTCAAAACTTCCCTACAATTACAGCCTCAAATATCAATGATTCGTTTGTTCATTTCAATTAATTTTTCATCATATTGTATGTAGCATCCATAAAACAAAAAATTTTATTTCCTTTTTTCCTAGTTCTTAAGCAAGGTTGAAGGAAGCATCGGGGAAAACCTCAAACTTTTCGTTAAGGCTACCACGCTTGTTCAAGAACTTGGCATAGCAGCCATCAGGGATGACTTCACCGCGGCTACGCTTCTCAATGAATTCATCACGGTTGTATTGAGAGAAACCCCACTTCTTGGAAACAATAATTCTTTGTTGACCAGGGAACTTATATTGGCAACGACGGAGGGCTTCAATAGCAGTAGCACGGTTGGAGTCCTTGGTACGGATAGACATCAAGACTTGGCCAATCTTGACACGGGCAACCAAACCGTTGGGCTTACCGAAAGCGTGACGCATACCTTGTTGCAATCTATCGGCACCGGCACAAGAAAGCATCTTGTTGATACGGACAACGTGGTAGGGATGAGCACGGACACGGAGGTGGAAAGCATCCTTACCAGCAATCTTCACCAAGTACTTGTTGGAGCTAATACGAGCAGCTTCGAGAGCTTCAGAAGTAATTTGTTCCAATTCATTGGAGACCAAGTGAACGCACAAAGGAAACTCGTCAACAGTGGCACGTTTACGACCCAAGTCAAAGATTCTGATCTTGGGGTCAGGAACAGCACGGTTGTAACGAGACTTGGGGTAAGGCTTGTTCTTTATGTAACGGTAGCAACGTGCGGGTCTACGAGCCATTTTTGATCCAAAAGCTTTATGGGTTTTCTGGTTTTTGCCAATTGCTTCCCGACCCACCTAGTCTTTCCTTTCGGGTACCCCAAAAAACAGTCACATATCCTGTTACTTCACCTCGTAACAAGTAAGTTACGTTTGCATTGTCTCTAATTCAGTTTTATGAAATTTTTGTAAACAGTTTGAAGCAACTACATTTATTTGTATATTTGCATAATCATTTTCTTCTAATTTTAATTTAATACTGATGTCGAAAGTAAAGATATAGGTTACAATCATTTGTAATATTAATATTATTTTGAAAGTTCTATTTTATTTTCATCTTAAATTCAGAGTAACACCGTAATGTTTTACTAAGCAAGACCTGTATACCCGTAGAATGGACAGGTTCATTCAATGAAGCTCATTGAGAAAAAATTTTGTACCGTATTCCTAGTAATTCAAATACTAAGGGTATAGTTGATTGAGAGGATTCTTCGTCTTATCTTCTCTTAATCTGTTGCTAAACTGTGTGATCCACGAATTCTCAATCCGATCTTAATTTCCCACTACACACCACAGCATAAATAAAAATATGGGCCAAAAGGCTCCAACGACGGAAGAATATGCACAGCGCCTTGAGCGCTGGTCGGAAAGACTAAAAAGTCAAACTATCTCTCATCTCCCTACGGATTACAGTCGTCCCGTTCCTTCTAGATTAGTGGAAGCTGTTTCCGAAAAGAGTCTCAACGATGAGACCAAGACTGCATTGATTAACATCTATGCTACCGCCCAAACAAAGGGAATTAACGCTACTCCTTTCAATGTTTTGCTGACGCTGTTTATTGTCCTTGTAAGTCGCCTGACTGGTGATGAGGACATTAGCATTGGAACTAGTTCAGAGAATGCAATTCCTTTTGTTTTACGAACCTTTATTCAACAAAAAGAATCCTTCTTCGAACTCTTAAAAAAAGTTGCAGAACTTGAAGACACATGTTCTGCTGATGCCGTGGATTTTACCGATTTGATAAATCACCTCAATAGTAAACTATCAAAACAGGATGAAACTCGCAAGAGTCTTGCACATATACGTTTCTATAACGCTCCAGATGCGCCATCTGAAGGCTTTCTCTCCTCAACTAGCTTAGATGTCGATCTGACCGTGCTAATTTCTCTCAAGAAACCAGCGGAAGAAGTTTCTTCTTTGCGTTCTTTCGCCTTTCCTGATCTACAACTCAAGGTTATTTACAATCAACTTCTTTTCTCCCAATATAGAATAGATATCCTTGCTGATCAGCTTTTCCAACTTGTTAGATCTACCTCACAAGACATCAATGCTCCCATCGGTTCCTTAGATTTAATGACAGATTCTCAAAATCGTGTTCTACCAGATCCTACAATAGATCTTGATTGGTCTGGTTTCCGTGGCGCTATCCAGGATATTTTTGCTAATAACGCTGCTAAATTTCCAGAGCGGGAGTGCATTGTTGTAACGCCTTCGGTGACCGAAAATGCCCCGACTACTTCTTACACATATCGCCAAATCGACGAATCTTCAAATATACTCGCTCACCATCTTGTTCAAAGTGGTATAGAGAGAGGTGATGTCGTTATGGTTTATGCCCATCGTGGCGTCGATTTAGTGGTAGCTGTCATGGGTGTTTTGAAATCAGGCGCTACTTTTTCCGTTATTGACCCCGCTTATCCCCCAGCTAGACAGACTGTTTATTTGGGTGTTGCCAAACCAAGAGGTTTAGTCTTTTTGGCCGATGCCGGTGTTGTTTCTCCTACTGTTCTTGACTATGTAGAGAAGAATTTGGAACTCAAAACATTTGTACCCTCTCTAAAGTTGTCAAAGAACGGCACTTTATCCGGTGGATGCCCCAAAGGTAGCAACACTGACATTTTGTCGAATGTCGCCCACTTGAAGAATCAACAAACAGGGGTTATTGTTGGACCTGATAGCACACCTACACTTAGTTTTACTAGTGGTAGTGAAGGTGTACCTAAGGGTGTTAAAGGACGTCATTTTAGTTTAGCTTATTACTTCGATTGGATGTCACATGAGTTTAATCTTTCGGAGAATGACAGATTTACGATGTTGAGCGGTATTGCCCACGATCCTATCCAAAGAGATATCTTTACACCTTTGTTCCTTGGTGCATCTCTCATTGTACCAACAGCTGAAGACATTGGTACTCCCGGACAGCTCGCTCACTGGGCAAATAAATACAGAGTGACCGTTACTCATTTGACTCCTGCAATGGGTCAGTTACTTTCTGCTCAAGCTGAAGAACAGATACCATCCCTCCATCATGCATTTTTTGTGGGTGATATTCTTACTAAGCGTGATTGTCTTCGTTTACAAGTGCTTGCTATTAATGTCAATGTTGTCAACATGTATGGTACAACTGAGACGCAGCGTTCCGTCTCATATTTTGTGGTCCCTGCTAGATCAAAGGATTCCACTTTTTTAGAAACTCAGAAAGAAGTCATACCTGCTGGTAAAGGTATGAAGAACGTACAGTTACTTGTTATCAACCGCCATGATAATAGCAAAGTTTGCGGTATTGGAGAAGTAGGCGAAATTTATTTACGTGCTGGCGGTTTAGCAGAGGGATATCTTGGTAATGAAGAAATGACATCCAAGAAGTTTTTGCAGAGTTGGTTCGCTGACCCTTCTAAATTCGTTGATCGCACTCCTGAAGACGCTACTTGGAAGAAATATTGGTTTGGTATTAGAGACCGTATGTATCGTTCTGGTGATTTGGGACGCTACCTTCCTTCTGGTGACGTTGAATGCAGCGGCCGCGCTGATGACCAAGTCAAGATTCGTGGTTTCAGAATTGAACTAGGTGAAATCAATACCCATCTTTCTCGCCATCCTAATGTGCGTGAGAATATTACACTTATTCGCCGTAACAAAGATGAAGAGCCCACCTTGGTTTCTTATATTGTCCCTCAAGACATTGGCAAAGATGATTACGCTAGTGGTACCGATACTGACGATTTAGTGGTCCAAGGTCTTCGTAAGTATAGAAAGGTTATTAAGAACATTCGAGACTACATGAAAACCAAGCTTCCTAGCTATGCTGTTCCTACAGTAATCGTTCCATTAAATCGTATGCCCTTAAACCCCAATGGTAAAATTGACAAGCCTGCTTTGCCTTTCCCTGATACATCTCAATTAGCAGCGGCTTCTTTTACTCGTACCAAGAATGCGACCGCAGAAGCTCTCACCACCGTTGAGCAAGAAATGAAGGATATCTGGCAGAGTATTGTTCCTCATGCTGTTGGTTTAAGCAAAAAAGCAAACTTTTTTGACGTTGGAGGGCATTCAATTTTGGCAACCCGTCTTATTTTCGAGTTAAGGAAGAGATATGCCGTAAATGTTCCTTTGGGTTTGATCTTCCGTGAACCTACAATTGAAGGATTAGCTAGAGAAGTTGGTAAACTCAAATCAGGAGAAATGGTTGATTTCTATAACGTGCCAAAGGAAGAAGCTGAAGATAAGGAAGTTGCTTATGGCAAGGATGCAGTCCAACTTACGAATGCACTTTCACAATCATATCCTACATTCTCTGGCTTAAAGGTTGATGATCCCAAGACAGTATTATTGACTGGTGCCAATGGATACTTGGGTGTGTTTATTCTTCGTGATTTGATGACACGTAACTCGAATATTAAGGTTATCGCTTTGATTCGTGCATCTTCTCCAGAGCACGGCTTGCAACGTCTCAGGGATAGTAGTATTGCTTATGGTGTCTGGGACGAAAAGTGGAGTACGTCAATTTCTGTTGTTAATGGAGACCTTGCCTCGGAGAACTGGGGACTTGGCGAACAATGGAACAACTTATGTGAGGTAGTAGATGTTGTTATACATAATGGTGCTTTAGTACATTGGGTCTACCCTTATTCCAAGCTTAAGGGTCCTAATGTTATGGGTACAATCACTGCTCTAAAGCTATGTGCATCTGGTAAGCCAAAGTCCTTGAGTTTTGTATCCTCAACGTCTACTATTGATACTGAATATTATGTCAATCTATCCAATGAGATTACATCGAAGGGTGGTAATGGTATCCCCGAGTCGGATTCCCTTTCTGGTTCCGCTGACGGGTTACAAACAGGCTACGGTCAAAGTAAATGGGTTGCCGAATATTTGGTTAAACAAGCCGGACTGCGTGGCTTAAGAGGAGTTATAGTTCGTCCAGGTTATATTTTGGGTGATTCAAAGACTGGAGCCATTAATACTGATGACTTTTTGGTTCGAATGATGAAGGGTAGCATCGAATTAGGACTCTATCCTAACATCAACAATACAGTAAATATGGTTCCTACAGATCACGTTGCACGTGTAACAACAGCTTCTGCATTCCATCCAAGTGAAGGTGTTACTGTTGCCCACGTTACTAGTCATCCTCGTCTTCGATTCAATCAGTTTTTGGCAACTTTAGGCGTGTTCGGTTTTGGTACGAAAGAATCAGAATATGTAAATTGGCGAATTGCTCTTGAAAAGTATGTTGTTCATGAATCTCATGACAGTGCACTGTATCCTTTGCTGCATTTTGTTCTTGATAATCTCCCAGCCAACACAAAGGCACCTGACTTGGATGACGCTAATGCTCGTGAGATTCTAAAGCGTGATACTGAATGGACGAGAGATGATGTGTCGGCTGGAGCAGCTGTACTTGAACGAGAAATGGGACTTTACTTATCATACCTTGTTTCCATCGGATTCTTAACGAGACCTACTCATAAAGCTCAGAAGGAGTTACCAAAGGTAGAATTAAACACTTTAACTATGGAAAAGCTTGCCAGTGTTGGAGGACGTGGTGGCGCTCCTACTAAATAAAACGAATTTTGGTCATTAGTTTTAAAAAAGTTTTTCAAAATTTAGTCTATTAGTTAGTGATGTTTTTCATCATCTTCTATGCATGGAGTATTAAAATAAATATCAGAATTGAATGCTGGAGATATAGGTATATCCATCGCCAAATCTGCTGGCGATAATGGAGTTTTCTTGCTGTAGTCGTTATAATAGTTAGTATTGTAAGCCGTATTTTGAAAGTCGTAGATAGCAGAGGTTCTTGTCGGTACAGGAGGAGGGGTGCGGTCTTCAGCGACCGGAAATTCTAGCGGGTTGAAAGGGGAAGTTATAACAGCTTTCTTTTTAAAAATATTAGAGATTGCAAAATCATATACTCTTAAAACCATAAGTTTTGCTGTATCAGCTAGTAGAGCAAGTAAGCCGAAGGCACATACAGCTAACCATAGAAAAATAAACAATAATGACTGTTTAGTTTCAGATATTACTGTACTTTCAAGGCTGTTAAGAATTTTAGTAAGACCATTCGAAGTCGTTTGCGAAAATGTAGAATTTGATGCAAGTGCTTCTTTCAAAGTTTGATTATTGAATGGTTCACTCAGTACGTCGCTATGAAGCAGTGGAAAGTCAACATGTGACTTGTTATGGATCCAAGTTAAAGCTAAATATGTGTCAGTAAAAGTAAAATCGTATGGGACGAACCTTTCTCAAAATTTTCAATTTTATGATAAAGCAAGCAATTCATAACGTTTTGAACAGCTTTGTTTAATATCGTGTCTTCGAAGACGGAGGATATGGTAGAGTTGACTTCATTCATGAATACATTTAAAGTATTGTTTAAAGAGAGAGCAGTATTCGATATAGATCCTAACATACCGTCATTAATTCGATTTTCGTTCGCCAATATAGCTTGATTTGTGCTGTTGGACCACTCATATGATATGCCTTGTAAAGTACGCTGCAAGTCATGATAGGAAATATTAGAGAATGAGCTGTGAGATGCTTCAAAATTGCTTAATTTCCGTAATGCTAGCAATTGACATAAGCAAGAACAGAGAGAAGCAATTCCCACGAAAAGTAAAATGGTAGCAGGGGGATAGAAAATGTATGAAATAAACCATCGAAGACGAAACCTTAAATGGGCAGGGACAGGCAAAAAAGATATACCTTGTTTTAAATTCCAAAGCAAAGGAGATTCTAAGTAGGTTACCAGATCACGGGTATCTTCGAACATGTTCTTTTCTATATATTCGTCAACATGTGAAGCTCTCCGTTTCAACCTATACCACTTCCAGGCTTCGTAAAAAGCGTTCACCACTATTAAACCAATGATAGAAATCACTAAGCTTATAAGAACTACATATTTTAGAGTAGTCAGCACTGTATAAATCGAGCTTGATGAGTCTGTATCATTTCCTGAACAGACAGTATATTGAATCTGTTTGGGCTGAGATATTGACGAACTGTCGAATGTAAAATTACCCAATTCTTTTATAATAGAAAACCTAGCGAGTTTTAAGGGCTCACTTATTGCATTTTCCGTGACATTTATAGCATGATCAAAATTTATAGAGTTGCGAAGTTTTTCAAGTTTGGTATCGTAATAAGAGGGCAGACTCAAATGTTTTAAGGATTCAATTTGGGGAATTGAGATATTAGGTAAATTTACATCCTCGCCAAGCCAAGAAGCGACTTTTTTAAAAGATGATTCAGCTTTCTGTATTTCACTGTTAAAGCCACTAATAGAATCTTCTATCCCTTCAGAAATTGTTTTAAGAGTGCTATTCACAGCATGCTCTATATCTTCACCCACGTCTATCATAGCATCTAGAGCTCCATTCAAAGCTAATTGCAATAAACATAAATAAGTTCCGTAAGTGAATTCAATAAAAAAAACAATGGTCTTTTCAGCAGCTTCAATTGTATCAACCAAACCAGATAAAAGCAACCTCACCGTTGAATTAATGCTTTTTTCTGTGAGTTTAACAACGACGCTCGCAATCATGCTAGGAGAATTGAGAATGGAATTGACCTTTTCTTGCATCAAGTTACAAGAATAATTTTTAGCTGTGGCCTCTGATTTTGAAGCATCCTCTATCTTTGACTGTAGACTTTTGTTGAAAATAAGGAATTGTAAAAATATGTATAGACAGCATAGTGTCCAAGGTGTGATCCAGGCTTGAGAAAGCCTAGCCTTTAGGCCCAAGTATGAATTCTTCATCAATGAGCTCGTGACAGAGTCTCTTCTTAAATTTTGGTCGGCATATCATAATGTAGAGAACAAAGAAACTTTTCTTTTGGCTTACGACTTTGGAAAGCTCTGACGTAAGGAAAGGTTTGTATAGAAAAAGTTTTAGCAAATTTCATATACAGCTTCACTAACAGGTTTTCATTTCATGACCCTTGGAACAACATTTTAGCAATAATTATCCATGTCGGCATAGAGGTTGATTACATATTATAAAATTGTCTCAGGATAAATAATCAAAACAAGGAATTGAAGAATACCTTTTGTTATTTCCAACGGTGCATGGTTGTATGAATTTACAAGCAATAAAAAGAAATTTGACCCCGCCAGGAGTCGAACCTGGAATCTCCTGATCCGTAGTCAGGCGCCTTGACCATTGGGCCACGAGGCCTTGTTGGAACAATTATCCATAAAACTAATTTATACTTACTTAGTAAAAAGGAACAAGAAGCAGACTTTGTTGGATTTATGAATTCCTACTGAAATTGTTGAAAAAATTGATATATAGATTAAAAAAGACTCATAAAAGGCTAAAAAAATGAATGATGGGAATCGTAACAAGAAAGAATTCTCAACTACCATAAGAGATTTTTCAGTATAAACGATATTGTTGGTATCAAGTGTACCGTGTACCATAAACTAAGGTTGCTATTTTTACTTGTATAGAAACAGGTAAAAAAATGAACAGTTTATAAAGTCGTTTTGGAAGCTTTTGGGTCTTAACAACAAATCGTCGTCCAATTAGTAAACCCACTTCATGTAGCATCCATAGCGAAATACAGCCTTACTAAATACTTTTGAAGCTATATCCACAAAGAACTAAATCTTAGGAATACAATAAGCCGAACTTTCAATTATTATTTTTTTTAAATTTAAGAAATTGGACGACAGGAAGAAAACCGTTTATTTTAATCGTACAATTTTTTTTGCTTGTTTATTTACATATGAAAATGCGCTTACCATAACTCAAAAAGAAAAGAATATATAAGCGAATTAAACCAACTACTTTTTGTTTGAGCGCGTTAAAGACTTTAAGGATAATGGTTTCTCAATTGTAATAATTTTTTAGCGTGAATAATTTTCCTTAGTTAATATAAACAAGAGTGCGAAGTTTTCGCACAAACTTGGCATCTTACCTATACTTGCTCTGGGCAATTTTTTTTGAACATTAACAGAACCTAGTTCAGGGACTCTATTTCGGAAAACACACTCTTTCGATCATTTTTTTAAAGAATCTTTCACCATGAGTTCTGCTACAGTTCCTGAAGATATTGCTACTTCCGTATGTGAAAAATCAATTTGTTAGAATAAAAAAGCGACCAGTTCATGCTAACAAAAGTCATAGGTTTCTTCTCACTTTGATACCATTTTGATTCTTGATTTTGGGTAAGAAAGCAAATCCGTTCCTGCTTGATACCGTATTGAAAAGAGATATATATTATGACATTGAGCAGAAAGCTGATTGACTCGTGATATCTTATTGTTACAGTTATTAACATATTTCAGATCTCAATACAGTCATTTGATTGCTCGACGTCTTCGTGAACTACATGTTTACGCTGAGATGTTGCCCTGCACTCAGAAGATTGCTGAGCTCCCCTTTAAGCCAAAGGGTGTAATCTTCTCTGGTGGCCCTTACTCTGTCTACGATGAAGGTGCTCCTCATGTAGACCCCGCCGTTTTTGAACTTGAAGTTCCCATTCTCGGTATTTGCTATGGTATGCAAGAGCTTGCTTGGTTGAATGGCCGTGGTGTTAGTGCTGGAATTGAAAGAGAATATGGACCTGCTATGGTCAACATTACTGGTGAAAGCAAGTCTGAGGTTTTCCAAAAGTTTTTCGAGTCTATGCCCAAAGAGTTTGAAGTATGGATGTCCCATGGTGATAAGTTGAATGCTTTACCCACAGGCTTTGAATCTATAGGTCAAACAAAGAATTCTCCCTATGCTGTCATTGCTCATAGCTCGAAGGCTATTTTCGGAATCCAATTCCACCCTGAAGTAACCCATACTCCTTTAGGTTTGCAATTGATTAAGAACTTCGCTCTTGCAATTTGCGAAGCTAAGCCAACTTGGTCAATGGAAAATTTCGTTGACAAGGAGATCCTTCGTATTCGTAAAATGGTCGGTCCTGAGGATCATGTAATTGGCGCTGTATCTGGTGGTGTTGATTCCACTGTCGCTGCCAAGGTTTTAAAAGAAGCTATCGGTGACCGTTTCCATGCTATCATGGTTGACAATGGTTTGTTGCGTTTAAATGAAGCTGAAATTGTTCGTGAAAACCTTAAAGAGCACTTGGGCATTCGTTTGACAATTGTCGATGCTTCTGACGAATTCCTTCAAAAATTGAGCGGTGTTTCTGATCCAGAGAAAAAGCGTAAAATTATTGGAAACACTTTTATCCATGTTTTTGAACGTGAAGCCGAGCGAATTATGAAGACTACCAGCGGTAAGGTTGAATATCTTCTTCAAGGTACCCTCTACCCTGATGTAATTGAAAGTATTTCGTTCAAGGGTCCCTCTCAAACTATTAAAACTCACCACAATGTTGGTGGTCTTTTGGAAGACATGAAGCTCAAGCTTATTGAGCCCTTGCGTGAACTTTTCAAGGACGAGGTCCGTTCTCTTGGTGAGCTTCTCGGAATTGAGCGCACCCTTGTTTGGCGCCATCCTTTCCCTGGTCCTGGTTTGGGTATCAGAATTTTGGGTGAAGTCAACCGCTCACAACTCGAAATTGCTCGTAAAGCTGACCATATTTTTATTACTGAGATCCGCAATCATGGCTATTACGACAAAATTTCCCAAGCCTTCGCTGCTTTATTACCCGTTAAGGCTGTGGGAGTTATGGGTGACCAACGTACTCATGAGCAAGTTATTGCTTTACGTGCTATCACTACTTCCGATTTCATGACTGCCGACTGGTTTGATGGATTCAGTGTGAAATTTTTGAAGTTGGTTAGCTCTCGTATTTGCAACGAGGTTGCTGGTGTCAATCGTGTACTCTATGACATTAGCAGTAAGCCCCCTGCCACTGTTGAGATGGAATAGATTTTAGCTTAATTTGTTGCTTTCGTTGCCCTCACTACTGTAATTATAGTTTTTCTTTTGGTTGGAGATTAAAGGAGTAAATAATCAATATTGGGTTTATTACATAAATACTAAATAAGATACGGTGTCATATATATTCGTCAAAAAACTAAGACATAAAACTATTACTTTTCATTACATATAAAATGTTCGTTCTTTAAAGATGTCCAATGAAATAAAGTAATCATCAATTGCCAATTTTTTAGTTGCCGATGATCAGATTAAACTATCAAGTAGAATGTTTTTCTACATGAACATATCACTGGAACCAGGAGGCATAAAGTCATCGTTATCAGGCTCACCAGGAAATCTGAAACCTTGGCCTGGCCTTGTTCTCCTTTGAGGAAATTGACCCCCGGAAGGGCCTTGTATACCTCTCAAGTCACTAGGAGATGTAGGATCATATCGCGCACCAGGTGGTACATAAGGCAATATTGGAGGCTCTTCTTCATCATTTACGTTTGGTCGTCTTTCTGGATGGAATATAGGATGATTCAACGTAGGATACATTCCCCCGTTATTTCCAGAAGAGGGAGCACCGACGCCAGCTGGATAAAGGTCATCGGCACCAATTGACGGAAACAGAGGCCTCTGGCTAGGAACATTTCCAAATGGACCTGACATACCAAAGGGTGCCTCGCTGGACTGAACATCCACAAATCGAGGGTGGACAGTTGATTGTGGTATGCTTTTTGGAATCTCAGATACTGGGACGTTTTGTCCTTGAGTCTGAATATCTTGACTTGATGGAATTAATTCATCTATTAAAGAGCTCAAATTCAAGTCACCTTTTATATGCTCTTTTTGAAAAGACCTAGTCGCCGTTATATTTGACGTCGTATTGTTACACAAAAAGTAAAACCAATTTTTCCAGAAAACGATTTTCACCGAGATATTAAACACTCCTTTGAAACTGTAGATTAATTCTGTGCCATCTACATGAGTAGTTTTCGGTATTTGTGTTACAACTTGATCTCCTGGTAAAATACATTTCTGAAATGCAGCACCAGCTTTCAATAGCGCCCTATGAAAGCTATCTTGTACTTCTTCAGAATTTGCGCTCATTGTGAAAATTTAATATTTCAAAGTTGACTTTAAGTACTTGAAGTGGGAATTTCTGATGCCGCACGTATGTATCCTTATATTGCTTTCATTTCTTGTGTTACTATGTTAATATGATATTTTTCTACGGGAACTCATACATATGTTTTGAATTTACATCTCTTATTGAATAACCTCCTACCTAAATGTTTGCACATATATTGTAATAGTATGTATGAATTTGAATTGACTACTGAGATGTAAAGAATATCGACAACGATATGGGTTTACATAGTCTAGGGGAATGCATGACATTAAACATATAGAGATTCTAGATTGAAATAATAATAAAATGAATCTTCTAAATATACACACAAATCCCATGGGATTATCTGTCATTATTGCTGTTGCAAGGCTAGATTGAGGTTCCCTGTAATTTAGCAAGCATGGTCGATAATTTCCCGTTGTTACGAAGTTTAGTAAGATCCGAATTTCCTAGTATTTGGTTAATAACTTGGAAAAAAATGACTGAAGTATGGAACACTTTAAAACATACCTCCAATAAACTCGTTTTTAAAAAAGATGCTAGGGACAGTTCCTTGTCCCGTTTTTTCCATAAGGTATGCTAATATAAATGTAAGACTAAACAAGAATAAAAAATCATTAGATTATATACCTTGTATTTCAGATCCAGAGTCTATTCCTTGTTAATATACGATCTACCGTTTTGCAAATGTTGATTGAATTTCTATAGGTTCTCATTGAAGAGCTATCCATTTAAATAAAACTTACCCAATTGGTCTAATTCATAAGATTTGAAAGGAGCGGTATAGTCAGTCAATGTCTTCTTTGCTGCTGAACAGTACGGACAATAAGATTTGCTGAAAACAGTAACTGGATTACTTGCAATCGCTTTTTCAACGAATAATTTTGTCAAAGAGCTCATACTTTTAATATCTTCTATAATGAGTAGGAATGTTTGGGAGGATAGAAATAGCTAAAGTGCGGATTATAAAATATTGGGGGGTATAGTGTTGCTAGGTAGGCCTGACGGGTTGGGTTCTCTGTTATGAACGACGAAAGATACGTATAAACTAACTATACCGAGTTATAAAATTAGTAACTTGTCTACATAACAAAAAGAAGTAAGAAAAAAGAGCGATGAAGACACAATGAAAATGAATGCAGGAATGACTACTGACGTGGTCACTTTACAATATTGAAATTACTGAAACATGATTATACATAATTTATTTTTTTTTTAGTGGACAGCTAAAGATTGGAGCTTATTAGAAAGCTCAATATTCTGGTCATTTTCCGCAGGAGGAATGCCCAAGTCTTTGCTAAACAGGAATTAGTATTTTCTCTTTCTTAAGTTCAGGATGCAATATTAGTCAGCCTTGGAAAGACAATCCAATCCATCCAAACACTTTTCAATTATACTTACTGCATTGCATACGCGTCCTCTCCATCTGCATAATATTTACTTTCGATTCCTTGAACACTAAGAAATTGTTAAAATAAAAAGATTCCCTCTAAAAGTTTTCAACTTACTCAAACGTCAAACTATCACGGTACAAGTGAAGAGCGGCGCGATTGCTCTTTCTCACATGAAGACTCATATACTTTGCACCGTATACTTCAACCATAGCTCTTTCTAAAAAGAAGTAAGCAATAAGTACAAAATAATGAAATAATGCAAAAGAAATCAGATACTCAGATTTAGGGTGCTCCGACTTCTTTATACTGAGAAAATTCCACTTACGACTCTGAACCATCAGTCGCTTTGCAAGTCCCAATTGTCTATAGGAGCGCATAACGGATAAGCTAGTGACATGTCCATGGGGAATTCCGTCTTTAGGTTCTTCCTCCATTTTAGCTAGCACATATCCGACAATTCTTCCTTTTGGATTCGTTGCAACATAAGAGAGCATAGGCCAGGATATGGCATGGTAAAGATCTAGTGTGAATGTTAACACCTATCACTGAAGTTCAGCGCTAGCAGATTTCCAAGAAACCGCCAATATTGTGAGTGTTCCTTACAGTACTTCAATTGATAGTTTTCGGGCAAATTATTAAGATTGCAATGCTGCATGCCCACCAAATCTTCAACGCGAGCAGGACGAATATCCATTTTATCTAAAACGTACGGGCTTTAGCTACGAACCTGTTTTTCTAAAACTTGGTGGTTGACTTAAGGTTGTCTGGGCCATTTCAATATGAGGAACACCACAGAACTAATGTACAAGCTACTGCCGACTTTTTTTTTTTCTTTAAATATTCAAATGATATACTACAACTAAGAAATTAGAGAAAGAAAAATCTCGCGAGGAAAAAATTGATTCATCCGGAAGTTTAGTTACAAACGCTATAATCTCTGTGATCCTTGTTCACAGATTTTCAGTGCAAGCAATAGAAATAGTTTTAGAAGTAACGCTGGAAAAAGCAAGTCTAAACTTATCCATTAAGTACACATTTTAACAAACTAAACGTTGTTTACTAATAATTTATACCACCTTTCACTAAACAGATAGTGTACTGTTTCGATAATCCTTAAGGGAATTAGTAGGATTTTCAATAGTAAGATATACGTATATTTTCCATTACCAGACACGACGAAAATAAATGGATTGGATGAATGGAAGCAACCAGCTTTATGTTTCTTTAGATGCTTTTAGAAGAGTGAAAGTTAATAATAAGTATGGAAAGCAACAAGTTAGGAATCCCCCAAAAGTGGAAAAAAGACAACCATTGCAAGATAAAACAAATCAAATAGAATTACCGTCCAAAAACAAAGGCTATCCAGACATTCTTCCTGATGAAATATCGTTTATTAAAACCCCAGAACGTAAAAGTCCGACAAGGCTATATCAGGAAATATGCTTTCGTGATATACCGCTAGAACCAGATTTTTGTAAAACTTTCCAACCTCTTGCGACATCCACCCCCAAGAAAAAGGAGAAAGGCTTGAAGTCACTGCAAGCAAGAAGCCAAAAATATGAAGAAGAAAGTGAATTTGACGAGTTAGCGACGTGGTTCCAATCAGCGTCTAATTTTGAACTCAACTTTTCTGAAATTTCTAGCCAAAAACAATCAATTTTAAACTGCCAAGAAGCCATTTTAAACAAATTTGCTCCTTTTGAAACAGAAACTGATGAAATAATTTTGTTTTAAACTTTACATTTACGCATTTTGCAACTCAATGGCAAAGAAACTTTATGTATTCTAGAGAGGAAACACTGTGAATGTGTTTCCTGAAGAAAATTACTGAGTTGCTTGTGCCTAAGCAACAAGAATGAAACTATTAGGAGAAGGTTATTTAAAGTATTTCAAGCTAATTTTTGTTATAATATCTCGTTCATGTCGTGAAATTCGTGATGAAAGGTTCTTTAGGACATCTTATACATTAAGTAGATCACACACTTCAGTAGTAGCCATAGGTCAGTGATTACAAGCAAACGAAGGATGAAAAAGTAACAAACTTATTCAGATGACAACTCAGAAAAGTTCTCTGGGGGTATATCGAAAGCCGATCATCATACATAATAAAACATTATCATTCTGGCTTTCTGTACTGCATCTTTTCTACTCGAACTTCTCCATCAAAAATCCTGTAAACATATAATATAAGAACAGCTCCCTGAACATCCATTAGCACAAAACTCGGTGTTATTTTGGTATCATCGTTCGCAGTTGATACCGTGGGTGCTCCAGTAGCAGAACCCGGGTTCACGAAAAAGCAATTGTCTAATTCAAATGCAGAAAACTTGTGAGTGTTTCCATAAAGAACAATATCAGCATCCATATCTCTAGCCAGAATACTTAGAGCTTCAGGACTGTCTTGAGGGACTAATAAGTGCCCGCTCGTATATGCTACTTTAAAAGAACCCAATGTCAATTTTCCAGCAATTGGTGATTTGCTATCTATATCATAAGCTCCTCTCACCAATTTAAGGTCTGCGCATACATGTTTTAAGTAGTCGTATATAGATGGACTCGTGAGGTTACCCAAACATATAATCTGATTGATTTTTCCAGGGATCAAAAGTTGCCGAAACTGTAGATGGTCAGTAAATTTTGATCTCGAAGTATTAAAGCAAAAGGGATTTCGTCCATCCATCCAACATCATACATACCTTTTCTGATAATTTTGGTGACCGATTAGGAATATGGAAATCACCAATAACTAGTACAAGCATTGTAAAATATTGTTAATTACTCTATAAAACCTTTAATTTTCCGGTAATCAGAAATTTGCTCCCTATTATGGTGGTTGTGTAATTGTCACGTTCAACTCAGCTTTCTTTAAACCCTCCATTCAGTCTTTTATTTGTTCTCGTTTTTTTAGAAAGGTTTGTTTAAATATTTAAACTAAATTTTACCCATTTTCTTAAATAAATTTCGACTACAATCCTGTTGGTAAAGCTGTCTCATACAAACAAACAAACACTCCGTTACCTCTCCAAAATTGTCCAAAAACTAAAGCCAACGAGTCTTTGTATAATTTATACTTAAAACGACAGGAATGTCTTATAATAGAAGATTATGGTTTGACGGTTGCCTAGATTTCTTTCATTATGGTAATACTACAGTTATTATACATGAGCTTTGACAAAGTTATAGTGACTAATTTATAAATAATAGGACACACCAATGCAATTCTACAAGCTAAGCAGTTAGGTGATCAGCTAGTTGTAGGTGTTCATTCTGATGAAGAAATCACACTTAATAAAGGCCCTCCTGTACAAGACTTAAGCGAAAGATGTCTCGCAGCGATTACTTGTAGATGGGTGAATGAGGTTGTTCCTTATGCGCCATATGTATTCGACCTTGCTTGGATGAGGAAGTACAATTGCCAATTCGTGGTACACGGCGATGATATATCCACTGACGCTGAAGGAAACGATTGTTATCGTCATGCGAAGGCTGCTAATCAATACCTTGAAGTCAAGCGTACAGATGGAATCAGTACTACAGAACTACTAGACCGACTATTAACCGCGGCACCAATATCAACCTACACTATATCTCCATCAGATCTTATGACTTATGAACCATTTTTAAGGAAGTTTGCTTCTGCTTCAAACGGAAAAGATCCGGACGTCAGTATTTATATGCATACACCTAGTGGCCCTGAAGAAATCATTTCAGGCGTTTTCACGAATAAGATACGGTTGGTCAAGTCCCCGATATATCTTGACGGCGATTGGAGTTTATTCACTGGAAACCATATGAAAGCATTGAAGGCTTGTGCAGAAACATTCCCGACTTTACCGATAGTCGTCGGAATTTTTGCAGATGACAAATGCACTGAAAAACCAGTGTTAAACCTTTTAGAGAGGACGCTTAATCTTCTACAGTGTAAGTATGTTTCGGCTGTTATTATCGATCCTCCCTCTGTAAAAAATTGGGATATGGTTAAATTCTTGAAAACGAAGTTTGGAGACCTTATTGAAAATGTTTCGTATCCAAACTTTTTTGTAAAGGATGAAGATACTTTTCAAGTCACTCTAGCAGAGAAGCCAACTGAAAGCTTTCATATACTGGACAAACGAGGATCGGAAGCAATTAAACAGCGAATTTTGTCAAGAAAGCAGGTATTTGAAGATCGCCAACGCAAGAAGCTAAAAAAGAACGTATTGGAAAATACCAACATTCAAGCAAGCATTACCAGTTGATTAATATATCTAATTAACTCTACTCTCTACAAGATGTCTCAACTTAATATTGCATTAAGCATGTGACTTCCTCATCATTTAAAACGGGAACATGAGACCCCAAATTAAAAACTAAAAAAAAAGTAAAATAAAATAAAACATAGGTATTATACACTCATCTTCATCTTAATAGGGCCCCAAGGTTCGTATCCTTCAATGATAAAGTCTTCTATACTGAACTTATCAATTTTTCCAATTTCACTTGCATCACGTCTAAATGACAATGTAGGGAAAGGTTTTGGAGTGCGAACTAATTGCGTTTGGAGGGCCTCGAAATGATCATTGTAAATATGACAATCACCCATAACATGAATAAATTCAGTAGCTTCATATCCGCACATATATGCAACCATATGGGTTAAAACTGAATAAGATGCAATATTGAAGGGCACACCAAGACCCATATCAGCGGAGCGTTGATACATCATGCAAGATAACTCTGGCTTTCCTCCTGGTTTACTTGGTTCGTTCACATAAAATTGGCAAAAAATGTGGCAGGGGGGTAAAGCCATTTCGGGAATTGCGAGCGGGTTCCAAGCGGACATAATTATACGACGATCATAGGGATTTGTTTTCAACGTATGAATAACCTTTTCGAGCTGATCTATACCCTTTCCTGTGTAATCGGCATCGCATCCAACATATTCAGCACCAAAGTGTCTCCATTGAAAACCATAAACCGGACCCAAGTCACCTGCCCTACGGTGGTGCATACCAAGCTGGTCAAGAAATTCTCTACTTCCGTTTCCGTCCCAAATATGAATACCCTTTTCAGTTAAGTGGTTTGCATCAGTATCACCACGGATGAACCATAAAAGTTCTTCTAAGACACCTCGCAAAAAGACTCGTTTAGTTGTTAACAAAGGAAGTGTTTGATTACGCAAAGAAAAGCGTAACTGAGGAGGGGCAAATACAGAACGAGTACCAGTACCGGTACGGTCAGGGCGAGACCTCCCGTACTGCATAATATAACGAATCAAATCAAGATATTGGTTTTCTTCATGACTTGGCTTGGAAAGAGGTCGTATAGAAGATAAACCTGATTGGGGAGGCGATTGATAATGAGCAAGCTGCTCCGAATTGAGGCTTGGAGCGACAAACTTTGCGGATGCTTTCTTAGTTGGCGAAGGTTGAGAAGTAGGAGGTTCTAAGATTGATGAAGAGTTACTAGAAGGCAAAGGGGATGCTTTAGGAGTGATGTCGACGTAGGAAGGAGCTGGTTCATTATTTCCTTCATCTTTTTCACTGTCTTGTTCTTTGGAGTCTTGATCATCAAAGTCGTCCTCATTAGATTCTTCATTTTCCGTACCACTAGACTCTTCCTCATCTTGGGTTTCAATGTTTTTCACAGCATTTGGTACCACCTTCTTATGCTCAAGGTGCAAATGTTCCGCAACTTTGCATACTATGTTCCGCCATTCAGCCATACCTCCCATTCCAATATCTCCGCAAGCAAGAACTTTTTCAATAGGCAAAATAATTTCCGTGTTTTTGTAAATACGGCCGATTGTTTCCATATGCTCTTGGGTGATGGGGTTGGTCCACATCATTGTGTTCATAGCAGGCGCAAGCAGGATCGGTTTATGCAATGTCCAAGCCCTCACTAAAGATGTTAAAAGATTATCACAAATCCCATTAGCGACTTTAGCCATGGTATTGGCGCTTAAGGGAGCAATCAATAACAAGTGAGCCCAGCGGCGCAATTCAATATGTGTTATAGGACTATCCAGACCGTTCCAACAACTCCAGTCATCGGCATTAGTGTACACCTTGACTCCAAGAGACGTGAGAGCCTCGGTTTCTACAAAATTACGAGCTGGATCAGTCAGGACGACTTGCACATCAACGCCGTCATATGTTAAGAGCGATTTGACGATTAACACCAATTTAATAGCTGCCACCGAACCAGTAGCCGCTACCAGAACATGATGCTTGGAATCAGTAAGTTGATGCTCTTTTTCCATAATCATGGGATTCTTGACAGCCCGTGCTGCAAACCTTGCATGTAAGGGCTGAGTCATGTTGTAAATGAATCCAATTTTAATAAAAGGAAAGAAAAAGAACGAATTTTTATGGTATAATAATCCTAATACTGCCTTGGTAAAGGAAGGAAGTTATCCTAAACAAGTTTCTTAGCGATTTCTTTAGCGCTTGCATGTTATACACTCTTCGCTAGACTACCGTAAGTAATATGATATGGTACAAACAAATTTACATTCTAATATGAAAAATTAAAAGCAAATTCGTTCGAAGATAGTCATGATGTCTTTAAAGTAGTTGAAATTACTGTACCGTTTATGTTGATCGTTACTAATGGATTCACAAAGTTAATAAAAGTAGACCTTACAAGGTTGAAAATATACAATATCAATATCACTTCACTACAAACATATTTTGACACCATACAATTTTTAACCGCAGAAAAATACAATTCCATTTATTGCTAATAAGCTTAGAATTGGATAGCAGCACCCTGTAAAATTTGTTAGTGATATTTGAAAAAACTTCCTCAATGGGATTGAGCAACATCTCTGTACTGCAAGCAATACAAATGCAGACTAATAGAGAATTCACGGCTTCTTGATAATTACATACCTTGGTCTTCTTCTCACCACCGAGCTCAAAGTGCTTGCAACGCTTCAAGCTGATTTGGTTCTTGTACTTGCAAGCAACACATTCCAAACGAAGGACAACCTTCTTGGTAACCTTGGCCTTTCTGTGGAAGACGGGCTTGGTTTGACCACCGAAACCACTTTGCTTGCGGTCATAACGACGCTTACCTTGAGCAACCTTAGAGTCGGGACCCTTCTTGTATTGAGTGACTCTGTGCAAGGTGTGCTTGTGGCAGTTCTTACCAGGACAGTAAGTCTTACGAGTCTTGGGAATGTTCACCATTTTTTCTTGTTTAGGGTTGCTGGTTGGCGGTGATTAAGAGCTTGACACTTAAAAGTTTCGACTCAAAATGAGTGTTATGCCTGTGTGACTGTTTTTGTCACGTTTAGGGTAGGGCCTCCTCAGTCTACCTGCTTTTCATGCACATTATCTTGATTGGTTTTAACGTATCAATCGTTATGTGAGCATAGCGCAAAATAGAGAACGTGAACGATGTGAGAGAGTGTATCATATAACTATAAGACGATAGTAATAATTATTTAAACTAAATACGGATAAAGGGAAACTGAAAATCTTGCTGCACAAATCAAAAATGGTAGCTTCATAGTATTATGTGTGCACTTGTTGATGTATTAGAAGTGTTTTCGACCAGTTCTACGAGTCAGACGTTTTTACTAGCTTCAATCTGTTGGTTTTGCCCCGACGTGATTGATCTGATCTCTTGACAGCAAATGCCTTTTGTTCGTATAGATTTTATTATGATGTAAGTTTTTGAAACGATGCAACAAAAATCAATCGCCGTTCCCATTAACAGTGTTTATGCTGGACTTTACGTCAAGGTGACGACTCGGTACCATTCTATAAGTAATTCATAAAACGCTAGAACATTTCAATTTCTCCATATCAATTCTCCTCGAAGCATCTACATTCACTACAATCTTCAACTTCCTATAGCAACTGCGTTTTCAATAAGTAATTTCTTGGTCTACTCATTATGTCGTTAGTTTATAGCCTTGTGCCTTATGTTCGTCCTAGTGCAATTGTTCTAGGCGTTGCCTTTGACCATGCTGCCTCTTTCTTGGTATATGGGCCCTTGATGGGTGATCTTTGGAAGAAAGCGTAAGTGAAAACCCTGTCCTTGTGGTCAATACATGCTATGATTAATCTTGCAAGTACTAATCATTGAATAATTAGAATGTCTCCTGCCCCATTGCATACGCAAACTTCTACCTCTAGTCCTGCTAAAAAGGCAGTGACGACTTATACGAGTAATATCTTAAGCACCTGTATTCAAACTTACTCCATTGCTGCGCTCTTGCAGTTAACTGGAACAATAAGTATGAAGGGTGCCTTTTATGTAGGCCTTTATGTGTTTGGAGCATCAGGATTACCTGATGTTGTCGACTACATATTCACAGAGAAGCGAGGTTGCTCTTACACATTAGTAAAAACAGTTTCTTCGTTTGTGAAAAGTGTAGGCATGAGTATGGTCTTGTTGGGCTACGGAATCCGCCAAAATGAGGTTTAATCTAATTCTTTTACTGTGCTTTCCGCCTTTCTACTTAGAAACAGCGAATCACTTAGTTATGAATAATTAAATATATGAATTTCATCGTTTATTTCAACTCATATATTATATACACCAATTTAAGTTAGCGAATTATCATCGTCTTCAGCATCCTGATATGCTTCATAATCATCTGTGGAGATAGTGTCATTTCTGCGGTGATGTTTAACATTTGGAACAGTTCCCTTTTCATTTGCTTCGCTTTCTTCTGTAACGGTAGGACCAGTTGATGGTAAATTAGCACCACCGTTGTCTAGTAATGTATCTGGAACTTCACTTGAGGTTTTATCATTCGCATCGTATAACTGAGAAGAATCGAGTCCCTTTTCAGTAAATCCGATATTTTCTTCAGCATTTTCAAGCTTAGAAAGATCCGTACTTTGTGGCGCCGCCATAGGCTTACCGCTATGCATATCCTCTTCCGACTTGCTTGAGACGCTAGGTACCATATCTCTAAGAATCGAACTATTTTCTTTTTCTTCATCATGATCAGACGTATCGTGAATTATTGACGATGAAGTAATATCGTTTTCCATAGCATCTAGTGAATCGCTTGATGCGTTACGCGTCATATTCCTAAAAGAATCCGCTTCTTTCTCCTCATCAAGGTCGGCTCTGTTATAAGTATTAGCTGGTGAAACAGTATTGTTTTTCATAGTGTCTAGAGAATCACTCGAGACACTATGCGACGCGTTTATTAAAGAAGTATCCGTTTCTTTCTCGCCGTTTTCACCGCGCTCTATAGGTAAAGGAACAATGCTACTTTCCCCTGTGTCCTGCGATTCATTTGAGATTCCATCAAGTGGCCTATCTACTCGGGTGAGATTTGGGATTGAATGCGCATTAGTGGATGAGGGTTGAACGGTGGATTCTCGCTGTTCATTCTCAGTAGAAATAGAAGACTTGTCTGTATTATTTAGGTCAGCATTATTTGATCCACCTTTCCATAAGAGTTTCCGAGTCTGCTCATCTTGTACCAATCGACGACGTTCGATTTCTTCCACACCACCAATCTTTCTTAACTTATCATCATTTATAAACTCTTGGATTTCTTGTTCAAATTCATCCACATGTAAGAGAACCTTCTTTCGTTGGAATGCTTCAAATCGTTCAATAGCCTGAAGTCTGACATCGCTGTCTGGTCTTAATTTTAAAACATCTGTGTGAATCTGTTCGCGAATTCCCTTAATGTCCGTTGAAGTAGGCTTCACAGATAACGGCTTGCTTTTGATTCCAGATCTTGCTTGAAGCTCAGCGATAGCAGAAACGTTTGATAAAACAGTTGTAACGGAATCGAAGTCTTTATTTAAATCCGCCACAAGACTGGTATGATTATCTAAAAACTCTTGTTCTTGAACAATCGCATTCAACTCTTTTTCCCATTGCTTTTTCCATGTTGGAGTTACTTCTTCAATAGATTTCTGCAATTCACGTATACCATTTTCAATGGATTCTTTCTCCTTATTCAAATAAGAAGTTTGATCCAAGCCAGGGCGCACTTTTCGAAGTAAGACGTCGGACCTTAAAAGTTCAATTTGATCATTAATATCATCAAACCTTTTGACTAAAGACTTGGCGGCAACTTCTATTGAATCTTTGCTTCTCAGAATGTATCCACGATCAAAGCCAAATCCGGAAGCCTTTTGGTTTATTATATTCATTTGATTTCTAAAATTGTTAAGTTGCAAAGGAATCTTCGCGAAAGACGTAGCAAAGACCTGCTTCAAAGAGGCTAGCTCCAGTTGCAACGACTTAACTTGTTGATAAGTGGTAGTATCGGTTTCAATTTTGCCGCGTTTAGGATTTTTAAAACTAGAGGAAGGCTGAAATGGAGCATTAGTAGTATGTCCGTTGCTTACTTTTGTTTCTATATTTATCAACCGTTGAAGTAACTCTTGAAATAACGGGGAACTTTTCATTTCTTCGACCGGAGTTTCTTCATGGGATGTATCCCTTTCGACCATCGCTTTTTTGTTATCAATCGATAATTTTTCCTTGGAATCCTGCTGCTGTTTTTGAGCTATCACCAATGATTTAGGCTTCACATCTGAATAGTCTTCTAGTAAATAATTCACCTTGGTATCTTGATCTTCAACATAAAATTCAAAAGAGAGATCCAGAAATTCATTCCCAAACTTAGATTGAAAGAGGTCTCTTAGTTTCTTTTGTGTATCAACTACTAAAGGTGAAGTCACTTTATAAGTTTTATCGTTGAACCTTAAGAAATAAACGAAGTTTCCGTTATTATTCTCAAATTCATTAGGTTTCTCTTGCTTATGTAATGCTTCATTGTTTTCACCAGTATATTCACTGTTTTCCATAGGCTGTCTTTCCTCCTTTGTCGTTTCTGAGTGATCCCTCACAACATCCATGTCGCCCGAAGGAAGCAACCGTTTATCGGCGGAAGTATATTCGCGTTCGTCCTCTTCTTCGTTGATGGGCATTTTGGAGATTCCGACATCAGTGGATAAGCTATTGTTGGTATTGACCAAACGATCTAACTCTTCAAGTGAATCATGCTTAGGCATTCGGGATGTCTCATTGCTCGTCTCGTTAGCATTGAGATCAGCAAGTGGAGGTTTTATTTGATCTTCTTCATTTAGATGATTCTGAATTTCTTCGTTTTGTTGACTCAAAGAAGCAGGATCTATATTGTTGGCCTGTGTATCTTTGTTTTTTTGAAAGTCTTGCGGATCCCAGTCATGCGTTTCCTCCTCCTTTTTTTCATTTTCTTTATGTGTATAAATTACCTGTTGAGGCTTTTCTATTTGCTGCGGATTTTGAGATCCAGACTCCAAAACCAAGGGCGCTTCGTCTGGAATTGGAGTCGTGAATGAACGACCTCTGGGAAGTAATACTGGTGTACTTGAGGGCACATATTCGGGAGAAGTAGTCTTACCCGAAGAAAAAGATCTCGTTTTAAAAGACGTTGGCATATAATTTTGATCTTTGTCTGAGAAGTGGGCAGTATTTGGATTATTCAATTCATATGCATAGCGCGGAAAAAAAGAAGGACCTTCAGGTTTGGAATAACTAAGCTTTGGAAAGCCACTTTTAGGGCTTGGTTCATTAATAAAATCATCCATAGCAGGTTTCTCCTCTGTTAAAGAACTGAACTTGTCTAATCGAGGACTCTCCGATGGGTTTTTAACTGAAGTACTCAAAGGCTTATTATCTGCGGCTTGTGAGTCTGTGAGTAAATCGCGCACAGATTCAACAGTAATTCCACTTTTGGAGGTATCATCATCAAGTCCCTGTTGAGCAATTTTATTCATTTTAGATAAGCGCTTACTAGCTCGTCTTTCGAGGGTGGAAGATTGCTTCAGAGCATTTAAAGCATTTGGCGTATCAGGAGTAGCAGTGCTGCCCAACAAATTTTCAAAGTTTGTGCTTCGATTAGAGAAAGCATATTCACTACTCCCTTTTCTCGAAGTGTTATCTTCTGATCCTCGGCTGGCTAGTGACTCTTTACGAGGCTTTAAATATCGTGATTTATAAAGAGATTGCTTATATTTTAAGCTTTTAAGAAGATGCATCATAATCTCTCGAACGTGAGGGAGATGACGCTGAAGGGATTCCATAGAAGGAATTTCAGCTAGTGTCTCTTCAAGTATAGAACGCAATTCAAGTGGGAAGTCTTCCAGGTCTAAGCTTTCTATACCCACTTCTCTAAAAATCCTTATGGTAGTATTAAATTCAGTTACAAGGCGAATATAGATAGTTGAGATATCGTCGGGTTCTGCAAGTCGTTTGCTCCATTTCGTTAAGCTTTCTAACAACTGTTTTGTTATCACCAGTAGTTTGGTTACAGAAGACTCAATTGAATTAGCTATGGGCGTGAACTTGTCTCCTGAATACTTCCTACCAGACATTACAGAAGGTGCCCTTTGCGAATTGCTGACTGACGGATATCTTAGAGACGATGAATTCATGGAGTCTGTTCTTTGCCTTGGTATGCCTGGATTATTTGAACCCAGAAATTCTTGATCATTGTTATGAAAAGACATCTCGGAATTACATAAAAGTCAACGTTATAGTAAAAAGAATTTACGCTTCAAACCAGAAACGATGTATAAATGAATTTAACCATAAGATAAAACACAAAAGAAATAAAAAATAAAAAACAAGAAAGTTTTAATGTCTATGAAGATATAGGCGTTACTACGATCTGCAGATGGTTGTGGTCCCAGTTAGTTAAGCTCTCGTGAAAGAGAAGGTTAAATCAGCGTTGACATAGTTGGTACAGTCATTATGAAATTGTCAAGACAGCAAACTCGTATCTTTCACTTTTATATATAGGAATTATTCAAAAGAAATTTATTACATTGGAGAAATCCTTTTGACTATGAACAAATTATCGACAATGACAGCCTAAGAATAGATACATATAAATACTCGATTTAATAACTATATATAGTAGATATATATATATATATATATATATATATATTAATAATGACAATCCCAGAAACGTATGAAGCACTCATGCTTTCATGTAGCTAGTTAATACAAACAAACAAACAAACGAACCCAAAGATGGGGGCATTAAATGACAAGGATATAAGAGGTTTTTGAAATAAATAATAGTAACGACAGAAGAGCCTAACCGTCTGCTTCCTCGGCCGCTTCCTCGGCTATAGGTTCTGCTGCTTTAGCACGCCTGTGTCTTCGTGGTTTCGAGTGGTCCGTAGGCAAATTAAAGTCCCTTCGCATTTTAGTGCGAAGCCCTGGAAGAGCATAGTTAACACGCTTTCTCTCTCGCCTACTTCTTCCATCATTTAATTCCTCGGAGGCGGAACGGCTTTGCTGTTCAGGACTACTAGGGATTGTCTGTCTATTTGTGCTTCCCGGAGGCCTACCTCTTCTCGTTTTCTTCGCAGGTGGTTCTTCTTTTGCTTCCATTTCTGAAGTCTTTTCGTCCTTGGCATGTGTTTCAAAAAATTTCAAGTTGGTTACCGTCGATAGCAATTGGAGGTTGTCATATAGGGAACCTTGATTATGCTGATTGTGACTTAAATTCGGTGTCTCTTTTGATGTTCTAATCGGCGAAGCACGATTGTTCAAGATCCCCTGAAGCCAAAGAGGATTAGAAGCAGTCGAGTTATCTCTACTAGTTACCAGCTCAATGCTTCGAGGAGGCTCACTTGAAAATCTATTATTCATAATTTTTAAATTGCACAATGGTTCATCGCTATCCGATGTTTCTGAATTAGCACGTAGCCTTGATAAAGAGCTTTTTCGTTTTTCAGGAAGATCTTGTGGATTCGGATAATTGTTGACTCTATAGGACTCTTGTAAATTTATGCTGGGGGTATCCGGAATTAACCTCGGTGTAGGCGTTGGTTGGGGAACTGACTTTTGAGGGTTTTTTATTAATTCAGAGTTGGTAGAATGTGTGGATGGAGTATCGGATTCTTTGGGAGATCCAGGCTGATGTTCTACATCTTGGGAAACCTCATCTAACGAACGACTTTTTGTTTGTTGTTGATTGGTATTAGTATCATCATTTGTTCCAAGTACCTTCGGCCCTAATAAACTTAATTTGCGAGAAAAGTTTGCATCAACGATAACTTCATTAGTAGTAGGATCGGAGAGAGCGGAGGCTGCTATGTGCCGGTCAGTATTAACAGGGGCTACATCTGACTTTTTAGAAATATAATTATCGGAAGTTCTTGAACTTAAATTAGTCGTTTGATCCTGTGACTTATCTTGAACGTTGTTTCCATTCGTCTTAACAGTCTCTGGACCGTTGGAAATAAATTCAGTCAAATCCTTGCCATTTGAGGAATCACCGGTTGCTTCGCTAGGCTTATCGTGAAATCTCGTTTTGGAAGGACCACTGCTGCTTCTTCCATCGGAACTTTCTTGCTCTCTGTTTGTTTCATGATTCCGAGTAAATGAACTTGATGCTTTCTCCGAATTGTTAATTGAATGGTCGTTTACATTGCCATTTTTGTCTAGTAAACAGCTTAAATTTTTTATAGATACATCTTCGTTAGCCTCTTTTAATATATCCTCTGTTTCTTTGACAAAAGTTTCCTAAAATTTGGTTAGAAAGCGAACATAGTAAAGAATATATAGTGTCGTACCTCATCGAGATCTTCTTCATCCGATTCAGCTTCTCTTGTCGCTTGAGTCTCCCAAGATTGAAAATATTCTATTTCATATTAGTATATCAGAAATGAATAAATATACTACCTTGAGCATCTTGACGATATTGACTTATTGATTTTATGAAAGATTCAGCTTCCCCTTGGAACTTTGTCAAAAGTGAACCAAGTTTTTCTTGTAATCCTTCATTTTTTAATTGTTGAGACTCCAATTGTTCTTCTAAATTGATTGCAACAGACCTCAGGTCAATGTTTTCCGACAACAACCGTTCATTTTCCAATTGAAGATCCTTAATACGAGCCGACTGGGCTTTGCTTATTCTAGATTGAGTGTTAATAGTAAATAATAATTTAATGAGATAGCTTACCGTATTATTTCCTTGTATTGTCGAAGCTGCTTTTTCTTAGCTAGCCATGTTAGCAGACGTTATTTCATTTCACGTACATTCTTCCAAACTCAAAGAAGGAGATGCTGTTGACATTGTCTATTATTTTTATCAATCAATTACATCTACTAAGTATTTTTTATCGAAAGTATTAAATACGAAGTGCTGTGTGCTTGTTCTATGGTGTTGAGGTACAAGTAGCTGACGCTGTCGTCGAAAATGTCAAAGTTGACAGTTTATGAGGATTTGGAAATCTTAGTACTAAGTTTAGCATATGTAAATAAAAATAAAAGATTATTGCTACTATCGACGTATAACCAACGATGAAAGCTATGAGTACTAAGTTGCATACCAATTATTGTATTGAACTATTATATCTGTATTTGGTATCACTTTCACATACCATAGTAGTTCTTTTTGTGATTCATACAAGTAGAAGATGTTTGTTAGCACTATAACCCCCAATTATTAACTTCGCTGCTTAAATCGTCTTCTACATTGTCATCCCAATCTTGCATCCATTCATCATCAAGTTGATCCTCGGTTTCGTCGGCTAACGAAACAGCATTAGATTTTCCCCGATTTAGAGCAGTATTTTCAGGGCGCCATTTGGTATCTTCATTACTAGTAAACTCTCGAGAATTATGGACTCCTTCAGATAGATTGGTGCTGCTTTCTTTTGGTCGAGGCGTGGAAGCTGGACGGAAGAAAATGTTGAGAAATGATTTGCTAGGAACATCACTCATATTTTCATCTCGTCCTTCATTATAGTCTTTAATTCGGTTTAGAAATTTCTGGGTTACTTCTTCGGATGAAACGCATATAGACCTATCGTGTGATTAATATACGAAGTAAATTTAGACAATTTCATACTCATTATCATCCACCAATAGAGGTACTACACATGGAAGGAGCTTTGATGCCAGTTCCTTTACTGAAAAATAGGCTGCTGTGGCTAGCATGACATCCAAAGTAGCTTTTCGGGCATCGGCAATAGGATCTTTAAGTGACTTAGACAATGCAGCCACCAAGACACGTGTGCGAATCTAATTGAGTTAGATACATTTAATCCATTAAACCCTTACTTGTTGGTCCAACAGCTCTGAAATCTTTCCTAGACATATGATCGAATTGATCCTAATAGAAGGTTGAGCATCATTTTGTAATAAAGCGAGTGTGCGCAATAGGTCGTTATTTAATGCTTTTTTGGAAATCTGTCACAGGGTCAGAAAAAGATATTATATATTCGGTCGCTTACTTTTGAAGCTATGGCGGAGTAAAGCAAAATTGCAGAGAACTTTAGTTTTGCGTCATTAAACTTGACAAAGTTGCAGTATAATAAAAAGGCATCATCGCTGGTTAAAACAGGCGGTAGTAAATCGTTATGTTTATACAATGCATCAACCAGCAAAGTCCGTACTCTATTATTGACAGTTTTCAGGCACGATAGGAACGGAATTCCGAAGTCTTTTTCAAAATCCTTATTATTTTTTATAGTATATGCAATTGAAAATAGAAGTTCCGATGCATTAGCGAATGCATCTAACACATTAGTTAGTTGCGAAACAATGATATCTTCTTACCAGACTTCAGACTCAAAAAAATCAGAGGCAGTGCTTTTTTTTGAAGATAATTCGAAGATAGGAAAGTTAAATTAGTTTTAAGCAAACTGTAAAGCAATAAGCAAACTATAATTCAGCAGATAAAACACATACTCAAAAAACTTTTGACAATCAGCTGGGTCGTGGATTTGCATTTTGTTAATCATATTCACCAAGACAATAAAATTGGATCGAAAGAAACCACCGGGTCTTTCACCAAGTCGTAAAAATTCAGATATACTAATCCTTTGTTTAGAACCCTGCGAAATTAACTTCTTCAATGAACCATGCATATTCTATATAGTTAGATCTAGCTTATCATGGTTAAATTATGATGCTTACAGCAGGCACGTTTTCTCTTTGGTTAAAGTCAACGGCTTTATCGTTTATCGAATCGAAAACCTGGTAGGCCAAATAAGTAAACTCGATGCAATCTACCTGAGAATATTCTCTATGTACTGGTGAGCCAAATTAACAAATATATCGGATGGAACTTACCGATGTAAAACAAGTTCCCTTACACTAGAAGAGGCTAAAGAATTGAAGGGATTAAGTATCTGGAAATTTTTCTAATAATCCGTTAGATCTATATAGGAAAGCGAAAAACGAACTTTAAAGGTATCATAATTAGAGCCAACAAGAAAAAAGTCTCCCAATACCCATTCGTAGCTTTCGTTAAGATAGACGGAAGACATCTGAACATTTCCGTGGATTAAGCTTTTTTCTTCTAGGAAAGATAGAGCGGACTGGACGTGTAAGTTAGAAAGTACCTCAAAAGCGCTTTTATCGTTAACATACAGCTATTCTCCATAAACCGCATTGTTTTTGGTTATTATTAGATGAACCCAATTCATCTATTAGCGGGCGCACAACCTCTGTAGCTATGTATAGTGCGGTAGACTAATTAACAATGAGGTTAATAATGGAAGTTCACGATGTAAGGACTTACGTCTTTGTGAGTTTCCAGTATTTTTATGATGCAAGGATGTCGGATAACTTTGAACTGATCAGCGGCTTGTTCAGTAAGTTTTACCAATTCCGGGTTTGCTGTAATCGGAATAGAGAAGATGCTGCACTGTTCACCCGTTTGCTAAATGACATGTGTAAGCATTGGTAAATAAAGCTTTTATCGTAGTTAGTATGTATACCTTAATTCTTCCGTTATGTAAAGTCCACCATGATCCTGTCGGCAATGGCACTTTTTCATATAGATCATAAGGAAACATAAAGTTTGCCTTTGAAATGAGTGATGCTGCAGACTTTAGAAAATCCATTTGATAAATTTAACGCTTCACAGTTACTTGGTGTAAGTAAGCCCTGAAAAGAATTCAAATAATGCAGATTCTACGGGTCTGGAGATTAGCAATCAGGACGGACAGCAATAAACCATCTAAATATATAATTTATAATTCTTTAAAACCCCCTTAGAAAACGATATACAAGGGACCTTTGGAAGGCTTGAAAGGTAATGTCTTTGGTATCTTATTCGTAAAGTTTAGTGAGGGTGCTTGCAAACGCGCAAGCCATAGATTCCAACTCATTAAAAGAGACAAGGACAACAAACTGCTACTTTTATCTTTCACCCTTTTGATAAAAATATACCTGGTAAAACATATCCTTTCATGTAATTTCGTTAGCACATCTGCTACAATTTCATCAGTGCATTGTTTACACACTTATTTTAGAGGACTTTTATCTTCAAATTACACAACGAAGGCCGTGTGGTTTAGATGGTTATAATTTCTGCTTAACATTTGATGTTCGCAGACGGTCCCAAGTTCGAGTCTTGGCACGGTCATAGCCTTCTTTTTTTTCTATTCGAAATCGTAACTGAATAAAAAGGAAAAGATTGAACAATACTAAATAATTAGTGATTGAATAGCCTAAAAGGAAACTCTACGTTTCAGTAAGTATCGTAGCCATATGTTTCTGTTATTCTTAAATGACTCAGTATACCAAACTGCTATAATCACTGATGCTAGCTTTCTAGCTTCTTTAATATATAATGTAATCCACTTACTACGTCTGAATATTCCGACGTTTACACTTATCATCATAACATTACTAAATCTGGTCATAGTAATTGCTTTTTAGATATGTGCATATGCTTATATACGTACAATAATATATAGTATTGAGTATATACGGTCATATACTATGCTTTAGTCTTGTTGGCTGGTTAGCTTATAATACTATTATTATATTCAATTTTTAAGCGTATGCTTCTATAAACTGTCGTACCCAAAAAGTACGTCGTCAATAATGGATTGTAAGTAAAGACTACCAAGTTTTATCCTGTTACTATAAAGCATAATATCTCTCAGTTACTAGTGTTGCGCATTCATTCTTTCCGAACGTCGCTCAAGCAGTGGAGTCCCAAAATCAGTGTACTGAATAGAATTTTTAGGTTAAATATATATACATTTTTTTTCTCACATTTTATCATGAAAAAAGATGAAGAAGTTTTTATACAGCAAGCCATACGACGTTCATCAACCTCTTCCTTGACTACCTAACAAATAGTGCACCTTCCGATTTTTTCACAAATGGCTAAGCCAAGGCTGGTTTTTCTGGCAATTGCGGGACCTAGAAATGAGCAATTGTACCTGGAAGTGTTTGATTCTCTAGAAAAGACATTATTATCAAAATATCAATACTTGAGCGAACTAAGTCTAGATGTTATTCAAGATCTTGTTCAAGATCCAGAAAGAAGTTCCAATGATTGTTTTTTAGGATTGCTGGGAGTAGAGGAGGATATTAGTACGTATGCTTTTTGTAGCAACACGAATGTAAAGTTCATATTGGCAGTACGTTCGTCCGATTTCTTAGTACGCGAATCAGAAATTCGACAGGTAAGAAGAATTCATTAAATAATGGTTTTGCATGCAATCTTTTGTTAACACGCTAATCTAGCTGCTTCGAAGAATATATACTGTTCATACTCATGCTGTATGCAACCCTTTTTCGCTCGAACTGTCTACCGACACTCTTAAGCAATCCCTTTATTTTAATGAGACGTTACAGCAGCTAAGTTTAGACTGGAATGACCACTAAATTCTACATGAATCAATTAAATTTAAGATACTCTATTCTTTACTTTTTATGCTTATTATGGCCAAAATGCGAAATGCAATTGGAATCAACAAGAACCACTTTTTCATAAAACTATATGTACATCTTTCTCTATTTCGTGTTTTTTTTATTAACTTAATTATCACATAACTTTACCTTTTCGATAAGTAACGGTAGTAATAAAAACTAACAAAAAGCATAATCCAGAATCCTTACTTATGTCTAAGCCATGTCATAAACCTGCAGAGAACCTGAATCTCCAGAGCGGGTAATCAATGATAAGACCATTTGTCTTAGCCAAGCATTACGAACCGCATGGTCGTAACGTTTTTGACTTAAAAATTGAGGACATCCTCGGATTAATCGAAAATCGGTCTCCCCATGGATGTCCAAATATGGAGCAGGCACTACCATACCGGCACCACTAATTCCGTCCAGGAATAGAATTCCACACATCTTTATTAGGAAATAGATACCTATACCATCAGAGCATTCTCTGGAGTGGACATTACACTCACCAGGCTGTCTTTGCGCTGCAGTAGTGGTTTGACGAGCACTAAAGCAAACCACACTTCCACATTGTAAACATACAGCTGGTAAAACTGGAGTTTTATGACACATACAGCAAATAGATTCTTGCATTATATCCATCAAATTTTCCAATCTAGAAGGAAGTTTCAAAAGTTCATATACACCGGGAAATTCCAATCTTGGCTTACTAGCCGATGAGTTGTCTTCAGCAAACTGTTGGCACCAACCATTAATAACTTGAAGTTGTTCTGGAAACTGCTGATTTCCTAATCTTATGTACATTTCGCTCAAGGTAGGAAGTTCCAAAAGTTCACAAAGATGAGTAAGTTCAGTATTTTCATTAAGCTCGCCATTGCCAGATTCCTCAAAATTAACATTCAACAAACAATAATAAACCAAAGATACTCTTCTTAAAAAAGGGAGCATAAACTTCTCAACTAATGTGAGCAGTCTTGAAAAAGCAACACTACTGTCTAAAATGCGACATCTCTCTTCATAACCGCATGCACGGAATACATTACAGCAGAATTGATAGAATGCGCCCTTTGCTGTATCACTATACTCAATTGAAGGTTCAGCGAAAGCATCAGTCTGTTCCAAATAGGAGCTAGTCTCCAAAATAATTTTGCAAATATGAGCGATATAGTAAAGTTCTGCGTAGTAGAGACTGTGGCTCTGCTGCTCATTTATTATCAAAAGAGTGATAGTTTTGACAAATTCGCTAAATATATTGGAAGAAAGTAAAGGTTTGAAAAAATCGGCTTTAAATGTATTAGAAAATTGGAGCATATATTCCTTTACATCGGATTTTCCGTAAAACAATTTGCAAACCTGACGATTTTGGGTTCGTACGAAGTCAGAAGCTGCGTCAGTAGAACTGGCAACTTTACGGCATAAGCCCTTCATGACTGTTTCAGCAAATGACAAGAGAAATGCTGAATTAATGGAACCGATATCGTTTATCCAAATCTGAGCGTCATGATTCTGACTGGTAGGTGTACCACGGTAAATAACTTCTACTGAAGCAAGGCTATAGCTTAGAGAATCTAACATTTCATCTGATAAGCTTCCCTTTGATGGATTGTCCCCATGAAACTTGGATGCGGAGAATTCCATAACGGAGAAATACCGTTGCAGAGCATCCCCGTTATCAGTCATGACATTTTCCTCCTTCGGTATAACAGCACTTTGGCTTGTGTTAATCCAAGGACGGTTCAAAGACTTCTCAGCTACGTTTCTAACGACGTCGTTGCTCGTGGAGAACAAATGGTGATTAAAAGTTTCGTTATTTTTGAAAGAAAAACTTCTTAGAAAAGCTTCCAAATCTCTATCGACCCCATAATCGTTGAGACGAAGACAAAGTCTAGGTGTATGAGTCGTTGGAATTATGACATTTGATAAATAACCACACAGAGGGCACATAAAATACCGGGTTGCAGGAGTAGTTTTATGTTTGTCATTTATATAAGTTGAAGGATCACTTCTTCTGAGGAGCCTTGAGTTGGCATATGTATCAAAACACCTAGTATGCATAAGATGACCACAACTAGAAACATAGAGGCCTTCAATATTATGATTCACAGGATATGCACCTAATATACGAGTTTTTGTTTCGTGTAGAGCAACTGTTTCAGCCTTTTCTCCAGACAGACGGTCTGGCAGTTGAGCATTGAAACTAGAAGGTATGGTGAATAATTCTTGAAGAGCTTCCTTTGTATTTGCAGTCTCTCTTAAAAAGCTGCTCTTATTAACGGTTGCTAACATTCCGTAGGGTGCTTCTTCATTACAACTCTCTTGGCATAATAAGCAATTTCCATGCAAGTGTTCATGCTGTTTGAAAGGCGGCCTACTCGTATCCACTAACTCATCATCGTCTTCTACGTTGAAATCTGTATTCTGTGCCATGAAAGAGGCTTGCTGAGCTCGAAATTGCTGCATAATGCTTTTCTGTTTTTCCAATGCAATCCGCTTCTTCTCTTCAACGCGTTTTATTTCGTCAGCTCCTGGTTCCTCAACGCTTGATTCTTCAGAATTTACTCGAGCATGCTGTAAGATGCTAGCACAAGTAGCTGTGCCAGATCTTTTTAAAACATCCAACATATAATTAGCCTTAGGATGTAATGACTTAAGTTTGGAAGATTTTACAACCTTAAGACACAATTCAGCCAAACAATAGCTTGAATGATCAGATTCTTGGTTATCCGTAGAAATTGGGTGTTGTCCAAGAAAATGTTTCGTATAAAATGTCGTTGAACCAGTAAAGTCATTGATCCTAGAGGCAATTAAACAAAGTTGAAGAGCCTCATTAATAATAGTTTCACTATTGTCCACATCCTCTTGTTTATCTGAAATAAGAAGAGCATATTCCAGAGCGCGAAGAAGGACCAAGTAAAATACATCAGAGTTTACTAATGCAAAGAAAATATCTTGACCATTCTTGTCAAGAAACTGAAAATTGGGTTCAATAACGGCAGATTCCAAGGGAACATTATATTTATCAGACAAGCGTTTCTTCATAACAGCCTCGGCCTCTTCCCTTTCATTCTTAGAATAGTAAGAACTGTAAGGATTTATTAGATCAAAGTATTCATCCTTGAGTGTATATAAACCAAAATCATGAAGACCATCAGGTGGCTTATAGTTAGTCATTTCTTCTCTAATTGAATCAAATGATGAATCTTCAACTAAATTGCTTGAAATTTTATATATGAGTGCCGAATAAGTCAAAGGTCCAAAACATAATTCGTGGGCTAACCTAACACGAATTGTATCTTGGATACTCATCTTCAATAAGCTTTCTCGCTCAGTTATTAAAGTAATTAAGAATTTCAGCAATGAACCTAAAAGTTTAGGTATTTTCTCGGAATCATAATGCTCATGTCCATCATATTTTCTATCAAAGACCCAATCGGTAAACTCAAACCTTTGTAAAATAGCCTTTAAACCCGTGTCTGGATTGACTTGAGAAAGTATTTTCTGAATTAATAGTATATCCTTGTCAAAAGTGTATTCTCTATTTCCTGGGAAGGGTTCACGAAAATCTTGTAGATAAACATAGAGCTGACGATAGAAACGAGTAGTAAGCAAGAGATTATGTCCATTTCGAACCCAAAGATTAGCATCTACCTGCATCAAAAAAGCAATAACTCTTAAGGGATGGTCAATCAATGCAAAAAATGTTTCCTCATTGAATGAATCAAGAATATCTGAATCACAATTTGAGAGCACTGTCGCCAAAGCCCAATGTAAAGGATGATTAAGGCTTATAGGGTCGGCTGAAACAGAGAAAGGTTTAAGAGGAAGCCGAGAACTATAAGAATCGGATGAACCATTCGGAATGCAATCTAGTGGCTCACGGGGATCAGAAACATCATCCTTAGGATCAACAATAGCTTTTATCAAAACTTGAATAGCTTGATGCAAATCACTGCTTGTTGCAGTATCATAACAAGAGGCAACCTGCTCACTTAATTCAGCCAATCTGAGCAAAAGAAAAATGTTTTTTAGGCGTGTAATATCCCATTGGACATGCGAGTGCGTAGCACGTTTCTGGGGAGAGTTTCCTTGGAAAACGCGTAACAAGTCAACCCATTGATGCATATAACGAGAATCTTTAGTGATTATCTTCTTAACCTGAGGGACCTGAAGCAAGTACTTCAAATCGTGGAAAAGATTAAATGTTCGACGGCTCTTTAAAACTTGTTCATTAAGCTTTATTTTTTGTGCTCCTTCGGTATCACCACCACTTGGTTGCACAAGAAGAGAGACGGCTGCAGAATTTATGTCAGTTAGCAAATCATAATCCTGAACGACAGTCTCTGCAATACTAGGAGTAGTAAACAATTGGACAGAAAGGAACATGACTGAACGATCCGGTTCCCGATCCGCTAGTACGAATGCAGTGGCAAGATGTTTGTAATGGATAGCAAATCTTATACCCATAAGTCTTTTGAATGCCAAGTTTCTATTAAACGGGACAACGTAAAGTCGTGACAATAGAGTGCGCAATTCCTTCCAAAACTTCAAGTCAAATAGTAATAAATAATCCAAACGAAGAGTGTGATAAGGAGACTCAGCTATATCCTTAAATTTAGAAGGCTTATATGAAGCAGGTTTTTGCCAATATTCGTCTTGCAAAGGAACTTGAAAGGTCATATTGGGACGTGGCCTTCGACGAGAAGTAATGATTTGACGCAAATTGTTTAGTAACTGGGGATTAAACTCTGGTCTTATCGTAACTACAGTCTGGCCAGCATTGGGAGGGGGAGGCAAAGGCGTTGTAGCTTGTTCTGGTGTAGTTTGATCGGCATTGCCTTGTCCACCATTATTCTCCTGAAAATCTCCATTATCTTCTCCTTGTTCTCCTTCTTCTGCTTCTTCTTCCTCTTCATCTTGTTCGTCATTAACATCATTCATCGGGGAATCTATAGCATTTTCATCATCTAAGTCATTCAGCAGCTCACGCTCAGCTTCTGAATCCATAGTAATAGCATTTTCATCATCTTCATCATCATTTTCCGGACCTGGATTAAACCCCGTTTCTGCTGCCTCGGCATCATTATCTTCGACTTCCATGCCCGTAATGTCAGTAGGCATATTATTGTTTTCAAGGTTGGCAATAACTCCCAAGAGTTCCTCAGCAGCATAAAATTCATCCTCGCTGTCATCATCGTTCGCAATTTCTAATGGGAGATTGTTAAAATTCAAAGACGGGTTGGTGGGTTTTTCTAAACCAGGAGACCACTGCTTCAACATTTCGTTACAGAAAACAGTTTGGATGTAATTTGGAAAAAAGCAAACATGAGAGTCTAACAAATCCTCAAGCCAGTGTAGTAAAGTACTGCAGTCATCCTCACGAAAGAAATCTCTTGCAGATCGAACATTAACCGCAAGATTGTTGCTAGAAATAATTCTAGCAATCCTCAATAGCTCCTCAATAGAAGTAGATGTTTTAATAGAAAATCTACCGATTGAGTCTACGCGTTGAGCTACTTGTAAACCAAAGCTTTCGCTAGCGGTATTCACTGCACGTTGAACACAACTAACAACGCCCTCAAATGTATTAAACTCGTCATTCCAAAGCATTACACGAAAAACATCACAAGACTTATCAACAGAACCGTATTTAGTGGTACTTAGACGTGAGGCCTCCTCGTCAGCCAAAATTCCCTCGATGGACTGTTGGGCTTTCAAATTATTAGACGAACAAGAAAACACATCAAGTACGAAATCAAGCACAATCCGAACGGTCTCGGTAATTGATTTTTGTAATTCAGAAGGAATGCATTTTTCGGGAGAAGAGTCATCTTTTATCTCCGAATGGCTACTGTGAATTTTACAAGGGAGATCAACTTTCCAGGCCTCAGGATCTCCGCAATCGCAGACACCACTAAAAGAAGTTGATATAGAAACGTGCGTTTCATGTCCCTCATGATTTGTAGAACGAAAGCACGGCGCGCACAAGACACAGGTGCTATCAGCACCGCAAGTTTTACAGCGATAAATAACTTCGCCGTCTCGAAAAACATGACCGCACACTTCACTTCCAGTACCCTTGTTTTGTAATTCATCAAAGTACTCAGGGTCTGCCCGCTGCGCATTTGAAAGAGAAAAACTTGATGTGATATTTTGAGGTTGTTTTTTCAAGAAATATTTCCAATTGCTTTCATCATAGTTCAACAAGGATTGATACACTTCTTGTAAGAGATGAGCCTTTGATTCATCGTTCGAATCATATGCGTGTCTCTCTGCGCTCTCCAAGAGATACTTTTGTAACCGAGTCGGAGTAGATGGCTCAAACTGCTGTGAAGGGTTGCGTTCTGTCATGAAAGACAAGTATAAAAGGTATGAAATAGGTAAGTTGCAAAATCCAAAAAGTCTGAATAGGAAAAAAGTGACCCTAGGTAATAATATTTACTAGGTGCTTATTTTTTCTAGAAATAAAAATAAAATAAAATAAAAGTGACTGAGTACTATTCACCTGCTGAATAGTACAACGATTTACAAATGTAAATTTCAGGTATATTTACCACTTTCCTTAGTATCTACTAAAGGAAGAATAGGAGCACATACGCTGATATTGCTGATCTCAATCCAATCGTCTTTAGAAAGCCTTTTGCTCTTTTCTCCAAACAAAAGTTACTCACGTAAATGTTTCGAATTCGGTTTTTTTTGCTTCCTATTTGTCCTTACCCTTTATGGCTAAATGACAATCGTCTTAACCATGTTTGAAAAGACGTATTATATGAGTAGCGATGTGACTTGGGTGTACAGTTAAAAATTTCAAAGTGCTTCCTATCAGCGCTAGTATTTATCAAGTGATATAAATTGGGTTAAAAAAGTATTTGTGATATTAATTCTATAATTATTTAAAAACCACACATAATCTTTCTGGTATCTATCTGCTAAGCAATGCCTAGTTCACGATGTTTTGAAATATACTATTGTATTAAGCTTTCTTAAGAAGTTAAAAGAAAAAGAAACAAAAAGAGTGTCACGAACCGGGATCGAACCGGTGACCAACAGATCTTCAGTCTGTCATGCTCCCAACTACACCACCGCGACTTTCGTTGAAAAGCGTAGTAATAAAATTTATTTATTTATTCTAGCTAGAGGGAAATAAAAGTGAAATCGTAATATTAGAGAACTTGCGATAGTGATGTATTAAGCTATTAACAGTAATGCTTCTGTTTTTTTTTTACTTTTTTTTAATACTGCTGGTTTTTAGCATTACACACCAACCGAGTTTAGTTTTGTCGAATTGGTTCTCGCATTTTTCATTTTATTGTCGACTACAAGTCAAAATATATAGTTACTCTATAAAAAAAAAGGCAATATATAATGTATACTTCCTTTATAAAAAACCAACGCTACTGCAGCTTAAATGAGCCAACATCCAAATAATTGTTTTTTACAGGTTTAATTAGTAAACATAAACAAACCATAAAAACAAATAGTAAAATTTACATTTAAAAAACAAGGGCCCAACCGGATTTGAACCAGTGACCTGGGGAGCTGCAATCCCTCACTCTACCACTGAGCTATGAACCCTGATCTGCTTATTAGATTTATAATGAGTATAATATAGTGTAAAAATACAACAATTTTGGAAACTAAAACGTATCGCTTTGGTGTATGCAATGTCAGAAGTGGTGATACATCTGTTCGAAACGTTGCCTTGTGGAGTAGCTGTGATTTAATATTCTCTACCCGTCCTTCATCAATAAAGTGGGATATTTTGTGGTTTTTATAAAGTTTCACGCCCTCAAAAGTTACACCTTTAGAAAACTATACGGCGTAACAATTTTTTATATGCTGTAAACCGATCTCATTTTATTTACAGTATAAATAATGTTATTCGAGTGAGCAACCTCGTGATCGGTACGAGTAGTATGTGAAGGGTTAATTCATGATTATTTTTTGACATGATCTTGGTAAATAAGTTTTATGAGTTTCAAAATAGCTCAACCATGTTTAACAATGTGTCACTTGGAACGATTTCATCTTCACAATGTGGAAGAAGGTCACGGATTTTTTCAAAGGTTTCCATCCGAAATCTCTTTAAGTCTTCGAATCCTAATTTCTCTTTAAAAATACCTGTAATCATTCGGATCCAGAACGTCTGGCTTTGTTTAAACCTTGGCTGTAATTCAGTTTGTAGGTAATATACGGCCTCCACTGGATCCTTATACTTTAGCTCGTGAAACCTTTCAATGTTAGCTTTTTGGTTTTACATTTGGCTTACCTTTGAATGTGCAATTCTAAGAGGATCTGTTCATATATAGTATCTTGACCCCATTCTTCGTTGATCTGAAGTTTCCAAAAGTCTTTCAGTTTCATCGGTTTTAAGGGATGGGAGCTAGCATTTCCTCCGGAAATGTAAAATGTTTCAGTTTCCCAATTGACTGCCAAAGCATGACCGAACCTTTTGCGAATTAGCTCATTCCTAATATTGAACAATAGATCTTACCTTGCACAAGGATGTGGATCACCAATTTTCTCGTTTATATCTATAACTTTTTTCCATTGTTTTTGTTTAATATAGTAAGCCCATATACTTGGTTGTAAGATTTTGTGATACTCCCTTTGCTCATATCCATAGAAAGCAAAAATCCTCTGGTTTTCTTCATCAAGTGAGCTCCTTTGGCAAAATGCTGGATAAGGGCAATCTTTTCCACGTTGAGACCAGTCGTAGCTTTGCGCCTCCCAACTGGAAGTGCTGATAACGTGCATGTCTGCAAGAAATTGTTGGTCATGCGTTTGTCCGCCGAAGATGTAAAGAAGACCTTCTTCTGATGCATACTCCATACAGTGGCCCATTCTTTCGGTAAGTAATTTCATATTGGCATTCGAAGATTTGAAAGCAATTACCTTTTTTTCCCAAATGCCGTAATCTACGTGATATAAATAAAACGTTTCAAATACCAAATCTCCTGGATCCCATTTGCATCCTCCGCATATATATATTACATTTTCCTTCTCGTTTAAAGCCATAGCCTGGTCAAATATAGCCATAGGACCTAGCTCTAAAGACGTGTCTTTCGATAAGCAAGTCCATAATCTTTCTTCAATACTGTATTTCCAAAAATCGGGCTTGACATCTGGACTTATAAGATTCCCTCCAGCGGTGCCAAAGTAGTTACCGAGCAAATAAATACATTGTCGGGAAGAATCTAATATCATTCGATGACATACACGTTTTCCAGGAGGTCTTAATCTGGTTAGTATCAGAAAATGAATTATAGCCGTACTGGTTAGATCCTAAGAGGCTCCAGGTTTGAGTTTCGACAGAGAATTTCCAAAAGTCAGAAAATGTCTCAATTCCGTCCCATCCGCCGTAATGATATATACATTTGTCCTGCTTTGTTTAGCTTGAATTAGGGTTTAAGAGAAATAACTTACTCGTGAGTTATAAACCATTTGATGTCCACTTCGAGAACCGATTCCACGCCCAAACTTGGATATCTCCTCAGCAAGCAATTTTGGCTGTGCTTCCTTCCTCCATTTTTGACTTATTTCTTTCCAAACCTTATTTTGAAATAAGTTAATGGCTTCGTATAAGTCTCCTGATTCGCATATAGCATTGTAAAGCAGATTTAATGGCGAAAGCATATACGGTATTTGGTAATGGTGAGCGATAGCTGAATAGACTTGACTGTTTCCTTTATATAAAAAATAAGAAAGCAAGTACTTTATCGCTTTCTTCTCCAACTCCTTAACACGTTGTTTTTCAACGGTCGATAAACAATGAGGAGCATTATATCCATGAAGTTCAACATACCATATACTAAGGTTAAACTCAGGAGCGTGTGCCTGTAATGGAACAATTTTGATATACTTGCAAACGAATGGATAAATGTTTGGACTTTCCTTTTGCGACTGAAGGACGAAACTTTCTGTATTTGAGTCATTGGTAAGACCCGCTTTGAGAAGTAGTCGAAGATGCCACTGATCTCTTCCTCCATAGACAGCAAATCTAAAATGTTAAAAAATAATATACGAAAAGTTACTATCTAGGTTTAACATACTCTTTCAAGTTACAGAGATGAGGTGCACAGTATTTTCCAAACGAAATGTCTGTGACCACGCATGGTTCTTTTAATTTCAGTAGAACATATTGCATATCTAGTTTTGAAAAGAATTTTGAGTTAGCGCAGCTCCAGCGACTGTCGACTTTTCGAGGTTCATGTTTTGCAATATTGTATGGATGATATTTTCCAGAATAACTAGACCAATCGTGGATAGTGTAAGGGAGAATTCTCTGTTCCATTAAAGCAAATACAAAATTCTAGCTTGTTTGGAGAAATCTACCTAACAAATGGTTAAGTGTAAGTACTGTACCGCAAATGTAAACAAACAGAGAAAGTGCATTTATAGACTCTAGTCCATAAATCCGTACATCTAAGGATTGATTACCTTTTTGAATTGATTTATTTTATAAACTAAAGAAGTACATATGTATTTAAACAGTGAGCGTTCAATCGTTTTAGTTTGTTCACTCAACCATAAGATAAACCGACGTTGATTTGGGGAATCATATAGTTCAGGAAAATTAAGACGTAAAGATAACTCTTTAAATGGATTTGAAAAAAAAAAAAAACAAATATGTTTTCATGAACCTCCTCTCTCTGTTCAGTTAGAAGTTTATTCATAAATGATATAGAACTCGACGGATATTTAAAAGCTGCTTTTTGAGTCTCGGTAAAAATCTAATAAATAAGCGAAATGCTTGGCTTTAAGAATTCTTTCACAAGTGATTATTAGTTTAGTTTTCTTTTCTCTGGAAAACTTGATTCTGTTCACATCAAAGTAAACTATGCCAAGCAATAGTGATTGTTACCCAACTCTATGTAAACAAATGCCAAATTCCTTGTTGAAGTTATCAAAAATTGCTGTTGGAGTACTTTCAAAAAAAAAAAAAAAAAAAAAAAAAAAGCAAAATATATTAATCATTCAATAAATAAAAACTTTCTTTTTACATGAAAAAGACACTGAAAATTACAAAACCGAAAACAAAAATTCCCACGATTGCAGTTATTGTTATAAATAAATTTGAACTATGTTCAATCAGAATTTTTTTGATACGTGTCTGCGTAATATCTTGTAGTATTCAATTTTGTACTTTGTTGTTTATTGGCTTCAAAATCTACGATGATTGAAACTGGTGCATTTCAGCTGTACACCATAATCTTCATAGGTTGTATCCTTTCATTCACTTCGAGTGGCATCATAAAATATACTTGGTAGACATTGACTTTTTTTTTTGATGTTTGATGCTGACTAGGTAATGTATTCCTCAGATTTAGCTTGCCTTGGCAAACTCAACAAGACATACAGATTCGCCTGAATTTCGAATCGATTAATAAATTGAGGAGATATTTACTTCTCTATTGACAGAGACAAACGAAGAAATGCATATGGACCAACGCTGACCCCTTCACTTGTTTTCTTGCTTCCTGTTACTTCACAAGGAACATCCTTCAAAAGAGGAAGGAAAAAGGAGTTTCCAAGCTTGGATCTGTATAAACAAATAAACAAACTCAACAGAAACAAAGAAAAAAAAAGGAAAAGAATTAAAAACGAAGCGGTAAGTAAAAAGCCTACAGCACCCCGGATTCCCATGTTGTCTCCAACCATAGTACTAACGAGGCCCTCAGACGCTTAACTGCAGTGATCGGACGGGAACTGGTGTTTTCGCCTAGGTGTGGCCGTAGACATTTTTTGTTTAACGATGACTATATTTGTAGTAAATATCTTTTCTATAATATCAAGTTGGTATCGTTTATTGCTCGAAAAATGAATGCAAGGCTATGAAAAGTCATGTGGAACCTCTCCTTTTGGTGTTTAGCATTATTGATGTATCCTTAGGGCTGTCTAAATCTATTTCCTGTTGATTACTAGTATCATAATTGTTATTCTTTCTACACTTTTTCTTTCTTGTGTTTTTGTGTTTTCTTTTTAAAACACTTTACGCGAGCGAGAGTCAAGGCTCAGTGAATTTTATGGCTTAGCTATTGGGCTATAAAAATGTTACTGTTCGTATGAAGTAATGAGAATTAACATTATTTTATTGCCCCTGTGGTTATTATTGGTTTTATGCTTGAAGGATTGTTTATGTTTAATAGACGAATTGTTTATACTTTGTTACCCCGGCAACCAGCGATGTTTAATTAAATTGATGCGCGGACTCTTTTGATATAAACATAGCAAGCCATTTATTCATTTGAAGGCTATTAGAGTCGGTCGAAGACATAATCAGTTAAGAAAGAATATCTAGTCAATCCCGTTCAATTAAAATTACTAACATTGAATTTACAATTGACAAGGACTACAGAAGGTTTCACGGGAATTTTTCATATCTGGGCCTCTTTTTGTTTCATTTCATATTCCATTCAATTTTGATCCTTTATATCATTGCATTTAGCTTTCATTTACAAGGGAATCCTTCGATATTAGGCTTTATAAAAGATTCACTTCACTGCCTTGTCGTCTAGGTGTTGCCAGAAAAAAAATGGGTCTTAAAATACTCAGATTTGTCTTTATGGCTGCGGCCGTACTGTGTACCGCTGTAGGCGGCCTTTTGTCTATCCTTTGTATAATCAACCAAACACAGCACAACATTGCTTTCCAAAATATTTACTTCGTCCAGCTCAACACTACCTCGTTATTTTCAGTCAAGAATGCTACAGAGCTTGCACAAACAATTGGACAAGAAGTCGGAGGTAGTTTGGCAGATCAATTAGCCGAGGTGATTGAAAAAGACAATCCACAAGTTGAAGCTTTGGTTACACAGTTAGAAAGGGAAATGAAGAAAGTTTCAAATGTTCCAGATTGGTATTCAGTTGGTCTTTGGAACTACTGTAAAGGCAGTTCCAAGGACTATACAAATCCTACTTCATGTACGAAGCCTTCGTCAAAATATTATTTCAACCCCATCGAAATGATTGAAAATGATCTATCAAATGCCGCCAAAACGCAAGTTAGTCTCCATTTATCAGATGAAGCTCAGTACGGTTTAAAGATTTCCAAAGGCATTTGTTATGCTCTTCGAGCTTTGTATGTTTTAGGGTTCATGTTTTTCATTTTCACACTTGCTTCCGTATTGGTTTCTTGGTGCCCATTTTTTGGTCCTCTATTGGTTTCTGTATGCTGCTTCTTCGCTACAGTCTTCACATTAGTAGCTGCATGTATGGCTGTTGCCTTTTATCGTGTTGTTATATCAAAAGTTGAAGAAAACATAACTATGTTAAATATTCCAATGGAGTTGGGAAAAAAAGTATATGCGTATTCTTTTATTTCTGCAGCTGCTGGCATAGCAGCCCTAATTTTCTTTTTTATTGCCAACTTGACTAGTTACTCCCCTGTTTAATTCTGTATATTATTCACTCTTTCTTTCTTTACCAATGGTTCATTGTTTCTGCGACAGATTGCATTTCATTTTTAAATTACCATGATTTTATCATTTGTCGACTACAACATTTTCATTCTTTTTGCATATTGTTTAATTTTCTTAGATTATAATAAATTATTTAGCAAAAATTTCCTGTTAAAAATGCCTAAATTGCAAAAAATTATTGTATCAAAAAGAACGTATGTGGTATTAAAAGATATACTGTTCAAGGGAATTCTTTGTCTTCGGCTATTAACTCTCTAATCCAAGTTAAGTAATCCATTCCCTTGTCGTTTTTCTTCATGTTGCGTTCCAAAAAACTAACAAAATTTGGACGAACTTGACTTTTCATTAAGTCGTCAACAGTAACATAAGACTTTCCATCAGCAACATCGCAAAAAGCATACAAAACTTGACGAGCGCTATCGCGGTCTTCCAGTTCCTCCATCACAACCTCCGTAAAGCGCTCACATGTTACTCCTTCTTCACCATTTGATGCTCTCTCGAACAAGGCCGTGCCTTCTTCCGAGTCATAGACTAAACCCAAAGAAGCCAACGCCGCGTAAAACTCCAGTTCATTCAGCAAATTTGACTTTTTCTTCTCAAAATGACGGAAGACAGTTGCTATACCGTCCAATTCTTGCTTCGAAAGGGTTCGTTTCTCCCTGTCCAAAATTTCCTTTTGTAAGTACTTTATTTTATGAGCAATAATTTCCGATGTGACACCGTATTCATGTTCCAAATCATCATAGGAAAACAAAGTATAATCATTTTCTTCGATACCTGCTTCCCTACAGTTGTCTGAATGGACCTTCACGCTGGCTAACTCAATTTCCAATGGACCCAAGTGTTCTTGTAGAAATTCAACATGGTCTAATTGATCCCTCCATTCTCCTTGTAAGTTAGAAATTTCGTTCGAAATAGTTGAGAGCATTTTCGAGAAACTGTTTGCGCGTTCAGCGAAAGAAATACGCATATTTTCTTTAATCTCTCTCATACGAGTGTTTATTAACTTAGAGCGATCTGCTTCCTCAGTCAAAAAATCTTTCCATTCACGTTCCAAGTCTACGATTTTTAAACCAGCAGGAGGCTCATACATTTGAAGTTGGAAGGTTTTTAGACTTGTCTGAATTGTTGCGAGTAGGGACTCAAGATCAATTTTCTCCTTTACCCATTCTCGTTTTTCATCAGCCTTGAAACCAACAAAATCTCGAGAATGAGCTTTCACATCAGAATACGTGTTCTCAAAAGTAGATGCTTTCCAATATTCGCGGACTCGAGAAATGCTCTCTAAAAGTCGTGTCATACGAGTCTCATAGTCTTCCTGCATTGAGCGTGTTGACATCAAAACTTCCGTAAATCTCTCTACTCTTCTAGCAGCAGTCTCAACTTTATCCAGGGTAGAAAAAGCATGAAAGTATTCCGCAATATAAGTCATGATACTGCGTTCATCCGGACGATCGACATCACAAACATCCTCAACATCAATTAAACGAGGGATACCGATATGCTCTTGAGCAATATCAAAAGCAAGTTGCATATTTTTTCGATTGTCTCTTTTATCTAGTTCATGATAATTCAACAGGTCAGGTCGATGCTTGTGAATCAATGCGCAGAATGCCAAACCATCGGTCCAACTTCTTGAAAAATCTTGAACTTCCACTTCTGGACGATACTTTCCAGTTTTTCGTTGACACCATAGAAGCAAACCTTCCTTAGCCGTCAAACCTTCCTCATTAATATCAGCAATTGTGAATCTTAAAATTAAAGTCCAAATTAAACCAAGGATCAATTTGAGATTTCCATCAACGATGTCTAGGTTGAGTTAGTTTTCATTTATAAATAATAATAGATAATATATTTTTTTATTTTAATAATTTCAACTCCATTCGGTTACAGTCTCCGCAGATCCACAAAGAACTAAACCATTGGAGAGCCTCAAGAAAAGGAAAGCGTGATCACCAAAATATTTGTGAATTTGCATACCAGCTGGACCAATGTTAGTTAAGGGCATCCCTTTACTCTTAATGTACTCCAGGGCCTTATTGACATTTTCGAGTTTGTGCAAACGGAGACGAGGCTTTCGATTGTATTTCCCTAATTGTTCATCACCAATGATTTCCAAAAGTTGGATTAATAGTATTCCGTCTGATAAATCTTTTCCCAGGTTTACAACCGTAGGTAAATCGTGTAATGAAAGTTTCGTGTTGAACCTATATTCGTTTCGATTGTTAATTCATAATTTTCTTTTTGCTTACATACCATTTTGTAAAAGTTCTATTTTGTACGTCCTGCCATTGATTTGCTTGCATCAAAGGTATCTTTTTGATAACTACGTTTCGGTGGGAGTAAATATTACAAGAAAATGGTTTATAAACTAAGGGAGGTTACAAGCTATATTCGTTTGGTGAGCATCAAATTTTAAAAATCTAGAAAATACATTTATTAAATTAATTTGTTTGATCTTTAAAGCTTCAAATATTCGTGAAAAATAAACTGCGTTCAGTCCAGCTCTAAAACTTAATACTTAATTTAATCCTAAATTCTAGCATTTCTTTCTATATTTCTTTTAATATTACTTTAATAGTTAGATTTCTAAGGGTCATAGTTTCCTTTTTTTTTACTGTCGCTCAAAATAGCTCTGCCAACCAAAAGATACAAATGTTGGTTATTTAACAGGAGAAAATATATTCAAATAATGTGTCATGAGAATCATCTCTATGTGAAAATCGTAAAGAATCGGTTCCATTAAATGAATGCAACTCATCTGAGAGGGATACAAGTTACACCCTTGAAAACATTCTCTTGTATAGTCATAATAATTGTATTACATCCAAAAGTTAAACTAGCAAGGGTTGCTCTTACCAATAGATAATCAAATTGCTTGTTTGAAGTTCCTGCGAGAAAACAAGGGAAGGTTTAATTTATCAATCGCCTTTCAGAGACAAGCATAATCGCTTTACGTGTTAAAGGAACCAGATAAAGGAATCAAATCAAAGTTAGAAAGCATATGAAAATCAAGGGATCACCAATTTCTGTCCCACTGGTACATCAAAATTGATCTCTGAAGTGGCCGCTTTGAAGTCATCATCGGCATTAGTTGAGTTGATGCCAAACTTTATGAATAATCCAGTCCATTTGGCTTCATCATCTTGATTCTCATTCATCTGAGCTTTTGTCAATGTCTTAATCCTTTGTCTTAATGGTACTTTCTCCCAAGACAAAAAGCAATGCTCATTGGCAGCAACAGGGACTGACTGGAAAGATTCCAAGGGAATAGATACATTTTCTTCTAAAATACGAAGTTCAACTCCGTCAGGAACGTCGATCGGGAGTAAAAGCACGTTTTTCTGAAATGTGAACACTTGAGATGTTCCTTCTTCCGCAAAAAGATCACTTTCTTCCAAATCACAAATAAATGTGTTGTCATCAAATTCAGCAGATATACTGGAAGTGAATTGTTTGCAAATATCCTTCAATTCATCCTGTTGTACGGGCCTAAAGGTCAGAGACATATTGATGGTTGTTGAAGGGCTACTATGCTAAATGTAACAAATGGTCCTAACCTTTATAGTACGACATGGAAGTTCGTAAATTATAAGTAGATAGCAATCCTTTCTATTCCTTAATAAATTACAAAGATACATATACGTAAAACTTATACTCTCAGAATCATTATGGCATTACTACAAAAATGAACGACAATGAAGTTATCACTTTTTCGGACTACTTTTTGAAACGTCTCGTTCCAATAAAACAGGTTTAATAACCTCTTCGTCGAAGCGTGAAAACCACTGGGCTTGATCATCTCTAGATGCGTGGAAAAATTGATTAAATGCCCCCGCAGCTTTTTGGTAATGCTCAAAAGTACTAGAGATTTTCTTTGAAGGACTAGCCTCAGTGAATACCTCTATATTCTCATAATCATCTGGCATTACTGGAAGATTTGGGGCAGCAGCTGGAGAATCATGAGACGCATTGGAGAGCTCCATAGCTCCATTTTCTAAATCATAATCAGCCGTACCTTGCCATGGAAGCATGGAAAATTCAGTATCGCTATCGACATCAGCAGCAACACCTGTCTCAATATTTAAAATCTCAAGCATACGAGAAGTAGTACCACCAAAAATAATAAGTGTAAGTACAACAACAACAAGTGTTGTAGCCTTAAGTGTCTGAGCGTTCTCACCTTCGAATCCAGCGGCTAAAGCAACACCCACTGCACCACGAAGACCGGCCCAGAAAAGCATCATTTGATAACTATATGGGATATGGTCTACAAGAGTTCTGTCCTTTTGGCGATGAAATCTGTTGAGTAATTTACTCAACGGAAAAACGTTCATATACCTAGAAGCAGTTACCGCAATCTATACATTATTAGTACAAATCCTTGGAAAGCAATGCCTATAGCATAAACATACCGTAGTTATCAAAATAAATATAGGTTTGTAAACCAAATCCACCTGAGTGAATAAGGACATTCCCAAGTAAATAAATATAAAGTTCTCTGACAACTGAGCCAAAACCCGAAATACATATTTTGTGCTCAATTTTGCCTTGTAGGACATGTTGTAAAAAGCATAATGTTTCAAAGTTATTCCGCAAAATAACAGTGAGACAACACCAGACATATGGCATCCGTTGGAAAAAAAGTAAGAGGCATATGCCATGAGCAATATAATACACGATTCTATGTTGGGATAGCGTCGTAAATAAGAGTATTTCAAAAGCAAAGCTGTCATAAGCCCAATAGAAACACCGATTAATAGACTAACGAAAAATGTGATTATAAAGATCGTTATGCCATTAAACAAGGTAAACAAATGAAGTTGTTTTCCTTGAAATTTTTGCAATGTTTCAAACATAACAATGGCAACAGCATCGTTCAAGATACTCTCACCAAAAATAATGGTGTAGAGTTTTTGATCTACTTTATAAGAATTGAAAATCGCAAGAACGGTGACAGGATCGGTGGCCGACAAAGTAGCACCCATGGAGAGTGCTTCTACAAAGGACATGTGAAAGTTTTCAAAATTTAAGAATGAGAATATATAGACGAGAATTCCCAAGGTTACGGCAGATATAAATGTTCCAGCAAAAGCAAAAGTAAGAATCGTTCCAATATTTCGGAAGAAATTCGACTTCTAGAGTTAGTAATATGAACAAAAATAATTTCAATAGTAGCGAATAATTTCTCGGAAGAAACGTACCTGATGCAGTTCATATCCCGAATTGAGAATAATAGGCGGAAGTAAGACGTTGAAAAAATACGTAGAATGAAAGGAAACCATATTTTGAATAATCAATCCAGGAGAAACCCGAATGATCAAACCGACAACCATACCGACAAAGACAGAAATGACCGTTTCATGAATGGCTCGAATTTTTTTTGATTGAACGTAATAACTTGTTAAAAGTGCACCAATTAGGAGAATAAGAAGAATGAATAAAGCCCAGCTTGAATACAGTTCTTGCAAAGCTGGATCTTGATCATCATCCTCATCGCCATCAGCTCGCCGAACAACTACAGGCGTTAGATTTAGCTCGACCAAAGTAATAGTTTAGTTTCCAAAAACAAACAAAAGTTATAGACAGCCACTTCCAGGAGCCTGATGAATGTATATACTCATTCAGTTGAAGCTTGACTACCAGAACTCATGTTTTATACTCACCATTAATTAGAGAAGTAACGTCCATGAGAGGAAAAGAGTTAATTTAAGCGTAGTAATACTTTTTCGAATACGGATTTTGGCAGCTATGAAACCACAATTGTCTGTTTTCCCTCAAGATTTTTAAGAAGGCCCTTAAATTAATACAAGCTATAAAATGGAGCCACTTTCATCAATTAGTACAAATATGTACAAAAGATCGAAAGGAAATTATGATAACAATTCTTCGTATAAAGCTTCACTGTTCACGAACATACCTGTTACCTGTACCTTGTTACTTTGTCCTTGTTGAGCGTAGTCTTTCTAATTGCTCGAATTCAAAATTCAAGATCCTTTGCAATTGAGGTATGATAAGATTTTAAATTAGTATTGCATTTTCAATCCTATAGTTTTATGTTATTTAATGACAGTGATAAATGGTTCATGTAGCAATTTCATTGTACACTATTTTTGACTAATCTCATTCAAAGTGCAGGACACATAAGAAGGTCTCTACGAACTTCCCTTTCGCAAGGCGCAGTATTGTGTAGTAAAAAATTCATTTGAATTTGACTTTCCATATATGCTTTCGCATCTTGAACTTGATGCTACCGAGAGCGAGGTTATTGAAGTCTGAAAGACGTGTTCACCAAAAATAAAAGGAGGGGATAAACACACGTCTTACTATACCAAGAAAGAATGTAATCATAATAAGGCAATACAAGACCTATTTAAGGGAAATTTGAAGAAACCAGCTCCATCGTTGCTTGGCACAAGCGTTTTACAATCATAATCTCTTAAAAACCAATCGACACGAACACCATTGGTTGATTTCTATAATTTACATAATACATTGAAAGTAACTTAAAATGTTTCCTAGCAGTACGACCGTAATATTCTCTTGCCATTGCTTGTAAGTTTTTCAGAACCTAGCACAGCCCAAACGCGCATAGATATTCAGATCTGAGGATTCCAAACTTTTCAATTTTTTTATTGTAACCATCCGAAAAGCTGCAATATTAAATTAAAAACCGCTAAAAGGGCGAGAGAAGGACGGACGTATCAATTGTCGAAGAATAAAGAAACTTGCCGTTGCTCAATATAGATTCAACATAGCTATGAGATTTAGCAGCGCAAAATAGTCTTTTAAAAAAATTAAAAAATAAAAAAAGAAACAGATTAGTTGGAAGACTGTATGCTGTGAAAAGGGAGGGGTGAATACTTTAATGATAGGAGACAAAAAGGAATAGGTATTGGCATATGTGAGGTTTAAAGAACTTCCAAAATGATAAACAATGGAATGCAAACGATTAGGTCGCATTTCGACCTTTCTGCGATTGTTTGTCGTCAATAACCACGATGGAAGAGGTCCATTCAGATTTGGTATTTTCCTCTTGAGTGTCAGGTTGAGAACCTAGATAAGGATTCTGCATAGCTGGACAAGGAAGCAAAGAAGGAAGTACAACAGTTGCTGTAGCAAAGAGTGCAGTGGTTCCAAATAGCAGGTTTACCAGCGACCGACGCTGGGATGCTCTGAGTGTACGAAACATAGAGAAAAGTATAACAAGAAGAATTATGAGTCGTGTTAATAAAGATAATTCATTTCCGAAAATGGAAACCAAGAAAAACAAGAGAAATCGGTGGAAGGCAGACAAATACAAGACCTCAACGTCTGCCTTTCACAGGAAGAAGGAGAGAACCAATAAGAGAGGTAGGAATCATTAAGAACCAAAACCCTGGTCAAAAACAAGCATAAAATTTTTTTCCAATGATAAAAGTTATATCATCTAAAAAAGCATTTTTATCATGCTTTTTTTGGACCTTTGCATAATTGAACTTTCACGTTGCAATACCATTTTATGCCCTTATCCCTTTATGATAAATTGTTTAATTATAAGCATATATACTGTTTTGCGAAGCATATACCACATAATTTTATATAATCATATGACAGTAAGATACTGTATAATAATTGTTGTGTAATATAGGAGCATATGTTGAACAAATATTGGAGATATGCTTATATATATACATATGCTTATACAATGAGAGTAAGTCAAATTTGCATCTAATCATCTAATTTTACAGCAAGTTAGTATATTATTTTTCTGTTTTCACTCTTTTACATAAATAAAAATAAATAAAAAGTATCCTAGGAAAGTAGATGTCGTGTCGAATATTCATTTGATTCACCATGAGATCATTCACGACCATTTCATCCTTATTCGGTATGACAAAAAGTTCCATTTGCTTCACTAGTAGTTCTCTTAAATTATTACCCTAAAACTAACTGGTTTAATTCTTTCCTACTCCACATTGTTAGGCCTGCTTCTTTCATACTTATACATAGTCAAACATTATCATGCCTGGAAAGCCTGCAATTTCCGTAAGTAAAACGAAATAGAAAATATAATGGGATTTTCCTTCCAAAGGAATACTGACAGTGAAACGGAAAAGCCGACATTATATATTTTTGAAAATCAAAAACGCAATGTCATAGTCTTTGAAATTTTGCACTAACACTATTCTAGTTGCTCAGCGCATCTGTTGCTAAAGCTCTTGACGGGGAGCTTATGTCGACTGGTGCCTTTTCGGTAGATCAGTAAGTCTGAAAGTGTTTGAGGAAATATTACGTTAAATCACTAACCTTTACTTTTTCTTTTAGGCTTATGGAATTGGCTGGCTTGTCGGTTTCACAAGTTGTATACCGTGAATATCCCAGCTCTAGCCATGCCAAAGTGCTAGTATGCTGTGGTCCTGGAAACAACGGAGGCGATGGTTTAGTAGCTGCTCGACATCTCTGGCAGTACGGCTATCAACCCACAGTTTACTACCCAAAACCATCGTCACCAGACCTTTACAAGAGATTGTGCAAGCAGCTTGAAGACCTCGACATACCCATCCATACTACCCATACTTCTGATTTGTTTCATCAACTTCTCAAGCAATCCAATCTCATAGTGGATTCTTTATTTGGATTCAGTTTTAAGGGACCTGTTCGGGAACCCTTTGGTGAGATTCTCTCTGCCATCGTCGATTCTAAACTTCATGTAGTCTCTGTCGATGCCCCGTCCTCTTGGGGTAAGTTTCAAACATGATAATATCCAACTTCTAACCAATGTAGAAATTGATGAAGGACCTCAAAAGGAAGGTCCTTTAAAAAATTTTAATCCAAATGTCTTGATTTCGCTTACAGCCCCCAAGCCTTGTTGCAATTTCTATAAGGGAAAGCATTATCTTGGTGGTAGATTCGTGAGCAAGGCCATTAAGGAAAAGTATCACTTGCAATTACCTCCTTATCCCGGAATGGACCAGATTGTCGATATTACAGATCAGCCTTTAGCTACAGTATGAACTGTTTCTGCTTTAGGATAACTCTTTCATTTCATACTTAGCAAAGTTATCCCTGTTTATGATTTTTATGCATATGAAATATTAAAATTTAATAAAGTGTTTGTTTTTACATCAAGATACCTCTTTTGTAACCATAAAAAGTCTGCTCCAGTGTAAGATTTTTTCTTCCATTCATTACAACAATCAATACTAGAGGATTAGAATAATTTCACTTTATTTTTTTTTTCTAGTAAAAATATAAAAAAAAGCCAGCCAACAGCATATTTCTTGAGCTTTTCCAAATCCCTCGTATTACTGTCATAGCTGTATTAGAACGTGCAGGCAACCACTACGTGGCCATTTACTGAAAGTTTTAAATAACCCGTTTGGTGTTTCTTTTTACGTCTTAATCTTTTGTTTTCTAATTTCTGATTTAGATTCAAGAGATTTTTGACGCAGTTATTCCTGGAAGAAATTTTTTTTCTTTTTTTCTGTGCCCGCCCATTCCCCGTTTTGGAAATCTCAGATCTTAGTAAGCAAGAGCTACTACTGAGATTCTTTTTTAACGTTACTTATTTTACTCTTTCCTTATCAACATTTCGAAGAAACGTGTATTTGAGAATATGACTGATCCTTCCAACCGTGAGGAATTGTTCCCTGAAATTGGTACGGCCGCCCAGAATCTTTCCGGCGCCGATACTCAAGAGACCGGAGTACAAGAAGTAGAGTCTTTGTGTATGCAGTGCCATGAAAATGGTACCACCAAACTTTTCTTGACAGTCATCCCTTACTTTCGAGAAATCATTTTAACCTCTTTTGAATGCCCTCACTGCGGTTTCAAGAATGCTCAGGTTCAACATGCTGAGACCGTTCAGCCTGAAGGTTCTAGTTTCACTCTAAAAGTTACCGAAAAGGATGACCTCAATCGTACAATTGTCAAGAGCAACGAAGCTGTCATCCGTATTCCTGAGCTTCAATTAGAAATTCCTGGACGTCTTGGCCAATTGACCACCATTGAAGGTGTTTTAAGCAACATCCATGATGACTTGTCTAAAGATCAAGAGGCTCGTAAAGAATCCATGCCTGAAGTGTATCAACAGATTTCTCAATTTTTGGAACGTGTTCTTCAACTTCGCGAAGGGGAAGCTCATTTCACATTTATCCTTGATGATGTTACAGGTAATAGCTGGGTCGAAATGAGACCTGGTAAAGATGGTAATCGCTGGACTCAAGTTAAGTACAAGCGTACTCTCGAACAAAATCACAAATTGGGTCTCGTCAACACAGAGGAGAATCCTGAAACCAAGGAAAAGACGGGTGGACCTGCTACTCTAGCTCACGATGCTACTGCCGTAGAAGTTGATCCCACCGAAGTTCACACTTTCCATTCTACTTGCCCGTCTTGCTCCCACCCTTGTGATACTCACATGAAACTTTTAGATATTCCCCATTTCAAGGAAGTGATTATTATGTCTACTGTTTGCGACCATTGTGGTTATCGTTCTAACGAAGTCAAAACCGGCGGTGCAATCCCCGAGAAGGGCCGTAAGATCACTCTGAAGGTCATGGATGCTGAGGATCTTTCTCGTGATATTCTCAAGTCTGAAACAGCTTCTTTGCAAATCGCTGAACTAGGTTTAGACTTGTATCCTGGTACCTTAGGTGGCAGATTCACTACCCTTGAGGGAATTCTCACTCAAATTTATGACGAGCTTTATGGCCGTGTTTTCTCTCAACAAAGTGACTCCATGACCCCTGAGCAAATTGCAAACTGGCAACAATTTCTCAGCAATTTGACGAATGCCAAGGAAGTTGGTACTCAATTCACCGTTGTTTTGGATGATCCTTTGGCTCAAAGCTATCTTCAAAACTTCTATGCACCTGATCCTGATCCCAACATGATAATCGAAGAGTACGAGCGAACTTTCGAAACGAATGAAGATCTTGGTCTTAATGATATGAAAACTGAAAATTACCAACAGCCTACTGTTGATGCAAAGAAAGAATAAACGGTTAGTCTCGCGAGTTTTCAGGCTTTTTTGAATTATTATAATTACGGGTTTCGGAATTTTATGCATATTTGCTAGGTTTATAAAATAGTGCTTTAATAATTTGCCTATTCAGGAGGTATTGTAGCCGTTTGATTTCTAAGTGTATTCTCCCTCAAACAAACCCTTGATCCAACAACTGTATAATTGATTACAATTCTTTACTTCAATTAGTAGCATTCTTACATTATGTTCATTTGTATCTTATTCTAGTAACTTTTTCTTCTATTCCATAGTAACTTTTAATAAAGTATCGCTGCATTTCATAATCCCGTGTTTATACGCGACATAATTTAATTATACTTTCTCTCTGCCAGCACTCATTGAAACATAAACAACACACATTTTCTGTCTTTGGTACATTGTCTCTCTTTTTTTACACCTTATTTTTACTTGAATTAAAAATCATTTTGATTGATGATTCAAGACCCTACAAATAAGCCCCGTCTCGATGCATTACCATCTAGAAACAAGGAAAATGCTCCTGGAAAACTATTCAAAAAATTCAAGTGTCCATCTTTAATAATTTCTGAAAAAAGGAAGGAATTGCCTTTAAGAAAACGACCTAGGATTAACTATAATGAATATGGATCTAGCGGTAATCAGAATGATTCTGCCTACATAACAGAAGAGAGAGCTGGCTTAGCAGCTATTAAAGAAGCAAATCACATTATCCTTTCACAAGGAAGGAAAGATCCGGGCACAGTCATAAAAAAGCAATTTACTGTACCGAAACCGGTCAAAGGACATGAGGACTTGTCCAAAATTAGTTTCAATCGTCCCCCGCCTACTTTAGGAATGAAGAAAAGAGCAGAATTTATTCCTAGACCGCTTTATGATCCAGCTGATGAATTTGCAATTGTTTTATATGATCCTACAACTGATGATCATGAAGAAATTCCCGATATCAAAGAATTTTTGGCTGAAAAACGAAAAAACGAGCTAGAAGCGAAGTCAAAAAAAGGAAAAAAACAAATAATTGAAAATCAATCGGATACTGAAGAAGAAGAAGTTAATGAAAGTAATGATTCCACCGAATCTTATAGCCAAGATAATCTCGAAAAATCTAATGAGTCAGACTCGACAACAACCGGTAAAGGGAAATACAGAAGGCAGAACAAAAGCCTAAAAGACTTACTTGGCATTCAGAAAGAAAAGCCACCACCACCACCTGTACCCGTTGTAATCGATCCGAAGTTAACCCGCATTTTACGTCCACATCAAATCGAAGGTGTTAAATTTTTATACAAATGTGTTACAGGACGTATCGATCGTGGCGCTAGTGGCTGTATAATGGCAGATGAGATGGGTCTCGGTAAAACTTTGCAATGTATTGCTTTGTTATGGACTTTATTGAAGCAGTCCCCCCAAGCTGGAAAACCGACTATTGAAAAAGCAATCATAACTTGCCCATCGTCTTTGGTAAAAAATTGGGCCAATGAATTAGTAAAATGGTTAGGAAAAGATGCGATCACACCTTTTATTGTTGATGGTAAAAGCTCTAAGCAAGAATTAACAGTAGCTTTGCAACAGTGGGCTCAAGTACGTGGTCGCCAGGTTACTCGACCAGTTCTAATATCCAGTTACGAAACGCTTAGAGGTTATGTTGATTGCTTAAAAAACACAGAAATTGGCGTATTATTGTGTGATGAAGGACATAGACTAAAGAATAGTGACTCCTTGACGTTTACTGCATTGGACAAGTTAAATGTCCAAAGAAGAATTATCCTTTCCGGTACTCCTATTCAGAACGATCTTAGTGAATACTTTTCTTTGTTGAATTTTGCCAACCCAGGCCTTTTAGGTTCACGACCAGAGTTTCGAAGAAATTATGAAATCCCCATCTTACGTGGACGTGATGCTGACGGCTCAGACAAGGATAAAGTTACCGGAGATGAAAAGTTAGCTGAATTGGCAAAAATTGTGAATCGGTTTATTATCCGTCGTACGAACGACATTCTTTCTAAATACCTTCCAATTAAGTACGAGCACGTAGTTTTCTGTGGTCTATCTGACTTTCAAATGAAGCTTTATAACCACTTTATTACGTCTCCAGAGATCAACAAAATTATTAAAGGAACTGGCAGTCAACCATTGAAGGCGATTGGTATATTAAAGAAGTTGTGTAATCATCCTGATTTGTTAAACATTTCGGAAGATTTAGAAGGCTGCGAGTCGTTGTATCCTACCGGCTTTACTCCGCGTGAACTTCGTGGTCGTGATCGTAGTATCGATTCTTCTCTTTCTGGAAAAATGTTGGTTTTGGAAAGAATGCTTTCTCAAATCAAACGAGAAACAGACGACAAAATAGTGTTGATTAGCAATTATACGTCGACGTTAGATTTATTTGAGCAGCTCTGTCGGGTGCGAGGTTATAAAGCGTTGCGTCTGGATGGTACAATGAATGTCAACAAACGTCAGAAACTTGTCGATCATTTCAATGACCCAGAAAAAGATGCATTTATCTTCCTTTTGTCTTCCAAAGCAGGTGGTTGTGGTATCAACCTTATTGGGGCCAATAGGTTAATTTTATTTGACCCAGATTGGAATCCAGCTGCTGATCAGCAAGCCCTCGCAAGAGTTTGGCGTGATGGGCAAAAGAAAGATTGTTTCGTCTATCGCTTTATCGCAACAGGAACAATTGAAGAAAAGATTTTCCAACGTCAGTCTCATAAACAATCCCTGTCATCTTGTGTTGTCGATGAAGCTCAAGACGTTGAACGTCATTTTTCTTTAGATAATCTTCGCCATTTGTTTCAGCTTAATGAAAACACAGTTTGTGAAACCCACGAAACATTCAAGTGCAAACGCTGTCGAAACGGTAAACAATTTATTCGGGCTCCTGCAATGCTATATGGTGACACAAGTACCTGGAACCACTTTACTAATCAGACTCTCGAGAAAATTGAGGATCACTTATTAAAGCGAGAATCTGGTAAGGAACAAGTTACTACTGTATTTCAGTACAAATCTCACTAGCTTTGTCTGTTTCTATTGGATTTTCTTTCTCCAACTTCTCCTGTACAAGTTTTAATCACTCATGTTCTATCTTTCTTTGATTTTAATGGTATTAATGGAATAAAGGGTTTACCTAAGTTTTTTTAATTATTTGCAACACTTAAGTGATTGCTTTATTTATAACTGAATTTTATACTAGATGATTTTTTTAATCTAATACACTTTTTAATACATGTCTTATGTAATTAAGTCAAGCTTACACTGAAAGTTCTGCTATAAAAGAGAAAGGCTTTAATCAAACTAATCGACTGAATATCTTTTGAATTTATTATTTTGTATATATACTATGCACATTATCTTCGTAAAATAAAGTAAACAGGAAAATTCGAACCTTTGAAAATATTGCACTCAAATAGATATATAAAGGCATCTTTTTTACTTAACTTCAACATATAGCTACTCATAGGCAAACTGCACTTTTCAAGTGTGCTTTTTGTCACTCTAATAGCTTATATTGATGATGCTTTTGTTTCTATGAAAACATGGAGAATAATTCGTGTATCAGAAACAAAAGCAAACATAACCAATTATGTAGCTTGAATTATAATATAGCATTTAGAAGAGTTTAAGCAAATTTATTCAAGTGAAATTTTTATGGAGATGTACATATTTTTCGTAGCAATGTAATAATCATCGACAAAATAAGAAGAAAGTCAAGTTTTAGACTATGATACAGTAATTTACAAGAATTAAAGGTCCTGTCCGTATACTCATCACCAACAAGAATTATGGCCTACAATCATCAAAGTTCAGTTTAACGATGAATGAATGTGCTTATAATTTTAACAAGCAAATGGTCGGCAAAGATCGTTGCGTGAGGAGGTGAAAGGTGGAACACCTAAGAGTAATGTAAGTCAAACAAGGAGAATAAAGATATTAAACCCTTAACCAATGGACATATACAACGTGAATGCTTAGTCACATCAAAAACGTTTGTATTAATCTTTACTTAAAGCCTTTGCAGTGCCGATAGCACCTTGCTTTTGCTGATAAGAAGGCGTAGGACCGGACTTTCGAACACTTTTCACAACATCATCACTAGCGAAACCAGGTAAACGGATATTCCAGTTTCTCTCCAAGTGAAGTTGGACATCTTTCATATCCAACGTATCAGATTTACGATGTTTTGCTAGACGACAAGCGAAATTCGTTACCGACTCAACAAATTCATCAGCAATTTCAAGCAACAACTCTTCCACCTCAGGTTCTAAATGCTTCTCAGAATCAATCTGTTGCAATAAGTCATTTAGCTTTCTCTTAGACAAAAGACGATTTCCATTGTCTAATTCATAATGAGGAGCACGAGCAAGACCCGGGGTACTGAGACCCACATTTCCAGAAGCATAGCCACCAGTTAAGGTTGCACGTCCAGGTGGCATAGCAAATGGGACAGGAGACTTCGCATCAAGTTTCCCTAAATGATTATTGGTCATGAAAGAAGAGTTTTGCATTTTGCTATCCATGCTCCCAGCCTGCTGAGGAGTGGAGGAACCAGCGTCTGCACCTTCTACATTCAGGTTATTTACTACGTTAGAATCATTAACTGCTGCACTTCCAATTGGGTTATCAAATGGTGTTTTTTGCTGATTCGCGTTTGGCTGAGACTGAGATCGCTGCAACTGAGGAGTACTAGCTGCACTTCTAGCATCAGCACCTAAAGCACCGTTAGGGGTAACTGAACCGCTATTGTTTACCGTTCCCGATAATTGACGGTTCTGTAATTGTTGATTCTGTAATTGTTGGATAGAACGGATTCCGTTGGAAATTGCAGCCGTGTATTGAGCAATCTTAACAGTTAATTCAGATTCTTGTTTCACCAATGTTTCACGAGTTGTAGAGTCAAGGTTTTCGTTTGTTGTTAGTTCCTTCTTAATTCTTTCATGTGTTTCCTTCATCTCCGTCAAATAATTTTGAGCAGTTTGAAGTTGTCTATGTCGAACAACTAGCATTGTTTGTTCTTGAGGACTCAACTGATGTCGGGAACGAGGTGGGACAGCAGTTGGCTCCGGAGTACGCTGTGGAAACGATCCATTAGTTTGTAACTGTTGTAAAAGTTGCTGGTTTGGCAATTGCCCCGATTGCGCATGTGCTTGAAGCTGACGGCGAATAGCTTGTGCCTGTAACAAATATACTTGGCCTTGAGGCGTATTTAATCCCAAATTTTGAGCATTTTGTTGATAAATAGACATGGTATGTAATAAATTCGTAAGTTGGTTTGCCCGTTGTTGATTCAAAGCTGCCTGATTTACAGAACCACTTGCTGGGCGTTGAACTGGCGTTCCTGGTCCAGAATGTTGCCCATTCATTTTGATTGAATAACAAAAAAAATTAAGAAATACCCTAACTCTTTTTTTCAGTAAGTGGAGCTTTCACTGGCTATTCCAAAATTTGCAGTCGACAAGTGGAATATGGCATGCGTAGTAGGGAAGAGGTATCGTTCAGCCAGACAAGCAAACGAAAAAACCAGAAGTATTTTACTGAAAATGAATGGATAAAAAAATAACTTAAAAAAGGTTGACAATTTTTAATGCTAACCCTCTTCGCAGACAATAGTAGAGATTACATTTAGTAATAAAAAAGGTAAAGATGTCTAAGTACACAGAAATAAAAGTAATAAGAACTATAAATTATTTATCTAAGTTAAACTAAAAAGGATTATTCCTTCTTGGTTTATGTCTCATCATCCAATATGTTTTCTTGTGAATGCCACATAGAGGCATAAATGCCATTTCTTCCTAATAGCTCTTCATGAGTTCCTTGTTCAACCACTTGTCCTTCCTTAAGGACATATATAATGTCACAATTCTTTATAGTTCTAAGTCGATGAGCTATAAAGATACTTGTTTTTCTTGACTTCTGGATTAGTGAGTTGACATTTTGAAGGAGCTCTTTCTCAGTTGAGGTATCAAGTGCAGAGGTAGCTTCGTCAAAGAATAGGATTTCTGGATTTTTCAGCAATAGTCGGGAAATAGCTAATCTTTGCTTTTCTCCTCCTGATATCATCAATCCTCGCTCACCTACCTTTGTCTCGTAACCATCTGGAAAGCTTTGTATGATGTGATGTATCTGAGCTTGCTTTGCTGCTTGTATAATTTCTTCTTTCGAAGCTTTCGGGTTTCCATAACCTATATTATACATGATTGTATCATTGAATAAAGGTGTGTCTTGTGGAACTACCCCAACTGCATCTCTTAAGGATTTAAGCGTAATTGAAGTTAATGGTTGCCCGTCAATCATTATTTTACCGGAATCGGCATCATAAAAGCGAAATAAAAGCCGCAATAATGTTGATTTTCCGCATCCGCTGGGACCGACAAATGCCACCTTGTTGCCAGCTGGGATATTGAATGAACAGTTTTTCAGTATCGGACGGCTGGGATTATATGCAAAGGAAACATCATTAAATTGTATAGAACCCCCCTTCATGACTAAGTCTCTTGCGTTTGGGGCGTCTTTCACCTGTATATTAATTTGTTTTAAAGAAAACAAATGCTCCATATCCGTAAAAGCTTGGCGCATTTCACGGTAAACCGAGCCTAGGAAATTTAGAGGGATTGATAACTGGAATACTAATTGATTGATCATAACTAAATCACCAACACTTAAGTTTGATGAGACGATTCCTCGGCATCCCATCCACATCATCAAAGTAAGAGCGGTCGAAAATATAATTGCCTGTCCACTATTCAAAAAGGCTAATGATGATGCAACACGAATATTAGCTTTTTCGAATGCGGAGAGATGTTTGGAATAGCGGCTTAATTCGTAGGGTTCGTTGTTGAACGTCTTGACAGCTTCATAATTTATGAGGGATTCTATAGCGACAGCGGAAGCCTTGTTGTCGGCCGCGTTTGCTTCACGTCGAAATGCCGTTCGCCACGAGGTTGTTTTCACGGTGAATAGAGAATACAACCCAACTGTAGCTGCTGCAATACCAGCAAAGGATACACCATATTTGTAAGTTAAAATAGCACTTACCATACCAATTTCCAGAGTAATGGGGATGATGTGTAGGACAAGCGAAGATAAAACGAAGCTAATTCCTTTAGTACCTCGATCCATGGCTCGAGTCAAACTTCCTGTTTGTTTCGACAGATGAAAATTCATGTCCAAATTTAGCAAATGTTGATAAACGTTGCTGGAAACACTTTTAATCGCACTTTGAGATACCGAAGCAAACACACTATTTCTTAACTCCTGAAATACTGTTGCAAAAATCCTAGCCAATCCATAACCAACAACTACAGCACCAACTGAGGTCCAAAGTGCACCCAGTTCGTTGACAACCGTTGTATTCATAGTGTCGATTATAGATTTAAAATAAAATGGGACTTGGACATTGAATACTTTTGCGGCAACAAGAAGGACCAACGCCGAAATTACTCGAATTTTGAGATTCAGTTTACCTTTCGGCCAGACATATTGAATCATGTCTTTAACTATCACCCAGCTCGTCACGTCAGTATCTTTCTTGCTTGACGCTGAATTTACCTTCTGCAGGCCATTTTTTATCTTTTCATCCTTTTGTGATGCTTTGAAAAATTGCTTTTCGGCTTCTACAGGCTTTGTACTTTTTTGTGCTTCCCTAAGAAATGAAACTGTGGAAAACCTCAGACTGGAAATATTGCTCAGGATGGCATGTTTTTTCGGAGCTAATAAATGCTTTGTAGGATAACGGCCATTGCTGTATATCATGCGTGAAGGGATTTCATTAATAGATCGTGACAAGGGTCTTAAAATAGCTGGACGCAGCATTTTCCAGAGCAGATTAGCTGTTCTAAAGTAGTAATAAATAATAAAAACTCAATTGGATTTTTGAGCTTAATATTCCCTCTAGGATATCTCTGGAACAAGAGCTGATTAAATGAACTTCAGGAGTATGTACGGATAAATAAAAAACAATTTTTTGAATCTTCTGCCACTATACCTTTTTTTTGTTTTTCTTTTTTAATAATACACTCCAACGTTGATATCTGAACAAGACTTCTGTATAGGGAAATCTTGTCGTATAGGAGTGAAAGTAAAGGTAAGTTAAATAGTAAGCAAAATGCTTATTCCAAAAAAGTAATTCAAGTTGAACCTCCCGCTTTACTTTCGGAAGCTTTTTTCTGAAAATATACGTCAAGAAAAGCAACTGAGGAAGTGGTAGTAGTCCTGGTTCAAAGACCACTTCGTGATTACGTTAGAAGACTCGTTTTATTGAGAGTTTTCAACTACTAAGGCTACTGTATTATTCATCAAAATCAGGGTAAATCTATACATAATAAATTCCTAAATACAAGCGATAACCGAGTTTCGAGTGCAGTACGGTTTACGTACTTTGGCTAAATCCTATGCCTTACGGAGGAAGTCAAAATCAATAAAATTTGTTCTATCTTTTCTTAAAAGAAAAAAAATATAAAAAGGACAGGTATAGCAATAAAGGGAAAAGGAATGGCAGATTTTATTAGGCATTTAAATTCTATAAGCGCGTCTTCTGAAAAACTGGTCGAAAGTGAGCAGAAACCGGAAACGAGGTTCACGGATGCATTACTTCATTCAAATTCAATTATAGATTTGATTCGAGACGCTGAGAAAGAAGAGCTAATTACAACAGAAGCTGCATCTTTGCCAAAAGGGATCCAGGAGAAGTATAATTCAGAGAGCCCTGCAGATCAGGTTGCGTGTATTGAAGAACTGTTGGATATTTATCCCATGCAAGGCGGGCGTGAGTACTTGGAAGCTTTAGTCGAGAAATACAACACGCATATGACCGCACTAGAGAACCTGGAGACAGCACTGGTAGAACAGAAAGACAGACTACAATTATTTGACCAGAGACAGAAAGATCAAGTATCCGCAAGAGAAAACATCTTACAGCGCGAAAATTCCGAAATACAAAGACTAGAGAACGAGATTGATAAAGCAAAATTGGAGTTGGAGAAATACCCTTAGGTTTCGATTCGTGTGATTTTACTTTTTACAAGTTACTCCTATATATAAAAAATTATTCAGAAACTCTGTAGCTCTATATAGGAAAATGAAAAACGACGAATATCCTAATGAAAGTGAGAATATTTGTCCAGAATTCTCAGAACCCTTTCAAGAAGAAAAGCTGCTTCCATTACAAATGCATCCCAATTTTCAATTGAGAGAGGTACATGAAGCGTCGACGATACAAGCGAAAGCAGACCCTTTAAATTTCAGTCAACAAAACAACATCCGAAAAAGGAAGAAAAAGCCTTCCTACTTCGATGTTGGCTTGTTTAAGACTCAATTAAAAAATACGATATCACATTCGTTACGCCATAAGGGAATGAATTCACAGAAACGAGCGATTACTGAATTGAAAGAATTTGAGAAAAAGGATGCCATAAAAAACAGGAAGCAAAGACGCTTTGATATGGAAGTGCTCCTTCGAAGCTATCAACAAGAGACGTCTGAGGGAAGAGCCAAGAACAAAACATGACAGATGCTGATTACAATGTTATTTATACAGTATTATCTAACCAACAGGAGTTACATACTTTACTTAGTAAAAAAAATGTCGGAATATATAGGTTTGCATTATTCTACAGTGACTCGACCCAAGTAAATAAAAATGACAGCAACATTAGAAAAGGAAAGATCAGCGAATGAACGTGCTCTCTGATATTACTTAGCCAACCCACTGACTGTGAAATATTTGTTTGTTTATTTTTGTTATGAACCATGGTTCTATAGGAGAGACTCGAAAATGATTCCAGCTATTCGTAAAATAACCCCTTTGAAAGACACAATCATCCTGAGAAGAGGAATAAACAAAGATTACGTTTCATTGAAACTCTATTTTCAGTTTACTAGTTTCCTGAGAAATCACTGCAGTCATGTAGAACATATGTTACTTGAGTTTGTTTACATCTGAATGCCGGAATTAGTATAAAAGGCAAAGGGATTCCAACCCTTTGACCGGTTCATACTCATCATAACCAAGAGGAAAACCAAGTTTTTCCATACTTTTACTAAAAATGTCTCAGCCTACTCGTGTATTAACCGCTGATGATGGTTTAATTGACGAGAAGCTTGCTCAAGGCATTGCCCAGTACTTACCTCCTAGGTGTGCTGCTGCCGAAGTATGGAAAAGGTTATATTCCCTTCAGCATGACGGAGCATCTCTTCATACTATGTATCAGAATTGTATGAAACAGAAGGAAGAATCCGGAAACCCTAAGGGTGCTTGTCTTCTGGTTGCAAAGGATGTACATGATAATGTCTTTGGAGCATTCGTAGATGAGTACCTTTGCCCACGCCCTCATTATGTTGGCTCTAATGAATCCTTTTTGTGGAAATGCTTTTCTGATAATAACAGACTCCGTGCCTTCCCGTGTGTTGGAGATTCAAATTTTGTAATCTACTGCACGAGAAGTTTTATTGCTTTAGGAGGTGGCAACGGTCGCTACAGCCTTTGGATTAATGGAACTATGGAATATGGCTACTCGGATAAGACTCCTGCTTTTAATAACTCTCCCTTGAGTCATCGCAGTTGCCAAAATCAGAGAATCTGGATAGTGGATGTCGAACTTTGGTGCATAGAGTAAATCTGTTTTCTTTCTTGTTTTGCAATTGTGCGTATTTCTAGAACTATACCTGAAGGATCCGGCGCTGACGAAAGAATAGTTACAGTATAACCTTGTAACATGGAATATTTTATTACTTGAAATTCTTTTTCTAGTATGCTTATTCTCTAATGGGTGCTCTTTCGATCAACAGGACTAACTTCCTTTTTTTTTCCCCTCATTTGAAACTTTTATGAGTTTCATAAAAGGAAGCTATAGTTTTAAGGGTTCTTGGGATTGCTGTAAGGTTGTCGATTTTTTATTTACATTGTCTGCTATATTTCTTTGGTTTTTCTTTTTTTTTATTGGAAATTCGCGTAGTCGTCCATAAATAATCATGATGGTATGCATCTATGTTTTTTTTAAATTGGCGTAAAAAATGTTCTTTTCAAGATTGAAGCAATCAACTTTCGTAGAAATATTTGTTATTGCTCAGTAGAGGAAGAGTATATAAGCTTTGTATTATGAAAAGTTTTTCTTACAAACATTAAACAAGAATTATATAGGCTTTCGTACAATTATTGATGTTTGTTTACTACATAGTGATGCTGAATGTAGCTTCTTAAAGAAATGGGAACTAGTTAAAGAAGCCTGGCTAAAACCAAAATTTCGTCAAAATGGCTCCGTCTTCAAAAGGACTCAATGGCAAGTTAGAAAAGCCGAAAAGTGCTTTACAAGGTACGTCTACATCTGTTTTATTTGTCAAATCACTGACCATCAGCAATTGTATTGTCGGATTCCTATAACTATCGGTTTCGTCCTTTAACATTGGATAAGCCAAGAGTAAGTCAAAGTGCTGTAAAATTTAGTAGCTTACATATTTCAGTGCCTTCTTCCATTGGCAAATACTCCTTTAATTGAGTATACATTTGAATTTTTGGCCCTAGCTGGTGTACAAGAGGTTTACGTTTTTTGTTGCGCTCATGCTGATCAGATTCGTGCATATATTGAGTATGTACTAGTTTTGAATAACATTCGATCTAACCCTTCAGAAATTCCAAGTGGAACTTGGCTTCCTCTCCCTTTAGTGTTCACACGATTGTCTCTCGGGAATCTCTATCTGTTGGTGATGCACTTCGCGAGTTAGACTCTAAACAATTAATCACTTCTGACTTTATCCTAGTTTCGGGTGATGTAGTTTCCAACATACCTCTAAAGGACGTTTTGGAAGAACATCGAGCTAGAAGGGAAGTTGACAAAAATGCGATCATGACAATGGTTGTCCGTGAAGCTAGTCCCCACCATAGGACTAGAGCAAGCACAGAAAGCTCTGTTTTCGTTATTGACAAGAAAACAAGTCAGTGTGTTCACTACCAAGCTAATGAGCGTGGAAAACACTATGTCTCAATGGACCCAGAGATTTTTAACGAGCATGAAGAACTTGAAATTCGAAACGATTTAATTGACTGTCAAATTGATATTTGCTCCAACGATGTTCCTGCTCTTTTCACTGAAAATTTTGACTACCAAGACATTCGGAAAGATTTTGTCTATGGCGTCTTGACCTCTGATTTACTTGGTAAGAGTATCCATTGTCATGTAGCCAAAGAAAACTATGCTGCTCGTGTTCGCAGTTTACAAACTTATGATGCTATAAGTAAAGACGTTATTTCTCGTTGGGTGTATCCCTTCGTTCCTGATAGCAATTTATTGAATCAAAGCTTTACATACCAACGTTATCAGATTTACAAAGAAGATGATGTTGTTTTGGCTCGCTCTTGTGAAATTAAAGCTTGTACACTCATAGGTGCCTTTACCAAAGTTGGTGATGCATCAATCGTTGCAAATACGGTGATCGGAAGAAACTGCATAATTGGAAACAATAGCAATATCGATGGTGCTTTCCTTTGGGAGAACGTAAAAGTCGGCGACAATTGCAAAATTGGAAAAGCTATCATTGCAAATGATGTACAGATCGGTCATAATTGTACTATCGAAGATGGTGCTATCCTTGCTGCCGGTGTTATTATTGGCGACAACGTTAGTGTTACTGAAAACTTGCGTTTAACTCTTCATGAAAGCCACTCACAAGGAATACCTAATGACGATGCGTTGGTAGGAGAAGGTGGTTTGGGTCAAGAATACCATGCAGAAGCCGAATCTGAAGATGAAGAGGAACTTATGGAGGCTTCTGGTCTCATACATCGTGTGGAAGATCTTAATCTTTCTGACTCGGAAATCTCAGAGCTTTCTTCTTCCTCTGAAGAAGATATGGATTTCATACCATTTTCCGCCAGACGCGATTCAACTAATACCATCAACTCTGATGACTTTGATGAGGGTGATTTTAACAAAGAAGCTCAACAAAGTATTGAGCGTGCCTTTGAAGAAAACCATTCTATCGAGATCGCTGCATTAGAATTGAATACGCTTAGAATGGCTATGAATGCTAACTATCATGAAGTTCGTTCGGCTATTATCCTTGCAATTTTGAAACGGATTTCCTTTGTTGATGCCCCTCCTAAGGAAGCTATTTCAAAGGTTATGACCCGCTGGGGTCCTCTCCTTGTAAAGCTTACGTTTAATCATGATGAGCAAGTTGATAATCTGTTCACTTTACAAAAGTATTGTATCCGTTTAAGTATGGATAAACAATTTTTGCAATTGTTGGGATTTTTCTATCAACTTGAAATTGCGGAAGACGATGCTGTCTTGGACTGGTATAACGATTCACGATCAACCGAAGGTGAGACAGCAGTTTTGAGAAACACCTATGGCAAGCAATTTGTCGACTGGCTTAATACTGCTGAAAGTGAAAGTGAAGAGGAGGACGATGAAGAAGAAGAAGATGATGAAGAAGAGTAACCTAAGCTATACATATTTTGGAAAAAATTACACTTTGACGTTACCTAAATAAGGGTTTTTGGTTTTTAACAAAAAAAAAGAAGAATCAAGTTGAAGTATATGGAATTTCGGGGGTTTTAAAATATGAGATATCAGTTTAGAATGGCATGAATACAAAAATAATAGCAAATTGATATTGCATATTTAGGTTATTTGGGCTTAAACATTAAGGAATGAATGTATAAGCTTTAAAAGACTTCAAGAGGATACATAAAGCAACGGTATAATCTATTAAATCCTTAATATTTATAATATTCTTTTTCTCTCCCAAAAAAAGCAAACAAGAAATAGAATTCTAAACTATATTCAATAATAAAAACCTATAGAAAAATCATAACCAGAAAAGAAAACACTGCAAATTATTACAAGCGAAGAACGTGCGTATATAAGTATATATATACATATGTTTAGTACCTACAACACCCGAAGCATTATTGAGGAGGATGAATATCGGACTGAACAGGATCTTGTAAGACTCTAGCCGGAAACATAGGTGTATCGGTTTCTAAGTAAAAAGAAACAGGTTGCTTATTATTATCTTTCAAATCGTCCCCCGGCGAACCAGATGATAAACTAACAGCGGAACTTTGTTGTAGCAAATTCATTAATTGCTTTTTCATAATTTGTAACAATGATGACTTGGTGAAAGGCTTAACTAAAAGATCGGTAACGCCATGATTAAAGTAATTCACAGCATCGTCCATGGATATACTAGACGTAATAGCAACGATCGGAGTGTTTTGATCGTATTGGCGGATAAGGCATGTAACCGAAAGCCCATCCAGTTGAGGAAGTATAAAGTCCATCAAGATTAAATCATACCCACCACTATTTGCCTTGTTTACAGCACTGATACCATCAACGGCAACCTCTATTTGGCAATCGAATAAAGTCAAGAAGTTAATAGTCATTCTTCTTGACACTTCGTCGTCCTCAACTAAAAGGATACGAGGTTGTCTTTGCCAAATAGTTCCATTCATAGACATATTAGATGTCATAAAGGAGTATGAATCCGATACGGGGTTTGACTTAGCTAAAGATTCGGCTGATAGTTGGGAATATGATTTGGACAAGGACACATTTTGTTCTAAATGAGGACTATAAGTTGGTTCCGTTGGTTGAGGGATAGGAGGGTATTTCTCATAAACAGAGAAAGCGGGTTGGTGAGAAAGGTTCGGCGGCGGCCCGTTCGTAGACATTGGGGCATTAATGGAGGTAGTAGAATTCATCTCATTCGGCTGCTTCTCCTGGCCAGGTAAGTCGTAGTCCGAAGAAGGCGTTGCATACATAGACCTGTGGGTGCCTTGGCCGGGAAGGGTAGAATCGAGGGCAATTTTTGAAGCAGAAGACGGTGTTGTAATCGGTTGAGATGCAGGAATATGGGGCACGGACGGTACGGGTGTGATGTTTTGACCTTTTGTAATAGATTGGAAACCATCAATTAATTTTTGTAGCGAATGGGAAGGCACAAACATGGAATTAGATGGAGTTTGTTGTTGGTTAGTATTTTCTAAATCACATAAATAAGAAATGAGGCTACCGATGAGTAAATCTCTCGATTCAATCCCTCGCTTTAGCTCAAACATTTTTAAAAGAATAGTTTGGTAACTGTTTGTGAGACCAGCCAAATTGGTGTCCAAGGTTTTTTGGTACTCATGGATACCATCGACACGCTGTCGAAAGTTTTCGATAGCTGGCGTAGCAGCGTCATTCGTAGCATTTCGTTTAGAAGGAGCTTTACGCTAAAGAAGGGATATTAGTAAATACTCAAGCAGATGAACTGAGAAGACGTACCTTTATATTGTCAAGAAGATCTTTATGATGCAACTGAAAATCGTCATGGCGAAATTCCCAAGCCTGAAACTGTGTGAGTGGGACATGTATGAAAAAAATAAAAATTGAATGAAACGGACTTACACCTTCACCATATACGGATGGAGCACCGTCCTCATTGCGCACTTTGTGAAAGTCATATCTGATTTTACGGTTAATAATCCAGTTAACAAAAGAAAAACACTTGACCGAAGACATACTTATTTAACTGCCGTACAAAACTAGCAAAGTTGCTGTGCTTAAAATGTCGAGGTAATATCGTCTTTGTAAACTCGTTTGTCTAGACAACCGTATTAGTATTGCTTATATGCAAAACGGGAAAAGTAGGGATAAGTCTATAGCTAGGCAGGAAGAAGAGAAAGAAAAAAAGGGACCATGAATGTTTATCTATCCTTTGACTGCGAGTAAAAAGGAGAAAAAAAAGGATATTGTGAATAATGTGTAGAACACTCCGCTTTTTCTTTTTTACGAGAAAAAACTCTCTCTTTTTTCTCTCAATAACAAAAGATAAAGTCTGGCAACAAAGGACCGAGCGATAACTTGCACGAGATTTTCTATTAATGGATTTGGAAGAAAATCAATAGACACGAAAACTCGGGGTAATTTGACTTGTAAGCAAGAATGGAGAATAACTCCAAAAAAAAAAAAAAAAAAAAAAAACAAAGAAAAGTTTCTTCTTCCAGATTCTGCAATAGAGAGTGCGCTTTTACGTCAAGCAAAGAATGACAAGTGAATGTCCATACGAAAATTGACAGAATCTTAGTATCTGCTAACTGAATAGAATTGTTTTATTTCAAAAAGAAAAGCGATTTTTGTAATAAAACAACCCGATTCATGAGTCTCATGTTTTACCAAATCTCTTTTCTCTTTTCCCCTCTTTAACGCTTTTCGAGGATTTTCAGAATTCTCTTTTTCTTTCTTTCTTTTCACTGGCTAATCCATCAGAAAACGCTTACATCCAACACAATAAAAGAATCTCCTGTATCACTCCAACGCAATATATGTCGGTACTCAGGTTCTTCCAACATGTTGAAGAGTTTTCGCACCTGCACGTTTTGTTAGTATCGTATACAAAACCGCGTCATCGTCTCATACAAAGTCGGACGACCCGCTCGAAGACGGCATCTTCTTTTTGTTTAAGTGACCAAAAGGTCGAATCTCTGCTATGTTTGATATTATTGTTTCGCAACAATGGTGTTGGTTCCTGGTAAAGTCAATGTGAAGGGGTATACCACCATGTAACTTGTTGTTCTTTCGATTTTTCGCCTCCACATCTGAGGATTGTGTAGCGTACCGTTCATTAAGGAAGTGGTGCGAAAACCGTTATTTAAGAGACGGAGAAAGACCGTGAGATGCTGATTCAGACGGCATAGTCTAGAAGGACTCTTCCAAAGGAATGGGAGATTATCAAATTTGAAATACGTCTATGGTCGTTGTTAACGATAAGTAGAATTGCCCTTTGATGGAAATGGCCCAAGCTATTTGCTTATTAAAGTTGGATTCTACCATCGAATCAGCTTTTTTCTGATTCTTCTTCTTGTTCTTCTTTTGATTCGTTTTCTTCAAATTCTTCTTTTGGTTCTAATTCTGCTTGTACAGAAAAGTCCACTCAATTTTTATGTATTTAAGCCCTTTGACAAATTCTGGTTTGTTTACATTTTTTATCTGATGTCCGTGACTACTTATTTCATCCAACGAAAGCCAAGCGACTCTTGTATTATCCAATCACCGACTTGAAATGTATCAGATAAAATTTTCAATGTCGATGATGTTTGAATTTTCATGCTTAATCAGATAAATTGTTGAGGTTTCTAAGGCAAAAGGAGAGGTTCTTTGGTATTTACAGTCTTATGGAAATAGAAACTTTTATACTAGTTTTACCAGTTTTCTTTTATGCGTATTATTTCCTTGTACTGTGGTTTTTTGGTCGTGCCTGATTTCCGAGATGATCTTCCTTTCTGACTTGCTCGTTTCATTCGTCAATAGGAATGGGTCCTAGACTCGCTGATCCACCCTAGTCAAGACCACGACTACCAACTTCTTACTTCTTCCATTCTATCCTTTACAAACTTGAACTTCCATTCTGTAGACATATTTTCAAGATTTGGGTCTTATTTTTGCGTCTTATCGACTGAATGGAAGTAACATTTTCATAGGCCAAATTCTACTTGTATAGTTAGTAAAAACGAATTTTCCAAAAAGACAAGCTATAGGCTTTTTCATTTCTTGCCGCTTAGCCCTCCCTTTTCCTTTCTTGATATCCTCAATTCTACCGACCAGTTTCTTTTTGTTGTCTGTTTCGATACACTTGCACGATTGTCAGGTCAACAGGTTCACTGAGTCGCAGATCCATATATCCTAATTTACTCGGTCTGATTCTCCCTTTTTAGGCAACACAGGTATTTTTTTTTTTGTTTTTGTCTTCCGTTAACTCAACTGTGGTTATTTTCGTTTCTCGGTTTTGGAAGTTTAAACTGTCTCATTCGTCTCTTTTTTTTTTGGTTCAATCTGCAAAACTCTGATTTCTTTTTTCTTTGGTGTTCCTCCTCAATTTTTATTTTTTTTATTTTATTTTATTTGTTCCTCATTAATTGCACCTTCTTTCATTACTTTTCAACTTCCTTTTTGATCTATCCTCACCATGACTTATCCCGCTGAAGATTTCGATTACGAAGGCCTCCCTGAAAACTCCCCCATGTACGCCCATTTACTTGCCGGTGCCTTCTCTGGTATCCTTGAACACTCTGTCATGTATCCCGTGGACGCCATCAAAACTCGCATGCAAATGCTAAATGGCGTTTCTCGAAGTGCAACCGGAAACGTTATGGCCTCAGTCTACAAGATTGGTTCCAACGAAGGTATTTTTTCTTTATGGAGAGGCATTAGCAGCGTTATAATGGGTGCTGGTCCTTCGCATGCCATTTATTTCTCTGTCCTTGAGATGTTCAAGTCTAAATTCAATGCATCTGCCGATCGGCCGCTTATCACGGCCTTGGCCGGTGCTTGTGCCATTACTATTAGTGATGCCTTCATGACTCCTTTTGATGTAATTAAGCAACGAATGCAGCTTCCCACTACCAATTACAAATCTCCCCTTCAATGTGCTTTAACACTTTTGCGTCGGGAAGGCGTGTCTGCATTTTACATTTCTTACCCTACCTCCATCGCCATGTCCATACCTTACACCGCAATCCAAGTTGGTACATACGACGTCGCCATGAGTATTTGTAACCCAAGTGGTGTTTACAATCCAGTTTCCCACATCATCTCCGGTGGTGTAAGCGGTGCTATCGCTGCAAGCCTGACCACTCCCCTTGACGTCGTCAAGACCCTCTTACAAACCCGTGGTTCTTCTACCATTCAACAAGTGAAAGAGTGCAAAGGTTCCCTCAATGCCATTCGAGTCATCTATAATTTTGGTGGTGTTCCTGCTTTCTTCAAAGGTATAAAGCCCCGTGTTATCGTCTCCATGCCAGCTACCGCCGTCTCCTGGGCAGCTTACGAAGCTGGTAAAGAGATCTTTTCACAAGTATCCAATCCCCCCGAAGTCTAATTTGTTTTAATTTATCTTTTTGTCTCTGATTATCTTTGAACACCAAACAATATGGCTCTTCTTTTTCTTCCGCTCTTTAAAAAGTTTGAGTTAATAGCTTCTTATTTTTTGAGCTTTTGTTGTATATGTATAAATATGTCTATAGAGCTAATTCTTGGTTTTACTGCATTGGGCCTCAAAAAAAAAAGGGTTTTCATTCGCCGCTGCATTGCTTTATGCTTGCTTCTACATTTTATTTTTTAATTCTTGTACTAAAAGGGTATCTTTTGTTAGGTTAGAAAGGATCTTTTCAATAAAAATACAATCTTATTTATTTAAAGGTCCAAACTCTTTTTCTCTCCCTCTCACATAAAACGTATGCCAATAGATTTCCATTCAACAAACAACATCACGGTCTTCTTAAAACTTGTTCTTGCCTTTTGGAGGGCTGTTTTAGTATACAACCTGTCAACAAATCCTACACGTTTGTAAATATCTAAAGTTCGTATTTCAGGCATGTTAGACATTTAAACCATCATCGTTTCTTGATATTATTATTGAACCACCTAAAGAAAAACAAAAGAAAAAGTGAAACCTAACTAAACTTCACGTCTTCTTCCACCTTTAGAGAGCGCTGAAAGGAGGAGTAATGGACAAAGTAGGCGATTTCCTTCGTACTAGCAGGCTAAATATGACACTGAAAGATATATAACCTATAAAATGAAAAAACTAAAAGGATTAGTACAGCGCTTCACAGTTGATCTGAAAACCGTACGGCAGTCCTGGAGTACGAGCGTTCCTCCTTTTCTGTTCGGAAGGAAGCGAAAATTCGTCGAAGATTCTTTACATGGTTAGCTCAATAAAGCATTTGTTTTACAATACAGGAAGCATTATCCAGAAAACTGTACAATTATGTCTCTAACCAAAAACTTCTCTGAAGAAAGTTATTCTAAATGTTAATGATATAGTTATATGCTGAGTTTATGATTATTATAAAGTGCACCAGAATATGACAATGCACTCTTTACTATAATAATTATTGAACCAATTCAAGAACTGTTTGTACTGAAAGATTGATAACAAGAAGCAGAAATTTGCGGCTTATTTTCCTCTAGAATAAACAAAAAATAATTGAATGTAATGGCTACTTTTGAAGGCTAACTATGGAACCATGAAAAGCAAACATATAATCAAGAACTGGGATTTTAACTTTTAGAATGACCGATTGTGAGTCAATGATAGACTAACACGTACACTAAAAGATGCGTATTGACTGTACCAAACCAAGCTTTCTCAAACGGAACTTCCCTTCAAAAATAATAAAACAAACAAAAATAGTATGACTATCCCATGTCCACCAATGTACAAAGCGTCTACTGATTCTTACTTATGCCCATATTAAGTAAACCTTGACAAAGTCCATAGCAAAGAAGTAAATTACATCCAAACGGATCCAAGCATATCCTTACATGAGAGATTTCAGCAATTTCTCCATCTCACGTGTACTCTCAGTAAAGCGCTGGTAAATCGTATCAATACACAAAGGCTTACAATTGAATAGGCATAGAAAAGAATAGAAGGCAGACAACAAAACTATGGTTGAAAAAAGCGTGGATTTTAGTATTCGGGTTTACCAACGCCGAAATACGATCAAGGATTAGGTCAATGATCAAAACCAATGCAAAGTAAGGCAAGACAAGCCAACTTGATAGCTTAAATACCAAGATATTGTTTACGGTTGTAACCTTCATTTATTTGTTCGTTATTCTTTCCCATTGAGCTGGAGTATAGCATTTCTTAAAACAATTAGTATTACCAGACTCTTTATAGCAAGCACGGATTCCCAATAAAAATAGAAACAATGAGTAAATGTCTCATCTTTTTATTTATGCTTCTCATATTTCTTTGGGAAAGTTCACTTGACATACCTGCGTAAATGCGTGAACCTGCTTCACAACTTCATCAAGCTCATGGTTAACAAATCGATGGCGAGCGAGAGTTGGTTTTCCTTCAAACAAAGGAGATACAATGGTTACTACAAAGTTTTGACCACATCCTCCAGACAAGTCTTGGATTTCCTAAAACAATTATTAGTTTATGCTAATCCATAGAATATACACTTACAACGTGAGTGGGTTGTAGCTTAGACTTAATTAAAAGCTCTAATTGTTGTGCATTTACCATTCTCGAAATCTTGATGTGTTCGGGGTAATCAGGTGGTGATTAGCAAGTGTTAGGTTTGCCAGCTACCAACTGAAAGTTTACGATTAAATTTTCAGCTTTAACACAATGACGGAAATAGAGGTAAGAATTTGCTTTAAATTAGTAAACTAATTCATTTTTAGGATCGTATTCATGGTTGGAATGATAGATTCGAAGAATTGCTAAGCTTTATTCCTGCAAAGCTATATTATCGAGCAGAGACGGCGGTACGTGCTGTTTAAAAGGATCTTTTATTGAATTATATCTAATATTATTTTAGAATCAATGGAAGCAAAAAAAATCATCTTCTGAAGAGAAAAAGGAGCGTCGCAAAATGAAGTTCTCTTTGGACGGTTTCAATGACGAAGAACAATCCCAAAACGAAGGAAGCCGACCGCCAAATTGGAGTTCCGGCAAAAATGAAGGGGAAGATAATGAAGAATCCGGTCGCCGTGCTGAAAGTATGTCACAAATTCGTGGAAAATTAGCTTCAAGAATTCAGGACATGCGAGAGAAGCGTAAGGCTAGTAATTTGGATCAGAAAAAGCAGAATAAAAAAGTTTCTACAGAAGAGAAAAAGGCTGCTTCCAAGAAGAAATCACCAAAGAAGCAATCTTCATCTCGTGCCGGTTTTTAAACATAGCTAGGCGTATTGCAGAAAATCTATTTTGGGTAATTAAGGATATCAGGATGTTATTCACATTAGTTTTGGATTTTTATGTTGGACATGGCTTCATATTGACAAAAAGCTGGCATTCCGATCTAAACGATCGGATATCCAATTCGGCATATATTTGTCCGTATGGATAGAAAAAATAAAATTCGGTTGAACGGTTCTCGTTATTGTTAACAAGTCAGTCATTTAATACCAGATTTTGAAAGATGTCTAAAAAAGATTCTTGTAGTTTAGTCACTGTTGTCTATCCACCGTCTCAGGCACTTGAGATGACTATATATATATTCTTCTATGGATTATTTTTATGCTATTTTATTCAATATACAGTAGTTAAAATTTTATTTTTCTGTCATGAAACGATTTGAGTGCTCTGTTTCTATGTACCAACCTATCCTAGACATTTACGACTTAGAAGGAAAGCTCAATAAAGTATTAAACAAATTTAAAAGGAACCCCATTTTATTTACATATATGATTCTTATAAATTTAACCTCGTCGACAATAATCAAAATTCTGAAGCAAACCTCTTGAGACCTCAGTTGTTCTTCTTTTGATTTATAATCATGATTCTTTAAATTGAATGGAAAGCCTCAATTAAAATTCTACATTTTACCTAAGGTCAAGACAGCAAGTTTCATATGGAAGTACTACATGCCGTACCATCACACACACATACCAAAACCTCCAAAATCGAATATCTAAAGTAGACGAAAGCTGGAAGTTTTGTTTAGACATTTCTCATGGTTTGTTTTTCGTAACTTGGAATAATTTTTTTTCACATTGTATCTTGTGCCATTCCCAAGGTTTATAAACAAACAACTTCAACTTAACAGAATTCTTAACTTGCAGCAAACTGTGAACCAAGACAGTAATACTTATTGATTCATTCGATTTTATTAGTTAACCCAACATTCGCAATACATTGAGGAGCGTTTTACAAAGTTGGAATGCTATGGGGGTTGTTGTACTGCTGCAACCGTTCGAAGCGTAGAGCTCATCAAGGAGGTTTGTTTCTTAAAGAGGAGGAAAAATCATTTTCTTTTCCGGAGACCGTCAAAGATCGATCTAGTAAGAATTCCCGGTCGAGTCTGAGCATAGAATGGACAACAGAGGCTCTTCAGCAGTTTATCTACCAGTATTCAGCTCGACGAAATTTATCCAGTGAGCAAAGCTTGTCATTGTCTTATTTCTCTCAATCCTATGCGCAGCTGTTCAAGCACGTATATTACAGTGACAGCCGATCCATGACAGAGGCAGACGAAGCACAGGCTATTGTTACGTTTACCATCGGTTCCTATTTATATAAATGCACCAATCCGAAAACTCGTTTTTGGAAACGTTTAATTGAGCACATGGAAAATATTGAGGATGATGGCACGTGCACACGGCCTCAGCTTGAGTTTCGCAAGAAGGTTGCATCTGCGCAGATTGGTCATCCGGCTTTTCATTTCCTTCCCCTCCAGAATAAACGAAGCTTTCATTATATATGGTCTCTGTTTGTTTCTTCATACTTCATGAATGCTGCCTCTGCTACTCCTTCCCCTCAACAAGTCGCTGTTGATGATATCGTACAGCAAAAAAATAGGAAGTCTACACCACGAGAAATTAGAACTAGAGAAGATGTCGATATCATAAGAGATAAATTCTTACAACTTCTTACAGAATGCCCGGATGAATTCTGTGAAAACTGGTTACAACGAATATACATAACATGTGTCCTTCCAAAAAATCATTATATTTATACTTTGGATGAAAATCTTGGCTTTTTGGAGTCAATTGAATCCATGAAGCAGCAGATTACTCGTCGAAAAGCTGCAGAATTTGGGTAGCTCACGTTAATTGAGCTTTCAGTGTTTTAACTTAACGTATTTATTCTTCTTGTCTTTACTTTCTGTTTGTTCGTTTCTTTTCCCTTTTTAGAACTCGGTTATTCATAATGAGAAACTAAATTTTCTTTTGATTATAGTGACGACCCTTTTATGCTTAAATTAATCCATTTTTGCCTTTTCTTGTCACTGTATAACCATTTCTACATAATCGTCAAATGGCACAATTCTTTTCCTCAATCCCAATACTAGATAGACACGTGTTATACATGGTAATTTTTAATAATTTACTACTTAATCATATACATATTTTTTTATAGGACACTCTCCTATAAATTAGCTACTAAGTAAAAAGGTTACAAGAGCAATAATATCCATTAATACAAAAGGTAAATTTTTAACGGTTGCTCTTGGCAACACGCTCGAGTTCATCCTTCTTCTTAATGGCATAAGAGTTAGAAGAACCCTTGGCGGCGTTGATGATTTCTTCAGCCAAGCACTCAGAGATAGACTTGACATTACGGAAAGCAGCCTCACGAGCACCGATGGTGATAAGAGCGACGGCTTGGTTGACACGACGAAGAGGAGAAACATCGACAGCTTGACGACGGACGGTACCAGCGCTACCGATACGGGTCGAGTCTTCACGAGGACCACAAGCGGCAACGGCGTCGACCAAGATTTGAAGAGGGTTTTGGTCGGTCAAGAGAGCGATGATCTCAAAAGCGTGCTTGACAATGCGAGTAGCCAAAAGCTTCTTACCGTTGTTACGGCCGTTCATCATCAAGCTGTTAGTCAAACGCTCAGCAATGAAGCAACGAGCCTTACGGAAACGCTTGGATTGGAAACGGCCAGCGGTGTGAGGAAGAGGTTGACCATTACCAACAGTGATATAATCAACCAAAGAGATGTCCTTCACTTCAACACCCTCAAAAGGGAACTTGTTGAAAAGTTTGATGCTGCCATTCTCATCAAGAGAGACGCCCGGGGTGAGACTCGACGTAGCCATCTTGCGTTGTGGTTTTTGCTTAGTTTCCAACTACAACTAAGTGTATGGAAACAAACTGTGACTGTCTCGTACCCTAACCTAACATACTGGGTTTTGAAGACTTTTTTAAATAATGTAGCCTAAGAATATCGTAAAATATAATAAGAAAGCGGTTTTTAACTCGATAGTCAACAAAGTGTTTCATCTTTTGTGGTCCCTTATTATGCTGACAAAAATTCAAAAAATTATTAGGAAGGAATAAAATACAAGAGATATTTGTATGCCATAATTGCTTATTTCATAATTAATTTTACAGTATCCCAAACCAAAGAAAGAATAACACAAACCGATTGTACCTCAGAGAACCAAAAGAGCGCCTACCAAGGCTTTTTCAAGAACCCATTTCTTTTTTAACTTTGCTCAACAAATGGCTAACGTGATTTTTCATAACAGGCTGACCATGCTTTGTCCGTTTTGACAATTGTTTGCGAGTCTCTATGCGATCATGGATTTTTCTTTCATGTTCTTCCTTTTTCTTCTGTTTTTGGTGGATCATTTCTTCTTTTCGTTTTCTTTTTTCCTCAGACATCTCGTATAGTTTCTCCAGGTGGTTTTTTTTCGGCGCAGGTTTGGAAGTGTCTTCCTCTGTCTTCTTTTTGCGATATTCATCGGGTTTAACGGTCTTGTAGAAGTGTTTTTTCGTCTTTGCCTTCAAAATTAAATCTTGCTTAATCTTTTTTGCTTTTCCTTGATAGGCATGCTCAGGAAGTGCTCTAAACTTGAATCCTCCTTTGCGTTTGTTCATATCCTTTTGAGCCATTTTCCACAATCGTTTTCTGTTTCTCTTGTTAGGTATTCAAACTTTCTTTATAATTTTTCTAGTATATAACAATTTCAATTCCCAATGTCGAGAATGGTATTTTCAATTGCTTTTTTCCCTTTGTAGCTCTTGGCAACTTCGTAGGAACAAGCATTTTCTTCTTAGTTGTATTGTATCGTTATTTTTCGTTAAGCTGGATAATAGTTGCTTACCGAATCGATGTAGTACCGTATATCAAGTTCACAAGAACCCAGGTTCATCAATTGCATACTTAGCATAAACAAAGTACGTCGCGAATTCGTTTTTGGAAAAGTAATTGAGAATCTACCTAATAAAGCTGGTTTCTTTATACTTACAGTCTAGATTTTGATATTGCCACGCCTTGACTGTAGGGTATATCTATTCAACGCATTGGGAACATTTGCTATATTAAGATTCTTAACACGAAGTGAACTCGTGTTCCTTTTATACTTCTTTTTTGGTTCTACTAGGGAATTTTTCATTCTATGACTTTGTAATTGATTACCTGTTATCTCCAAGGTAATTCTTCTATTTATTAGTACTTGGCCTTATAATTCTCGCGTTTTTCCTATTCATGATTTTGTTCTCTTTGGTTTAACAGAAAACAGAAAACCAAACGTATTTATTATAAAATAAAAATTGCCTTACTGTCCGTTCATTTTGTATATACAATTAAATGTTATGTAAACGAATTGTTACTCTATACAGGCGACGTTCTTTTTCAATAAACCATGCTTTAACGCTCAAGGTTTTATCCCGGTACCTGCACACTAAGCCAGAATCGGAAAGTTATCCTCTTTCTGTTACTACTATCGATGGTGAGCTGGAATCCTATCCCGCGTCTGCTGAAAGACCGGTTCCGTCCCTTCTGCCAGATTTTCAGCATTCTGCTCCTGTGAGCCAGAGACCGGAAAACCCCATTCCGAGCGATGAATCGATTTACCGTGATTTGAAATCTATGGCTGAATTAGTATTCATAGACCCTCACACTCAAGACAATCTGAACCAGCTATCCAAATCGAACTCCCCATGGCTTTCAGAATCAGCTACCTTCCTGCAAAAGCTAGCACCCTACTTTTATCTTCCACCAGATAAATTTCTTGAAAAGGCAAATGCATATTTTCAATATCGATTGCTAGAAACCTCCTCTATCAATCACCTTGCATTCGCCATTTCTGATGTATTTTTGTTTTATTTAAAAAAAAACAATAATCGAAACATTCACAACGACGTACACAAAATAATCCCATTTATGTCCTTTTTTTTGCATCTTAATATGCCCGAATATGTTTTTCATTTATACGTACACATGCCCAAAGGTATGCCGTATAAATTCGATAGTACAATGTTAAATAATCCATTCCGCAAAAGCTTTGCTCGTGCTTTTTCTCTTATTGAAAACCCTCTGGTTGTGCTACGATCTCTGAATATGACTGATCACAATAAACATCGTGTGAGAATCCTTTATTTACATTATTTGCATTTTTTGTTGGATCACGGGGAACATCAAAAAGTCGTTGCACTTTCGCATGAAATTTTTAACAAATTTAGTTGGATTGCTTCTGGTCCCACGCGGTTATTGATGAATTCTTATCATCAACAAAGTCAGTTTAATGCTGCGGTTCAGGTATACAGAGAAGCCTCAGCTAGAAATGAGGCAGTCGATTCAAACCCCGTAGTTTTGAGGGAATTGCTAAAAGTTATCACTGCTGCCGATTACTATAACCGAGATTCATTTCAGTGTTTCTTGCAAACACTTTTGAAGATGGGGTACATTCCCTCTCTTCAAGTTTTTTCCAGGCTTTTGACAGCCGTAGCAAAATATCACATGCCGGAAGTTCTTTTTCCATTAATGAATCACTATCGAACGCAGTTCAACAATATGCTAACTCCAAGTGTCTTTGTTGCTGCTGTCAAAGCAGCCGTTTACTGCGGTGATATAAACACCATTAAGTTATATTATCAAGAAGCACAGGCTTCTGGAGAAATAAAAAACCTGAAACATTTGTTCAACTTGTTCCTGACTTCAACAACTGTAAGCCTTGACGCCTCTATGGCCGTGAGTTTGCTAAGAGCGTTCAGAAACGATACATCATTAATAAATGAGTCAACTTTGGTTAGTTGCGTTACCTTGTTTTCGCGAAGAAAAGATTTGGATGCTATGGAAAAGGTATATAAGTACATTACGGATCTTGGCGTCTCGACACCTCCCGAAGGATATGCGGCGCTTTTAGATGCTTACATTGAAGCAGCAGATGAGAAAAAGATTCAATCATGTCTACAAAAAATTGAAGAACTTGGTATAACTAAAAACACTAGCGTGAATCGCATGCTTATGAGGTATGCTCTTTTCAAATATGATTATGAACGACTACAAAACTGCATAGCTTTTGCTGAAAAGCATGATAAAAGTGGTCGTGATTATATGTATACTATAATGATGCTCTATCACACCACCGTCGGTGAATTTAAACAAGCTCTTAACGTTTTTCCTACGATACAAAAACCAAATGTTATTCATTTTTCGATTGTAGCTACAGTGCTCGGTAACTTAAAGCAGCTCGATGAAATCAAGCTTTTAGAGGAGCGCATGTCTTCATTAAATATACAGTCGACCCCGTTATCTTTAGCTGCCTTTGTTGTAAGTTATTGTAAACAAGGTGCCGAAGGTTTGGCAGAGGCCGAACGATATATTGATTCCGTTTTTCAAACGAAACAGCGAAGAGCTACTATTTTTAATGCAAAAACTGCAAATGATCTTCGTTACCCAGTTTCTTTGTTTTCTCCATTAATCCGGGAATATACCTCTCTAGGAGATATGACAAAAGCAAAGAATGTTCTTGCGTTGTACTTAGATTATCATTCAAAGAACATTACTTCACAACCAGATATCCCCTTTGCTGTCACGGGTATGCAATTATATTGTTCCTTGCACGATACTTTGCTAGCACGTAAGTTTTGGGATTTGATTTTAAAGGTTGTTCGACAGACGTTTATGTCAACAAAGGTTGAATTATACGTATCCGGCAAGGATGAGTACGAAGAAGAAGAGGAAGAGGGTAAAATTCTTGATGCCTACAAAGGAAGTCTTAATATGCCAGCCGAGATATACTTTTCGTTTTTAGCCAGTGTCAATGCATTTCTGGAACTCGATACAGAATGGTCACGATTGAAGAAGTGGGGTGTTGAATTTGACGAAGCTATGTACAATAAACGTGTTGTTTGGATTTTGTACAGCGGTCGAATAGATAAGGCATTATCTGAGTTTTGCGAATATTTCCTCTCGAAAGAGAAATTGGATGAACATCTTGAGGGAGTGGGTAATAATTCACGTATTGCAAATTTTATGTTATCTTACAACTCTCCAGTTTATACAAGTACCTGGGATGTACTTCGTGAAAAACTTGCTATGGCTAATGAGAAAGGATATATACGTTCTCGAAACGAAGAACTGATGAGTGTGTCAAAATATATCCATCAATGGAAACAAAAAAATCAACTGATGTATACAATTCTGTCCCGACTATAGATACTTTTATAATTGTATAATAAGACTAATTTTTAATACTTCCATTTATTGAGTTCTTCTAATTAACAATTCAGAAAAGGAAGTAGGAGAATAAAATAATTACGAATCGAAAATGCATAGCTTATTCCTTGGTATCATAAAGGATGGTTACAGGACCATTATTGGTAAGCTGAACATTCATCATGGCACCAAAAACACTGAATGGTTAGATTGAAAGAAATCAAATGTCAAATGAAAATGAATGTAATTACCCATCTAAAGACTGGTTAGTAAACGTGTGAGATACGCGTCAACTTACTTTTGACGCTGTCGTTGCCCAGACTGGCCTTTAAGCCTTCCAACACAGCCTCATAAAGCTGTACGGCTTCGGGGCCTTTCATGCTTCTGTGGAAATCAGGTTTTGCGCCCTTGTTGACTCGTGCATGTAACGTGAACTGAGAGACTGGCAATAGCGGTTAAATCGAAGTACGTTTATAAAAACAGCATACCACACAAGATTTCACCTTGAGCATCTAAGATCGTCTGTCTCCATGGCTGTTCTTGTGCATCTTCAAAAAGCTTCAATTTGAGAAGTTTATTGCACATCTTGTTCACATCTTCCATAGTATCATCTACGGATTAGTTAAAATATGACTTCAAAACCTCTCCCTTTTTCAATAAATGAAAACATAATTTAACAGAGGAGATAAAAAAATTTCATAGTATATACCTGTACCAACGCCAACAAGCACACAGAGTCTATCAACAATATGGTCAGTGAATGATTCATGAAGACTTCAATACTGGATAGCAATTACCCTTTTTTAATGGAAGAAACAACAGCATCGTCAACTAGACATGAATGGTTAGCTTGTACAGCTTAAAGAAAATGTAAAAAATGCGTACCAGTTACGGAAGCGTTTAAAACCTTTTGAATTACAGCTTTCATGGTTACAGCACAAGTTCAATGTCTAGCAATAATGAAAATAAAAAAGAGAGCGCAAAAAATTACGAATTTTCAAATTATTTATAAATGGTTTGTATGGAATAAGCTTGAAAGAGAGAATGAAGAGATAACGTTTCGAACAACGAACTGCAACTTACCGTTGAATTCCTGGATCATACAGGTATCTTGACTAATGATGACTATTGGCACGGACTAAAAAATGAACCATTGCATTTTTTTAAGTAGATATAATTTACAAAAGAACAGAGGATCTATAGAAAATCATTTTATTTTGCCTTTGATGTATTAATCTGTATAGGATAGCGCAGTCTATTAGTCCAAACACAAAGCAAAAAAAAAAAGAAACCAGCAAAACATTTTCAATCACCCGTTGACAAAGTGAACGATTTAGAATATATCATCGGTAAAAAGTATATAATAAGACAAAGTTTGAGATCGCTGAAAAGCAAAGTATACATTCACACCAAAAGCTATTCTGTCAGTGTACTAAAAAAGAAAAAGAACGAGAATTGCAATCATCAAAGATTTAAGAAAATAGATAAAGTAATTAACACGAAAATTACCACCGCATCCATTAAGTTGTTTATCTATTCTAAAGTTGTGCTTCTACACGAAACACAATTTTGCACGCAACACTCCAAAGTAGATACATATACACTGACTTCAAAAAATTTTATATACAAAAAATCGGCTTAGTGGAATGCATTACGGATAGCTTTCTTAAAACGTTTGAAGATACCCTTCTTAGCAGGAGAGTCAGTGGCATCCTTAGTCTTGTTTTCAGCCTCAGTAGCTTCAGTGCCGGCATGGCCAGTGGTAGGTTTGGCAGCAGAAGAGGCTCCAGCTCCAGTACCAGTTCCAGCTCCAGTACCAGCTCCAGTACCAGCTCCAGCTCCAGCTCTGGCTCCAGCCCCGGTACCAGCTCCGGTACCAGCGCCAGTCTCCTTGGGAGACTTGGATGGGTCAAGAGCACCTTCAGCTTTCTTGACAGGGGACTTTTGGGCATCCTTGGCATCCTTAGCGGGAGTCTTTTGAGTATCCTTAGTAGCGTCCTTGGCATCCTTAGAGGGGGACTTGCCAAGAACCTCGTCCTTTGTGTTTTGAGCAGCGTGGGCCTTATTGGAAGCCATAGTCTCGGCCTTATCAACAGCAGATTTGGGGGCCTGCTTGGCGTTGCCAGCACCGGCACCAGCGCTACCGGCAGCGCTAGTAGCGCCAGCACCAGCAGCTGCAGGACCAGCAGAAGACTTGGCACCAGTAGAGGCATCACCAGCAGGAGACTTGGGAGCAAAAGCACCGGTAGAAGCTTTATTAGCGTCAGTAGGGGACTTGGCAGAGGTAGCAGCATCATCAGCAGGAGCATTGGCACTAGTAGAAGCACCGCCAGCAGGAGACTTGGCAGCGGTAGTAGCGTCACTGGTAGGGGCCTTAGCACCAGTGGAAGCACCACTGGTAGCAGGCTTGGGAGCAAAAGCACCAGTAGAAGCGTTATTGGCGTCGGTAGTATCGACGGGCTTGGAAGAATCAGCAGTCTCCTTGCTAGGGACGGGTTGCTTAGAAACATTATCAACGTCCTCGTCGTCATCAGCAGGAGAAGCTAAGCTACCAGGCATGGTAACACCCTCGTTAGAGTCTTCGGCGTACTTGCTAGTAGTAGTACTGTGAGCAGCAGTAGAAGGAGCGGTAGAAATACCCTCAGTGGTGACGCTAGTGGTATGAGGGACGTTGGGGTCTTGGTAGGCAAAATCTTCAGCATCCTCGAAAGCAATCTCCTGTTGAACGCCAGCGTCAATGTGCTGGGTCATGGAAAAGCCAGTAGGGAAGTGGTTGTAGGATTCATAAGCGGCAGCATCCTTTTCGGAAGAAGAGACAGCCTTATCAACAAAAGCCTTGGAGCTAGTGTCATTTACAGAGTCGTATCCAAGTCCGCTCTTTTGGTTGTATCCTCTGGAAACGAAGGTGTCTTCGTTGCCGTAAGACTTGTCGCCAGATGCAGAAGATAAATCATCTCCAGTGGTAATGACTTGCTGAATATCACCACTAGTTTGAGAAGAAACATCAGGAACTGTGCTAGCTGCAGCAGCCTTGGTAGCACCAGATTGAATACCGGTGGTCTCTTCTTTAGGAGTTTGCTGGCTAGGTCTTGGGAAAAAGTCGATCATCTCTACTATAATTAATGCTAGTTAGTAGGTAGGTTCTTTTAGAAGGAAAAAAGTTTCACTCTCATTAATCCAAGGGATAATGAGTGACTGGCAATATCATGAGGTATATCTTAGGTAAGACAATTCCCTTCAACGCAATACATCATTGGTCTTCGATAAAGCAAATAAAAAACCACAACGATGAATTACGTAATTAGCTTATAGTCACTTACCATGGTCTTCAGCAGCACTGGGTGCCTCCGTAAATACGGATTTACGATCTTCACTGTGCAAGCTGCTATCATCGCTGCTGCCAATGTCTGCTTTAGCAGGGGTAGGAGCAGGGCTAAGACTAGGGCTAGGACGAGAATGAGGATTAAGGCTAGGGCTAGTGCTAGTGCTAGCAGCAGCAGCAGGAGCAACAGGAGCAGAAGCAGAAGCAGGATGGGCACTTAAAGGAGTGGGAGCTGCAGTAGCAGCGGCATCAGCATCGGTTTCTTCATAAGAAGCTCTGGGAGTAGCGAGAGGCTCTTCATCTTCATCTTCCTCACCCTCACCCTCGGCTTCGGTTTCAGCAACGGATTCAGTTCCTGCAGTAGAAGGAGGGTGATGTTCAGAAGGAGTGTCATCAACATCAGCGCCAGCAACTGCGGCAGCAGCATGCTTCCTCTTTTTAGCAGCCTTCTTTTTAGCTCTCTTGACAGCCTTTTTCTTACCTTTCGAAGAGAGCGTGGAAGAAAGCGTAGTAGGTTGACTACTCAAGGTCAAATCGCTTTGAGCAGTTTTCGACGCGTTTTCTGCGACGTTTTCTTTGTTTTCTAGCGTTTTCTCTACCACTGGATCCATCATGGTATTTACTAATCGCGTTCTACTATTTTTGTAAATGGTAGTAGTGGATGGCAGAAGGTAGCTTTTGTGATTGCTGAGTGTCTAAAATTTTATTCCAGATGCGTAAACAAATGCTCTAGGTCTCTTGTACTACAATATTTCTAAAACCTCTTTACTAACGCTTCTTTTTGTTTGTTATTAATCGTAAAAAGATTGTCTTCGTTCCAATGGACGACATTCGATTCATTCTCGCGAGATGATTACTAAAATCATGAGTTTTACCCATTCATGATTAATTTAATTCTTCTTTTTTCTTTTTTTTTCTCTCTTTTTTTTTTTCTTTTTTTTTTTCTTTTCTAACTGTAAAGCAACAAATTTGTTCATATTCTTTCTTTCTTTTTCTATTTTTGTTTCTGTGCACTGACAAATCATTTGCTTTACTTCGAAGATGTTTCACTCCAGTCAATTTTTTTTCCTTCATTGCATCCTTTTTCTTTCCCTTTACGTAGTTGTATTGAAATTTTCATCTGGCACAACTTCCTAGCGTTCTTCCTTTTACACACACTCTTCTCTTATATGGATGCAAAAATTTTTATTTCATTCCTATAGCATAGTATAAGCATATACAGCAAAGCATCAGCTGTAAATCAGACCCATCATTAGATCGTCCACTTGAATTCATAGAAACATAGATAAAAACAAAAGTAGAATACTGAGGGAAATAGGAAAGAAGGAATAAAAAAGACATATCAGGAGAGCTATCCTTTTCGTTACTTCATCTTCAACCATGTTTTGTATTCATTTCAAACAAACGCACACAGTAAGTTAACACAGACGAAACTCTCTCTCTCTCTCTCTCTCTCTCTTTCGCTTTCCGCTTTCATTTCGTCCCATCTCTCAACTCATCCATCTATCCATTCACAAGTATACTTTCCGAATGGATGGATGGATGAACTCCTCCAATATCCAATGTCAAAAGACCGATGATCCAGGATTTGTCCGTTCTTTCATTATGGAAACCAAACCAGAACAAAAGAAAAGCAAAGGAAAATCTCAAGAGTTTCATCCATAGTCGCATCTCTTTCCATATGCTCGAATCTATTACCAACCAACACGCACGCTCTTCAGAGTGAAAACCAAAATATCATTTTCCTATATTCGAGTGTCTATGTCAAAGAAACGTGAGAATAAAGAGATGCTGTCGAAATATGGACAGACGTAGATGCGTAGTATAAAAAAAATAGAGGAAATAAGTAAAGAAAAGAGAAAAGAAAAGAAAAAAGAAAAAAAATTAGTCTTAAAATAGAAACCCCAAGTTTAAGAAAGAAAAAGAAATGAAAAAAATTAGAAAATTGATTGCTTTCAAAACTGGCATCACCTAGCTTTTTTCCATGCAATATCACGAGAAATAAATTGAAAAAAGAAGAACAATAGAAACCGTAAATGACCATCCAAACCGTCAATCATAACAAACGTTCTATACCATCTGAAAAAAATAAAAAAAAATAAAAAAAATACTGCTACGGAGAGTTTGAGATGATTCACGGCTTCATCCAAAATGTTGAAAAAATCGTTAGTTACAAAAATTGAAGGGGTTCCCGAATTTCATTATTAAATCCTTTAAAGACAGTCGCGGAATCTCATCAAAACCCATATCATGTTGAAATGCTCATTACGAATCATGAAGATAGCACGCTCTTTTAGCATATACATGCATCCATCTGCATTACCTAAATTAAGATATTACGCGTCATATCGTTATTACTTATTTGTTGAAAAATAAGTCATCGTTTCAAATTATGCTTCTCAAGTCCAAATCATACCTTGCTAGTTCCGTGATGAGACTCCAATTGCCGTTGACTTTCTTGTTTAGAATCCAACTCTGCTCGCGGTTGTTGACGCATCAAGTCAATCGCATTGCCCAAAAGCCGGTTGAAAGTAGGCTTGTCAAAGGTTGCCAACTTCAAACGAGATTTTGCACGCACTGTCGCAGTTCGCTGTGTTTCGTGGATTAACGCTAATTCACCAAAATAATCGCCTTTTGTCAGTGTCACTACCGTGCCCTTGTCTTTCTTGATTACTTCTGCTTCACCATCTTCAATTAAATAAAACTGATTTCCAATATCTCCTTGGTGAATTACTTCCTCCCCAGCCTGAAAAACAACCGTTTGAAGAGCATCTGCAATTTTTTGACGCTGGTATTTGTCCAAGCTTGACAAGATAGGTACTTCTTCAAGCAGACTCTCATACATACGACGTTGGTGAAAAGCATTTTCCATAACGATACGGTGGAAGCTAGATCGATCTAAGGCGTAAAAAGTACAGTCAGGAGTTTTGGATACAACTGTTGCTGCTCGAGGAGCGTTGTACATTAATGCAAGTTCGCCAAAGTATTCTCCTGGAGATATCGTAGCAACGTGATCACCATAACCCGAGGCCAGTACTGCTTCTGTTGAGATGTTTGGTTCTTTTCGTTTGTAAACGTCAAATTCACCCTTTTCTACAACATAAAAGTAATCTCCCACAGCGCCCTGTACGATCAGTGCTACACCAGCTTCGCCAATATGCTTTTCCGTCATAGCACTCAAAACTTCCAAATATCGTTCTTCATCCAGATTTTTAAACAAGAAATTGTGGCCTACCGCCTTCTTCAAACGTTCTAGTTCTTCCGGGCTTTTCAAAGGAACCTGCGGCCGAGGCAGTTGCATAAACGAGTTTGGATTCATCGACTCGGCGGATACGGATTGTCTTCTTAAAAAGTTGTAGTTTTGAGGATAAGAAACGTTCATTTCTTTTAATCCACCCGCTTCTGGAGTATGAAGTACTTCAGGACCAACTGCCTCAGGCCCTCTGGGCAATTCGTGCAAGCCTGATAAATATTCATTTTCTAAAGCTTCCCCGCTAAAGTCGTCGCTCATTGTATCGTCCATATGAAGCATTTCTCTACGTTTATTTTTCAGTTTGTTACTGAAGAAATCAAAGCAAAGTTGAAGGAGATCTGTCGGATTCTGCTGGTTCACGAGACTCGTCAACTCCTCTATAAGCTCCTCGAAAGAAGCGTTCGAAACCATAGTGTCTACTTATAATGTACTTGATTTCTTTCCACTTTTTAACGGGTCTGGCTTGTCCTTCGGCCTTGGAAACCTCTTGTTATATGTATGAAATGTTATTTTTTTCTTAAACTAATACAAAAAAATAATCCAGTCCGTCGTTAGCTTGGTCCTTTTGATATATGCGAAGATCAAGTTCCTGAGCTCAGGCTTTCTCAAGTTGACTGACGGTGATCCATTATCTACGTCATTCTTCATGTTATTACTCCACAGATCCTATCACTACTCCACACAGGAATATCAAATGAACGAGAGCGGGACTACATTGTTTAGCGAGACCTAATACTACCTAGTAAAGTAATTTAAGAACGTACAACATAGTACTTGGAGGAAATTGAAACTAAAGGAGGAACTGTTTTTACGAAAGGAAACTAAAAGAAAACGCTTGTTTATGAAGAATGAAATTAGTTTTGTCCATAGTAAAATAATTATGATCCAGAGTAATCAATTACTCTTTGCATGGGTCGAAAGTTGATCTAGCTAGAATTTGCATGGAGAGATTAATATTCAGGAACTGACTTTTATTATATACAAACGCATGAATTAACTAACGGTCCAAGAGAATTGAAAGATCACACAAGCCAACAATATCAAGGACGACGTAATTGCCCTTTGAAAATCAGTGCTGCCAGCGGTGTGATCAAAAGAAAGGATAGAAAAGGGAAATGGCAGGATAAATTGTTCGTGGTATAGCGAATTAAGATAGACATATTAAAATCGGAAACATTAAGATAAAGACAACGTATATTCACAAATCAACAATCGACAATCCAGAATGCCAAGTAATAGGAAGAGTCTGTTAGTAAAATCGTTTTTAGTTTCATCATTCATTACAACTTCAAACAAATCCTATTTGGAAATAGAAAATCATGAAGGTCCAATACACTCCTTAAGGCTGTATGTAAATCAGGTATACGAAGAAGGAGCTTCATCAAACTGCCGCTTCACTCCTCGAAGAACGTCCCCTGTTGATTGCATTGGATCCTGGTGATTCTCTGGCCTTCCCTCATTGGTTTCTCCTCCGCGTTCCGAGTGTAAACTCGGCGTCGTATGAAGGGATTTGTCTTGTATCCCATTACTAGGTGAATAAGCTGTATATGAGGACATCGAAACGCTTGGCCGTCTTTCACCATTTGCTTCATGAGATGCCACATACAAAGGCCGATCTGATGTTAGAACGGAGGTGTTCGGTACAATACCTGGTTGCCCTGATGATCCAGGCAAGGTAGTATTCGACTTGGAGGTCGCGGAGGATGCAGCAACAGCTCCAGGGGGTAACGGATCTTCTATAGTTCGGCCATAAGGAGAGTCTCTAGGTTGAGAATGTGCAGGTGGGCGTACATACGGAGGAGGAACAGATGTCATAGTGGAAGGGGGCGGTGTGGACATATGGAAAAAAGGAACATTCGGTTGAATGGAAGAGGAAGACGTTGCCGTATTGGCATTTTGATTCACAGTGGACGTAAAAGAAGCTTTTCTTCTCTTATTTTGCTGACCTGTGTCTTGCTGAACTGGTGCGGCTGGAACCGGTTGCTTCTGAAGTTTTTTGGCTAGGGCAACGGCTAATGCATTTGCAATCGCTGTGGCCTGTGCTGGGTTGTTTACAGCAGCCGGTCCTAATTGTCGATTAATATGATCTTGTAAAAGAGAAATCGCATGTACTGCTTGTTCGTTCGGTGCTTGTTGTTCACCATTTGAGTTGCGGAAAAATTCAGGATTCAACGCTAATTTTCCATTCTGCATAATGATAGGCTGTATTCCAGACTGCAATAGTGAAGACTTTTCTTCTTTAGATGCAGCCGCTCCACCATTTACTGTAGGTGCCCGTTGTGAAGTGTCAGAAGTTTTCGAAGAACCCATTTTCCCTCCCGCAGACATAGTACTTCGAAGTGGATCAATGTTTTCATGTTCAAAGGCTGTAGCACCTGTAGCAGTTGGTGTAGGTTTCTTAGTTTTCCGAAACATATTTCCTTCAAATTGATCAATATAAGAGGGATCCAATATCCAAAATGACCCTTTTCCAGATTCGTTTTGTCTCCTTGGTATCCGTATAAAGGCCTTATTCAAAGATAAGTTATGCCGAATTGAATTATGCCAAGCTGGTGGTTGGTATTGGTAATATGGCCACGTATGGGAAATCCATTCGCATATATCGCCCAGTGTCATCTTTTTGTTGGAATTGGATATAAGGGTACGCGCAATCAAATTTGCATAAGAAAGATTAGGCTTTTGGTAGATATCACCCAAATTTGGTGGTGGTTGTGATTCTAAACCTGGATGCAAAGGGATTGATGTTGAAATTCGATGCGATTCTTGGTCAACAGGAATTTGCTTTGGGGGAATGGTATTAGCAGGAGGAGTCTCAGAAAAGTTTCGCACGGTTTCAGGATTAGCACTCGGGGCTGACGAGAAATCGCTCGATGTCTGACGCTGTATAGATTGAGGAGACACTGTTTGGGGTTTGTATTCGGAAGGGTAGGGAAAGGATTCTAAAGGACGAGGAGGAATTGCATCAGGATGCTCAAATATATTTGCTGATGTAGCCTCACTGGTCATAAGAGGAGGAGGAGATAGGTGAGTAGGATTGAGCTCAGACTCTTTCTTTACCGATGTATAAAAAGAACTTTGAAGTTCTTCGATAGGTGGTTTCTGTTCAATCACTGGAGTCACAGTCGTATTCATTTTTTGAGGATCAGCGGTATCAGCATCATGCTTTTCTGCTTTTTGCTTTTGCATTCCTTCCGGAAGAAGAAAGGAAAAAGATATCTGTCCAATTTGAACACGAGTTCCGCTGTGTAGTGGCACGGTGGATCCGCGTTCGACGAATTCGCCATCAACGAAAGCCCCGTTCTTTCCAATGACGGAGAACTCAAATCTCTGATTTGGAAAGTTGTAAACAATTTTAGCATGCTGACGAGATATAGCCTTGGTGTCTCCCAGATGAACATCGCAATCACTAAAGTTACTAGCTTTCCGACCCATTGTAACTTGTAGAGTCTGAACAAAGAAAGAAAACTTTTCAAATTCTAATTTAGCGTAGGCTTGAACCCTGTTGCTACCTGATTTTTGCTCCGCTGCATCTTGTCGAACTGCGTCAGGCATGCCTACACTTATACCAAAACCTTCCTTTCCTCAGTCTTGAGATTATCAAAGCCAATTGCTACCGCAACAAAGCGTGCAAGTTAATTTCTATGAAAAAAATAAATTACTGGCGAAATGAAAAGGGGATTTCGCCCTTTTAACCGAAACCGCTACTTTTCCACCGAATGTGTAGTTGAAGGAGTGGCAGTAAATTGGTGTACTGAGTACACTTTCCAACTTCACAACATCTGGCGTAATCGCAAAGGTGTTATAGTCAGCCTTAAATTTGTTTTTCTTTTATATTTCTTATAATAACTTCAGGATTATTAAAAAAAATTGTTTTTCTCGGGTTGTAATTGATATATCCTGAGGGTTACGCACTCGACAATATTTACTATCAGAATTATTGAATCAGACAGACTTAGAAGGTAATTGATATTAATTAGAAAAATGTCAAATATTTTGAAGTGGTTTGGAGGCGCCGGTCGTAACAAAGACGTTACGAAGGATACGATCACTCGGTTCCAGGATACTTTGTCAATGTTTGAAAAGAAAGAGCAAAGACTAGAGCGTCAAATTGCCGAACAAAGTGAAATTGCTAAGAAGAATGCGACTACAAACAAAAGAGGTACGAGAAAACAATATAAAAGAAGTGTTTATAGAATAGTGTTCAGTATGCTAACTATTATTAGCTGCAATGGCGGCCTTAAAAAGGAAAAAGATGTACGAGAACGAACTTGAAAAGATTGAAGGAAGTCGCATGAATATTGAACAACAGCTGTATACTATCCAGAATGCCAATCTCAACTTTGAAACCTTACAAGCTATGCGTCAAGGTGCTGAGGCTATGAAGCAAATCCAACGAGGCGTGGATGCTGACAAGGTCGATAACATTATGGATAAAATTCGTGATCAACAAGCTATTTCAGAAGAAATTTCTGCTATGATCAGCACACCCATGGGCTTGAATGCAGACGTGGACGAAGATGAATTGGCGAACGAATTGGATGAACTACAACAAATGGAACTTGACAATAAGATGCTTGGTGCAGAAAAACCACCCGTTCATGCCCCAGGTGTCACTACTGGCACTCCTGTTGACAAACTTCCTTCGGTTGCTAAACCTCAAGAAGTAGATGAGGAAGAGGAATTAAGAAAACTGCAAGCTGAATTCTCTCTCTAACTGTAACGTTATATAAATTATGATGAGAGGCATTTTATGCATTAACGCTTAATGGAGGACAAATGCAAATGAAATTAGATGATTGCATGATGCTTCTTGTTGTCATGTGTCAATTAATAAATAAATAAAATACTTTCTATATACAGGAATGAGATACGCAAGTAGAAAAGACTCATAGCATTACGAAATTACTCTATAGGAAAAAAGAAGTTAGAATATCCCTTCCCATAAAATGCAATTCATCATCCTCAACTATAAAATTACACATACGAGGAATATACAATTGATATTATTAGGAACGAATGAGTTAAACATAAAAATTGAGGTTGAAGGATCGAATGATGCATTGAAATTTCGAAACAAATGGCCAAACCCCGATTTCTGAGATATGGGTCGAAATTCACTGTATTTCGTTACTTATCAGATGGGTGAACATAAGGCTTTACCAACATTTCAGAGAAAGATTTCAAAGCCTCGGGGCCACGAACTTCGGCAGGAATTTGGGGTACTTTCACGATGTGGAAATCTTCGTATAAGTCTTCAATCTGGTCAAGATACTTCTGTTGCATTTTTCTGCGAGCAAGACATTGAGGACAGGTTGTATGAGGATCCAATAGCAACTGATTGACCACAATGTTATTTACATCAATCTCGTATCCAACCAATTCTAAAAGAGTTAATAAGTCATGAAATTTAAGAGCTTTGTATGCATTCAATGTTACACAATACCAAAGAACCTAATACTTACCTTGAATCATTCTTTCGGTTTCGTAAAGGGAAAGGAACTCAGAGATACAAACACAAACAAAAGTAGTGAGTTCTGCATTCTTAAATTGTTGGTTTACTTGAGAAATGTTTTCACGCATGCCTTCAAGCTTACCAAAGATGTCTTCCTGATTTGCGTTGACACCCATCAAACCGCTCATTTGATTGATCATAGGGCCAAAACGACTAGAAAGGCCACCAAGTTTACCTAAGGCCTTTTCTAGAACAGTGGGGAAATTTAGGAATCTCAAAGTATGACCGGTAGGAGCGGTATCAAAAATAACACAATCGAACTCCATGGATTTCACTTGTTTTAGAATTTCAGCAAATGCAAGAGCCTCATCAATACCAGGAATGGTAAAGGCCAAATCTTGCATCATACCAGACATGGGATTGTTAGGGTTTTGTTGATCAGCTTGCTCAGTCATTTCCTGAATAGACTGGTTGGGATCAATTTCCATAGCGCTAAGGTTTTCAAATCCAGGGACTTTTTTTGCGTCTTTTCCAAACTTTGTTCCAAAGGCATCAGACAAATTGTGAGCGGGATCAGTGGAAATTAGCAAAACAGAAGAACGAACCTTGGACATTTGAATAGCCAAAGAGCAAGAAGTGGTAGTTTTACCAACACCACCCTTACCACCGACGAAAACCCATTTCAAAGTCTTTTGATCTAACAAGTTCTGCAAAGTTCCAGGTAAAGGCTCTAATGACATTATGGACTAAAGACAGTGTATGAAAAGTAAAGATTTTTACTTTTTTTATTTCTAAAAACCGGCGGATCCTGCGAAAATGAACAGACCTGTTTTATGGTGGAAGTATGATTTTTGCCAGAGGATGTGCTGCAGTAACGACGACTGAAAGAAGCATACAGAAACTAGACGAACAAAGTAAAGGAAACTTCAGAAACACCCAGAGAATTAACAATAATGCCTGGAATTGAGTATGAATATTGCATAGAGACATGTTTTTCTTGGTTGGATAACGAAATTATATAGGCGAAGAAAAGGCAGCAATACATTCAATAATGAGTTCAGGAGGATAATCTATAAAATTGAAGCAAGTTAATAATAGCTGTAAAGTAAATAAATTAGGGATTCCTGTCAGCAAAATTTTTGGATCTCCATCCACATAAGAGCTATGTAGGAATACGTTTATTGAACAGACATAAGAATCATCAAACTGAAGCTTTTATATTTTATTCGTAGTAATATAAGGATATATAAAAGAAAAGAAAAACTGAATGAAAACTGTATGGACAAAGAAGGGCATGCGCGGTTGGTTATAGACTTGTAATACATAACCAAATTACCGAACTGAAATTAAAAGGATATAAAAAAAAAAAGAAGAAAAGAAACAATGTATGATAATAAATAATTTCGTAAAAGCCAAAAAAATTCCGGAAAAGCAAGCTAAAAGCAAGAAGGACAGATTATTAGCTGAGGACAATCAATCTGGATAAGTCTGCCCTGTATGGCATAACATCAAATTTAGTATTCACGATACTCTCTTGGTAGAAAGGAAGAAACTTTAGCAACAGCCAATACCAGCTGAATGATCGCCAAAACTACTGTCATCCCAGGAAAATGATAGGTATCCTATCCAAGCGCCAAGAAAAGTAAATAACACAACGTATCCATTAAAAGACATGACAATGAGCATGAGTATAGTAGCGGCACCATAGTAGCAGGTTTGAAGGAAGGCTCGGGCGAGTTGTTGAAGCACATTTACATGAGGTGTACTACCAGGAAAAAATAATCGTAAGGGACCTTGCAATGTCTTACCATTAGATTGTTGAGCAATATAACCATCGAAGATTCGCTGTAATCTTCTACAGGCCTCAATGGCTATAGCAAAGAAAAAGATGCCAACAATTGAGCCAGCAAATTTGTTTGCCGTATATGCATGCCAAGATTTGGATAGGAAACAGGAGTCGACAGTGTACCAATTCCAGAGCATGCTCATTTTGCAAGAATGTGATGAGGATTGTCCCATGTCCATGCCGCTCATTTTTTGGGCAGAAAAGTCCAATGCATTTTGTAATTCCATTTCCTCTAGTTGTTTTACCTTTTCAAAACTATTTCAAGAGTTCCCTTGTTCCTTGTAAAAAGTCGAAATCTAAAGAACGATTTGTTTATTAAGTATAGCGAGGAGTTTTGATCGTTATATAAATTTATCGTAATGTACTCCGATTCTTTAAAGGTTTTCACTTCCAAGGATTCATCTCATATATAGGTACAGGGTGCCCTGTGCAACGAGCGAATATTGCCCGGGCGAAATCAACGCGTTTTTTAAGACTTAGCGTGTTTCTTTGTGTTGGTATGTACATCTTTAAAGTGTGTTATCTGGTATAATGTATTTGCTAGAGGTTTATGGAATGGATTACCGTAATGGGCTTTGTGATCATTACAATAAATACCATAGTTTGTTGTAATTCGTTCGTAAATAAACAGATGAAATGAAATTCAAGAGAAACCAAAAGGGTGGTCTTTGTGAGATCTGTAGGTAAATAGAGTACCGTTTTTCAGTTGGAAATTTGATTTATACCAACAAAATAATCATATTTTCTTCATTTCGAGTGTGAATGTTAAGTTTTATTTACATGATTATTGACGTCTGAGAATACAGAACATATTGTCTTTAAGTAATCTGTGTAAACAAACGTTAGTATGGTTTTTTAATATGTATTTCAAATGAAGGAAACCAAAAAAAAAACAGAAAGACGACAGACAAAACCGATAGGTCATAGTCTTACAGTTCCTACATTTATACTGTTTTAAATATGCAGCAGAGTTCTCGAGATAATTACTAAGATTAATCTTAGAATGAATTATTTCTTTTTTATTTAAAACTAGTGTTTAAGTATTTATTCTTGTTTGCATATGAATTAGTACGAAAGCTCTCTATATAAGGAATGTAGGCATAATTCATAAACCACTCAGATAATAAAATCTATCCAGAAAAAGGACACAACATTAGCAAATATCAATATAAACTAATTAATACAGGCTTAAAGAATGGACTAGTAAGTTACTGGAAAATGAACTGAAGAGATGACGCTTGGTTACATATTACTATAACTTCACAAAATATTCTTTATAACAATAATACCTATAATATTTTCTTACTATTTTCATTTGAGTAACGCAGCGAAATAGGCTTCCCTATTCTGTAAATACTTCTGAACTCTTGGCAATTCGTTTCTTCGTCCTTAACCAAAAATTGTTTTATTAGAGGGTTTTTGTAAACAATGGGCCGCTTAAGGAAAAGATTCAATGAGAAGGGCCGTCAGAGCGGCATTCAGAAGATGCTAAACCTGAAAAAGTCGCGATTGCATCGCTCTGTACGAGAGCAAGATGATGCGTCTTCTGAACATCCAAAGCCCATTCTTGAGGAACCTCAAACCACTGATACAAATGTGGATGTCATTACAGATGAAGATAGAAAAGCGAAAGAGGAGAGGAGGCGCCAATTAAAAGAACAATTGATGAAGGAAAATGAAGGTGCTCCCATGTCTACAAAAAAGAAAAAGCGGTTAGACAAATATATTGTAAGTTGGGCAACGATTCATGAATGATTTTCGTAATAAATCGCTAATAAATTTAGGAGAACAAACTAAAAAAAGAAACTTCTGCTGCTTTAATGGCAAAAATCGCCGAGGAAAGCGTGGATACATCTTTATTGTATAGTACAAAAGACTTAGGAAAACCAAAAACTTCTAAGGAACGATTGCAAAGGTCTTTGTTGGAGGAGAAGAAGGGCTTGCCAATTTCCGATCCTTCAAGCCGTCTCTATACATCCGTAGAAGTGAACGAATCTCAACCGGAGACTTCAGAGCCAAATGTACAAACTATATCCCAAAATAAGAATATTCCTGGTACTGCTTTTGGATTCGGATTTTCCGCTACTTCTGTCCCTTCCGCCGCAACAACTACGGCACCTATAAAAGTTCTTCCACCGAAACGCAAAAGATCACTCCGTTGGGGAAAAAACGAAGATTTTAGTGATGCTAATGATTCTGATGAACAAGATTATTTAAGCACCGATAGTGAAGAAGAAGCAGAAGAAGATGATCAAGAAGAGACAGCTGATTCAGTATCCGATAATGAAGTGTCACCAGAAGTAAGCACCGCGGACAACGATAAAGCTGAAATTCCTAATGGACACGTCGGAAATGGTTTTAAAAACAAACCCGACAACAAGCAATCGATAGTTACCCAGCATCCCGATCTTCACAGTGAGGAGTTTGACCTGAATTCATCAGAAGAAGAATTTAGCGCCGACGAAAGTGACGAAGATCGTGATAACGAAGCTTCTGAAAGAGCCAACAGATTTAAATCTTGGGCTGCTCAACAAGTTCTTCCCGGTGATTCATTCGAGCATGAAAAGCAAGAATCCGTAATATCAGCTCAAAACGACGAAATTCGTCGCCGCATAAGAAATCCTAAAAAATTAAAAAGGGTTGAAGACGATTCCGATGTTTTACCTGTTGGTGTTGACGAAGTGAAAAATCGAAAGACAACTTACAGACTTGTAAATCGCCCTCCAGAAATTCAGGAATCTAGACTTGCACTTCCAATAGTTGCTGAAGAACAAAGCATAATGGAACATGTATTTGCAAATGATGTGGTAATAATATGCGGTGCAACCGGAAGTGGTAAAACAACTCAGGTCCCTCAATTTCTATTCGAAGCTGGATTTGGCTCTCCTGAATCAGACACCCCAGGAATGATTGCTGTTACACAACCTCGTCGTGTAGCTGCAGTTAGTATTGCTAAGAGAGTTGCCGAAGAACTCACGGGCTTTTCCTCTAAGGTTAGTCATCAAATTCGATTTGATAGCACTGTTAATCCAGAGACAGCTATCAAATTTATGACTGATGGTGTATTAATTCGTGAATTATCGACTGACTTCTTGCTTACTTCGTACTCGGCTATCATAGTTGATGAGGCTCATGAACGCAGTGTTAATACCGATATTCTATTAGGACTCTTAAGCCGTATTGTGCGTCTACGGAGAGAAATGAGTGAGAATGATCCTAATATCAAACCTTTAAAGTTGTTGATCATGTCTGCTACACTTCGTGTCTCCGATTTCGCCGAAAACAGACTACTGTTTGCTCAACCTCCGCCAATTCTGAAGATCGACGCTAGACAATATCCTGTCTCCATCCATTTTAACAGAACAACGAAGGCAAATTACATAGAAGACGCATATGATAAAGTATGTAAAATTCATAACCGATTACCAGCCGGTGCTATTTTGGTGTTTTTGACTGGTCAGCAGGAAGTAGAACAACTTTGTTCAATGCTTCGAAAACGATTTAATCGATCTTACAGGCCTCAACAAAGACAAAATGGACGCGTTAATATTTCTAAAAAAGAAATGTCAATAGAAAATGAAGATGTTCAATCCGACAACGAAGACGATGAGAAAAACATCTCTCCGAAATTAGACTCAATTGAACTTGACAAAGAGTCTGAGCCAATGCATATTTTACCTCTTTACTCTTTGCTGACAACAGAAAATCAGTTAAAAGTATTTGAAAAGCCACCAGAGGGTCACAGAATGTGTATTGTCGCTACCAATGTCGCTGAAACCTCTATTACAATCCCGAACGTCCGTTACGTTGTGGACTGCGGAAAAGCAAAAGAAAGAGTTTATAATGAACATACATCTGTTCAAAAATTTGAGGTGTGTTGGATTAGTAAAGCAAATGCCGATCAACGTGCAGGTCGTGCGGGCCGTACTGGAGCAGGTCATTGTTATCGGCTTTATTCTTCAGCTGTATATGATAGAGAATTCAGCCAACATTCTTTGCCTGAAATTTTACGCGTACCAGTTGAAAGTATTGTGCTACAAATGAAGAGTATGAACATTGATAATGTTGCAAACTTTCCTTATCCTACTCCTCCTAGTCGTGCAAACCTTCAAAAAGCATTGCATCTACTTTCAGTATTGGGCGCTACTGACCGAGAAGGCAGGCTTACAAAACTTGGAGAACAAATGTCTTTGTTTCCCCTGTCACCAAGGTTTTCAAAAATGTTGATTATTGGCCAACAGCTTGGATGTCTTCCTTTTGTTATCGCATTAGTAGCAGCACTTTCTATTAATCAACTGTTTGTATCGAAACAAACACTTCTATATGATGCTAATAGAAAAGAAAGTGTTTCAGAAGAAACTGAGAATATTGAGAATGAGGATCTTAAGCAACGTGAAGAGCACAAAAACAGGTTACGTGGTTTCTATAATGCTCTTTACAAATTTCAAGCTATTGATACAGAATCCCCCGCGTTGAGATACTTGAGTGCGGTTTGTGCTTACGACTATGCCGCTGATAAAGCTAGATTTTGCAAAGAGAACTATCTTCGTTCTAAAGCATTAGAAGAAGTTGTCAGTCTCAGGAAACAACTTATCAACCTTCTAAAAAGATATATATCAGATTCCAACAACGATTTTACCAAACTGCAATTAAAGCCGCCTTCTGATATACAAATAAAGGCATTACGGCAATTCATAGCTTCTTCATATATCGATCAAATTGCGTTCTACGACCAAGAGAAGGGAGGTTATGTTACACTGTTTCCATGTGGAGCTGAAACCGCACGGTTTGTTCCGGATACTCCTCCAAACTTTCAACCTCAATTTGCTGTGTATCAACATTTACATGAAAGTTCTACTGGAAGAGTGTATATGGAACCTTTGACATCAGTCACTGGTCAGCAGTTGGCTAGACTGGCCAAAAATTCTAGTCTAATTTCTTACTCTAAACCTTTGTCTTATCCTCCTATTCGCTACATTGACGACGGCATCAAACGAGAATGTTATGTTGTACCAGTCCTAAGTTCACATACGGGTTCAGGAGGAGCTTCATGGAATCTTCCAGCCGAAAGGGTTATACAGAAGCGAATCAATGGAAGATGGGAATTAACTCAGTAATTCTTTTTGGTATTGATTATTTAATTTAAAGAATGACTAAAAAAAAAGACTTGTCATCTTTAGGAGTTAGAATTCACGGATTAAAACAATTACAATTTTGGAATGGTTAGGTTTTGGGATGAATAATAATATGGATTTATATCTTTAAAAAATGTAAAACAATAAACAAAACAACAGTAAATATTCATGTACGGAGGATGTTTTCATGATGATCATTTTTTTTTTCATTCAATGTCCATTGCATCGCGGTTATGCAAAGGAGAAAATGTAGTAGTTGCAGGATTACCAGTTGTCGTATTCGGCACATTAGGATCGTTAGATTCATTATAGTTATCATCTAAATCTTCAACCACCACAGAACTGCAAGGTTCATTCTCTTCAGAAACATTAGAATCAGAAGACATAGGTTCCTCGACCGTCCAGTAGGGTGTACTTTCAGTCGGGATATATCGAATTAACTGAGTGTCACCTTGATATTTTTGATGAGAATTGTAGTCCCAGTGAGATGACGGTAGAAACTGCGGAACAGACGAAGAAAAATAAGGTGAAGGAGAATTGAGAGAAAGTATCCTCAAACGATTTGGATGAGGAACTAAGGATTTTGATGAATCGGGTGGAACTTCATATTCTAGTTCAGGCGCTCTTTCTAAAGGACGACCTGTAGACAAGTCAACTACTTGTGTTGTTAAATGCGGATGATTCGACTCCAAAGAAACCTTTTTCCTTGGTAAACCATCCGTTTGCAAGTCTTGTTGCAATTGAGGGGTTCTGTTTGGAATCGCCGAAAAATTGTTATCTGGAGAAACGAATGAATGTTGAGCTAAATCTTCATACACAAGAGCTTCATCTGGATGGGAGCGTTTTCGGGAGCCTGTTGGTGGAACTGCGAAAGAAGGAAAAGCTTCGTGGAAAGATGTTTCATCTGGTTGAATTGATTTTGGACCGCACCGTGGTCTCTTCACAAAAAAATTTGAATCATAAGAAGAAAATGGAGAGACTAACGAGACTTGATCGTCTTCGGGGAATAACCCATTGTCAGAGGGCCTGTCACGCTTCATATGAAATAATTATGGAATGCCAAATAAATAGATTAAATAAATAAAATATGTGCAAATAAAAATATACACGGAAGAATCAAAGGTTCCTTGAGCAATTCTACTTTTCTTGTTTCGTAATAGAACAAGCCAAAAGCGAAACGTAATTTCCAATAAAATCGTTTTACGAAATATACCTTTTACTCTAAGTCAAAGAAATAAACCCTTTTTTTTTTTTGTTCCAATTCCTGCACTTCTATATAGGTGCTTGCATTGAGTCAATTCCTCTGGAACGAAAAAAAAGCTGTAATTCTAGTAATTGTTCTTCAATCGTCTAGAAAAATCCAAAGATTAAAATTTACATTGGAGCCCAATTGTCAGTTTTAAAGGAATTTATGAAGTGTAAAAGTACAAAAAAATTGAAAAATAGTAGAATTAGAATTATTCACAAGAAAAGCAGAGCATTTGTTTGGTTATACGAGGTTATGAGTAATATGTACGACAACCAACGAACGTATAGAACAGTATTCCAATTTGATATAGAAACATAATCACATAAGTAAACAAAGCAAGTTGAGTTGAGTCTCTTTACGATGACAATTTTCGAAAAACAAATCTCAGCGCCTTGCTTATAACTACCATAAGTCTAAAGGCAGTAATGGGACGTAAATAAGAAGGGACATAAAGTCCAAAATGAGAGTGATCTATTTGTAACATTATTTCTTTTCTCAAAACTTATTCAACGATGGTTCAGACAAGTAGTTGAATACCTCTGTCTTGGCCGTTACGTCTGTCATAATTGATGCCTGCTAGGGAAACCCTTTTGTGATACTAGATTCTAGAGGATGTTCCTAGTAATAGCTCCTTACTTTGATCCCTTCCGAGGCAAGTATTTGTCCTTTATGGATATGATGCCAACATTTTCAGACTGAATAATATGAAGCAAATTACAATCACTGTTCATTCGTAATTCCAATTTTAGAAGTTTTACAGAAGTATAGGAGCAAATCTCAAAGGAGCCCTAGAAGAAACTTCTGAGATTGCCTTAAAAATCAACCATCTCATATACTGAAATCTTTTGCGCCCGGAAGAGTTAGATCCAAAATAATAGAACAGAAAATAGTCCTTATTTAGCTAAATTTTACTCTGTATATCTGATTCGTATCACAGGTTCAAGTTAGTTGTATATCGTTTTAGCAATGATTATTGTCCTCATAGAAAACAGTACTTTGACAAGAATCCTCAAGAGAAAAATTTCATTCTTTGTGCTTGTTTTCTTTTCTTTTCTTTTTTTTTACATATTTAATAGCTGCTATAAAAGGCCGTGTCATACGTGTGTCAAAAACGAATAAACCGATTTGGCAAGTGGCAGTTTACTTTTATAAAGCAAATCCATTTAATTGATCCTTATTTCACGAAAGCCTCATATTCTTTGGCACTTAAAAATTCCCATCTTCATCTACTTTTTATCTGCTGCACTCATACGAGAACAATAACAAGAGAGTGACAAAGAATTGGTTGGTTCGACATTTCTCAGTTGTACACTTCCTTTTCTTTATTCTTAATTATTTCTATTATATTAGAAATACTTGAAGCTATATTTAGGGATTTCCAAATTTATTTAACAGATATAAGCTCATGGATGCACTAGAGCCAGAATTGGAAAAAATTTTAGATTTTGAACAGTATGGGACCTTAACACCTATTGCACAAGATGATGGAGTAAATCCATTGGCAAAAATAAATTATTCCAAGGAATATGAACAGGGAATGGCTTATTTCCGCGCTTTGGCCGCCAAACAGGAATATTCAATAAGGGCATTCAACTTAACTTGTTTTCTTATTATGCATAATCCAGCTCATTATACGGTATGGGCATACAGGTTTCAAGTCCTTAATCATATTCCAGAGCTTATTCCGCAGGAATTGGCGTGGCTCGATTCAGTCATCGAAGACTTTCAGAAAAACTACCAAGTCTGGCACCACAGACAGAAGCTTCTCGGAATTACAAAAGATTATAAACATGAATTAGAATTCACAAAAGACATGTTTGCATCAGACGCTAAGAATTATCACGTTTGGTCTTACCGACTGTGGATTTTACAAAGTTTTCAGGACTACACAGAAGAGTTAAGCTTAACAAGCTATTTACTAGAAGATGATGTATATAACAATTCTGCCTGGAATCATCGATTCTATGTGCTTTTTGAATCAAATGCGAAACTTGAAAGAAGCTTGCAAGACGAATTGGACTTTCTGAATGACAAGCTCTCCAAGTCACCGGACAACCAAAGCGCTTGGAACTATTTGAGTGGGTAAGTCGGGCATTTCGCTGTAAGCTTTTCATTTCACTAACTTGCAACTTTACAGAATTTTGAAAAAGGTAGGACCGAATCAACTAGGTGGTATTGCAAATCAGTTAGAAAAACAACTTCCATCTTCTAACAGATTCCTTTTGGAGTTTTTGGCTGAATATGATCCTACACGCTCAAAAGTTATTTACGAAAAGCTAGCGAACGAAGTCGACACAGATAATCAATTACTGTGGAATTGGATGATTCAGCAAGTACCTCGCACATGAAACAAAATGATAACAAGCTGTCTACGATTGCTAGATGTTCAGTGAGAAATGAAGCTTTAAGAATTAAACAATTTAGAAATCATCATAATTATATTCCTTGTAAGTAATAGTAGGTATGTTTATATAAGAGACTAGGAACCTTTGAGGGACTCACGTATATACATGGTATAAATTAGTAACAAAATTTGCTCCCTGGCGTTAATTCTCATCGAGTTTAATTCGCTTTAAATATTCCAAGAGCCTATAACGTTGTCGTTAGTAAGTAGAATGTTGGTTTAATCTTTTGGACGTACTCAGGATCATTTTGGATACCGGACTTTTCAAAAATTTCACGAATAGCCTGTGATAACTCAATAAATTCTGGATCTCTTGCCAACTTGAGCATGACCAAAGGTGAAGGTTTCACTCCGGGTTTAAGACCGTGTTTTTCACAGAATACACGAAGACGATCAATTTTTTCGACTAGCTGTGGGTCGTTAAGGACAACGGAACTCATTTTTTCTTCTATCTTGTGCATTTTATCGTCCATTCCCATATTTTCACCAAAAACATTATCATCTGGCTTCGTCGTCGCATAGCTTCTCCAAACTGGACGGACGAAAGCAGGTCGTTGCATACAACGAGCTAAAGAATTTGTGGTAGTTCGTTGAAGAACTACGCGAGGAATCATTTTCAAAATATGCATGATGGTTGATGTTCGAAGGTGGTAGAGGCCAAGTATGGTCCAAGAGGTAGGCAATGGGGGCACCTGAAATCTCTCGCCTTCAGCATGTTCAACAACTTGGTTAATCAATTCTTTTAGATCATTGGTTTACAATACGAAAGTTTTGGCTGGCTATGAAGTACTGACCAGATTCATCTTGTTGCAAAACAAGGTTGTCACTAGAAGAAGAATGTTAGAAGCAGCGATATTATTTCCTTATTCATACGAAAAAATATGGGCCTTTTTGTCTGCAAAACGAATGCTGCCGGAAACCATTAGTAGCAGATTGGCAATCGACCCCATGATACTCTGACAGTCGTAATCGTCCACTTTCGTTTTCGTAGGTGGAAAGTTTGCGATCATGGATAAGAGATCCGCGGATTGCATAGGACGACCGTTCCAACTAATGAGACTCGAAGGCCGGTAAAATTCGGGAAGTTTGTCTCGTCCATTCTCAAGACAAACGTAGTAACGAAGTGCAAAATTTTGAGCGGCTACAAGAATAATATTTAGTATTTTGTAATTTTTTTTAGATTTGAAGTGTTTAAACCCTTACACTGCGTTGTAAACTCCATTGATTGCACAAAAACGTTGTTGAGGAACTTGGTAAGCTTTCCAAAACGCGACCAGCTCCTACTATTTTGGAAGTCAACAGAAGGAAATAGGAATTTGGATCTAGTTGTTTGGTTAATTGAACAAAAAGACACTTTTAATGATTCCTTAAATAAATTGTTTGGTATAGTTATTACAAATGCAAGACACGCAACAACCTTACTTTGGTTTATACGATTCGCACCATGAAATAGTAAAGAACAGTAAAAAACAAATAAAATATTTCTATTTAATGTACAGAACCAATGCGTGATCCGATGGTTATAGTGTAATAGAATAAATAATATGCTGGGAAAAGTAAGCAGAGAAAGGACTTGAGTATGGGTTAAATTTTTCCTTAATCCTTATTTTTGGATAGACATTCAAAACAGAATGCCTTTTCACAGTTTTCCTTGGAATGATGCTTGGCCATAGGAGTAGATATCTGAGATGTAGAAACGGGTTTGGCGACAAAATTTTGAGAATCCTTGTACACAAATGAAGGACGGGGAGAGACCATTGATAAGAGAGAAACAAAATTCCTTTTTTTTGTAGAGGAAAAAGAACTAGTACGCTTAGATGACATGAAGTCTTTCTTGGCCGGCTTTTCAGGAGTTTGGAATGCATTGGTAAGATTGTCCTGGCGGTCACTGCTGCTTGTATGAGAGTTTGCCTGAGAATCTAATACATTATTCCCTTCGTTAACAAGCGGCAATGGCATTTTTTGTAAAGTCTCCACAAGTCCATTGTCTGGCATTGGCTTAGAATGCGGAAAGTTTTTCAAGTTTGATATTTGGCCTGCATCTTCACCCGTGTGTGCGTCAGTAACTAGTTGAGAAGAATCAGGATAAGGAACGGAAGAAATTTCAGTAGAGTCTTGTTCTCTCACTTCAGAATTAGCATTAGTGGTTTTCATTTTTTTCTTGGGATACGATGCCTTCACAAACGACGAGCGGTTAAAAGGACATGAACTACCAGCCTCGTTTCGAAAAAAGGACATGAGAGGGACATCTTCTTCTATATCAATATCATATTGCTTCAATTTCTCAACTTCTACTGCTGTTTGATTCTCGCCCTTCGTCAGCTTGCTAGATGACGAGGCAAACGCTGGAGACGTATCTACTGGTGAATTCTCAGTTTCGTCTTCTGGAGTCCAAACATCATTCTTATTTTTTAAACCAAGTAAATGACCTCGGTTAACAACAATTTTTCCAGTGGAAAGGTCAATTTCGTCAGCTATGTCGGAAGTGTCGCGTCCATACTTTTCGAATAAAGACGCCAGGAATGTTTCATAACGTTTTTGAGAAGCGCGTCGGCTTTCAAATAATTCATCTATCGTGGAAAGCTGTGTAGGACATGCGAACGCCGATGTAGGAGCATCCGCGTGGAAAGAATGAGAATCTGGAGTTCCAAAGGACGCGTGGTCTTCGTTTTGGAAAGAATTCATCAAAATAGATTTTTAGAAATCATCTGTCAACTAATAAAAGAGGACAATGTTTGATTGAGAGTTCATTCACACCAAGGAAATGTTGGCATGAACATGTACGTAGGTAAATGTACCAAGGACAGGATGCATCATTTTCCCTCCTGGTAAATCCAACATAGATTCTAACTATTTAAAGAAAAATAAAACCTTACACAAAAAGAAACTATTATGCATAGTTATCACCTTGTATGTTCTTTTTATTTTTTTTATTTTTTTTTCTTTAACATATGTATGATTCAACATTGCAGAATTGCTTCCTATACAGGGAAGACGCGAAATTGAGCATGCATGGCAGCAAGGGTAATAGCAGAAGAATTTACGTCTGAAAAAAAAATAAAAACAATTCAGTTGTTTACCCTGTTGTAAATTCCAATTGTTCGTCTTCACTACATCATATTTGCTTTCATTTCGTTTAGAAGATCGCTGACCATGAAAGCAATAACGCTTTTCTTTGTCCCCTAAACTTTCTTTTTCTATTGTCTAGCTATTGTTTTCTCTTAAAAAACAAGCGCTCTTTCTCCCTTTCTTTACTTGCTTAAGCAACCTTTCAGGTATAACCCATTGTATTTCAATTGTTCCATAAACTGTTACCTCGTCAAAGTAAGCATCTATGTTGTCTTAGAATAATATTAGCGAATGTTATGCTAATTTGGAAGCCATTTTGTTTGTCGCTGTTCTTTTGAAAGTCCTTTGTTTACACTGCGTTACCTGTGTTCTCAAATGAATATCTTCGGTTTGAGGAAAGAAAACCGCGTATTTTTTTTTAGAAACAGATATTTCTATAACTTTTATTACATAAAGGTGTTCATGAAGACATCTATCTTCGAATTGCCTTCTTTTTTTCTCTTCGTTTACATTTCTTTGTGTTTTAAATGACAAATGTTACCCCATGAAGTAACACATGTTCTTCAATTCATTGTGTGAATCATCGCCTATTGTGAACACTACGCACAACCATGAATTTGCTTTTGGTATTGTGTCTATTGTTTAGACACATTGTCTGACATTCAATTCTTCTCTTTGTCTATTGTCTTCCCAAAATGAAAAAATCTATATAAGCACTTCATAGAATGCCTAATTTGACAAGCTTCGGCCTGCGAGCGTCTCCAACAACGATTATCATTACCTGTTTTGTCGTTTCGCTCTTGGCTACAATTCGTTTTGAAATATTTTGAAACATAACTTTTGATCAATATTTTTTTTCCCTTGGATTCCTTATAGATTTTGACATTCTTTGCGAAACTGTTTCTTGAAACATTGTTATATCCGTTCATTTTAATTATCTAGATATAGAAGATTTGTTGTTTTTTTCTCTCTTTACGATTTCCTTTTTTATTTTTTAACGAATTTCATCATGACTTTAATGACGTTTTTTCTCCTTCCTCTCTTTCTCTTTGCTTTGATATCACCTGCATTTGCATTGTTTCCTAAAAAGTTAGCTTACGTCTCCCAAAATGGTCCTTTCAGGAACGCTACCGTTGCCGAGGTTTTGAATGGGTCGAAAGACCTGGCAGCGTCGTCATGCTCATGCCCTTCTCACGTTCTTTCTTCTGATGTTCCTCTTTACTCGGCCAAAGAAACCGTCACCGCTTCTAGTTACTGGACCCTTGTCACAACTCAAGTTACCACTACTGCTTATGTTCCTTTTACTTCACAACTTGCCTGTGTTCCAACTGGAGGTTTCCAGTCCTCTTCTGCTCTTACTAGTAGCTCAACCGGCAGCTCCTCTCCAGTCCCTTCTGTAGCTTCCGTGCCTTCCTCAGCCACCGCTGCTACCTCGAGTCAAATTCCTCCTGCCAGTACTAGTGCCAGTGTTAGTCCTAGTCCTAGTCCTAACCCCAGTCCTAGCTCTAGCCCGAACGCCGGTCCCTCATCTGTCCCTGCCTCATCTGCAACAACTACCGGTACAAGTCCAGCTGGCGCTCCGTCTTCAAGTGTTAGTTCCACTATAGTTTCTACCTCGCAATCGAAACCCTCTACGAGCTTCAGTGGTTCTGCCTCTTCTTCCCCTGCTCCTGCCCCATCTGAAAGCTCAGTTAAGTCATCTTCCCCGGTTCCCACTCAGAGCAAAGCTACTGATAGTTCTTCGACTTTCCCTCCCACCTCTGTTTTCTCTTTTCTAACTGAGCGTTTCTCTACCGTTTACACAACAACATCCCTTTCAGGTGCTAGCTCGACTGTTAGAATTATAACTTCCGATGTCGTTTCCTCTAAACCAATCACTTCAACACCTTCTCCTTCATCGACTGTTCCAACCACTCCCTTTGCGTCGCATTCTCCTTCATCATCTTCCCTGTCTGGAAGCGGAGGTCTCCCTAACAACGGAAAGCAAGGACGTCCTTCTACGGTTACCGAACTTTCTACTAGTGGCTCCCATGTCTACAGTACCACTGAACTTACCACCGTTTATGATACCGTCTATACTACAAGCATAGGTTCCAACACTCTTACTACTACGGTTACCTCTAATTTGAGTGGTTCTGCCAGCCAATCTGTCCCTCGTTCATCAATCCCTGTAACGTCTACATCTCCTTTATCTTCCACTGTCGTTCTTTCTTCTACCATCAATGGCAATGGAAGTACTGGTACGAAAGTTATTCCCATTACAAGCACCGTATACTCGGCATCTACCTTAACTGAGAGTGTCATTAACTCTACACCTGTGCATCCCGGAGTAGATACTTCATCTCTATCGCAGACCACCTCAGTCCCCTCATCTTCAACTTCCGTTGATAAATCGAGCAGTATTATTACAAGCACTACTACCGGATCTTCTTCAAGTCCAGGTTCGGTAAGTAGTTCTCCCAGCATAACTGGCTTGACTGAAACTGATACAGTAACCACCACTTCTGGTTTTGTAGGTTTCACCACTACTGTAACTACCGAATCTGATTCGATATCTACACCTTCTTGGGTTACCAAGACTGTCACCTCCGGTTCTCAAGGATTCACTTCCACCATTGCCACTCCCTCAGGCTCTTCACCTGGAACTGTTTTGATTGACACTCCTAGCCCTACCCCTAACAACTCTGTTGCTGTTAACACTCCAAGTAATACTCCTTCCTGGGTTACCAAGACCGTCACCTCCGGTTCTCAAGGATTCACTTCCACCATTGCCACTCCCTCAGGCTCTTCACCTGGAACTGTTTTGATTGACACTCCTAGCCCTACCCCTAACAACACTGTTGCTGTTAACACTCCTAGTAATACTCCTTCCTGGGTTACCAAGACTGTCACCTCCGGTTCTCAAGGATTCACTTCGACCATTGCTACTCCCTCAGGTTCTTCCGCTGGAACTGTGTTGATTGACACTCCCAGCCCTAGTCCCTCTTGGGTTACCAAGACTGTCACCTCCGGTTCTCAAGGATTCACTTCCACCATTGCTACTCCCTCAGGTTCTTCCGCTGGAACTGTGTTGATTGACACTCCCAGCCCTAGTCCCTCTTGGGTTACCAAGACTGTCACCTCCGGTTCTCAAGGATTCACTTCGACTGTCCTCACTGCTGAGGGTACCAAGACTGGCACTGTTCTGGTAGACGTTCCTACACCTGCCTGGACCACTAAGACCATTACTTCCGGTTCCCAAGGATTCACTTCCACCGTTGTCACTCCTGAAGGCACCAAGACTGGTACTGTTATAATTGATGTTCCTACGCCTGCCTGGGTAACTAGCACAATCACTTCTGGTTCTCAAGGATTCACTTCCACCGTTGCCACACCTGAAGGCACCAAGACTGGCACTGTTCTGGTAGACGTTCCTACACCTGCCTGGACCACTAAGACCATTACTTCTGGTTCTCAAGGATTCACTTCCACCGTTGCCACTCCTGAAGGCACCAAGACTGGTACTGTTGTAATTGATGTTCCTACGCCTGCCTGGGTAACTAGCACAATCACTTCTGGTTCTCAAGGATTCACTTCCACCGTTGTCACTCCTGAAGGCACCAAGACTGGTACTGTTTTAATTGATGTTCCTACGCCTGCCTGGGTAACTAGCACAATCACTTCCGGTTCTCGAGGATTCACTTCGACAGTCGTCACTGCTGAGGGTACCAAGACTGGTACTGTTCTAGTAGACGTTCCTACACCTTCCTGGGTAACTACTACGACAACTTCTGGCTCTCAAGGATTTACTTCTACCATCGCTACTCCCGAGGGATCGAAGGCGGGTACTGTTTTAGTTGATGTTCCTACACCTGCCTGGATAACCACTACAATAACTTCCGGTTATCAAGGATTTACTTCCACCATCGCTACACCAGAAGGCTCTAAGACTGGTACAGTTCTTGTAGATGTTCCAAAACAGACTACAACCACTACGACTACCACATTTGATGGAATAAACGGTGGCTACACCAGTTCATACAGCGGAGCTGCTACTGAGACAATTTTGATTGGTACCCCTTATCACTCAGTTGTAGATGTCGCTTAAAATATAGAATTTAATAATCTTACAATACAGTATAATTTTTAGTTTTAATACACAATCTTTTGATAATTTATAGAAATCTATTTTCTAGGCATTAATGAAATTTATAGACTCTTATTTTTGTGCGTGTTATAAGCTAAAGAAGCTGCAGCAAGGTCTTCTCTAGAGTCTCCGACAGACTTAAAGAGTGTAATGGCATCTTGAATGCTAGTCAACTGAGCACGTCCTTTGTGATGCTCACGACACAAATCGAATAAATCAGCTTGGACATCTTCAGGAGAGAATGCACCTTCTTTAATTGGTGTTAACAAATCACCTGCTTCAGATAGCGCACCAGATCTTGTATCAACAAAAACTTCTGCTTTAGAAACACAGGCGGAGTCTACTTCGTGCATTTTTGGAGTAAAACCACCCACTAAATCAATGTGAGTACCAGGTTGAATCCATGAGCCTTTCACAATAGGAGATGTACTTAAGGTTGCGCATGAAATGATATCGCAAGCTTTAACTGCATGTTCCAAGTCTTCATTTTTAATCGCACACAGCGTGACAGAAGGGAAATCAGCAGAAATCGATTTTACGAGGGCGGCAGCATTCTCAAATCGATGATTCCAAACGGTAATTTTGTTGATGGGACGAACAGAGCAATGAGCGTAGATGAGATTTCTAGCAACGTTTCCGGATCCTAGGATTAGTAGTGAAGTCGCATCATTTCTAGATAGGTACGTAGAAGCAAGAGCAGAGGCGGCAGCAGTTCTTCGAGACGTGAGTTCTCCTCCGTCCAGTTGAGCTAAATGGGTACCGCTATTTGCATCACTTAAAAGGTAATGACTAGCGAGATTTGGCAGGTTCTTCTTACTGTTGTTGGGGAAAACGTTTACTTGCTTGACGCCAATGTATTCACCAGGAGACCAACACGGCATAATCAGCATAGTACCATGAGTTTCATGTTTATTCACGGAGCTTCTTATGGGATAGTGAAGTCTGGGAGGACATTCAATTGCTTTCGTGAAGATGTCCCTAAGGGCATCGATCAGAGCGTGCCAAGGTAAGTAATTTACCAATGTTTCTCCAGAAAGAAATACGGTAGAAGAAGTAATTTTATTGTTCATAGTTGGATGTTGTTACAATTCAACTTGAGAGGTTTAGATCGGTTTTATAGATGTTGTATCCGACGAAGATAAGCACTGAAATATTAAATTAGTATCAAGATACAATCATGCTTGGATCGCATATTACGCGGCCCTGAAAGATGGTCATATTCCTTATACAAGATAACCTACTAGCTTACTTAAATATGCGAATGATATTATGTTTAAGTAAATTAAAGAAATTGCTTGAAAGTCTTGACATCGTGGGACAGCTAGAATAAAAGTATTGTGTAAAAGTAGTTACAGTGTATGTGATTTAAATATTACTAGAAGCTTTGAACATGCGAGGAAAATGTTGAATTAAAATAAGCTACGGTATATATTAATAAAATAAAAGGATTTTGTATTGCAAGAGTATATTATGAAGACGTGTAATAGAAAAAGCAAACCATCAAGAAGACATTAAAAATAAACAAAAAACAGAAATTAAGAATTAGAAGAAATCATTTATAACCAATTTTCCAACAATTCAGTTTAGAGGGGGGATGGGGGAATATAACTACACCGATGCTTCAGTGATTCCATTATTGTCTCTTTTCTTTTTCTCAGACTCATTCTTTGTATCGATGGTAGTGGAATCAGTGGGCTCAACGGCTGTAAGCTCGACTATCCCGTTAGTACCTGAAGATATACCAGGACTGTCGTTATGCATATCAGGATCCAATTCTTCAGGAAGGACAAGATTCAGGAATATGGATATAAAAGCACCGATAGCGAATCCATTCTCCATGACGAGGGTGATGGCGTCCAAGAAACCAACCAGACCTTTATTGCTTCCAGAATATGTGAAAAAGTAACTAAACCAGTTAGGGACTAAAATCGACCCCATACCCAACGTTAAGGAAGCAGTGAGGATAAAGCGGTTTCGACGATTGAACGGTATTTGAGAGATGATGGCTATACCAGAGGTTGTGACGGAGGAAAACAAAAAGGTGGTCATTCCTCCCAAAACGGCATTTGGGATAGCCACAAATACGGCGGCGAACTTACCAAAGATACCCATGCACAATAGGACAAGAGCACAAAAAAAGCCGGCTTTTCGATTAGCACACTTAGTCAGGCTGATTACACCGTTGTTTTGGGCGAAGGTGGTAAGGGGGGTGATAGTCATAAGTGAAGCTAATAAAGAGGATGTACCGTCGCAGAGAACACCACCTTGAACTCTCGAATCAAATTCGGGACCATCGACTTCTAGCATAGAGACGTCTGAGGTGGCGGTGATATCGCCAATGGCCTCCATCATGTTGACAATGTACATAGCAAGAATGGGGAGAACGGCAGGACCATAAAGTCTAAGACGGAAAGTATGGACCCAATTAAACGTGATGACTGGAGCAGCATCAATGATAGAACGATCCCAATAATGAGTAGCAGCAGAAATGATCATACCGATAACAAGACCAATGACAACGGAAGTGGTTTTCATTAAAGGAGGACCGAAGCGCTCAACGATGATGATGGTAGCAAAAACACTAAACCCCAATCCGATGAACTGGGCGCTACCCCAGTACAGGGGATGGGGAGCAGAGTTAGAAGGACACATAGTTTGACGGCTGGTGCAGCCACTACCACCTGCCCAGTCCTCAAGACCGGTCATAATGAGAGATGCACCAATCAACAACACGACGGGCCCAGTGACGATGGGAGGGAAGAGGCGTTTTAGGAAGCGAGGGGGGATGAAAGACATGGTAATTTCAAGCAAGGAACAAATGCAGCAGGTAGCAATGAATGCACCGTAGGCATCAGGACAGGGGAGTTTGGTACCATCAGAAGCGGTAGGACAATAACCGTTTTGGTACATTTGACTAAACACTTTAGGTGCTACACTGACGCTAGTGAAGGATATACCGAGAACGGAGAGCATGCCTGTGCCGATGTAGTAATTAGTTTTGGGGATTTTGAAGCGAATGATATTGATGAGAGTCAAGAGCGCCGAACTTATGAGGGCAGCAGAGACAAGATAGTTGGTTTGTTCGATTGTCAGATTGGCACTGGCAGCGATGATACGAGGGGGAGAAGTAACACCTCCAACCATGGCGAGGGCATGTTGAAACCCCAAAATAAAAGCCAAGAGAACGGGTGTGTTGGCATTCAAGGAAAAGAAGGGAGGGGATTTTGGTTTACTTTTGGTAAAGGGGATGGCAGGAAGCATGAAACTATAATCATAGTCACCGATCCAAAAATCTTTAGTGAAGACGGACCGGATAGCGCTTGAACATTTTTGCTGAAAGGTGGGAGGAGGGGGATACGTATCGGCATAAGCAAAAGGGCTAGACATAATGAACGTAAAAAAAGAGTCTTTTGATGAGAGGAGAAAGGAGAAAAGGAGAAGAAACACAAGATCAAAGTCGAAATCAAAGAGAAAGAAAAAGAACAATAAAAAAGAAAATAACTTTGATTTCAACAGGCTGGGATTGAAAAAAAAAAATAAAAATTTAGAAAATAAAAAATAAAAATAAATAAAACCACAGGAGTACCACTTTACGAGGAATAGACAGATCCAGTTAGATTTCGATTAAGAATTGTTCTTTTGATAATTTCTTTTGTCCTGAGGAAAGATACTAATGAATTAAAAAAAAAAAATTCAATTCCTTAATCAAGACAAAAAACACCAACACAGACAAGACAGTTTTAGAATTCACTTGTGATTCCACACCAGCTAACCAGCTCTAAAGCACCAAGTGTTCGATTTGCTATACCCAAGGATCCAAGTTTGAAATCTTTACAGTTCACAACAATGGATAATAGTTGTTTAAAGTGATGACTGTTCTCAATGGACGAAAGAAGGTGTTTTACGATCCTTGTTCATACGTCCAAAAAAAGGATGAAAACTAATTACTGAAAGGGGACGCAAGAAAAGCAGCAAAGTCTTTAAGGACTAGTAGCGACTCTCGTATATATACCCACTTGGAAACACCAAGGTTCGGAACAGGTCGATCACCGATTTTTAACTCTCCATTATTACGGCGATAGAAAGGGTCCCTAAAGACACCATTTATGGCTTCTCAAGATAAACGTTATGCAAAACACACTGTGTCTTAACGTCAAAGGAAGTCGCTGCGTTGCCCTATCTCTTGTCTCTGATATTGAGATTCTATTGTCATGGATGGATCATTCAATCAATCAATATAAGGATGGACAGTAAAGAGAAGATTGTTTTTACCTAGTGATCTAGGACGTAGAGCATTGCAATGCAATGAAGAAGAAAAAAAAACGTTAAACATGAAAAAGGCAGAGAATGAGTTTGGGAACTAAAACTAGTATAGTGTTGAGTCGTTCTTTTTCTTTATGAACTTTGACAAGTTGCTTTGTCGGCTTTGCAATGGTATGCAGAGCGTAAAGCAGAGAGAGACAGAGAGAAGAAGTATATGCTTATATCTACCTGTGTGGGTGTGTGTGTAAGTGGCCTACTGACTGATCAGATTGCTTTCTCTTTAAGACGCAAAGAGTAAAGAAGAGTCATATTAGCAGAGGAAAACAAACCACAGCAGAATACCTAGTTGAAAGGGAGATACAACCGACCATAGTAATTTTATCAGCTAGCAACTTTTATTTTTTTCCTACGAAAGCATACACTAGTACAATGGAGTAAGATTAGAAAAAGCCTCCATCATAAAATTGTTTTTTTATTTCGAATTCTCAAACATTTTTCTTTTTCTTTTTCTTTTTCTTTTCTAATATTCATTACTCCATTTTGCAATAGAAACTACTTCAACTATCACTACAACGTTTGCCATCGTCCACAACACCCTTCGCCATATCCTTCACTTTTGCTAGGCAGGAATTCAACAAGTAATACCTTTTTTTGTACATCCTGTTGTTTCTTTCTTTCTATCTTTTTTTCTTATTTAATTCCTTTTAATTTCACATTGTCTGGTTTTGGATTCCTCTTGAGTGATTCCTTTTTAGCTATTTTTTATTTTTGTTTTGGTTGTTTTCATTCATTGATCAAAGGGGTTTCAATTCATTGATTTTTCTTGTTTAATTGAATTAAATTACTTCTGTTGTGTGCTTGTGTGTTTTTATTCCTTTTGTCTGTTCTTTTTGGGAAACGTCAACCTTTTTGACTTTTTTTTTTCTTTTTTTTTTTCCTTAAAGCCGCCACTATAAACCTGTTCTTTAGCCATGTCGCCGCCATCTCATTCTCCTGAAACGCTTCCTGTGCAAGATCATCTCTATAGTTCTGGCAGAGACTCTTCTTACCCGTCATCTTCCTATTGGAATCTATCCAATTCCAAAATAGATGAAGTGGGGTCTTTAAAACCCGTTTCTCTGGGACAACATCATGGTCTAAAGTCTCGTGTTACCGTACAATCGCGCGATGATTATGATGAGTCTGAAGACCCAGATTTTACCTTAGTACTCCCTTCTAATCGTCTTTATATCGTCATCCCAGGTCTCATGCTATGCATCTTTCTTGCTGCTCTTGATCAAACCATTATTACCACTGCCATCCCCACTATTGTCAAAAGCTTCGACAACAGCTCGTCCTATTCGTGGATTGGTACTGCTTATTCGTTGGCAGAGACCGCCGTTTTACCTTTTGCAGGCATCATGAGTGAAGTGCTCGGTCGAAAGGTTGTTCTCTACTCCTCTACTATCATTTTTCTCCTTGGAAGTGCCCTTTGTGGTGCTGCTAAAAGTATGATTTGGCTCATCTTGTGCCGCGCCGTTCAGGGTATTGGCGGTGGTGGAATCATGTCCTTGGTCACAATTGTTATCGCTGACATTACACCTCTTCAAACCCGTTCGTACTATACAGGTTGTTTTGGTGCGACATGGGGCATTGCTTCTGTCATGGGTCCTTTGATAGGTGGTGCCATTTCGCAAAAAACAACCTGGCGTTGGATTTTTTTCATTAATCTCCCAACTGGTGGTATCGCCTTGACTACACTAATTTTTTTCCTTAATTTAATTCCTAAGCCAAGAACCTCATTTTCACAGTTTATGAAAACTTTTGATTTTCTTGGCATCATCACCATCACCATTGGCGTTGTTCTTTTTCTTCTTGGTCTTAGTCTTGGTTCTACTACCGGTGTTTGGAAGCACCCTAATATCTTGTGTTATCTCATTATTGGCATTCTTTGCCTAGTTGTTTTTGCTGTGAATGAAACATATACCAAGCGTGTGAAAATTATGCCTCCTTCTGCATTTAAAACTATCTCTCTCACCTCCATTATGGTCACCTCCTTCTTGCATTACTACATTATGTCCACCATCACGTACTACATTCCCGTATACTTGCAAAATGTTAAAGGCGATGGTCCACTCATGTCTGGTGTCCACACACTCTCCTTCGCAGTTGTCTCTTCCGTAACCTCAGCTATTAGCGGCTTTAGCATTGGTAAGCTAAGGAATTATACATACTTTATGATTGGTGGCTGGATTATTCTTCTAGCTGGTGCAGGCTCTATGATTGCCATTCACTACAAAACTGACATCTCCAGAGTTATGGGTTTCATTGCATTAACAGCCGTTGGTGTTGGTAATTTGTTTCAACCTAATCTAATTGCCTTACAGGCATCTGTCCCTCCCGCAACCATGGCAACTTCTTGCTCTGCTTTCATGTTGCTTCGAAATATGGGTTCCTCTATTGGTATTGCTATTGGTGCAGTAATTTATGATCAACGACTGTCTACGTTGCTACAAGGCATGTCTTACGATAAAAATATGTCGTATTCACAAATCCAAGCAATTGCGGATGTTTCAAAAAGAGAACATATTTTGAATGCCCTTGCAGATGCCATTAGGATGATTTGGATTGTCAACGTACCTTTCGCGGCGTTAGGAGCAATCTTGTCATTTCTTACAAAGCAAAACAAGTTAAGCCAAAGTGTATTGCAGTATGATGAGAGTAAAGAGAAGAATAACCATGAGCGCCAAGAAATGGAAAAGCCGTAAGTAGCGGAATTGATTTTGTATTTATTTACATGGATATGGATATGGATATTTATTATAGGTTTTGATAGGAATGAATAATAATCTATGTGGTTTTTTAATTTCACGTCTCTTTATTCGTGCTGGCTAAGACAGTTTCTGTTTATATATATGCTGAATCAAAACTCCTATTAGCAATAATTTGACGCAATTGGAGCTCAAGATTTACACAGGTTCATGTTGAGCGTGTCCATTTATTTTTCTGTTTTTTTATTCTACCATGAGAATTATCATTTCAAATACTGCAGTCTCATCTGACGCTATGCAAAAGCAATGACAAATTAACAGTTAAGAAGCATTGTAATACTAGTTACTGCATACGTGTAGTATTCAATGCTTGATTGAATTCCTTAACTGTACAAACATATAAAAAGAAAAGTGTAGCGTTTTCAGAGACAGTCATTTGCTCTTTTTATGCTTCACTGAAGGAATCCAGCCACATAAAAGATGTTTACAATTCTCTCATTTGAATTTATCTTGCTATCTAATTTATAATTCAAAGTAAACGTTTGTATATTATATGAAAACTACAATGATTTTTTCATCGTATTAAAGAGGTGTTGCTTATTTACCATTTCAATCTGAGAATGTTGTTTTTTACTCGACCCATCCATTCACCACATCCTTTATGAAATAGCCATATCTTTAATACATGGAAGCAGCGTGCTGAAAAGCATAGGAAAATACTTATTTTATATCAATATTTAATTCAAGGACCATAAAGACGGCGTTGGAGATGGGTTACATTCGTGGGCTGATAGACCTGTTCAAAATAGCATTGCTAAAGCTCATTAAAAATGGCTTGCAAATATTTGCGCTCATATTGATGACTGAAGCTCAGTGGCTAAATTGGGTTATTCACAAGCTGTCCCCGTCCAGATTGGGTCAATTTCAATTGGTACTGTATATTTTGATGGTATTCAGCTATATATATGCAAACATAACCCCTCCTGGAACCCCAATGGTAAGTAAAAATGGAATAAAATGCAATACTAACATAAAGACTGCGTTGTTTGAGCCGAAAACGAGTAACCAATATATGAAGCGAAAAGATGGAATGCCTCGCTATTGCAGCAAATGCCTGCAATACAAGGCTGACCGAACTCATCACTGTTCACGTTGCGATTCTTGTGTGCTGCGCATGGATCATCATTGTCTTTGGTTTCGGAATTGTATTGGATTTCATAACCATAAGCTTTTTTATCTCGTATGCTTATATTTGACAACGTATTCCCTGACGAGCGTTTACAGTACTTTTATGGCCATAACAAAGCATTTTACTGCAGCAAATGGAACCATCAGCTCTGTCTATTTAGTGTTTTGGGGTTCTCTCTTTGCATTTGCGTTTGGCCTTAGTATTGTAATGGTTGCGTTTACTGTTTATCATACTTTCCTTCTTTTTCAGAATATCACTACCTTAGAGTCTATGAAATCTAGCTGGTCGAAATATGCCAAATCAACACAGCCATTTAACGTTGGTCTGTATAATAATTGGTGCCAGGTGATGGGATCAGCACCATGGTTCTGGTTTCTCCCCGTTAGAAATTCGATAGGAAACGGAACAGTTTATCCCATTAACCAAAATGCCCTTCCTTACATTCCCTCTTCAGAAGAAAAACTAGAAACTTCCTTTGAAAAGACGTCTGCTCCTATTGGTTATAGAGAAAATGAATGGGCTAGTGATGAGGAAGAATTTGCAATGAAGAGTCGTCGCTGGAATCCTCATCTTGGCCAGTTTGAGTGGCTTGATGAGGTAGTTTGAATTTACTTGGATTCTACGATTCTGCCTTCTTCTCTGGTCTCTTGTTTACCGAATCAGAAAGATTTATATTCTTTATCCGCTTTGTTTGTTTTATGTTATAATTTGATCGTATAATTGTGTCGATCTTGGATATATTTATTTTTAGTGGTTTCAATATCCTTAATTCATGGTATGTATATGATGAATGCGAATACCAGAAAAAGAATACAAAGAAAAAAAAAAGGAAGAAAATGAAAAGGAGGAAAAGAAATGGGTGAGCCTTAAGAAGAGCATAGTTTATTATCAACAAAAGGTTCTTTTGTATTGGGCAACTACTCTGAATATTTCCGCCATTTTGGAATAAAATTTCTATGTATTCCGTTCATATGATTTAGGATAGCAGTTCATTCATTTCCATTTTAAGGTAGCATCAGTTATTTGGGTTTTATACAGGTAATCGTTAATTTATCTTAATTCGTTCAGTTTAGTTTAGTTTAGTTCAGTTTAGGGTCATTTAGATTAGTTTCTTTCGTTTCAAGTGTAGATTTTAATAAATACTCGTTTCTTTTTTTTTTTTATCATCATTATGATTTCTTTATCCAATTTCATTTTCAGTTGTATGTTCGGTATGCTTTTTAACAATCGTTAGGCATATGGCATGCTAAATCCAAATCAGGTTCAAGTTCAATACCCAAGTATTTGCATAATTTATCACATAAATCATTAGGGACTTCAATGTCAAAGAGATGACCCTGTTGTAACTTTAAGGAAACCGTACCTTCCATTGACGACTATGATCATAGAAAGTGCTATGGATTACTAAACGACAATGTCATCAAGGAATGGTAAACAAAGAGGATAGAGCTCAAATTTAATCACTATTCATCCAAGACCTTCCACTGTCAAGCCTTTTTTTAGTCAGCGTTTATTGCTCTATACCATTCGTAATCCAAGCGTTCACCTTAAAGTTGAGGACAATTAAGAGAAATTCTAGAGTGCACCTTTATAGTTGTTGAATTATTATTTTAATATGATAAAACAATTCAATAGGTTTTTCTTTTTTCGAAACAAACATATTTTATAACTCAGTAAAATTTGTTTTTTAATCGTACTATTCAGTCAACTATTTCTCGCACCTCTTTAACATGATGTTTCGCTAGAGCACGCAGTACCTCGTAATTTTTTCTATATAAGGACTGTACCCGCAAAATTTTTAAATTGGTAACAATACCCGGGACGACTTTGGAAGCAATCAAAATGTCTGCTGTTAAACCTTACACTGAAGCTTTAGACCTTCTTAAGAAGTATGAAAAGAAGGATGGGTTAAGTATTGATGATTTAATTCGTCACAACTTCCAAGGTGGTCTTACATTCAACGACTTCTTGATTTTGCCTGGATACATCGATTTCGTTCCTAACAGTGTTTCTTTGGAAACAAAGATCTCTCGTAATGTCACTTTGAAGACTCCTTTTGTCAGTTCTCCTATGGATACTGTCACCGAAGATCAAATGGCCATTTATATGGCACTTTCTGGTGGTATTGGTGTGATCCATCATAACTGCACTGCTGAAGAGCAAGCTGATATGGTTCGCAAGGTGAAGAAGTTCGAAAACGGTTTCATTACTGATCCCGTTGTCTTCTCCCCTGAACACACTGTTGGTGATGTCTTAAAAATCAAGGAAACCAAAGGCTTTAGTGGTATTCCTGTAACTGGTATGTTTTTTAATGAAAATGGTATATAGAAGAGCTTAATGTTTTGCTGCTAATGATGTCTCAAATCAATTAACTTTCGTTCTTCCGCAATGACCTAACCGTCATGGGGACAACATTTCGATTCCTGAAGTTTAAGCAACTATTCACTTAAAACTTTAGCTCTTCTATATACATGACTTTCTTATGTTTTTGAATTTAGCTAACCTTTATTTAGACACCGGTAAGCTTCGCGGCAAGTTAATTGGTATTGTTACTTCTCGTGATGTTCAATTCCACAGAGATGTCGACACTAAGGTCACTGAGGTTATGACCAAGGACAATTTGATTACTACTCGGGAAGGCATTAGTTTGGAACGTGCCAACGAGATTTTGCGTAACTCTAAGAAGGGTAAGCTCCCTGTTGTCGATGGTGACTTCAACTTGGTTGCTTTGCTTTCTTTGACCGACTTGATGAAGAACTTGAACTTTCCCAATGCTAGCAAGTCCGCTGAAACTAAACAGCTTATGGTCGCTGCAGCTATCGGTACTCGTGATGATGACCGTTTGCGCTTAAAGTTGTTGGCCGAAGCTGGTGTCGATGTCGTTGTTATCGACTCTTCTCAAGGTAACTCTCACTTTCAAATCGAAATGATTAAGTTCATCAAGTCCAGCTTCCCCAAACTCGATGTTATCGCTGGTAACGTTGTTACCCGTGAACAAGCCGCAAACTTGATTGCTGCCGGTGCCGACGGTTTGCGTATTGGTATGGGTAGCGGTGCTGCCTGTATCACACAAGAAGTCATGGCATGTGGCCGTCCTCAAGCTACTGCAATTGCTCAAGTTGCCGAATTCGCCTCCCAATTCGGTGTCGGTGTCATTGCTGATGGTGGTATTCAAAATATAGGTCACATGGTCAAGAGTCTTACCCTTGGTGCTACTGGTGTCATGATGGGTAGCTTGCTTGCTGGTACTACCGAATCTCCTGGTGAGTATTATGTCCGTGATGGACAACGCTACAAGTCCTACCGTGGTATGGGTTCCATTGCTGCTATGGAAGGTACTGGTGTGAACAAGAATGCTTCCACTGGTCGTTACTTCTCTGAAAATGACTCTGTTAGAGTTGCTCAAGGTGTATCTGGTCTTGTTGTGGACAAGGGATCTCTTCTTCGTTTCTTGCCTTATCTTTACACCGGTTTGCAACACGCTTGCCAAGACATTGGTGTTCGCTCCCTCGAAAAGCTTCATGAAGCTGTTAACGCTCATGAAGTTCGTTTCGAATTACGTTCCAGTGCCGCCATTCGTGAAGGTGATATTCAAGGTTTTGCTACTTATGAAAAGCGTTTGTATTAAATAGGGTAATAGTTTCTTATGGTTTGCTTAAGTGGTTTTTGGTTGTATTCAATTAAATATGAATATTTTTGGGATATTTGTGAGTAATAATAATAGTCTATTTAATATATGCGTGATGATATATGGGCGGGTTAATAAGAAGTAGATAATTCATTTATACTGGTTTATTTAATTGCATGCTGTTCCATGAAAATAAGTTATTTCATTTCCTCATCCTTAAATTATAAATGCAGTATTTCCTTAATGCTATCGTATTCTTTTTATATAGTGTAGTATTCTCGTAAATTAACCATTCACTTGTCTTTTTGTGTATCCCTGGTAACTAGAAACGACCTTCGAATATTGGATGGGTTGGAGAGACGCAAGGACGACAAAGAACTAAGGTTTCTTGGGGGGTTAAGACTATCTTGATTCAAAGTATCCGGAGTTTGAGAAGCATTTGCCTGTGGAGCTTCCTCTCGTTGATCGAAGCTGCGTTTGGACATCGAAGAATTAGGACTTCCATCCAGATCTATCGTGTCCAAGTGAGGCAGAGAAACTTCTTCATTTGAAGACTCGGCTCCAAATACATTCGCCATTTCCACATCCACGTTTGATGTCGATAAGGGTTCATATCTCTTAGGTAATGATTCCAATTCCACTGCTTTATCGTCTTCATCTTCTGGTTTATCTTCCAGAAGTGAGGACTGGGGGGAGTCTAAAGCCTCGGCAAGATCCAACGTATTGTTGTTGCCTTTACTAGATAGGGTCAAAGGGAAAGAAGGAGGTGGATGAGTGTTCTCAAGAGCCCAAGGATTATCTTTGGAATGCATTGGTTCAGGAGAGTTATAAGCTGAAACGCTTGAGTCAGAAGTGGACATAGAATCATCAAACCGAACACGTTTCTTGGGAGATCTTCTAGGTATAACAACGGGTTTTTTAGGTGACCTAACGGCAAACCTTCTAGGCGAATTTGATATTTTCGATTGTTTGGATGGAGAAGGTGGATGAGAAGGGATTGTTGTCTTTGGAGAGCGTTGTCTAAGTTCATCGTAGCCTTCCATATGATAAAGTTGATAAATGCTATGTTTATCCTTTGAACCAAAATCTGACAGCCAATTCTTAAGTAGACTGGTTAATGCTGCTTGATTTTCACGCTTGAATTGGGTAAGTGACATAAAGGAAATTTCCATTAGCTTTTGTAGAACTGGAGTATAGTCATCAACTTTGCTTTGCGCATCCAAAATTTGATTTTCGATGATGGACTTTAGTAAGTCGATCTCATCCTGTAAAATATCCGCATACATCACAGCATTATTTTCTTTAAAATAACTTACGACAGGATCAACACATTTTTGGAAAGCGTCATAGACTATTTCAGGGTTAACTTCAGCAATGATAGATGATCTCTGTATCAACAGCGATTCTAACTTCGACTTTGCTAAGGATAGTCTTTCGTTGGATGGGTTGTCAATGATCCGTTCACAGGAAGATATCCAATATTTCAAAATGTTAATGGAATCATCATAATGCTTGACGCTCTCTACTTTTTTGATTGTGTCTTTTTGTAAAGGTAGTGTTTCCAAAAAGGTGGCTCGCAGTAAATCCTTAGCCTCCATTAATTTTGATTCACAAGCTTTAGCTTGCACAGCTGCTTGATTCTTTGCGGCTGCTGTTATTGAGGCGGATGAGCTTGGGTTACCTAGCCGGTCCTCGAGTTCAGAAATTTGTTGGCGAAGATCTACAATCGCTTTCACGTATTGACTTACGTGTCTATCCACACTAATCATATTCCTTAAAACTTCAGTTTTGATGTTTTTTGCCCGATTAGCATATTTCAACGTATTGTGAGTCTCTTCATAATGGAATGATGAAGGAGATATGCATACAATCATGACGGTTTTACAGTTACCACCAAGGCTAAACTTTAGTAGTCTCGTTAATTTAGAATCACGGTAAGGAATGTGCGCTCTCCGGTGTGGATCACACAAAGCATTTATACAATTCCCTAACGCCAGTAGAGACCTGTTGATATTAGCACCTTCTAATAAGCGGCCACCTCGACTTTTGGTAGCATTTGCACGTTCTGAACCAGCAAGGTCAATAATGGACAGGGTAGCCAAAGCGTGGTCTTCATTAATATCCGCAGTACGCGGTTTCTGTACAACAGAAACCTGTAAGACAGCATGAGATCGTGAAGAAGCAACGTTTGCTGCTGTAGGTGACATGGTTCGGTTTTCATTGCCACGAGAAACAATTTCCATTACCTCTTCTAGAGTAGTAGGAGATAATGATGTTAATCCTGGAACAGTAATCCGACGATCGGCATCCTCGCGCAGCGTTAGAGGTTTGGATTGACTAAACGGTTGCTCAGTCAACAAGTCTCGAATCGTTTCATTATAGATTTCCAAATAAGAAACGTGAATATTAAAAACCTTTTCATCTTTTAAATCATCCATTCGTTCAAATAGTTCCTTTAGGGTTAAATACACAATACCAGGATCCTCATTTGTTCCAGTAATCGTGTGAGTTTTACCACAACCTGTAGCTCCGTATGCAAAAACCGTAGAATTGAACCCATCTAGGATATTGTCCAAGAGAGGGCGTGCAGTTTGTTCATATACGCTTTGTTGTGGAGCAGTTTCATCGAATACCCTGTCAAAAGCGTATCGGAGATCACGACCAAATCCTGTGAAGGTTCCCTTTCTTCCAGAAAGTCGAGATATGTTACGCTGTGGAGCGGACATTCGTCTTCTGCCGGTGTGTATAGAGGAAGCATCATCTGGAGGGTCAAACACTAGTACACGGTCATCTAACACTTTGACTACTCTTCGAATCCCTCGATATGTTCCTGGAGTTCTCAAAGAAAGTGAACTCGCTAAAGACTGCCCATCTGACGATGCTAGTAAGTTGGCAGATTCGACGCTACTAAAAGGGCGGACTCGGACTAATAATCGTTAATAAATCATCAACCAATGCCAAAAGAGAAACAAACCTGCGACTGAGATGGACGATTGTCTGGACATCGAAGCTCGTCGCCGCACAAGCGATCATCCAACTAGAATGTATAATCCCGTAGAATCCAGATTTACAAACTATAGGAATTAAACTCCAAAATTGAATAAAATCAAGGAAAAGAAGATAGTGGAAATGAGTGTCCTAAATGGGTTTCCTCCTGGCGTTTCAATTTTGTTGTTTACTTGGTAAACATTTGCTGACGATTTCAATGCACAAAGTGGTTGTTATGGCAATGGTGAGTTGTAAACAAAGGAACACGTAAACAAAGAGCAAAAATAAAAATAAATGAATTATGAAGCATGTTTGACATGTACTCCTTATAAATTTCTGTAAGCAAAGATTTTTTTTTGGATATGTCAAAGCATAGGTCTTGGCTATTAAAACCATCTTCAGCGACTGTCTACTTAAACCATGGATTCTCAAAAGATTTTTAATTGTTCTTAGGATACTTTTCAGACTGCAAACGAAGATTAGAGCAAGAAAATGCTGAAAGTATTCATAATATACATATAACTCATACATAAATAAACAAACGATCAATCATATCTTTAGTAATATACGCTTTTGTGTTATATGTGTAGAATTTGGAGAATTATAACATAGTGTTGAAGCAGATCAAGAGGAAAAGAAAAGAAAAAAAATAGAAAATTGTGCAAGTACGAGTTGCTGGTTATATTTATTTACTTATTTTCATCTGAATACGGTCCGAAATCACACATAGAAGAGATCTGCTACTTAAAACAGAATAAGAATTGAAAAGGTTGCAGACATTGCTCATTGAAGAAAAAGCACTTTCATTACGAACTGGTCTGTTTATATATCAAAAAACCTTTATATCCATTCAAATATGTCTTTTACAAGAAAACCCTATGATCGATTAAAGAGGGAACGATCTCTTTCACCTCCAAGACACAGGAGTTACGCAAACAGAGTTCGCAAGACAAGGACGTCGGTAAGGGTTTGATTCTCATTTGATTGCAGTTTGTTTCTAACTTCAGAACTTAGGGAGAAACGGATGAAAAAGATGATGATCAGGAGGCGCCTAGAGTTCGTGAATCTAAAGAGAAGGCTTTTTTGAGACAACAAAAGCTATTAAAAGCTATTATAAGAGTGAAGGAGGATCGAGCCGGTCTACTTGAGAAGCTTTTGGTAAGCCTTTCTCTGCTTTCACAGAAAAACAATCAGAGTGGAATTTATACTGGAAGCATGGATTTGACTAATTTGGATATGTTTGACCCAATTTTTACTATCAAGGTATGTAAATTTATTTAATAAATATTGACATATTAGATTGCCCCTGTTGAAGAAATAAATATCCTCATCGAAAATATACCTGAAATAATGACATTAACGGATGATACTATAAGCTCAAAGTTTTGGAAGGTAATTTTTCTTGTATGTTTATAATCTAACCTATTAGTCTGTATACGAACTGGCCGTTTCGTTCTTGGAACTTGATCAATACGGGAATGCTTCACGAAGCTTGAAAACAGTTGCCAAAGATATCCAAAGCATCCTTGCTCCTAAAAATTATGACCAACTGGTAGTGTTAGAAACAAAAGTACAAGGAAAACTTCAGAGTGGAGAACCCATTGACACTGATTATTGGGAGGATCTATTAAAATCCATACAAGCTTATAAAGCAATGGCATATCTTCGCGATTTGTTTTCTCAACCACTACAACAACGAAAGCAGGAAATGGTTCAAGCGGAAATGGAGAAGGCAGTATCCGATGCAAATTTTTTATACAAGCAACAAAATGATACGCCTCCCCCGAAACTTTACAAACTACCAATTGACCCCGATCCATTATACCAAATCGATACCATATCAAAAACAATACAACCTATTGAACAAAGGGATTATGAAGACGCTTTAGTAAGTTGCCGGTTTTCGCCTATATACTAACACGTGTTTAGTCTGAAAAAGTTGAGGCTGTAAAGGGAAGTATATATATTCCTACATCTTTCCATGTAAAAAACCAAAACAAAAGAACTCCCAAAAAATCGGTAGCTGACGCTGAGGAAGAATTTTTCAAAACTGTAAGTGCAAAACTCGAACGTGAATATCTCAAAGCCGGAGGCGAAGAAGAACAAGAAATGGTTGGTGACTTTGTAGAAGGGCAAGTAAGAACAAAAAGTCAAGATGGAATACCGTTGAAGAAGCCTAAGTATTTAAACAAGGTCATGTTAGGGTTTGAATGGAATTCATATAATCAGGCGCATTATAATGAAGCGCACCCACCTCCGAAAGCTGTGCAGGGATATCGATTCAACATTTTCTATCCTGACTTGATTGGCACTACTCGCTCACCAACGTACAAGATTGAACGTGGACCGAAAGCTGACAGAGAGTCGGCAATGACACAAGATAATGTTTGTATTATACGTTTTATCGCAGGGGCACCATACCAAGATATTGCTTTCTGTATCGTGGACAAAGAGTGGGACTACAGTGCCAAACGTGAACGAGGGTTTAAAAGCAGTTTCGATAATGGTGTACTATCACTACATTTCCAGTTTAAAAAAACACATCACAGACGCTGATGTATAGTGGTTTTGTTATATATTTTGTTTCGCGGATGGATTTTATAAACTTTTAAAGAATACTTTTGAGTAAAGGATTGAAACCATATTGATTGCTAAAAATTAAACAAATGTAGCTATAATGAGAGAACATCCGCTTAATCGAGAAGAGGAGAAGAGCAATAAAGAGAGAAACGACTAAATGGTCGTGCAAAGCTATACCGTGCCTGGAAAGAAGCTTAATCCTTCTTAGCCTAATTCATTTAGGTCAGTCACTTTTTCTTTTCATGCATATTCTAACTTGTAAACTTACCATAAGCAGCTTTCCAGTGAAGTAGACGGAAAGCAAAGAAATTCCACCCATGGCGGCGTAATAAGGATAAACCAAGAAACCGCTACCAGGCCTCTAGAAGAATAAGCGGTTAGAGATACTTCAAACAGCCATATCTACGGGTCTGTCAAAGAAATTACTTACTTGCAAATAAGTAGGTCTATGGATGCTTTGCAAGAAGCGTTGGCGTTGAACAATCAGATTTTTCATCTATTCATGAATTAATTTCTCATTTTGTAATTTATTTTCCATACGTTGACTGATGTACGATGAATTTCGAGTTTCTGTCAAAAGTGTTGGTAGAAGGTGGTATAAGGTACTTCCGTCCCCACTAAGAGATGAGATGTCTCAGCAAACCTTGCAATTTCAGTTTGACACTATTGATTGTTTCTAAAATGATTCTATTTGAAAATTAATAGTTATTAATGTGATAATTTCTTGATTTGATGAAAGTCCTATTCCTCACTGAAAAGTACACTAGGCTTTGCAGCAGTCTTTTAAACAAAATGTGATCGTTATTTCATAATTCAAGAATTGTGTCTAGTTGATAAGAGAGGGCTCCAAAGTTATGATGCTGCCTTAACTACCAACAGTCTGGAAAATGGAGATACTATATCTACAGTTCATACTTTCTTTGTTCAAGGCGTCAGAAATTAGCTGCTAATAAAATATATAGTGAAAATCTTTATCTTTTGTGGATAAGGATTGACGAAATGCTTTTTCTTTAGGAGTTTCAAACAGTTACCTGAAAGACACTTAAGTAATCCAGATAAACCCAATCCTGAAAGATTTCTCGCAAGTAGAAAGGAAAAGAGCATATTTCAAATATGTTTTAAAAATAAAACTTTCAAGGATAAGTTTTTCATATTTTGAACTAGTGTCTCATAGCTCTTAGCTTCTACATCTATATCCCAGTCTTGTGTTGTTTACCATATGAAGATAAAGTTCGCTTAATGTGTGCTTGACATCAGTGGTACCGGGATATACATGAAGAAGCAAATATCTCTAAAACTAGAAGGAATACAACTTATTTTATTATTTTACTGTTGTCGCAAAATTTTTTTTACAAAATTGCTGAATTTTATTTTTCAAAAAGTCATTCCTACACGAGATATTGAGCATGCTATACTGATATCACAATGTAAACAAAGCACTGAATCCTTTGTTCAGGAAATGAGGAATTTGACTTTTTCCTGAAAGAGCTGAAGAAGCGATAGGAGGATTCTAATCTTGTTTTTCATTTTTTTAGTAACAAAACTTTTAAATTTGAGCGTAAAACTTTTGCTTGCTCCGGTTGCTAAGGTTGGTTGGTAACCGTCTTGTTACCTTTGGTTTCCTATAATTTTTTTCTTTTGGAAGGATCCTACCTTCTTATTCTTTCCTCGACCATACTGTTTTCAGGCAAGATCAGCAAAAGTACTCTTCCTTTTTTAAATACTTTCAACTATTAAGATACTTTTCGCTTGCCGTGGCTGTCGACTCCTTTCTACCAACTTTTCTGGCTTGGCTTGATCATACACTGCTAGTTTAACTATCTTAGGATATTTCATAGAGGGTGCTTGCTTATTCTATATTTGTCTTTTGGTTCTCTCTTTTTAAATCTCTGTTTTTTTCTTTCTTTTTTTGGGTACACATTTGTGGAAACGACAAGGTTCAACATCTTTTTTTTGGATTTTTCGGTCATAAAGTCTAATCTTTTATATTTATTTCCTTTTACGTTCTTTTATTTATTCTTTCTTTTGGGTCATTCTTTGTTTGAAATTTGGTTCTCTTGTCTTTCTCAAATCTGCTGCTCTTCTTGCATTGATAATTAAACAATATATATACACATATATATATATATATTTAAAAAAAAAATTTAAATTTTCTCTATATGGCTCTCGACGAGTTCTTTTTGTCTAAACAGCCCGTAAATCATGGATCAGTTCTACCCTGGTTATCTCCCATTTCTGAAGGAATAAGTAGTCCTTCCTTCCAAGACTTTGACTTGCCTCCGTCTTCAGCATGTTCTTTCTCTTTATCTTCTGTCGCTTCTGGCTCTGACAATACCTCCATATTGGATACGGAAACGAACGTGGAGGATAACTCTTATGCCTTTCCAAAATTACTCTCAAATTTGAAGAAAGAAACATCTTTGCAAAATCATGAGCCTCCTTCGAAGGGACCTGATGTCTTAACGGCTTCTCTTGTTATTGGAAAGCTCGGATATGCAAAGTTGATCCACCAACATCGTAAGCTTTCCAATTCCAACCAACGCAAACAAGATCGCGGCCTTATGGCAATGGTTTTATCAAGATCTGAAAAACAAGAAGAGCGAGAGAATCACTCTTCGGATGCTAGAGACGCCATCAAGAGTGCTCTTCGTAAGAGACTCCGCCGTCGTGAAGGACGAGTTCAGAAGGCTTTAAAGCCTGTCCCTATCTTAGTTTGCTCTAGATGTTCAGCTACCTTTGATCATCATTTCGCTCTCTCCTTGCACGAAAACGATTGTTTCAACCAAACTAACTTCAAATTATCAGACTTTTTCGTAAACGACCTAATGGGAAATTCGCTTTTTGAATGAAAATAATGCTATCACCGGCCGATAGCGCGCATGACACTTGAATCGTTTTTTAAAGGCATATGAAACATTCTCACCATGTGTCTTGCAATGATTTCTAGTTTTGGAATTTTAGATTACTGTCATACCACCCCTTAATGATTTAAAAAAAAATTCAGTCTACAATGCTTATTAACTTTAAGTATTTTTTCGCTCTTTTTTATAGAAGACAATAAACTATTTTATTTATATTCGTGCTAGATACTGTCAAAAGATTGTATCTTTTTGGTTAAACTATTACTGAAATTTGTACAACACGGTAGTCAAAAAAGATGCAGGAATAATTGATTGTACATGAGAAGAGAAGTAAAATATATTACAATAGGCCATCATTAGATGCAATAAAGTAAACGGAACTCTGTACAAAGGACTTAAATCCATGTAGGGAATTACCATTTTAGGGGAAAACTTGCTTTACTTCAAAAGGAGTGTAGTCTTTCACATTTGGGTGTTCTGAAAGGAATTTTTCAGTGCCCTCATCGAATTGACTTCTGAACAAATGAGAGCCAACGGGTATTAAGGAGTATCGAGCACAAAGATCACGAATGTTTATGTTTCCTTTTTGGATTTCACTTAAATCCAGTTCAATCGATGGATCTTCTTGTTGCAAAACCAAAGTCACAATACGATGCTTGTCTTCTCCCCTGTGTAAGATGGGAGGGGAATATGGAATTAAACAATTCGAAGGTCGTATGAAAGAACGGTCAGATGCCTTAATAGGCACATTGGAAGCTAGCCATAGACAAGATGTCTCAAACTCGTTGGTTTGGTAATTTGGTACATCTAGGTCTAGTGTGGCAATTGTATAGCTATGTTCTTCCGTATTAAATGGAAGAACCTGGAGCAATGGCTCAGAACACGTTTGTTCTGTTGGTAAAATAGTACCAGGGACAACCTCGTTTGCTTCCTCTTTTGAAAACCTCAAACGAACATCAACGGTAGGCTTAAACGATCCAAGTCCTAAATCCTTTATAACCTTCATTTGCTCAAGCCTTTGAAGAAGTAGTAATTTGTCATGGTTTTCCCACTTTTGTTTCAATAAATGAAGAAACGCTGGACGTGTGTAGTCGTATTCACCATCATAAAATTTGGATCGTACACTTGGAAGATTAAGTTCAGAAAGAATTCTTAACACATTAACACGAACGGTTTCCTGCTCTCCGGAGCTAGCTAATGCTTGCTCTAATTCTTTACGCTTTTTCCCAGAGTAATCTTCAACGACTGCCGTTGCGAGCCGATATGCATCATCCTGAGCTTTCTTATAAATATTCCTTATAGAAAGTATTCTTGGGACTGCATTTTTAAAAGTCCAAACCCGCTGCATTTTATATGGCTTAGTCCTTTAAAATGTTGGTGTTTGTTCTTGTCTTAACTCTCACCAGGTTACGATTGAAGCATGTTACTTTACAAAATGAATATTTTTGCATTTAGTTGAATGGGTTCAATGGATTCTTTTTTAAAAAAAAATAAAAATAAAAAAAAACAGAAACATACTCGATATATTTTCTATTATTGCTTGAATAGGTTCACAATATGAATTGTTTTAATTTATACCGATAAATTTATTTTCAATTCCGTAAACCGGGATTTTGGTGACGAAGAAATTTACTCGACTCGAAAAATTTTATGCAGTGTTTACATCGGAAGGTTTCAAGATCTTCCATAAATACATACGAGTTGAGCTCTTCATTATAATCGTTATTTTTAAAAAGTATTCAGAGAACATCTCTCATTCGGTTAACATAACAGTCTTTCAACAGGAAGAGTAGAGTCTACAAAACTTATGGCATAGATTCTACCCCGATTTTCCTTACGCTTAGAATTATAGTATTCTTTTAACTTTCTAACTATCGGTTTATTTCTTGAGGAAAAAACTATCTATAAATGAAACACTCGATGAAAACAAGGGTGTAATATATATGTGGTATCTGTAAATAAATAAAACACTTAGAGGAACTTCTTCAATGTAACTCAATCTACTAGATGAATAACTAAAAAAAAAGAAAATAATAGATTCTCATGGTAGCAGTTTTCAGATAGTTCTTGTCTTGTCTTGTCTGCAATATCATGGAGGTACTTAATGCAATAATTGTTTCAAGTACAGTTGAGTTTTTTGATGAATGTAAATAACATAAATGAAGGACTAAAAGAACGTATTTCTCTATTCGATTAAAGATGAATTTTGTTTGTATTGAATAACATTTTTGTTTATTGTTTACATGCCCCACATTGTCTTTTAAACTTAGTGATATGATTCTGGGGTAAAGGCTTTACCGACCTATCAAGAACCCTGTAACAAAACAGCATCCACGTGGCTTAGTAATATGAACTAAACTTGCAAAATTTGCGACAATCATAAAAAACGGAAATTGACGACTTTTATAACACATTCAAGAAGATCAACTTGTTCGAAATAATAATTCATAAATGTCTAATAAATCCATCCTGATCATCTCTCTGAAAAAAAGTACTTACTGGTTAGTTTTCACATTAAACTTTTTAGACTGTTTGTTTACAGGTATATGACGCAAGCCACCGGTCATTTTGTTCAGTATATAAACAACTGTTTACTGGTTTTGAATTTACCAAAAACAACATCATTCTCAATTAATTCTACGTACTTGTTTTGTAATTGCCGCGGTTGAATACAGGGGCTGTTCTTATTGAGCTGTTTGCGGATTAAAAAAGCTTAAAAAATAGTTTGAGAATATCACCAATAATTGTGACTCTGTATTATCTTCGCTTCGTTCAATATTTTTGGCTTCGCTGTCGCCTTTAATACACTCTTTATCCTCCTAACCGTGTGGAATTGGTCTGACGCCAGGTAGGCAGATTAATTGATAAAGGTTCCAGAGTATATTTATCCATTTGTATATAATAATCCTTTCCTTCCAACAATCTTTAATTGTCTACATCCGGTCGTACTTCGTTTGTTTTCCAGCTTCTTTCTTTATTTGTTTACGTTCAGACAAAAGAAAGCTCACGTCTATCTGTCCCTTCTTCTGCTTATGAAAACATAATTCCTTCTTTTTCATACTACTACGAATTTCAATTTCCTCCTGTGTATAATTATCTCGGAAACCATCGGCTGTTTTAAGGCTGTAAAATAATTTTGCCTGCAAAGGAACTAACGCTTCCAAAAAAAGAAAACCTCACTCTTTTTTCTTTATTGTTTATAATTCTTTTTTTTTTGATTTTTTGTATAAAGTTTTCATTTTTTTACGATTCCGATGGATTTTGCAAATATGTATCTCGGTTTCGACAATTTGGGCAGTGAAAGTTTTCATCCAACGAATTCATCTGTCCATCACAATAACAATCAGTTTTCATTTCATCCATCGATGCCAGGTCCAGGTCAGCCTGACATGACGCCGAAGACACCCGTTGTCACAGGTGACTTAGGGATGTATGATATGAATGGGATGTCGCTACAAGCCATGAAAGCAAAAGAACAATTCCAAATGAGAACACAAAACAAGTATATACCGATCGTTGGTGATGCGACCCTGTCTTCCTATCAACGCTCTGGTATGTTGTCGCCGGGGTCGAAAATTCCAGAGACAGTCAACCTTTCAGATGTTTCAAAAGCGGAAAATTACGGAGAAGCAGCTCCCTTAAGGTCAGAAAACGTAGCACCTTCATTGATGGGCATGTCTCCTTCCCATATGCCTTTGGATCCCTCACTTGGGATAAAAAGCTTTCAGAGAACTCCTTCCAAAGCCTTCTCATTCGACAATGGGAAAAACAATTCTTATCCGCTAATCTCTGAAGATCCTTCTCGTTTAGAACCATATTCTGTACATTCTCCTAGCTACCATGAGTCTGCATCTGTACAGTCTTCTTTTTCCAATCCTGCTACTCCTCAAAAGCAAAAGGCTTTAACCCCTAATAGCTCAGAATATGGTTCACCTAAGCAGGATCTAGGGAACAATCCTGAGTTGAAAAGATCGTCTCGTATGCGTCATAGTATAAGTTCTTTGGAAGGTGATGGTGCTGGCAAGAGAAAACGCTTTTTGGAAAGAAATAGGATTGCTGCGTCTAAATGCAGACAGAAAAAAAAGCTTTGGACGCAAGATTTGGAAAACTCTGCTAGAATTGCCTGTGAACAATCGAAAGCCCTCAGATCTTTAGTGGCTCAACTGCGAGAGGAAGTATTGTGTTTGAAGAACCAACTGTTAGCCCATCAAGATTGTGGTTGTGAAGGAATAAGACAATACCTTTCTTCAGAGGCAATGGGAATCATGTCAGCTCTCCAAAAACATTGAATATGAATCATCTTCTTGCCAACTGGAAAAAAGGTACACGGTTGTTTCATAAAATTATTTTTATAGATACAATCACTCAAGCTTTCAGCTATTCACGGTGTCGACGTTAAAATTATTGAAAAAGGTTTCTCCCAGCATGGTTTGTTTACCTACTTACCTGACTTAATCGTTCGTTCTTCTTTTGCTTGTTTCTCATGTAAAGCATATTAATTATCGCATGTGTAATACGGGATCATTCATAATTCATTCTATTAATAGTCTCAATTAATCTCCTTTTTTATTTTTTATATTTTTATTTTATTTCTTGTTGTCCAAACATCAGCAAAATGTTTCCACCAGCATCCATTGTTTTGTAGCTACTGCTAGACTTGTATGCATGCTAATTACGAAAGTGTTGTGCGTAGTATTACACAAATCCTTAAACAAAACACCATTTTTATACCAATATCTAGAATCAAAAGTCAATAAATAAATCGGTCTTTTGTTTTTCTTGTATTTGTTTTCTACTTTAAGGATGCCGCCGCCAAATGTTTCGGACCACGAGACACCTCAGATTCCAGGGACCTTGGTCTCTAGAGAACGATCGCAGGTTATTAAAAGTCGACTAGCCAGGCTTTTAGGAACTAATAAAGCTTTCCCCGGATCTCAGCCTGTTTCTTTCGCTCATAAACATCTACAAACTCTGAAAGAAAAAGACTATTATGTGTGTGAAAAGAGTGATGGTACCCGATTTTTGATGTACATGACAAAGGACCCTTCACGACCTGATAAACCGACGGTATACTTAATAGACAGAAATCCTAATTATTATCACATCTCGAATTTAATATACCCGATACCTACAGATATATCCGGGAAAGCAATGCATACGGAAACCGTGCTGGATGGTGAGTTAATCTTAGAGCGATTTCCAGATGGGAAGAAGCAGCTCAAATTTCTCGTATTCGATTGTTTAGCTTGTGATGGAAAACTGTATATGAATCGTCCTTTAGATAAACGGATTGGAGTGTTCATGGTAAACATCATTATTCCACTTCGACAGTTCATGCAGAAATTCCCAAAATCAGGGGAGACGTTTCCGTTTCTGACGGAAGGGAAGAAAATGGAGAGGTCATATGGAATAGAAATGCTGTTTCGGGATATCATTCCAAGTCTTCATCATGGAAATGATGGTCTCATTTTTACTTGTGTTGATACTCCTTACATCACAGGAACGGATCATAATCTATTGAAATGGAAACCGAAAACCATTAATACACTTGATTTTATGTTAAGATTAGAATTCACGGAAGCTGATGAACAAGGAAATGTCAATTTTGATGCAATGCCTCAGTTCCAACTAGGCGTATACCACGGTAGGAATTCGTATTCTTATTTCGCTGACATGTATGTGAATGAGGAAGAATGGGAAAAGCTAAAAAGTTATAATACGCCGCTTCAAGATCGCATTATTGAATGCAGCTTGGATGAAGAAAATCGATGGAGATTTTTGAGATTCCGGGATGACAAAAGTGAAGCTAATCATATATCAACAGTAGAAAGTGTTTTAAAAAGCATTGAAGACGCTGTTACTGAAGAAGATCTTCTTCATGAAGCATATGCGATTAAACTTGCATATAATCAACGACATCCCAAACCTCCAGGCAACGAAAAGAAACGGAAAGCAGAAGGAGAGCCTGTACAGAAAGAAAAAGTTAAATTCGAGAAAAAAGAAAATATTCCGGATGCCTAAATTAATGTTTTCTTGGAAGCAAGTGCGAACATAGAACAATCCCAATGTTTTTGTATCCTTTTTTTCTTACTTTTAAAAAAGAATTGTTATCAAAAGAAGCTAAAATGATTCTGTGTGTGATAATTGGTTTTGGCACATTACAATTTCCTGTTTTTCTTTTAGACTTATTTTATTTATTACCGCGAGAGTCTCTCTTGCTATTAAGTCTCGTTATATTGTTTACGAGGATTTGCAGACTAAGATGCCCTTGACTTGTAAAAACAGTCACGTTAGCAGTGGAAAAGTACTGCGGTCGAAATTTGGGCTTAGTACACGTACCAAACAAAGTATTAGGAGCTTGGACGGTTAAAATGGGTCGCGTTATTAGAGCACAAAGAAAGAGCGGAGGAATTTTCCAAGCTCACACTCGTCTTCGTAAGGGAGCCGCTCAGCTCCGTACTTTGGACTTTGCTGAGCGTCACGGATACATCCGTGGTGTTGTCCAAAAGATTATTCACGATCCTGGTCGTGGTGCTCCTTTGGCTAGAGTTGCTTTCCGCAACCCTTATCACTACCGTACCGATGTTGAGACCTTCGTTGCTACCGAAGGTATGTACACTGGTCAATTCATCTACTGTGGTAAGAACGCTGCTTTGACTGTTGGTAACGTCTTGCCGTTGGTGAGATGCCTGAAGGTACCATTGCCTCAAACGTCGAAGAGAAGTCTGGTGACCGCGGTGCTTTGGGCCGTTCTTCCGGTAACTACGTTATCATTGTCGGCCATGACATTGACACCGGTAAGACTCGTGTGAAGTTGCCCTCTGGTTCCAAGAAGGTTGTCCCTTCCGCCGCTCGTGGTGTTGTCGGTATCATCGCCGGTGGTGGTCGTGTTGACAAGCCTTTGCTTAAGGCCGGTCGTGCTTACCACAAGTACAAGGTCAAGCGCAACTGCTGGCCCAAGACTCGTGGTGTTGCTATGAACCCCGTCGATCACCCTCATGGTGGTGGTAACCATCAACACGTTGGTCACTCTACCACTGTTCCTCGTGGTTCCGTTCCTGGTCAAAAGGCTGGTCTTATTGCTGCCCGCAGAACTGGTCTCTTGCGTGGTGCTGCAGCTGTCGAAAACTAAGCTTCTTTATCTAGTCGTTTCAGAATGCTCGCTATCCAAGCTACCTTTGTTTTGGGTTATGTAATGTTTATAAAAAAGTAATACAATGATGGCTGTCTTTCATGTGTTATGAGGACTTGAAATTTCACCTAGGCAATGTAGTAGGTACGATCTTGTATACGTTCAATGATACAAGAACATCACATTTAGTATTGAATAGTGTTTTTCTTCCATGTATTGCTTTAGATTAACTTATGCCCTTGACATGCCTTTCTTACTTGATCATTAAGTTGCGCGAACATTGTTACCCATTAGATTTGCGGAAAAGGCGACACGCGCCGCATCTTCTTTTCTACTAACCAGACCTTTTGCTGTGTTTAATTAAGAAATACGTCTATGGCTGAATTTTTGAATTATTTGAATTGTATTTTTGTAGAAGCCCTCAATCAGGATATGCGAACATGTGTATAATTAAAAAGGAAAGTTGACATTTCCAAAAAGATATGTTTCGCGTCTATAAAAAGTTTGTGTTTTTTTTGATATCTCATTGCAAAGTTAGTAGTGAAAACCATCTACTGTAATCCATTGCAGGTTTAAATCATTCTTTATATCAAGAAAGGACATGAAAATTCGATATCAAAGGGTCTATGCTAAACAAATGAAACATTCGAAAATTGCTTACCTATCCAACGTCAATGTTCGTATCAAATTCCGTGGTAATCATCTGAAAAGAAGAGACCATACAGGAGTCTTCCGAAAATACTCTGTCACTGGATTCCTATATATGTGAAAAAGATGAACGAACATACACTAAAGAAATAGTAACCCAGGATTTTTTGTCAGTCCACTTATTATTTAATACTATCTCTTTGTCAACTCATTTCCCTTCGAAACATGGTACGATTTCTACTTTTCTGTTGCCTGTTTTATGAACAATTCTACCAAGTTACCAGCTATCACAATAGCTCAGGTCTCTCGTACCGTTCGTTGTACGAGCACGGTCTTGGTAATTATTTGAGCTCCTTGAAGAACACAATAACAAAATTTTCTTCTGTATAACGAGTTAGAAACCTTGGTCGGTATACATCTAGAGAAAAAGACCTTTGGAAACGGTTACACATTAAGCCATCACATGCTTTCGAGAATCTACCGATATTGAAGAAGTGATCTGTCTCAATCGAGTTTAAGTACGGACTTTCCCTACAAACGAAACGGTGATATTATGTATCATCACTTGGTTCCCATCCTATACATGAATTAGTGACATCACCCAACATTGCAGTAAGTGAAATCAGAAGTTTACCAATGCAAATAACTTGTCTATTTCAACACGGTATATTTAACTAGTCGAATTAGTTAGTATAAGCTTATCCTTTTTTTGTTTTTTTTTCTTTAAAAATGAGTGAAGAAGCTACGGCAGCTCAACACTCTAGAAAAGCTTCTACTTCTAGCTCGTCATCCAAAAACAAAAAAGGTGTGTGGAGTGTTGGTGATTCAACCATCATCGTCCTTGTTTCAATATTTGGATGGAATGCTAATTCGAAAAAATATTTTAGAAATTCAAACGGGTTTAAAGCAACTCCAGTTATTACAAGGTATTTAAAACATAAAGTTACGGACGGAGATTTCCTTCTCCTTTAGTAGCAGAGATTACCAGCTTTTTAAATGATCAATTTTGGTACTAACATTCGTTTAACTAGCCTTTCAAAACGGTGATGTTAATGAGGTAGACGCTCTTCTACAAAATCATAGCCGGGAAGATTGCACTTTTGCTTTATTTCTCAGTATTCAATGCGCAAATGCATCTATGGTAAAACATATTTTATCCGTTTTTGATGTTGATCTCAATGCATACGACAAAAATCATAATACGGTACGTGGTTCTTCGTTGTTTTAATTGAATCTTGGAAGTAAAAATAATAAAGCACACTTAGTTTCCCTGGTTCAAAAAGAGGATAAACATATTATCAGATTGAATGCTTTTTACTAACGGAAAGTTAGCCCCTTCATTTAGCTGCTATGGCTGGCCGCCAGGATATTGTGGAAACACTATTATTACATCCAGACATCAATTATAATCTCCTCAATGGAAACAATTTGAAGGCTTGGCAGGTAGCCTCTTCTAATATTTTGGCAGATTTCATGAAAGGTAAAGATGTCATGTTTTCTAGTATTTGTAGTCTATCGCTAACATGAAATAGGTTTCTGTGCCATGTATACCAAAGAGACGGCCCGCGAGTTCAAACACGCCTTTCAAGAACGAAATTTTGATACATTGGATTATCTGATGAGACATAATGAATACAATTCTGCTATTGATTTAAATGATATCGATGTTGATACTGGACAAACCTACTTACATATAGCAGCCAAGGCTAGGGACTTGGAACTCGTCCGTTGGTTACTGAACAATAATGCTGATCCCTATCGTCGAGACAAGTTTGGAAAACTTCCTGTTGACTACACAAAGGACGAGAGCTTACGTAGTCTATTTCGGAATCAGACTGAAACAACTTCCCACCCACCTTCTTCTGTTGATCCTAACATTTCTGGTTACTTGAAAAAATGGACTAATTATAAATCAGGCTATAAGCTTAGATGGTTTAGTTTGCATGATGGGGTGTTATCTTATTACAAGAACCAAGATGATGCTTCTTCTGCTTGTCGTGGATCTATTAATTTAAGCTTAGCTCGACTAGTTTATGACCCCAAACAACCCACTGTTTTTCAGGTCATTGGGAGGGGTTCTGTTCGTTATAGCGTCAAAGCTAACTCACCTGTCGAAGCACACCGGTGGATCGATGCCATTTCGTTTGCTATTGAACACGATGAAGGAAATGAAAATCAAAAGAATTCAGATGCTATGTCCATCGGTACCTATGATATTCCAGTATCAACGAGCCGAAGCGCGACGTTTAGCTCCGAACATTTGCCATGGAATGAAACCGATTCTTATGCTGGTTCGGATGATGAACACGAAGGCGATATGCCTCACCGAGAAAGTTATGAATTTAACATGAACATTGCCAAACACAAGGTAGACATTCTGCATGGACTGATTAATTCAGCCGTTTCACATGAGAAGTACAAACAAGACCCAGCTCTGATGCAAGTGTTCGAAGGAATTGAGAATGCCTTTAGTACTTTGCAGAATAATGTTATTGAGATTCTACATCTTCAGCATGAAGCAGAAATTCACTACAAACGAAAGCTTGAAAACGCAACGAGGATCAATGCTTTATGGGCTGAAAATTTGAAAACAGTCGTCGAAGAACAAGATCAAATTGAGGAACGCTATCACAGAAGTGAGAATCATCGTAGACGTACTAAACGCGAGCTTCGTAGGCTGGTTTCATCTATGAAAAATAACCCAAACAATGGCCAGATTAACGAGACTGCATCTTTATCTTCTACTTCTCTGTCAAGCGATTTCAGCGAAGAGGATCAAGATAACGACAGGGAGACCTTTTTTGATGCTAACGCCAATCAAACACCCTCACGTATCCAGTCTCCGTCCAAGGAAACTCCGCCGACGTTCAACCAGTATCCATTTGATGATGCCCCTGCTCCTACAGCCGGTAAATACCCTTCTAGTGAAGCACCTGCTCCATCTAATGAACAACCTCCTCCCGCTGAAAAACCGGTTTCTCATGATGAACGTTATCCTCTTGCGGACATGTCTTCCCCATCTGATGAACTAAATCCTCCCCCTAAAGCATCTGCTCCTTCCGATGAACAATATCCCACCGAAGGAAACTTTGCTCCTCCTCGTGGTGGGCAACATCCCCCGGCTAAAGCACCCGTTTCTCCTCCTGGTGAACGCTACCCTCCCTCTGTAGGTGCTTCATCCGGAATGAATGAGAAACCTGCATTCCAGGAGAAGCCACCTAATGTCAGAGAAAATCAGCAGCGTCCTCCTCATTCTGTTCCTAGTGGTGCTGCGGTTGATAGGAAAGATGATGAGAAACAAGGACCATCGGATGGACCTAAATCAGATCCTCGTCTTTTAGATCTTCAAAGATCTTTCCAAGGTTATGAAGCACCTCTCCGAACTGATTTAGGGATTAAAGATGACCGTCCAAAAATTAGTCTTTGGAGTATTTTGAAGGGTATGATTGGTAAAGATATGACAAAAATGGCTTTACCTGTTAGTTTTAATGAACCTACTAGTCTTTTGCAACGTGTTGCTGAAGACATGGAATACACCGATTTACTCGAAATTGCTTCTCAACAGAAGGATCCAGCTTGGCGTGTCTTATATGTTGCTGCTTTCGCTGCTTCAGAATATGCGAGTACCATCAATCGTGTTGCAAAACCTTTCAACCCATTGCTAGGTGAAACTTACGAATTTTGCCGTCCTGATAAAGGATACCGCTTTTTAATTGAACAAGTCAGTCATCATCCTCCGATTGGTGCTGCATGCGCGGAATCTTTAAACTGGAAGTACTACGGAGAATCAAGTGTAAAGTCGAAATTTTATGGTAAGAGCTTTGATATCTCTCCTCTTGGCACTTGGTACTTAGAACTCAGAAACCCTTCGGGAAATATGGAACTATTCACATGGAAAAAAATTACATCTTCGGTAGTGGGAATTATAAGTGGAAACCCTACTATAGATAATTATGGCCAGATGTTGGTACAAAATCATTCTAGTCATGTAAACTGTCTTTTGGACTTCAAACCTCGAGGCTGGCGTGGCACTAATGCTTACGAAGTTAAAGGAAGCATTCAGTCTACAAGTGATACTCCGGAATACACTGTGAACGGCCATTGGAACGATAAAATATTTGCTTATAACGCTGGCAGTAACAAGACAATGATATGGCAAAACCATGAGCGACCCCCTCGTCCTTTCAACTTGACACCGTTCGCCATTTCTTTGAACGCATTAAGCGACGAACTAAAACCTTGGCTACCACCTACAGATACTCGATTACGACCTGATCAGAGAGCAATGGAAGATGGTCAATATGACTTCGCTGCTGATGAAAAGAACAGAGTCGAGGAGAAACAAAGAGATAGAAGAAGGATGCGTGATCAAGGACAAATGGAAGAATGGAAACCAAAATGGTTTTCACTGCAAAAACATCCTATTACTGGTGAAGACTACTGGAAATTCAACGGTGAGTATTGGTCTATAAGAGAGGCTGCTGGAAAAGCAAGGCTTTCTGGTCAATCATTTGAGTGGCCTGGCGTTGAAGACATTTTTTGATACGCATAGTACAATTATTTAAGTTAGTATCCATGAATGAATTAAAATATACATTACAATACTTAAATTGCATTTACCCATAAAAATTACGAGGAAAACAACTAAATTAGGAGGACAAGATAATGAAAATTTCATTTTAAGCAGCAGTGATAGCCTTACGAGCAGCCAAGTTGCGAGCCTTAGCACCTTGCTTCAAAGAAACACGGGCAACCTTATCTTGAGCCTTAGGAACAGCTTCCTCTTCCTCAGCAACAATAACTTCAATGTGGCAAGGATGAGACAAGTAGGCAGTGACACGACCATAAGCACGGTATGTACGACGGTGTTGTTTAGGGGCAGCGTTGACTTGAATGTGCTTGATGACCAACTTGTCCATATCCAAACCCTTGGACTCAGCGTTAGCCTCAGCATTTTTCAAAAGGTCAAGGATAACCTTGACGGACTTAACGGGCCAACGAGCTTGAGTGACACCGAATTCCTTGCCTTGAGCAGTACGGCCAACACCTCCGTTGAAGCGACGGAAGGGAACAGCTTGCTTGTGTTCAAGGACGTTGTCCATGAAAGCAAAAGCCTTCTTCAGGTTCATGCCATTAATAGTGAAGGCAACTTCACGAGAGTTCTTAAAGTGAGTTCTCAAGTAAGCACCGCGAGCTCTGGCGCACTTGGTCTCAACAGCAGGTGAAGCGGAATAGCGGGCCATTGCTACTTTTGTTGTGGTGAAAGGCTAGTGCTATCTGTATGGGTTTTGCCTTTCTGGTTTCTGTTGTTTCGTTTCGTGACTGGTTTTAAAAACATAGGGTAGGGCTAAACCGATAGGGACGGTAACTTAGGTACCACAATAATTTATACAAGTATTTTGTATGTTTCGTTAGGGTATTATAAGGAGTAACTAGATAGTGCGTATCAGTGCTGTATATTGAGTGTTTCAACCGTACGGTCTAAGTGTGAAACTTTTCTTTACCAAAATTCGCAAAAGTTGGAAGAACTTCCACTCTATCTCCCTCGTTGTATTCAATTTGCCTTAGCATCTGAGCTACGGCAGTTTACATCAACGAAGGACGACTACTGTCAAGGGCAAGGTTCCTACATATGAGCGCCCGAGATTCATGTGATCCCAAAACACTTAGGAAGTTGTGCGAACAGAACTATGATAAAAGTACAGCACTTCTTTCCGTCTTAAAGGAGAGCTTGGTGAAACTTGGAAATGAGTTGGATTTTTTGATTGAGAAGAATCAAGCAGCACATCGTACTGGACACGGGAGTACAGTGGAAGGATCGAGAAGTTCAACCAAATCTAAGAAAAATGGTAATGGAGAACGATCGAAGAATTATAAGCGATCAGTGACGGAGGCGAATTCCGGGAAACTGGAAAATCGCAAGGAATGGAAGCAGCTCTTGTCTGTAAATTCTAAAATCGCTGCGCTTATGGGTGAAATATTACTGACAGATGTTTCATATTCTTTGGAGAAGGATACTTTGACTGCAATATGGACGAAGGTTCATTATCGGGTTATTTCCTTCTTGAAACATAAGATTATTCAGGCATCTAGGAAAAACAATATAGAAGTTTTAGGGTCACTTGTGACTCTATATTTTCATTATCTTGATACCTGCGTTCATTTCTATGTTTCTTGTGCCTTCATTTTAATTAAAGTCTATAGCTTGCAATGTCTTGAGCCTTTAGCATCCTACCTTGCTACTCAGCTTGCGTTCAGAACTTCGAAAAAGTCTCACAAAGCAAAGGTTAAATCTGGAAGCTCATTACGACAAGATACACTTTTGAAATCATTGTTTTCTTCTATCTTTGGGTTTAAGAAGTTATTTTCTGGTACTTTGAGTGTTATTCTTCAGAAAACGTCAGCAGTAGCTGCTTCTGATAAAGCTGCTTACTCACCGGCATATGTTAGTAGTCCTTTACTTGAATTAGCTCTACCTGACAAACAGGCACATTTTTTGATCGGCACTATATACGGTTCCCTGATTTATGTAGGCGATATCTATCGTTACCTGGCTCAAGCACGTTCACCTAAATTGCCCGATTATTCTATCGCAAAGAAATATTACCATATGGCTGCTTTTGCTGTTCCGAATTGCGGTATCCATTATCATCAGTTAGGTCTAATTGAAGTACAAAATGCTGATTCATCAGCCTCGAATTCTCCTCAAAATCATCATCAAGGATTATATAAAAGCCCATCCTCGAGCTCGCTTCTTTCATCAGAAGCCTCTTCTAGATCAATTGTCGATGATGCTAATCTGCTAGGAGTTTCCTCTTTCTTTTTAGCCTCTTTATCTCCGAATGGTATTGCTGCAAAGTGTGCCCGTAACAGTCTTCTCATTGCGCTGAAACGTATTTTAGGGAAACCAAATTTTTTTGACCCAAGTTTGGTAATGTACCAAAAGGATAATTCTCTCGTATCTTTATTCCTTCGTTTATATGCTTTGGCGTTTTCTGACTTTGATTGTATATCTCATACGAATTCCCTTGTAAAGCGAGTCCGGTTTTTATTATCTGATTCTTTGAAAAATGCTAGGGTATCCTATAAAACATTATTGAGGATGACTTATTGTGCGCTTGCTGCAAGATGTCTGGCATCGAAGCTGGGACACAGTGGTACAGGGGATGTAATTCAAAGATTTCCTTCTACGAATTTAGCTACACAAACTACTGTAATGTTTTTCGAAGTTCTTGTGGATGCAGCAAATGGCCAGCTTCCTTTGCATGCTTTAAGTGTTAGTTCTTTTAGCCAAGGTCAATCGCAGCCATACGGCATGCTTCTGCAGAATATAATTTTTTCTCCAATGGTTTTACCGATATGTACTTTGGTTTCTTTCTGCTTGAAGCATAGTGATATGTGGCTTACGAAGGAGATTCGAACTGGCTTATCACAGATTTACAATCGTTTCACTTTCTTCTTTGAAAATACAAAGCAAGAGTTGCCTACTGAGGAATGTCTAATTTGGAGTACTCAATGGGATGTTGGTTTGCCGTTTTTCTTTCCTATGCAACAAATATACGATGTCAATTATGACTTGTTGAAGTTGTTATCTGCAAACAAACTATATCCTTTAGGAGAGGAAGAGGACATTGAAGGCCAAAGATCTACCGAGGATAATGACACAATGGTAAAATTATCTATTGACTCTTTGTATATGTTACTGGGTCGTCATGCAAACACTCAAACTTCATCCATTTCGGTATCATCTCCTGCGACACCCCGTGGATTCTATCGATCTCTTGATTCAACTTGTGTAAATGCATTTCCTGCATCTTCTTTGCCTTCTGACCATTCTTCTCCTACGTCACCGTTCCATTCTGGTGCATCTTCTTTTGTACAGCCATCGTCAAGCATAGCAAGTCTGCAGTATGGTAGAATGGCTGACCCCAAACCCTCACAGCCCGTCTCACCATTTTCGTCTGAAAACCTTAGTCAGATGACGCGTTCAAAGCTTACTTCTGCTTTTGATGTTTCAACGGAAAAGGACATAGACAGACCAGATACACCGTTTTATGATTCTCATTTGCGTTCACGACCGGCATCAGTAGCGTCTGGAAGTGGACAAAATACACCAATGAAAGGAGAAAAAATTTTATTCAGACCCATTGGGAGTCCAAAGCCGCAGACACAACATCCTAGCGACACTTCCGATGTACAGCGTCAAGTATTTTTATCAGAACTGTTGAAGAGAATGATCAACATCAACAACACCTAAAGTTGCTTGTTATGAAACGACTTGTTTCCTTAGATTTGTATGGTGTACTTTTAAAGAAAGGTTTGTAGTTTTAAGGAACCAAATCAAGGATGGACATAGAAAACCTTGTATTGGTTTGCTACGATGATGAAAAAAAAGATTTCCTTTTTGAACATTTGAAGGAAAGAAATGTTGCTTCTGTTTGTTTTTCCGAAAGTTGTGCACGTAGAGGTGCTCATCTAAAAAAATGATAAGGACGTCGGTATTCTTGTCGTTGTAGATTATGTCAGTCATTTCTCGTTTATCTTGTTTATAGCCCGAAAAATTTGTCTTAGCTTTAAATTATAAGGCTAATTTGCATAGCTGTTGACACTTTGGTGAGTATGGGCATGATAAAGGGTTACCTACCTTCAAAGTATATATTATGTGAGTCATGAATCGAACGCATATGAATGGCGTATGGGTTTAAATTTTACACTCAATGATGGGTATATTGTATAACAAGCCCTAAGATCTACATTAGAATTTGGAAGGTTACTTACTATTCTACTTGCTTAAGGAAAACGTAACAAGTCTCCATAATTGTGCTGGAATAAAGGAAGCTGCTACGTGCAAAATGGAGAATAAATTGAAGAACAGATGCTTCTGTTTTAGAATAAATAGTATATGTTGATGTTCATTAGTTTTACTAGTCGTCACATGTGGGATGAGAGACGCCCTTGATAGAAATGCTAGTTAAAGTTGAGCTTTTCACTTTGATTGGAACAGTTGATTTAGCTTTACCGGTATGATTTAAGAAAACGTATACTTTAAAACTTTGTAATTATATCCGTCTAGTTTTTCAACCTTTTACATTGATGAGTTTCCAATGCATACATATGGAATGAATAGCTTGGTATATATCATAAGAAAATACTCTTTACAATTATATACCAAATAATACTATTAATACGAGAATTTTCGGGATTTACCAAGCGTAATTCTGATACAACACTAAATCTCGTACACCAATAAATGGTGCATTACGGTATACCACTTTAACCAATATGGTAGAGAATGATAAAATATATACAGTATTCAAACGATGTGCTTATTTCCTTGGAAAACCACCATCTGCTTTCAACTTTCTTACCCTTTGTTTACGGTGCATCGTTTGCTTTTTGCATTTTTATACTTTTTTATATATATATCCAAGTTCAAATTAGAGTTGGATGAGTAGGAGCCGATTGTAATTTGAGCTGTCTTGACGAATTTTTCAATCTTTTCGAATATAGTTCCTACATTTCATTTTTGGTGTATTTTAATCCTAAGTCTTACCGACCGAGCTTATAAGACACCGTTTTCTAAAAAGAGAACTCGTAAAAAAAAAAAACAATACACAATTGCGGAGTTGGCTTGTTTTGCAATAATGAGTACCTTTCATCTAAAAACTCGTCAAGTTCTGTATTCGATTGTACAACGTCGGGCATTTACTACGAAACAAAAGCTTGGAAAAAACAGCCCTCTTCCAGGATGGGATCCCCACTCTGAATACTTTCATCCAGGTCCTACGATGGCCCATCGTTTAGAAGAGCATATGAATGACACGGTTATGTCTGATGTTTTAGTAGGTACCTATAAACATAATGTTGATTTTGTGGATTCATCTCCCCATTTTCACGAACCAGCAGACCGTCTGGTTCGATGGAAGGGCGACAACCCATATTACAAAAATCGACCCCCTCGCCATTTTCGTGGATATAAACCCCTTCTTCCTTACAAGCGACCAGTTCGTCCAGAAAATCTCCCTAATATATCAAAAGTTGTCGTAAGTACTATGGTTAAAGAGGCCCTACAGGATAAGTCTCATCTGTTGAGTACTATTATGGCTTTTCGTTCTATTACCGGTGTTGAACCAGAAATAATAAAAGCTAGGAAAGATGTCTCCCCATGGAGATTGAGATCTGGTTTCCCTGTAGGAGCGAGCGTGACTCTGGAGGGTGAGCCAATGTATAACTTTTTGTCTGTTCTTTCCGAGTTAGTCCTACCTCAGCTTCACGACTTCAAAGGCATCTCTTCGACAGTTGGAGATCAAACAGGTAATATTTCTTTTGGTCTTCCCGGAAATGCTTTACCTCTTTTCCCCCAAATTGAAGCTGTATACGAAATGTATCCCCACTCTCTTCCCGGCTTTCATGTTAACGTCGTAACAAATGCCCAAGATACGCGATTGGCAAGGTTTGCCCTTAGCAGCTTAATTCCATTCAAAACGCGAAATCCTGAGGATGATGTTCAATAAGAGACATCAAGAATAATATCGCAATCGGGAACTAGCTACTGTTTTCAATACCTAATATTACTTTCCTTTTTAATATCAAACTATATTTCAGTTTTGGAATCCAATTTTTACAGTATAAAGAGAAGGTAGTAAAGAAGAAAGAAATTAATTATTAAATAATTTTGGTATAATTAAAAGAAAAGGAAATCAAAATATTAAAGAGCGACAATTCAAAAAAAATATATACAAGAAATTAACCAACGTCAACATGCATCGTAAAAATCGTAAAATTATTTGCTTCCGAAACGTAAAAAAAAACCAAATCCTTACATTCACTTTGTAATAAAAGGATGTTGCAGCAATTCCGAAGCGGTTGGTCTTTCATTACAATCAATGGCGAACGTTTTATTTAAAAAATCATGGACAGAAGGTGCCACATCAGGAGGATATTCAGGAGGAATGTTTTGTCCTATTTTAAAAATCGCTTGCATTTGATCACACGTAGGATACGGATGCTTGCTGGTAAGCATCTCGATTACTAAACAACCCAGCGACCATATATCAGTCTTTTCCGTATGTTCAGTTTGTTTAACCACTTCCGGAGCCATCCAAAAAGAGGAACCTTGTAAAGATTGACGAGAAGATACGTTCTTATCATCGGGATTTTCTAGCTCCAACTTTTTAGAAATTCCAAAATCAGAAATTTTAATTTTGCCTTTGTTATCAACCAAAATATTAGCACCTTTAATATCTCTATGCACGATACCTTTGGAATGAAGATATTGCAACCCTTCTAAAGTTTGCTTTATAAAATTTCTTACAAGGGGGGCCTCAAAACTTCCGTACATCTCAAGTAGACCGGTGACAGAGCCACCTGGAACATATTCCAAGAAAATATTCAGATATTCCGATGTTAAATTTGACCCAAGATATTGGACGATATGTTCGTGAGCCAACTCTTGCAGTAAATTGATTTCACCAACAAGAGAATTAAAAAGACTGGAATGAAGCTCTTTAGATTTTTTAAAATCACCTAGGCTAATTTGCTTAACGGCCATTAACTCTCCACTAGAGGCATTCATACCGAGATAAACTTGTCCGAAGGAACCAGATCCGATCAACGCTCCGCGAATCCATCTGACTGGTTCTTCCACTTCTTCGTCAGCTGGATTGGTGTCTTCACTTGTGGTGGTCGGAGTTGGCGACGCAGGGGTTATATGTTCTACAAACGTTGGAGAAGGGATTGGTGACGCTGAAGGAAGCGGAATGTTTCGTAGAGATGATGTTTGAATATTGGCCACTCCATGTCGTTCAGCAATTTTCTTTGAAAATGAAGAATTTTGTATAGGAGACGTTTTTAAAGCAGCACCAAGTTTTGCTTTGCTTTCGACGTCCAACATGGGAGTTGGCATAACTTTATTAGCATCTTTCGATTCTTCTAACGTATTGATTTTCAATGAAGACATCGATTTTAGAAACTCTAAATGTTGGCGCCGCAGACTTCTCGACTTTGGGAGAATTTCCTTTCCAAATGTACTTTCACGAGGTGGATGAATCTGTTGATTTCCTACAAAAGAATTGTACAGAGTTTTTTCTAATAACTTTGGCTGGTGCTCGGGGAAAAAGTGGGAAATTCGCGAACTAATAAGTTCACTTGGAGGTCTTTGAATGGATAAACAAGAAGCATTTGTTCTATCAGAAGGAAACAGAGTTTTCTGTATGTTTTCAGATAATAAAGAAGAAAACTTTTGTGGGCTACTAGAGCTATTTGGCAATGACTGAGAGGACTCTATTTCCCAGGATTTACGAAGATCTTCGAAAGAAGGACAAGTCTTGGTTTCCGAAACAATGATGAGTCTTTCTCTTTCTGGAGAAGAAGAATTATGGTATATCTCTTGAAAGGCTTCTTCAGTTATGGGCCTAACCTGACTACTCTGTGTAACACAGATAACATATTTGGCTTCATCTGGTAAGGAGAACTTTCGTAAAGCCAGATTCAGCGTTTCCCGATAATTCCCGAAAGACTGAACCGCCCGAGTTTGTCCATTGCAAGCAATAAATCGTAATATGCAAGGTTTAGGGGCATCTCGTAACCTATTTCGTTCTTTCAAAAATTCTTGACGTTTCTCACCATCAGTAATCCCAAGCTCTTCTAGTAATGGATGTGACAACCGCGCTAAATGTCGTCCTTCTATTCTATGCTGTTCGAACGCGTCAACGTATTCTCCGAATCCATTTTTTTTTAGCCATCCGCAGACTTTCTCTACCGAATAATTTTCCATGAAGTTTACCCGGCTTTAAAGGTTGAAACAGCTTCGCCTTCCCGCGAACGCTTTATACAAGTTATGTATATTACTGGCTTTTCGTTGATCGTGAGAGAAGGCTTGCCCATACCAACCACCACAGCTGGACTTGAAATAAGCCAGTTTGCTACACTTTGCAATCCTAATTGAGCACTGGACTGTACTTAATTTATACAAATCAAACCAAACCAACCATCTTCTTAAGACAGATATTGCTTCAAAAAACCTCCCTGATTTAATAGACTTGTAGATATAAATAAACAAGAATTTATTTTAGGTTATCTAATAAAGAAAACTAAATAAAACCACCTCAGACTCTCGCTGAGTACATATATATATGTAAAGAAATCGTCCCCTTCTTTGACTTCGTTGTATTAATAGAAAGTGTTTGAATAATGTATAGTTTGAAAACGTTCAATAAAAACAAACTATGTAATCGGTGTTTCATGGTTTAACAAGCAAATTTATAATCTACAGCACTCCTTTGTTCAACTAGCCTCATAACAGGTCTTTTAGAACAAACAAATTGGGTTTTATAAGCAAAAATTTTGAACTTCGTTTCACATGTTTGTTTTATCGGGTGTTTTACTTTCTCCCAACTCAACCTGATAAATGGATGGACTACAGTCCCCAAATATCCCCAAGCGGAAATCATAATAATGTTCGACCTGAATAGTCCAAAAATAGAAGACCAAAAAAAACCGTCGTTTTCGTTAGGATCAAAATCCGTAGGCAAGCGTTCGTTTTCCATCAAATTTACAAATTTCTCATCTGGAAAAGAGGAAGGTGAGATATAAACTATATATATATACTCCACGTAGTAAGAGCATGTCATTCACAAAGAACAAGTTCCACGAAAGAGCCACATACACCTCCTTTACACGTACAAAATTAAAGAAACGGCAAAGAGTCAACTTCAAATATTACGGGAAATCCAGATGTAACTTTTCAAAATACAAATCTGACAACCATAATATCAAAATCAATATCAGCTTTAACCGCAGTCGTAACTTAAAAAAATCAGACTAATGTGTGATATCACGGGAACGAGTCTATTAATGAAAAGGTAATGTATATCAATACACTCGCCGCACGCAGTATTAATCCACTAGCCGACTTTTGAATATCACTGAGCCCTTTTATTCAGAGTTCTACTAAAGACAAACATCATTATTGATTCACCGAACATGGGTCTTGTAACAGAAGCTTGAGTGAGAGGCAGGACAGACGATCCTTAAAAACTACTCAGACGAAAGGACTTTTCATAATGAGTCCAATTCATCATCAAAATAAATAGATAAAGAAATAAAATGTTTCATCGCGCCAAAATTTCCAAATTACAACATCATCCGTTTCCATCGATCAAGAGAGCCAAATGTAACATAGGTTTATATTCCAGTACTACTAAAGTTCGAAAAAAAAAAATCTTGAAAATAGTCCAAGCCAATTAATTAGGTGGGCAACAAATCGTAAATCCCTGATCATTTCTAAAATCTGATTCGTTTTCTGTTGATTATCAATTACTTGTTCTCGGTGTTCGATCCGAAGTAATCATCCATCTCCTTATCAAGTTCCTCAGCGGATTTCTTAGGTCGGTTGTTACCCTTGCTACGGCGAACGTTCCTTTTCTTAGAAGCCTTGGGCTTATTAGGAGTGTTCGCTTTAGCAGGTGCAACACGAGCGGCTAATGAATTTAGTTGACGGCTAGGATCAAGGATAATCTCAACTTTCATCTTTCTAGTACCATCAACCATGCGTCCTTCATATTGTTCGTAAGCACGAGTAGCGTCACCTTGACGAGAAAATATAACTGTAGCGATACCCTTAGAACGTCCATTTGGACCATATGCCAAGGACACACGTTTGCAAGGACCAATCGATTTTACAAATAGTTCTCTAACTTGAGCTTCTGTGACATCGGGAGGTAAGTTAGACACAATAATCTTCGACTCCTCGGAAATGACTGACTTTATCGTAGAAACTGTATCGTTAGAGGTTTTGTTTGCTTTGGAGGCTTTGGGCTTGTTAACACGAGAACGACGCTTTCTAATTCCTCCTTTGGGCTTCGATGCTATGATGGCATCCAATGACTGATCTAATTCCATAGACATTTTCAAAAAAGTTTAGGTATGGTGGTTGGTTGCTGTTACAAAATTTTGAAGCGCGCCTCAGACATCTCTCGTACGTGGGTAAGGGTGAGGCACGTGAATAGTGATGACTAACCACCAACAGTAAACAAGTTATTACGTAGATTATGTTTCCACCGTATTATCCTCATTGAGTTGACGTTCTTGGGTTACTATTAGCTACAACGCATCTACGATTTTTTTATAGTCTACTGATACAATTATTCAATTGATAAATAATATGAAACAGGAAGGAAAACAATTTATTTACTTATTTTGGTTTGACGATAATAGCATGGATATTTCGGAAAAAAGAACACTACCCAGGTCCTTTCATCAGCATCGTTCTGTACACTATCTCCAACTCATAGCAATCTAAGCATAATGATGAAAATAGTCTCTATATTTGATAGACGAAAGATAATAAAACATCAATAAGGTAGAGAACACATCTACTTTTTCTTATACCGCCATTCACATGTAGAAATGAATAGCCGAAAAGAAAGCCGAAAACGAAATTGCAAAACATGTTCTTTACCTATTGACAAGGGCGAGATCATAGAGATACCAATGCCATCAAGTAAACCATATTTTTTATGTAAATACAATCCTTAGAAATCGGAAAGCAAGTTGAGCTATTCCCAAACAGGAACAAAATAGATGACAATCAAAAGTTCGCAAAGGGTGGATAGCTCTTCAGCTAAAACAAACACAATTGCTTCCGACACTAGATAATATAAGAATTTTGTGATGAATTTTTTCATCAAGCACCTGAGAATTGACAGATAACGTATATAAAGTATCAGTATATTGCAAAATCTATATCGAATGAAAACGGTTTAGCCTGTGTTTGGATTCAATTAAAAAGGTGCTCATAATAAACCAATAGGAACAAAACAAAAGCAAACAAAAGTCCAACAAGTAACTAATACTGATATAAAGATTTTTTTACCAATTTTAGTTTTTCATTTTTTTTGGTTTTTTTTTCTTTCTGATACGAACTAGCACGAAAAAAAACAAGGAAAAACTGAGCGTCTTTCAATTCCTTAACCCGCCTAAGGAAAAAAGGAAAAAGTATAAAAAAAAAGAAAAAAATATAAGGCACCATGTACCCTCAACCCAGTAATGAATTCTAAGTCATAGCATAACGGGTGTACATTGGAAAGTATCCCACTTGGGAGTAGGGATAGTAATAATTGTAATCCGAGCAAGTACGGTTTACCGTTGAAGAATTCGTAGGGAACTGACCAGGGCCTTGAGATTGATCACGATGTTTATTGATATTGTCATTGTTGGAGGAAGTGAACAACGCATAAGAAGCACTCCACCATTCCCAAGCCTTATGACCACGAGATCCTGGGTTCAAGTTCCAACACATGCTTGTAAGCCAATCCTGTTCAAATTTATTAAGTAATTGGGTTCTGAACCCGGTGACTTGAGACCAGGATTGGTTGGTAAAGGTGTTGTCATCCAAATACTTGTTTGCTAAGATTAAAGCACTGGTAAGCAATGCACATATTTGGAAGAAGGGAGTCTCCTTTGTCCATTGGTTAAGGAATTCGGAAGACTGAGAAGCAGCATCCAAGCGATCCGAAATGTAGGATAAGGCCAACAAACAAGAGGCACGAGGAAGACGGGTTGAAGTCAGGACTTGCAAGACAAACTTACGGAAAGAAAAGACTAGATTAGGTAAAGACGTAGCCAAGGAATGCATTCTAGCATTATTAAGGAATCTCGCATAGAGTTTGCAAGTCATGATAGAAAGATATTCAACCATTTGGTCCATCTTGTAATCCAAGTTGGGAGAAACGCCGCCCGTGTAACTGATATCATCTTGCTCCATGGCGTTTGGGTCTGCTTGGTAATGAGGAGACATGCGCTGACCAACAGGAGGCGCAACATTGCAGACGCTTGTTGGATCGTAGCGGTTGCCCATGGTTGTAGGGACGTTTGTGGAAGCAGCGGGATTGACAGCCTGGGGAGGAACAGGGCAATTCACGGTACCGACATTTGGTAAAGAATCATAATAAGTAGTCCCACGGGAGCCAGGGATTAAGGAGGAATATGAGACTTGACCAGAAGGGTTCAACAACATGGGGTTTCCAAGAGCAGGATTTTGGGCAGGAGGATGATAAGCCAAAGGATACTTCTCAGGAGCTAGATAACGTTGAGAAGATTGGGCAGGAGCAGGGACGGACTGTTGGTAAGATGGCCAATAGTAATTAGAAGGGGCAGTGGGAGCAGGAGGAGGGATACGTTGTTGTAAACGGTGTTGAGAAAGAAAAGGAGCAGCGGAAGCACCCGAAACACCGTTGTTTTGGTTGGAAGAGGTACGGATATGATGGGAGGAAGAGGTAGAAGAAGGGATGGAGATGCCCGACTTACCTGGAATCGAATCGGGCACAGAAACGCCAGGCAAAAAGGACGGACGACGCTGGCCAAGTCCGTACATGGGAGTATGGCTCAACAGAGCAGCAACCGATGCAGCAGAGTTTGCATTGTTGCTAGACAAAACGGGGGCAAACATACCAAAGCCGGGGGCAGCCGCAGAAGGCTGGGCTTGCGGGCGATTAGTGTGCTGGTAAGAGAAAGCCATTGTCGAATCAAGAATGTTTCCAAAGAAGAGGGAGAATAAAAGAAAAAGGACAACAAGGCAGAAAGCGCTTGAAGAAGAAAGAAAACAAATTAAAATCTTGAAACTGGAAAACAAATGGATGAAACACGCTTCCACACACTATCTTTGCAAATCCCGACTTAGAAATGCTTGTTCCGCTTGCGAATAAGACGAGGCTTAATAAAAAGCTCGACTGTAGCAAAAATCTGCTTAAATAGAAGGGAAAAATATAGAAACCTTCCAAAGAAAGAGTTTTTGAGTAGTTGGTTGTGCGCAGGAAAAAAGGGCGCGTACCAACAATGAAATAAGGAAACGTGAATTTCTAGAATAAAATATTCCGAAAAACTAATAGATTACAAATAACGCAGTTTAGCGAGGTTGAAGAGACGAGGGAGAATTGAGGAGTGGATGATTAAAGAGAGGCTCGCTTGGAGAATAGAGTGAGAAGGAAGCGAAGAGGGAGGATGTTTTGAAAGTGGAAACAAGTAAACAAATAAACAGACAAAAGAAAAAGCAAAGTGGAATGGGAGGATATATATATAAGAGAGAGAGAGAGAGCGCGCGAGAAAGAGAGAAAGAAAAGAAAATTACCAAATAAAAAAAAAAAAAACTGTTTTCTTTAAAACTAGAAAACTAGTGCTTGGAAGAGAAAGAAAAAAAAAAAAAAAAAAAAGTGCCAAACTAGAAACAAGGTAAAGATGAATACAAAAGAAAAGATGGCAGAGAAAGAAATAGAAAAAAAAAAGTAGATGAGAGAGAAAAAAAGAGAGTGTGTGTAAGAGAGGAGGTGAAACTAGAGAAGAGTTTCAATGGGGTCGGGAGAGAAAGCAAGAAATCCCAAAGATCCAATCCAAAGAGGATGATGAATGGAAGCAAGAAGAAAAAGTCGAAAACGACACGAGGGACAGAAGCAATCCCAAGAAACAACAAACCAGCCCAAGAAAAGGCGATTTGAGTAGAGGTTGAAGCCAAGTGGAAGAAGGCTTTTGCTGTAATGTTTTTGTTTGGTTTGGAAATGTAAATAAACCATCAACATGATCTAAGGGACTCGCTTTCAGAAATAGCAATGCGGTGCATAATTCGGTATAGATCGGTCGAGTGCGATGGAGGGAAAGCATACCAAGATGAAAAAGAGAGTGCGCGAGAGTTTGCAAGAAAAACAAAACAAAAACAAAAACAAAAACAAACCCAAATTCCATAATCCACAGTTTTATAATCTGTAATTACATTTATTAAAAAGCATCTCTATTTAAAAACAAAACAAAACAAAAAAAAAAGTCCATTTTCGATCGATTTGCAATTTCGGTTTCACCAAGGTTTTTTGTTTATCTCGGCATTCCTGTTTCCTCGGTTAGGGTTGTCTGTCCCGAAAGCCGAGCGAACCATAAGCACAAGGATTCCTCCAGATTCCTCCAGACAGTTGGAGCTGCTCCACTCTATCGCTGTGCTCCATATCGATTGCGTAAGAGTCAGATCATGGCTAAATGAGTTACCGATGCATTGCAAGTCGGTAAATGGCATTGGAAAAGACAAGAACACTGCGTAATAGTTGGTGTGGAAGAGGAGTAGTAGTAGTAGAAGGGAGCAATAGACATAGCAGAGAGTAAAGCAGAGCAAAGCAGAGCATAATACTTTTTGGTTTTCAATTCATCTCTCGTCTCTTGAAAAAAACAAAACTATTCATTCGTTTGAATTCTCTTTATTCTTTAGAATTCTCCTACCCACTTTACATACTTTACCTACTTGTTTTTACTTTTCTTCCCACCCATACCTTTCTTTCCCTTTCCCTTTCCCTCTTTTACCCGGTGGGTGGATTATTCTCTCTCTCCATACTCTCTCACCTCTACTACCTACCGACTGCATCACATACCACTCCACGGTATCCTTCGGTATCCTTCGGTACCCCAGTCTTATTTCATTTACCACACTCTTCTTTTCCACACTATCCTTCCTTGTCCTCTTTTGCTCTATGGGGATATTGTAAGGGAATCGCCACCTAAAAAAAAAAGCAAGAGAAAAAAGAAAAACCCATCGTTCTGACTAAAGCCTATTTGCTTCTCCGCTTTTACCCACTTTTTGTCTTTATCCATTCAGGTGTCCCCGACAATCTACGTAGCTTAATTCTCTCATATAAAAGAGGATCATTTCCCAGTCGATTGATTCCCTTTTTCTCAAACATTTACAAATATTGGGCATAAAACGAACTGGTTTACGGATGAGAATCCTTTACTAGAAGGATATATTATTTATCTCGAAACTTTTTCTTTTTCTTTCTCTTCTTTTTTTTTTATTTTTTATTTTTTATTTTTTTTGACACGATAAGTAGTCTGGTTTTCGTCGATATTCCTATCCTATTCTATTCTACTCTACTCTATACTATTACTACTACTATCTTCTTTTACTTCTCTATTACTTGGTCTATTTATTCTTATCCTTGTCCTTTTTATTATCATTTTTATTCTTATAATCAGTCGCTACTAGTGCTGCTATTATACTAGTGCTTTACTAGTACCACCACTAGTACTACTACTACTATTCCTACTACCGCTACTGCTGCGGTTACTGCTACTACAGTAATACTACTACTACTACTACTACTACCACCACCACCTTTATTACTACTTTGTGGAAAAATCTTTGAAAAACAAGACAAGACAAAGCAGAAACGTATTTAATTTTTTTTTATAATTAAATATTCTTTGTCTTGATTCTTTTTCTTTTTTTTCCTTGTTACTTTTTCCACAATTCTATATTATTGCATTGCATTGTGGAAACCCGCTTTGGATCCTTTTTAACATTTCAAATTTAGTCGCGCGTGGTTGATTTGATTCCAACGATCCTTTTATTTCAATTTTGAAATCGTTAAACGCTAGTTTCACCTTTCTTTTTCTATTTTTCTTTCTTCTCTTTTGTTGTTGTTGATTCTTTTTTTATAACTAAAAAGCGCAAAAAAAAAAGATAATTAAAATTACGTCCCGTCAATCGTTAATTTTCTTTTTCTTTTTCTTTTTGGGTGTTTAGACGTTTTCGATTTCTTTTCTCTTTTTTTATTTTTTTGGAAACAAACACAAACCAAACCAAAAGCGATCCATCACACGCCTTTACCCTTTGACCTTTTTTCATTCAAACCTTTTCTATATTTTACTTTTCCTTTTTCTCTTTTGGTTCGCTTTTCTTTTTTTCCTGCCTCTTCTCTTTTCGTTAATTTATTAACTGGCTCCTTGACCCTTTTTTATTTTATTGTATTATTTTCCTTTTTTTTTTTTCTTTTTGGCTGTATATTCCGTTTTCTATTACGTCGATCATAATTTATCATGTCCGATTCTTCTGTCAATACTAGCGTTGAATCTGCCAGCGTTCCTACTTCGTCGTCTTCCCCGAATTCTCATGCAGCTCCCTCTAATCCTAACTCCAACTCCAATCCCTCTTCCAATTCCAATTCAAATTCGAATCCCAACGCTAACGCCAACAAGGCTGCCCGCACAAATGTGAAAAACCCTGACGCTCCTCGTCCCTACAAATGTCCTCTTTGTTCAAAGGCATTTTATCGCCTGGAACACCAAACCCGTCACATTCGTACTCACACCGGTGAAAAGCCTCACGCTTGCACCTATCCTGGATGTTTAAAACGCTTCTCTCGAAGTGATGAACTAACTAGACACGCTCGTATTCACACTAACGGAAGTTCCCGGAGAAATAATGCATTGGCCAATTCCGCCAATGCAAAACCTTTCGATCCTTCTTCCTCCCTCCATCCTACCCCCGACCCTTCTTCTGTCACTTCTTATAATTCTTCCAACAATCTTCCTGCCCTATCCCTACCCAACGCCCAAACTTATAATTCTCCAATTCCTCAAATTGGTGTTACCTATGCTTCTGTCCCTAATCCCGTCTCCACCGTCCCTGTCGCCTTCCCTTATCCCTGCCCTGTCTCTTCTTCCGCTTCTACTCAACCTCAACATGCTTTTGTTCCTACCTACAATACAACCAACCAGCCTGTCGGTGCCCCCATTTATCATCAGCCTCAGCCTACCGCTTTCGATTCCCTTCGTGCCAATTATCCCAGAGCTCCTGCCCCTCCCTCGGCACTTCCCGGTTATCCTCAAAAATCAGAGTCCGACACCAATTTGTCTTCTATGAACGAAATGTACTTGTTGGCTTCTGCCGCCGCTAACCAACTCGATTCGGCTGCTGGTGCTCCATCAAATTCTATGTATAATACGTCTCCCAAGCAACCGATACCAGATTCTTCCTCCGCTTCTTTGCCTTCTTTATCCAGCTTCGCTTCTCCCACCAAGTTTCCAAATTCGTTGGGAAATCCCCCGCCATCTTCTTCCGAGTCGTCTCCAAATCACGCCGGCCTTCCAGCAAGCCGCTCTTTCGCTAACGGCTTTCCCTTAAAGCAACCTAATGCTTCCTTCTATTCCGGAGCTTCTTCGCACACACCATATTTACCACCCAGATCCAGTAGTAGCACTTCTCTGCACTCAATGTATAGCTTTGTACCTAGTACACATGCTCCCCCATCCTTGAGATATGCCCACTATAATCACGCCCCCTATTCTCGTCCAAGTATATCTGCAAACGAAGAAGAGCCCTTTAGCGGTTCTGATTTCGCTTATAACCGTTATCAGCGCCGTTCACGGCCCGGTTCTCCCTGTAGTACTGCTCCTAGTAGTCCTACATTCTCAATCAGAAGCTTTAGCCCTACCCCTGATGTAACCCCTTTAATGACACCCGCTCATTCTCCAAAATTGAGACCGACCGACCCTGACTCTTCTTTTGTTCAGTTACCTACTATTAGATCTCTTTCTCTTCGCCCTTCCCAACCTCCCGTAATTCCTCCTTTGGAGTGTGATCCGAATTCCCTGTCTTCCTCGACACCTTCTTCGGCGGCCGTATCTCGTACCCCGTCTTCTGTCTCTTTGAGTGGATTGTCGAGCGCTAGTGCAGGTGCAAAACCTTCCAATGCTTCCAATGTTGGACCCGTACGCATTTCTTCAAATCGTCGAATACGTAAAATTTCGTCCTCCTCTCGTTTGAGTGTGAATAATTTGCTGTCTGCTTCTCCGCCATCACCCGCATCTGCTTCTTCTGCTAAATCATCCTATACTATGCCGCCGGCGTTTTCTATAGGACCGTTAACGCCTCTTACAAAGCAGTAGAGATCCTGTAATGTCTATGCTCGATATGAAATTGAAAGATTGAGGGAAATTTGTTATCTACAGTTTTGTATTTTTATTTTATTATCTTTATACTTTATTTTTGTGGTCTTTTATTTTAGTTGTATTTACATGTTTTCTATAATGAATAGGGTGTTTGTCGATTATCATGAAACTACTTCAGCAGTATTATTTATTCTTTCGGTATTTACAGTCAGTCTTATTCCATTCATCACCTTGTCTTTTTATTCAGGTGTCCAAGCGTACTACATTTTCATTTTAAACTTACTACTACATTATCATACCGTATACGTTTTACATACAAAAAAGAAACTTCTCATTCAACTCTGTACATAAATGAATATTAACAAACTCTAAACGAATCTAATCCTTCTAAAAAATATTTGTTAGCATATGAGAAAGAGAATGAAGGAAAGCAAAAGAAGCTGATCTAAATTCTCAGACTGACGTGCAAATCAGTGAATTATGTATCAGCATAGTAAGCTCAGCGTGAACTATGCATATTCAGATCATCAAAGAATTTTCTGCATAAAGAAAAACAAATAAAACAACTTCTCTTTGCTATACTTACTGAACGACATACCTGTTCATAAAGTATTTGGATCTAAATAAATCCATTTTGAACATTTGTATAAGAAGTAAAGAAACAGTCACATAGTTTGTTCTTGCATGACGCGAACAAAACGCGACGCGAAGTTAAATTAAAAAAATGGAAATCCTTCAGCGCAAACACATAGACTCAAAACTTGCTGTTAAACGGCAGATTCTTTCATTTTTTGGAGATGAGCATTGGCATTCAGTGTAGTAGTTTCGTGGTACTCTTTTTTCTTTCGTAAAGAATCAATGTCTTTTTGTAAACCGGCAATTTCCTCATCTATAGTTTTCCGAACCGAGTCCAAATCTGTACGAATAAACCTGTAGCAAGATAGTTAGTACAAGTACTAAATGCATGACAAATTAAGAGTAAAGCCTGTCAGTCTTTGTGGTATCTCTACAAAAAAGGAATATTAACATACATTTTTCCAACACCACCATAGACAGCGGCATCTTTTCCAACACCGTTCAATTCTTTCTTTGCCAATTCCTTAATTTTTAAAGAGCGTTCTTTTGCCGTCACCTGCAACAATATCGATCGTAATTGTTGTTGCGAATCTACGGCCTTCTCTTGAATCTGAGCTGCCAGCTTGAATGTTTTGTTAACAACAAGAATTATTCTTAGACTCGCAAGAGGTTTCTTACCTGTTCCATTGTTGAAAACAATATAACCTGAAGATTTGTTCAGAGGACCTAAAAAGTGAAGTTTAATCTTATTTGACCGAAGAAAGAAATCAGGAATAGACAAACGAAACCAAATAAAAATGTTAAAAACAATCCCAAATGACTCTTGATATTTCGTTTCTTGCAGAGGGAACTAACAGAGAATTAACCTGCACTTGTCAGTAACAGGTAGTTTAGGGAGGATTTGATATATATTCTTATATATGATAATAACAAAGCGCAGTGCAAAGTTGGGTTTATACAAGACTGAGAAGGAAAGCTTTAGTTTTGTTTTTTATAACTTAATATAAAGATACTTAAACATATTTTTGTCGTAGAAGAAAAGTAAATTGTGCAGTTAGAGCGATATTTGTCTTAAAATTTTGAAATAAAGACTTGCCGCGAACCAAATTCTTACTCTTATATCAATCGGCATTTTTTCAAAGTTTTTTAATTCGGATCTTTTTTTATTATATCCTCTTCTATTCAGCCTTTTCTTTTGTTTTGTTATATTCAAAGAGGCTTTTCTCGTTCATCATTCTTGAAGTACAGCTTTGGTTTCACAGTCTACATTCGACTAAAATCGATACCTCACATTTTACAAGCTACCTCTTTCCAAATTAGAAAGCTTTTTTTCATATTTAAGTTCCTATTATGAGCGGACAAACGAGCATTCATTTGCCAGAACCTTCTGCAATCCAAAAGCCAGTTCCTATTGAGGAATTCTTACAGATTAAAGAGCAGTATGATTCAGAACATCCGCTAATCACTCTACAAACTAAATTTAATTTGGCCTGGGCTCTCGTTTGCTCAGAAAATCTTCAGCAAGTTCAACAAGGTCTCACTTTGTTCTGCACTGTCTACCGAGACTTCCCTGAGCGCCGGTTGGAGACTTTATACTACATTGCACTTACTCAATATAAAATTAAGCAATACGAAGAATCTCGTCGGTACCTGAACATGCTGCTCGCCAAGGATCCTTCAAACCCCCAAGCGTTGCGGTTGAAGTCTTTGTTGTACAATGCTGTCACAACGGAGGGATACATTGGGATGGCCGTTGTGGCAGGAGCAGTTGTTTCTGCTGCCGCATTAGTCGGTTGGGCTTCTAAGCGTATGTTTTCTAGACGAAGATAGTGCTTACGAAATGCTTTCAACATTAATGATGTCCTTTTCTGTTCTTTTCTTTTGATGAATTTTTACTTTCCTTGTACCGAATTAATTCCCTTATAGTCAAGTTTTGTGGTGACGCGAACTTTTTCCTCATGTATGACTTTTTTCCCATTTTGTGGATAAACGCATTAAAAGTTATTTTAAATAAATTTATATAGCTTTCAAGTTAACTAAATGCCAGTATTACATCTTTCAATCGTATACATAAAATTTTCATCAAGAAACGTGTAAGCAATCATCCTATTTCTTTTACAGAGGAAACGGGGGCCGCAAATAAAAGGGCTAGCTTCCTCGTAGCTTATTCTCCAAATTCACTATATCTCTCTTCTTTCCCTCTAATTGTTGTTGCAAGGTAGTGGCATGTTGCTCCAATTTCTCCAAATTGCGCTCAACCATTGAATAGTCAGGATGAAACCTTCCCGCTTTGAGGTTGGTAAGCACCTTTGTCTTGTAATCCAAAACTTTTATCAAGTCTCTTCTTACAAGATCAGAACGGCCCTTGGCAAGGCTACTCTCGTTCACCTCTCTCTCTAAAGATCTAATTCTACTCTCTAAAGTAGATAATTCGTTCCGCAATCCGACGATTTCCCAATCAGAGTCTCGTACGTCTTTGGGAGCCTCTAAATCACTCGTTGGACGACGGACGGTTGAAGGAGAACCCACAGACTGCGATTCTCGCATAGTACGTGAAGGGTCATTAGCGTGGAGATTGTAGTCTATATTCCCCTTTTTAAAACTTGCGCGAAGACCAAACGGAACTTCATTAGGTATTCGGAACCCTTTGGAACGCTGAGTGAGAATATGTAAGAATACCAAACACTGATCCTTGTCAATGGTTTCAGATCTTTGCGGGTTTACCATATCCCATGCTTTCTGGATTTGGGAGCGAGGTATTCCCAAATGATCGTAAACGGGAGCAAAAGCATTGTACAAAACGGCACCATACTTATCACAGTGTGAGCTATATACATCGGAATAGCTCATTCGATCGGAAGGAGCCATATACCAATCGAATCCGTCTTTCAAAATACTGTCTTCAGGATCATCTGTGTCTTCATAATCGACTTGTGAGTCGCCTCCTCCTTGAAGGGCTTCACGAGCAGCTACTAAATGTTCCTTAGAGGGAGGAACTAATTCTTCTGGAATACTTGAAGGAACATCCGTATATATCTGAAGTTGTTAGCAACCTCAATGGCTTCATTATGAAATGTCATGTACCCCATTAATAATATTGAAGATAATCTTCATAGCAATACAAAATTCATCAAAATCTAAATTCCCATCATCGTCGATATCTTGAATATGAGACACAGTTAGCCATTTTGCGTCGTGAAACTCTGTGAAGTGTCATTCACACTGCCGATACCTACCAACCAAATCCCAAAGCTTAGCTAGTTTTTCATTGTCAAGTCGACTACTTCGGAGGACACCGTAAGCTTTTTCTCCTGAAATGTAACCAGCTTCTGGACGTAGACTACGGAAGATTTCCCAAAACTTGTTTTTCTCCTCAGGATCCATCTATTTAAAATAGATTTACTTAGATAAAGACGCTACAAAAGGTTATCCGACCTATTTTCTTTGAATAATGAAGAAAAGCAATTTAATATCAATTCACGGTTTTGTTTACTTAGTGAGTTCCGTGGTATTACCGATATGTTCGGTCCTTCCGAGGTTATGGGTAAGGGTGGGGCGGGTAGTCTTTACGAAAAAGAAGGAAGCTATTAGTTCTTGGTTGTTAAAAAGTTTCACCTCTGCCAATACCAGATTATTTGGAACAAATACTAGAAGATGCCTAGATCACGGAGGTCAAAGGTCGTTACCCTTTCACAGACCGAAAAGAAAGGTCATGAAGGCAAAGCAATGCTGTTTGGCGGCATTCAAGAATCTTTAGACAAGTTTGACTTTGTAAGTAAACGCCAAGGACAAGAGACAAACAAGAGTAAATTAACAGTTGCTCGTATTTCATGGGACTTTTAAGTGACTTTGTTTTGCAAAAGAGATTGTATAGAAAGGAAGTTGGTCATCGCACAAGAAAAAATTCACTTTTGCAAAAGACCCCAGGAAATAGTGTTCTCCGATTTTTCAAATATTGAGTAAAATGCTGTTGCTAACTTTTGTCAGATGTGGGTATTCGATGTTGCTAATATGCGTAATACTTACTTGAAACGTGTCCGCGATGACTGGAAGGATAGTCGTATATATATGGGTAAGACAAAGGTTATGGGAAAGGCTTTGGGATACACCGCTGAAGAAGAGCACGCTGAAAATGTAAGTCAACTTTCCAAACTCCTTCATGGAACTGTTGGTTTGCTTTTCACCAACAACAAACCTGAAGATGTAACTGGCTATTTTGAATCGTTTGTCCAAAATGATTTTGCTCGTGCTGGCTCAGTTGCTCCTTTCACTTTAGTCATTCCCGCTGGTCCCGTATACTCTAGAGCTGGACAAATTCCAGCAGAAGACGATATCCCTTTGGCTCATACTTTGGAGCCCCAAGTACGTCAAATGGGTATGCCTACTATATTGAAAAACGGTGTCGTTACTTTGCTTGCCGATTTCACTCTTTGCACAGAAGGACAAGAGCTTGATAGCCGTCAAACCCGTCTGTTGAAGCTTTTTGGTATCACAGCAGCCGAGTTTAAGGTAAAATTACTGGGTATGTATACCAAGAAGGACGCTTCTGTTCAAATTTTTAAAAATGAACAAGATTCTGGCAATAGCAAAGATATGGACATGCAATAAAGTGTTAATTTCTTTTCTTTTGTATCTACATCTATCAATAAAAAGCAGCTGGGACACGTGGATCCTTTTTTCACCCAAAGTCGGTTTTGCTTGTGGGTTATTTTTGCATCAAGTTTACTTATTTGGAATTTAAATTCAGCAAATGCTTTTTGAAAATTTAATTTTGGAAAAATGGATTTTTAGAAAAGGAAAAATAAACTTATATGGATAGGCAAACAGTCTGCTGGAGAATTCAGGTGCTTTTAATTTTTACAAGCACTACTCTTAGCTAGACTATTTAATTTCTCGGGATATTAAGGTATTTTATTGAATGGTGTTTTTTGAATAAATAGAGATGAGTCGTTCTCCACGGTAGAAAAGTGTTTGGTCGTAAGAAAGTTAAACAAAAATACGTTTACAGTAAACAAACATAGTTATGGATTAATTAAATGTTCTGAGTAATTAAATTTTTGTTCGAATCGCGTAGGAGACGTTAAGAAGACTCGATCTTACAAGTTCAACAACCCCATCGTTGTGCATTTTCCTTTACCAACGATAAAATGAATATGGCAGCCTATGTAGCCATAATAGGTACAAAGGACAATCCGGTGTACGAATTGGAGATAGGGGGAGGAAGCGAAAAGCAAGACAAGGTAAATGAAGTTTGAGTAGTGTTTATTGATGATTAACTCTTCATATTAGAGCTTGGGTGCGCACTTGAATCAATTTATTGTGCATGCAAGTTTAGACATTGTAGAACAAGTTCAGTGGACTAGCAATGCACTGTAAGTGTTTATTTTTTACAGAATAATCCTTCTCTAATGAACTTTGTAGTTATGTCAGATCTATTGATCAATTTCACGAATTGTACGTTTCGGCCTATATTACCCCATCCAGTAAGTATTTATACTGTTTCTATTGTCTTTCTTCTCAAATACAAGCTCGTTATCGAGAAAACTGAGGTAGACAAAGTTGTTGCCAGTTATTAACTTTTACATCCAGATATGAAATTTATGCTTCTTCATCACCCTCAAAGCTCCGATGGTATAAAGATTTTTTTTCAAGAAATTCATGAGCTGTATATTAAGACTGTCATGAATCCTTTCTACCAACCTAATGAATCCATCAAATCACAAGCCTTTGACTTACAAGTTCGGTCGCTGGCCCGGAAACTGTTGTAAAAATAATCCCTTACTCCTTTGATGATCTTATTATGGAAAAGATTTATTTTGTATATGAGCTTGTTAGCAAACAACTCTATACACAAGTCGATACACTACGATGTTCATAACGACTACTTGAGAAACCAATGCATAGAGAACTTTTCATTTAAATCTTTAGCTTGATTCAATAATCAGAGTCACTCTTGTTGAAACTTTCACTTCTTTAGTCTTAATTGAGGATGTACTAGATGGTTACTGAAACTCATTTTGAAAGCGTCACTGACCACATTGCAAGTAAGCAAATAATTTTATGATTAATCTAAACAAAAAGAAAAAATTGTAAGTTTTTTCATTCTTGAATTATTCCTCAGCTTTTCACATCAGCATACAAAACTGTTTACCATTTGTTACCTGGTATTTGTTACTTGATGCGACCTGAAAATGTTTTGCGAAACCACAATCCCAGGTTTTACAAATTTCACAAAAGTCACCACCACCCGACTGGACATGGCGAAATTAAGTGAATTGGCGAGCGACCACAGCTCTGAGGAGGAATCAGAAGTGTCCAGCGCAGAGGAAGTTTCCTCTCATTCTCCTGACGTTTCGGGTGGAAAGAATAGTAAGAAGGGAAATCAAACCAAATCTTCTGAAGCAGATGATTCAAATTCTTTAAACGATTATGTTCGTGCTGAAGGAGAACCTGTTGTGACAAAGGAAGGATTAGATAATGAATCCGGTGTTTTCTTGGTTCGTTTACCACCTGACATGGCATTGGAAGATATAACAGATCTGAACTTGGGAGGAAAGCCTTCAATAGCTGCAAACTCATCTACCGCGGAATCTTTCCAGATACGCCAAGAATCTCTTGGATCCGTACGTCTATTTGTGCCTGATGAAAAAGGATCATACTCTGCAAGTGAAATAAGAACAGGTTACGTCGTGTCAGAGACACCTAGAATTGTTTTGAATGGAAGTTCTAAGGAAAATGACCAAACAACTGATAATGCTGATGGAAAAATCCCTCAGGTCAAAAATTTAAAACAACATTTCCGACCTATTGGAGCTGTATACACTACATCATCTACCGAAAAGACAGTTCCTTCTACAAGTGCTGCTGAACCTACAGAAGAACAAAAGGAGGAGCGACCTGAAAGTAAAAAGAGATCACGAGATAAAAAGGAAAAGGGAAATGAGGATAAGGAAAAAGACAAGAAGAAAAAGCACAAAAAGTCAAGTAAAAAGGAAAAGAATTAGATTGCTCGAATAAGTGTAATATTGTCGCCTTTGAGTAAAATCCGACCTTGACGTTTAGTGTTAGTTACTGCATTCATTAATCAATCAATAAATTTTGGGTTTTAATGGGATTGTGATTGTGGAAGCATTGTCGGCCATAGCAATAGTAATAAAGTCCATCAAACAGTATAAATTCTCAAAAGTATGGACATGTTACGATAATCATTCGGGACCATAAGTACCACCATGTTTAATTCTTGTTTTACTTGGTGTTGAGCTAGATGGCTTTCATTTCCAAATAAAAATCTCAAACCCACATTGCAAAACTTACCTATTTCACGTCGATTCTGTTTTGTATCAATCTGAACAGCATCATCTAAAATAATATTCATAAATTCATCGAATCCCTAGTATATGTTAGTAAATAGAAGATAATACATTTTTGGCAGACAATTGCTTAAAACAGCTCTGCATGATTTTTGGGAAATTCAGCTAGAGACGCGTTTTCTTTGAATTTCAATGGTAATCATACCCGAATTTGTCCTTCAATTCGTAAATCTACTTGTTCAAAAAGCCATATTTCTACTGGAGTATGTTGCTGTAACAACTTGAATACAAAGTTCTTAAAACCACCGTTAGACTACAAAATCAGTATAACTTTGGACATACGATAGGGGGAATCATAACTTTTTGAACACGTCCTGACATTTTGAATAAAAATTTTCCCTGTGAAACCCGAAAATGTAGAATTACCTGCGTCCTTTACGGTAATGGTAGTGCGCAAGTAATGTCTCTGACAAACACCAACTGACGCAGAACGGTTTTAGGGAAATAATTACTTAAAACATAATAAAATAGTCGTACATTATATGATGATCATGGTTTTATTGTGTGCTGCCAGTTTAGGCGTTCCTCCATAAAAGGTTTCCAAAGGACTAAGACAAGTTGTTCATGGTTGAACAATCCCTAAAAGATCATGGAATGCAAATTTCATTACTTGTGAAGACACCTTATTCGAAGGAAATTCTTTTTGATACTTTCCAAGTGTTAGTACCTATTTTACCATCAGTTGCCCTCTGAGTGCTGGCATAATTGGAAGCTAAGTCAATGAACAAATGGATAAAGCGAATTCTTCTCTAGCATTACTACAGTGCTCAACTTTCTGAAGCTACTTCAGTTTTTGACAAGGATTTTTATTTTGATTTGTACAAGTATGAATCATAGCAATGACTTTTGACGTCTCTTCTTCATTGCTGAATAATTCCTATTATCAAGTGTGATACTCAAAAGGGAGTCTTTACTGAATAAAGAAGGGTAAATGAGTGTCAAATCCGCCTAACATGTATCAACAAGAACATTAGCCATGGGGAAGCTCATCGTTACTATGATGGAACGCCAGAAACCTTTCAACAGACAAACTCCATCCCCTTGTCAAACTACCTGTATCGAGCACATTTACCAAGAATGGCATGCCGAAAATGAAAACGCTATAAATATATAGCTTAATTTTACTCATAGCTTGTTTCAAGACCAATACTTCTCTAGCATATGCTACGAGGTCAAGCACAAAGATGTATGCAAGTTTTTTAGATAGGGTATAAGCAATGGTAGCTTACAATTTTTATTTTATTATAAATAGTTTATTCATTTGTTTTTCAATTACTACACAGTATCTGATATTTCTCAAGTTATTATTGCACTTTCCCAAGTTTGTTTACAGGTTTGCGAATTTCATCGTAGTATGTAATTGGCTCTTGTGTTCCCTAACGTACCCGTTATTCACTGGCGTAGTATGGTAAATAACTAGAACGCGTTTCTGCAAATGGAATTTACCAAAATACATTAGTAGTAGTTTTTTGCTTGTTAGAGCTTGTTAGAAGGATACATGCCTCATGGAAGAGTTACATAATGCTTTGAGCACTCTCTATGCGAGCGTAGATCGCAATCAAAAGTTACAAGCAAACTCCTATTTGGAAGAATTTCAGAAAAGTGTAAGAGTTAGATTATTATTGTACCAAATATTGTTAACAAACTAATCGACCATAGGCTACAGCATGGCAAATATGTTTCCAAATCTTAAATACGGGTGACAGTAGCATTGAATCAAAACTATTTGCTGCACAGACACTGCGACAGAAGATTGTATACGATTTTCACCAGCTACCAAAGTCTGTTCATGCTGAGTTGCGAGACAGTATGATGCAACTATTCATTTCTTCAAAGGATAGCCCGAGACCATTATTGATATCATTTGCAGTCTGTATGGCTGCAATTGCTTTGCATATGACTGAATGGCACAATGTGATTAATGATGTCTTCCAAGCCTGTAGCACTCATGATCCGACAGGTCGCTGTATCTTACAATTCTTGTCAGTTTTGCCAGAGGAAGCAGCTGATCCACGAAAAACATCTTTGACTTGGGAAGAACTCTGTGCTCGTATAGATGAATTACTGCGGGATAATGGTCCTGCTGTACTAGAATTGCTTCTGCAATATGTAAACAGTAATATTTATGCTGATGGAACCTCTAGCGTTGATTTGAACCTCGTACTGACCAGTTTGACGTCCTGGCTTCGCGAAATCCCTCTAGATAAAATACTCTCATCCCCGTTGATCGAACTCGCATTTCGATCCTTGGATAATGATATGCTCATTGATGATGCAGTCGAATTTCTTTGTGCTGTCTTTAACGAAACGAGGGAAGTAGATGAATCAATGGATATGATTATGATGCTTTATCCCCGTTTACTAGATCTTCGTCCAAAAATTATCGCTCAAAAAGACGACCCAGATGCCTTTCGTGCAATCGGTCGACTATTCACTGAGGCCGGAGAATCTTGGGTGGTCTTAATGGCCCGAATGCCTAATGAATTTCTACCGTTGGTAGAATCTATTGTACAGATATGTGCTAACGATGAAGAGTTAGAAGCAATTAAATTTACTTTTGCTTTTTGGTGGGATATGAAGCAAATGCTAGAATTAGAAGCGTATACTCAAGCTCGTGCTATATATGCCCCGCTCTTTTTGGAGATGGTTGGTATTGTGGTAAGCCATTTGCATTACCCACGAGCGGATAATCAACTCTTAAATGATCAAATGGCTCAAGCTGAAGTTTTCTTCGATGATCGTGAATCTGAGGACCGCTTCCGTGCGTTCCGTCATGAAATGGGCGATGTGTTAAAAGATTGCTGTGCGGTTGTAGGAGTAACTCCATGTTTGCTTAAAGTTTCTACCAAGCTTTTGGAAACGTTGGATGCGAAGGAATCTGGTCTGCCTTACTTTTGGCAAGATATAGAAGCCCCTTTATTCGCTTTGCGTGCTATGGGACGTATGGTACCAACTGATGAAGATAAAATTATCGTTCATATGCTGAGATTCCTTCCGAAGCTTCCTGAAAACAATAAGGTGCGTTATGCTGCAATTTTATTTGTAGGAAGATATACTGAATGGACTGCACAACATCCTGAGTATTTGGAAATGCAGCTAAACTATATCGCAGAAGGATTTCAAATTCCTTGCAAAGAAGTCCAAAGTGCTGCCGCACAAGCTATGAAGCATTTCTGTTCTGATTGCCGTGAGCATCTCGTAAATCATCTTCCACAGTTACATTCGTTTTACCTTAGCATGAGAGAAGTACTAGATCCTCAATCTATTCTTGAGATTGCTGAGGGTTTGGCACATATTGCTGCCATTCAACCTATCACCAATACCTATCAATCACTGCACAGTTTTATTGCTCCTTCATTGCAGAAAATTGTGTTAAGCCAAACAAAGACTGGACACACGGAGCGTGAAATCGAAGCGGTGGCTGATGAAATAGATATACTTATAATTTTCTTTTCTATTGTCTACCCACTGAGTTCCTCACATGAGATCCATCCTACTGTTCAACTCTGTTTAGACATATGGCCAGCCGTGGCCAGAACTCTGGATACAATTCCTAGCGCATTGATATGTGAGCGTATTTGCAAGCTTTTGAAGAATGTGATTATGACCTTCCGAGAAAAAGCTCTAGTATTACTGCCGTCAATTGCGGAAACACTAGTGAAAGGGTTCGAGTGTACACAGTTTGGCTGTTTTCTATGGGTCAGTGGAACGTGCGTTCGGGAGTTCGGCGTAATTGAGATGGATGAACAAACCCAAGTGTCTGTTTGGGGCTTTGTAGAAAGACAATGTACAAACATGTTCTATTATATGACGAAAAAATCACCGAAAGAAATCCCGGATGTGATAGACGATTTTTTCCGGTTTATGATGGATGCCCTGTTGGCAAATCCACAGCGAGTATTCATGAGTGACTTGCTGGAACCATTGATCCATGCATCCTTAGTTTGTCTGCAAGTGAACCAAGACGAATCTCTTTGTAGTGTATTGGTTTATTTACAAGATCTTGTTTCATTCGCACTGAGGACGCCTCCTTATACTCTTTCTGAGCCAGTTTCAGAAACACTATTAAAAAAATTACGACTTTTAGTGCTAAATAACTCTCAACAAATGTTTAGCATTTTATTTAACGGAATGGCCTTCATTTTCCCTCGAAATAATGTTTCGGATGCTTCTGCGGTCCTAATACCTTTAATTCGTTTGATATGCATGGAGAACAGTAGCCTTTGCGTTCAATACTTGTCAAGTGTGCTGGATCAACTTCCGCAAGATACAATCGGTCAAGAGGAGAAGGTTAAGTTTTTGGAAACATTTTCCCGTCATTGCGAATCTTCTGAAATGCCTCGTTTACGTGCACATCTACAAGATTGGACGTCTATGTACCGCAGGAGGGTGCTTTCACCGCGATCAAAAGGCATAACATTGTCATCTTAGCTTCTTTCAAGAGATGATGAATTTACATGATTAAAACAAAAGTGAAGGAATTAAAAAGAACGAAAAACAAGTACTCGATAATTAATGATAAATATGAGTGGATAGATGGATTGGTTTTTTAATCTTACTTCCTATTGTGGTTTGCCAAAAGAAGTACATTGAGTCATTTGTAAATCCATATTGTATTCAAAAACGTAAAACTAAATGACATAAATAAACCTAAGTATCGTTCAAAATAAAAGTAGAAAGAAAACGGTACTACTTATCATGAACTTTTCGAAACGAATGGTTTGTTTACTAACGTATCGAAATTTAATCTCGCTAAGCCTGTCATTTGTGTCTTACGTAAGGATCTGCAGTAAATCCTACCGTTTGTTGGTTTTTTCTGGTGCTATACCAACATACATCAACCGTGGGATCGAAATGGATTTCATAACTACTATATGAAGTCATTTCAAAACCTACCAACAACAAACAGCCTGAAACAAGCACAAGAGAAATCTTTGTGGTTTTCTGAGCGAAAAGTTCCTAAAGACAGCTTTTATTGACAATGAAAGTTCAAGGAAAATGTAAGTAACTAAAAATTGAGATATAAGAAAGCGCCTGAATAACGTGAATATGTTACGTCAGTTTCGGGTCTATGAAAATGTGATTTATGGAATAGACAATTAACAATAAACTAATAGCTATCACTGAGGCGAAAGCTCATGAAACTGGGATTGTTCGGAATGTGAGTGCCACGAAGGAACTTCCTACTGTTTTAGACAACGAAACAAGAACCCTGTATGATCTTTTAGCGAATGCAGTCAAACGCCATGGAGATAACCATGCTGTTGGTTATCGAGATCTAATTAAGGAACATGTGGAAGAGAAGATGATTACGAAGGTTGTAAACAATGAAAAGAAAGAAGTCCCCAAAAAGTGGTCCTACTTCGAGCTTTCCGATTACAAGTACCTTAGCTTTAACCAATTCTATGATAAGACCATGCGTCTTGCTGGTGGTTTGCGTAAATTCGGTTTGAAGGCTGGTGACAAGTTGGAACTCTATGCATCCACTACCGCTTCTTGGTTCATAATGGCTCATGCCGCTATGTCTCAGTCTATGTCAATTGTTACAGCTTATGAAACTTTGGGTGAGGAAGGTCTTTTGCATTCTTTACGTGAGACCGATGTTCATGCAATCTATACCGAAGCCAATCTTTTGAAGAGTCTAGTCAATCCTTTGAAGGAAGTCAACTTGCATTATATTGTCTACCGTGGCAAAGCTAAACCTGAAGATGTTGAGGCATTAAAGCAATCTCGTTCAGATATCAAATTAATCTCCTACGAGGAACTTGAGTCTTATTCGGAGCCTGCCACTCCTGAACCTCCCTCCCCTGAAGATCTTTGTTGTACAATGTACACTTCTGGTAGCACTGGTCTGCCTAAGGGTGTATTATTAACTCACAAAAACATGGTAGCTTTGGTGACGGGTATCTGCAAGGTCATTCCTGAAGTTACTTCGAAAGACTATCTTTTGGCATATCTTCCATTGGCTCATATTCTAGAATTTGCTTTTGAAAATCTATGCTTAGCCTGGGGTGGCACCATTGGTTATGCCGGTGTTCGCACCTTAACGGACACAAACTGCAGAAACTGCCATGGTGATATACTTTCTTTCAAGCCTACGATTATGGTGGGTGTTCCTGCCGTCTGGGAGATGGTCCGTAAGGGTATAACCAGCAAGTTGGGTGCCGCTTCCTCCGTTAAGAAATCTGTTTTCTGGGCTGCTTATCACGCAAAGCTTCGCATGATGCGTCACGGAATTCCTGGTAGTTCCTTTTTAGATGCCGCTATTTTTAATAAAATTCGCAGTGCTGGTACTGGTGGTCGCTTGCGTTATGTGTTGTCAGGTGGTTCAGCCTTGTCTCCTGATACAAAGCAATTTTTGAGTGTTGTTCTCTGCCCGGTTTTAATTGGATATGGTCTGACCGAGGTTAGTGCCGCTGCAATGATCGAAACACCTTCTACCTTCAATATCGATGACTCTGCTGGTGTCATTTTACCTTGCACCGAAATGAAATTAATCGACTGTGAAGAAGGTTCTTACTACACAAACGCTAATCCCCCTCGTGGTGAGATTTTACTTCGTGGACCTTCTTTGACACAGGGTTACTTGAATCGTGAGAAAGAGAATAAGGAGAGCTTCAGCGAGGATGGCTGGTTCATGACTGGTGATGTTGGAGAACTGACTCCTCATGGATTATTAAGAATTATTGACCGTAAAAAGAATCTTGTCAAGACTCAAAATGGTGAATATATTGCTTTGGAGAAGTTGGAGTCTCGATACCGTTCTAGTTCTCTTGTTGCTAACATCTGCGTCTATGCTGACCAATCGAAGGTCAAGCCCATTGCCATCATCGTGCCCAACGAAGCCGCTGTTCATAAATTGGCCGTTGAAAAAGCAGGTGTTGAAGAAAATGCCTCTTGGGAAAGTGTATGTAAGAACAAGAAGGTGCGTCACATGGTTTTGGAAGACCTTTTGAAAATTGGACGCTCTCACCGTTTCTCCAATATTGAACTTATTCAAAACGTTGTCCTTGTCCCAATTGAATTTACTCCAGAAAATGGTTTAGCTACAGCTGCTCAAAAGCTCCAGCGCCGTAAGATTGTTGAACGCTTCAGCAAAGATGTCAATGAAGCTTATGCTGAGTAAACGTTTATTTGATGAGCAAATTTTATGATTATTTGGGGTTGTTGTATTAATGCACGTTAACTTTATAATAACAGTTTGTTAGTACGAGACGATACTTTTTTAAACGATATTAGGTATATTTATCGGTTTTTTTTTGCTTTGTTTTTGAACTGAAAGCACGTATAAACCGTTCTTTTCGCTATTGAACTGGGAATCTTGTTTCTACTGTTGGTTTTCTAATTAAGACATTTTTTTTGTGAATAAAATTTTTTTACAACTTATATAACTAGATGGTTTCCATTAGATACAAACCTTTGGAAACGACGCTATACATGAAACAATTTTCTAAACAATTGTCCATCCTATAAAGTACTTTTCTTAACATAAGAATGTGAAGAATTAGTCTATACCGTCATATACCGATAGTCTTGCGACTCGTTATTAACATATCGCTTTACTGTACATCTCTTTATTTTAGGACAAAATTTCGAGGCAACGGACTTTGTATTTTACCCATACCCCTTTTTTCTCTATTCAAAATGAATACATCGTAAGTGAACAGAGAGTATGTATATAGATCACTAACATAGCGACAGATCATTGGATTGGGCAGACGAAGAGGAATACGGTAGTTCTTTGCCATCCATTCAAACGTTTGACAACCCAGATGGCACAAAAACCATGATTGAGTTTCGCGTCGATGATAATGGCAAGAAAGTGAAAGTTACGAGAGTAATTAAAAAGACTGTTGTCACTGAACGCGTGCAACATGCTGTTGCCGAGAGAAAGAAGTGGGCAAAGTTTGGAAAAGAAGCAGGCAAACCTGGCGGTGTAGACACTAGAACAACCAGTGTTGGAGAAAACGTTCAATTACGCCTACAACTTGGATGGACGACATCTAAGGAAGAAGAACAAGAAGAGGACGCTTTGGCAGCTGCTAAGGTCAAGGCCAAGAGTGGATCTGTTGTACGTTGTCGTGCTTGTAGAGGTAGTCACTTTACTGCCCAATGTCCTTATAAGAATATCATTGGACCAGTGGATGAACCTCCTTTGGAAGCTACCCCAGCCACAAACAGAATCACTGGTGCTTTAGGCGAGAAGCGCTACCTTCCTCCTCACATGCGTGGTGCATCTACTCGTGAGGGAGGTGACTCCATGTTCAAGCGTGAGCGTGACGATAGCGCCACCCTCCGTGTCACCAACCTTTCGGATGATACTCGTGAAGAAGAACTTCGTGACTTATTCCGTCGTTTCGGTGGTATCCAACGTGTATATTTGGCAAAAGACAAGGAAACTGGACGTGCCAAGGGATTTGCTTTTGTCAGTTACTATGATAGAGAATGTGCCGTTCGTGCTCGTGACCGTTTGGACGGTTTCGGTTGGAACAACTTGATTCTTCGTTGTGAATTCTCGAAACCTCGTGATTAAGCATATTTTTACGCAATTTAATCTACGATAAAAAATCCTTCTCTTCATAGAACTTGCACTTTCTGTTTGGAATTACAAGTTTTCGTTGTTTTCTTACGCACAGCTGATCTGTTGTAAATCTCCTGGAATTTATTTTAGCTGTGTTCTTAATTTGTCCTGGTTTATGCTTGTACTGTACAAGAGATTCATTCCATATTTACAATGAGCATGTGGAAGATTTGTTTATACATTTTGGGTTCTTGATGTAGGTGACCAACTTCTTTACTTTAAAATTTTATCTATGTAATCAATGGAATCACGTTTCGCTCCTTTTAATCAGTGTATTCTCAGTAACAAACAGATGCAATTGTATTGGCTTTTATGATAGAGATATTTGCTTTACACCAGCAAGTTCAAATCAAATAACTGCCAGATTGAATTCTATCTATCCTATTTCAAATTCTTTGTATACTAATCTATCACGGACGTGTAGCATGTCTTCATCTACGTAAATCTACATATACCTTTTAATTTAGGAATACTCAACAGCGGCCCCTTAACTCAGTTGGTAGAGTGTGAGATTCCAAATCTTGAAGTCAAGTGTTCAAGTCACTTAGGGGTCATCTTTTTTTCATTTTCAGTCCTCGAACATTTAAAGGTATAAAATGAAATCACGAGGCCTTGCTATATTTTTTTTTGGATACACTACAACAGCGTTAGCTGAATCAAGCTTAATTCAAACTGAAAGTGACTTTTGTATATCCTACACATAAGGCTTTATAGAGTGCTTGCTATATTTCTCTCGTAGTGATTTGAAAGTAACTTCACTTCAATATTGGCAAACAATTCCTTATGTTAGCATTACATTGGTATGGAAATAATAAAAGAAGAAATATGATTTCATAAACAATCGATCAAAAGACTCTAAAAGATACATGCTACGCTAAGCAAATGCTGAAAATATAAATAAAACACTTGTATTTTATTTGAGAAACCAGAAACAAGTTATCATCATTACTTCCAATATTATATCAAAAAGGAACCAAAAAAACGGCTTGTCTAAAACTTACGACCCTTTCCTATTTTTGTCCAACCTTCATCTTCTCCTTCGGCAACGGGAGCAGCTTCCACATCTTTTGGTGCTTCGGCTTGAGTGTTCTCGGGTACCTCGTTTTGGTCAGCAACCTTTACTTCCGAGAGTTTTTCTGTAACAGGCTCAACGGCATTATCCTCCTTCTTTTCACTTTGAGCCTCGTTATTGGAAGAAGTCGTGCTGTCTTTACGGGTGACTTGAGTACGCTTGGTGGCAAGCTTTTCTTCAACACGCTTAAGAATAGGAGTGTTATCTACGGGTTTGGCACCGCCAAAAGGATCAGCCTTGGGCTTGCTTGAGGGAGTAGAGGTCGATGAAGAAGTCTCAGATTGTACGTTAGTAGCGGAGCGAGGCTTTAAGTTGAGGCGAGGACGACTGTTGGTTTCACGAGATGGAAGAGGACCACGACGAATCCACTCACGCTCTTCACGGGGAGATTCACGAGGCTCAAGAGCAGGATCACGTACAGTGCGACGCTTCATGAAGCCGTCACGGGAACCACTGTCTCTACGCTCGGCAGGGGGGAGAGGTCCACGGCGAACCCAGTCGCGGTCATCACGAGGTGCAGCACGGCGAGGCTCGGCAACAGTAATACGAATAGCACGTCCCATGAGACTCTCACCGGACAAAACCATAGCAGAGCTCAAGAGATCAGCACTCTCAAACTCCACGTAACCGAAACCACGAGAGCGCTCAGTCATGGGGTCGGTGACAAGACGGACGCTAGTAACACCTTCACCAAAGAAGTCGGCAATATCGGCTTCCGTTAAGTCAAAGCTCAAGTTACCAATGTAGGCAGTGAAAGGAGGCTCTGAGGGAATGGGGACGGCTTCACGTTCAAAACCAGCGTCACGACGACCTTCACCAGCCATAGGACGGCCAGCGGTCTCGTAAGCGGGAGAAGGAGCTTCTGCTGCAGAGTAGTTACTACGGAAGCTAGGACGTTCTTGGGCTACAATTGTACAAGGTTAATCTAAAGTTGCTCTAAAAAGAAAGGATAAAAGAGTCGGCGTAGGTATAGAAAGCAATTCTATCCAGGTCTTCCCTGGAATTATTTCCATATGTAATTCTTGAGAGGAATGACCCATTCGTTTTTCTACCATTACACCTATCCATTATTACTTACGCAACGAAGGCAAATCATCGACATCGTCAGCCCAGCTAGTAGAGCCGAATTGCTCGTCGCCCAAGAAGGCAGTAAGACTCATCTTCGAATTCTGATAAGCGTTAAACCATAGATGTTTCTTTGCGCAAACAAACCTTTTTTGGACCTTTATATGTTAACAATCCATTATAAAAAATTACTCACTAACCCATTATAAATGTTTATCTTTGGTCTTGTACTTTATGTCAAAACCGTTATGTCTTGTTTTTTTAACAATTCAGGCGTTCCTGTAGGTCAGGCTTAAGTTTGATATGTTTTCCCCATAACACCGTGACTGCTCGATATAAATTTTAGCAAATTTTCTTTTTTTAATGTCGGTTCCTTACCACCAAGAAAATTTAACGAACGTTTAATTCATGCTATCCTTTATTAAGGAGAGATTGTATTATAATACAAAAAAATGAGTGTATCATAGAAAGTAAACATTGGTAGAAACGGAAATTGAAAGAAAGGAAGGAAGGAGAAAAGCTAAAGAATGCGATGTATTTCTTTTTTTTTTTTAATAAGTATTTTTATAAAAGAAAAAAAAAAAAAAAAAAAAAACATCGCTTGGAGTAGCACGCTTCAGGTTGAAAGATTTGACTGGCTAGGTGTAATCAATTATGATGTCGGTTCATTCAGCTCATTAGATCCTTGCGGATCTAGAGGAGGTATCTAAACATATGTCCGTAGAATTGTACGACTCAAACATAATTTTATAACAACTGGAAATTGTTATGTTCATACCGCTCATGATGGTAAAAGTCCGACCTGTCTAATGTTTTCATTCGAGAACTGTAGATTGAAAGTAATCATTTTTCATTGAACTTATGAATCATATTGTAGTAGTGTGAGTTAGACTCGTCCATAGAAAGAAATTGTCTCTTTTCCTTCCAAGATATTTAGGAGCAAAAAATCCGGGAGCGTCGTACTTGACAGTGTACGTTGGGAAGAAAAGACAAGTTTGTTCCCATATACTTTTAAAATAAATAATAAGAGAACAGACTAGTAGACGTAGTTTCCAGACATAACAACTCGGTTCTGTCTACACCTCATACAGCAGAATTCCAAAAGCAGCTGCTACTGAATTGTCACTAAGATGACTTAGTATAAATGTCTTCATTTATAAATACATGCACGTATACGGGACTGAGATAATGGGGAAGGACATAGCCAATTCGGATCCTCTTTGTGCATTCTGCAAAAGCATGTTGAAGTCCAGTAACTCTGCAAAATTGACGCTCACATTGTTTGTAGATGATTTTTTATATAATCTAACTTTGAAGATCCCCTTCTAAGAAGAATTAACAAGCCTACAATCCTGTGAACATGTGATTGAATCCGGAAAACATATCAATTTTCTCAAGATTTTCATTTAAGTCGACTCTGCTCTGCGTAAATTTGAATACAAATAGATCAAAAAGGATCCGCTAGTAACCAAGACAATTGAAAAGTACGATTGTCCGGAGGACAAAACACGACGCGCAGAATAATGTCTAAACAAACACGTATATACTGATCTCTAGTGGTTTACGTTAAACTATATCCGGTAAATTAATAATGTACGTTAACAGGTTTACCAATACAAAATACGGTCGTTATTCTTAAAAAATAAATAAATAGAATTGGTAGGTTGGTAGGTATAGGTACAGTAGATCATTTCCTTTGGCAAACCACTTGATTTAGATATGTATATATATCTTTTATCTTTAATTACTTGAAATTTTTAAAAGGAAGGAACCCTTTGGAGAAAGGATGTCAATGGTTGTTGTGTAAGGACTCCTTTTTTAAATGTCGATGACAGCAACGATATAATGTCAATTTCTTGAATCCTGAAACACTATACCTTTTTCTATCCATAAGAGAATCTGATTTCATCTTTATTTCGCGTATCTATTTACTCTACAACCTTTGAATCGTCTGGGTTTCTTTTTAAATCTGATTTCTGAAACATGGAATAAATTCGCAGTTATGAAGCTGAAGCGAACCATCTTGAATAAATCAACAAATCAGATGCATTCTTTAAGGGGAATCTCTATTCTAGCTTGTAAATGACATCCTTCGTTCAAGCGACATATTCCACCTTAGCACCTATCTGATCTAGTAAAAAGACAAATGGATCATCTCAGGAATTTCTTTTCCACCTTTGAATTAAAAAAATAAAAATAAAAGAAAACAAATATTTCTTTGATGAAATTGGGCATTTCATACCAATATTTCTCTTTATTTTTCTTGATCTTTATCCCCATAGTTTATACTTGCCTCCATACAAAATCGCCTTTCACATCATAGTGACAAATTGAGTACCAACAATAAATCTGCGATCATTAAACGTAAATAATAAATACCAACAGGTCTTGATTGACTTTTTTCTTTATAAAAAAAAAGCGAAAAAATATTGCCGGTAGCATTCAATTGACTTTGGCACTTTTTTTTTAGTGCTTGAGTGCTTTCTCAACAAGTTTTAGCACAATTCCATTAGGACTCATAAACTTGGTCTATTCATTCGGGGGTTTCTTCTTTTTTATTTATTTTTTTCTTTTTCGCTTGTTATATAATCCATTTCGTTCGTGAAAATCCCCATCTAAGCCAGAAAAGACTTTTACAACTCTATCTTAAAAAAAGTCCGCTTTATGTGGATTTCAAAATGGAAGTTTTATTGCAGGATGGCCAATTTAAGGAACGTATGTTAGGTGACCCATGGCAAACAAGTGCATCATCACCTCGGAACCCTGAAGGAAGTGTTAGAAAACCAAGCCCGGTGAATGTAAAAAGACTTCCTAAACGACCTGTTCCACCAAATCCGACAATAATCCCACGAAATCAAAACGAGACAATTTCAATGGATACAGTTTTAAATGAAAACTCCTCAAGTACCTCGTCTCCACTTAACTATCAATCAGAAAATGAATCGAATTCAGATGTAGCCGACGACTTAAGTCTGGCCGAAACAACTATAAACTCATCTTCCTCTACAGCCGCAGAAGCAGTAGAGGAAAATGAACAGCCGATAAACGATGACGAAGAGAGTATTCAATACCTATACCCGAAACATAACAATAACCCTGTTTTAAGCCGAGATCATTTACGGTATGTCCCAATTCATAGAAAACGAATGCCCAAAAATGAGATGACCTTGAATCGAAAACTTTTTGTCTCTCAGGTGATTAATACCGGTTGTACAGAAGCATCGCATGAGAAGAAGCTTTTTGGAAAGCGACTTCATAGATGCGATCCAGCAGACTGTAAGAGCTCTCTCTGGGCTTCTGAAATAAGTTCGAGCGGAAAATACCTAGCCACCGCCGGAAAGGATTCCGTTATTCGAGTATGGAAGGTCATTGAGAATAAGAAAGATCGAAACCATTATTTTCATGAAGAAATCTCAAAAAAAAGTTCATATTTTACTGGCTTCAGTGTATTTGAACCAAATCCCGTTTTAAGCTGCTATGGTCATAAAGCTGAAGTACTTTCTATCTCTTGGAGCAAAAACGATTTTTTGCTAACTGCATCAAGCGATCGCACTGTTCGACTTTGGCACCCTATGTTGGATAGATGTTTAGCCTTCTTTCAACACAATGAGATTGTAACATGCGTTTCGTTTCATCCTACAGACGACCGATTCTTTGTATCAGGAACATTGGATCATCGGATCCACCTGTGGTCCGTTTTGGAGCAGAAGATCTTGCATTGGAATCAATTAGAATATCCAATTTCCACCATATGTTTTCAACCGGATGGCCAACGCATCATCGTAGGGCTGTTTTATGGAATGTGCGTTCTATATGATGTGGATCAACTTCGCTATATTTCTTCATGGCTCATTCATCGATCATCCTCAAGAAATAGAAAGAGTAAAATCACCGGATTGCAATGCACCAATGCCATACCCGGAGATGTCAATTCCAAGACTTATGTTTTGGTTTCTACCGACGATACTTCAGTTCGAATTTTCGACGTTGAAAATAGATGTATGATTTTAAAACTCGGTGAAGAACACCGTGCACATGGCCAAATACTCTCTCGCTTGAATGAAGACAACTCCTATATCATTAGCAAAACCGGCTCTAACGAAGTTATGTTATGGCATCTTCCGTACAAATTTTTTTCTTCGACACATAAACGAAGAGGCATTGTTCGTCATTTGCCAATTGAAACTTTTCGAATTTGTACAGAGAGGCTCACATCGGCGATCATTGCTCCAGCAAGTACAGCTTTGGAGGTTAGTCAATCGGAAGGATACGTTTGCCCTGAGAGAGACTGGAAAAAACCACTGTCTAAGAACTCAGAGAAGACCTTCGGTGGAAAATCATTGGAAATTATTATCGTCAGCAATATGGCAGGAAAAGTCATTGTTCTAAGACGTGATGGCCTGCGCGAAAAAAATAAGTCTTTCTATAAAGGATCTGCAAAGTTTCGAAACTTTGTTCATGACTGGTTGCATATCTGATTTCTCATTTTACTTCTTTGTTTATATTATGTACTATTACGCTTATACCTTCTTTTCTAAAATGTTTATTTATTTATTTTTTTAATAACAAAAAACGAAATGATACAAAAGAAATAATATTGTTTAATTCCAAAATACTACACCTGAGTGAGCCGTAACAAGTTGTGCATGACGAGGATTAAATCGAACTATAGAAGGCACTTCAGGGCAATCTACTTTTTTTGTCAAAGGTATACAGCTATGTGGATTTGAGGGAACCGTATTCTTGACTTCTGCCATTAGTTCATGCATATTCCAAGTGTCTGAATATTGACTTGATTTCATCTCAGGTATTTCGTAGATTGCTAAATGCTTTTCGTCGTTGGCAGAAAATAAATACTTACTATCTGGGGACATACAAGCCGAAGAATAAAAAGAAAGATTTTTAGTAGCACTTCTAGCATTTGTCTTAGCTGGTATACGTAACAATTCCTGGCCACTGTAAGCATCAACCACGTAATGATAATCGTTTGCAGTCGTTAATAAAATATTCTTTCCATCAGTGCTGAACTCGATGTTTGAAATGCTTACATGGGGAGGAAGAAATGTCAAGGGGATCTCTTGAAACGGCCGTGAATCGTATGTCTTGATACTATAAAGAGAGATCTTATATTTTCTTTCACTCACACAAGCAAAAATTAAACCAGTAGCATCAAACGCAGCCACCACTGGTGAGCTTACGTTCAGTAATCCCTAACATGTCAGTAAAACGATCGCCAATTTTGCTATCAATCCTACCATACCTGGCAATTAGGAGACCGAAAATCCCACAGTCGTAATGTATTATCCATAGAGGCACTAAGAAATATCTCATCAGAGGGCGAGACATCCAGGGAAGTAACCGCTTGTTTATGCCCAGGAAAGTATCGAAGATATCGATTCGTAACTACATCAAGATAGCGAATCGTGTCATCTTCTTTAGTAGAAGCATGGATCAGAGAATTAGAATGATGAGAAAATCGACCCAAGTGAGCTCCATACTTCTTACTGGCAAGTTCTTTCACAAATCTTTTGCAAGTTAATAAACATCATAATTTACTTAGAAAAAAATATTACTTTCCGTCAAGCGCGTCAGCTAATTGACTTACTTTCCTGTTACACAGTTATAAAGTTTTAATGTATCATCCGTAGAAGACGCCAAACATAATTCTCCACTGTCGTCGAAACTTAGAGAAGTGATTTCACCACCTAAATCTGTATTTTTCAACCACTTCCTTGGCTCAATTGAAGACAACAACTCGTAGGTTATTGGAACTGTTGTCATTTTTGGTTTAAATCTTGAAATCCAAAACGTTTTGTCGAAGCATTGGTGGACTGGCAAAGTGGGAACTACATATTGATTTAAAAGTCATGGCTGAATATTGGAAGAGCATTCCCAAATATTTTTGTAAATATTGTCAACAGGTAAGCTAAAACGATAGCTATATTGAAAGTATTCTAACGTAATATTCAGTTTGTTACAGATACTCAACTTATTCGGCGGGAACATGAACAAAGCTTTAAACACAGAAATGCACTGAAACGGTTTATGAATGAGATCCACTCATCTAATTTAAAGCGACTAAGTAATACTAAAGAAAATCCGCCTTCAATTTCTAGTAGTGCTTCTGAATCTGCTTTAGCATCTTACGAAAGACCAAAGACACAAAAGCTGAAAATACATCCTGCAAAGAAGAAAAGTACGCTTGATGATTGGGACATTCCAGATGCTAGTCAGGATGCGACATCTTCGCATAGCTATACCCCAACACAAGGTCCTGCCGAACAAAATAATGAATTAGCTAATATACAAAAAGAGAAAGAGGAGAAACAAGAACAAGAACAAGAGAAACATTCAGAAATAAAAGAGGAAGTCTCTTCGTTAAAAAGAAACAGGGAGTCTGTCGAGAATGAAGAGAAAGCCTTCATTCATTTCGAAGTTAGACAAAAAACCTTAGACGCAGAGAACAACTCTGGAGATAGTACACTTAAATATTCTAATACTGAAGAAAAACTGCCGAAAGTAACTTTCAAAAAGAAGAAATCTTCTGCTCGTCAAAATATCAAATCCTCTAAAAAGGTTACGGACTAGGTTTTCTTTCATGTCAAATTAAAAATTGAACAAGATTTTATTTATTTTCAATCTTTTTCATAAAAGTCGATCTTTACGTCCAAGTTACCCATAATAATCTTGAGTGTTATGGACGAAGTAATCAGAATATTTGGTGAGAAGCAGAACAACAGAACAAAAATGTAGGTAGTTATAAATAAGCATATCGTATCATCTATTACAAAACTCGAGCCTTTAGCTTTATTTTTCCAAATTACTCACGCCATCTTTCTTTTTGTAAAACAGAATATATGAAGAAGAAAAATCACGCTGAAGCGCTGCAAAGCCATCCACTTTTTGAACGATGGAATCATCAATTCGATACCACTGACTTTCACTAAAAACGTTCGACGTATAGTGACCATTGCCAAGTTGACCGTAATGACTCACAAAAGCAAACAAATCGTAGCTACATTGATCGTAATTCATTCCTGACTGGAAACAAGGAGGGATGAGCATGTTGCTGGGTATCCGAAAGTTCAATTGTAGAGGAGTATCGTCCTTTTTCCAACCTACGACAGTGTTACGAAACCTTTGTATTTGTATTATCAGGTAATCAGATAAATGAGATATATTCATCATTTTTTTTGCGGGTCTTCGTCTTTGACACACGGGGCAAAACCAAGCATTAGGTCCTTCTAAAACTTCATAAGCCATGAATCGTCGGAGACATTCGTGTAAGCTTACAAATTCAGATAAATTAGGAATTGGAATAGCAAGAGAAGTAAAAGGAGCGAATGTAGTAGACGTTCGTTGACAAACTGTGCATTGTATTCGACTGCAGAGCTGTCCTGAAAAACTTTCTTCGACTACACTTAGATTGTGACGAACGTGAAGATTCCAGTCAACATAATTAAGATAGGAAAGAGGCAACTTTTCACGGGCACTAAGCTGTTCATCAGAAAGAGCAGAGAGGGGAGCACGGGAAGCGTTACAGTTCAAGTCTTCGTGCAGTTTATCAAGTAAAAAATTCAGAAATTCCTGCGCATCACACTGACCGTCAGTACTAAAATCTCTGTTCAAACACTGAACAACGTCCAGAAATCGCTTTGGAGATACAACTCGTTTTCCCTTTCTTTGAAAAACTTCATTTACTAAAGAAAGAAAAGCCACTGTCATTTTTCCTCCGGATCCCAAAGGATTACCTTTATTAATGGCTCCAAGAGCCTGCGACTTGTGATACATCGGCGAAATGAGCTCACCACATGCGAAAAGACATTGCAAAACGCAATTCATATAGCACGTATTTCCAAGGTTAGTAAGACCAATAGGTAAGTACTCAAGAGTGTTTTCATCTTGATGAAATTTTTTTTCAGACATGGAAGTGAGCAGCTGTGGTTTCCATTTTAGAGTCGTTAGAATAGAATAAATACGATAAGAAACATTAATATCATCCAAATGATTTTCTAAGCTATAACAGATAGTAACCTCTGGAAGAAACGGGACCTTTTTAAGATAAATATCAATTTCAGCGATAGATTCTGAAGAGAACAGTGAAACGGGAATATGTATGGTATTTTTGGAAAGCACATACTCCTTAGAGCTCTCGTCAGAGTACAGATTCAAAAACAAGGTTTTACTTGATTTATCTTTAGTCAGTTTCTTGGCTGACTGGATCGGTATACAAGGTAGATAATGCCTCACTGCTAATTTACTTTTTAAATTAAAAATCTTTTGAATGAGGGCAAGCGTTTGCTACATCGTGTTAGCTTCTTGAGATTGACGAAGTATGAGGATGTACAAAGGATATGGAGAGGTCATTGGATCAATTCGTATCTCATATTTAAAACCACTCTCTTTTATCCATTTCTTCTCCTGTAAATACCTTTTGAAAGTACTTGAAATCTGAGTACGCACCGGATTGAACTGAGATTTCAAACCGGCATGGAATCTCATAAGCCAACTTGATGGCTTTCAGATAGAACACATAAGACTTAATATAAAGTCCTTTTTCTTCTAATCTTTTAGCCTGCATGGTAAGTCATCAAAATCACCCTCAATAAACTTACCTCTCCTAGCCATTGCAATCCACGCAATGTAGAGCTTTGTAGTGTTTCATCATCGTGAATATACACGAAAGCTTTATCAAAAAGTTCATCAAAGTACTCATCGGACATTTGATATCCGAACTAATAGTTTACTCCATATAAATTATACAACTGGTGGTAGCTCCTACTCCTTATCAAATCCTGAAAACACCAAGTATTTTGAAGAATTTAGAAAATAACAAGTTTGAATGGCACCGAATTGGGATATACAAATAAGAATATTTTGTCAAAGACTACGTCCCCAAACTGTGTAAGTTGAGTTCAGCAAACAGATACGGACCTTAGGAACAATTAGTTAACGGATGTCTTCATATACAGTGAGTCAAACACGGAACTTTATTTAACAGTACAAACTATTAAAGGTTCTATTTTATTGATTGTGGACAAGCTTGTGCCATATCATGTTCAGTTCATCCTTGAAGAAGGCCAGGAAAACCTACAAAACTTGCTCAATGAATACGTGAATTCATCTTTTAAAAATACAGATACAACTATAACCAGTGTGTTTAATTCATGTTTACAAAAATGGGATACCTTTGCGAAGAGAGGAATAGAATCCTCGGAACCTATTTCAGATAATGGACGAGGTAAACCAGATTCTTCTGAGACGAAGAAAAAACCTGCTGAATCCACTGAAAAGGTCTTTGATGATTTTTCGGACTTAAGAATCAAAGAGATAGTTCTCCCCAAGGACTCTTCTCGATCAGGATTTAGTAGTACGAAGATGAAATCTTTAGACTATGAGAAAGAAGTCGGGTTACAGAAGGGCTTAGGTAGCTCAGATACAGCTATTCCTCAACAAAAAATACCCGGAAAAGAAGACTGTGATCAGGATAATAATCAAGTCACTACCTTTAAGAACACTCAAATACCCAAACAAGCTAAACCATTGCAACTTGAAGGAAATGACTACTCTCTTGAGCTAACAAATCTTAATTTGATCAATGTAGGTGTTTTAAAAGCACCTAGATTGAAACTAGTGATAAAATGTGTCCGCTGTCATTACGGGAATGAGGTTTCTGTACAAGAAAAATATTCCCTGGCTTGTTCAAAGTGTAATAATGGTTTGCAAGTCATATGGTTGCCTGGAACTGTTCATCTAAATTCATCAAGGTTGGGTGTTCTTGATCTAATAGGATGTGCACCTGTTGATGTTATGCCCATTGATTGTTTTGTCTCATGTTTAGAATGTACAGATGAGCAAGTAATAGTCTTTAAAGGAGTTTCTTCTATGCAGCCCATGGCTCAATTTTGCAGATCATGCAGGACAAGGACGTTAGTCCACTTTCAGGATACCAAATTTCAGTTATTGAAGCAACGTGAACAAGCACTTGGTTCCAGGAAGCCTTCTAATAAAAGCAACAAACAAAATCTCGGGATCGTAAAGGGTACGCCCCTTCCTAATCGCGGTGCTTGTGAACACTACAAGAAGTCATATCGGTGTATGTACAGTCATCCTTTACTCTGAAATTAGTTAACTAACTTACTAGGGTTTCGTTTTCCGTGCTGTAATCGAATCTATGCTTGCGATAAGTGTCATGATATTGATCAAGATCACCTCAATGAATATGCCAAACGAATTATCTGTGGTTATTGCTCCTTTGAGTCTATGTACACCAAAGAAGGAACATGCTCGCATTGCGGAAACTTTACAACGCGTCGTCAGAAAAGTGCTTTTTGGGAAGGCGGTCAAGGAATGAGAGATCCAATCCGAATGAGTAGAAAAGATCCTAGAAAGTACAAGAGAATTACCTAACGCAAATAATGGAGTATAATGCTTTTCTATTGTCTAAATTATGAATAATGAAATAACTGATGATTATAACTTTATTAAAAATTTTTGATCACTTAAAAAACATCTTAAGATAACATAGCTAAAGATCCTGATAAATAATCAAGTAGATTCATCACTTTCTCCATATTCAACTAGAGATGCTGTAGAATTTTTCTCGGGAATTTTAACATGCTCCTTCAGGTTAGTTACCTTATCGCCTGTACTTTTTGTATCCAAAACTTTTGGAAACCGAAGAAAACCGGTAGGGGAGGCTGTATCATCAAAATTGGCAAACCTTTCTTTCTTCTTCATAAATATCTTTTTGTTGTCAGGATTTGTAGGCATATGAGAACCTGTGCGCTCATGACGAACTAAATGGTGAGCAATTATTTCGTCCGAAACTGTAGGAGGTAAAAGACTGAAACCAAGACCAGCTTGATCCTTCAACTCATTTTCTAATTGCTCTTGCTCTTTTATCATCTTCTTTTTTTCCTACATACGCTGTTAATATGTTAGACGTATAAATTTGCATACCCTAAATCGTTTTCGAAGTTTTTGAGAAACAGTCATAGGATCTGCCCATTGTCTCTCATTTTTTTCATAAATAAGCTCCAATTCCGTATTCTGATCTTCTTTCTTTTTCTGGGTTGCTACACTTTTTTCCAATGCCTCTAATGGGTCATGATTTCCATTTCCATCGGTTGCAACGCTGGATATCGTGCCAGTACTGGCAGCATCAATTCTTCTTTTCCCTCCGTTGCATACTACATATTCTGTATTCTAATAGCGTTTAGTTAGCATTCTATAACCTGAATCAAATAATTACTTTTGGGTCTGTGTGTATTTCGATTGCATTAGAGCAAGTATGGCAATGAAAGGTAAACGACCATATTTTGGAAGAGTAATATGAACCGATTTGCTTTTTCTCGGCATTAAACCTGGTGCCTTGGGAGATTAAATTTTGGCATTGGTAGCACCATACCGCGAAAGGCATCTCAAATCGAACTACATTTTTTGTTTTTATTCGCTTTCTACGTTTGCCGTCTTCATCCGGAGGATGATATCTCCCCATATTAAAGCCCTGCATTATAGATTTCAGTCTATGGAAGCATTTTGCATAATTGTGCGTTGGTTGATGGACTCCTATAAACTAATATGATTATGCATGATTGTGAAGCTAGCCATTAACGTAGATACACCTGTAATACATGATGAAAAATTTATAAACCAATAAGAAAGTATTCATAATTGAATTATTGTGGAGGTTACTGCTTTATGGATATTATTCTATTCAAAGTAAACGCAACTTTTAGTTATACCATCCTTAAGAAGCGATTAACTCTTTTACCCATTTTATTTTCTCAGTATTCGGAGGAGCCAGGTCCCAAATTTTTTGAGCGAACTTTGAATATTTTCGTTGAAGGCATGGAGACATAGCTATTGCCATAGTTTGAGCGGTAGGTAAAAGGCCCATTTCGTTCATTTCACGTAGTAATCCCATAATTTTATTTATTTGTTTTGATTCGACATAAATTCGAAGACGTTCATGGAAAGCCTGGATCGCAGGGGGCCACTGAATTCTTGATTTATAAAATGTCCAGTAGAAATCAGCAGAAGCGACATCGCCCAATTGTCTGAGAATATAAAGTACTGTGATTAATGATCGAGATGTGGCTTCACAACATTGACCAGGCAACATGGGATGAGGCTCTTGAATAGGATACTGCATGGGCGCGTCCACCTGTTGCAGTAGGATCTTCAAGCCTAGAAACTTGCTGTTCTCATTTTTAGCAGTACTCAAAACTTTTGCAAAGGCACAGAGTAGATCTTCATGAATTACAAACTCATTTTCGTTGTATTTCGAGACTGTAAATTTCCATAAATCATTAGCAAACTTATGCATCTCGTCGAAATGACTAGGTTGCATTTCGGCAACATCAAGATATAAATACATAATTTTTGAAGCAATCGAGGAGTCTAGCTTTGTTTTCGGTTGCAGTAGTATATCATTTGCAAATTCGACATCCTTCAGTTTCAAACAGCATTGAGCCAGTATATTGATATGAATAGCGTTTGGAGTAACCGAAGAATTGGATCGATATAAGTTATTGTATACCTTCTTTATTAATTCCGACAACTTTCGCTTGCTGGCTGCTTCATTATTAACCAATATAGAGTACAATCCTTGTAACAGAATTGTGTATGTAAATTCATTCGGCACCTGCATTGACTTCTTCATCATGTTATACAGAGACCAAGCAAAGTTATATTCGCCCTTCCTTAAATGATATTCCAACAAGTGATTGTAAGCGACGGTTTTGGGGGCTAATGATTTTTTCACGATCAAATCTAGTGCAGCTTTAGGCTGCTCGCCTTTCAGTAACCTGGAAACTTTCTGAGCTAATACATAACTTTCATTTCGTAAGCTGGATTCATTGTTTAACCTCTTTTTTTGGCGTATGGTTTGCTTGTTGAAACCTTGCTCCAAAATCAACTTCTCTTTGCGTTTTCGAGCTACTTTTGTGGCATTGCTTACTTGTGCAACAATTGCTGTATGAAATGTCTGAAGTCTTCCAAAATTTGGCACAATAATTGCGAAATTCCTGAAACGACCAAGAAAACTGGGTAAGTGCATATGAAGAAATGCTTATGCGATGCACGAATCTCACACAGTCAATACCCCGTTTCTCTATTTAGACAGTATCTACATACTTTGAAATCTGGAAATTCATGACTACTATACTTAAGTGACAAAAAAAAAGTTTTACAGGTTAATTTTACATATAGACTAGAAGTAAGAAACGATATAGTTATTTTGAACATCTACACCAAAATTAAAGCATCTTTCTAACAAGAGTGTTAATGTGCTCATCACGCTTACCAGTGTCACCTCCCTCAATGAAGTGGGTGAACTTACGAGCTCTGAAACCACCCAAAGGAGAAGAGAGTTGGAAGGGCCAGATGAAGTTGGAGGCTTGCTTGAAGTTAGGGCCAACAGTGTAAATTTCGTGAATCAAGTCCTCAACAGACATGATAGAGTACTTGCCCAAATTGGCCTCAATGAGGGAGTTGTCAGTAAGAGCAATACGTTGCTTGTTGATCTTTCCGAAACCGCGCTTGTAGATCAACTCACGAACAGTCTTCAAGTTGGGGATACCATAGGTAACATAAGGCTCGACAACTTGAAGCATTTCCTTGGTAGCCTTGTTAAACTTGATGAAAACACCGTTGTTGATTTGGATTAAACGCAAGAGTTGCATGATCTTACGGGCCTTAGGGGGGATGTTGTTAACACCACGAAGACGGATAACGAAGATCAACTTGGGCTCATCAGGGACATAGAAGTTGCCCTCAGCACGAGCCTTGCGAGCGAGTTCAATTTGTTCACGCTCAGCCTTACGGTATTCGGCGTCATAAGCTTCAGCACGCTTGGCAATGAGCTCGCGCTTCTTTTGGCGAAGCTAAATTAATGTTAGTTACTATTCCCCAAGAAAAATTTAAAAAAAAACAAAAGGATTCTTTTGTTTGGATGCAAGAAAAGTGAATTACAAGTAAAACAGTCAGTCCCGAAAGATGGTATACTGGAAGCACATCGCGGCGCTAGCTCTCCAAAAAAAGTTGTCATCATACTGTTTTTCTTTTGAGAAGTAAAAGATTTGCTAATTACTAAAGAATAGCAAGCATGTCTTTCACTTCACACACACTTTGTCTCATTTGCGTTTAAGCAAAATTTTTATTTTTGCTCATATATACTTACACCTTTCTTTTCAGCAGCAGCAGCAACACGTTGTTCACGAGATTGCTCCTGGGTCTTCTTCTTCTTCAAAAGAGACTCGGGAGCAAAGATTTGCTCCTTGGAAGGGACCGTCGACGATGCTACAGCCATGATGGTGGATGTCTGGTGTTGAAGTTTGGTTTCCAAGTCAAAGAACACAAGTTTCTCCAAGAGCAGTCACAAATGTTGGACTTGAAAATTGTGACTGTTTCTTGGGTATGGTAACACGAAATTTACAGAGAAAAGAAAACACGTTGTTGTAAAGTATCCGGAACCAACCACAAAAATGGCTACCAACGTTGGCCCTCAAATCCGCTCTGGAGAGCTCGTCTTCGGCGTTGCTCACATCTTCGCCTCTTTCAACGATACTTTCGTTCATATCACTGATTTGACCGGTAAGGAAACCATTACCCGTGTTACTGGTGGTATGAAGGTCAAAACTGACCGTGATGAGTCTTCTCCTTACGCTGCCATGTTGGCCGCTCAAGACGCTGCTGTCAAGTGTAAGGAAGTTGGTATCACTGCTCTTCACATCAAGATCCGTGCTACCGGTGGTACTGCCACTAAGACTCCTGGTCCTGGTGCTCAAGCCGCTTTGCGTGCTTTGGCTCGTGCTGGTATGCGTATCGGTCGTATCGAAGACGTTACTCCCGTCCCTACCGACTCTACTCGCAGAAAGGGTGGTCGTCGTGGTCGCAGACTTTAAATATGTTTGGGGTTCTGGGACTTTTGGATTTTTACTATCGAATCTTTTGTGTATATGCTCCGTTCCTCTTGTATCACTGTTACAAAAGGGTACCAATTGATTTGATTGTAGGTATTCATACAATAAAATAAACTATCGAAATCCTTTCTTATGAAATCGCTCCTATAACTAAGCGTTTAGTAGTAGTACTAAAGTAAGTACCGTAGTATTCTCATATAGTGTAAGGTGTGTCGTGCATGATTAGACAGGGAGGAAGATAGGACGAATATTTGATGTGTCTGTGTTGCATTAATACATAAGTAAACGACTGCTGGAAGTTGCGATTTTAACAAGTCGTTATTTCAAATAAACTTTCGACCGTTAGAAAAACTTTACGATTGCTGATTTAGTTGTTATACATACACGAGATTTTTGCATCTAAATCTTCAAATTCGGAGTTGTGTACTTACTACTTTACTTTATTTATTCATTGTGCATGTAAACTTTTATATCCTTGGTGCTTTGCTAGACAAAAGTGAATGACTATTTTCATAAAATTAATAACAACAGTAATAAGAAGTCAGTTCAACTGAATTTCAATTAAGATTGTTGATAATTTAGAAATATGTCACTAGTAAATATGAATAATCCAAGTATATGTAGTGACCATATAACTTTTACAGCTTGGAAAACATGGTGAGTATTACGATTTCATTCAATTTTATTTTATATTTTCGAAAAACCCGATTATTTATCCTGCATAAAGATAAATGTCATTCATTGACTTGGAAAACTGATTTGCTATAACAAGAAAATAAGTAACCATCTCAAAACAAAAAAAAAACAAAAATTAAATCACTCAAATTAATCAAACAATTTGAATCTTTGAGATGTAAAACTTACATTTTGCTTAACTACATTTTTCTAAGTATTTTTTACTGTAAACAAAAGCATTAATAACGTATTTGTTTTCCTAAAGACATGCGCGTTAATCCTCGCTATATAGATTACCGACCGCAACCAAGATATCTATGTGTACAAATAAAATGTGACTGCTTTTAAGGGTGGTCCCAAAGTCGAAACTTTTCTGTTTCAGCAGTTCACCACAGAAGAACCACCATCCACGAGCCAACATGCAGTCAGTTCAGTGCTTTGGAAAGAAAGGCAATGCCACGGCTGTTGCTCACTGCAAGGCCGGTAAGGGTTTGATCAAGGTTAACGGAGCTCCTCTCTCCCTCGTTCAACCCGAAATTTTGCGTATGAAGGTTTATGAACCCATCTTGGTTGCCGGTGCCGACAAGTTCGCTGGCGTTGACATTCGTGTCCGCGTTTCTGGTGGTGGTCATGTTTCTCAAATCTATGCCATCCGTCAAGCCATCTCCAAGGCTATCGTTGCTTACTACCAAAAGTTCGTTGACGAACACTCTAAGGCTGAACTCAAGAAGGCCCTCGTCACCTACGACCGTACTTTGTTGGTTGCCGACCCTCGTCGTATGGAACCCAAGAAGGTAAGTCTTTTGTTAAAGAGTTTCCAAAACACTAGTTTTGGGATTCATCAGTATCTTATCTGTTTACTAACATTATATATAGTTCGGTGGTCACGGTGCTCGTGCTCGTCAACAAAAGTCTTACCGTTAAAATGTGGTTGGCTTTGTTCATTATGTATCTATACAATTGATTCTCCTTCCTTACCACATATCAGGGTTTTTTTTGGTAATTATATATCAAGCCATTACCACAATTATATTAGGAAGTATTGTAACGTGTAGCCTCTGCAATTTCGCGATCATACAAGTTTCATTCGTAGCCTAGTTAATTTAATTTCATGGTAGGTGGATATATTAGTATGCCTATCCAGGTATGGAAGAGTAGAGATGAAGAGGTCTCATAACCCATGGTAATTGCTTTTAGGTTACTCCATGTATTTGTGTTCAGTAAGTAAATAAAATTTGCTTTATCGAGATAATAAATTCACTACATATTAGCAGTTAGAAACGCTATTGTAGTGTGAGCTATTTCCCATCACTGATCACTCTACAGTGAGGAATGTTCATTTATGTTTATGACTAAAAGAAGATAGAAAATGGCACAATCAAAATGGGATTCTTTAGAAAATGATCAATTTGCCTCTGAAAACCAAAAATCTGAACTTGAATGGAAAAAGAAACGCAAACTTGAAAGAAAGCGGAAACGCGAACTACTGGAAGAAGAGACAACAAAAGAAGATAGAAATATATTATCTTTCAGGTCCTATCTATCAGCCAATGTACCTCGATTGGGGTCTTGCGATGGTATTCAGGATTATGAAATCTTGAACAAAATAGAAGAAGGATCTTATGGAATTGTCTATCGTGCAAAGGAGAAATCGACGGAAAGGTTAGTAGCTTTAAAGAAGATAAAGTTCGATCCTAATGGGTTTGGTTTCCCAATCACAAGTCTAAGGGAAATTCATTCATTAAACAGTGTTCGACACGACCATGTGATGGAACTGAAGAAGGTCGTAGTTGGTAATGATTTGAAAGATATATACTTAGTTATGGAGTTTATGGAACATGACTTGAAATTTCTTTTGGATGATATGCCTGAGGATTTTCTTATATCTGAAGTAAAAACATTATTGCTTCAGCTACTAGCGTCTACGGCCACCATCCATTACCATTGGCACCTACATCGAGATTTGAAGCCGTCAAACTTATTGATGAATAATACAGGGGAGATCAAAGTTGCTGACTTTGGTTTAGCTCGCCCAACGTCCGAACCAAAACCAAAATTGACCCGCGTTGTTGTTACACTTTGGTACCGAGCCCCAGAGCTTTTGCTGGGTACTCCGAGTTATGGTAGAGAAATCGACATGTGGAGCATTGGGTGTATATTTGCTGAAATGGTGAATCGAACTCCGCTTTTTCCTGGAAAAAACGAGTTGGATCAGTTGCATAAGGTAAGTATTAATATAATGTATCCAAATTTACTAACCACACAAGATTTTTAATATTTTGGGGTATCCTGATGAAGAAGATTGGCCCCAATACAGATTACTACCTCATGCCAGTAAAATAAAACTACCGACAATAAAAACGAAGAATAGATTACGAGAAGTTGTGAAGAACCTGACAGCTAATGGATATGATTTGATGGAACGCCTTCTTTGTCTTAATCCAGCTAAGCGCATATCGGCAAAAGAAGCATTGCTTCACCCATTTTTTTACGAGTCTCCTCGACCTAAAGATCCAAGATTTTTCCCTACCTTCCCAAGTAAAGCCAAAGGTGAAATACGCGGTGGAAATTTCATGTCCACCAGTACCTCACAAGAGTCTATGAAACAATCAAGATAGTATGTTTTAATCTTCCTTAGCAACAGTCGGAAAATGAGAATGATAAAAGTCTGATATACTTATACTATGGAACTAAAATATAATTCGGCCCTTTTTTGATTTTCTTCCAAACATATAATTAATGAATCACTTTCGAAAGAGAACGATGGGATAACTAACCAATTGATGAGCAAAATCGAGTGGACTCTACTACTACTGCCTTCTGTTTTCTCTACAGTTCTAATGTCGTTCGAAACAAACAGTATATTGTCAGAGGTATATATAACAATTGAGAGTGAAATTACAAGTTCATACAAACGTTGGTTGTCAATGATGGATTGCTAAATTTGTACAATATTCGATGCTTTGCATTGTGCATGGATGTCTGATGTAATAAGATTCACAAAACCATGAATAGTTTGGTTGTCTTGGGGAATCTCTTGTTATATTCATATTTTTATTTTTTAATACAGCTGGAATAGGTTTTCCATATTTATTGTTATCTAACATAGTAAACGATTTTAGATATTAAAGTATTCATGGTTGCGAAATTGCTTAGCAAAGAGATCACTGTTTAAGTGCCCAACTGCAGTATCTCAAACTATCAACATATTAACGTAGAGGACAAGTATTTAAGAAGCAGCGAATTTTATACATTTCAATTTAATTTGGCCGCTAGCGCCTGTTATAATTTAACACAATGGCAAGGTTACTGACAAAATCCACTCAAGTAATCGAATTTCTGTCAGACCAGCTTTCCCGAAGAAATGCTCGACATTTTTGGGAAACCCAAGAGAATTTGGAATCATCAAGTCCTTTACTACAAGAACCATGTGAGAATTATAACAGTCTCAACGTCTCAGACTTACCTCCATTATCAAGAAGTGTTACAGTTGCGGAAAATGAACAGTCTGGAGATGCAGTAAAACTAGGAACTTTTGAAGGCTGTTTTATACCTACTACTTTAAACGTTTTATCTATTTTACTGTACTTGCGGTTTCCATGGATCGTAGGAGAAGCAGGAGTTTTAAAGACATTAGTAATGCTTGTTATTAGTTACACTATAGGATTCCTCACAAGTTTGTCGATATCAGCAATCTGCACAAATGGTATGGTAAGAGGCGGTGGTGCATATTACGCTGTTTCCAGGTCCATTGGTCCTGAAATGGGTGGTTCCATTGGCTTCATTTTTTACGTTGGTCAGATTTTGAATACCGGTATGAACATTTCCGGATTTGTTGAGCCTGTAATTGGTTTGGTTGGAAAAAATTCTGGCACAGTACTTAAACTTATCCCAGAAGGATTTTGGTGGAACTTTACTTATACTACTGTCGTATTAATCCTTTGTTGCAGTTTGTGTTGCTTAGGTTCTGCAACGTTCGCGAGGGCATCGAATGCGCTGTTTATAATCATTATCCTCTCTACCATATCCATTCCCATCTCGGCTGTGTTGGTTCGTCCCTTCAAGAATCCTAGTCTCGATCTCTATTTTACAGGCGTGAAGTTGTCTACCTTTGTCGATAATTTACGTTCATCTTATACAAAGGACTTAAATTCAAATCTCCAGGAATCATTCAAGAGTACTTTCGGTGTTTTCTTTCCTGCGACTGCTGGTTTATTAGCTGGTGCGAGTATGTCTGGTGATTTGAAGGCTCCTTCTCGTGCAATTCCTAAAGGGACCCTTACTTCTCTATTCACAACCTTCCTTTTGTATCTTACCGTTATTCTTTGTATTGGTGCATCTGTCACTCGATCCGGTCTTTTGTTTGACATGGAAGTGCTCGAACATATCAGTTTGCATCCTTTACTTATCATTTCAGGTATATTAGCTAGTGGAGCTTTTAGTTCTTTTATGGGTATATTTGGTGCTGCTAAACTGCTACAAGCTATAGCTCGTGATGACCTGATCCCCGGCTTATTTCTATTTGCTAAAGGATCTGAACAACAAGACATACCGTTTCGTGCCATATTTTTAACGTATGTGATTACTCAAGTTAGTCTTTATTGGGACATAAACATGCTTTCGTCAATGATAACTATGACTTTTCTCTTAACATTTGGATTTATTAACTTGGCCTGTCTATTATTAAGATTAAGCAGCACTCCCAACTTTCGTCCTACCTTTTCGTTTTTTAATCGATTTACTACTGGTTTTGGGTGCGCTCTGTCTTTCGGGATCATGTTTTATATCGATCAAATAAACGCGTTTGTCTCGTTCTTGATTGCTGGATTATTGATTTTTGTCATCTACTTCACAAGTCCTCCAAAAAACTGGGGTGATGTTTCACAAGGAATTATTTATCACCAACTTCGAAAGTACCTTCTGCATACTAATAAAACGAAAGAGAATATAAAGTATTGGCGTCCACAGATTTTATTGCTCGTAAATAATCCAAACCGCTCGGAAAATATAATTCGTTTTTGCAATTCTTTGAAAAAAGGTAAGTTAGTACACAGCTCTCAAATATGCTAATCTTCCAGGGTCACTTTACATTTTAGGGCATGTAATTGTGTCTAAGGATTTTCAAGCCAGTATGGAAGAATTGCGAAGACAGCAACAACTATGGCATGAGTTCATTCTTGAGAGAGACATCAAGGGATTCGTGGATCTTACTGTTGCACCCGATGAAGTATGGGGAATTCGTGGTCTTATTTCATCAGCTGGACTAGGAGGTATACGTCCAAATATTGCCGTACTCACGTTTATAAACACAAGATACAAAAAGATTGATGCAGCGAAGCACAAAACTCTTGAAGATGATGACGAGTCTTCTAGTGCCAAAGATATGTCGGACTCCCACATTGCTGAACATGCAATTTTACCAGTTAAATGGGTTCAAATTCTAGAAGACATTCTAGCTGGTCTTGTTGACGTGATGGTAACTTATGGATTTGATAGACTGCAGTGGCCTCAGACAAAAGGAACAAAACGATACATTGATATGTTTCCCGTACACATGGCTTCAAATTTGGAATCAAATACGAGTAGGACGAGGCCTTTATTTGCTACTAATTTAGAGACGTACACAATGGTTTTTCAATTAAGTTGGATATTACACACATCACCTGAGTGGAAACAGGGCTGCACGTTACGGCTGCTTACTATCGTAGAGCACGAGAATGAAATCAAAGCTGAAAAAGAAAGTTTGGAACAATTACTAGAGACATTCAGGATGAAAGCAGAAGTGAAAGTTCTGTGTCTTTCTTCAAGCAACTTGGAAGCTTATAGATATATCTTGAAAAATGAGCCCATTTCACCTGAAAATGCAGCCACTATAGAGCTTATGCTAAAAGATGACCCTTGGTGGAATGATCTTTCACGACATCGGAATAGTTCAATGGCTTTTTCGAAAAATTCGTTAATCCATCGTAAATACTCTGACTATAACTTTGGGGCATCCAGTGCTCGAAAGCGAAGTGCTCCACCGCTGAGCATTCCTTTGAGTTTCCGACTTGGTCAATCCCTAAAACAAGCTCATCCTTTTAGCCAACCTTCATCCGTTGACGATGAATATGACTCGTTTCCTAAACTTAATCGATTTTGCTCCCATAATTCCCTTGAAACACCTTATGATACACAACCCCAAATGTCCGATTCTAGCGAACACCAGAGCATGGAAAATGAAGATCTAGATGATAATTTCAGCTTCAATAATCTTTCGTCGAGAGCCCAGTATATTATTATGAACGAAATGATCAAGGAACACACACAAGATACTGCGGTACTGTTTACTGTTTTACCAGCGCCCCATGCCAAAACATATCAGAACTTTACTAAATCAGAACAGTATGTGGATGATCTGCTTATCTTCATGAAAGGCTTACCTCCTTGTGGATTAATTCATTCCAAAAGTCTTACTATCACGACAGCACTATAAATTTTTTGGTTGACTTATACCGGATAGTTGTACTATATTTATTCATCAAAATTAATTATTCATTTTATATTTTCCTTAAACATGACAGCTAGACATGTATGTAGAAAAACATAGAACACTAGCAGGGTCAAGACCAAAACGAAAGAGGTAGAGATGGGATAAGTGAAATATATATGGAATAGGTACAGATAGAAATACGCGAAGTTATTTTTTTTTCGAGTGTATGTGGAGCACTAAAAGCCTTAGACACTCACCGTTGATTCCATGCTTTCAATAGTAGAAGAGGAAGGATAAGAGGGCCGGAAACCGCGTGTGGTTGTAATTCTTCTGGGATCCATTTTGACTGATTCAGGCCAATCAGCATATTCACTGTCTGTCTGATCTTTCCACTGAATATTGACGGATCCATTTGTGAGTTCTTTTTTTCTGAGAATATCAGCCAAATCGGCAATTGTGTTAGGAACTTGTTGTTGCATCAACAAACGGTTCCTTTGAGATACGGGCATAGCTAAAAGTTCCTTGTCTAATGGTTGAATAGACCGATATCGACGATAATTTAGTAATTGAGACATTATGGATGTAACAACCTGATCATTTTCGAAATCCGCCTTCAAGATTGGGACCCAGTGATCTTTGCGAATCCGTGGAGGACGCATTCCATAAGGAGCTGTTGATTGTTCTTTCTTGGCGAACGGTAATTGAAACAATTGCGTCGGTTTCAAAACTTGTTTCATAGAAAATAAAACTTGGTTTGTTTGTATATGACGGAATAAATACAGGGATTTAGACACAGATTTCATTTTGGAGGGTTTCTTACGGCCTACCAGGTACGCGCACTGTTCTAACAAGACGCGAAATGAGTTGATTGCATTTGGTGGGTTTTCGGTAAACATATTCGGTGTTTAGACGTAAGGTCACCGAGTTTTCCGATAAACAAGGTCATAATAATAATAAAACAGTAACTTTGGTAAGAACACATATCTCAATTGTAAACGAAAAACGTAGGAGTTTCTTAGCCATGTTAGAATGTTGCATGATGGGCAAGGAAATTTCCGAGTTTCGGTGCTTAAATCGGTTCAAATAAGAAACATTCAAGATCAGCGAACTTTGCATGCTTTAACAATAGACGGAGCTCAAGATTTATGGAAGCGTCAACAACAGTTGCGATATGCAATTTCACAAGGAATACTCCATGTCTTTTTGTCAATTCATCTTCCTCGTGTGAGTCTACCTGTTTATATTACCGAATGTAGCGAAAACGCAGTAAGTTATGACTGTTTATACATATATTTCGAACAATGAGGATCAAAATAATTATCTAACTTCTTTGTCTCAATAGAATCACATCTTTTACATTGACGAGAAGGTGCGCCGCAAGGTCTTCCATAAATATGGAAATCCCTCTTCGTTTACTCTTCGAAGTTGGTGCTCATCTAATGCTGAGGGACCCTTTCATTTGCACAAGGAATGGAATATTCAAAGAGGACAGCGAGATTTTATGTGGATAGGCAACGATGTAAGTTGAATGAACAAGGTGCGACAACAATTCATAAAACATCTAATTGTGGTTATCGTTCATTTTTAAGAAGTATTTTGAGTCCAATTGCTAATATTTAGCCTATATCTGCTGTTTGTGAAATGCGCAATGGCCTAGTATGTGATTTTGCAGATGGCGTGTATGTTTACACGGATCAGCAAAACGATGATTCCAAAGAGAGCCTTTCTAAAAGTATGTCTGCATTGTCCTTGGACCGGCAAAAAGATGCATATTCAACGCAAACCTTACTGCGTATTTTAAATCTTTCCCAATGCATAGATGAATTTGAGCTCACACAAAAGAAAATTCGCAAACGCTTAATTACGGAAGAAAATTTGGTTTTAAGACGTAGCCATGGTTTAAAATCTACGTATAGTAAAAGACTCTTTTTCCTTTCTCAGTTGCAAAACCGACAATCAAAATATTTATTCGCGTTCCATAAACTAAGAGATGATTTTGCAAAGAAGAAAGAACAAATCGCACATAATCACTCGCAATTGGAAACGCATTACACATTTATGAAGCAGTTGGATGATCGTTACCAGGAAGCTTATGCTCAAGTAAAGATGCAGTGGGAAACAAACTTGCAAGTCCGGATCCTAATTGCTCACGCAACCCGATCTCATATAAAAGATTTGTGTACCGTTTATCCTATTCGAACTATTGATGATCAGGTACCTTTATTTACAATCCGAAATCTTCGATTTTCTTTGGTACCTAATTCAATTCCCCCAGCTGAATTGGCTGCTGCATTAGGCTTCCTGGCTCATTTGACATTTGGTATTTCTCGTTATCTGGAGTACAATTTTCCTTATCCAGTCTCGCCAACAGGTTCGAGATCAACGATAGTAGATCCTCTTTCTCCGGACTTAATGAATCGTTGCTTTCCTCTATATCCCGCTGCCAGGGCTCTCCATGCATTTGAACATGCTCTTTACCTACTAAACCAAAACATCGTATCTCTTTTAGCTCATTATGGGTTACCTAATGATCAACCATCGAATATAATGACTAACTGTGAAAAGCTTGTACAGTTCGTTCTTTCTGGACAGCATCTTTCTTTTGTTCAAGTTATGTCTACTTGAAAAAAAAAAATTTCTTGTCTCATTAAAGGAAGCGGGTTTCTATTCTTACTTAATTTAGCCAGCTATATATGTATCCCTTTTAATTTATTACCTTCTTGTTCATTTATTCTTCCATACTTAGATTAATATAAAAGGCTACTACACATACCATAAGCAACGATAAAAGTTACAATAAGTTCTATCATGAAAAATAAAGACAGAAAGAAAAAGTATTATTGATTAAATGAGTTTAGTAAAATACCTACTCCACCGTATCGTAAAATAATTAAATTGAATAATTAGAAACAAAAACTATAAAATAATTCTTTTTAGTAGTATGAAACAAAAAAGTGTAAATTATTTCAACAATAAGCTGGAGGAGCTGGCCCTACGCTTTCAAAAACCGGAGGACATTCTTCATCCCAGCTAATGCCCAAACCAGCAGGGCTTGTAAGGGGTTGAGGAATTGACACTCGCAAAATACGAGCATTTCCCATATTACTTGTCGCTCCCTTTCGTCGATTGACAATAGCTTCGATGATTAGGAAATGAGAGATTTTTAGATTAAATCGACCAGAAAGTTCTGCATCACAAGTTGGTTCCCGAAATGCAGCCGCGTTAATTTGACAGGTCAAAAAGAATTGGTGATCGACAAATTTCCACCCTGATTGTAAATCTTGGGCGCTAAGGATTTTTTTCTCTTGGACAGTACGAAACCGAACAGTGTCTTTATGACGATCACAAGGTCTAGGGGTATAATTTAAGTGTTCTTCTAGGCGCCAAGTAACCCTAGTAACTCCCCATTCGCTTCCATCAGCCTGCAAGAAACCGGTCATAGTGATTTCCATGAGAGCTACTGTGTGAGGATGTAAGATGCTTGACATGGTGATGTTTGCAACAAGATCAGTGGGAGGGAAAATTCGCTTATGGATGGTATCTGAGCCAGGGACAAAGGCTCTTTTTAGTTCTAAAGGATATTTCATGATTTCAGGTTTATAAGGAGAAAGGCCACCATCAGAGGTTGCATAGCAAAACGTAGCCTCCAGATAATATTCAACGCCAATATGTCGCGTAGATAGTGTGGCAGGCAGCGTACCGGGAAATAACCAACTGAATGGCCAATGGTGTGTTCCGCTTGGAAATTTCGTATTTGAAATAAACAACCATTCTTGTAATACTTCAGTTGAGCCTCCACATTCATAGCAATGTGATACAGGAGGATGGTAAACAGAAATTTTCTGCTTCAACTGAAGTTTTAATGAGTGAACATGAACAAACGGTTGATGAAGGATTGTGAGTTTAAATATTCCCGAAGCCAAGGCGCCGGTGGAAGTCTCTGGAGGACCCAAAAGGACGAGAGGAGGAGACTCCATCCGAACATCCATTTGGCAATGGGATTCGCGAGCATGGCTGGACGAACGAGGAAGAGACAATTTCAAAGGCATGAAGAAGAATGGATCAAGGAAATCGGAATCAAAAAAGTAAAAGGAAGCAAGATGATTTTGGAGAAGCTGTGAGAGAAGGTACAGCTTCAAAGACAGATAGATATAGAGGAAATAAACAAAAATCAAGAAACTAGTAGTATGGTGTATCTACACTCAAAGATGAAGGAATACTTTTTGAGTGATCAAACTAGAAAGAAAGTACATATATCAGTAATTGTCGACATAAATTCGATATTAGACAATTTGGAGGGAAGATGAGAAATAGCGTCCAACGTTACGAACAAGAAAAGCAAAAACGACAAGGAGGAAGAAGAGAAAAAAAAAAAAAAAATAAGAAAAGCTATTGGTAAAATAACCTATTTTGTTATTTTTTTAATTTATGGAACCCACTATAATTATAGGACCTGCCGGTCTAAGAATCAAGACAGTAAAACATGCACCGTCAAGTCAAAAGAGCTTTCCAGTCAATGGCTGGTTATTTTTTGTTTTAAGAGATGGCCAAGAAGGCTAATAAATGTACTGAAGACCTGCTATCAGTGAAAAACAAAATACGCTTAAAATGAAAGGTTTGCAGACCGTTTCGTTTGAAGTTTTCAAAAGAATCGATCGCGGGAAACGGTCAAGAGTTTTTGAAGATCACAGACGATCAACAACCTGTAAAGAAACGGAGTCCTTATAAGCGGATAGATTTCCACAACAAGTTCAACCGATTCCTCAATCTTCCTGATGCTTGTTGCCTGCAGAAAGAAAAAATGCTGAAACACTACAGTTGCATAAAATCATATACCAATGTTCTCTGTAAACCATTATGCATCGTTAATGTTTTGTATCTACTTTACTGAAGTATGTTATCTAACTTTATTGTGAAATTAGCGAAGTTAATCTTTTCGCTATAAGCTTCGCTAAATTTGCTGGGGAAAGTAGCCTCATAACAATTAACCTACCGCATTCGTCCCAATTCATACTTATCCTTTGCCAAAAACATTGCCACTGACATTGCTTTAGGATCTTTCTTTTCACCGTAAAAATACATTGGCATAACGATTTAAGGACTTTAAAATAAGATTAAACTGTAAAACACCATTGTCGCAAAGGGTAGTTTGATCCGATTTTGTTTGGGACAATTGACTTGGATATACAGCGTTACATTCGTGTAGGATACTTCAGGGACGGAACGCGTAAATTGCTGGATTAAAGTTTGTTAGTTTTATACTGTATCAGAAACTAGAAATTTGTTGGGGACTTTTTTTTTATTTTCCTTTCCTTGCACCTTTGAATTGAGTTTCTCTAGGCTATTAACGTTGGTTTTGGTCCTATAGACTATTTTTAGATTTCCCTTTTGTTTATTCTTTATTTTTAAACCCCGTTTCCCCTGCTATTTAATTTAACTAATAATCGTTCTTAATTTTTTTGAAAGACAAACTGCTAAACGTTTTTGTGGTTTCCTTTTTTTATTATAATCTATTTTTTTGATTTAATTTTACTTTTTCCTCTTTTTTTTCTAAAAAAAATTCCACTTACGACTAAATCTTTTTATTTTGGTTGTCTTTCTCTTGACTTGTGAACTTTGCTATGGCTACTGTACAACCTTCAAACATGCACTCTGCTTCGGCTGCACGTTTCCAAATTTGCTCTGGTTCTTCTCCCTATACGAATCGCGTCCGACCTTCTTACGAGCTAATTGAAGCTCCTACTCGTCAAGCCACATCTGCCGTTCAGTCTGATGTTCCTACTGTACACTCTAATTTTGATGCTAATTCCGTGTCTGAACAACCTACGCTCCCTTTGAAACAACCTACTAATAATCCTCTACCCACATCTCCGGCCGTGAGTACTCGTGCTTCAACTCCAGCCTCTCGTCAATCAAAACAGGACCAATCCGACACCAATAGTGCTTCCACTAACCTTCCTCGCCATCGTTCTACACATCTTACAAAATCCGTTTTGCAAAACTCAAATGTGCATTCATTATCTACTCCCGTTGCTCCTCCGTGTTATTCTGCTACCCCTCCCTCTAGCAATAGCTCTGCTGGAGAAACTGCTTTACCAAAAGATCATTGGAAACCAGATGCTGAAGCAATTGTCTGTGCTTTTCCTTCGTGCAGTGCCCGCTTTGGTCTCTTTGAAAGGAGACATCATTGTCGTTGTTGCGGTGATGTGTTTTGCTCTGCTCATTGTAACCGCTCGGTTCCATTAACTTTTGATGTTCGTTTTTCGTTATCTGCCTCAAAGCTTTTTAGAGCTTGTGTGTCTTGTTTCTACGATTACTTAAAATGGAGACAATCTATTGAGTTGGGTTCTCCCTCGAATGTCATCGTAGGAACTGAACCGCACGCTCAATCTGAAACCGTCCTAAAAAACAAACAAATATCTAACTCGGTTCCCATTCCTAAAGTTGATGCCGGAAAAACCGAGCTTCCTTCAGAGAGCTTGGTATTGGGAACTGTTCCCGATAACTGGGTTTGGAGTACCTTTTAATTCATAATGTGAGTATTATTTTCGTCCTTAATGTTCGTTTTGCCTTTGTATGCGGAGTTTTATGCCTTAATGCTCGCTTGAACGGTGCTTTTGTTTCGCTAAATCCTGGTTTTTAATACATCGGATGATGTGACTAAGTGAGCGTTGTATTTCATACCCCTTTTGAATTGCTTCGTTGTTTTCTATTGATAAATTCATTGTTTATGTTGCGAGGCGGAACTCGCTTTTAAATCCTGAAGTTTTTTTTCTGCTTGTTAGCCTTACTCTTTTTTCGTGTCTGTTTTGTTAGATACGTTTATCGGCTTCAGTTGTGATACCTTAAAAGAATGGCATGATAATTCTTTGCAATCTCGTTTAATCATTGCAGATTCTGCTCTATCTTTGCTGTTTTGTAGATTACCCCCTTTTTGTTTGTTAGTTTCCTTTTTTTTTTTGAATATTCTTTAGATGATCTTACGAATAAATATAGCTTATTGTGACAATTTTTGAAAACGTATAGTTATGATAAAATTTTATTTTTGTATGACAAAGTGAAAAGAACAAACTTCATGTAAATAGGATTTCTTTTGGTATTAGTGGAAAGAAAGGATTGCAAAAGGTTTTTAATTAATGAAGACCGATCGGGTATATCAAAAAGATTATGGGACGACGTTTGGTTCAAAAACTCAGTCTAAAATTTCGGTGATAAGAGCAGTACCGACGGTGTTCTTACCTTCACGAACAGTGAAGCGTTGACCCTTTTCAACTACGATAGGGTGAACGAGGTTGCAAACCAATTCAATGTTGTCACCGGGCATAATCATCTTGTCGGAATCGTTGGGGTCAGGATGTGTGAGTTCAACGGTAACATCGGAAGTACGGGTGAAAAGTTGGGGACGGTAATTGTCGACGAAACCAGTTCTACGGCCACCTTCTTCCTTAGTCAAGATATAGAAAGAAGCCTTGAATTTACGGTGAGGAGCAACAGTTCCTGGAACGGCAACAATCATACCACGTTTTAATTCATCACGCTTAACAGAACGAAGAAGAAGACCACAGTTGTCACCTGCAACGGCGGCGTCAAGTTGCTTCTTGAACATTTCAATACCAGTAACGGTAGTCTTGATGTGGCTTCCGTAACCAGCAAGTTCAATTTCAGCACCCTTCTTCAAAGTACCACGTTCGACACGACCGGTGACGACTGTACCACGGCCGGAAATGGAAAAGACATCTTCAATAGCCATGAGGAAAGGCATGTCAATGTTTCTCTCGGGAGTGGAAACATAGCTGTCAACAGCGTCCATAAGCTTGGTGATGCTTTGAAGACCAATTTCGGGGTTGCGGTCTTCCAATGCACAAAGAGCACTACCACTGATGATGGGAGTGTTGTCACCATCATAGCCATATTCGGATAAGAGTTCACGCATTTCCATTTCGACTAATTCAATCATGTCAGGTTCAACCATATCAGCCTTGTTAATGTAAACAACAATGTCCTTAACACCGACTTGACGAGCAAGAAGCAAGTGTTCACGAGTTTGAGGCATTTGACCATCAGTAGCGGAAACGACAATAATAGCACCATCCATGGTAGCAGCACCAGTAATCATGTTCTTGATATAATCAGCGTGACCAGGGCAATCAACGTGAGCATAATGTCTGTTGGCAGTTTCATATTCTACGTGTGCGGAAGAAATGGTAATACCACGAGCTTTTTCTTCAGGGGCCTTATCAATTTGACTGTAATCCATAAAGCTAGCTTGACCAAGCTGAGCTAAACCCTTGGTGATAGCTGCAGTCAAAGTAGTCTTTCCATGATCGACGTGACCAATGGTACCGATATTAACATGAGGCTTTTTACGGATGAACACCTAAAAAAATAGAGTTAATAACATGAAAAAAAAAATTGAAATACCAAGCAAACAAGGCAACTACCTCTTTAAATTTGCTTGTAAAACCTACCTTGTCATCCGCGTAGGAACGCGAGGGAATTGTAAATTTATTAAAACATCCTGTAGCTAAAGGAAATCTAGTTAAGCGGGAACAATTCTGGCGGAAGCCCTGGAAGAGCAACGAAGTAGTTGCTTTTGCTGTCTTCATTGTGAGAGGAGGTGTTGGTAAAGGGATAAAAAGATGTAGGGAAGGGCTATAGAAAGTACTCTCTGGAGGACGTTAAATACCGTTTTTTTACGAGAAAAAAAAAAGTCTAAAATTTTTGTGAATATATGATAACAGTGATAGAATTGATATAGAGAATACGAAAAAAAAAGGAATTTGGTTGGAGAAAAGGGAGTTGAAATTGGGCAATTGGACTTGGTATCTTTGTAACCAAGACGACGTCTGGTGAAATGAAAGATGAAGTTTAAACAAAAACAGTAAAGTGTGTAAAAATGAAAATAACTTAGTTCAAATGTTGTCTGATGATTTACGGTATTGAAGAAAAGTTTTACTCAAAGGTTGCATAGAGGTTTAAGTGGTCGAAGACTTCTATAAAATCAAGAAGGTGCTGAGATGTACAAATAAATTGTAATATGACATAAACCAATCAAACTTCTTTTCCTGTCTGAATGTATGAGGGTAGGCAAATAAAAATGGAGAGCTTTAAATTAATTCCCAAAAACCAAATTTATCCCAGGCTAGCAAAACAAAATACTCCATATGGATGCTATGGGAATTAACATATCACATTCATAATAATAGATCAAAAGATTGAAAGCAGAGTGGTACAGGTGAAGGGAGGTCAAACTTTAGGTACGAGGGGGTGCAATGAGGATAACGGAATCACCTAGAAAGTAAATGTTAGAGAAAAGAGATTATTATGTCAAAGATCGTAAAAAAAAGGAAGAGCATCGTCCCCATTTTTTCTTGGAAGTCCTCAGTGAATAAAGGAAAGGGGTAAAAGAACTTTCAAAAAGAAATGCTGACCTTCGAAACGCAAGAGGGAAAAGGTCATAGACAAATAAATAATTTTGACACTTATTCTAAAAAGAAAAAATGCTATAGGGTGTAAAAACTTACCACGAACAAAAAGCATCTCGTAATGTTTTCGAATGTGTTTGAATGCTTTTCCTGTAGCGGTTTCTTCTTCGTCAATAATTGTGATGATCTCTTCAGCATCTCCTAGAACCATATTCTACAGGTATGACAGTAAGTAATTGGGTTATAAAAAAAGCTGTCTCCAACGAGCAAGACATAATGCATACCAGATGCTCGTCATAAGCCTGAAAACAAAGTTAGCACAGAATGTTTTATATTTCATCGTTCTTGCAGATACATACATGAAGGCGTCCATTCAATTCACGATCTCCTCGTAACTTTACATAAACATTTTCGTCAAGTGAAAGGCGAACCAAATCCAGTGGTTCAGCAACCTAAACTTATTAGAATAACTCGTAACAATTTCACCTACAGATTGAGTAGATTCCATCTTTATGATACAAGGTCTTTTCTATTTTTTTGACAATCGCCGGTTTTTGGTATTTGGTTAGTCTGGTATACTAGAAGGATGGAATAGGTAACAATGTTGTTTTGTTGTATTTTGGCGATATTGATATTTTCTGAGCCTTCGTTCAAGTTCGCTATTTAGGCACTTCATCACGGTAAGAAGAAGTAACCCAAGTTGAAAGCAACGCAACTCAATTTCATTAAGAAATGTTGATTTCTTTTGCCAAAGCTCAGCCACTATGGAGAGCAAGTTTTATTCCTTTGGGAAGTAGGGCGTTGGGAATGCGTGGTCTGAGCTTATTAAGTGATCTCAATAATCGTCCTAATGTCAAAAACAGCAAACGCGTAGGACGTGGACCTGCGAGTGGAAAAGGTAAAACAAGTGCCCGCGGACATAAAGGATCTGGTCAGAGACGTGGCAGAAGAATCAAGCCTGGTTTTGAGGGTGGTCAAACCCCGATTACAAAATTGTTCCCTAAAATTGGAAGAAGTACGAGAGAAATAAAAAACTACGTGCCATTAGGTCTTGGTCGTGTTCATGCATGGATTAGAAGCGGTAGATTGGATAGCAGCAAACCAATTCTGATGAAGCAGCTTTTGGACAGTCGATGCTGTCGAGGTATCAAGGATGGCGTTGAATTGGTAGCAGACGGTAAGGCTGAAGAATTAAACATCCCCATCCATATTGAAGTAACAAAGGCAACGAAAGAAGCTATTGAATGTGTGGAAAAAGCTGGAGGTACCGTGAAAACAGTATACTTCAATTCTCTCGGACTTCGCGCTCATTTATATCCTGAGCGCTTCCGCACGCTTCCTCGTCAATCGCTTCCATCAGCCAAAAAGGATATTTTATATTACACCAATCCAGAAAATCGCGGATACTTATCAAATGTCAATTTGCGAGAACATTATTATGGTGATCAGCGATTTCCCTATGAAGCTTCAGCGGATCAAAAGACGAAATAGAAATTTCATTAATTTTCAATGGCGTATCCACCATTACTTTGTCAGTTTTATTACTTCTTTTTCAATATAATGTTCCTTTAATGAACCCATCGTGATTATAGGGCTGATTTTTGTTTCGTTGAAAAAGAATTTCATATCGGATTAATGCGTCTTGTTACAATAAAGAAAATAGTACAAGATTGCGTTGCATTACGATTTGCATCTGTCATAATTGAAGCTTTGGAATTTTGACGATTTCCCTTATTTTGTATTTTAAATAATAATCTATCATTCAGAACATGGAATCTTCCTTAAAAAGTATCTAGCCATAGCTTCGTAAGTTCTTTAAACTTCTATAATGATATGAGAAGCAAACAAAATCAAATAAAGTTAAGTTAGCTTGGCTCAGATATCACTTGAACACAGGAATTCTTTGTTTACTAATATACGGTACTTGAACGCGAGTATATTGGGCACTTCTTTCCCAAGGGAAGTTTGAAACAAGACCAAGCAAGTTCAACAATGTCGGAATCCTCGCCGTTTATTAAGAAACTAGCAGCAAATGGTATTTAAAGAAAAAGAAAAAAAAGAAAGTAACTAACAAGAAGATCGGAAAACCAGAGACGAAGCATTGGCTTCTCTACAAAAGTTTTTGAGTCGAAAGAAAAAATTTGAACGACTCGACTTTCTAAAACTATGGAAAGGTCTTTTTTACTGTATGTTAAATTGTTTAAAAACTGCTATTGAGGAATTTTGGTCGATTAACACGAAAATTAGGTATGTGGATGTCTGACAAACCTTTGTATCAACAAAAACTTGCCGATAATTTGGCCGGATTGGTTTCTATTGTACATGAAGATAATAGAATGTTGTTCCAAGCTACCTTTTGGGAAACAATGGGCCGAGAATGGGCAGGGATTGATATATTGCGCACGAACAAATTCTACCTGTTAATGCGAAGATTCTGTGCTGCCGCTTTCTTGGATATAAAGAAAAGGGGCTCTTCTGAAGAAAAGTTGAATAAGTTAGTTGCTCAGTATAATGAGATGTGGATGTCGGTGCCCTTCAAGTAAGTAATGTCATCCGCTATCGAGCAAAGCCAGACACTATGGCGTTTATGCCTGGTTACGCTTTTCAATTTTTTTTGTATTGAATTCATTTGCTAACTAATATAGCCCTAGTAATCTTTCGTATCCGAACGGCATTCTCTTTCACTTGGCAGATATCTGGACAGAAGAATTAACAAAAACTTTTGATGAAGACGTCCCTAAAGCGGCGTGGTATTTGCCCTTTGATTCATTGAGAACAACAACCAAAAACACTGTTTTGAAAAAGACGTTACCTAAACGTTTAGAAAGGGTTCCAGAATACACCACCAATGATGAGTCTTCATAAATGTTCGGGGAAAAGAACTATGTGAAGCAGAAAAGGGTTATATTGATGATTGGTTTAGGATACTTTTTTTGTAATATAAATTTAGACTTTTTGGGTTCATATACCTTTTGCTTATTGTATAGTATAGTTTGTGTTCTCGCAGATCTTTTCAACCGAATAATAGACTATATATGGAACGCTCATTCATTCAGAGAGAATGGATCCTTGTCTAAAGGAGTAGAAAGAAAACCTGCAAAAAAAATTGGGCTGTTCTGGGAATCGAACCCAGGACCACCATCACCCTAAGATGGTATCATACCACTAGACCAAACGGCCGCTATGACTTTTAATTTTATATTACTTTATTATAGCTTTGCAAAATTTGTTTATAACATGTATGTAAAGTTCTTTAACTATCATAGAATTTGAAGATTTGTATTCTAAATAAATGAAATTAGAGAAAGCGTCTATGATAAAAGCTATCCTCTCAACCCTACCATTGTAGGAATTACTCCGTGGGCTTTGTTTTTACAAAGAAGAGAAATTCCCAAAGCGATTGTGAATACAATTTCATTTATAAGCTATAGAAAAGTTTAAACTAGATGTGCTTCTTATTATTAATATTTCGATTTTTTTTTTTTTTTTTTTTTTTTTTTGCTGATGTTTATTATACTGTAAACAAAACCAGCTTTACGCTTACGCGTTTGATCTCTTTATTGTAAGTTGAAGGGCAGAGTGTGCAGTACACTTCAAGACCATAATGAAATCATTTAACCTTTACCAAACACCATGTCTCAATTTCCAGCGTTAGAAGACTTTGATGCAGGACTAGGATCTGCTTCACAAGATAAAAGTGAACAACCCGCCGATTTTCTTGAACGGGAGAAACTTGCACTCGGTGAAGATGCGAATCAGTTCGGTGCGGTAGAAGATAAAGACTCGTTGTTGGGTGTAGGCAAAGATTCTGAGACAGAAAAAGATGATTTTGAGAAGAACTTCCCTCCTATCGATACTGAAATGCAACCTTCCGGTACAATTTCGGCTCCCAGAGCCCCTTACATGGCTCAAGCCGAGGTGCATCCTCCTGAACAAGAGACAGAGGATTCGGAACCCATTCAGAAATGGAAGGAGGCTAATGAGCGCAGAATTCGTGAGAAGCAGGAAGCAAGTCGAAGACTTTATGAATCCAACGTTGAAAAGGCAAGAAAGGCTATTGATGACTTTTATGAGAACTATAACGACAAAAAAGACAAAATCATTGCAAAGTCAAGAGATGAACAAAAGAAACTTTTGGATAAGAATGAAGCCGTTTCGTCCGGTACTACTAGCTGGCAACGTATTTTGAAGCTTGTGGATTTGTCAGAGAAGACGGAAAATAGCAGCCATTCGGTTAAGCGTTTCCATGAATTACTTATTAGTCTTGCTAAAGATGAATCTGCTCCTGGTGCTAGTGGAAAGGCAGTTTCTGCTTAGGATGTATTTTGTTTAAAAAGCCTGTTTGCAGGGAATACTACAATTATATCTTTCTCGCTTAACAACTTTTTGACTTTTTCCATGTTCAATGCATACATTACTGAATCTTTCTTTTTTCTTCTTAACCTTTAGAATACTACATTTTACTGCTGTTTGCCTTTGTCCATAACACAGTTGCGTATTAATTTACTATTGCCAATATGCCATCGTTTCTTAGTGTATCCCTTCACCTTGTATACAATTGCTTATTCTGTCTCTTGCCCGTCCAGAATCTACCCTGGTCAGAACTCGTTTTTACGATAAATATATATATCAAAACTAATATTATCTTTCCATTTATTTGTTCATAAAAGAAAAAATTCGTGCAAGTCTAAAATCTTGTTTTATTATATTCTGATTCGTTTTCTCCGAAGGATAAATCAATGGTAAATTAAGGGTACTTACGAAGCCTACCCAATGTCTTAACGATTGATCATACCTTCAACTGCTTCTGCTTATTTTTATAACCAATAAATTCATCTAAAACATCCATTATACATAAAAACAAAAAAGTAACGACAATCAAGGACGTCGTTGTTGGGCTGCCAGCCTTTTTATTAATTCTGCTTGCAATGATACATTCTTTCACTCTCAAATAAGAACTGGAGACTGAAGTAAATCTTACAAAACATTAATTCTTCCTTTACTGGGAAGGAACATCATCCATCTTGCCTAGCTGCCATTTTATGAGTCTATAAAAATAACTTCCCGGCCGAGAGAGTTCTTCGAATTTCCCTTGTTCAATGATTCTACCATCACCAACGACTAGAATTAAATCAGCGCTTCGTATGGTAGCTAGCTTGTGAGCAATAGTTATTGTAGTCATATTTCGATTTTGCATCAATGCTTGAATAGTACGATTTACCATTACTTCTGCTTCGCCGTCCAAAGCAGAAGTGGCTTCGTCTAATATTAGGAAAGCTGGTGTACGAAGGAGAGCTCTAGCTATTGCAATTCGTTGTTTTTGTCCTCCACTGAGTTGCAGTCCACGAGTACCAACTTGGGTATCCCAGGTATCTGGGAAAGTATATATAAACCCACAATCAGCACGCATGGCAGCAGCTTCTATTTCCTCTTGAGTTGCATCTGGATTACCGTAAGCTATGTTATCCCTGATTGTACCAGTAAAAAGAACCGGTTCTTGACCCACGACACCAAAATTACGGCGCCACTGTTGAACGTTAAAAGTAGAGATATCAGTTCCATTAGCAAGAATTTTTCCAGAAATAGGATCATAAAATCGCAAAAGAAGCTGAGATACGGTTGATTTTCCACCACCACTAGCTGCTACAATGGCTATATTCATACCAGGTTGTATTTCAAAGGAAAGATCCTTGAAGATAGCAGATTTTGGTCTCGTAGGATAAGCAAAACCAACTTTATCAAAAGTCAGTACTGATTTTCGAATGGTACTTGGTACTGGTAATCCAGTGGAAGGTACGACTTTAGGGACACTGTCCAATAAATCGAACAATCGACCAGCTGCGCCAAGACCTTTCATTATGTCTGTAAAACAACCGGAAAGACCTATTATACTTCCTCCCGCGTATACAGTATATAGTAAGAAGGAGCTTAATTGACCAACTGTAATGTCACCAGCAGCAACCATCTTACCACCCAATGCAAGTATAGCAATAACGGTTGCGTTCCCGCAAAATCCTGTAGAACCGAAAAAGAAGCCACCGGCCAAGGCCTCTTTCTTGGCAAGATTGAAGAGATTACGAATGTAATTATTATAACGATGCACCTCCTGACGTTCTCCCAAGAATGCTTGAGTAGTACGGACATTGGCAAGTCTTTCCTCTGAGACTCGTGTCAGATCACCTAAAGCATCCTGTGTCTTCCGAGATAGTTTTCTAACATATTCTCCGTAAAAGAAAGCACCTAACGCTATGGGAGGAACAATCAGTGACATATAACCGGTAAGAGTTAAAGAAGTATACAACATCATAGCAATACCAGTGACGGCGCTTACGGTACTTCTTAATCCATCACTAAGATATGTGGAAAGAGACTTTCCAACAATGCTGCTGTCAGTGGTCAAGCGAGAAATGATGTCTCCGTGTAAGTGAGAATCAAAGAAACGTCCGTCTAAACTGAGACATTTAGCAAACAGCCGGGAACGGAGACGAGAAATAATGTTTTCACTTAAGAGTCGAAGTGTGAAGATTCTACCAAAATTGCAAATGGAACCTATCAAAAACAACCCAAGCAATCCCATATAAAATTTACTAGAAGGTATCCCCATGATTTCTGTAAATCCACTTTCAGCGCTGCTGGATCCTGCATCCAAAATCTTGCCTACGGCATATGGAATTGACATGGATATAGAGGAGGAGATTAACAGAAGCGCTGCAGCTATGAAAAAGTTTTTCCCTTGACCTTTGGCAAGGACAAGAATGCTCCAGAAGGTTACTTTTCGAGGTTCCTGAGAGGGTTTGTGATCAGATTCGGCTGAGGATGAATCAGAGCTTTTTTGCTGTGTTTTCAAAAGCGATTCATGGGACGAGGTACCTGAATTTGGGGATTGGTTATGAGGACGTGAACCAAAATTTTTGTTTGCAGCAACATGAAGATCGGTCGAAGTTTTGGAATCAGACGAAAGCGAGGAGTTGCGTCGAACACTTGCTGGGAAAATACGCGGGGGATAAACATGGTACGGAGCAAGAGAAGGATATTTCTGATAAAAACTTCGGAAAGAGGAAGTGAAACCTCTTTTTGGCTGGGTGATATTTCTCAAGTTAGCTGACGCAGGGAAAGTTTGGGTTACGAACGAAGCTTGATTTGTAGGAGTCAACTTCGCCAAGACCGATAGCTTGGAGCAAGAAACCGCTTGAAACAGTCCAACATTATTCAAAAGGAACTTGCTTTGGATCCGACGAGGGTGGACCGCATTTTTACGAATAAAGTCAACAACCATTGGCTTTATACATGAAGAGGAGGATGTATGTCAGACACCTGAATTGAATACTTAGAATATGAAAAAGAGGAGTTTATTCTATCCTTTACGGATGAATTCTCTTGAATAAAAAGTGCAACGTTTTAGATCTTACACTTGACAAAAGTTGTGGTAAAGATGTAACTTAACAATCGAGCATAAAATCATAAAGATCATTTCAGGTCCATTGAATGGGATGTACATAGGATACAAATATTATGAATGCTAATCCGTTTGTTTTTTTTTAACTTTCAGTGATCGCATTCGTTCAATTCTTAGAGACCATCTTAATACTATTTAGCATAATCTTTTCTGCCTACTAACGGTTTACTTTAAGTTCGTTTTCTTCTATATTAGTTTACTCTCCTTTGTAATTCAATTGAATGTCAAGAACCACTATGCTTTATTAATCAATTTCATAAAAAAACCGTTAAAAATGTTGTCTAAGATTTGGGATAAGAATATACAAACAATATATTAGTTCAAAATATTCGTCTATGAATATGAAATAACTAGTCTTAACTTTCTTCGAAGACTTTCTTTCAAGTTTACCCTGCCATTTCTAGAGAAATCTATTTCAGATACGCCATTACCCAAATTTTGAAGACAACCATTTCATTCATATCCAAGGGTCGAAAATACTAAAGAGAAATTATCTAGAGAATTTTCTTCTTACATAAGTACTTTGAACGCTATAAAATCGTTCTTATACAGCTCGTTTGAAATAGTTGCTTCTTTTACGTCTTTAAAAAACCGAAACGGAACCAGCTTGAACTGTAGTACAAAAGAGAACTACTATCTTTCTTTGTGATTTATCAGTATATTTGCATTTATTTTCTTAGTGTACCATGGCAATCGACTATAGTAAATGGTAAGAAGTGAAAAGACAAGACAACTATGAAGCTGTTGTTAGAGCGAACCTGGGTTTACTTTGAAATGATATGCTAACTTATTTGCAGGGACAAGCTTGAGTTGAGTGATGATAGGTAAGTAGAATTGTCCTTTCCTTTGAAAGCAATGTAATGGTCGTTCATGAACAACAAAGACTAGCTTTGATTTTTCAAAAGAAAAATCAAATTAACGGTCAGTATGCTACGGTCTGGTTTTTGAGCGATTATTCAGAAGAAAGGTCTATTGGTTTCTAAAATTACTAACTCGTTTCTAGTGATATTGAAGGTTCGATTCCATGAAAATGTTGGTTTTAGTATCTAATTCTTTGTAGTTCACCCCAATGTTGATAAGAAATCATTTATTCGTTGGCGTCAACGCGACATTCACGAGAAGCGTTCTATAAGGAAACAAAAGATGGAAGATATTAAGAGTGCACTAACAATGAATGAGAAACTTAAGGATCGTATTAGTCAGATGTACTCATATCTTCAAAAGGATTCGCCTTCGGAACCGTTGCCTTACCTTTCTTCATTTTTGCAATCTAAACGAGAGGAGGATTCCGAGCAGGCTATAGAAGGGGGCATGTCTTATCATCAAATGTTAGTTGCTCTTTTGGATACTATCAAGAAGGCTATTGAAGAGGAAAAGAATACTTCATTAGGTCTTACCGAGCAATATATAAAGCATCTTCAAAGCCATGAGAAACGCCTTGACAATTTGATGGTAAACGCCAAGAAGGAATACGATGAACTTGAATCCGAAAGTAAGAAGTATATTACTTCAGAAGATTTGCACATCGGATTTGATAGCACACATGTCCAAAAGAAAGAAGAAGAACAACAAAAGAAAAAGAAACAAAAAGAATCTGTTCAGGTTATTGAGTCCCTTAATGATCCTAGTCCATTTGCTCAACATGAAAATGCATCTCAAGCTCAATCTTCATCCGTCGCTGGTAAACCTGAAGAAGAGGATTCCGATTCGGATAGTATTTCAATGTCTACTGATGGAAAGAAGTTTTCTCAAATTGCTTTCGGTGATTACTCTGCTTCTGAGTCTTTCTTAAAGGATCATCTTCACATACTAGCCCAGGAGTCAGAATCAGATTCAATTCTGCTTGAGGCATTCAATGCTGAACTCGAGGGTAAACCTTGGTTGGCTAAACAGTATGTTCACCAAGCCTTATTGATCAACTATTGCCGACAACTTGGCCCTAGTGGAATTACAATTTTCTTTCAACGGTATGGATGGTTTAATTAAGTAATGAGTTTAATTGTAACTAACTAACCTCATATAGTGTGCAAGATCCCAATCACCAAGCTCGTCGCTTATTTTTGGAGGACGTTCAAAACACATACAGCCGTATTCATGAGCGAAGCCATGCTATGGCAAATGAACAAGCACAAAACGGAGAAGGTGTTGAACAAATCCAACTCTGTTCTGTGGATCCGAATACCAAACTATCCATAATAATTCCCGAGAAAGACGCCGTAGAACCCGAGTTGAAGGCTGCGCGAATGACTTTTGAGTCTTTCCCCCCTAATCTTCAAAGAGCCTTGGAAACAAACAATCTTGATAAAATCAATTCTGTCCTTGGTAAAATGTCAGTCGAGGACGCAGAAGAGGTTGTTGAAAAACTTAGCAGCACCGGCATGCTTAGTATTGAAGAAGGGATAATAGATACCACTAAAGGTGAAACAATTCCTCAACCTATCAACGAATAAGCACCTACTCCAGTTAGATATATCTCCCATTACGCAGCCATATCTTATGATGAATAAAATATAAATTTAAATTCATTAAGGGAACAAGATTTATACCTTTCCAATTGAGTTGCTTGATAAATAGTCTTATTATTATTATTTTTTTTTCCTCAACAGTAGAGTTGTATCTATGCTCATATTAATTGAATGGAAGCCATTAAAGCGACATGATCACTGGGATATCTACCCTCTAGAGGTTCTGCCTCTTTCATTTCCGATGGTTTAGGAATTCTAAGCAGACTTTTTAGCTTAATTCCTTCAATAACTTCATCTGCAGATTTTTCTTTTGTAGAATTTCGATCCATAAGGAATATGTAGTCCAAGTGACCTTGGTAAGTATTTGCCCAATTTGTAAAAGCAGGATGTTCAAATGCGTTCTTTGCATTTTCTGGATCGACGTGTTTGTAACCATAAGAATACAAACTAACAAGTCGAGGATTTTTCTGGTGTTGTTCATAAAATGTAGTGTAGTGTGGCACAAACTCATTCTGAACATGTAAAATACGCTTTTTGGAAGGGGTAGGTGTCGAGGCGGTAGAAGTTGCAGTGGAGGTACCATTCTCGCTATCATTTTCTGATTGCGTTATTGAGGGTTGAGTCACAGCTTCTTCCTTTCCTTCTAATTCGGATTCTCCAAACACATAATTCATACTACGCTCAATAATGTCAGTAGCACGTTGACAAATAGCGAAAGGCTTCGTAGTCATCGCAGGATAGTTCGTATCAAAAGGCTCTGTATTAAAATCACCAGCAATAATTACGGGCCACGTTTGGTGAGCTTCTGCTATAGCGTTTACTTCCTTTACTAAGAGAGCACCCTGACGGAGTCGTTCATATGAGCCATACGGATGCCAAAATAGATGCGTAGTAGCAAGAAAAATGCCTTTAGATAAATCATTAGTACGTTGTAAAGAAACACAACAGCCAATATTTTTCGTGTTCATTCTTCCAGGTAGTTCGTTATGATCATCATAATAGATAACGTCTACTTTTATATTTTGAAATAATGAGGTTCTCCAAAAAATTAAAATTCCATGCGTCTTTCCTTTAGCAGCTTGAAAACTCAAATCATAACCCATGCCTTCCATCAAAGGTTTATAGAATGAAGGAATGAATTCAGCATCAACCTCCTGCATACAACCAACGTCAGGAACATAATATTTAAATTCGTTTTCAAGGACCTTTGAGCGGTTCTTCCATTTTAGGGTTTCACCACTATGAGGAAACATGGACCGACGAATATTTGTCTGGGCCAGCACGTTGTAAGTCATAACTTTGATGTCCACAGGCAGTTTATCTTCATCGTAAGGAACAAAATTTGGCAAAGGAAGCATGTCCCTTTTGATAAAGTCGGTATTAAACTCACGCGGTTGATTTTGTTGAGGCATAGATTGCTTAAGAGTAGCCTTTTTCGCTAAAAATGTTAGCAAATGAACAAGATATTTTTATGAGAAGTAATTTAGACTATAAAACCAAATTCACAAGGTTTCGTGACGTACCCATCTTCTCTGCCTTTTTCTGGCGCTGCAATTCTATATACTCAGGTGTTACAAAAGACGGGACACCTTTTTTTGACTCATTTTTTGTTTCTGGTTTCGAATTAGCCATTTGGGTATTTAAGAAACAAGTATTTTTCCAAGTGGTGTGTGGTAAAGGTGCAACCGCTGCAGCTATTAAATTTGCAGATGGGTAATAGGTTTCGATAAATTTTCTTACACAGGAACGAATAAGCATTAAGAAAGAACTAATTTGACATCTTCAATCACAGAAGGATGACTATTGTCCTTTCACGGTTTTGTAGAGGAAAAGCGAATGGCTCAACGAATGTAGCGTATACTTGGGTGTTCACTCTGATGTTTTCGATTTGCCTGTAAAAAGCTAGCCATAGGAAGAGAAGGGAATGGACTCTTTTTTCTACTCTCTTCAAATGCTTCTTCCGTTTGAGATTGAGATCCTTGTACAAAAGCAAACTGGTCTACTAAATCGTCTAGAGCCATATCCTTCCAAGCTGGTTCATGTCGCAGCTGCTTGCTTCTCATCAAGATTAAATTCGCACTTGAATGCTGAATTGTGAGTTCATCTTCTGGCATAGGAGGAAGGTGTTCAAGTCGAACTTCTACATCGTCAATGGGCAGCTTGTCTTTTCGCCATTCCGAAGCAAAAAGAACAACTCTTGGTTGGTTCATATGTATTTGACAATAATTAGAATCCATTGAATGAGTTTTTCGTAATGGTTGCTTTCGGCTATGAAAATACTCACTTTTGTAGGAGAAAAGGTTTTCTTCACTCCTGTAAACAAACACTACGAACCTCAGCCTGGTATCATGAAATTTTCTATTTCTCGAAATGTAGCTGTTTCCTTCTTTTTTATTTTTTATTAAAGAATATGGTTTCATTTACAAGTTTAATCTTTTAAAATATAGGTTGAGCCTTTATCGACGAAACTGTTGCTACAACGTCTACGACTAGACATAGACCTACATGCCAGTTAGCATAATTATTCTATTTCTTGAATTAACTTATAAATTTTTCTTGGTATTTTTTCTCTGGTGTTTTCCTATAGTCTTCTTAGACAAGGATAACTTAATTCGAGTGTGGCCTAGCCTAACCTGTTTTTGAGAAAAAAAGCATTGTTTCGCAGACGTTACTTAATATTCCGAATAGATGCATGTAACTAAAAATCTTATTTAGAATTATTAATCTGTAATGTTTTTCTCAGAAACAGTCAACTCTGCATCACTGACTAGTCATTAAGGATATGAAAGTTTATATATTCCCTACTTTCCCTCTTTGATCCTTCTCTCTTTAAATAAACAAGTATAGTTTTGCAAGTTATCAAAACCTAGTCTTCACTTTTTGGAACACAGCGCATTGTTTATTTACGTTTGGCTATTGAAATATCTGGTTTGTTTACAGTATTGACCATATCTGTTTTCAACAAAACCATTCTACTCATCGAAAAATCAACTTAAGAAGGATTCTATATATTACTTTTCAAATTAATACCTTGGAATACTCAGTTCAATAATCGTCTAAACTATTACGATTTACTCACTCTAGTAATCCTACTGGTTATTCCACAAGCTAGTCCTATAAGTATCTTTACGTTCTAAATTTTAAAATCTGCTTTATTATGGACTCTTACGTTTTGTCATTTTCCGTCCCCGACCCATCTCCTCCACCATCGGAAGAGACAGCTCTTTATGCAAGCAAATGTGATTTTTACGGAGAAAGTCCCTATGAATGCATCAGAAGAACAGCAGAGCTACGCTGTACTGAGGCTCAATCTATGTATCCCGTTACGATTAACCTGCATGCAAAGCACAAGACCCCGGATATTAATATTTCCCGTAATGAAATCGTAATTGTCATCGCAGGTGCTTATGAATGTGTATACTCTGCCAAGATATACATCCTTCAGGCTCTTCCAAAGCTTATTACTAGTCGAATTCTGCTTGATGAACCTCTCGAAAACCTTTTATTTGATGACGAAGGGTTCATGTACGAAGACACAATAAAGCATTTCAATACGATTTCGGAATTGACGGGAGCTAAACTATACCTTATTCACAGATCATTAAGCAGTGGAATTGAGGCTGAAGTCAGCACAGGTCGTGGATTTAGTTATCGCCTGAACGAAAAAGAAAGCTTCCGACAAAAGCATCTGGAGTTTACACGTTTAGAATTTGGAAAAGAAGAAGAAGCTGATAGCTCTTATTTTGTTGTTTTCTATGGCGATTATTGTAGTGTTGAACATGCTCGAATTCGGTTCTTAACTCTTCTCGACGAGCTTCGTGGGCTTTCAATTTTAACTATTCCCATCTCCGCTTCTTTTCAGCCAATTCTTATGGGAAAAGCGTATTCAAGCTCTGCAGGGCTCAAAGCCACTGAAACGATGAACATATATACACTGCCGTTCTTTTCTGATATGCTACCGCGATTACCAAATATGCCGGAACTAAATTCGTCAAAATTAGTTATTGCTGGTGAATCCGAGAGCTTAAAGCGGTTAGAAGAAGCATTTTATTATGCTGAAGAACATTTGAAGGTCTTCACGCACATCATGGAACTTTCATTCACAAAGCTCATTGAATTCTTAACTAATGAAATCGACGAGCTTCGACTTATCATGGAAGAAAATTCTTCTTTTTTGAGATTTCCTGATTACTTTAAAGAGGGAAAGGGCTCATGCACAGAAAATTCACAGATTAAGATTTATTCCTCAACACTTGTCAACGCAGAAAAAACTGCTCTTCGTTTGGCAAAGTTATCAAGCAAGTATGTCGAAGGCAGGACGAAGTTTGACGTTCACGATAACGAGGAGTTTTTACGAAAGAAAGGTTCTTGGAAAGACTTACCATTTCTTGAAAGAAATGCATTCAGTTCAAAGTCTTCCTCTGCTACTTCGCTAGTTAGTTCTTCTACCGAAGGTAATAATTCAGCAAAATCTCCAAATAAGTTAGTGGTACCACCTACTGAATACATGCTTCAATTGGCAATTATCTCTATGGCTTCTGGAGTAGAGATGCTCTTGAAGAGCAATGAAATAACTTTTTCTGGGCAGGAGAATACCACTCCTGTTGCTATGGAAAAGGCAAGCAAGGTTTTCCACAAGCTCGGTTCTTCACAATGGCATCAAATCCTTCTTGACGCACCAACCAAAGACCTCGATTTTATATCTGGAAAGAAGAATGGAAAGTTAGACAAAGTTAAACAACAGTGCAAGTTCAACTATCAGAACGGCGATATTATTTTCTGTCCAATGTCTTCAACTATATTCACAGTTGACATTTATGGTGATGACCTGGAACGAGTTATTAAGGGAATGAATACTATGCTTCTTGAATTTCCCGCGGAAATGCACTTTTTTATTCCAGAAGAGATACACAAGAAACTAATTGGATTCCGTGGAGAGCAAATTCAAAGAGTAACGAAATTATACAACAGCTATATAGAGTTTTCTACTACTCCCTTTGACTGTTACGGGCATAATGTCCTTATACGAACACCTTCAAAGTTTTCCGAGAATTTATGGGCAGTGCGATCTTTGTTTGTCAAAACTGCGGAAGGTTTAGGCTATGGTGTTCCGAAATACTTGTATGCTATTCAAGTATGAAAGAACTGCCTAGTCTATCAAAGCTCCATTTTTGGGCTTCCAGTCCCATTATTTTTGATGTTGAGATGATAATGAGCATAACAACTCCTTTCGTGATGGCCTCGTATTACGAAAATTTACTATATACTTTCATTCATTGATCCTTCAATTTCCTTCCTTTTGGAACACGTATACTCTGTATTAGAGATCCCCATTCCCGGAGTTGATCACACTCTCTTTTCCCGTGTTTGTCAAAAACCTTGGAAGTTAAGAAAGATAAAAGTTATTAGATAGTTAGATTTATTAATAAAATATACTTACCGTATAATGACCAGCAATAAAGGTGTTAGTGTTTTCCTATGCTTCAGAGTAAATTTTTACCAAGATAAACTATCATTTTCTTTTTCAATCAATCAGCTAAGTTTTGAAAAAAACAATTGCTAAAGCTTTAATATGAGATGAGAACTGTAGAAAGGGAAGAGATGAATAACGAAAGATCTCCTGTTTAACGGAAAGCGAATAATATCTTCCATTGTACCGCAACCCAAATGAATACCAACTTCCTGATCTACTCTGTGATTTCACATATATAAAGACATATATATAGTACGTAGTACACCTACAACAAGTGGATTGAAGATGTTTTTTGTTTAATTCTGAATTTACCATGTCGCATAAAATGAAAGTTTGGACATAAGCTATCCTTTCCCATAATCATTGTTGCAACTAATTGATTAAAAAGAGTACGACAATCTAATTTTCTATATAGTTCTTCTCGATATTTAAGATTGTAGAATGAAGATATACGAAAAGCCATTTAAAACAATTTACAGTTTAGCAATGTATCCCAGATTTGATGGTTCGCTAACGACAACTCACCTCGCAATAAAAAAGCTAAACCGAACTTTGATTCATTTCGAGCGAAACCGAAACAACATTAGGGTACCCGATACCATCTTCGTTTCATAAACAAATTCCAACTTCAACCATCCTTTCTCAACAGTTAACCAGTGCTCACGATTAGGCAGGCGATTATCAAATACTAAAAAAAAAGAAAAAAAAGATATATATACATTGTATACAAAGAAAAATCTTGTCTTTTCTGTTTTGGAGGAAATTTTGGGGGTTATTTATTTGTTGTCAATCACTTCGTTCTTTTTGTGAGTTTCTGTTAGATTTTGGGGCTCTTTTTGTTTTGCTTTTGCTTTTGCTTTTGTCTTTGTCTTTGGGTGTGTGTGCGTGTGCGTGTTTGTCTGTTTAATTTTTATTTTTTATTTTTTGTTTGCGTTCCTTTAACTTGTCACTCTTTTTTATTTTTGTTGCGCTATCATTTTTATATACCTTTCTATTGAAATTCAAATAAGATGACTGCCCAGTCAGTAAACTTTTGCTTCAAATGTTGGAATGTAAGTTTGGAAGCTTCCCAATATTTTTTCCTCGAAAAATCGTGTCTAAGGAATTTAACTAACCTTTTCCCTTCAACAGGAAGTAAAAGATGATTTAACCGTTTCCACTTTTGGAAAAATCTGGCATGCAAACTGGTAAGTCTGGCTCTGGCTCATTCACTGGTCACAGGATACTAATTGTATTTGTAGCTTTACTTGTAATTCTTGTGATAAAGTCCTTAATTCATCTTCTGAAAAATATGTCTTCGAACAAGGGAATTTATATTGCAACGACTGTGTTAAAACCTGTAGCCGTTGTGCGCTTTCCATTCACGAAATTACCGTAATGGCAGGTGTTCATGCTTATCACCCATCTTGCTTTACATGCGCAAGTTGTCATAATTTTTTGGATAGTACGGCCTATGCGAAATCGAAAGGAGATATGTACTGTTTATCATGCCTTCGCTATGGCGTTCCTAATCCCCAATCTTCGACGGAAGATGTTACTCACAGATTAGCGCGGGTTCCAACAAATCCTTATGAAGGTACGCCCCCTCAAATTGCTCGTATTTGTTGATGTATTTTTTTGCTAACTAGATTGAAGTTTCAGATGGTTCTCAAAATGTACCAAACGTTGCGGAGTCATCCATCTCACCAACTGAGCAATTGCATTCTTCTAATAGTGCTCGACCCAAGCTTTCTATCCAAACTTCATCTTCCGATAGCTTAAGTGGTTCAGTTCCCTTACAGCCCATTCAAGAAGTTCTAGATAAGCAAGAAGAGCAAAAACCAAGGCTTTCCCAACCTCAACTACTTGTTTCTCCTGTTACTCCTAGTGCTCAAATAAACAACATCCTTCCAGGATCTTTTGAATCTGCAAAGTCAGGCTTTTCAAATAGCAATTACTCCAATTTTTTGACTGCCAATCCTCTGCACCTTCATGCTCAACACCATGCTGATAGAGATATGCCCATCAATTCTCCAAGAAGCGAAAGATATGCGTTTTCGGAGTTTCAGAAACCTACTCCTATGTTTCATTCATCTCAATCCATTATCACTTCCCCTTCCAAACAGGGAGTTCTTAATGACAACTCTGACGCGTCAGTAAGCCGATTGAGAACCTCTTTTCGAGATGTATCTAATGATAAAACTGGTCATTCCCTCCCGATTTATAATAACAGTTCAGATATCAGAGATCTGAAACCGGATACCCTTGAAGAAACCGGTTACTCACCAACAAGAGGTCAATCTCCCCGATATCCATCCAGAATGCCTAAGAAAAACCGTTGCCTTTCCAATGATGCTGGCTCTCAGCCTTCACGCAATGCGATAACAGCTTCCACTTTGAACTTTTCTCCGCGTGCTAAAAGCTTTACTTTATCCCAAGGCAATGCAAACCACATGTTTCAACGGAGTAGAAGACGCAGCTCTCTAGTTCGTGCGAGTGATGTGTTTTCTTCCAATGTCTTTGATTTTTCGGATGATCAGGTTCAAGATCTGGTGGCAGAGGTTTCGTATCTTCAGACACAACGAGGTGCATTATTGTTGGAAATTTCTTCTTTGGCATCATTTACCGATGCCGTTCCCTGTATGCCAGCGGAATTACTTGAACAAGAGCTAGTTGCAAAATTAACAGATCGGTTTGATAACCTTACAAAGTCTTTTCATTCTGAGATTACTACCTTACTATTACGACGAGACGCTTTGTCAGCTACCGTCACGAAATTGCAAAATGCGTATAATACGGCTACGGAAGAAACTGCTTATCTCAATGTTAAGAACACTGAGTTGGCTAGCCTAAATAATCAACTGGAACGCGAACTTTCAAGCTTGAAAGAATCCTCGCAGAGCAAGAGAAAATCATCTTTTGGGCTTTTTAGCAGAAAACCTAGTTCCAGCTATTCGCCTTCACCTACTCAGTCTCCTCGTGAATCTTTGTCTAGATTACAAATGGTTGCCTCGAGCCTTGGATTCAGACCTAAGGATAAGGAGAGTAATAAAGAAAATGAAGGTTCAAAACGGAACTCCAAAATTGATCTAAGAAAAAGTCTTACCAAAAAATTTTCATGGAAAAGAGAATCAAGAATCCCCACTCCCTCAAGTATCGTTGAGGGTGCCGGAGAGGAGGAACAGGAAGATAATATTCCTCAAACTGGCGTTTGTAAATTATGTGGAGAGTATTCGGCTCAACTGAGAGGTCACTATCAGGAGTGTTTGAGCTCGACGATTGATCGACAATATCAAGTACAAAGAAACAAGGGTACGCCAATTATATAAAAATTTTATTTAGTAGTTCTTGTGTTACTAACAACTTTAGCTTCTGGAACTTCCGATCCTTTAGATCCGGAACTGTTTGACAGTAAAACACAAACGTTGACAATAGTTCCTTCTCTTATCCCGGCATGCATAAACTTTATCGAAACTTATGGCTTAGATTATGAAGGTCTTTATCGAAAAAGTGGTGCAACCTCCCAGATGAAAAGAATTTGGGCCTTATTACAAGAAGAAGATATTACTCTTCATCCCTCAGATGATATCTGTGCTGTAACTTCAGTATTGAAACAGTATCTAAGAAATCTCCCCAATCCTATTATCACATTTGAAGAATACTTTTCTTTCATTTTCGCAGGAAGTCGTACGTCTTTCCAAGAAAAACTTGAAGGATTAAGAGGAGTTATCGAAAGACTACCTCCTGTTCACTCAACTATCCTGCGTTTGATCATAAGACATTTATCCAAGGTCGCAAAATATAGCTCTGAAAATCTTATGAACTCCAAGAACTTAGCTGTTGTCTTCTCTCCCACGCTAATACGAGATCCTGAACATGCACGTGATGTTACCGACATGACTATAAAAAATTATGCTCTTTCCTTTTTAATTGATTATGCTGACGAAGTATTTTCTTGATTGCTAAAATTTCGCTAAGACACATTTTTCTATGTCTTCCTTGTCTTTCTTTTAAAATCTAATTGACGCAAACGATTACATTTTATGATTTTTGGCTTTATTTACAAGTGGTATTGATTGCTTTTATTCAATTTTGATTAGATATATGTCGCTCGTTGTTAATATCATGAATATACCAAGTTTTGGGAGACATTTGCTTCTTCCAACGGTCATTTTCATTGAAAACAAACAGTAATTGAATCAAATGGAACATAACATATTATCTTCCACTGATAAATTCTTTCGCTAACTTATTTAATGAGTACAATATCTATTATATATCATTCTTGCTTGTATATTCGTTTTAAATTGTTATGAACACGTTTGGTAGCTACGGAATATCAAACCAAAAAGAGAAATTGGTAGATCAATCTATATAAATATATACTGTAACGGGTTAATCAACGTGTTTCTTTTTACAAATGTTCATTAAACTTGGACTATATCCACATAAACCACTTTGAATCGAACCAAACTATCAGATACAAGACATCTTTGTGTAAAAACGTCGAAAAAGAACATATTTTTTAAAAACGATTAAAATCCATTAGGAACTTTATGATTTTTGGAAGGAGCAACAAGAATGGTAAACCAATATAGAAAATGTATTTTGGGACCCGTGAATGCAGGCTATAGTTTGGCTTATTCCTCTTTATTAAAGAAAGATGTTGATAGACCTTTTCTGTTTTATCCAAAGCCGTTTCGAAGCTATAGGGCTCGCAACTTTTTGAATATTTACAAGGAAGATCCTAGTATATCCGACTCCCCAGAGAAGGTAGGTCATTTAGAATATAAAGAACCAGAGAAGATGTCTACCATTGATTGTCTACTGGTAGACTCGTGTATCACGAAAACGCGAAAGACGATACGACATGTTAAGCCTTTATTACACAAAAATAGCTCTGTCATTTTTTTAAATCAAGACATTTCCTTATGGATGGAATACAATTCTTTATTTGAAGATCCTTTGAACAGGCCCAAACTTTACTTGGGGAAATTTCAGAAATTTCCGTCCACAAATCCAGAAAATGTTATACAGACTAGCTCTCTCCCTTATTTAAGACTTTGTGGAATGCCAGTTGGTCCAAATTTCGACTGGGATACGTCAAGTGTTCAAACAATCGATCGTCTACCAGAAAAAGTGGACCAAGCACTCGATTTAAATCCCATCGGGAAAAAAGATTTATTGAGTCCCAAACAGTTTTTGACTGAGCAGATTTGTGATCTTATATTATTGACGACGAAGAGCCTACCTAACCCTCAAATGAAGCGAAATGCCATCTGTTCATGGTTAGAACTAACATCAAAGTTGCCTTATTTCGGTCACTTAGATAAGTCTCTCTTAAGTTTTGATACCTTATATCGATCTAGCTTTCTTAAGCCTGTAACATTTTTGAATGTGCCCTCATCTAAAGCCAAAACTTCTGCAAAACATCAATGCATAAAAACGCTATTAAAATTTGCTACTCCGTATGCAAATGATGATACGCTTCACAGTTTTATGGGACAGTTAATTAATTTTTCTGTCCGTAACTATAATACTTTATTTCCTTCTTTGATGCCCGAACCTCCTCATCATTTATTTTCTTCAACTAAAAAAATTCCGTTGATAAACGTTTCTGACTAAATTACCTTAGAGTTTCTTTTTCCTTTAATTCACTTAAGCGTATATCTAGTTTCCTACCAACTTTACATGTCCTTATGGTATGAGGACCGAAGAAGATGCTATATTTCTTACTAAACAAGTGAAAGCTTTCTGGAATGGTATTTTGAAACTGAATCTCAGCTTCAACAGATGATTTACGCTTTACTTCTTGTATCCGACAATTCACAAGGAATTAATGGAATGGTTTACACAATAACTTCAAAATCAACAATTGCAATTCTCTCTTATTCTACTGCTTTTCCCACCGACTCTACAGTTGATGCAGGATACATTTCTTCTATTTTCATGAAGGTAACAGTGTTACCCTACCACCAAAGTACTGATCTTCATGCATAGTGTGTGCAAACCATAAAAAACCAAACAAGCTTTAAGAGAGTTTGTAGGAAGATTTACTGCATTTTTCTTTTTTTTATTTTTTATTGATTTCGATTTTTTACCTTGCAGTCGAATTTTGTTTCCTGAGTAGCATTTGTTATTCTGTTTTTGGACCGAGAAAACATGTCAGGAGCAGCAAAGTTTTTTGGTGCCGTCGACGAAGAGGACGATCGTTTTCAAAGTTTTTCTAGTGAAGATGAAGACAATGAGAAAGTATCTAGAGCTACGATACAATCGTCGAGAAATGACAAAAGCGGCAGCGGAAAAGCTTTTAAGGGTGTTTTGGATAATGCATCTGAAGACGAGGAGAATGAAGGAGACGATGCAGAAGATAATAGCGATGCTGAGCTATACGTGGGAGGTGATTCTGGGGAAGACAGTAATGAAGAAAATGCAAAGGCTGTTAAGCCAGAGAAGCCTTTGAATAAGATCTCTCTAGAAGAAGTTGAGAAGAAGAAAAAAGCTATTAAACGTTCCGGCGTTATTTACTTATCAAAAGTCCCTCCTTATATGGAACCTAGTAAGCTTCGACAACTTTTATCGCAATATGGTAAACTCGGTAGAATATACCTTGCCCCAGAATCTGCTCAAAAACGAGCTAGACGTTTAAAAAATGGCGGAAACAAAAGAACCATGTACGAAGAGGGATGGGTAGAATTCGAAAGTAAACGTGCTGCCAAGACTGTTGCTGACATGCTAAATACTGAAAAAATTGGCGGAAAGAAAACAAGCTGGTACTATGATGATATCTGGAATATGAAGTATCTTCCTAAATTCAAATGGCATCACTTAACTGAACAAATCGCTGCGGAAAATGCTGCCAGGGCCACCCGTTTGAATGTTGAGATTGAGCAGGGCCGTAAGCAGGTGAAGGAGTACATGAAGAACGTTGAACGTGCCAAGATGATTGAAGGTATTCAGAAGAAGCGAAAAGAAAGAAGCAATTCTTCAGAAACTCCTATATCTAGTAATGATAATCCTGTTGAGAACGTTGCTCCGAACAAACAAATGCGACGTTTCTTTGACCAAAAAAGCGTTACCAATAAACGCGTTATGCCTAAAAATGAAAACGAACAACGAAAAGTTGAGAACGTTCTTAGTAAGGTGCTTTAGAAGTTCTATGTTTAAAAGTTTACAAGCGCAGTTTAGAATTTTGGTTATTTTTGGACGTTAGGGTAATAATGGTTTATTTAATTTGCATTATAAACAAGAGAACAAGAAAAAAAAATTCTATGCTATATCGTATCCTTAAAAACTCATAAACATCTAATATTAGTTAAACCACTACAAGAGGGAATGTTATCATTAGTCGTAAACAATATCTAAACTTTATCAACCCTTGTAATATGAAGGCAATTGTCTGTAGCATTCATAACAAGTTTTAATATTAGTATTTTTCAAAGTAGAAATGCAATCGCTACATACGTTGGAATTTCCACACGCACGGCATTGACTTCTCCACTCCATTAGGGAAAACCGGGTGTCACACAATGAACAAAGATCGCTAGTCGCATCACGTTCAACGTGTACATTGGAAGTAGTATCGGGTAGCATCCAAGCATAAACCTGACCAAGATTATCTCCAGTAAATATGCCACGAGCTTGACCGCTGCATGTAATACAAGTGATAGTTTGGCGAGTGGGAACCTTGTTACGACCAAAGCCACTCTTATGTTGAAGTTGACGCACAACATGCAGGCGCCACTTTGGTTTATTAGAAAATTCTTTCGATTCCAGTTTCGCTTTAGACTCAAGTCTTTTTTCCCATATACGCACAACACCATCCTCATGACCGGTGAGAAACAAGTCCTTGTTCAACCATTCTGAATTCGCACCTGTATAGAAACTTGAAGAGCATATATCCTCATTCAAGTTGGAGTCATAGAATCGACTTAAAATATCCTTTACAAGGACTTTACCATTTATATCTATAATACAACAAAAATAGCCTGACGTAAAAGCAATTTCTCCGTTTCTTGCATTCACGGAAATAGTTTGTATCGGTTGTTCATATACACAAACTGATCGTACAAATTCGGCGCGATTTAAATCCCATATCATTAGAGAGCCTGATTCATCACCACTAACGATAATACTGAATGCTTTGCATACGCTTATTGATGTTATCTTTGTTCTGTGACCATATAAAACCTTTTTCAGAGAAACTCGTGCAGGCTTCGAGTCAGATAATTGCCATAAACGAAGGGTTAAATCCTGAGATACTGTGAGAAAAGTTCTCTCATCACAATTTAGTAAATGTGTGATATTCTCTGAATGCAACTCTTCAAAAACTACCGACTTCGAATCAATTTGTTCCGTAATAAGCTCAACATCATTATTTACTCCTCCCCATAACAAACTGGAATATGAAGATAAAGGTACAGTGTCAGTAGAAAAGGCACGAAGGGTATCTTTTTTTGGGTCATACAATATATGAGCAACTTTTTTTGATATTTTCATAACAGGCGAAACACTTTGGAATAACAAGGCCATATTTTTCTCAAACCGACCAAACAGGTAAGGCCCTAAAGGTGTATCTGTGAAATCAGGTCCACGCGGAGGATGTGGCCTTTTAAAAACCTGTTTAGGGGTTTGCCCAAAGTTATGAATAATTCCGACTGCTGCTGCTAGCTCAAACTCGTTTTCAATATTTTCAAGATCGACTGACCCTTGATAGGAAAGGTTGTGGAAAACATTTGTGGATTCAACTGCTTCCTGACCACGTTGCTTATAACCAAATATTAGATCAATCCATTCGTGAAGATGCGAGCTAACATAATCACTTTCAAGAGCTTCACGATTTTTTTGGACAAAAATAGCCGGATCACCTTTGGCCCATGGTGGCAGAATGACATCGTTTATAGGTTTGGTTTCATTCTGCCTTGACCCAAAGTCAAACCCGTTACCGTTAACAAACATTTCACTAAGATAGAAAAATTCAGGAATTAGTTCCCTTACATCTGCCATGTTTTCCTTCGATGAAGACTTCCAGGTTTGTTCAATTGAATAGAATAACCTATCTGCGTGATCAAATTGACCACCCTGTAGTGCAAGATACGAATTTACAAATGGTCGTAAGCGTATTAAATAGGAGCAAACAATCATGGCCGACGAATAATGGGTACCATAGTGGAAGGGCTTTTGTTGTAAGTCACCCAAGTTTAATAGTAGATCGTAACGTTCCTTAAACTGCGCTTCTCTGGGAGGGTATTGTGCACCCATTGGCTTTGATAAGTCTCTGAAGGTTTTGGGATTTTTAAAATCGAGTTCTTCACTAGTATAATCAGCAATGACCCATGGAAAAACGGGATATTGGGTTAAATCGTTATATGTGCGGCCCGCAAGGGTATTTACAATTTGTAAATAGTTAAAATTTGATATTTCGTGTCTCTCCCATCTTTTAGTGGCCGGGTGACCACTATTAAAAGTTAGGACGTTTGCTAATCTTGTTCCAATAAAACTCGTTCTATTAGTAGTTTTCCCAAGATCACGACTCATTGATGTAGCCAAATGGCTCGTTGAAAGAACATCTGCACCATGCGCCTTAGCAACCAATTTTTGATAAAGTGCATCTCGATTCTTAGTTGTAGACAGTATGGTTAAGAAACTTCTTCCATCTTTGAAGAAGAGCTCAATCCCAACATCCCGAAGTAGATAGAATCGTTTAAGCACCAAAGACAAGTCTGAGAAGTTCCAATGCCAGCCATTTTCTCTAGAAATGATGGGAAGGGGAAGGGTGTTTTTCGAAGAATTCAATGATTGCATATTAAGCAGCTGTAGATATGGGTCTTTTTCATCAGTCACGCTGCTGTCGTTTATGTCGACAATTTCATTATCCGATCGTAAGAAGAAATTATCCATTAAATAAAGATAGTGCTTTCCTAATAGCAAAATACCTTCAGTAGCTTCCAACCCAAATATCCTAGAAACGTTATATGCGTCTTGTATAGTATCTCCAGGTATAATAGAGCGCATCACAGTTCTATTTTTATCTTCTTTATCCTCTTCAGATGGATCATCTTCTTTATCAAACGTTGATTCGTTCGTTGATGTAGCTTCTGAATCATGTAAAGTATCTTCACTGTATGGAACCATTAGCGTAAGAGCTTCTTTCCCTTGTGACTGAAGAGGAACTTCAGAACTCATAGAACCATCAAAGCTCCGATTTCCTGTAACAAACGATAGCTTCCGTGCAGATTCCTGTTCTTTGTTAATTTCTTTGTTGGGTGTGATGCAGGGTCTTAAACGACTCCTCATTCGTTCTGAGCCTTCAGTAGAATCCAATTCCCATGATGCTGGCCTCACAGAGAGTACTGAATTTTCGCTAGCTAATTCAGCCTGATTAGAAAATAAGGCAGACATTACAAAATTTTCTTGATCCGAATGGTCCTGGAATAGCTTTCGAAATCGGCTACATTCCAAAGAGTATAGACTTGAAATCCAAGCTTCGTAAGACTGAGACATTTCGTTAAGAAGATTCTGTTCGCTTGAAGCGACCGTCAGACTTTTCTTCAGAAACTCCAAGCGTAATAACTTTAGAGAAAGTAATTCATCTTCAGCAGCCTTGCATTCTTGTTTTAAGAAGTCTCGAAATTGTAACGAAAAGCATGTTTGCATAAACTGATCAGCTTCGGATATATTTTCCTGTAGCCAGGAAAGAAATTGGTCAGACTGCAATCCGGTGATGCTTTGCACATTTCGACTGAAGGGATATTCCATTCTAGAGTTCCTACTCACTTGATTCAAAAAATTTGGAGACTGAATATATAATAAACGCCATATATCGACAGCACTTAAACGAGCCTTTTCATTACCGGATTTTATCACCGTATACATACTATACCATAAGAACGAAAAAAGTTCTGGCTGATGATTCTTAGAAGCAAGTAAAGGTGTCTGCCAATACAGTATCTTTTTCATGACGTTTTCCATAGTATCTTCATCGCCTTTTTCTATAGTTTTATCCAGCTCTAACAGTATTAGTTTTAAAAAGCAACTAAACAAATTGGAAATTGCAAACTTCATATTTTTAGGGGGAAAATCCAGTTGACTCTCTGCAAATCCTAGCTCTTCAAGTAGATACCCAATATCGTCTATAATGCTTAAACAGAATTCATCCATAAATCCAACAATCCTTATCCTTAAATATTTGGTAAACATATAGCTGAAATTGATTAATAAGTGAGGATTCATTAAGAAAGACTTATCATCCTTCACTGATTTAATGAGCTGCTGAAGGATCGAATGAAATGTAATTCGGACGAATAAAGCCTTCTTCGTCCTCGTACTAGAAGGCAAAGAAATAATTAACTTAGAAAAGCTAAATCCGTGACCCGAAACAATTCGATCATAAGCGGTACTTAAAACAGACAGGAAAAGATCATTAATCAGCTTCTTCGACTTATTTCCCTCAATAATAGTGTTTTCCAAAAACACAGTTGTATTAAATTTCGGTTGCGAGCTAGTCTGAACACTGTCGGTGTGTAATTGTTCATTAAAAATTTCCTGTCGAGCGCGATTGGTAAACGGAGTTACTACCCGTCTAGCTGATCCACCAGTAGACATCTTTCTAACCGATCTTTTTATGCCTTGGCTAAACGCTTTTGAAGATGAAGCGCGAGGCAATGGATGACGGAGATTTTCCATCAGTTCTCGGATTTCTTGTTCGGGAGCCACGTCTTCTTTAGGAGAAAAGAATGGAAACACCATTCGAACTATGTGTTCATTTATATCGAAACCCATACTCATATCAAGGGAATATGAGATTTGAGCGTCAGTTAAAAGAAGTAACGTTTGTTGGCCATAATGCAAAGATCCTGTCATTTGTAAATCAGTCTCAGGAAGACTAGAAGTCTTTAATAATGTATAAATAGAATCCAGTAATATCACTATCATTTCAGGAACGGGGAAAATTCGATCTTTATAATTCAAAACCATATCGTTAAGCTTCTCCTCAAATGAACGGTCAGATTTGTATTTTATCCCTTTAACTCCAAGGCCTAGGGCTAATTGAACCAAATTCAACCAGACCTCTTCCGAATAAAGTTGTTGAGGCAAGCTATTTTTTAAAACCAAAAATCCATGAAATTTTTGGGAAAACTTTGATATAAAGCTAGAACCTAAACTACAAACGGACTGATTCAATAATTTTAGACCGAGTATAAAATAATGACTATCACTTTGCCTTATCAGGAATAATAACCAAGCCGGAGTAATCATGGAAGAAAACCGTCGAAGGAAAGATGGCTCTTGATTGCTCTCAATCAAAAGATTCACAAATACCTCGCAAACCGCATGACCCGATTCTTTTATATCCAAATATTCAACTTCCTCTTCAGATCTTTTATGGTTCGAAGAAGCGTTTGAAAGTCGATTTGTTCGAATATTTCTTTTCGTGGAAAAGGCTGCATATATAATGTAAGTCACAATTGCCCTAACGTTCTCTGAAACGAATGAAGTAGTCAATAGAATTTTCAGCACAACTTTTAAAAGGGGAAGTACATCCAATCGAAACAAGCGACCTCTCATTGCAGCAAGAAGCTTCTTTAAAACTTGCATCTTCATAAGTCGCCTTATATTTATATTAGAATACTCGTTGTTTTCAATAAGGGATACAATATAGCTTAACTGTTGAATTACCAAATGACTATTCCGACATTTAGACCAGAGATCAAAATCAAGTAGAAGATAGCGAAAAAGAAGGGGATTCAAAATAAATGGATGTTTGGAACGCTCGTGATGAACACCAGCTTTGGACGATATTAACTGAAGAGTTTCCTCAGAAATTAAAAGATGTGATTTTGAGTGAAGGACTTTAGCTAAAACTTCGTAGGCATGGCTTTGTTCCACCTGTTCTGAAAAACGCCAATTGTCTTCAATTGCTGAAAGATAGAACAATAGACCAAAATTGAGTTCTTCGACGGTTTCGGCAATCGAAACCAGAAATAATAATATACTTGAACCACCAACGTTGTATAAAGCATCACTCAAAGATGGCATAACAATTTGGGTTACGGAGCCCGACGAAACGCCAAAACTAGGTTTGTCTATTGAAAAGATCTGGTCATACGATGGAGCTGCTCGGTTTATATAAACATACGTGTAGAACTGATCCTGTAAGTCCTTCAGCGTGTCCAAAGTTCCAAAGGAGCTGAAATCAAATAAGCGTGGGTCACTTATATTAAGATAGCTTTTGGCAGAAACAGTTAAAGCTATGCAAGAAGAAGAAATACTTTTAGTATTCCTCAAAACTTCTTCGGCACTTAAATTTAAGGCTTGAACCTCCATGCTTAATTCCGAAGATGCTCTATAAGTTAAAAAGTCATTTATAGAACCTTGAAAAGATCCAGTATAGTTTGGGCCTAAAGCATAAATGACTGCTACTTGAGAAGGAAGCAACGATTCAGTGAATAACCTCGTAGTCCCGATCAGCAGTGGTAGTAAGTTATCAAATGATTCAGTACCCTGGTTGCCCTTTTCAAGTGTGCCACTCACAGAAGAAGCACTTAAATGCTCATCGTTTTCATGAGGCATTCGAACCAAGTCTTTAGATCCCATTGAAGGTCCTAGAGAAATATATAGAGGTTGAAGTAAGGATGGAATGAATGGATATGATGAGGGGGCACTTTCAACGAATGTTCCGTCAATGTACAATTCAAGTGTAGAAGACGATTTTTCATTTTTATGAACAAGAGTAATCAATCGCCATGTAGAAGCTTTAACATTATTGAATTTTTTTAAAGAAGATGTCGTCAAAGGAGTACAAAAATTGATAATACATGAGCCTTTGTTTGTAGCATATGATCCAAAATGCACACTAATCGAATTTGTGGATGGATCAACCATCACACGTAACAGAGGAGATTTCAAAAAATCGGTGATCAAAAATAATGTTGTCGGGACAGATCGTTTGTTGACAATATCATCACTTAAGCATCCAGAATGCAGCCATAAAGAAACTGAGTACCCTGTATTGGGACTGATCAGAGTACTTAAGGTAAAGTCGACAGAAGAGTAACCTTTTACGAGAGGGTTGAAGTAAAGAGCTGGAGCAACTGGCTTTGATAAAGCTTCCTTGAACCAGTGACGTGCCAGCGAAGACTTCTCATTGATATAAATATTCAAAACTTTGGAAGTGTTATTATTTGACAACCCATACGTAGCACAATTTAGTGTGATATCAAAAAGCAAGTCTTTCATATGATCTGATAGCGGGTAATTTTGGGGAGGATTAAATAAATAGTCTAACAAATCATCCATAACCCTTGACGAAGATAGCTTTATAGCATTCTCCGGAGAGTACTTAACTAATCCCTGTAGATGAATCAAAAGCAAGGTTAAAAAGGACACCGAAGGGCATAAGGAAAATACTAGGGGAAGAACATCAACAAAAGCCAGAAACTTTCCGGAAAGAATCTTCAAACATGATTCTACTGAGTCGTATACTTCTGACTGAGAAAGACTTGTGTGTGTAAAAAAAGAAGTGTCTTTAATTGCTGGAAAACAGTCGTTCAGTGAAAATGCTAGGATTGCCAACATAATCCTGCATCTTAAATAGATACTAGGGTCCTCTTTTGTATTGGAATGAGGAAAATTCGAGTCATCATTTCTAGAAACGGGGTTTAAAGCGTTACCTTCCGCTCCATCAGGAATATCAACGCCTTTCTGTTCTATCTTCTTCAGACAATTTCTGCTTGTTGGAAAATGTTCTTCATCACTTTTCTCGAAAGACGAAAGTAGATTTTGCACAGCAGTCTTAAGCCAAGTATCTATGCGTTTTCTAGACAAGAGCCATGAACGCAAAATGGTATAGGAGGTAGCAATACTCAAAACTTGCAAGCAGGATTCAAATACTTCTAAACTTTTGAACGAATGGAACGTCAACTTTACCAATGCCTTTCTTATAGCGGTAAACCCATGATCTCGTATAAATAGTTGAGGAAAAAATGAACTCGAAACTTCTGATTTGACTAAATAATGAAACTCTTTCAAGTTATCAAATAATGTAGCTTCCGAATCGCACCCTATGATAATGGAAATAAGTTCAACACATCTTGAGTATGTAACAGTCTCTTCAGCCATGACAGCTAAGGTTCTGTAAAAGGATAAAGCGAATCAGTAATTTAGAGAATAGTAACAAATGTTACAGGATCAACAAGCAACCTCTATAGAAAGCTACTCAATACTTATCTTGGGTATGGAGATCATATGACCCGATATTCATCAAATTGCTGCCAAGTATTTTTCTTTTTCTTTTAATTAACTTATGTTTCTGTTAATATCTTCTCAAAGTTATTTTCTTGTTTTGGAAGAAATGTTGAGCGAATACAGTGTTGTAAGAGAGAAAGAGCACATAAACTTCGTATGCTGTAACGAGGACCTTCACTACTGAACTTTAAAATAAATAATTTGTTTATAATTAAAGATCTATATGAGTTGACTAAACAAATACTAATACAAATATCGGCCATGCATGAATCCATTACCAGAGGAGGGAATGATCTCTGTCAATAAGCCGATGATTGACTGTGGAGCAAACGTTTTCAACTTCTACAACAATTAAACCAAACCATATAATTGAAAAACCGAAAAAAAAAGTAATCCTACCTTGGAAGTACTGAAGTTGAACTATTTACATAATAACAGCGGATTAAAAACTGCTACAAGAAATAAAATATAGAATAGAGCAGTCTATTCATGGGTAGCTTCTAATTAAGAAACTATTAGGCAACCACTCATATCGTAAAAAATCTCAATATAAGGACAATAATAATGTCAAAAACAACACACACACAATGGAAACTACCCTTTGCAGAAGAAAATGTTTGAGATACATGATTGGTGGCTAAGTTACCCGTTCAAATTATCCTTCATCAATTCATAATACCCTAAATTCGTGAAAAGAAAAAAAAATAGAACTGCATATTCTACGGACAGGCCTAATACCTTACGGAAATCCGTTAAGAACTAGAAAATATGCGTCCATTCAGCCCAAGTCAAGTGTAAAACAAAGGAAACCCAACTCTAAGCAATTATTGATGGCAGCGTAATCAATGAATTATTCGAATAAAAAAGCAAAAAAACATCATGAGAACACACAAAAGTCAACCATCAAGGACTGCTCGAGAAAACAAATCATTGCTTCTATTAAAAAAACAAACCACATACATAACGGCAATAAAAGGAGGCATTGGAAGGGATAAGGGAAAATTGAGAATCAAAGAGTAAGTATATCAGCTAGACTTATTTAATCTAGTTAGGCCGTTGAATATACTGAGCTGTAGGAGTAGGCATATCGTTAATTACAGTAGCAGTAGTCTTCACTTCACCTTTATCATTAAACGATTGTTTCTGATAATTTTTGAAGGATGAACGTTCAGGAGGAGATGCAACCTGTGCTGATGCAGCTAAATGGTCTTGCAATTGTTGTTGATTTTGCTGATCTTGTTGAGTCTTTCTCTTCGAAGTCCAATCAAACATGTAGTCAAATTCATAATTTTGTCGGCAAAAGAGGTCGCGGAAGAGCTTACGAAGGTAAGCGTAATCAGGTTTGTCATCGAAACGGAGAGAGCGAGTATAATTTAAATAAATCGCAAATTCTTGGGGAAAACCACGACATAAAGCTTCAGTAGGAGTAGAAATCTTCTTTTCCATAATTTTTTCATACTTTTGCTTCTTTGTCGCGGCCTTTAATCCCTGCCAAGGAAGGCTACCTCGACACAAGTAAACTAATACATAACCCAATGACTCCAAATCATCACGTCGAGATTGCTCAATACCCAAATGAGTATTGATGCTTGCATAACGTGCAGTACCGGTAAGGTTTTTGTTTTCACGATAAGGAATATGAAGATGAGTTTTGTGGTCTCGATATTTCTTTGCCAAACCAAAATCAATCACATTCACCTGATTACCGCGCTTTCCAATACCCATCAAGAAATTATCGGGCTTAATATCTCGATGCAAAAACGATTTGGAATGAATAAATTCAATTCGTGATATTAACTGGTCAGCAAGCAAAAGTACGGTCTTCAAAGTAAATTTTCTATTGCAGAAATTAAACAGGTCTTCCAACGAAGGACCAAGAAGATCCATAACCATAGCGTTATAATCGCATTCTATTCCAAACCAACGAACAAATGGGATTCCTACACCACCTGACAAGATGCGATAAACTCGATATTCATATTCCAGCTGAGGATGTTTAGCCCTCGTAGACTCCAACTTGATTGCGACTTCTTCACCAGAAACGATGTTTGTGCCTAAATAAATATCACCAAAGGAACCACTCCCAATTTTACGCCCAATGCGATATTTGTTTCCAATTCGGAGGTCCAACGCCATCTTAGAAACGATATCGTTTGTGTTGTATTTTGAGTCAGAGAAATTGAACCTCCACTACTTCAGTGTATTCGATCCAGCTAAAGAAAAAAGGTTGGTGAAAGAAGAAGTCAGATTTGCATTGTATGCTGAAGTTAGTAAATCCTAACGTAATCGCACAAAGTGCAAATTACCGTACTCAAACGTATCAAATTAAATTAATATTAGTACACAAATACAAAAATAAATAAAAACAAAGATTGTCTTTGTTTCAAAACCTTTTATTGAAGAGATGATGGCTAGGTGCATAAATCAAGTTTTGTAATCCGTCTTCTCATTTTGTAAAAATATAAAAAAGCAATGAAGCCTTACTACGACGATGTCTTAAAGACTACGAGTTTAACATATAGTCATGAAAAAAGGCCTTCCAAAGGAAAATTAGAAAAGTCTATTTTAAATAAAAAAAGAGCTTTGTTTAGAGGGAAAAAGTTTGGAAAGATTAACTAACATTCAATCAAAGTGAAGGATACGAAGAACATCTACCAGAGCGATATATGTACAAGGCTTATCTTTTGAACAAAAAGATGGATAACTAACGGTCCGAAAAGGAGAGAGACAAAAGTAAAGAGCGTGAAAGAAAAGAATGTGCCAGTAACAAACGAATAAAAAAGGAAAGGAACGAGAAAAAAAACGAAAGAAAAGATTTAAATAGAAGATAAATAGAAGAATAAAAAACGAAAGTTTAACCAAACTACTGCAGAGTGCCAAATAACACTGTAGACTAAAAACAAACTGTGTCAAAGATCGAAAAAGGGAATTCTCTGTTTTAACGGTGATCCAACAATGGGTTCATAAGCCAAATATTTCTTTTTGGCAGATTCCAATTCTTTTCTCTGTTGGGGCGATAGATTGGATAATTTTGTTGCACTAAAGGGAGAATCAACATTCCAAGTACTAGTTTCTTGAACGCGAAGAACGCCTTCTCTCACATTAGGTCGTTTTTCTGCAGGAGGTATGCTAAGAGAGGTCGTGTTTCCGTTTAATTTTGACTTTTCCTTGAGCAAACGAGTGTTTTCAGCAAATGATGGATTGAAATTATATTCGATTCCTTTCGAGTTTGCTTTTGACATATTATGAGAAGGTATGTCAACATCTAATACAAAAGGATGTGATTCGGTTTTCATACGGAACACTTGAGATCCTCTGGAATTCAAGTTTGCAGCGGTCATTCTATTTTTAGGTTCCAAACTTTTAAAATTAATACGGAAGGCAGACTCATTCACCCATTTTTTTGTCGAATAGCAAGCCGCAATCCATTCCGGCGAGACGAATTTTATGGTGCTTTCGGAGGATATGGTATCCAGTACTGAATTGAAACAGCTATTCTTAGGAAGAACCATGTGAGTCGTTAAATCGTCTTTATTAAATTGAGGCCTTTGGTGGATGGAGGCTCCAAGTTCGGTTAATTGCTGAATCAGAGTATTACGATCCAACATATTATCATCGATCGTCACGTACACCGAAGCCATAGACAATGGAAATTGTTCTTTCAACTTGGAGGCTACTTGCGTAGACACGGTTTTATCGTGCATCGATTTTGACGACAACGAAAGCGAAACTGTCGGCTTCCAAAAATCAGCATAGGCATCTTCTAGTTTTTCCTCTGTAGTTGCAGAGAAATAGCCATCATTCGGTGGAGAGTCTCGACCGATAGGAAACAAATACTTACTAGATGCAAACGGAATCGAAGATGGAATAATTTTTTCGGATGCACGAGATGCGGTCCCCAATCGATCGGTGGAAATCCCAACGCCGTCAAGACTACTGACACGCTCGTGTCTTCTATGGGTACGGTTGATGTTCGTTACCGTTTGGTGTTGTTTTAAAATGGGTTCCTCGTTGGTATTCAGGGATTGTAAAGAATGCAAGCTATGACGACGGTAATGTCCCTTTCTATGCATTCGTGGATTCGGCAAAACATCTTGTTTTGATTCCAGCGATAGCATTAAGCCCCCTAGTAAAACACAAGACCCATGTAGGAAGAGGGTTGGAATTGCTAAAGAGAAGAAACTTTCCCGGAGGGAAATTCTCTGCTAAGGTCAGAAGAAAGTGCATGGCATGATTACTAACAAGCTTGCTAATTGTTCATAAGGAGATCATTATATCTCGCTCTCAATTGATTAAGGAGAATACAAAACGCATCACTACTACTGATTAATCTAAATATGGAGGTCATTATAATCGCGTTAAACACATTTCCAAACTTCAAAAGCATCCGTTAATTGTATATAAGGAGGAGAAAGGATTTGAAGCGAAATATGAAAAGCGAATGCGAATGCAAAAGGGAGAAGAGGAATTGATGAAAGAGGAAGGAATAACAAAGGAATCAGAAGAACACTCTAATTACGGAAAAACAATCATGGATAGAGGAGAACAGGGTATGGATGGAAGTAGAGGACTACCTCCAATATCCGAGGTATACGATAACTCCAGCAACGGCGATGAAGAAGGGGGAAAGGAAGAATGCTCGATTGTTGTACCAAAAGCCTTTTTTTGAGGAAAGTTTTGCCTCGGCTGTAAACGCACGAGCTTTCCATGTTTCCAGATTGGCTTTCGTGGATTCAGCTTCCCGAATAGCAACGTCTGAGATATATTTATGGGGCAATGATAGAAAAGAAGAAGCATCGGTTGACTTGTTTCGACCCTCAATAGAAGAAGGAGAGAGATAATCATTCTCTACTGAGGATGCAGATAAGGAGCCATTATTCATTAAAGAAGATTCGACAGACTTTGTGCCATCAAGGGCTCGAAGAGAAGACTTTCTGTCTATATGAATGGAATGGTTAATGAAACCAGCGGTTGTTGACATTTCTTGAACGTCTTGTTCTAAATTTTCCAAATTCTGATTTAATTCTATACATCGCCGGTACTGAATTGCCATTTGTCGCATAATTGAATCCAGCATAACTTCATTTTCTAAATGTCGAGCAGGACCAGATGAAGCAGGGACTCCCCGGGTAAGTATTCGAATTTGTGCAGAGACCTTTTTATGAATTATTTCATCCTCATTATAAATATCCACGCCAAAGTCCAAAACATCTCCCGAATTTAATCTGCATGGTGCAGAAGCCTTATTCTCAGACGACAGTCGATTTCCATTCACGAAAGTTCCATTCGAAGACTTCACATCCCGAACATATACAATAAAAGAGTCTTTTTCCAACCATATCTCCGCGTGCTGTCGGCTAAGCACTTTGGAAGTAAAGTATAGATTAGATGGCGCTGGAGCTGTCGATTTGTTCGTATGCCTTCCTACTTTGTATGTAACGGATGGTGACAGCACAAGTTTTTTTGTTTGAAAAGAGTCGTTCACTGGGGTCAGTGTAATTACGGCAGACATTTCCTATACCATACAAATCCTCAAAACACTGCTGTAACCCTGTATTTAAGCAAAAAACAGTATGAAAATACAATTAAATGAATATGAACGTGAAAGAAGGAAATTGCCGACCAGCTTTGGAGGTTCCTAGGATTGTATGTTGTCAATCCCTTTCCTTCTCTGGTTGAAAGTGTAGCGAGAAAGGATATGTTTGATGGATGAGAATACTGCTAAACAATATCCATTGCCTATATAAAAAATAAACTAAATAAGAATGTTATGTTCAAAATTATTGTACAAGAAAATACATCAACAATTGTTGTTGGATCGTTTATACTATATATCTTCAATAGACTTGTCTTTTCCTGAAGATAAAGAATAATTTTTTCGAAAGAAGCTTTTTTATTTTTCAAACTTTCGTAATGCATAATGTTAACAACTGATAATCAAAAACTTTTATTTTCGTTACACATAGTCGACATCTATGAAACCGTCATAGATCAACTAAAGGTAAACATATGTGGAAATAGCTGATGTATTCACCATTAGAGATAATCATAGTGAACAGTTAAATGCGGTATTCAGTAGAGACAGGGAATTGAGAGAAACAATCATAAAGTCTTGGTTCATAAATGCAAGATTGCTACTATTTCAATGGCAATCATGGGATCCCGCCAAATTCAAACGAAGTGCTGACAATTTTTAATCTATAGGAAATATCATTTACCCTCTTTTGCAAAGCAGAAAGTTTTGCAGTTACAGCAAGCAAAATAGGATCTTGAGAAAATGCATCTATTCGTTGTGAAGGATGCAATGTATTATTTGTTTCATTACTTCCAAATTTGAAAGAATCAAGTATTGGATTTGTTCCAAGCAACCGAAACAAGTGTAGGCATACCGATGATTTTGATACACTAAAACTTAGACCCAGGTTGGACGGTAAAGGTGGTGTAAACAAATCGCTTGCAGCTTTCTTGTATACATATAAAGGAGATTGAGAGTTGGATAGATCCGAACCACCTGAAGCTGACTGTAATGACTGGGAAAAAGGTGCTTGTAAGGATATATTATTACCTTGAGATACCAGGTTAGTAGCACATGAACCATTATTTTCTTCTTCTGTATTTAATAAATAGGCAATGGCTCGCAATATTTCCTCAAGTTGCTGTATAGCACGGGCAGAGTTTTTTTTTATTCGAAGTAAGACATATAACAAGTAATGCAAGTAGTTTACAAGACTTAAAATTTGCTCCAATTTTAGCGTTTTAGGTTCTTCCAACTTGATCATTTGGGTCGACCTTCCTACTTTTATCGTGAGATTGATACGGTCGATCAAAGCTCCCTTCCTTGAAACAATTCCTTTTACGGCATCAGTTTTTTGGGAAGAGAATACAAGTACTGTAGGGGTATCTCTTTCAACTAATTCCAGTGCCTCTTTTACTTCATTTATCACAGATTCCCAAAAACCCGGTAAAACATTCTTTTCAAACCATTCTTTCTCTTTTTGAATGACAGACGCCTTTACATCTGTTTCCATCGCCTTATTTTGAGTATTAAATACTGTTCAGAGCCAACAATTTGGCTGAAGTTTTATGTTTATTATATGTATTTTCGATGCTTTTGAAGATAGGTTGAATGCACATTGCCGCGTTTTAAACAACAATAGAAAGCAGTGGCACTAGTTGAAAAAATTATTTTAATTTCTAATTTCACACATTTTACTTAGCTTACAATGCAGAAATTCTTTTTTTGATACTACTTTCTTTCGTTACTTAAATTCAGATGAAATAGATGTTACAGAGTAAAAGGCACCAAAACAAATTTATTTAAACCGTTTATACACATTTTTCCCAAACCCCTTGGAGAAATGTTCGATCCATACTGAGATTTCTTTTCCGATTGTCGACTTTACGATTAACTCGATCCAGCGAAATTAAACGAAGACCACTATTCTCCATCCAATAATTTAATTCTTCTTCAATAAAAAAATATGAGATTGTCCCATCCTGACGTACAAAAGTTCGTTCATCTATGAGAGAAGGATCAGAGCTTTGCTGGAACTTCTTCTGAGCAAAATCACCATCACAGTAATCTCGAAACACTAAATGCCCCTTTACCTTCAACACCGATGACAAATTACGAATAGCATCCTGTTGCTTTTCACGAGGAAGTGCTGAAAGCACGAAAATGGCAGTAACAGTATCTATGCCGCTAGCTGGAACCCATTGGTCCAAGCGATCTTCTGTTATATCGCACACAAAAGGAACAACCTTAGATTTATCAAAATTCTCATGTTTTTTTACAAATTCGATGGCACGGGGACTGAAATCACAACATAAAACCCTTAAATTCGGCTGCACCTCTAGCAATGGATAAACCAGATTTCCGACACCACAGCCTACTTCTAATAGTGTTAATGGACTTTTGTCTGGTAATCCAAAATATTTATCAAATTCGCGATCCAGCCAATGTCGATCCCGAAAGAATCGAGTTTCATTTCGTTTGTAAAATTTATCCCATGATTTTTTCGATTCTCGTTTGTATTTTTCAGCCCAAAAGGGTCCTAATGTCTTTTGTGAATCCATATTGTTCAAAATCGAACACGAAAGCTGGGACTTCTATGATATTTGACGAGCAAGTATAATATCGATAAATACGTTAACTTCAGGTAATCCTTCTTATCCTGTGATTTAAATTTTCAAATTCCCTTTTTAAAAACAATTAAAAAAGAAAAAGTAACTCAAAAACAGTAAAAATTTCCGGATAAAAGAAGTTTGTTATCTGCAGGCATTGCTTTGTTCACCGACTACACCTAACTTCAAAACCAAATTCAAATATATGAATCGAACCTCAGAAAGCGTAGAACCGGCTCCTTCAGATAAAAATATTATCCATTGGAGTCGTGAACAGGTGCCTGTAGTCGTAGAAACCTCTTCTGGTGAAAATGATGTTGACAATGAAGATGAGGATAATTCAAAACTACAACGGATCTTTATGGTAAATAGATGGGTTCCCAAGCATCAAGAAAATAATGAGAAAAAAGACAATAGCCCTTCAAAAGCTCAATGAACACATCTAATATATTTGGCATCAAAAACCATTAGAGTTGTAAGGTTACTTGACCCTTAGGATGAATAATTGCATGTGTTTCAGTAACTTCGTATAAAACCTCGTTGTCATCTTCTTCTGGAAGTTCATGTCCACTTCGCTGCAAGAAGTGGTTAGGTCCCTTCGTCACTCTCATGAATCCAGTAATTCGACGCGCATTTCCACTTGTTAGTGGGCGACAAGATATGCATCTAGTAGCTAAATGACCAATACTTTTAGCAAAAGATACTTGACGAGGCAAAGGTGCTCCAACCGATACGTTGACCACTGCCCGACCTGATGTTTTTTGCAACTCAAAGACAGCCTCTTGCAATTGAGTTGCTTGTAAAGAATTTGTCGATAAAAGTACATCAATGTCTTCAATAATAAGTATAGAATTTTTCGTATCGAATTCGTTTCGTTGTAGACAGTCAATAACGGGAGCGAATACTTGTTTGGGATTGTTTTTCACATCGTTCGCTTGGATCTTATTTGTAGAAATGGCCGGAGCAAAAAGCATACTATATCCATCAACATAATAAAAATTTGGTTTTGTCCTTACATCGGTTCCCTGTACTTCAAGTTAGTATGATACCTTTCTTTCTTGGTACACATGATACTTGCCCATTTTCGAAGAGCGTCTGTATGTTCATCTAAAGTTTTACTAAAGGAAACAAAACAAACTTTTAAGCCTTCTCGTATGCAATGATTAAGATAGTAGTGAATCAAAAAGGTTACTGGTGTTTCCCTTGTCCCTACTAATAACGTCAAGGAAAACGGCTCAGGAATTGGTGGAATGTGCTGCGCAAGAGAAGTCATAAAGGTCGATTTTTATTCTTCTTAGGTATTCGTTTCTTATAGTAGATTTCCAATAGCCGGGGGAAATGCACAGTGAGTGGTAGACGGTGGTGGTGCAAGACCTGGATTGAAGCAAATCCCTTGGAAGTAGATATGGAAGAATGAGGCCTATAAGAGAAATTTTTAAGTTGTAAGTTATATAAAAGTCATCGTTTTAAAACGATACTGACTGAGAGGAAATATATCTAATAATACACCTAGCTATGGATTATAAAGCTTCAAAATAATATGCTAAAACGATTTAAATCCCGTATAAGAGAAACCGTTGGGTCGGCCTTCGTTAGTCTATAAAATAAAGGTGCTGAAACCCCTATATCCTGCATATAGGAAAAAAGAAAGGATAAGAAGTATTCTATATAGGAATTGTAGTCTAAAATTAAAACGGGTACTTGGTTTGTTCTATGAAATGCTAGCACACAATTATACCATTTCTTTACGACGAGGGCGTACATAACTGACGTTCTTGGGTCTACACAAAACTGTCAAAAAGTTAATCCATACGCTGTTATGGTAAGGCCGAACGTCTTCGGTTTCAGTATTTTTAGAACGCAAAAATTCATGAACATTTTGACCGCAGCCGATCAAGTAGCACTGATAACCCAGAAGGATCCCGGGAAAAATGGAACCCAATGCAGCATATATTCCAAGAAAAAAAGAGACACCAGCCCATGGCCTTTGCAAGTGTCTTGCAAAATTTGTGTCAGAACCATACCGAAAGCTTGCAAATGCAATATAAAAACCCAGGACTGTCAAATACAAAGCTTCAAAAAACAAAGAAAGCAAGAAAATAAAATAATATCGATAATTTCTTCTTCCAATGCAGTTATTTAGCCACGTACAATGGTGATCAAGGTATTCAACACAATTGTCACACAGATGACAGTGACTAGCACGGGGTGGTCGATAAAGACGGCACGTATGACAATAAACAGTTGTAATTAAAAAAGCTGAATCGGAACGAGTTGATCCTACTAAGAGTCTCTTGTCTTCCGGAATCACCGACCAAGGATGGGTAGGGTCATATATTAAAATGTTGGAATTTCGAGGAAGGATTCCAGGGTCGGACGTTGAACACTTCAACATGGAAATTATAACCAATGCATAGATATAGGAAAATGTTATGGGGATAGCCGGTGATACGTGATGCCATAACCAAAAGGCGCTAAAAATGAAAAACAGCACGCCGGGAAGAACCAAGGCAGATAAAGTCATTGCAAATGCTTTAAATTGTGTCGACATTTGAAGCCTCCCTCCTAATAAAAAAACATTGTTGCCTGGAAAGTGCTTGTAGCGTCTCTCGATTTGATGCACTTCTGATCCATGCAGTGCCTGCTCAGTAACATTGGCTCTAGCTTCGTTTTTTTCATCTTGATTTATAGGATTGGTAGGATCAGAAAGAGCTGAATTAGTAGGATTCCAGGGTTGTTTCCACGGGTATCTCAAGGCAGTCTCTTTTGAGAGATGACTAGGACTCATACTTAGAGTTTACTCCATACAAATCATTGTAGGAGAAGATTTGGATAATAATATGAAAAGAGTTGTACTCTTGTGTGAATACTGTTTTATTGTCGCGAGTATGGCGATTCAAGTTGGTACCAACTTAAAAACACTGAAATGCAAATAGCCAAATTTGTTTGTTTACACTTACGGAACACTACAGCAGTAAAACAAAAAAAATAAAATAAAAAACTTCAATTGATTAATGAAAAGCTACAGGTTTAAATTGAAGTTGTACGATATGGCGATCTACTAAGGATGTGTTAATATAACCACAACGAAAAAAATAAAATAAAAGAAAAGAACTCAAAGCTTTGAAATGGGATGAAACTATTCAGTGCAAGTAAATAATGTAAAAGAACTATTTAATGGCCCTAATAAAAAGAATTCTGTAAAGGTTTTCCGTTTCGCTTTTGCCTAAGGCTTAAATGAAGAGAATGTATGACTTAGGTCGACAGGAAACTGAGCATCTATTGGATTACTTTTTTACGATTTTTTAAAGAATTAACCTTGAAGCCGCATTCGCTGGCTGCATCTTTGTTAGGATAACCTATTATTTCAAGTCACGTCTAATCTCGAGACGCAGGGTCCTTTCTCAATCAACTTCTGAGTTAACCATTTTACCATTTAATTTATCAAACTACATCATCTTTGAGCGTTCTACAGTTGCTGTCGCCTCTTTTAAATGGTTATATTGGTTTTCTATGTGCATAGGAAATGAAACCCGCTGCATACAATGCTTCTATGACTCATTACGAATAATTAACTATTTAACCGAAAGAATTTGGCTCGTTACGTTATGACTTGAATGGAATGGATAATTAAGCCTATTAAGAACACTTCTTACTGTCACTAAGGGTTACATCAGAGGTAAACTGTATATATACGTTATTCAGTTAACAGAGGATATATCTGGATTGAAATGATATCCTAGATATTGTAGTTCTGGTTTGATACATTCCATACGTACCAGATGCGTAAGTGGCAACCATAGTGACACTTACAACCCTTGATGTCTATTTCATCATTCTTGATTCAAAAGCAAGACAGCAGCTCTCGTTTTACAATTCCAAGTGGTATCAATTATTCGTGGACTGTTAGAGGTTTGGTGTTTCCATTAATTCCCAATTATACCAAAACTTGCATTTTGAAGAAAGAAGTATATCATCATTGAAAGCATTTTTCCGTTAGGTCCAAAAACAAATTAGTACAATGGCTGTGTTGAGAAGCCTCATGTCGAACCGGTATGTCCGTTGGACAAGACAATACCCTGAACTATTTGTATGTGTGTTGGTTGTTTCAATGAATATATGCTTGAAAAGTTCTTGAAACAAATGATCTCAGAAAGAATTGTGAAACTAAACAGTGGTTTTTTAGATTACATGGTGTGTCATGACTTATACCTTTGGAGTTGCTGGCTACATGCTTGGTATGTTCCTTTTGCTTTCCCTTTTATTCATAATATAAGATGTACTAACAGGTTGACCAAGGCCAAAGAGGAATGTTGATTGAACATGATACCCAGGTCCGCATTCCTCGAGAGAAAGCTCATCCCTGGGAGGATTCAGATGAAGATCATGGAAATAATCTCCTATATGGTTACAAGTACTTCCCCAGAGGTGATACATCTAAGGAACCAAAGAAGTCTCCCTCGCCAATCCAGTACAGTACGGTGACTACCAAGGGAATACCTCAAAATCTGTTGGAACGCTTTTCAAAATAACGGAAGATACTTCGGAAGAGTTATCGATAGTTTGAACCTTTATGTAACTCCCTTTATGATACTGTTTTGATTATTATGAACGAACTCCCTATACCTAAGAATTTGCTTATGATTAAAACGAAACGAACAATATTTATAGCTTAAATGACTTTATTATTTTTAATGAACAATATATTAATGCTTTTGATTAATCCTATTGTGGCTTTAATCTAGTAATTGCTTTCTTTTTTCCGATCTGTATATCTCGACTATATTGCTAAAACAAAATTTTTTGTTAATTCTCATTTATCAAGTTGGTTTTAGGATCAGCAATTGAAAACGAGCAAGTGTATTGATTGAGCATGTCGGATATTTAAGACCCTTCCTATAACCACTATAATTAGAATTCCCGCTAAACTCTGATATGTCTCAAGCGGTCGTAGTCCTTTCTCCTTCTTCTGAAACAAAAGCGTTAGAAGCTGTTTTCCGTCTTTTTGAATCGCCGCAATTACAAGAACTCGGTGATGGATGGAAGCAAGTTTCAGGAAAACTAGTGAGCTCGTTTGCAGACGCGAAAGCAGAATGTGATTCTATTTCTAGTCAAGAAAAACTGGATTGCAACTGCCTGAAATATGAAGCATATTCTACTAGCAAAAAGTTGGTTGTTTTTGATATGGACTCGACTTTAATTCAACAAGAATGCATTGACGAGATTGCAGCTGAGGCTGGTATTCAAAAAGAAGTCTCCACGATTACATCTCTTGCAATGAATGGCGAGATTGATTTTCAGGAATCTCTTCGTCGTCGTGTATCCCTTTTAGAGGGACTGAGCGTCGATGTCATCGACAAAATCATTGCAAAAATTACGTTCACTCCAGGAGCAAAGGAACTATGCCGTGTCTTGAAGAAATTAGGTGCTACACTTGTTGTCGCTAGCGGTGGATTTATCCCCATGGCAAACTATGTCAAGGAACAACTTAATTTGGACTATGCTTATGCTAATATGGTAAGTTGTTCTCCGGGTTGTATGCATGTTTCGCTAACTTAGATTAGTTGGAGTACAGTCATGATGGAAAGTATTTGAATGGCAAGGTACAAGGTGCCATTGTAGATGGAAAAAGAAAGGCAGAGATATTACGTGAAAAGAAGGCAGAGCTTGGACTGGAAGAATTTGAAACAATGGCTGTTGGAGACGGTGCCAATGATTTGATTATGATGGGTGAATCAGGCTTAGGGGTTGCATACAATGCCAAACCAAAGGTGCAGCTTATGGTAAGACTTGCACTTCTACTTACATGTACTAATACTTTTTTCTAGGCGTCTTCCAAAATTAATCAGACTTCTCTGCAGAATGTTTTATATTTATTGGGTATAAACAAGTCTGAACAAGAGCGCTTATTAGCATAAGTGTTAAATTGTATATAAATATATATAAATACCTACTTTATCATACGCTCTGGACGAAGGGTGTTTCCTATTGAAACCAGGTCATCCAATACCTTTGGTTTGTTAGAATCTAAATAACAAACTTATTTCCGAAATTTTCGCATTTTGTTTACATTCTTTGATAGACTTTTTTGGTTAATCATGAAATTCCGTTTCTCAAACACTGGCGTAAATACTCAATAGTGTATGTTTATCAACAATCATTCATCAACATATCGCATTTGTTCCTTCATCTCTATCTAACATCAACATGTATTTAATGAAAGGAATGTTGGTTTTTAAATAGTTCAAAAGTTGCTGATCGCAATTGAAGTCTCTTTCCCTCTAACCATCACTTCATAACGAAGACTGTTATGTTAAGCGCTCCACTGCTTCGGTTATCACTAGATATTTTAATTGAGATTGGTAGCTATCTTGATTCTGAAGACCTGCTTCATCTAATTCAAACTTGCAGGCAGTTTCATCTTGTATTCGAGAACAAAACAGTTTGGCTCAGATTATGTAAACGAATTGAAGGATTAGCCGTCGGTATACCTGAACAGGTAGATTATAAAAGACTATATTTGAGATGGAAGAAGAAAGGATATGTTTATACTTGGGGAGAAAAAAGCTGGAATCGTTTAGGGCGATTGGTAAGTCATACACATTTTCCCCATCACAAGCCTATAGCCTTAACGGGTTCGTATGCGGTAAAGGCTGTCCAAATAGCAGTTGGGTATGTTTAATTTTGATTTAAGTCGTGGGTATAAGTATATGAAAGACTAACAAACAATAGTGGGTATGGAATATTTTTACTTAACGAGGATGGAAAATTACATATAACTGGAAAAAGGACGAATTCATTTTCACAGGTGGTTTCCGAATTGGGTTTCGTATATTCCATCCATGCTGGCCGAGACTACTGCTTGGCGATGTCCGATGAGGGAAATTTATGGCAAGTTGGCGCGAATTCAACATTGTGTTTGACAAAGGATAACGTTTTGTCGGACTATAGAGGAAAATTTAGCATTTTTCGAAGTGGTTGGGATTGTCTATCAGTTTTTGTTCCGCAAGTCGGCTTTTTGTTATGGAAGAGTGGAACAGAATCTGAGCCTACAGTCTATAAAATTTACATTGGACAAGATGTAGTAAATGTTTCCGATTACGTTCTGTGCGCTGGCTTTCTTGTGTTCACAATAGTTAATGAATCGTTGGTTTTCCGCGTAGACCTTGATGGGAATTATGAACAGCAAGCAAAAGAACTTAAAAATTTCCGAATCTCTGAAGGAAACGGTCCATGGAAGCTTTCGGGTAGCTTTCGTACCTTTAGTTGCCTTTCCGGAAACGGAAATACGGTATATATGGGGAATGAATCTACGAAAGAGACAGATGCTAAGCCAATTGTTCACGAATTTTTACAGAACCAATCGATAAAAAGGCTCGTTCATGGAGATTATCATCACCTTTTATTGAAGCAGGATGGATCAGTTTGGTCTTGGGGAATGGAATTATCAAATTGCGGTTGTCTAGGTTTAGGAACTTTATATAACCAAATTGGGGACAATGTCTTAATAGATGTTCCAGGACGCCGCGTGACAGTGTTAAGACCTCAAAGGGTATCTTGGAACGCAACTTGTATCTCAATTGCAGCGGGCGGTTGGCAAAGTGCAATGATGGCGATTTCTGACAAGGTTTTGCCGGATGCAATGGAACCGGCAAGGATGACCGGTCTATCCTTGACACATGCAAGTGTTCCCGTGTTGCATTTTTTACGGAGCAGACGTACTGATTAGACATATCCAAGGGAGGAAACTCTTATGAAGCCAGTACATTTTTTGTTGTTTTTCCTTGATGGTGTACACATATGCAATTTATGAGATTTTATAATGAATGAACGCAATTACGAACGAAAGACAAAATTTACAAGTTTTACATATAACAAGATCCTCGAGTACAACGACCGAAAGTTTTGTGAGATGAATGCAGGAGTTGACTTTTAACAATATTATAATGATTATCAACAGATGTAACGATAATAAATCGGTTCAAATATCGAAAGTCAATCCTGAAAGACTGTAAAATGCTAGCCGACATACAAATAAACTATGCTATAATAGCGTACCCGAAATAATATAAAAAGCAATCGAGAGCTTAAATCCACAAAATACTCAATTTGTTAACTAGTAGAAAACATTTAGCTAAAATACCAAGAAAAGAAGTATTTGCAAAGACTTGAAAATTTCATAAATTCATTGTATTGTAGAAAGATTTTGAAGGAAATTTTTCAAGGTAACATAATTTGAAACATAAATCAGTGTTGTTTATCTGCCCAAAACAAATCGGATATTACAAAGTTCCGATGAAAAACTAGAAAAGAAGAAGAAAAAACCTTTGTAAAGTTGAAAATACCTAGGATAATACAAGAAAGAGTATTAGTCAAAATTATCAGCATTTTCCTAATTCTACTTAAGAAATCATAATTGTTTAATTGTTTATACCTGGTTTTCTCGACTTACTCTAAAATTTTACGTTTTATTTTTTTAAGGGTCTCATACTTACAAAAGAGTAATTACTGAATTCAGGATCCTCTGTTGTTCATTTATATATGAAGAGAAGCTTATAATTGAAACTGAACAGTAGACTGAAATTAAAAATTTCCTAATGTATCCATTCAGCTTTGATACTAATGACAAACAATACCTTGAACCTGACTTAAGAGGCATCGTGCGTGTATGTTCTCCTTACGTCTTATTCTTTCTGCAAACGCATCAACTTTTTCGACGAAACAAGTTAGCGTGTAATGCTTTGGGTGTTTTGATTGTAACGCAATGCTACTCTCTATGTAGGTTTTATTACCACTTTCATAATACGGATTATTTGATGGTTTCTTTACAGCATGGATTTCTCATAATGCAGGCTTTACGGACCTGTGTGCTCTCTCTGCGAAATAAAGTTCCATACCGTGTCGACGGTACGGTCAAGAAAAAGACATCCAAACATTCATTTACCGAGAGTCTACAGTACATATTTAGTATTCGCAAGTATGGATGGAGTGACAATGCTGTTCCTGAATATCAACCGGCATACCTTTCTTACGGAACTTGGGTGACTCGAACTATTATTTTATTGGCATGTTATGCTCTCACTTTGCTCATCATGCTGCAGTTCGATGTGCCGAACGCACCTTATAAAGTAAATAATGTTCTCTCAACAGTGCTGCTGTCATTTGTTAGATCTTTTTACGTTTACGTGGTTTTAAACATTGGTTATCATCTGACAACCGTACTATATATTTCCTTTGGAATCTGGGACATACAGGATTTTCCACCATTGATGAAAAATTTATTCAAAACCAAAACAGTGAACGCATTTTGGTCCACAGACTGGCACGTATGGACCAAGCCAATCTTCCGAACGCTGGGATGGGAACCTGTTCATGGACTAACGCAAAACAAGTTTCTCGGAAGTTTAGCTTGCTTTCTTATTTCGGGACTATACCACGACTTTGCCTTCTGGTCTGTTCTAGGTCACTCCAGTCCGGGAATCGTACTTCAATTTACGATATGTGCAGTCTGCATCAAGCTTGAAAAACGGTTCTCTTTCTTGGAAAAAATTCCATTCTGGCCAATTCTATTGCAAGTTGTACTTCACTGCCAGTTGGGAATGGGAAAGGTAATGAAGCAGCAAGGTTGGGGTTCATTAGCACATGTTGAGCATTAATTCTTCTCAACCCTTTATATTCTAATCTCATACAAAAAATAAAAAAGAAATAAAGAATACATAAAAAGGAAGTACAAAATGTATTTAGAGTGGTTCCATACGGCTAGCTTGGAATCTGTTGTTCACGACTGACCAATTTATCATGTTCCACCAATTGGAAATGTACTTTTCCTTATTGTTAATGCCATAGTCTTGCAAATAAGAATATTGCCATAAGTTCAAGCACAATAATGGAACAATTTCTTTTGTTCTGGTTTTGGGGAATTCTGTTCCCCATAAAAAGGCGTTAGATGCATTGTACGTACAAAGTAAAGAAAACAGTGAACGCTCGGGGCTATAGACCAGCCATAGCCATCCATCACCGAATACAGAATTACCAACTTCGATTAGCTGCGAGCGTAATTCATTAAAAGAGCCAAAAGACGCATCAATTCCTGGCTTCAAATTTACAACACCGAGATCAGCATCCTCAGACGATCGATCCGGAGGAATTATGCCAGAGAAGAAGAAGTCATGGTTGACTAGCTGACTAGAGTAATTGAAAATCTTGGTCTTTCTGGGATCATTTGCATTTTGAACCATTAAGTCTGAAGGCACTTTATAAGGAATTTGATGTAGCTTGCATTCTTTATGCAGTTCTTCTCTTAAACGATTATCATAAGAAAAGATGGTTTTGACAGCATCTCTGGATAGAAAGCTTTTGTAACCAAAATCCAACGCTTTTGTGAACCTAGTTTGTAAGTTCATTGTTTTTTACTATGCTTATCAATGAAGGGGAGAACGCTAACCAAAAAAAGGAAGAGATCACCGTTATATCACGGAATATCGTGCAGAGGTACTGATTTCGTGCAATTTCCCTTATAGAGAAGAAATTATGCAATATAAATAAAAGAAAAGGAATAAAAAAAGACCCAACACACGTTTTTTATTCTTTAGACGATATTTGCTTACTCCAGGTTCTCCAGTCTGCGAAGTAAATAACTTGGAGTAGCGGTGTCACTCAAAAGTATTAGAAGACAGAATTTGCCCTTTTGGTTTTCGGTACCAATTCTGTTTGAATGAATTACATATTATTATTAATTTCTTTTCAATTTTTAGTAAGTTATTTTAATGGTTGCTTTTCTGGAAGTGGAAACATGAATTATTCGAGTAAGACAACTTCGTCTCATATAACTAACTATCATGTTGCCAGAAAGATGAGCATATATATTAAAGCTTGGATTATCTTTTTTCAACGAATTGGCTTAAAACGAGCCATTCTATCGAGGTTTGCTTTTTCATTCCTTTTTGTTGAGGAACTTATATGAGACGAAGGCTTCTCTGCATTATACTCTGAAGCGTATTGGCAATGAAACTAAACATTAAATCCAAATTGAAACAATGAAGATTTATATACCGCGAATACTTAAATTATGACTAACGCAATTACAATCGACTAGTTGGATTCAAAAACTCAATATCGAGAGTTAATATAGAGATTAAAGTGCCTTTCGCTTTTACGAAAACATACACTATTACTGACATGGCTTTAAATTTCTTTTTTGAGATTGGTTTGTTATAATTTGATTTATTTTATTTTTTTTTCTGATAATCCTGGTTTATTTATAAAATAGTAAACAAACGAAAACCGCAAGCGCTACTAATGGTTGCTACCCATACGCAGGTTAACGATTCTTCGGGTTATACACGTTTTACAACATAGCGATAGTTTACGAAATATGTTAATAAATATGTTGAGTAAAATGATGCGAAATTCATTACTACCGTAAACTCCTGTGCGAATGAATTGAAATTGGCTTTTCATTTAAATGTGGTAAAAGTAAAAAAATAGACGAATTTACATCTAGTGTTTTCATTTTTCCCTTCCAAAGTACGTTGCGAATGTTTTATTTTTATATCCTTTGAATATGTACTCTGAGCATTTTTGACTTGGTTTCAAAATGTCCATCTTATTTGATGATCTTGTCGGTTGGAAAACGAACTGAATCTAATTCTAATGATCTTTCTGCGTACAGCAGCGTATTAATATTAGTGCTACAAATTTCAAGTAGAAGAGACTTTCTTTGTGTTCATCGCAGGACACAAACTAAACTCCCTGTGTAGGTTCTTGAAATATCAGAGAAATACCTGAGAGAAGAAGGTTATAGTTAAGGCTAAGTAAGCAATGTCATTTCCTTTTCAGATGAAAGGAAACGCGAGGTTTTACCATTCTTCCAGTTAAAAGGTTCTCAAAAATGATTGTTAAAGAAAAATCCCAATGATTTCTGTTTGCAGTCATTCTATTTCCACTTTGATTGTCTGTCTGTGCAGTATCCTACTATTTCCAACATATGCAGCCCTAGTCGGTAGCCTTAATGGATTGGGACACTTGGTGCTTGAGTCTTCTAATAATTCATATTTTGATACTTACATTACCCGTAAATTCCTTTTGTCTTCTTCTTCTTCTTCTTCTTCTTCTGCTCTTTCAAAATTTAGTTGGAAATGACTCAAAAAGAAGAAGAAGAAACCATGTATACTTATGGATTGTTAAGCAAGACGGGGAATCATCTAGTTTAATTTCTCTTTTTCTCAAAAACAATAAGTTAGTATGATCCTGCGAGTTTGAAAAACGTACTCGACTCAGCTTTGAATTATGGATTACTATCCTATTCCATATAGACATTCGGATTTGCGTTTATACTAGAATAAATGATCTTCTCGTGGTTTGGTTATATTTGCTTGGTTGATCTACATTTATCTGTTGCTCAAAAATGTCTTGTCATGTGAGACCCGACAACTTGGTGACGTTTAATACGTTATTTGTTCCACATTTTATATTAGCTGTTATAGCTGGATCCATTTGAATTGAAGCTTTCAATTAATAAACTTTACTTTTTAAATCCAAGTTACATTCATTACATAAATGCTTACTTTCGTTTCACTTGTCTAACACGAAATGAACGTGCCAAAGCAACCAAGTAAGCGTCAACTAACTTGGGACAATCAACATAATCCTACCTCTCTAGTATCCAACTCATGCTTTTCACTGATTTAGCATAAGTAAAGCAATCTATATCCTTTATATATCCATTATAACCGTATACTAAACCCTTTTATTTCCCAATTAAAATTATAAGCCATCAAATGTTATAGAGGCAGAGCCTTTTCCTCCTTTCTTTTCCTTTTGTAGAGCACGATAATCATCTTCCAATTCCGAAAGATTTTCCTCGTCAGAAACATCATCTACTTGACTACCTTCCTTTCTGTTGGATGAGCTATGCTGTTGAGACGCTTGATTTTCCTCTTCTGCTTTACGCCTTTTTTGTGTTTTGTCAAACTCACGTCTTGACTTCCTTTTTTCACGACGTACAACACGCTTCTCTTTCATATCTTTTTGTTTCGACCAAGCTTCAGCTTTCGGCTTTTTTTCTATTTTAGGTTTTTCTGGCTGATTGCCTTGTTCCTCCATTTTCCGTTGACGAGCTTGTTCGCGAGATGGGTCAAGAAAAGCTATTGTTCGGGTATCAATATCCAAAGGCTGAAATACATCGTTAGCAGCTGGAGCATCTTTCAGCTCTGGCATCTTAGGTAAGTGTAATAAGGCATAAGCCGTTCCTAGTTGATGTAAATCCAAGTCTTTTATACGGAATATAAAAGATGCTTGATGCTTGGTATATGCACGTACATGGGATACAAATCCTCTTAGTCCTTTTTCATAAATATTTCGATCCCTTCTAACTATGTCTCTAAGGTACTTAGTTAGTTCGTCGAGATGGCTTCGATCCATCAGTGATTCAGGTGTATCTATACGCTGAATTGGTACTTTACGTACCCTCAGCAACTCTTCATAATCTTCTTCCCTACCTTCATTCAGAAAAACAAGAGCTAAACCAAAACGTCCGGCACGTCCTGCCCGACCGCATCGGTGTGAAAAAGATTTAGGATCCAATGGAGGATCCAGCTGAAGCACTAAATCCACGTTTGGGATATCCAGACCACGAGAAGCGACATCCGTTGTAAGTAAAACAGATTTTGTATTATTATTTACAAACTTTTCATAGTTTCTGCTTCGATTGGACTGGGCCTGTTTGCCATGCAAAGCGATAATTTCATATGGTAACTTCATTTGAGACAACAAGGAATGAAAATATTCAACACTTGCACAAGACAGAAAAAAGACGATAGCTTTGTCATACTCTTTATTTTGAAGCATATTTAGCATTCCCTGGATCTTGTACATGGGGGGTAAGACACAGGATTGAATCGACAGCGAAGATGGTGCTCTGGTATCCTCTTTCTTAAGAGTAACCGTGACAGAAACACGAACACTATTTCGAAGCCCAGCGACCTTCAAAAAAGAGGAAACAGTATCGTTCATAGTAGCACTGAAAAGCCCTGTACGTCGTTGCTTGGGAATTTGTGAGATAATCGATTGTAAAGTTTTCTGAAAGCCCATATCAATAAGGGTATCTGCTTCGTCCAATATTAAAATCTGTAAATTTTTACTGGAAATTTTCCCCAGCATTTCGTTCAACCTCCCCGGCGTTCCAATGACAATGGTAGGATTTTTTTCTCGAAAAGAAGCCATATCGTTTGATAATGTATTTTTTCCACCAATATACATGTCAGGAACAAGTGATTTCTGTTGTGCAAGCTCTTCTGGTTGATATGCTAACAATTCTTCAGTAACATGAAAGATTTGATTTGCCAGCTCACGAGTAGGTGCGACTATGAGGGCACCCAAACCATGCTCATCGGAATCTCTTTTTAAAATTTTATCAATAGCAGGCAATAAATAAGCCAACGTCTTTCCTGAACCGGTGACAGCTTCCACGACAACGTCTTTGTTTTTCAAGAAAAGAGGAATAGTATTCGTTTGAACAGGTGTCATTTTAGTGAACCCACGAGCGTGAACCGCATCTTTTCTACATCAAAGTTAGTCGAGAGGAAGTTAAGAAAGAAAGCTACAAGGATCCCCAGAGTTTCTGATTAAAACTTTTCACAGGAAAAATCCAAACGATCATCATGTTACTTACAGCCATTGATCGATTTGCAAGTCTTGAAAACTCATCTCAGTTAATTTTCTTCAAGACTTGTCAAGTATTTTCGAGAAAGCTAAAGGACGAAGTGGTGTTGAAGACAAGTACTGAAATGGTTGTGCTAGCTATCCTGCTACCACTTACCTTATTAACTGACAAGCCAAATAAACCGTTTGCTACACAAATAATTTATAATAATGTTGATTAAAGTAAAGGTAATAAAAATAAATGAAACTCTTAGAGATTAAAGTGCGTGTTGATAGTTGTTAACAAAAGTATGATAGACACTGACAGGAAAAGAGGTTTGTTTGTCTCTATTACAACAAAAAGGGAAGCCAAAAAGACGAGGTCTAACACGAATTAACACCAGATTGAATTGGATATTGATCCAAATGACAAAGTCTCCCGTATCAAAGAAAGAGTGGAAGAAAAGGAAGGAATACCTCCATCCCAGCAACGTTTAATCTACGCAGGCAAGCAAATGTATGATGAAATTTTCTAGGATGACTCTAATAATATTACAGGGCTGACGATAAGTATGCCGAAAGTTATCATTTAGAAGGCGGTAGCGTTTTGCACTTGGTTTTAGCACTTCGTGGAGGATACTAAAATTATAAACGAAGAAAAGCAGATGATAAGACGAATGGAATTTTTATTTTTTATCCAAAATTAATATTAAAAATAGGATCTAATCTCCCACTGGTTTTGTCACCAAAGAGAATCTAAAAGGTATACTGTCGATCTCGTTAGGAGAACGACGAGCATACGTTTTAGATTCTTTTACGAAATGTAGAAAGTAATCGTTCGGGTGAAAAGTTAGTTATATATGAGTATTAAATGGTACAAAATTGAACAAAAATAAATTCTTTTCTAGCATGAATAAAAATTCGGGCTGTTCTGGGAATCGAACCCAGGACCACCATCACCCTAAGATGGTATCATACCACTAGACCAAACGGCCGTACTGTATTGTTAGTAATTATTTAAGTGACATAGAAGTTGGTCTTTGGTAATGAAATTTTTCTTGCTGAAGCAAATTCTATTAAAGTATTATTTAAAATACGGTGTTGTCTAAGTAAAGTCCTCTGTTGAAAACACCAGTTCATGTTAGATTATCTCAAAATAATGAGTATTTGCAAATGCTATAAATATGTATGAGAATTCTGAATATCAAGGTTTTATTGCTGAACTTTTCCCTCAGATTCATTAAGCCAATCATTGAAATTTTCGAAAACCTGCATTTGAGTTTGTTTCGTATATATCTCATTCAAAGATACAATATGGTTTTATTGTTGGATAGGTCCTTTGTTTACTTTTTGTAATGCGAACTTCATTTGGATTATACCATTACTAAAAAACATAGTGAACCCACAATGTTACATAATCGTAACAAGGATATGACCAGTCAGTGACATAATGTCGATGCTTACGAAATTGAGACATGCGAAAAGGCAAGTACCATGAGTTTTTCAACTACGCTTCATCTTTTGAGAGGAGCTTTTCGTTGAACAGTGTTAATAGTTAATATTTTTAAAAAAAGGAGTAAATCTTTTTTTGACCCTATCCGCGAGAATTGTGAAATTAGTACTTGCGGACTTTGTTGGTTGATTCTAGCTGGTTTCGTTTTGGATGTATATATCTGCATTATTTTGTGTTTCTAGTTGCCATTGTAAAAATGAAGAATAATTACGCTCCAGTTTCGGATTCTGATGACTCTTTCAAAGTGCTCAATGATGAAAAGTCAGACGCTAGATCTTTAGATGGTACTGGTACGCCTCCTTCGTACTCAGGTAAGATTTGTTGAAATAGAAAAAGAAGAAAGGAATGTCAATTGCTTCAATTTGTATAATTCCAGCGACTCAAAACTTGCTGTAAACAAACTCGACGAACGCCCTTATCCTTTCTCGAACAACACAAGCATTCCTCACTAATACATTCATTAGCTACAAACAAATTTATTGATTTAGAAATGGCTGATGGATCCGCTCAGCATTCCGCCCAAGAGTCCACTAACAATACTGGGTCGGATTCGAAATATTCAAAGTGGATTATTATCATATATCTCTTTTTTTTGCATCTCTTGTGTATATTGGGGCTTATGGTATTCTTCTCGTGATGTTCTTTTATTTCAAAGTTCCTGTGAGGGCGCAAGACCTTTGGGGACTTTTTGGCGGATTTATTGGAGCGATATTATTATTTCTCTGTTGTAAGTTAGCACTATCTTTTATTCTGAATGTTTCACTAACTATTAGTGGCGCATATGCTCTACCCGGGGTGGTACAAGCAAGCTGGTAGAGTGCTATCCAACATGTGTGTCGCAGTAATATATACGACTCTTCTGAATGGCGTTGGTTTCGTCTTCTATTATAATGTAAAGAAAATAATAGGATTTGAAAAGATGGACAAAGGGTTTTTCTATTTTGTTTGCATTGTTAACGTTGCCTTGTTTGTTATATTTTGGAGTATGTCTTATAACCTGCGAAATAAATTCTAACTGTTCTAGGTACGACGGATACGCGACAATTTCGAATATTCATTGCTGCTTCAGGAAACTTCATGGGAAACATAGGAGACGGCATACTAAACGGCATAAGAAATGCTGCGAATTATGTTCGTATGTACTGTTTATTATAAATTCTTTTTTTTTCTTTTCTTAGCATCTGACTAACCTAATTAGAACCGACAGATCGAGAAAATGAAGTACCTCAAAACGAAGAAATTGAGCTTCAACCTTTTGCTGGGCAAAGCGCTGAAGTTTGAGTTTTAACGAATCTTTTCCATCCCTCCTATAAATCACATTTTCCTTGGAAGCATTCATATCAATTGCAATCCCTCGAGTTTCTGTATTCTTGTCCACAAAAGTAAGCACAGCTTCATTCGGCAGGTTTGATTGTTTTTCACGTTCACTCTTTTATGAATCTTTGGATTCGTCTCGCAATAGTGTTATTTATGAATCGTTCGTTTTCTTTCTGACGAACGTCCTTGTTCATGCAACCTTTTTAATGATTTCATTCACAGCATAGAAAGCACATATCTTTCAACTGAACGATCCGATTTTTGTAACCTAATGAATCAAATTGTCGTCTACTTAGAGAGTCAAGTAAATGAATTGGAGCACGAATTATCAGACTACAACTTCCATGCAGCCATGTAAACAGACGCAGATGGAACTGAACAAATTGCATCTTGAAGTAGGATGTCCAGCAGAAATACCTTTATTTACACATTGTAAGTGTCTACGGCCACACCTAGGCGAAAACACCAGTTCCCGTCCGATCACTGCAGTTAAGCGTCTGAGGGTCTCGTTAGTACTATGGTTGGAGACAACATGGGAATCCGGGATGCTGTAGGCTTTTTTTTGATCCTCCTCCTTTTTTGAGGAATGTTCCCTGTGAAGTAACAGGGAGCAAAACAACAGTTAAATCCAATTGCAATGGTGTGTACTTGTGTTGGTACTACAGCATTGCCATTAATATTGGATTAAAATGCACGTCTTTCATTCTGTCGTCAATCCATATTTACACACGAGGATTTTTCCTGGTTTTAAGACAATTCTACCGACTTTAAAAAAGCATAAAATTGTAAACTTATTCGAGTAACCACAATCTGCAAAATAATAATTTTAGTAGCTATAATGCATCAATGCCTTATAGATTTGCTCAATATCTAGTTTATTAGCAACTGCTTTGGTGGTTTAGTGGTATAATGCTTCGTTGCCATCGAAGCGACCCGGGTTCGATTCCCGGCCGAAGCAAATTTTTTCCTCCAGCTAGTCCATTAGGAATGGCTGTACGAAACATCACATTTGCCCAAAAACAAAAGATGTACTTATTTCGATGAACTTTTATCATTAACAAAGTTCCAAATTGAAATCTTGCAAACGAACGATTTATAAGCAAGGATATCCATATATTTGCTCAGTAGCATTCCGTGCATACAAAGCATAGCTAGTTTAGTTTCTAGGTAAAGCACAGCTTGAAGAGCAGCTTTACGCTGAATTCCCCAATAAGTATCTTCTGTGGAAAATCTAAGTCGATCCACCTCTTTACGTCGAAAAGGCTAGGAAGCCATTCGTCAGTTACAGTGTCTCCTTGGTTACACTTGGTTTATTCAGATGATACATTAATCTACCTGTGCTTAATCGAGTACACACCTATTACATTCAATGATTCCACTTTTCTCTTCATTGGCGCTATAACTAATAACATAACTATACGGATTACAGCATATTTCGCAGCGAGCTTCATACCATTATAGTCTCATTAGTAAAAATGTGAATATGAAAATAAAATTATTTATTTTGCTTCGGCCGGGAATCGAACCCGGGTCGCTTCGATGGCAACGAAGCATTATACCACTAAACCACCAAAGCAGTTGTTAGTAAAAGGTGTCAAGTATTTATCTGTAACATAATTTGCTGTGAATGCAAATGCATTATTGCATGGACGAAAATTGAATGCATAAGATTTGCGTAAACAGTAATTAACGATTTGTTTTTGCCTCTGTGAACAGTCTAGTGTACCTAATAAAGGATCGTTTGATTCATCATCAATCTTTGCTCGTAATGCTTGATGAGTATGCACACTTATCATTGAGTTAAATGAAATTAAAGGACCAAGTCAACGAAGACAATGCTATACATTACATGCGACTAATACGCATTTTAGAGTAGTATCTTTTGTTTCATTCAAGTGTAAACAAAAATTTTATGTGGCTGTAATTGAAGAGCAGTACAATAAACAAAAGGTCCCCTTTATAAGTTGAATTGTCTTTCAATAAATGTGTATAAATTAAAAGGATTCCTTATAACATTTTTATTAGTATATATAGAGTAGATTTGGTTTGCGTCTAGTTTATTGTTGCTTTCCAAATTCGTAAGTGATTATCGCAATAACTTGACGCGGCTCTTGAGGAATTAAAAATAATTAGTACTAAAAATTTCCTTTACAGTGTTATCATTAGCTTTATAACCAATGAATCCTAATATCTGCAAAAAAAGGATTGTTTACATTTATATAAACAAACCCGGGTTGGTGCGGATTTTGCTTAGTGAATATATAGAGATAATGATAACTTTTTGAACGTTGATCTTAAGAGGACTTGAAGAAAAGTTTCTACATACTCCCTGCTATGTGAATTCAAAAGTTTTACAATAGTGCAATTATTTTCAACTAGGCGAAGTGGAAAGATTCCATATACGATTGGAGCTGCAATCCAATTATGCGTAGTAAACTTTTTTCCGTTCTTTTTCGATTGCCATTGTAAGACATACTGGTTAGATGGCTTTCTTTGATGTATGATGCTGACTAGGTAATGTATTCCTCAGTTTTATCTTACCTTGGCAAACTCAATAATACATACAGATTCGTTTGAATTTCCAATAGATTAATAATATAGAGGATATATTTAATTCTCTATCCACAGTGACAAATGAAGAAAGGGATGCAGACGAACGCTGATCCCTTCCCTTCGTTTGTGTTCTTGCTTCCTGTTACTTCACAAGGAACATCCATCAGAATTCACATAAAACAGGTCAAAAGAAGCAATTACATAAAAGAAAAACAGAATCCATAGCATTGCAAACTTCCATGTTTCATCTAGGTAAAACAGTACACGGTGTACAGGCTCATGACGTTTTCAGGTGAATTGTTGCATCTGGTCCTCATTTATTGGTTTGCCTCAAGTTTACTTATACTACAATAAAAAAACAAAAATCAAATTGTTAAAGCTATACCAGACATGAATTTGGAAATTTGAAATATTATTTATTAACTTTTTGCATCTAAAACGTTTTAAGCTTTCTGAAATAATCTACACATACTCGAAACTGTTATATATATAATTGTAACAAAATATTAATTACGCAACCCATGTTCGGGATCTGTAATTCTTTTTGCAAACTGTTGCAGAAATACCGTAAACATATTGACAAATCTATGCTTTTTGAAACCTGCCCTTTTCCACAATGCAGACTGGTTTGCAAAAGAGGAAGTCGCGTTCCAAACAATTGGCAAAGGATACCAATGAAGAACGAAATCTAAACAATGTCGCCGAAAAAGTTTCAGGGGAGGCAGATAATGGAGAAGGTGAAAATTCTTCACGAACGAAATTAAATGCTGAAAATCAGGATAGCGAAGAAGAGGAGGAAATTCCTTCTATTGATGCAGAAATTGATGATGAAAATGAAAACGTAGAAGAGTCGCCAAGTGATTTTAGCACTCCGGAATTGTCCGAGGATGATTATGAAAATCCAGAAGAAGACGAAAAGGAGTTGGATGACGAGATTGATGCTGGCTATTCATCCGACTCTTCTACTGAAGAAGGACCAGGAGGATTATACCCTTCTCCTGACGATGATAATCTTTACATAAATTACGATATAGATGGAAAGAAAATCACGCGTCCTGCAACGCCGGCTGCGCTCGATTCTTTAATCTCAAGCATCGATAAAGACAAGGGATGGACGGGTATTGTCGACCCGATGACAGGACAACCAGTGAACTTAACTACTGAAGAGCTTGGATTATTGAAACGTCTTGCTCAATCCCAAGTTCCAGACGAAAGCTTCGACCCATACCCAGACTATGATGATTTCTTTACCAAAAATGTTCAACTTACTCCGGTTTCTAGTGCACCTGAACCAAAAAGACGGTTTGCACCTTCCAAACATGAAGAGAAACGTATTTTGCAACTTGCTTACGCTATTCGTAAAGGTCATATTATGACACCTACTCAACGTACTGAGCAAGAGAAAGAGCATAGGTCAGAGTTTGCTGACCGTGATTTGTGGGCTGATGACGAACAAGCTACAGTTAACAAACAACTTGATTATGCACCTGCTCCGAAGCTTCCCCCTCCATCGCATGAAGAGAGTTATAATCCTCCTGAAGAATACCTCAAGAAGGATTCTAAGAGATATCCTTCCTTGCGTCTCGTACCTGCTTACAGCAATCTAATTAAGGAACGCTTTGAAAGATGTTTGGATCTTTATTTAGCACCCCGTGTTCGACGGTCTAAGTTGAACATTGATCCAGAATCTCTTCTTCCCAAATTACCTAGTCCTTCTGAATTGCGTCCTTTCCCTACACGCTGCACTAACGTGTACATTGGTCATAAAGGTCGTGTACGTAGTATTTCAGCACATAAGGATGGTATCTGGTTAGCTAGTGGTGGTGACGATGGCATCTTGCGAGTCTGGGAGATTCTTACTGGTCGTTGCGTTTGGAAATGTGCTCTGGATAGTTTTGGAAATGTACGAGATGCTGAATCTGATTCGGAAGACACCGAGAAGGCTAATAAACCATGCATCATCCAATCTCTTGCTTGGGGTCCTCTTTCCGAGGTGCCAGTATTGGCGGTTGGAGTCGATGAAACTCTTTATTTCATTACTCCTCCTCTTTTCTCTCCCGAGCAAATGGAAAACAGTAAGGAGCATTTCACTTCGAACCCATATCAAGAATCTAGTGCTGTTTGGCGAAGAGGTTCCAAAAAATCATCAAATATGAACGGTGCCATTGTACATGCGACTGTCAGTACTTCTTACTCTATCAAGTCTTTATCCTGGCATCGCCGCGGTGATTATATCGCTACATGTTCTCCAATTGCATCTGGCCGTGCTGTACTTATTCACCAGCTTTCAAGGGGAGCTAGTCAATCACCTTTCTCGAAATCTCGTGGCTCCGTTCAAGCCATCGCTTTCCACCCAACTCAACCTTATCTTCTGGTAGCTACCCAGCGATATGTTCGTATTTACAATCTTGTCAAGCAAGAACTTGTGAAAACGCTTCTCGCAGGTGTTAAGTGGATTTCTAGTATCAGTGTCCATCCTAGTGGAGACCATGTCATTATCGGATCCTACGATAAAAGACTCTGTTGGTTTGATTTGGATTTATCTTCTAAGCCTTACAAGACACTTCGTTATCATACTCGTGCTGTTCGTGATGTCTCTTACCATCCTACATTACCACTGTTCTCTTCTGCTTCGGACGATGGCGATGTTCAGGTCTTCCACGGACGTGTTTACAATGATTTGCTTGCTAGTCCTTTAATTGTACCTCTCAAAATTCTACGCAATCATAAAGTTGTTGATAATGTTGGAGTCCTTTCTAGTAGTTGGCATCCCCGTGAGGCTTGGTTATTCACTTCTGGTGCTAGTGGTGAAATTAGAATGTGGACTTAGTGTTTTTTCAAATTACCGTTAAATATTTGGACATAGATTAAAAGTTTTGCCGGCGACGTCTATAACTAAAACAAAAAAAAAAGAAATAGCTTAGATTAAAACTAGCATAATTGGTTTAGATGAGTTAAATGGGATATTTAATAAGGATTTTTGGGTCTTCACAATTAACAAGTTTATATACAACTCGTTTGCAGTAGGCATGAATAAAAATTTCAGATGTTTTTGATAAAATCGAAAAAATTAATAGTAAATAACAGTCGTAAATCGAAAGGAAAAAAATAACATAGCTTAATGCATATACAAAAGATAAAAGAAGATAATCAACCAAATGACAAAAAATGTTTTTTAAAGAACGAGAGCCGTGGTATTCCGAATATAGCCAGAGACTGAAAATGAACTGAGCAACAATTGGAAAAAAAATAAAGTTTCACAACGGCGGATTCCGAGAGTGACTATTTTAAGTTGAATTTGACAGATATTGCTTTACAAGAGCGACAAATAGGTGTATCTTCAATGACAAAATAACCATCGTCGCCAAGTAAACGATTGCAAACACCACAATTCCAACAATCGTGGTGATATTCCCCATCGATTCCGTTGACGCTTACCCCTAAAATAGGTTTTCTGCATTTGTTACACTTTACAGCGTATTTGTTATCATAACAATTTTGACACCAATATAAGTCATCGCGAAATATACAAGGACTGTTTTCACGAAAGTTTTCTGAACAACCAGCACAAAAGTGATGATTTTCATGAAACCAATCATTACCGATGTGAATTGCCCGGTCTTCTATAGGTGTTGTACAATATTTACAGCGAGGACTAAATTGCTCGTGATAGTCTAAATGACAATAAAAGTTATCATCACGGAAAAAGAAACCAACATGCTCTAGGTTCTGGAAGCAAGTGGCACAGTGAAAGCAATTAGGGTGCATTTTCTTATTTGCAGCAGTAATTATACGACCAGCACGCAGGGACAAACCACACGCGTAACATGATTTTTCTGAATTTGAGCGGTGAAGATGAGACTTACTAGCAGGACCAGAGCATGAGAACTGTACAGGAGGCATGGGGAGAATACGATTAAATTGTTTGGAAACGGGAGATGGATCGGATTCAAAGTCCTCATCACCTGCGATATCTTGTTGCGACTCTAAATTAGTATTTGTGTCATGAGTAGAGATTATGGGGAATTGTTTGGTAGAAGGCAACTTCCTAGACATTGAGGGGAAGTGACCATTACTTGATTTGTAACTGTCGAACGTAGAATGTTGGGGTTGTTGAGTAAAGTTCGATTCTGACTTAACGTTGGAAGAATTCTCAGTTATATCTGAATCAAAAGCATTTTCTTGCTCTATAAATGGTAAAGAAGGGGATGTGTGACGTGGCAGCGGACGATCATTATAAGTGAGTGGAGGAGAAGGACGTCGATTGAAATTCAAGTTGTCTGGAAAAGCAAAACGAACTCGAGGTTGTTTGCTAGGCGAGGAGCGATCGACTTGAGCAATAGGTTCAATACTTGTCGGTTTATTTACCGATGGACGTCCACAAGCGTCGATATTAATAGGAGATTGCACAGATTTTTTCTCTATGTCTTCATTTAAATTAGAAGAAAAGCCAGAAGTAGACAGCCTAGGCAAAGACGGAGGAAGATCAGAAGCAGTACCTGGAGCAGCTCGAGGGCCTGTCAAGCGACGCTCGAATCTACAATTTATTAGAAAGATGGACAGCAAACGAAGTGAATTACCTTGGTAAACCAACAACCGGATTTTGCATGTGAAATAATGTTCAAATGAGAAGGAAAAACAACTACTAAATATGAAATTTACCAAATATTTAAGTCGCAATGTAGCAAAGTGATTAACGTATAAAGAGTCAAGTCTGTTATTGTTACAAAGCAAAAGGTTCACCAGACATAAATTTCTGGAAAAAAATTCTTCCAATTCCCAAACCAAATGTCTGAAAGATCCAAAAACTAACGTCGAAGACTCAAAACGAATGGTAGAGGGCAAGTTGTTTAATAACGATAGCGCAGTTTTCGGAAGAATTTCTAAATAATATGTAGTTGCTATGGAAACATTGTTTACTATTTACTTAGCGACAGAAGTTCATTCAATTAAATCGTTAAATAACTTAACAAACAGGAAGGATGGGATTAGCAGCAATTAAGCAAATACAATGGGATTTACCATAGGGGTGTGCATAACGGTAAACCAAATTACGTGGGCTAACATTTAACAATAAAACGCATCAATCATAAAAAAAGTTAGTTGCCAGATATAAAGCTTTCTTTGGCTAATTCATGTGCGGGATTCTCTTTGCACTATCACCAGGTGGGATTGACGGACTCTCATCTTCGTTTGTACCATGTGTTCGTGAGCGCATACGTGCTCGAGGTCCTGACGCGTTTGGCAAGTTTCAACACGAAGTCGCAGGTTGGAATTTAGAATATGAATCTAGCGTCTTACATTTGAGAGGACCATGTGAAAGTCCAACAATTCAGCCACACGTGGATGACGATGGTAATGTTCTATGTTGGAACGGTGAAATATGGCAGATGGGCGGTGAAGCAGGATTCGATTCTTTGCAGTGTTGCAATGAGAATGATGGCTCCAAGCTTTTTAGAATATTAAAAGAAAATGATGAAGATGTTGAAAGTGTCCTACGCTTAATTCAAGGTCCTTTTGCTTTTGTTTACTATCAGGTACAAACAAATGCAGCAGCTTTTCGGCCCATAAACATAATGCTAATATAATTTTTTAGAAATCTAAGAACACATTGTGGTTTGGAAGGGACCGTCTTGGAAGACGCTCATTGCTTTACCATCAAGAACAAGAACGGTTTATACTTGCTAGTGTTAGTCATGGCAAGGAGTTTCAAGAAGTACCACCAGGATTTTATGCATTCAATTTACAAGATAATCATCCTTCTACTCCTATCCATCCTTTTCCTTCTGCATTTGTACCCTTCCACTTGTTACCCTTAAGCATTGAAATTCCTATTTCCTCGAGTATTGAAACCCCTCTAGAAACCTTCTATGCCCAATTATCAGAATCGCTTAAAGACAGGGTTCTTACTATACCAAGCAGTAATGAAAGTTATAACAATATTCAACAAACAAAGATTATAACCCCCCGTCTGGCGGTGCTCTACTCTGGCGGTGTCGATTGCGGAGTTATAGCACGCATAATTCATGACATTCTTCCTCCAAATGAACCGATTGATTTGATCAATGTCGCTTTCGAAAATCCTAGATTCATGGATACTTTCGTTAATGCCGATGCTGCTGATTGTTTTACCTCTATACCAGACCCATACAATGTTTGTCCCGATAGACAAACAGGGTTACAGGGGTGGAGCGAACTAATGAACGTATGTCCAGGTCGTATTTGGAATTTCATTGCTGTAAACGTGCCTTACTCGGAGGCTTTAAAAAACAAGGATCTTGTTACAAGCTTAATATACCCTAATGATTCTATCATGGACTTTTCTATTGGCTTAGCGTTCTATTTCGCTTCCAAAGGAGAGGGCGTGTTACTACAATCTTTTGATGACATACAAAAAAATCACAGCTGCTCGCCTTACAAAACCCCTGCCAAGGTATTGTTTAGTGGTTTAGGAGCCGACGAACAATTAGGTGGATATATGAGGCATCTCAGAGCTTTTGAAAGAAGAGGAATGGAAGGCCTAGATGAGGAACTTAAGCTCGATATCGAGAGAATTCCCCATAGAAACCTTGGTCGGGATGATAGAGTTATGTCAAACCAAGGAAAAGAAGTACGATATCCTTTTTTGGACGAAAGACTTATGGCTCTGTTAAGTAAAATGCCTACTTCTTCAAAAATGCGATTGGACTTAGTGGGAGGTGATAAACTTATTTTACGAGAATTGGCCAGAAAATTACAAACTCCTTTAGTCGGCCAAGAAAAAAAAAGAGCCATTCAATTTGGATCAAAAGCTGCCAAAATGGAATCGGGAACTGGTCGCACTTCAGGAAAAAAGAAGTTGTAATCCATTAATATAGCAATATGGTAAAATACATTCATTCATATTCCTTAACCTTGCGTAAAACAAAATTGCTTAAGTACAACTCGTAAAATCGTAACATCATCAGTAACTTAGCTCATTTCCAACAAGGAATCGATAGAACTAGTCAATCTCCCCTCTTGCGCGTTAAGTACAACCTCTATAACTTCACTGTCAAAAGCAGGGAACATAGCCTGAAGCGCGGCAATAGCCTCTGCTTTTTCCTTAGACCGTATCCGTTCTACTTCAACCGTTTCCAAGGAAGCATTTGTTGCTTCACGTAGCGCACCACTAGGAGAAATGTCATTTTCGAGTGTGTCAGGATTTCTTGGTTTTGGCGTTCTGGTAGAAGAAGACGAATACTCTCTAGAAACCTTATAAGATGGTCTCTCCCCCAAATTACAATGGGAACCATCTTCATTTTCTGCTTGATCCTTGTCATTTAAACTACCGGACAGACTCCTGAGCCAAGATTCGGGAACAAATGATAACGATTTTGATGTTGATCGCGGTCTGCTTGAACTTTCGCCTTGACTCTTAGACTCAATATCGACCTGTAATTTTGACATTCCTTGTTGAATATTAGGTTGGGTCTCGTTGGGCGTTTGAGAGCCTTCTCGGGTATTTAATGAGATAGGTGGTAAAATCTCTCTTTCTTTAATCGTCTTTGCTTCCATTTTCTGTAAGGATTTTTCAATTTCATCATTGAATTCTTCTTCGGAAATAGTTAACGAATTTGTGTCTAACGCTTGAATAAAAGACATAGCTCCCATAAGGGTAGATAAGTAGTATAGTACTTCTCCGGAAAGCTTTTCAGGTGAGCGAAATCTTTGGATATACTGAATATTTGAAACGAGATGTTTTGGGTGAGCTTTCAGTAGAACAAATATTAAGACAGGAACAAATGCGTCAGCTGATTCTTCCTTAACAACGTTTCGTAAGTAGCTATATATTACCTTACAACAGTTCATCAAGCATATAATCTTGTCACGAGGAGCATGATAGTCATTAATACGTCGTAGTTCATCTGCTGCGAGTCGAAAAAATTTAGAGCTCGACTTTGCTCTTTTAATATCAAGATGCTCCTCTCGAACCCATTGAAACAGTTCCATTTTTTGATACAATATATGATCCTCTTCCACGTCGTCAGAGTGTTCACTACTTAAAGGCATGCCTTCTTTGGCAATTTCTGGGGAAAATAATCTAGAGTAAAGTCGGTTTGAGACAAGCTTTTCCATGCCTTCTTTGGCATTGTCAATTTCTGCCTGTGATCCGGAAACCCATGGCTCATACTGTTCGATCTTTTCTCCGATAAAGGCCAAAAAATCTTGAATAAGTTTGACTTGATAACTTACGGACCATCTTCGCTTCATAAACTCCGAAAGAAAACTTTTGAGATACTTTGCAACAGGCTCGGCAGGGCTTGAACGAAGTTGCTCTAAAAAACGATGAAAATCAAAAACGGGTTCACCCATTTCTGTCTCACCGTAGCGGTTCGAAGCCCTTGGAATTCCATCCACAGCATCACTTTGTGTTTGCTGCTTGTCATCAGTAGCTTGCTTTTCTTCTAACGCATCGTTCACTTCCGGTTTGTCATAATTAACGGTGCTGCTGTCAGAATATACTTCTGGACCATGTTTTTTGTTATGTTGCTCATAAGCCAATTTCTGGACATCCAAATTGTCATCCAAAGTAATTAATGGCTTTTCCTCGCCGTCTTGAAACGCCTTATTTTGCTCATTCACTTTGCTATTTGCTGATTGTTTATTCGACGAGTCGCTATCCATGATACTTTTTTAAAAAAGTTTTCTTGAGAATAAATTTAAATCATCCTATTAATATTTGCTTGCTTCTATAAAATATATAAATTACAAGAATTCGGTGATGATGGTAAGGTGAAATCTGGCGATGGTCAAAACAATATATCATACTTAAGAGGCAGCATGAAATAAGCATATACCACAAGACATAGTAAGTACTAGCAGAAGCTTATACTCAGTAATCTTTATTATATAAACATTTATTACTAACTCTTAAATTTTACCAGACATACATGAAGAAGAGACTTAGAAATGCTGAAACTCTCATGTTTACCAATACCCCAGCTTTCTACATGATAAAAAGGAGTAAAATATTATAGAAACTAATGAATAAAACAGAGAACTGAGATGACTAGACCAAAATTTGATGAAAGCAACAACATTAAAAACGGTGAGAAATTATACAACTCAAGAATCCGACATTACTGGTATAGACCGGTTCTTGCGTCTTCAAAAAGACTAGCACTGTTAGCTTTCAAACTAGGATTTGCAATGAACCACATGGGGATAAGAATGGCGCCAGCAAATCCAGTAGCTACACTCGTCAAAATCTTCTGTACATAGCAATAAGCAGTAATAAAAGCCTCTCTAGTCTCGGAACCACGTGGGTACTTAAGTTGTTCTTTTAGGTTATTGAAAATAGTAGATGACTTGTCTTTCATATCATTGGGAAGTAGCTTTTGAAGCTGTTTGGGCATTACGCTGGTCCAAATAGCTCCAGAAATTGCACTTCCAATAGCACCACCAAGGGGAGTAATAGTTAGTACTAATGCGGTTACGATAGCAAAATGTTCTCTCTTTACCACAGTTTGTACACTAACGGTTAAAATATTGGAAATAATACCACCACCGATGCCGACAATGAGCTGAGTCATAATAAGGTAACCATAATTATACTTTTCGCCTCGATAACGAATCATCAACCCTTGACCGAGAATATAAACGGGAACAGCGAGAAGGAAGTAGATCTTGAAACGCTTGTGGAAGTGAATGATGATACCCAGGATGATACCCGTAGTACACGAGGTGATAGAGTATGTATAAGCAATGTAAGTAGCAGCTGTTAAAGAAGTATAGTGAGCAACTTGCAAGAAACTTGAATAATAATTATCCCAACAGTAGAAAGCCATATAGAAGAGAGCCGAAATAGCACAAGCAGCAGCAATGGTGGGTTCACGCATTAACTCAAAGGGTATTGCAGGGAAGCTAGCGATATAAATTTCATACAAAACAAAAGCTATAGAGCAGACACCACCCACGATAATCATAACAATAAACTTGGCATCCTTCCACTTATCTCCTTCGTAGCTGGCTACAGAGATTGTGAGTAATACGAGAGAAAATCCGGCAGTCAGTAGAATAAGACCGATAATATCAAGCTTCTTGAAAAGAGTGACAACATTCATAGTCAACGTATTCTTAAAAGCACCTTCTCTCCAGCCTTTGTATTGATAATAAGCGTAAGAAATGATGAATGGAAGAGCACATACCGGAAGAATGATACACCACATGGCAATTCCCCATCTCCAATTGTTCTCAAAGGATGGAGAAATTTTAGGACCAGTCCACACCGTGACTACGAAAGGAAAATAGGAGATACCAATTACGAGAGAACGGTTAGCTGTACTGGATGAATCAGCAAAAAAAATAGTCATAATAAGTTCGAGTCCTGTGTAACCAGCATTGTAGAGTACACTGCCGCCAGCATATGTCTGAACGTTTTTGGATGTAGCAATAAGGATGAGGCCGACAATATAGAGAAGAAGGGCAAAACAGAAAGCTTCCAAACGACCAAAAACGTCGGATATCCGAGCCAAAGGAGGTTTGATAACGGCACTGATAATATTGTTGGCTGTACCGATGGTGCCGAGTAAAGAATGACCCTCGAATGCTGATGTAGCATAAGAACTCAAACTAGAATAAGCTATAGATTGAAAACTGAGGACAAGGAACATAAGGAATACGGAGACATAGGAAAAGTAATAGGAGAAAGGAGTCCAATGTTGATTGAGGTAATGCGATTTGGCAATACCAGCAAGTTCATTAATAGCGGAAGAAGGCGTTGTGGAGACGTCGAAGGGTTGAACTTTTTCATCCTTCTCGCCAGAATGGGTATCGAAATCATCAATTTGTTGAATACTTTCCTCATGAATGTTTTTCTCTAATTGATCCTCTGGAGATGTTTTGTCGGTTGACCGCTTCTCAAATAAAGAAGGGAATTGAATTTGACGCAAGCGCATTATAAAGTAACTAGAAATGACAATGTTTAAGGGTCCGTATTAGGAATTACTAGCTCTAAATAGAACAAACGATGAAAAGGGGAGTTTTAAGGATGGACTCAGGCTTATACCTGGAACAAGAGCGGTTTTTATTTGTAGTAAAAACTTATCGTAAAAAAAAAAAAAAAAAAAATAGAACAAGAAAGAAACAAAATCATTAACAATGTTCCCAAGACACAATAGCTCACACCAAAGGAGTGTTTGATCTGATAAATGAGCCTTGTAGCCTTTTAATCCGTTTCGATGGAGATGGGAGTGTGATCTATATAAATAAAGCCTCGCAGGGTTCCACTTGCTAGTTATCTGATGATATGTGACGGTTTTATGTAACTTAAAGTACAATCAGATAACTAGTTTGTCCGTAATGACATCAGTGACTGTTTTTTGGTACAAGAAGCGACTGACGAAATAATCAATGTAAACAAATGAAAAAAAGCGCAGAAACGAAAAAAACGGTATGAAAAAATGGAGAATAGTATAGAAAAATAAAGATTTTTAAGACCCAACATTTGTAAAATACTGACCTTTTTCCTGGGTCAAACAAATTCCGCCCATTCTACATATGCATGGGTACTCTCACGAAGGTGAAAAGTCCTATCTTGCTTGAAATAAAAAAAAAGATTAAATAACGTTACAAAGTAGGATATATGCATATTTAATTGCCTCCAATGAAGTAGAAGCCACTTGTAATCCTTTGGTCCTGACGCAGCATGTATTTCGCATGCTGCATTTTTTTTTTTTTTTTTTGCAAAACGACATTGACAGCTCCTGAAGGAATATAGAAGCTGTTTATAAACAACATGTTATAGAAATTTGAAACTCTCAAGGAGGATGAAACAAATATTAGATATGATGAAGTTTATCAGTCTGAAAATAAAACAAGAAAAGAAAAACAACAGGAATTATAAAAGATTTTTCAAAATTAAGCACCAAGAGAGCTTGCAATGCAGAGACAAATACATCTCAGTATAAAGATATAATCATAGTGCTCTGAATTTCATCATGGTTCTAATGGGAAGCTCTAGCAACGCAGGACGTAAATGGTTACAGGAATAAAACCGAAAAAAGTATCTCCATAAATGTAATGTAATAGTGCGTTTTACTTGCTGCATCGGATGCTTCTGAAATAATATTACCTAGGTCTTGGAAAGGAGCATGAAAACTTCCAGAATCTTAATACCATAATGAATACAGAGATAAAAAGATTGTTTCCTTTTAAATAAAGAAAGGTTCCACACGAGAAGGAGGAGCTCTGCAGTCAAGTTTGTGAATTGACGGATGACTGCTGAAAAGTTGCAACATAAAATGCCTGGTATTTCTGGGAAGGGAGATCCGTGATGAGAATTAAGTGAGTAAAACAGAAAAATTATTTGTTATATTTTTAGCTTTTCATTTCTCGCTTCTTCTTTCCTCGTGAGTTTGGATGTTTCGTTAGAAAAAAAAATTCATTTGGAATAGAAACACCGAGGTAAGTCAAAAATTAATTATGCAATTGACGATAAGTCTAATACTAGATAAAAGTCAACTTTTGCTCGTTCAAAGCTTTTGAAAACAAGAAAACGGGCTGTCAATCTCGTTCTTTCAGTAATGAATCTAACCTAGATAATGTAAGGTGCATAGGTATAGACACAAGGTGTTCGTTCCAAAATAAAATAGAGAAAAATTTCTGTCTTTTTCTTATGTTTCTTTTATTGAAGTCATTCGTATTTGTACTGCGTATTTCACCTTGCCTCAAAGTGGTTCTCGTTTCTGACCTCGTACCTCGCGCATCATTCCTCCACCAAACAGCTTTTTGCAAATTCTTTTATCAATTGGTTCCTTTTTTTAATTTTTGTCAACTTTTAAGAATTTTAGATAAAAAAATAATGGCCAAGAAGCAAAAAGCTCGGTAAGTTCCCGCGATTTTATGAATTAGTGTCCCATACTAATTCTCTTCCTCCTAGTTTGTTAATAAAGCTTCTCTCCTCTGCTGGAACTGGTTCTTTCTACGTTAAGTCGAGACCTCGTACGGCTACAAAGCTTGCTTTTCTTAAATATGATCCAAAGTAAGTCCATTGTAACAGCCTATTGTTTTCAAAGTAAGTTTACTGACCAGCATAGAATTCAAAGACGTGTTTTGTTTGAAGAGTCCAAAATGAAATAATTCGTTGAAAGCGTCTTGAAAAATTCTAATTATCTTTCCTTTGATACACTCCCTTCTCCTATTTGGTAAATAACCACGTCCTCCACTAAACAAGATATTTACTACTCTAGTATGCATTTGAAATATATACCTTTCTCTTAGTATATGTACTCATGGTATTCTATGAAGATCTTTTCTGAGTGTGTCTTGCTCCTCTTAAATGTCATCTCATCTTTAATTGATGAAATTAGGCCTTCTTTCAAAATCAAAACCAACATTTTTTGTTTTCATATGCTACTTTGCTCACTAATAAAACGCTCGAGAAGCAACTTACTCTTTCGTTTGTCTTCCCAGTTGATATCTTGCTTAGGTTCATTCACCTACATAGTAGACTATGTTCATTTGAAAGTTATAATTAACCTATATTCTTAAGTTTGAATAAATGAAAGCGAAGGTCGATAATTGAAAATGAGATAGGTCACATCTATAGGAATGAATCCTAAGTACTTGATTTCAAGTAAAGTAAATTACGTTGGATATTAAAGGACTGTAATTCAGTAATTTTAAAATAATTTTATGCCAACTCTCGCTTTCGTTTACTATGATACCAAGGGCTTCAATTCTCTGAATCATCTGCATCACCACATCTGAATATAAACATTAAAACAAAATTTCTTTTAAATTTTCAATTCTTTATTTTAAGACAATGACTGATATGTGCCAAGCATGCAAGACCCTGGATCAGCATACCCATGCCTACCTTCCGCATACCACGCCTTTCTTCAGGTTGGTGAAAAATGCCACAAAAAGCATCATTGAACGATTTACAGTGGAAAGAGGTAACTCTTCCTGATCGTCTAGATGATTATGAAGGTATTCTGGACTTGGAGGAAATCGAAGGCGTCGACGTACAATACAATGACAAAGGAGGAAATTTGAAGGAAGTTACTTACGAAGTATGTGTCCATTGTTTGCTTTAGTCTTGACCTTTACAACTAACAATTAGCTTGCTGATCCGTCGAAGAAGCCTAAAAAGGAGAAACGTAAAAATGCTGGTGACAAAGCTAGTAAGAAGAATGCTAAAAAGCCAAAACTCGACTCCGAGAGGAAGGAAGCTCCTTCTTCCGACGATCAAGTTAACGAGAAAAATGAATTTGCAGCCCTTGCTTCAAATGAGGAAGATTTAGAGAAAAATGTTGATGTCTCAGCTTGGTCAAAATGGCATTTGTCCCCTGAAATGCTGGGATCTTTATCTCGCATTGGATTTTCTACTCCTACCCCCATTCAATCACTTGTTGTTCCGGAAGCGACCGCTGGAAAGGATATTGTTGGTAAAGCTGCAACTGGATCTGGTAAGAGTTTGGCGTTTGCCATTCCGATTATGGAACATTGTTTGAACGTGTTAGACACCAAGCAAGTTCAAGCTCTCGTAATAGCCCCCACAAGAGAATTGGCCCATCAATTATTGGAACACTTTGAAAAAGTCAAGCCAGATTCAAGTTTACGAATCATGGCTATCACTGGTGGCCTTGCCGTTCAAAAACAACAACGTTTACTCAGTAAACATCCCCATATAGTGATAGCCACACCAGGAAGATTGTGGTCGGTAATTAATGACAATAACTTAACCGAGAATTTTAAAAAAATCAAAATTCTTGTTCTCGACGAAGCCGACCGTCTGTTACAGAAGAGCCATTTTGAAGATTTGCAGAAACTTATGGACGTATTGGGAAATCCAAAACATACAAACCGACAGACGCTAATTTTCTCGGCTACGTTGGATGATCATCTTCAACAGAGATTGAGCAAGAAAGTTCAGGCCGACTCATCTGATGAAACAAGCCCTTTTGGTAAGTGATATAAGGTTTTTTACTACTTAAATTACTAATCTTTTAAAGAAAACTTGTTAAAACAAGTTAAATTTTTGGGAGAACCCGCGATTCTGGATGCTGATCCAGAAACGACGGTAGCCACTCGCGTTCTTGAAGGATTATTAGAGTGTTCTCCGAAGGAAAAGGACCTGCATTTATACTATTTGCTTTTACGATATCCTGGAAAAACTATGGTTTTTGCTAACGGTATTGATGATATTAAGCGAATTTCACCGTTCTTGAATGAGTTGAGAGTGGAAGCTTATCCTTTACACGCTCAGTTGGATCAGAAGAAACGCTTACAGTCTTTGGAAAGGTATTGTACTGAAAAGAGCCTAGGGATAGTGAACTAACTGTAAAAAAAAACAGGTTTAAAAAGAATCCGAAAGGAGTGTTAATTTGTACAGACGTTGCGGCCCGTGGTATCGACGTACCAAGTGTTTCTCATGTCATCCACTACCACGTTCCTCATACTGCTGATATGTATATTCATCGTAGCGGTCGTACAGCTCGTGCAAATGAGGACGGCGTTTCCATATTGATGTGCGGTCCTAAAGAGTTGTCGCAATTCAAACGTCTCCTTTTCAAGTTAAAACGTAAATTAGAAGAGTTTCCAAGTTTTCCTATCGACATGAGTCTTCTTGGAGTATTAAAGCCTCGAGTTGAGTTATCACATAAAATCGCAGATCTTACTCGAAAGGCTGGAAAGCTCGGACGAGAGGAAGCCTGGCTTAAAGCTGCAGCTGAGGAGTTGGGCGTTGAAAGCTCAGAAGATGAAGATCCTGATAACCCAAAGTAAGTTACATGTCTTTGTAGTTATAGCTACTAACCATTAGGGAATCTTCGCATAGTAAAAGAAACAATCAAGTTGCTCAATATCGTTCGCAGCTTAATTACTTATTGAATCAAAGGATCCAAACCGGTTTTTCTGGGAAATATTTAACAAGCGGTCTCACAAATATGGCTGAAAAGTTACTAAACGGGCAGCACCATCAGAACATCCTTGGAACTGATCCTGTTACCGCATTGGATGTTTTGCGGAAAAAGGGCAAAAAGCAATCTTAAAACGGAAGTATTTTTGGTTTATGGTTTTTGGTATGGTTGTAATCTGGTTTGGTAAAAAAAAAAAATAGATAAAGTTACATAACACTAATAGACTTCGTGCATGACTGGAAGTTTGTTGTAGATACTTCTGCTATACAACATGTAAATTTTCTTATGAATATATTGTACATCATTAAGCCTTAAAGCCATCATAAATACTCATTGTGGAATTCTCACTGATTATTAAGAGTACTTTCTTGAAAAAACATTTGATTAACCATGGAAACTGTATCACCGAGTATGCTAACTAACATTAAATTTGAAAGAGCATAAATAATAAATAAATAAAAATAACCGAAATTTATTGGAATTCCCAAAATTATTGTCCTAATTATAGGTTTAATTCATTCAGTATTCGACTAGCCAAAGTTTTGTATTGCCAAGAATTTCCACTAATACGGTGAAATGAAATGCCCCTCAAAGATAGAATAGGCACTTTCACGATATATATTTCAAAAGTAAGGACCGAAGGTACTAAATTCTCAGTATTCCCTACTTGTGCATTATCCGGGACGTATCCGTAGGAATCAGTTGAAAAATTTGACCCATTAGAGGGATGACGACGAGGTACATTGAAACTGGCTTTAGCAGGCGTAGAAGGAAGAGTACTGGGAGTATTACCTTGAGGTCTGTAACAACAAGAATAACCGCCTTTAATTTCCTTATATTCGATATCCAACAATTCCATGACGCGAATTAAGTCACGCTGTATACTTTCTGTATTTTTTGTTGAGGTCGTTGAAACACTAAATAAACCTTTTAAGAAAACTGGTTTGATTGGGTCAATCCTTTCTTGCGATTTCGCTTTCGCATGTTTGTCAAGGGGTTGACCCATCGTATCATTTAGAACTTGTTTTTGCTTAAAAGTAGCATCAGCTACTTTCCCGCGACCTAAAGATGCACCTCTCGGATTTAATAGCCTATTGTGTTGAATCGCTGGCGGGACCCCGCCAGTCAGAGTTTTATCGCTGATAGGCGAATTTAACATTTTATCAACGCCAGCATACCTTCCTTCGCGAACAGAAGTTGAGCGTCCTATATTTCCAGAATTCAAAGCTTTATTTTTGTAGGAAACGGGAGGTTTGGAACCCATTTTCGTTCGGGAAACAACTGGAGATTGAGTGGCCTCAAGAGGAGCACTAATCTGAAGAGTAGAAGTAGAAGATCGTGTAGAACTCGAAGATCTACTTTGTTTGCGACGACTAGAAAATCTTCGGAAAATACTTGATGACTTTTTCTCCAGTGTAGAGGGTGAAGACATGTTTGATTGAGTCTCAGGAGAATGTTTGCCTCGCATGAGAGATAACTTTCCTGTTAAACCCGACAGCTCATCATCATTATATTCATTTCCTTTGGAAATAATCTTATTGTCTGAAAGTTCAGGCATAGGAGGGAGTGATCGACTAAAACTTTGTGTCTGAATCGGTGAAGACGGAACGCTTGAGACCGGGGTTTTCACATATCTATTCCAGCTTCCACGCTTGTCATATTGTTGTCTTTCCAAGACGAGATAGTATATCGATATTAATGGATGGAAAGCATCATATATATTTGAGTTAATAGAGAGAGAAGGTAAAATGGGATTTTCGATGTCTTGCGCAGCATGGCGGACACGAAATTCAAAAAAATTCTTCTTTTTTTCAGCGGATATAGGACCGGAGTAAAAGCCTGTTTTGGCCAAAGATTGATAAGCTTCACTACTAACAACTTTAGTGAGTTCACGACTTATTTTCTCAGGTGGGCCAAAGTCAAAACCATTCATTTCCTTAATTATGGTTTGGTCTAATGGTAAGGTAATTGGTGATCTTTCAGGAGCAAAGGATTCTGGTGGACTATCATAGCCACGATTCATCCAAGGATGATTCAGTATCTCATCCAAACTGGCGCGTTTCAAAGGATCAGTAACTAACATTCGGGAAAGCAAACTTTTGCAGTCGGCACTGAGATAGGCTGGATACTCTACAGAACCCTTTTTAATTTTAGCATGCAATGCTGACATGTTTTGATCATCAAAAGGCACTTTTCCGCAAACAAGTACATATAGTACGATACCAAAACTCCAAATATCTACTTCAGGTCCAATATACGGTTGAGCACTCAAGAGTTCTGGAGCAGCGAAATATAAAGAGCCACAGAAGGTTCGCAGCCGAGACTGCCGCATATACAAATTAGAAAGACCAAAATCAATAATTTTTATATCGCCATTTTTTGAAATGAGTATGTTTTCTATTTTCAGGTCGCGATGGACGATAGAGTTATGGTGCAAATACTTAAGGGAACTTCCAATTTGACGGACAAATTTACGTGCCTGCTTTTCCTTTAATTTACCATGAGATATAATATAGTCAAGCATTTGGCCACCGTCCACGAATTCAAATGCGATGTAATAGTGGCTGCTTGTAATGTAAACATCCCTTGCTTCACAAATATACGGATGTCGTAGCAGTGTTGACAAGGCAGCTTCTCGAACCGTACGGATTTCCCTGTTCTTTTCTGACTGAGCAGCCTTGAGGGCCTCCTGACTCGAGACCTTTGATTTTTGACAATCAAGGTTCTGCCGTACAACAATCTTTATAGCTACTTGTTCTCCGGTCTTTATATGATGTGCAGCTTTCACTTTTCCCATACTTCCAGCGCCGATGGTTTTACCAAGCACATAATTTCCGATAACTTTTCTTCGTTCCCGGGATTTATCATCTGAATGGATAAGAGGGGTAGAACCAGGAACACGAAGGCCATGATCTCTCGAGCGAATAGGAGATGTGGGTAAGGGCTTGCGAGTAGATGCGGAGCGTTTAGGACCCATTGTCGAGGCAGAGACGGGAGGCGAGAATGGTAAACCAACGGGATCTACGGAAGACTTAGGCTGAGTTTGATGAGAAGGTGTTTGCATAAAGGCGTCAATTAGATTAGGGTGACGATTAGAGGGATCAGAAATTTTGATTTTAGGGAGAGCACTCATCGCCGCGGCTCTTTTGGAGCTGGCGGCGGGAACTCCGTGAATATGATTATCCATTTTAAATGTCAAACGTCAATTAAGCGTGAAAGAAAAATCAAAACGAGAAAGCAATTTTGAATAACAGAAATAAAATAAAATAAGGCGGAAACGGAAACCAGAAATAACGAAAAGAATAAACTAATTATTCTAAATAATTATGATACTGAATAATAATTAGTAAGTAAACCTACTTAAATGAACTTGAGCTCTTTAAAAAGGAACGAAAGACAATGCTGATGCTGGGAGTGTAAAAATCACAAAAAAATAAATAAAACGAACAACGTAAAAAGGTGGATCAGAAGTTGTACAGATCTCAAGCAAAATGGTACCGCAAAAGAAAGTCACCGTTGCCGGGAAATATACTAAGTATCAACTGATGATCAACGAATTGCAATGTAGTTTAGAGAAATCGACAGATTGGATTAGGAAGGTCGAAAGTAAAAAGTAGTAAAAAGACCACTTGGAAATAAAATAATAAGGATCAATTTTTATAGGCCCCAGGCAGAATGATTGCGCATGTCAATAATCACTGCAGAACGACCGTCTGTAAACTGTCAGCAAATCTACAATCAAGTCAATGTTTTTCAAGCATATGAAATTGGTTCTCAAGCTTTCCAATAACTTTTATAATAAGTAAGAATAAAACAAAAGTACTCTTGAATGTACAATTCGTTTATTGATACTAAAGAATCTTGGGTTTCCTGGTTTTAAGGAAGTGGGTGGTGAACGGTCCAAACTACCTGGTAAGACATTTAATTCCAGAATGACAATCCTACGATTACGTTATCCACGGAAGTGTAAACAAAACAAATAGAAATTTAAAAAATAATGTTAATTGATGAAAATTGCTTGTTTTTCGTAAAAACATTTTAGAAAGTACTCATTTTGTACATAAAATAATCAATTTTCATCAGTTTCATCAAAATTGATTTTTCACGTAGAGATATATAACTCTCATGGTTCTTGAATATTATAATTCATTTTCCTACTAAAAGATATACAAATGTGTCTTAGAGTTTGGAATTCCAGGGATTTGTAAGAGCAAATTGGTTTATTTTCTTGGTGTATAGTGGTTTGTGATGTTTTATTTCCATTAAAAACTTTTGTATGCGCCTACAGTTCTTTCCAATAAAATCACTCATTAAATACTTTCTTTTTATTTTTTTATTGTAGTTCATTGTAAAATTTGTCAATGAACTTTTTTATTTTATTTAATTTTTTTTTCTTCCTACTATTTCACTGTATTTATTTATATATAGCAGAGTTCATCTACGTTAAGTATCGTAATATGTATTTAATAATATAATAAGGTGCTGAAACGAGAAATGAATGCTCACAGCTATTGTCATAAAACGTTCCTACCACAAGGTATAACATAGAAAGATACTTGATCAGCTTTCTATGCGTGTATAGCGATCATATTTTAGGTAAATAACATAAGAGAGTCATCAGGTATAATTGTACTTGCTAATTGTGCCGTTTGACCCATTCCTATTTATTCTTTCTGTTATCTTCACTTTCATTTCCGTCAATTAATTTTTGGTTTTTTCGTTTTATTTCGCGTATTAGTTTTTGTTTTCAAATTTCTTTTCACTTGTTGATTCTATTTTAGCACATAGAGTTCCAATCTTCTATTGCTTGCTGTTTTCTTAACACATTCTATATTCACATATATATTTTTTGCACTATGACGACGCTTCTTCTTACGGTGTTTATTTCTTTAGCTTCGCTCGTTCTAGCTTCTCGGCCTCAGCAACAGTTTTTGGATCTGCATTCTTTTGATCACGCTATCCCTCTACAATGGAAATGGCTTGGTACTGTAGACACTGACCAAAAGACTCTTTCTTTAACAGACAAAACATCTCAAACCGGAGAGGACAGATATGGTGCCCTCTGGGCCAATACACCTCTTTCAGAAGATAGATGGCGCATGCAAACATCTTATGTTGCCCATGCTAGTGAAAACGATGCAGTAAAGTTTGGACTTTGGTACACCAATGAGCCTAGCCCTGAAGGTCCCATTTGTGGTTCATCCGATGGATGGGACGGTCTTTTGATCCAACAAGAAGTTGATCTTACTGGTAAACTCATCGTCCGCGCACTTTTGAACGATAGATCGATTTCTTTGTCACAGTTCTCTGATCCAGACCTCGTAGCATTCGCAAAATGCACTTTCGAAGATATGTCCGATAAGCTTATAGTGGCTGATCTAGCTTACGACGAAGAAAATGGTCTTTCTCTGCTCATCAATCAACAAACGTGTTTTTCATCGAAAGAAATCTTGTTGCCTAAAGGTTATTTCCTTGGTCTCTCTTCCACAACATCATCTGCAAAACAGAATATTGTTTTATCCAACATTAATGTATTGAGTTCAAATCACTTTATGACCAATCAGCCTCTTTTCAAGTCTGAAAAAGCACCTGTCGTTCAAACGCATAACGAACCCACCCGTGACGGAGACTCGCAAATAATTAGTGCCTTGCAAACCGAAGTACAAAAGCTTTCTTCTGAGATTATTTCTTTGAATCAACGTTTAAAGGATTTGCATGTCACAACAGCCGGTTCGTTGGATCGTCTAAACAGTCTTTCTAGCAGTCAAGTCTCTAGTGATAGACTTCAGGAACTTGAAAATCGCCTAAAAACTGTACTGACTACCTATTCTTCTGATTCAGAATCTGTTGCTGCGCGTCTAACCAAATTTGAAAAAGATCTTGCAAGTACTGTGGCCAAGTCTTCTTCTCATCTTAATTTCACCAACGTTCTCATCGTTGTCATTCTTGGTGTCATCGTTTCCTATGGAGTTGTGCTCGTTCGACGAGAGCGACGTCGTCACAAGTACCTTTAAAGTCATGAAACCAAGCAAACATGTATATATGAACGAATGTCACGGTACCTTTTCCCTTTTTACAAAAATGTTACCTATGTCAGCTTTTCGTGAATCATGATACATTCTAACATTGTGTTAATAAAAGCGTTAAGCATGTAACACCCTTCTTTACACACTTTTTTATGTAGTGGATGACCCAAGTAAAAGGTCCTTACTATTTACAAAGCCAAGAATTTAACTAGTTTTCAAGTACTATATAACAAAAAGCATTTTTATTACGACCATTATTACGCCTTATTCCAAACTCATTGTATTTAAAGGAATCCAATGCGGTTAGCGACGTCGAGAGCATCGGCTTCAGCAGAGAGCTTAACGAATGCCTTTTTGGTACCATTGGGACGAACCATGGTGTTGATCTTGACAGCATCAACGTCGTACAACTTCTTAACGGCGGCCTTGATAGTGTTCTTGTTAGCGCGCATGTGAACACAGAAGACAAGGGTGTTATCGTCTTCAATCTTCTTCATGGCAGACTCGGAGTTGATGGGATTGTCAATGATCTTAAATTCGTCAAGACGAGGAGCGTGAGCAACACTCTTGCGGGCATATTTGGGCTTGCGTGAAAGCTGAAGAGTTTTAGGTCTAAAAAGGAGTTAATGCTTGAACTTTTCGAAAGCAAAAAAACAATTCTCCAACGTAGTCATGGACACTCAAAATCAGTTTCACCACATTGGAATAAAATTACACAAAATTTTCGCCTAAAAATAGTACTTACCTACGGAAGGTTGTAGAGGTACGAACCTTTCGAGCAACCTTATTGTGAATGCCCTTTTGAACGGCCTTTTGTGCTCCTTGTGCTTTGCCAACGCTCATTTTAGACTCTGGTAAACACACTAATCAGTCTTGGTAGTTTCATAACCGCCGTTACTCTTTTCTGAAAACCAGTCACTAGCCCTACCCTATGCTTTAATTAACGAGTCTTTCGTTTGATTTCACAAAACTAAATCTTTTAGCCTTCGCTTATATCGCCACAGATCGCTGTCTTTACTGATCTCGCTTTATATTGAGAGTGATTCACAAACATCAAACGTATCCTTCTCCATTCACATCTTGTCGAACTTGACCTTCTTGCAAGGGATTATTGAGTGAATTCTTGGATTAATATTGGTTTTATATTTTGGAAACTTTTTGAACAGCTGTGAAGATAAGATACAGCATATCATAAAACATCTCGTGGTTTGAAAATTTCCGTTGTCTCGACATAAGAACATCTATATTACATTCTTTTCATTGACTGTAAATATATAGCGTGAATTCATTCTTTTCTTTTTAAAAAAAATTTGGATATTTTAAATAAAAAATAAGAAGGATGAGCACCAATTTTGAAAAAATCGCTCATGTTGCTAGAGGGATGCTGAAGGATCCTTCCAAAAAGTACAAGCCTTTCCAGGGTGTGCATTTGCCTAATCGACAATGGCCTGGTCGTGTTATTACCAAGGCACCTAGATGGTTGTCCACCGACTTGCGTGATGGCAACCAAGCTTTGCCTGATCCCATGAATGGCGAGGAAAAGTTGAAGTATTTTAAGCTTTTGTGCAACCTCGGATTTAAAGAAATTGAAGTTGGATTCCCTAGTGCTTCTCAAACGGATTTCGCTTTTGTTCGTCATTTGGTTGAAACTCCTGGTTTGATTCCTGAGGATGTCACAATCTCTGCTCTTTCGCCTTCTCGTGAGCACTTGATTAATCGTACCATTGAGGCTCTTCGAGGCTCCAAAAATGCTACTTTGCACTTGTACAATGCCGTATCTCCTTTGTTCCGTGACGTTGTATTCCGTAACTCCAGGCAAGAAACCTTAGAGCTTGCAAAGAAGGGTGCAAGGGCTGTCACTATGGCTACAAAGCATGCTGCTGAATCTACACCAACCAATTGGGGTTTTCAGTACTCTCCGGAAACATTTTCCGATGCCGAACCTGATTTCTCTTTGGAAGTCTGTGAGGCTGTAAAGTCTATTTGGAATCCTTCTACTGCTAAACCCATCATCTTCAACTTGCCTGCTACCGTCGAAATGTCTACCCCAAACACATATGCCGATTTAATTGAATACTTCTCCACCAAGATCAGCGAGCGTGAAAAGGTTTGCGTTTCTCTTCATCCCCACAACGACCGTGGTACTGCTGTTGCTGCTGCCGAACTTGGTCAGTTGGCAGGTGCTGACCGCGTTGAAGGCTGTTTGTTTGGTAATGGTGAACGAACAGGTAACGTTGACTTGGTGACCTTGGCATTCAACTTGTATACCCAGGGTGTCTCTCCCAACTTGGACTTTTCCAAGTTGGATGAAGTAATCCGTATCACGGAAGCTTGCAACAAGATTAACGTCCATCCCCGTCATCCTTATGCTGGTAACCTTGTTTTCACCGCCTTCTCTGGATCTCACCAAGACGCTATTTCCAAGGGTTTGAGAGCATACGACGATCGTAAGAACGTTGACCCTACCTGGAAGGTTCCATACTTGCCTTTGGACCCTCACGACGTGAACTCTGAATATGCCGCTATTATCCGTGTCAACTCTCAATCCGGTAAGGGTGGTGTTGCCTATTTGTTAAAGACCAACCGTGGTCTTGACTTGCCTCGTGCCTTGCAAGTTGAATTTGGTGCAGTTGTGAAGGATTATAGTGACAACAAGGGCAAGGAATTGACTATTGGAGAGATCAGCGACTTGTTCAACACCACTTATTTCCTTGAATTCCCTGGCCGCTTCTCCTTGGACGACTATACCTTGAGCAGCAATGGTCCCAGAAGCAAGTCTATCAGCTGCGTGGTTGATGTAAAGGGAAAGAATGCTGGTCGCTGTGTGATTGAAGGTAGTGGCAACGGTCCTATGTCTGCAGTTGTAGATGCCATGCGTCGTCAATTCAACATTGCTTTTGATATTGGACAATACTCTGAACATGCTATCGGATCCGGAAACTCAGTCAAGGCAGCTTCTTATGTGGAGATCAAGTGCAACAACAATTCCTTCTGGGGTGTTGGTATCGATGATGACGTTACTTCCTCTGGTTTGAAGGCTGTCATGTCAGCAATTAGCCGTGCTGCTACAGAAGTTGCAAAGTAAGACGAATCGGATCTTACAGTGCAGCTCGACGACGACGTACTACACGTTGGAAAGAAGAAACAATACAGAAAAAAAAGAAAGAAAAGGAGAAAAAGAAAAAGTAACAAATATTGTCTATATGTGTATTTTTCAAAGGCTTGCTTTCTATAATTTCTGTAATTCGAAACGTTTTTATGTGAGTTGATCCATGTGCGTATGACTTTTTTGCGAATAACAAGCAAGCAGCACATGAAAAGCTCCAGAAAGTATAATGAAGGAGTATGTGGTTTGTTATTATATAATGTATAGTTTTTACTTCTTTATTTATTTTTATTTGTTTATAATTTCTTTTTATTTTTCCTCACATAATCTATAGTAGTACCTTGTGCTCAATTGTAGTGAAGTGTTTTCTGTCTTGTCTGCATATGAGATGGATACGAACTAGGCAAAGAAGAACATGGAAGCATAGCAACAACTTGCATAGTAAAACCATGGTCGACTGCATAACGGTGGTAAACAGTGATTTCCCACGTTAGACGTTGATTTATTTACTTATGCACCTATAAGCATTCTAGGTAAAGTAAGAATGTATTTCATAAAAAAGAAAAGAAATAGAAACAATAATAAGCATAATACGTTGTATGGTAGGAAAAGATCCAATTTAGGAATATCTGATTAAAAACCTGAATACGGAAATTAAGTGAAAATTACTGTTACTCATGCTACCTCGGAGTAGCAAGGTCCGCTGTTACCCGTACCGAACCTTCGCGGCGGCCGTAAGATACAGTTTCGCTTAGCATTATATATTTTTCCCACCATGACCCAAGGTAAACAGAGCAGTGTGCCTAGCAGATCCAAAGTATCCTAGAACACACCACTTCTTGAGGATGACAGGGAGCGCAATGGCTGGACCAACGCCCGAAACTCAATATCAAAGAACTTTAAGAAATGTAAGTAAAGAAATAAAAGAAAGCATTATTGGCAAGTATGCTCTGGTGAGATTTTAAAAGGAATAGATGCATATAGAAAGGAATAAGTGTGTTTATATGCAGAGCTATGAGGAAGAAGAAGAAAATTAAATATTTTTTGAAAAAAAGTGGAAAAAAGACAGAATGCTAATAAATGCAATGATTAGATTCCAGGAACATCTGCCGGATCGTTTTTGACTATGCCTAGACAATCCAGAGGAAGACGTCGTTTGCGTTCCAAATCGTTTGTTGGACGTACTGCTCAAGCAGCAGTTCAAAAGAGTAAGCAAAGAACTTGGATCATTCCACTGATTCTTCTCGTTATTTGCATCGGATGGTATTTGTTGGACCCATCAGGAAGTCCGATTCGATACGGAATATTCATAAGTTACCCAGTTCCAGGTACATCTCCCGTGCAATATGGCAAAGGACCGTTAGATATAGCATTTTGTATATTCTATGCTTTGGTGTTTAGCTTTACCAGGGAGTTTATTATGCAGGAAATCTTAGAACCATTGGGTAGACACTTTCATATTCACAAGCAAAACAAACTTCGTCGTTTTGAAGAGCAGGCTTATACTTTTCTCTACTTCACCATGATGGGTATTTGGGGTTTGCATGTTATGAAGCAGACTCCTATTTGGTATTTCAACACAGATGCATTTTGGGAAACGTACCCTCACTTTACTCATTTTGCATCGTTCAAGGCGTTTTATCTTGTTGAAGCTTCTTACTGGATTCAACAGGCTCTAGTTTTGGTTCTGCAATTAGAGAAACCCAGAAAGGATTTCAAAGAACTCGTTATGCATCACATCATCACTTTGCTTTTGATAGGCTGTAGTTATTACTTCCATTTCACATGGATTGGTTTGGCTGTGTTTATCACCATGGATACGTCGGATATTCTGCTCGCCTTTACCAAATGTCTCAACTATCTCAACGTGTCTTTTGTGTATGTATCCTATTTAATTTTCGTATTTTTGTGGATTTATATGCGCCACTACCTCAGTTTGAAAATTATTTGGTCCGTCTTGACCTCTATGGCGACTATCAATTCTTTTGAATTGAATTGGTCGGCACAATACTATAAGTGTTGGATTTCTCAATATGGTACTGCTTTCTTACTGATATCTCTGCAACTTGTGAACCTTTACTGGTTATTTTTAATCCTTCGTATCGGTTATAGAGCATTTACTACCCAAGACACTCATGATGAAAGGAGCGACGACGAGGATGAACACAGTCCTGAACCACAGGATTCCGATGGTAAGAAGGAGAAATAGAGTTTTCTACTTTTACACTCTAGTTTTCTTTTTATCCGTAACTTTATTTTTGTATTGATCGGTTGTGCTATATTGTTGGATAAGACTTTGGTATTATTTCGTTTAGGGAAACATGGATAAAGACTTATAGAAAGAAACGACAAAAAAACTTCACATCGCACATTTGTTGCTCCGTCGCTCACTCCTACAGTAAGGCCGCTGAGTTTTTGCTTCTTATTGCTTTTGTTTTATTTACAAGTATGAGCTCGTGAAAACCGCGAGTTCATGATTTTAGTCTTCAAACTGTTTAGTTCTTGGTAGTATATAAAGAATGGTTTCTTATACAACGTTGAATTCTGGACAGTGAAAAGACATACCATATTTTTTAGTCCTTTAGTTTTTATAGAAATAAAAAAGTGTTTCATTATCATTATTTTACAAGAGTTCTCACAGACAGAGAATGGGACACGTATCATGAAAATCCACCAGATGATAGATTCTACAGAAGGTATATGAATGAAAAAAAAAACAAAATTCACCAAACCAATGCGGTGTGTCTATGTGTATGTAAACGCTGAAAGCTGAAAAGGGAAAAAGGTATTTCCAGCTTCTATTCCCTTGTTTCGGATTCCTCAAGGACTTTTTCACTGACCCAAAGAACGTTATTACAACTAGAAGGTTGGTTAGTTAAGACTGCAATGACAAGGTCAAGAAGGAGCAAGTTGTCAAGCCCGTTTTAATTTAAATTATTATTTTAACTTTTGTTCTAATTTCTTTTTTCTTCCTACCCATCAAATAGAGAAGAACTAGTAAAGAAAGGTGTCCAAAGTTCTTGAAGGATAGAAATTGACTTACCGGATAAAAATTTCGCCCAGATCGCCAGTTTTTTCACCATTTACCCATTCTGCAGCATTCAAGAGCTGAAGGTTCATGTAACTATCCACAGATTGGAGTGTTCCCTGGTATTCTTGACCCCATTTTAAACGAACGAGAGCAGGCTTTCCAATGAGCTCCTGTAAAAAGGGTTTGGGATTGACTGGGACAAATGACATTTTTCTACAGCTATCAAGAACAGGTGTCCCTTTTCTTGTGCTCGTGCTTGGAAAAGGTCGTCTTTATTTTTTCAATGTGTTAAAGAAAGCGTAAGCCCAGTTTTTGGTGTATGTCGTTTAGCGAGGGTGGACGCAAACACGCTAAATGTCGTTTCAGATTATCTTTAGAAAGAACGAAAGAAATGGAAGAGGAAATTAGAGGTTTTTTATTCCGAAGAATTGTTCTTAGAATCTTGTCGTTTTACAATATAACGATTCAAGTGTTCTTACCATTTCGCACTCTTTCTCTGTGATGCCTTTGCAAACTGTACATAGAAAGAGCATGTATTGTTTACTAACCAAGTAAGATTAATACCTCATATAGAAGTCAATTTCAATATTCGGATTTTCCAATGCATAACTGAAACAATAAGAGTCCTATATTTTAAAAAACAAACGAACAGCCCTTTTCAACCCACTTTTTACTAGTTTTATTGAATTTCTTGTATATGCACTGTTTACCGAAGTCTACTGAGATATAAGGTACGTCTTGGAGGGTCCCTATTTACGATGCACGTAAACGCTAGTTGTAGTCACCTAAACATGCCTTTGAACACAACCATCTTTAATTAAACAGGTTATTATTTTCAGAATTATCTTTTGATTCGTTACGATTAGTATACTTCGAGTTGAGGAAATATGGAAAAAAATCAAGCACGAGAAGAGCGTCTAAAGATGCTTCGTGAACGCACGGTACGTTAGGATGCAAGTTTAAAAGTCTTTGAAGAAATAACTAACTTTTTGGATTAGAGACAATCAACTCATGAAAATCGAAAAGAATTGGTAAAAGAGAGCGCAAGAGAGAAAGTAGATCCTTCTCTAGAGCACCGGTTAGAACGAAAACGTTTGGAGGCAGAAGAGGAATTGGCAAGAATAGAAGCTGAAGAGAACGGAGAAGATTATGATCGAAAACGTGCTTGGGACTGGACGATTGAAGAAAGTGAAAAGTGGGATCAACGGATTCGCCGAAAACAGCAAACAAAGAAAGCAGCAGATTTTACAGACTACCATGAACAAGCTCAAAAAGATTACATGAGAGGTATACGCGAACTGAAACCCGATTTGCAAAAGTACAGGAACGAAAAAGAACAGCAAAACGATCAAAATTCCGTTTCGCTGTATGACGAAGCTGACCGACTCGATTGGGTCAACAATAAACCCGATAAAGAGAAAGTCGACCGCTTAGTCGAGGACATTCAAAAGCAAGACATGCGACGACAAAAGAATAACAAACGAAAGGGACAAGGCAACGAAGATCACATCACTTTCATCAATGAACGGAATCGTAAATTCAACCTCAAACTTCAAAGATTTTACTCCAGATACACAAAGAACATTCAGGAAGATTTGGAACGAGGTACTGCTTTATAATTCCGCTTTTTTCCTCCTTTACTTTTATTTTTATTTTTAAAATTTAATTCGGGGATCAGAATAGCGCAGCTGAAGGAGGTGCACCGATAAAGCGATTGCTGGAAGAGGCTGGTAGTCAACCATTTACATTTCTCTTAATTCGTTTCCGTGGCTGGTATCGTATGTTGGGCTGGCCCAAGACCATGAGGTTGGTGTAGTATTTATATATCTTGTTGGCAATGTTGCTGTTTAACTGAATTGTTTTTGTCGAAACTGGGTTGGACATGTCAATGTCGAAATTCGCTTCGAAGGTTCAGCTTCCTTCTCCTCTTGCATTTAAAACAAAGTCTACGGAAAAAACTGCTTCTACCGATGTTGCCATTCACCAGGATAGTCCCATTGGCGAAGTGAATCCGCTACACGATATTTCTGTAGAGACTTCTTCCCCCGGTGCAACTAGTCGTTGGTCTCTCTCATCCGCTTCCAATGCGAGTTTTGAGAGTCTTCTTTCTGATCAAGTTTCCGTGCTTTCTTTCTTAGATTGCCCTGTAGACGATTGCTTGAGTTTAGCGAATCCGCCCAGTTTACAGAATCCCAGTGAATCCTCAAGCGCACATTCACGAACTTCAAGTAGCTGGAGTGAGAGGTTATCCAAATTTTCCAAACATTCTCCCAAATCATCTCTTTCAAGACATTCTCCGAAAAACTCTGTTTCTTCTTCCATTGCCGCAGTTTCCTCAACCTCTTCCAGTAAGCCTCTGTCCCGTGATCCGCAAAGTAATAAATCGCATGGCATTCGAAAGCATCTTTCTCGGGCTAAACAGTTGGTAAAAGACGTTTGTGAAAGTGTCAAACATATAGGATCCGATAATGATTCGGATTATCTCGCAACCGTATGCTTCGACAATAAGAACACTCCAAAGGCTGTTATTGATGTCAATCATGATACTGAAGATCACAAAGAAGATACTCATACTGATACTTATGGACCCGTCGACATCAATAATATGGATTCATTGGTAGATCTGGCTATTGCTTTAAAAAAAGAAAGAAAAATTGAAGATGCTATTGAAATTTTGGAGTTCATAATGCCTCGCGTGTCTGCCTCCCATAATTTTGTTCCATACGAATTAGCCGAATTATATAAAATACGAGGTAACACTAGCGATTTGAAGAACATTTTCCGTTTACATGTCTTAGCTGCATCTTTAGGTCAAGAGAAAAGTGCATTCTTCGTTGCTGACGCTTACTTTTATGGTACCTACGGTGCGCACGAAAATACCTTACGGGCTTTGCAGTATTATCATTTGGCAACGGATAAGAGCAATCCAGATGCAATGCTGGCATTGTGCAAACTATATTTAAAAGGCTTACCGGGCCACATTCAAGCTAATAGTCGAAGGGCATTTGAATACGCTCACCGTGCAGCTATGTTAGGATACGCACCGGCTTGCTATGTCCTTGGAAAGTTTTATGAAACCGGTATTGGATGCGAAAAAGATTTGGCTAAATCAGAAGCTGGATTTCGTGCTGGCCTTGCGAAATCGTCATGTATAACCGATGCTGACGCTTTACAAATAGCCATGACACTTGTCCTCCTTCAGTGAAGGAGAGCTAATTTTCTTAATTTCTAAATTTTAACCGTTTGATGCATCTTGGATTTAATATACCTCTGGTTGGCGTTTAGGTTCCGAAAGCAGCTGTGCTGCTTCATTTTTGATCTCTGTTACTCTGTTATTTTAGTTATATTTTGTATATTATAGTTTTTATTGTTTAGGTTAATGAAAGTTTTTAGTAGATCTTTGCTATTATTGTATCTTAATGCTCGTTATTTTCATTTAAACAAATATTGAAGTAGAACATTTTACTTTTGTATCGCATGCGTATTTTTTTTATTCAAATATCTATTCAGTTGTACTCCGGTTCACTTTGTATTATCAAGTGACCTCAGGTTATCGTTTTAACATTCCTCAATCTTTACCATTGAATAATTTCGACGACGTTTCATATGGACAACAAAACAGTGGATAAGGAGTATTATGAGATACTAAAAGTACCAGTGGATGCAGATTTTGATACTATAAAAAAATCATACCGGTAAGCAATCTTCATTGAGTATTTGCTAACCTCGGGAAGTCGTTTGGCAATTCGACTTCATCCTGATAAAAACCCAGATAACCCGGAGGAAGCACGAGAGAATTTTCAAAGAGTATGTTTCAAAAGTTAAAAAAGAAAAACTTGATATTTACCTACAAGTAAATTTGATGACATGTATACTAATTGAGCAACTAGTTGGGAGAAGCATACCAGGTCCTAAGCGATCCTCAATTACGAAAACAGTATGACCTTTATGGTAAAGAAGGTGCTGTACCTGAGGCGGGTTTTGCGGATGCATTTGAATTTTTCAGACAGCTTTTTGGAGGCGAATCCTTCAAAGATTACATTGGTGAGCTAAACCTGTTAAAAGAACTATGCAAATCAATGGAAGAATCTTCTTCTGAATATAAAGCTATCGAAGACGTTGATGAATCGAAGAAAAAGCTACAAGAAGAAGAATCGAGGCAGCAGGAATTACTATTGCAGGAACGAATTGATAATCTTTGTCATAATTTGGTAGATAAACTGTCTATATGGACAGAAACCGACATGTCCGAGTCAGTAACCAATGCCTTCAGAGAAAAAATGCGCTTGGAGGCTGAAATATTGAAGGAAGAATCATTCGGCGAAGAGCTACTGAATGCAATAGGGTCCACTTACCTTCAAAGAGCGAGAATTTTCCTTGAAAGCCAATCGTTTTTTGGAATCAAGGGTCTTTGGAGTAGCTTGAGAGCAAAGGGCTCACTTCTGAAGGATACTTGGAGTACAGTTGTCAGTGCAGTGGAAGTTCAAACAAAAGCAGAAGCCCTCGCAAAAGCAGAAGAGGAAGGAAGCAACTGGACGAAAGAAAAGAGAGAAGAAGCTGCCCGTGAATTAACTGGTAAAGTATTATCGGCAACTTGGAAAGGGACACGTTTCGAAGTTCAAAACGTCATTCGGAATGTTAGCGATAAAATTCTATTTGATAAGAATATTCCACAAGAGAAGCTCGTACAGCGTGCACATGCTTTATCCATGGTAGGAGAGGTATTCCTTTCTGTTGCTCCAAAACGAGAACGCGCAGATAATTATTTTGAAGAACTGCTAAATCAGCAAGCCCCATCACATGAGTAAAGAATGTACCTTTGCATTTGCTTAATTACTCAGTCATAGTTTCCAATATTTCAGTCTTACTTACTTTTTCGTATACTTATAGATCAACATAGGATATGTCTTCTTACGAAAACTCTTCTACGTTTTTGAATATTAATTTTTTTTATTTATTTTTTTTATAAAACTGATTCAAGTAATGTACTTTCATACTATTTCTTATTACTTAATTTATTTTAGGGGTCCACCAGGTGAGTTAGGTAAACGAGCTGTCAAAATTTCACAACCAGTTTCAGTAACAAGAAGAGTGTGTTCAAACTGAGCAGAACATTTACCAGAAGCAGTTGATGATGTCCAATCATCTGGCCAAGTAATGTCTCTCGCAGGGCCTAAAGTCAACATTGGCTCAATGGTAAATGTCATTCCAGGACGAGCAATCCCTGGGGCTTTGTTACGGGCATAATGGGGAATTGTTGGAGCACAGTGGAAAAGTTGATTCACTCCATGTCCACAGTATGTTCGAACGACTGAAAGGTTTACATCGGTAACAGACTTTGCATGTTTTTCAATAATGTTACCAAACTCTTGAAACATGACACCGGGTTTAATAGCCTCAATCGCCTTATCCAAAGCAATACGAGTATTCTCAACAAGGCTAACAAGTTCAGGATTACTCTTTGCCTTGTCACCGACATAATAAGTCTCATTCAAATCTGCGTGGAATCCATTGTGGTATATGCTGATATCCAAATTTATGATATCTCCATCCTGTAAAGGCCTCTGATCGGGAATACCATGACAAATAATTTCATTTATCGACGTGCAAACACTTTTTGGAAAGGCATAATAATTTAGAGTACTAGGATAACATTCACGTTCAATAGTAGCCTCATGAACGATACGATCAATTTCATCTGTAGTAACACCAGGACGAATAGCAGCAGCAGCGGTGTCAAGCACTTCACGACCAAGCCGGCAGACTATTCGCATTTGTTCTTGCTCTTCAGGAGACAAACGCTTGATTTTGAAGCTACGACCTTCAATTTGTTCACTACGAGAACTACCTGACTTCGCATAGTCAGGTCTCTTGATATGTTGTGGTACCTTACGAATAGGTGAAAGAGGATAATTAGCTCTAACAGACCCGGTATACTTGAATTTGGGGAAGGGATCATAAGTTCCGTCCTCTTTGTAATGTTAGTGCAAGATTTGGATTTTATGTGTCAGATTAAACTTACCTTTTTTAACAGCTCCAGGAGGAATGTGTAATTGCTTATGAATTGACTGTGAAACAGTTAGATCGACCGAGCTGACTGGAAAACATATTATGCTTGCTAACGTTAACTTACCCAGCTATTTTTAAAACAATCCTACAAATTGAGTTAGTAGTTGTTAATATATATATAATGTTGATTTTTATAAACAACTTACTTGTCCGCAAAAGAAGGAACTAGTGTTGTTGGCCAAACATTTTGGACATTGCAATTTATTCGCGAAATTATGGCAATCAATACCGGCGCATAATGTTTTAGCTGTTTCAGAAGCCATTTTGACTTAATCCAAAAATTGTATAGGGTTGTACTGCCTTTTTTTTGTGAGACACGATGTGACTCAATGGTTGGCTTCTGGCAAGTTGGAAAATTGCTCGGACTACATTAAGGTACAAATAGATCTACTGAAAAGAAATCTGAAAATTAGAGATGTGAAACCCAAGTTGTATATCAATATCAGTAAAGTAACAATTCACAACCAGCTTGTCTTTAGACGCAGTTTTTATTAATATTATAGCGATTGATTAATGCATTCTAAAATTAAAATGATTTCCTTTATAAGAAATAATTAATAAATTAATAAACAGAATAGCTTCGTGAATGAAGAAGTCTTTTCATGCCCGGATTTTTCATTTGAGAAACAGGGAGATTACCAGGGCGAGGTGATTGATCATCGTCTGATTTTTCGGTCACTTTGTATACCAAAGATGATTTCTTAGATGGCATTGAGTTAGAAAGAGGAGAAAGTCGTGGACCGTTTTCAGAATCATTTGAGTTAGTTACTTCTTGATAACCATCATTATAGTCAAATGCTTTAGAAGCAGAAGATGGTTGCAATAGAACGTTGTCATTGCCAACAGGGAAGTAGGATACTGCAATATATACCACTAACACGATTAAAAGAGTCAACTGGAGTACCAATAATCTTTTTTGAAAAGATGACTGAAGATAAGTTAGTTATCTTTACCGTAGAAAAAGTACAACTTACATCGTCACTCAGCGACTGAATTCTTCTTTGAACAAACTCATTTTCAGCAGAAGCCAACTCCAATCGAGCTTGTAGTATATAAAACGAAGACTGAAGTCTCTGGTATTGATATCGCTAGAAACATTAGAATTGAGTAACGTAACTTCAAAGCTTTCCTTACCATCTGATCAAATTCTTCCTTATGAGACACGATTATTTCGTTAAGTAAATCAGAAAGGTTTAATTGTTTCGTTTCGTGTTTCCCAAACGATGCCAATAGTTTTTGAATAGCTTCGTCAAATAACTTCTTTCTTTCTTCTAAAGTGGAAAGGCGTTTATTAATATTTTTATAAATACTTTCTTGATTCAAATGATGGGTCGTCGTAGGAAAAGGGGGTGATCCTGCTGCAGAAGAAGAGCTCATATTACTTGCGACAACTGAAGAAAACAAAGGATTGCTAACACGTTCTTTGTTGTTATTAACAATGCTTTGCTTTTCTTTTATCTCGCTGCTTTTTGTTGCCGTTGGACTTGAAGAGGCGCTATTTAAGATGGAGCTCGGAGACTCACTTTTATTTTCCACAGTGTTTAACATCGCAGTAGTCTGTTCAGGTGGTATAAACTGGCTGTTGTTTCTCGTGTTGGAATTTATTACGTCGGCTTGGTCATTTTGTGAAAGATCATAGTCATTGGAATATCCTTCTTCATTTTCTTCCTCAAATTCTTCAATCATGGTTTTACCGAATACATGAACCAAACTCAGTGGGCAGTAAAATTCAGAACCGTAATGACTTAAGATCTCGATCTTCATATACTTAGCCCAAATTAAAGGGTTTTCTATATGAAAAGACTGCAAGGTTCGTAAGTTCATTGCAGTGAAAGTGCCAAGCTCCATCCATGAAGATTCTTGTTTGGGGTACTTTCCACTAACACTAATACGAACTGTTCGAAAAATGCTTGAGAAAAACTCAAAATTAGCAATCTGAACTGTATCAACATAGATATCCTCACATAATTCTATAATGACAAATTTCTTTGTGGCCGAACACTTATTTAACATATATTTATCCTTGTTTTCAGTCAGGATAGACGAAGCACCTTCGGCTTCAACATTAGTTTTCAAAACAGCGGCGGCGCAGTCAGTGGAAGCAAAATTAAACCGTTTTTCTTCTGATGTTGTTACATGAGCTGCAGATTCGGTTTCAGGAGAAAAACCTTCTTTAAAAGAAGTACTTGTTCCGAAAGAAGTTTGGGAACGAGGAATAGCGGTATTCTCATCCGTACTTCTGCTGTTAACTTCATTTGGAATAGCGGTATTAATGGAGGCTTGAGGAATGGATCGTTCCAAGCTCGTAGATCTAATGTCGCTCCTGGCTGAAGAGGTTCCCGAAATATTTGTTATATTTTGCGTGGAAGCAGTTTTGTCATATAATTCTCTTTCAATGGAAGGAGTTGAAGTTTCAGCAACATTATATTGAGCTGGCACATCGGTTGTCTCAAAATATTTTAAAGTTTCCGATATTTCGTCGGAGCTTATATCTTCTTGTACATATTCAGAAGAGGGAGATTGGTCAGGTTCTTCATGAAAAATGCCTGAAAAGACCGAGAGGGTATTTTCGCACACAGCTGGTTCATAACTAATCAGTGCATTACAATATAAAAATAATAAATAAGAAGAGTATACAATAATTAAAAAAAGATACATTCGAGTACCTTTATAAGCTTCTGAAGACCGCTTGCATACAGGCCTTCAATGGAGGAGATGCAGTGTAAGTCTGCCACAACGTACTACTTTTTACTCACGAAAAACCAAAACTCGAATTGTGTTAACAAGAGCAAGAAGAGCCAGAAATGTCTTAATGCTCTTAAATTCTACGAATTCGTAAAGAATCGTTTGAGTACTGGTAATACAGAGAATTTAGTTTACTTTGCGGTGGCATTCGCGAACGCTGAAATCTTATTTTGATTCACAATTATAAGGAATTGGAAGTATGGGAGTTTCCGGTCTTTGGAACGTTCTTGAGCCCGTCAAAAGACCCGTGAAGCTTGAAACTCTCAACGACAAGAGACTAGCAGTGGATGCATCTATTTGGATATACCAATTTTTAAAAGCTGTACGTGATAAAGAGGGAAATCAGTTGAAAAGTAGCCACATTGTTGGTTTTTTTCGAAGAATATGTAAATTACTTTTCTTTGGTATCAAGCCTGTCTTCGTTTTTGATGGAGGCGCACCAGTCCTAAAGCGTCAAACTTTAAGGAAGCGTCAAGCAAGACGAGTCGACAGACAAGAAAATGCTTCTTTAACAGCTAATAAGATTTACGCTTTACAAATGAGGCATCAGGCCATTCGTCTCGAAGAGGAAAATCGTAAGGCAGAGGTTGAAGTGGATGCTTCTTCACAGGCAAAAAGTCAAAAGCTCTCTTCAATGTCCCTAGATAATAACGACATAAAGCCTGTCTTAAATAATCAGAAAAAGTATCTCAAACCAGATCCTTACCAATTGCCAGAGATGGATGTTTCTTTCGATAATTTAAACAGTGCTAAGGATCCTCGAGTCATGTCACAAGAGGAATTAACTAACTATGCACTGAATTTTGGCAATGTAGAAGATGTAAACTTGTTTGATTTCTCAAGTATTGATTTTGACTCAAGCATGTTCCGGTCTTTGCCTGACACGGATAAATATAGCATTCTTAGTGCGGCGCGGCTTCGGTCACGTTTCAGAATGGGTCTCAGTACTGATCAGTTGGCAGAAATGTTCCCAAATCGAATGGACTTTTCTCGCTTTCAAATTGAGCGATTAAAAGAAAGAAACGATTTAACCCAACGACTCATGGACTTTACTGGCATGAACCAATTCGGTCCGGGTCGAGTTGCAGGAGAAAAGAATAGAGAGTACATTTTGGTTAAAAATGAAGGCGCCGAGGGTGGTTGGGCCTTGGGTGTTATTTCTGGTACGGCAAAGAGTGATCCTATTGTCATCGACGAAGATGCAGTTAAGTTAAGCAGTACCGTAGGAGAAGATGAAGACGATGAAGAGTTTGATGATGTGCCTCTTCCGGTAACTCAGAAACAGATGAATCCTAGAGAACTGGTGGCAGCAAAATTGAGAGAGGTAAAAGAACACTCATTTGAAGAGGAGGATGACTCTGAAAATAGAGAGTTAGATGAGATAATGACGCAGCTAGCTACTCAGGAATCAATTGAATCCTATAACCGTGATGGAACAGCAAATTTATTCAACCTTTCGACTGAAGACATGGATAACATTCGGCGGGATATAGAAACAAATGAAGAAAAAACAAAACCTAATGATATTCTCCCTTTAGAAGAAGAGAATAAGAAATCCCATAGTCCTGAAGTTCAGTATTTTGAAAATGCCATCAACGCAAATGTGCCCCAAAAAGATGAACCTAAAGATTCAATTTTTATGGATGATTTACCGACATTTGTTAAGAAAGAAAGCGATCCCACTCTGGAACCTTTACCCTTTAAAGAAATGGATTGGGGGAAATCCCTGTTTTTTTCAGGACTTAAGGACAAAGCAACACCGCTAAAACAAGACAATAAAGATTCAGAAAAGAAAAATATGGAGTCTGAAAAAGCTTTCGGAGAAGCCCTAAACCTAGGTGCAATCTCAGAAAAATCTCTTACTGAAAATATCAGCGAATTCAACAATCAACGGTTTGAAAATGAGTCTAGTGGACAGTACCCGACTGAACAACAGAGAAACAAACCGTTTGAGGATGTCAATAATGAAACTGTACATACCAAGGAAGAATCACAAAATCTTGATTCAACGAAATCTTCTTCGCTTGAAAATAATGGACTTGATAAGTCCTCTCCTTTGCTAATTAAGGTGGATGAAGAAGACCATCCTTTTGAATATGTGAGGAACAAGGCTTCCCGTGGAGATATCGAACAACAAACAATGGTCAATATGGCTCAGAAAAATAATAATAAAGTTGAGGAGAAGGAAGATGCCACTGAAATAGGTAAGGAAGATTATTTCAGCGTGCATACTGATAGTTCCCAAAGAGTGTCAGACATTCATTCTGAAAAGAAAGGTACACCCGAACGTTTAATGGAAGAAAAAGCTACTTCAGAAGAAGATGATAACTTAGAAGTTGCCCAAAATTTAATGGACGAAGAAGAAGATGATATGATGATTCGCATGGCAGAAGAAGAAAAGGAATACGACAGATTTGTTTCTGAATTGAATAAGAAAGATACTGATTCTAACTGGGATCAAGAAGCTTTTGAAAAAAGGATCCATGAACTCAGAGTCCAAAAACGGACAGAAAAGCGTGATGCAGATGAAGTGACTCAAATGATGATTCGAGAGTGCCAAGAGCTACTTAGGCTTTTTGGTTTACCTTACATTGTTGCGCCACAAGAAGCTGAAGCGCAGTGTGCTAAATTACTTGAATTGAAATTGGTTGACGGTATAGTAACGGACGATTCAGATGTTTTCCTCTTTGGAGGTACCAGGATCTACCGTAATATGTTTAATCAGAACAAGTTCGTGGAATTATATTTAATGGACGATATGAAGCGGGAGTTTAATGTAGATCAAACTAAACTTATACGACTTGCTCATTTACTTGGAAGCGACTACACATTGGGATTAGCAAAGGTCGGCCCCGTCTTGGCTTTGGAAATTTTGCGTGAGTTTCCAGGTGAAACTGGCTTATTTGAATTTAAGCAGTGGTTCCAACGACTGTCAATCGGACAAGCAACCAATGAAGATCTGGGTACGCCTGTCAAAAGACGTGTTAGCAAATTACTAGGGAAAGTAGTTATTCCCTCGGATTTTCCAAATCCAATGGTCGATGAAGCGTATTTGAATCCCACTGTTGATGATAGTAAACAAAAATTTCAATGGGGAATCCCAGACTTAGATGAGTTAAGAAAATTTTTGATGGCAACAGTGGGCTGGTCCAAACAAAGGGCAAATGAAGTGCTTCTACCAATTATTCAAGACATCAATAGAAAGGAATTTGAGGGAACGCAATCCAACTTGACCCAATTTTTCTCAGGCGGGAACGTTTTTGCACCAAGAGTTGCTTATCAATTTAAAAGTAAACGAATGGAGAATGCTCTTTCGGCTTTTCGATCAGGTCAAAATAAGCAAGATCCATCAGTTTCCTTTGGCACTACAGGTGTTGTTGCAAATGAGGAAAACGAAACAAAGCAAGCTTCGAACAGTTTAAAGGAACGGATTGCTAAGAGGAAAAGGATGATGCAAAGCCGAACGAATTCTGATTCCGATTCAAGTTCTGAAGATGAAGTATCATCCACTTCACTTAGCGCGCTTTCTGAGCAAAAGAAGGCTTCTGCCCCATTGAAAACGGAACTTATAACTAAAAAACCTGTTAGAGCGCGTAAGCGTTAATAAAACAAGAAGTATGACCAAAAGAGACTAGGTAGAAAGGTCAGTAAGAAGTAGACATAGTATATTTGAAAGGAGGGTGATTTATTTAATTTAATTGACTGTAGTAAAAGCGCCTATATTGTGTTGTAATTTCACGATAACCCTTTTCTTGTGGAGCGGAAAACAAATTCTTGTTTTCTCTACATACAGGGAACAGATAAATTTGATCGCTAAGGATTTTCTGGCTATTTTGCTATAGGAAAAAAGTTAAATCATACAGAATGCCAAGTCATTTACTTTAATAAAATTATAAATATGATCTTTTTCTTGACATAAAAATTAAGTTTTCATGAATATACATGTATAAACATATGCATTTACTAATTGTAAATAAATATCATTGCAAATAATCTTATTTATACGATAGTTATTATATTTTCGTATTAGGCTTATAATAACGAAGGCACTGGACTACTCTATATTCATTGAGTAATATCCATCTGAAAGCATTTGTTACCTTGTCGTTGTTACTCGTGTAATGGAGACAATAAGGCATTAGCAGTAATACAAACCTTTGCATACTTGTGTCAAATTTTGAAAATGGCCACAAACATCGATGCTCAGCAAGCTGAAAATGCCGCAGAGGTTCGTATATATTTGCTGTAAATTAACTAACTTTCGTAGATTGAGATGCAGGTAATGAATTCACGAATATGAATTTTTCGTTTCAGAAATGCTAAACTCGATGGATTAGTTTGCAGTGAAAGCTGTTGAACAAGCTCGTATGTGCATATAATTAGAATTACGATGAACTAACGATTATAGAAATTTATTGGAGCCTTTTGGGCATGCGTAAGGGAAGCGAATTGCGTCTTACAAAGTATGTAGAATCAATAAAACGGATTCTCTACGTCTTTTTTATATCTGTTGATTCTAACGTATACTAGGTATGATGATGAAATCTTTGAAGACTTAAAGAAGACTTTCCCGGAGTTTGAAAACCCTAAGACAGTTGAATATGTCAATGAAGAGGAAATGAAATCTCCCAAGGGTAAAGCCGCTTGGCGCCCTTTCATGATGCGCTACCAAAAGAAAATCGATGATTACAATTTTGGTACCCTACTTCGTGTTCGTAATACCGATGAGTATGAGCAAGATACTACTATTTTCGGTATGGTGATACTGTGATCTCCACATACATATAGTTACTTTTACAACTAACTGGGTGTAGTTCCTCGTATGCAATTTTTTGCTTTTGAGATTGCTCGTAACAAGTACGGTTTGAATGATTGGGTTTTTAAAAAGTAGAGGATTAGGGTGAAAAGAAATACAATAAAAATTTTGGTACCTTACTTATGCTTCTATAGATTGTAGAGTATGCAACTGCGTGACAGTGCCTATTGCTGATTTCCAAAAAAAGGGATAATACGTGGTATGAAAAGGCTTAATTACAGGTCATATAGTGTAAACAATAAATAAATTGGCCTTTGACAATGAAGGAAAGAAATCTTTTTTTATTGAGTCAACGATGATAACTTTACCATTACGATACCTTCTTACTTCCATTTTGCCCATGGAATAAGGAGGTTGATTCAACTTTGGATCTCTGCATTCAACCGGCCACAGATCAATAAAGCATTGTTGCTGTTGAACAGCCTATTTTTATTAAAAAGAATAAAGAATAACACTTTTATTTTTTTTAATATGATTATGGATAACTCCAATAAGGACGGCAATCGAGAGAGTGAGAGTATTTTGCATTCCGATCAACAAAACTCGTTTATTTCTTATTCAACATTTTCAGACAATCTAAACAAGTCTGACGATGCCAACGTAACATCTTCTCTGGCTCACTCGAATGGAGATGTCAGTATTGTAAACAATAGCAGACCATCTGGCACCGCAGTATGGAAAGTTCTTCCTGCACTTTTATTAGGAATTATTTTGTCTGCTCTAGATAATAGTACGTTACTCCTAATTATTACTGTTTGGATATATACTAATTTATTCTAGCCATCGTTGCTTCCACATATACCAAGGTAGGTTATAAACTTGATACTAAGTATGCCAAATATGCTTCCTTACTAACTTGCTTTATGAAAGATCGGCGCTGAGTTTGGCAAGTTCAATGAAATATCCTGGGCGGCTACTTCATACATGATAGCATGTACAGCCTTCCAACCATTATTTGGACGGTTTTGTGAGATATATGGAAGAAAATCAACTCTTCTATTTGCTTATTCCGTTTTCGGACTTGGTTGTTTCTTCTGGTATGTCAGATAGTAACGAGTTTCTGTAATTTATATATAATGCTAACATCCGTAGTGGTTTATCCCAGTCACTTTATCAGCTTATTATCGCTCGTGCCATAGCTGGCATTGGAGGAGGCGGCATGAACTCCACGGTTACTATTTTAATGAGTGATTTGGTACCTTTAAAACAACGTGGAACATACCAAGGTATTATAAACGTATTTTTTGCGGTCGGTTCTAGTTTGGGAGGACCCGTAGGTGGATTTTTTGCGGACCAATTCACTTGGAGATTAGGATTCTTTATCCAAGTTCCTTTGCTAGTAGTCGCATTCCTTTCGGTCACCTTTTTTCTTAACCTTCCTCACCATAGTCGGGAGAGTTTTACTGAAAAATTTTCGAGAATTGATTGGTTGGGTCTTCTTCTTCTAACTTCAGGTGTCTTCAACATGACTTTTGCTTTGACTCTCGGAGGAAACACAAGACCCTGGTCCGATCCTCTGGTCGCGATGCTTATTTTAGGATCGTTCATCTCATACTCTAGCTTTTTATATGTCGAGACGTACGTTTCCGAAGAGCCTTTAGCCCCTATAACAGTACTTACCGACAGAACATGTCTATCTGCCTATCTTTGCAACTTCTTCCAAAGTCTGTCTCAACTTAGTTGGATTTATTCATTGCCAGTTTATTACCAGGCTGTAATGAATCAAAGTACCGAGAAATCTGGTGTTTGGCTTATTCCAATGATTGTTGGTTCAAGTATCGGTTCCTTGCTTGGTGGAATAGTGATAAATCTGACAGGGAATTATAAGAGAATTACTGTATTTAGTTATTTTCTTGCATTTGTTGGAGCTCTTAGTATGTTGCGATATGGTTTAAATACCCAAGTTTGGGAATACATTTTGTATCCTTTTCTAGGTGGTTTGGGTACTGGAATCTCTATTACAACAACCCTTGTTGCAATTATTCACGCATCTCCTTCGGCATTACAAGCTTCTGCTATTGCTACTTCATACTTATTCCGTTCTAACGGATGCGTTCTCGGCGTCTCGATTTCAACTTCTATTGTTCAGACATCGTTAAAACTCCAGTTAAGAAAGTATTTTGATTATGGACTGGATGAACTCATTCGCCAGTTACAAAAAGATATCTCATATGTTCATGTTCTTCCTGAGCAAATCCGTGTTGTTGTTGTCCGTGCGCTTCTGACAAGTGTGCACTATACATTTTTATTCACATCTGTTTCATTTTTTGTTGCATTATTGATATCTTTGTTCATTCGTAGTCAACAAATCTAATCTCAGATTTGACTGACAAAGAATGGAACAAATCATATCGCTGTCCTTAATTCTTTTTCCCCATTAATTTTTGTCCCAGTATTGCTTGAAATTGTTAGTTTAATGTTCTTGTGCTTTTATTTTTACTAATTGTCCCTTCCTTTATTGCTATTTTCCTTGTAAGTATATACTACTCAATAATATCCTTTCGAAACTATAATGACAAATAAAATCCAGTCAAGACAATTCATCAAATTTACATTTAACAGCATTTAGCAAATGGAATTAAAACTGACTATTTACAATGGCAAGTACACGATATTTGCTTAAGTGAATTTATGTTCTCAGTAAATTTCGTTATTCCAAAACAGCTTACTTCCAATGCGTCAAGGTTACTCTTTCCCATAATAAACCCTTCTCAATGCATCAGCAGCTAAAAACTGTTCGAAAACACCTTCCTTTAGTAGAACAAAACATCAAACGTGTATGTTTCACGGTAAAACTGATTTCTAACATCAACAGTCGTTTTGGGTTCACTCTGTTCAGAATTCTTTAGAAACACCAAATGTGAAACCTGAGCCCAAACAGCCATCTTCTCGAATTCCTCCAACAGTTGGAGAAGAAAAAATTCGTCTCGACGGTGGTGCCAAGGGCAGCAACAAGCTTCGGAATAGTTTTCTCTTATTAGCATTCTTGGGTCTTACTGGGTATGCCGGAGGAATATGGTATAGCTTTGAGGATCCTAAATTTTATGATGCTTTTGCAAAATATGCCCCATTTGGTGACCGTCTTCTTCCTGCAATTGAGCATTCTTGGGTTGGCTACAAATTCTTTGGCGGTAATAAAATTCTGATACGCGATATGCCTAAAATGATGCAGCCAAATGCTTCTCAAGGAGTATCGAGCGACATTGTAGAACAAGCAAAGCGTAAAGAGCTTGCAATACCTACTGAATTGAAGCACAGCGAAGCACCTAAGCAAGAAAGTAATAATAATTCTACCTCTAAGCCCAAGACCGAGTCTAAGGCTTCTGATGATGTAAAAGAAAATGCCAAGACTATTGCTATTTCTGATTTGGGTCTTGATCAGGAAACCGGAATTTCTGTTACTGCAGCTCCCGTAATTAATCAGACATTGCAGCGTGCTCACGAGGAAGAATTAAAAGATCAAACACTCAAATTCGAAGCATCTTTAAATGAAGCTAATCAGCTCCGTGCTCAATTGTCTAAGTTACAAGATGAACAAAAAGAGCTTTATGAGAAACGCTTGAACTCTAAGTTGGAGGAATGGAATTCGAAAATTGAAGGACTTTTAACAGAACGTGATCAACAATGGCGTGAATTATTAGAACAAGAGAAACAGATCCAGCAAAACATTCATGATTCAAGACTACATGAAGAACTTGTTCGTGCGACCGCTGTCTATGAAGCGAAGTTGAAGAATGAGCTGACGGAGCAAGCAATTGAGATGGAACGTATGCATCTTCAAGCCGTCAAGGCCCAAGTAGAACAAGAACGTGGTTCAAGACTTGGAAAGTTGAGTGAACTTCGAAGCTCTTTTGAAGAACTTCAAAACTTAGCTCGTGGTGTCATTTTTGACAACGGCCGTATGACTAAATTCATAGAAGTACAGAAGGCCCTCGAAAAGGTAGAGAAGGATGTTGATATGCGAGATAGCAAATCTCTTGAGAAAAATCTCCAGGATTTGAAGGATGCTACTCAGGAAGACCAGCTATCTGGTTTAGCTTATAATGTTATTGATTCCACCTTACAGTCTGGTCCGATACTTACTAAGAAGGAGTTACAGATGAAGTTCGATGCTTTGTCAAAAGAGATTTATAAGACTTGCTTCCTTACCGTGGACAGCGGATTTTTGGGTCACATGAAGAGTATGGTTTTGAGTCAATTACCAGCCAGTTTATTCAAGTCACCAGAAATTCAATCGGTTCAGAATGTACTGAATGAAGCCAGATCTAACTTAATGGCTGATGATTATGATAGCGTTGTCAAGAGTCTTTTGACTTTGTCTCAATTGTCTAGAGCTTTGTCAAAGGATTGGATTGAGTGTTGCAGGCGAAAGTTGGAACTTCAACAAGCTATTAACGTAAGATATTTCTTAACAAGTGAATTTACTAACCACCTATTTAGATCATCAAGAGTTCCGCTTTGTACGCTTCTCAAAGACAAGAAGAAGCTAAAGAATAATTGATCCGTAATTTGGCAATTCACTAATGTACACTGATGCCAAATCAGAGTACATAATTTTTGACTTTAAGCATAAAAGCAGTAATGAATACGAAGCTTTATTTTGAGAGCAATTCCACAGGATAACATCGCGGTCTTTTTTGAGCTTAAGTCAGCGATAGTTGATTTTTCGTGCTTCTCATGATGCAGGCTTATGATTGTAATAAGATTGATTTTCATGCAAATTTTTCATCGAGCGACCCAAGATTACTTAGCAATGCTTAATCTTTTTACATGAATTGATTTGACTTGAAACCATAGCCATTACGGAGAATTTCAAGTGTTAGGCTTAGAAGAACCATGATGTACTGCTATAGTAACTCTTTGTAATAAATTGGTATTTGCTATTTCTGCAACATGATAAATCATGTATAAGAACAATAATTGAATAATTAGTGTTTATTTGTATATGGAATCAAGTATTTAACCATTTATTTATAATACGCTTGCTTATGTTACAGTCTCTGTCGGCCACTCATCTCATTTGAGCAGTTCCTGGTCTTCATTATTTTGTACATAGTCAGTTGTATCCAAGATTTTAAAGTTTTTTTGGACAAAATGGAGTTAGATAATCTTTTGGAAGTAGTAAAAAAGAAAACGAACTATGCTTACTTACATGAATCAGATTCCGCAACTCGACATTCTTTAGAGAAGCAATTGCAAGACGAGGAATCAATTCAACAAGATCTACCATTGGAATTTATTTCTAGACTCAAAGAGCTAAGTCGGAAATTGGAAAATGCGAAACAAATAGCCAGTGTTTTGGTAAGTAACTTCATGCATATACGGGCAACTTTGGAATTGGTGCGGAATTAGCCATAATACTTAATCATTAGTATTTTATTCTAATAAAAGGACATTCTTCTTTGAGTGTATTATAATATACGGTTCCATTTTTCTGTCCGTTAGTACTACTCTTTTTGCTAACTATCTAGGATTGGAATTCCTATTTTTACTACGCTAGTACATGTCAGGATAAAGTCACCAGTCTGGAGATGATTAAATTGGTTGCCAACTGTTTCATGCAGGTGCCTGTATTAACGAAGCAGTTGGCACATTCTGATTGTTTGAAGAGCTTCACCCAAAAAGTATTTGAAGTATGTTTTTCTATTTTACTAGAATGAGTTTTTAAAGTAAGTTATTTAACCTATATGTTTGCAGAGGGAGAACTTGGAATCTCAAAACGTTTACTTACGGTTTTTGTTCATTTTTTTGTCGTACCAGGGAGCAGATACGTGCATAAACTTGAATGATTTGACGTTTTTATTGGTTAAAGTAAGTTATTATATATGTTCAGATTGAAGTTGTAGCTGATACCGAGAAGAGACTAGAAGCGATATGGAACTTTAAATTACAGTCAGTTTGTGATAATGAAAACCTATCACTTTATGCAGAAATTTTAAGGATTTTGTTCCCACTCTTTAGAATAGGATCTATCGAGGAATCAACGAAATTAACGTATGTTTCTGGGAAATATCAACATGTTTTAACTCTATTCAGAGCATTACCGATTCTAATAAAAACTTGGTCAAAATATGCACAGGATGAAGATTCCACTATACGTTGGCATTCTATCAATGCAATTTTGGAATGCAGTTTAAAAAACATCACGTCTAGTCAGGCTTGTGAGATTGTGGGTCTGGCAATCAAGACTTTGCATTCGATAGTTAAATTAGAGACGGTTGAACAACTTGAAGGGCATTATCTTCACTTAGAGAGTGCTATTTCACTAAATACATCAGCTTCGCTGGAAAAAGTTCTCGTTCCTATACTTTGTGTTCTATATTCCATCATGCATATTGAAAGAGTACAAGAAAAATTAAAATTTATTTTTCTACCAGAAGAGTGTGACAGAGTGACAAGCTTAAAGAAAGGAAAGAGTTTGGCATGTTTATTGTTACGGCTTAGTATGATACCACTTCTGGAAAATATTTCTATTTGGCATGGAACCATTTTATTTAGAATTTGCGACTGTAATGCTGATTTGCTCACAAAAGAAGTCGGATATGGTTATGCCTCTGGTATTCTAAATAGAGTCAAGCATTCCGATTCTTCAAATATCATCATACCCGAGTCTACAGGGAATTCTTTGAAGCCAGAGAATTTTCAATTCATTGATCCAATAACAGGTGAATTTAAACAACGATCTAAGCAGCCAAGCTCCTCATCGACCATGACAATGGAAGAAAAAGAGCGAGAAGCAGAGCGGCTATTCATCTTATTTCAGAGGTAAGAAACTCTTCATTTATATAACAGAACTATTTTTTATTTACTTTATTAAAGACTAGAGAAAAATGGTGCTATGCAAGTGACAAATCCAATTCGCCAAGCTATTGACAGTGGACACTATCAGGAACTTGACGATACTTACTCACAGTAATAATACCCTTTTTTGGAACAAGAGGAATATATTACCTAAACCTAAATCTAACACGGCCAATCTATACGAATTCAGCAATCATCCCAACTTCAACCTACGGTCTACTTAACTGATACTTAACTGAACTATGCCCCCACTTATACCCTATCCCACCTACTGTGTTCTTTTAAGTAAGACGTAAAAAGGACTCAATACGATACCCCACTTGGTACTTATATGAAGTGTTTCTATAGTTCATGATGAATCTGAAATAGAATTGCGCTTGAATGCATTACAGCCTTAATGAGTTTTGCACAGGACATCTACCTATTTATTTTCTCTTATTCTTCTAGTTATTGTTTTGTGTCAGCTTCTCTATGACAATGCTAATGAAGCAGAGATATTCTCTTACCGGAAGAAATACATTGACCTTATATATTATGTCCGCGAAATTTCAAGACATATTTTTATATATTTGAGATTTTATGTACTTTTGAATCAACGGTAATTGTTTAGTCAGACGTTGCTTGGAAGAGGAGTGTTGGATTATCGCTACGGAGGCGAGGCGTCTTCAATAAGAAGCAACGTTGGAAGTACTGTCTTACGAGCTGAGATTACCAAAAGATATCCAAATCAAAAATTGTTACGCTACTATTGGCAAGCACAAGAGTAAGGAGAACCCTACCGGCATAAACGGTGACCGGTAATATCACTAGACTAAGATAATTAAAGCATGTCTCGAGCATTTGGATAATTTTTTTGAAGGCATAATCCCTTATTTTTTTTGTGCTACAATTATATGACATTTCATTTATTCTAATCCATGTTCTATGATGGTGATGTTCGGTTGATTCAAATGGTGACTAAATTGATTGTTAAAACTAGATCTGATCAAACTAAGGTCTTGTCGCTATTGTTTGTATCAAAAAAACAATTGGTTCAAAAAAATAAACAAAATTTTATTATGTCTCTAAACGAAATGCATTGCAGAAGATTGATCATACTTATATTAATCTGTTACTTGATTTGAACCGAAGGAAATGGAACCCATCAGTACACAGAAATTATCATTAGCTCAATAAACTACTTCAGAATGTTTGTCTTTTCCTATGCACCTCAAATTTCAAACAATTGAAAATACAACGGTTGTTACAAAGTAATTGTTCAACGATTAACTGAAGCTTCAGATGTATTGTATCGTTTGTTGCTAAAAACTGACGTCTAGCTACTAATTTTTTTTAATGCAATCATTTTATAAAGATATATTTGAGTATGCTTAACAATTTGGCATGAATTTTGACATTGAACCCGATTAGTGTCCATATATTCCCATTGACTACCCCCACATAATTAACCCAGGATTCGCTACTACTTGGCACTGCATCCTTTGTCCACTCCCTTATTATTTTTCTGGTCAATCAACAATAGCATTCTTGGGATTGGAGACAAGAATGGTTTTGCTGGGTGCTTAAAGTCCAGGATATACGACATGATCAAGGAATGTGTAAATGTAAGTATCGACATTTACGTCGTTTGAGTATTCGTCTTCAGTATCCCAGTTCTGTTTATAACTAGCAAATTCCGTTTGTTAAAAAGAATTTCTTTAGCATATATATAAAAATCGTAACTCTACACCTTTTCTTTGTAGCTGCTTTCCCCTAGCGAATGAACCGGGGTTAAGCGTTATTTGTACGGCCAAATGCAGGTTTCAGACCCTTTGTTAAACCTAAAGAATGGTAACTTGTCCCGTGAGTTTTGGATGAGAGATGAGCGGACTACTAAGTGTTCCTTGTGTGAGGCAGAATTTAGCTTCTGTCGTCGAAAGCATCATTGCCGTATATGTGGAAAGATTTTTTGCTCAAAATGTCTTACTAAAGTTTCTGGGGAGATATATGATTTCCCTAAAGAGATAAAAGTTTGCTTACCGTGCGCTTCAGTTTCAAAAACAAATCTTTCGTCTCTATTTAGACATGAAGAGAGGACAAATCCTAACATTGACGTGAATTATTCTTCTCTTTTAGAGGAAAATTCAAACGACCATGTCCTTTCTTCTTTCGCGGAGTACAGCAATCCTTATGAAATGCCTGTTGATGTACGACCTCCCGATGTAACGCCCATGATTGCTATTCCATCAAGCCGGTCTAGTTATAAGTCACCGGGATGGGGTCACCGCTCTATATTTGTTGAATGGAGAAAGCAAAACCTGAGTCCGCAGCAATTTAGCAAGTCCGTATCTCAGTATTCCCCTTTAAATACCGGTGCTTCGCGCGATATCGGTTCTTCCGTCGTATCTATGGAGCGTTTACCTTCTAATCAACATATGAGTCCTTTACTTAATAAAACAAAAAAAATAAAGAATTCTCCTACAGTGAGATTTTCGACTCCTTCTATGAACGGTGAACGATCCTCTTCAAAACTTACTTCAAATAGTAATCGGCCTCCTGGGATTCAGTTTCCAAATCTTTCTTCCGGTTTAAAAAACGAGTGCTTTGATTTAGGCCATGAAGAAGAGATTTATGTTCACACTCCTCAAACCGATACCGCTCTTAATTCCCCACAGATGGAACTCAATTCTAATCTTGAGGACTCTGATGATGAATCCTTATTTAATAATTCTATGATTATGCCCTTTCATAATAACTACAATTCCTCTGCTAGGCTACAATATCCTCTGGCTAATCCCACTAATGTGAGCACTCATACTTCTGTAAATAATCGTGGCTATCTCTTAAATCCTCTAGCTTCTTTTCTGAAATTTATTCTTCCATCCTCTTTATTACAACCCATACCTCCTTCACCTACTCAGCATGTTGCTCAATTGCTAAGTTCTCAGACAGATAATGCGGTCTCATCAGGAGAAGTATCTCCTCGATTTCGAGCGCGCTCAAGAAGTTCTTCGCATTCGCCTTCCGTTCCTGCCCCTTGGATTTTCTTTTCAGATTCTTTTAATGATCTGGTGGTGGGATTCTTAAAAAGACTACTTTTACAAATGTTATTAGATGCTAATGTCGATACCCCTTTAAGATGGGTGCATTGTTTACCACATATTTTATTAAAGACTTCATTGAATATGAGTCCTGATATTTCTTCTGGTGATGATATTGACGTACGAAGCTATGTAAAAATTAAAAAGATTCCTGGTGGACAACCAAATCAAACCTTCTATGTTCCCGGACTTTTATTTACCAAGAAAGCTTCATCTAAGTCAATGGATCGGTCTGTGCAAAAACCTCGTATTGCTCTTTTGTCTTTTAGTTTGGACTATGATTGTAACGAACAAAGAATTCTATCATTGGATTCTTTGATGAGTCAACAAGAGGAATATGTTTATAATCTTGTGAGTAGAATATGTATGCTCAAACCGACACTTGTTTTTATCAAGGATGATATTCCGACGATTGCTTTAAAATATTTTGAAGAACACGGTGTCGTAGCGATATGTGGAATCAAAGAAACCGTTATGTACGATATAGCTAGGTGTTGTCATGCAGACATTATATCGTCAATCGATAAACTTTCTCTTCGACCTCATTTAGGAACTTGCGGACAGTTTCAACTATGTAGTTATGTCATCGATGAAAAATTAGGAATAAGGAAGACCTTTGCTATTCTGGACCACTGCTCAGAGCGTTTGGGATGTACTGTAGTTTTGAGAGGTGGTTCTTACGAAGAATTGACAAAGGTAAAAAGAATCGTCGAAATATCAATACTTGCTACATACCACCTAAAATTAGAATCATGTATGCTGAGGGATAAATTTGTGAACACAACGGAGCTTTTTACTTCTGCTTGTAATATGATGACTCCGTTAGAGGAATTCATGGATAAATTAGGAGCATGTAATTCTGAGCCTTCTCATGGCAAGGTTTTGGAAAAAAGAGTACCAGATTACTCTATACAAGACTGTCTTGACTCTGATACGACAATTCTTAGTACCTCTTTGAGTCATGATGTTGATGCTCATTCAGATATTGAAATGAACTTCCCTGCAGTTGATGATTATGCTTCCATTAAAAGCGCGTTACTCCAGCGAATTACCACATTTTCTCTTTTTATTAAGAGACCTCTACCAAGGTTATTAGGTCGAGTATACCATCTTCAGACTCTTGAAAATATGTATCTCACCAAACTTAATTCTAATTATCCTAGTTCTTATTTGCTAAATTTTATGAATCAGTTTCTTGGTTCACTTCAACATGGTGATGACTATGAATTGGCTTATAACTTACTTTGTACACACGAAAGGTTCACTTTCCTTCAAAAACAATGGGAGCTCTACTATTCCCGCTCTCGACAGCTGTTTTCTCCTCTTTCTAATCAAAGAATGGTGGTATTGTACTCTATAATTAATAAGGAAACATCAGTGCCCTGTATTGGCCCCGAAAGATGTTTGCTCGAATTTTACCGTGAATCCGATTGTACTTTGGGACAATTTATTGAAAGTACATGCTTAAACACGAATGTTAGTTGTGGTGGGGAATACTGCCCAACCAAGGACATGATATCTCATTATAAAAGCTATGTACACGGAAATGGAAGGATAAGTGTTGTCCTGGAAGATTTTACTTGCCCAATCCCTGGACTAGAAGAAAAGATTGTGTTATGGAACTACTGCAGATCATGCCAAAGAAATACACCAGTAACGGTTATGTCTGATGAAACATGGAGGTATTCATTTGGGAAATATCTGGAATTTATGTTTTATAATGACAATATTAAAGACAGGTTTGAATTCTGCAGCCATAGTATCATGCATGACCATGTGCATTATTTTGGTTATGTCAATATGGCTGTACGATTTCAAAGAGATCCAATTGAAATTTTTGAGCTCTTTGTTCCCCAAGTCATGCTATACTATAACCCAATTTATGTTAAAAATCAGAAGGACAGTGAATACCTTCGTTTAAAAAAACTAATTGAACAGTGTTTAAATTCGGTGACAACCAGAATTAATCAGTTGCGCACAGACTGGGTGACTGACCCTGTTAAACTTCAATCTTGTGAAGAAGAAATAGCAAATTGCCGTTCGTTATTAACAAAAGATAACGATGAATTATATTCAGAACTGACTTTCATATATGAACATACCACGGTTGTTGATTTTCTTTCTATGAATTCCGTTTTAAGAATTTTACAGGGAAGAATGATTAAGTGGGAGCAAAGGTTTGCCGATTACCAACGGCTTTATCTGCCTTCATATAAAGAGATAAGTCGTTTAGCTGCTACTCAAATTAAGAAAGTATTTTTAGCTCGTTCAATATTGCAACATCCGTCTGATCCTTTGGAAAGCTTGGATACTGCAAGAGATGGAATTACTTTACAAGTGGATAACCCATCAGCGGTTGACGGACCTAAAGAAGAAAAGAAAGAGTTGACTCACGCCAGAAGTGAATCGGCCCTTTCGATTGATGTATTTAAAGATAATGAATCTTTGGAATCCTCGGTGCGTTCAGTTTTTCCTGCTATGGAGTCCGATACTGAACGGAAGTTCGGTAGTAGTTCTTCCAAATCACCAACCAAACGAGATAATATGGAAAGTCAGGATATGCCAGTATCACCAAACGCCTTAAAAATTAAAGGCAGTTATAGAAGTCCTAGTGAACGATCGCTTTCTGATTTGTTCGATAAAAAACGACAGAATAGTATTCTTTCTTCGCCAACATCTAAAGATTATCTTTCGGATGGCCTTAGAAACCCAGTCTCGTCTGCAATATCAGCTAGAATATCAAGCATACAGAAGTCGGCTAAGCCAGTTACTAGGAAGGTTGCTCCAACGAAAGATGCTCGAGTTAGCTCTTTAGTTAGACAATTTGAGGAGTTGAGCCAACAACTTCAAGAAAAAAGACGTCGAGATGATGAGTTAGTTAGGGAGCGTCGTAAGAGGACAATGCCTGTCACACCTTCTAAGCCTGTCGTTGAGGTGTTTAGCGATTTATCGAATGCTTTTGAAGATGAAGAGCCTTCTGATAATGATGTGGACGACTTGGAACAGAAAGAAATAAATGATATTAGAAATGTTTCGAACAATAAAGGCAAAATTGAGAAGGAAGATGCAGATGCATCCTATGACACTTTTGAGGATATTTTCGGAGTTTTGTTTAAGAATGAACCTGATTTAGGAGAACGACAAACCCCAGAAAGTTTTGAAAATAGACAAAACGTGTGCAAAGAGGATATAAGGTCAGAATTTACAGGCCCTTATAATGATAAAACCTCTTTATACAAGATTCTCTCGACATTTTGGTCAGAATGGAATTCGTTGAATCCTTTGCCTTTCGAGTTCCCATTACAAGCTTGTGAGCATGTCTTTTCCGACTCGAATGTGGTTATAAGGGAAGATGAGCCTAGCTCTTTGATTAGCTTTACACTTAATTCTCCTGATTATATAAAAAAGATGGCCGAAATTGAAGAAAATATGGATAGTTATCTGTTAGAAAACGATAATCAGCCAACTTTAGAGGATAAAATTGAAAATTTGATGCTAAAACCAACGGGTACCCACCTTAAATACCAGTTTGAGGAAGGTTCTGCATATTTGTCATGTAAGGTATTCTTTGCTGAACAGTTTAGTGCTTTAAGGCGTGCGTGTGATGTTGCAGATAGCTTCGTTTCATCTCTGTCCAGATGTTCTGTTTGGGAATCCAGCGGTGGGAAGTCGGGATCTGCGTTTCTAAAGACTTTTGATGAAAGATATGTGATGAAAGTGGTTTCAAGATTGGAGAGTGATTCACTTTTGAGTTTTGCTCCTGCTTACTTTGATTACATGTCGAAAGTAGTTTTCCATGAATTGCCAACTACGCTCACCAAGATTTTCGGTTTTTACCATGTTGATATTCGAAATCCCTCCACCGGCAAAGTATGCAAACTTGATATAATGGTCATGGAGAATTTATTTTATGACAGAAAACCATCAAGAATATTTGACCTAAAGGGATCTATGCGAAACCGACACGTACAGTCAACAGGGAAAGACAATGAAGTATTATTAGATGAAAATCTGGTTGAACTTATCTATGAGTCTCCTATATTTGTAAGTGAACAACTGAAAAGTATGTTGCAGTCGTCCTTATGGAATGACACTTTGTTTTTATCTAAATTGAATATAATGGACTATTCATTAGTGGTCGGAATTGATTATGAAAAACGCGAACTATACGTTGGAATAATTGACTTCATTCGAACGTACACCTGGGATAAGAAGCTAGAAAGTTGGGTGAAAGAGAAAGGACTAGTCGGAAGAGGTCCCGAACCTACTATTGTGACCCCGAAGCAATACAAGATTAGATTTAGAAAAGCTATGGATTGTTACATTCTAGCATCTCAGGATTTCGAAGTCGATGGCGAAAGTGAAGAAAAAGACGAGGTCTAAGATTTCATATATTTATATATTTATTTATTCTGAGTGTTCTATTTTTTTTTAAAAAAATAAAACGAACTTTGGTAAAAATATAAATACTCCTTTTATTAAATTCATTATAAATTCAATCCCAATATTTAATTACTCCATCCAAAATAGACGAGGTAGCAACCTTGCTAGTTTCCTGAGGGTGGAAAGTCATACTTTGTACAGGACCGTTGTGGGCTGGAAGTTTAGATAACAACTTACATGATTTCCAGTCTATACAACTTGTTAGCTCGAACGAAAATTTATAATATCATACCCCAAAAGCAAGCATTTCCAGAGGAATCACCACTGTACACAAAACGACCTGATAAAAAAAGAAGTTAATAAAAGCCGATTTTAAATTTGTACATACCGTCGGGAGAAAATCCGACCTCTAAACTGTAGCCAGAACAGTTGAATCCCCGAAAAGATTTTTTTTTGTTCTGTCGATACTTTTCGACAGCGGAATAAACATAAATGCAATTATCCAATGATTGACATGCCAATGCTTTACCATTGGGACGAAGAGCAACTCTGGGCATAGAATGCATTCCAATGTCTGCCACGTATTTGATTGGTATAGGAGTTCCATATTCCCAGAAGCGCATGGAGGAATCATCGGATGTTGTAACAAATCTTTTACCATTTTCTAAGTAAGTTATTGAATTTACGGCTCCAAGGTGATGAGTATACGACTGTACACTGTCTGGAGCTCGAGTATCAAATTGTAGTATTTTCTTGTCAGACATACCGGCCAAGAATTCGAATGGTCTTTCTGGGTCCACTTGAAAGCGAACACAATGAGCTTGTTTTCCGGTAGCAAAACGCTGCTGGCATTTGCCGGTTTCGGTATCCCATAGCTTTATTGTCTTATCAAAGGAAGCACTTAAGAAGGAACTACCACTTTGGTTAAACGAAAGATCTCGAATGGGTTTTCGGTGGCCATGGAATGTTCTTAAAAGTGACCGATCATGATAGACATCCCATATCTGGTCATAGTAAAGTTAGTAAAGACTATAGAAACATTGCTTCTTACCTTTATTTCCGAGTCTAGGGAACCTGAAAGTAATAAATGGCCACTTGTTGGAAAAAATCTTAAGCAAGAAACTCCCTTTGTATGTCCCTTCCAGGTATGTATATGTTTTTTAGGGAGGTAGCAAACCTGTTCTCCAGGCGTTCCAATGAGACTCAAGCCAACATCTGTTGGAACATGAAGATAAGTTCTGTTTTGGTAATCATAAAGGGAGTCTTTGTGGAAAGTAGAGTATTCCTTTGCTTCTGATTTTTCTTCATAAGTCGGCGTAGTCGACAGAGTAGCATCCCGTTTCTCTTCTTCTTGATTTTCATTCGTATATTCTACGACTTCTTCTATTTCTTCAACTTCTTCCGAAGATGGTGATAACTCACCTTTGTCATCATAATTGGCCCAGGGACCACTGTATGCATTCTCACCTTCCAAAACAGAAGGGTCACCAGCAGCCTTTCTTAATTTTTTTATCTCATCTCTTCGCTCTTTAAACGCGCTTGGGTCGACCGAGTCACCTTCAGACTCCCCATTTTGAGTTTTCCTTTTGCCGTAAGAGTTAAATTCCTGGTTGAAAACAGCGTTTGAGACATTCTCACGCTCAACGTAGCCTGTAATTGTATTTTTCTGAGAGTCTTGATTTTTCGTCAAGTATGGATTGGCTGGGCCATATAGCGGCTTGTGCATCTTCTCAATTGGAACATTATGAGACAATTCTTTAAAATTGCTTTTTGAACGACTTATAAGGTCTCTATTGTTTGACTACAGTAGTTAGCGTTTGTCATATATCTTGAATTCCTTACAGTTTCAATGACTGCTGGTGTTGCATTGATTGCTAAAGAAGAAACGGATCCTGATGTATTTAGGCTAGCATCTTGATCTTCTGAATCACTTGAATATTCTGGCATTAGCATCGAAATTGCTTTCAAACTAACGAAATTCCTCTATTTTGACTTTGTGCTTTTCTTCGAAAGTCGTGTAAATACTATTGAAGGCCTTGAGCTGTTACTTTTTGAATACTGAGTCCTTTGGAATGTGATATCAACGTTAGTGTATTTTACCGATACTTTTCGTGGGGGTGTCTACTCTTTGCTACAACCATGGGTGGTTCTACAAGCAGTGGTTTGGTTAATCTATATAGTCCTATGAATGTAAACAAAAGTCATTTGATTACCTTGTAGGTTGATTGAAAGCTGTCTTTCAGAATAGTTTCTAGTTTTTTTTTATTCTATTTGATAAAAAAAAAAAAAACCAAGTAAAGGCTTGTCCTCATGATCTATTTTTTTTTTTTTTTTTTTTTTTTTTTTAATTTGCAGCGAAACAGAAATATTTGTCTTTGGTTATTACTACTGCTAATCTTCCTCTGATGGCAGAGAACCTGTGTACTGCATGTTTGGAACAAACCAATTCAATCCATAGCTTTATTGTAAGATGATTTGATGTTAGTGCAAAAGAAAAGAAAAAGCATCAGAGCTTATTTGCTTAGCCACCTTTGTAACAGAGTTTGGACAATTTAATAAGTTTAAACAGTCCAACTTATTGTAATTCTTTCGTAAATATATCCCCCAGTTATTAGAACTGTTTACAAATATAAAGTAAATAAAGCGCCGAAAGCGAAAACTATTACGTCACGAATTAAAGTTATGTTAAAGGAGTAATTTGTACCCAAATATGTGAGTATTATGCGGGGAAACAGCCAATGAGATTGACATAGCAAACAATCATCCCTTGATTCATTTGTTTACATGCGACACCTGGGGCGAAGTAAATAAATGATTGTATTTGAGCAATCATTAATTGACAGCTCAAGCTATGGTCATCGCTCTTTTTCCTTCTCAGAAAGGAATATATAGCAGTAGAATTTCTCCTAAATCTATCATTTTCCCATAACAGTTTATATTCATCAATTGACTTTTCATTCGAAATCAGCCTCATGTTTTTCAATATGCCTCAAGAAATTAGCTTTAAAACTATTAACACCCTTTTTGAAAGTACATTCTCTCCTTTTTTGCGAAAGTCTCATCTTCATCTTATCAGTCAAAAAACGAATTCATGCGATGCTTCTTTGTATGCCATTAAAAATCCATCTTCACAATCTTTTTATACAGCTCATGGCCTATTTAAATTTAAGGAAACGTTCGAAAACTTTTCAAAATCGTCATCGCATGTTACACAACAGTTAACTGTTTTGCGGATTTTGCTATGGAAGGCCCAAGTATCCGCAGGGAATTCTTCCTGTCTCTTTCGCAACAACCTTCTGAAGGATCTAAACATTTCCCATATTTTAAGTGAAGTCAATACAAAAAACCAAAACCAAAATGTTTTTCTGGATTTACCTCTATCAACGCCTGTCCTGACAAAACGTGAAGTCATTTTAAACACTATCCATCCTGAAGACTCGACTCACTCTATACTTGGCTCTGTCAATAACAGTAACTGCCATTCTCTTACTGAGGTTCCAAAAGAATCGAAGAAGTTCAAACCTGCTCTATCACTGCCAGAAATTCGGCACGAATTAACACCGCTGGAAAATTCCTTTGATCCTTATTCATCTTATAATAATCAACATGCTATATTCATTGGAGAAATTTTGCCAATATCATTTGATGAAATACCTCGGAATACGAAATCTGCCTCACTTATCAGACAACCCCATCGTGTTTTGAATTACGAAGCTAGCGTTTCGAAAAGAATTATAGAAGAAAAGAAGATTTCGTCAACTTACTTAAAAAAGAAAAACTATGCGGGGTTTTCAAGCTCCTTCTTCCCATTCTCAAAGAATATGCACTACATAAATCTTTTGCTCACATTTTTGTTTTACATCCAACTCGTCCTATACTCATTAAACAGTTCCGTGGGATTACCCTTTACTAATTTCTTCGAAAAAAATTCCCACTCCTTTTATTTCTTATGTGAAGAATACTTTAGCCAGATGGCCCTATATTTTCAGCATTGCTTGCATTCTTTCACTCTAGACAGTCAACTAAAGGATTGTAGTTTCCTACAAATATCGCAGCTCAATTTAATCAAAGTGTCTTGATTTTTCAATCAAAATGGATAAGATTCTCCTCTTGAGCAAAACTGAAGACAAAGAAAAATACTGTTTAAGATCTTTCCCTTCTCTTCTTTACTCTTGATATACTCATTTCCCTTTCCTGGCCCAACCAAATATACGTACCAAAAAAAAAAAAGAAAAAAAAGACAACATTGATAAATATACATTAGTTTTTTTCTTTATTTCCTCGTTTTTCTTCATCTTTAGACTTTAAATGATTAAAAAAACATATTTTGAATAACGTAAACACAAATGGTTTTCCTCTAAAATTTGAGTTGAAACGGTATCTCCTTTAGGAAACAAGAAGTAAGCAAAAATATAAAATATCTCCATATATCCTTTTGAAATAATTTGAAAGTTGTTGTTCAGTTTTCACGCACACATTCCTGATCACTGAAACTTCGCAATCTTCCAGGTAGTTAGCAACAGAAGATTTTATAAATCATATATTTTGATTTAAATAAAATAATATATCTATGCTACGTCCATACCTAGGAGAAAACACCAATTCCCGTCGGATACTGCAGATGAGTATTTGAGTCGTTGGTACCGTGGTTGGAGACAACATGAGAATTTGGGGTGCTGTAGACTTTTCTTTTTCCTTTTTTCTTTCATAGACAAAGCCGTTTAATGAATACTATGTAAGAAAATCATAGCCCAAGCTAGAGGATAATCAAAAGACCGGACCCAGCATACCAATGATTTCCTTTCCATCTAAATCAACTTCTGCTGAGCAGCTGAGCTAAAACCGTCAGATGGACAGGCTTCAGAAGAAACACTTTGAGAATATTTAGAAAAAGTTGCTTCAAAAGAATGAGTGTTTGTGAATGCTTAAAAATAACTGCGAGAATCCAACGTCAAGGTTTTATTGTTGGATAGGTTCTTTGTTTACTTTTTGTAATACGAACTTCGTTTGGATTATACTATCACGAAAAAGTATGGTATATAACGAAAGTCGAATAATCGTAACAAGGATATGACCAGTCAGTGACATAATGTCGCTGCTTTATGAACTTGAGACATGCGAAAAGCCATTACCATGAGTTTTACAACTACGCTTCATCTTTTAAGAGGAGCTTTTTGTTGTAAAAGTGCTTTTATTTAACGGTGTTAAAAGAAAGGAGAAATTCCTTTTGTTGACAGATCCGTGAACGGTAGAACCAGTTCCTACGGACTTATTTGGTAAATCTAGCTAGTATCGTTTTGGATGTATATATCTGCATTATTTCGTGTTTCTAGCTGCCATTGTAAAAATGAAGAATAATTACGCTCCAGTTTCAGATTCTGATGACTCTTTCAAAGTGCTAAATGATGAAAAGTCAGATGCTAGATCTTTAGATGGTACTGGTACGCCTCCTCCGTACTCAGGTAAGATTTGTTGAAATAGAAAGGAACAAACGAATGTCGATTGCTTTAATATCTATAAATGTCTGCAATTCCTTGTAAACTAACCCGACGAACGCTCTATCCTTTCTCAAACAACAAGAGCATTCATCACTAATACATTTATTAGCTCCGAATAAATTTATTGATTTAGAAATGGCTGATGGATCCACTCAGCATTCTGCCCAAGAGTCCACTAACAACGCTGGATCGGATTCGACATATTCAAAGTGGATTCGAATAGCTATCTTCTTTTTTTTGCATCTTTTGTGTATATTATATTTTATGTTATTTTTCTCGTGGTGTTTTTTATGTCAAGGTTCCTCTGAGGGCGAAAACCCTTTGGGGACTTTCTGCTGCTTGTGGAGCATCCGTTGTAGTATTTCTCTATTGTAAGCTAGCGCTATCTTTTATTTTTATTAACTATTAGTCGCGCATATGCTCTACCCGGGGTGGTACAAGCAAGTTGGTAGAGTGCTGTCCAACATGTGTGCCGCAGTATTATGTACGGCTTCTCTGAATGCCCCTTGCTATTCCGTGTATTATTTTGTAAAGAAGGTAATAGGATTTGAAAAGATGGACAAAGGGTTTTTCTATTTTGTTTGCATTGTTAACGTTGCCGTGTTTGTTTTATTTTGGAGTATGTCTTACAACCTGCGAAATATTCTAACTGTTCTAGGTACGACGGATACGAGACAACTTCGAATATTCATTGCTGATTTAGGAAACGGCATGGGAAGCATGGTGAATGGCATGGGAAACATAGGAAACGGCATAAGAGACGCTTCGAATTATATTCGTATGTACTGTTTATTATAATTTTTTTTCTTTTTTTAGCATCTGACTAACCTAATTAGGACCGACAGATTTAGCAAATGAAGCACCTCGTAACGAGGAAATCGAGCTTCAACCTCTTGCTGAGCAAAGCGCTGAAGTTTGAGTTCTAACGAACCTTCTCTATCCCATCCTCCTATAAATCGCATTTTCCTTAGAAGCATCCATAATGATTGCAATCCCTCAAGTTTCTGCAGTCGCGTCCACAAAAGTAAGCATAAGCTTAATATGACGGGTTTGATTGCTTTTCACGTTCACTCTTTTATGAATCTCTAAATTCATCTCGCAATAGTGTTATTTATGAATCGTTCGTTTTCTTTGTGACGAACGTCCTTGTTCATGCAACCTTTTTAATGATTTCATTCACAGCATAGAAAGCACATATCTTCTAACTGAATGATCGGACGTTTGTAGATTAATGAATTAAATTGGCGTCTACTTAGAGAGTCAAGTAAATGAATTGAAGCACGAATTATCAGACTACAACTTCCATGCAGCCATGTAAACAGACGCAGATGGAACTGAACAAATTGCATCTTGAAGTAGGATGTCCAGCAGAAATACCTTTATTTACACATTGTAAGTGTCTACGGCCACACCTAGGCGAAAACACCAGTTCCCGTCCGATCACTGCAGTTAAGCGTCTGAGGGTCTCGTTAGTACTATGGTTGGAGACAACATGGGAATCCGGGATGCTGTAGGCTTTTTCTTTACCCTTGATTTTTTTCCTTTTTGTTTTTGCTGCTCTGTTTTTTTATTTGTAATCGTTCCTATAAGCAACGGTAGAAAACTGATTGGTTGGAAAACGATTGTTATTATAGTAATTGAATTAATGCACTAAACAAAAAAGTGAAAATAGATTTAAAGAAAGTAAACGGTGTAACAAACATAAAAAATTGCATAAATAAAAAAAAAGAAAAAAAATTTAAAGAACCAGGATAAAGGGGAAAATAAACGTTGCAAAAACAAAAAGGGAAATAAAAAATCATAAAACGTAACATGCATAACATAAATAAGGGCGATACCAGAAGAAAGAGAATGAAAGAATGAAAAATTACTCGGTTTCCTTTCTAAGTACACAGGTAGCCGTGAAAATTGCTAATATTATCAGAGCATCCGATAGGCTTGGTTAAATGAAAGAGAGGCTGCATATGGGTACTCTGTTTAATTTGCCTGAATCGCTGTTGTTTACAAATACTGAGATCAGACCTTAGTTCCTTGAGCCATTCAGTCATCTTAAGTCGATGTGAACTTTTCTGGAATAAAAGGGAATCATTGGGGTGATAAATAAATACACAATCATCGTAATTATCTTGAACTGCTCCTGGAACGATCGAGTTAATATAATAATGAATGGGGAAAGCCTTGGCATTGCTTCCCAAAGATAGGATAAAAAAGAGCCAGCCGAGATCTTCTTTTGAAATAATTGCATCAGGGAATAACTCCTTGCATATTTGCTCACTCTTAATAATATTTTCATCTGACTCGTTACCCAGTTGCATATAGCATAGAAATCGCTTATTACAGATGGCTGCCCAATTGAAGTGGTTTTGAAAACAGTAAACATCACCAGGTCTTACCAGATACATGCGTATGTTTCCAATCTTATTCTGAGCACATTGATACTGAAACATAGAGTAAGTACCATTCTTCACCTCTCGGGATATGTAAACAAGCATAGCTCGCCAAATGGAATCTTGGACTTCTTTCGGGTAATACTCATATAGAAATACATGACGAACTAAGATGGGCATCGTAAAGTTACCCGTTGCAAAATGCATACAAAGACTCAATCCATCCGATCTGTACTTCTTAAAAAACACATCCATACGCCTAGAGACAGTAACTTTGTCATCACGTAATTCGTAAACACTTTCGGCTAGTGGAATCTCTTGAAATACAGCTTCTTTTGAGCATTTTAAATATAGTCGGTCTTCTTGTCTCATAATTGTGCATGCTACTCCGGTCACAAATGGCATTTCGGTCAGTGAATTATTCTCTTTTCCAGGCACTTGACCTTTCTTCATTGGGGAAAGAAAATCATTTTCTGGAAATACTTCTTGTTCAAACTTCGACAGAGTCAATTGTTCTGGTACCTGAATATCTACGCCTTGTACAAGTTTACCAGGATTCGACTGGTTCAATTTTAAACCGCTTTCGTTCGAAGTAGAAACTAATTGTTGAATAGCTTTTGTTGTTTTCTTAAAGAAGGAATTCTTTTGTTTCTCATCCAAGTACTCCAACATAGGATCTGAAAATAACTGGGTTTTCCTGCTCGACATATTCAATTGTATCAAGAAAGCGTTTTCAGTCTCTTACTACAAGAAGGGAGTTTTCTTCCGTTTATATACAATATTTTGCACATATTCAAACCGTACATCACCACGATTATGATTCGACAAACTTACAACTTCTAAACAAGCCTTCAAGTAAGCCACGATTTTCCAAAGTTTAATCAACCACAGATGAACTTACAACAACCGCCTTCATGATGTATTCACTCATATCCTCTCATCATCTGAATTCTTCGACAATGGTATAAGCCACTTTTGTATTTTTGTCATCGTCGCTCAGTGTTTATTGCGTTGTAACCAAATGGTATTAAAGGTATATACAACTTTTGCTAAGGTTTTATTATATTTTTTTTTCAAAGAATAAGAATGAAATTCTTCATATAATTAGTTACAGAATAAAAAAGCCAACGCTGATGAGTTTCCTCTCTTGAAGAGTATGTTCTTCAGGTTGTATGAGGTCAGTGGTTTTTTTCGGAACAAAATAGAGTTAATTTTGGCGAATATCTCAAGAACAACCCAAAGCCAAAAGAAACTTCATTTCGGTGGCTTTTGCTTACAGCAGTTGGTGAACATTTGAGAGGATAGAGTCGTGGAGATTGAAATAGATTTGGATTTATATCATAGATTCACAAAGACTCTCTACCTATATCGCGCATAGAAAGTACGCGTTGATCATGTGGATTTTGTCTAGTAGCGAAGGGAAACTGAAAGGTATTGCTTATCCGTAGATTGGAATTTGTTTGAGTCTTCTTTTTAACATCCGCAAGAAACTCCGAAAACCCTCGTTCCTGGTGTCTACACTCTGGGGCGAAGTGTGAGAGGTAATCATTCGTATGGAAGAGAGTTTATTCATTAACAAAAGGGTATTAGATGATTCCTCAAACATTCAGATAATCTCAAAATCTGTTAGCAAAAAGCACGCTCAAATCACAGTATCTCCCCCAAAAGCAACTTCTCACGTATGGTTTTTGAAATGAACCATTTCCTTTTTGAGGCTTTTTCTAATATTTAGGAAAACGAAATTTCCTGTAGGATCGATATTCAAGATTTAGATACCAAATTTGGGACAACTGTGAATAACGAACATATCCATTCCAAACAGACTTATGAGAAAAACGTCTCGCTCGAACTTTTGTTAGGAAAATGTCCGCTTAAATTTTAGTAAGTGATTGGTAATTTCTCTTTCTATGTTTGTTTCCACTAACTCAACACTAGTCTTCAATGGATCACCCTTTCTATTGCTTTTGATGATCCAGAGACTACGGCCCGTTGGTCGACGCCTTTATTACTTACTGGTATAGACAATTTTTTAATGACATATAAATTGAATAAAGCTAATAAATAGGAATCCCCAACTCAGTGCATCTGAACCATTCTACTACGCATTTTGTTCCCGGGCATGGCTCTTTTCCTTCCGTAAAAACAGCTTTAGCTTTTTTGAAGGATGTTAAAATTGTTCACGAAGCATTTGTACAGGCGTTGATTCAAGAAAAAGATAACTATACTCACAATATACACCTCATTCCCAAAGACAGCTCATACCTTTATACAGACCAAAATCATCGCGATATGTTTCCAAAATCCGCAGCAACCGTAAGGAATTCGCTAAAAGGACTTCAATGCTGTTATGTTGACTTAAACGAAGAACTTTACGAATTTTTATCCCTTCTTGGTTTGAATGTACATAGGCATCATACAGACGATGTACAGTTTTTGACAACTTATTACGCTGAACGAGATCTTGACTTCATTATTCATGCAAAACAAAGTACTATTTCTAGTATTCTTTCAAAAAAGGGCATGTTTTGCCTTACTTTTATTCAGCTGTGGGATATTCTAAAGGAAAACAATTCAAAAGAGTTGCTGCAAGCAAAACGAGCGAGCCTTGAAAAACCGAAATCCAGTGCTAACTCAAATCCATCTTCAAACAAAACATCAGAAAATGTACTGAATGACTTGTTTAGCGACTTTAAACCTGTTCCTCGGTCTCCAAGGAGCAAACGAACTCTTAAACCGGAAGAAATGTCGAATTCAAAACAAAAGCCGCCAAATAGTCCTCTCAAAAAGGAAGTGAGAGACACTAGAGAAATTACGAAGAAATCCAATCTTTCGTCTGGTACTTCTTCTCCGTATATTCTGTCAAAAGCCAAAAGTCCGTTTCATGAAAATACACCTGAACCGCGAAATTCAACAAAAAAAGTAGATAAACAGAATAAAAAGGTTAACTCAAATTCGGGTTCTTCTCATTTTGCCCCTCTGGCATTATCTACTGCCGGCGAAGAAAGTTCACATAATGTGATAGTTAAAGAAGAAAGGGATACAAGTCCTTTGGGATTAGAGGGAGAACAGAAGGAGGACCGAGAACCATCTTCTGAAGAAAACTTGCCAAGAAATCTTGGCTCGGTGGAATTTATTTCTATTCGAATTTCCAAAAACAATCAAACGAATGAACCCGAAAACCCAAAATACAAAGGAAGACCAAACTTTAAAAAGTTTCGAAAGGTAAGTTTCAAATGCAAAACATTTACTAATCAGAAATAGCAAGGAAGCAAAGTGCATGTAGCACCGCCTGTGTTTATAACCCTATCGGAGTCTCGAAATGATCAAGAGGACGAAGTCATAGACATTGATACAGACCCTGCTCCTCAATTGATGAAGAAAACCGATACAAACACGCAGCTTGCGCCTTTACCAAAGCCAATTTCTCAGCGACCCACTATGGATATAGACATGGATATGGAGGAGCGTGTTGAGGATGATACTTTTAATGATGATAATGAAGAAGATGACGAGTTTGGAGACCTGAAATTTCGGTTTTAAGGTACAACAAATTGTTAAAGATGGATTGTTGACGCAAAGTAAACTTGATTTTATTAATTGGTAATGATCGCTAATTGTTTTTCCCTAAATAAATCATACATACATTGAGGTTGATGCTTCTTTCTTTTCTTTTCTTTTTTTTGTAGGTACATATAGAAATATCAGAAAAAGCCAAAGGATCCCACTATTCAATTTTCATATTTATTATTTTATCTCAACCTAAAAAAAATTAGATGAATAGAGCTGCCTTATTTCCTTGAAATATGTTCATAAACTTGTCCATAAGTATATATAGCCTTTACCACTATCATGACGGCTGAAAGGATCAGTGAACAGCTTCAAGAAAATGGAGATTATGAAAGGTATGAAAAGTTTTTTTCTACTTACTATGAAGCCTAAAAACTAACTCTGGTAGGCTGGCTAATGACCTAGAATTCAAATTGGAGTCTTGTGGGTGGGCGTCGCAGTTGAGAGATTACACTAGAGGTATTGCACGAGAAAATACTGGGATTGACTTTAAGAAATTATATGAAATTACTCTGCATACAGCAACTGAAAGTATACCCGATACAGTAAAGATGGAAATGATGAAGGACATCAAGTCCAGTGTTTTAAAATTAGCATCTCCAAATGAAGCTACAGATGATCAGAAAGCATAATTCATTTGTTCTGTACATGGAAAAGAATTTTATATTCTGTGTCCTGCCGTTTGAAGACGGTATAGGGCATAGGAAAAATCTGGTTTCAATAGAATACGAACTAAGACGAATGTCATGAAGGCATATGGAACCCCAAAGTATTAAAGAACATATCATGGTTACTGATTATCAACCTACGTTCCCTGACTTGAGACTCTGGTTTATTGCGATACTGTTAGGTTGCACTTGAATCTAACTTTAAGAAAGTTTCAAGTCCACCATATCTGGATGCATGAATACTCGCAATTTTAGGCTTTTATTATAAGTTGCATATTCAAACTTGTCAAGCTGGTTTGGAAAAAGACTATGCCACATTCTTCAACGTTGGTCTTTAACAGATGGAATCGAATTTCAAAAAAAAATAAAGATTAGCTTTTATTGGACATGAAATTGGCACTTTAAAGTTCATCTGCCTACACACAATAACAAGATTCAAAACCATTTTCTCTATTCTTTCTTCATTTTCCTTATATAAATGAATAGGTCGCCTACGACTGGTTACAATTCTATGTACTGAGTTTCCTGCAAATCGAGGACTGTTAATGATTCCGCATTGACAATATGAAAAACAACCTGGAAATGGGTTTGGTGCATAGAAACGAGTAGATCTTAATGTACCAAAACTAAATTCTATATTCTTCCATACTCCATATTCTATACTCCAAAGCCCTTTCTTTTTCTTTTTGTCAAACACTACCAAAAATTTGAGGGTGCAGGGATTTTTGACAGTAATTAATTCAGCACCCTCATAAATATTTTTTTACTCATACCGGTGGATGTCATTCTTTCATGTCCTGGTTAACAGCTTGTAGTGAACGAAGGATATTGTCTTAGTATTTATAGAATTCGTTTTAAAAATCATAATTTTTCATAATATTTTTTTAAGAGTTCATTTTTTTTTCAAGGTGGAATGCTTTTTCATATGCAGTCAAACATATGATATATTAACGAAATTTTAACCGAAACACAATTGAACCAAAACAAACCAGGGCAACAAACAAGTAGTCAAGAAAAGGGATGGTGGACAGTCAAAATCCTACAATGCTGGAAAGATTTTCTCCTCATGCTTTGGATATAGAGGAAGCGAATCGACTTGCAGAGGAATACAGGAATAGCGGACCCTACAATCATGCTGTGATTCAACCGGTAATCAATGATACTCTATTACGAAATGTTCGTAAAGAACTTATGAACAATATTCATTTTACGGAAAAGGTTACGGATATCTATCGTGTATGGCAAACCGGAGATCTTGCCAACTTGGACGGCCTTGACGAAAATGAGAAAGGCATGCTCAAATATTTGCATCAATTACGTGATGCTCTTTATTCAGAAGAGTTCCGCGCGCATATCCAGAGAATTACTGGATGTGGTCCTTTATCTGCTACCAAAAAGGATTTGTCCGTTAATGTTTATGCTAAAGGTGGTCATCTCATGAACCATGACGATGTTATTGGAAGTCGCTGTGTCTCCTACATCCTTTATTTAGTAGAACCAGATGAAGGTTGGAAGTCAGAGTATGGTGGTGCTCTTCGCTTGTATCCCACTTTACAGCCATCTTTCCCTGCTGCTGATTACTGTAAACGCATACCTCCTCAATGGAATCAGCTTTCTTTCTTCCGCGTTAAGCCAGGTCATTCTTTCCATGATGTTGAGGAAGTCTTCGTTGATAAACCACGAATGGCCATTTCTGGTTGGTTTCATTATCCCCAACCTGGTGAGTTTGGCTATAATCCTCAAAACGTCGATAATAACATATCTACCTTACAGTCTTTGAATATGAAGATGGATCTTGAATTACCTAAAATTTCAAAATTTCCGGTGGTGAAACCTGAATTGTTGTCTCAGGAAGACACTAAAATCCTTTCACAGTATATTAACCCATTGTATACTACTACTGAAGGCATTGGTATGCTTTCTAAACGATTTTTCAAGGACTCTGCTATCGTACTTGTCGAATTTTTGAATCCCGAGTACTCAAAAGAGCTGATGAAGCGTATCATCAATGCCGAGAAACAACCTACTCCTACTCATTCTTCTGAGGTTTCTTATCCTTGGAAGACTGCTATTCCTCCTCATAAACACCGTTATCTTTACTTAGATCATGAAGAACAAGGCCCCGATGTTTTGCTTCCTATGGATTTGCAACGTCTTCCTGCCTTCCAACGCTGGATTCAATTGGTAAGTGGCCTTCCTTTAGAATCTTTCTACCAAATTGGTCGTCGCTTCCGTCCTGGTTCCGATTTTACCTTAGCTTCCACCAATGAAACTGCTACCCTCGAAGCTACTTTATGCTTGTCTCCTGGTACAGAGATTGCTAATACAGAGAATGGTGCTTACAATGTTTATATGATCGGTGACGAAGATCCAAATGCTGACGCTGCTGTTTACAGAGGTGATCAGCAGGATGATGGTATTTTACTTTCGCTACCAGCTGCGTGGAATGTTTTCTCTTTGGTATATAGAGATGAAGGGGTTCTTGAGTTTGTGAAATATGTTACCCAAGCTGCCGGCTCTAGCCGTTGGGATATATTCTCCCAATGGAACCCTATTCCTGAGTAAAAATGAAAAAAAGACATAGAAATTAATTTATAAAAATTTTTTTGGGGTTTCTTTGTTTTGTTTTTTTTATGCATAGAGACAAGCTTTAGAAATAATAGATAATTTTGTTCAAAAATCATAATCTAGTATCTTAGAGTTTTGAACAATCAATTTTGGTTTACTATTTGAATACATATCTTGTGTAGTGTTAAGAACTTCAATTCAAAAACTCCTTTATCCATTTATCATTCTCTATATTCTTCAATTGTCATAACCTAATGAAATTATTATACATACTATATTATTAAAGTTTTTCTATTGCCTCTTTTAACAGTTCAGGTATATTTTTTCTGGCATTTTTTACATCCTTAGTTATGGTAGGCCAAATATACCCATGACGAGGATCAGCAGTTTCACAATTATGAACAACCTCTTGTTGTTGTTCTTGTGTTCCTACTTCGAGACTAAACTTATAAAACCAAACCCAGACATCGCCATTATCCTGATCCGCCCTAATAGCTTTCAAAAACCACTCGCGCGATTTATCTGGTTTTGATTCGGAATGTAGCATCCTCGCAATTGTGCATAAAAGGTAAGAATTACCTTCACACTTCCGTAAAGCATCAGTGGCTCTTGTTTTTCTTTGAGCTCTAGGTTCCAACCAAATCGCTTCCGACCATAACAATCCAGATGACGGACACTCCTGTAAAGCCTTGGCCAATGCTGCTTTCACTTGGGAAGTATTTCCTATACGATTTTCCATTTTTAGCACTTCAAGCCATAAAAGTTCATTCTTAGGATTACGAACTTTGGCTCGATCAAGAACAACTCTTGCCCGTACGATATTTTCTTTTTCTTCTAACCTAGCAAGAAGAATCCATAAAGCAACGGAATGAGGACAATGTTTTGTACCTGTAATAAATGCATCCCGTGCTTTCACAGTATCGCCAGAATCTTCCAAGATCTGCCCTTTCATCATCCAAAACTTATCATAAGTAGGGAATATCTTCAAAGCATCTTCCAACAATGCCAATGCTTCATCCAATTTTCCTAAGACTCTTTCCAATGAAATAGATTTTGTCCAAATTCTTTCTGAACCTGATTCTATACGAGCACGTGCCAGTAGTTTTTCAGCCCTTTCATCTTCGTTATTTACAAATTCGAGTTTAACGGCAGCGAGCCAAATTTCTTCGCTGTTGGAATTAAAGTCAAAAGCTCTTCCCAAAATATTTCTAGCTCCATTGACATCACCAATGTTTTTTCTTTCTTTGGCATAGACAAGCCAAATAAGTTCGGTCTTGGGACATGCCTCGATAGCCTTTTCTAATATTGAGCTTACCGTATCAGTAGAGCCATAAACCTTTTCAGTTTCAACAGCACGAAGCCAGATGTTTTCATTTGAAGGATATACACGGAGTGTGTAAGCAAAGACTGCTCTCGCACAATCAAGACATTTTGAGATTAGGAATGACTGGGCATCATCCATCCAAGTGTCCAATTGATCCTCTTCATCTAATCCTATAGATAAACAAGTATTAATGATGGACTGAGCCGTAAGAACTGCTCCTTCTTTTTCACATTTTTCAGCTTCATGTAGCCACTGATCTCGTTGCAACATGCCTCCTGTTTCCTGCAGTTCGGCAATACCGCGAGCCATTATTTTTTCAACTCTTGAAACATTTCCTTGTTGTTCTTCCAAACGCGCAGCTGCTATCCATACTTCATGTGAAGTACGAATTGTTTGCCTTGCTTTGTTCAAAACCTTTTGTGCATTCTTGTATGTTTCCAATCTGGCAAGTGCGAGCCAAAGATCAATAGACATTGGAATCAATTCAACAGCACGAGCGAGTAAAATTCTTGCATCTGTTACTTCTTCTTCCAGATTCACTGCTTCTTTCCATAGACCGACAGAAGTGGGATTATGTTCAAGTGCTTTTTTTATAATTCTCTTTTTGGCAGAACTTTGTGTTTCCAAACGTTCTGCCTCTAACCATAACGTTACAGAATGAGGAAGATTCCGGACTGCATCAGCTATAATTACTTTTGCTTCATCAACAGGATGCAAACGTATAGCTTCCATCCAAACATCTTCTGAACGCGGACAATTATCACAACCTTTCAATATAAGGATGCGAGCCTGGCTATTCTTATTAGCAACTTCTTCCAAACGGGCTGCAGCTACCCAACCAGAAGCGTGTTTGGGATTCGTTTCAATTACACTCTGAAGCAGTTTGCGAGCCTTCTTCACGTCACCCAGATCTGTGTTGTTTCTTGGTATCATACTATTTAAGCTCGTTAAATATCCCTTTGGATCAACGGTAGAAGGAGATGTTAAATTTGTGGAAGCTTGTGCAAGTTTAATACCTAGTACTTTATCGCGAGCAGCACCAATTTCAACAAAGTTAGTTTTAGAATCATTTTCTGTTGTGCTTTCTATACCGGAAGCACCGTCCACAGCTACTGAAGACTCTAATTGACCTTCGTTACGTGCACCGGCTAGAACGAAATCACTTGTAGCATAGAACCTTTCGCGTCGTGGTTGTTTAGGCCTTTTCTTACGAGTTAAATCACCAGGTTCTGGTATGTTCAACCAATCTTCATCCGTCAAAGTGGATAATCCACGCTTTAAATCTGCGAATTGGGAAGATATTTTTGGATTCTCTTTTTCAATTCGTTCGCGTTGTAATTGCTCTTGACGCTCTCGCTGAGTTTTCCTTCTTTTGCTTAAATTATCTTCCACAGTTTGATAAATACGGTCGGCTTCTTCGTCTTCAGCGCCATATGGAGCTGTTGCAAAAAGTGCTACTTCATTTTCCGGGTCTTGATATCTGGGATCAATATCGTCTTCTTCATCCTCTTCACCAGCTTTCCGTTTTTCAATAGCCGTTTTTACCGCATCCTGTGAAGGCAATTCCTGAGCAGGACCCAAATCTGAGCGTGTTGTGAAGCCTGTGGCACCGCGTCCCAGTCCTGCTATGTAATTAGGAGGCGGAGCCATGTTTAAAAAATCTGGGTAGAATGTCGCCATTTTTCTGGTAATGCAAAGAAATTGACAATTCCACTTATAGTCTAGTAATTCATAGAAGTGTTAATATGGTGAGCGCGTTCGATGCAGTTGTCTTTCACTTGAATTCGTGTATATATCATAGTGCAAAAATTCTGAAACTTAAAAAAGATTATACGAAATATATTATTTGTTTTTTTAAATTAAAAATATCCCATAACCCATGTATCATTAATCTGATATATGCAGTTACCTATATATTGAATTTCGTGGTAAACTGATTCGTCTCTGAACCACTACCGCGAGGAAAAAATTAGTGTACGAAATAAAAGCTTCTATTACGTATCTAAACCATTCGTTCTGTTTTATAGAACTTGTAAACGTTAAGAGAACAAAGGAAACTGAACCATGTATGGGAAAAGTGAAACCAGGAGGAAAAGAACATGATGAAGTATATTATGAATAGCTTATAACCGGGTGATAACTGGGCGGATGCAGCTGTACTTTTGTACAAATAAGGAACTGTGTTTGCCTTTTAATGTCTCGGAAGAAGATAAACTGACGGATGATGATTGGTACTCTATTTTTTATTCATTTGAGTACCTGTTTGTTTCGTCAGTAACATTCATTTTAGAAGCAATAGAATTTAGTGTAGGAAGAATAATGTACATTTGAATGCTTATTTGGAAAGAAGGTGAAAGTCAATTTAGTAAATAACTGAAGGATTACTTGGTAGCATAAGTCCTAGAAATAACGTTTATAATGATGCATTTCACAAAGAAGCTGAGAAGCCTGTTAATAAATATGTTGATAGAGTAGCATGGTTACAATATGTTACTTGAAAGTAAGTTGCTGAGTGACAACTACACATTCATGGAAAGGCACGTAAATAGAGGAGTTGCACTTGCACTTAACTTATTTCATCCAATATAAACAACTCATTCATGACTTGCAATCATTTAACAGAATCGAACGTTAGTATTCCTAATGGATATCAAACTGTCTATCGGGAAGAGTGTGTTCGATGCTTTGTTTCTCAGGTAGGGACTATCAACGAACAAATATGCTTTGCACAGATGTAATGTGGATTCATGCTGACTTTAACAGGATTCCGAAACTGGGATTGATCTCTGCTTAGCTTGCTTTGAATCGGGATGTGGACCAAACGAACACAATCACTCAAAAATACATTGCGATAGAAAACAACATCCTATTGTGCTGAATATAAGAAGAAAACTCAAACCAGAAACAGTATGAAATAAATTTTTATATCAAATTTACTGACATAAATTCAGTGTGAAGAACCTCTGCGGAAAGTTACTAAACTGGAAATTCGTGAAGAATCAGAAGAGGATATTTACGATTGGTTTTATCAACCTCACTGTTTAATATGTAAAATTAATTTGGATATTCAGCAACCATTACTTTCAGCTTCGTTTGAGGCAGTCACCAAAGCGCCAAAAGCTTCCAACAAAAGCCAAGTCAAGGCATGGGAGAACGAAATTGTCCCATGTGAGCATACACTTTGTCTTAATCCTCAAGCTGATCATATTCCAGATTTAAAGGACACAAAATGTTTTGGCTGCGATCTGAAAGATAATTTATGGATGTGTATGCATTGTGGAATTTTGAGTTGCGGGCGCAAGCAATATGGAGGAGGTGGTGGTAATGGCCACGCGATTGAACACTTTAAAAACTCTAAGCATGCTGTCTCTGTGAAACTGAAAAGCATTACACCGGATGGTCATGCTGATATTTATTGTTATAGTTGCGACGAGGAAAGAATTGACCCGTACATCGAAGATCACTTAGCAACTTTCCAAATCGACATGAAAAAACTGAATAAGACTGAAAAGTCATTGGCAGAAATGCAGTTGGAACAAAATTTAAATTGGGATTTTGGAACCTCTGAAGAAGAATCGGGAGCTACTCGTTTATTTGGACCAGGACTTACAGGATTAAAAAATTTGGGAAACAGTTGTTATTTAGCTTCCACGATGCAAGCTTTATTTTCTATCAAGGAATTCGCTGACTTTGAACTGGATATGTTCAATACATGTAATCCTAGGTGCGATCATCCGACATCGAATTTTCAATGTCAACTTTCAAAATTGGCTGAAGGGTTGTGCTCTGGTAAATTTTCCAAGCCAAGCGGACTTGTACGCCAGACAACCGACTCTTCTCCTATGCTTCCATTCCAAGATGGTTTACGACCTTACATGTTTAAAGACGTTATGGGCCAGGATCACCCAGAATTCGGTACAGCACAACAACAAGACGCCTATGAATTTTTAGTTTACCTCTTGAGTGTAATCCGTAGAAACAGCATTGGAAACCGCGATATATCTACTCTTTTCGATTTTGATGTTGAACAAAAATTACTTTGTCTTTCGTGTAAGCGTGCACGTTACTCAGTCTTTACTTCTCAAGGACTTACAATTCCTGTGCCACGAAAGAAAATAGGAGAAGAAAATGGTGAAGGGGTTTACGAGGAAGTTACTCTTAATGAATGTTTGGATTTGGCTGTTCAGCCTGATAGTATGGAATATACTTGTGAGGCCTGTAAGAGTAAGCAAGGGGCCACGACCTGTTTATCCTTAAAAACATTTCCGAAGGTCTTAGCTTTACAGCTAAATCGCTTCGATATACAAGCTTTTCAAGTAAAAAAGTTGGGGATCCCCGTAAAAGTCTCTGAAGAAGGACTATACAAGTTAGACAATCTCGTTGCGAAACCTCGACCTGAAGGTGAAGAATTACTTCCTGAAGCCGCTCCAATGATCAACTGGAATGAACAAGCTATAGAGCAGCTTCAAGCTATGGGTTTTCCAATAGCTCGGTGTCAAAGAGCTATGTTGGCCACGAACAATGCTGATGCCGAGACTGCTATGAACTGGTTGTTTGAGCATATGGAGGACCCTACAATTGATAATCCGATAGACGTATCTGAACTTCGACAGGCTAAAAGTGATACTGTTCCCAATGATAAAGTTCAGTCTCTATGTGATTTTGGATTCTCAGAAGCACAGGCTAAAAGAGCACTCACAGAAACAAATAACGACGTTGAAAGAGCTGTTGATTGGATCCTAAATCATCCAGATGAAAAGTTTGATGAAACAGCCAGTGAAGCAGAAAAGTCAATGGAAGTCGAAAAAGTGAAACACGATACTGATTCTTTGCCTGCAAACTACCAACTGAAAGCTATCATTAGTCATAAGGGTGGTAGTGCACATGCTGGTCATTATGTAGCGTTTATTCGAAAAGAAATTGAAGGTCAGTCTGTCTGGGTTCTCTTTAATGATGAGAAGATTTTGAAGGCGTCATCATTAGAAGAAGCAAAGGCTACCGGGTATGTCTACATATTAGAGCGGATAGATGACTAAAAACATCAAGCGTCAAAAGGAAAGGATTAGGTCCAGGACTAAAAGGTATTATTACTTGTCTTTAATATTAGGAGCTTCGTAACAAAAAAATAAATATATTTATCGTCTGCCATTGAATAATATTGAACAAAAGTCATCAAAAAGTATTTATAGGTCATTCTATTACCTTCATTGTTTTTTAGTAAGTTTCTGCCACATACTATTGTTTGTTTACAATCTGCATATTAAGGTATTAGTTTAACGAGTTTTAATGAAGACTAATCATTTATGGGCTTTGTATTGATAACACAAACAATTACTTTCAAGTACACATACCAAAAGTTTAGACAGACAAAATGGAGACGCTCATTGGGAGGACGTTACAGTTCCAATCCTTCCATTCTTCAGTAGATGCGATCTTTTGGCATCAACTGAGCAATCACAAAGTGGAACAACAGAAGCTGGACGCGTCACCAGTTGCTATTCATGGACGTTTCAATGCATATTCACGAAGTGCAATCTCTATCGTATTTGGTAAAGCATCTGAAAATAGGTACTTTAATAAAGAAATAAATGGTATTCAAATGCTAACGGATCAGCACCATCAAAGAATGCATTGCTGAAGGTACTTTAATCAACGCAAACACACAGCAAGAGTTTGTTGAGGCTGATGTGAAAAAATTACGTGAAAGCATGGGAAAGAAAGTATGATATTTATGCGTGTTCAAACTGTGAATGATGCTTGTTAACACATTGCTAGCTGTTGGAATCCATTGAGATGGACACAGTGGCCGAAAAGCCTAATGAACTGATTCAATTCTTACTTTTTTCATATGCAGACATAAAATCTTATCGGTACCATTACTGGTGCCTATTTCCGTCTTTAAAAAATACACCATTTTGGATCGTCAAGAGTTCCCATCCTGCAGAATCAGTCATTCCTTCTAATGTCGTCTTGCCTAAAATATTAGACTTTTTGAAAACATCAGATTATACTCAAAGACCTTTTTTCATTGTGACGAAGGACCTGAAAGCTCAATGGGTTGTTCTTCCTCTTAAAGAGTTACCAAGGTGCATCAGTGATAAATTAGATGTAAGGAGAAAATGTTTTGGAAATGTATTTTTTATGATTTTGAAGCTAATTTTCCTAGTTTTTTATTTTCGCCGAAGATTCATTTCAACTACAAGAATACCCTTCCTGGCCGACACGGAATCTTCTTGCTTATCTTTCAATCAAACACCATTTAGAAAAAACAAAAATAATTATTTTTCGAGATGGAATAACTTCAAATAACTTATCTCGAAGCGTCTTCTTAGACTTAGTGAGTCGGAAGAGTCAAGATTCCTCTAAACAATTATCCACTGTAGGTTGGGAGCGAAATGGAATGGGTCAGTTAGGGCCAAAGGTGGTCAATTTGTCTTCCTTGATAGATCCTGTGTTACTTTCTGAATCAGCGTCAATGCTGAACTTGAGCTTAATGCGATGGAGACTCGTACCACAACTTGACCTTGGCATCATTCAGAGTACTAAGTGTCTTCTCCTTGGAGCTGGAACGTTGGGTTGTGGCGTTGCAAGGAATCTTGTGGTACGGTTACAAACATTGAATGAACGCTAATAAAAATAGTCTTGGGGAGTTCGACACATCACCTTTGTTGACTATTCAAATGTGGCTTATTCCAATCCCGTAAGACAATCACTATTCACATTTGAAGATTGCAAAAAAAAACAGCCTAAAGCTCAGTGTGCAGCGTCAAGGCTAAAAGAAATTTATCCTAAAATGGTAAGATTAACATCTTATTAATTCTAATACTAAATATTTAGTTTACTGAAGGGCATTCAATAAGTATTCCCATGCTAGGACACCCAATATACGAGTCTGATATTGAAAAAACTAAGAGAGATTATCAAAAGTTAGAAACCCTTTTTTCGAGTCACGATGCTATTTTCTTATTGACAGATACGAGGGAATCACGCTGGCTTCCAACGGTCATGGCAACATCAATGAACAAGATTTTAATTAATTCGGCGCTAGGATTTGATAGCTGGGTTGTTATGAGACATGGTAGCTTGTCACAAGGAGAAAATCGCCTTGGTTGCTATTTTTGCAATGATGTATTTGCTCCATCCAATTCTGTGGTTGATAGAACCTTGGATCAAACGTGTACAGTAACACGCGCAGGATGCACCAACATTGCAACTGCAATAGCTGTAGAACTGTTTGTTAGTCTGCTACAGCATCCCAATGGGTATGTTAAAAGGCATCTAACTTGTAACATTAACATTTTTTAGTGTCGCTGCCCCTGTCTCCAACACGGAAACTACGGTCTTGGGCGAATTGCCTCATCAAATTCGTGGTTTCCTGCATGACTTTAGTTTACTGAAGATATCTGGTAAGGCCTACCAGCAATGTTCCGCTTGTAGCGAGTATGTAATAAGTGAATGGGAGAAACGAAAGTGGGATTTTGTTTTACAGGCTATTAATGATTGCAATTACATTGAAGAACTGTGTGGTCTACGACTGGTGCAGCAACTTGGCGAAAGCGCAGGGATCATGGAGGAATGGGATAGCGACAACGAGAGTCTAGTAACATAAGACATAAGAGCATGTATTCATGATGATTTCTTAACGATTAATTTAATGAAATGAAAAGCAATCACAATAAAGTATTAATTTCATGATCATTATATTATAATTAAGACAATATTAGAATCGTGGATTTTTTTATCAAACAAAAACGTTAACGTAATTTATATACCTTTTTTAATCTTAAACTTATCCTTTAGAGCAACAAGTGTTTCTGATCTTGCCTTTGGCGGGCTTATTGTTCGGGGTAAAGTAACCTTTGTTTGAAGTGGAACCTCCATAGTCATACTTGTATCGGATTCTTCAGGTTCTTCAAATTTCGCAATATCCGTCTCAAACTTTCTCTTTTTTCTAACGGGTAAAGGTATTTTGGAAGGAGTAAGAGAAGTCAGTCGCTGCGAGCATGCTGAATTTTCTATCGCATTTCCACTATCCGCGTTATGATGTTCTGTGAGTTTATTCGTACTTTCAGTCAAGGAGGTTTCTTTTGTAGGAGTCTGGGTAGTCGTTGTCCTACCGGATCTGACAGTAGGTGATGCATGAGTAGGGCTAGATGGTATACCTATTATGGCTGATGTTCTCTGAAGGTAAGGTGTAACACGAAAGGGTGATTTTTTTTGAGTATTTTTCGAAATCGGACTTAACGAAGATTCGGCAGGTGAAGTAAGACTAAGAGTATTAACGGTACTTTTCCTTCCTTTTCCTTCGTTTTTTCTGAGTTTCTTACTCTGAGTTGCAACTTTCGATTCCAATACTTGCAGCCTAACTTTCCAATTTGATTCTTCCGTTTCCATTTTGATCTTCCATCTATTTAACTCAGATTCTTTAGCTGCAACGGCACTATGAAGTTTGTTTAAATCGGAATCTTTTTCTTTGAGCGTCTTTTTCAGGTCTGTAATTGTATGATGAAAACGAGTAATTTGTTCTGTATTTGACGATGATACGGTAGCATTGTCAGCGGACAGGTTGGGAGTTTTGCACTCGGCGTGTTCAAAGTGAGAACTTTTTTCGGGAGAAACTCCCTGCTTCAAATGTTCCTGATGTTGTTTACGCAATGTAGTCATGTCTTCTAGATTTTGTGCTATGTCTGATTCCAGAGAGGATATTCTGTTTTTCAGTTGCGAAATATCAGAAAGTAAAGATTTGTTTATTTCTTTAAGCTGCTTGACTTGTTTTGTATTCTCATCGCTTTTATGCTCATAATTTTCGTGCAACGATGTTTTGTTTACATGGTTCGCAGCTTCTAACCGTGTCCTCCCTAATATATCTGTTTGTAAACCGTGTACAATATTAGAAGCTTTTGCTAAATAATAGTTCAGCTCTAGTTGACCTTGTAATAGCTGATTTTTCACATGATGGAAGGAGCCTGTATGTTTCCTGAAGAGTTCGTCGACGTCCATATATTAAGCAAACGGTAGTAAAATGAGCGGAATATGTTAATTTTGGAAAGAAATAATAAAAAATTAGATAAAAGAAAGAATATGTTTTTGCCTATATGAGTAATATAACAAACGATTTAGAAGCTGTTGTGTTGAAGCGCAAGTATGGAACAACGTCTGTATTGATATAAAGGTCCCAGCGCTCCTTTATATTAGCTGTAGAAGAAAAAAAAAAATCTCGAGTACATAACTCTTGATGTTGAAATTAATTTTACGCTCAAATAAGAAATCAATTTGCTAGAAGCCAACGTGTCAAGTTTAGCTACCTGATGCAAGGCTGAAGGTGTAAAATCTATTTATTTATGATGTATAAAATTTCACTTGTAGAAAAAATCTTTTGTTCTACAGAAATCAAACTTAAACTTGTTGTTCCTAGTTCATTCTACTAGCTTTCAAGGTTCTGAATTTACTGTGTATCTAATGATTGCTGAAAATCCTGAAGACGAAAACCAAATGCGCAAAGCGAATCCTTCAATTCAATATTCTCCTTTTCTTTTATATCTCATAGATGTTACTTCTACTAGCTCGTTTATTTATGGTGATGCACGTTCTTCTTGTCAAGGAAACGCTTTTTGTATATTAGCCATAGTAATTTTATTAATAACATTAAGAAATTGAATACAAAACTTGATGTAGAGAATGTGTATACTCAGACATTGAGAAATCCAAATCATCCAAATGGATTTCAAAAAGTTAGAAGTTATTACAAATAGCATTATTTAACACTTATCACTTATCACAACAGATGTATGTTTTTTTTTCTATTCTATGTGTAATTAAACACATCTTATATACTCTGGAACGTAACGAATAACACTACTGATGATGAACGAACATTCAGTTTTGTAAACTTTTACACTGTCATCATCATACCATATTCATTTGCTTGATACGGGGATAAATTTTCTTTTCTTTTTGCTTTTTCCTGTAAGAGAAGAAGAAAAATATGTAACAATTCTGTGACGCAATATATACCGTTGAAAGTGTCATTCCAAAGTAAACATTAAAGATGTACATATAGAATAGGCTTTTCCTCGATGTGAGCGCGGTTACCTTCAAATCTATCCAAAATATGAAGGACAAAAACCCTTTTTCAGAGTCTACAATTAGGCCATTTGTTGAACATTCATCAAAGGAACCATACGTAGATCATGATAATGAGTTCAGCAAACTTGGTTACCTTGTTGTAAGTGCAACAGGCATATTTAATCTAACAGAACCAGTTTCGTTCATTTGTTAATCCAGACGATGATAAACTATCGGGAATGCCCGAACGAAATATATCACTGGACAAAGCGAATATGGATAGGTATCTGGATCATTGCAGTTATCCCTACGATCCAGCTTTTATGCAACACCAGGTTGGTCCTCGGTTGAATACACGATCTCTTCGAGCGAAAAACAATCATTTGAGAAAGCAACCTGCCGTAAAGCCTAGACTTATTATCGAAGATAGAGGATTAAGAAACAGGCCTAAACAAATAAACTTCCCTGGAAGAAATGCCTCTATGCTCGGGTACGATAGGATTGATCAATTAGATACATCTAATTCGTACCTTGGTAATTTCGGTACGCAATTATATAAATGTTTTGTATATCTAACAATAGGCGTTCATCATGATGGCCCCTTTGAACCATGTTGCAAGCACCGAAATTTGGATATTAGTACCAGTCCAGTTGCTGCTTTTTCGGAAAACAGTGGAGCTAACAGCTTAAGTGCTCTTATTCCAAAAGATAAATCCGAAGAAGACTTGACTTCGGATAACAGTATATGGGAAGGGGCTAATACCAATACCTACGGCTCACCAACTTATGTTGAGCAAGATAGCTCACACTCTAATGATCAAGAGAGCGAATCCTTATTGAATAACAATGACGGCAGACAGCGATCAGTAAATAATTTACAAAGAAAAGCTTCAATTTTGGACCGTTTGCGACACAATTGTAAAAAAAAGTTTTCCAGCGGCGGTACAAAGTAAAGCCATCTAAGTTCGTCAATCACCCAAGTGTTTTATTTCTTTGTAATCCTTATTATTTTTTTTTTTTTCTTCTTTGACCAATTTTATTAATGACATCAACCAACAATGGCTTGATATATAGGCTTTCATAATGAAAACTACACAATTTTTCGTTTAAATCAGTCATAACCAGATTTCCTAAGATAAAAAGATGTAAGAAAAATAGCAGGATGATTCCGCGACGTGAAATGCATGAATGAACGTGGAATAATCGGATTCAGAAGATAATTTATACATGGTACGATAAAACGACAAACCTACAGACCACTAAGCGTAACATACTTTTAGAATAAAGATAAGAAAACAAAAAGCAATTAACATAATTTGACATACAAGCATGAATCAATCAACATTATAGCAAAATTATAACTGCGGATACGATGGTACGTTTCCACTAAGCATCAAGAGGCTATCCACGTAGGTTTGCAGGTTTCGGTAAGGGTTCTTCGCTATGAGTCCCTTGCGAATAAGGTAACGAAAAGTCACCATTCTCGCTGTCAGAAAAATCGTCCAGAGAATTTTTTGAACTCCTGTCCAACAACTGTCGAACTCTTTCTTGGATCAAGTTCGACTTTACTGGACTGACTAATTTTGGTTCCGGAGAATTTCTCTCACTTCGATTGGATCCTGATCTAAATGCACCAGTAACTTTCCTTGTTTGGTGAGGTTCAGAAAGATTTCTATACTGACGAATATTTTCGTGGACCTGTGGTAAGTCCTCGCTTTCTACTCTCCAATCATCAGATTGTTCAGACAGGCTCGGGCTGACAGTTGCAGACTCCAAATTTGGTAATTCCTTCGATGGTGACTCATACGACTTCCTGTGTGTTTTCTCACTTCCGAATTCGAACTTTTTAAAAGCATCACCGAATTTACCAGATAACAGCCTGGAAGCATGCCCTTGCTTTTTGGGTTTGCTAAAACTATTAGATAATCGTAAATCCTTCTTATTCGCTTCATTAGTTTTTACTTTTTCAAGCTTAGCGGTTATTGATTTCTGAAATCTTTGTGTACGAGAAATATCTGAGGAAGATTGACGACCATGAGACCCTAAGCTTCTCAAAAATTCAACGTTTGACTGAACCTCAAAAGAATCACCTTCAGCGGATTTCCTTCGATTATGTTTATCATCAAAGACAACCAAATCTTCAACCCCCTTAATAATATCCATATCATTAGAGGTTCCACTTAACGGAGATCTTTGAATGGAAGCTTCTTTTTCTCCTTGGTGCAAAAATTTATTTAACGAGTCCTGAGATTCATTATTTAGATCGTTGTTCACATCAACTTCCGTTCTCATAGGTATTTGTTCTTGATCTAATTTAAAAGACTCCTGTTGTATAGGTCTTGATGGTAAAAGACAGTGATCTGGGACATTATCTTTCGGAGTGGAGTCATCAAGCCGCTTGGGAATTTGAGCAGTTCCCTTTTGAACCGTTGGAAACGAAGATGAAGTAGTCTGACCCTTAGGTAACTCTCTTTGACTTTCGGCAGAATGCAATATTGGAGAGGAAAGTTTTGGAACGGGTGAGTATGCACTTGAAAAGCTTTTTTGTTTACCCGTAAATGTTGAAGGATCCATCTCCTCGAAAGTCGAGTTATCTAATGATTTGGAGCGGAGCAACTTACTATCAAATTCCGGTGGTGTCAACGTTGAAGTAGTAGATTGCTTAACAACGGTGTCCCTATTTTTGGCATCAAGTAAAGGAAGCGGCTTGATAACGTTTTTGTTACTAACTTGCTTATCTAATTCGTCGACACTAGGATAGCGGGAGAGAATATCGACTTCATCATTCTGATCTTTCCCTTGTGCATTATTTCTGGCATTGGCATTGATAATGTCATCATGTTTAAGTAGAGATCGAAAATCATTCAAACTTCTTTTCTGGGAATTTGAGGCAGACGGGGTGACATTGTGATTATATTTTTCATCACCTGTGGACAATGTGAATTCTTTATTTTGATCATTATGTTGAGAGGGAGATGTCCTATTCGGCCGGCTAAATGATCGGTCAAACGACTGTACAGAAGCCTTTGGCGTTATGGATGGACGAGAGATAGGTATAGGAGGAAGCGACCCATGTGACTGCAAAGTGGAGGCGGGCTGTAATCGACCGGAAGGTGTTTTGAAAAGAGGTGCTTTGGGTGGGTTAAAAGTTGAGGCATTTACTCCACCATAAATATCCGAAAGTAGTAGAGGTGTGCCACGCATTTCCATGATTTCCTTTAAAGTTTGATATATATTGGGACGATGCGAGGGTTGTTCTTGAAGACATGTAGCAATAAACCTTTTCAAACGATCACTGTATTTCGGAAAAGGTGGGATGGAGAATGAAGCTTTTAAAATAGCAGGACTTCCTACAGTCTCAAATGGAGTTGTATAATAGCAAAGTTTATAAGCTAAAACGCCAATTGCCCAAATATCACTCTTTTCATCAATACCTTGATGCCGATTCAGATCAATCATTTCTGGGCAACGATACTGAGGAGTCGTATATGCGGCAATATTTTTTTCAACCCATAACATTGACTCTGCTGTGGTAGCGGGTGGTATTGCCTCGCATGCACTGCCAAAATCACAAAGTTTATATGAGTTTGGAGCAACTAACAAAACATTTTCAATTTTAAGGTCCCGATGAATTAGAGGCGGATCCAAATAATGCATAGCAGCAACCGCATCACAAACATCTGCCAAAATTTTCAAGATTTCACCTTCCGTTAAACGAGTTTGAAGTCTTGTGTTCATAAAATCAATGAGGCCACCCCCTGCACAATACTCCATTAATAAAAAGACCTCATAACGATTGGCTGAGTTCGAATATAAAGCGTTTGAATCTATATAATTCACAATATGGCGGTGGCCTTTGAGACGTTTCATCGTCTCTATTTCTCCATGTACCAATTGAAGGGCAGCTTTGTCAGGAACGTGGATGCGTTTTAAAACACAACATCGCTTATCCTGTGTTTCCACGAGATAAACATGTGAAAACCCACCTTCGCTGAGATACCGGATGACTGTAATAGTATGGCTACCAACAACCAGTTTCGTGTTTGGTGGGATCCTTGTATAAAAATCCATAGGAATGAATGCAGAAGTAGCTGGAGGCATATAAGAGAGACTAGAAGGACCTTGGGTCCTAGCTACGGGCCGAAAGTCCTTCCCTATTACTTGATTTTTAGACCAGACTTCAGTCATGAGTTGGGTAAAACCAAGGCGGGTGGTTTTATTAACTTCGTAAATTTAAACAAGATTTGTTTTCAATAGTATGAAAACCCAAAAGAAAGATTAGAGTATAGGGGTTTAAACAATGGCAATACTAGTACGACGTAGTCAACCGTATTTGCCCGTATGTCTTTTGATGCAAAGATACTAGATACACAACTCCTACTTCGTAAGTAATTGAGTCAATTCTAGTTATAAATAAAACAAAATCAAGTGATATTTGTGAACCAGACTGTATAACCACTCAATTTACGTGTACGACAGTAACGTTAGATCCAGGATACCTTTCAACCCTATAATTCTTTCGTACGTTCACAAAAAAAACAAAAACAGCAATGTTTCCTGGTAGATATACATATATATACTGATGTATATATTTGAAGAAGCTACCAGTTTACATAGAAAACATCCAACGTTTATTAGGTGCAACGTTAAGGTTCGTAAAAGATAATTACAACCTTGAATAAATCACAAACAGTGTTTTACAGACTCTGCCACAATACCGTACATAAACACTTCGCCCTACGTTATCAATGTATAACGAAACTTAGTTTTGTACGGAACAGAGATCAAATCAAATGTGAGAATCATTGAAAGAAAAAGATAAAAAATACATGAATAGCTGCTAAACTAATAGTTATTATAAATCTTTCAATATTTTACATGTATTAGTTGTAACAAACATCACTTCTTTCCATAAAAAATTTTGTCTGGGTTAGGGTTTCCTGGCATTTTTCAACGTTTGCTGGTTTTGTGAATCGCATAAGTACCACATGAAGCCCCGGTAGGAAAGCGGATTCAGTACCGCCATTGCTAGCGCGACACGAAACTAGTCAATAGTTCTAGGTGTATTATGCCACGTTAATAGATCAAAACTTCTAAATTGGAATAGTAAAAAGAAGTTCGTATACTATTGATTGAAATTACGTTACAAAAGGCTGGAAAGGATTGAAAAAAGGCCTTTTTTTCCTGCAAGAAGCGCTTGTAAACAAAGGATAGTATTCATAACTTTCTCGTTGCTGAACATATTTTTCTAAAATAGCATTTGTTCTTCTTGACTTTTATTGAAGAAGATTGTTATTGTATTGCTTCTATTTCTAATAATTGCAACATAGTACCTTTTGTTAAGTTTCATTTCCTGGCATCGCATAATTGGTGTCTTTGTGTTGCAAGAAGAAGGTTCTTTTTATTGTTCGTTGTATACGTTTGCAGGACAAAAGAATTTATATTCTATATCACGTGAATTATCCATTCAATACTGTCTTTTGGGCTATTGTTGAACTATTTACATATACTGTGTGCTTCTCTATCTATACTTTTTAAAGACATAAAGGTCCTATGACTTCACGCTTGGATCGGTTGGTGGTGTTGCTGGACAACGGTTCTACATCAGTCGTTCGTGAAGCCGCTGCAAAGCAAATTGCTGATATTCAAAAAGCACACCCGGTTGAGCTTTATAATTTATTGGGCCGTGTCGTCCCTTATTTAAAGTCAAAGAATTGGGACACCCGCGTTGCCGCTGCGAAAGCCATTGGTGGTATCGCTGAAAATGTTCCAGTATGGAATCCAAATGAGGAGTTGGTAAAAAGTGAACCGAAAGAAGAAGATAATGAAATAGGAAACTCGATCTCTGGTCCGGTGGGAAACAAAATTGAAGAACAAAAATCTGAAATGACCGTTTCCCCGGATGAACAGACTAATAAAGTAAAGGTAGAAGAGGTGGAACAGTCAACACTTGCTGAAAATTCTGCAGAACAACCAAAGGTTTCCCAAGGAGAAAGTGATAAAACTGCTTCCAGGTTGCAGGATTATGAAGAGAAACGCTTATCAAGTCGTTCTCATTCATTTAATAACTTGGCTCCTATAAAAGACTTTGGAAACGACTCTTCCATATCTTCCGAACTAAATTCGAAGTTTGAAGGTAGCTTTCAGAATTCTTTGCTTTCTTTTGATAATTTCAATTTGGAAGACGTTATGAAGCATGGAACGAAATTACTAGGCAGTGCTAGTCGTGACTATGATTTTACTCCATCAGATACTTATTCTTCTCACTACATTCATCAATTATCCAATCTCAAAAATCGTCTAGGACTCGCGGGCGAGTATTTGGACGATGAACTCATGCAAGATTTGGGTAATCAATCCTCTCCTCAACATAGACCTTCTCCGATATCTTTACATCCTGAGCAAGAGGAAAATCAAGCCTCTGTTGGGGCCGCAAATAGCCCCAATGAGTCTGATGATTTATCTCATTTATCCGCTCGTCAACGCAATGCTTTAAAACGTAAAGCTAAGCAAATGAAAAGCTCCCAAAAAGTTCGTGTCATTGATGTGGCTCCCAACACCAACCAGCAGTCGTCAAAAACAACCAAATCAGATTCTAATTCTGCTCCTGAATATAATTTTACCGCGCAATCACAGTCAGATAAACTTGTAGTAGAGCACAAAGCTCCCGTTGTGCCATCTGCTGCTGTCGCAGTTACTAGCGATTCTGTTTGGCCTTTCAAAACTCTTGTAGAATTGTTTTTGGTGGATATGTTTGATCCTGCGTGGGAAATAAGGCATGGTGCTTGTATGGGTTTACGTGAGATTATTCGGTTTGCAGGTTTTGGATATGGACGTGAGGTGGGTAAAAGTCTACAAGAAAATAACGAACTAAATACCAAATACTTTAATGATCTTTTATGTCGTATTGCTTGTGTTTTTGCTTTGGACAGGTTTGGAGATTATTTGGCTGACCAAGTTGTTGCACCTATACGTGAATCAGTCAGTCAGGTGCTGGGTGTCGCCCTTATTTATGTGCCCGATAGTTCAGTTCATTCTATGTATAAAGTACTTCATTCTTTGGTTTTTCAAAATGAACTAGGTTTGACTCAGAGGGTATGGGAGGCTGCGCATGGTGGTATGCTTGGCATTAAGTATCTCGTGGCAATGAAGTATCCTATGTTCTTTTCCCAATCCTTCTATCTGGACAGCTTGATTGACATAGTAATTCAAGGCTTAGCTAATAACGACGATGATGTCCGTGCAGTCAGTGCATTAACTTTGTTACCGGTGGCCGATAAACTTGTTGCTGGCAAACTGGATTCTTGTCGTCAACTGCTCAACGTCTTATGGGATTGTTTGGACGATGTTAAGGATGATCTTTCTTCCTCAACGGCTAGTGTCATGGATCTTCTGTCTTGTTTATGTTCTTATGCGGAAGTGATGGAACTTATGCAAGAAAATGCTAGCACTGACTCAAAGCGTTCTTTTAGGACTTTAGTTCCACGACTTTTTTACTTAATGCGTTACACCCTCAGTGGTGTTCGAAGATCTGTGATTTATGCTTTGAGTAAATTCGTCTTTACTAAAGCTCCTAAACTGAATAGCTGGATTACTGGGTTAACTTTACGACTTTGTTTTCAGAACGTTTTGCTCGAACAACAAGATGACATTTTCCAGTCTTCTTTTAATTTGGCTCATGACATTATTGACGCTTTGTTTTATCATGGAACAGATAAGTTCACTGAAATGATGAAACCACATATTGAGGCAATGCTTAAGGTTACGATGACTCCAATAGGTTCCACCCGACATCCTTATCCAATCGATACATCGTTACTTATAAAACCATCTGGTCAACCATACGCCATACGAAGTACTTCTCAGGACCGTAATTCTAAGTTTATGTTTGACTTACCATCTCGTAGAAAACAGAGACGACATGCAGAATCCGATTCTGGTTCATCATTTTCGTATTCTGTTGATGAACCTATGTTAAATGGTGACGTAGAATTCGTTGGTGAAGAGCGCATGCTGAGATGTCGTTTGGGTGCTGCATCCATTCTAGGTGCAATTTTAGGACGCTGGAAAAGAGATGAAATACTTCCGATATTTGAATCACCCTTAAAGCTATGTCTTTCATCTCCATTTTCTACTCCTGTTGTACTTTGTTCGAGATTGATAGAAGAATTTTTTGCTTTCAAAGATTCCGATCTTGCGATACAAAAGGAAAAGTTTCATCAAATGCTTTGCGACCAATTCACAACTATTCCTCGTGAAACATATGCTAACTTAGTTCCGCAATTACATATCGTCAGGGCTCAATGTAACGCGCTTTTAAATACATTCGTGGATTTAGGACGTGCGTCAAGGAATAAAATACCTGTGTTAGCTGTTGTTGTGAAGGGTGATGCCGATGCTGGTCCCAATGCCTTCGGTATCGATGATGCCGAGAAAATAATTGGTCCAACATTTGAGTCACTGTTTAGCACCCTTTCACCTTCACAAAAATCTGTGTCTGGCAAAACGTTTAGTGAAATGAAGTTGTTAGTCAGTGATGAAGTATCCATGTATAAGGATCACAAGGATACTATTGATATACAGTGTGCTGCTGCTCTAGCATCCGGTATAGTTTCATATGAAAAACTACCGAAGAAATTGAATCCAATTATTAAGGGTATAATGGAATCTATAAAAAAGGAAAGATTTTCTTGTCTTCAAAGACATTCAGCGATGGCCATGATGAAATTAATTTCTTCATGTTACAAAGAGTCTCGCCAAAATATTTCTGAAAAAATAGTGAAGAATTTATGTGCTTATGTTTGTATGGATACTTCGGAAACTCCTATATTTGAGGAATCGGAAAAGCGAGGTATCTTATCGATTTCCAATAGCGAATCCGAAGTTGAAGAAATTGATGGTGAGAAAATTGGTAAAGTTACTGAAGGGGAGGTAGATGAGCGCCGTAAAACTCGGTCTAGTAGCACTGAAAAGGATGCTGCAATTCTTCAAAGAGTAGGTGCTCAACTAACCCTTCAGTTAATGGCGTCGACTTTTCGTAATCGACTGTTTGAAGATGTGCCCGTATTATCTCAATGCTTATTTTCTCCTATAAAACGATTTAGTGAAGAAGGCATTCCCACGGATGCGGATGGTAAAAAGGATCACACTTTCGGTCAGGACTTACTTGATGCCATGTCTATTCTTCGATTTTTGGTTCCTAATTTAGATGCTGACTTGTGCGGCTATATAACAGATATTTTACCACATTTACTTCCAGCTGTATGCTGTGAATACAGTTCTATAAGATTTATGGTCGCAAAATGTCTCGCATCAGTATCTGACTCCGTTACCGCCGGTTCAAAAGCATTACGGATGCTTGTGGAAAACATAGTTCCGTTATTGGGTGATCCAACAAATATTACACATAGACAAGGTGCTATTGAATGCATTTATCAGGTGGTACAACGACTTGGCGTTCGTGTTTTACCTTATGTACTTTATCTTATTATCCCCCTCTTAGGCAGGATGAGTGATTCCGATAAAGACGTAAGGACTTTAGCTACTTCATCATTTGCAACACTCGTCAAACTGGTACCACTTGAAGCAGGTATCCCAGATCCCGTTGACCTTCCCCAGGAACTTATTGATAGCAGAGAAAAAGAAAGGCGTTTCCTTGAACAGATGTTAAATCCTACGAAGGTCGATTCTTTTGTAATGCCCGTAGCTATTAACGCGGACCTTAGAAAGTATCAGCAAGAGGGTGTCAACTGGTTGGCATTTTTGAACAAATACGAATTGCATGGGATCCTTTGTGATGATATGGGTCTCGGAAAAACGTTACAGACAATATGTGTAGTAGCCAGTGATCATCACAATCGTCAAAAAGCTTTTGAAGAAACTAAAAGCCCGAGATATGCTCACGCGCCTTCTCTTGTGGTATGCCCGTCGACTTTAGCTGGACATTGGCAGCAAGAACTACTTACATATGCGCCGTTTTTGAAAGTCCTATTATACGTGGGACCTCCCACCGATCGATCAAAGTTACGAAAACAACTTAAAGTGGTGGATGTCGTGGTAACTTCCTATGACATTTGCCGAAATGATATGGATTCTCTTGTTAAAGTTGATTGGAATTACTGCGTTTTAGATGAAGGTCATGTCATAAAAAATGCCCGTGCCAAACTTACTAAGGCAGTTAAGTGTCTGAGATCATATCATAGACTTATACTGTCTGGTACTCCAATTCAAAACAACGTTTTGGAACTTTGGTCTCTCTTTGACTTCCTGATGCCTGGCTTTTTGGGGACAGAAAAAATATTTCATGAAAGATTCGTGAAGCCAATTGCTGCAAGTCGAGATGCGAAGAGTTCATCTAAAGAAAGAGAAAGAGGAACATTGGCTTTGGAAGCAATACACAAGCAAGTCCTTCCTTTCTTGTTACGCCGTTTGAAAGAGGATGTTCTAGCTGATTTGCCTCCTAAGATAATTCAAGACTATTATTGTGAGATGAGCGATTTACAGCGAAAGCTCCATAACGAATTTATCTCTCAATTAAATATTAACGAGGAGCTTGAAGTTAACGTAGATGAAGAAGAAAATAAGAAGCCTGCGAAAAAGAAATCACCTAAGGGACATATTTTCCAAGCATTGCAATACATGCGTAAACTCTGCAATCACCCTGCTCTGATATTGACTGAAAAACATCCCAAGCGTGATGAAATTTCGAAACAATTACAGAAAGAACACAGCACTCTTCATGATCTTAAGCATGCTCCTAAGTTGTTGGCACTTGGTCAATTACTTAAGGATTGTGGTATAGGTGATACCTCGTATAGTGGTGGAGGAGTTGACTCAACTTTAACTAATCCTGTGAGTGAGCATCGAGTACTTATTTTCTGTCAACTTAAAGATATGTTGGACATGGTTGAGAAAGATCTTTTACAAGCTACTATGCCGAGTGTTTCCTATATGAGACTTGATGGTTCTGTTGAGCCTACGAAACGTCAGGAGGCTGTTACGAAGTTTAATAATGATCCTTCTATTGACGTCTTGTTATTGACAACGCATGTCGGTGGTCTAGGCTTGAACTTGACGGGTGCCGATACTGTTATTTTCGTTGAGCATGACTGGAATCCTATGCGTGACTTGCAAGCAATGGACAGAGCACATCGTATTGGGCAGAAGAAAGTTGTAAACGTATACCGATTAATTACTAAGGATTGTCTTGAAGAGAAGATAATGGGTCTACAGCGATTTAAGATGAATGTCGCTTCGACAGTTGTTAATCAACAAAATAATGGTCTAGCCTCTATAGGGACAGACCAGATATTAGATTTGTTTGATACCAATGCCGATGAACAGAAAGCGGATGAGAAAAAACAAAAGATTTTGGACACGGATAACCAAGGTCTAAGCTCTACTTCAAAGAAAGCCTTGGAAGGGTTACCGGAAATGTGGGATGAATCACAATATGATGAGTTTAATTTGGATGGATTTATATCCTCTTTGCCCAAAGAAGCTCAATAAATATAACTGATGCATTTTATTTAAGTTAGTTATTTTATTCATGTTAATATTAGAACATAAGCTGTACAATAGAATTAATGCCCTTTTATAATAAATTACGTGAAATGAAAGTCGAAGGACAATAATATAATTGAAAATTAGAAATATTCAAGATCTGGATTTGCAGAAGCCAAATTCATCCGACAGTAATCTCTGCTGGATTTAGTATAAGAAAAGAACGCGACGTAAAATAAAATTAAAATTCTACAAATGAAAGGTGGACTCGGTATTTAAATTAATTTCTGATTTATGTAATTTCTAAACAATTCAATTTCCTCTCTTGTGAATGCACAGCTAAAATAATAGTTAGCAAGGAAATTTATTAGTATCAAAATACTTACAAAATAGGTACTTGAGATGGATTGATTTCTTTGGGAATGGGTCGAGAAAAGGCACGAAGCTCAGTGCACAGAATTGAGCCTATACCAGTTACACTCAAATGTTTAAGATTTCTGCAATTGATCATTAAATAACTTATTGACTGTTATGAGTTAGCAGTTGTCAGTTTATATTGTGCATACCTTTGCTGTCAAACCGGTACAATAAGAAAGATGGATGCGTTCAAGAAATCTTGAGCTGCAATTAGAAAGATGGATTATAGAAATGTCTGTTAAAAATATGCACTTGACTAGGCCAACCCTTTGTAAGCGAGGAAGTTTAGCTATTTCAGCAACGGACTGGTCTGTCAACCGAAAACATCCTCCAAAATCAACATAAGTAAGGTTTCTGCATGACTTTAAGACTCTTGTAATTCCTAAATCACTTACTTCATTACAATGGCCAAGATGTAAGGAGGTAAGATATGTTTTCAGGTATGAGATACCAGTCAAGGCCGCATCTGTGATTTTATTGCACTTGGTTAAATATAAAATTTGTAATCTTGGAAAATATTCACAAATTTTGAGGACATGATGGTTTGAAAGCTCTGAAAGACCAGTCAAATTAAGACTTCTCAGGGAGCATAATTTTGATGGGAAGCTGTAGTACTCAATGAAACTAGTCAGATAGAAACAGCCTGACATATTCAATTCTTTCAAATTTTTGTGTTTCATAAGTACTTTAATTAATACAGATGGATCTTTCATATTTATGCAACCACTGATGTCCAATTCTGTTAAGTCGCCATGTTCACTTAGTGTTTGCAGGGTTTTTTCCGTTAAAGATATGCAATTGTTTAACTTAAGTTTTTTTAAATGCTTGCAATGCACTAATGTCTCTTTCAGTTGTGAGTCATCAAGAAGAACGCATTGGGAAAGTGACAACGTTTTCAACTTCTTTAACTTTGGTAGAGCAGCTAACATAGTTTTCCATGATAGACTGGGAATTCCGCTCAAATCCAAAACCACTGTGTTCAAATTATTTAGAACTATAGTACTAAGCGTGTTATCGGTTAATCTAGTACAGCCAGACAAATTAATCCTTGAAAGATTCTTGGATTTTAGCAACAATAATAAATGTTCATCTGTAACGAAGTCGCTCACATACGAGAGGTTTAGTTTTCTAGAGTGTAGGCAGTAGTTTCTGGCATTTTCATATGTTTTTATAATTTCTAAGAATCTCTGGAATTCAGGCAATGTTTTGAAGACCAGCTTTTCCCATATAGTTGGTAAGATATATTGGCACCATACCGGACTCACTGTTAGGCAATTGTACAGGCTGGGGAAGTCTATATAGGAGATAATTTTATAGCAGATTTCATTTGGCAAAGAATTATTGAAGCTCATCATCTTGCAAGTGAATTGTATTTTCAGAAAGTCCATTGAAGAAAAGCGATTTAAAAGGTGTTTGATGAAATGTAAACAAACATACGAAACGTAAGTCTACAACGTGCTAAGATAATATAGCTACTCATGAAAATAAAACACAGGAAACTGTATATTAAAATAATAATAAATCAAAGAACCACATCAAGAGTGAATGTCATTTCTCATACATTTACCAAAGAGCATCAAATAAAATTTGTCCGCATTATATCAAAAAACCGGCAGTGAATAAAATAAAAAATAATGTAAGCGTTTGAGAATGTTATAAAAGTCATTAGTTGTGAGAAGTTAAACAAGCAGTAGTCGTAGGAAGTTCATGTTAACGTCCGCTCTTTTCAAGAATTTCCATATAGGATTTCCTTGTCTTATCTTTAAGGCGTTTATTTTTTGAACGCATCCTCTTTCTGTCAGGTCGAACTACAATTACAGGAATGGGGCTTCTTTGTAAACAGAATTTGGAAACGCTTCCACTGGATAAGAGGGATTGAAAACTATTCAGAGGCTTTCCCCTGGTACCCACGATCAAGCTGTCCGGTGAATAAGTATGAATAGTTCGGAGAATCATATCCTGAGGCTTTCCAACGACAAGTTCGACTATGATAGATACAGCTTTCTCTTCGTCAATTTTTTTTAATAAAGTTGCCATTACGTTTTCTGCCATTTGGCGATAAGAGTTTTCGTCTGATAACTCTTCCGCCATTTTGGAAGAAGGATCGATGACTCGCAAAATAACGACCTCGTCGTTGTCTGATAGAAGAGATTCAAACAAGTACTCTACTGCAAATTCTGAGTACAGATTTCCATCCATACCACATAAAAACGTCCGAGACGCCCGAGTCCATGTGTAAGCTCGATGTTGGGTTTTCAAAGTTAGAGAAAACTCCGATGCAGCTTTGTTGTTGAATGTATCAAACGAAATTCTTTTAAGAAAATGCGGACTAGGTGGAGGAGAAGCTAAGCTGTGGGCTCGGTTATATGGGTATTCCTCAAATTGCGGCTGTATGAAACCAGCACCCTGAGCGGCAGCAAATGTCACAGAGTTCTTAGCAACAGGACGAACAATCGGCTTGTCCATTGAAGACCTAGAGCTTCTAGTAACAGGTGTTACAGGCTCCGAGTGAGCTTGTCGCTGAACATTGGTTGATATTGTAAGTTTATTTTTTTCTTTTGGTTCAGGACGAGGAAGATTCCCGAAGGAAATTCCTTCTTTAGCATTTCCATTGCTATTAGACTGGTCTTCAGACATTCAATGTTTTTTGGATGGAAGGATCGCTTGAAACGGTTAAACGATAAAGGATGAGAGTATAAGCCCTGGTATAATCAATTGAAAGAGTAGTATTAATCAAATTCTGTTTCTTTATACTCAGCTAAGTAGACGAAGTTGAACAGAAGGTAACAAATCAACACTATTCAAAAAGCTGAGGTACTATGGATTGGTTTGTTTATCAGGGTTTATAAGTAAACACAATTAGCACAATAATTTTTCGATTTTAATTCAGAAAAAACGTTCAAGTTGTGCCTTTGTCTTGGTTCTGTTTTGGTATAAAGTATAGGTAGAAAACTGATGTAGTCGAAAGTGAGGCCATCAAAACTTCCATATGTATAAGAAATCAGTAAAGCGGAAGTTACAACTTCCGCTATTTTCGAAAGCTCTTTATAACATTGGATTGCGGTTTACACAAGATATTTGTAGGCATGATGGACGTTCACTGATTTTTAAGATTCTTGTCTGTATGAATTACTGACAACTACTGAAGATAAATTAGTTTAAAAGTGAAGATTTTACTAACAATAAATACTAAATTTTAATTAGTAGGACATCTGAAGCAAAGATTATTGGGAACAAAGACTACTTGGAAAAGCCATAAGTTTATATCCAAAGCATGAGAATATTTGATTTATCGTTCTTAATTAAAAAAATAGTTTTACTGTTCAATGTACATATAAGTGTATCTCTGTAAATGTATATTCGGTTTATGAATATTGGTAGTGTTACTGGTTATGAAAAACTTTTTCTTCCTCAACCACACTTGGTAAGTGACAGGAAGCCAGAGCAAAACCTTTACCTATATTACTTGTCAATTGATAAAATTGGCTTTGAATTATAAAGGTACTTTTATTTCATTGTTAAGGCTAAAGCTGAAGCCAAAATTTCGCTTTCCCTTTAAACTTTTAATTCAACGAAATATTTGTGGATTTAGACCATACCATCTATTCACAAAGAAAATGGCAGCTATGGAACAACTTACGATGAATTTGAAGTCCTTAGGATTACAAGATCATACTCTTCGTGAAGAAGCTGATGTTGAACACAATCCTATTGACCTCTACCGCAGTTACATTTCTACGGAGTTGTCCAAAATTAGTGGAGTAGATGCTTCTCTTATATATCCTGCTTTGGAGACATCTATAAGCAAAGACTCTGCTGACTTAAATTTACCAGTTCCTCGTCTTCGTGCAAAGGGTGGTAAGCCTCAAGAATTGGCCGCTAAATGGGCTGAGGAATTTCCTAAGGGTTTGGTTGAGGTTGCCGCTAATGGAATTTTTTTGCGTTTTAATTTTATCGGTTCTTCCCTTACCAAACTGGTCTTACCAATGATTTGGAATAAGCGTCAAGAATTTGGTCGCAACGAATCCGGCAAGGGAAAGGTTGCTGTTTTCGATTTCAGTAGCCCCAACATCGCTAAACCTTTCCATGCTGGTCATCTTCGTAGTACAATTATTGGTTCTTTCTTGGCCAACTTGCATGAATCCCAAGGTTGGAAGGTACACCGTGTTAATTACTTGGGAGATTGGGGTAAACAGTTTGGTTTGCTCGCCATTGGCTTTGAGCGATACGGAAACGATAAGGAGTTAGAAGAAAATCCCATGCGTCATCTTTATGATGTTTACGTGAAGATTAATGCCGATGCTACTGCTGAAGAAGAAAAGATTCAGCAAGAAAGTGCTGAAGCTGAAAGTAAGGGTGTGCCTTATACTCCCTTTACTACTCTCCATGGCAAGGCTCGTGAATTCTTCAAGCACATGGAAGCTGGCGATGAGCAAAGCCTTAAGACTTGGTCTCGTTTCCGTGAACTAAGTATCGTCAAATTGAAGCAAACTTACGAGCGTCTTAACATTGAGTATGACGAATATGACGGTGAGTCTCAGGTTTCCCTTCCACTTATGGATGAAATGATTGAAATCTTAAAACAGAAAAACCTTGTCGAACAAGACAACGGTGCCTTGTTGGTTGATTTAACCAAATTTGACAAGAAGCTTGGCAAAGCAGTTGTTCGTAAGAAAGATGGTGCCACTCTTTACTTGACTCGTGATATTGGTACTGCTCTTAAGCGTTACCAAAAGTATCACTTTGACAAATCTGTCTACGTTGTTGCTTCTCAACAAGATATGTATTTTGCTCAACTATTCAAGATCTTAGAGCTCATGGGTTTCGAATGGGCTAAGAAGTGTGTTCATATTAACTATGGTCTTGTTCAAGGAATGAGTACTAGAAAAGGTAAAGCAATTTTCTTGGATGATATCATGGAGGTCGCCAAAGAAGAAATGCATAAAGTTATGCAAAAGAACGAAGAGAAATATTCTCAGATTGAGAATCCCGAAGAGGTTGCTGATATCGTCGGTAAGACTGCTATCCGTATTCAAGATTCTACTGGTAAGCGTATCAATAACTACGCTTTCGATTGGTCACGTATGACTTCTTTTGAAGGTGATACTGGTCCTTACCTTCAATATGCTCATTCTCGTTTGTCATCTGTTCAACGTAATGTGAACTTTACCGATGAGCAGATGAAGAATGCCGATTTGAGTTTGATTACAGAGCCTGATGCTTATGAGTTGGTCCGCTTGCTCGGCCAATACCCTGATGTTTTGAAGAGCGCATTCCGTTTCCAAGAAACATCTACTTTGGTTACATACCTTTTCAAGTTAACACACGCTGTTAGTAAATTATACGATATTCTTTGGGTTAAGGGTCGTGAAGAAAATTTGCAACTTGCACGTCTTGCACTCTTTGGAGCTGCTAAACAAGTTCTGAATAATGGTATGAGATTATTGGGCTTGACTCCCTTGGAGAGAATGTAAGTTGTACAAAATAAAAATTGATTTTTTGTTATGGTAAAATGAAAAATATTATTCAAGTAAGCATATAGATGGGGTAAATGGAAGTTGAAAAATTGGGGTCAAAGTTTGAAATCGTGTATAGCCAGATATTATAAGAGTTATGACATTAAGGCATGGCTTGTTATAAAAAAAATTAAATAATAAAAAGAAAGGCCAGATTTTGATTGATCGTTAGCGATGATGAAAGCAACAGTGTGAAGCGAGTGAAAACAAAACGAAAGGTACTAAAGAGGGAAGAGGGGAAGAGGAGAAGAGCAATAAGAGAACTTTAGGGAAGTGGAATTCAGCTGTTGAAGCATTCGGGTTGTTGCATGGCAGACAAAGCAAGAGCAGATGTAGTACTGACTAAGGTGGGAGGAGAGATCTGAACAGACCTAGGGTTCAAACATTTGCTCTTTTTTTGAGATGGAAAGAAACGACCTAAAAGAGACTTAAGAAAATTGAAGTTTTTTTTAAAAAGATTTTTTGGAGATCCCGCAGAAGGACGCGCTCGGGCAGGTTTGGGCTTTTGCTCTAAGATAACACTTTCCTTTTGAAAATGATTTCGAACATCTCCATCCTCAAAAATGGGATCCATGAAGAAGCTGGAGCGTACTTTGTCCTGATATTCAGCAGCACCTGCTGTAATTAATTTTCGGTTTCGGCTTCGGTCTTGAACATTCATTTTGTAACGGAAAAGAAACGACAATAAAAGACAACGAAGAAAAAAACAGAAAACTGAGTATGAGAGTAAGAATGAAAATAACAGTAACAATATGAAAATGAATTAATATATGAATAAGAATAAACCCTAGAAGGAAAATAAAACTGATGATAATGAAAAAGCCCAAAACAAGAAATCACAATAAAGAAAACCTGTGAAAATAAATAACTTTTTGAACAGAAAAGACAATTCCCTGTTTCTCAGGTTCAAATTGTAAGAATTGACCAGCACCGATGATATAGGATACACGAGGAAGCTTTTTTAAGCGGTATATTTCGAGGGCAAAATGAATAGCGGAAGTTTTGTATGAAACAAAACTTCCTAATTGATATGTGTAAAGAACAAAACCGTCAAGGGATATACCAAATGGTCCATAAATGAACCTGAAAGGAAAGGAACAAAAAGAACAAAAGGAAGGAAAAAGTAACAATATCTCTTTCAGATGATAGGTCTCAATATCGTCTAATAAGAATAATTAGAGAAGCAAGTAAGACGTTGGTTTGATAATTTTTCAAAACAACATCTCTCTATTATTGGTAAAATTGCTGCTTGCGATTCTCATGTTTTATAAGAATGGATGACTTTTATCATACTTGATGATCAACCAAAGATTGCACCGTCCTATGTAAATATCTCTCTGATGATGTGGAAATTAAAAACTCTGGAATCTCTGGGATCATAACGTAAAGTAGAATATGATTAAATGAAGCAAGCAAAGTAATAGCAGCTTAATATTTACTTGACTTTGTAAATTATCATTTCTTGTTACAGCGGGGAATAGACAAAGGTTAATGTTGTTAAGAGTTCGTTAATTAAGAAACGATTGAAAGAATGTGGATGCTGTGCAAAAGAGGAGAGAACTTTTTCACTTATAGTGAATTTATTATAAAAACAGAGACTGGACGTTGGTTTATTTATATTCTTTTTTTTTAAAGAGTTCATATTGACACTTCTCACTTGAATAAACAGTTCATCTTTTCTACTTTTTCGTTTTTCGTTTTTCGAGTTATGAAACTATTTCATTCCATTTGTTTACTTGATGATACGTAAGAATTATTGTTTATTAGCGTGCTTGCTTTCTACTGCGCAATTCCAATTCAAAGTATATCAGATGTCACGTTGGGGTTTGTTTACTTGGGTGGTAAATAAGGATAAAATGCACAGTAAATTTTTCGTGTAAAAATTACTAGATTCAGGTATCTTCTTCATTTGTTTGTTTTTTATTTTGTTTTTATAAGGAAAGGACAGGAAAAATAAAACTTTTTTTGTCCTACGACTTATTTTCGCTTCTGGTTTGGTTCATGAATCGCGCGTATGTGTCGTTGCATATATTTTCACAAAAAACTGTACCGTTTCTGAGATTTTAAAATTTTCATGAATTCATTTTTTGTAATCTTTATATTTCTTTAAACAAGCTTCATTATGTCGAAAAATAAAAAAAAATTTCATAAACTATTTATTTATTATATATCCACAGGAACCACCTCTTTACTACGATACTGTTCCATTGCTGGCACGTTACCTTTCCTCTGGGGGATACGAGAACATCGTCGAAACAACATCAACTTCATAATAAACGTTCTTTTAGATACTCTAATCTTTTCATACATTCTTTTCTTTCTCTAATATAATAATGCCAATGCCGGGTTCGACTAATCAAGAGCCTTTGGCAGAGGCAGAAACAAACATGCTGCAGCGATTAGAACAATTACAAATGCAGACATCCAACATTCTTAAAAAGCTGCATTCCACCACGACCTTCTCGGAAACTTCATCGGCTGATCATGTAAACAAGAATGATACCGTTGCTGAAAGCTCATTGTCCAAGATGCCTACCGACAATATTGATTCAATTACCGAGGCGATGGTTAATGTGAAAATAAATGAAGATCCAAAAACGCAAGAGTCTGCTAATAACTCGATTAACCAGGACACTCCTTCTCTAGATCAACAAGAAACCCCTCAGATACCTGCTACCATTTCACCCAGCAAAACGAAGGTTAAAGCTCGAGCTATTCGACCTTTTGCTAAGTCGCCTCAGGAATCGCTTCCGGCAGATCAACCTCAACGAACTGTACCATCTCGCTTGTCTGGTCGTCTTTCCAATGGCGTTCAAAGTTCAAGACTTTCATCCTCGGGAATTTCTCCGTCACCAGTACGTCCTCCATCTTCGTTAGCTTCCCGGTCTTCATTTCCTTCATCAACCAGTCCTAAAGTCTCACTTTCTACTCCCAAATCGCCGGCTATGGTAAACCCTCAAGTTGCTAGATCCAGATCTTCCTTGGGTGTTCGTCCTCCCTCCAGAATCACCGTCAATTCTATCTCCAGTGTACAAGATACTACACCTAAAGTACAATCTAAACCTTCCACTGGAGCAAATGTTTCTTCCCCTTCAGTTTCTCCCAAAGTCTCTGCTAGGCGAACTAGTGGGGTCTCCATTGTTCGTCCTGCCACTCGGGCTGGAACAACACGGCCAATGTCACGCACGATGGGCCCCTCCTCTGTAGGAATACGTGAAAATCAATCTACTTCCCAGTCTCCTGCTGTCCCAAAGGCAAAAACCAACGCCCGTGCAAATATCCTTCGCCCCTCTACTTCTGCTTATACCGTACGTCCAGGTTCCAGAATCCTCCGTGATCCTGACACATCTCGCGATATGGCTAGACATCCTCCAAATTCTTCTCTGCGTACCAGCTCATCCCTGGGCGTTCGTTCTCCACCTACGAGTACAGCACATAGATCACCGTCGAGACTAGAGCAAACGGGAGCAAGTATCAAGAATTCTAGTGCTAAAATAGTAAGACCTTCAACTGCAGCTGACGTACGATCACCATCAAGGAGTACTTCTGCTACTAGAACACCTTCTCGATTAGGACAAACTGGTGCTGCTTTAAAAAACCCAAACATTAAAGTCCTTAGACCAGGAACTGCTGCTGGGGTACACTCTTCTGCTAGAAGCATTGTCCCAAGAGCACCATCTAGGTTGGAACAAACGGGAGCCACAATAAAAAAATCTAATGTTAGGGTAATGAGACCCGGAACTGCCACTGGGACACGTTCACCTTCTAGGGTTGCTGCACCAAGAGCACCGTCGAGACTCGAACAGACCGGGCCTGATACTAAAAAATCAAATGTCAAGGTTGTGAGACCCGGGACTGCTGCTGGGATACGATCTCCTTCTAGAGCCGCTGCCCCAAGAGCACCGTCCAGGCTTGAACAAACAGGTGTTATTGTAAAAAACTCAAGTGCTAAGATAATGAGGCCGGGTACTGCCTCTGGCGTACGATCTCCATCACGACTTGCACAAACTTCCGTTCCTTCAAAAACTCCAATTAATGGAGTTCGAGCAAGAGCTTCAAATATAGAGCGGCCTGCATCCTCATTACGAATTCACGCTCCTTCTCGTTCTTTACAGCGTCCGTCTATCATTCGCCCAACCACCTCTTTGCAACGAGAGCGAAGCAAAGTTCCAGGAATTTCCAGTCCACTGCCGGAAGATGTCGATGTATCTAAAAAGCCCGAGTCCAACGAATCATTAGACCTCAACAAAATAAATTGACAGCATACCTCTTCTTTTAATGTTTACGACCAAGTCTCTTTTAGGTGGTTTATTTTATACGAGTGTTAGTAATAGTCACTTCATTTTAGCATAATCATTCCGTACAATCAATGTGATAATTTCTTGTTTGAACCCTTTACAACACTTTTCTCCGTTATTTCAATCAATCTAAATTAGAATAAATTTGATGTTTTACTATTTATATATGAAAGAGTATCTTGAAATAATTATTTTCGTATTTGTTTATTAACGAATGCAACATTCGTTAAGTTGGTTAAGAAAACATAAGGAATATTTTAAAACACAAGAAGTCTTTTAGAGTTGTTATTCTACACCAAAAACCAAATAAACCGAACGCGAGTTAATTCGAGTTATTAAAAAAAATTCTATTTGTGTGGTAATTGCTATTTTGGATTGGTTTTAATTGCTTAAAAATGAATGGTTATATACCTGAGACTTCGTCAAATGTTACTGCTAAAGAACAAGAAGTAACTTCACCAAATCACGCGTTGAATGTAAGTAATTCCTTCCTTAATATATATAAATTTCTTGTTACTTTTGTTTTTAAATTTGCTTTATTTTATTTCTCAAAAGTACCTGGAATTGGATGAGTTTCACTATAGATAGTCTGGCTTCGTCTAAATTCTAGGTATAGCCGTAATCTAACCAGGAAAACTCTTTTTTCATGCTAAATTATTCAAATAGTGATTTCTTTTTATACTAACAAAGCCCTAGATTTCTGATTTTGTTTTCTCAAACGGATTCCTGCAGGGTACTTTTTCAGACACAAATTTGCAAATCCAGGACAATGTATATCGTCTCCATGCCTTGTTTTTAGCGCGTTCACCTGTTTTATATCAAAAAATAACAGAAGTGTCTTCCAACGGGATGCCCTACAATGTCAAATTAGAAATTGAAGATCCTTACGTTACAAAAAAATCAACCATTTTCGTTCTTTCTTCTCTTTATCGTGATGCCGTTACTATACCAGCTGAATTGAACCCCTGTTGTATCCTTGCTACTAGTGCGCTATTGGGACTCGATGGATTGGCATTTGAGGCTGCATCAAGCATAGAAAATTTAATTAATCCATTCACAATGGAAAATATTCTTACTTTTTTGGACCCAAGACTAGAAGGCTTTGAAAGGCTTAAAATCGGACCATATCCTAGATACACCGCCGGCCTCTTTGACAAAGCTTTAGAAGTTATGTACACCACTCTTCTTAATCATTGGGATAAGGAGTACGTGAATGTGCTTCGCAATCTTCCTTTCCCTGTCATTAAAAACCTTTTGGAAAGCGACAAACTTACTGTTGGTGCAAGCAGTATGGCGCGTTACAAACTCGCTACAGAGATTGTACGAATGCGAAATTCCTACAGAAAACAATTTCGCATAGAAGGACGTGGTGATGAGAGTGTTGTATTAGCGTTCGGAGAAGGCAATCGATCTATTCAGCTAGTCAGTACCGCTTCAGGTCCTGAGTCAAGACGGAAAACACTTTGGAAGGCAGCCTCAAGTCAATAAGTTTAAGTAATAGTTTCTACGAAAGCAAAATATGCTCATATATGAACTCTATACGATTTCTGGATACCCGTTTATCTGTGTATGTTCTTAATTAATCTTGACTGTAATATATTTTTGTCACACACATTACACCAAAGAAAAGCAAAATTGAGAAGTGTAAATTATAAAATAAGCTTGTTTATGTACTGACTTTTCAGGCGTTGTAACGAAATTTTTCTTGTAATTCATGACACGAGGTAAAGGCTTCAAGTACATTTAGCATTTGAAAAGACGAAGGTTGCTAAAACCTCTATAAATATTCAGATATATTCATCAAACACAGAAGTCGTCTTGCAAATTTACTAGTTAATACATTTATACATAATCTTCAAAATTTTATTAACCGTATTATCCGTTAAACAAGAATGATTTTAACCCAAATACCTTAGCAGTTTTAATCAGCTTTACGTTTCTTCTTCACGGGCTCTTCAGGTGGTACGAAAGCCTTTTCTCGTTCTTCTTCTCTGAGTTTTTGTTTCTCTTTTTGTTTCTCTCTCTTCTCGGAACGTATCTTACGTTCCTTCTCTTCCTTCTTCAAGAAATACTCACCACTCTCAATTTCAAGATCAAGCTTGCTAGGTTGTTGAGGAGGAGGAAACGGCGTGTAATCCTTCTTTTCTTTAATTTTAACAGGCTTGCGGCGTGCAACGTTCCTCTTCTTGAACTGAGGTAAGAATCGATCCCACGATTCGTTAACTAGTGTAGGGTCCTTAGCCAATTCACGCTTAATCATTAATTCCTTGATGTGATAAATTGGGTGAATATTATGCATGCAATCTTCAACAATTCTACGAAGTTCCTTTAATCCTTTATAACCACCCATAGCAGCTACCGTGGTACCTTGTACTAAAATGTAGCATTGAGTCAACAATTCCAATGCCTTCAAGGTCTGTCCGTTATTACCTACCAAACGTTGGCGACGTTTAACAAATCGTTCCTTGTTACGAACAACATTTCCAATTTTGATAATATCACATGCGACACCATCTTGCATAATTTTAATGGCTTGTGGAAATGGGACACTTCGAGACAATAACTTGATCATGTCTCTAGCATCCAAAATAGCATAAGGATCGAATGTTTTTCTAGTGGTCTTTACAGTCATACTGCCCTCTACCAAGTCAAGAACGCATGCAATTCCATATTTATCCAAAGCCCTTGTTACATGAGGCCAGACTTCTCGAAGATATTTTTCACGATATTTGGGGAATAGAGTAGCGAAACTGGACTCTTCCAAAAAGGGCTCAGTAGCTTCTTCTTTCGAAAAAGGATCAATTTTCCACTATTTATGTTAGTTTGACTTCTTCTAAAGCATCCAATGCCGTTTCCACAATATCTGAAATTTTTTACTTACATGGTCTATATCATCAGTATCCCATGGTTTTTCACGTCTTTTCAGTGTTAAAAAATATTTTTCTTATAAAGGCAAATAAAACTCATACCTATAACGTTTGTTTTTATTCACAACCACTATGTTCAGTTAGTTTCTAATAGAACAACGTATAATTACTTACCATTGGGTTGTTCCCTATCTTCCAATTCACTCATTTGCAAATTTTATTAGGATAAAAATTGATTTTTTTCCAAGTTAAGCTCAATCCTAACTTTCGGTGGTGAAGGGAGTTGGTTCGTTCTACTTCTACTGAAAGCTATACAAGAGCTTTACCAAGTTGGGACTGCCAACATCCGTATCCTCGTCTGTAACTCACAGAGTCGCTTTTATGTTATAAAAAATGAAATAATATTAGATACTTGTGTTAATCGAATTTGAAAATTTGGATAAATCGGACTATGGCGTTTGTAGCGCGAAAAACCTTTCCTTACGAAAAGCCTTCAACATGGTTTCCAGGCCATATGCATAAAACTCTAAAAAAATTGCAATTACTTTCATCGAAAACAGATATACTAGTTGAAGTTCGGGATGCTCGTATCCCTTTGACCTCAAGGAATTTTGCAGTAGAGTCGATTTTGAGAAAGAAAAATCGAATTATTGTTTACAACAAATGTGATTTAGCTATTCCATTCGATAAATCTGTTCCGAGTTTTCGTCATGAAATGACACGTCTCCAACAGTCTTTTCAATATATGCAAGACTGGTTCCAGCAGTCTCGGAGAGACACATTGAAAACGGTAGATACTTCTGCCTATGTATCTTCAATACCTCTCTATGGAAAGAAATTGTTAAAAAAGATTCGGAGTATGTCAGTTCATGGACTTACCAACAATGAACGCGTACACGTATACTTCGTTGGAATGCCAAACACAGGGAAAAGCAGCATTTTAAATTCTTTACGACATGTAAGTTTGCGCCGTAGTAAAGCTGCAATAACCGGAAATCACCCAGGTGTTACGAAACACTTTAGCGAAGTTGTCAGGTTGCTAGATGATGCCGAGGTGTTCATGCTTGATACTCCAGGTAAGTTACCTTTCTGAAAGGATACAACATGTCTTCCAAAGTTGATTGATACTAACCATCTCATAGGTATCATGACTCCGTCCATCGCTTCACCAGAAGATATGCTGAAGCTGTCTTTAGTTGGATGTGTCAAGGAAGGATTAATTGACTCTGTGACTTTGGTGGATTATTTGCTGTTTCGAATCAATCTAGTTGACCCTTCCATTTATTCAAAATGGTCTCCGCCTACTAATGATGTGGACGAATTTTTAGAAAATGTAGCCCAAAGAACAGGCAAACTGTCTAAAGGGGGAGGGTACAATGACAATACCGTCTCTGCTTATGTACTTCAAACTTATCGGTCTGGAAAGCTTGGAAGGTTTTTGTTGGATCCAATCGACAAGCTTAGTATGGAGCTACGACTACAACGTGAATTAACTAAAAGCCAAAAAAAATAAAAAATAATTTTTTTTTTGTTTTTACTGACAACGGCATTGTAACTTGACTAAGTAACTAGTGAAGAATACGTGTCAAGGGTCATATTCCATCAATGTGTATTCTTACTTTTAATTAACTAAGTGATAACTGTACTATCCAATTTATCAATGCAGCACCATGCGAGTAAACCATAACTTGCGTTTTCTCGAAACACATTAGAAGAGATTAAAAGCCAGGATTTCATTAAACGGTATAATCCTAGTCCAATTTTTCCATATCATAATTGCTTATTACATACACAACTCAAAAAAAAAAAAAAGATTAAAAATATCTAGTAAATATAAGAACAAATAGGCTTATGAATAAATTAGTAAATTAACAAGTAAACAAACGAATAAGAATGACAAATTGGTGACGAGAAGCCCCGTACGACCATTTTTTAGAATGCATGCGGCCAAACTTAGCCGTATTGGTGGTTTTTCTTATAGCCATCACTGGTAATTGCATGTTCGTAAACCGAAGGATATGGGTTTTTTGCTAGATTTGGGGAGTTCACATCGTCATCGCTGACACAAAGAGTGGGCGAACATACATTTGCCTCGCCACGTACATCTTGCGAATCAGCAGGATTCATAGTTTCAGAAAGAAACGGGTTAGTAGATGCTATGGGGCTGTGAATGAGTTCTTCCAAATCTTGTCGCTGTTCCAAGTCAGAGCGGTCGACAGAGTCAAACTCGGTATTAACAGAACCGCGAGGAAAAGCTTCAGTTTGCTCTATAGACCGAGTATTATGATCAGTAGTTTCAGAAGTTTGCTGAATAGGATATGCATCTTTTCCACTTGAAGGGACTGCTAAATCATTATGAGCAGCATTATACTCCTGAGCACTGGGGGTAGCTGGTCTTTCAATAGTGTTGTTGAAATTTGAAGAAGCAGTGTATACGGGATCACCGTCTTCAACGGAAGAAACTCCAGTATTAGAAGCCGGAGTCGTCTGTTGTGCATCCTCCAAACTTTGACGGATGGCTTCGGCCATCATTAGCTGTTCAACATTGGCAAGGTATTGATGTCTACGGCTGCCCAAGGCGCGTCTTTGGGAATTTACACGCGAGGATCTGAAAGGCTGTGAATTATCTGAAGAGGAGACACTCTCGCTATGACTTCCATTAGGAGATGGTTCCAATAGATGAGTATTTAAAAGAGTAGAATTTGCAGCACGTCTGAACGCACGTCGACGGGCCTTTTCCAAATTGTACTGCCAGTCTGGATGAATCAAGTCGGTAGTTATGACACGTTGATCGTCGTACGAAAACTTTGTATTTGAGTTAGGGACCCAGGCCCGATCCTGCCCAGAAATAAAGAGTTTTTTAATTTCATTAGTCAATGGATGGGAATCGGGCTCTAGCTGTGAAGGGGCATTGAAAGAAAAGCGCGACAAAGCGGGATTTGGAACGTAAACAACACCAAACCGATCGGTCATACAGTACGGACACTTGACGGGCTCTGATATCAAATCGAAATCGCTCGGCTGAGGATCATTGGCATGCACGGTTGGCAAATGGGGGTCGGGGCGACGTATTTCTACAAAGCACTCGGAACAAATTGGTTGTGCGCAGCAGCGAGTATAGTTAAAGTTTGGTGGATAATAAAGAAAACAAATTGGGCATTCAAAGGCGTTAGCATAAATAGTGGAAATAGCATGGGCATAATTGTCTTGGGTAATAGCGTGGGTATTTCCAGAAACGGAATTGGAACGTGACCGAACAGTCCGCTCGGCTCGGCTTTTCACTTCACGTTTCAAGGACTTGGGTTGTCCTAGAGTATGAACTTTTGCTTCACGGATAGCGGATCGCAACGTCATGGTCTTTTGAGAACCTAGAGCCCTTTCGACAACTTCTGCGACTTTTTCAGGTGGCCAGTTTGCATTATATTCCTCGAGTCCTTTATAAAACGGCATTAAACGGCGTTCAAGCTAAATACAAAGTTAGTAACAATAGACCCGAAGGAAAAGTAACCCTCCAAAACCCGTAGATAAACATCAATCCTTTCTTGAAGAACGTCGGTTTTATATTTTACAATGCGTCGTCACTAACGTTCTTTGATCGAAAAAAAAGATCTAAAAATTTCTTTATAAACATACCATTAATCTTCGTACAATTGATATTTTATAAGATGGTTCTGAGCCGTAAACACCGTGTGCGAAGAGAAAACCACCATCAATTAGGCGAACTAAATTATTTATATACTCATCTTCATTGTCATGCTTTTCTTTACCAATCGTGTTGCCCATTTTATTGACAAGTTTCCAGCACAAGGCGTATTTGGCAAAGGTTTCGTTGCGTCCCTACTTGACCGATGGAGGTTGAACTACTACTTAATAAAGAAATCGCCACGTCAGAGATGGAAGATCGGATCGACCTTCTGGTAACATCATTATGGTATATCCATTAAGTGGATACCTCTATATACGAATATATAGTAGAATAAGAAACCCTCTTTATAAGAAACCCTCTTTATAAAAAATTTACTTACTGTTTCAAGAAAGGGTTGTAACTGAGTACAAAGGACAAAGAGAAGAAGAAAGAATAGGAGGAGCACACAATTTCATTGATGAAAAATAAATGAAAAATAATTTTAATATATGAATGACAGGAGCTGTCACTTTCCGGACGCAGTTTAGACATTTGCGACAGAGTAGAGTATTTTATTTTCGGTCCATTGGAATGCAGAATTGCAAGATTGCATGTAAGCAGATATACATACAAAAAGTTTCTTTTTATAGTTATTTATTGTAGTATAAAACAAGTGAAAATTCAAGTCAAAGCAGCAAAAAAGAAACTGAAAAGTTGTTTACATATCTTTCATCAGTCTACTATTAAGAACCGAACCCCAGATCAGGTATATGAGTCGGTCCGCTAATGTCGACAATATTATTCAGTAGATGCAAAGATACAAATGAATTCTGAAAATTCATTTTAAAAGACAAAATGTTTCTTTATTTATTCTTTTTCTCTTTTTATAGAGAAAACTCTCTTTCTTTGGTGTCTCTTGAGACATCACAGCACAGCTTACTCATTCATTCATATAGCTACTTATTATATAAGTGTTTGTTCTTCCCTTTTCCCTCCTACTCTCAGTGTCTTCTCTGTTGATGGTTTGTTGTTACTTTTTACATTTTTCTTTGCTTTATTCTTTATTGTTTATTGTTTTTAATTAACGTGTAGCCAACTATCACGAACACCCACCTTTAACCTACACAATGGACCTTTTGTTTGAATACCTCCATTGTCCACAATGATTAAAATAGGTCGCCATGGGACTCTACTTTTTCGTAGTTTAGCACATGCTGACGAACATTGAGCTTGTAGTTGGCTCGGTTTGTTAAATTTATTTAATTCTTTTTTCTTTTCGTTTCCTTTCTTTCGAGTTTCGTTGTTTTGGACCTTACCATTTTTTGTCGGGGGGTTTTTTTTTGTTTACTAGTAATTGTTCGTTCTATAACTCGTGTTGAAACTTATTTTGGACATGGAGACTGGAACTATTTCACCCAATGATTATATTTCAAAAAAAAATTCATTAAAGAATGAGAAAATTCACGTTTCCATCACTGAAAAATCCATACAAAGTCCTATTACTGCTCAACTATCCGCCTCTACCGCCCTCAGTTCCGACTCCTTAAATTCTCCTTCACATGTTTATAGGACTTTTCTGGATTTACCTTCTCTCGATGGTGATGATGTCCAATCTTCTGCTTACTATGCTCACGCTTCCTCTTGGTCCGATTATGCCTTTGCATTTCACCTCTCTGATACCCTCCTTATCGTCGCTACACTCATCTTTACGTGTTCGTCTGCATGCTTGGAACCGCTCATGACTTGGACCATCGGTAAAATCTTTGATGCTTTTTCCAATTATGCACGATCTGTAATTTCTCTCGATGAAATGTGCTCCATCGTCAATTTTAATTCACTTCTTATTTTCATATTCGGTATGGCTTCGTGGATCTTTAGTTTTGCCGTTCGTTTTCTCTGGCAATACCTTAGTGCCATTATTGGAAAACGGTCTCGTGCTCTATGCTTTCATGCCCTTGCCAACAAACCATCTGCGTTTTACTCACTTACCAGCAGCTCTAGTGCCTTAATCAATTCGGTAGACAGATGTATTCAATTTTATGAATCTTCCATCAATCTCCCCCTTTTCCATATTGTCGAAAACATGGCTATTGTCATTTCTTGCCTCGTTATATCCTTTCGTTATAGCTGGTCTTTGACACTTATCATCATGGCTTCCTATCCTATTATTATGTTTGTCGTTGCCTTCATCAACTCTTATCTCTACAATAGCTATGAGGGTGATCGACTAGCTTCTGAAAAAGCAGCTTCTTTCATCGAAAAAGTCTTGATGGCTTACAAAACTGTCACCTTTCATGCCATGCAAAATCATGAGTTTCAAAATGTTCGCACTGCCATCCACCATAGCTCTAAATCTTTTCTCCGGTTTTCCTTTCTTCATTCCTTGCAGGGAGGAATTTCACAGTTCTTCTTGTATTCTGTCTTTTTTCAAGGTCTTTGGTTTGGTAACCATTTAGCTGATTCCGGAAAGGTTACTGCTGGTCAGGTCGTTACCGTTTTTGGTTCTTGTCTCTCTATTGCCTCTTCTATCCAACAAATCCTCCCATCTATTCCTGATCTTGTGAAAGGAAAATTTGCTTCCCATTTTCTCAAGTCTTTATGTCGGGAACCTACTTCTTCCAAACAAAAACCCCCGAAAGTCGGTTTTCAAGACCTTAAATTATCTTGGAATTTTAATATGCGTAATGTATCTTTTATGTACCCAAGTACAGAAGATCATAAACCGTTTAGCATCATCAATGTCTCATTGTCCATTCCTTCTGGTAAGGTTTCGCATATCATTGGACCAAGCGGTTCAGGTAAAAGCACAATTGCAACGTTACTTATGAGCTTCTTTCAACCTACATATGGCTTTATATATGTGGATGATGTTCCTTTAGCAATGATCGATCCAAACTATGTATATTCCAATGTTACCTTGGTTAGGCAAGATGCCGTCGTATTTGACATGACAATTCGTGAAAATATTATGATAGGAAACCACAATGCCTCTGAAAGTGACTTTGAATGTGCTGTACGTCTAGCCCTTGTTGACGAGTTTGTTTGGAATTTTGACAAAGGCTATGATACTCCTTGTCACGAGGGAACCCTTAGTGGTGGACAACGTCAACGTATTGCTTTAGCTAGAGCACTTCTTCGAAATACTGAAGTGTTAATCCTCGATGAACCTACTAGTGGCTTGGATATCATTTCAAAGAACCTAATCAACGATGCTATTCGTGCACACCGCTTAGGTAAAACAACGATCTACATTACTCACGATATGTCTCAAATTTACAATGATGATTTCGTTTTTGTTATTGAAAATGGTCGTTTACTTCATCAGGGTTCAAAAAAGGATTTATCCAATCTCGAGTTATTCGACGATTTATCTGATGAGCAAGAGGATTTCTCCTCTGAAACGACAGAATTGGAAAATCCGTTTTTAGCAAGCTTTGAGAAATCTGAGGAAGCCTCTTCTTTTTACGATGACATATCTCCCTCCTACGTTGATGCATCACCAACCATGTCTGTTATGCATAATCGTGATCCAAAAAATTACTCCATATTGCAAGAAAAGCCACTGAATTCCACAGATGGCAACGAAAACTTATTTTTAAAAGCCAAAGAAAAGGAGTCTATCTATTCCATATATACTATATTCAAAAGCTTATGGAAAGTTCCAAAGGCCAGATATCTGTTTTTCTTTGGTTGTTTAACTTCACTCGGGCAAGGTGCAAGTATACCAGTATTATCTTATATTGTATCTAAGTGTCTCAATTTGTTTATGCATCAAAATATGTCTGTTGGAATTGCGCTATGGTCTTGCATGATTTTAGTCGTGGCCGCATTCACAGGTTTGTTTTATTTCTTGAGCCATTACATATTCTCAAAGGCTGCAACAAGTTGGTGTGACTATTATCGTCTAATTGGCATGAACAAGTTGTTATCACAGGACCAGGAATGGTTCGATGAAACATCAAATTCACCTATTTTATTTTCTAAAATTTTGGTTGGTAACATCAATGATATGAGAAATATGATCGATTCTTTGGTAGAAGAACTTTTTGTTGCTTTCGTGATGATGCTAGTCGGTTTAATATGGGCTTTGATAACTGGATGGAAGTTGGCTATTATTCTAACAGCTGTAAGTCCGGTTTTATTGCTGACATCAAAAGTTTTCTCTTACTTTTATGTTAAGACAGAGAAAGATTGTCAAGACTGCTCAATTGCTACTACTTCCGTTTTGCATCAAACTACTTTGAACCTTGATGCGATTAGAGGGCTGTCTGTTATGCCATATTTTCGCGAAAAGTATAAAGTGCTTTTGAAAGATTATTGGGATGCAACGAAAAGAAAAGCAATATTTACTAGTTTGGGATATTCCATCACTTGTTCACTCTTATATTTTGTTCGTTCCCTACTATTTTACGCTGCAGCAAAGTTTATCTCGAAGAATTATTATAATGTTGAGCAAACCGTACAAATTTTATCATTAGCCACCTTTACGATGGTATCTGCTTCTAGCTGCATCATGTCTTTGCCCAATGTTTCTGCTAGCCGAATTGAAGCTAGCAGGGTTTTGCGATTGGCTGATATGAGACCAGGAAAGCTCAACAATCAAGGTAATATGAAATTTCCTTTCGTTGGGAAAATTGAATTTGACAAGGTTAATTTTGCTTATAACCAAGAGCGAGGAGCTTCCGCTTTAAGTAACGTATCATTCACGATAAAACCAAAGGAGAAAGTTGCTATTGTTGGTGGATCTGGCTCAGGAAAATCAACCACGGCAGAGCTACTCCAGAAGGTTTATATGTCTGACAACATTTATATTGATGACCACCCACTTTCTGAAATCGATACTAAATGGTTAAGACGAAAAATGGCTGTTGTAGACCAAAAGCCCAATTTAATGGGTGAAACCATTTTAGAAAGTTTATTATATGGTTGCGATGCGAATATGGTAGCAATTGAAGAGGCTTTAAAGCAAGCCAACATCCTCGACACCTTACAGAATCTGCCAAACTATTTGGAATCGCCAATCTCGGAGTTTAGCAAAAATCTTTCTGGTGGGCAGGCCCAACGGTTGGCCATCGCGAGAGCATTGCTCCGAAAACCAAGACTCTTAATTTTGGATGAATGTACTTCTGCACTAGATTCAGATTCATCTAGCAAAATTGAACAAACAATTAAAAGCTTGACATGTACAGTACTTATCATAACTCACCAAATTTCGTTGATGAGACTCGCCGACCGCATCATTGTCATGAATTCCGGTAATGTCATAGAAACTGGTTCTTATGATGAATTAATGACTCCACATACTCATTTTTGGAAACTTGTCCATAGTGGTAAATGGACAGACTAATACCTTTGCATTATCCGAATAATGTTTTCTTAATTTATTATCGCATTTATGTTACGAGATACATTAATCATCAATACTTTAATCATTTTAATAAAAATTTTGTTGTATAGTTGCTAATTTGCTCTTTTTTTTTTTATAAAATAGTTTTCACTATTCCGGCAGCGATTGTATTTCCATCCCGTCGAAGAATGATTCTACTCAACGATGGGCTTTCTTCAGAAGTACATACTGGATACAAACCTTCCAAAAAGTTAACTTGCATAGAGGCACGCTTTCTACTGGTAATGTGCCTTGCTTTCTTACCATTTACGTTTATGATTTTTACAGCGACTGGAGCAACTGTTCGACCACGGTGGAGCACTAATGTTGATCCAGACAAGATTGGACCGAGTATATCAAAAGTTTGAATGTCTGCTGTAAAGGACTTACTGCGCTTAACAGGGTCACTATAAGTGGACAAGATATCACCGAGACTGATTTGGTTTGGCTCAATGTCCGTCAGCTGTACAGTAACATTATCTCCAGCGACAGCCCATGATACGGAAGGATCAGAATTTCGCATGACGGCTTTGACATACGCATCCTCCTGTGAAGATACATTATACAAAACCTGGCCGTTTTGAATATTACCAGACTCTACTCTTCCTGAAATAGTTGCGCCTCTCACAGATCGATAAGTATCGTGAACAGAGACTCGAAGAGGTCCTCTATAAGCCTTTAACGGAGGGTTGAAATTATCTAGAACTTCTATTAATGTTGGACCGTTATACCAAGTGTAGAGTGGGGAAGAAGATTTTTCTATAAGATTTACACCAGAGACAGCAGAAACAGGAATAAAATGAACGTTCTCCTCTTTAAATCCAACCATCCGAATCAAGAAGTCAGATACCGAAGCTTTGATTTCATTATAGCGATCCAAAGACCAAGACATGAGATCAAGCTTATTCACGGCAACTGCAAGTTCAGAAACCCCAAGAGCACGTAGCAAATAAGCATGCTCTCGAGTTTGTCCATTTGCTAGAAAACCACGCTCATAGTTGTTTTGCGAAGAATCGACGACCAAGATTGCAAATTCAGCAGAAGCAGCTCCAGCAATCATACCGGAAATGAAATCCTTGTGACCAGGCGCATCACCAACCTCATAAATTTGTTTGTGGCTTTCAAAGGAGGTAGCCGCAACGTCCATGGTAACACCCCTAAGACGCTCTTCGTCCGTAGAATCGAGTAACCAAGCATAAGAAAAGCTTCCCTTTCCTTGATTAGAAGCCTCATTGTGAAGTTTTTGCATAGATCGAGTGTTGACATCACCCAGTTCAAACATAATCCTTCCAAGCATGGTACTTTTGCCTGAATCGACATGTCCGGTAACAACTAAGTGGACAACAGGCTTGGGTTGAGACTCTTCGTAAATTTTTGGAACATCTATCAACAATGAAGACTCTTGCTTCCGTGGCGTTTGTGTCTCCTCTTCATCCTTTGATTTCTCTCCGGTCTGTTCTTTTCCGTTCAAATTCAGCTTCTTCATCGAAACGTTTAAAGAAGCAGAGGCATTTTTAGTGGAAGGTTGGGCTTCAACGGTTTGTTTTTGTTTTTGTTCTTGTTTTGGTGGCTTCTTCTTATGAGATTCGTCTTTTCCATTTTTCTCTTCAGCTCTTGCGGTACAGCTTTTAACTAGATAATTGACAGATTTCTCCACATCAAAATAATAGTACCATACTGTATCGGCTATTTCTTTGTTTGTCACGGGAAGTCCTTCAACAGTTTCCTGGACAGCAGCAATGGCTTCACGAAATTGTTCTGCACAAGAATGTTAGGTCAGACGGTCCGATGAAATATTTCTTCATGATTTGCTTACCTTCTTGTTCATCAGTCAATTCTTCCACTGGCTCATCTGCATCATACTCTAAAAAGAAATCGCTTGTAAGCAGTTGAACTTCACTATTTACAGACAACCATACTTACCTTCCAACTCTAAATTCTTTACATTACGATGTCTCGACATCTTTTGGATTGTATTTACAAAAATATAGGGATAAATAAAACGAATAAATAAAGAGGCCTTTTACTAAAACAATAGTTTTGGCACTTTGTACCTTTCAAATTTTTTATTGCTGGTACGCAAGAAGCGTAATGGAAGTGACATAAGATATTGACATAGACGATTCTCAAGTTAAGCATGTCGCGCTAAACGAAGCATTAGTATATGTTCGCCAAGATTCTTTTTTATTGTAGAAAATGAAAAGATGTCAAAAATTTTACCTCTGAAGCGCTATAGTCGCCGTGGAAATTTTCTACAAAAGCTAGCAACTCCTATAATACCGGCTACTGCAAAGTAGTAAAATTTTTAGTCTAATTTTAGTAATACCTTTTTAGTCTATACAAACAAAAAGCTACGAATTCTTGTAAAAGGTAGATTTCTGCTCGATGTTTATTGTTTATCATACAATAACTTTAATACGATTTTTTTTTTTTTTTCTTTTTTTTTAAGCTTCCAAAGTCACATTGAAGAAGAAACCATTACAAAATTGCCTAAAAGTAGGTTAAGAAAAACAACTTTACAAATTTTTGTAAGAATAAATTTGGGGATCAAATTTGTAACTAGGAATTAAAGGTCATTACGCATCTTTGTCCACCCTGTTTATTTACATTCTAATAAAGAGGTTATATAACAGGGGATATTTGAGTCAGTCGTAGTCTAAAGTAGTTTATCACATATCCCTAAACCACATTATTGCTGTAAATGTACCAAGCTACTATTTACTCTTCCTCCTTTCTGCTATTACCCAACGTATATATATAATTTCGGTAACGAATTTGCCTTTCTTCTTCATTAAAAAAATAATTTTATGATTAAGAAATTTTGATTGTTCTTTTAGAAGACCATTAGCTTTTTCTTTTGTTGTGGCTAAATCGTTCTATCTGCATTTTCATTAATCGTGCCATTCGTTTTATACTGGATTTTCATGTGTTTGCTCTCGCATTAATCTAAATTTAATTTATAATAATCTAATTTATTTGATGACTTTGCATGAAAGAATTATGAGCCTTTTTTAATATGATTGACAAAAAGCGGTTGTTTCGATCGCCTATAACTGGACCACCGGAAAATTTTAAAACAGGAATTCCCTGGTTGGATAATCTAGAAGAAGACAGCAGTGAGGTTGAGAGTTCTGCGTACGAAATTCCTGAATCCATTGAAGAATCACTTTCCATTGGTAACGAAGCGTTGTCTCCCTGTACGAGACCAGTCAATAGTGCCTCTCACTTGTCCGATACACTGCATTATGTTCCTAGTGATCCTTCCTTCATCGATAAACACATACTGGATTTACCTGAGCCAGATACGTTTAATTTGTCTTTGATCAGTCGTAGCAAGTCTGATTCAGTTTTACTGAATAAGCGAAAAAGTGAAGATTATAGATCTAAAGCTATAACTGATTTTCGCCGAAACTACCAAAACAAAGTCAAAGGATCGGGAACGACTGTTCCTTTCAAAGAAACCAAACTTCGTCGTCAAGTTACACCAAAAGATTCAGCCCATACAACTGATACGGAACAGGACGACGAAAACGATGCACCTTATCATTCCCTCAAGTCCCTCAAATTTCCTGAATCTGTCTCAGGCGACGAGGAATCTTTAAGTATTGGCGATGTCGAAGCTATTGCCCCTAATGACTGGTTAAGCGTACTCGACAAATCTGGCGAAGAAAAGACTAGATCACATACGTTAAGTACTCTATTTGGCTTGGATTATCATCGCGATAGCTACGACAGTACCTATTTAAAAAGTGGGTCGCACCCATCTATCCTATCTGATGACTCATGGAAAGCACCGGAGAGCTGGGCTATAAATATTCCTTCGGAAATGTCAAAGAAAAGGAATTCTTTTGTGGCTAGACCCTTTGCTTATCCTACCAATGAAACTGATGATAAACCCTTTTTCTTACGAGTTTATCGAGATGACAAAACATCCGTTTCATTTTCATGTCCTATGAATATGAAGACTTCTGATATTATTCAGCGTCTCGCAAGGCTTTTTTTCCTTCCGTTTTCAGCCAACTTTTACTTACTTTTGGTTCAATTCCAAACTGAACGTATATTGCTTCCTCATGAGCAGCCATGTATTATGTTTCGAAAGCTTCTCACCTACTTTGGGTGCGATGAAAATTCTGAAGATGAAATGACGCAGGAAGAGAACTATAGCGTTGCAAGATTAGTGTTTACAACTATGGATATTGGCGCCGACGTGCTTAAGAAAATGTCTGAGAAGAAGTTTTCACAGCATTTGGATATACGACGTTCCAACCTTGAGGTTATTCCAATCAAGTTTTATCCTCACGCACACGAATTAATATCTTTAAATATATCATCTAACCTTTCGCTTGAATTGCCTCTTGATTTTATGGAGCGATGCGTCAATCTAAAAATACTAGATATGTCAAATAATTTAAGACCGCCTAGAGGAAAACCTCTTTCTATACTAAGACGACTTGAGGTTTTGAATGTTTCAAGAAACGATATTTACGAATTAGATCCATTAATATTTTCAGGAAGGAGCCGATCTACCCTCAAAGAATTTTACTGTTCTTTAAACAAACTTTTGTTTCTTCCTTATTCTATTCGTTATTTAACTAACTTAACCGTCCTTGATCTTTCTTATAATAATTTCGTAACCTTTCCTTTAATTATTACAGAGCTGTCTTCTCTTGAAATCTTAAATCTATCACATAACAATCTGTATGAAGTTTGTCCTGAGATTGATCAGCTAGGAAACTTAAAAGAGCTTTATCTTCAGTCTAACGACTTGTCAGGCCATCTTATTCAACAATTAGGTTCCTTACGAAAACTGGAGATTATTGATCTTCGTTTTAATTCTTTGAATCACATTAATGCTTTGTCGGAATGTCCAAACTTGAAAGAAATTCGAGCCTCTTGTAATTTGATATCTCATCACGAATTCCCATGCAGGTCTGCAACGTACCTTGATTTTTCACGTTGTCCTTTAACTATCTTGGAACTTCCTTTTAATGGATATAGCTCTCTTGTATATCTTGACGCCTCTCACGGCAAGCTTGTAAGTCTAAAAGATGCAATGCTAGAAAGCCTCGTCAATTTAGAAACACTAAATATAAGTTATAACCACTTCGTTCAAATTCCGGATAGTATTAGTCATTTACGGAATCTTAAATTTCTTTACTGCACGAATTGTGAAATTTCATATGTTTCCCCTGAGTTATCGAAGTTATCCAAATTGACATTATTGGATATGCATGCTAATAATATCAAGGCTTTTCCGGAAGAAGTTTGGCAGATATCTTCTTTGAAAATTGTAAACCTTTCGTCTAATATTCTTGAAAAAATAAAGTTACCCATGGCTGGCCCCAAACCGCTAACGAGAAGCGTGAGTCAGTTGAAAATTATGAGGACATTGTCGGGTAGTCCTATTTCAAATACTTCCTCTTCTGAATACATATATCCATCAGTTGAGGAACTTATTCTCGTGGACAACCGCCTTGGAGATGAATGTTTTAAATTGCTGAGCTTCTTTAAGGAACTTCGAATCTTGAATCTGTCCTACAATTACTTGACAGAAATTCCTAGTGCATTCCTCCAAAATTTTTCGCACCTCAATCATATGTTTTTGTCTGGTAACAAATTATCAAATATCTCAATTTCTTCTAACTCTCGTATTTCCTTGGAAACATTGTATGTTAACGGAAATAGAATATCTTCGTTTCCTAAAAATGAGACCTTGTCACGTAGTTTGCGTTATTTAGACTTTGGAAATAATAACTTGCAAAGCCTGACTGTCAATCAGAATAATGATAATTCTCTGAATATTCCACCTAACCTTGAATGCCTTGATCTTTCAGGAAACAGCTGGTTTCAATTTTCCAAGCATGACGATGCTAAAGTTACGAGAGCATGTCTTAACCGACTAAAAGCTTTGAGCGTATTTGATGTGAATGCTGATGTTCCCGTGGACAATACTGATATCTTACACCGTGTCGTACATCGCTCATCTTCAATAAACGATGGATTGAAATGCGGAATATCTGGTTACTTATCTCGCATTAACCCTGTTATTTCAACTGTTGAACTTATAATGAAGGACTATATATATCCTCATTGGTCACTTTATTGTATCTTTGATAGCGATATTGGAGCTGGGCATAGCAATCGGGTTCTCAAATTTGCCTATGAGAATATAGCATCTTGCCTAGCTGAAGAATTGAGCACGTGTGGTTCCTCCAGCGAGCAAGTCAAGAATGCATTAAGAAGAGGATTTATAAATTTGAACAAAAAGTTGGGTAATGTAATTTACCAAGATATGGCGACAATTGCAGAGTACAAAGATAAGAAGGAGAAGCTTCCTAAATCCAGCAAAGGTTATTATATGGATGAAACGTGTATGGATATTGGTGTTAGCATTGCTTTAATCTATATTCGGGATACACGCGCATTCATTGCAAACGTTGGTACCTCTATGTCTTTAATGTCTACGCGAAATGATTCTGAACCTACTCTGTTAAGTGATGTACATGATACATTTAATGAGAAAGAAATACGCAGAGTTATAGATTCGGCAGGATTAATTTCTGGTCGCATCCAGTCTACCACCACTAGGGCGATTGGTAGATTATCCCAGTTTCCTGGTGTACAAGCTGTCCCTCATGTAAATATTCAGCCCCTTTCAGAACTGAATGAGTTTATTATTTTGGCAAACAAGGAATTTTGGAATGTAATGTCAAAACGAATTGTGATTGATATAGTTCGTGCTAACAGGCAATCCATGCTCCTGGCTTCAACGAAGTTACGTGACTATGCTATTGCTTATGGTGCTAAAAACAATACAATAGTAATGGTTTTGGATTTAAGTCTTTTATTTGAAACCAATTCCAATTATGCTACCAAGGTTAATAAAGATGATGAAGAAGGTACTCAGGCTGAAGGGAGTGAAGGGGTTCCATTTTCTTCTCAAAATTTACCGGACGATTCATCTTTAGCCAGAATGAATCGAGAAGTTTCACCTCCTCGTGGAAGTATCGCAATGGTATTTACGGATATTAAGAATTCCACACTTTTGTGGGAACGCCATCCAGTAGCCATGAGATCGGCGATTAAGACTCACAATACAATTATGCGAAGACAGCTACGTGCTACTGGCGGCTACGAAGTGAAGACAGAAGGAGATGCATTTATGGTTTGTTTCCAGACAGTCCCTGCTGCTTTGCTATGGTCCTTCTCTGTGCAATTACAAATGCTTTCTGCTGATTGGCCAAATGAAATTGTAGAGTCGGTTCAAGGAAGAACTGTATTAGGACCAAAGAATGAGGTTCTATACAGAGGATTGAGTGTGCGCATTGGAGTGAATTATGGTGTGACAGTGAGCGAGTTAGATCCTATTACACGACGCATGGATTATTACGGACCTATGGTGAACAGAACATCTAGGGTTGTGTCGGTTGCAGACGGTGGACAAATTGCAGTATCGGCAGACGTTGTGACAGTGTTGAATCGGCTGGAATCGGAAGCAATGTCTTCTGAAAGATCTGGAAGGTATGCAATGGAAATCCGTGCGTTAAAACAAGTAGGTTACATTGTACATAACATTGGAGAATTTAAACTGAAAGGATTGGAAACACCTGAAAATATCTCGTTGGTCTATCCTCTTCAGCTAGAGGGACGATTAGTAAAACTCATTAACAATCGAAATTCAGATGATGAAAGTGACAAACGAAGAGATGAGACGGAGAATTCGTCGAGAAGCAGAAGCAATAGTCTACGGCCGATATTAGCACGAATTGGGGATTCAAAAAGTGGTGACGAGAATCAATATGCCCGAAGCTCTTTATCGTCCGTACGAAATCTGTCGCCTACGGAGAGTTCATCGGGATATGAAGGAAACATTTTTGACGAGTATCAATATCAAAGGTTATTTGAAATTTGCGAACGTTTAGAAGACAGGGTGGCTATGTTGCATGGTTATCCAGAGCCCCCGGAAAGTGATCCCGGACTTGCAGCTCCTGTGAATATTGCAGAAGAGTATGCTTTGTTTTATCGGTTGACACTACGAATTGAAAACACAATTTATTGTTTAGGACAAATGCTTGGACATACATGAGATGGGATGGGAATAGAAAAGAATGGTTTTTATTGATATCTTTTTTTTTTTCTCCGTTGAATTTTTTTCTTATCATTTGGATTGTAATATATATTAATTATTTCTATGAAATTTGTACTATTTGTATGTATGAAGAGGAGGAGGGAAACGAGTAGAAAATGATAAAGAATTTTTTGATGAAACGTAAAAAGGATCTGAGGATCGAGAAAGACATTTCTAAAATTGTTTATGATGACAAGACGGAAAGAATCTACAGGAGGAGACACACAAAAAGAAAAAAAAAATAAAAATAAAAGAATAAAACAGACTACACACAAACATGCAGACAGAGATTTGAAAAGTAAAGGCATGATGAAAACGTAAATTCATTTCGATATCGTAAAGGAAAAAAAAAAAAAAAATCTTGAAAAAAAAAAATATAAAAGAGAAATCCCAAGTTCAAGAAAACTAAAACTAAAACTAAAACTAAAAATACAAATACAACCAAACAAAAATAAGATTAAAAATAAAAAAAGGAAAAATGAAAAATGAAAAGAAAAGGGACGCAAAATGGATCATGAAAACAAACGTAAAAAAGGAATTCCATAGAAAAAGGAAAAAGGAAATGATAAACCAACCGTAAAAATGAAAAGAAAAACAGTATAAAGGTATAGAAGCATCAAAAAGAAACTAGAGTCTTGAATGACGAGAAGAAGCTCTGGAAAAGTTTCTGGATAGATGTTTGGATAAACGATGGGACAACTTTTGATCGGCACCAACGAAAGAGAGAGGACGAAACAATTCAGCGGTAGGATGGTATTGTTTCCGTTCCTGGTCTAAAGTGGCTTTGATGGAGCCTTCATCGCTTTCGATTAAAAACTGCCATGCACGGACGGTATCCAAAGGGCGTTCATACCTCCAACGGGTGGGATTACTCACATCAGGTTCATCAATGGGTTGACCATAATAATCCTTTGGAAGAAGAGCACTGACATGTTTACCCTTTTGCATAGCAGCTAATTCATAGGGTTCAGGTTCGGTGATTGCAGTAGAAGGATCAGCACGAGTGGGTTCTTGAGTAGGCATGATGAGAGAAGAAAAGAAGAGTGAAAGAATAAAAAAAGTGTAGAGGTGATGCGAACGAGATGCAATTCTAAAAGAGACGAATGCAAAAAAGAAAGAAATCAAACAGAGGTAGTGAAGAAAGCAAAACCTAATGGAATGGCACAACTCTTTTGAAATGAATGGATCTTTTGGATTTAAGAGATTGTAAGAGCGAGAGAGTGTGTATGTTGTGAATATGAGTGTATAAATACACAGGACGAAAGCTTGATGAATAGAGCAATGTTGATGGAAAGGCTGTATATATAGTCAATTCATGGAAAGGAGGCACAGTTCCAAAAGAAGCGGCTAGACCAACATACGTGGAACAAAAAAGCATCAGACCAAAAACAAACAACTAGCACGACTCCGAATTGTTCACAAACGACTGATGGAAACCGACGTCATCGAAAAAGTCGGCGCGATTTTTGCGAGAAAATAAGAGCCGAAGAGGCGTTGCAATCAGATTGACAAGAGATTCGAAAAAAAAAAGGAAAAAAAAAGGAACAAGAAAATGAAGAAAAAAAATAGAAAAATAAATAGAAAAAAAAAAAAAGTACCATTCAAGTTGCTCGATTGAAACCAAGTAACCCAAGTAACCCAAGCATGCATCAGCCATCATCACTCGTAACCCAAACACTGGAATTCACCTACAAGTTCTTTTTCGTTCTCGAAACCACCACATAGTGCACATGTGGTGGTTCTTGGATGGTGAGATGATGGTCTAGATACTAGATGGGGGCAACGATGGGGGCAAAGGAAGAAAGAGGAGAAGGAGGCAAAACTGCGACGACAGAGGTGGAGGAAGAGGTAGAGAAGTCAAAGAGAGGAGAAAGAGAACGCCAGGTGAAAACTTTTCCTGAAGAGTGAAAACGAAGAGGAAGAGGAAGAGGAAGGAAGGAAAATAAAATTGATTTTAATAAATTCCGACCTTTTTTTTTTTCTTTTTTTCTTTATTTTTTTCCTCTTCTCTCTTTTCTCTTTTCTCTTTTCTTGCTCTTTTCACTGCTCACCTTGGCGTTCGCTTTTGCTCTCAGTAGACTCTTTCCATGGCACACACTTTTCCACCACCACCACCACTACTACTACTAGTACACCTCCATACACACCTTGCTTGGTATACTACTACACTACACAAAAGAAAAAAAAACACTCTTTGAGTATATACACACGTAAACTTTTTCATTTGCTTTTCATTTGCTTTTTTCTTTCTTTCTTTTCTCTCTCTGTATTTTTCTGGTTTCTCCTCGAAAACTTTCTGCTTCCTTTAATCCTTCTTTTTTGTATCGTCTCTCGTATATCTAGTTTCTCTTCATGGATCAACAGCAAGGCAACACGTACAATTGGAGCGCTTATGGTCGATGGGTCATTGTAGTCATTTGTGTCCTCTTTTTAATTTCCTTTTTCATTTCCATTGGTTATGTCAATCGTCGAAGAAATCGTAATGGTTTAAACACCATTCCTTTCACCAATTTTTATCCCCTTTCCACACCTCCAGTCTATTCACCGAGACCCAATCCGCCTCCAAATGTTAATACTACCACTCCGTTTATGCCTGGTATGTCTGGTGCGTTCGTTACACCTCAAGTTTATCGACCTCCTCCTACCTCGCCAGATTTTGCATTTCCCTCTCCACCTAATGACGATGTTCCTCCTCCTGCCTATCCAGAGGCTATGGCTTCCGTTCATCGCCCAAAGTACGACAACGCTGCTCTTTAAACAACTCCATCATCAGTGCAATTATAATCAGTTTAGTTCCTTTCTAAAGGGATGCTTTTTTCTATTTATTTATTTGCTCTCCCTTTAAGCAAGCATTTGTATTTTTAGAAATTGTTTTTGTCCTTTTCCTAAAAGCATTCTATGATGTTCTTTTTCTCTCTTCTTTTGCTTTCTTTTTCCTACACCTCTTTCTCTCTCTCTTCTTCATTCACATTTTCCCTTTTACTACATCGTTTTTTCTTCTTTTGTCGGGTATGAACCGATTCATGGGTTCAAGGTTCAACAGCTGGTTTCACTTATTTGAATCATCCATATTCTAATCTTTTCACTGGTAATGCTATCTTTATTATAATAATTTGGTTTGTTTGCTTTTCTATTTTTATAATTCTCGTTTGAGATTTCCTAATCCATTAAATATACTTTCCATCCTTTTGCGTATAATTTTTTAAATTTTTTTTTTTTTTTTCTATCTCTGCTCTGCAACAATCCTCTTCTGTAGTTCAACTCAATTCCCCGTAGTTTTATTATTCTGTAATTCATTTCAATAGTTTCTTCGTCTCTTTCTTTAATCCTTTTTTATTTTTTTATTTTTTTATTTTTATTTTTTTATTTTTTTTTCATTTATTTCTGTCTTTTTTCATCCTTCCTCCTTTTACTTTGCTCAACGTCTTTCCTTCTTCTTACCCCCACGCTGCACCCACCACATTCAAGGTCAATCGATTCTCTTACCTCCAAACAGAACCATCAAATTTTTCCCATCGCGAATATGTCCGTGGACAGCTTGATTACCAAACTAAAAGGGCTTACTACTGAAGACTTTGCTGTATTGGACCATCAAAAGGTTTTAAATGGTACCGCTTGGTCTGAAACATTGTCCTCTTTAAACAATGTTCCCTCCCACACTTTGACTAAGACTGTGGTTTTGAAGCCCAAAACCGCAAAGTCTCAGGCTGTCGTCCCAATTCTCGTGGTCGCTTTAGAATCCACTTCTACTCCTTCTGGCGCTGCTGCCAAGGCTGTCGGTGCCAAGGAGGCTCGTTTAGCTGCCGCTGATTTGGTGGAAGAGGTTTTTGGCATTCCTCCCGCGGACATTGGTGTTTTCTCTGTAAATGAACAAAATGCCAGCAAGGTTCACGTTGTTTTGGACAAGAATCTCATCAACCATGGTGGTCTTTTGGCTGTCCATCCTTCCTCTAGCGAAAAGACTCTTTTCGTTTCTGCCGCTGCTATTGAATCTTACTTAAAGACCATCGGCGCTACCCCCGTCGTTGTGGATTTCTCTGCTTCCGCTAAGCCTGCTGAACAGTCTAAGCCTGCTGCTACTCAAAAGAAGGCCGATGTATCAAAAAATGATGCTGCCATAGAAAATGCCGCTTTGATCGGTATCACCGTTCGCAAAGATGTCGATTTCCCCAACTGGTACCAACAGGTTTTAACCAAGAGTGACATGATTGAGTACTATGACATTTCTGGTTGCTACATTTTGAAGCCTTGGTCTTTCAGCATCTGGGAAGCTATCCAAAAATGGTTCGACAAACAAATTAAGAAGCTTGGTGTTCGTAACGGTTACTTTCCTCTCTTTGTTTCCTCAAAGGTTTTAGAAAAGGAGAAAGATCATGTTGAAGGTTTCGCACCTGAGGTCGCTTGGGTGACCCGCGCTGGTAGCACTGAATTGGAAGAGCCCATTGCCATCCGTCCTACCTCCGAAACTGTTATGTATCCTTACTACGCTAAATGGATTCGAAGCCACCGTGATCTTCCTCTCCGTTTGAACCAATGGAATTCCGTCGTTCGTTGGGAATTCAAGAATCCTCAACCCTTTTTGAGAACCCGTGAGTTCCTTTGGCAAGAAGGTCATACCGCCCACATGACCTTGGAATCTGCCAACGAGGAAGTATATCAAATTTTGGATTTGTATGCCCGTGTCTATAGCGATTTGTTGGCTGTCCCTGTTGTCAGAGGTATCAAGAGTGAAAACGAAAAGTTCGCTGGTGGCATGTTCACCACTACTGTGGAAGGTTACATTCCTACCACTGGCCGTGGTATCCAAGGTGGTACTAGTCACGGTCTTGGTCAAAACTTCTCCAAGATGTTCAACATTGTCGTCGAGGATCCTAATGCTGAAGTCGGTACCACCGGAGAACGTCCTAAACTTAATGTTTGGCAAAACTCTTGGGGTATTTCCACTCGTACCATCGGTGTTGCTGTTATGATTCACGGTGACGATAAGGGTTTGAAATTACCTCCTCCAGTCGCCTTGGTTCAAACTGTCGTTGTCCCCTGCGGTATTACTAACAAAACTACTGATGAAGAGCGCAAGAACATTGAAGGTTTCTGTGCACAACTCGCTTCCCGTCTCATTGATGCAGACATTCGCGCCGAAGCCGATTTACGTTCTTACACTCCTGGTTATAAGTTTGCTCACTGGGAAATGAAAGGTGTTCCTCTTCGTCTTGAATTCGGTCCTAATGATGCTAAAAAGAACCAAGTCACTGCCGTCCGTCGTGACACTTTTGAGAAGATCGCTGTTCCTTTGGACAATCTTGAACAAAGAATTTCTGACTTGTTGAAGACTATCCATACCAGCATGTACGAGACTGCCAAGAAACAATTCGATTCTCATATTGTCCGTGTTAAGAAATGGGAAGACTTCGTTCCCGCTTTGAATAAGAAGAACCTTGTTCTTATTCCTTGGTGCAACACTACTCCTTGTGAAAAGGATATTAAGAAAAACAGTGCTCGTCAAGCTAACGGTGATGAACCTGAAGACGAAAAGGCTCCTAGTATGGGTGCTAAGAGTCTTTGTATTCCTTTGGAACAACCCACTGGTGAAGATGCTATTGTTGAAAATGTTACAAAGTGTGCCGCTTGTGGTTCTCATGCAAAGGTTTGGGGTCTCTTTGGTAGAAGCTATTAAGACATTGGATTTATTTTGGATAAAGTATATAATATAGAATTTTAACCAGTCTTTTCATAATCGTTTTATTTACTCATGTAGCTTATTTAATTACTTCCGTTTTGCATTACGAATAAATAATAAATCCTATCTCTCCTGGGGTAGTTTATGCATGCTTAACCAAAACCTGACCACTCAATTGAATATTGGCGATATTTTCTATCTAAATTATTGTCATCAGAAGCAGCTGAATTGCACTGTTCCTGTTCCCCTCCGATCAACCAGGCTTTTTTGACACCGGTCCCTAAACGACCACCTCCTATAAGTAGCAAAAGTGGGATTTCGTCGTTCCAATTATACCCATTTACCAAAAAGTGTGAATGAAACCGCAGAGCATCGCCTGGATATGCAACAAAATCACAACCAAACCGAAGACCAGGGTTAAGGAAAAAGCCATTCATCACTAGAGACTCAAATATTAAATACCTGCTTCTTTCAATTTCTGGTAATCCAATTGAAGACGCTTCTAAGTGATCGCTTTTTAACCCTTTTGTGTTTGTATCAACTGGCACCATTGTTAAATTCACAGGTTTGGTGCTATCATATTCCAAAGTATCTAAAGGAATTTCCTTATTTATTTTCTTCATAATTTGTATTTTCTTTTCGTTTTCTTTAGTACGTGCCGTTAACATTTGTTCAATGGCCATCTTCTGACGCTCGTCAGCAATGGCTTTTCTGTCGTTATCAGTTAAACTATTAAAATGTTCTTCGTGAACGTTTCCATCATTAATAATAAAGGCAGCTCCATTTTTTACTAAGTAATATACTTCCTCCTTCATTAACTGGAGAGGAAGACCCAAAAAAATGTTTTGTTGAGGAAGTTGAGGAAGCGTTCCTGAAAGAATGCCAAGAATATGATACTTTTCGCGAAAATACTTAATTGCTTCTATATCAAACAGAAGGTACTTTCCATGGATATACGAAATCGGAAATTTTGTGTCGTTCATGTCTTAGGATAACTTGCTTGTAATGAGCATAACACAGTAGATGTAAACCTTATGTTTGCTATCTCAAATGCATAGTCGTGATATATCTTATTTAATAAATTCGTTCAATTGACATTTAATTACGAACAGTAGGTCTATTAGTGATATCTTCATAGAAAGTTGGGTTTAAAATTTAGGATACGTAAAAGGATAACAATTATCTCTAAGCTTCTTAAATCAAGTAATTATTAACAAAAATATTAAATTTGACCTAAATTCCAAAAAATCTATTGCTCAGAAATCTCAAAACAATGAACGTTTTCATTAATAAAAGATCCAAAAGAAAAGCATACGCAACCGCCCCCAAAAACATACAAGAGATTACCAAAACTGCAGCATTGACAAGAGACTAAAACCTGTCTTGAAACACTTTCTTCTAGACAAACGTTTTCAATCTGCCGATCAACCATATTTATGACAAATGCTTCCTCTTCCCATCTCATTGTTTTAAATAAGCCTGCCCCACCAATGATCACCGGTTTAGTACTATTGTTCTTGAAAGTTACGAGATTACTATTGACCCGTGCAAGCAAAACTTTCAAATCCTCCCTCAAATTCCAAGGTGAAAAACCCAGTTCGAAGTGATCCTTCTGTTTTTCAAGTTTCCATTCCCAAACATCCTCGATAGGATGATTTTGTTTATCCATACCGCCCATTAAAATTCCACATTGTAACTCTGAAGAATAATGAATGCACGAACCCCAACTCTTACTTAAAGCCGGTTCTGAACAACGAACTTGAGACCATTGCTTCGCTTGCTCCGACCAAATAAGCCAACCACCATGTGGTTTTCCAGCCTGAAGTAAAACATAAGCTTTATTTTCATAATTTAATTTTGTAGTTGAGACACGAAAAGCTGGATAAGGTAAAGATGCCTCTTGTTTCCAATACCCATTTGAGTATAGGTAACAAGAATCAAGAGCCTTATTTGGCGATTCTCTGCCTCCTATGAGCATATAGTCTCCATTATTTACTGGTATTATCGCATGGCTTACACGAGGACGCACTTCACTACTAGAAATATCTTTCACATTTTGCTTTTCGGTTATAAGAAACGCAGAGTCAGAACGACCAGATGGTGATAAGCCTCCTTGAAACAATATACCGCTTTCAGAAACACCTATCGCAGCAGATCGGCAAGTGGGAAGAGCTTCCTTTATTTCGGTTGCAACCGTAGTGAGTTTCATACGCTTCTTCGATAGCTGTGTTCGACAGTGAACCGGTGAGATTTCATTTCCATTGATTTGGTAACGATAATATTGCATATAAGGATTAGGATGTTCGACCATATTATACATTTGACTCATAGAACTGCTGGCATGTTGTATACTATAATGTTGAAGAAAGAAGTAGAACTCTTCCCATTCATCAAAAGGTTCGGTTTGTTCACATTCTATGCGATATTTTTCGCTCAATAAGAAATTCCAGAAGGTGCAAACATCGAACACTTCTACGTGTTCCCAGCCCAGCTTTGCCCATCTGCATTTTAAAGCTTCTAAACTATGGTATACGGCAAGACCATGCAGCGGGGAGCCCCATTCATTAAAGTGTTTAACCATGACTTTGGCAAACGGATGACTAAACCCAGCAGGGGCAATCTGTTCTAAAAAGCAAGAATGAGCATCTGGAAATTGAGACATCCATTTGACTAGTGAATTTGAGGCACTGACAGGCATATAAACTGCAGCAACTTCAGAAATGAAAAGTATTGAGGTGTTATTATAGTCAAGACCGCATTCCTCTAACTTCTTGTGAAGAAGATCTAATTCTTTCAAGTTACAACCGACCGTGTGATAGTTTTTGGTATGAATCTCGGTATGTACTTCAATTTCAGAATCATTTTTATAGATTATTCCCTGAAGAAAATCATCAGACATTATCATGTTCACCCTATTTTCGATAGACTCTGGATAATCGACATCGTAAAACACGATGTCTTCGGCGCTTTGACCATTGTAAGAATTTAGAAGCTGCAAAGCTAGTGGATCGTATCCTGCTCCCAGATTCACAATAGCTTTCGGTTTTCCGCCTTTTTTTTCAACAAATTTTTGAACAGCATACCTAATCGCTATACAACGAGTCCAATAACCTCGGTTTACGCTCGGCGATCTCCTAGGAGTTTTAGTAATAAACGGCTTGTAGTAGCTGTGCTCTTTATTAAACCCTGGGTAGCAACATTTTTCGACTGATGCTTTTGAAAGAATTGAACTGTCATTGGTTTTCCGTACCTCCTTGTCTTTTGATCGAAAGGTTATTCGCTTCGTAACCATATTTGAGACTTTTCCCTTTTAGTACCGACTTTAAATATGAACGAAATAATAAAATAAACCGAAGATACGATATAAAAGGAGTAGATGGTTGATTGTTCAAAAATAGATTAGGAAAGAGAATCAATATATAGATTTGCGAAGGAATTCTATATGTTGCTTCTTATTTCATTACTGCATTCGACATAAACAAGCTTAATACAAGTTGGTAATGCCTCAATAGTTTTTATTTAACCTCTCCGATGAATTTACTAAGTTTACAAATGCAACCACGAAAAATAGCGAGCCTTAATGAATTAGACTAAATTATATATCCGTGCGCTATTGAAGGTGCGTTAGTAAACACAATCTAGGTTTTCTTTTGAAATCATGAAGTGGTCGAGTTAGAATAGTATAAAGTGATTCAAATTGTTCAGAAATTTTTCATTATACTACTTTGGTTTGTTTATTGGTTATTAAATTCGTAAAATTATTGCTGGATTTGATGAAGTAAATAATTAGTTATTTTAGTTCCTTCTCGTAATGTGAAGAATCAGAAGTGACACATATGCTCTTTCGAAAACAATGTAGAAAACAGTATCATCGCCGAAACTTGAAGGTGATGGGAATATCGTTACTATTATGCTGGTATAACACAAAGGGAAAAGTAATATTTTGAATGGTTTTTATGTATCTAATTCGTCTTCAAGTTTCAGCTCTTTATCGTCTTCAGCTTCCTCATTATTATTTTTTGCTTTCTTTTTTCTTTGTTTGCGGGCTATCAGTCGCCGTTCTGCGCCAGAAGGGTAATACGCTTCCGTATGTACATCAAAATCCGGTCCTTCGATCTCCTTTGGGCATGAAGGATTATCCAATTTGTAAATTTTAGACAATTCAAATATTGCTTGCTCTTTGTCCTTAGCCTCTATCATTAAATCCATGTCTGGTTCACATGGAGGTAAACTGTACACACGATCAGAATGGCCCCGGCGCTTCATAGCAGAGATAGCAAGAGGATATGCTGATTCTGAGTAATGTTGTTTTTGTGTAATCCCTTTTCTAGTCCAAGTTTCTCGAATCGCCGGCAAAAGAGGCATTAAATCCAAAGTACCCTCTCGTAAAGTGCCTGGAACAACGTTGTGGTGATGCCAGTCTAAAACCAAAGGAATACTCAATTCTTGACAAAGAGGAAGTAAATCCTGGACGGACCATGTGACATCGTCATTTTCCAAAACTAAACGTCTTTTGACGGCTTCAGGAAGGCGTGCATAGTTTTCGCGAAATCGCGAAAGCGTCTCATCTTTTCCTTCAAATGACCCTCCTAGATGCAATATAATGACTGCATCACAATTTAATTGTTTATTCAGTTTCATTCTGGACAACATTTCTTCATGATAGCAAAGATCTCGAATAGCATTTTCAACAACAGATGCTTTCGGTGAAGCTATTTGCGTATATTGTCCTGGATGCGTTGACAAGCGATGATTATACTTATTCGCAAGCTCACCTACAGCTTGTAAATAAGAGTCTGCATATTCCAATGAGTACCCATAGATACCATGGCTCGCAAATGGAAACAGATCAGAACTGACCCGCATAAAATGAATGCCAAATCTATGGTTCCACTCAATAAGAGTAGCTAAGTCTTTTGTGTTCTTTATACCTAAATCCTTGGCGAACTGCAAAGATTCTTTTTGAATTGTAGCTATTCGGCAAGTTCGTGAGCAAAACGCACTTTCTTTGGAAAGCCTCAACACAGTGTTTAAACATGCGTAGCCAAGACGTCCTTTCCAAGGAAGAGGTTTGTCTTGACAGTCAAAGATAGGTCGGGGAGCTTGTGATTCTTCCAACGACGCGTCAGACGATTCATTTTTCGATCGTTTCCTTCTTGTTGAAGTGCCTCCTTTTTGTTTAGAGCTAATATTCGAAAGCAAACTTTGATCCTCGTCTAGTTCAGAGGCAGAAGAACCGTCCTCATCTTTTACAGAAGCTTCCGAGTCTTCACTCGTATATGATTTGTTTTCGCTTTCTTGGATAAGAGGATTCTCATCCTCTGGGTCGCTATCTGATCCTGTCCGATAATTAACTGGTTTTTTCCCTCTTTTTGAACGTCTTAACCCAGGTATAGCCAATTCGAAGGTTGGAGAAGTCTCCGAATTTTGCAAAGGTGCGCGATTTTTGGAGGATTCATTTCTCGCTACATGGTAATGTCGCCTGCTTGTTTCGATATTTATGGATACATTTTGGGTAGGCGCATCAAATATAGGAGCACTGTTTGACTCATAACTCTCAACTTTTTTTCTTTTCGTAGTTTGTCTGAGTGGCATAATTCTTTTATGAAAAGCTAATGAAAGAAGAACTCGGAAGGAATAAAATTCGTGCAATTGACGAAGCATATAACATAAAGAAAAAGTTGTTCCTTGTTCAATGGCAATCCTACAAGGATTTTCGCCTGCTTGATGGCTTTTAAAAACTTCCAGTACAAGCAGACCTACAGAACAGCAATATATTTACAATACAAATAATTAAATTATCTACATCACTCTTACGTGCAATGATTATTTTTCCTAAGACCTAGTGGTTCAACATATTTTCCCAGCAGTACAATCATAATGGCTCTCGTTTTAAAATAGTTGTTGTTGGTATTGACGTATGGAATTCATCACTTGTTCAATTAAGCTGCCGTAAACGAGGGAATATACGTGGCTCGTTCGCTTATTTTAAAAAACGCGTTATCGTTATAAAGTTATTTTTCTTGTTTGTTTATTTATTTATTTTCTGTAGACTTTTTGGAAATATGTTCAGAAACTCTTAAATAAAGAAATTGTATATTTCAAAAATTATTCTTTGAAAAAAATCTAAGTAAAAACATTTTGCATTCGTTGTTTTAAACAGCTCAAGCAATGAGAATAGAACTTTGCAGCAAATCTATTAATAAAGTGATACATTTTTAAAGTGCAGTACAGGATTAATAACAAATTATTTAATAAAAAAATTTCTAAATTTATTTCTTTAACATCCATTGAATACATCGTTTTATCTACAATCAGTAAACGAAAAAAAAATAAATAAATAAAGAATCAAAGCAATACGTCCAAAAATTTTCTACATACTGAAAATGTCGTTAGATTTCCTTATTGGGCTTTGTGTGTTCTAACATTTTACAACACATGTTTTACGTCGTCTCAACCCATATAACGACTACATTGAGAAAGTGTTTTAGTGTGAGCAATTTACAACTTGATAATTACATTGCTTAATATCGAAATGGAAAGTACGAAGGAAGGAAGAGTTCTTCCTGCTGAAAGGTACTTGCAGATCCCAAAGTTTGACAATATCTAACAGTTAGAAATCCTTTATATGACGACGATACGATAGATTGTATGTATAGCTGTACGGTTTATTAGCTAACTTATAGATTCTACTTTGATCAGCAAATGCCGCTCGCAGGTGATTGAATTCCCGGATGGACCGGCTACTTTTGTTCGTCTCAAGTGCAACAATCCTAATTCCAAGCAGTAAGTAAATGTCGATTAACGAAGATGACATTTACTAATTATCTAGACCACATTTTCTGATGCGTATGGCCAAGAATTCTAATATAAGCGCAACCTCTATGTAAGTTGGTACATCAAAGATGGCTTCTAGTAAAATATTAACATCCGCTTCTTTGCAGGTTCCGTTCTGCTTTCCCGAAAGCTAAGCAAGAGGAAGAAGATTCTGAGATGGAATGGATCCGTGAAAACCTAAACCCTGTCGAGGAAAAGCAGGTTTCTGGTTTATGGGTCTCTCCCAAAGACTCATTAACTTTAGCCAAGGATTATGGTATGACTCCTTTTATTAAAGCACTATTGGAGGCTTCCACAACTCCTTCTACTTACGCTACTCCTGCTCGCTCTCATCCAACCGAAGCTCGTCAACCAGCAGGTGCTAGCCCTTCAACTCTAGACAAGTCCTTCAAGACGAAATCCTCGCAAAATTCATTAAAATCTTCTGAATCTCCCATAAAGTCAGTCTTTCCTAAAATTGGAAAATCCGAAAAAGATAGTCAGGAGGTTCTGACCAAGAAAAACGATATCAACAAACCCACTTCTTCTCCCACAGCTAGTTCTCCTGCTTCTTCTTCTGCTTCGACTGGTGCTGTTCCCAATGACGAAGAACAGAAAGCGGAATCGGAAGAGCAAGGAAAAATTGATAAGAAACAAGAAGAAACCGACATTTCAGAGAAGCCTTCGCATGAAGAGCCGAAGATGCAAAAAAAATCAAAGGATGAGAATTCAGATTTGAAGGATAAAGAAGAGGTAAAAGAAGAAGACGAAGAAAAGAAACCTTTTTCGGATATTTCTAGGAAAGTTCGGACTCCAGTGAGACCTTCAGATCTCTTGGGAAAAATTCGATCCGATGTAAACCGTCGTGTTTCAGATGTAACACAACAGGTGAAAAAGCCTTTAGAAGCTTTCGAAAAGAAAGCCATGACTTCCATCCACCTCCCTCATCCATCTATTCCTGGTTCAAAAAAGAGAAGTCGCGATGAGTATGAAGAAACCCAACCAAAAGAGAGCAATGAGGCTGCTATGGTACCTGTTAAGAAATCCAGGATTTCGAAGCTGGAAACAGAGATTCACTATGAAAAGAGAAAAGTCCGTGCTTTAACGGGTATTGTTGTTGGTTTAGGTGCTGGGTAAGTAAAGCATTTGTCCGCTGTCGTGTGTTCTTATCACTAATATGCTTGTATAGAGCGATACTTCCATTTCTTTTCTAATATTAATGATATATAGAAAGGTTTGGATGAAAGAACTTGTAAATTCAGTCAGTTGATGCGGTCCTATGTATTAGGTTTTATTATACCAAGAAGCAAGCGTATGCGCGTCTGTTAGATGAAGGAATTGTTATCGTATTTAATGCAGAATGGGGATTTCCCTTAATGATTACTCAATCTTTACTGTAAGTTTTAGTTATTCGGGAATAAAAAAGCTGTGCTTTTTTTAACAAACTCAATTGATTAATTTATTCAAAACAGTTTAAAACTCTGTACTGTATTAATTTGAAAATTTGAACATATAGTAGATTATTTAAACCGTAACACTTTATTTTGCTATGAACCGTGACAACTCGAAGTCCGTACTTCTCCAAACATTGTTTTGATTATGTTGAGACAACATTGCAACTTGTATGTAAACTAATAATATACAACCATTTTTCATTGTAGGAACTTTCGGTATTATTACCTTTTATGCACAGGGTTGTTATTGTTTTCTTTTTGCAGGTAAAGAGGTAATGCACTTTCAGGGAAAACGGGAATCCACAGAATCGTTACTTTCTGGTGAGTCAGACTTTATAATAGAGCATGAACCTGATAGACATTCCTTATTATCCAAATGGGGTCTAAGTTTTAAATATTTCAAAACTGATGGTAAGTAATCGGTAACTAACTATCTTAATATTTACTAACCATATTCCCTTAGATCGAGTTCAAGAAACCTTTCAAGCGTTCAGAGAGAAAGAAAGTATAGACAATAGTAATTGGTCCGTTTTATGGAGGCTCTGGAACGCAGGTCATTCTTGGTTTATCGTCTGTATTATAGGGGTTAGCATTGGGGCATCAGCTTATATGCTAAATGTGATTACTTCATTCCTTTCTGATATAAGAAGAGGATATTGTTCTTCCAGCTGGCTCTTCAATGAAAAGTTTTGCTGCATGTACAGTGAAGAAGCAGGTTAGCAAATCAGATTTCCATCATTTACTAACGTCTCTTAGGTACCGCTTGTACTACTTGGATTCAATGGAATGATTCTTTCATTTTAAATTATTTGATTTACACGTTATTTGCTCTGGTTTTCATTATTATATCAGCAGTTGCTGTCAGAGATCTCTCTCCGCTGGCTGCAGGCAGTGGAATTTCAGAAATTAAGTCAATAATCAATGGGTTTTCTAGGGACGAATTTGTTTCTTTTCGTGTTTTGTTAGTCAAATGTGTTTGCTTACCGCTTACCATTGCAAGTGGTCTTTCAGTTGGCAAAGAGGGACCGAGTGTACATTTAGCGACAGCTATGGGTCATTTTATAGCTTCTGTTTTTAGAAGGTTGAAATTACATTCAGTAAGCTTTCGCGACATATATGTGTCCTCCGCTGCTGCCGGCGTAGCTGTTGCTTTTGGATCCCCCATTGGTGGTGTATTGTTTGGCATTGAGGAAATGGCTTCTGGATACACTTCTAAGATGATTTGGTATACTTTTTCATGCTGTCTGTTTGCTGTTGCAACCTTACATTTGCTAAATCCATTTCGAACAGGCCAACTTGTTCTTTTCGAAGTCCGTTATTCTGGCTCTTGGCATTTTTTTGAATTTCTGTACTTTTCGATTCTTGGCATTTTTGGAGGGTTGTATGGCGAGTTTGTTATGAGGCTTTTCATTAAGATTCAGAAGTGGAGGAAAGTCTTCGTTGATAAATGGCCAGTGATGGACGCTTCTATCATTGTAATAGTTACTGCATTAGTCAGCTACCTTAATACTTGGTTGAAATTAGATATGACCTTAGGTATGGAGCTTTTATTTCAAGATTGCAAAGCTATGAATACTCCCGAATTGAACGATCTGTGTAATTCGAGTAATGAGGGAAAAAACTCACTAATTTTGTTAACCTCAACCTTACTAAGGATGATTTTTGTTGCATTTTCATATGGTGTTAAAGTACCTGCCGGCATTTTTGTCCCTTCCATGGCTGTTGGAGCTACATTTGGGAGAATGGTTGGATTATTTGCTGATATACTTTATAGAAAATTCCCAAACCTTTCTATTTTTTCTGCATGCCACGGATCTGGTTCATGTATAACGCCAGGAACGTACGCCCTTTTAGGGGCTGCCGCAAGTTTAAGTGGTATGATGCATTTGACTATGACTGTTGTTGTCATTATGTTTGAATTAACCGGAGCTTTGAATTTTATCCTCCCTACCGTTCTCGTGGTTGCTATAGCTAATTCTGTGGGTGCTTTATTTGGCCGACAGGGCATAGCAGACAGAAGCATCAAGCTCAATGGGATTCCTTTTCAAGAAACAAATAATATATATTCTGAACATGAAGATATTTTCTTTCCGGTGACAACGATCATGTCAAAGAATATAATAGCCATACCATCAAATGGAATTACGTGGAGATGGTTATTTAGAACTATGAAAAGTTATCCGTTCAGTGGATATCCTATAGTTAATAATACGAAGTCGTTTGAACTGATTGGTTATATTAAGAGGAGTTCAATTATGTTAGCATTTGAAGAAATAAAAAAAAACCCGACCTTTACCTATGACCAAGGGATTTATTTTAAAGATTTTTCACCGATGGATGATATGGTTGAGAACTCTTCCGGCTCACATTCAAATGGTTTTAATTTATCATTTTACATGGATTTACAACCAATTAGTGTTTTATACAATCAGTCAGTGTCAAATGTTAGTACTCTCTTTCAGGCTCTCTGTCCAAAAGTTATACACGTTGAGAAAGATGGAGTTTTAATAGGATTAATAACACGGAAAGATCTGTTATTAACGAAGCCCTACTTAGAAAGTATTAATCAGTCAGTTTCATCAACTCCAAGGACCGAAAGCATTCCGCTGCATGAATTGGAAAATAGTGAACATGACAAAGATATAGAGCTACAAGTTTTAAAATCATAGAATTAAGATCTCAATTAAAATTTGTAAAAAAGAGAAAATTGTTTAGTAGCAATATGAGAAAAAAAATTAAAGAAGGAAATAAGGGGTACACAAAGTAAATACTTAACAACTTTGCAGACGAATGATATGCATAATAGAAGTGTGGGTAAGAAAGAGTCAAGAAAATACAACAAGAACAAAAATAACATATAAAAACCCTATTTCATGATAGGTACAATTATCCCCCTCTGTACAAGTTCCAGTTAGCAGGATAAGGTATTTTAAAAGCATCGTAGTACTTGTTTAGACAGCTCCAGCCGTTATGATCAATTGAATCGTATGGACTACACTCGCATTTTGCAAGAGTTGGTTCATCAAGGGGACAATGGCCACTGAAGGGATGCCAGTATCCAATTTCATTAAAAAAATGTATTGAGTCACGGTCTGTAAAAAGAGCAGCAGCAATACTGTGAACAGGAGCGTCACCCCAACGTTCATAGAAAAATCCGTTGGACTTATCCAAATGGTCAAAGTATTTTGTATAAGCGTCACTTTCCCAGAAATCAACTCTTGCAATCTCAAAATTGGACCAAAAATGACAGTTATTATAGGTTTCGCCATTATTATCAGATATGAAATTGAGGGAATTATTAGGATGGAGGGTGTCTGGGTGTTGCTTTAGGAAATTACGAGTGTTTTCCCACAAAGTTGAGATAGTTTCAGGGTATTCAGTAACTGTAATGGTAAAGCCATAAACTTTATTGTTTTGTTTCATGTACGCGAAAGGATCAAAATCCAAATCACACCAAAAGTCAACGCTGGGTTCAACGCGCCAGTAATATTCATATTTCTTAACAAGTGGATGTCGATAAAAGAAACCGGATTCAAAACGACACATATGACGATACGATTCGGAATCGGCATAAAGAATATCATTTTCTTTTAGTTTATTCCAATTGTCATGCATCTTTTGTAGGTCCACCGTTTCAGGCATCTGCCAATGTTCTTTAGGAATAACACCAAATTCGACAGGACCAGAAGCTGTTTCGTTAATCCGTCTCATAAATTCTTCATTAAACTCCTCATCGTTCAGAAATACCCATGGATAATGATGCTTATGGTTGAATCGACGCTCCAAACGCTGGACAGATTGAACCATATCTCTAAGGTCTTCGTTACGAGCAAGACTAACAAAAGCGGCGTTTACACGACCGTCAGGAAGCCATTGACTACGCTCTGGATTAGGGACACTTGAACGATCAAAATACTTTGTTTGATGGTCTGCAAAAGGGTTCTTGAATACAGAGGTTTCCAAAACGCCCAAGATACCTCGAAAATCATTTCGATAACGTAGGAAAACAAGACAGGCAATCAAAGTGACCGCTATAAAGACTCGTTTAAATTTTCTGTGAAACAAAACCATTATGGAAGAAAAGGGGAATGCTTAATGTGTCACAAAATGAAATGCAAAAAGAAACTTGTAAAAGTAGTAGTTCCAGACGAACAATGTCAAATATTTATACAAATTAGGGGAATTCAACTCGAATTCTTCTCTTTGGCACTTTCACCTAACAATACGAAAAAAAAAGAGCAAGACAACGAGCCCAATTCAACAAAGAGGAGGATATATACAAAAAGTAAGAATCGTCAAACCTAACGATATGGTTTACCTCCAAAACAAAACGGTAAAAAGAATCCAAAAGGAGAAAGAAAGCCCAATATGAACAAGGACAGGCAATTTACTTCTTCAATGAATAGCTTCCTGGTAGCTTATCATAAACTAAGATAATACTATAGCAAATCTAGCAATATATTAAATTTGGATGAAATTGAGAATTAACAAAAGGAAAAAGGTATGCTTTACTCAAACTCACTCTTTCTTTTAATGCTGGCAGTGTGGCTAAGGCAGACAGTCACCTTTCTATGAGTAGTGAGTGAGTGTAATTCAGCGAAGGCGAGGATTCATAACCCAAAAATAGACCTTGGCTAAACAGACTTGAGCGGAAGTGACTTGGTTATTTGTGTACGATTTCTTTAAATTAACTTGGGTTACTTTACTTTTTCTTGTTATACATCACTTGAACCTTTGTTTACTTTCAGGTCCATACACAGATAAACATCACTTTTCGTATTCACAACGACAGAACATCTCTTACCGCTAGTCGTGTTTAGTTGTTTAACTCCATTAATGTAAAACGATTTTGTTTCTCTTGTAAGTACGATTTCTCAATGACCCAAAACTCCAAAGCAATGGTACAAAGAAACACCAAAAATTTATTTACTCAATTGGTAACTTAATTTAAAAGAAATATACTATAAATATGAAAATTTTCAACTTTGATCAGACAGCATCTTTGCGATAGTGACTTTTGCACGTGGAGTAAAAAACCCGAAGAAATGCTCCAGCCAGTTCAACGCCCTTACTCGAATTTCGTCTTTCCACCACACATTTCTTTATTTCTATTCACTGATAAATAATGCTTGCTTCTCGTGTTTGCCGTTCTGGTCTTGGATCTATTCGCTCTGCCTTGTCTCTCAAGATAGCATCTCCTTTTCACGTACGCTCATCTTGTAGCTCCATTACCGGCTCTGTCAATGCCTTTCAATGGAGAGCAGCAAAGTTTTATTCCACCAAACGTTTCACAAAACAACATGAATATGTTCAAGTAGACGGTGATATGGGTACTGTTGGTATCTCAGAGTACGCCGCTCATGCCGTTGGTGAAGTCGTCTTCGTCGAGCTTCCGGAACAAGGGTCCTCCATTGAAGCTGGTGATGGTATTGGTTCCGTTGAGTCGGTGAAATCTGCTAGTGATGTCTACTCTCCCGTAACTGGTGAAATTACAGAGGTCAATAAAATTCTTACTGATTCTCCTCAAATAGCTGGTGAAGCTCCAGAAGGTGAGGGTTGGCTTTGTAAAGTGAAACTCTCTTCTCCGGAGGAACTCGAAGGCTTGCTGACCAAAGAGGCCTATGATGAATATTGCAATGAAGTAGATGCTACCCACTAATCTAAAGCATAATTTGAATGATGGTTTCACTCTATATCATTAATATTACTTTTAAACCGTATACTGCAAGTACTGCAAGGCAATGAGAAACGAAATGGATGTTGTTTATTACCGGTTTATCACTTATCATTTTTAATTATGTGAAATGCAATTTTAACCTCCCATCACTGAATAGCATACGTAACTCAACAGATTTATCTTTTTTTCTTGACTGATTGTGCATGCTCGCCTATCCAAACTAAACTATTCAGTTTGTTTTCTAGCTTTTTTGGAATCGATCACTTCATACGCAGCAGAGAGGCAACTTTTATAATCCTTCATTCTTTCCGCCGCTACTGGTGTCTATATTTTCCTAATAATATCAAGTTGTTTCTATATCTTACGTTAACTCGTATTTCTACAAACTGATATTAGAGAGACATGTTATTTTCTTAAAAAAAAAAAAAAAGAAAAAAAATGTAGCAAACAGCCACTACGACAAAAAGGTTCAATAAAAAAGATTAAGTAAAAAGAAAAAAGTACGTACACTAAAAATGATTTGTGAAACAAAAAAATATAAAATAATAAAGTCGAAATAAGAAACTCTAGACTTGAGCCTTCTATTGCTCAAAATGATTCGCAATACTCATTGGAATTAAATAGTGGCTGCTAAGATTAGTACTTTTAGATTATAAAAGCAATAGACACAACGAGTAAAGCAAAGGTAGCGATAAAGCCCTTCAATGGCAATGCTTGAGTGGCAGCGGATGGAACGCTGGTATTATTACCAGCGAGCATAGGTGAAGATCCTCTGCTGGAATTTCCGGTTGCCGAGCTACTGGATACGAAAGAACTGCTAGAATTCAAACTCAATGGTGTACTAGAAACGCCAGGAGGAATCACTGCACCAGTTGAGTTCTTACTACTGGTAGGAAGGGCGCTGAAAGTACTGTTTCCGCCGCCTGAAATAGGTACACTAGTTGCATTAGCGCTACCTGTGGGAGAAGTGCTGTCGGAAGTATTCAGAGAAGAAGAAGTAACTGGAGAAGAACTGTTCGCGGTGGGGAAAGGAGCGCCAGCTGAAACAGAGCTGTTGGAAGTAGGGAAAGGAGCACCTGTTGAAATAGAGCTGTTGGAAGTAGGGAAAGGAGCGCCCGTTGAAATAGAGCTGTTGGAAGTAGGGAAAGGAGCACCTGTTGAAATAGAGCTGTTGGAAGTAGGGAAGTAAGGTGTACTGGTTACGTTCGCACTACTGGTGACAGGATACGCAGGGAGGGAACTGTTTGACGAAGCGCCAATTGGTCCCCTTGTGCTACTTATATTGGCAACAGGGCTAGTAGGAACAGGACTACTTGCGTTAAGGCTAGTTGTAGGATAGCCGGGCAAAGAGCTGTTTGAAGTGGGAACAGGAGTAGAGCTGACCGTGTCAATAGGAGCACTGGATGGAAGACTAGTGCTATTCGCTCCAGTTTCAATTACAGCAGGGGAAGAAACAGCCGTGCTAGTAGTGTTCCCGAACGGAGCTTGACCTTGACCTTGAACCTGCATGGCTGCCGCTAACAGTATGAGTTTGGAAAGAGTGGAGAAGATCATGTTTATAAGACCAAAAACAAGAGACGGTAATCTCGGCAGATGCTAAAGAAAGGTACAAGAAACAATAAAAGGTTTAAAGGTAGCTAGCTCCTTACTGCACAGATCCTTAAGTCTTACAATAGACTTTTACTGCTTACTCTAGCTTGAACCAAGACCGGCTATATAAATAAAATCATCCATAGCCTTATCACAGCTTGATTTCACCTCATGACGACCTCATGATTCCATTTTAGAGAATTGCTTCTGTACGGGTTATCAATTGTTCGTGACCTTTTAGGTAGGACGGTCATTTAGTCTGCAAGTCCTTAGAAAATTTGCGTAGAAGTTTGATCATACCTACGCTGAAACGACTCAAGTATGACCATCTAGTACAGTCATCTTTGCTCACTTCTACTTTATGCGACGTATCGCTTCCTCAATTTTTCTCGCTATCTAACTCTTGACAGTTAGTAATTAGAAACATTTTCTACCCAGGCATTACTTCGTTCTGAGTAAATACCGGTGTCGCTGAATATATGGTTTCGTAATTCTCGCCTTTTTATCTATATTATCTTCCTTAGTTTATTAGTAAAACAATTCTAATATTTAGGATACGTCCAATAACACATTTACTCAAAGTCGTGTCTTTTCTCGTTGTAAGTGTTAGGTCATTCTTTGCGAAATAAAATAAAAATCTAGACACATTCCTATTTCGACACTAAAGTGACCCTGGTATAGAATACAATAGGACTAGAGTCATAGATGAGACGGTTACGATTTAACAGTTAGTACACATATACTTAAGGTAGAGAGTAACATAGAATAGATGTTTATTTTTCATAATAATATTGGATTTAATAAACTAGCAACTAACCAACAGAAATATAAACAACTTTTGTGGACAATCGTTAGTCCAACATTAATACATATATTGTCTTTCATCCATTGATTTGGTATCATCTAAGCAGTCATTTCAATGTCTTCGATATTATTTTTTTTCAGAATCACAATTCCTTCTAGAGTAGTCATTGGTGTGTAAGCTTCGGTTGCGAGCTCTGCTCTTTCATTGTGATGTAGTAACACAGGCGTTGTGTGAGTAACCCAACCGGTAATAACCTTTGGACGTCCAGCTTGTCCAACAACATCAACAGCTTGACCAACGCGTACACTGACCGGAAGATACTGTCCATCCTCGCCAAGTGTGATAAGCATCCGTGGTCTCATAGCCAAAGTCATACTGTACAAAAGCCAGTGTGAGGAATCGAGTATTAATGAGCTTGCATCTAGCATCGCAAGCGCAACTGTCATGAGACCAGCAAATGCTGTCTGACCGAGAATCTGGCGATCAGTATGATAAGGATTCAGAGACATAGTTCCTTTTCCAAGGTAAAGCAATCCTTGGGCAATGCGTACAATAAACAATGCATTTGATTCCTTGTGATAGTAGCTAGCCAATTGTCGAAGTAGTTGAGCTAAACGAGCATTATTTGTACCAGCACCAACGAGACCCATAGCAAAGATTGCATTATAGGCAACATCCAGATCGTTGTCATGACTGTATCTAGAAAGAGTATCAAAAATTCTCATTTGAGGATTTGAAGCGGAAAGTAAACCAAGCGCCAAAGGTACAGCTTTTCGAATAAATGGTTCACCATAATGCATCATGTGATCAAATTGTCTAGTAACCATTTCAGCACCAATGTCTTCGCCCATTGCAATTACAGCAACACCCAAAGCTGCCAAGGACTGTGCGCTCTTCTCACTCTCCTTTGCATCAGCGCTGAGTGGTTCACTGCAAATATGAAGTAACTTCTGAATTTTCAGGACATTACCTGTTCCAGCGTAAGAGCAGACATCAACAAGAATTTCTGCCTGTCTGGCAATGTCACCTTCAATAGCCTTTAATGTCTCGATGGTAGCATCAGCCAAGTCTTGCTTACCAATGAACAGCAATGCGAGACCAAGAGCCATAAAACGGCCCCAGTTATCATTCTGTCCAGCTTCCTCGCGCTCCATTAAAGTCTGAAGAATAGTACTAGCTACATCGCCATTACATGTACCGACAAAAATTAATCCCAAGGTTAATGCAGCTAAGCAGGAAAGTTGCATTGGTGCTTTCACATCGGTGACTATGGGGGCGAACATATCAAGTAAATCTTCACGATTAGATCCGGCGTACGCCAAACCTAATCCAAGAATAGCTGTAGCACGAAGTTTTGTAGATCCTGTTTCAAGATACTCAGATAAAATAGCCAATGCAGGGTCAGCCTCATTACGAACGGCAACGTTTGTTATACCAATTCCCAATAAAGCTCCTGCTTTAACATTTTCCTCCGAGGAGTAAAGGTATTTGTCAAGTAAAGAAAGACCCATATCGACGTTCCATAATTGCAATAATCCGATAGAAGCAGTGGCACTAATCATACCGGAGTCTTTGTTTTTATAAATCCAAGATGATTTCTCATCGTCAACCAAAACAAGTCGGTCATTACTGTATCCAGCATTAACGAAAGAATTAACTAATGTATTAGCTAAATTCTGTTTAGCTGAGTAAACACCGGACGAGCCCAGGCCTGTCCGGGCCACTTCCAAGTGACTTTTAAAAATATCTTCAGGAACTTTAGGATCCATAAGGCTAAGTTCCTTTCCAAGATAATGAAAGTGATCAGACAAATGAATGTTGTTTAAAGCATCATTTAACTCCTCATCACCCATATCGAAAGGGATCCGCTGTCTTGCTAAAATATATGCTAACTGCTTTTTCAACAATGGGTCCTCGGCTGCCTCGCAATCCTCGCGAATCAAAGACATATCATCAAGGCGAATAGCAACATTCAATGCTTGCGTAAGTTGATTGAATTTCCGATGGATAGCATGAGCAGTCCTAAGCATGGCCACATCTTCGGGAAATGGGAGCAAATTTACACAACTTGTTATATATAAGCATACACGTGACGCATTATCAGCCTCAACATAAGGGGTGACTTTTTCAACAGCACCTAATTCTTGTAATAAATCAATAGCATCAGCTTCAGCATTGTGAGTCAAAAAGAAAGGCACAATGAGAAGTGCAAGGTCCATAAGGTCATCAGTTGCTATATCCTTTTCTTGACGTTCAACAAATTCAGCTCCTATTTCAGCAGCCAGGTGTCGAACATACTCATGACCCCACACGGAAGGATCGCTAGTAACACCGTGCAAACGATATTTTAATGATTCCCGTTTACTAGGATCACTATACGACATTCCTAAAACAGAAAGGATATCGGCAAATTGGACTTTCAAAGGTCCCTCGCTCCAGGAGTCGAAAGTCTTCGTCAAAGTAGAATAATGGGGTCGTAAAAACTTAAGAGGTTTAGGAACCGCTGTCATAGAAGATGTAGAGGTTCTAATAATATCTTTCAATTGTGTAAGAATGGAACTCATTAAATCTAGGTTTTTTTCTTGAATTCGTTCTACCAGCATGTCTAAATCTGTTTTAAGTTGTAAGTCTTCTTCAGACTGTAAATATGTTAGCGTCTAAATCTCATATGCTAAAATTACTTACCAAATCCACCACATCATTTCTTTCTTTAACAGAGGTTGCTTGATCTTTTTCATTAGAAGATGGCGTTTTTACGCTTTCATCTTTTATCATCTCATCATCACCTTTTGAAGACTTGTTGATGTCTTCGGGATTCATCTTTTCTACTTAATTTCTTCACGGACGATGAAAGTAATGTGCAGTCGGCAGGACTCACGCACACCCATAATATTAGGTATATCGAATACTTGCGAAGATTTCATGCTTACTCACTATAATAATCATACTAAGCATTCAACGAAGGTAGTGATATTATACGCCAGTTCTCGTTATTAAAATATAGAATACAACACCATGTATTGCTGAGAAAGCTAATCTACTTGATGCTTTTACGAAAATTTAGTAGTATAATGAGAAGAAATTGAAACGAAGGAAAACTCCAAAAAAACAAATTTAAATACATAATATTCACGTATAAAGTCTTTTGACTTACCGCCAGTTACCAAGACATGAAACTATATAACGTCCATAGACAAACAAACAAAATGAAAATAAATAAAACGGTAAAAATATGCAGGATGCTAAGATTCCACTTCATAACAGCATAACTTCAATAGTACAAAAAACCATATCAAAAAAGTAATCATGAATCATCTTTTTCTTTCGTGTTTCTCAGGCTTTACACGAAAGAATGATTCAAAGAATTATTGCTTTCATTCGCATGGAACATAGTCCGCAAATGATAATAGTTTTCATGTAATGGTAGCTCATTAGACGGGAATTTTGAATTTAGAATATCTGAGTCTTCCGTATTCCAATCAGTTAAACCCTTGGAATCAGTAGGTTGTCGAAGCTCGTCTAGCGAAGGACGAAAATCAGAAAAATTATCAATCCGATTCAAAATCGGATAACTTGGCTCACTATCAGAAAAATACAGAGGCTTCAACTTTGACATAAGCGATGCTTTATTTGAACGACCTTGTGTACTAGAAGACGAGTCTATTGATCCATTAGTCTCTTCTGGAGCAACGTAATTCCCAAATACGCTGGATTCATACGGAATCCAACCTTCCCTTTCTCGTTTCAGATTACCTGAAAGTATGGAGACTATTTGGTCGTCGTAGTCATCAGTAGCATCGTTGTACACAACTGTGCCATGATCTGACAAATCGCTTGATTCGGGCAAATGCTCGCCTTTATCTTCTGCAAAGAAAGCATCAAGGCTATGTAAAGTAGTTACGAGTTCTCCTAAAGAATTTTCTCCTAAAGATCCCCGGCTGTTCGTGGGAATATGTCGAGGATAATTTGATACCTCTTCAGCATGAAATCGGATTTCAGGTGTTTTTAGGGAATCACCCGTTTCAGGGCATGTATAAAAAATGGTATGCACATTTTTTTTCGTTAATGTTGTTGCATAATCAGGATTGGGTTCAGACCAACCAGTTTCGTCCGGAATTTCGCTAAAGTGAGTAAACCTTGAGTCAGTACTCTTGGTTTTTGGATCAACCATTAGCAACTTGAATGTCTGTACATCTGAAGGTCCTGAAATAGATAATGGAATAGTTAAAAGCTTTAACGCATCCATTACATAATCAGTTGATAACAGTCTGAGTAAAGGGGTTATTAAGTTCAGCTCGAGACTACCGCATGTTTTATTGTCAAACTGTAGTCTTGGTAGTATGCTATCCAAAATCCTTAGCGTAGATTTCCGAATCCATGGCATACTATTTGATAAAAACATAGAGAGAACTGTTATGATTTCCAAAACGAAATCTTCAAAAAAGTTGGAGGTTATATATGAGACAGCACATTTTAAAAAGTCATCCGAGCTCCTAAACTGTCTGTTCATAAACGTTTTTATCAATTCAATTAACTCAGTATTATCATATAGATATGCAAAACTCGTCAGCTTATCACAAAATTCATCCAAACTAAATGGTAGTTTTGCTGCTGTTTCGTAAGTTGTCAGCATCGCCGGCAATGAAACTAACAGACAAGTTACAAGCCTAAAGTCGCCATTACCAACTATATCATTATCTCCGTAAGTCATCAGGAGCATGAACAATCGCATCGATGATTCAAATGATTTTGTTGATCGAAAACCTCTTAACACTAATAGCTGGAGACCATCAAATTTCTCATACCATGAATTTGGTAAGGAGTCTATTAAGTGTTGCGGGAATTCCGGAAGATGCTCTGTCCGTTTAAGATAATCGTACGTAATTTTCACGGCGTATAGAAACTCTTCTTCGTGAACAGTAGTGAGGCATGCCACTGAAGTCCAAAATAGCTGAGGATAAAGCATGAGATCAGAAGGTTCCATAGCTCTAACGTATGCATTTATAGTAGCAAGTATTTCGATTGAATAAGCACATAAGTACTTTTCTTGGTCTGAAATGGTCCCAACCAACCTGGCTATTAAATTCAATTGAATGTCAGTATCGAAGTTGGGCAGAAGGCAGCGGAAGACTTGAAAAGAATTACAAGCTAACCGTCTCGAAGGGCATGTTGTAGCCCAGTTCATTGCTATTTTACCCCATAATTGTATCAAGTCCGGATATGTATTTACTAACACTTCATTGGTTTTGGTAATTAAGTGTTCATAGCGAGTAGTCGTGAAGTCTTTCAAACCATCAGCTTTTATGTTGGTAGAAATTATATTTTCAGAATCCAACAAGCTAAAGTAGTTGTCGTCAGAATACAACCTCCCTTCCATTGCTTGGACTTTTTCAACAATATAGTGAATGATTTGACGACATTGCTTTTGAACTATCTTAGAATAATGATCCAATTGTATGAAAGCGGCTTGAAGGATCGTAGCCACCTCATTAGTCCCAATCATAATGGACGGATTGGGAACTATATCCATTAATAGTAATAGAGCCAGTTGACACGGTGAATAGAAAATTGAATCTTTTTCAGAAGGAAAAAGGATATCCAGATCTGCAATGTAAGTATTATTTGAATTCTCAACACTGTAGGAAAATACTTCCTGATTTTCATTGGAAACGTTAGTTGAAGATATAAAAGACAATAACGTTGAGTATAAGCCCGACAACAGTTCGGTTTTAGCAAGGTAAATTGTGATTTGTCGTGTACACTCAACGAATGCAAAAGTCTTTCGATTAAAACATTGCTGCATTAAGAAAAATAAAATTACAGTCCAATTTTTCTTATGTCCAGACAAAGCTAAAGATGTCCAAAGAGCTTCAATCTCGTTAGGCAAATCCTTGGTGTACTTTGTGGTAATTTCGATTAAGCCGATCAATGTGGTGACGGTATAAAATTCGAATACTTTATTACCGACATCCATTTTAAGCTCTAAGTTCTGTAGCCAAGGAAGCAAAACAGTAACTAATCCTCGTCGATGAAAATCACCGTAGTTGAAGTACCTCAAACATTCAGACGTCAATGCAAAAGAATCCTCAGAAAAATCGTTAGCAAGTTGAACCGAAAATAGATATTGAGGTTTCAAATACAGTGCGGGATTACTCGATTCTAAGAAGCTCTTCATTTCCATCATGGCCGTTAGAGTAAAGCTGTTTAGCCGAAATTTTCCTAGTAAGTCAAAGGCTTTTAGCCTAACGGACAGATTATTCGCAGAAAGCTTAACTAGACAAAGGGGTAATAATTTCGGAATACTTAAATGACCAACCTCGGTTTGAATGAGCATTTCTGAAAGGGCTAAAAAGAAAAAATCACATATATGTTGAGCGATTCCTTGTGCAAAGCATTTTTCTATCACCTTCTGAAGTAATAACTCATAATCGCAATTTTTTATTAATAACGTACGGAGACCCTTTCTAGCAAGGTTAATTATGACTTTTGAGGGGGAATGTAAAACGGCTGTATACCAATTCAGTAAAACCTCAACATCAAAAGAGAATATAGCTTCATCCAATTCTTGATGAAGCCTTGAAGTGCTTAAAGCTATCATAGCTTTAATTGTCAAGTATTCAAGGTTCTGTTTGGCCGCTTCGAAGGATGCAAGGAGACGATCACGCTCCCTTATATCTTTATTGTTTTCCACTATACTAAAACGAATCTCATCCTGCTGATTTTTCATAACTTCTTGAGCCGGACCAAAACCGGTCCACTCATCTAAAAGTTTCCAACAAGATACTCGACCAGACAGTGGCAGGATTTCAACGCCGTTGTTCAGATTTTGAAATACTATTAGTTTCTCGAGAAGTTGAGCAAAGTAGCATTTAATTTTTAAAGAGCTCACATCAGTTTGCGTACAAGAAGTTAGAAAAACTTTCAGATCCTTTAAGAATTCAGATATAATTAGTAAAGTATCGCCTTCATCTTTCATTGAGTCATGTACTAAAAGATGAGATGTTAATGCAAAAATATGAGCTATTTCCGATCGTAATAAATTATCAGATTTATTGCGCCGGCCGAAATTGGAGAAGTTCAAGTTTCGAAGTAAAAACTCTGGTTTTTCTTCCTTTAGAAAAGAAATATAAGGTTTTAAAGATTTGACGAGTTGGGGAAATGCATTTATGTTGAGGCAACCAGTAGCGAACACCACAGCTTCCCGGATAGGAGAAAACTCAACGAAAATTAATGGGAGTATCATGTTAAAAAGGCTTTCGGCAGAAGTAATTTTCGTCGTCTCCTGTAAGCTTCGCAAATGAGTCCCAGACTGAACTGCTGTTAATGCTCGTCTTAAATTTGTCTGCGATAGGTCAAGATTAGAAGTATAAGTAATAGTACAACAAGCAACAATCAAATACAACTTCCATTGAACAAGAAGATACTCAGGAAATTCATTATTTTTTACAGCAATTTTCAGATTAAAATTAGTATCTGAGGTGTCAATTTTCGAAAGCAGTTTTGATGTTATGCTAGGTAATTTTGAGCACACGGTGTTTCTAAGTAACGCCATCGTAGTTGGAAATCGTTCGAAGCAAAGCTTTATAAATTTTGGGAAAAGGTTATACCAAATTGATATATCAACCCCGCTATTTGAGGTTGCAAGTTTTAGCAGCATATCTTTTGTACCATCATTTATAAATTTTCTTAGTCGAGAGCGTTCAGCTGCAGTTGGAAGATGACTCTCCACACTTAGTATTGAGGAGTCACAATCTTTCAATACATCCACTATAGTAGGCTCCGAGCACACTTCGCCATCTGTAAAATTATCAGAAGATAACACCAAGTATTCCGTATTCAATTTTTTTACATCATTGAGCAAAGCTACTGCAAATTGGCGAATGTCAACAGAGGGAGAAGATAGATGTAAAACAGCTAGTGACTGGATCTCTTCAATAATCATCCAGCTTTGAGTTTCATCGTAATCCTGTTTGCCCAGGTTCGTGCTCTCATTATCCGAAGCATGACTAGATTTTGTACTTAAAAAAGAACTTCGTTTTTGAATTACAGCCTCCTGTTGTTGAATCCAAATCCGTATAACCTCGTGATAAGTACAAAGTAAGTGCTCTGACCCTTGAACAAGTTTTCTAGATAAACATGAAATGATTAGCTTAGTTAAATTGAGCTTTGATGCAAAATAGAGTAGGGCATTATGGCACGAGAGCTGAATCACTTTGTTAGGGCAATTCAAACACCTAATGTATGCATCAATTATTTTTGGTTCAATTTTACCAACTAAACAAGGGAAAATTTTTACGGAATTGCTATATAAGCCCAAATACCCAGCAGGATTCCGTGAGTTATAATACCGACTGGTGTCGTTCGAAAGTTGCAGCGTGAGAAAAAGAGTACTGTTTGATATATTTTTTATAAATGTTTGCCAGCAAGAACTTGCTTCGCTCCAAAGATCAGTGATTTGAAACTCAATAAAATTAAACAATTCTTTTGGAGAATTTTTGAGCTTAATATCCTGAAGCACATAATAAGAGGAACGTATTACAATCATCATTTTCTCACACCCCATGTTCTCATTAAAGGAATCAATTAATAGGGGCTCCAATATTTCATTTATTATATAATTTGGATAATGAGGAGCAAGCACTCTTAAGATTTGAGAGAACCCTTCCACTTCATCGACTGTAGCAAATGGGCTAACATTAAAAGTCTTTCCTGGAAAAAAGACGGGCTTAATAATGTACGTGATATCTTTTAAAATTTCATCCGTACATTCCCCAAGACGATTAAGACATACCCAAAATACCTTAGCAAGGGATTTTAAGCCCGTATTTCGAAGTCGCCTATCCTTTATACGAACGAAAGAAGCTTCCAATGCTGACAGCCAATTTTCTAAAAAAAAATCTTTCGGAGACAGACATAACAAGGAACAAAGAAAAGGGAACCACACTTGCCAATATTTGGATTTGGAACATGACTTGAATGCGATAGGGTACAGGGTAAGTATGGTGCGTACCCAGCCTGGAATATTGACTTCAAACGTAGCATGTATAATAAGTGGAGAAAGAAGATTTTCAAAAAGATAAGCATGTTCAATACGCAGTGCTTGGTTTGACTTAATAAAAAAAGATGCTAAAGATTCCATAAAAGCAACACATTCCTCTAAGTGTGTTATCGGATACAGTCGTATGTGAAGATGTTTCATAGCACGAAGGATATATATAAGATAAGCTTCTCTGACTTTAATGTCCAAATTTGATTTTTCAAGATTTTCAATTTCTTCGATGAATCGGTCGGATACCATGACAAAATTAAAACGAGAAAGGCTTCCTAATAAATAAGCAAAACTCTCCCAATTCGCGAGCCTCAAAGAAGAGGAGCATGTCGGGAGATTTTTGGGATTCAACAGCTGATGAAAAATGCATTCTAGTAAAGATGAAACTGTGTTTTCTTCTAGGGTATTATTTGGGAGGTTTTCTGTTATTTCGGACAAGCAGCGACAAAGAATATAAACAGAGGCAAAATTCTTTCTTTCTACCACGGCATGTGGAATACTTTTGGAGTTAGTAATACTGACACGAACTTTTCTCCAATAAAGAAGTGACTCAATCACGGCCACAGGTTTCTTCACAGCAAGACCAATTAAAGCTTGAATGCATCTGTCAAATTCTTCGTCTTTTCCTTTTCGCAAAAGACGTATTGCATCTTGCTCATTGACTAAAAATGAAACTGGATTCGTTTGTGTTTGATTGAGTTGATGACGAGAAAGGCTGAATATTTTTTGCTCTGATATCCTAACAAAGTGTGTAAATAATATGTGGAGAGCATAATCAACTGCTGAGTGCTGTTGTTCTTCTTCTGAGGAAGTATTTATCTCCTTCCCATACAAAGGTTCTTCTTGAGCAGTTTCATTCAAGTTCATTCAGCTTATCATTATATATTCTAGCTCTGCCAAATAATTAGCAATTCTAGATCTCAATGCTTGAAAAGAATGTTAAATTATCCTGCCAGTATAAAGAAAATTGTTCACGATTTGAGTCTGAGTGTCCTTTTAGAGAAAAAATTCGACCGTAACACGCTGTTGCATAAGAACTGGTTCTCAGACGGAATATAGCCGATATCCTATTTCAAATAGCCAAAACGCTGAAGACTATGTAATGTAAACTGTTAACAGAATTCGATTGAAGAGGGTAGGTGACTATCAGAAGGCAGCGCAGAGAATAGAAAGTTGGTTAAATCGTTTAAGGAGTTGGGTCAAATTCATGAAAAAGTGCGCTACCAAACAGCACTTAAAATTTTATCCAAAAACATAAGGTTCGCTTGTCTTCTAGAGCAGAGCTTGTCGATAACTACTGAAGATTTTTGTGAATAATACATTGATCTGTTACATTAGCTATAAATTAATAATAAAAATTTGAGTAGTATTTAACAAAATCTACATAGTAAAACAAATTGACGACTTTATAATCGTACAAGGATGGGTTTTTCGAAAACTTCTCTGAATGGTGCCGTTCATCAGTAGGTGCAATATGATACGACTGTAAAGAATTATTCAAAGTATGCGTTGTATAACTTTATTGTTCCACACACAAGCACAAAACAGTATTAATTCAAGTAGCCTGTAGGAACCTAGTTAGTCTAATGAGCGGGAGAAAGGAAAGGAAGATTGTGATTATGTGTGCGGAAACGATACAAAAAAGGAAACTGGTGGGAATATCAGAAAAAAAAAGGATAACTGAGAAACGGAGTATAAGAAGAATTATGGAGAGGGGTCCTGATACTTATGAAGAGGGAAGAATGGTCTTTACATTGAACAGATATTAAATCTGCTAACGATGCATTGGAAAAGAAAATTAAAGAGAAGAAGCAGAGGTGGAGACCTCTGGTACAATATACTTGTTAACTCTTCGAATAGTTGGTTCATCCTCTGGTCTAGGCAAGGTAGTCTGTCGGTCAAAAACAATACCAACGTACTTCCTGGTGCGACGAAGGGAAATTTTCTTTTGAAAAAACTTTACGTATCCAGAAACTGTTGCGAAAACAGTGAAATCACGTCCAAGTTTGGCATTGTCTCCGGGATGAAACTTCGTACCTCTCTGTCTTACCAAAATTTCGCCAGCATTTACATATTGATTCTCTGAACGCTTAACACCAAGACGACGTCCAGCTGAATCTCCTGAATTCCTTGCAGAACCTCCTCCATGCTTGGCAGATGTTCTAATTGGAGGAAACGTTATGGAAAAAGGCATTAATCTCGAGGCAACTGGAGTCTGTCTGCGAAGCAAAGCTGAGGACAGCTGATTCATAAAAGTCGATTTACCGATCATGATGGATAGTGCTTCTTTCAATCTGGAAGAACTAAGGTAATGGGGGAACTAAAAATGGTATTTCTTTCCGCGTCAAATGCCGGATATTTGTTTGTTGAAGAGAATAATTAAAACAAAAAAATTAAAAAACTACGATTTTGCAGTTATTTTATATCAGAATAACGATATCTCACTGAACAATCGGTTCTGTTTGAGTAGTACTTTTACGAATGGATTCAGGAACATTGTACCCACTAAGTATCAGTCGAGTTCATTATATTTGTTTAACGATATTTTCAAAAAGCTAGATTTCTGAGCTTTTTCTATACTACACGCAAAAATCGTCCTGCTTGGAACTACTACAGAAAACAAAGTAAAACGTATGTTTAAAAAAAGCATTTCCCGGTCTTAAACACCTTGTATACCTGCCAGTTTGTGTACCAACCGTATCGTTATACACTGTGATTTAGCTGTATGAAGAAAAAATAACAAGCTCGGAATATGGAATACGGAGATGGGCGGAGCTTATACAAAACTAGTTAAAGGGACTTACTGTACTCTAGTTTCGCTTGGGACTGCACTGACAAAATCTGTGTTGTTGCTCTCTTAGTGAAAAAGCCGTGCCAGGTCGATTTGGAAAAGGTTTTTGTATTGAGAAACGAAGGACTTTCTTTTTTTTTTTTAGTAATGGAATGGTTTCACTGTCCGTTCGCACCTTTTGCTGGAACATGAAATCCGTGTGCAATGCAGTGCATATCACTGTCTTACGCGCATACTTTCTTCACTGAAACGATGTCGAATTGCAAAGGTTTATTTATTTATTTATTTATTTGATTTTTTGCTGTGCTATGACTTTACGATATCAAAAATACGATACACATCAACTCTAATGGAAACGTTTTTGTTTGAGTTTCTTATTTACGCGTTCCAGCAGTAAGAACTTCTGGTTTTAAAATTCGCGGCGAAAATTTATTAAATTAAACTGAAACTAAGCTGTTTTCGAAACGACCTTTAGAGTTGGTACTTAATTTACCCATTCTCTATAAGGTTGTAGCACCACCTAAACAAAACTCCAAAAAGACGCTTTTCCAAAAAGATACAGTGGTGGTCGCGTTTAATTGTATTTATATATTTTTTAGATTCTTTTCGTTATATTAAAGGAGTTTTGAATGTATATAAGTTTCGTAACTTTCTCTAGTGTTTTATCAAATTTCCCCAGCAGAAATTGCTAACAGCTGTTCTACCTTTTCCTAACATGCCCGATTCTGTGGCACTTATATAATTCTATGAGATCCGGAAGACAGAAACGGTTCAAAAAACTTAATGATAATGTTCCTTTAACAGATTTACAGACTGATTGTAATCATGATTATTCTAATTACCGCGCGTCAAATAGACCATTTGACCTACCTACCATTCCGACTTTACAACCTTCATGTACCGATTTTTCTGACTTCTATTCGTTTTTAAGAAAAAATGAACAAGTGCTTCTAGAATATCCGGCTGCCAAGGTAGTTCCTGCCCTTGGTTGGAAATTACCTATCGCTCTTGACCTTGAGACTTTTAAATTTAAAGGTCAGAAACAAAAATTGCATAAGGAATCTTTTCGCTATGATCTAAATTATGATTATTTTAAAAAGCTTAAAGAATTTCACGGAGAAAGAGGTTTATATTTCAATAAACCTCCAATGCTCCAAAACCAACCATTAGATTTCCTTCAATTAAGAAATACCGTTTCTCGCTTCTCCAGTTTAGAATCAACGTTGAGCAATTCTGTGTTGTCAAAGATTACGGAAAGCTTAAATTTGCCAGATTCCAAGGATATCAGACAGATCCTTCTTCGAACCTACGAACGTTATATCAAACCATATGAACGAGCGCATATGAATACTTCTTCTGCCAATTCTGGCTCTGCTCCTCGATCTACAAGACTTTCCCGTAGTTCTGTTGCTCATGCCTCCGCCGATGCATCAACAATACCAGAAAATGATACCTCCCGACCAAATGGATCGCAGGTAGCTGGTAAGCGTACTTTTTTTGAGCGTGGTGAGCAATGTGAATTTTGTGCATCGGATTCGAATCCAGAGAGCATATTGCTTTGTGACGGTTGTGAGTGCGCTTATCATATATCCTGTCTTGACCCACCATTGAATGCTGTCCCCAAAGATGATTGGTATTGTGATTCATGCAAACATGGTATTCATTCCTATGATCCAAGGAAAGGGCAACATTGGACTGTGGCTACCTTCAGGGACCACTCCAATAAATATATGGAAGCCGTGTTGACTAAGAAATCCATGTCTATCCATCCCACTGAAAACGATTTGGAAAGCTTATATTGGTCGCTTATGGATGAGTACTCTTTGCTTTCAGATGTGCATCAAGTTGAAAGGTATACCACTTCGTCATTCAGCTCTTTGCCTTCTAAAGAATTACAGCCTTCAAACCAATCTTCGTTTGATGCTTGGAACATTCGTAATGTCCCTCACCAAAAATTCTGTCCTTTTAATTTTACAATTTCCGATATGCATTCTTTAGCTACTCCAAAAATGTCTATAGGCATGGCATATTCTACTTACGAATGGCAACAATCGCCTATTGGGACTTCCCAGGTATATCACAATAGGTATGGCAGTACCGTCACTTGGTATATCTTGCCTTCAAATCAAACCGAGAAGTTCGAAAAGTTTGTTAATGGTTTGGATAATACCTACAATGATGGTGTCTTTCTAACCCCTTCTTTCCAAGTACCTTTTCCTATATCGCCGGAAGTCCTTTTGTCAAATGGAATTCAAGTCATGGCTGTGGATTTACGACCCAATGAATTCTTAATTGTGGCTCCCAAGAGTTACCATTTTGGATTTCACCTTGGATTTGGGTGTTTAGAAACAACTCATTTTGCTACAGTTGAATGGATTAAAAATGACATTTTGAAAAGTTTTTTGAATCGAATGAAGGATCTACACATCCCTTCTCCTATTTCATATGATGCACTTATTATTTCCATGGCTTTGTCACGGCTACCGGAATTTACAAACGACTGGTTTATTGAGAAGCTTCGAGATGTCATAAGCTTTGAAGTATATCAAAGAGAGCTGCTGTCAAAATCGCAATCGGGAATTGCAATAAGACAATTGCAAGACCACCCTATTCCGCAGGTCGTTTGTTCAAAGTGTCAATGTATGACATTTATGTCCTATGTTAAAACTCACGTTTCGGATGAGACTTATTGTCTAGAGCATTTTGTAGGAGATTCCCAGTTATCCTCTCAACCTTCAACAGTTTACTATCGATGGGATACAACCGAGTTATCCAAACTTTTGGATCGATTTTCTGCTTTCGTCAGAGCGCCTGTTGAGTGGTCTGAAAAATTAAAAAGTATATTACTAGCAACTCCCAAACCTCATTTGAAATCTCTTGAAGCTCTTTTAGCTGATGCGGAATACGCAATGCTAAATACCAAGGATACAACTGTCTTACGAAGCTTTATTCATAAAGCTAAAGCTTGGATTAATTCGATCAATCATTGTTTAAGTATCTCACCTATAAAGAAAAGGAAAGAGAAAAAGCTGTCATTTATGAAGATGCATGATCAGAGAGTAAACTCTACTGGAATGCGTGACTTAAAAAATTTATTCCAAGTATTACAAAAATCTAAGGATATGTCTTTTACTTGCGAGGAAATTGAAGCCATGAAGAAAAAGGTATCAGCCTTACTACAATTTCGAGTCCGATTAGCCAAAGTCTTTTCCGGTTCTCTAGACAGAAGAATGTGCCAAAACTTGCTGAGTGAGGCAGAATCTTTAGGGTTTATGTTTCCTGAATTAACTATTATTCAGAAGTATTTGACACAATATGATTGGCTTGACATGTTTTACTCTATTGAAACTGAAAAGACATCAGATGCTGATTTAGAAAAACTCATATCCTTTGGTTTAGCTGCTGGAGTTCCTGAAGACAATGATCATATGATTTTTGTTAGAGCTATGAAAGGTAGAGCGGAAATTTGGGAAAATCAGGTTCGCGATGCACTTTCAAAAAGTAATGTATCTTACGATCGGTTGAGCCTTCTTAAAGATGAAGCTTTAACGCTCTGTGTTGATAAAGTTTTGTACACCAGGGTTGTCGAAATATTACAAAATGCCGAAGAGGTGAAAAGCAGAATTAACAGGTTATGTGAACGCTCTCAAAACAAAACATTCAAGTTTAGACCCGTAATGGATGAGGTGAAAGATGCTTTGGCTCAAGCTGAAAAGCTTCCGATGTTGTCTGATAGTGTTGTTGCACTACAGAAAATGTATGATTCGGTTCTCGAATGGATTCGTCGGGGTAAAAGACTCTTTGGAAAAGCTAATGCTCCTTTGGAAATTTTAGGACAACATTTGGAATACGTTGAGAAAAGAAATGCGGCTTCTTTATCATTATCTGATAGACCGGGTCCTCCGATGGAACCTTCTTCCCGCGAAGCGAGTCCAGATTCTGAAGGAAGGCTTGTATACAAAGCAAAAAGGCCTCGTATATTTTGCTTTTGTCGTTTACCTGAAAATGGGGTTATGATAGAGTGTGAAATATGTCATGAATGGTACCATGCAAAATGTTTGAAGATGTCTAAAAAAAAGCTTCGACAAGATGAGAAATTTACCTGCCCTGTTTGTGACTATAGAGTAGAAATACCCCGTTTATCAAATAGACCACGTCTTGAGGATTTGCAATCCTTGCTTAGAGATGTCGTACTTCTGCCTTTTAGGCCGAAAGAAACTGATACCTTGGAAAATGTTGTCGACCTGGGTACTAAGTTTCGACAGGAACTTCAAGCATTCGCCCACAATCCATTCAGCTTGACGATGGCTGAAGTATTGTTAGCAAGGTTTTATCTTCGGAAAATGGAAGGAGCTGAAATTTTACTAGCTGATGAAACTAATTTATTTAGACAGAAGCTGCACGAATGCGTTCCTATCGCCCCAACACCGCCGCCCGTAATTGGAGAATCAAAGTCTACCCGTAAACCGAGACCAACAAAACGTCAGCGTCAGATAATGAAGCAAGTCGCTGAGGGTTTACTTCCGGAATCGGCGATTTCACCTGCTAATGCGCAAAATGATAAAAAAGCAACTATGAACAATAATGGAACCGCAGTGAGTAAAGCGGACAGTCCCCAAAGTGACACGAAAACAAGCCATGAAAACGGACAGTCAAATACGGCATTGTTGAAAGAATTCAAGTTAACTCCAACAGCTGAATTGAATGGTAATTCGAACTTATGTGCCCATTGTCAAAAGCCAGTGAACGAAGCAAGCTTCACTGTGTGTTCGAGGTGTAATAAAGAATATCATAATGAATGTACTGGAGAGATACCAAATAACTCTGGATACAAGCCTTTCATATGTCACAGTTGTAAACGCGCTTCAGAAGAAACTCCGGCGTTACATAGTAAATTGCGAAATGGAATTCATGCCAAAGATGCAGAAGTTATGGAAAAGGATGATAGCATGATTAGGCCAAGCTTATCTAGTTCGCCGTTGGCAACAATCTCTGAATATTCACATGTAATGAAAACTCCGGGAGGCATGCAGGACATGCTAATTGCTCGAAATTTATCCTGCGGTGAACACGTTTTTTTTGGTACAGACGTCTTTACATCTTTAGGAGATATGGTAACGGGAACACCAAACGCTACTTTTGATGAATTTGTTGAAAAAAATGATGGCTTAACGGAAAGCTATTTAAATATGTAAAATTAGCACTCTTTAATTAATGTCGTTTAGTTTGTATAATATATATTTTTTTTATTTGAAATTTTTAGTTTTCATACAAAAACTATGAACCTATGTAGTTAATTTTAGTTTGATACGCGTATATTGAGCAAGATTGTCTATTAAATTTGAAAGAATCTGTTTTGTAAATTCTGTAGAACTTGTGACGCCGGTGAAGCTTGAGGTTCTTCACGAATTTCAAACAATGTAACGGCTGTACCTGACCAAGGAGATAAAGCAACCGGAGCATTACTGGAGCATTGTCTTAATATAATCCTCCATAAGTTAAAGTAAATCCAATCTTGAATGTTTGTAGTATACTCAACATAGCAGGGCTCAACCTCAAGACTTCGAAGGTTTAGTGGATCCATCAAAACAGATTTTCCATTTTCTGATGATATCAAATCCCTTAGCAACGGGATTTTGGACTCAGCAAACCATGCGAGATACTAACCATTTAGTATAAGGTAACAATATACTTTACTTACCCAGTTCAAATCCGAATCTGTGAAATTAGAATGGACTGATTTATAGCTTTGCAAAGAATCCTTGAAGTCCTTTTTTGAGCATTGCAGTAACGGTCCGAAGCGATTTGAGTTCTCTTTCAAAAAATTGATCAATAGATAGTTTTCTAAATATAGAAAGGTGAGTATAAGCAAGTATAGAGAATAATATATAAATCTTTAACCTTACCATCTAAGTTTTTTGATATCGTCATAATCAAACCCGAAAGAAGCTGTTTTAATAAAATTGCATTGGATTTTTTCGTGAGCAGAACATTAGGCTCAAGGTAATGACTGATAAGAGTTACAAGATGCTCCAAAACCATTAGAGGTAAATTCGAAATATTCAGCAAGACGTTAGAAAGTATAAGTCCAGCTAGATGTTGAGAATGACGACCATTATTTATATGTATGGCCAAAGTCTATTTCTTGGATTAGTATCGATTGCAAAATATGTTGACGAAGGTCGTACCAATAAAATATAATTTGTTATGTTTAGTTCATAAATTGGTAACTTTTGAGAAGATAGAGGAAGCATGGATGAAGCGTTGCATTTAGCAAAGGATTCGACTAATTCTTTTTTACTCAGAATTTGCTGTAAACTGTATCCAGCAATTTGAGAAATGAATCCGATATTTGCGTCTTCACTAGAGTCATAATTAATGAAGATGTATAGAAGCGATGATATCAATTCATTGAGAAATGGAAGTTTTTCAAGTTCGTTAGCAAACCGAAAATGGTTGGTGAGAAGTATGAAGAAGAAGATTAATGCTTCCTCCAAGTTTTGGCTGGTATTTTGAAAGAGTGAAATTAAGCTTGAAGAATGCTTTAGCGGGAGCGATATGGTTTTGAAAAGAGACGCGGCTAATAATTGAAGGTCTTCTGAACGATGAAGCTTTCTCAAGATATCTAAGACGGTATTGGTAGAGACGGTTTTTGGTTTTGGGATAGAAATGAGTTGCAGCAAAAATAAAGCCGAATATCTTCTTAGTACATTTGAGGATTGACTTAGCACACTGGGTAACCAGGAGGAAGAATTAATAAATGCGATATTGATGAGAGAGCATATCAATCTTATATTTGTCTTTCGATTGTTTATAGCAAGCAGATGCTCTAAAACACTTGCATCCATTTGTCCCTGAGATTGATAAAGGGGTTCAGATATAAGGACCATGAGAAAACGAAGGAGAGTTAACTGATGATGTTGATGATCATAGGAAGGAGGGTGTTCTAATTTTTGGAATACAAGACCTGAAGACCATATCTTTTCTCCATCGGAGCTCATTATAGAAAGACATAAACCGGGCAAGAAACAGATTTGAAGAACCGAGTTTAAGAGGGTAGAAAGAAGACATGTCTCGGTGGGTAATTCAAAGTCCGGATAGAAGCTTGAAATATCTAATTGCGATTGCATACTCCTAAAAGCATCGGTTGGAGAAGAAAACAAGTAAGCACGAATCCACGAGTTGGATTTCTTCGATTCGTACAAATGAGGAATCAATCTTGTCAAGATTTGAACGCTATTTAAAACGGATGACTTCTTCGTTTCAATATAATTTCTTTTCTTTGCATTCTTTTCATAATAGATAATGTTCCAGAGACAAATTTGGACCAACAATGTCAGTTGTGAGAATTCTTCACCTTGGCAAAATTGTTGAATCTCCTTGGGGAAGATTAGTGAAAATACATCGCTATCATTAATCAAAGAGTTAAAAATCTAAAAGACAATGTGTGAGTAAACCAATACGCTTCTTTCAAGGAACTTACATGCTGGTATTCTTCTGGTTTTGCTGGTTTTTTAAGCAATGTTAACAGGGAGTTTCTGAATGATATTCTACAGAAAACGGTCAGAATCCATGAAACTTGAAGAAATTTTGGTTTCTAAGGGAATATCTCGTTTTTCTCTTACATACTTTGACTCTGCTACTCCCATAGTAAATAAATATAGCCAAGTTCACAAGGCATCAACCTTAAGATGAAAAACTGTTTAAATAAGAAAGGAAATCCGTAGATTGGCAAACAAATTGCTTAGTGTTGTTTTTGGTAGGAACTTCTGCGGATGACGAAAATAGAATTTGAAAGACGGTACTATGTTTGGAATTGCTACAGGAACAAATCGCCAAGGCAAAAGGTTATTTGTTTACAGAAGATCATTTCCCATATATGCTTTCCTCATTAAGTATATACATTTAGAAAAAAATAAATTGAATAAAAATGGTTTATAATAAAAAAGAATAACCTCTTGGCTGGTGGTTTCGAGCAAAAACCCAAGAATGAAGGAGTATTTCCATACAATTTGAAGATAACAAAGGTGGTATTCTTTACGAAAACGAAAGAATCATATAGGAAAACAATAAAAAAAATAGTTTTTTTTTTTATCTATTTTTCATTTGTATGCTACCGACTGTTGTGGATTTTATTTTATTTTATTTTATTTATTTGTTTGTTTGTTTGTTTGTTTGTTTATTTTATTTCTTCATAATCGTTACTGAGCACGTAATACATCAATCAGAAGGCTTTAAATTTTGAGTTATCTGGTCCCGCCAAATCCTCTGCCAACCACAAACCGCACACCCGTGCAAAGAAACTGATTCGTTCGTTTAGACATTGGACTAATTTTTGGTGCGCTTGAAATTTTTTCAGAAAAGAATCTGTGTAAGAGAGTGTCTATTGTAAACGAATCCTCCAAAACACATTTAAACACTTCAAACTTACCATAGTTCTGTCCTACATTAGAAGACTGATCTACTTGAAAAGACATCCATTATGTTGGCCGTTCAAAATAAGCTATGTGCTCGATCGGTTGTGAGGTCGATGTCTGTTCAATCTCCAGTCGTTATAGCGTTAAATGGTTTTCAAAGACGACATTTCCGACTTTTGCAAAAGAAAAATCACTCGGATTCCCTAGAAAACAGCACGGCTCCTCGTAAGCCTGTGTCTCAGAACCTTGGTAAGGTTTCGCTTTTGACTTCTTTAAAAGAGAAAGCAAATTTTATAGTTGGCAGCAATCGTACCGCTTCAAATAGTACGCTAGTAGCCTCTTCCATGATATGGCCTCACAATCTTTTACAAAGCCTCGTTCAGTCGATACACGTTTGGTCTGGTATGCCTTGGTGGGCTTCCATCGCCGCAACGGCTATTGGAATGCGTTTAACTATGCTTCCTCTGATGATTAAGATGATGCGAACTTCTTCTAAGCTCGCAGTTATCAACCCTCAAGTTTCTCAACACATGGTTGCTTTGCAAAAGGCCAAGGCGGAAAACAACAGTACTGGTATGTCGGAAGCGACCACTAGAATTCAAGAACTTTATCGTTCCAACAATGTCAATCCTTTGAGTCTTCTTACTGCTCCCGTGGTGCAAGGTATTGTCTTTATAAGTTTCTTTTATGCTTTGAAATGTATGGCCGGTGTCCCTGTCGAAGGCTTCCTAGAAGGTGGATTTTTGTGGGTGCAAGATTTAACCAAAGCTGACCCTTATGCGGTTTTCCCAATTTTGAACGGACTTTTAATGCTTTTCAATATCGAAGCTGGTAGTGAAACTGGCACCAACAAAGCAGCCATGGCACCAGGAATGAAGCGCTTCTTCAGATTACTATGTGCCGCCAGTCCTGTCTTTACTATGAGTTTCCCAATGGCCATTTTTATGTATTGGGTTCCCAGTAACGTCTTTAGTGTTTTCCAAGGCCTCTTGTTGAAAAACCAATCTTTGCGAAACAAATTGGATCTTCCAGAAGTGCCCGCTGCCGATAAGCTGGCCGCTCCTCCTCAAAACGAATCTTTCCTTCGATCCTTCACCGGCATCATAAATGGGGTTCGTGAACAAAAGAAGTATCCCGAAGCATCTGATATCCTGAAGCCTTTCCATAAAGTGAATGACCAAGAGCCGAACCCTACCCAACAACGCACTTATAATAACCCGGCTTCCAAATCCCCTACCGATACTTCTTCCAATCTTTAAATGAACAATGTTTATTTTTCTCGTGAATTTGCATTCATACCACTTTACCATTTTAATATATCTACAAGCATCTCTTTTCCCCCAAGATATCTCTTCATACATTACGATGACTGGCATGAAATGCCTGAAAGTATATATTGCTGACTTACGGAGACTGTTTTCTCTACAACATACGAATTTCTTCTTTCTTTCTCATTTGCCATGATTACTCATTTGAATAATACTTTTTGTTTTATTTTCATTTAAGTCAATTTTGTGAAAGGTAACCATAAAATATGCAACGAATATAATACCATTATGCACACAAATAAAACGCTCGAAATGTTGCCAAGAACGGGATGGATTTTTTTTTTTAAAAAAAGGCCCAATTTGTAATAGAATCCTCGCTTCTTTTTCATAGTAAAAGTTCTAATCTCATACGGTATTGCTTATCCAAAAGGATACTATTTAGATCAAAGCATTTACTCATTGCTGATTTATGTAAATTTGGAAGACTGGAAGCTAATAAAATGAAATAAAATACATAAACTAAAAGTAAATATAAAAAAAAGCCTACTAGCTTCAAAAACAAATCAATACACGCACTACATCGTATTATGACTTTGATCTTTTGCTCACACTAAAAAACCCATTTTCTTTATAGGTTTCCATGTTATGGCTATCTTCGTTTAATTTTTACAGTAAAGAGTTAGCCTTCATTCATATTACTTTTTTTGTTCGTGTGAATTATTCTCCATCTTTTATTTACTCTATTTGTTTACTTTACATGCGAAAATTAAATTCATTTCTTCTACCTTGTTACACAAACCGGGAATAGAACTCTCACTACACTATAATAAAGCAAATAGTGTAAAACTCATATAGTATTTTACGCAACGTGGTATTCATCCTAATTCTCTGTAAGAAGTTCACTCCATCGCGCTTTTTCTTGAATTGTTGCTTTAAGCCATAATTTTGATTTTCCCTTTTCCAATATCAGATATTTTGCAAAGTAAATAGTATTTGTTATCATGTCTGGGGATTCAAACAACTCAGAAGATCCAATATTGCGAGCCATTCGTCAAAAGAACAAAGGTCCAGTTCACGATTTTACAATATTTGTTCAAGAAGATGGCAGCAGTGTAAGCACTCAAGACCGAATTGTGAAGCGTATGTATTAAAATCAACATAATATCATTTATATCTAAATATCTAAGTTTCGAATTGTTAACGATTGCAGATGTTCAAGCTCCTGCTGCGTATATACCTACGGACTCTGAATTTTTTGACAACAATGAACCAGGAAAACCCGATTTACAATTTCTGCGTAACCATTTTATTCGTGAAGGAAGATTGTCTGAAGAACAATGCTTATATATCATAAAGCATGCAACAGAGATTCTCAGGTCAGAAGAGAACTTGATTGAAGTTGATGCACCTATAACAGGTATGTCCAGATTTTATTGAGATTTATTTTGTAAGATGCCTCATTTTGAGTAACCTTTCAAAAATTGACTTTTTCTATTTTAGAGTGTGGACTAACAATGAGCAGTTTGCGGTGATATCCATGGTCAATACTATGACCTTATGAAGCTTTTTGAAGTCGGTGGGAACCCAGAAAATACTCAATATCTTTTCCTGGGTGACTATGTTGATCGTGGCTATTATTCTATTGAATGTCTCCTATTCCTTTATTCCTTAAAAATATGGTACCCCAACAGTTTTTGGCTACTTCGAGGTAACCATGAATGCGCTCATTTGACTGATTATTTCACTTTTAAGCTTGAATGCACCCATAAGTACAACGTCAACATATACCAGGCATGCTTGGAGTCCTTTAATGCACTCCCTCTCGCTGCAATCATGAATAAACAGTTTCTTTGCGTTCATGGAGGTCTTTCTCCCGAGTTGCATACCCTAAATGATATTCGCATGATTAATCGTTTTTGTGAGCCTCCCACTCACGGCTTAATGTGCGATTTGCTATGGTCAGATCCTTTGGAAGAATTCGGCTCAGAGACTTCTAGCAAGCATTATATACACAACAATGTCCGTGGTTGCTCTTATTTTTATAGTTATCCTGCAGTGTGCTCGTTTCTTGAAAACAACAATCTGCTATCGGTGATTCGGGCTCACGAAGCTCAAGACGTAGGATACCGTATGTACAGAAAAACAAAGTCTACTGGATTTCCTTCACTAATGACTATTTTTTCTGCTCCGAATTATTTGGATGTGTACAATAACAAAGCCGCCGTCCTTAAATATGAAAATAATATCATGAATATCCGACAATTTAATTGTTCACCTCATCCTTATTGGCTTCCTAACTTTATGAATGTGTTTACTTGGAGTTTACCCTTTGTCGGGGAAAAAGTTACTGAGATGCTGATATCAATGTTGAACATCTGTTCAAAAGAAGAGCTTTATGACAATCCTTCAGACGAGGAGGAAGTTGCATTACCTCCCAGTCACGATGCTGGAAAATCAGACACAGAGCTCGACCTTGAAGCCCGGAGACAAATCATTAAAAGCAAGATTATGGCGATCGGAAGAATTTCTCGCGTTTTTAGTGTTCTTCGTGAAGAACGCGAAAGTGTTTCTGAACTTAAAAATATGTCTGAAAATAAACGGTTGCCCGCTGGTACTTTGATGCTTGGTGCAGAGGGTATTAAGAATGCTATTAATTCTTTTGATGATGCTCGTAAATTAGATCTCGAAAACGAACGCCTTCCTCCTTCCAATAGCCGCCGTCATTCTATGGAAATCAAATCATTGGAAGATGTTATAAATTCGTCTGACAATGAGAATTTTATTACGAATGAAAAGTCTTGAAATTTTGTTACTGATTCCTTGTGTTTATTTCGTGATAATTATGTCCTAAAGGCTAAATTGAAACGAAACTTACTTTTAATGAAAATAAACGATAGAAATAACTAATGAGAAGTTGCCGCAACATTAGTGAGATGTGGTTTATGATAGTGAGCATAGTATTGTCAGCTAATGTATATTGTACAGTTTACCAATCTTTAAAAAGTGATAATTTTCTATTTTTAATTATATTTTTTTATAAACTTATTAACATACAGAATTAAAGGGCTAAACAGATGAGAAGCTAGCAAACACCAATTCATATCCAGGGAAGTCGTAAACTATGAATTCCTCCCGTTTATACGATTCAAAATGTTTTAACTTTTCATATAGCTGCTTTTCATGAGCAGATCCTTTAGCCTGAAACAGAGTGAGACAGAAATTACCTGCTCCAAAAGTATTGACAGCCTTTTCAATAGTTTTCACGGTAGAGCGACCAAACTGAGATTTAGATACGTTTGTTTCAAAAGAAGCATAAGAGCAATGATCTTGAGGTGTTACATGAATTGTAGCGTAGCGGTCCTTATAGATCATGTTTGATGAGAAGCCAATAGGTTCAAACTGAAAACCGTCAAGTACAGCTTTTCCATCCTCAGTGCTGCACAAATCTTTAACTCCAGATAATTCAGCCACATATGCTCCAAGGATATGCCCCGTGGAAAGGACGGGTTGATCAGTGTTTTCTGGTTTCATATAGTCTTCACCCTTCGATTGGTGAACAACATCTAAAGAAGGTGCGTAAAATTGAAGAGAGCGTTCAGGAGACATGTTAGTCATTAGTACTTCTAAAGTTTCATCTTCCGGATCTAAAGAACTTTCGAACAAATCTGATTCATCAGCGACATCAGAGAATAAATACCAATGATTTTTGTTCGTAGGTCCAACAACATAAGAAGAGCCCTGAGGAAAAAAGCCTTGTAAATAACGAACTTCGTCTTCCCAGCTTGTATGAGGAGCAAGTTGGCGCTCAGGATATAAGAAGTTCTTGCGCGAATAAAATGTACGAAGAGGATGAGCAAATCCAATACTTGAAGCAATTTCCAATAAGCGCGGTAAACTAGCCAGTAGTGTTGTAGTTCCGCAAGTCTTTAAAATAATTTTATGAGGGAAAACGAACATAGAAGACTCAGATAATAAGTATGCATCAACCTCATTGCTGGAAACTACGCTAAGCACCTTGCATTGTGCACGGCTTAACATATCATCCCATAACTCACGACCTACACTTTTCAGTCCAACCTTTGTATTTCCATTCTCAATGTCGGAATTGAGAGGAGCTGAAAACCAAAGCTCAAGCAATTTTTCGGGCCCTTCAAAGGAGAAGGAATTGAATTCCTGAGCATTTTCTTGATCTACAACAAGAATTGGCGACATCTTAAAGACCAATTTTCAAACACAGAAAAGCTTTCTAAACCAAATGTTCCAATGTTTTTCACTTGGTTGACACTCGACACGTACTAGCTAGTTACTTGCTGCAAGGTTATTGGGATCCTTGCTTAACTCGAAAGCATGCAAAAAGCGAAAATACCTAAATAAACAAAGACCTTCAATGGGTAACGCTCACTTTGACAAGAACGAAGTTGAAAAAGGATAAGAATTTGTGAGTAACATTTACAACTAAGTTATCAGTAACCCTACCCTACTTTTTGTATCGTCTTCAAATTTTAGTATGATCTTACAAACTCAGTTTAGATGAGAGCTAGCTGTCGCGATTTTATTAACTAAATATACAGAAATAATTGATCAAACTCCATTTAAACAAAAAGTAAACAAGATACTGGATGTTCCCTACCTTGTTTGTACAACTGAATTCCCATCCATAAATCGTACATGAAATAATCGATTAGCATTGGTAAACATTCCTTCTTTTAAACTGACGATAATAAATTGTGATCTAATTTTGGTTAGCTTTCAAGATACTAAGAGTAATTAAATGATTCCTACCCTTTAAACTTAGTTTTTATTAAGCGTCCAATATTTTGGGTATGACTCAAGTCTAGTGCCGCATCAATTTCATCAAGAATATACATAGGAGCGGGCTTATATTTCAACAATGACCTGAAATATTAGATTAGTTAAAGGTGAAATCAAGATTGAAAGAACTTAAACAAGAAACATACATAATAAGTGCCAAAGCAACCAAAGATCGTTGTCCACCACTAAGTTCAGCCAAACTGTCTTTCCATATTGAGCCAATTCGTACGCGGATTTCTAATCCACTAGTAAATTCTTTTCCTTCGGGTGGTTGAAGTTCAGCACTATTTCCGGGTAAAAGTTCGTCAAATATTTCGCCAAAAGCTGCGTTAACTTCAATCCAAGTTTTTTCCAAAGCCTGCTTTTTGAATTTATCAATGCTATAGACAGTTTCTTGGATTTTGCGCTTATCCCGGTGTATAGTTCTTATCATGGCTTTCAGTTTTGCTTCTCTCTTCTCAACTCCATCTATCATATCCATTACTTTTGGATTAATTGTCTTCCTCATACTGGCAAACTTGGGTTTTAAAGAAGCCAATTGTTCTTTACATTGTCGTATATTTTGAGCGCGAAAATCAAACATAGTAGCTTCTTGACCAAAAGTTTGTTTCCGATCTTGAATCCAGGAATGTTCCTTGTCTAATTGTCTCAATGCTACCTCTGCAACATTTTTTTCACGTTCCAACCGGTCATGCTCATGTTTAAGCTTTTGACTAAGTAGTTGTTGATCATTGACGGAAGAATCTATGACTTTTAGCTTAGTCTTTAAATTATTCAATTCGTTATTAATCCCAGAATACCGCCGAGTTTCCTGTTCAAGCTTTTCAGTCAGTGACTTACGACGTCTTTGTTCGTCATTCAAGTTTAATTCTAATTCGCTCAGTTCCTCTTTCAAATGAGAAATGCTAGTTTCAAAAGATGAAGCATTATCATTGAAGCGAAGTATTTCGGAGGTGAAGCTTTCCCGATCTAACTTGGCACTGTTTAGCTCATTTTCAACCTCCTCAACATCTTTGGTGCTGGAAAGCAGCTTCTCCTTTAACTTAGTCAACTCACTGTGAAGCTCAGTCATTTTCGAGCCTTTATTATTTTTCCACTCAAACATGTCTCTCTCGATTTTCTTTATTGATGTTTCGTTCTCTCGTATACGCTCATCGAGATTCGGCATTCTTTGGCGTAAAACGGAAAGCTCTTCTTTACAATTATGATATTCAATAAGAAGACGACATAAGGGATCGTTTACTTTTTGTTCCTCCATCAATGATAGCTCGTGTCGTTTCAGTTGAAGTTCTTGTTCAAGCCGATGAAATTGAGCATTCCCAGCAATGACTTGTCCCAGTTCATGCTTCAAAGTTGAATACTCATTTTCTATTTTCTTCAACTTTTCAGATACTTCTCGAAGTTTTTGTAATTGGAGGAGAGGACCGGCGGTTTTGTTTACCGACCCACCTGTCAATATACCAGAAGGGTCATAAACATCTCCATCGGTAGTCACACTTTTCAAACGAACGCTTGGATGAAACGTAACTTTCTTAGCAACATCTGGATCATCACAAATAAGACTAGCACCGAAGACATATTGCATGGCTGGTAACAGTTCATCTTCGTAACCAATTAACTCTAAAGCTAAAGAAGCTCGGTTGTTTGAAATATGTTTGGCAGCGCCGACGCGTTCCGAAGAGGCAACAAAGCTGGAAATTTTATTTAAAGGAATCATAGTTACACGTTTTTTTAGATTTCCATTTTGCAAGAGTTGTGCACCTACCCTTTCATTCTCAACGACGACATTGTATAAGCGACCACCTGCGGTAATCTCCAAAGCCGTTTGTTTATCATAATTCTCCTTACTGAGATTAAAAAGCTGTGCAATTAATCCCTTAACTTTTGAACGGTCAAATTTCGGAACAGGATCGGTGTACCTAAAGTCTAAGTACGCCAATCGACTATGAAGGGTATCAACTTCATCAGAAAGCTGTTCTCTTTCTTTACGTAGCTGATCTACATTTTGTCGCAAAATCTTTTCTTTTGTGGAATCCTGAACGCCACTTTCTAGGCGAGATTCTATTTTGGTTACATCTTGCTGCAATTGAGCAACTTGTTTCTCTATTTGCTGCTGGCGTTTATTTGCCTCTGTTCTTCTCGGTTCCAATTCAGAAATTCTTTTGGAAAGGTTTTTAAGCTTCATACGCTCAATCTCTTTTTCGGCATTCAACTGGTTTAATTCATCTCTAGCCTCATGTAGCTTTTTAGAGTATCCAATTTCGTGACCTTCGCTAGAAGAGAGACCAGTACTTAAAGAAGAAATTAATTCTTCTTGAGATTTGACAGCAGTCAAAGTTTGCTGATATTCCCGATTTTTTTGCTCATACAGTAAACGCGATTTTTCGAAATTTTTTTCTTTCTTGTCACGCAAGGAATCAGCTGCCGCACGCTTTTCTTTAAGACTTTTAAGATTCTTTATCTCTTCTTGCATAGAGGATTGCTTAATTTCTATTGATGTGCTAAGACGGGTAATTTTCTCAGTTGCTGCCTGTAGTTGGTTATCCAAGGAAGCGTATTCCGACGAAGCACTCATCTGAGTAGAGCAAATTTTCTCTAAGTCCTTAATATGCTTCTCCAAAACCTTGATTTCCTCTTTAGATTTTGCGATGGAGGATTCAGTTTCAGCAATGCCATTTTGTTTTTGAAAAACTTGCTTCTCTAGATGCTCCAGCTTTATTGATAAATTATGATAATCAAAGGCTACGCAAATCTGGCTTAATCTTTCTATGTCATTGTACACCTGTTGATACTCCAAGAATGTTTTCTTCTCAGATCTTAATTTAGCAAGTCGAGGTTCGATTTCTTCACGCAATAGAGTATTAATCTCCTCAACTTTAGCTTCTTTTCTTTGCATTGTACGAAATGCCTTTTCTTTTCGCTCTTCAAACATCCTTGTTCCAGAAGCCTCCTCAATCATAGACAGAATTTCAGTAGACTTCATGTTTAACACTTTCGTAATCCGTCCTTGCATAATTAAAAAGTTTGGGTTATTAATATTTAACTGAACGGATTGAAACAAATTTTGCACATTTTGCTGTAGAGCACGATGGCCATTGATTAAATATTTGCTTGTACCACCCATAATAACCTGTCTGGTAACGCTGACCTGGGGATGATCCTCGAAACCGATGGGACATGCGGATGCATTTCGGTTATTGAACACAATTGTTACGCTTGCTTTTGTTATACCAGCTTGACCTCGTTTATAAATAAGATCCTGCAAATTCTGAGCACGAACAGTGCTCATATTTGTCAATCCAAGGACAAAGCAAATGGCATCCAAAATATTGCTTTTACCCGAACCATTAAGTCCCGTAATGGCATTAAATTGATCATCCCAATTGCTAATTACGGTTCGCACCGCATATGACTTGAATCCATCAATAATAAGTTCTTCAATTTTCATTTCTGTGATATTCTAATAATCTTCAACAGAATTATTATATTTAAGTTGGGCCATCCCCAAAAAGAACGATTGCAGTTTATTGTTTACGTTTCGCGTCTGTTTGGAGGTAGTGAATTTGCTACTAATCCAGAACGAAGATGTGAGTATCAAGTGGGGGTACCCCACTTAGATCTTCCCAGCAAGCCTGATGTACTCCTATACGGAGAACAGCGTTTCTATGTAATTCATTTTACAAGTTAAGTTATAATCAATTTTTAAGGTTGTATAAATCATTACTGCGGCGGAACATTTTTTTTGGAATCATTGCTACGAAAAGAATCCACTACAGACAAGGAAGAAACACTGGTGCTTCATAGAAATTTACACAAATGGGGCAATCTGGATCTTTACCGAGTCAGAATAATGATAGAGAAGCATTGAGAGGAAGGATTCAAGAAATTGAAGGAAATAACGAAAATGAAAGAGTGCGTGATTCACGATCTCGAAACTTATGGGACCGATTGTCTTCGGTAACTCATATGCTGGGTTGGAATCGAGAAAAGCGCCGTCCTGATTTACGAGATGAACGAAGAGACAATACATCGATTGTAGAAAATAATCACCGACAGAATCGATTACGGACTAATTCGATGAACGATCGCCGACAAAGGCGTCCATCGATACGATCCTTAAGTCCTAGAGCTGCCTCAAGTTTAACACGACCAAGAGAAAGTTTAGAGCATAATTTACAGGATAGAGATACTCATCGATTATCGGCTTTTCAATTAGCTCAACGGGAGTTTGAACGTGCGGAGAGGCAATTCCGCTCAAGTATAGCGGCTTTGCATGGATTTAGTCTAAACCAAGACAACCAAAGTACGAGAGAAGAAGGTCATTCTTCTCCAAACGTCGAAAGAAGTGCTACTAATCTGAATAATTTGACGGACAGTCATGAAACAAGCCATTCACATCATCATGGAGAATTAAGCGAACAATCTAATACTCATATAGACGATATTAATATGGAGAATTATACCAGAAGCGTTATGAATTATCTCAATATGCATGAAAACCAGCAAGAGCGAGCACCCGTGCAAAATGATGGTCAATTAGCCATGCTGTCGAGGTTCATATTCTCTGTGGCTTCCGGCTGGGTGACAGTCTTAATGAATTCTTCTACTGCTCATAGAGAGAGTCCATTGCAAACACCGTTAACTTCAGAAGAAAGACCAAATTCTGGAAATGAGTCGTTTGAAGAATTTCTTACTCTGTTGCGTTCGGGTCAATTGATGGAAGCGATGCACCCCGAAAACAATACTCATCAAGACGAAATGGACGAAGATGTATCGTCAATCAATTTATTTCGAACTTTTCGATTTGATTCACTTCACAGGAACCACGAGGGTCAAATAGTTATCCCAATCATTATTGTCGGAATCCGTAGCTTACGATCGAACACAAACGAGGAAGATGATGGACAAGGTCAAGAAGCTCAAAACCTAATGCATCCTTCAGATTTCCTTTCTTCTTTGGCCAATGATTCTCAAAATTTGTCATCTCTATCGGAACAGTCAAATGATTCTCAAAATTTGTCATCTCTATCGGAACAGTCAAATGATTCTGAAAATGTCAGAAATGAACAAGAAACTTCACAAGAATGTGCACCGACAGATTCACCAGCTGCTTCCAATCAGCAAGGTGTACCTGTTTCATCTTTGGATGATTCCGACAACCACAGCCATGTATCGGCGGAGCATGCACAGCCTAGAAGCTGGGCGATTTATGTTCGGGAGGCTTTTCTTCCAGAAAACCATCCAGTTTTGCGTGCTCCATCGTTGTTTACGGATACACCTACGTATGAGGATATGTTGCTTTTGAATTCGATCATTGGAAGTGTCAAACCTCCGGTTGCGGCGCAAAAAGACCTTGACCGAGCAGGAGGAATTTTTTCTATGATGGAGCCGAATGACAGATGCTTGGTTTGTTTATCAGATTATGAGCAAGGAGACGAATGCCGTCGCTTGTTGAGCTGTGAACACTTTTTCCATCGAGAATGTATTGATAAATGGTTGCTTTCGAGCCAAAACTCCTGTCCTCTTTGCAGAGCCAAAGGAGTTGCATCAGACGCGGTCGCCTTTTAATTACTATGGAAAAATTTGCATAGAGAATATTTCATAAATAGAAACGGCGCAAATAAAGAAGATGCTGAAGATGCCTGTATAATATAATAATGATGACTTGTTGAAAAGCATACAACAGAAGAAAGAAAGAGAGAGAGGGGCATAAAAAGATTTCTTTAAAATGACTGACTATCTTTCTATACTAAAATTATATCTTGACGAAAGGAAAAAGAAAAGTATAAGCAACAGATACTTGTAAGTATGCTACTTTGCAAAAGCTATTAGGAGATGATTATATATAATAAACAGTTTATTTTCTGCCAAATGGTTTCACCGGAGGGGAAGATTGGTAAGAAAGAAGGATAGAAAGGACCGTAAAAAAAGAAGAAAATTAAATAACTAAAAAAAGAAAGAATCAAAAGAAAATCGAGCATGGTAACATTGTAAGAATTCCTCTAAGATGATAAAGCGATAGGGAAGGGGAATGCACGATGGAAGAAGGAAGTAGGGACGAGTGCAAGGAAAGGTTTGCTATCCCCCTCTCTCTCTTTTCGATTCAGAATTGGTTCGCAATGGTCCCTTTTGTAAGAGAAATGGGAATGGATGAAAGAGCTAACAAATATTTAGTTTTTCAATAAGCCTTTGTACCGGGTTCAACCCCATGTGTCCTTCATAACACCGGAAAGAACCGCAAAGACGTATGTTTAAGATGAAGAATGGAAGAAAGGAAACCCAAAAATAAAGAAAATAAAGAAACTAACTAGAATAGGATTCCAGCTGTTTCTCGATGGACCTTGGCTGCTGGTGCTGCAGGTAGGAAGAAGCGAAGCCGTCTTGAGATTTGCAAGAAATGAGTGTATTAACGGATGATATAGTATTCTTGTTTGCCATGCAAGTTCCCAAGGTGAAAACCACGATTTTACAGGTAAGAAAACGAGGATGGACGAAGAGGATGGAATGAGAGCTAACATATACAAATTAGCCAATTGCTTTCCTTGGAGACCACTTCAAGGACAAGACTCCTGAAGAAGACAAGTGGTTGTAAGCTACCATGGAAGCATGGAGTGATCTTGGCCTTGTTTGTCTGTTTATTTTCAAAGGCAATGAGATTTTTTCTTTACTAAAATCATAATTATTACGGTAGGGTTGATGTGTGTAGAGAGAGCAAGACAAACAGAGTGCGTGCGTGCGTGTGTAGTGCAAAGTAAAGCCTGAACACAGTAGAGGATGGAAGGATGAATTGAATTTTCGCGGGTGACAAATGAATGAAGGGTGGAGACGATTTACTACTGGACAGAGAAAGATAAAGAGAGTGAGAAAGAAAGACGTAGACGAGGGGGATATTTGAAACGATTTGGAATCAATTTTATAAAACAACAAACAAACGAGATGAAACGAATGCGTTGGTCTATTATTATATAATATCCATCTATCTATTTTCTATTCAGTGAAAACAAGGAACCGAGAGTCGTCGTCGCTTCTTTGATACCGAGCAAGACAGTCGATGTGCTTGCTTATTGTATAGTATCGTATTGGATTGACATGATACAAATTCACCCGAGAGATCGTTAAACAAGATTCATTCAAATAAAGCATTTATTTCATGAAAGCAATGCGAAGCAAAGCAAAGCAAACAAAGCAAAACGAAACAAAACAAAACAAGCAAGGGAAGAAAAAGAGACTCAAATAGACGACTTTTCGAGTCTGCAACCAAAAACATTTCATATAATGATGGCTTTCAAACAACGTTTCTTTTCCCATTTCATTTTTACCTAGTTGACATTCTTGACGAATCCATGTCACATCACACATCCACACTTCTTCCCTAACATCTACGTATGGAGGCTTTTCCAACCGAACATCTCTTTTCCCTTTACTCCCCTCCCCTTCCCTACCTCACTGCTTCTCTCGGCCTCTGCCTCTGCCTCCCTCTTCTTCTTTCCCTTAGAGAAAAAAGAGACCTACGTCGATGGCTTCGATGGCTTTGACTTTAAAATTTAAACTCTTGGTTTATTGTTTGTGTACCTCTGTATTCTTCATTTGATTGGTTACTTTCGAAAACAACGTTCATTCTTATCCGATCAAGGAGGCTTTGCTATAGGTGAACTAATGAACCTTAATTACATTTGACTTCGGGATCCTCATAATAAGTGGGAAACGTCAATCTCTCCACAATTCAAAGAACAAATCAGCTCGGTATTCTCCACTTATTCGACGTCACTCAATATACAAACCTTCATCATGATTACCTGCAACACCAATGAAGCGAATTGTCTTAGTTTCCAATTACCAATCCTGTTGAAAACAGTTTCTACGAATTGCGGCATTTGTGTCCATAATTCAACTTACCCCGCATGAGGCAGAAACCATCTTTTTTGTATACATCCACAGGAAAGCTTGTTCTCAGCACCTATATATGAATGCGTTGGCTTCAGTTTCCCACCTAAATATTCTCTCTCTCTCTCTCTCTCTCTCTCTCTTTATCCCACTCCGTTTGGTTCCGCTTTGTTCTTCTTGCCATCTTTTTCCCCCATCGTCAACTAGTGTGATTTTGACTTTTCTTTTCTGAATATAAATTTTGCTCGTATAGTGAAGACATTCTAGTGTTAAAAGTGCTCCAGGGAATTTTCTTGTGTCTTTGTTTCTGTTTATTTGTATATATATATATTTTTTTTTCTTCTTCTTCTTCTTCTGCAGCCCAATTATACCAAATAGGTAGGTCGTACAGGAAACAGAAGGAAAATAGCGTTTCCGAGCATTTCGGATCAAACAGAAACAAACGTAGGCAAGAAATTGGTACAGGTAAGAAACGAATAGTTAAGAGATTATACAAAAAAGGAATCCAGAAAAGTTTAAGGATTTCAATACGAAAAGAAACAACTAAACAAGATATAAATTTACTGAAAAAGAGACCTTTTTATTTGCATTTCATCCTTTCAGTCATAGTTCTATCAACTCTACGAGATTGGATCAGATTAGACACTTGGGAATTGGCGGCGACTCTTTTCTGCTTGTAGCCTTTTCTAGTTGTTTTGTGTTTGCGTCTGCGTCTGCGTCTGTGTGGTTTCAGTTTTGCTTTTGTGTACTGTTCTGTGCTTTCTTGGCTTGTCGATCCATGAAAGAGTGATTTCAAACTTGACTACTCTGGTATTTCAAACAGTCTTGTTTCTATTTCCAAAATATCTTTTCTTTCATATTCCGCTCGCCATTTCTTGTTTTGTTTCCTCATATCTTTGTTGATTTCTAATCTTTTGGTTTTGTGTGTGCAACAATTCTTACTGCTGTCACTACTATTCATTTCAGTAGTTTGTTTTCTTTTTTCATTGCTTTTCCTCAACTTTGTTTTTATTGGCAACCACTTGAGTCAACTGACTGGGTATTCATTCCCATCTGAGCTATATGCAACAACACTTGAAGCTTTGCCGTCCGTTCTCGAATGCTTTGCTGAGGTTTCGAATTTTCTATCATAAGAATATGAAAACGTTTACCTCCTGACCTTTTTCAAAATCTGCATATCTCTTGTTTGCTTACAATCATCTACTATTGACATTCCTCTCTTCCAATTTTACGGAATCGAATCATTTGAATCCCCTCTCGTTACCAAGTTTGAATCTAGTCTTTCTATTCCCCCCCCTCTCTCTCCCCTTGTTGTTTTGTTTAAAAAAGAAATTTTTTTGTCTTCTTTATTATACTCATTCCTCTCTCTCTTTCTCTTTCACACACACACACACTCTCTCTCTCACTCTCTCGCTCTTGTTTCCCAGAATTTTATCAATATGAAAACGTACGAGTGTCCCTATTGCAGACGGATTTTCCATCGTCAAGAGCATCAAGCTCGTCATATTCGAAGTCACACGGGCGAAAAACCTTTTGTTTGTTCTTACTTTGATTGCCGGAAACGATTCACTCGTCGCGATGAACTCATCCGACATGTTCGGACTCATTTACGAAAGGCCCTCGTTAATCCCGATGCTCTCTCCATCACCGTCGAAGACGCTCCCTCTCTTCCCTCCACCAACGAAGAATCTTCTTCCAATGCTCATGCTCATACCCCAGACGACTCAGATTCTAAAAAACCTTATGACCCGGTCCAAGCAGCTGTCGTTGCTTTATCAGTAGCATACGCAAAGCCAACCACTGTTTCTTTGACTTCTCAAGATGTTCAGATCCAGTCTCTTGGAGCTGCCCGTCCCCGAAGGAAATCCGCTTCCAATGCCTATTTACTTAACAAAAATGGTGGCTCTTTCCGTCGATTTTCCGTTTCCGATATTTTAAACAAGGGTACGACAGCAGGCTTTACCACTACATCTCCCGTTTGCTCTTCTCCGTCTTCAGGCTCTTCCGGTCCTTCCGCGAGTCCCCAAACCCGTTCTATCAAAAAAGAATCTCACGTTAATGATCATCCTTTCCTCTCTCGTCAAAGTAGAAGAAGGATCTCTGTCCCTTCCAAACTCCCCCCGTTTCTTTCCTCTTCGTCCGCTGCTCATTCAAATTCAATTTTCCCTTCTCCTCAATCTGCTCCTTCCAGCTCTTCCTGTCATTATCCTTATACTTCTATACCAATGGCTTCCTTTCAGCATCCACATCCACAACCCTCGCCGTCATCGTACGGCCACCCATCGATGACACCCATATCTCCTCCTTATGCCCAAGTGCCTCATACGGCTCCGAATCAAAGCTCTTTGACTCCGTATCATGCTCAGCCAATATTCATAGCACCTTCCCGAGAGTTTTCCATGCATCCCCCACCTAATACTGCTACTGACAAACTTCCTCATTATCCCGTTTCCCAAGAGGTCTACATGGGTCTTTCTAATGAAAGCACTCAACCTCTTTCAGCAAGACCATCCGCCACCGAACAAGGTCCCTTTTTATCGTACAATTATAGCGTAGCTTCTCAGTCTAGGCATCCATTTCCCGATCAGCGTCCTTCGTTGAAAGCCCTGCCAACCCTAGAGCCTCCCTCAAATTCGAGCAATACAATGGCTTTACCCACTTGTTCTTTGCAAACGTTGTTTCAAAACGATTAAGCAAACCTCCCTCCGAATTTTTCATGCTTGGCTTTTTTTTTGGAATGAAAAAAGAAAAATTTATTTCTTATAATTGATCTTTTTATCCTTTTTTCCAAGACAGGGAATAGAGAAAATGCTTCGCTTAGCGTTTGTTATTTTTAACCGAAAATCGTATTTCCATATTGTTTATGTCTTTTCATATTGTTACCTTTCTGACGTTATGTTCTTCTACTAGGTAGTATGGAACTTTGCTTCATCCACGCTTCATCCATTTTTTTAATTGACTTTTCGATAATATTTCTGAGCAATTCAGTTGGTTCCTCTCATTCATCCTTGATCTACCAGTACATCAGATTTTGATTTTTGACCTCTCTTAATCTTCTTATTTTGCGTTTCTTTTTTATTTTTTATCTTTCTATGTTCTTTCGGCGTCTTGAGTTGTTTTCTCTTTTTTAATTGAAGTCTTAATTTTTCTATTATTCTCTAACTTTGTTCACATTTAAGCGTCCTTTGCATTGTTCTTCAGCGGAGTTTCGATCTTTGTTTACGTTGCGTCTGTGGTCGACTCTTGAATTTCGTATAACTCATTTACGCTCTTTTCTTTATTTCTCGCGGCAATAAAACTAAATTTTATAAACATTTGGTTCTATTATCGCTTTTTTCTTTTTTTCATTACTTTGGTCATTAGATCCCCCTCTCACTTCTTTTATCTTTAATATAATTTATTGCGGTTTTACACGGTTTGAAGTATAAATATAAAATAGTAAATATTTTTGCTTTTTGGTCGACTTCTACTGGTTATCAACCGTAACAGTATCCCCTCCTAATATCTAAAAACTTCTTCTTTTTGTCTATCACGAGTTTCGATTCTTTTATTCTAAACACTGTCGCTATGAATCTTTCTTTAAAAGCCAGTACCATTCGAAAATGCCCCAGAAAAAGTATATTTTCCTCCTGTTCGGTATTTCCCATGAAAGTCATTTTCAGTAATCAAAATTTCCAGAGCTTTTCTGCTTTTGGTCGTCCGTATTCTCTTTTATGTAAGCCCCTAACTACGAGAAATGTAGCATGTCCCTCTAAACAGAAATGGCATCAGCCAGTTGATATCGGGGAAAGGCCAAGCTTTTTCATTACCGATTTATCATCATCTATTAGCAAGTTGCCAGCACGTCGGTACTTTTCTTCATCATCTCACATAAAAGGACTACCGAACCGCAAAACAAATTTCTTGTTCCCCTCTCTTAGTGAGCATCGGTCAGGTTCAGAGGTTGCGAAAACTATAGCGATTCTGGTGTGCATAACAAATGGTCTTGTCTTTTGGTTATGGGATCTCGCAAAAGATGACGCAAGGACCTTGCACGACTTCAAAAGACTCGATTGGATGTTAAGAAATACACAATGTTCTTTGCAGAACCTGTACGATGGAAGGTGGTGGACGTTAATAACTAGTCTTTTTTCGCACCAGAACTTAACTCATCTTCTTGTCAATTGCTTCGCCATCTATTCCTTTATGCCTTTAATTGTTCACAGATTTGGTATTTTACGATCGTTTTCGGTGTACTTTTTGTCTGGCATTATGGGAAATTTTGTTGTTTTGGAAAGATTATTGAGGAAAGATGAAGTAGCTTCATCAAAAGGCTCTTTGCATGTTTGGGATGTTCTTTTTAATAAGGAAAGCTTCTCCGAAACGCAAAGCTGGCTAGCATATATTAAAAATAAGTTCTCGCTGTCATCATTTGAGGCTGAAAAAAACATACATACATTGTCTTCAAGTTGGAGAAAAGGAGTACTCGGAGCTTCAGGTTCTGTTTATGGTATTATGGCACTGTTCGCTTGTACTTATCCGTTGACTCAATTTCTGTTGTTTTTTATTATTCCTGCACAAGCATCAACTATCCTACCTTTGGATTTTCTGGTTGAATCCCTTCTTCTAACTCAAAATTATGACGAAACGACGGGCATAGCTTTCGATGCCCATGTTACAGGAATGATCTTGGGTACACTCTCATCCTTTTTATTAATTCCAAAAGTTTGGCGCTCTAGATTTATATATAGAAAAGGCTTGTAAGCATGTACTTTCACTTACGAAATAGCATTATTTTCTTAGAGGCATTTTTTATTAAAACCGACTTCACCGACTTATCTACTTGAAAGGAAAATTGCCGTTCCTTTATATATATAGTATACTGTATTTATACCTATTTCATAATGACCGCACTTTCTTTTCTAGGTAAATTATACAACCCACCAGTGTCCAAAATACTTTAAGGCTTTGGTTATCCAAACATTTTCTGGAATCTGACTGTTCTGCTTATCATCCCCATTCCTATGACTTATTAATACCCGTAGCATTTTTATTTACCTATATTAAGACATCTTAAGAGTACTGTATTAGTTGTCATTAAAAACCTGTTATAAAATTCGTTACAAGATAAGAATATAGCCATTAAGGCTTCATACAATCGCCAGGTTGAGATGTAATATCACAAGTATGAAGTGAAGGAAAAACAGGGAATTTTAATATAATCCAAAGCCCAACTGGTTGGCAATCTTGTAAATCAACGTTAAGGTCATGATGAGAAATTATGCATGCAATTCAACTGTAAGCTTCTTGGATATTCTTTTCATAGTATCGTTGAATGGTTTGTCTTTTCACTTTTCGAGAAGCAGTTAAGAAATCATTCTCAGGGCTCCATTCAAAGTCGCTAAGGATAACAGCCTGTGGAAGCTCTATCGAAGCGAAATTCTGACCTTTTCCGATTGATATAAGATTAGTCAATATTATGTTATAGACCTCTTTATTTTGGCACAATTGACTAAAAGTAGCATCTGGATCACCATTAAAAGAGCTTCCTTTTTGCTTCTGTAGGTAGGCCCGAAGGGCTTTTTCATCAGGGTATACAATGACGACTGGCTTGGTATGATTCACATCAGCATATGCGCATACTGCAGACACAAGCGGACTTGTGAGATACTGCGTTTCAATCTTTTCTAATGCGATGTATTCACCGTTCAAAGACTTTACTATATTCTTTTTGCGATCAATTAATCGAAGAGTATTACCCTTAACCAACTCCCCAACATCACCAGTTTTGAACCATCCATCTTCAGTAAAAGAGGAGGCGTTATCATCTGGACGATTAAGATAACCGTTACAGACAGCAGGTCCCCGAATCCAGACTTCACCTCTTGGAGGGTTCCCATTAGAGTAGTAATCCAATTCCGGAATGTCTACAAGTTTAAATTCGATAGAAGGGATTGGAAATCCTACCGAATTTGCGTACAGATGCCACTGTTCAGGTGATAAGACAAAACTTCCAGCACAACTTTCTGTAAGGCCATATCCGGGAAGGACAGGGCAAAGCGTAGTACTTAAGAAGGCCTGCGTAGTAGCAGCAAGGGCGGCACCTCCCGCAATACAATAACGAAGGCGTCCGCCAGTTGCGGCCTTTACTTTATTGAAAACAACGGCATCTAAACTAGCAATACCTGGAAGATTATGTTTAAGTAAATATTGCTTTAAAGCAAGGGCACCAGAGAAGATTTTTTGACGATGGATGGGCATAGAAGAAACCTTTGTAAGGATACCTTTTTTAATTAGTTCATAGACGGCGGGTACACCAATAATGACAGTAGGACGGAATTCTGGCATATCACCTCTACAATTGGTGACACTTGCATCTGTAAGCGTTCTGGGGGAAGCATATCCTAAAACAGCACCCCAGTAGAAGCAACACATTTCAAATATGAATTCAAATATATGGGCTAAAGGAAGATAAGCCAATACATAGTCTTTTGCATTGATATGTTGAGCCAAAATTCGGTTGATGCCACCCAAGGCAGCAATAATGTTCCGGTGTAGAAGGATAACACCTTTTGGCTTACCAGTAGAGCCAGATGTATACATATAGCAGCAAACGTCATCGGCTTTTGGGGGAACAACAGGCTGAGGTTGGTCTTGGCCGAGTTTTAGCAGTTGATGGAAAGTCAAAAGTCGAACTTTGGGATTAGCGGCATGAATCAGTTCAGCTTGTTTCTCAGAGGGATCGGAACTGCAAATGATAACCTTGACAAGAGGGCATTGTTTTAGAGGGTTTACTAATTTGGGAAGTAGAGAGGGGTCGGTGAAGACTGCTGAAGTAGCACACTCCTCTAAGGAAGTTGTGATACCATCCTCACCTAAAGTTTCATAGGCAGTAACGATGGGAATGGACTGACTTAGAGATCCTTGAGCAGTCATCAACCATTTTTCACTAGTGGCCGCGAAAAATAGAAGGCTACTATCGGTAGTAATGCCGATGTTTTTCAAACCAGATCCGAGGGCCATCGAAATATCGTAAACCTCCAAATAGTTAATAAATTCATAGGGTCCCAATTCATAAAGACTCCATTTTTTTTTCTCTTTGACTTCGACTCCGCTGACCTTACGAACAATTTCACGTTCTTCAACATGTTCTTTGATGAGTTTTCGGGTGCCCATGGCTTCCTTTTTTCCATGGGATTTGACAGCACTATGAAATAAATCGTAGACAGTTTTTATGCCATCTTCGGGAGTCGTAAGTAGCTTGTTGGCTGAGTGAATTGATCGATAAGTGGATGACTCACCGGCATGTTTAGGAGCGGCTGTTTCTATGCAATAGTAATCTTTTATTTCCATGTTATTGACGAGTAAAAAGCAAATGCTAAGTGAAATAGAAGGTTATTAAAAGAATGGCGAGTAAAAGTAAAGGGTAGACAAAAACGCTTCAACAGTGCCAATGGAAATGAGAAAAAAACAAATGAAAACTAATAAAACCTAAAAGAATCCACACTGAAGAAAAGAAACAATAAGAATTTAAGCGGAAATCCTTGGAATTACCTTTCCTTTTCCGATTCAGTAAACACGTAAGTTGAAAGACGCAGCAAACAACAAAGGAGAATCCGCTAAGATAATTTCAGGTACAATTTCAAGTAAATTGAAATTCTGTAGGAGCCTTGGCTTTAGAAAAAAATCAATAATGTAGAAGATGAAGTCAAGGCCTTATAAAGAGGTGTTTCGTTATGCTGGGGCACAGAAAATGGCATGAGACAAGGAAACGTCTCACGGCAAGCAATCTCTGATTTTAACTAAGTTAAGTAATAACCATTAATCGTGAGAACTGAAATCAATATAAAAAACAATTGGTTTTCGTTAATATAAGCTTGTATAAAGACGAGATGAAAAATTATGTAAATAAACAAGAAAACAAGAAATTACAGATTCCCATTTTCGAGCTGTAAGAGTATTCCAAAAGGATTCATACTACAATTAAAAAAGAAATATGCTACAAATAAGATGAGAGTCCAAACGGACTCTTCTATTTATTCAATTATTACCTTGGAAAACTATTGCGGCATGCTCAAATGGCCCATGGTACGTTTGCTAAACGAAGCGAGTCTGTAAAATGTTCTAATAAGTGTACTTAATTTTATCTTTTATTTGAATTCCCTATATATTTTATGTGTTCTTTGGTTTTGCAAGGTTTCTCCTTTACCAACAAACTGCTCTTCTCTTTGGCTCTAAAGCTTTATTATTTTTCTTTCTCATTTCTATTTTCTAGTTAAGCTTTTGTTAAACTTCATTAAATCAGTAAGGATCTTTCTACAAGCACAAGGACATCGCTGTTAACCTACTTAGCCTTCTCCTTTACCCAAAGCAGATCGTAAATTCCCAATCATGAGTTCCGTAAATTTTGATACTGTAAGCGTTGTAAAAGCTGTTGAATAATTTCAAATATTTCGTATTCTTTACCCAAAGATCTCTTACTAACTTCTGCTCTAAAGATTTTGGAGAAAAGCCACGAATTGGAAGACCGATTCCTTCGCGCTCCTAAAAGCGATCCTGCTTTGCTACAAAAAATCGTTGAAGAGCAAGAGCATGTCCTTCGGTTTCCCTCTATTTCATACTCTGACTGTTACAGTCTGGGAGAAATCATCCGAAAACTATACAGTGAAGCCAAGTACACAGCTCCTATAGTGATTGATATGGTTATCAACGGCCACCAAGTCTTCCATGCAGCCTTTGATGGTAGTAGCCCTGATAATGATGCCTTTATTAAACGAAAATACGCTACTGTCAATCGCTTTCACATGGCCAGCTTCCGCATGGGCCTGATGATGACCCAAGGCGGTACGACCATGTCTGGAAAATACAATGTTCCTGAAGAGGAGTATGGGGCTTTTGGCGGTGGTTTCCCAATTACTCTTTCATCCGGTGTCCAAATCGGTGTTATTTGCGTGTCGGTAAGAATACTCTAAAACAAACATTACTGAATCAATTCTAACTGCTAAATTCTAGGGGCTTCGTCAGGTTCAAGATCACTGCATCATTGTACGTGCTATTGCTCAGTTGCTTCAAAACAGACCAACTGCTTCCAACTAAGCACAACTTCGTATGTGTGTGTTTAGATGACATGTTATGATTTACAAAAACCTCTCTACATTCCTACCAGTACTATCAGCTCTTTTTTGTTTATACAGTCATTCATTTGAACGAATATAGACAATATGCTTATTTTTTTCATTTTTCTCTTGTGTAATATCATTCGTTGCAATTATATTTATCGTAATAAACCAAATGTAAAGACAATATTCATCGAACCATACTCCCAACGGGAATTTTACTCTCTCGATATCAACCCTACCCTAGTTCTGTTAACAGTCACAAGTGTTTAGGAAGGAAAAGTATGATGCCTGCAAGTTTGCAAACACAACAACAAAATGGGAAAACCCGCTGGTTTGAACGCCGCTCGTAAGCTCCGTACCCACCGTCGTGAAGAGCGTTGGGCTGATGCCCACTACAAGAAGCGCTTGTTAGGTACTGCCTTCAAGTCTTCTCCTTTCGGTGGTTCCTCTCACGCCAAGGGCATTGTCGTCGAAAAGATTGGTGTTGAAGCTAAACAACCCAACTCTGCCATTCGTAAGTGCGTTCGTGTTCAATTAATCAAGAACGGTAAGAAGGTTACCGCTTTCGTTCCCAACGACGGTTGTCTTAACTTTGTTGACGAGAACGACGAAGTCTTGCTTTCTGGTTTCGGCCGTAAGGGTAAGGCTAAGGGTGATATTCCCGGTGTTCGTTTCAAGGTCGTCAAGGTCGCTGGTGTCGGTCTTGCTGCCCTTTTCCACGAAAAGAAGGAGAAGCCTAGAGCTTAAAAAATTTTAATTAATGCATGTGGTGATTTCCCCTTTTGTATGATGGAACTTCAATGAGCATTTGTATATCTGTTTTGTGGAATAAGTATTTGTACATTTGTGAATGTTGTGTATATATGTCAATACAAAGCTTGTAGTCAATTTCAACAAGAGAAAAGTAAGGATGGTTGGTACGTTCTACGAATACGCCATGTTCAATAGCTACCTTGTGCATTCGAAAAGGAATGTGTTGAAAAGCAATACATAAATCAATTTCTAACAATCTAAAACTGTCATCAATGAACTTTTAAAAAACATTGGCATTACAAGAGCATGACAATCATTAACCAGCAAATACCGGTATTTTTTTAACACAAATGCGAAACAAAGAAAAAAAGCAGACAACTGCCTGCTTTTATGCAAGGACAAAGACCACCATCCAAGCAAGAAGAGATGGTGATAATAACCAACGATGAGAAAAATAAAAAGGAAAGAGGAAATGTTTAATCTAAAAACGGTAATAAAATAGGAGCAAGTTTTTTGAAGTTCATAGAAAATACAAAAACAAAGAAAAAGAAAGAAAAAATCTTGCGCTAGCACTTACCTTGTAAAGGTAGTAATTTTCGTCTCCAGCTTTGCCAAGCATCTAGACGTTTGGCATGGACATCGCGAATTTCATCCATACTACTCCAGCCCGATTCCATCATCCGTTTTTCAACGGCATTATAAGCAGAATCTAATTGAAGAATTTCTTCCAATAAAGCATCTAAACACTTTGATCGTTCAGCAACATCCATTTGTTTCACATCCGAAGATGAAAGATTTGTCTTGAGACTGGGGGAAGGAGTCTGGTTTTGGGAATCGCTGGCTGAGGGGTGATGAAGATGAGTCGTGGAAACAGATAGAGGAGTTATATCAGGTGAATCAGTTGAAGAAGATAGTCCTGTAGTACTCGATGTGCGCAAAGGAGAGACACGATTTAAACGTCCCAAACGAGAGGAAGGAAGAAAGCGACGTAAAATGCCAACTCCTCGTTTGCTGCTAGAATGGCATCTTGAATTTTCACAAGCTTCGCTAAGCTTGTGGAAGGGCCATTTCAATTTACTGTTGTGATCTTCCGGCAAATGCGACTCCTTGTCATTATCAAGAATGGCATAGTTTCCACCAAAATCCGACAGCAGGTGGTCTTCTGAAGAGGGGGTATTATTAGCACTCGTCGGCGTACTCGTAGAATGTTGCAACCTAGTTTCAAAGGACAGAGAAGAGGGACTGCGCAAGTGAGCACTGGTGCTAGAAAGAGGGGACTCGATCAAATCTAGGCCAGAGAGTTCCAAGTCATTTGAACTAATATGATTGTTGAAGGAAGAATGGATAGATCCAATATCCTGTAAAGACAGGGGGGATAAATTGGGAGTAAAACTAACTGGAGCACCAATAGTATCGTTGGATTTAGACTCGACATACAAATCGAATTCCGTCAACGATTCATAAGGATCATGGTTTGAAAATTGATTCTCATATAATGTACGACCTTTCCCTTGACCCATGAAGAAAGCAAGCTTGTACTTTAATCAGATTTTTGTATTGTCCAACTAGAAGGAATAAAGAAAGAAAAGAAACAACAAGTCTATAAAAAAAGAGTTACACAATGATTGATCACTACTCAACGCGTCAATTGCAAGGAAGGACAATAGATGGATAGAAGGAAAACTTGAAAAATAAAAACAATGAAAAAGCACTTTTTCTGATACCAAGATATACTAACCAATACTTTACCTATAGCCGGTCACTTTACGAAGGTAATTAAGCAAGCAAGAAAGGTACTCTCCAGTGAAACAGTCAAATAAAAGTACAAATTTCTTCACAGTGTTCAATTGACGCGTCTGAGGCTTTCCTTTCAGGGTATACAAAGCTCAATCCTAAATGCTTGTTATTGGTAGGTGCTGGGATGTCTTAAATTTTCTGTGGTCTAAGTGACGGTTGCTAGCGAAGCTTAGGGTACAATAGTGCGGTACGTTATTTGGAAAGAAACAAGTCGCGATCTGTTACCAGAAGACGACGGTCCGTTAACAATGGGATAGATGGAACAATCTATTCACATGAGGTTGGAAACCGATCGAACAGCCCGTTAACAAAAGCGGAAAAAGAAAAAACGCATGGCTATGGCGTTGGCCGTAGCTGCGACTGCCGCTACGGCTACGGCTGTGCTAAAAACAGCCTTGAGCGGTCGATAAAAACTGTCATCGGCTGCTCAGTTTTTTCCCTCTCTTCGTCTCCGGCTATGTCTCCTTCCATGTTTATGTTAACTCAGTTTAAAATCTTTCATATAAACATCATAGATGGACGGATATTTTTAATGGTTTCTATGTTTACTACTGTATTGTTCGAAATATTACCAAACTTCTTACCAATGCGATATGCTTTTTAACGAGAAATACCGATTTGTAAGGTTGTATATCCTTCTCTCTATCTCCCACACACTCTCTTCTTGGGGAGTCAAAAGCCCAGTATAAGCTGTTGTTATTGTTGGATTGTTGACTTTGGTGTTTCTTTACAAGAGGACTTTGGTAGTATGGCTGGTGGAACAAAAGTCACTATTAAGTCCTAAATATTTTCTTCTACAATTAAACAAATTTGCTACATGACCTACCTTCTTGAACGCGACCTTTTCCAGAACACAGAATCGGTGTTATTGCCCATATCATAACATAACATTCCCGTTGCTCTCTACCCCTCTTTGTCCAACGCGGAATAAGGTTTGCTTATCTCGACGTCTCTTATCTGTAGCCAATTTATTGAGCGATGGCTTATCTCGAACTTATCGCAAAATTATGTCGTCATTTAACGATTGATATATATTCAGAGGGACAGAATGCACAAAAAAAAGATGAAACTAAGAGCGGTCCTTCGGTTCTTTACTGTATCGCGTTGTTCTGTACCTGATTGTTTACAGAGTTGAACGTTATTATTTCATGGTGCATTGGCAAGATTAGATATGTCATTCGAAAATTAAGCCAAAAAGGTTATCATATCATTTCTGATCTTTCTGTTGGTTTCCAGTATTTATTGTGACGGACAATTCTCATTCTTTCTTTCTGTATTGACAATTGGTTGTTTCTTTCCTTATTAGAGAACACGGACAAAACTTTACAAGTCTTCTACTCTCCATCAGGTCCGTGCGTGTGTTAGCTACGTTTTGGGTTCTAGTACAAATATCCATTAAGGATTCAAAAGCATTCATTTCTTTACAGGCAAAGAACCTGTTTTTCCTCATCTCTCGGAGCTTTTATTTATTTACTTAACACGTATTTTGTTTAGCAACATAATTTTACTCTCGTTTTATTAACTTGGAGTATCCGTCATTCTTGGTTTTTTTTTTTGGTGCGCGCGTGTGTGTTGTTTAATTTTTCTGTTGCGTTAATTTTCGTTTTAATTTGCTCTCGTTTTCATTTTGATTTTTTCTTGTTTGACTTCCCTTTTTACGAACATATATACATACATATATTATGAGTCAGTCTTATAAAAATAGTAAAATTAAGGACTTCGTCCAGCGCTGGATCCTTTTGAATGCTAACTCTGGAATGACCATTTCAGAACAACTCCTCAACAATGAAGATCTCTATCCCGTACCTAAACGGTTTCGGCTTTGGGGTCCATGGAACTATGTCGCGTTTTGGTTGGCAGATGCCGTCAATATTAATACCTGGATGATTGCAGGCACAGCGGTTACCAGTGGCCTTGCTTGGTGGGAAGCTTGGATCACCGTATGGATCGGTTACACAATCTCCGCTCTAATATTAGCTGCCGTTGGTCGTGCTGGCTCTGTTTACCATATTTCCTTTCCCGTGTTGTCTCGTAGCTCCTTCGGCATTTGGGGCTCTTTCTGGCCCATCCTCAATCGTGCCGTCATGGCATGTATCTGGTACGGCGTTCAGGCGTGGATTGGCGGTGAATGTGTAACACTCATGATTCGCTCCATCTGGCCGTCTTATTCTCACATTCCAAATACAATGTCGAAAAGCGGAACTCAAACGTATCAATGGGTCAGCTTTTTTATTTTCTGGCTCGTCTCCAATGTCGCAATTTGGTTTCCCGTTTACCAACTCCGCCATCTCTTTACCGTGAAGTCTTTGCTAGCTCCAACAGCGGCTTTTGCGTTCCTTATTTGGGCTCTGGTTAAGGCTCATGGGGCGGGTGATGCTATTCATTCTCCTACCACTCTAAATAAATGGGACCACGGTTGGGCTGTTGTTAGCGGTATTGTTAGTTGTCTTAATAATTTTGCAACCTTAATCGTCAATAATCCTGACTTTACTCGCTTTGCTACCACCCCGAATACTCCTTTGTGGCCTCAAATTATTACCATCCCCGTAGGATATGGCATTACAACATTAATCGGCGTCTTAGTTGGCTCAGCTTCCAAATCTATTTATGGAAATAATATATGGAATCCTTTAGACCTTCTGTCTAGCTTTTTAGACCATTCCAATGCCCACGGTGTTCGAGCCGGTGTCTTTTTCATCGCTACAGGTCTCGGTATTGCTCAGTTGGGAACCAATATCGCCGCCAATACTGTCTCGGCTGGAAACGACCTTTCCGCTTTATTTCCTGCTGTCATTAATATACGAAGAGGAGCTTATATAGCATCTATTGTTGGTATCGCTATGTGTCCTTGGAATTTACTTTCGACCTCTAATAGCTTTTCCAACTCATTAAGTGCTTATGCCGTCTTTCTTTCGTCTTTTGCTGGCGTCATGCTCGCTGATTATTATGTCGTTCGCAAAGGTTATCTCAAGATTTCGAGTCTGTACACGACGGATAATAAAGGTCCTTACTGGTTTTTTCATGGCATATCGGTCCGCGGATTTATCTCTTATATATGTGGATTGGTTATAAACGTTACTGGCTTGGCCGGAAATATAGGAGACAAGGTGCCGAAGGCTGCTTTGACAATGAGTAAGCTGGCTTATTTAATTGGAATTCTCGTATCGTTCCTAATCCACATTATCATTTGCACTATTTTTCCTGTTACTGATTGCGGCACGAAGTTTATGGATGAACAAGCTGAAGAAGCGGAGCACTTCTTGCTTCAATTAGACGTTCCTGGAGATATGGAGGAAACAGAAGGCGTTCCCCTGTCAGCTCCTGAAACCGAGAAGTCCGATTCAAAGCTCAAAAATGATGAAGTTCAAGTTTCGGGCTTAGATGTCTAAACAGACTATCTCAAATCAAGTGACAGTTTGACAGTTGTATATTATTTTGGTATAAATCTATAGGTTCATTTATAGAGTATAATTTAGCATGGTTTAATATATCATTTTCTCAAAAAAAAAATAAAAAAAAGTACAATTTCGGATTTTGTTTATCTTTGTTTTACGAAAAAAAGGAAAGCAAACAAAAAACGGTACGAAAAAAGGACGACACCAGCAGGATTTGAACCTGCGCGCGGAGACCGCAATAGATTTCTAATCTATCCCTTTAACCACTCAGGCATAGTGTCTTAGTTGCAAATTGGTAGCTAAAATATAATTTGTACTGAAACTTGTGTTTATTGTTTGCTTTGTTTGTCGAAAACAGCACGATGGTGTCTTCATAGTGTCAGTTTCTATTCACTTTTGAACTCTTCCAATGAAGTTTTTGTATGGAAGCATGTAGGAGAAAACACCAATTCTCGTCGATCATTGCAGATGAGTATCTGAGTCGTTGGTACCGTGGTTGAAGACAACATGAGAATTTGGGGTGCTGTAGACTTTTCTTTTTCCTTTTTTCTTTCATAGACAAAGCCATTTAATTAGTATTATGTAAGAAAATCATAGCCCAAGCTAGAGGATAATCAAAAGACCGGACCCAGCATACCAATGATTTCCTTTCCATCTAAATCAACTTCTGCTGAGCAGCTGAGCTAAGAACCGTTGGATGGACAGGCTTCAGAAGAAACACTTTGAGAATATTTAGAAAAAGTTGCTTCAAAAGAATGAGTGTTTGTGAATGCTTAAAAATAACTGCGAGAATCCAACGTCAAGGTTTTATTGTTGGATAGGTTCTTTGTTTACTTTTTGTAATACGAACTTCGTTTGGATTATACTATCACGAAAAAGTATGGTATATAACGAAAGTCGAATAATCGTAACAAGGATATGACCAGTCAGTGACATAATGTCGCTGCTTTATGAACTTGAGACATGCGAAAAGCCATTACCATGAGTTTTACAACTACGCTTCATCTTTTAGAAGGAGCTTTTTGTTGTAAAAGTGTTTTTATTTAACGGTGTTAAAAGAAAGGAGAAATTCCTTTTGTTGACAGATCCGTGAACGGTAAACCAGTTCCTACGGAATTATTTGGTAAATCTAGCTGGTATCGTTTTGGATGTATATATCTGAATTATTTTGTGTTTCTAGCTGCCATTGTAAAAATGAAGAATAATTACGCTCCAGTTTCGGATTCTGATGACTCTTTCAAAGTGCTCAATGATGAAAAGTCAGATGCTAGATCTTTAGATGGTACTGGTACGCCTCCTCCGTACTCAGGTAAGATTTGTTGAAATAGAAAGGAACAAAAGAATGTCAGTTGTATCAATTTGTATAATTCCAGCGACTCAAGTCTTGTGCTGTAAACAAACTCGACGAACGCTCTATCCTTTCTCAAACAACAAGAGCATTCATCACTAATACATTCATTAGCTCCGAACAAATTTATTGATTTAGAAATGGCTGACGGATCTGCTCAGCGTTCTGCCCAAGAGTCCACTAACAACGCTGGATCGGATTCGACATATTCGAAGTGGATTCCAGTAGCTATTTTCTTTTTCTTTGCGTCTGTTGTGTACATTGGGGCTTATGGTATTCTTCTCGTGATGTTCTTTTATTTCAAAGTTCCTGTGAGGACACAAGACTTTTGGGGACTTTTTGGCGGATTTATTGGAGCGATATCATTATTTCTCTGTTGTAAGTTAGCACTATCTTTTATTCTAAATGTTTCACTAACTATTAGTGGCGCATATGCTCTACCCGGGGTGGTACAAGCAAGCTGGTAGAGTGCTATCCAACATGTGTGCCAACATGTGTGTCGCAGTAATATATACGGCTCTTCTGAATGGCGTTGGTTTCGTCGTCTATTATAATGTAAAGAAAATAATAGGATTTGAAAAGATGAACGACATTGCTTTCTATGGTGTTTGCATTGTTAACGTTGCCGTGTTTGTTTTATTTTGGAGTATGTCTTATAACCTGCGAAATATTCTAACTGTTCTAGGTACGACGGATACGAGACAACTTCGAATATTCATTGCTGATTTAGGAAACGGCATGGGAAACATAGGAAACGGCATAAGAGACGCTTCGAATTATATTCGTATGTACTGTTTATTATAATTTTTTTTTCTTTTTTTAGCATCTGACTAACCTAATTAGGACCGACAGATTTAGCAAATGAAGCACCTCGTAACGAGGAAATCGAGCTTCAACCTCTTGCTGGGCAAAGTGCTGAAGTTTGAGTTTTAACGAATCTTTTCCATCCCTCCTATAAATCACATTTTCCTTGGAAGCATTCATATCAATTGCAATCCCTCGAGTTTCTGTATTCTTGTCCACAAAAGTAAGCACAGCTTCATTCGGCAGGTTTGATTGTTTTTCACGTTCACTCTTTTATGAATCTCTAAATTCATCTCGCAATAGTGTTATTTATGAATCGTTCGTTTTCTTTGTGACGAACGTTCTTGTTCATGCAACCTTTTTAATGATTTCATTCACAGCATAGAAAGCACATATCTTCTAACTGAATGATCGGACGTTTGTAGATTAATGAATTAAATTGGCGTCTACTTAGAGAGTCAAGTAAATGAACTGAAACACGAATTGTCAGACTACAACTTCCATGCAGCCATGTCCTTGAAAGAGTCGGATATCCAGACCAAATACTTTAAATCACACCTACCGATGTCTACGGCCACACCTAGGCGAAAACACCAGTTCCCGTCCGATCACTGCAGTTAAGCGTCTGAGGGTCTCGTTAGTACTATGGTTGGAGACAACATGGGAATCCGGGATGCTGTAGGCTTTTTACTCATTTTATTCTTTTTCTTTTTTTTTCTTTGTTTCGTTTGTTTATTTGTTTATATAGATTCAAGCTTGAAAACACCTTTTTCCTTCCTTTTTTGAGGGATGTTCCTTGTGAAGTAACAGAGAGCAAGAAAACAAGTGAAGGGGTCAGCGTTGGTCCGTATGCATTTCTTCGTTTGTCTCTGTCAATAGAGAAGTAGATATCTCCTCCATTTATTAATCGATTCGAAATTCAGGCGAATCTGTATGTCTTGTTGAGTTTACCAAGGCAAGCTAAATCTGAAGAATACATTACCTAGCCAGCATCACACAATAAAGAAAGTTGATGCCTAACTACTATATTTTACAATGACAATCAAAAAAGAATGGAAAAATAAAAGAAAAAAAAGTTTACAACGTTGAAAAAGTCATCATTATCTGTGTATATTCACAAAGCAAAAATTCGCACCAACCTGGGTTTGTTTATAAAAATGTAAACAATCCTTTTCTTTGCAGATATCACTATTCATTAGTTCCAAGCTAATTCAAACACTTAAAAGAATATTCTTCTAGAATCGCGTCAAGTTCCTGCAAAAATCATTCACGAATTCAGAAAGCGAGTGCAAAATTCAGTACTCCGTTGACCAAGATATTAAAGTAGTAGCAACCAAATTATAGTGGTTTTCTTTTGAGGTACAGAAAATTCTAAATAGAATAGAGTTATATATAATTATTTTTTGCAGTCCAGTCATTAAATTCATATTGAACCAATGAATAGATCCTTCATTCTTTTCAGCTAATATACCAAAACAGTAAACAACGACAATCTTATACTTCTGTTATAGAAAAGAAATCAAACATTTAAGATGGTTCAGACTTCACTGATTAGCCGTCCGCCTTAAGAATTATTTTCTGAGTATCTTGCTTTCTTTTTCAGTATGAATATGAATATTGGTACTTCAAATCGGGTATACTAAAAAATCGTAAAACAACTTGATAGATCTCTTTATTCATTTATTTATTTTTACTATTCATCAACATTTACTCTTTATATATAAACAATGTGTTTCGCAAACATTTATCCACTTAAATTGGGTTATATGGTATTATTTAGACTAAGATTGCAACAAGCGGCGTTTGTCTCTGTCAATAGAGAAGTAGATATCTCCTCCATTTATTAATCGATTCGAAATTCAGGCGAATCTGTATGTCTTGTTGAGTTTACCAAGGCAAGCTAAATCTGAAGAATACATTACCTAGCCAGCATCACACAATAAAGAAAGTTGATGCCTAACTACTATATTTTACAATGACAATCAAAAAAGAATGGAAAAATAAAAGAAAAAAAAAGTTTACAACGTTGAAAAAGTCATCATTATCTGTGTATATTCACAAAGCAAAAATTCGCACCAACCTGGGTTTGTTTATAAAAATGTAAACAATCCTTTTCTTTGCAGATATCACTATTCATTAGTTCCAAGCTAATTCAAACACTTAAAAGAATATTCTTCTAGAATCGCGTCAAGTTCCTGCAAAAATCATTCACGAATTCAGAAAGCGAGTGCAAAATTCAGTACTCCGTTGACCAAGATATTAAAGTAGTAGCAACCAAATTATAGTGGTTTTCTTTTGAGGTACAGAAAATTCTAAATAGAATAGAGTTATATATAATTATTTTTTGCAGTCCAGTCATTAAATTCATATTGAACCAATGAATAGATCCTTCATTCTTTTCAGCTAATATACCAAAACAGTAAACAACGACAATCTTATACTTCTGTTATAGAAAAGAAATCAAACATTTAAGATGGTTCAGACTTCACTGATTAGCCGTCCGCCTTAAGAATTATTTTCTGAGTATCTTGCTTTCTTTTTCAGTATGAATATGAATATTGGTACTTCAAATCGGGTATACTAAAAAATCGTAAAACAACTTGATAGATCTCTTTATTCATTTATTTATTTTTACTATTCATCAACATTTACTCTTTATATATAAACAATGTGTTTCGCAAACATTTATCCACTTAAATTGGGTTATATGGTATTATTTAGACTAAGATTGCAACAAGCGGCGATGCCCGAGTGGTCTAAGGGGGCAGATTTAAGTGGCTTTCAAGCCGTGAACCCTGCTGTTGTAAAACGCGTGAGTTCGAACCTCACTCGCCGCATAACCATTTTTAAATCAATTTTTGATTTAATGAAATTTACAAACTTATTTCGTTTTTTCGATACTTAACTTGATTTTTGGCTGTCAAAGACTGTGATTGCAAGGCTCAAGCATAGGAAGGTACAAAACTGTAGTACGTCTTCCTCTAGGTAATCCGAGAATTCCAATAATCTCAACTCGATATACTATGACACTTACAGTTTAATCTACAATTGAATTAGGAACTTACAAACTGTATAATGCATATCAAATACCATTTCATTGTTATTCTTCATATATTCTTTTTTCTTCGATTTTGATTTCGTAAGGTAGATAACGAGATTGACTGCGCTGTTTTACAGCTAAAACATTGTCAGACATACACATCAAATACCAATAAAAAACTTCAATATGCTGAAACGGTCCTTAGTATCAAAAAGTTTGGGATTTGCAAATTCTAGGACTTTTGCTCCATTTGTAGCTAAGCGATTTGCTTCTGAGCCTGGATTTCCCCCAGAGAAACAATCAAACTCGAGTGCGGAAGAAAATAAAGGAAAAGAAGGAAAAAGCTCCTTAGCAAAAGAATTACTTGAATTGAATGGGATAAATGACGATCCATATGCTGGTAGTAGTGACAAAGGTCCCGAATATGTAAGCTCAACTATGCAGCGCCGTGAAAAACAGGCTCGCTACGCGTTCTGGGGATTTATGGGTGTGCTCGGCGGTGGTGTTCTTTATTATGGCCGCAAGTATGCCGAAGATGAAAAGGATTTGGAAAAGAAATTTCCTGCTTCTGGCTACTCACCCGTAGATTGGTGGACTCGTGTGAAAGCACGCACTAAGAACTTCTTTGCCTACTACCAAGAACCAGCATTTGAAAAGCTTCTTCCTGACCCTCTTCCCGAGCCATATAACCGTCCCTACACACTTGTTTTAGATTTGGATGATTTGTTAATTCACGCTGGTTGGACACGTGAACATGGTTGGCGTACAGCTAAGCGTCCTGGTCTTGATTATTTTTTGGGTTATTTGTCCATGTATTATGAAATTGTCATCTTTACCAACCAATATTTGGCAACGGCCAAACCTATTATTGACAAGTTGGATCCTTATCATGTTAGCGTCAGCGCTGTCTTAACTCGTGAACACAGCAAGTATGAGGATGGAAAGCTGATCAAGGATCTTTCTTACCTGAACCGTCCCCTTTCGAAGGTCATCATGGTCGATACAAACCCTGATGCTTTTTCAAAGCAACCTGACAATGCGATTTCCATGGTTCCTTGGAAAGGTAATCACAAAGATCGTGAGTTGGTCGGTTTGATTCCTTTACTTGAATTTATTGCCATCATGGATATTCAAGATGTCCGTCCTGTCTTAAAGAGCTATCAAGGCAAAAACATTCCTCTTGAGTATGCTCGTCGCGAAGAACGACTTCGCAGTCAGCTTATTGCAGATTGGCTTGAGAAGAAAAAACATGCCAAGTCTTCCTTATTTGGAGGACGACAAGCTTCTGAGCAGCCGCCAAAACTTTTGATTGATATTCAACGTGAACGCCAAAAAGCCGCTTATGGCGAATTTAAGAAATATATTGACGAACATGGACCAAAAATGCTTGAAGAAGAAAAGGCTCGGGAGGCTGAACAGAAATATAGCATGTTTGATATGATCTTCAATAGTGATAAAATTCAGCAACAACAATTAGAGCAGCTTCAGCAAACCCAATCTGGTTCCGCTTCTGGACCAACCAATTGAGGTATTAATATTACTTCAAAACTTTTTCCTTTTCTAATATGGATTTTAGTTCTATATTATCCTAACCTTCTTCGGTTTTCTGTTTAATATCTCTTTTAATGCTTTTCTGAATGAAAACTTTTAAAAATAATTTTGGAATATGGTAAAAAGGTCTTGCCCAATAAACCATCTACACGTTCACTACCATGCATTTCTCGCTGTCCTGCTTTGTTAATAAAAGCAACCTTCTTCTGCCTTCTCTGAATGAATTTTGATTTCTTGGTTATTTTGGTACTACCTCTTTTTTAAAACCTGTTGTGCTTTCTACTCTCCCTGTTCCTTATATCTTTGCTATATGCCAAAAATATGCCAAAAAGCCAATAGAATATAGTTGAAATTTATGTCTTCGCCTTGTTCTTATTTTGTATTCCACACTTTTAATATCCATATCTGCTATAGAATTCATGTTTACACTCATTGTTTACCGTTACCTATTATGTTTTTGGTTTCGTCGTAGAAGGTAACATTCAGTGATTTGTTACTTGGTTTATTGGACGTCGTTAGTGCTACGCATCGAAAGTTACAAGCCGAACATACTCAGAACCAACCACCTTGTAGGATATCAGAAGAATAAGAAAGATAAAGACGGGTATTTTCTCTGAATTACATTGTAATTTCTTACGAAGATTTATAAACGAAAGAGCTTTCAGAAGTTGGAGTGAGTTATGAGATTAAAAGATATCAATAAGAGCGCAACGTTAGCGTGGTCTCCACAGGGAGTAAATGATAACCAGCCTTTACTTGCTGTAGGTGGTTATATAGGCACCGAAAGTACCAGGGAAAGCGACAATCTTTTGGAAATTTGGGATACATCCGCAGAATCAAACCAACCAATTGGCTCTGCAAACGTTAATACCAAATTTTACGATCTTGATTGGGAAAAATCTTTAGATAAACAATACGGTGTTATTGCCGGTACTTTAGAGGAAGGTGGTGTTGGATTTTACGATGCCTCTGCCATATTGGGTTCTAATGAGGGCAGTGCTTCTATAGCAACCTATAAACAAGAAAACAATTCTATTTTAGGACCTTTAGATTTCAATCCCGTCCAAACCAATCTCTTAGCGTCCGGTGATAACAATGGTGATGTTTGGGTATGGGATTTGAAGAACCCTTTAAAACCCTTCTCTTTGCCTAAACAGAATCGTTCTTCCGAAATTCATGTAGTTGCTTGGAACAGCAAGGTATCCCATATCCTTGCTTCAGGCAATTCTTCAGAATATACCACTGTATGGGATCTAAAAGCAAAACGACAAATTTTAAATCTTTCGTATATGGGAGCCACTGGTACGAATGCCACTGGTGGAGTTAATAGCATTGCTTGGCACCCTGAAAATGCTACTCGTCTTGTCACTGCTATTGACGATAATCGAAATCCCATTATTTTAACTTGGGATTTACGTTATCCTACAGCACCTCAAAATGTTCTTACAGGCCATCAGAAAGCTGCCCTTTCATTATCATGGTGCCCTCATGATTCAAGATTTTTACTTAGTAGTGGTAAAGATGGTCGTGCTATTGTTTGGGATGTTGATACTGGTGAATCTTTAGGAAACTTTCCTCGCTCCGGGAACTGGTATACTAAAGGCAGTTGGTGTCCTTCTAATTCTAACCGCGTAGCAACCTCCTCCTTAGATGGAAAGGTTTCTATTTTCTCTATTCAAAGCACAAATACGGACAAAACTCATGAGGCTTCCTTGCAAGGTGTTACTTCTATCGATGATAACGAGTTCTTTAATAATCTTCCTTCAATTGCTGGCTCCCAGGAACCTGCCTTCACTTTACCTATCGCTCCCAAGTGGTATAAAGTTCCCTGTGGTGTCCGCTTTGGATTTCCTAATAAACTTATTCGTTTTAGTCCTGAATCAAAAGGAGTTATAATAGAGCCTATTGAACCTGAACAAAATGAAGAATTTATAGACAAATTTTCCTCTACAGCTAAATTCCAAACAGAGGATGACATAGTCTCTTTTTGTGAATCTGGTGCAAAATCAGCAAAAACCGACGAGGAAGCAAATAACTGGAAACTTCTCAAAGCGGTTAGTCAGCGTGTATCCAGAAGCGAATTTGTTAAGCTTCTAGGTCGCGAAAATATTAAGGAGTTGCATAAGGAAGACAGCACCGCCGAATTAGACAAGAGTACGAAAGCTTCTATCAATGTTAATGACACATCCAAGAATCAAAATAATGAGAGCTATGATGATGATACCTCATTTTATGGTAAATTATCAGACAACTTACAGAATACTGGAATTTCTGATAAGGAGGTTGAGTTTTCGAATGACCCTTTTAAAATATTCAATTCAGAAGACTCTGGGCTTGAGACTAATATCACAAAAATGCTGCTTACGGGCGATATTTTGTCTGCCATCAAAACCTGCATTGATGACAAGAAAATATCTGAAGCTCTTTTCTTAGCTACGTTTGGCGATGAAGAATGTCGCAAATGTGTTAGAAAAGCATTTTACGAGATACAAGAGCATAAACCATCATATATGCGTCTTTCGGCTTGTATAGCTGATAATGACTTAGAAAATGCTGTACAAAATGCAGATCTTAGTCAATGGAAGGATATTTTTGTTTTTATCTGCACATATGCTGCTAATGACGCATTTTCTCCGTTATGTGGTATACTTGGCAAACGATTAGAGGACCTTGACGACTTCAGCTCTAATCGTGCTGCAGAATTTTGCTATATTGCCAGTAAGTCATTACAAAGTTATGCAAATCTATGGCTTAAGGAACTTGCGAATGGTGATGTTCGTGAAGATGCTAAGTCTTCTTATGTTGAATATGTCGACCAACTCACCAAACTTATGGACAAAGTGAATGCATTCCGTTCAATTGTTGCTTACGAAGATGATGAGCTATCTGCAACTGGAGAATGGAAGTTAAGCGGCCTTTACGAAGTTTATCTTGAGTACTCTAGGATTCTGCTTTCAGCCGGTCATTACGAACAAGCAAGGAGCTATTTGAATCTCGTTCCTGTTTCATTTCCGGGTGCAAAACAGGAAATTGAAAGATTATCAATTCTTCTCACACCTACTCCAATTCCTGAAGTTAATAGATCTGCTTACGGTCCTTCTCGAAGCGTGCCACACCCTGCTCCTTCATTCATTCCTCAGCCAATACAAACGGCCACTAACACCAGTAATCCTTACGCTTCTACATACTCGAGCAACGTTTCACAGGCTACTGCTGCACCTCCTATCTCCTCTAGTGTTCTACCACCTACGGTGTCAAACAATGTTACGTCAGGCTGGAACGATGCTCCGGTTGTACATCAGCCACCATTAAGACGTGCTGCTCCCTCTTTGCCTGCCATAAGATCGCCTTTCCCTAACACTGGAGCTCCTTCGGCTCCTAATATGTCACGCACGAGTAGTACTAGTACACTACCACCACCCCCGCCATCTGTAGGCAATGCCGCAGCTGCTCCCCCTCCACCAAAGATTGGTGAAGCATATCAGCCTCAAGCGCAGAATGTAAACCAACCTCCTGTGAGTCAAGTACAGAAGCCGGCTAATCCTTACACGCCAATAGGAGTTCAATCACCCGCAAGGACCTTATCGGGGCTATCTTCTCCCGCAGAGACGAAAGGTTCCAGTCCTTACGTGCCTCTGGGTGGCCCTGGTCGACCTCCTCTAGTTTCTCCCCCCGTCCAACCCACTGCTCCCTTCAGTGCTGCTGCACCTCCTCCGAAAGCATCGGCAAACCGAGTAGTTCCCATCCCTCCTACACCAAGTCAGCGTATATCTTCGTATGAACCTGTTAACACTGGCTTCACCCAGTCACCACCTATGGCGATGCCTCCAGTAAATGCTCAGATACCACCTCCTGTGTCTAGTGCTGCAGGTGGAAGTGTACCTCCACCCCCTGTTGCTTCAAGCTCAGTTGTCTCTCCTCCACCACAAAATATATCCTCAAAGAGACAATCAGCTTCAGGACCTTCGGCAATTACTACTGGGATAACTACGTACCCTCAAGGAGATCGTTCTCATATCCCACCTAATTTAAAACCAATTTATGAAATGCTTAACGCCGAGTTCTTACGTGTATCCCAAAGTGTTCCTCCACAAATGTCTCGCGTGTTACATGATATGGAGAAGCGTCTTAACATGTTGTATGACCGACTTAACGCCAATGCTCTTTCTAAACCATTGACTGATGAACTTTATGCGCTGGCTGTTGCGTTGACAAATCGTGATTATCAAAGTGCATCTAATATCCAGGTCACTCTTGTCACCACTCTTCAAGATCAATGTGAACACTGGATAGTTGGAATTACTAGACTTATTACGATAAGTAAATCTACAGCTTAAAATTGCTGTTGTATTTTTGAAATTTCGTTTATTGAAGCCTTTTAACTACATAATGTAAAGCCCGTTTTTGTGAAATTTTATAGTGATGATATTACTTGTGGATAATATAGCAATCTTTACAGGTTAATATTAGAATGAAAACTTCATTTTAAAGTAAGCAGCTGTTGCTGCTGGTGTGTAGAATGTAATGGAGTTATTCTAATTGCAACAATGTACAAGTAGAATCTATAGTAAAAGGTTTATAGCAGGTTGTCGAGTGAGAATCGAAATAAGATCGGAGGAATTAACTAATGGAGCATTAAATAGTCACCATTCACACATTCACAATTCGGTTTTGGACATCAATTGATTCGTTGATCTTAGTTATACTTAAATAGTACCGCTTAACCTTTAGAAAATCCTTCAGAAGTAGAACGATTAATCCTGACAGGTGATGAAGGATTGTAAACCATGAAGTTTGGATAAGCTTGACAACTAATTGATCTTGACGCTTGGAAGTCTGGTGCACCGTGATTACGACGAACCGGTCTAGGAATTAAGCTATGATTAATACCGATAATTTTCAGACCCTGACCCATAGCATCTTTAGGGGTGCCGACAGCGGTATCATAGTCAGAGGGAAGTTTAAGACAGCTGTCAGTTTTTAAATTTAATGAGATCGGAGGTTTATATAACTTATTGTCATGGAAAAAGGTGGCCCTTGACCAGTTCACTTCTTCGCAAGCTTTGTTTTCATCTCTATTAGGTACATGGTTTACACATTTCTTAGGTTCAGCAGGAAGACTTTCGATCGAAATTTCAGGGTTTACCTGCAATATTGATTGATCTGTTTTTGACATAAGATGAGAAGACTGTTGTTCATAAACTGGCAATAAACGACTTTCAACAAGTTCACAAGAAATGGTTTCAGGCTGCTTTATTTTAGCTGGGCTTTCATTAGAATTCATCGTTTCACTCATTAAAAAATTACACATTTGGCTATCTTTTTCATCACTCACGAGTTTAACTGATTTTCGAGGCAGATGAGGTGGAGGAGCCTCGGGCAATGCCATTTTGACTGCATTTGTTAAACTGTTTAGATTCTTTTTGAACCAGCTGACTCTTTTCTCTTGTCTTTTCTCGTTGTTAGGTTTAACAGTCGCATCGTTTTTTGAGCTTCCAATGTTGTTAACTTTTGTTGATCCTAGCTTTGTCCCTTGTTGACCATTTGGGGATTCTGGGGGTTTGGGAAAATATTTTTCTTTGCATGATACGGCAGATGGTCGGATAAACGGATCCCAAGCTAAGAGCTGAGCGATCATTTCAGTATACATATCATCGCAGTTTGCTGGAAGTAGTTTCCTTAAAGGATAGGGTCTCGTAGCAGAAAAGGAGAATCCAAGTTTGACAGCTAATTCTTTAGCCGTAGGCCAATAATGCAACTTGTCTTTGACATTCAAGAGAGGATTTCCAAGTATTTCACAAATTCTGTTTAGTTGATCCGTCTCATTTCTTCCAGGGAAAAGAGGCTTTAAAGTAAAAACTTCAAAAGTGATACAACCGAAAGCATACATATCAACTGCTTTACCATAATTTTTTGCTCTAAGCAAGAGTTCTGGCGCACGATACCAACGAGTTGATACATACTCAGTTAGTGAATCATCTGAAGTAGAAGATCTGGCTAGTCCAAAGTCAGCAATTTTGACGCTGTATCTCGAAAATACTGGTCTATCGGTAACCTTTTTAACCAATATATTTTCAGGCTTCACGTCTCTATGCATAAACCCATGTGTGTGTATATGTTCAATTCCCCGAACAATCTGATTTAGAATATGACAAGCTGTGTACTTGGTAAATGGCTTTCCTTGCCTTCGCTTGAGAATTTGATATAAATTGGCTTCCATACATTCCATTACTAAATAGATGTTTCTGTTGGGATCCATAAAAGTTTCCAACAAGTCAATTAAACTTGGATGTTTAGATATTTGCCTGAGTACCTATATTTGTTAGAAGACTAATTTCATTGTAATTTTTGATTTTATTAATGCAAAATTAAGGGTAAAATAACCTTACCAGTGATTCTCGAAGTTTCAGAAGTTCCTGCTTTGGTTTTGGTTTACTACTGGTCTTTAACTTTTTGACAGCTACCTAGGGATGTTAGATAAATCAATTAACCTTTTGTTTTTCCATACTACTTGATCATGTCCTTGTTTTCCCTTGCATTTGGCCAAATACACAGTACCAAAGCTGCCATCTCCTAGCTTGTGCTTCACATAGTACCTATCTTCAAAACGGAATTCCTTTAAATTTAAGGATGAAAAAGGAATTTCTTTGCTCATATCCTAATTTGTAAAAAAAGGAAGCTGGTTTGCTATGGGTAAGAGTTCTTTTCCTATTTGTTTACTTTGTTGTTTACGTTTTCATAACTTCGTACTAACGAATACAGCAGTTTTATATGTAATGGTACAAAAAAGCAAAACACTGAAGGCACTATTAAAGCGTTATTTTATTTTATTTCATTTTTATTTTTATTCTTGTTTTTATTTTTGTCAATTCAGTAGATTGGAACACAGAAATCAAACGTGAAAAATGGGCAATCTTTCTTCAATATTTTTTTTTAATAAATAATTTTAGAATTATCTTTTAATTTTTAATAGCTATTTGATGTATAAAATTTTTGAAAGAAAGAGTCTGATACCACCTAAAAAATTCGGTATATAACTCTTCCTTTACCATAACCCTTGCAAGGTAATCTGGGATAAGACAACAATATGAGTGTTCAAAATTATAAGGTTGCTGATATTTCTCTCGCTGCTTTCGGCCGCAAGGAGCTTGAAATTGCTGAAAACGAAATGCCTGGTTTGATGGCTATTCGTGAAAAACATGCTCAATCCCAACCTTTGAAGGGTGCTAGAATTGCTGGATGTCTTCACATGACTATTCAGACTGCCGTCCTCATTGAAACTTTAGTTGCTTTGGGTGCTGAAGTTACCTGGTCTTCCTGTAACATTTATTCTACTCAAGACCATGCCGCTGCTGCTATTGCTGCTACTGGTGTCCCTGTCTTTGCCTGGAAGGGTGAGACTGAGGAGGAATATATCTGGTGTATCGAACAACAATTAAAGTCTTTCCCCAGTGGACAGCCTTTGAACATGATTTTAGATGATGGTGGTGACTTGACCGCTCTTGTTCATGAGCGTCATCCTGAACTTCTTGTCAATATTCGTGGTATTTCTGAGGAAACCACTACTGGTGTTCACCACTTGTATCAAATGTTCCACGAGAACAAACTTAAGGTCCCTGCCATTAATGTTAATGACTCCGTTACCAAATCTAAATTTGACAACCTTTTTGGCTGCAAGGAATCTTTGGTTGATGGTATCAAGCGTGCTACTGATGTTATGATTGCCGGTAAGGTTGGTGTTGTTGCCGGTTTTGGTGATGTTGGTAAGGGTTGTGCTACTTCTCTTCGCAATCAAGGTGCTCGTGTTATCGTCACCGAGGTTGATCCCATCAATGCTCTCCAAGCTGCCATGGATGGTTATGAAGTTACCACTATGGAAGAGGCTGTCAAAGAAGGTCAAATTTTTGTTACTACCACTGGTTGCCGTGACATTATCCGTGGTGAACATTTCATGGCTATGCGTGAAGACTCTATCGTTTGCAACATCGGTCACTTTGATGTCGAAATTGATGTTGCTTGGTTGAAGGAAAATGCCAAGGATTGCGTCAACATCAAGCCCCAAGTTGACCGTTATGAGTTGAGCAACGGACGCCATGTTATTCTTTTGGCTGATGGTCGTCTTGTTAACCTCGGTTGCGCTACTGGACATCCATCATTTGTCATGTCTTGTTCTTTCGCTAACCAAGTTCTTGCTCAAATGGCTTTGTGGAATGACAACCAAAGCTATCCTCTTGGAGTGCACATGCTTCCTAAGAAATTAGATGAGGAAGTCGCTCGTTTGCACTTGGGTAAACTTAATGTTAAACTCACTGAACTTACTCCTGTCCAATCTAAGTACTTGGGTATTTCTGCTGAGGGACCCTACAAAGCCGACCACTACCGTTATTAATTTCCTTAATTAATTTGCATTTGGCTTTTTTGCATACCTTCAGTTATAAAATTTCAACATATTCCGTTGTTTGATGTTTTCAACAGCATCATGCCACAACGATACCATGAAATATAATAATGATATTAAAGTGGGTATACGTGGATTAGGTACATAAATAATGAAAAGGTTTAGACTTTATTGAAGACAATAAGAAGAGTGAGTATATGTGAAAGTAAATAATTCATGTATTATAGTTTTCTTGAGACTAATTAACTCCTTTGAAAGTAAACAGATTAAATAAGACAGAGATGCCTATAAAGAACGTTTCTATTCCAGACTTCATAATTAAATTAGCTAGAAGGCTTCTTTTTATTGGGATTATATGGTCTTCGTTGCTTAACATAGGTGCTAGAGATAAGGTTAGTTAATTTGATCGTTTTAATCATATCTGTAACAGTGACTTACTCAAAGAAGCGCTCGCAAGATGCTCCATTCTCGCAATTGCTGAGCACTAGGAAATCTCCTTCTTGATAATTCAGGTCCACAGCAGAATCAGTATAGGAGTTTAAAACTTTAGGAAAAACAAGTGCCACGTGATTCATAATGGTAGGATGAATTTCTAATAAATGAGACAAAGCAGATCTTTCAGCTAATTCTGATTTGAATGTTTTAAATAGCGGCTCATTCCAAGAATCAAGTAAGAATGTAGCAAAATCATCGTTTTTGAGAAGGAAGGAACGGACACTAATTCCATTATAGTCGTTTGTTGTGATAAGTTTAACATCTTCAAGATCCATTTTGTTGCGCGTACGAATACGAGGCTTTAATGGATCAACGGCATGATTGCGCAGATAGCTACTAGCAAGTTGCTCCGGATTCATTATAGCCTCTTTAAGTGATTCTCCTGTATTCATTATAACAGCTCTTGGATCTAACACCCAAATCCAAGAAGCCTCAGGATGTTCGTATAACGTCTCCCTGATTGCAGTGACGAGACTCCACGTGTTTTTACTTCCATATTTACGCTCAATTTCGTGAGCCTTTTTGTGTATGAACTGGTAACCATGACGCTGAGCGTACTCGTTTCTGTCAGAAAGAAGCTTGTCGAGGAACTTGGGATTATCCGAAATTTGATCGTTGCTTAACACAAGCATCAAGATAGAATTGGGATCCTTTTGGATCGGATTTTTGGATTGAACAGGTGCTTGAAAACTGTTTCGTTTAGAAGAAGCATATGTCAGTGATTTAAAGGAATATAGACAAAAAAGAAGCAAAATCACGACAAAAATGCTCAGATATTTAGCTCTTCGTGAAAGTAATCGGGCCAAATTCATATTAAAGAAGTGAAACCACAACTAATTGTGTTACTAGTATTGACTTCGCAAATAAAAAGTAATCTTTGAATAACAACTTATGTCTAGCCGAGGAAAGAGTACGATTTTAGATACAAGATGATGTTATATTCTTCAAAAAAGAAAGAGTGTATAGGATGACAAGCTTGTGTACTACAGAAGCAACAGTAAAGAGAAGAAAGCTCGTAAATCCTGGAATATGTTTTCAAGGCAAGAGATACGAATGTATCAATAGTAAATATAGGAATAGTTTAAATGAATGCAAGGTAAATGTAGAAAAGCCAGAAATGAAGACCGGTTCAATGGCGCACTGAACTTTGCAGGCTACCTTGTACAGTACGAAGTCCAAAGATCTAATGAATTTCCCGAAAGGCAAATAAACCGTTCCTGAAAAATCCAAAAGTAATGAAACAACTTTCCAAAGGAAAAGATGCTTCGTTTTGGGTGCTGTTTGCTTTCTTTTGAAAACAAAGTTGTTGGAATGCAGGTACGCGACTTCGAAGTCATCCTCTTTCCTCTTTGCACTTCTCTGTTAAAGAAATAACGCTCATAAAACACTTTATTCTAGAATACGCTCGAGCTCTCTAACCTGACTACTAGGTCTTAATTGGAGTTTGGCTCACTGCAGTACATTAATAAACAAATACTGCAGAAATCAGCTTTCAAGAATTTGAAGAGGCATTAGAGATGAACTAATTCAACGATGATCGTAAGTCAAGAATTCAGAGAAATTTCCAAAAATTTTAGTTTGCAATCCATCTCTTTTTCATCCTATCTTGGTGAAGGAGAATGCAACATTGCTCCTTAGCAAGTTCTCCAATATAGACTAATGTTTCTTGGGTTTTCCAATGAACATCTTTGCTTTATTACCTTTGGTTATTCGTTGTCTTGGTGGATAGTAAATTTCTAGTTTGCTTGGGTTATTTTTTATTAAACATGATCAATCGTTAGTTATTGCATGAATTTTGATTGTAAATGGCTTAAAAAGACATCAACCCATGTTATTTTAAAAGGATTCAGCTCCGGCTTTATGGCCTTTAAGTACGAAATTTTTCGTTTGCTCATTCACTGTCCATTTGCCTTTGACTAGAATCCCTTCCTTTCTTGCTTTCTTCCTTTCTAAAATATTCATGAATAATTAAAAATTTTTTAGGCTCAACAGTGAAAAATTTAAAAAAGCCATTCTCTTCGATTATCATTGGGTTTGCATAAATTACTCTTTTTGCGTGAAGTGGATTTTTGAAATCTTTATTTCTCGAATTACCAAGCCATCCATTTTTTATTTATAATGGAATCCACAAGACGATATACTATTTCTATAGCTATTCCTGTGTCTTGTTTAAATGAAGCTAACAATCTGCAACTGAAAAGTGCTCTTGTGTACCAGGTAACGTAAAAAAGCATCGGTCATAAAAGCGCTAAACTAACATGTTTATAGATTGCAAGGTTGGCTATCGTATACGAAGTTGATGAAATTGTCTTAGTCGCTGATCCTGAACATGTACGACAGACCCAAAATGCTACTGCATCCTCAGATTGCTATGTACGGGATCCATTGAAGTTCTTTTCCGATATTCTTAGTTATATGGAAACTCCTACCTTTATGCGAAAAACTATTTTTCCTTTACTTCCTCATTTAAAACATATGGGATTGTTTCCTGTAATTCAACTCCGCAACGATTCTAGTCAAATACTCGATAAAGACTTTCCCTATAAAGAAGCGTATGTTCTGAATCAGTTGCCTCGCTCCAAAAACAAATACGTTGTTCATGCAGGGTTTCAACATCCCGTGCAAGTTACTTCTACACAACCTCTTGCAGCCAAAGACAGACTCACAGTTAGATTGAAGCCACAAGCTCCAAATACTGAAGGATATCTGCAAGGTGACATAGTCTCTTGTACAGCACCGCGAGAAAAGGGAGGAAGGTATTGGGGATTTCAAATTCGCCATTCCACTTCGCTTAGCGATCTTCTCAAAGGACCTTACAAGGGTGGCTATGATTTAAAGGTACAAATAAATAACTCCACCCATGTTTCTCCTGCGGATTTATCAAACAATTTACGTTCCTCCTTTCGTCACGTATTACTGTTGTTTGGAAATGCTTTTGAAAATCAACCAGTTGATGATTTACATACCGTTAATCCATTTCCATTCCCCCTTCCCATTCAACCACGATTAGAGGAAAATTTTTTGGCAGCCATGGCTCCTCTCTCTATTGTTTTGAATTCTCATGGACGACACTGAAAAGCGTAGCAAGCAGTTGTTACTCTTTATTTAAATAAGAAAAAAATTTGATTAGATATTTACATAGAATCTTTTTAGGATTAATTTGGAATTGAAATAAAGATATTATTAAAGATATTAAAATTTTCAAATAGTGCAGAATGACAAAAAGATGGATTTATGAAAAGCATAATTAAGGATCGTTAAGGACCAGCCAATGTCGAGTTTCCTGACCTCTTCTCAATCAAGTTCTTAATGAAAAATTCACCAGCCTTATAACTACTGCGTACAAGAGGTCCACTGGCTACATACAAGAAACCAAGCTTCTCAGCAACCTCCTGCCAATACTCAAACTTCTTAGGGTGAACGTATTCTTGGACTTTTAAGTGACGCTTTGTTGGTCTCATATATTGACCAAAAGTAACAACATCGACACCATGAGCTCTCAAATCCCTTAATGTCCGTATGACTTCCTCATCAGTTTCACCAAGTCCTAACATTATACTTGTTTTCGTAATTAAATGAGGGACTGATTTCTTGGCTTGTTCTAAAACACTTAAGCTTTGACGGTATGTAGCTCTACGATCACGAACATAACGGGTTAAATCCTCCACGGTTTCTACATTATGTGCAAAAACATCAAGACCGGACTTTGCCACAACATCGACGAGATCCAGTCGTCCGCTAAAATCAGGTGTAAGTGCCTCTACAAGGATATGAGGGGCCTTTTGTTTGATACTACCAATGGTTTTGGCGATGTGGTTAGCGCCCAAATCTGCCAGATCGTCTCGATCAACACTGGTGAGAACAACATAACCCAAGTTCCAACGGTTAATGGCGTCGGCTGTTTTTTCAGGCTCATTGGGATCTAAAGGAGGAGGGCGACGACTAGTTTTGACAGAACAAAATCTGCAACCACGAGTGCAGGTGTCACCCATAAGCATAATTGTTGCAGTAGCTTGACTCTTGTCCTTTCCTCCCCAACATTCTCCAATATTTGGGCATTTTGCCTCTTCACAAACCGTATGCAAGTTTAAACCACGTAAATCATTTTTTATTTTGGTAAAGTTAGATCCAAGTGGAACCTTCGTTTTCAACCAAGAGGGAAGACGCTTATGAACTGTACCATTAGGTAGTTCCACTTTTCTATCCAACTCATATGCTTCTTCTCCGCTAAGAGGCTTTTCCGAATTTATAAAGTCAGCGAAGCTTGGTCCATTAGCTAAACGTTCTGAGAACTTGTCCGAATAAAAGCGGACCGCTGCACTCTTCAAACTTGTTAATTGTATTTTTTTCAAGGACTTTACTTACTTGGAATAGTAGTCGCTCTGACTTTAGCAAATTTTTAGATCCTCTCAACATTTTGGTAGAGAGTTGTTTCTGATGAATTCGAGTGGCCCTTATGTGAAGTAGCCTCTACCAAAAATTGACGGCCCAAATTGAAATGGTAATCACTAGCAAGAATAGGAAAACAAACGAATAATTCAATTGTTTTCATAATGTAATACGACGCTGTTACTACATCTATAAGAAATATATTTTATTGAGGTACTGAAGATACGATCATTGTAGAGCAGTTATAGAAGAACTAAAGAGCAGAGTTAATAAATATATTGTCTTTTCTTCTCATCATGTTAATTTGTGTAGTTCAATGTGTGAGGGCATTCCGAGTCTATATTACAATTCATTGCAATTCTAATACTGAGCTTACCTATTTCTTTTTATGTGTAACATAAAACTTCTAAAAGCCAAAGAGAAAAGACGTTACGAGTAATTGATATTGCTACATAAACAGTACTATATATTTTCGTAAGGCCTTAACAGGATAAAATAGAGCCGACAATCAAGTTTAATGCTACTGTGAATATATTGGAACGATACTTTTCACAAAAAAATTCCCTAACCATTGAAGACTCTATAGGTAATTCCTCGATTTTTGTCTTATTTCGTCTCACTCGCTAGGAAGTCTGAATTAAAAGATTTTTTTACATTTTAACTCTGCTAATAATTGAAAGCATAAACGATGACCAGTCATTGACTCTTTTTATAAACCTTTTAAAATCGAGTACAACTTCTCTCATACGGCATATGCACCCTCCCAATTTCGTTGATTCTCCTTTAGTCATCGTTTATCGCCAATTGAATCTTCATCGTTTTGAAGACTTACTTGCATGGAGCACAAGAATTGAAAAGATTCAAGACTACGATCCTTAAAGGATAGAACTCAGCCTTGGCAAACTACGAGAACCATAGTTTTTAATCTAGTATTACCATTTATCCGCACTAGTTTCTATTATACATTCGGAAAGTAGTGTAAATAAATAAATGTCCACAAGAGTGTTTACTCCCATCCAAATAGGTTTAGCCCAAAAGACAAATTTCTATTTTCTCATTAATGTTCTTATCTTATGCTTTCTTTTTCTTATTCTTTTAAGATACGAAATAAAATTACCATATTTGGTTTACTGATCCATTCAACCTGAGAAGACAGCCACCTCCAGCTTTCCACACATCACAAGCTTTTCTAGACGACATTGAGTAAAACGTACTTTACTAGGATTTATTCATGTCATTTCAGGATAGAACTACAGAATTTCAAGCATGTGTTGCAAATACCAGAGCTCGAATGAGGATTTCATCTTCAAATGCAACGATGAACAATGCGTTGCAAGCAAAGCATCAAAAGAGCGAATTTACAACAGTTGCGAAAAAAATAGCTTATAAGATCAACGAGACTGGAAAACATCTACAACGTTTATCGCAGCGTATGTTCATTATTAAAGTGTTGTCATAGGAATACTAACTGTCGGTTTAGTCGCCAAAAGGAAAACATTGTTTGATGATCGGCCAGTGGAAATTCAGGAACTGACATACCATATTAAACAAAGTCTGTCATCTTTAAACTCAGACATTGCTTCTCTGCAACAAATTGTTCGTCAAACCTCAAAGGGGTCTCGAAATAAGCCTGCCCAAATCAACCAGCACAATGAGAACATTGTCGTTTCTCTCCAAAACTCCCTTGCTGATACCAGTATGAATTTTAAAGATATTTTGGAAGTTCGCACACAAAATATGAAAGCTTCCCAAAACCGAACAGAAAAGTTTGTTGCTTCTACTTCTCTAAACACCAACCCTCTTACCAACAATGATGCGACTGCATCACCTTTTAATTATGATGAATCTGAGCCAAATGAAGACTACCTCGCTTTAAATTTAGGAGAAGGTGCAAATACCAGATACGAACAAATGGCGTTGTTGGAAAATCAAACAGATGTTTACTCACAACAAAGGATGTCTTCCATCGAAAGCATTGAAAGTACCATTTCTGAACTTGGTGGAATTTTTTCTCAATTAGCTCAAATGGTGTCCGAACAACGTGAAACGGTCCAAAGAATTGATCTTTACACTGACGATATAGCCTCGAACATAGGTAGTGCTCAAAGAGAAATCCTGAAGTTTTACGATAGGGTATCTTCGAATCGTGCGTTACTGTTCAAAGTCTTCGGCATACTAATAGTCTTTTTCCTTTTGTGGGTACTTGTAACTTAATTTGTGTTTTACAACTGGCTACTCCTCTAATTTCTCCGTATCCGTATTATGATTTGATAATTCACTATCGCCGTTTTCTTGTTCTTTTTTTTTTTTTTTTTATTTTCTGGTTATTGATTATGAATTGCCGCTTCCTTTTACGTCACAGCATTGTTTTTTTTCATTTCCCATATATTCCTGGAATACTAGTCAATACATTCCTTGATATTTCACTCCTTTGATTTTGGTATGAACCTAATCCTCCCCATCATTATCCGTTTCCATTTGTTGTATACTCTCTGTTTCCAACTCTTCTAATTGCCATCCAATTTCAGACTTTTTTGGCATATATTCCATAACCTGATAAGTCAGAGCTTCTAGTACATTGTCACTACAAACTAGTTAGTATTAAGCTGAAGCTTTTTTAAACCTTTATTCACATACTTTGCTGTTTGAATCCAATAAGCATAGTCATTAATAATCATGGTGTTGTAGATGTAGTACACATCATGATGTTCAAATAACGATTTTATACCAAGTAAAACGCGCAAAATCCATCTCTTTCCTAAGCTGAGAATGGCATGAGTATCCTTCCAGCATGTCTCTACCAAATTCCAATTTCGATACAAAGGATAGGCCAAGGCCCGACGGAAGCATGCACAGGCTACATCGTGGATGGTAGAAAAATTTGTATCAAGGCATGCAACATTAGGAGCCATTATTCCTATATTCCAGCCAGATTCACTGCTAGGGTCACCTAAAGTTGTCCGATGATCATAAGCATAAGCGAAAATCAATGCCACCAGATTAAGGTAAATTCTTTTTGGATTTTCAATAATGTACGATTTTCTAGGAAGCGAAAGTAAATTTTGCTTTTCATTCTCGGTAAATTCGAAAGATATTGGGTCACCGGCTTTAGCATGCCTGTACAATTCAACATACTTAGGGGTGTAAGCAATCAATTCATCAATCATCTCATGATCATGAAAATCAGCTAAATAGTACTCCGGGTCAAACTTTTCATCTTCTGTTTGCTTCCGGATTTCGCTCCTCTGTAGCGGATCTGTAACTTCAGGCTCCGGCAACACATTAATCTCATTTCCCTCCAAGTATTTAAGCAATCCAGTATATTGATCGTTAAATCCGTAATTCACTGTAGATGTATACTTCATCTATGAACTATTAGCATAAATCGCCAAGTATATTGGATAGCAAGCTGTTCTACCATACCTTCTTGTCTTCCATTCTTTGAAGCAAACCCCAATCAAAATCTGGGTCATCAAAACGAATATTTCTCCAGTCTATTTCTGGATTAATATCGTCCGCTTGTACATCTCCTTCCGTATTTGCTGCAGATGGGATATCGTTTACTTCTTCAATCAATGCTTTTTTTGGTGCCTCCGGCCTTTCTTTATTGGCAAGCAAGGTTGTCAATAAATCTAAATTAGGAAATTCTTCGCCGGGATTTTCCTTTGCAAATTTAATATGTATCATTCCTTTTCCAATGTCATAGGAAGCATGAGCTCGTTCATCGTCTAAGACGTTTCCTGGAAGCTCTAATCTTAGCTCTTGTTAATGAAATGCGTTAATAAAAGGATTATCTTACTTCAAAAAATATGGAGCAATGCAAAAGTGGATCTCTGATCCCATCGCCTCAATTTCAGCATTTTGCGCCTAAATGTGTAAGTCGTAATATTTTTAAAGGTCATTCTTTACCTTAATATGAGGAGCCTGAATACTCAAATAAATAAAGTCTGCATCTTGCCGCAATTCAAATTTTGGAGTAATCATTGTTTAGGACAGGTTTATGCAAAGACTTAATTCCAACATTCATTTCTAATTCAGTAATGAAAGCACCATCTATTTGAATTATTGTTAGTAGAAAATATAAACTAGAAGAAGAAAGCATCTTTTTCCTAGATTCATTACTCTGCTCCAAAACGCAAGGTGAGGTTCTACGAGCTCATTCTAAGAGAGGCTCTTTGATAGCTTTTACCTAGTTTTGTTTTCACTTCTCTTTTCATTCACTAATGAACAAAAAACGAAACAATCATTGTTTGAGCTTCCTTACTCAAAGACTACCATCAAAAGAAAGGTGAATTAAATATATCCATCGAGATCCTGATGTCTAAAAGTCTTTTCTAAAATAATTATTAGATTGTAAATAAAAGTTGATGATGCATTCACAGTTTTGGTCAATGCGTTTATTCTTTTTAGGTACGCTCAGATATAGCTGACCTATGTATTCTAAAGGTATTTTCATTTAATTTATTGAATCTCAACTGCTAAATTCCTCTCACATATTGAACTGAAATTCTTTTTAGCTAACAAGTATATAAGAGAGAAGTAGTAACTACAGGGTTTAGAACGTTATTCGTTTCGTTGGTACATATATAAAGAAGAAAGAGTTTCATGATTTTAAGTAACGTTGGAACTCTCGCCAATTTAGTTGTCGATATATTCAGACCCACTCATGTAATAAAATGAATGAAACTACCTCCTCTCTGCAAAGAACAGCTTTGTTTCGCTTCATACATTCGGCAATTGAGTCTATAATTAATTAATTAAAAAAGAAATATGAATATATCAAGAAATCTTTTTTCACTGCCTGGGTTAAGGACCCTAACGTGGTGCAAATCATTCTCCTCTTCTGCTTGGTCATGGTCAGGACATAATAGTAAGTAAAAAGCATTTCATTGATGTTTACCACTTGTGTTTCTATTGTGGTGAGTCACAAATGTTGAACTAGAAGTATAGTATTCAAGTTCACAGGTCTTATTATACTGGTCGAGCGAGCTATGAGATTTACAGTTAGACGTTAAGATCAACTGGTTTGTTTTCTCATTATAAATTCTGAAATGATACAGTTCTAACTTTGTATCTACCATGGCCCTACATTATGAAGCACATGAGAGTTTATCCTTGGTAGACTCAGCGTTCTACTCAGTTTTACCCGTAGTTTTCTGTTATATCTAACTGATATTATAGAATGGTCCAAAATCAAGCACAAAAAATCTGCAAATGATCAGGCACGGAGTAAGCAAGTCGGAAAGTAAGCTCAAGAGGTAATTGAAATGATATGAGATGCTTACAAGGATGATAGAATTTCTCAGAGTATCACAATGACAGCACGAACGGAAGGTACAAATCCAGATGTAAATATTCGACTAGCTACGCTTTTAGAACAAGCACGCAAAAACTCTATTCCCAAAAGTGTTATAGAAACAGCAATAAAAAGAGGTTCAGGTGGAGGAGCGGCTGATGGTAATATCATGCAAACTCTTGATTACGAAGGAATGCATCCATCGGGAGTTGGATTTATTGTCGAAACAATTACAGATAATAGGGCTCGTACAGCAGCTAACGTCAAACACATTCTAAAAAAGCATGGCGCATCCTTATCAAATGCAAAATTTTTATTTACAAAGGCGGGAAAGGTCGAAGTGAATCCACCTGCTGATCGCCTTTCCATGGAACTTGGGAATGTACTGGATGATGCAATTGAAGCAGGAGCCGAAGACATAGTCCAGAGACCCGAAGAATACATAGACGAAGAAGACGAGGGTCAATTTGTAATCCTCACCGAGCCTGCTTCTTTAAATGAAGTTGCCCAGTATTTTCGGTCGCAGAAATACGAAATTAAAGATTCCCGAATGATTTATGTACCAATTTCCGACACAGCAATTGACTTGCAATCAAACGAACAAGCAAAAGAGCAAATACAAAATCTGCTTGATGAGTTGTACGACATTGAAGATGTCATGTATATCCATACAAGTGCCATCAATTCCCATTATTTACCATTGAGCAGCTAACATATTTTACTTGGTAATATAATCTTTGCATAAGTTCTTAAAGAATATAAAATCTCTAATTTGTCTTGGATATTCCTGCTATACCTTTCTTTACTAGTTATGATAATCCACGTCTTACCTGCTAATATAAATCAGTCATATTTTTGAAAGAACCAAATGTAATTAAAATATTATATCTAAAATACAACAGTGGAATCATTAAAAAAACGTTTACAATATCGTCCAATAGCGGTAGCATCAACCTAAAAAAATATCCCAGCTAAGTGATATACGCTGACCGCACATTCGATTACAAATCGTTTATGGTCATCAATTTATGTAAAGCGAATCCTTTCAGTTTCTTCGATTAAAGGTTCATTAGGATCACGGTAGTGAACCGTTGATATACTTGGAACCAATCCTCTCTGAACAACTTGAGCTGTCGTGGCAGAGAAATTGGACTGAGTCCGTTTTCGTTGACGGACAGCTCCTGCCACTTCACGTACTAAAACGTCGAAAACTCGATTGACGACGGCCGACTCTGTATCAAGAACATCCACGAAGCTATCGAACGAGAACTTTTCTTGGTCTTCCGGCAAACGATCATTGTATACTTCGAGCGCGTGATCTACCAACTTTTTCGATTTCTGATGAAAACCCGCAACAGAGTCTGCTTGAGAGTCACAATCCGCAAATGACCGACCCATTGCTTTCCTATGTTATTGGCGAAAAATGATCACGAAAACTCGCTTGTTTTAAACAAGCTAGTAAGCTTCAGGTCGGAAATTCCAAATCTTTAGTTCTTTATTCAACTATTATATAAAAGTAGCCTTTATGGTAAAGAGATAATAATCCTCACTTAGTTCCCAAGCTTTAACAAAAGCATTGGCAATTAATTAATAACTCTTCAGATAGTGGTAAACAAGCATAACGAATGCTATAAAAATTGCGGTAAATTGGACTAAGCCAATTGAGGAAATAATAACGAGCCAAAAAATCCAGATATATTCTGTATAGAGAGAGGGGGTTAGAGAATTCATAGTAAAGGGTAGTGTCAACGGTATTTCGTTTATTCCTCAATCTGAAGGAGAGAATCGAACAGATACTCACACAATGACAAAAACATAATGGAGAAATTCGAAGCTTAGTCCAACGTTTAGTCGTTGCTCTTCCCTCACAATCACAAAAGACCCGGTAGTAGCTTCTTTAAAGCTTTCTTATGAGCTCTCTTAGGCTCATGCATTTGGCGCTGTCTAGCTCGAGTGCTACTGGAAGTGCCGCGTACCAAATGTTGTCCTCCAGCATGATGACGGAGTAACGTCTTTTCTTTTCCAGATGGAATCCAACGCTTTTTGGCACCTGAATGGGTCTTCACTCCTCGAATCAGTTCCGTTCGAACGGTACTTGGTATAGAAGAGCGAAACATACTGCGCAGTAGAGAAAACATTTCGACTAGATATAGATATTTCTTTTTTTTTTGAGTAAGGAACGAAATATAATATATATATATATATATATACAATTAAAAGTCCAAGACCTGCGAGATTTATATATTCTTGTTGCTACTACGCGCAGGTTAGCAGCTACTTGCTATACCAAGTCTTGTCACTTACCATTGATACTTTGGTAAAGTAACATGGAGAAAACAGCATAAACCAATATTTTCTATCCTTGACCTTTTGAAATTAACTTGAGAAAATGGATAATCGCAGTGATTCTGAGATTGATTGGGAGAATGAAGGTACGACATCGGATTTCCGTATATTCTTGTTTTGCAGAACAGCAGGAATGACTAGTTGCCGCCAATCTTGTCGTAACCGAGCAATATGCAAAGGAAGCTTCAAGATATCTTTTTACTTGTAAATTTACGTTTGCATAAAAATAAAGACTTGCCTGGTGTTCTTAAAACTTGATATTTTACTGACTGGCTTGAATAATATACTAACTCTTTAACAAGCAGAAGAAGTCTGGGAGGAAGATTTAGAGTTTACTTGTCTGTTTTGTAAAGATGTATTCACATCTTTGGACAGCTTATGGAGCCATTGTAAACAAGGTAAGTAAACCATTGCATTGAACACCTTCACTTACTATCTCTTAGTACATGATTTCGATTTCAAAAGTGTAAAGAAGGATCACCATTTGGAGTTCTATGACTGTATAAAGCTTATTAATTACATTCGATCCCAAGTATCAAAAGAACAACCAGTTGATTACAAAAACTTATCTACTGTACTTGCTTCCGATGAATACATGATTTCGGTTTTACCTGACGATGCTGTTTTGTTTTCGTTGGGTGAGACCTTGGAGTCAGATTCTGAAGAAGATGTTCTCGATGTTGCTGTCGATAACAAAAATAACAGTTCAAAAGAAGAAGAGTTGAAGTCGTTGAGACTGCAGGTGAAATTGCTTAGTACTCAAATGGAAGAAATTAGAAAAGAAAAATTGGATGACCTTACTTCTCAAACGGCAAATTCATCATTACAGGAACCTGGAAAGGTGTTAGATAATGACTCTTATTATTTTGAGTCATATGCTGGAAACGATATCCATTTTGTCATGTTGAGTGACGCTGTAAGAACGGAGGGTTACAGAGATTTTATCTACGAAAACAAGAATTTGTTTAAGGGAAAAACTGTTTTGGACGTCGGATGCGGAACAGGTATTTTGTCTATGTTTTGTGCTAAAGCGGGAGCTGCCCAGGTTTATGCAGTTGACAATTCTGATATCATTCAAATGGCAAGGACAAATGCCTACGAGAATAATTTGGCAGACAAAATAACTTTTATCCGAGGAAAGATTGAGGAAATTCAGATACCTGTTCCCAAGGTCGACATTATTGTGTCTGAATGGATGGGCTATGCCTTAACATTTGAGAGTATGATTGATTCAGTTCTAATTGCCCGGGACCGATTTTTGGCTGAAGATGGTCTCATGGCTCCTTCTGAAACTCGATTGGTTTTGAGTGCAACTACCAACAGTGAGATTTTAGAAGAACCCCTTGATTTCTGGAGCGATGTCTATGGATTTAAAATGAATTGCATGAAAGATGCTTCTTTTAACCGGGTCAATGTTGATGTTATTCCTGCTTCATATATTAGTGCGGAACCCTTTGAATTCGCTACCATTAATATGCACACATGTAAGGTTAAAGACGTTAGTTTCAAAAATCCTTTCTCAATTAAGATGACATCCTCTGGTCCTTTTTGTAGTTTTTTGATTTGGTTCGACACCTACTTTACCGCTACAAAGGATGAACCTGTCCCATCATCCGTGGATAAATCATTTGGCTTTTCGACAGGTCCTCACTGTACACCTACTCATTGGAAACAATGCACTCTAATACTACGCGAGCGTCCTTATGTGGAAGCTGGGACTGTGATTGAAGGATCTATCGCCTTTATAAAAAATTCTGCCAACAATCGTGATCTGGATATTGAAGTATCTTACCTTGTTAATGGAAGAGAGTACACACAGTCGTTTATTTTGAATTAAAAAGATCCTATTGGATACATTGTATTATTGACAGCCTGTATACTTTTTCTTTTAAACATCTACATATGTTTAGCTTGGTCATTATAGAAGGGCAATTTTGGAATGCGGCTAATTGGTCTATGGATGGTTTTTAACATAGAAATAATTTATTTTCTTATCTAGTTAATTGATGCTTGGGCTTTGTTTTATTTTTAATAAAACTTTTGAGTAGTAACTAGGAATTCTCGTCGTTTTTATATAAGTTGAACGATACATTCTTTGTAAGACTACTCGAATACCGTACTGTAGCGTACATATTTCAAGAGTAGAACTCCTACACTTACCAGTTTTCTGCATTTTTATAAAAGGGAAGTAGAATGAATTGCAATACTCTTTACGTGAACAATTTAAACGATAAAATAAACAAAAATGACCTGAAAGTATCTTTATATGTTTTATTTTCTACATATGGAACTGTCGTTGATATCATTGCGTTGAAGACACAAAAAATGAGAGGTCAAGCGCATATTGTTTTTTATGATGCTTCTGCTGCAGCAATTGCTATGAAAGCTCTAAAGAATACTCAGTTTTTTGGAAAGGAAATGGTAAGCAGGTTGAGCAGACATTCAAGTACAAAACTAATTCTTGAAATTAGCGGATCGACTTTGCAAAGACGCAAAGTAAAATGATTGAACGAATTTATGGTTCGGAACCAAGAGGTCCATTGAAACGTTCACGAGAGGACGCCGATGTTGACACTGAAGATGCTGGATTGCTGAAAAGGGCATCCTAAATCTATTTCCTGAGCTCTTTATGTTTCCATCAAATTACCTTGAATCTTTGAGAATATCAACTTACAACTTTACGTTATTACTTAAGTTGGCTTAACGGTTATGAGCTATCACACGCACTTAGAATTTCCCATTAATTTCTAGATATCTTCATTAACAATTCCTTACTCGAGGATCGAAACCTCTCTTTTGGCTTTTATAGCAGATGAAAATACGAATTGCTTTTTTTTGATCTTTAGATTCTCTATGGATTTAGAGGAGGACCTAGTTGTTTATTAGCGAGCTTTAACGCATTATATGCTCTTGACACATTTACTTGTTACGACCTTTTCGGTAAGTCGAACAGCATACAATTATGCCAAAAGATGTGTCTTTGGATTTTTTACCATCTAGCTTTCCAAGTTGCGAATGCTCTAGTGATGGAAAGTTAGCCTTCTGTAACGGCGGACGCGTACAAATTTTGGTAAGCCAAAAAAGCCGGCTTTTTCTCAATCTTAACCATAAATAGACTCCTTCACATGAAATTAATACTCCAAAATACATCAAATCACTCGCTATATTGGAGAATTATGATGAAAATGAACGAATGTATTCGCGTAGGTAGCTTACAAATAGACATAGAATTGTAAGAAAGCTAGTTAATGATACTAATTCTGAAAAAGCAAAAGACCTGCGCATTGGTGATTTAATATTAAATCATACAGCTCGGCAGGTTGCATGGTCTCCTACAGGAATTTCCGAAAACTATGGGTACGTGCTTTGACCGTAAATATCATGATGGACCAAATATTGCACATCCTTATGATATTTGAAGTGTCAATTATCAAATTAACACAACTTAGATGCTTGCTTGCGGTTTTAACAAACCGATATCAGGTGTATATCTATTCCTCTACAAGTAAAATTCTGCACATGAATTGGAAGTGTGTATGCCATATAAACAGTTTTTTACCGCAAGGGAATCTTAGTTCTTTACGCATACATGTACTTGCTTGGTCATCTCTACTTTCTCTGCCCCGGCTCTCTCCATGGGGTATTTGTTTACTAGGTTTGGGAGCAGAAGATGGAAATGTCCATGTAATGTGTGTACACAGGAATTCAGAGATGGTTACAAAATCCGTTAATCTCAAATGTGGATGGCTAGTTCGACTCTCCTTTTCGTCATGGTCTGTCCACAATCATACAGCCGTCTGTAACCTTGTCTGTGTATCACAGAGTGGCAGCATTTATATTATTCGTGTTTCTTTAGACCTTTCAACCGGTGATTACGAAATGCATCATGAAGATTTTCCTTTTACAATTGATTATCGGTCTATAGCACCAGCTATAACCTGGTCTCCTGTAGTCAACGACAGTGAATACCTTGCGCTTGCTTATCCAAATACCATTTATGTTTCGTGTTATAGCAAATTAACTGGGGAGTTTGTTTCCATCGCGACCCACAAACTTACTTCATTGGCTTCACCCGTCGGTGTTTTCTTTGCTCGTAATGATAAAAGCCAAATTCTCATGTATATCTTGACTTCTCTAGCTGAACTTCAAGTTATAGTTTTGGAAATGACTTCAAGCAATATGATTAGCAATATTACAGAGCTTCCTGAAAAGCAACTTCTTGAAAAATTTCTAGCGCATCGCTTGCAAAGCTACGGCTCCACTTCGGAATCGTCAAAAAGTTTACGGATACATGCATTTTGTCCTTCACCTTTTTCATCAACGGCTATTATACATTTTAGTGTTTCATACCCAAACAGCTTTATTTATATTGCTTCAGCGATGGAACGAAGTTTTTGTGCTTATTCTCCTGCCATCGCTGTAGAAACAACATTTTCTCATTTAGTTAGTTCTTTCCTTACAAATTGCTGCTTTTTACCAGCGGAAGGCTGTTTCTATGAATTTTCTTTATTGGAAGGTAACAACAAAGTTGACTTTGACATATTAAAATTGCTGTCAGAAAGCTTATCCCAACTCTTAATTTCCGATTTTGATTACTGTTTAAGATTCAAAGATCCAACATCCTTTTCTAATTTAACCAGCATTTTTTTTGATCCTTCTTTGAATGCATTACGTCTTCTATATGGTTGGAGCGTCTACAGCCAGAAAAGTCTGAACCTTTCAATATTTTCTTCTTTGCGTAACCGATTAGTCCTTTCTCTTATGGTTTTCGCTTTAAGCAAGTTGTTGTCGAACGCTAACTATTTAACCGTTACTTGTAAAACCATTTTAAAAAACTGCGTTTCATTGACATATAAAGAATTATCTGAAGTCCCAACTGCACTTGAAGTTGCCGATCGAATTGCCAAGTTCATTGATATTCCTTCTGCCTTTGAAGAAGTATGTCCTGCTTGTAAAAGTCATATTGAATTTACGAATGAAGCAATAGCAACTTGCAATAAAGGTCATGTTTGGCAACGTTGTTCAATAACTATGCTAATACTACATCAACGGACAGCTAGATACTGCTCAATCTGTAAATCTGTTACTGTTGACTGGGGGTCGTTGAATATCCAGAGCGCATGTTTTACAAAAGAAGTTCAGGAAGAATTGGGTATCTGTTATTTTTGCGGTGGTCATTACTTATCATGATTTTAGATATAATAAAATTTTTACGATAGAAATTTGAAAGCTATTATGCTTCCATATGACCTTACATTTCTTATATTTATAAAATATATATACTTAAATATCACTCAAAATATGGAAGCTATTTTAAACACCACCTTCTGTTAGTTGAAATGAGTAAAACTTTTTGTAGTGACCTAGAGCTTAAGAAGACTCAAAACGAAAGAAGCACCTTGAACATCTTGTTCTTCTGCAGCAATTAAACCGGATTGCTCGTTTTCACTACCTTTCTCTATACCGCGACGCAAAACCTTAATAAACAAAGCATCATTAGCCTCAATGGCTTTTTCTAACCCAATGGTATCATTCTTGAAAGCGTAAGTCATGCGAACGTCGTCGGTAACTTGTAATTGACTCTTTTTACGAAGACGCTGGACACGGTTAATAACCTCACGAGCCAAACCTTCAGATTGTAACTGAGGGTCATTTTCGGTGTCAAGCAGAACAATACAAGTACCATCAGTGTTGGACTTCAAATGTTCGTTTTCATTTTGTACAGATCGTATAATCTGCAAGTCACCTTCAACCAACTTGATGCCATCAAGAAGCATCTCCCCATTCTTCTGGAATTGTTTAACGTCTTCGGTGGTAACACTGGGAAGAGCCTTCTTAACGCGTGCCATATCCTTACGAAGCTTCTTACCCAAAACAGGCCAATCAGCTTGTGCACTGTAAACGACGCCATATTTTTCTTCATCATCGGTGAATATGACTTCACGCACATTTAGTTCTTCCAAAATATAAGACTCCAATGACTTAGCATCCTCAAGGTATTCAGGATCTGTAACGATAACAACAAGACTTCTCAATGGTGTCTTCAAAGAGATATTGTTTTGTTCACGCACATAACGAGCAAGTTCAATAATAGTTTGCATGCGCTTGACGCGGCGCAAAACAGCCTCATCTGAAAGCTCTTCTCTATATGAGGGAAAAGGAAGGAAATGAACCGAGCGCAAAGAGATGTCATTATGATCAATATCCATATAGTTTCTAAGTTGCTGGTAAATGTTTTCAGTAATGTAAGGAGTAAAAGGAGCCATAATACGGGCGAGAGTAAACAAAACAGTGAAAAGGACATTCAAAGCCACAACAGTCTCCTGCTCACCATTTTCACCCTTCAATCTACGTCTGTTGAAACGGATGTACCAGTTTGTCATTTCTTCAATAAGACCAAGCAATTGAGGAACAACAGTATATAGGCGGTACTGTTGCATTTCTTGATCGACGAATTGAATAAGATATTGACAGCGAGCAAGAATCCAGCGATCCATGACATTCTTGCTAAGCTCGGCATCTTCATTATAGACGAAATCTTTGCCAGTGACCTTCTTGTATAAAGCTGCTTGGCCATCAAAGAATTTGTAACTATTCCACCAAGGAATCAAGACTCTGGTAACGACCTCTCTCACACCATCTTCCTTAAACTTCAAAACTTCGGCACGAACAACCGGAGAATTGATTAAGAACAAACGGAGTGCATCAGAACCATACTTTTCAATAACATAATTAGGTTCAGGATAATTCTTAAGACGCTTGGACATTTTCTTTCCGTCTTCAGCCATGACCAAACCGCTAACTATTACGTTCTTATAAGGAGCGACACCATGTAATAATGTTCCCAATACGGTTAATGTGTAGAACCAACCTCGAGTTTGATCAACACCTTCAGAAATGAAATCAGCTGGGAAACCGTTCATGAACGTGTCGCCGTTTTCAAAAGGATAGTGACGAGAAGAATAAGGCATGCTACCTGATTCAAACCAGCAATCAAAAACTTCGGAAACACGGTGAAGAGTACCTTTACCTTGCTTTGAAGGGATAGTAATATGGTCAATATTATCTCTATGAAGATCCTTTATGCCAGTAACACCAGAAAGCTCCTCAAGTTCCTTGACTGAACCGATACAAATAATTTCTTCGTAATCATCACTGGCCCATAAAGGAATAGGAGTACCCCAGTATCTGTTACGTGAGATGTTCCAATCACGGGCATTACTAAGCCAATTGGCAAAGCGCTTATCACGAATATTTTGAGGAACCCAATGTGTTTTCATAACATTGTCTACCATCTGATCAGTAATACCCTTCACCTTAACAAACCAACTGGGTACAGTACGGTAAAGGAGGGGTGTGTCGGAACGCCAACAGAAGGGGTAACTATGGAAAATTTGACTATGACGGACTAGAGATCCTCTATTCTTTAGAGTGCGGATAATTTCTTTATCGGCATCCTTGACGTATTGCCCAACAAAGTCAGAAATTGCTTCAGTATAGCAACCCTTTTCATCAATAGGGCAGGGAGCAGGATGATCAGCATCGATGATACCATTTGCCCAAGCCGCATCATAATCTGCTTCACCGAAAGCAGGAGCTTGATGAACAATACCAGTACCAGAACCTTCCTCAACGTAATCAGCACCGTAAATAACAAACGCACGTTCTTGATATTCGGAGGCGAAGTAAGGGAAAAGAGGTTTATACTTCAATCCGTTTAATTTAGAACCATTGAAGCGTTCCAAGATTTCGAAGCTAGCCTTTTTGGGATTCTTGTAAAGAGTACCAAGACAAGCCTCTTGTATGATATATTTCTTATTGGACTCCTTATCTAAAATCTTTAGATATTCTAGTTTGGGGTTTACAGCTAAAGCCAAATTGGAAGGCAATGTCCAAGGGGTGGTAGTCCAAGCTAGAACGCCAACTTCAGGATCATTGACAAGTTCGAAAGCAACAACAACGGCAGGATCAGGCACCTCCTTGTAATTTTGTTGAGCTTCAAAGTTACTCAAAGGCGTGGTGCAAGCAGTAGAATAAGGCATAACACGGAATCCACGGTAAACCTTGTCCTTTTTGAAGAGTTCCTTAAAAACCCACCAGATACTTTCCATGAAGGAAGGGTACAAAGTCTTATAGTCGTTATCAAAGTCAATCCAACGACCCAAACGCTCGACAGTTGCACGCCATTCGGAAGCATAAGTCATTACAATGTTTCGACACTCAGCATTATATTTGTCAATGCCAATTTTCATGACATCCTCACTTCTGGTAATGCCAAGCTTCTTGTCGATTTCATGCTCAACGGGCAAACCATGAGTATCCCAACCAAAACGACGTTCAACGTGGTAGCCCTTCAGACAGGCATAACGAGTAACACTATCCTTGATTGTAGAAGCAAGTAAATGTCCATGATGCGGGAGACCAGTCGCAAAAGGAGGACCGTCAAAGAAAGTGAATTCAGGGCGTCCTTCAGAAAGCTTTAGCTGGGTGCGAAAGGCATCAATTTCGCGCCAAAACGCTAGAACCTTTTCTTCTTCTTTAGGTACATTAAATGACATGCTGAATAATTTTTGTAATAGGCTTTAAAGCCGCTTTTACAGCTTTTTCAGCAATCAGCAGTTGGTTAGTGTATATGTAGATGGGAACTGTTGATTTATAAAAAGGTGGACTGCAAATTTTAGTAAACGCGAACATGTATCACTATCCTATTTTAACGTAGCCAAAGTTTGCTATACGATTGTTTAGTGTGCCGAAGAAAACTAACGAAACTGTGAATAGTGACAAAGAAAGCGATCGTTATTCGTCCTGCCAGCAAGGAACTTCTGTAATAAACAAAAACGCTGTTTGCTGGTACATTTCTGATCCTGTAAGTGGAATGGTTCAACTAAAGAGTTGCAAATAACATGAGCAAAAATGTTGCTCAAAATAGAGACATAGAGCATGGTCGAAGAACCATGCCTTCAGAGCTACGTCGTGGTATGAAGTGTAAACAATCCTTAATGAGCGAAACTGACTGAAAAATGTTAAGACTTAGAGATTTTGCGAAGAATATTGTTGCGGCTTAGTGCTTCAAAAGATGACTCCTCTCCATTGTCAGTTTTTAAGGCGTATGAAAATGTATTACGAGAAAACGGGCTTAGTCCTTCTGAAAACCGTTACTATATTCGTGTTTTATTCCGTTTGATTTCTACGAAGCGATACTCTTGGGAGCAGGAATGGAAAAATTTGATGTCAAGAATGGGGTTTTCTCACTTGTCATCAAGTTTACAAGCTCCATTAACTTATTCTTCGAATGAAGTTTCTGACGATCCATTTACCGTTCACGATTTGAATAATAAAAAATCCGATTTTCAAGAAAAGGAAAATTTCAGAATCGGTAATAATTTTGCTACCAATGCTGCGAAAACGATTAAGTCGCTTTCAGCAATGTCTCGTTTGGCAGACCAGTTTCGTTCTATTCGTGAGCATCAGTTGTTAGCGACAACCTTTTATTATCTTCTTGATAAACACATGTATCAGAAAAAAATAAGTACAATCTACGAGCGAAAATCCACTGCTGTACATCGCGCTTTTTTGTTGCTTAAGTATTTCCCGGCGTGGGTACAAAGAATGCGCCAGGTACGGGAAGTCATGTATACAGCTGAAAGCGCATATAACTTAGTTGTCCAAGAAAATTTTATGTACGCATGGCGTAAAAAAACGCGAGAGGTATATGCACGATACATTGAAGAGCAAAGAAAAGAACTTCTTCAGAAAACTATCCATCAATGGAATAAACTAGCAAATAAGTGGAAGGAAAAGCATGAACGGATTCTTTTGTTGCGATTCTTTATTCAGTGGAAGCTTCGACGGAAACAGCAATGTAATAAACGAAACGAAGCAGTGAACTTTTATTATTATTCTCTATGTAAAAATGGGTTGCGGAAATGGAGATTAAAGTTCAGCATATCCACTGTAAGAAAAGCTCAGAAAAAGGGTGTATTAGTGAATACATTTGTGAAATGGCAAAACACTCTCGTGAAGAAACAACAGCTAAGAGATAAAGCAAACTCTGAATTTATCAGCAATTCTAAGAGAACTTATGTGTTAAAATGGTATTCAAAAGCTTCAAATCACTATACCCTATATGAAGAGGCTGATGAATATTATTATGGCTTGTTGCTTCAAAAAACGCTTATTTACTGGAAGTCAAAGACGAGTGCATATGAGAAACTTGACGTTTGGACCAATGAGCACGATGTGGAAATACTAAGGGCTACGTTTAAACGTTGGAGACACCAGTTTTCTCGAATAGTAGATGGCCTGCAACTTGCAGATTATATTTTACAGGACACCTTTCTGACAAGGTGGCGATTAGCTATAAAAACAAGTAAGTTTCAAAAAATGAGAGACTACGCACTCTTGGCTAGGGTTTATAAGTTTTGGCGTATCAAAGAGAAAGAACGTGCCTTTGGGTATCATTATAATCAGCGACTGGTGGTGAAAGTTTGGGATGCTTGGGTCGACCAAACACAAGGGCTTCTAGAAAACAAGGAAACTGCAGAATATCTTTATCAAAAGCGCTTAGCAAAGACAGCCAAGACTTTTATTTTAACTTGGCGCATGAAATTACTGGAACATGAAGAATTGCTTATCCATGGCGATGATGTCCATGAGAAAAAAACTAAATTAAACGTTTGGAACAGATGGAAGTACATTATGCAAAGAAAAACTAGACTTCGCTGGAGGGCTGATTTGATGTACGACAAAAAACTTGTGAAACTATCAATGAAAATATGGAGAGATGTTTGTGAAGAAGAAATTACCATAAAATTGGAAACGAAGGTAGTTGATTTTCAAGCGTCAATGACTGAGAAGCTAGTAGATCGTTACTGGAACATATGGATAGAAAAGGCTATGAATCTTTCCACACTTGCGGTGGTGGCCGATCGGGCACGGCAGCGAGTATTAATAAGGGCTTATGAGACGTGGTCCTACCGACACAATAAACTGAAAGAAAAAGTAGAGCGAGCAGAACATTTCTACAATGAACGATTATTACGTTCCGCATCAATATTTTGGAGATATCAACTGCGGGCAGTACAGTTTTTGCAAAATATTAGTGAATGGAAGCGACGGGAATTTGACAGAGGAATTATGCGCCGGACGTTTGATTCTTGGAATCTGTTGACATTCCGCGTCACGAGCCATACAATGCAAGCCGAGCGATTTTACCAACAAAAACAAAGCAAACTTCTGGGTAAGATGTTTCGAAGGTGGATTCAGCGGTATCATGTAAATATTGAAGACTCATCGATTTTGGAAAACTCTACAGGTATTGACGATTATTCCAGTTCGATGCATGCGTTTGACACAACAATGCCTATGCAATATGATAGTGTTTTGGGGACTCCGGCGAATTTTCAGCGACAATGGAAACAAGAGCTGAAAACACCCATTTCTAGATTCTCCAAATACTTGCGACCTATACCTCCTAAAACACAATAAAACTCTTATGCTATACTAATTTTAATTTCGATAGAATAGTCCAAATTTACAGTATGAAATATTAGCTTTCGTATGCATTTTAAAGAAGGGAGACTACAGTTATACTCCAACCGTATCATCAGTGATAGTAATACAAGATATAAATAAGGCTTTAAATCCTGAATACAGAACGAATAAATAGATTAAACATAACCTTTACGCTACAATTGCTACAGCAGAATAACAAGAAAAAAAAAAGAAAAGAAAACTCATAAGAAGTATGCATAAATTAAACCAACATCAACCAAGAAATGTACATTAAGAAAGCTTTGACGAAATCTTCTCAAGCGTAAGGGGATGCGAAAAGAATGTAAGTTGCAATCAAAGAGCATAAATAGAAATCGTTTCAAACTACCAATTTTCAGGTTTAAGCGCGTTCACCGCGAAGACGACGAGCCAATTGCATATCCTTGGGTTGAATAGTGACACGCTTACCGTGAATAGCACACAAGTTGGTGTCTTCGAAGAGGGAGACAAGGTAAGCTTCGACAGCTTCTTGAAGGGCACCGACTGCAGAGGATTGGAAACGCAAATCAGTCTTGAAATCTTGGGCAATTTCACGAACCAAACGTTGGAATGGAAGCTTACGAATCAACAATTCAGTAGACTTTTGGTAACGACGAATTTCACGAAGAGCGACGGTACCGGGACGATAACGGTGAGGCTTCTTGACACCACCAGTAGCCGGAGCAGCCTTACGGGCGGCCTTAGATGCAAGTTGCTTACGAGGAGCCTTACCACCAGTGGATTTACGTGCGGTTGCTAGCGCCAAGCCTTTGGCCCGCCTTTACGCTACAATTGCTACAGCAGAATACAAGAAAAAAAAAAGAAAAGAAACTCATAGAAGTATGCATAAATTAAACCAACATCAACCAAGAAATGTACATTAAGAAAGCTTTGACGAAATCTTCTCAAGCGTAAGGGGATGCGAAAAGAATGTAAGTTGCAATCAAAGAGCATAAATAGAAATCGTTTCAAACTACCAATTTTCAGGTTTAAGCGCGTTCACCGCGAAGACGACGAGCCAATTGCATATCCTTGGGTTGAATAGTGACACGCTTACCGTGAATAGCACACAAGTTGGTGTCTTCGAAGAGGGAGACAAGGTAAGCTTCGACAGCTTCTTGAAGGGCACCGACTGCAGAGGATTGGAAACGCAAATCAGTCTTGAAATCTTGGGCAATTTCACGAACCAAACGTTGGAATGGAAGCTTACGAATCAACAATTCAGTAGACTTTTGGTAACGACGAATTTCACGAAGAGCGACGGTACCGGGACGATAACGGTGAGGCTTCTTGACACCACCAGTAGCCGGAGCAGCCTTACGGGCGGCCTTAGATGCAAGTTGCTTACGAGGAGCCTTACCACCAGTGGATTTACGTGCGGTTTGCTTGGTACGTGCCATTTCAGTAAAGTGATTAAGGAATTAAAAGAAATTTGCTTTAAATAAAACAACGATGATTAGCGATTTCTTCTGTAGAAATCGATGATAGCAGCATTCTTCTTTATATACAAGTAGAAGATCAATAACCCTAACCCTCATCAAAATCAAGAGCACCAAGTACGCGACGCGTTGAGAATGCTATAAATAGAGGAAATTTCACTTCAACTAAACAAAACACTTCCTCTTGGAATTGATTTGATTTTAAAGAACTATTAATAAACAATGTCTGGTCGCGGTAAAGGAGGAAAAGGATTAGGAAAGGGTGGTGCCAAGCGTCACCGTAAGATTCTGCGTGACAACATTCAAGGTATTACCAAGCCCGCAATTCGCCGTCTTGCTCGTCGTGGTGGTGTCAAGCGTATTTCCGCTTTGGTCTATGAAGAGACTCGTGCTGTCTTAAAATTGTTCTTGGAAAGTGTGATTCGCGATGCTGTCACCTACACTGAACACGCCAAGCGTAAGACTGTCACTTCTTTGGACGTTGTCTATTCCTTGAAGCGTCAAGGCCGTACCATTTATGGTTTCGGTGGTTAAACAGGGTATACTGTAGTCTTTCTACATATAAGACTTTTGCCAACTTGGAAGTCTATGAGTTGTCTTGTTCAAATCATCTATTCTGGACAACTATTTGAAGTGATCCTTATGCAATATGATGCCAATTGGTATAAAACATAATGTGCAAAACTTACAGCAATGCGAAACTTCTCTGACACTAATTTTCCAAGATGCTGAGCATCTAGTATATGTCAGTTGGCTCCGGTAGCACTGATTTCAAAGTTGTTTATATTACATATTTAATGATATTATGGATTATGATTCTATACTATGTGAAATGTTGGTTTATACACAAAAATAGTAGAATTGTTAGTAAACTATGTAATGCGTATCAAAATCTCAAATTTGTTTGTATTTGTATTAATGAACCAAGAGCAATCACACCTATCCCGAAACTAACTTTCCTTATATATATCTAAGTCGACTTAAAACTAACAATCGGGCATGTGGTGTAGATGGTTATCACGCTTCCTTAGCATGGAAGAGGTCCCAGATTCGAGTTCTGGCTTGTCCAATTTTTTATGGTATTTATTTTTACCTGGTAATTGTTGCGGTTAAACTAGAGTACAAGGATAGAAGAGTCTGTTGATCCTTGTTCTTTTACTGTTTTTCTCTTTCATCGCATAACGCACAGAATCTTCCATTCATTGAATCCTTCGTTTGAAATATATTAACGAGGAAGTATCGATCGTCACTTCCCTATTAATTTGCTTGGTAAAAATGGTAGAAGGCAGGGACAAGAGGAAGGGAAAAAGAGTATAAAAGCTTGTTCGTTTAAGTTGTTCAAAGCATACAATATCCAAACAAAAGCTCATTTTTCTTGCTTTAGCTCAGATGTCTTGTGACAATGGATGGCAGCAGCCTTGTTCTCGTTTTATGCACTACATCAACAACGAAGGACGACCAACTTTTTGCTCCAAAAACGAAACAATAGAAATAATAGAAAGAAAAAATAAATAAACAAAAAAAACTCATTTACCAACTGATTACAGACGCTTTCTTTTGCTCTCGCTTCTCTTACTTTGTCTTTCGGCGAGGAACATGTTACCTAAATTGACATACATGCAATGTCTAATATTTATGGATAGACGTGACATTAACAAACCACGACAACACGTTGTAAAATAACCATTGTCTTTCATCAAACGGAAGCTCTCATTTATTCTACGATATTGTGCTATTTTATAAAGCAGTCTGCTAAGCATTGGTCGCACCGAACCAGCCATTTAAGTGAAACCTTCGTTTGTCGTTCCTAATTCAAAGTACCTAAATTTGAAGTATAAAAATGCCATTGTTCAATACTTCTCTGTTTCGTTTTCGATTGTCATCTCTCCATCTTTCTTCGAGAACATTGGGGGTTTACTTTGCTGGGGTCATGGTACGTCGCTATAAATCCAATTTACTTGATCAATTTTCTGAACGGGAAAATGCTAACCACTATTAGTTTGCCTCTGCTGTATGGGTTTTTATAGATACTGCACTTTATAGCGCTTTTAATTATGGTAGCACGCTGCATATCACCTTCGTCGACTGGATCCCATTCCTATGTTCTGTTCTTGGCATGATCATGTACGTTTATTCTAATTTCATTTCCAATACTTACATTCAATGGAACTAACATTTTTCTGCTTTAGTGTCAATTCTATTGACAAGTCTCGTCTTAGTGGTGATTCCTTTGCATATACGGATGAAAGCCTAGCTAGAAAAGCTCGGTTTATTCTCTTTATCGGGTTTGCTTTACTTGCCGGTGGTTTAGGTGGAAGCTTTACCGTATTCATTCTCAAGTACGTCGTCCCCGGCTATTCCCTTACAATGGGTATTGCCAATGTTGTGTGCAACGTACTTTTTATGATTAGCGCAACCACTCTTTGGATCACTGGTAATATGAACGATGATTATCACTATAATTTACAGCTTTAATAACTCTACTTGTTTCCCTTACATAGTCTACCATTTTGTTGGGATTACATCAGTTCCAATAATCTCTTCCCTTTAAATTTTCAGACCCGAGACACCGTTGGATTGCATATTATTGTCAAAATCTAGCAAGTCGCCTTGATAATGTATATATATATATATATATAATATGTGAATGAATTAAAATTTGACACTTTCCTAAGTGTTCTTATTCTTTCTTCAGCAATGACAAATTACATGTGTAAGGATTTACAGAATTTACTTGAAATGGCACGAGACGAAATAAATATACTCATATACGTTTTCAAAACTTGACGGGGTTGTTTTAGGAAAACCGTATTCTTCGTTATTATATTCATTATTTTTACTTTCTTCATTTTTGAGATTATTAAATTAAAAAATGCCATTACGCATCAATCGTTTCTTATCATATACTGTTTTAAAAGGTGAAAAAGACCTACGCTAGTCTGGGTATGCATAGGTAATTTTAAAACGAGGTATTAAATGCAAGGAACTATATTCCAAGCATAAGAAAAATGAATGTATGACCGCAGAAACATGAGAAAGCAGATCAAGCGGGGGAGGAAGCAAAGAAATAAAACATCGATATATCAAGCATCATAAAAATATGATTTTGGAGCCACAGGACTAGAAGGACAAAACTAAAACATAAAGAGAGCGTGCAACAAAGCCTAAAAGAGAGATAGAGAGAGAGAGAGAGGGAGAGGGGAAAGATGTCGATTCCCAAGAAAAATGACCGTGCACATAAATGGCTTGTTTTAACACGTCACGCAAAACGAAGGAAAAACAACTCAAACATCGAGGTTTGCCTGTTTGACCAAAATAGGCTTGAAATTATTAATATCAACATCGAGGTTTTCGTATTCATGCGGCGGTAGTATGCTCTTATTAAGGTTAGGACGAATGGAAAGCTCCTCCAGAGAAAAGTTGAATAGCGGAGGAAGTGGTAAATCGTGAATAGCTGCATCTCTTTCAACGCTATATCTTACATTCGGATCGCGTAATTCATCGAAAAACGGATGAGTTAGGACTTCAATTGAAGAAATACGTTTGGAAGGTACATAAACCAAAACCTTCTTTAGTAGATCTAAAACGTTCTTCGGTACGTGTTTCGGAAGAATTGATTCTAGAAAGTGTGGACGAACGTTTGGTAAAGCGTGATGGACGTAATTAGGATTCATGGATGTAATTTCTTGTTGACTAGGGGTTCCAAGAACTTTTATAATCTCCACCAGTTGCTCCACACTGCTATCTCCAGGAAACAATGGGCGTCCTAAAATTAACTCAGCTATAACACAGCCAGCTGACCAGACATCAATTTTGGTTGTATAATGGGTAGCTCCAAACACCAATTCAGATGCCCTGTAATAACGCGAGCAAATATAAGAGACGTTGGGTTCAGAAGGAATCAATATTTTTGCGCTTCCAAAATCACATAGTTTCAAAATACCAGTTCGATAATCGACTAAAAGGTTCTGGGGTTTAATATCGCGGTGGCAGATTCCTGTGCTATGTAAGTAGGAAAGAGCACGGAAAATCTGGAATGCGTATATTTTAATGGAAAGTGTAGAAAGAGATTTGTGACGTCGAGTGTACCATCTCATATCCTCAAACACGGTTTCTGGTAAGTATTCAAGCAACAACGATAAATGAGTTTCGTCATTTGTTGGATTGTAGGTGTGAAAAAATGCTATCAAATTTACAATATTCTGGTGGGATATAGCACGCATAATTTGGAGCTCTCGATTCTATAACAAAAAGTGTTAGCATGGTCCTTTTCATTAAAGGATAGGTTGTAGAAATTCAAATTCGTCTAATGAATGTTTCACCAACCTATTTTTGTAAACGAAAGAGAGCGTGACTTAAGTCTAATACCTACCTTGTATCGTTTATCCTGGAACACACGTTTAACAGCAATGAATTGTTGGCTTCCTACTATTTTTGCTTTCATAACAACGCCAAAACTCCCCGAACCTATGACTTGAAATACCTCATAGGAAAGTGTCCGTTCTTCCCCTGTTTTTGGGTCCAAGACGACTTTTGTTTCTACTTGCGAGTCATCTAATTTCAGTTAGTGTTTTATTTTACCAATTCGTGAACATTACCACTCATTTCTTAATTTTGTTTGTGTTTGGTTCACTGCATCTACGTTTAAAAACATACTTGTGATCATACGTCACCTGACCTCGGTTTGTTGTTTGTATAAGCAAATAAAACACGGAATTACAACGTAATACAGTATGTAGTATAGTGTAAGATGAAACTATATGAAGCAATATGTTAATTAATGTAGTATTTTCTGTAAACAAAAGGTAAAAAAAAGATGGTAATGTCTGTAACAAACATTGGAGACTTTATCATTGAAGAGAAATTCTATTAATTAGATATTTTTTTTTAATACTTAAAGCTTCATTGTGTTTGAAAGACGTGTTGTATCTCAAGTTCTTATTCAAACGTGTCCTTATTAGAGCGAAAGTATCAAAATTCCACATCAATTCTTTGGTTCATTTTCTTTTCTTTTTATAAACACAACAACTGCCATTTAGTACTTTTATAAGTAGACTCCTTTTTCGTTTCTTTGCCGCCAATTCTTTTTTTTTTTTTTTTCGCTGTTTATTTTTTATTCATTTGTTTACGTCCCTGCAGAAGTTTCTAGTTATCCATGTAGAAGAAACAGGTTCAGCAATCATATAAATTATTTTTCTTTTATAAATATACAAAATAAATATAAATAAATAATATAGTCTTTGAGTCAGAGAAAAAATGATTTATCCAACTATGAAGTTAAACGACTACTACATTCGATCGAGAATAGTCAATAGCCTATGTGGGGGCAGTACATATACGAAGAGAAGTAGTAGCTTAGTGCAGCAAGTATTAAAAAAGATAGACACTAATAGACAGACTGAATGTTAAAACTAACAAAGAAAAAAAAAATTGATACATATTGACGAATGTATCGTAGATGATAACTCAACGTGTAAAACTTTTATCCCGTACGAAAAGCCACACAGTGATTGGAAATATACAATGGCAAGACTACGGTATCCTACTCTAAGATGTAAATTGTTTCGACACTTATCATTCATCATGGAAGCTCTGTTAAAAAAGTAACTTCCCCCAAAAAAAAAACAAACCATCTTTCCTGTTAAACAACGGGTTTAGCTACATACTTCTTCCAAGGGGTAAGTAAAGAAATGAATAGGAGAATTTTATAGATTACAATACTGTTTCATATGCTATCTCATTAAGAAACAGATTAATCATCCAAGAATTTTAAGCAGAGGGGGCAGCAGGTTGACCAGCGGGAACTTGACCAGAAAGCAATTGTTGTTGCTGTTGAATCATTTCATCATTTCCGGGCAATTCCATGCTCAAACCAAGACCAACCTTGGCGTTTCTATTGGGGTGATCAATTTCACTGCTGAAAGCGAGAGTGATGGCAGGAGCCAAGCGGCGCTCCAAATAAACACCAACCTTACCCTTGCTGTCAACTTGACTGCGATAGATGCTTTGGGCAAACTCATACTTGAGACCAACCGAAGTAAGACCTTCAGGCTTAGGACCAGTCATCATGGCAGCTGAACGGTTCAAACCAACGGGTGACAATTGGCATTCGACACCAGCCTCGACCTTTTCACTCAACTTGCGCCAGAAAGTGGCAATAACATCACCTTGGGTACCGTTCAAGTGACCAGTAGCGATCCAATCGCCAGCGTTGTAGCGTGCCATATAGCTCAAAGCAGCTTCCTCGGGTCCGATAGAAGCAGAAGGCTTCTGCCAAAGAGCTTCAACACCCACGGACAATTTAGGAGTAAGAGATTGGAGCATAGAAAGAATGTAGATACCAGTCAGCTTGTCTTCATACCAAGGATTCATTGCCTTAACGCTAAAAGAAAAATCTTTTCCTCTGTGATCATGCTCGATCTGGCACATGCTAGGAATAGCAGCATCGGCAAGTTGCATCTGAACCTTCGAAATAACATTAGGACCCCAAGCACAGTTCAACATGGCTTGCACAGCACCATCGTTGTCGACACTACCACGGAGGAACAATGGCTCACCACCAAACATGGTGCTGAAGGAGTAAGGGGGTAACATTTGGCTACCAAGAGCAAATGCATGAGAAACAGTAAACCAAGGGTTAGTGGAGAACCCCTTTGTTACATCAGCACGAATACCGGTAAATGCATAGTTTGATAGCAAAAGATCTTTCGAAACTTCCTTTGACAAATTTTCAGTAGTACCAGGATTGGTAAGGTTCAAGGAGGACTTGTAGCTGTCGATCTTGTCACCAAGACGTCCGATCGTGGAAATAGCTGTTTGAAGATAATCCATGATTACTAGATCTGGTTGCTTTTATGAAGAATGAATTTGTGGGTTCTTCTGTGAGATTAAAAGTAAAGATACCGTTAATCTAGGTATTTTTCCTTCACAAATTAACTTGGTGGTTAGATTTAGGAATAGTCTCCTTTTCTTTTACTCTAATTAACCACCTTCACGTACAACGCGGTTAGGAGGATGGTGGAGAGAAGTAGGTAGTTTGCCGGTCCCTTCCTTTCACCGACTGCGTGTGGTAGAGCCCAACATAATACTATTCCAATTACAAAAATATTACAACAATATATAATAATAAGTTAATTTTTGAACTAGCATTTATTATCAATAGGGATTATACATTGAGCGACTAAAGAAACATTTATAGATAAAAAATTACTAAATAAAAAAAATATAGTTTACTAGATGAAACCATATTAGTTCAAGGCCTTGTCCTAAGATGGTCGACGATTTTCTCATAACTTATTAAAATTAGAATCTTCAATATTTATATTATACTATAATACAAACAAGTTTGTATGTCCTCAGATAACGCACTTCGTTGTATTACACAAAATTTTTTTTAGGAAAAATATTATTTGTTCGTACATGTCGGCCTGAACTGAGGATTCTATGTCTTTCCAGCAACACTTTTTTTAAAAGATCAAGAAAACCTCATTTTTTTCTCATAAAGTCGTGCTTGTAAGTAGAAGGAGGTAGATATTTCTTCTACGATACAACGTTTAATAGTTAGGTCCACCTGTTTATTAACTTAAGCCCATAAAGTTGGCGCTCGTGCATCAAAGTTCGCAGGTCTTTTTCGTGCTTCTGGGAAGCGTGAAGAAGCCACCTTAATCCAGGGGTTCAAGGCCAATTTTATCTCTATAGTCAAATTTGGTTGAAAGGCTTTGGATATATTCCTGTTGCTTGTGTGATTAAAGGAAGTAGCCAACTTTGGCTTTTTGTTGCTTTCATTCATTCAAAGATCAGTCCCAGCTGATTTTATCCTTTTGTTTTATTTAATTATTTAACATTTTTATTCATATTTAATTTCGATATCCTAATAATGGGTTCATCTACTGAAGAATATAAGAAGACCCAGGATGTTGCTGGTACTAACCAGACAACTAACGACTATTCTTTGAATTCTTCCGGAAGCGATCGTACCCCTCATTCGTCTTTGTCTACGGAAGAGATTACTCTTGTTCCTGCAAATGAAGGAACAATGTTAAATCATGATGCCACTGGATTTGGGCCGACCGATTTCCCTTCAGCGGATTCCAGAATAAGTAATGCGGCTTCTTCAACACCGGTAGCATCTCCTTCGTTTTCATTTCAGGACTCTTCTGGAGATACGACATCGCTTCCTACAGTTGCAGCGCCAGTAGAAAATATAGACCAGTTTACGCAACTGCAAAATGTTGCTTCTTCTCGGCGTCACCATCATACTAAAAAGAAAAGGAAACACTGGAACAAGCACGCTAAGCTTCCGCATCCGCTTCCTGATACTGAAACATGTGCTCATTGTGGTGATACAAAGAGACGGCCATCTGGCAAACGAAATCGCAAGCGTCAAGGAAGAAAACCTGCTTCTCGTCATGCTTCCGGCTTGACTGATTCTGACACATACCATCAGGCGTATCCTCGTCACCATCGGTATGGTTCATCTGGTCAACCCGGTGTACAGGCTTCTTCTGAACACTTGGGGCAGTTCTCTAGTAACGACCACAGTTCTTCCGAATCTTTGTATTCGATTTCCTCCATGAGTATTAAGAACGATTCCAACTCAGATTCGTTGTCTTCATCCTCCTCCTCTACCGATCTGTCTTCAAATGATCGCCCACTGTTGCCTGATGATGGCTTTCTTCTAAGGCCTAATGCAGATGTTCCTTCTTCTGATTTATATCGGAAATCCAGTGCTACAAAGTCTTGCTCTGCTGCCATGGATGATTCTCAAAACTTGGCAACAGAATTGAACACGCAATCTGATACGAACTTGATTGATCAGCCTTCCAGACCTTCCGTGAATTTTGCCCCCTCTACATATTTATCAAAGGAAAATGAGTCTGCATCTGTGAAATCTGTAGCTACTCAGAATCGTGATGCGAATTCGCATGTTGATTCAGAGTTGCCAAGGGATGTTGAAGAAGATGTCTGTTTTCCTATGCAAGAAGAATCACTTGCTTATAATGGTATAGACTTTGATGAGCTCGATAATTTCGCTTCCGAGGAGTTGCAAAAAAGAATGGCTGACATGGTGAATTGTCGTTCCAGACAGTACAGTGTTAGCAAACCTTTCGAGCCTCATTGGAAAGATTTGAGTCCTCAAAGAGATTCCACGGGAACTTCTTCGGAAGCATTAAATGATGAAAAGTTAGTTAATAAACCATTGAAGAGCTACATATCTCCAAACAGAGAGTCTATAGGATCAAAGGCTCAAAGTCCGCATCGCTTTAGCTTGTTTTCTTCAGGAGAGAATGAAACGATTCATGCTGCTGCTATTTCTGATTTGCTGGAAGACGAGGTCCACAGTTTCCGTTCCTTACTCTGCGCTGAGAAAGGTGTTTGGTGGTTGGATTGTTTGGATCCAACCGATAGTGAAATGAGAATGCTTTCGAAAGCGTTCTCAATTCACCCATTAACAACCGAGGATATCCGTGTTCAAGAAACAAGAGAAAAGGTTGAGTTATTTAGGTCGTATTACTTTGTCTGTTTCCGGTCGTTCGAACAAGATCCCGAGGGAGAAGATTATTTGGAGCCACTAAATATGTATATTATTGTGTTTCGCGAAGGTCTTTTGACGTTCCACTTCAGTTCCACCACGCATCCTGCTTCTGTGAGGCGCCGTGCTCGTCAGCTAAGAGATTACGTTGACGTGAGTTCGGACTGGCTTTGTTATGCATTAATTGATGACATTACAGATGCATTTGTTCCTTTAATCCGAGCAATTGAGACAGAGACAGAAGCCATTGAAGACTCCGTATTGGTGGGTCGATTGGATGAAAGCTGTGATATGCTTCGAAGAATTGGCGAATGCCGAAAGAAAACAATGGGTATGTTTCGTTTGCTGTATGGCAAAGCAGATGTCATTAAGATGCTTGCAAAACGGTGTAATGAAAAATGGAACATGGCGCCAACGGGTGAAATTGGATTGTACTTGGGTGATATCCAGGATCATTTAATTACGATGACATCAAATCTTTCTCAGTTTGAGAAGATTCTTTCACGGACCCATAGCAATTATTTAGCCCAGTTGACCTCCAATTCTATTGAAGAGAACTCCAGAATGAACGGTGCTTTAGGAAAAATTACATTAATCGGAACGCTCCTGGTTCCGATGAATTTGATTACAGGATTGTTTGGAATGAACGTTCCTATTCCTGGTCAAGCCAGTGATACTAATTCTTCGTTGGCTTGGTTCTTTGGAATCATTGGTGTCTTAGTCGCTCTGGTAGTGATTGGCTGGTTTGTGACCCTTCGGTACAATGCCTTTTAACTTACGTTCCCCAAATTGAGTAATGATACAGTATAATCTATAAACTTTTACGGTGAGATGTTTGAAAAAATCCTACATAAAAAGAGTCAAGAGAATATCGGCTTGATTTAGAATTTTGTCCGGTCTGTTTTTCGTTTGAATTAAATAGCCTTCCTCGAAGGTTTATATATTGTTAGAAAGAATATACGGAAGAAGCTAAATATATCGTATAATGAGTTGGGTTGAAAAAGTTAGACATTTACATAGCAAAGTTGTTTTAGTATAATTGTTTGTACGGTATCGATGCAAATAAATTGAAGCTTTAAGAAGCAATCTTCAAGGCCATCATCATTGTAAGGACTTAAGACAAATGTTCTAACAAACGGCGTCTGGGTAATGAAATGGGTGTGTATGAGTATTGGAAAATCAGTAATTACAAAATTCTTGCTTTTATCTTTACTTAGAAATGTCTCTTGGGTTACGACGGGCTTCCTCGATCATATGGAGCACACCTTCTATGGGCTAGTGTGATGTTAGACAGATGAAGATGAAGGATAGTTTAAATAAAACTTTCTTTGACGATTGCCCAACATACCTTCGGATCATTTTTCCGCTTCTCATAGTCAGCACGAAGCTCTGGCGACAAGGAATCGACCACATGTTGAGGTGACGGAGCAGTAAGTTTCATTGTAACATAACCAGAACCAACAATTCCTATTACAAGAAAAAAAATATGTTAACAACTAATGAGGTGATTACTTCCACAAAGACAAGGTCGTTTGTGCTTTTCATTTCAACGTACCAACACCATACAAAAGACTTTTGACGATTCTATTCATTTTGGGTATTCGACTTACAGGATATGTGTATTCTTTCTCTGAAAAGACTCAAAATCTCAATGTGATCCAAAAGGTGAATCTTCTCGAATTGGATACGTTTTTACCAATGTAGTTGCTACAAACGATGGATGCCATCTTTACGTTTCGCTATTTGCATGTTTCGCTGGTTGTGTATTGGGTATTGAAGGAATGATTTCTAAGTCACTATTACCGATATAGAGCATTAAAAAGGAACCTAATGAATACATTGATGCGAATTCAAAAATAAAAATTGGATTTTCCAACAGTTTTGTTTGTTCAAATTTCACGGGGGAAAGTCATTTGAAAAAAGCGACTAAAATCTACTTCGGAAGAAGAAAGAGAAGAAAAGAAAAGAGTGAAAAAATAAAGACAGAAAACTATCGAATCCTGTCTCATTATTCCAACCAACACTAGTTTTTTGCTTTTTTATCACCGACACATACAGCTCCTCTTTAATATGATATGAACATTTTAAAAGGACCAGTTCAAAGCGACTTATATGAGCCACTTATTAGTTTTTTTTTGTTTATTTTCTATTGAATTGTACTTGCATCTTCATTTTCCTCTGATTTTATTGTTCTTTTAGTGAAATCTGTATGGGGCGTCATATTGTGGAGTACCCCACGATGATCAGCGGCGAAGGGCAAATCGTATTCAGGTATCAGCATACTGCAATTTAACGTATTGCGGTCCATATGCTTATATCAGTTTAGCTTGCCACGCTTATATCAGATGAAGATTTCACCGTTAACACTCCTCCATAAGTATTGAGTACAGCTAGGAGTGTCTTTGACTTGTTGTCGACGATTTCTTCTTCATTTTTCGCAAGAGAACCGAGTGGATTTTTAAGAATCCTTTCGGTTTTAAAACGTCCATAGTTTCTGCCTAGTCCCATTACTCAAAATTCCAAGTCTTTTTCACAAGGGAAGCTAGAAAACTAAAGATATTACTAATCCAACAAGTGGTGGCATTTTTTTTTCGAAAAATCTCTGTGCTTTAAGTCGAATATACAATAATTTCTTCAAATTGAAGGTGGTCTTACTTTATGCTCTATAAAGGGTTTGAACAAAAACGCTGAAAAGAAAACGTGCTATTGATTTGAGAATTTGATCCTGTACTACCAAGTCTTGGGGATTTCTGTAATTCTTATTAATCTTTTCTGAATCTTTGCCAACTCCCGTTCGTTGTTTTATCCTTTTTCCGTATTTTGTGCACCATTTGCTTTGTATGGAAAACAACTTTCACCCCGACAATTTCCGTTTTCTGGAATCCCAGGGTTCTCTAGAAAGATCTGATCCACCTCACAACCCCATAGGCAGAAATGATTTCGATGAACAATTTTACTGGGTAAACCAACATATGAGGCACCTATGGACTCATTCTAACCCTCCTACCTCGACTTCTGGTACCACATCAACAACTGATACGCCCTATGGTACTTTCCAACACTCCTTCCACCCGCTGAACCATACCATTAATAACGAATCTATTGCTGACAATTCTGTCTCTCCGCATCTCAATCCTTTATCTCATCCTACCGGCATTCTTGAAAGCATACCTAACTCTGAGCCTCAACCGTTGTCTGATATAGCTTCGGTGCATCCTTCAAGCGACCGTTCTATGGCACAGCCTTCGAATACCCTTGATCCATTAACTTATATGGACGATCAATCATTTGCTGAGAAAAATGTAAATGCAGAACATCCCAACCATCCTTCGATGTTCTCTTGCCCATCGTCAGCGAACAATATCATGAGCGAACCTTTTGAAAATGCTAGTTCAGTTCAACCATTCGAACCTCCCTTGGATCAATCATTGTTGCAGGATTGCACTCCATTATACCGTGTTTGCTCTGCTCCTGATCCTCCTACAATTTCGAATAAACCGTCAGTGAAGTCTTCAAGCGTTGAAAATCAATCGTCTTCAACATCCAACGCTTCTCCGGAATTTCGAAGTTTGAAAACATCCTCCGGTTCTTCAAACTTGGGTGCTTTTGAAAAAGTAAAAGAAAAGCTGGGTGAAGTAAAGAAAAAGCGTCAACAAACTAAGCATGCTTGTGCAAAATGCCAGAGAGACAATAAAAAATGTGACGAGTCTCGTCCTTGTATACGTTGCCGAAAAACAGAATGTGAAGATCAGTGTATAGACATTCCTCGCAAAAAACGTCCAGTGGGAATGAAACGGGGCCCTTACAAAAAAGGTAATAATTCAAATGCTTCTGCGCGACGTACCGATCAAGAAGCTTTTACGTTATCACAGATAAAAAAGCCTAATCGAATGGATGAACCATTAATTATCCAACCTTCTGAGAAAGTTCGGAGCAACAATGAACCATCTCGGGCGAATACCTCGCAAGACGTTCCTTATATTGAATCTAACAAAGAAAGCGATTGGCAAAAATCTCGAGTACGTAGCTATACAAATCCTGTTGGAAGTGCTGAAAATGTTCATTATCGATTACCTGAAGCTCTTCGGCTATATCAGCAGGACTCTTCATCTGTAACAGAATGCACGCCCTCAAAAATGGAAGTTGAATACTCTGAACTTTCCATCCCGCCGGATTTTTCAGCCTATACCATGCATACGTTCCCACCTCAGCCTATGAATTCAGCGATTCCCAGAACCGATGAATATGTGTCTCAGTCATGGCCTATACATGACTCATCCATTGCTCCACATCATTTGGTGCCTCACGGAGAATATGAGCATCCTCCTGAAGTAAAAATGGAAGACGAAAGCCATCCGCTGAGGGAGAATTCTCAGAGCGGCAATGATCCATTGCATCCTTCCTACCAACATATGAGTTACGAGAATAGCCATATCCAAGAAGCCGAGCCATATGCTAGCACTCACTCTATGTTTGATGGAATGAACCATCTTGACAATGCCGTCTCCAACGATTCAAGTTATTCACCTCATGATACAAATCTTACTTCTCCATACAAACCAGAACCACAAACTGCATTACCTGAAACACATTATCCTTTTCTCCGTGGCAGAATACATTCCTTTTCCATCGCTGCTGATTCACCTCATCATCTCGTAGAGCGTCCTTGCCTTCATTGCCTCGGCGTGACCGAGAATCCCAACGAACATGCAAACTTGGCAGATCTTCGTGATAGGCAACAGCGAGAATTGGAATTTACTTCTATGTTACTGTTTCATGATCACCCTTCATATCACGCTAGACCCGACTTGAATTTTCACGAAGTCCTGCATCCTGAACAATTCGCATACCCCAATCTTAATCATGATCATGGCGACAATTATGATTATTGACACTCCCTTTAATACTTTTATATAAATTTTTTTTCTAAATACCCTGCTTTTTTGAACCTGATGCTTTTCGAAACTACTTTTTCGTTTGTTTGCAAAGTTGGATTTACTCGTGTAAGCTTCGGCACCAAATGTTGAATATGGCTTACTACATCCTTTGTTTTTTTCTTTGGCTGTAAATTTTTTGAAATCAAACGAAACATTCACGGACTACTGAATGTGTCTGTATGTGATAGGAAAGTCTATGGTTTGAAACATCTTAATTCCCTCGTTTAATTGAATTGGAGACCGTTATTTTATGTTGTTTTTATTATTGTTTTTCTCGATATTTACATATTGTTTTATATACCATTTTTATGATTGCATTGCATGACTTGCTTCCTTTGGATTGTAGAAGTTTTTTAAGTGTGTCTTTCGTTTGGAGTTTTTGTGTCCTATACTTTTAATGAAATTATCTTTAATCCTTAACGTACGTTTTGGTGTGCAGAAAAGGATTCCTTTATTCGAATAATTCTTTTTCCTTCTTTCTTTTTGTTAATTTTGAATCAACTCTGCTTTTGCATCGAAAATGATATGTCCGCCACTAGCTTTCTTTCTTTTTTCTAATAGTTTACAAACTCTACTTCTTACAATTCTTTTCATTCAACATACTTCGTCTTCATTTTCACGATACACTAAGGCAGATTTATTTCTCACTGCAATTGTTCTTCGTTTTTGTGTCGAGTTTAACGATCTAAACCGTGTTTTTGGAAATATCTATAGTGAAACTTAGCGATAGTTAGAATACGAGTATCTGTATCCTTGGAACTTCCACCATACGGGGAAACCTGTCCTTCACGAATAACCAAAATGCAACTTACAGAAGAATCAAAGGTAGGTGATACTTGTTTGTAACGTAAACACTTGCGAGAGAAGCATCTAACAGTATTTAGGAACGTCTCATCAAGGTCTTCAACGTCGGCAAGACTGTTACTCATTACGGTTGGATCCCCTTCATCCTTTGGTTAGGATACACCCAAAGTTCTCCCAAGCCTCAATTAATGCGTGTTATTAACCCTTTGGCTTAAGGATGGAAAGGCCTTTGAAAGCCTTGGATATTTCTCATACTGAGGCAGAAAAATTCAGTCATCGTTTGAAGGTTTATGAATAGCCATTTTGATTTCAAATGATATGTTTCTACTTTTCATCTTATTTATAAAGACTTATGACCTATCGTTCTGTATCGAAATGAACGTTGTGCTTGCTCCATATTAAACATTTCCAGCATAATGACAAAGCTACACTCAAACAAAGAGCTATTAACTTTACACGTACCATTGAACACTATTATTTTCTTTGACATATCTTGTTGTGCTGAAACCATCCAAAGCATACCGCTGTATTTGAGGTTCTCTTGCTAAGAAAAATAGAAAGTCAAGATCATATTCTCTTCAACACAGTGATCAAAAGTGTTAAGACTCTTCATTCCTTCACTTATGAAATCAATTCCACTAGTAAAAGGACTGGTACCAAAATTTTGAAAAAATTTTGTTTCACAAACAAATGAAATAGCTTCCAAATGAAAATGGAAATGGGCAGGTAGGTATGGGATCAAATAGACTACGGATATACAGTTTAAACCCAAAAAACTAGTTACACAGATTCGGTCTTTATTTTTATTTATTTTCTTTTTCTATACTAATGTTCATGTTCATGTACAAATCCAACTTACATGCTCTTTTCCCCCACATAGATTTCCCAGTCTACCGTCTCGGGAGATACACCTTGAAATAGTCTAGTGTATAACATATTCATACCAGAGTTAGGTCAAGCATTTGTGTCGTAAGCTATATCTTATAACCAGAACATATTAATTAGAAAACGGATACTCAGTTTTGTCGGCTTCCATCTATTTTCTACAGGGTTATTTTCCGACAGTTGAATGGAACGCTGAAAGATTTTGATAGAACATCGGGGGACTAGCAAAAGGTTAAGTTAGATACTTTTGTGCCGTGATCACGTATAGGAAACGTACGGAATTCAGAAACTATTTGGTAACGCCCATCCTATTGTTTCCATATAGTTTTCGATTTGTTGTTCTATTTATTTAACAATTGGGAACCCCATAATTGAAAAGTATATGTATACTACATTCCCCATTCATTTACATATATACACACAGCATTGGTAATGGACCAGGCGATTGCCGGCCTTTCAGCTGGCATTTGTTCAACGTTGGTTATGCACCCGCTAGACTTGGTGAAGGTTCAAATGCAAGCTTCGTCAAATCCAAAGGGTATATCTTTACTTCATGTTTTACGGGACAACTTAAAATATACGGGTTCAATACGGTCTTTATATCATGGACTAGGTGTTAACACACTTGGCTCGGCTATTAGTTGGGGTACATATTTTTACGTGTACGGCTTTACAAAAAGCCTTTTCATGGGTGTCCCATCTTCAGAGCCCATTCCAATCACGGCTATACAAACGTTAGCAAGTTCAGCATTAGCGGGATGTATCGTGGCTGCGCTTACAAATCCAATGTGGGTAGTTAAGTCGCGAATATTATCAAGGACTGCGGACCACAGCAATCCTTTTTATGTTCTCTATCAGCTTTTGAGAAAAGAGGGGGTAAGAGGATGTTATGCTGGTTTTACACCCTCTCTTTTAGGTGTCTCGCAAGGTGCCTTGCAATTTATGGCCTATGAAAAACTTAAAATTTGGCATAAGGGTCAACCATCGAATTTAGATTATTTATTTATGTCCGCTGCATCCAAGGTATTCGCTGCTATAAACATGTATCCATTGCTTGTTGTTCGTACTCGTTTACAGGTGTTTCGTCCGGGACTATCAACTCTTGATATGTTTAAAGCTATATGGAAAGCAGAAGGTCTTTTAGCTTTTTATAAGGGATTTCAACCTCATTTATTGAGGGTAATCCCGCAAACTTGTATTACATTCTTAGTGTACGAGCAGGTAGGTCTACATTTCAAATCCCGCGCATCTCAATGAGTCAAAACCCTTATTATCTGTATATACAATTTTGTTCCTGATTTTGGATGAAAAAAAAACCTCCTTTTTTCTCAGAAATATATAATTTCGATCATGTGTTGTCTCTTATAATTCATTAAAATATCTATTCCTACTTAGTTTGCATAACAAAGTTTTCGATGCATTTCTTTTGTGCAATGGTTAGTCGCTGTAGAATATCCTTTGTTTTTTCTTGCTCTTTTGAAAAGATGCTAAGTAACAAATTTCCGATTTTTGTTTGGGCATCTGGATTCTCAACCAAAACTCCAAAATGTCCGACTATAGGGAGAGCAAGATTAAGATACGCAAATTCTGTTTGTCAGCAATCTAAGCATAAAAACATTAAACAACATACTTTTCGTCTCATCGATGTATTGATGCATACTCAATAAAGCAGGTATGAAGCTTTCAAGATACCCGTCGCTTTGAGCTATCTCGCCTTTTTGAAGCATCGCAACAGATTCGAAAATTATTTTACGACACAATGCGTTCATCTTTTCGTGTTTACTATTCGCTAATAATAAAGACGAAATGCATTTTGCAGCTGTTCGGAACTCCTGCGAAAAGTTAGTAATAAATCCTAATTAAATGAACACGTACCTCTGATGATTTCAAAAGACCAAAAAGAGTTGTTATAAAGTTTTGGATTATAAGCTGCTCACCATCTAAAAGAGGAGCTGCTATTGTGAGGACAAGAACCATACTTAGTAGTATGATTTCTTTTTTGTCTTTACTTTGCGCTTGACTAAATATAATTAGAAAGTGTCACCATGTTATACGTACTCTTTGTTTTCAAGCATGGAATAGAGATGCTCAAATAAAGTATAACATAATGTTGAACATATAGAATTATCCTGCGTAACCATTGTACTCAATAATTTTCGAAGAACGGCTAAAAGTTCATGTTTTGAATATTTAAGGAGAGAAGGATCATCAAGAATTACTACTTATTATTAGCTTCAAATAGTAAACCGCGTTTTTTTAGAAAAAAAAAAGAAAAATACCTTCATAAACATGTAAAGCAGTCGCAAACAGATCGACTCTTACGATAGTGGGAAAGATATTAGCAAGTTCCAGAAAAGAATCAAAGCATAATATTATAAATTGGCTCGATTTCTCATTTCCATTTGAATATATAGAGTTTGATCGAAGCCCTGGTAATCTCACGGTTAGAGCTAAAATCAATATTTTGACCAAGTCGAATAACTGCTCAACTCCTTCCGATACAGAAGGCTCTAGAGATGTTACAGAATCACTTTCGCACTCTTTCAATTTCGAATGTTCAGGATTCGTCAACGCTAACTCTTTGACAAAAAGAACGATACTAATCTTCGTCTCCCAATCTTCGGTGAGTATCAGTCTAATTAAAAGATCAATAACTTCCGGGAAAACATTAGCATCATAAAGTACTTTCGTACATAAATCTTCAGTCAAAATTGAGGTCATGATTTCCATAATTCGTAAAACAGGTTTATCAAAATTTTGCAAAGTGCTAGGATTGAGTAAGGACTGAAAGCAAATACTAAAAACAAAGAAATTAAAGGAGTGTCTGTCATTCGAATAGTTTATACTATCATGGAAAAAGATATCCTCTCCTGATAATGTTAACTCCTCTCCTTTAAGAATCCCATAAACAAGGTCGGAATTATCTTTTAAAAGCAGTGTTAAGGCCTCAGCAATATTCAACCATGTTGTTTCATATATCTAAAATATTAGCTACGAACCAAGAACAGACTTACATCTAAAAGTATCTTTGGGTTTATATTCTGAGTGTGAGAAAAAGAAGTATCGGCAACGAAGTCCTTTAGCAAGCTAGGTCCAAATCGAAGGCGTGAATAACCTCTTAAAGATACCACCCAATGTGCAGCAAAACGTCTTAAATAAGGAGAAACTATTTCTTTCAAATAGTCAATTCTACGGGAGTAACCATACAAAATCGCCCAGGCTGATAGCGTGGTTACCCGTGAGACGTATATGGAATCGTTCTGGAATTGCTTACCGTTCTCACTTGAGTTCTCAGAAAATGTTGCATCAAGTGCATTTTTTAACATATTTACTACACGATTCGCTTGACTGGCACTTGGAAGAAGACCTGTTCCAATGAAGTTGGCACCAATATTCAATGCTAAAGAGACTATTTTTGGTGAAGATTCCTCGGTTATAGACGAAGTAAAAGCAGAACTAATTTGCGCTTGAAATTGATCTAACAGTGGGACATCCTCGAAATCCGGGTCCTTGATGGTTTGGAAATTCTATAATTAGTCAGTTCTGCAGACGAAGTATTAAACTTACCATTATTAAAGTATCTAACAGTTTAAGTCCACTCTCTTTTAAGTAGAAATTATCCGAAGTAGAGAGGATGAAAGCTAAACGTATCAAATCTGATATCCTGGAAATTAAATATCGAGAAGCATCTGAGCTACTAGACATTACATCGGATATGCAGGTAATTAAAATTGACGACGCAAAGAGTTGGGTTTGCCAGCGATAGTTCTTGTTACCAGCCGTAGTAACAAGGGAATTAGCAAGCGAAACGGTGTCCTCGTCCAAGCTGTAATTTGTTTCATCTTCAAAAGACCTTTCAAAATTAACGTTGCCTTTTATACCATTTAAGTACAGAAGAATATTTATCCACCAGGAAATGTCACTCTCTTTGAAATCCTTTAACCATATATGCACTATATTTTTTAAGAACTTGTTTTCTGGTGTAGCATCTATCGATTGCCATATCAGCTTGTCCAAATGCCTTCTGTAACAAGTTTCTGAAAAAGACTGATTCTGAAGTAGAATTTGATATAAAACCTCAATAGCTGAATCCCGTATAGTGGGATGCTTAACATCAATAACATTTTTTAATAAATTATCAATAAAAATCCTAGAGTCCGAATCTAGTGGCGTGAATAAATATAAATGTTGGTAACATTTGTATATCCGAGTAATGTTTTTTTTATCGTCTCCAGCAAAATGCAACAATTCACGAGAAATATTGTACGCAAGGTAAGAGTCGGAAGGGTTATTCCTCAATGCGGGACCCAACTCATTAATCAAGCAATCAAGATAGTCAATGAACAAATGTGTAGGATATACCAAATTGGTTTTTCTTTTCAAAAGCAAAACTTCTATATCGACATCCCCTGAAATCATATAACTAAGAAGTATTCCCATCTGGCCAGTTAAGACACTTGGTATAGTTTTCGCAATTGTACCCAGCGACACGAAAGAAGCTTCGATAGAGCAATTTCTGACGATATCATTGGAATCTGTATTAAATACTTTAAGCAGTTGATAAACTTTTACCAAAAATGCTTGTGATATGCCAGAACCTAACTTAGCTAACGTATGCCCCACACCCATAATCGATGTTGCTCTACAAATGGGATTTCCGGATTCAGCAGCACGCTGTATAAGAGTGTCAAGAATAAATGTAGGTTTCCCTTGGCAGAGCAATGCCAGAAATGAGTAAGATTCTGCAAATAACCGGATTATCGTAATATCGTCACAGTTGGAATTGATATCCAATAATTCGATAAAGAGTGAAACAACCTTACTAGATAAAGAAAGCCTTTTCTCGCAGAAAACCTTCAGAGCTCCATGAATTGAAAATAAAACATTAGTAGATATGGCTTTTTCCTTGGATAATTCCCTTGCATTGCTCGTGTTGGAAACGGAGGAAATCAAAATTTCTAATGTACTCTCCATAACCTTTGGCGGTTGACAACAAAATATTAAAGAGAATAGCATGACGGCACTGTCAACCACTGCAGTCGCAATAGGAGGAACAAACGGAAAAGAAAAATCGGCAGAACTAGTAAACATGAAAAGCATATCAGATGTTGCATCTCCTATTAAGTAAGGGGTTGGTCCTTTTGTAATGTCGGTTTCCTCATCGCATTTTTCGGAGTAGTATGAAGAGAATAAGCCTAAAATTATTTTTGAAGAGTAATTGCGTTGATGAGTATCGTCATCCAGATATTGGAGGTATGAGAGTTCCGCTATGATTGATACACATGTTGACAATAACTCTTGATCATCTAAAGTAACACCGTTAATGTTCATAAGTTCTAGCGAGCATTGAAATACTTTCGACAGAAGCAGTGTACGTAGCTCGCTATGGGAATAGTCAGAATAATGAATAATGGTTTGAATCTCTAACTTCTTGGTAAGGAAAAAAGATTTATAGAACTTTAAACAATTTGTTAGGAACAGAATTATACGCTTTCGTACATCAGGTGTTAAGAGAATTCTGTTATGTTTCAGAAATGCTAGAAGGCATTGAAGGGCCTCATAACGAGTAAATAGATCGGCATTAGATTCCATAAAGTTTTGAGAATGTATATTAGAAGATACGCGCGGAAGGGCATTCTTCCATAAAACAAATAGCTGTGAAAGTTGCATTCTAGTAAAAGAAGGACCAAACGAAACATATGCCGTCATTGAACGCCATCCAACTTTCAACTGAGCTTGAGCTGTGAACAAGTCCAAACTTGTGGAAGACCGTATAAGCTCCAACGAAAAGTTAAATAATTTTGAAAAAATGAATGACGAGACATATAATGGATTCTTCTCAGCGGCAACATAACATGAAACTAAAGCCAGAGTTAGATTATCCAAGTTCCCGTTATTTGGCTTGGTCTTGGACTCTTTCGTTCTAGAACGCATTGACTTTAGTTCGTTTTCCAGTTTTCCATAAAGTGATAGTAGTGTTGGCATTATGGGGTCTGGCATTACTATAAGTAAACATCGTAAACACCAAGCAGCGTTGTTCTTCAATCTGTCGTTTCCCAAACTAATCATATCAAAAAGTACCCTGAGAAGATTATTATGATGAGGGGTAACAGAACCCTTCAAATTCGCTAGGATACCTGTAATAGAGGAAAGTGCAGCCTGAACTAGCGTGATCGGTACTTTTGTCTGATCCTCCACGAACGGCTCTAAAACTTTAGACAACAGCAATTCCAAAGCCTGGATTTCGGAACTTTGATCTAGAAATCGAGAATTAATTATGTCCCGCAGAAGGAACGTAAAATGCTGTTCCTCTAAAGCAGATAGCCATTCGTTCGCGGATGAAGTTAAAGTGGAATTGAGGAATACATTCAAAATAAGAGCATAATTCGTCCTTATTTTATTATAATCCTGTAAAAGAAAAAAATGTTTAATAGCAAAAATTACTAGTCCTTTGGAGGCCTCGGATTTAGCGTACTTGTGATTATAAAGTTCAAGAAGCATCTGCAAAACTTTGGTAAATTCGTCCGATTCATCAACTCGCTGTATTGTCGAAGTATTACCAGAATTTTCATTATTTTCATCATCAGCAGCGGAAGGAGAAGAAGCAGCCTTTAAAGCTTCAATCTGACGGTGAGCTTGTAATATGGTGCTAGCAGTGAAGCATTTAGCCAACATATTTTGCAAATCCGAGTTCTCAACGACACTTTTTTTAAATAAATAAGATTTTAACCATTCCAGTTCTGAATTTCGCAAAGAAGATCGACGAAGAAAATTGTAAGCACCATATAGAGCTGAAAGAACAACGTTTAACGAAGAACTTCCAAGGTTGGACTTGAGAGATTTCCAAACTTCTTTCGACAAATCTTCGCTAAAAATATTTCCAGTGTGACGAATAGTTTCCGAGAGACCTCGGAGAGCACAGACTCGAAGACCATGAGGATAATTGTTCTTGCAATATTTGAGAAAAACCTTTACGAAGGTTTCTTGCTGATTTATCTAAATACGTTTTGTTAATAAACCACTTAAATATTCAAACTTACCGTTTGGCCATAAGCGCGTAAACAATTTCCAAGAACCGATAAGTTATTTCTAGCATATTAGCAATCAAATATAGAGCATGCTGTTTCCATACAAAATTTCGATGCTATCCTTTTTTTCAATTAAGTTGTCAACGAATCCGACTAATACACGATTAATCTGATATCCTTCAACTGTCAAGGTTAATACAGCAAGCTTGTAAAAGTCATTTCATACATCCTTCTAGTAGTGCAATTACACAACCCGATAACAAGTTTCTCGTAGGATATCCTATATAACTTCCATATTGTCTTATTAAGGCATGTATAGGGTCTACAAAGCTTTGAACAGAACTCTCTCGAAATGTTTTGCTCAGTCGTTGGAGATCCTGCTCATAGTTGAGTAATTTAGTATATATTACCTCCCTTTTATTTAATCCAGCAACTCTATCAAGATTTTCTAACGACAGTGGTACCGTCGACATATGGTTTAACTATTTTGCAGTATTGAATTTGGTAAATGAGGAAATGCTTCCGATGTCATGTAATCTTGCAAACGTGGATATTGTTTAGGAACTTAAATCAAAACCTGAATGGATAAAAGTAACTAATTTAAATATATGTTTGATAATTTTTTGAAGGTAAGCTTTCAGTTTTGATTCAAACATAATATTAGGATAAATTAATTTAAATAATATCATAAATAGAGAACAAAATTACATAAATTATCTAGAATATTAATTAATTCAAAGTAAACAGGTATTCTTATGTATAAGTAAGCAAATCTGAGTTCAATAAAAAAAGGCAGGTTTTTCGATTACTTTTCTGAACTCATACAAGCCATAGAAAACGTTATTCATAATTAGACTATTCAAAATCAAAGTAAATTAGTTTTTTTTATCGCTACGGACGTTAAAGATGGGAGATAGTGCTGTCCGGATAATCGTCTCTCTTTCTGTCTTGTCCATAATCATTTAGTTCTTCAACATTATATGCCTGTTCTTTCTTTTTGCTTCGGAAACGAAGTCCTAACGGTATAACTAGTACTAGGAAGCCGGTAAATGACATTACAACGACTGACATATAGACGTTAGTTCTTTCCTTTGTAAGGTAATTTACTTACCAGCAGCTTTCCTGATCTGCTCCCATTTCTGTTTCTCATTTTCAGCTCGAAGTTTCCCTAAGGAAACAGATAGCAAGTTGTGCAACTCTACAATTTTAGCACTTAATTGTTGAACATCATTTCGGGTATCGTTTTTCCGGTTTTCAAACTCCATTTTACTTTCGGTGCCTAACTTGTTAAGATGTTCATTAACAAGTTGTTCTAAACCTTCGACCTCGCGTTGATTCGAAAATAGGCCAGCTCGAAGTGTGCTAATTTGATCTTTCCTCATATTGATTTTTTCAGAACGAAGCTCTGACAAAGCAGTTCGAAATAAATAGGAAAACTGAATAAGGTTAGTTAGAGAAACTTCTAGTAGTAAGTAGATAAATAGCATTACTGTTTCATTTCACTTACATTCTCAAAATCGGCTTCTGATAAATAGGTCATATGGCTGTGTCGTAAAAGTTCAGTTATAAACATATTCGTAATATCCAGAAAAGCTTCTGCTTCTTTTTCGTTAAAACCACCTTCAACCAATGTCTTAAAAAAGCTATAGGTATCAAAATGGTAACCTTCGAGGTCTTTAAATCTTTGGTCAATATTACTCGATTTTACTAGTGAAAGGTCGGGCTTGGATATGGTATTATCTGCATCAGTAGCGTAGAAACGTCTTAATTTTTGCCTAAATAAAGGTCTTGCTGTACAATTTATAGGATGCGGAATCGACAGTAGGGTAATTCTGGATAGTCGAGTAGGCTTGATTAAAGAACGGTTTATCAAGGCAAAAGACGGCATTTAATGTTGTAAATAATTTTCTTTGGCTTTAGATGTTTCTTAAACGATAGCTTCGCAGTCTGCATTTAGCGATCCGTGTTTCGGCGTTGAAACTTGGATAGTCATTTGAAGACGTAGAATACTACTTGGTTAGGAACAATGAGTTTTTTTTTTGGAATTTAAGCTAATTTATTTAAATTTTTAGTTAATTAAAAACATTCAAAAACAATTAAATCTTGAACTTTTTGTGACAATGATCGTACAGTTAATCGAGCTTCGCATGCATGTTTTACTTCAGGTAAAAGAAAAGATCGAGTTCCAGAGACACATTACTAAAATAATCAACTGTTGGGTAAATAAAAGAATACCGTTAAGCATGAACCTAGGAGCAAAGATCTTCCATACCATCAGATGTCTTCGAAAAAAGCCAGCAAAGAACACCGTGCTGGTTGCGATTGATAGATAATACAGTAGAAAAGAAAAGCAGATTAGAAGAAAACTTCCAAAAAACCTTTTTTGAGAGGTGTAAGGCTTAGCTGCAAACAAAGGAAGGGATGAACAAGTCATTATAGGGCCACCTAATGTGTGGAAAAACATAAGGATACCACTGATAACTTGATTTTCTGCAGAGGTAGAATGAATAAAGGCAAAATTCCAATCGAGGGAAGAAATGACGGCCTGATTACCGGTTGTGAAAAAATGCGACAACCCCAGAATACTTAATAAAATAGACATAAATGTTACTCCCGGCGAAGCCTGGGAATTTTCAATTCGCAACAATAATAATATCTGGATTAGGCAAGAATGTAAGGACAGCCTACCCAGAGGACGTTGAAGGAACAATAGTAATGATGAAAACAAGGCAAAAATAAAGTAATATTCGTCGACTGCGACCAGTACTTCTCCATTGCCTGATTTTTGACGACGATGAATATTTATAGAAAATATAGATACTTGCCAAAGCAAACAAGTAAGAATACCAACTAGAAATATATTGGCAATATAAACAAGGATTTGACCATATTTAATTTCTAGAGAAGAACTATTAGCCAACATATGCTGTGTAACCCAAAAAATAGATGAAAGGAATTCAAAAACATGCAATATTACTAGTTTCCTTTTCGATATTGTAGCATTCAAAGTTGATTCTACATGGTTTCTTAAAATGCAAGGAAATGACACAGACGTCAGTATTGAGAGTGACAAGGCTATTAAGCTTCGAAAAGTATTACTTGGAGTAGAGACGTAAGTACTTGTACAAAAGAAACCTTGCTCTTCACGACAGTTTGTAATGTATGATGTAAAAAACTGGAGGATAATGAAAAGAATAGACCAAAACGATGATTTCAGAGCCAATGTAATATCTTTATTTGTAAAGCTTTTACAAACCAACAAAAAACCAAATGTAACGCAAAAATAATGAGTCAATCGATCTTCCCATATCGTGAAAGAATTAGAGCCAAAACTGCAAACATGGAGTATAGCTAATCCCAATGCTAAAATGCTATGCAGACTAGGCAAAGTAAAAAGAAAGTCGAAAGATACCTTCCCAGACAGCTGGAGTAAAATAGTTATATTCGGAATTAATGTGAATAATGGCATTAAAAACTGAGTAGGAATAAAGATTCCGAAAAATATAATCGGCAGAGAAGAAAGTATAATTTTTTTTAAAGTAACCCATAGCAAATCTGAACTATTTTTTAGAGCATTTTTGTCATTCATCAGCAAAGTAAGAGATAAACCGCCTACAACCAATGAAACGAACCCTGTGAGCATCGGTAATAGACTGAATTCGGCCCAAATACTTTTAAAATATTCGAAAATACGTTTGGAACTTGTATATCTTTGTATAAACAATTCCAAATATTCGTCTTCGGTATGCATAATAGGCTTGGTAACAGATTCATTTTTACTTTCATATCTATGTTCATAACTTCGATAGAACCTATTGATCTGAGCCATATTTAACTCCATAGAATCGTGTAAATATTTAGCTCCGTGAAAGTAAAATGGTTCTGGTATGAGAGTTCCTAAACTGCCATATGGTATAGCATTTCCAAGTATTAAACTCAATGTTGGGACCAAATCAACTTGATTGGCAAAACGTCCTTCACCGAACAGGTCAAATGATTTGAAGGCGGGTTTCTTACTATACATCCATAGGACGGAATTGATTTCATCAAAAGCATCACCGCCATGATTGCCCTTACTGTCCATACCGTGATCACCCATAACTAAAAGAAGAGTATCGTCATCGATCAAATTCATCATTCTTTTAATACACTCATCCATCTCTTTTAACTTTTCTGTCATGGTAGGGTGGTTTGGACCTAACCGATGTCCAACATGATCGACTCCTAAGTAATGCGCGATAAGAATATCCCATGGCTTATGTTCAATATAGTCAAATAGATATTTGTTCACCTTTTGGTCTACGCCATGAAGGTCAGGAACATTAAAGGAAAAAGCAGGTCTAGAATATGTCTGATTTAAGAATTCATGAAATAAACCATCCCATGTGTCATCTCCTAGCAAAACAATGTCTTTACCCATTGATTTCCATTGATACAGAAGATTGTCCTCATCAACGTTTGTACCTGCAAAGTTTGAACCAACGTCAATGAAAGTTGGAAGAGAACCAGTAGTCAACCCTTTTAGTCGTTGAGAAGTAGTCGTAGGTGCGTCCGCCAAAAATTGAAGTAAGATAGAATGCTCGGGATGTGAAATGGATGTCTCATACGGAGTGTTTAGGGCATTATGATAATAAAAGGAATCGTTAGAAGGTATCAAAAAATCATATCTCAAAGCATCTATAACAACTATAACAGCTTTGGTAAATAATTTTGGAGCCCAGCATTCAGAGGTTTTATTCCATTGTGATATATTTAGTGGACGATCAGAACAAGACGATGTCGAATTTGAGGCTTCTCTTCTTAGTAGAAATCCATCTGTAAAAGATTTAAGTCCTACCAAATTTGAGAGCAGAATTAGCGCGAAAAAAATACTTGCTTTCAAGGCATTCCATGTATTCGACAAACTACTGTTTTTAGCTACCTTAACCTTTCCTTGCATAAACAAATTAGTGAAAATCACCCCTTTATGATATATAAATTCCCAAAAACGGTTTCGTTTAAATAAGAGGTGGTGTACAGTACATATGTATAATCCCAATACCTACTTTCATCAACGATTTATTCTCAAAAGAACTACATAACAATTTTAATTATCTGCATGGATTTGAAAGTAACAATATTTAGCTACCAAAAAGTAAAAGAAGCTAAGTTTCAATTCCAAACGAAAGTAATACGTACGGTTTTCATTCTTATATTACTTTTATGGATATATTGAATAAAAATAAAAATAAATATGAATATGAATAAAGTAAAATAAAATAAAACAAAACATAACAAAATCAAAAAATCACTTCAGTGATTTTATAAATCTTTTTATATTCAGATTAGAATGTTTCCAACATGGTTGGTAGCATATAAATCCTCCGATAACTGTATTTCAACAGTTAAAACTTGTCCATTAACCAAAACTAGCTACGAAACGTTAGTAAATCCATTTGCATACGAATCTTCCTTACTAAAATTTTAAATCGTTGAAATTCGTCTTCATTACCCGGATACCAAGGAGCGACGCTCATACCCAATACTAAAGTATCAACATAACCGTTTAAAGTTATGATTTGTGGGATAAAGGAATAAGCATATATAACTTGACCGCTGATCACTTTTTCTGTTGCTATTAACCTCAGTATTGATAGTTGGCCGCTTTGAGTAGCGCAAACGAGACTCTGTATTTGAGGTACATATTCCATCATATTAATTCTGTGAAGTCCTTCAAAACGTATAGTAGATGGATCTTCGAAGCAATTGCGGCAGCTTACAAAAGGATATATTTGAGACTTATGATATCCACATAAGACAACAGAGTACTTGGTTGCAAAAACAAAGATTTCCTCTGGTGGTTCTCGCGTGAACGTACGAAAACAGGATTTCAGATTATCCTACGAACTCGCGTTAATGAAAAATGTCACAGAGAAGTATTTACTTACGGGAGATTTATTATGCATATGCACATAATACTCTCCTTCAAACACGGCATCATCATCGTAATCATCCTCATCAGAATTAAATGATTCTAAACCCAAGAAAATAGCTGGATTCCAGGGTGTTTGCCCAAATGTTCTGGCAGGAATTAAAGTTTCTATCTTATCCTTCACTGTTGGTATAAAGGTAAATGCAGATCTATCAACAAACTTAACAGACCATATCCTAATTTTTATTAACAAGACGAATGCTCAAATTTACATACCAAACCTTAGTATGGAACTTGGATAAACAAGACAGTTCATTTATGTCCCATAACTGTAATGTTCGATCAATTGATCCACTTAACAGCAGATTTCCCTTTGAATTAAACGATACGCAAGGAACTGAAAACATGTTAAACAAAAACAATCAGGAGCGCAACTTACTGTTATGTTGGTGTCCAACCAATTCTAAGGACTCTTGTCGAAACCAAGGCGAACGGTAATCACGCTTGCATTGTTTGTAATCTGTGGATAAATTGAAACTAGATAGTCGGTATTGTGAGAATCATGTTTTGGAGTAAAAATCTTACATATTGATAACATGAGCATTTGATGAAATAGCTAAATATCTTTCCGAAGAAATAGCAATTCCCCATGCAGAAGAGTCAACCGAAAAAGTCATAGGATTTCTTTGAAGATTTTTTACATCATACATTGCGACTTTCCCACAGTCTGTTGCAGTGATTAAATACTCTAAATCACCTAGAAGCTCGCATCGAATATGGTTAATTCCATTAGGCATTCCCGGGAAAAGATCTCCCTGTTGTATGGATGAAGATTTATGAGGACAGTGAAGCACCATTAAAGGATCAGGCTCACTTAAATCTATAGGAAAGAGAAGTAAATTATAAACAAAAACATCCTCTGAAACGATTGATTAGTTAATGACTTGTTCAGATCGAAGTTATTTTCCTAATGTACCTCCGATGGCCACAAACATGTAATCGATCAACTTGCTACATGCAACTAAGGAATTTCTGAATAGTTGAAACGGCTTTTCTCCTAGTTTAAATAATTCACAGACAGAATACTAAAGAGCATATCATTAGCAAGCACTTAGTAGCAGTTTGCAGGAGTCCATACATCTAGACGATTCAGAAACTCATTGACTAAAATTTCTTTTTTCATTATTAACTGGAAACCTTTCTTCGAGAATACCTTCACTTCATAAGGCCACGATTGACCAAGTGGAAACGTAGAGGTGGTTTATGTACTAGTGACACTTACACTACATTACTATCATCCCAGAAATTCCACATAAGGGTTTTCTTCCATCTTTGGAAGTAATTATCTTCTTTAGATAATTGAAATGGAAGCGAGTGCTGCAAATTGCTTATCCTTCGCCCAATTTCAAAGGCTGAGGTACTTCATGGATGTGCCAACTCAAGAAACAAATCGTGTTGAATTTGAAGGGACTTTTGAGGATGATTGGAAGGATGATTTGGATGGCTTTTTTGATTCAGAAGAAGAATTTTTCATAACAGCGGGAAGGGTATTCTACTCAAAACTTAGAGTATTTCAAAGCGTAAGAAATTCAGGTAGCAAGCTGGAATGGTCAGATTTACCCTTAACTATAAAAAAAGAATTTATATCTCAGTGTCGTGAAGAACTTGAATCTGGGAAAACCCTTCGAAATGGAGCCTTCTATACCATCCTGTATCTGTGCGCAGGAGTGTATGATTGTGTCAAAGATTTAAATGAGCATTTTCAAAGCATAGAAAGAAATATTGAATTACTGAGAAGCTTTCAAATTCCAAGTATTATTTATTCTATCTTTACTAACTGGAATACAAATCGTAAGCCTGGCTATATGTCGGACTTGAAAGAGAAGGAGCTTCTTACTCTTTTTCTTTCGCTGATTTTCTTTTTTTTAACAGTTCCTTCTTCAAATTATTCTGAATGGATTGAATGCGCACGTTCTCTACAGCCATCATTAATGTCTTCTTTGGTACAACTATTTAATGATACAATGAATGAGTACGAAATGGACCTTGATAATGTCAGTCTTTTTCCGTTACGACAAATAACCTTCCTTATTTATAAAGTTTGTTTCCGTTTATGGGGTACAGAAACAGATTTTCAAGACAAGAAAAGTGGTATTGGGAACTTGAATAATAACACATCCTCTAATAGACCACATACTACAATACTAGACTACGAAGTTTTTCGTCACGAAGTTGCTACCAAATATTCCTTTTTCGCCCGTCCTTTCTATTCGCTCCCGTTGGATAGAGAACAGATACACATCCTTCCTACATCGAACACAGATTCATTTCACAAGTCCTTCTTTTTATTAAATACCCGTCTTTGCTCTCCGGAAAATCCTTCGCTTCCGTTGACAAATATAAAATCAAAAGGAAACACTCGACGCGAGCAATTCCAAACGAACCAAAACCTTCCTTTTGGATTTACTCCTTCTATAAAAGATTCACCCGCTCCAAAGAGTATAACAGAAGCAACTGAGCTATTGCATCGTCAAAGCAAACATAATAATATCGTTGAGCAACTAATGTTCGAAAGAGAATACCTACGACATTGTACACATCAAAGTTACCTTGGTTGTAATTTTAATGATGCAGTTGAATCACTGAATTTTTCACACGAAAAGGCTACTGTTGACGATCCAACCATAAGTTTTATTTCAAAGACGTATGATGACTTATTCCTTCATTTGGATGTTTTTGTACAGTTATCGATGCATCTATTCTATTATACTTCAAAAAAAGTCAACAAGCTCTATATTGAAGCGTTCTCTTCATCCGAAGCGGCAATGCAAATGCAAAGTATTAATGATATGGCGGTTGCCGATTCCCCTAGTGAGGAAATCAGTGAACCTGTGATAAAACCACTAGAAAAGGATTCGGTAAATGAATTGAATGATCTTGCTACTGGCTTTTTTGTTTCAGGTAATATTTTGTACTCTATTGATACCTGTGAACTAATATTATATTCTCTGTCGAGCCTTTTTTTAATGATGCTCAAATGGCTTCGCTTATCTCATGTATTACGTTCCGAAAGAATTGCTAAATTGCTGTACGATAACCATTTTCTAGAAATTTTAAGTCGCTATTTCTCAGACAATGAATCCTCAATGCATGCCGAACGAGACATGAAATGCCTACGTGGTGGTTTTTTCACTTTCACTGCAAAATCATACAAGCAATTATCCAGTGGCACTTTTGTCTACTCAAGGAGTCCGTCTTATAGAAACATATTAATCACTCTGAATTGCCTTCGTGTAACAGGAAAAATCTGTAAATACCATAATAACAGAAAAGAAACGCTAGTTAAAGTCGATATGCAAAATCACTTGAAAAGATTACTGGAAATACCTCACGAGATACTCAAGCGTTATGCATTGAAGGTTTTAAAGCTACATGTACCGTATCTAGGAGTAAAATGGAAACAGGCAAATATGAACATTATTACTAGTATTTACTTACATTGTCCTCTTAGTTTACGGGATAGTTGGATTTTCCCAGAAAACAATTTAGAAACACAACGGTCATCCAAGCTTCAAGACGCCTTTTTATGCATCTTGATACGATTCTATCATAAGCGGTTGTATGGAAAGGTTTGCAATAAGTTGTATGACTTAAATGTGCTTGAGGAAATTCGATTAAAGCGAACCATCGAAGAATTAGTAGAATCAAATATGATGGAAAATCTGCCAGATGCTATGTGGACCTACGCAGAAAACTCAGAGACTCCAGACTTCTTTGATAATGAACTATCATCTGTTCTTGTACAAAATGTGTCTTCGTTTTTTTAGCCAGCGCTTCATTCATTTCTTTCCTCCCTTTTCTTACAATATATTAAGTCTTTCGAATAACTAACTCATGCTTTTTGTAAGTCTAGAAATGTTTTTCTTATTTTCAATCGTTCAGAAACTTCTTTTGACTTAAAGTTTTATTTTAATGAAAACATAAAAAAGAAAGCTTTTCGAATACCTTTCTCTTATAAAAGTCTTTCCTTAAATTGTTTACTAATGATTGTTAGTGACGTGTAAGGAAATCATTATAATCAGATCATTTTTCTGTCGCTAGTAAGATATATATTTTTTTGTGTAGCACTATTCACCAACACTCCACTCAATACACGAAAACATATACTTAATAAAGGTCGTTTGATTTGTACTTTGTAAAGGACGAATCGAGTTGTTGATCTACCAATTGCTTTTGCAAATTACTATTATTTGCTGAGTCCCAGTCTAAAACTCGAAAAACATTTACTCAAAAAACGTATTTCGAGTGAGAAATAAAACAATTTGTGAAGTAAATTCTAAAAAATCACAGGCAAATGGATGTCGTTTTAGAGTTTGCAGACAATCATGTCTTTGATTCACTGTACAGCAAAGTTGCGAATGTATTTCATGTCACTCCTTCTCTTGGAGTTTCTACCTTGAATAGTACTGCTCCCATATTAAACAGCGCTTCTAGTACTTCCTCTACAATCGCTTCGGCTTTCCTTGATCGCAATAACATTTTCCGACAAGGTATAAGTTTGTTTCTCATCACATGGGTTATGGGAACTTTATCCTATTTTGTTTCTGCGTCTATAGCTTACTTCTTCTATTTTGATCGCCAGGAAGCTAAGAGACACCCCAAGTTTTTGAAAAACCAAGAGTTGTTGGAGTTGAAGACTGCATTATCAAACCTTCCTGGTATGGCCGTATTAACATTCCCATGGTTTTTGGCTGAACTCCGTGGCTACTCTTATGCTTACGATGATCCAGCTGAGTATGGATACTTTTACTTAGGATTCTCTGTTATTCTATTTCTTCTCTTTTCCGATTTCTTGATTTATTGGATTCATCGTGGTCTCCATCACCCTTGGTTTTATGCTCCTCTACATAAATTACACCATAAGTGGATCATTCCTACACCATTTTCTTCTCATGCTTTCCATTTCCTTGATGGTTATAGTCAATCTTTACCCTATCATTTGTTTCCCTTCTTCTTCCCCTTAAATAAATATCTTTATTTACTTCTTTTTGGATCCGTCAATTATTGGACTGTCCTAATTCATGATGGGAAATATTTCTCGAACAATGCTGTGATTAACGGTGCTGCTCATCATGCTTCCCATCACATGTATTTCAACTATAATTATGGTCAATTTTTCACGTTGTTTGATCGTTTGTGTAGTTCTTACCGTCATCCCGATCAAGAATTGTTCAACGCCGAACTAAAGAAGGATAAGAAGATTCAAGAACAAAGAGTTAGTGAAATGGAATATATGCTGAAGAATGTTGAAGGGAAAGATGATCGTACGTATACGAGTAAGAAAGATGCCTAGAGTTACTCAATCCTTTTTGTCAGATTCTTTCGACGTATAAATTCACACTTTTGTTCCTCCCTCCTCCTGATTCTATCTCTACAGTTTCATTTTTTTTATGCCTTAACCACGTTAACAGGTCTTTTGTAGTTACGTCTTCACTAGATATTTACTAGTTGTATTGTTAAAACAAAAAAAATAAATAAGTACGGTTTTCCTGACTAAATCAAGTAATGTGTCAGTATTTATATGTCTACAAACTGTCGCGCACACGTCGCAAATTCCTTCTCAAAAATACCCTCCCTTGAAGTGGAGGAGTTGCAGATTTTATTTGTGTCCAGCTGTTAGCCCTCACTCGGTCGAGGTTTATTGAATGAGAGTGGCGATCTCGAATACCAAAAGGTCGATTTCGAACAATTATTACTTTGGTTTCAGACACGTCCAGGTCAGGAAGGTTTACAGACTCTAATGGTTTCTTAAATAAGCTGTCTAAAGCGGAATTGAATAAGTCCAGATTAGGTATTAGAAGAGTTTTCCGAAAGGTTGTATCAAAAGCAAAATCAATAGCCTTTGCTTCGTCAATTGGAATCAAATGAGACATGAACTGGCACGAAATAAAAAATCTTGTATATTAAGATGTTGAACATATACAGTCAGTAATGTGACGGCAATAGAGGATAATCAAAGGTGATTAAAAAAAGCTTCGGTGATGAGTATTTTAGACCACGATAGAAAATTAAAGGAGTATGGTGTTAAACAATTAGAGTCAAAGGCTTGGTATGCTGAAATCAAGTGTTTCGAGATTCAGAGATGTTCTGTCTTCATTCAATGGTTCGAATTAATTAAGAATACTGTATTTTAGTAATAGTTTTTGTAGATCCATGAATTGTTATTGACTAAGTTTCAATGGTCCAAGGTGAGTTCAATACGTGAAGTATACGTTGAACCACCAACATTCTGTTACTTGATTGAGCTTGTCGTGATTATTGATTAACTCTTCTTTTATGAATAAATAATGGGTTTTTTGATACAATGGTCCTTTACTCAAGGATTCATATTAGGACAGTTGTTAACGATTTCAGTTATTTACGTATTTCTCCGGTTTTTTCTGTTTTGTAATCCTCCACCGCAAGACTTAGCCAAAGAAGAAGAAAAGATAGAGGCAATTAAATCCCAACAGGCAAAACCTTCTCCTACTTCTTCTCCAGATGTTGCGAATGTCACTGACAACGCTAGACACTATTTTCAAGATACCCACTCGACTTTAGATTCGGAATTTTTGGATGCTCTTTACAATGTTAATGAACATGAACCTGAATCATTAGATTGGTTCAATGTTCTAATTGCTCAAGCTTTAACACAATTCAGACATGATGCAAGCTCGAATAACGTTGCTTTAAGAAGGTTAGAAGCAGTCCTAAATAAAGGTACTCAAGATAGGACAATGGTGGATCACATCTACGTGAAAAACCTTTCACTGGGTAGAGGATTCCCTGTTTTTAGTCACTGTAGAGTTTTACGCCGAGAGGAAGGTTCTTCTCATTTACGAGCAGAAATGTTAGTTTCTTTGAAGGATAATCTCACATGTACGGTTGAAACAAAGCTGCTACTGAATTTCCCAAAGCCTTCATTTGCGACACTCCCTCTGTCAATAACTATTAGCATGCGAAGATTTGTTGGAAAGGTATAAAAAATTTAAAAATATTTAGTGAACAAATTACTCATTGTTTTCTCACTTTGGCGCTATTACATCTTGCTAACCTATTGTAGATGATGATTCATTTTTCTCCAAGCAATGGAGCAGATCAGCCAGCTTATTTTAACTTTTCATTCGATCCAGATTTTGTTTTCTCTTTAGAAGTTAATTCTCTTATAGGAGCTAGATCGAAACTACAGGATATTCCTAAAATCACACAATTAATTGACTCTCGTGTCCGTCAATGGTTTATAGCTCGTTGTGTTTCCCCTCAATTTCAACAGTAAGTGTATCATAAATGTTTATACTCTATTAACCAAAACTAAAATAGAATCGCTATACCAAATTTTTGGCCCACTTCCGCCAAAGAAGGACATGCACGCTCACAAACAAGCGCAGACGTACATGGCAATATGTGATAGAATGCAAAAATAGAAAAATATTAATTAGTGTATTTTATTTTTGCCTCTTTGACAAAAACGGTGGGTATTTGCGACCGGGTATCCATCCGTTTATTTCATGTTTGAGCCACCACCGGTTACATTCAAAAATTACTCCCTCCATACTCATTCTGTTGATTATCCTCGCAATGTTTCTAGAATCATCAATGCCACTATGTTGGTTTCCCTCAAATCGAAGATTCCATCGTTGTAACATTCCTTCAATGTTAACTCTTGGTACATGGTACACATCGGAAAAATAAGCTCGAATGTCAACAAAGTGACCTTTTATCCAGTCCGGAATCTGTGTATTGCTGAATTTGAACTATGATGTTAGCTGACATGGAGAATTTAAAACCTGTAGTATTTTATTTTTGATGGAGGTCATTTTGATTAAACACCAGATTGAATACCTGTTTCGCAATGAACGATGCCATATCCCAGGGACCATCGCATGCCCAAGCCCAATTTTTTGGCTGACTCCTCGGAATCGCTCGTGAAGGTTCGAGGATTTTAACTTCATCAATTGATGGTTCAAGGATAGCTTTATGTTGTCTTAAAAATTCCGTTAGGTTTTCGAGTACCTGCTGGAACGGCGATGCTTCATCTATAACTGATTGTTGTATCCCAGTTAAGGATTTACAATAGTCAGATAATATAGGATTCATATTTGGCCGAACATAAGAATGAAATTCGTCGATAATCTCATTCGTATCCAAGTCATAAAGCAGACACGGAAATTCTATTATTTCATTATCAAAGGTAAATCCACATCCTTCCTCACAAGTAGCTTCAACGTCAACAATTAATAAGTATCGACTTTATAGTGAAAATCATCGAGTTAGTTAATGTATTTTCGTAAGACATTAGAAAATGATTCTGTGCATACAGATGAATTTTTGCTTGATTTTCTAGAGAATAAAGATTCCATTGTTCTTGTTTCTTTTTTTGTTCTAAACGCTGTTCCCGAAATCTGTATCGCCGACGCAATTTGTCCCTATCCTTGTAAGTGACTATACATATATGAGGCTAATAGTACAGAGCAAAATTGGAATTTAAAATACGTACTTGCTTCCTGATGAATTCAAACCAAGTTCTTCCAATGCTAGTCTAAGTTCTTCAACCGTCGACGGTGACTTTCTACTCATGGTATGGTCGAGTTGGCATTTTGATGATAGCTTTTCACATTTCCTCGAACTTAAGACAGAACGTGCATATATATATTTGTAATTTTATTTTTCTATAAAAAAAGGAAAAACAAAGTATTTATAATTAATTAATCAAAGCTTTCCAGCCTTTAAGGTCTTTGTATGAGAAGAAGTATCAGCAAAGGAAGTTCCAGGCATCAGTTCGGATGGAGGATTTTTCTACATTAAAGCAACCTACAGGAGCTTGGGAAGCGTCTGAAGAAGCTTCCGATACTCCTAGTTTACTCGTGGTTATATTAGATGCGAATCCAGCTTCTTGGTATTCACTTTCTAAACGTATACCCGTTTCAAAAGTATTGGCAGATATTAACGTCTTTTTAAACGCACATTTGGCATTTCATCATGATAACCGAGTTGCTGTTCTGGCTTCTCATTACAACAAAGTTGAATATCTATATCCGAAACCAGAGACCGAAGAAACTGTTCCTTTGTTAGATTCTGCGAAGGAAGCAAATACATATCGAAAGTTTCGAGAGGTTGATGATTTTGTTCTCACCGGAATGAGGCGATTGATGCATTCTACGTCAAGTATATCCAAAAAAACGCTGATGTCTGGCGCGCTATCCCGTGCGCTAGCTTATATAAACCAAGTGCAAAATCAAAAATATATCCGATCCAGGATAGTTATTTTTTCATTGACTGGTGATGTGGCTCTTCAGTATATCCCTACAATGAATTGCATCTTCTGTGCACAAAAGAAGAACATTCCAATTAGCATATGTAACATTGCAGGAGGAACACTCTTTCTCGAACAAGCTGCAGATGCAACAGGAGGAATTTATTTAAAAGTCGATAACCCCAATGGTTTATTGCAGCATTTAATGATGACTTTGTTTCCTGATCAAAATCTTCGGAAACATCTCAATACACCAAATCAGGCAAATGTTGATTTTCGGGCTACTTGCTTTTGTCATAAAAATGTTTTAGATATCGGTTTTGTTTGTTCAGTATGCTTGTCTAGTAAGTACACATTGTTAAAAGCCTCAAGAAGCTAACATTTATCTAGTCTACTGCGAACCAAGAGAGTTTTGCTCAACTTGTCAAACTAAATTTACTCCTAGCACATTATCCAAACGAAAATTTTCATAATTTATAACTTTGGATTATTTGTTAACGAGTTGGTTAATGAGCCAAGTACGCTGACAACTGGTGAGAAAGCAATAAATTATCAACGAGTTTTGTTTTATGAATAATTAGATATCAAGCGTACATAAACAGCACGGCCTAGAGTTCCCCTTGATAGTACTGATTAGTTTCAATCGGAGAGGGTGTATACAAGTCTGCATTGCATGGTTGCAATCTTGAAATGGATATGATAGAAAAAGAACACTAGAGAGACTTTAGGAACTAACTGCTTAATGAACGTTATTACAATTCTTTTTGAATTAAATTTAATTTCAGCTATATTTTCAAAACAAACAATAGCAATTTTCATCTTCGTCCTCCCTAATATTAATATTAAACCAATTTCTATTCATTAATCGCAACAGATTTTTATTAGTGCATTACCACCATAAGGACAACGACTAATCAAATTCTACCACCAAATAACATATAACTTATAACAGTTTCGTTTATTCTTCAATTTTTGGATTTATCTTTGGAAAAACATGGGTATCGAATGAAAACTGTATGATGTTTCTTAAAACTTTTGTACATACTTCAAGAAGAGCATTTAGCACCAATTTGGTGACAAATAAAGGGCATGTAGTGGTAATTGGAGGAGGCCACGCAGGAGTCGAAGCAGCTGCTGCTTCGGCAAGGCTAGGAGTACCGACAATTCTTTTGACAAGGTCAAGGAATGATATTGGACAAATGAGTTGCAATCCCGCTTTCGGGGGGATCGGAAAGGGCACATTAATGCGTGAAATTGACTCTCTCGGTGGTGTTGTTAGTGGTGTTTGTGATGATTCTGCTATTCAATTTCATGTTCTAAACAGGTCGAAAGGAGCAGCCGTATGGAGCCCGAGAGCCCAGATGGATCGTTCAATCTTCAAGGCAAATATGCAAAAGAGGATGAGTAATTATCGACCGAATCTTCAAATTCTAGAAGGTAGTGCTGTTGATATAACTACGACGCCAGATGCTTCTGGTAACCTAACCTGTTCTTCCGTTAAGCTCGCCGATGGTACAGAAATTGAAGCGAATGGCGTTGTTATTACAACTGGAACTTTTTTAGGTGCTAATATTAATGTCGGAAACAAACAGACACCTGCAGGTAGGCTTGGGGAAGCTCCTTCATTTCCTCTCAGTGATTGTCTTCGACGTCTGGGTTTTCAGATGGGACGTCTGAAAACAGGGACACCGCCACGTATACATCCTAAAACAGTTGACGTCGCGAATCTCTCGGAGCAAGTTGGCGATGAAGTACCAGAAGCGTTTAGTTTTCGCAACTTAAATGACAATTTTTTTCCAAAACTACCTCAACGCTCGTGTTACAAAACTTATACAACAGAACAAACACACGCACACATCCGTGATAATTTGTACCTAGCCCCTCATATGCTTGCTCATGATATCCATTCTCCTCGTTATTGTCCCTCTTTAGAAGCCAAGGTAACACGCTTTCCCGAAAAAAGTAGACACATTGTGTGGTTAGAACCAGAAGGTTTAAGCCCTGACTCTTTTTGGTATCCTAACGGGCTAAGTAACTCAATGCCCGAAGACGTCCAAAAATTAATTATCAGAACTGTTCCAGGGCTTGAGAACGCCGAACTAGTTCGTCCAGCGTATGGCGTGATGTATGATTATGTTGATCCTCGTCAACTCCATCCTACGCTTGAAACGAAAAAAATTCATAAGCTATTTACAGCTGGTCAAATTAATGGTACAACAGGATATGAAGAGGCTGCTGCGCAAGGTATCATAGCCGGTATAAATGCCGGTCTGATTGCTTTAGGTAAAGGACCTATTACCATACCTAGAAATGTTGCATTATTAGGAGTAATGATTGATGACTTGGTAACCAAAGGAGTTAAAGAACCTTATCGAGTTTTTACATCTAGAAGTGAATACCGACTTACCACGAGAGCAGACAATGCTGATTTAAGACTGGTCCCCTTGACGAAATCTCTTAATTTACTTGATGACAGCAGTCAATGGGATACGTTTTCGAGCACTAAAAGTTTAATAGACACTGTCATTTTTGACTTGAAGAACAAGAATTTGAGCTCTCAGCAGTGGGCCAAGCTTGGATTTTCGGTACCCTATGATGGAAAGTATCGAAGTGCCTGGCAATTGTTAACCTTTACTAATCTTAATGCAATGGATATTCTATTCACACTTCCTTCAGTGAAAGAACTTCCACGGAGGATACTTGAAAGAGTGATCATTGAAGGAAGATACGCATTTTACATCGGTCGTCAAGCATCTCAAAATAAGTTACTTTATTATCGAGATGAGTCCACTGTTATTCCTCTTAATTTTGACTTCGAAAAGTAAGTTTATTTCCTTCTTTCTAATAGTATATATATATACTAACAATCAGGCTGCAATCTGTTTCCGCAGAAGAATTAGCATTGTTAAAAACTATTCGACCTGTTACCATCGGACAATTGAAGCGGATTCCGGGTATTAAACCAAGTACAGTCATTTATATGCTTCGTCATGCCACTCACAATCCTAAAAAAGAAACTTGGATGCAAGAAGTTTTTAAGCCCATGTATGACTTCCATTCTTAGAAAATGTGGTTCTTTGTATGACACGTTCATGTTCTTCTCACAAATTGCATAACTACATGTACTAGATTATTTTTTCAAACAGATAGACTGAAATAAAACACAAAATTTATTACCTTAAATACTTTTTCCTTGAACAAATACCCGTTATTTTCTATTGTATGTATGAGTTTTAAATAACATAACCGTAAGACTGTAAAACGCTTTGTCCATCACCAGGCAAGTGCATGCTTATAATTTGGGACACTCGATTGGCATAGCGTTTATTAGCGGCGTTCATCTCCATAGCGGCATATTGCTTAAGATCAGTAATTTGAGAAAATGGATCCAAACGTTTGCCGCCACTAGTTGCCAATTTTGAGAAGGAAGCTTGGAACATCACTGAGTCAGCATCAATTTCGTCTACCATAAGATCTTCGTCAGCCTCGGTTTGGGTTTGTTCGATTGGAAGTTCGAATAACTTCAATAGCGATGACAAGATGGGAATGAAGAGGCGTTCATATGGGGAGTTATTTGATAGTAAAAGATCACTAGTGAGCAAGTGTACCATTCCAATCGCGGTGATTTTCCTATCTAAAGGAAGGGACAGCTTTTGAGTTTGAGGTAAAACAATTGAAGACATGACTTGTCCAAAAACTCCGGTTTGTACAGAATCCACACCGTGAATCAAATTATCTGGTCCGCATGAACCAGTTGTAGAAGCCGCTAAAAAGAAGAAAAATACGGTACAACGTAGTGAAAACCGTTCAGTACGAGAGTTTTTAAGGCGGCTTAATAATAAGAAAAAAATATGATTTATATAGGGAGCAAGAACGTTAGCATCGAAAACAGAGAAAACCCGATCAAGCAAATCAAAACCAAAATGATCGTTTATTTTTGAGGATATTAGCTTCCTATAAATTCCTAAAACGGGTTCCACAAAGTTATTTGAAACAAATATTTGGGGACCGCGGGTAATCATTGCTTGCAGAAGTCTTACCAAAGCAGGAATGTTTCCCTTGGAATCCCAAAGAGCTGGAGATAAACAAGGTTGTATCATATTGACAACGAAATCAGGCAAAGGTTCAGATCCACTTGCCTCAATTAATTGGGACAAGAGTTGTAAAACGTAAGGGATAAATTCAGTCACGTCCATGACTAAAACATTCTGGAAAACAGGAAGCAATGCAGATTCTAGTTGGGCGACGGTCTGAGGTCCTGACTTAGATAAGCTGCGAATAAACGCACCAAGTGCCTCAAATAAGTAGTGATTGAATTTAGGGTTAGAGGGATTTTTGCATACTTCTGTTGTTATTTTGGTTAAATGGGATAATGCAAGTTCAGCAAATGGCACGATGCGCTCTTGAGACATAATAATAACTCGCATTATAGCCTTCATCAAGTAGTCATTTTCAGCAAGTTTCTGAGGAGTAGCACCACTCTCGATAATGAAAAATAACTGTACTAATACCGGTTGGACAATCGGTTCTATAAGAAGACTAGTAAATATGTGTACGTGGTTATGACGGAGCGTAAGCAATAGATCTATGGCAATTGAAGCGTAAGTGTAAACAACAAAGTTTGGCAATTTCAAGAAACCGGCGATGACAGGTAGGATATCGACAAGTTGTTGGGACTGCAGTTGGTTTCTAAAAGTAAATACAAACTTAATATCTTCGGCTAATACCATAGGATGAACGCTACCAACAGGTTGGACTAAATCAGGTCTGATGTTGCTCTCAAAGAAACTTACAACATCAACCATTAGATTGGTAGAAGTAACTCCCAATCTAGAGGATTGACCTTTGATTGCGATAGCCGCAAATAATTGCAGAGCAGCATACTTCTTGTTCCAGTCTGATGCAGGATTTAAAGATGATTGTTGTAGACTAGCATTTATATGTGTAGTAATAACAGTGGTGATTAGCTGATCGAAGTGATCTAATAATCCCCGAACCAGTACGATGGCAGACCGAGAACGAGAATCACTATTGGATCCCTCCAAATCACGACGAACATACTCGAGGGGATCATCTTCAAAAAGCTCTTCATCAGATTCACGCAGGCAGATATTTGGAAGAATGACAAGCTCGATAAATTGTTGGAGAATAGGCTCTTGGCGGAAAAACTCTGCATGCCTACGAATTCGAATAACTGAGGTTAGAAAAGCCATAGCTTTTCCTACCAACACATCGTATTTCTCCTCCTGGGTAAGATTTGTGAGTAGCGTCCAAGTCATATTTACAAAATCGGTTAAATTAGTAAACACTTCTTCGTAACGAAGAGTATAAAGTTCAGCAATTTCACAAATACTGGCCTTTACCTTAATCAAGATATTGTTATCTTCATCTTCTAAAGCAGGATTCGAATAGATAAAGTAATTGAGAAAGGTGGTCATAAACTCTGTGATATGATCTTCAAAGAATTCTGGAATATCCTGACAATTTAAATCATAAAAAAGTTTGCACTGTAATAAAATAACCTGAAATAAGGTGTTTAATGATGCGACATCTTGAGGCCCGCTTGCCAAAAGAGCGTTGGTTTGCTTGAAGAGAGCAAGAAAGGGTTCACAAAAACGATCCAGCACATACTTAATCTCCAAAAACAATGCATCGCTTCGAAACAAAGGACGCCAACGCTTGAATATAGCATGAGCCGTAGAAAGTACAGAAATATTTGTATTCATGTCCACTGGGGAAAGTCGCGAAATCAAATCAGGCAGAAGAGAATCCCAGCGATCAGGAAAATCGAAATTGGCAATGTAGCCCACAACCTCGCCTAACTGTACCTGAATATTAGCAGGGCTTTTAAGCATGAGACTGATGATTTCGCGTTTGACAAGTTCGGCCACTTCGTCATTTATGCGAACAGTAGCATCCTCTTCAGCATCCCAATATCTCTTGATATAATTCTTAAAATATAAAGAAGCAGCAAGTTTAATACTAGGATCCGAGGTTGCGTCTGCAACAATGCTTAATAACTGAAGTGCAAAGCTTGCATCTTGAACTTCCCATGATTTTAAAGCTTCCTCGGCTGTATTCAATGTTAGTAAATTTCCAGCATAGTTTACTTACCAGATCTAGAGGTAACAGGGTTTAGAGTACCTGCAAGTAAAGCTGGAATCCCGTCCATAGTATGCGTGAAAGGGTTGTTGTGGTTGAAGGAAGGATGAAGAACGTGGGTACTATATAGGGGAAATCAGTATTGAGTCCATTCCACGGCATGATAGTTGCTTCTTTTATTCTTATGTATTTTATGAATTTAATTTGGATGAAAGAAAGCTACGTCTCGGATCCATGAAGAGAAAAGAACTCGCTTCCCTCGTCATGTACTCTTAGCACCTTATTAAATTTCATATATCTATATACAACTACATTGGAAAAGAACAATATTTATAATTTCGGAAGAGGAAGAGAATTCTTCTTAAGCTTCAATATGCATAGCAGAAAAAGAATTCTAAAAAAGCGTCCATTCACAGGATGCCCAATTTGACTTAACTTTATCATAATTACAATATGAATATTGTATATTATATATTTTCCAGCTTAGTCCAAAGACAAACAAATTTCTTTTGCTTACGAGAAGAACCTGCAGTCGTTCATGAGTGCATTTAAATGAATAGAAACATTCGCTTACATACTAATTGAAGAATTAAGAAATCATAGTGATCGCAAGAAGTGTTAATCCTTGGCGGTTTGAAAGCATTTCTATCCTCTTGTTTTACAAAACCATTTTCCACAATACGAACAGAATTGCAATTGCATGTGTTTAGAATAGACTATGTATTTTTTCTAACATTCTTCTATGTAAATTGATTTCAGTCCTTCATATTGTTCTGATTTTGTCTTCTGTTTACATGATAAATGGCGACATATTTACTTAAAAAAAAAAAAAAAAAAAGTTGTTTTGAACTAAGTATTCACGAGTATTAAAAAGAACAAAAGAATTTATATAGTTTATATAATTGTTTTGTCTTATGATTTATGAAATTCTCAATTTTTTGTTTTACTAATTTAATTTTTTCTAAAGTAAACAAAGAATTGTTTACCTCCTATGTTACGAACTACGTTAAAGAATTTAAGCTACTAATGAAGCCCTATTTAATGATAATAGCGAAACTTAATATCACTCTTTATTTATTTGCAACCCAGTATACAATAATTAACTACATATTTTGGGGCAAGTGGATCAAATCCAAAAAAGACGACTTCTATTAGCATTGCAAACGCACGTTGGAAAGTATGAAGAAGAATGTTTGATGGAGGATATGCTCAAAAAATGAACCTTGGTGGCTCTTTCCCGGAAACAACAAGAACCCCAGACTTGACTGGACAAGGCAACAGCAGCCAGTTTCCTACCACCTATCCATCTAATAATTATCAATTTTTATCCTCATCCAGACCGCAAATAGAAGGAAATTCAGGATATCCAGAGATGATGTCGCAAACGCGCCCCACAGCGACAGCACGAGGATTTCCATACGGCTCTTCTAGTACCGGTGAAGGTATACCTCCAGTACCATCCATGCGTATGGAAGAATCCAACCAGTTTACAACCACTCCTATGGCTTCTACTGACATGAAGCACCCATCACCGTCCTTGCCTCCTTCGGCTTCAGCCATTCAACAGCAACAACAGCAACAATTGTTACAAAGGCAGCAATACCTGAAAAATAAAATGGAATCAGCGAGCTCTATGTTTGAGCCTTCTTATCAAAGTCACCCTGAGTACCCGCCAAACACATTTCCAACCCAGAATATGGCAGCCGCATCTTCAAGGTCACCTTCGATAGCTCCTGACGTGCCTAACAATCCGAGTCCCCCAAGTAGAAATAAAACCTCAACTCCTTCTGATGTTGCTGAAAATTGCAATAAATTTATGGTTAGTTTATTAAGTTTCATGGCCAAACGTGGCACCCCAATGAAAGACTATCCATCAATCGATGGATATCCTATAAATCTGATGATGTTATATGCTCTTGTTATGCGTACAGGTGGCTCTAGGCGAGTAACGGATTTAAAATTATGGCCAAAAGTTGCTGCTTCCCTTGGATTTACGAATCCAAAAGCAGTTTCCCTCTTGTATCAAAACTACAATGAATGTCTCCTTCCTTATGAAGAAGCTTGGACTCGTGCCCATCAGCAAAAGCTTCGGCTAGAAAATCAGCCTGTATCAGAAGATCCAAGAATACCCACGCCGAAACAGACATCCGTTCCAAAAGCGACTTTTAACGCACAAATACCGAATCAAAAAAATGAATCTCCATCTTTGAGTGGATCTTCACACACACCTGCTAACTATAAACCGTCCCTGTCCCCTACTGCCGTACCTCAACGAAGCGGCTCAATACCTCCTAACCCTCCTGTTAATGAAAAAAACAAGCCTTTTATTGTCCCTGAAGCTTCAACACCTTTACCCTCCGCTTCGGATCGACCTCCAGTTGAACCTAGCGTTGAACCTCGCACTTACAATCCCATGAAAATAGACTTGGCGGGAATAACTGCTGGATTTCCTCTGCATCTTTCTACTACTCATCGCATCGATGAATCCTTATTGCGGTTGAAAATGCCGTCTATCTCAGATTTAGGTTGTATAAATATTCATGCGCTATCTATGAGTCTTTTATCAACACTCCCTGGTGAAATGACTTATGCTCTCAACGTTTTACTTCTTTTGGCAAATGATAGACAAGAAGCTGTACATTTAGCAAAATGCGAAGAAGTACTTGATGCATTGGTGGATGTTGGATGGAATTGCTTGGATGTACTTACGGAGAAACTTGCATCGGAGACGAGTGAAAACATTCACGTTGAAAGGCCTTCTTACAGGTATCTATTGCTAGAATGCATACAAGAAAACAGTATTCAAAGAAATCAGCCAAACCAAGAATATGAAGGTTGCGGTACATATGAAAAGAAAAATCGTCAATTGATAGAGCAGCACTTGCTTGCTGTATGTATAATACTTCGTAACATGTCCCTTGCTGAAGAAACAATAATGAACTTTTCTCGCGGATCTGAGTTATTTAATTTCTTACTGCGACTAATTCGGTTGTTGAATCGTGGTGAGTGGTGTTTGTTATCATCTAAACGTGCTATGCTAGATCTTCATAAGGATGTTTTACTATTTCTTTCACAGGTATCACATAATATCGTGCTACCAAACGTGGAGTCTGCTTTACAAATTTTGCATTTTATTTTAGCGTTTTCTCCCATATCAAAGAAATATACCAAGCGAAAAGGTTTGGTAACGGGTGACTCCCAAGATCTCCCTCTGGAAATTCCCACCTATACCCCTTTCACGCACCCCTATGTTGGACCTTCTATAGCTGTATACGCAAAGTTGATGGCTCGGGACGCTACCAACAAATTATATTTTCAGACAGTTTTTGACCGAAATCCTAAGCTTTTGAACTTAACGTTTCTTTTTCTTGCCTCTGTTATCCCAAAGTTCAATAGACAATGTTTAAAGCTTTGCGAAAAGCGTCTACCGTTGTTACAGCATGCATTTTTATGTTTGGAGAATACTGTATCGTTTCTACGAGAACCATCTCAGGCGGTGTTTTGGTGTAACATTGGTGATGGTTTTTTTGCTTCTCTCATTCGTTTATTAATTCTATTATCCGGTCATCCATCTCTTAATCCCGTTTTTCCTCCTGATGTCCCTACCCGAACGAGCACGAATCCCTTCCGCTGTGTAATTCAAAATGGAATATTATGTGCAAGAAAGCTCTACACCTTAGCATGCTCAATTAATGCTACAATTGTTTCTTTCCCAAAGAACGAAACTATTCTAGCGATTCTTCTTGCTCCTACCACCGACCGAACGTTTTTGAAAGATCTCTCAACTATATTGGATAGAGATGTTGGGGAACAACTATCTTTTAATAATAGAAACTTTAAATAATTAGTTGGTTCCTGTTTATATTGATTTATTTTTGTTAATAATATTTCCTTCTCTTTGTCTACTTTCTTCCCATCTTTTTGCATAGACGACATACATACTACTTCATTTCATTCTTCATTCACAAATTTGAAAGGAATAAACGAGCTTACGCTTTAGTACAAGAACAACAAAAAGAAACTTACAATATATTTTACGATGAACACAACAAGTTTTGCATAAACAAAAAATTTAATTAAAAAAAAAAAAAAAAATCGACAAAGAACCAACATCAGACATCCAAAGGAAGGACTATGGCCGTCATTTGCGACAAGAATGGGTTCGTATGTCGCTCCGTGAAAACTGCGAATGTTTGTTGGAAATTTCATCACCTGTCAGTCTTTGTCGATAAATCTTTTCCAGCACCCACAACTCTAAAACTTCTAAAGAAAAACTAAAACTAACTGACAAACTTTCATTGTCAAAAACAAAATGGAAGGGAAAGTAACACCAAAACTCGCTCGTATAGGAGCAGCTACCACGATTCATCCGATCATATACGCTTCTATATCAATACAGAAATACCGATACCTCAAACACTTTTACGAGTTTGAAAAATTTAAAAACTTTCATGATCCCATCGCAAAAGCACACCTAACAAAAAGTTAGTATAAAATCGGTGAAAACAGATCAAGAGAAAAACGAGAGAATCAGACACCTAAAATACTGGCAAGTATTACCTCTCTCGGGAAAAAAATTGAGAGAGGCGATTTGTATCGTCATAGTCGATAAGACGGGTAAAGAAGACGTATATGAATATCATCAGGCTTTCTCGTTTTTCCTTAGGGAGTAGAAAACTTACCTCTACAAACAAGTTTACCGAGAGTCGAAAAATTTCAGGTTTTCCAAAAAAGTCACCAAAAATTTAATGTTTCAGCTTCGAAAGCGAAGATACACTTCAATCCACTGATCGCAATGTTTGATCACTCAACAGTACTAGCGAAAAACAAACGTTACCGACGAATCCGTCTACGCATTACGGCTTCCATACACGATTACGCGTTTCCAATGGTCGATGCACATCACACAATCTACTCCGGCTACGGTTTAGAAACTCCCAAATCAGCAGCTACTCAAAACACGTCAACAACTTCCAGTGCACACACACACAAGTAGTAAAAGCACCGCTGCCCAAAAAGAAGCCGTCCGCATTTGACAAGCGCTGCTTACGAGGACTCGAATTCCAACGGAAACCTCTCTCGAAGTTCGCAAACGCTCTCTTTAACAGAAGTGTTCTTGCCGTGTGAAGCACTCGAAGCTGCCTGCCGATAGTAGTGGTTCTTGCCCATCCTTATATAGACAAGGGAACCCTAACCCTGAATGTTCTGGAAGAAAAAAGGATGGTAAAAAAGTCCTTTCTAGCATGTATTACGTCATCAGAATTTATCCAGCAGAGGAGATTAGAGCACCGTACCGTGGAGAATCCTATGTGTATGAAACAAAATGCAACGAAGGCGGTAGAGGTGATAACGGGATTAAAACCATCCGTATATGAAATTAGGGAGATGGATGCAGCACTACGGCAATGAAAGAGAATTCCGTCCACCACTTGGTATATACAAATGGCTGGCTGAAGTGACAAGTGACTTTCCAGTGTTCAGCTATAGAATTGCCAATGCAACGGACATGGGCTTAGATGGATGATGAAAAATTAAAACATATATATGAAGTCTTCTTCTGTATACCATGCAACAAAGCACGTATATCAGACAATCGTACCTTCATGTTTATCAATAGAAAATAACAGACTGCAAGGTTATGCGGTAGACTTTCTAAGGAAATAGCTTCCGTTACACTATTCCAATACTACCAGCGATTTTGTTTGGGTGGAGCGATCTTGTTTTTACGCTTTGCACAGAGCTAGAGCTACATAGTGCTTTAGCAAGCAGGTATCGAATTTATTTCATGAAAAGCATGGGTACCAACTATGCATCTATGATGTACAATAGCGGCTCCAATATTCTTGGCTATGGAGTTTTGAGACTATTACAGTACAACGAACAATTATCATGCGGGTGGGAAAACACCATGAAGGAAGACATAGGATACTGGAGGAGATTTGTGCACAATTTCTTTACTGAAAAGGGAACATTTCGATTCAATTTTGAACCAAACGCACAAAGGACTCGTGAATCTATGCAATTTGAATTATCATACGCAGCTTTGCCGCGGTTTTTCTATTTAAATTACATGGGTGACATGAGACGAATGTCAATAGTAATGGGTGATACGAAAGAATTTGCAATTCCTAATAATGGGTACTTCGTCGAGTCCTCGCATGCAAGTCTTGTGTATCAATTTGCTAATGGTATACAAGTAATTGTTTATGGTTGTCTGCGAGCACATTTTCATCGTGCACCCCTTTTGAAATTGGATTCACTTGAATTCTCCGCTACGAATTATTCCGAATATCTTCTTCGTGAACTAGTAAACAGTGCCTCTCTTGCACAGCAATATCAACATGAGCATCGCCCAGGACAGGAAAACACATCTGGATTTCCTTCCCAAGGCAGTGAACAAGCCCCACCGTATCCTCCATATAACCTCGGCAACAGTGCCCAACTTGCTTCTACGCCGGTGAACGAGTATGGCATTGAACCGCGAATCATGCGCTTCTTGGAGATTTCCGAAACTATTTCCGGGATGCGAGATTTAATAGCCTTTACTCTGGCTCAGCGCTCCGGACCTGCAAGTGCTCTCCAAAAGTTTGCTACAGCGTTAAAACAACAACAGCAGATGCAGAAATCGAGTACCGCAAAGATAGCTATTCCGAATAATCCCTCGTTAAATAATCAAGCTCCTCCTAATAATGCTGAAGCTTCTATACCTTTGGTCCCTTCTGTAGCCCAAACGGCAGCTGGAGGGCCTCCTCCCGAATACCGCGTCCCTAATTACCCATCCCATTATAATTATAACCAGTCCCGGCCCCCCATGAATGCTGATTTCGATCCATCTCAATTTGGCAATCACTACCCATATCCAAACCCTCAGCCGGCTGCTCCTTCTATGAATCCTGCGTACACCTTGTCTTCTCAGAAACGGTCCGCTACAATGTCTCCACTTAGGGAACCCGGAAAGCAGGACGTTGATCCCTCCTTTTTCCACAACGGATCCTTCGGACCTCAGAAGCGAGCTAAAGTATGATTGTTCTTTGTCAAAACAACACTCCTAAAATGATTCTTATCATTGTCATCTGTTTTTATTACCATTTAAATCCGTTCTTCTAATTATTCTTTCATATTTGCTTAAAGGTTTTACTTTTGATTTCATATTAAATTATTATGGTTCTGTTTGACGTTATCTAATGTCTCCCTGTCCTTCGTTTTTCAAAAGTTGTTATTTTATTTTATTTTCTTATTTTATCTTATTTTTTTTTGTCATATTGAGTTCTTACTCAAGAAGACGAGTAACTCTTCCTATCTTATTCTGTGAGCATGACAGCCATTTGATATGTTGAATTACAAATGAATGAAGTTGTTCTCATTTCAAGCCTAAGTAGTGAGATGCAATTGAGATCTATGTCTGTTGGTTTTAGTTTTTGATGTTAGTTTTAATAACATTGTTGGTAATACAATTTTTTCTATCACTGAAATGTAGCTTACAATTACAAAAGACGAATAGAAAAATACAATTCATATATAAAAAACAATCTTCCTGTTTTTCCGTGGCAAATGCATATTTCGCCCACTACTGTGTAAACGCGTAAGATATGATCTTAATCTTCAGTAAACGTAAGTAACCTAGCTTTCACCATACACCATTGCACTGTTAAAAATAGTGCTTGTATAGTTTTGTTCTTATTTATTTTATTTTCTTTAGAATACCAGTTTCTAAGTCTATCTTCTACATTCAATGCCATCGTTCGGCGATTTGGAAGTATTGGACCAACTCGATAATGCTGACTTTCTAAACTCAAGTACTCGGATTCGTCGCTTTAAAGGGTCGAAAAAGAATGCTCATACGTTTCCTCGTAGTAAAGGAAATCGTATTTCACAATGGCCTCGCATGAGGTTTGTACGTGCCGTGGATATCTTCAATCCTACCGAAGAAGTTAATAGAATGATCCAAGAGGAGAAAAGCAAACAAGAAGCTACCAGATCTAGAGAACTTGTAAACAATAACGAGGTTTCTGAAATAAAGCATTCATATTCCCCAAAAAAACCTGGTACCCATCCAGACGTTGTGTTATTCAAACCTGTGCGCTATAACGGTACTTCACGTGAAGACAAGGAACCTTCACACATACACGGGAATATTCATGAAGATGTTCCCGTTTCCAAACCCGAGAATGAATTGAAAGAAAACCATTCTTCTAGTATTACTTTAAACACTCCTCGCTCCCAAGAATTACCTAAGCGTGAAGGTTCACAAAAAGAAAACATCAGCGAGACAAAGAGAGAAGCCCAGAAAACATCTGAAAAACATTTTGGAAGGGAGAAACCCTATGTCCTTTCGGATACAGATGAGAATTTACCGGATGAAGACAGCACTGACACAGATTTAAAATTCAGCATGAACAAATTTGCCAACTTGTCTATGAATTCTGAAAATGATGAAGATGATGAATCTATGGAAGGAGATGATGACATTGAGAGTATAAATGCAGAATCTGCAGACGAGAATGAACTATCTTTTAGCATGGACTCAGATTTGCTTAATGACCAAAATGACGAGGATTATGATTATGACGATGAAGTACTAGCAAATGTTTTGGCTGAAACTGAAAACTTAGAAGACGAAGAAGTAAATGCTTTGCTAAATAGTGTTTTTGATGATAGTGACGATTCCGAAATTGAAGCTTACCTAAGTGTTGGAGACACTGGTGTAAATGACTTTACACTTTATGATTACGATAGCGATGATGAGCCCTACCAGAGAACAACCCAGGAGCCATCAAAAGAATTCACCAAGAAAGGAAACAAGAAAAAAGAAAAACCAAAGAAAGCATCTAAAAAAGAAACAAGAGCTCAAAGGAAACTTGAAAGAAAAGCTGGAAAATCTGTTGCAAATCGGCTCGCTAGTGCTTATGATGTCGACGATGACATTGCACAGGAGTTAGAAATGTACTCTCATCTTCAAGAACAATGGATAAAAGATCACCAGAAGAAAGCAAAAAAGCGTAATGAACGTGAAGAAAAACGTGCACAAGGCCTATTAGGGAAAAAATCTAGTAAGAAACTGGCTAAAAAAGCAGCAGCTTCTGAGAAAGGTTCAGATCCCGATAGTCCTACCCTATCTAAAGCAGACCATGCATTCATCATGGACGCATATAAGCGGATGCAACAATTATCTCTTTCAGGAGTGGATGAGGTTTCTCTTCCCGCATGTCCGAAATATGTTCGCCGTTTAGTTCATGAATTAGCTAATCGTTTGAATCTCCGTTCTCAAAGCTATGGTTCTGGTAAGAAACGGTACACAGTTCTTTCTAAAACCCCCCGATTCAATTCCTTAGACATAAATAGCGCATCGTTAACGAGGATTCTACATCGTGTGCAACTGTCTGTTGGAAAGCGATCTGGAATTCCTGGAAAACCAGGTAAAAAGCCTAACATTATGCTTGCTTCGAAGCGTACCGTTAGTAGTGCTACCAAGCTATATGAAGGCCAAGTGGTAGGTGGTGATGCTCCTGAAATCACTCGTGCTAATCCAGGTCGTCGTATGTTAGAACGACTAGGTTGGTATGCTGGTAAAGGGTTAGGACATCCAGAAAATGAAGGCTCCCACGAAAGTTTGCGTGCTATCGTAAAGACTAGCCGCAGTGGTTTAGGATAGAGTCCATTCATTTTTTCATTGATGACGAGGATGTATATATCTGGAATGAATTACTATTCTTTTTCTTTTTTTTGGTATACTTCGTGAAAGCATATACTATTTGAGGTGTATCTTAAGTTCTTGTACATAGACTACGCATGTCAAAATTAAAGAAAATAAATAGCAAGTGAAACATCTTGTTAAGTCTTAATTTCTTATTTTTGTTCGTAAATATTATTCATCCATCTGTTACATCTGTAAACCTTTCCCTTATATTTAGAATCATGCAATCATTGCAAAAGTAAGGATGCTCGCTGCGATGCGTTATAAAAAATACGAAGCTTATGCGCATCGTAAAACTTGTAACGGATGTTCACATTACAAGATCCGATCTTTTGGCGAAGTTCGAGTATTTTCCTTTAGCACAGCACAAAAGGTACAAGGTGTTTCGTTTGGCTTGTTGTTTCTACTCGAAACGCGTACATTCCTTTACTTTACGGGGTTTCTGTTTCAGTAAAAGAAAATCATTTTCTGTACCTATTTTTCTATCTTTTAAAATTGGTCACTGAACCCCGTTATAGATCAGTCAAAGCTTGACTGTATTTTTTTCACATAAATATTTCACTCTTTTTATATTGTCGTTCGTTTTTTTATGCTTCTGGATATTATAGAATCCACTTGATCTAGGTTTTTTATATTAGCCAACCGCATAATATTAATTTGGATACCCGTTCATGCTTGGATCTAGCAATCCTAAATAGATCTTCGTTCTTTTTCTGATTATTTTCATTCTTTTTTTTATTTACATTCTTTTTATATAGACGTTCTAGCGTTTCATTGGGCGTTAAGTTACCTAACATTAAGTTGATTGTCGAGTATCTTCTGGTTGCGGTACTATGAAATCGTTTTATTACCGATCGCTCGTCGTGCGGTTTTTACAAATCATTGTACTATTTAATATAGGGAATCGCCTGGTCTATGCAGATTTGAATAGTCAGTTTGGATGCTACCAGGTTGATGATAGTTTAAGTGTGAAAGGCAGTTACCAATACCTTACTCCTCAGTATTGTTATGATCATTTATGTAATGACGATCCTAATGTCGCTTTTGTTGCCATACGCGGAAAAAATTGCTATTGCGGTAATACGCTAACAGCCAAAACGGTCGATTCCAGCAGTTGTAACGAGCCTTGCCCTGGTTTTGGTAACTTGAAGTGTGGTGGTGACCTCTATTGGTCAGTTTACTTGACCGGTAATGGTATTTTGCATACATCGTCTTCTCAGAGTTCTTCGGCTACTTCTTCCACTCAATCATCATCTACACAGAGTTCCTCTACGCCGTCGTCTACGACGAGTTCAACATCAAGTTCTCGACCGTCTTCTTCCTCCCATCCCCCATCTTCAAGCCATTCATCCTATAATAGTTCATCGTCCAGTTCATCATCGTCCCATACACCAACTACGTTTGCGTCGTCCTATGTGAGAACAGTAACTCCTAGTCCCACAAGCTCTTCGTCATCTGCAGCTGGCTCACCAAACGGGAATCAGAGCTCGAAATCAAATAACTCATTAAATGCTGGCGCAATTGTTGGTATTGTGATCGGTTGTGTTGCTTTTGCAGTGGTAATTGCTTTATGTGTTTGCTTATACTTTTGGTATAGAAAGTTTAAGGCAAAGATGAATGCTAAGGATGATATTACTTTCCCCTCCTATAAAAGTGAATTGGACTCTCGTCTTGATCCTGGCATGCTGAACAACCGCAACTCCAGTGAATCGTTGGCAGATAGTCAAGACTATTCAAGAAGAATTTTAAGGGTTATGAATTAGAAGAAGTATTATTGTATGAATCTTTTACGTCACCATATTTGGAGACAACCTTCTATACTTACTCAGATGTTTTCATGTGAGATTATTTTCCTTTACATAAAGAAAAAAATGCGTGTCTTATTTCTCGCTTTGATATTTATTTATTAATTTACTTCCTTGGTTTATACTTTTTTTTTATAGGTTTCTTTTCGGCTTGAAATCTTTCTTTTTATTTCGTTTTACTTAATTTCTTATTTTTTTTTTAGTTCTGACGGATTTTTACATTTTTCTTCTTCGATTCTTCACCCTTGTGGGAAGAACATTTCCAAATATTCTGAGGATGCTCTTTGAGCACACCCGAGTCGCAAACAATCTGCAGACATGTAAAAGAGTACAATCATTCCTGCAGAACATAATTGAATGGTTTTGTACTTTAGCTGCTAAATCGTTTAAACGTTGCTTGTCTTTAATAATGGTTGAGCAAAGAAAATATTAAATCAGTCCCCTTAGATGTCTTTTCCTTTTTATATCACTAGATCTACTTTTTTTTTTAAATCCAATGGATGATACACGACCTCTGGAAGCAATGGCTTACTGTGAACTCTGGTGCTGATTAGGATGCTGAAGGGAGTCCTTACGTGATATTTTTAATTAGACCCTCAATGTAGTCCCTGGTTGGATAAAGGACTGTGTAATAGATCCCTGGCTGTGAAACCATATCATCTCTTTCTTTAGGCCACAGTCAACAAGTCCCGGCGAAATCTGTTCTTTTGTTTCTCCTTTGGTTGTATCCTGAAATTAATTCACTCTTTCAATTGCTTTATAATAGGTTATTCCCCTACTTTCTTGGTTTTAATGAATTGAATTTTCCAATTCAAAGATACAAAAGTAGTACACCTCTATTTTAAACCCTTTCCCAACCTTTTCATTTTTAACAGGCTGAATCTATCTATATATACAAATTATATCTTTTGTTCGACCCTTCCTCTTGTCTCATGAAAGCTCCTAGATCTAGTACAATTAGAAATGGATTGAAACATTTGTATTATCTTCATTTCGCCGTAATGACAAAAACATCGCTTTTTTGAGTATTGTCAAACGTTTGACACACTTACATTCTCCTCTTCTACTCTCTAAAACGTTTTTGAACTTTCTCTTGACTAGATATGCTTATACAGTGTGTATCCATTGTCAAAGCTTCCTCTGTTTGATATTCCTTTATGATCATATGCTTATTTGGATATCCTTATATGTTTATATACCGTTGAACGTCAATTTCGTTGCTGTGAAAGATGACGTCAGGTTTCACATGAGATATATATGTACATATCCTCTTCAATACACTGGCTAATATTTGCATATCGACTTTTACATGAAGTATCTGTTGAGTTAATCTTATACCAATTAAGCCGTGAAATTCAGATTCAGATTTATATTTATTATTGGATCCTATCAAGTGAATTAGCGAAAACATTATGGCTAGAACATTTCAAGAAAAGCAGCAAGGCCGCAGAATGAAAATGAGCACTGGCAACATATTCTCAAGAGTCTGGAATTCAGTCGTCTTTGGTTTCGGTGCAGCTTTGGGTGCTACTGCTGCTAGCGCCATGCTTGGCGCCTGTTGCGGTGGATAATTCTTGAAGTTACAGAAGACGAAAACGATAAAGTCAAATAATGCTTACGATTAACGGTGTTAAAATGCAATAATCTACTGAAGAAAATGTCAAGAGAGGTCCATAACTCGAGATATCTGTAAAACTAGTTTGTTTGTTGCGAGGATTTTTGCTTTATCCTCTTATTTCTTTTTGCTATTTGGAAACCCTTTCGATTCTATAATTTATTCCTTCATGTTTGTTACATTCTTGTCTTTATTTTCTTATTTTGTTTGTTTAACACTTTGTATTCAAAATATTTGCTAGTTCACTCTTTTAATACTAATACACAATGAACAACGCTTCTAGTCGGGGTTAGAGATTAAGTGATTGTTGAAGAAGGATAAATTTGTGCATGTACTTTGTCTAAACGAAAAAAATTCTTAACAGCTACAATAGCAAAGGCTCAATAAACAATAGTCGCTTAAGCGTAGTAGTAATGGATATTAAAAATTGGAATTTACAATTTACCCACCAACAGTAGAAATCCGTACTGCTTTACATTGTAAACATTTGAATATTTTCTCGTTTTCTGCTTTTTAAAGCAAAGCTTGAAAAGAATTGTGATTACCTGTTCTGGTGTCATTTGGTCTTTGGACTAGTGATACTAATGGAGGATGTAGACGAACTTAACCAGTGCCACCTATTTAAAATAAAACAAGCAAACGAGACTTTGCATGTCTTATTAAATTGGCTAGTTTTTAGAAGAAAACTAAGTCTAATTTGTTGAAAGAATAAATAAAATTTATCGAAAATGCGAGGTTTCGACCGTTTTGCATTAAAAACCTGGATTCAGTGGTTAGCCCTTGTGGCTCTCCTCTTGGAGGTCGTTACTGCCTCTGTGGATCTTACAGATGAAAATTATGGTGACGTTGAAAATGCTAGATGGTTTATCAAGTTTTATTCACCATCCTGTCCTGCCTGTAAGCGCATTGCTCCTCTATGGGAAGGTATGGCAAAGAAGTCGGAAGAGAAGGCGAATCAAGCCAACATTCATATCGGTGAAGTGAATTGTAAGGAACATGTCAGTCTTTGTCAAAAATTGGAGATTAGAGAGTTCCCTACCCTTCGATTCTCTGTAAATGGTGAGAATAAACAAGAAATAAAGTACAGTGGCTCTACTACCGAAGCTTCTCTTTTGGACTTTGTTGATGCTCGTATTGCCGAGGCCCAAAAAGAAATTGACTCTGAAAGTACAGATGTTCCAACGGAAGCCTCCAACGTCGTTATCCCTTCTGCACCTAGTCTTACAGTTTCTACAAGTTCTTTATCACTGATATCTACTCCTACTGCGTCTAAGAGCTCTAGTGACGATTTCACTGATTTGCACATGGCACAAGTTTCTCCCAAAGTTTCTTCCATAAGCCATACCTCTGCTCCTTTGGCACAGTCTTCCTCTGCTAAAGGAAAAGGTGCTGATACTGCCAAAGATGGCTCTCTCACTTCTTCGCTTATCAGTACTCTTCCTGCTACAGGCAATGCTGAAGGCAAAATGACCGCTACTTCAGTATCTGCGTCCTTACAGTCACTTACCCCCACAACATCTGAAGCTACCTATGCTATCCAAACTGCTCCAGAAATTCCTTCCGAAGGAGGAGATCTCTCAGTGCCTTCCGATAAAGATGTAGAAAATTCCAGCCAGCCCATTTTCAATCCTGCTGGACGTTCCAAGCCGCTAGTTACCCAAGAAGACATCGATGATGCCTTATCAAGTGACGTTGGCTGGTTTGTTCTTTTTTTCTCTTCTGATTGCAAAGATTGTCCTAATGTATCTATCAATTGGAATGCAATGGCTGGAAGAATGAAAAATAAACTCAACATTGGACATATTGATTGTAGCAAGCAAAAACTTAGCTGTAACAACAAGGTTCAAAAAACTCCTTCTTCATTCTTTTTCAAAGGAAATGAATACGTGGAATATTTTGGTCTTTTTAAAGTTGGTGATCTTACTAGTTTCGCCGAAGAAGCCGCTAATTTCGAGATCCGTGAAGTCGAATTTTTTGATACAACGGAAAGTGAAAAACATGGGGACGTCTTCTTTTTGTATTTCTATGATGACAAGAGTGTTGATAGCCTTGCCACCATTCGTAAAACAGGTATCCAACTCCTTGGTCATGCCCGACTTTACCTTACAAAATCTCAACAACTCGTGAAGAAGTACAATGTCAATAGTTTTCCGAAGTTAATTGTCGTTAAAGATGCCACTCCTAGCTATTATCCTACTAGTGTAGCATCTGATATTACCGATTACAGAAGGATTTTGAACTGGATGAAGAATAATTGGCTTCCAGTTCTTCCCGAACTTCAAACATCTAACTCCGATGAAATCGCCAATACTGATACTGTCGTTCTATTTCTTTTAGATCCAGACTTGCCTGATTTTCCTGAAACTAAAGCTACCGCTCGAACGATCGCCTCGGATTGGTTGAATAAAGAGTCTCAGGAATACCAGATGGCTTGGAAGGAAGAGACCGATAAAAAGAATGCTCATTTGAACAAAGCTGAGGAAAAGAACGATGCAGAAGCCTTGGAGGCAGCTCGTAATATGAATGTCAAGCATAAACCTGCTTCTAAACGATTTGCCTGGGTAAATGGAAATTATTGGGCAAAATGGCTTAATAACTTCAATTTCGATATTAAAAACTCCGGACCAAGAGTGGTGTTATATGATGCCGGCAAGAACCTATACTGGGACACAACTGCTAAAGGTGAGCCCATTACTGTCAAGACTGACGTGGTTTTCAAGTTTTTGAAGGATGTAGAGACTAATCCCAGCTCTTTAAAACCTAAAATGTTAAAAGAGAATGCTGGCTTAGAATACTTAGCTTCCTACGGTTTGGATAAACGTGCGTTATACTTGATCTGCGGTGTCGTTTTACTTGGTATCATTGTTTCATTACTTGGTGCAAGAAGGATCAGAAGTCTTGAGCGCCGACACCGTTCTTCGCCCATTTTGCCCATCGCAACAAAGAATGCGGGTAATACTGGAAAATTCGATTAATTCGTTATTCATGGCTTGCTCTTTTATTGAAATTTGGTGATTATTATGAAATCTCTATCTATTGTTGCATTATGATTATTATTCTGTCGTTTTTATAGGTAATTGCTTCCAGGATGTTTTCAAGTTAGCAATTAAAACATATTAGTAACTCTCGTCTTTGTTCTTTGGTAATATAATAAAGTTACGAATTTGACATTTCTATTCAATAACTCATTCATACTACAGCATTTACAAGTACAGAAGAAAAAATAAAGAAACATATATATATATATACCAAAAATTCCCATTTATATAACTAGTAATCAAAATTAAGCATCATTTCAACCTTAAATCCATATTTTTAATTCTTACGAACCTCAGACAACATTAGAAAATGCACGTTTTTTACCATCACCTCCCAGCAACGAGTTATCAACATCCTCAAGAGATGTTTTGTGATTCAAATCCCACTCGTTTCTTAAGTATGTCAAACCGGCAAGATTGTAGCCCACAAGCGATCGCTCTTCAACTAAAGAACCTCGAAGACTGTTGCGAATATTATTAAGTAGGGGTCGCATTTTTATTGTAGCTGTTAATTGACGATGATATGTCTTCAACAAAAAGAAAATAATTCTAGAAATCAAAGGAATAGACCACTTCTTGCTAGCCCATATATCAACAAAGCGAAAAAGGGACAAGACTTGGTCAAAGGGAAGTACCAACAGAGCATCATCCAGATGACTTGTACGAACTTTCTTAAAGGTATTCAATACGTATTCTTCTGCTGAAACATTTAAGTGAGCTAAAATAGGATTACGCGGGACTCTGGATTTGTTCGGATTGCTAAGTTTATCGATTCGATATTGTATTTCCTCGTCCAAATCTTTAGCACCAATCACTAATGCATCGAGTATCTTTTCACCATCCTTTAAACTTTCCACAGTTTGTTTATTCACTGTAGCAACATTATCTTCTGTTGCGTCCTCGTTTCTCTCTTCGGCACTGTAACTGGAGACCAAAGTTGATTCATACTGTTCCTCGAGTTCGCGTTCTCGTTCTTCTTCTAAAAATACTAGGTCATCAGATTGTGCCCATACACGGATAGAGTGATCATGTGAACCTGTATAAACCGAGGTTGGAGCAACAGCTAATGACCAAACTTCAGAATGATGACCGCGCAACTTCAAAATTAGATCAAAAGTGTCACCATCCCAGTATCTAACTTCCTTATCCTTAGAGCATGTAAAAAAATTTCGGGAGCCAGGTTGAAACGCAACTTTCATAACAGAATCCTGATGAGCGAAAATTGATTTATGGCAATCACCAAAATCTAACCCCCATAATTTAACATTTTTGTCGGCACTACAGGTAGCTAATAATTTAGAATCGTGTGCAATGTCCATTGAAAGAACAGGTAGTTTGTGTCCATACAAATTCAAGAAGAATTTCAAGGTATCCAAATAGTACACTTTGACTGTATTATCAAGTAAAGACGCAGTAATAAGGCGACCATCTGGAGATATTGTTGTGGCGAGAACGTCATCTGCAAAGTCAATTTGACGAGTTTGCTCAACCCTCAAAGCGAATACTTTGACAGAAGTACCAGGAGCATAATCAAAAGAAGGTTTTAATGACCATAATTTCAGTGTTTTGTCTGCAGAAGCTGTAGCAAAATATGATCCATTATGTCCAATAGCCAAATCCCAGATGGGGCCATTATGAGCTTGGATACGCTCCAACAAAGAAGAACTAGCGACGTCAAATAACTCAATTTCTCCTGCTTTATTGACCGAGAGAATTTGCTTATCCGCATTTACAAATGCAGCCGCTAAAACGTAACCACAGTCAAAAGTACGAATACAAGAACCTGTTTTATGGTTCCAAATTTTTAATGAACCATTAGCACCACTTAAAACCATTTCATAGTTAGAGGAAAGGGCTAAGGTTCTAACATCAGCACGATGACCTGGTAATTCGATGGAATTCGTACGTGTTGTTCGTTCTGTAAGAGGGGTAGAAGCGTCTGCCTTGGAATTTACGTTATGGACCTCAATAGAATTATTTTGAAGAGAAACAACGAATATAGGGTTACGTCGATGAGGGATCCAGGAAAACGAGGAAACACGAGAAGGAGCACGAACGACTGCAAAAGGTTCAAACTCATCCTTCGTACTTAGCTCAACCTCATCAGTCTTTTTACGTCTACGACGGCGATTCATGATCTTTTCCATCTCAGAGGGAGTCCTTATACGAAAAATTTCAATTAAACGGTCATGGGCCTGAAATACTACAAATCGACCAGAATCATGGAAGTCAAGGGAAAGTGGACGGTCTCGGCTTTGACGGGGAACACTTCCTGTTAATTTCAAAACTTTGGTTGTAGGGGTAATGTTTCCATCCGCAGGAAAAGAAATTTCCCAAACTTTGACATCTGCGTCACTGCTAGCAGTTAAACAGCGCTTCCCGTCAGGAGATACAGACATTGTCCAGATTTCACCCTGATGATTAACATGTGTCTCGACACAATGCTGAATTGAAAGATCCCAAAGCTTCAAGAATGAATCCTTACCGGACGATAGTAAGTATTGGTCCGCGTTGGTGGCATCAATTTCCATACTTGTTGTAGCACCATCTTCAACACCGTCGGCGGTTCCATCTTCGTTAACTTCTCGAGGGCTTAAGAAAATAAGTTTCGTCACTTGATCTTTGTGACCACGAAGTCTATATAAACCAGTTTCATTCACAACATCCCACAAAATGATATCTGTATCTTTGCTACCACTAGCCAATCGAGTACCGGTTTGATCAAAAACCATAGTAGAAACAGCACTCTTGTGACCGTTCAAAGTCAAGAGCAATTCCCCCTCTTTCCAAAGACGAATAGATCCATCCTCATAACCAGCGGCATAGACATCGCCATGATTTGTGAGACACGAGACATTGAAAGGACAATCCGTATCCTTCCACTTAGAAGATAATTGTCCAGTTTTCAAATCCCATTCTAAAATGCTTTCAAGACCTCCAACAATAGCTTTGCCTACGGATTTCGCCGATTCAGATGGTTGCGTTATGATATTACACCCGGATGAAGCGACGACCCCAAAGAATCCTGAGGGCTCGTAACGGGTATAACTTTTCACCATGGCGTTTTCCTCGTCCTAATGGCGTTCTAAGGTTGTTGGTAGAAGCAAAATGAAAGGCAGTATGTTCTTCCTTTTTCAAATATAACGAGTACCTTTCTTACTCGTTCAAAAAATACCATACTAATTTTTCCATCGTTATTTATCATTTGTCATAATACTTCATATCGTTATACACTTAAGGTACAGTAGTAATATTTCGTTTTATATCGTTTTACACATTCTTACGTACCTCCTTTTCCATAGTTTTGTCATAACTTGATATAGCAGTATAGTTGGTAAGAGCTTACTTGAATTACCTCGTTTTTTATTAGTTATTGTATTTCATGTGAAAAGAAAAAAAAATTCTTTGAATTCTGTTTGTTTTGGGGTAACTCCTTCAGTAAACTTGAAAGATCAAGCTTCTTTGGTTGGGTTGCAAAAAGATTCGAGAATCGATATACAGAATACGAGTATTCTTCGAATATCTATTCGAAGACTTTCTTAAAAATTTTTTCGTATCTATTTACATACAGGTACAGAAATTATTGGGAATGCCTCCTACACCACGGTCCGGAAATCAAAGATACACGCCTTACAATACAAGAGCAACTCGGTCACCTAGAGAAGCCGCTGCGATTGCTGCGGCTTCTCGTCAACGTAGAGGCTCTAATGAAATTTCCTTTTCTGTTGATGAGGCATTAAATGAAGGTCACGGTGAGCCTGCAGAATCCAGTGGAGTCTCGGAAAGAGAAGTCATCGACCAGCATATCGGCGACGGAGAGCAACAGGCTTTAGAAGTTCAAAGAGCTCCTCAATCAGTTCGAAGCTTGGCATATAATGAGAGTGTACAATCACCTGAAGGAAGAAGAAATGAGTTGTTAGCAGACCTAGAAGGTTTAGACGATATAGAAAGCATTGAAGATGTCTCTCTTCGTGAGTTATCTCATCATCCCCGTCATTTTGATAATTTCCCGTCACGTTTCGATGATGTTATCGATTTAACAACTGCTGAACAGAAACAAAGTCAACCAAAGCAAAGGAAAAGAAAACAGAGGCCTAACCAGGAAGTTACACCTCAGGCGGATTCGCTGAACAACTCTCAAAGATTGGCGGACTACAAGTGTGTGATTTGTCTAGATAATCCCGAAAATTTGTCTGCTACACCTTGTGGTCATATTTTCTGTAATTTCTGTATTTTGAGCGCATTAGGAACTTCTTCTGCAACTCAAAAATGTCCTGTCTGTCGAAGAAAAGTGCATCCGAAGAACGTAATTTGCTTAGAAATGATGTTGGGTAGCAAACAAAATAACAACTAACGACTCATGAAAAACAAAAAAAATAAATTATCATTATCATTATAACTCATGTCTATTTCTCGTAAACGAATAATTAACCCTTCCAGTCAGAATCCCAAAGAAAATATCTACATTGAAACGGTTGTGTATCATCGTTAGAAACTGCATTGGAATTTTCAACAACTTCTCCAATCGGTCGAGCACACATCCAAAACTTCCGACCATAATTTATACCCGGCTTTTTCACGCTTAGTAGTTTACACGGTTCTTTATGTCCATCACATAGGGGAGGAGATTTTTTTTGGAATATGCTCTTCCATGCCGTTACACTTTCTGTATTAGGAAAATTAGCGCTTGTGACTTTTGATCTAATTTCGTCTACTTCGATAATTGGAGGAGGATTTTCTGATCCTGCTTCGTATTTTTCCATTGAGTGAGACTTCTTAGAAAAGAAAGAGGATAACTTTGGCTGCTGTTCTGTTCGTCGACGCTTCTCAACCGGGCCATTCTCGGGCACAGACAATGGGGTACTGTTGTTAGTAGATGGTGAGCAAGAGGATGTTGTGGATGTCTCCGCCATATTAATATCTGATTCCGACCTTGACTTTTTCGTCTTTTCAAACTGTTGAAACATCGCATGTATGTTTTTAGACGGTCGATACGCTGAGTGATGACATGCAGCCAAAGAAGGAGGATCTTTCGCATGAGTAAGTAAATCATTAAGTGGTGTATCATCTAATGAATCCCTTAGATCCATGTAAACGGGACAATGATCAGATCCCATGACATGTGCCATGATATCTGCATCTTGTACCCATGGTAACAAGTCCGGAGTTGCTAGCGTATAGTCGATTCTTGTACCTAAAATTATTAGATATTTATACTAATTTTTTATCATTACCATAGTTAGTGGGCCTCATATTAAGTCTGGTGTTCCAGCAAGTGAACATGCCCTTTCTTGTAGGATGCCGTATCCGTCCTATATCGAGCAAAAGCCCAGATCTATGTGGCTTCAATAACTCTCTTAGCCATTTTCTTGATTCACTTATACTAGGGACGAACGATTCTTTTATTATATCTTTCTGGTCTGCCGTGTCGATCGAATCGCAGAGAATATTTACATCTCCAACCAAGACAACATTCCGTTTTCCTTCCTTTATTAAAGATGATATCCTATCTCGTAAACATTTGTAAAAAGCCTTTCGATATTCCCACCTATGATCCCCAGAATTGACAGGGCAATAAACGCCAATTAGGATGAATATACCCAAGTCTAGTATAATACATCTTCCTTCATCATCAACCCATTTTGCAGTTTTTCTGTCCACATCTTTAGGGTAGTACCCAATCTGTTCATGTGGAGGTGCTTCAATATAAGAGTACCGTTGGTTTCGGACAGGTAAAATTCCGGTAATTCCTTCTTCTGCCTTTATTGGTGTGCATAGATCTTTTTTTACATAAATTCCAACTCCACTATAACCTTTTCTTGTATTAGGAAATGTAAAATACCCTTCATATCCTTCAATAAGAGCAAATTCTTGAGGAAAATTATCCTTTTGCATCTTTAATTCTTGGAAGCATATGATATCTGCTTTTAGCTCTTCAAAAACTTCTTTGTAGGAATTCTTTTTGTTCCATGGGTGATAATTAAATGGATTTTGTATACCATTTACATTCCAACTAAGGATTCGCATAATTGCTGTTTTAATGAAGAGGTGTTCGTCGATTGACTAAGATGAGCATAAGCATCAGGAACATGCCTGGGAAAGCAGGCTATATAAAAAATCTTTGAAATGAATAGGTCTAAGGTATCTAGGAATATTTTAGTTTTTTTCACAATGAATGTACAAAGACTTATTTAGAAGGCGAAACTCAGTATGAGGATTTACAATGTATAAGACCTAATCAAATGTTATAAATAAAAAATGAAACCTATAAAAAAGATATGCAATAAGTTAATGAATGGCTGTGAAAGAACCGGGTGCTAAGACTGCAAATAAACGAAGGTATGGTTAAATTTCAAAACTTTATAAAGACACTTGAATAGATATACTCCATGTATAAGAAGTTAATTCAAAAAACGACGTATATGTTTCAAGGCTCCTCTACATGACACTTGCTAATGAAGTGATGACCGGGTACAAACGTTGATGAAAGAGAGTAACGAGAAAAGAAAAATCATCAAGGAACAAAAAAAAAATCCTTCTATGAGGAATTATTAGGAGACTCATGCAACTCTGCTTCCGATTCATGTACATCGGAATCCGAACTGCCTTCATCGATAGGATTTCCCGTTGCATCGGTTAAGTGTATAGTATCTATATAACCGGCTTCAACAGGATTTTCTGTTGGTTCTATATCCACATCTTCTCTTTCAGAGAGAATATCTTCTTGTGCCAATTCCTCAGCAACATCCTCTTGTTCTAATTCATCTTTTTCTTCCATTCCGTAAGACGTCTCCTGCTCAAGCTTCTCCTGTGGTTCCATCCTGCTTTTCTTCGTAGATTTATCTTCGTCCACTTGTGGAATTTTCAGCTTTTTATCTTTCAATGCAGCTTCGTAAGCTATTTTTGTCAGTTGTATGTGCACAGAGGAAAACATACCTCGTAGATGAGCTTCCAACTGACTGGTGAACTCAGGATATTCTATCTCTTGTAGAGCGCTTAAAACATCCTGGGGCATAACAATTTTGCGATTTCTTGTAGAAGAAATTTCACCGGCTCTAGACAATAGAGTGGGTCAGTTTACACGTCAATTTTAAATATGTTTAGTGGATAACGAATCCTAGTTCTGCTTCATATATCCTGTAAGTCCAATAAAGAATACATACGCAGATGTTAAATAACTGGCGAACAGAGTCGCTGAATTCGTAATGGCCTTCACAGCTTCCTTTTGTGCTGTACTTTTCTGAGGTAAAACCTGCTTAATTAAACGCATAACTATAGAGCGAGGAAGAGCCAGATCATCTAATTCTGTGTGTTCTCCAACATTTGTTGGATTCATTTTGTAAGTAATGTAATCGTTTTTCGCCGGTAGTTTAGGGACGTGAAAGACAACTTGCGCGTGTCTGTGTTGTTCACAAGTTAAAGAGCGTCCAACGGTTTCTATGAGAATATAATGCTGCGTTTCCTTGTTTATTATTTTTTATTTCTCTTGAAGTATTTCATGTTTTCTTCTTAATTACTTCAATGGGATAGAAAATACTATTTTGAAGAACATGAATGGAGAGGTAACTAGTCAAAGGCAGCTGAATTCAAATTAAGAAATTTAAGAGGACTATAGATGACTTACTGCGAAGCAGATATCTTAATAAAGTATTGTTAGTATGTGTCCTCACCATTTCAAAAAAAACTGGTAAAAATGAAGGATGAGACACACAGTTTAGGCGTATAGTCAACTGGCTTAGATTAATTTGGTCAAGGAGTATTTACTTGATGGTCTTAAAAGCCTATTGACAAGTACCCATATTCGTAAGCAATGAAAGGAATGAGAGCGCTTGACTCATCTGCAATTCGTAAGGTCATGAACGTTTTTTAAGCTTTCATATAATAAAGAGCAACGAAAGAATTTATAACTATACGTGAGGAATCAGTTGTTCTTCTGTTTGTCAAATGAATGCTTCTTAAAAAGGAAAGCAGTCTATGAATTCATCAATATTTTTATAATACACAAGTTTAAGAACGATTCCTGTTAGTGAATTCATACATAGCGCCCATTTCGCTTTCCAAGTTGTATCCCAGAAACTTCTTCTTTACTTTACCACCTTCAATAGTCTTTTACCTAAGGAAGAAGTAACGAAAATTTAGCGACTTGAATACCTTCACTGTTCAAGTAAAAGAATACACTAATTATTTTATTTTATTTTCGGCTTTCTCGCATATCAACCATTTGAATGAATCAGGCAGGTCAAATTATTCCGTTTACAACATCTGGCTCCCTGGTGGATTATGTTGACCGTATGCTTTTCTTTTATTTTCTATTTCTAACTTTTATTTCTATAGGGAAAGTGATAGTGGTTCTACGAGATGGTAAAAAACTAATTGGCATTCTCCGGTCCTTTGACCAATTTGGTACGTCTTGATTTCGTTTTGTTTGTTCCATAATTTTAAAAGATTAGGTTTTTAACTTCTATAGCCAATCTTATGCTCCAGTACACTATTGAAAGGATTTATGTTGATGATATGTATGGTGACATTGATCGAGGTGTTTATATTGTGCGAGGTGAAAATGTTGTATTACTAGGAGAATTGGTAAGGCTTTAGAAGAATTTGAAGCGTTTATTGTGAAACGTGAAGGAGCTTGTTTGTCATTGTTACTAACCAATTTAGGATTTGGACAAAGAATATGAAATGGAAAAGGGATTACGCCGTGTTCCAGCAGAACATCTGTATCCATTATCGAAACAACGTTCTGATGATAAGCGGAAAACTCTTCGGGAAAAAACCAAAAAACTGAACACCGTTGGTTTCAGCGTCGATTTTGGACATGATGATTTGTACTAAAAATTACAAATGTGTACCTTCATTTTATGTAGCTAACTATAATATTTCACTTCTTTGGTCTTTTCAATCTACTTTCTGTATCGTTTATTACTTACATTTTGAAAGAATGAAAATCTGTAAGGTTTTGAATGATAACTAGATTGAATCAATGAACGAATTATGAATGTCTCTTCCGATTCATATATAATAATTATTATTATTATTATTTGAACGCATGAAGTATAAAGTAACTCAGAAAGAATTAGCAGAATTTGTCGGATGATGATTTATTGTTTGTAGATCTTTTTAAGTCGGGCATCTCCATTTCATCTTGCAAAGGAAGAGAAACAGGCGGTCGGTCCACTGCAAGATCAATGTCCGAAGCCGGCCAAATCCAATGTAAGAGCATCATAACTAAATAGTCCAACGTTATTAATATACAAAATAATTTACCAGCCCATTGACCACAACCATAGTAAAGTTTTAGACGATTAATAAGACGCAGATTAGGCTCTGCGCATATACTGTCATAGACCTTTTCAGTCCTTTCTGCAACGTCAATCCATGAATACATTTCTTTAACCTCATCGTGGAAGTTTACCGTCTGAATCTTATTGTTCAGGTAATCAGAAATAGCATTTGACAATGTCCGAGCCAAATCATCTTCCTCGGGTCTGGCAAATCTGGTCATATGAGAAGGCAGGACTTCAGGAACACCACCAACTTTTGTGGAAATAACGTACAAACCACAGCTTGCCGCTTCCACCAATACGGTTCCGAACGCTTCAGTTAAACTTGGGTGTAAGTAAATATGTCCGCGCACCATAACATCCCGGACTTGGTCATGCCTTACTGATCCTAACATTTCCACTCTATCTTGCAGCATATACTTTTCACGCATTTGTTCAAGATCAATTGCTTTGGGCCCATCTCCTGCAATTACAAATCGAACCTTGCGGAATTCCGCACAAATTTTAGGAATAATGGCAATCAAAAGATCAATTCCTTTGTTATAGTACAACCTTGAAATTACGACGATGGTCACTATGTGTACAAGGTTAGACAAGAACTGAAGAACTAAACAAAAAAACTAAAAAGTATCACACATACAGTATTCTTTAGAAGCTTTTGAAGGATCTGGCTTGAAATTTTCAGGTACTAATGCATTTGGAATAACCGAAACTTTTTGTGGATTCAGGACAGCACGTAGGACGGTGTTTTCTCGACTAGAATTTCACGATTAATATAAGAATAAACTTGCATATCGTACCATGTGTGAGAAACACAAATAACATGATCAATATCACTCATTGTGAACTTTAGGAGCTTATTGGTAATTATACTTCCTGCATCAGCAAACCCAAATAGAGAATGATCAGTAAAGCATGTTTTTAAACCCATAGTTCTTCCATGAAGAATGGCATCATGACATAAAAACGACAAACTTCCATGTCCGTGTATGATTTCAATTTGTTCTCGGATTATAATATTTCGGAAGATAGGGAAGAAGTAAAAAAAAGAGGGAAACGTAGTTTCACGGTATACAGTCTAATGGAAAATTTGTAAGCAAAACATAGTTCTTTCGGAAGTGCGAATCCTAGAGAAAAACATACATGAAGAGGAACATAATAGGCTGTTAAGCCATTGGTGAGATACCGGACACCAACACGGTCTTTATATGCATGAGTAATAACTGATTACAATTGTTAGTCGTCAAGTGATGAGAACAAGTCCTCCATTGGATTATGCGTACCTATAACTTTATGCCCAAGGTCAATGAGTCGCTGAGATAACTGAAAAATGTGTGATTCAATTCCACCTGGTTGGGGAAAGAAAAAGTCAGAGACCATGCTGGAAAAGTTAGAGTAAAGCTAATAGTTTGGAACCCGCAATGCTTTCATTCCAAGACAAGTCAGCCTTCCACATTATTACGGGAGTTACGTACGCTATTCGGTAACCCATTGTGAAAAGGATTTACTAAATAATCTAAAAAAAAGCTAAAATCCTTATAAGTAGAACGTGCAGAAGCATTTCGTTTCACAAACTGTGAAAACGATGTAAACATTCATTTCATAACAAGGCGAGTTGTTTGATATTTCTAATGCTATAAGATAATATTATTGTATTACTAAGTATATGGACTCAGAAAACCAATTTGATTAATTTCTCACTTGCATGGAAAAAAAAAAAAATTTGATCAAGCTATTTAGAAAGTTCCCAGTTATTGTTGTATGAAATTAAAACCTGCGTTGGAAGTTCATCAGTTTACCACTTTCAAGGTACCATCACAGCCCTTGCTGACTGGATAATCAAAAGGATGTAACTATTCTTGTTTATTCTCTAATCGATGCTTTACAATTCTAAAACCCTGCCTTTTCTTTTCTTTTCATTGACATCCCTTCTTTCAATATCACAACGAGATTAACCTAAGAAGCTATCGCCATCGAAAGAAAAATCCAGTAGTGTTAGAAACATCCTAATACATTTAAATATTTCTATAAATTAAATAATTCGAAAACCGTATACATTCTTGCAGAAAAAGTTTTTAAAAAATTTCAAGATGTACTACTTTTGTTGTAGAAATACCTTATATTATTTTCAAATGTTTAAGGTACAACAACAGTGGTCGCATGATGTAGTTGGTTATCATGTCGATCTAATAAGTCGAATGTCGCCAGTTCGAGCCTGGCTGTGACCAAATTTTTATTTTTTTTTGCTTTACCTCTTATTGATTGCTATTTACTACAATTGTTTGTTTTATTTAAAAGAAACATTTGTTTTTGATAATTGTAAGTCTTTTGATGATTTAATTTTGCTGAGGATGTAGTGACATGAGATACAAGTAAATATAGTACACGGTACGGTGTATTGTTTAGATATGATAACTTCGAACTCAAATGTTTTATAATTTCTATCATTTTATTGATTTAATATTAAAAACAGATATATCAATATATATATTTGTATTTATTGTTGTTTTCTTTTGTTTTCAAAGAAAAAATAAAGCCAAATTTCATTAACGTAAACAAACAATATATTCGGGAAAAATAACCTTACACTGAAGCGAACATTTCTCGGCTTGCGGTGAGAGCCAGATTTGAACTGAGTACAATAATTTTTAGAAAGCACACTTATAGTGCAACAGACAAAGAATGAAAAATTTAGTGGTTTTTGGAACTGATTCGCATCCACGATTAACAGAGGCCATATGTGAACATTTATGTTTGGACGTTGGCCGCGCCGAAATTGGAAAATTTAGGTATGTTTTTCACATGTGATAGGACAGCAAAAGGAAATGGATGTGGGCAACAAAAAGTTAAATGAATTGACATTCCTTCTCTTTCAAAAAGCTAAAAACGTTACTCGTACAAAAGGGATGCGCAAATATGTGACGACGAATGAAGAAGCGTGCATAGTTAAAGTGTATTAAACAATGCAAGTATGGTACTAGAGCTACGTATTTGCAGTAGTAGTCTTCAAATGCCGTCCTAATCTACTAATTTTTTCTTTTTTGTGATTTCTATCTTGATCAATATCTGTAAATTATAGGCTAACTCTTTTTGCAGCAATGGAGAAACCTCTGTGAAAGTGAAACAATCTGTTCGTGGTTGCGATGTCTATATTATTAGCCCGGCTTCCGGTCAAGTTAACGACCACTTAATGGAGCTCTTGGTTATGATTTCTGCGTGTAAAACTGCCTCTGCCATAAAGGTCACTGCCGTCTTGCCTGTTTTTCCTTATAGTCGTCAACCAGACCAAATTTTTTCTTCTCGGGGTGCTCCTCTTTTAGGGTCTTCCGCCAAAGGAAGTATAGAACCAAAGCGCACTTCTCCATATCAATCATGGATTGCTCAGTCTGGAACTTTAGTTGCTGATTTGTTGATGTGTGCTGGTGCTGACCACATCATTACTATGGATCTTCATGACCCTCAGTTTCAAGGTTTTTTTGACATTCCTGTCGATAATTTGTTTGGTCGCCCGTTATTGAAACACTACATTGCTTTGAACATTCCCGACTATCAAAATGGAGTATGTATCTCTCCTGATGCTGGTGGCGCCAAACGGGCCACTGCTATAGCTGATTCTTTAGGTTTGGATTTTGCTTTGATTCATAAGGTAAGTCTTGTTAACATTGAAGATCCGTGTATTAATTTATTTAGAACCGCCGTCACGAGTCGGGAACCTCATTAATGCTTGTTGGTGATGTACAAGACAAAATAGCGATTTTAATTGATGATTTAATTGACACTGCTTCTACCTTGGTGAGTGCCGCCGAATTCGTGAAGAAGCATGGAGCTAGCCAAGTATATGCTCTTGTTACACATTGCGTCCTGTCTGGCGATGCCATTGAGCGTGTTAAACAATCCTGTATTGACAAATTAATTGTTACCAATACAGCACCACAAACAATAGAACCAAGTAATTGTTTCGACGTAATTGATGTTTCTCCTACTTTCGCTGAGGTAAGTCAAGTGAAATTACTATTTTGTACTAACACTATTAGGCTATCCGTCGCATACACAATGGTGAAAGTATCTCCATTTTATATGACCAAAATAATGTTTGGTTTTAGAGCCGTTGATATCGATTTGTACATATTTATTGTTTTTTTTTTGCCAATGCAGTTTTCTCCATTGGCATGACAAAAAAGCTTTGACATTTTTAACTATGATTGTCATATTCTTTTTGGGATACTTTTGATTTGCTATTGTTTGTTTTTTTAAGGGTCAGAAAATAGATATTTTTCAGACAACTTCTTAATAAATATACTTTTTTTAGATCAATTAATTGCATTGATATGGAATCTATGGTAGGAAACATTAAAACGATTGTTAAATAACTTGAGGAATAAAGCGGATATCATGCGGAATACATAACGGAATGTTAGAGGAAAAAATTAAAGAACAAGGAAGTCATTTAGTAGCTGCATCAACATCGATGGTTATTAGCTGGCTTTTTTGGTTTGTTTTTACTTTTATGAAAGCACGCACATATGGAACAGCGTTCAATAGGGTAATGGGTTCACATTAGTAAATATAACAAACCACCGGACACAACGGGAATCACCACATTATCATCTAAACCCCAAACGTCCATTGCTTCTGCAACAGCACCAATTAGTCCGTTCACTACACAAAGTACTGGAAAGGGCATCCAAGATTGACGTGCCAGATTATTCGGGCCCCTCCGAATAATTCCCCAATATACAAAAGATGCTAAGACCCCGCAAACAAATGCACCAATACTACCGGCTAAGCTTTTATTTTTAGCGATTTTTGGTGTGTATTTTCCATATTTGCGACCAAAACTAGAAGCTGCCGTGTCGCACCAAGATAGAAGTAAAATACTCATTACCGCAATTTCCTAAACGCATGATCGTTAGAACATCAGTTTTACATGGTCATGTCAATAAATAAGATAAAAAATATTAAAGAGCAGGAAAGTCACCGGGATCTTTTTCTAATTCTCTATTACAATTCAATTCGTTTCAGATAAAGTCAAAGAACCCCGAAATGTAGTCTTTCAGCTGTTCATCTCTAATGGCATACGGCCTTCCACAGTTTTAAACATACCTCTGGTAAAAAATTTAACACAATTAACGTTCCTACTAAATAAAATATAACACCGTTCCAATTGTTTTTCTCAGATTCACGCATCAAAGGACCCATAACTCGATTGTACAAGCGGCTAAAAGCTGGCCACTGGAATCTTATGATATCTCCTGTTAAGACTAAAATAAAACCCAATGCTAAATACGGGGTAATTTGCTCAGCGTGAAATTCATACCATTGGAATCCTAACGTGATGAAACCTGCCAATATAGGTTAACCAGTGCTCATCCAAATCGTTTTCCACTTACCAATTGATGTATGTAAGAGCTTTCTAGGAAGTTCATTCTTTTTAGACCATTGCGACCAAGTCAATTTTGTCGACATTAGATCGTTCTTGCTCTGTTCATTTCACTCTATACACTCGAGGTTTACTATGGAGTTTTTTATAACGATACCGAACAACAAACAATATTGTCTTACAGTGCCGTATACCATATATCAACTGATTCCTCATCTTCCCTATATGTTTTCGCTACAACAAATCATAAATTTGGGCCCGTACCCATTAGATAAATAAATAAACAAGTCAATAAAAGGTTTACCGGAGCCATCTTTAGTGATGTTGTTGTTAATGAAAGACAACTATTTTAATGTTTAAAATTCATTTTACTTTATTTCTGGCTTTGAATAATTCCTGTGCATACTGGGAAAAAGAAGATATAACTGTACGCTTGACTGACAATAAAACTAGATAATATCAAATCCATTTATCGATCGCAGAGATTTATAGCAATTTAAACATATGATAATAACATTCTAAGTCAAGCGCAGAAATTAAGACTATTTACATCAAGCTTGGTTTCAACCGTCTTTCTTTTATTTCAGTATGGTTAAATTGAGTCTGTTGTCATCACAGTAGCGAAGTATACAAGAAAAAATTGTTGATTATTCATCCATTAATTTAATAACCATTTTATAAGGATACAATGTTCAAAGATACTATTTTCCTTAATTGAAAAGAACAATGTTTATCAACGAAGTATTACGCGCCCTCCGTAATGTCAATAATTGTATTTCCCAAAACACAGATGGAACAAGCTGTCAACCTCCATGGCGGATTCACCTCGAAATCCGTTTAATTCTCGATCGCAATTGCCCAGGTTTTTAGCAACAGCTCCCAAAAAACCATCTTCTATTCCTGCCCCCAAAAAACCAATTTCTGGTACGCGCACCCTGAAAATATTATTTAAAGCATCATACTAATCAAACAGAAAAGGATTCTGCCCGTGTCCAATCACTTGAATTTGCTCTAGAGAACGCAAAAAATGATTTGAAACAAAAAGAAATTGAAAGTGATCGAGAACGCAATGACTTACTCGCGAAACTAACGGAAGAGCGCGAACAATCCAAAGCCCTTCAAATTCGCCTCTCTTTAATAGAGAAACAAGACTCTGAACGAGAGGCTAATAATCATGAAGTCGTTGAGAGACTCAGATCTGAAAATGGGTCACTTGTCCTAGAACTTTCAAAAGTCAAGTCTGATTCTACCCAGGAAACTTCTTCACTCAGAACTGAATTAGAGAAAACACAGCAAGAATTAAGCGGAAAAAACTTAAAACTTGAAGATTTCCAACAGAGGAACAAACTTCTTGAAGAGAACGCGTCTCAATTAGAGAGTCGTAACACTTCTTTGCAAGATCAACTAGACATAAAGCTTAATGAACTCCTGGATAAAGAGCAACAAATACAAAATCTTACCAACGAAATAGAAAAACTCAAAGAGTCTGTCGATCAAGTTTCTGATTCTTTGGTGTTGAAAGATACTAACCAAAAGCTACTTGAACGAGTTTCCGAATTGGAAAAGCTTCAGGAAAAACACCTGTCTATAATTGAAAGATTTAGCACAAACTCGAGAAATGTTGAAATTTTAAATGAAGAAAAAGCTGATCTCGAGGCTAAGCTATACCAATACGAAGACTACAAAGAGAAGGTCGCTACCCTGAGCGTTGATCTCGAAAAAAGTCAATCAGAATTGAATACATGGAGAAAAACATTTACGGATATAGATGTTCCAGAGCTTGCTGCAGAGAAATTCAAGACTGTGCAGTCTGAAAATAAGGCCCTGACCGAGCGCGTCTCGGACCTCACACAACAGCTACTCCAAGAAAGGGATCAGGGGCCTCCAATGGTCGTAGAATTGAATAAGAAGATTGCAGACTTTAAGAAAGAAATTTTAGAAATCAATGAACAGACTCGTCGACTTCAACGCCAGGTGTTTTTAGCCAATCAGGAGATAAATCTTTTGCGTGCAAACTTGAAAAGCTATGATGACGAAGAAGCAGTAATGAATAGCGAAAGCTCTAACCAGAAAAAGCTAGAACGAATTGAGTCGCTCAATAAGTTAATTGATGAATATAAAATCTTGCTTGAGAATTCAAAGATATATAACAACGGTGCTACAGCAGAAGATCCTTCGTTGTCTTCAAAACGTCCTCGGGAAGAAGACCAAGATGATGTTGGTTACATAACGGAGTTGTATCGAGAAAATCAACATATACAATTACAGCTACAAGAAAAGTTGAATACTGAAGGATTCCTAAGAGACCAAATCAACGGGCTAGAAGTTATAATCGCCGAGTTGAGACAAGAAATTATACAAATATCAGAGCTTAAATCTTCCAAAGTCCTTCAACATAGATCGAATCCTACGCTTAAACATGAAAGAGTAAAAGCAGAACAGCTATACCTTCTTGAAAAAGAGAATGAGGGTTACAAGAAGATTTTAGAACAGAAAGCTATTCAAACAGTACCTATGGAGTCGCTGGAACTAGCTAATAGGAGAACCTTGGAACTCAAAAAGGAGCTTTTAGATCGAGATAAAAGGATACAGAGACTGAAAGAGATCTTTTCTGTGAAATCTTTGGAATTCAGAGAGGCAATTTATTCGCTATTTGGGTATAAAATAGAGTTTCTGCCTAATGGAAGTGTACGTGTTACATCAATGTATTCAAACGAAAGCAATACTGCTTTTGTTTTTGATGGTGAAACTAGTACAATGAAATTGGTGGGAAAACCTTCAAGTCCAGATTTCGAGCGATTGGTGAAGTTTTGGTGTGATGAACAAAAAACAATCCCTGGAATGCTAGCAGCTTTGACCTTGGAACTGATTGATAAGAATGACCACTCTACCTTGAATGAGCAATAGTGTAACGACAAATCGGAATATGAAGGAAACCTCTAATTATTTATAGGTCATTTACATTTACTTATTATCTACATACAAGAACGCGCAACGTAAACTCAATTCCTTTTATTTTATTCAACCCATTCTTCTTACATTTTAAGCAGAAGGAACACGACCTAAAGATTCGTTAGTAGTGCCACAAAACCAAGAAAAAACGATAATGAACTTACTGTAAATGAATTGCTTGGATGAGTGGTCAACCTTTTGGATGAGACCGCGGTCAGCCAAATCTCTGATGGCAATACGAGCAAGAGCACCGTTCATCTTCATACGGTCGACAAGGACGGAAACAGAGATAAACTTGAAGGCAGGAACTTCCTTGTTGATGCGGTCGATAAGGTTCTTGTCAAAGACAGTGGCATGTTGAGCCTTGTCTTTCACTTTTCCTTTAGACCATTTCTTCTTAGGTGCCTATATACTGTTAGCCTAACCACCCGGAGAAGTGGTAAATCTTCTTAGAATACCACCAAACTTCAAACTTCATACCATTTTTAGTGTTTACCTAGGGATTGAAAGTTACACATGAAAAGTTTTGACCCTACCAGATGTGACTGTTTTATAAGTAACAACTTACTATACGAACCAAGTAACAACTGTTAGTTCGCAAAGGTCCTGTGGAAAGTATACGGGTTTGAATTTTCGTTAGAATTTCTCAGGCATGGTATGAAAAATATAATACACAATAAGTTATGTACTTTATATAAAAAAACCCCGAAAATAATGTTAAACCATGCTTTGCCCAGCAAAGTTGGAACATTCGTGCAATTGCGATGGGTCAGTCAACAAATTGCGCGTAGAAAAGAAAACAGGAATACAAACCGTATATCTTTGAACGTGATAAGCGATGTAGCTGCCGACAATCTAATTGCTCCTTTGTTGTGTGTTACCCTTGACGATAGAAAGTATCTAATTGGAAATATGGGGGAATTGATGCAACTGAAGTTTCGAAACCATCCACTTAATTATGGCGGGAAAATATTACGATCGTTCATGATGCCTGGAAGTGGCCGAAACTACAATCCATGGAGCGCTACAGCCGGTCTTCTAGGGTACGTTCAGTCCAGCGAAATTGATACCGTGTTGGATATGCACGCTCCTTCTGGTATAGCCTCACTTATAGCCAATTCCAAGAATTTAACTTCAGGCAGTAGCTTGAAGTTAAACGTTATACCATTTCAAAATAAGATTTCGGAAGATCATGAAAGCTTTGAGTTTCGTGAAAAGAACTTTTGCACGATAAAGGGAGAAATTTTCCCTTTGTGGTCATACTTGTCCTTCATGACTGTGCCAATCCACGGCACTTTTGATGCCGTGAAGGCAAAGCTCTTAGGTGTACCTTTTGGGAAAGCTAATGGCTTGCTTTGTCAAGGGCAATCGGTCTTAGCTAGTGACAACAAAACATTAGTACGTCCTGAACAGGTAGTGGGTCCTACTAAACCGGGACAAAAGTTTGTCGTTCTTGGTTGTGGTAGTCGTACGGCCATCAACGATCTTCTGCATTATGTAAATACTTGGGAGCAAGATTTTCCTTCTTGTATTATCCATGTACTTGATAAAGGGGTTTGGGGTAACGATTATGCAAAGTTTTTGGAGCACCCAAAAATTCAAAATATCAAGCATATTATTTCGTGTGTTGAACTTGGAAAGGATTTGCCAACATTTAAAAGAAGCAAATCTGTTAATGTGCTTCCTAGTTGTCGTGGATTCTTGTCAGATGATCTGTCAACTACTTGCAATCTTCCTGATAATGTCCTGAAACTGGAAGAAGGCTTAAGTTTGGAGTTGTCAAACCAAGAGTGTTTGGTTAAGAGTGAGAATAAGGAGAATACTAAGGTTGAACCTCGATTATCTAATTCATTACCGGAGTCTTCTAAAGGTTATGTGGTGGATATTTTGGGGACGAGTGCAACATCTCCAACAATGTATCGAAGTTTGAGCTGCTATTTGGTAAATGTGGATAATAATATTGTTTTACTAGACTGCGGTGAAGGATCTTATTCTCAGCTGATACGGCAATATGGAACAAACCTTGATTCTGTATGGAGACAACTCCGTTTAATTTTTGTTTCCCATATGCATGCTGATCACTGGCTTGGACTTGTGAATATTCTCTTAACCTGGAATAATAGTACTCGTAGTTCTGACTCTAAACTAACTGTTGTTTGTCCCCGATCGCTCCGCTTCTGGCTGTCGAGGGTCAGTGAATCTGCTAGACTTTCTCAGATAATAAAACGTCTTCACTTTGTAGATGCTTCTACTGTGGGCATAGGAAACGAATATTGTTTGTCAGAAAATCTATCTTTATATACGGTTCCTTCTATTCATATAGCTGATTCCCACTCTGTTGTTTTGTCCCATAAAAGTAGCGGGAAACTGGTCTACAGTTCGGATACCCGTCCAAATATGAAGTTAGCAAGGGCAGGAAAGAATGCAACCGTTTTGTTGCATGAAGCCACATTCGAAGATGATTTACGTGATGAAGCTGTCAATAGATACCATTCGACCATTTCTGAAGCATTGATGATTGCAAAGAAAATGCAAGCAAAACAACTAATATTAACGCACTTTAGTACTCGTTCTACGGACAATTCTTCTAATGGACCGAATTGGTCTATTTATCCCAAGCATAAGACAATTCATGCTCGAGATGGGATGCGTTGGACACAATCTACATTCCGATCTGATAAAAAAAATTCGTGAGACAAAAACCATGACGGTAAAATTTCTTTAACGGTTTTACTCGTGTTTGCTAAGATTGAGCTGTTTTACAGTCACTGGTTTGCTGCACTTATAGTATGACACATGAATGATGCTAGACTGAACATAGCTTGACTTTCTTTTGTAAAAGCTCAGGAGGGAGAAGATCACTGTTTTTTACCGTACGATTACAGCAATGTTTTTACGTTCATAATATATCACCAAAAGATTAAACTTATGAAGATGTTTATAATACTTTTGACATGCTATGCTAAAATACGGATACGATGAAAAATAGAACCAAAAAATATACTTAGCAAGACTTTGCGAATTACCTGCTTAGTAGTAAGTAGCCTCATACAATGAATAGAGAAATAAAAAAAAATAAAATAAAAGTATTCTTATGACTATAAAATAGGGGAAAATCAATGAATTAATTGAACAAGGAAAACTAATCTAAAACATTTGAACAAATACAAAAGTTCTTGCGTTTTTCATTCATGTCTTGTTATGATAGGATTCGCATATTCCTATACATACCTTAATACTTTTTGCTTAAATGGACAATCACACAAACGAAAACGAAAATTGACGAATTGACAATAAAAAACGATTTCTAATTCAAGAATAAAAAAAGTATAAACAATAAAAGTAAACAAACAATAAATTGTCAAAAGGACTTGTTTGTTCAAAAATACATGGATAATTAAATTTTTATTCTTATATATTAGTTCACGTTGCGAATCAGCAATACGCTAGAAAAGACAGCATTAGGTGAACCCAATTTCAAAACTAAAAACGACCAGTTCCTGACACAACCGATTCAGGAACCAGGAATAGTAGCGTAAAAGATTAATATAGACAACAGGTGATAAAAAGGAACAACACTAGAAGAGCATAATAACAAAATTGTATTAGGCAAAGATTTTGAAATATGCGTATTTACATATAAACAACTGTAAAAACAGCTTAATCATAGTTGGCATTGGAGTAGACAAACATAGTCATACCAATACGGGGGCTAAGAGTATGAACCCAAGACATGGAGGTGTCGGGGCTAGCAGCGGCAATCTCGTAAGTGTGAGAGTGACCAGCACGGGGGCAAGCGATGTTGGTGGTGTATTCACAACCCTTGTTGGAGCATTGGAAGCGAGCAACCTCGTGGAGACGTTGAGGACCCTTCTTAGGAGTAGTTTGCTTCTTGGGGTTACCGGACATGTTGTAGACAACAAATTCGGCAGGGCCGTTGGAAGAAGAAACGTTCAAGGGGAAGAACTCGTTGTTCAAGCGGACTTCCAAAGCACAGCTGGTATAATAGTACAAGGAACGACCGTAGGGAACGTCGAAAGTTTGCAAGACGGATTGGTTTTGGCCGTCAGCATTGCTAACGCGAGGAATGGTGAAACGTTGCATACGCTTGTCGGGCTTGTTGTAGTTGTAGTTGTAGATACCGTGGGGTTGAAGACGCTCAGACTTGGGAGGAATGTCAGCAGAGCGGTTAGAGTAGTATGGCTCAGAGGCAATGGAGGTGTTGGAAAGACCAGTGTATTGAGCACGGTAGTCAGAGAGGTTGTAGGCGACAGAGTCGATGTCCTCACAGTCGATGCTACGGCCAGCACCGACGAAAACTTGAGTACCACAGTGCATGAAGCCCTTACCGGAACGCTTCAAGACATAACCGAAAGGATCCAACTTACCACAAGCTTGGGTGGCAGCAAAATCGTTGGCAGGCTTGCGTTGAGTCAAGTCAACACGGTGACTACCGTCGTCATGTTGCTTCTTCTTGTAGTCGGTGTGGTTGGTGAATTGAAGGTCTTGGTTGTGACCAATGAAAGCAAACTTGTTGCTATCGGAAGCAAGACGCAAGAAAGAAGCCTCATCGATCATAAAGACGGAGGGATCAACAGCATCGTCCCAAGGACGAAGGTAGGTCTTTCCGGTGGTGGGAGAGACGTGCCAAACTGTATAATCGTAACCACTCTTTTCACGGAAAGAGAGCATACCAAAAGTGCGGTTAATACCGGCACCAGTGTTCAAGTCGGGAGACTTGTAGGGCTTAGCGGGTTGAGTGTCACTAGGGACAATACGCTTGAAAAGACCATCGGTAGGGGCGGCGGAACCGCTAGAAACCAAAAGAGAGGCCGAAGCGACCAAAGCAAAGAAAGAATTGAAAAGTTGCATGATGAAAAGAAAAAACAGAAAAAGAACAACTAGTAATCCGAAAGAGATAAACGAGAAATGTGAAAAATACCTAAATAAATGACACAGATAGAGAAAATTTTTCAATTTTCAAAGATAGAAAACGAAAGTATACCAAGATCAACAATAAGGGGAAATAAGTTGAAAAAGGAAAGGAAAAGAAGAGTAAAAATAAAAAGAAAAGAGGGGAAAAGACTTTTTTTTTTATTTTTACAAAAATTTTTTATTTTTTCTTTCAAGACGAAGACGACAAGAAAGGAAAAGAGGAAATAACCAAAACGAAAATAAAAAACGAAGAGAAAAAGATTATACAAATGAGATAGAGAAGGAAGCGATTCCAAAAATTAGAAAAGCTACCGGAGCACTGAACCTTTCCTTATGAAACAAGTCAACCTCGCTATCTTGGTTTCAAAAAAAACGGAAGAAGGAGGGAGGGAGGCTATATTTATATCCGCTTCGTTACTTCCGTGAACCGGGAGGTATCGGGATGGGATGAGAAAATAATAATGACAACGGCCGATCGCGTGATTGACGTCACATGAAGTTCGGCACTCGTTGGTCGGGATGGAACGAATTGGAACGCGAAAACGGGTTCAAAACGGACAAACTATGGATAGTGAGAGCGGTGGTAGGTTGAGCTGAGCATACGGGAGGGGGAGATAGATAAAGAGAGAGAAGAAGCAAAAATAGAGACAGAGGGAGGAGAGAGTAGGATAGGGCAGGAAAGGAAAGGGACGGTAAAGAGAAAAAAGAGATGTATTGCAGTGTAATGTAGTGCACTAAGATAAATTCGTGGTTGGTATACACAAAAAAAAAGACGACACAGAGAGAGAGAGAAAAAGTCAAAGTCAAAAAAAAAAAAAAGAACAATAAACAACCTAAAAAGAAAACAAAGACACAAAAAAATAGACTCGAAGAGTCTGCAAACAAAAATATGCTTCACGTGTATAATGTTTGTTTACTTTTTTTTTTTTTTTTTTTTTCAAATCTGTCTGTCATTGAATTGAATGAAGGTTCAAAAATCCCCTCCTTTCTCCTCAACCTCCTCCTCGCCATACTCCACTCTCGAGCGTTCTCTGTCTCATTAGGGTTTCTCTAGCGGGCTGGTATTGATACTGTGTGGTGCGGAAATTGGAAATAACAAGTCTAGTGCAAAAGTCTCGTAGATGTGATTGGCGAAGAAAAGGATACCGACCGATAACGGGAATCAGTTGAAAAAGAATCAAAGAACGAACGAGACCACAAAAAACCCGAGACAATTCTCATAGGGGGATTGGACTGGAATGGACTGGACTGGATCGGATTGGATTGGACTGACAGGCAAGAACCAGACTGGATAAAAGAGACAAACACTGAGAGGGAGGACAGGAGATGGATCCTACCGAGGTTGGCTGGGCTGGGCTGGGCTAAGCTGGCTGGCCAAGATGGTTTTAGCTAGTTGGGTTAGATTAAGTGGGTAGCCAAGTCGGGGTGGTGGGCTGGTAAATGGGTCATAGACTACTAGACTTAGACTTGGACTATGAGTGATAAAGTGAAATTCTATGTACTATGGATTCATTTCTAATGGATTACAGTACAAAACAATAGAAATGAAAAAAAAAAGGTGAGGAAACGTTTAAATTGTTTTTCTTCCTAATGAGAATCAGCAGTTTTTTTTTTTTTTTTTTTTTTTTGCAGACTCTTCGAGTCTATTTTTTTGTGTCTTTGTTTTCTTTTTTTTTTAAATTTCTGTATGGTAGTAGAAATCTATCGTAATGAAATCTCGACTGGTTTCTTTTCTTTTTTTATTGTTCTTCATCTAAATGGATGGGACGATGGAAGAAGCAGTCGCATAAAACACCAATGGTAAAAAACAAGAAATCTAGACATTAGATTAGCGACAGACATTTTGTTCTAACTAAATGTTTTTATTTTATAAAGACAAAAAAGAAAAAGGAAAATACCAAAGACTTTGTTTTATCAGTAATTACAACAACGAACTAGAGTAGAGTAGAGTAGAGTAGAGTAGATCTAATGATAGGTGTATAAATCAAAAGAATAATAAAAAACAGACGTAAAAATTAGACTCGAAGAGTCTCCAAAAAAAAAAAAAAAAAAAAAGTGCAAATAAAATATTGGTTTGTTGCTATTGACTCTTTTCGTATCACAATAGCATCGTCAATTTCCATGTCAATGTCAATGTACTTTTTTTTCCTTACTCACTCATTCCCTTCCCTAGGGAAAGAAATGGTTTCATTTCCATTCTCCTACAACATTATCATATTACAATGTGATAGAAAATGATATCGTATTGTACATCATAGTAACGAGAATTCTTTGACCTTCTCTAACGTCATCCTTGAGCTAACGCCTTTTCATCACCAACAGCCATTTGTCTTCTTCCAAAAACCTATAGCAGATTTTGATTTTTGTGAGTTATCGTTTTTCTTTACCACATCTGATTTCGTTGGTTTGGATTTTCCTTAACCTTCTGTTTTGTTTTTATTGACTTACCTTTTTTTTCCCATTTCCCAAAAGTAACTTTTTTGTTCATTTCCTCCCTCTACAATGTCTGAACAACATTCTATGAACCCTTTTGAACACTCCTCCATTCCTGAAAACAGCACTTCTGCCCAAAATGCTGCTGAACAACTCATCCAGTCCTTGAACGCTGATCAACTCGCTACTTCCTCCAAACATTCTACCTCTAGCAAGAGTTCTGCTCCTTCTTCCACCACTGACGCTGTAGCTCCCGCTCCTACTGCCGGCACTGCTCACCCCGTCATCCCCGGTAGCAAGTTGGAAAAGGAATCTCACAACACCGCCGAGTCCCCTTCTTCCTCCCACCAATCTGAGCAAAACTCTCGTCCCCGCTACTCCGAACAAGAGACTCCCGTTCCTACCAAGGAATCCAAGCCCTCTTCCAGTACCGCTTCTGATTACGACGGTATTCCCGGCACTCCCTCTGGTCCTTTCTCCGGCGCCCCCAAGCACCACGGTGGTAACCACCATCATCGTTCTCATCCTCACCCTAAGGATCAACACCACTGCCCTGCCATGGCTGGTGGCGGCCCTTTCACCAATCAATCTCAACAAAACGTCGATCCTGAAGTCGCTTCTGCCTTATGGCACGTTCTCACCTGGAAGAACGTTTCTTGCAGTTTCTCTACTTTATTGAGCATCCTCGCCGTCTTCTTCATTCCAGCTTGGATTAACATCCCCCGTTTGTTCTTCCGTACCATCCGTTATGTCTTCTTGATCACTTCTATCATTGAATTTGGTGGTCTCTTTGCTTCTGGTGGCCGTCGCGGCGTTTTGTCCCCCTTCCGCAACAAATACATCACTTGCAACACAAAGTCCATCGACTGCTTTGTCAACTCCCTTATCGATGTCGTCAACGTTCTTCTCATCCAATTCCAACGTGTCTTGTTTGCTGAGTGCCCTATCTTGACTTTTGCCGTTGCCATCGGCGCTTTCATCGAATACTTCCTTTCTGGTTTCCTTTCTTACAGAGGTCTCTGTATCTGGAATGTTCTCTTTGCTTTCACCCTCCCCAAGTTGTATGAGATGAACGAAACTGCCATCAAGCGTTTGGTTCACTCTCTTGAACAACAAAGCCACAAGATTAAGCACGAGGCCGCTTCTGCTACCTCCTCTTCTCATCAATAAATTTGAAATTTGAAATCAATTAGCTATGGCTTCTACTAGTTCCTTCCACCCGAAGGAACCTGTTTTCCAGTAGATTCCAATTTTTCCTTGGTCTTTTCTGGTCAAGGATAACTGACATTCAGTTCCAAACGTTTTTTGTTTCCGCTTTTTTGTGTGAAAAAAAAGTTTATTTTACATAACGACAATATGTCTCTTTATATTTTTTTCGTCATTTATTTTATTTAACGAATAAATAAATGAAGGATGCTGATGCTTTTCTGAATTACTACTTGTTGTCTGAGTTGACAACCATGGCAATTCTTTCATGGTTTTTTCACTTTATATATTTGATTATATGATAAGTACGCTATTTTTAACTACTCCATTACTTTGTAAATCGTAGCTGCCTTTTTCTTTTGTAAGTCATTTCCTCCTTAGTCCTTCCTCGGGTTTTTCCGTCTCCTTCCTACCATCAACTCAAATCGTAGTATCAAGATTCTTCCTTCCATGTAAGTATCCACTCTACAATAGATTGATTCTAACATTCTTGCAAGATATCGCATTTTCTACAATCGCTTAATAAAACATACGTGTGTCTTCCTCAAGCATGAGCGCAAGGAAAAGATGGGTACGTTCATCACAAAATCATTCCTCTCCGTCTGATGAAAAGGGATCTCTTACAAAGAATGTATTTGGTTTTCACTCCAAAAAGTCTCAAAAATCTCCTTTACGCGATAATATAGAAGATGTTGAAGATGAGAACGAACAAACTCTCCTACACTCCATACGGGAGTCCTCAGCGTCTAAGAGACAGAAAAAGGACAAATTTCAAGATGATATTCAAGATTTTTCGTCTGAAGAAGAATCAACTTCCGCCCCTTTAGGCAGTCATGATCTTCATAATTCATCAGCTACCACAAATTCAGGTGTCTATTCTTCGTCCTCCCCTCGAACGTCCAAAGCCTTTTCTTTTCAGTCTCCCAAATCCGTAAAACGAGAACAAGCCCTTCAAAAATCCCCGGTATCTGTCCATCTGGCAAAGTTTTCTCAAGCAGCTACCGGAACTCCTCCTCCTAAACCAGTCTTTTCAAATCGCTCCCCTTTCTTGGATAAAAAGAAAAAAGAATATTCTTTACTAGAATGTACCAAGGCTCTTGAAAGCCGCTACTTGGCACGCATACACCATCATGATTTCCAACAACTAAATTTCTCTTCCCAAAATATTGCTGACCAGTATGACAATTTATTGTTAGTAGATGAAAATATAGTATCCGATTCACGAAAAAATTATCTACTGTGCAAAAAGACCCCTGTCGAATCAGATCGACCATTTTCGCTTTCCTTGCCTCCTCCCGTGTATAGTAACCAAATTGGTTCCATCGATGTTTCTGTAATACCTTGTTGAGTTACCATTTGCCTTACTTAGTTCTGCTTGTTTCTTTTTCTTTTGGCATTCTACTAATGTCAAAGATGTTTCCGTTTGCATTTACATCTCATTCATGTTTACCTTAATGATATCTATGTCTTATTTTTAAAAGCATCTTCATGTTGTCATATACTCTTTTGATTTATTTTCATCTACATACCCAATTCTTCTTTCAATCTTAATGTATATATTTTTATACTTTTTATACTTTTTTTTTTTTTTTGCAAATTAATTTGAAATTGATTTTACAACTCAACCTTCTTCCTCGACCACAAGTAGAGTACTGAAAGTTCTATATTCTACACCATAACCTACAGTACTTTTCAAGCTTTTTGTTAGGACCAAATCTCCCGTTAGTCATAGGGAATGAGTGCCTTGGAAGCTATTTATTTATTTGATATCTATGGGTAGTAATTGTTCTCTGTATTTTACTAAATCTAACGAAAATTGACAGATCGGTCTTGCTGCAACTTGAATCCAGAGGTAGAATCTTGGCAGCGACTTCAGAGTTTATAAAAAACGAAATATCAAAATGCAAATTAAGAAATGAAGAACCCCCTTTTATCATTTATCAAAAGAATTCCTTGATATTTCAACAATTGCAAGATGATGTTCGAATATGTATACCGGTAACCCGCGATACAGAACCTCTGTACATACATGATGTGATGAAACTGATTATAGACATAATAAAGATTTATTTTGGAAGCTTTCAGTCATCCGTAATTGAGAAAAACACTTCTTTGATTGCACAGCTTCTGACGGAAATGATTGATTATGGGTACACGATAAATATGGAGCCTAACGCTTTGCAAGACATTATTCCTACCCCAAGTCTGATGAAAAAATTTATGGAAGTTACTGGTCTTCAGTCTAATATGCCTCCTATCCATAAAAATACAGTGCCCTGGCGAACCTCCAAAGCCCGCTATACTAATAATGAGTTTTTTATCCGTATCATTGAACGCGTGTCTGCCGTATTTGATGGAAATCATCAACTTGTATTTGGAACTCTAAAAGTTGACGTTGAGTGTAAAAGTCAGTTATCTGGAATTCCTGAACTTTTACTATATCTCGCTCCTGGATCAACTATGGAAAATCCAAAGTTCCATAATTGTATTGATGTGAAACGATGGAGAGATCGTCCTTTGCAATTACAGTTCATACCGCCAGAAGGAAAATTTGTTCTGGCATCTTTTCAGACCGACTTATCCAAACAAAAACCTTTACCTCTTAACGTGGAGGCAAAAAATATGACTGATGGAAATTTTGAGATACGTATACGAAACATAGGAAAAAAGCCTATAGAAAACCTTGAAGTAAGGATTCCTTTACCTAGTTCTTTAAGCAGCGTTACCGCTACCAATGGTGACTACATATGCCGCCCATCAAAATCTACCAGCGATGACGGAGCTGTTTTGGAATGGACTATAAAAAAAATTGAATGGACTTCACCTGCCTACGTTCTAAAGGGTACTTTGAATTCGAAACAGGAGTTATCTATCAGTGAAATTAGTGATCAAAGCTCCGAAAAAAATGCGCTTCCTAAACTTGAGCATCTAACCCTCCATTATAAATATCCACTTACCATCCTTTCCCGGTTTAAGATTGATTCTCTCAAAATTAGCAATCGTCCAGATATGAAGTCTTTTAAGGGCGTAAAACACAGTGTAATCGCTCAAGATGTTTCTGTTCGTTTTAAATAACTTACACACGACGTCTTTTTTATGGCCGTTCTTAGATGTTACTTACTAATACACACTCTTTCCTCATATAATATATTGACTACTTTAGTACATTTGCTCTATTTTTTTAAGAATCTAATTCTCAGATTAATTTTATCTTTGCTGTATCGCTGCACCATCAAACTGCTCCAATATATAAATTAAAGACGACAAAGGTTTCATGAAAGTACTGAATTTTTCCATATTGAGTTTCTCATATGTCAAGTAGAACGTTTTCATATGTTCTAATAAAAGACTGGTTCTGTCCTTATGTAAAGTGATAGACTTTCCGGATAACAACGAAGAAAAGAAAAACGTCCAGCTTATTAGGTGAAAAATCTGGCGATTCTTTTTTTTTGGGACAAATCCTCTTACAAATGAGTTAAGATGCTGAACCGAACTATCCAGCACATGACGAATATTCAGAGATATACCTGCTCCTTTCATTATACAATACTGACTCAAAGAATAGCAGAGGGACGAATTACCGAGTGATTGAAAAACCCTTTGTTGTTTTTGCGGAGGAAAAGATTCAATATAAGAATCGACTAGGCTCAGAAAATGATGAGACTTTGTTAGTTGTACAACGACAGAGAGGCCTTTAGGAAGTGAAAGCCAGACCAATTGAAGGAGACGAGCTGCGAAGGTCTCCAGTTTTTGAACAGTCTCATTTGATAAATATGCTTTACCAAATGCCGTTCTTTGAACATCCTCATCATCGCCTGAGAATGGAGATGCATATGGTCGCTGCTTCGGGAGGAAACCAGTCAAAATAATTTCTACCGCATCACTCAATTCGCAATAGTCATCGCCCAAGTATTCTTTCATCAATAAGGAATTATTTGATTTTGCATCACAGTCTAAAGCAAATATCCAGATATCTAGCAGCAGAAGCCAACGATTCACATCATCCGGTATTGCAAAGGCATATGCTACCAGATCCCAAAAGTCAATGTCTTTCAGGAAAATATTGTGCTTTGAAAAAAGTGACAAGCTCTCATCACGAGGAATGTCAAAGTCAGACAATTCGGTTTCAAATGACCAAGCAATTAAATCCTCTTTACGTCCTTTTTTTAAAATTTGTAAAAGCACATGATGACTAGTCTCTTGAAGATTCACTTGTGGATATTCAGGATTAACAAGAAGACTTATGCATAACTGTACATAACAAGCTGGAACTCTTGTGGAAGATACTTGAACTAAATATTGTAAGACTCCAAGAGCTTTCATCAAAAGATCTTCCTCTATACAAAGCTCCAATATCGCTTTCAAAGCATAATTCATTTCGTTATGCTACTATACACAGCACAGCACCGCTTTGAATCAATCGAACTGATTAGGAGTCCTTTTTCAGATTTAAGAACTAATATAGTTCTTACACGAGTATTAATACAAAAATCAACGAAATCTAATGTTAAGGAACTGAAACTTTGATATATTTACTTTCCTAGGCCACAGTCAATTTTCTACTGAAACATGCAATAGTAATTTATAGGCATAGCTCTAAACACAAACCAAATTCCAATCCTTTACTGTAACATGCTCTAACAGGCGTATGCATGTGCACCTGAATGGTATTTGCTATGTTGTAGTAGATTGGTATGGTAGGGTGACCTATCCTTCACCAACATGGCTGACTTTCAAGATGAATTGTTAGCATTAGCCGGTGTAGATGATGCAGAAGTAGGAAATGATCGTAAAAGATTGCACGATGAGTTGTATGTTGCATTTATTTGGGCAGAACACCTTCAATTGACACACTTTTAGGGACGACGATTCGGATAGTAGCTCAGACGAAGAACAAGGAGAAGAAAATGAATTAAATTATGGAGAAATTTCAGAAAAAGATAATGAAAATCATTCTGAAGATGATTTTGAGGAAAAATATCGAAATCCGTATATGCTTGAGGGCAAATTTAAAGACGAAGCAGATAGAGCAAGGTAACACATGAGAGATTGTATTTAGTATTCTAATTGAGGTTTAGAATCATGGCCATGTCAGAAATTGAAAGAGAAAGCATACTCTTTGAACGCGAGGAAGAAATATCCAAATTAATGGAAAAACGTGAATTGGCCATTCGACTTCGTCAACAAAATAATCAATATGCTGCACAAACAACAAGAAGATCTACTCGAGATAGGCCTTTGACATCGACAGCGGCTGGTAAAAGAGACAAGTTAACAGAACTAAAGAAGAGAAGGCAAGAACGAACTTACAAGCCTGACGAAACAACGGTTAAATCAAAGAAAGAGAACTACAATTCAGATTATGAAGAGGAATCTGAAAAAAGCGAAGCAGATGCTTCTCCCTATTCCCCTACTTCAGACTTAGAAGAAAAAGATGAAGCAAAAGTCGGTTTGCCAGAATTAAATAGTATTCGCATGGGTCGTAAACATGTTGCTGAATATATGTATCACCCTACATTTGAGAATACAATTACTGGCTGCTTCACAAGAGTTAAGATTGGTGAAAGAGATGGGCAAGGTGTATACCGATTATGTCAGGTAAAGGGAATTTCTGAAGGACGAAAACCATACCGCGTTGAAGGCGTTCTCACGAAAACGTATTTAGAATGCTTTCATGGAAGATCAAAAAGAGTTTTTGAAGCTAGTGTTTTATCAAACGAGCCTTTTACGGAGTCGGATTTTCAGCGTTGGTTTCATCAGATGAACGAGGATAAACTCAGTATGCCAACGAAATCCTTCGTTGAGAGAAAACTTGATGATCTTAAGCAAATGACACAGTACTTATTGAATGAACGAGAGGTGTCTGATATAATTCGTAGGAAGAAAGAATTATCAAGAGTTCCTTCCAACCTAGCTGCAGAAAAAACTCGTCTTCGTCAGCGACGTCAAGCTGCCATATCTGCTAATAATACAGAGCTTGCCAAAGAATTAGAAGAGCGATTAAATACATTACAAGAACTTTCTGTAGGAAGCACTTCTCAAACAAACTTTTCAGAAATGGATCAGCTCGCAAAGGTTAATGAGCGTAATCGCCGTCGTAACCAGGCTGAGGTTCGTTTAGCCGAAAAACGTATGAATGAAGAACGGAGAAGACTAGCAACTCCCGCTACAACTTTACCACCGCCAACTACCAATGGAAATTCGAAGAGCACGACTCCTTCCGTTTCTGCCTCTGGAATTTCAACGCCCCAACCCGATCAGGATGGTTTATCCGCTACTTCAGCTCCGTCCCAAAATGCTGTGTCTTTGGACAATACTCCTAAATTGTCTCCTTCAGATTCTCATATATCTATCAATGAACCAGTTCCAGTACCAGTTGACCACGAGCCGACCACTATAGCTGAAAAGGAAGCCCGACTTCGTGAGAAGACTGTTCATGGTATTGACGATTTAATCGCTACTGTTGATTTTGGCATTGATATTAATATTTGATTTACTTCAGTTGATGTTCTATCCTTCCACTGATTGTCAAACTTATGATGAACCTACTGTTTCTTGATCTATTCTCACGTTGAAATTCAAGAACTACACAATCTCATTTCTTTATATCGTAATGTAATTATTATCAGAGTTTACAATGCGTTTTTCTTACAAAGAGAGAAAAAAAAGAATACCTATTTGCCGTGTCAGAAGATCCGTATCTGATGTATACACGAAAGAATTGGGTTGCTTTAGATAGAACTTTTAACAGTAATTTTTTTACGACTTAAAATACATTTTTGGAACACTAATTTTCCTTCATTTTACGCGGTATGATATGTGCTCGGTAATATTTCTGTAGACTTCGTTATTATTATGAAATCTCAAATAAAGAGCTTACAAATTTGTTTTCTACCAACAACGTCTGGTGTTGCAAGAAGCCATATATTTGGCTAGCATCTTGTCAATTTGATCATTATAAATACTGTATGAGTTATGAAGGATCCTATTGATAACCAGGTAAGCTTTTCATAGCCATTGCCCGAATGCAGAAAAACTAACTAAAAAATAGGTGCCCAAAAAAATCAAACATTTGCAGTTTGGCATCAGTGGGCCAAAAGAGTTTGTTAAAGATGCTACTGTTGAAGTCTTTAGCCGTGATTTATACACTATGACCGATAGGTCACCGGCTGAACATGGTGCTTTAGACTTGCATATGGGTACAAGCAATAAAACAATCAATTGTACTACATGTGGCGAGTCAATGGCCGATTGTATGGGTCATTTCGGTTATGTTAAGCTGGCTTTGCCAGTTTTTCATATTGGTTATTTTAAAGCGGCGATGACCATTTTGCAAAATATATGCAAAGATTGCTCAAGTGTCTTACTCTCGGATCCTGAGAAGAGGCAGTTCCTTAAGGAGCTACGACGCCCTGGGATTGATAATCTAAAGCGATCTCAAATCTGTAAGCGCATCAATGATCAATGTAAAAAAACCCGTCGCTGTCCTGTGTGCGATTCCATGCAAGGAGTTGTGAAAAAGGCTGGTCCGTTAAAAATAATTCATGAACGATTTCGTTATGCTAGAAAATCTCAAGATGATGAGGGCGAGTTTCGCCATACTTTTGATGAAGCTATCAAGACAATACCTGAATTGAAAATGCATATTTCCAAAGCTCACGATGATCTTAACCCTCTTAAAGTCTTGAACTTATTTAAACAAATAAACCCCGTTGATTGTGAGCTTTTAGGTATGGATCCAGAATTCGGTCGACCTGAGAATCTGTTATGGCAGTATGTCCCAGCACCTCCTATCTGCATTCGTCCTTCAGTTGCTCAAGAGGGAGCAACCACAGAAGACGATTTGACTGTAAAAATTACTGAAATTGTTTGGACTAGTTCCCTTATTCGTGCTGCTTTAAGTAAGGGCACCCCCGTCAGTAATTTAATGGAACAATGGGAATTTATGCAACTGTCAATTGCAATGTATATCAATAGCGAAATGCCAGGCTTGCGTCCTTCAGATATGCCTTCAAAGCCTGTTCGTGGGTTATGCCAACGTTTAAAAGGAAAGTCCGGACGTTTTCGTGGTAATTTATCGGGCAAGCGTGTAGATTTTTCTGGACGAACAGTAATTAGCCCTGATCCTAACCTGCGAATTGATCAAGTTGCTGTTCCTTACCGCATCGCTAAAATCCTTACATTTCCTGAAAGGGTCACCACTCAGAACAAGACATATTTACAGCAATGTATAAAAAATGGCCCAGATGTTCATCCTGGTGCCAACTACATCATCGATCGTGAAAGCGATCTAAAAAGGTTTTTACGGTTCGGCAACAGAAATCGTATAGCTGATGATTTGAAAATTGGTGACATCGTTGAACGACATTTAAATGATAACGATGTTATTTTATTCAATCGTCAGCCATCTTTGCACAAACTTTCTATCATGGCTCATCTTGTGAAAGTACGTCCATGGAGGACTCTTAGATTTAATGAGTGTGTCTGCGGCCCATATAACGCAGATTTCGATGGTGATGAAATGAATCTTCACGTACCTCAAACTCAGGAAGCGAAGACTGAGGCTTTGGAATTGATGGGTGTTAAAAGTAACCTAGTTAGTCCTCGTAACGGCGAACCTATTATTGCAGCCACTCAAGATTTCATTACTGCCTCTTATTTGCTATCGTTGAAAGATACCTTTTTGGATAGAAAGTCATTTGCTAACATCTGTTGTTACATGGTTGATGCTTCAATGCATATCGACATGCCACCTCCAGCAATATTAAAACCCCGTTGTCTTTGGACAGGTAAACAATTATTTTCGGTCTTAATGAAGCCAAGCCGTTTCAGTCCTGTTCAAGTCAATCTAGACGCCAAAACTCGCTCATTCAGTAGGATTAAGTCCAAGACTCCTGAAATGTGCCCAAAAGACGGTTATCTAATGATCAGAAATAGTGAAATTATAGCCGGTGTTGTAGACAAATCCGTGGTTGGTGATGGTAAGAAGAATTCTTTGTTTTATGTTATTCTTCGAGACTATGGCTCAATGGAAGCTGCCGAAGCTATGACTAGGTTATCCAAAATGTGTGCTAGGTTTATGGGTAATAGAGGCTTTTCTATCGGTATTAGTGATGTGCAGCCAGGACAGAGTCTTTCTCTTCAAAAGAGGGATTTGGTTGAGAAATCTTATGCTACGTCAGACGATTTTATTATGCAATATGCGAAGGGTACTTTGGAAACTCAACCTGGTTTGGACCAAGAAGCAACCTTGGAAGCAAAGATCTCGTCTACCCTTTCGAAAGTTCGTGATGATGTTGGTGAAATTTGTATGGATGAGTTGGGACCAATGAATTCACCTTTGATTATGGCCACCGCTGGCTCAAAGGGTTCGAAGATTAATGTTTCTCAAATGGTTGCTTGCGTTGGACAACAAATTATCAGTGGTAAACGTGTTCCAGACGGCTTTCAAGATAGATCACTTCCTCATTTTCACAAAAACTCAAAGCATCCTTTGGCTAAAGGATTCGTAAGTAATAGCTTTTATAGTGGCTTGACCCCAACTGAATTTTTGTTCCACGCAATTTCAGGTAGAGAAGGTTTGGTCGATACTGCTGTCAAGACCGCCGAAACTGGTTATATGTCTAGACGTTTGATGAAATCTCTTGAAGATCTTTCTTCTGCGTATGATGGAACTGTTCGGAGCTCCAACAGCGATGTTGTTCAATTCTTATATGGTGACGATGGTTTGGATCCCACATATATGGAGGGTGATGGACAAGCTGTTGAATTTTCTCGTAGTTGGACTCATTCTGTCAATATTTCTGGTGATAAACGTGATCCTCCCTTACTTCCGTATCAGATTATTAATAATACAAATACCTCTCTTTCACAACAGAGGTTTGTTCAAAATTGCAATCGAGATTTTATTGAGACGATACGAAAGTTTGTGACTCAGAAAATTGCAATCCAAATGGCTAAAGTTCGCGAAAATCGTGGATTGTCTCCTATGCTTGAAGAACCTGATTTAGACGATATGGACGATTTTGAGAGCGACGATTTTGCACCTCTCGCTGCTAAAAAATCCGTGGAAAACATCATCCGAGTGACTGAAAAACAATTAAACACATTCTTAGACTACTGTTGGGAAAAGTATATGCGTGCTAAAGTTGAACCGGGCACAGCCGTTGGTGCCGTTGGAGCACAGTCTATTGGTGAACCTGGTACACAGATGACCCTGAAAACATTCCACTTTGCTGGTGTTGCCGCGCAGACTACACTTGGTGTGCCTCGTATAAAAGAAATCATTAATGCAGCGAAAGCCATTAGTACTCCTATTATCACCGGTCAATTGGTTAATAGTTCAGATGAACGTTCCGCCCGTGTTGTTAAGGGAAGAATTGAGAAAACATATCTTAAGGACGTTACCAGTTATATTGAAGAAGTTTACGGCCCTATGTCCGCATATATTGCTATCCAAGTAAACTATAGTACTATTTCTAAACTCCAGTTGGATATTACCTTAGCCGATATAGCAGCTGCTATATGGAGCGATCGAAAGTTGAAGATTCCTTCTCAGCAGGTTACCGTGAATAACTCCCTTCAGCAAATCCATGTCCATACATCCTCCGAAGGTAAGAGTGGCGAGAGTGAATTATACTATAGATTACAAAATTACAAACGCGCTCTTCCTGATGTGATTGTGGCTGGCGTTCCTGAAATTAATCGTTCAGTTATTAATCAAGAAGATGGCAAGATTGAACTTTTTATGGAGGGTTACGGTTTGCGTGAAGTCATGAATACTGAGGGTATTGTGGGGGATAAGACAACAACGAATCATGTTATGGAAATGAAAGCAGTTTTAGGTATTGAGGCTGCTCGTACTTCAATCATCTCAGAAATTGGCTATACAATGGCTAAGCATGGTCTTACTGTGGATCCTCGTCACATTATGTTATTAGGTGATGTTATGACTTGCAAAGGTGAAGTTTTGGGAATTACAAGATTTGGTGTATCGAAAATGAAAGATAGTGTACTGGCTTTGGCTTCCTTTGAAAAAACAACGGACCACTTGTTCGATGCGGCCGCTCGATTCGCTAAGGATTCAATTGAAGGAATTAGTGAATGTGTTGTACTAGGAAAATTGGCACCGATCGGTACAAATGTATTCCAGCTTATTAGAAGAACTGAAGAGGATGAGGAACAAAAGCCAAAACGTCTTCTGTTTGATACTCCTTCCTTGCCTCAATTAAAAATGACTGCTTAATTCCTTACAGCTGCATTGTATAATACGAAGGCATTTTTAAGGCTTTAAAATATTTGGTTATTAGGGATTTACATTGGTTTTTTTTTTGATTTAATAATGATATATAGTGAATTTAGACTCGTTAACATAAATATAAAATAAAAGGATTTCCGGTATTAATTATACTTTTTAGAATAAGGCTATTGTAAGTAAAAGACTCCAAAAACATATTATCGAGAGGCAAAGAATAGATGACCTATGCAATGTACTTGGTTTTGTCAGTTTACTAAAGCAAATATATAATGAAGTCGACAGAGGCTGAAACATCGGCTGAATAGTAACAAGTTAAGCAGCAACATAATTCGAGTATTTCTCAATTAGATCAGTACAATGTAAAAGCTTTTGTAGATTGCATATCATAGTAACCTGTAGTTTTTCATTGATGTATGTCTCACTAGGAACTTCCATAGAATCCAAAAGTCGACAAGCATGTGAAATGGACAACAAATCCTGCTGCGAAAATTGCGAGGGATCCTCAAGGCGTTTTATCAAATGTGAAGCACTTGACTGAAGTTTTTCGACAGTAAATCTTTGAGAATTCTTATTTATAGAATTCTCGTCTTCCGTCGAATCGAGTTGTGCCAACGTTTGTAAGGCTGAAAAATAACCCGATGGATATTCACTGATTTCAAAAGGAATGGGAATGTAATTATCACCACCGAGATTTCGAATGTCATCAGGGATTTTATAAAGTTTTAACTCATTCAAGTTGAAATTCGAGGGGAAAAGAAGTAAGAATTTTAACTTCACAACATTCGGACTCTAATACAACTGTCAGTACAATTCAATGCTAAGCCGAATATCTCGAATTACTTGTTCGGCGAACGTGCTTAAACTATATTATAACATACCTGTTCTAAAAAGGATATGACATTGTCATCTATAGCATCTGCAAACAAAGCGTATCCAATAGGAGATGATCCTAAAAGTTCGCCTATCGTGTTAACAAATGAATATATTACGAGGAAAGCTTCATACAGTGTTCCAGCTTTTCTGTAAAAAAAGGCACATCTAAATTTCCATTCCTAGACAATAACTCCACAGACTCTTCAATGGCAATAGAAAGGTTAAAATCACGAGATGAGTATAAACCAGGATTAAACTCTTTGCCAACAAGAAGAAGAGCTATGTCAGAAATAGGCACATTATTGGCTTTGTATCTCGAATGTAAAGCAGCTGCTTCGTATAAAACTGTCGATTCTCTATTTAGGCATTAGGCTTTAACATTGAGCATGCGCATTCATACACATTAATCATAATAGAAATATATCAAAAGCATAAAGAACTGTTTGCTACAACAAGCTAAAACTTGCGAAAGAAGTACTTGCTAGAAATCTCACGTCCAGTGGTTCAACAAAAGTAACGAAGTAACAACCATATATACAGTAAACGTTATTAACATGAGAAGTGAAACAGAAGGAGGAAGATATTATAAATAAAAGCGAACCAAATCTAAAATGCACAATCTTCCAAAAAAAAAAAATAAAAAGACTTAAGCCTTATCATGCCCTCGAAAATATATAGACAATTCCACTACAATCAAATGATTCAACAACACAATGGAGGAAATCATCCAGGAGTGTCTCCCAACCCAGGACTATTCGGGTAGGTTCTAAGGAGTTTATGCATATTGGTTTGCGATGCCTTGATCTGTTCCTCTAACTGAGCAGCTTTACCTCGTAGTAAGTTGACCTGAGATTCCAAACTTTGATGGGATGTATTAATAATGTCTTGCTCTTCAGCTGTAGAAGAGACATTTGACACTGGGGATGAAGCGGCAGAGCAAGCACTATATGGGATAGATGAGAAATTCAAAGCCACTTCTCTCGAGAGCGCAGGATTGCGAGCATCTAAAGTAGGAGTAAAAAAGCCAGAAGAAACTGAAGACGATGCAGACGATGAACATTTTGGTTTTTTTCGAAAAAAGCCTTTCTTTTCTTGTGTATGCTCTAAATTACTCACCGAAGATGAGCTTTGAACAGTAAAATCCTTTTTTTCAGCAATTATCCTTTGCAAATTTAATATTTTACGTTGTAGACTTTCCAACTCTGCATATTTTTGTTGCATGTCTATATAAGCGTTGACAAACGCTTCGTGGAACATTCTGGTTTGCTTTTTGTTAAACCATGCTGTCCATCTTCCAAGGGCATCTGTAGTTAAAGGTTCATCGGCTTGTCCAAGACTATCATCCCCATGAGCACTACTTTCGTTTTCAGATGTGATTGTGGAAAACGAAACGAATGAATTTCCTCGAAACAATACCGTGCGGCGAGGCATTTCAAAATTGCACTCCAAAGTGCAAAAAATTCCCACTCGATTAACGTCCCAAGCTAAAAAAGCATTCAACAAATGTTGTATGCTCTGCGTAAGTCTTAACATCGTTTACTCTTGCAGGGAATTACGCTTAGTGAGGGTGAACCTTAATGCGTTACTTTGTATTGCATAATGTAACGAGTCCGTAAAACGATGCGTATTGTTTACGTGTGGAACTTGAACATAATTAAAGCTTTACATACGCGCTTGGATGAAAAGTGAATCGCTTTGTGTTAAATTCCGTTGATAATTGGGATTTTTGAAGTTTTCGTTTCTTCATGCACAAAAGAGTAGGCATTGGCGCGCTAAACAAGGATCCTATCAAACAATATGAGAAAGTAGGCAATGAATTGATTGAACAGCAAGCTGAAGAAATTGCTTCTCAACTATCAACATTCCAGGAAGCTTTGAAAAATTTCGCTAAAGAACATGCAGCTGAAATTCGTAACAATGCTGAATTTCGGAAAACATTTACAAAGTTGTCCCTGAAAATTGGCCTAGATCCGCTAGTCAGCGGTTCGAAAGAATCCGCGTGGTCGGCTGTGGGCATAAATGAATTTTATTTACAGGTTGCTGTTCGTATCATCGAAGTTTGTCATGCAACTCAGTTGGAAAATGGAGGACTGGTTTCCGGTAGTCGCGTTTGCCAATATTTGAACGATGAAAATGAAGCTTCAGGGTATGATTTACTAACGGAAGATGATATTGTACGTGCTGTAACAGCTTTGAAACCCCTTGGTCCAGGATGTGATATTGAAGTTATTGCTGGCAAACGTTATATCAGATCACTACCATTAGAACTCAGTAAAGACCAGAATGTTGTATTGGAAGCGGTTGAGGTACTTGGTTATGTCACTGTAACTATGCTAAAGGATAACTATGGTTGGGATCGGGGTCGGTGCATCCACGTACTGGTATGTCAACAAAGTCTTACTTTTACTTCGCTAACTAGAGATACAGAATGACTTGGTCTCAAAATCACTTTTATGGATTGACAACCAACCTATGGAAACTGCATACTGGGGAGCCAGTACATTGCTTAATGAAAAATCATCTCAGGTAGCAGAATGGTGAATTAAATAATCTTTTCCTCGTGATGCAATGCAATTGCCCTTTTTTAAAAGAAATAAAAATTAAAAAAAAGAAGAAATATAACGGAAATGAACAAAATTTTCGTAAACGTGATAATATAAACACACAACAGGGATTATGCTTTTAGAGACTGGGGAACATCAAAGGAAGACGGCGAGAACGGTGTTGTCATAAAAACGAAATGAAGTGGACGATATCCTTGGTTTTGTAATTCGTGTTCTTCATCATATGATAGAAGATTGACCTGCTTCTGTGGCATAGGAAGCGTCTTAAGACTAGTTGCTGAATATGCACGAGCAGGATGACCGAAATTATTCCGATTAGAGTAACGTTGAAAAGAAGATGGGACGCGTTTTCTCCTTTCTTTTTTCCGAGGATTCTTTATGTAAACTAATTTGATCCGAACGTAAGCTTCTACTTGCTCTGAACGCATTGTAAGTGGCAAGATCATTTCTTGGTGTCCTTCAGTCAAAGCACCATCCAGAGAAATCTCGGCTTCACCTACTACATGGGGGATAGTATGACCACGAAATTGAAGACTAACATTCAAAAAAGAGGAGGAAGTGAGAGTAGTAATGGCAAAGGAAGCTTTGTTGCTAAGTCTATGGTCATTGACTCCCATGTGAGAAAGAGGAACACACTGCATAGCCCCGGATAAGTTCATAAGGCATTGAAACGGTTTACTTTCCATGGAGTGCTTAAAAATTGACTGGTATTGGTTACGATATATCAAGCGTTTCCATTGAGGGCTCCATTCTTCCCAATTTTCAGGTGCCACATAGATATGCAACCTCCCGAGTTCTATTGAACCCATCGGTGATTTTGTTCTTGTGTATTTATCCGCAAAACAGTAAATTGGCTATGTGACAAAGGAAAACAGATAGATCTGAGACATGACTCTACGATTTACCAGCCATCTATTCCGTTTTTGTATGACCAGCAATATGTATGGTTGTTACTTACCCAGGTAACAATATTGCTACTACTGCTAATTATCAAACATTTGGTACATTACTTTGTTTATTTACTTTTTGACATGAGAAGAGAAGTGGCTTTTGCTGGAAGGGTTTGAATACCAAGTTTCTCAACTTTAGCTCACTCGTTTGGATAAGTATTTGGTGCTTGAAACGATCCTGGCTTTCCTCATTGGGAATCATATGTGGGTTTTCTTCCTAAAAAGCATTTATAAACGGAAAGGTATGTGAACTAGGCATAACCAAACCAGATGAACAATTTGTTCGTAGTCTTGCACTTCTGGATTTGAGGAAGAAGGAACCAGTTCAATTCGAAGCCAATTGGTTCGCTGATGGTTTAAATTTACGCAAGCAGGTTGTCTTGATGGTCTTCATTAAGATTATACATCAACTCATCTTCAATGACCGCTTTGTAAAGATATCTTCTATTCGAAAGCAAACACCGTTGTTCTTATACAGTAATTCGGAAAAACAGTTCTTAAGAGTTACTGACTAAAGGGTATTGTTATTAGCGTGTCGGGGTTGTTTAAGCATATCGTTAAGCAGAAAGGAATGGATATTTCGCAAACGCATATGACAAAATTAAGTTAAGACCCTTTGGTATATGTTTGAATTCTAAGAAATGTATATGTGTATATTTCTACATAGTACGACATGTAGAGCAATTATATATGTCAACGAAATTGGCTTTCCCATTTTTACTAATTATTATTTAACGTTTTTATCCAGATGTTGACGATAGTTTACTGTGGTTTCGCTAGTTTCTTTTATATGATCATTTTGTTTTGGTTTTATCTTGAAATGAGTTACTATTATTTTCAACTCTTCATTCATTCAATTAGATGTTATGCATGAAATTGTTTCTTCCGTTCAAATCGTTTGAAAATCCTTCTTTTTATCCTAAAGGAGGAAATTCCTTCATGAAGGTGCTGAGTTTGTTTATTTGAATCAAGTTTTATTAAAGGCTCCAGATTTTACTTTTATTATCTTCAATGGAAAGGTGGTACTTATTGTAATAATTGTTTGAGAATGTATATCTTACTTTTGTCATTCTTTTGTGAATTCTATTGCTTCTAGGGTCTTGACTACGTACTTACTTTCTCTATTAGCTTCTTTTCATAGAAGAGACTCCTAAATATTTTGTTTTATTTGAATTGATTATTTTATTCATTTTATTATTATTATTATTTCTTCTTGTAAAAGAGATTTTATTACTCGTACTATCATTGTTTATTCATACGTATTTTAGCTTCTCTGGTTTCATAAATTTGGTGAATAATACTTTTCCTCGTTTTCCTGTATAACCTATTCAAAATTAATATCTTGCTCTAATGATTTCAATGAACCTCTTACTATTTTCAAGAGCGCGGTATATTGTAGTAATGAATCTTTCGTTCACCATACCCTTCACCTCATACTACATTCGGTCAGTCCACAAACTTCTCTTCGCAACAACTCCTTTCATATTTCTTTTTTGAAAGAGAGAAAGAAAGAAAGAAAGAAACCAAAGTCAGATTTAGGTCTTCCAGTGTTGCTCAAATCGATTCTGTATTCGTGCAGATTTGTCATCGGTTTGAACATACATATAATCAAGCTGAAGATAGTATTCCTGAAAAATTTGCACTTTTGGAGAGGTAGTGGTGGACGTAAGAACGATATGAAGAAGAAAGAGTTGAAAAAGCGAAAGGATGATGTGAAAGTTGCTTTGATAAATTCCGACTTGGACGATTTATCCCAATGCGGTAGAACGGGACATGGGTTTCTTATGAAAAGCTTTCGAAAGCCAGCTTGTATGTTTAAGGATGGAAAAGTCTAACTCTTTGAAGAGATTTAATTGCTAACGTATTGTTTACAGGGACCCTTCTGTGTGGAATTTCTCCGCGGGACAGAATGGAATGCCTCGCGAAATCGGCGGTTCAATCCTCCTACGCAGATCAAGTTCAAGTCCTCTTGGATTCAGAGCGTTCTTTTTTCCAATATAGGCTGAATCCAATTTTACTTCGGAAATATCGTTCACAACTCATCAAATTACTAAGCACTCTATTTAAGCGCTACCCAGAGCTTTGCTACTATCAAGGTCTTCATGATATAGCTCAGATTGTGTTGCTTACGGTCCCTTATTCTCATGCACTTCCATTAATGGAGTACCTAATGTTTCACCGTCTACGAGGTATAATAAAAAAGAAAAAATCTTTCCCTATTCCCAGTATTTATTGCTAATGGTTTTATAGATTTTATGCTTCCGACTCTCGACGCCACGATTAAGCAGCTACACCTCGTTTTGGAGATTATTCGATACCGTGACTTCACACTATACGAGTATTTGAAAAAGGCCGATGTCCAATGCTATTTCGCATTATCTTGGCTCATTACGTGGTTTGCTCATGATATCTCTGACATTTCTGTTGTAGGCAGATTGTTTGACTTTTTTATATCCTCCCATCCATCTGCGGTTGTGTATACCTGTGCTCAGATTGTTATAGACGATCGAAAGAAAATAATAGACCTTTTATTGGACAATAATGGAGCAGATATACTCCATACTTATTTGTGTAAATTACCATCGAAAGTCCATGTTGAACAGCTCATCCAAAATACTTGCGCGACAATGTCTAGTGTCGATATCACTTCCTTGCCGCTGGATAAGCTTAATATATCTCGTTTTAGCTCCCTTCGGAATCAAGGTCAGCCTTGGGAATACTCCCTAGATAAGAACGGTATAGTTGTATTCCGACTACTACGTGCTGATCATCACGACAATGGCATTTTTAAACAGGATTGGAAATTACCATTATTTTTACACGAGAATATATTTACTGGATGTAATATGATAACAGCAATAACAGTTATTGGTGTTGGTATCGTGGCCTCTCAACTAATGCCAAAGTTTTCTGCTAACTAATGAACGAGGTCTCTTCCAATCTCAGTTTCCTAAGATGCGGATTTTTTGTATCCAACTTTTCAATCTTCTTCTTAATTTAATACTCTACTACTTATTTAATTTGGTTCATCTTTTAATCCCGCATTTGATTGATCATAAAATTCTGCCAAATAGCGTCGGTATTTACTTTTGTTTCTTTGCAATGTCTTTTTTTCTGGAAATGGTTCATTCTGGGCGTCTTTTGTTTTTCCTTTTTCATTATCGTTAGTTTTTTACTAATATTCTTTTTTTCGTTCTGGAAATCCATAATGAATAGTTATCCAATTGATATCTAATAATTTTGCATTTAGGATTGTTAATTATATAAATATCTGTGTTCAAATGTTATATGAGAAAGACAAGAGCACGCTTTTAGATTGGTAAACTACTGCTTGGTTCATTATTCAGTTACATTTATCCTCTCACATGAAAGTCAAAATATACAAAGATATTCAATAGACTATTTAGATAGCAGGATATAAGTCATTTCTTCGTAGCAAGGGAATAAACTTTCGTACATGTTGTACGAGGTTTAAATCAACGTCAGCGAAAATGAGGCCATTAGGAGATGCAAGATCACTGTATTGAGCAACAACAGTCCCTAAAAATGTTAGTAAATAAATTAATACCTTCAAAAATACGAGGCTAAGCTGACATACCCCAAGGATCGACGATCTATAGATAACGACTAGGTTAGTAAATTACACATATACAAATATAAAAGTGCGTACCATTGCATGACCATAACTAGCCCTTTTCTCGTTGTGGCTACCACCTTGAGCAGGAGCAAAAATGTAAGATTGAGCATCAAGCGCACGAGCCCTAAGCAAAACTTCCCAATGCGCAGCTCCTGTCTTTTGTGTAAAGGCACTTGGGTATGTTATTATATCTGCACCCAAGTTACGGAGCTTCAAGGCATGCTCTGGAAATCGCAAATCAAAACATATAGCTGATCCGACTTTTCCTAATGAAGTCAGAAAAGGAGGAACGATTGCGTTTCCAGGTACAGTACTATTTGACTCCTTCAAAACAGGACCGTTTGCAATATCAACGTCGAATAAATGAGCTTTGCTGTATCGCTGAACAATTCCCTTGTCGGGCTCGATAAGAAGGGAGCTGTTTAGTAGCTTGTTTTCGATAGGGGAAGGTTCATGGACTCCAATCTATAAGAAAGAAAGTAAGAAAATAATAGATTCAAAAATAAACACGGAATTTACATACCTGTACGCAAATCGAATGCTGTTTGGCTTCAGCGCATATTTGTTTCACAAAAGCTGAACAGTCTGGATGACAACTTAATTCTAAAGCCTCAGAGCTCTATGAATTACTTATGTTAGTGTTTAGAAAATAAATAAAAAATAACTCCTCAGTTAAGTAATTCCAGCGTACATTTTGAGCGATATAGTCAGAAGCTTCAGGGAAGAAAACGCATTTTGCTCCTTTTGATGCAGCCTCTCCAATGAGATCTTTACATATCTTTGCATTTTTTAATATATTAGAAGTAGAAGTGATTTGAGCTACCGCAGCGAGTGACATCTATGGCACGAAGTATATGACAAGTAGTAAAAAGTTGAGATTAATATCTTCAATATGGAAGATCAAAACGAAAAATTATAAATTTATGTGAGTTCTAAAAGTCAAAAACTTGTAGGAAAAAAGAGAAAACGTTGACTAGAATGACAATTGGGACAAGATATAAAACTCCAGCCTTTCTTCTATATCCTGGTGAACTAATAAATCAATAGAGAACACTGAGAATCTAGTAAGTGACTCCTTCAAGTCTACATTTATTGCAAAATAGCGCTAGTCATTATCAACCATTCGTCGTTCTTATAAAACTAATAAACTAGACGTTTAAATACATCTCTTGTTCGTTTATATGTGATCTTCATTTGGTGCTCACTCACAATTCATTATACGAGATATCCTTGCTTTTATACTGAGATCTTGAAGCACTAACCATTGTAAGTTTACAGAAATTAACTAAGACTTTAAGTAATACAACCGAAATTCAATACGAGAGTCTAAACATAAGAATCTTGAGTTTTTTTGCTGACTTTTCAATCGTATACTTATTTGTTTATTAACCTACCGCAACAAAATGCGTTATAATAATACCAACAGTTGGTATTCCTCGTTGGGTAAATTAGGAAATTGGCTGAATTCGAACTGTTGTACAATGGCAAATTTTAACAAGCATCTCTTAAGAACCGCCGAAAAATCCTGCCTTTAGCAAATTTGCCATCTACCAACTTCTTTCCCTATGGCCACGGCAGTTTTCAAGGTAAGATGCAAGAGCTTTTGTTTTTAGATTAGTACTAACATGTGTGCTTAGAACATCTCTCCAATTCCGGACGTGAACACGTTCTTGGACGTCGTTCTTTCTCGTACCCAAAGAAAGACGCCTACGGTCATTCGATCTGGCTTTAAGGTATGTAGAAATGATTCTACTGTAATGTAAAGTATTTTTACATTAAGTAGAGAAAATAATTGGCTTTTATTTTGACTCTAACAAGTCATAGATCTCTCGTATTCGAGGATTCTACGGCAGAAAAGTAAAATTTACTCAGGATACCTGTACCGAAAAACTAGATGCTATTCTTCAAGAGTTCCCTAGACTCGATGACATTCATCCTTTTCACGCAGATTTGCTCAATATTCTCTATGATAGAGATCACTTGAAGATTGCCTTATCGCAGCTTTCAACCGCAAAGCATTTGATTGAAAATGTTGCTCGGGATTACATTCGCCTCTTAAAGTACGGTGATAGTCTCTACCGCTGTAAACAACTTAAGCGTGCTGCTTTAGGTCGTATGGCCACTATCATCAAGCGCCAAAAGTCTTCTTTGGAGTTTTTGGAGCAAGTCCGCCAGCATATGTCTCGTTTACCTTCAATTGACCCTAATACTCGTACCTTGTTGGTATGCGGATATCCTAACGTTGGTAAATCTTCTTTTATGAACAAGATTACTCGCGCCGAAGTCGACGTACAGCCTTATGCCTTTACAACCAAATCTCTTTTTGTTGGTCATTTTGATTACAAATACCTTCGCTGGCAAGTTATCGATACTCCAGGTATTCTTGACCATCCCTTGGAACAGATGAACACCATTGAAATGCAATCCATCACCGCAATGGCTCATCTTCGTTCTGCTGTTTTGTACTTCATGGATCTTTCAGAAATGTGCGGTTACAGCATTGCTGCCCAGGTCAAATTGTATCACAGTATTAAACCTCTCTTTGCCAACAAACTTACTCTTTTGGTGGTCAACAAAGTGGATATTGTGAGACCAGAGGATTTGGATCCTGAAAGCCAAGAGATGATTCAATCCATTTTAGCTGATGGTAACGTTCAAATGGTTCAAACAAGTTGTGTTAGCGATATGGGTGTAATGGACGTTCGCAACAACGCATGTGAAGCTCTTTTAGCAGCTCGTGTTGAACAGAAGCTTAAGGGATCACGTGTTAACAATGTCTTGAACCGTATTCATTTGGCTGAACCATCGGCCCGTGACAACGTTAATCGACCTCCAATGATTCCTGAGGCTGTCAAAAACCGTCGTGCTTATGATCAAAAGGACCCTGCTCGTCGTATTCTTGCTCGTGATATCGAAGCTGCTAATGGTGGTGCTGGTGTCTTCAACGTTAACTTGCGTGACAAGTACTTACTCAGTAACCCTGAATGGAAATACGATCGCATTCCTGAATTATTGGATGGTAAGAATGTTGCCGATTATGTCGACCCTGAAATTGAAGCCAAGCTTGCTGCTATGGACGAAGAAGAAGAACGTTTAGAAAACGAAGGCTATTATAACTCTGATGAAGAAGTTGTTGATGAAGATGAGGAACGTGTTCTTAGCACGGCTGAGAAACTTCGTGAGAAGAACAAACTCATCCGAATGGCCGCTCGTAATAAGAAGATTAAGAACCGTCCCATGTTGCCTCGTGTTGCTGGTGTTCGCACTTTGGATCAATTGGAATCTTCCTTGGAAAATGCTGGTCTTCCTTCTGACGCTATTAGTGAGCGTGCCCGCTCACGCGCTCGCTCGGGAGCTGCCCAAGAATCTGCTCGTATGTCTGGTGCTGATGTAGTAATGCAGGATGGACCCGAAGTGCGCTCCAAATCTGTAGCTCCCCGTTCACAAAGCAACAGACGTGATGCAGGCTTGCATTCTGAAGGAGGCCGTTCTTATGCTGAACGTCTTAATCGTGTCAAACAAGTACAACGCAACCGTATGGCTAGAGCCTCCGAAAGTGATCGTCACGTTACGGCTTCAAAACCCAAGCACTTGTACAGTGGTAAACGTGGAATGGGTAAGACTGATAGAAGGTAAAGTAATGGTTTGGTATGGATTTTTTATTTTTATTTTAATATAGTTTTGGTGCACTTTTCATTCTCTTCATAGTTTGGATAATTTGGTTGGATAAAAATAAACAGGTTTACTTTTTGTTTCATCAGTCAGTTTAGTTAACGCGTTGGTTTCATTTCAATAGAATAGGCATAAACTATATGGTATAAGTGTGTTGTTGATTCTGTTTTATTTCTCCCTAAACTTCAGATATTATCAACCCTAGCTTTCCAGCGCGTAGATTTTCACAGCACTACACTTGGGGACTCTTGTTAAGAAGTTGAAGATTCGGCATGTACTATGGCATAATTGAGTTCAGTATAAACTAAGGATTAGCAACATTTATATCTGAGAAGAAAATAAATAATGTTTGACCCCTGCACAGTAAGAAACAAGCGGTCGACGTTGCAAGATATTGCTCCGAAAGAAAGCAATACTTCTGTTCCTAAAATACCTTTGCCGGCTTCAAGGTTCAAAACAAAGCATATAGATGCTCTTTGTTCGCTTATGCACCTTTGTTTATTGCGGGAAGACTACAATCGAGCATATCGTGCTTTCTCTCTTTTATTGCGATCAAAAGGTGTAGATATGTCAAAAATGTGGAACATCGGTTTGGAGATATTGAACCAAGTTAGACCCGATGACTCGACAGAATATATGGAACGTCTCATAGCTCGTTTTCCTGCGAACCCAAATAAGAATCGTACGCAACGTTCCCTGACAGTATGTATACTCAGTACAAATTGAGAGAAACTAAATTATCAAGTACTAACGAAATTTAACAGTCTGAGCAATTTTTTCCTGCATACATTTTACTATTAATTCAGAGGCAAGAGTACCAAAGGGCGATGAATTCCTTGGATGAATATATGCTTTCTCCACCGTTTAATCAAAATAAAGCTTTATATGAATATTCAGGAATGCTATGTTTTGAACTCGCCAAAAACGAATCTTCAGATGATGAGCGAAACCACTGGCTTCAGAAAGCAAAGCAAAATCTTCATGATGCGGGCGTCTCTTTGAATGAATAAATATTGCTTTTAGTACAAGCAAAGCAAATAACCTGGCTTTCTTTTCTGCTGAAGCTCTGATAGATGTATATTATATAATTTTCCTATATATTCTTTTAACTTTACTCCTATAAACAAGAATTATGGAAAAATGTAATTGAAATGAAAAATAATAATATATTAACCTACACAAGAACCTATTCAAACAACGATGAATATTAGTATAATGCACACTGTACTCTATCAAGAGAATTGTGAATTCATCTTAAATAATTAATAGAATATTTCAAGAAAAGAATGATGGTTATACTTGAAATAATCCAAAACTTAGAAATATCATCACTAATTTATCACCCAAGAGCTACCTGGTTTTAGAAGAATACAATGTATCCAACGAAATCATATCCAAGATCTCCATAATCTTTTCTTTCCTTCTTTTTTGTAATGCAGCTAGTTGATTTTCAAGCTCAATCCTTTGTTTCTCGTATTCAGAGGGATTACTGTCAACTTCCATACGAGACACCGATGGAACTTCAGCGATTGTATGACTTCCGACTAAATCAAGTTCATCATTCTCGCCCCAAATTTGGGAGAAATAGGAGACATACTTATTTAATTGAAGGGCTTGGAAAGTCTCAATTTGATGGGTTGCAGCCTTCACCAACTCGAGTAAACGTATTAAGGTATTTTTCAGCTCCATTCTTTGATTAATGAGATGGTTTGGCTCATTATTGGTAGCCTCATTCCAAAGTCTTTGATTTGTTTCGCTTTCGCGAACGGTTTGTTCTAACACCTCTGTCGCTAAACTAAACGTAGTCTGCTTATCAGAAAGAGAACTTTCATGGTATTTCGTCAATTCTTTGATCCTTGATAAAACGTTTGGTAAGGCATTCTTCATCAGTGAATTTTTTAAAAATGACGGATTTTTATTTGTTAAAGACCGTAAGGCTCCTTCTGCCGTAATATTGTCAAAGAATCCCTTTGAGTTATCCTGTTGCAAAGGAAACTCCATTTCTTCTGACGTTAAAAAATCTGAAGGATACTGCCCTTGGTTATTTGGGATCGTTGCACAAGCATAAAAAGCCATAAGTAATCTTGCACATCTTTTAGCACCATTTCTAGCGCAAATAAGCAAAGCCGTATCTCCACGATCATCCTGCACATTTAGTATTTGGGTTGCAACTTCAACAGATTGAGTTGATGTTAAATTTTGAAGTAATATATCCATGTAGTAGCGGGCTGCTTCCATTTTGGATTTAGAGGAAGCTAAAAGTGCTACATGGTGAAAAACAGTTTGACCAAAATTATCAGTCATACAGAGTGCAGACTGAAGAAGTTCTGATACAAGCTCAAAAGTCTGAAGATCATAGTTCATCGTAAACATAACACACCGCATTAAGGATGTTTGTTGTAAATAATTGACAGACACAACGTTAGCTTCAGCCTGTAAGAGAGCATGCATCATCTCTAGATTCCCCATAGCAGCCGCCCAATGTAATGCGGTATGACCATCTTCATCAATACTAGCATTTACATCCCAATCGGCAGGTCGATCATACACGAAATCTGGAGGTTGAGTATTATTTGAAAGTAAAAAATAATCCAGTAAGGCTTGAGAATAATGCTTTGAGGTAGGAATTACTTCCTTGATACCAAGAGCATCGTTTAGGTCTACCGAGGAGAGTATGGGGTTTTGAGAAACATTTGCTTGAAGGCTTAATGTGTTCGACAAGTCTTGCATTCTAGGAGCCGAGGGTAGTTCTTGTGAGGAATACGGTTCCGAAGAAGGCTGAGAAACGCAGAATTCATTGTTAGAAGCATAGGAGGAGGTTAGTTTATTCGACGGTTTCTGCATGCTTTGAGGCGTATATAAATGGACCGGGTTCATTTGTGGCTCATTATATTCCAATAGAGAACTTATCGCGGTATATACATCGTACTCTTGGGCAAGCTCAACAGCTCTATCCAGAGGAACCCACGTACCTAATTATCATTAGTCGGAAAGAAAAAAACAACTGGCGAATATTGTCCATACCTTGATATTTTCCACAGCCTCCCTGTACCTTTTCATGTAAGCCTTTTTGAGCAAATTTTTCTAAAATTCTTGTCCGTCTGGGCTTGTCTAGTTCAGCGATTTTTAAAATTTGAGTAGCATTCATCCATTGATCATGACATCGTTTCATTAAAAAATTGCCATTGATATTGCATTCGTAAACGTTTACACCCGAATAGATTGTTTTCTTGACATGACTAGCAAACATAGCGATCTTTAAGGCTTGTAAAGCTATATCAACGGGTGAAAAAAGGGGAATATTTTGAGTAAAAACTATAGCCAAAAATAAAGAGCAAAAAGAGAAAAAAAAAAAACAAACGAAGGAAGGAAAACAACAAGGAAAGAAATGAAAACAAAAATGCACTTGGTGCTAATAAACTAAAAGAAAGACGAATGTTCCAAAATGTAGATCACAATATATAACTGTAAGTTCTTCAAAGGCGTTGATGCTGGTACTGGCTATTCGCAGTTAATTTAAGGTGTAAAAACCAAACGTCCTTTCTATCCCAAAGATGTTATTGAATGATCAGCAATCCATATAGATATAGATATGACCAGCTAGAAGATGTATGATGAATACGAAAACTAGAACAATTTTTGGAGTCTTCGGTTCCCTGAATATGCAAAAGGCAGTTTTAACACAAATACTTCAAGATGGAAATCCTGAAAGGGTAAAGTTTTGAGTATGAAGAATGGACTTTCCAAACTCAACTTTTATTTCAAAGCTTTTCTATGACTCTTTCCAACTTTATATCTTTTTAAAGACTATTCAGACTTTACCCCAATGAACGTCTCTTCCTCTTCAGAGGTCCAAAAGTGAAATCCTCAAAATTCTTTTTAAGCAAGGTCCGTAACAATAAATATATCTAAATATGAGCTTCTCAAAATTTTCTCCAAAAACAACTTTCTATTTACGTCCGTGGTAAAAACTTCAAAAAGGATTAGAAGTCTTAACAGCGGTTCCACAGATATTTTCTATGTTTTCTATAAACAATAATATTAAACCGCCAGCTTGAAAGAATCAACTAAGCTTTTTCAACCCCTTTCTTTTTAAGGTAAATTTGTGGTGTTGGGATCCGGAGAAAATAGGATTGTTTAAGGCAAGGGAAAAATGGTTTTGAGTAAAAGCATCAGAAGACACATTGTAACCTGGCTTCATAAGGAATCGTATTTGGAATTCAACATATGTAAATAAAAAAGAAGGGAAACATAGAAAGAATGACTTGTTTGAAAGATTCCTGAAGCTGGTTTTCTTCTACACTAGATTCTGTTTATCATTAGAGTACGAATTACAAGCTCATCATCATGCTGAGAGGTTATTTAAAAAACTATTTCCATTTTGTTATTCTATGTTAACCATTATAGCAAAAATCACTTCTCCAACAAGTCAATTGTGTCTTCGCTTTTTTGTTTCTTAAACACAAAAACATATTAGATAAAATGTAACACGAGAGGAGAGTTTTCTGTGACTACATATTTAAGTAGAGCAAAAACGAATTTTGAAAGTAGTCTAGTAAAAATACAAGCATCCACAAGGTCCATTCGACGTGAATTGATAGCATACTCTTGTTTCAGTATTAAATGCACACAATTGTACTTGTTATTCTTCACCGCGGTTGCCGGTATTAGTCAACAACAATGTTTTTTTTTTTCAAAAATCCAAGAAATAAACAGAAATACAAATGCGCATTCGAGTCAATTTTTGTTTCTCAATCTCCTGCATACGGTTGTTAGTGTCGTTGAACACAGCATCAGCTGTTTCGTTTGCATTCGCTTTTACTTAGCTTGGTATTTTCCTCGATAAGCGTCCATTGCATCAGACTCCTTGATTGATAGTTCAGACTTTGTGAACTCGACAATGTCATCCAAAGTTAAAATGGACGAAATAGGAACCTTGTATTCAACTTTCAACTTTCCAATCGTACTTTCATTAACAGCAGGGTCTACACGTTCCTGTCTATCCAACAAAAGGACAATACCAGCTAACTGGACGTGTTTGGGCTCCAAGAAGGAGATGGCTTCGCGAATAGCAGTGCCAGCCGTAATCACATCATCTAGGAGCAAAACACGCTGTCTTTCCATCTCCGCACCAACAAGATTCCCACCCTCTCCATGGGTTTTAGCCTCCTTTCTGTTATATGCAAAACCGTAGCTCTTGCCGGTCTTCTCGTATAACTTGGCAGCAGTTATTGCGGCCAAAGAGATTCCTTTATAAGCAGGACCAAACAAAACATCAAATTCAATGTTCATAGAAATAATTGTTTCTGCGTAAGAGTTTGCTAGTGCACTCAAATCGGCCCCATGAGTAAAATTTCCGGAATTGAAGAAATAAGGAGATTGACGTCCAGATTTCAATGTAAAAGTGCCAAACTTAAGCACTTGTTTTTCCATAGCACGATGCAAAAGATCAGATTTGTAAGACATCTTCCTTTGATTTCTTTTCCTTGTAAGGTACGTGTGCACTAGTAAGGAGGTGTTGCTACACCAATGTTCTAATACCTTCCGAGAGCATGCGAAATTTAAGTCTAGAAACCATTCAATAGAACATATTTAAAAGACGTAGCTTAAAATATATATTCATATTAATTACTCCAAATCTCTGAAAGTCCATTGTAGCAAAAAAAGTTGTTCTTCGAATTCAACACTCAATCAAAACAAAGTTAGTCATTTAACCAAGTCGGCTGAATTCGATCTATAATACTTAAATAATCACCGACGTGATCAAGGCTTTTTACTTGGGTATCCCCGGTCCAAAATAATCTCCAAGGCGTTTTTGGTGATTTCAAAGAGCCAACGCTCCTTTCAAAGTACCACTTGTTCACAGGGTTATCCAACCTAGACCTCCAAATCAATTCCTTAGGATATAGTTCTACCATCGCGTTGAACAGGACATCGGATATAGCAGCAGAGCCTTGCGCGCTTTTCGATACAGCCAATTTATCAAGATAGGGGATTTTTTCTTTTCCTTTTTGAGCTTTTTCGTATGTAACAACGGCAATACCAGCGTAATCACCAGCAATGATGATTGCAGCAAGGGAATCTTTCAAACGCTGCAAATAGGCTTCCATATCCAAAGTGCGACTAAAAGAATCATTAATCAACATCCAAACCCTTTCCCAGGAAATAGACTCATCAGTAATACAGTCAACTCCCATGTATGTATATACCGCAACACCCCGTCGAAGTAAAGTAGTCTTCGTAACTGGCGACCTATCTCTAGGTAAAGAGCAAGAGAAAATGGATCTTTCTGTTAAAACATTGTGAATCAATGGGTTTCGATCCATTGAAGAATTCGTCAACATTGCTTCAGCTGGGGTAGTAACAATGGCAGAGGCTTCCTTGGATAACACTTTCAGACACCGTTGAGCCAAAAATAAGTTTTTCATGTGGTGCTTCGGTAGTGATTTCCTTAATCCTTCGTATTCTTGAGAAAGATTAATTAACACATGGCTTGATCCTTGCGGACGTTGAGCACAAGGCATACCGCCCACTTTATCTAGAATAATTAGTCGATCGACCGCGCAACCATCTTGTGGCTTGTGTAAACATTTTGCGAGACCATAAATAATTTCATCTCCATCTATGCTAATCTCCTTCAGATTCTGCATAAATACGCTGCTTGGAATAATTGGTGTACAATCAGATGTTAGCGAACGATAGACGGAATCAGTATTTTCTAGGTAGGCGCCATCCGGACCTAATTGGCAAATGGAAGAATATACTGGTTTTGTTAATACTCCAGCCTTGGATAAGATATCAGAAACACGCATAACCCGTTTCTGTTGAGAATAAAGGGAGCTGAGCATGGTCCACTGTGATTGCTCTTTTTCCGGTAGTCTGAATTTGGCAGTGATACCTAAATCAGGTCCAGTAGGAACAATTATAGAATGTATACCAAGGCGGGTAAGTCCATAAATGCTTCTACCAATGCCAAACAAAGTTTCATCGTTGAGCGAGTCTACATCAGCAATTTTTGCAATTGCTACACGCTTCTGTAGGCCATATGATAGTTTATTTTCTATTAATTTAGAAGAGACATTATCAAACCGGACAGGAGCGTACTTTTGCAAAAACCCTTTCGTTGATCTCTTATTTGGGACTGATTTGAGAATCCAAATTAAGTCCTGCAAGAAAGAAGGTTTCTGCATTAGCGATTCTTATTATTTCATATATATTTACAAGTTGAAGAAAGAAACCCCAAAAAAGTATTTAATGAAAGGGAAAGATTTGAAAACTTGTTTGTTCTTAGCACTCCAGTCATATCAAACGTCTACTACACCAAAACATTAAAGAGTTTACATGGTTAAAAAACCAAAACGAATATAAAAAATATTATAGCATTAATCATTCATTTTATATTAAAAAGAAAAAACAGATAAATATTGGCTTTGTATACAAAAGTATATACTAGGAGTAAGAAACCGAAAGTATGGCCTTACCCAGGGAGTTGGAGGCGACGTTTTCGCCTGAAGAGATAGAGTTTTTAGCAGGAAATGAATACATTGATATTGTTCCTTTAGAGACTATGGATCAATTACCTTTAGTAAGCGCAACTATACCCATTATGAAGCCGCCAAGAAAGTGCAGAGTTCCATTATGGCTAGCCTTGGAATTAAAAAGACAACATCGCGCCAGAATAGTGCCTCCAGAGTGGCTTGACCTTTCAAACTTACAAAGCTTACAAGAACAAGAAATGGAAATGGATATGTTTTCTAAAATGCCGTTTCGGTGGTTGGAAACTGCTCATCTACTCTTGAATGCTTGTCCCGATGATATTGAAGACGTGGAGGAAGTTCGAAGGATCCTTTTGACCATCCGAGAAGCGAGACAGAGCAAGGCAAGGGCAGGTTTGGAAGCGGTAAACGAAGTTCAGCTTGCCCTGGATAACTTGGGTGCTATGGAAATCAACGAGATCCGGCCCTTATTCCGAGAAACGATGAATCGTATGCGAAAAATTGTTCAAGTCGCAGAGGAAGAATAAGTGCGATCCGGCATAAAGGGAACATTTGAAAAGTGTACGGACTTTTTGCATTTAGTAAGATAGATGTCATAAAATAAGCAAGATTGCATGAAATGTGAACAGGGACAAGAGACAATGAAATATGATTGTTTGAACCGGTTACGATCCTTGCGTAGACGTCTTTTCCTTGGTCATTCGCAAAGGAGTAGGTGTCTTGGAAGGACTTGATTTCGAGGAATTTTGTCTCCGTTTTGAGTTTGACAATTCTTCAAGCTTGTAGAATTCTTGAATACGACTGCAACGTGAGTTAGAACGATAGATTAAAAAAATATTGATATAAACATACGTTCGCCAAGGAGTGACGGGTGTATTGGAGGATAAAAAGGATTGAAAGTCACGAAGCTTCATATTCCGCTGAGCACGAGGGATAGAAGCTACACGCATTTCTCCTCTCATGCGGATGGTAGATGCCAGCAAACCTGCATTAGATCGCAATCGTCGAATTTTATCAGATACTAGATAGAAAATGAGTTAGTACTATGGTTTTTGAAATGAAGAAAACAAATGACAGAAAATGGTCAACACCCTGTCCTAGAATAAATCATAAAAGTGACAAGTTTTATCGTTGGACAATTCGGGAGGCTTAACTTTCAAAAATAAAACAACAAAAATAAAAAAAATAAAAAAATTCATTCATACATACATTCAAATGCAAGATTTTCAAGGATATCCGTCTTGCGTTCTTGCAAAATACGTTGTCGAACCTGACGGTGCTTGGATTCGCCAATTTCTTCGATCCTTTTTCGTTTATTCATGAAGCTACTTGAACAAATCAATCGATAAAGGAAGCTCTAGATAAGCTTTCCTTTAAATCTCAATCAAAAATCAGGTACGCGCGGTGGTTGTGTTTGAAAAGCAACATAAACAATTCTTTTTACCCAGGTGACATGTTCCTTGGTCGTGTAAACAAACGAAAGTATGTATTGGAACACCCATTCGTAAAGAAAGGATATATAACAGGAATAGGAAAAGAAGAGAAATGAAATAAAAAAAGATAAAAAGAGGATGCTAAAATTAATTCGAGAGATGGATACAATACGAGTTTGAAGCATTATAAAGGTCTTTCTAGGTATATTGGATTTCCCAAGATTGCCAAAACTCGATGGGAATAACAAAACAAGCAAACGAAAAAAAAAAAAAAAAAAAAAAAAAAGATATGCATAATTCTCTTCTTAGAATAGAATCCCGGTAATTCTAGACGAATTTTTTAGACCTAAACGTTTTAACTTCAATAGGAGCTTGGGTTGCGAATTTCAAATTTTTCCTTCTTTCATACAATCATTGAACCTTTTATAAAGCAAAGTGTTCCTCCTATATTAGTCTCTCCGCTGAAGTAAAGTATCCTAGTAAATTCTTTCAAGACGACTCTCAGTGTTTTTACCCTTCTATTGTTATCATATGTAAGTAAAGAATGTAAACAAAAAAAAACGGAGGCTCCTTTTCTTTTCGTACATTTCGTTATCCATGTACAAGGAACGACAAAAGTTTCGTAAAACCAAATAACACTTTCTACAGCATTTCTTTATTTAAAGTATCCATTGGTAGGCAATACGGCTACACAACCAACCAACTGTACAGCTGTTAGGCTCTACTTAGTCTAAACAGCCAACCATAACCGACGACGAAGACCTTACTATTGACTTCGAAACGATTGCCATCCATTGCAAACACTCGTTTTGTTAACCCAATGAATCCATACGAGCCCGTAGAGGGATTGTATGTGAATGCTAAACAATACCATCGTATTCTGAAAAGGAGAGAAGCCCGCGCTCGTCTGGAAGAACGTTTACGTGGATTGCAAACAACGAAGAAGCCATACCTACATGAGTCAAGACACAAGCATGCAATGAGACGTCCCCGTGGCCCGGGTGGACGATTCTTGACTGCGGAAAAAGTTTCGCAGCTAAAGGCTCAAGAAGCGTTGGAAGCAGGGAAATTGGAAAACCCTGGCAGTTCAGAAAACCATAGTCTAATAGACACACTGGACTCTACCCCCGCAGGTGCTCCGAGCAACGAATATATAACCACGAATGAGACTGGCGATGACAGTCCTTCTTCTACTCTTTCCTCGCAAGTCCCCGCCAATGCCGCTGGCGGCTCGGCAGGGTTGGATTTAACAAGTGCTAAGGAAGAAGCTTCCCAGAATCCTTCGATTTTCGGCGCTTCAACTTCGAATTCGAATCTTCATTCCGTTTCTGCTAGTCCAAATGCAAATGCAAATGCCCATACGCATACTCATTCTGGTGCCGTAAATGCGAGTCGAAATGGCGCTGGCTCTTCTACTAGTCTTCCCGCGCATGCATCAAGTGGCCCTACCGGTGTGGGGAATTCTGTTAATCCTCAGATCCATACTTCTTCTGCTACAATCAACAAACAGCATCATCGACAACCCGACCCTTCGTCAAATGCCTCTACTTTGCCTGGCAATGAAAATCTACAACTTCGAAATGGTAATCCATCCGCCGTTCCCGATTCTCTTTCCGTAAGAGGTCCCAGTGTAGAACTTGGTTTGTCGAACCCAATGGTCTTACAATTGGATCCTTCAACTCTTCTGCATGCACCTCCTTCCAACCAAAACTCACCTCGTGCTTCCTTCTTCCCTTCCTCAACTACTGGTGAAGGCCGACCCTCACCTTCTGTCGCTAATCATCACCATTCTACCGTCAGCAATCCTAATTACGGAAATCTACCCAATACTACTCATCCCAACGATGTCTTTCACAAGAACGCTACGCAAACCTACCACACTACTCCTAGTTCCGAATTGGCTGGACCTAATGGTGATTCATTTGCAGATTTAGATGTATACCAAACAAATGATCCTGTAACAAATAGTCTTATTCAATCTCATAATCCCATGGGTCCAATTGGAGATTTAGGTGACCCAAACGCCACTCATAGCTCTGGGATTCCAAACTTAAGCAGTCATCATATGGGCCATCTTAATTTAACAGACAATGACCAAGATTCTATAATAATTGATCAGCAAACGTACGCTCCCCATGATTCCACTAATGCTCATCCCTGATATGCTTGACGGTCACTGATTTTTTGGCATATATCTTTCGTTGTTTTGACTTTTCGTTTATAAACTATTGAAAAATACCCCCACTTTCTTAGATTTTAGCAAAAAACGTTTTCATAATCGCATTGTATTCAGAACGACAGAAAAAAAGCAAGAAAGCTTTATAAAGAGTTGCATGTCGACAAAGCTAGTAAATGATACCGGTAAACGATTATTTGAACCAACTCGTCGCATCATCAGTGAATGAGCATGGCGGTTTACTTTTGTTTTATTCTAAAATCTTTTTATTAGACTTTAGCACTTACCAAATAGCCAGCATATCCTAACCAAGCCAAATAGGGAACAAGTAGCTTCGATGCTGTAGGAGCGATGGGCCACCATGTTTTGATCAGCCAGCCTACCACACCTGTCAATGCACCAATATTGACAAGGGCAAGCTTTGGCTTACGGCACCAGAATAGCGGCATCCATGAGACATTAAGTGCCATTTGCGCTAGATACAAAGCCGCTCCTTTGCGACCAGCATTGGTAATTAGCAAAGGATCTGCGCGGTAAGCCAAATGTGAGGCATAACCCATAGCAAAGTACAGAGCTGTCCAAACGGGTCCAAAGATGTAAGCAGGTGGGTGGAACTTTGGCTTCTTGCTTTTATTATAAATGTCAATTTTGCTTCTATTGACACTTGCCGTTAACCAACCGAATGCAGTTGGCACAAGACCGGAGGTCCACCAGGTTTGCGAAATGCTGGTAAATATTTTGTAATTTAAATCCATGATCGTATGCTTGTTCAAACTAATTCTTTGGTTAATCCACTTCTGGTGATCTTACCATCTCCGCGGAAAGATATTCCAAATGCAATTGCACTACTACATACCAATGAATCCGTTACTGAATGTCGTTACAAAGGAATTGAAATATTGAGGTTTGTAGAAGGTATCTTTCCCACTGCCTGAAGTATGTAATCTTAAATAACAATTCAGCTAAAGTTTCACAATTGCGTCATATACTAACAATGATTCCAAGCAAACATGACAAGTCGAAAATATAAAGAGGAATTCTAGCATACTATGGATATAATAATGGATTGTATTTATTAAATGACTGCTGATTGATCGTTTGCCAGACGTTTGGGAGCGTGTTAGTAGCTTTACTTTGTCTTGCTCCTAATCAACTTCTCATAGGATCATATTGACAGACATGCACCTAAGGAATATAAACAAACTGGAGAAAGGTACAGAGACTATAGTTAACAAAGATTCTCTGAAAAATAATAAAAGTACAACAGATGAAGTTTTTTGCTGTTTCGGGATCCTGATGATAATTTTGTATACGAATCCGGCTCCTTTGTTTGTTTACTATCGAAGTTTAAGGAAATTTCGTTAAAGTAGATATCGTAGGGAAAGCTACATGTAGAATAAAGATTAGGTGACATTGCGAGTAGCGACAGATTATCAAATGGAACCGGTGATTTCAATGCTTCCACTTCCACATTGCAGGATGAGTTGGCATGGATTCAAAAAAGCGGTCAACCGGGCTGGTACCTCGGTAGGTAACTGTTGAAATAAAAATGTCTAACGATTTTTTCCTAGGTGATGATGAAAACCGGTCATGTTGAGCGCACCGTTGACCGTGAATTTGAGACAGAAGAACGACGCTATCGCACTATGGAAGCTGCTGCTAAAAAGCTACAAAAAGAAGCTAAAGGATATTTAGATGCACTTCGGGCCATGACAGCTTCCCAAACGAGAATTGCTAACACAATTGACGCATTTTATGGAGATGCCGGTTCCAAGGACGGTGTAAGTGCTTATTATCGACAGGTAGTAGAAGATTTGGATGCAGATACTGTTAAGGAGCTTGATGGTCCTTTCCGTACAACTGTCTTGGAGCCTATTTCACGATTCTGTAGTTACTTCCCTGACATCAACGCCGCTATCACCAAGCGAAATCATAAATTGCTCGACCATGATGCTATGCGTGCTAAAGTCCAAAAGCTCGTTGATAAGCCTTCAAGTGATTCCTCAAAGCTTCCACGAACCGAAAAAGATGCGGCTAATGCGAAGGACATTTACGAAACCCTTAATAATCAACTCATTACCGAACTACCGCAATTGATCAGTCTTCGTGTTCCTTATCTTGACCCAAGCTTTGAAGCTTTGGTTAAAATCCAGCTGCGCTTTTGTCGTGAAGGCTATGAAAAAATGGCTCAAGTTCAACAATACTTTGACAGTTCCGTCCGTGAAGACTACTCTAATGGAATGCTTGATGACAAAGTGGAACAGGTTCTACAGAGCATGCGTGATCTTTCTATTAGCGGTCTAAGCAATAATTAGTGTTTCTATCACCTTTTCCATAACCCTTTGTCTTTTTTTTTGGTTCCATATCCTTGTACGTCTTCGCATATGCTTGCAGTCTTCAAAAACCTGTTATGATTTGAAATCTACCTTGATTTCCCAAACTTGTTTTCGAATATTTATATGAGCAGGATAATTTCCATCATTAAAGAATGCACTCAATTTATGTCTTTATGACGCTCCTTTTTGGTGATAAAAAATTGAATTTTTCAATTTTTTATTTATTTATCACATAAATTTTTTCGCGAGTGCTTCTGATGACCTATGTTTCCTTCTTTTTTTTTTTTTTTAATCCTCAGATGTATAGAGACATTGCTTGGCTTTTTTTCCAATGCGCAATTGAGTCTATGATTTGGTATTTACGTTTTAACGCTAAAGGCTTGCATAATCAATTACTACTGTATTAATAGTTCAATATATAATTTTTTTTTTTTTTTTTTTTTATTTATTGAAGCTAGAATATGTAGTTCTTTTTTCTTCACATTATTATACTATTAGAAATGCCTATAAACAAAATTGCATTACTGCTTTTATTTTACCCTAGCATGTCAATGTACATAGACTTACTGAGGCATTTCATAGGTGTCCTTCCCCTTCCTCAATTAAATTTACTCAGTAGTCCAATTCAGGAATCTTTTGTGTAGGAGCATCCAAATCTCGGTAGTCTTTATGATGGTCACGACGTTCCGAATATGTATCTTGGCGATAGTAAGGCTTTTGAAACGAGTTATGTTGTAAATCCTCAAACTCAAGTCCATTTCTTTTCCGGTCATAAGAATTACCAGCATACGACATAGAATGATTTTTGTTTGCAAGGTACTGAGCAGCGTGAGAGGGACTTACTACCTTGGGGTCCATAACCCTTCCTGGATCCAAGACATAATTCCGCAAACAGATAGCTACCTTCTTCACGTGATCTAACCAATCTGGATGCTTTTTGGTGATGTGCTTAATAACAAATTTGGGGCCCAAAAATAGTTTAGTACAGGTTCCTACATGGCAACGATACTTCTGTTCGTCCTCTCTCAGGATTACCGAATCAATCTCCGAATCAACGTAGTTATCGACTGGTAGTGCACCTTTAGATTTTAAGTCGACAGATTCCGGATCAAGCAGACATGCGTAATCATTCTCCAAATTCGAAAGCCAGACTGTTTCTTCCTGGGAGACTTCGTTATTACCATCATAAGACTTCCTTGAATATCCAGCAGGATTATCTTGCAATAATGCGATCAAACTTGAGTAATTTCTGCATGTCCAAAAATCGAATGTAGCCACATGACGAAGATACTCGACAAGTAAATCACATAGTTGAACATCGTGAAGACGTTCTTTTTCTACTTCATCTTCAGTTTCCACGGGAACAGAGAAGACTTTGTCTTGTAGTTTTTCAGATATGTCTTGCGGTAAATTGTACATGACAACAAATCGATTCATTATTTTAAACAGGATATTCAAAATTTTTTTACTAGTATCGTTAGAAGAAACGATGGAAGGAAGAGAAGCTGGAACACAGTTTCTTGGGAATTTTGGATTTTCGGTTTCAATAGTGTAATTCGAGGCTAATTGAACACCATTCAGGATTTCTTTGGCCCCTTCAATTGCGACGTCAGGCTTCAAATGAACCCAGACTGATCGTTCGTAATCCTTTGTAAATTTCATTCGTGAAACAGAGAAATAGTCAATAATGTCGATCCCGTCGAACACTTGATGCATATTAGTCATCGAAATGTTTGGCAACACGTGTCGGATTAGCAATGTCCTATCCTTTGCTAATTCCTTAGAGTCTAGTATGTATTTGAAGTACGGAACGGCATTTATAATTGATTCCATGTCTGGATTAATTTCGTTACTCATGTTTTTCACCTCAACAGGTATGTCTTGGTCATTTGGCAGTTTGAAAGTATCATAATATCCATTTTCAAACTTTTCTAAAAATATGTTATGCATAGAAAGTCTGTATAATTTTTCCTTTTCCGAAATTTCACGCAATCGACCTTGAGATTCGTCAAACCAATAAGCGTCTTCAAACCATGCTTCATTACAGTGATCCAAAACGAAATTTTTAGCATTTCTCGCATACAAATCCTGTTTGTAACTATTGTAAGTAGCATGTAAAGACTTGTACAAATCCTCAGTTGTAGAAGAGATCGAATTCTCTTGACTGTACCAACGTATAAACCGTTCGTAGGATATAACAGCTTCTTGACTATAAGGATCGCCAATACTATAGGTTGTTAATTTAAGAACTTTTACAAAAGATTGAATCACCACGTACCTTCTCGAGGATGAATAATGCCCTGAAACTAAATTTGTATAGTTAGTCTCTAATCAAAAAAGAGAGCTCGATTTCATACCACGAGGTCTTTTATCGTAATGCTCGTCTCTATACGGATCTCTTCCGTTTATGGGCGACCTCTCTCTGAAGGACCCAGTACCATTGTCATACGGAGGGCTCTGTGATCGTCTTCTTATTTTATCTGCAAATATTATTTGTAAGTCTCAAGAATTGAGTCTTCATCATTTAGCGAACCTCTTTTCCATCGACTAGCCTCTCGATTATCTCCTTGTTCAATATCGCTCATCCTCACTTTGATGATAGTTTTAAGGGAAAAACTTTCTCTATTTTATAATAAAATACAAAAAAACACGCGCTTCAGCAATGTTCAGGTTTCTAGTAGAAGTAGACCTGTTGTCAAATAATTTGTTCAGTAAGGGTGATTACTATTATGCCTTCAGTACAGATAATGTAAGATGCGCTCATAGACTATAAAATTGCTGTAGTAAGAAATAAATATATTAACTAATAATGTTTGAATGTATTTTTTTGTTATTTCTTTTTTCTTATGAAAAAACCAATACGACCATGTCCAAACGAGTAATTTCTTATAGAAGCCAAAACGTTATTTATTCTTCATAATATTCATCCTCTCCTGTATAGGATTCTATTTTATTTCTTAATGAACTCGTACTTGATCCTGGTTTTGCTAATGAGGCCAAGCTCATGCTTTGGTACCCCACAAGTAATACCTTCCGAAGCATGTCCCAGAGCTCTGTGCAAGATTCACAATGAGTTAGAATTCCATGTTTATCCTGAACGATATTAATGGCATTTAGGATATGCTCAGCTGCTTCTTCGTAACAGCTCATATTGATGCATGCTATCGAAAGGTTAGATCGCGTGCGAACATACTGAGGCTGTAGTTCCAATGAACGCTTGTAAGCTTTTAATGCCCTTCCTTCTTGTTTTGAATTTGTTAGCGAAGCTCCCAACTTGTTCCATAAAACACAGTTTTTAGGATCGCTTTGGGTCGCTTTCTGAAAACAGTCAGCCGCTTTCGAGAAATCATCTAGAAGATACATAGTAATTCCCAACCCGGTCTGAGCTTTGTCATCAGCTTTCTTGGATGTTGATAATAAATATATCAAGTCAAGAAAGCAAGCTTGTACAGCTTTTGTACTATCGGGAACATTCAATTTTTCAAACTTGCTCTCTATACTGGAAAAACGGCTAGAATATTCAGGGTGAGATGCATAAAGCCAGTCGCGTAAACATGCTAAAGCACTTTGCCGTGACCCCTGGTTCACATAGGCTACTGCCAAATCCATTTCGGTATTGATGTGATCAGAACTCAAACTTTTTGTTTCTAATAGAGCTTCCACAACCCGCATTTCGTTACCTAGCAATGTATGAACGTAAGCAAGCGACTGCCAACTTTCTAAATGCGAAGGATTCTGCAAGACAGACTTCTCTAGTAAAACGGCGGCTTCGCAAATCGGGCCGTTACTTTCTAATATTTTTTGAGCCTTCTCGTAAGCATTTTCTATCAAGGGTAGTGAATTCAGTTTTTTTAAATCGATTGTATCAACCTGTTCATCAATTGATGTATCTTCTTTGGTCTCATCATTTTCTTTGTTCAAATTTGCAGTATCCAATGCCCGTGTATTTTCAGGTGCAGAGTACGCATATTGGTTTGACGCATTTTCATTAGTTATGAAACTATTCGGCTGTCTGTTTTTCTCAATTAAATAAGGAAAATTTATCTTTGCTTCTTCATAGAATTCCTCCCAACGCGTTTGATACTCTTCAAGTGACTTTGGATCAAAGCCATTTGTTCGTAGATTAGTCAACCTTTCTCTCCAAAGGTGTTCCAAGGTCAATGGAGCTTGTGCTTGAGTATTTAGCTTAAAGTTGTCATTATCCGAAATACTTGATTGCAAGGAAGCGTTATTAAACTGTTCCATAAGCTCATCTTCATCAACTTGAGTAGTTTCCATAGTTGAGCGAGTCGAGGACGCAGCCAAAGGAAAATGATGCGGTGTGAAAGGAATGGGCGCAGTATTAATTAATTCATTTTTTGAATTTAAGGTATTACTATTATTTCGGGATGATAACTGGTGTTTCAATTCAAAATGCCATTGTGGTATGGATTTTTGACTTTGTTGGTTATAGGCTGAAAACTCTTCAGACCAGGAAGAACTTTGAATTAAGGGAGAGTTTCTTGCGGTAAAATTAAGTTGAGAATCCCGTTGGTCTTGACTAATTGACTGACTGAAGTCTTTCCAATGTTGAAATGCAGAGGATTCAGAAGATGCAAGATTAGATGTCGGAACGTTAGATGACTGAAGTGAGCTGCTTACAGCCTTGGGACGATAATTGATTGATTTCAAAGCCCCGTTGTGTATGGACGAGTTCAGTTTTCGAACCGGATTAGACGTTGCGGAACATCCAGGTTGAGAGGAAAACGACATACTCGTAAAGAATTATAAATATCAAAAATTATGTTAAGTTTAAATAACCTTAGCCAAAAAGATGTTTTCGTAAGAAAAAGAAAGGTTTACAAAATTGACCAGAAAGGGATTCGTAAATGGATGCTTCACCAGGTTATTCAGTTATGATAATAAAGTAGAATAATGCAACAATTAAAGAATTTCTTTTCGATACAAGTTGAAATCAGTAATCATACAAGTTGTTGGTATGCCACACAATACCGAGTCTTTTGGGAACTTGCCCTTTCAAAAATCAAATGAAAAATGGATCTAAAAAATTATTTTTCACAATGTTGGAACTAACAATTTTCCATTTTTTTTTTACTAAACCTTTTTGTTCGCTGGTAGTGTGTTGGAGATATAGAAAATTTGGTACTTCAGTCGCCAGTAATACGGAACCAGAAAAGTCAACTTAAAAAGGGTAAAGAATGTAGAAATTCTAGTAATTGATACCTTTTATGTTTCTAGAAATAAAGGATTATTACCATTAGAACGTGAGCTAAAGGTTTCTATAATTCTATACATTCTGGGATACTCTTTCTTCTAGCTATGTTTGTTATATTCTTAGATCAAGACCCATGGCAAATTGAATTTCGTAGACGAGCGATGACTTTTCTCTAGAAAATCAAAAGATAATTAAATAACAATCAAAGATAGGAAAGTAAAACTGTTTAGAAGCTGTGCTTGTAATATCAAAATATTTGATGCCGTAAGTATTAAACAAATATTATCTCAAGTACTCGCTTGAGAAGAACCCAATAGCTCATGAAATCACTAAAATTAATGGCAATAAGTAGTGAGGTTATGCAAACTGGTTGAGTCATAATACTAAGAATGAGAAAAGATTGAAAGCATTAGTAGATGATCAAGAATCAAAGACGATCCTGGAACCTCAATTTCGATACCAATTGAACTAGTTTATAGCACACCAGGGATTTGTTCGTGAACTTGGATTGAATAATCGGTGTTTTAAAACATTTGAACAACTTACCCGTTTCATTATAAATTGATATTCCACAAGACTTTACCATAAGTGGGAACGAAAGAATTGATTAAGTTGATAGAATGTCTTGCTGTTCCTTCGGATAAGAGAGGGCTTCAGTATTTATTCCTTGCCATATTTTCAGAAATCATATTTTCGTTTCAAGTAGGTATCCATGACCGTTCCAGAGGAAATCAGAAAAATCCTACTTCATGAATTATTACTCAAAATCGAAATTAATTCGGAAGGTGAAGTACGATATGCCAACTCTGCTTTTTACAGATTTATAGGAAGAAAAGTAAGCGATCCCTTGCAACAATTACCTTGCAATTTTTATGACTGCATCACGAAAACAAGTGTTCCAAGAGTCCGACGTGCAACACAAATGCTTTTTAATGGATCTTCAAAGATCACGCACTTTCAAACTTCGCTTCTATGCAATACTAGTATGGTCCCAACTATGTTTATGAATAGCAAAGATTATGAAGCATCATCGGACGAAGGAAAAATCGGAGTGAAGCTTGCTTTCCGAGGGATCCTTGTGGATTCTTTGGAAGGTAAAGAATCTCGAATCTTATGGTCTGCTAAATGTTTATATCCAGAACGTTATCATATAACTCATATGGACTTTGTGTTATTCAACACCCTTGGCATCGGCTCTTTTGTTTTGCAGAATTACATAGAAAGAGCCTATAAAGTTACATATATGCATTCTCCTCCTCCTGTTTCTTACTTATGCTATTTTTGTGAAAAAAAAATTCCCGATTGGTACTATGAAGTACATACCGACTCTTGTTTGGTATGGAGTGAGCTGGTTCAGGTTGTATTGGATATACGAAAACAAATCCACATAAAAAAGGCAGAGTTACACAAGTACAGTCAGTTGCTTCCACATACCACTAGTGCATTTAGTGAGGAGACGTACTTAACATTGCCAATTATTTCAATTCTGCAGCCAAAGTCTGGTAAATATAAACGATTTCGTTTGAGATCTTGGCGTGCCTGTGTTAAATTTTTAGATCGACAACTGACTCAAGCTGAAAAAACGTTTGAAGAACTGGGGAAAAACACCTTTTTGGTCGTCTCCGAAGAGTTGGCTATCGAAATGAAAGAGAAAGTTCTGAAAAAGACTATTTTACTTTGGAAATTTGATTTTTTATCTCCATGTAGAATTCAAAACTTTTTTCACGAAGTGCATTCTTTGCTTATTCTGAGCCTTAAATATAATCTTAAGCTTTGCAATCATAATATGATTTACGGAATGACATTTCAAGAAGTTAAGCATTTCCTGCTTAGGTACTTGAGGAATTATTTATGCTTGAATTTGAACAATATTGATCACGAAGTATTTTCGGGCGACACGCAGCTCCTTACGATGATCAATTATTCGAATCCACGAAGCTTTAAAGACACAAGTATTTTAAACGTCGACTTGATTTTACCAGAAGCAAGGGGGATACCTGACCTACTTCCTCAATCCAATTCGAAAACAAACCTGGTTCGTGCCGGTTTAGGAAAAAAAGGAGAAGACTACCGTTCCGTTGATGACTGTGACCAATTGAAAGGGATTATCCTGGAAAACCTCAATAAAAAGCTAATAACCAAACCAAGGAAAAAATCTTTCGACGATCAGGGGACGCAGTCAATTCATAATTACCAGGAGCTCGTTGAACAGCTTTATTTTCCCATTATAGAAAATACGACTTCTACATTACATCTTCCTCAATTTAAGGATTTAAAGTTCGGAGACAAAACACCAAGGTCACTAAAAGAATTCACTTTTGTACGAGAAATCAATAGAGGCGCCTCTAGCAGGGTTTACTTGGTAAAAAAAATATCCACTGGAAATTACTATGCGCTGAAAGCTATTCCAAAGTTAGGTTTAAAGGATCCTGACAAGTTGAAAGCGCTCATGTATGAAAAAGCTAATATGGAAATCCAGAAGTACGGATCAAATGTTGTTAAGATATACTACGCATTTGAGTCTGAGGGATTTTTTTGCTTAGTTATGGATTTCTTCAATGGCGGTGATTGTCAAACCTTGGTTGAAAAGCTTGGTCCGCTACCAGAACAATGGGTTCAAACATATATAGCAGAACTATTGGAAGCTGTCGAAATTCTTCATAAAATGAGCATTATTCATCGTGACATTAAGCCGGCGAATATGCTCATAGACCATAATGGACATATTCGTTTGGCAGATCTTGGTCTGAGCGATAACAAAGACGAGAGTTCCGACAAATATTATCATGAAAAGATAAATCAGCTAAAGGAGGTATCTCATGAAGGAGCGAGAAAGCAACTGGTTAATGGCCTTAAGGATAAAGCTAAAAAAGAAATGAATCCAACAAATAGGAAGACCACTGAGGAAGAATTCGATCCTTTTGAACGTCTGATAGATGTCGACACTAGTAATTTGAACAAAGCTATGTCGCAGGTTTTTCGTGCACGTTTGAAAGTCACCTACCCAGGAGAACTGAAGAGTGGGAAAAGCATTACTGGTACTCCCAATTATATGGCACCTGAAGTTCTCTCAGGAACCGAAAGCCCTATGAATGATATATGGGCCATAGGATGTGTATTATTTGAGATGTTGACCGGGATAATACCATTTCAGTCAGATACTATCCGAGGTGTTTGGGACCGCATCCAACGAAACGACGTCGGATGGGAAAAAGACAGTGATGAGCAACATTCATTAGAAGCCATAGACCTTGCCAAAAAGTTACTGGAAGCGAATCCGGACAAGAGGTTAGGTATAAATGGATTCTCAGAAATAAAGCGCCATCCATTTTTTAACGGAATAGACTGGGACCACTTATATGATGAAAAGGGACCCTTTGTGCCAAAAACAGATAATATTGAAGATTTAATTTACTTTGAGCGAAGTAAGTCGATATCGTACATTAAGGACCGAATGACAACGAAAAGCCATTATCAAACTTCACTGAATCCAAGTGATCTAAGGCGAAAAAATCATATACTGCGCGATTCCTGTACAGGCGTAGATGATAGTTAAAATTCATTTGACGATATAGTGGAGCTGGCTATTCAAGCTTCTACAGGAATGAATTTAAAAGCCCTTAATTTTTCCAATAAAAACATACTCTGGGAAATCTCCGACCAACTTCAGTTCCCCCAAATTTCCTCCATATCAATCTCCCAGTCTCGTCCCAAAAGTCCAATTAATAAACCTTCCCTGCATTACCAGTTTTTTCATCCAGACTGAGGATTCGATATACCACGTGTGAAAAATATGAGAAGGGTGAGTTCCCTTCATTCTGTATAGTTCTATAGAAAAAGGTCTTAAAAAATAATTAAATTGGCTTCTTTCACATCATTATGAACCTCCACTTTCTTACAGGCGTATCAAACATGTGTAACAAACATAGAAATTATTTGATGACTTTGCTATGTATATGGCAGATGGTTGATAAGATCTGTAAAAATCGAATAAACTAAATGAACAAATTCTTTAAACTATTAAACGAGACTTTATTTAGAGCATATAATTTATAGCGACTAATTCAGGTGCTTGGGGAATCCAGATATGCTAAAGTAAACAACAGAAACTAATCTACAAAGTGCCAAACACCCGGGCCATAACAGATTTCGAGAATGTCAGACGGGTTATTCAGTAAGAAAAAAGAAAATTCATTTGAAAATTCAGTAGTATATAAAGAACCAACGTCCCGATCTTTGTTGAGACGCTATATGTTGGCTGTTGCAGTGTCCTGTCTCGTTGCAATTGGCGTCTTGAAGGCGGTTATATCATCTCGTTCGAATGATATCGTATATCCGGACAAAGGTTTGATCCTTAGTAATGGTACGAACTCATTCCTTCCTACGGTTATCATGATTTCTTTGGATGGATTTCGAGCAGACTATATATATCGAGGTCATACACCCAATTTACTTCGACTGGCTGAAAACAATGCTCATGCACCATATATGATACCTGTCTTTCCCAGCATAACTTTTCCGAATCACTACTCTCTAGCTACTGGACTTTACCCCGAAAACCATGGTATGGTCAGTAACAACTTTTATGATCCTATCACTGGAAAGTATTTCGTAAACACTCGTCCTGAATGCAATCGGGATCCCGTTTGGTGGACACAAGCAGAACCAATTTGGATTAATGCTGAACGGCATTCAGTTCGCTCAGCTGTTCATATGTGGCCAGGAAACGAAGTTCCTCATCATGGAATACGTCCCTCTTATTACACGTCTTTCAATGCTAGTGCAACCCTGAAAGCAAAAAAAAATGAACTTCTTCATTGGCTTGATCACACAGATGATACACGACCGCAATTGCTTATGTGTTACGTGCCTCACGTCGATTCAGTTGGACATACTTTCGGACCGGATTCACCACAGCTAAATCTGATGCTAAAGGAAGTTGACCAGATGGTTGGTGATTTGCTTGAAGGTCTCAATAAAAGAAACTTGCAAGACGTTGTTAACCTTATATTCGTGAGTGATCATGGGATGGCCCCTACATCAAATGATCGCTTGCTTTGGTTAGATGATCTTTTCAACGTTTCAAAAGTTGAATTCAGAGATGGCTGGCCTTTAGCTGGTTTTCGAGGCGAGTCGGAATCCGACGAAACCTATATTGCTGATAGTTTGAAAAATGCAACTTCCAAAGCGTTGCCGGGAACTAAACACTGGAAATCATCAAGGAAAGAAGAAATGCCGGATAGCTTACATTATTCAAAGAATAATAGAATTGCTCCTGTCTGGATGGTGCCCGATCCTGGTTGGTCAATCGTCTCCTCTTTAGACCATTCTCCTGATGTTGAGTATGAGCCATATGGAGTTCATGGCTACGACAATAATTCCCCCTTAATGAGAGCTATATTCACCGCATTTGGTCCAGCCTTTAAGCCTTTCAAATCAAAACAATTAATGCCTTTCCGTAATGTTGAAGTTTACGACATTATTTCTTATATATTAAACTTACCCGCAAACTCTACTAATAGTTCATTTCACGGTGCCATACCCACCAAGAAATCCTCTAATTCTACGAAAGAATGGTTACTTCACGACATCCGACAAGCTTACGATGAGCTCAAAGTTCACTAATTAAACGAACAAATAATTATAATGGTTTCATTTTCTTTAAACGACTAAGGTTCTTTAATATTCTCTGTCAGAAATACATGATCATAATTTCGCATTTAATTTTTCGTCGTCCATCCATGCGAAGCTCTATAGCAAAGTTAGTACCGGTTCATTCACTTTAGGTCAATCATACCAATATTTTATCCATCTCTGGATCTACCATAACATTAATCAAGCACGTAGTCTTCCGTTCCCAAGAACTTTGAATAGCACTTTTCAACTCATGAGCATTCGTAACAAAGTAGCCTGCTCCACCGCATGCTTCACAAATTAGATCATATCGTACTGCTGGAGAAAGCGCTGTCGTTGGAAGCTTATGGTGACTTTTAAGTTTCTTAAAATTTGATTCATCCAAACCGTGATATACACCATTATTGTTAATTACAATAATTAAAATATCCAGGTTGCTTCGGACTGCAGTTTCTAGTTCCATTGCACTGAATCCGAAAGCACTGTCGCCTTCTACAGCAACAGTTTTATTCGCAGGATTGGCTATAGACGCCGCGATCGAGTAGCTAAGACCAACACCCATAGTAGCCATCGTTCCGCTGTCTAGTCTGCCACGCGGATGAGTTACTTCTAGAATTCTACGACCCTTGTCCAAAGTGTTTGCTCCTTCAGAAACCCAGGTTACATTTCTCTGTGTTTCTTTCACCAGAGATTGGATACAGTCGTTTATGGTAAATAAAGTAGCTTCCATATGCAAAGGCATATCTTTATTTGGTGAATGCGATTCTTTAGACTCATTTTTTTTGCGGTGTTTTTGAAGCATAGTAAGGTAGGAAGATTGTTCATAGCGATAGTTACAAGCTGCTAGGGAATCTGTTATAGCATGTAAAGCCAAGTTAATGTCGGACCAAATACCCAAGGAAACATCACCCCCATTGCTACCCAATTCTTCTGGATTTGAGTCTATTTGAATGAACTTCACATCCTTTGACCATCTTGGAGACAAGCCAAAATGCAGGACCCAATTCAATCGAGCGCCAACTAGTAAAACAACATCAGCATTTTTTAAAGCTGTTGACCTGGCAGACGAAAAATTCAACCGATGATTTTCTGGTAATACACCTTTACCCATAGGAGTTGGTAAAAATGGTATGTGTGTTTTTTCTATAAAATTTGAAAGAATCTCTTCTGCACGTGCATAAGAAGCACCTTTACCAATGATAACCAAGGGTGACTTGGCACTTTTCAAGAAGTGTATAGCTTTCTGGACCTGAGCGGGATTGGGACCGCACTCTAGAGAAGGAGGCACACAAGGCATGGATTTCCAAGAAGACTCTTGAAGTGAGGATTGAATAAAATCGGCTGGAAGGTCAACATAGCAAGGGCCAGGTGTTCCGTTCAACGAAACGTGGTACGCCCTATGAATTAGTTCCGGAGTCATTGTCGCTGTAGGAGGTCGTAAAGCAAGCTTTGTGCTCGGACTCAAATATGTCACTTGATCTAACTCTTGAAATGCACCCCGGTATCGCTGTGATGTAGCGCTAGAACCAGCCATAAGAAGTAATGGCCAACGGTTAGCTGAAGCATTGAAAACACCGGCCAAAGCATGCACCACGCCAGGTCCGCCGACAACTATACAAACACCTGGTGTTTTGGTCAAGTATCCGTAAGCGGAAGCGGCGTAAGCTGCACTTTGTTCATTACGGAATGCGATAAAATGGATTCCGACTTTTTGAATAGCTTCACAAACTTCAATTACAGGAATGCCAACGATACCAAAAACCACTTTGACATTCAAATCAAGTAACGTCCGGGCCACAACGTCTGGAAAAGGAACACTCATTGGTAAATTCGATTCGTATATAAGGACTATAAATATATATTCCAAAATACGGAGAATTGGTTTAATAAATCCAAAACAAAGATAAGATATGAGGAAACTATATTATTAGAGATGAAAAATGTATTCCAAGATATGTACTGTTCGTGCTAGGGGAAGGACCTTGACATATGGCTGACGAACGGAAATATTCAAAATATAAAATGAAGTTGTTGAAACATATCCGAATATTCCATTGGTTTAAGCAATTCAACTGCTATACTAAATGACCGGTTAAATTACTGGTTATTACGTTTGTGAATATTTCAAATTTCGAATCTCTAATACATTATTAAAAATTTACAGAATAAGATATAAATATGAAAGAAAAGTAATTATAACAACAAAAATTCATAACTGTCTAGCTTGACCGATAGAACAAAAACCAAAAATTGGGTAAAGCGTATACAGCGGTACATACACTGAGATTATAAAGTATAATAACTTATTTTGAAATTACAGTGATTGTATACGGAATCTTCACAATAGCATCTAAGCACTTCTCGTATTAATTGCTGAAAGAGAAGATACTCAGTTTGTAAGTGCGCTTAAATTTTGCAACGTATTAAGCACTTACGCGCTCTTGAGACCATTCCCCTGATTCCAAACTTTTCTCATAAATTACGCGCTTTCCGGGAGGAGGGTTTAAGTCGAGAAATTCAACACCTTGGACGTCACATATAACCAGGCCAAAGCGTTTCCAGGCAGTTTCCCAACGGTTTGCAACCATTGCATCTTCTTTACCAGTTAAAGTAACAGGAAGCGGTACCACGGGGACCTCCCCTTGATAATTGCTATATGTGACAGGATTTGCAAATGAAGAGCGCATGGTAGGGCTGTGGTGCTCCCAAATGCGACGACGCTCTTCTTCCCAAGACCATTCCTGAGGTATACGTTTTTTATGTCGGCTTAAATGTGAGGTTAAGAGATCCTCTCTGGGAAACTCATTCTTCTCCGCGAGATCAGGAGTATAAAACCAAATTTGACCCCATAGGCGAACCTGTTGCATTGTTTTAGGAAGCCAACTACAAAGTTCAAAGGTATTGTGCATGGGACCCGTCGGTGTTGACTTTGCTTGACGAAGGGAAATATCCTTTGCTTTTTGCGATTCCACGTCAGTCGAAAACACAAGTAAATCTGTGTCTAAATCATTCTTATCAATTTCCCATCCAGAATTCAAGAATCCACGAATTGCTACAGTACGATTACGAGGATACTTGTCTCCTTCAGATGGTAAAGTAGCTAATTGCATATATTCAGGATGAAGGAGCCCCGAAGAGTCGCTATTCTCTTTCAGAAGCTTAATTAACTTCGTTTTCCAATCGTTTTCCATTCTTTCTTAACTTCGTTGCTGTACGCTTCTAAATTGGTAGCTGTTTTATAGATTCCAGCAGTCTGTCATATTGATGTCAGATATCAAAACAAATGCCACTACTCTCATAAATGTGTCAATTTGCATAAATTTACGAAAGTGCACGACTGTGAAATTTTCTAAAGAACATCTGATTATGGAAGATCGGGTGAAACTTTGAATTTCATAAGAATTCAACAGGTCTCCTCTTTACTAAACGCCAACAATTATCAGAACTTTACTTATCTGGATAAATCACATAACAATGTAAAAAACTTGTATTATAATCTTACCTCGAATAATTTGCTCACTTCCTCCCAAAGACAAGAAATGAATTAACCAGATATCCTCTATTTACTCTACAATTTCGAATGTCATTCCCCTTTCCCATGACAGTAGCACATACGAATAGTTAAAAATGTTCCATCAGGGTTGATCAATACTTTTCAACCATGTACACGCATGTGCAATGGTAAAGTAAAGTGATTTTGCCAGTGTCCAGGTCTCTTCCAAGTACAGTCCTGTCCAAAAAAGAAAATAAAAAAATAAAAACAGAAAGAGAAACAGAAACAGAAGCAAAAAATAATAAAAATAAACCAAAACCAAACCAAAATCAATAAAATATATATACATATCAGTCTTTGACAGGCTGTAAAGAATATAAATATAACCAGCCAAGGGTTCAAAGCTCAAACATGCAAGGACATAATCACTTGAAGACGACCAAAATGCTGTACTTAAATACTCACCTTTAAATAAATACTTCAAACCTATTTCTTATACATAAAGAATAATACATCATCAAAGTGAATTTAGTATACAATTAACCTTTTTCCCTCTTCAATCACTTTAGAGTAGATACAAATGGATAAAGCTTTCAGATGAGTTCTAAAAATCCAAGTTCCCAAACCATTAAAGAATGGTCCTTGATATAACCTTACAAGCGTAGCACATGTTTTATATCGATATTTAGTTTTGCTTTTAAAGTAAGACCATTTGCCAGACCACATCCTGAATGGACTTTTTAGCAAGCTGGGTCACTTCTCTACTTCACTCTGGTAAGTATTTCACATCTATGGCTCCAATTTCTTTATCATATTATTCCACCACATTTCTAATCAGAAAAATGAATGGAATCAAAAGATTAGATGTATCAACACCTGCCAAGATCCTTAAGAAATTATAATGATCACGCACTCAACAGAATCATCATGGTTTGATGACGACGCATCAATGTAAATTCTTATATGATTCGATCAAAGGAAAGACAGAAAAGGAGTCTCAAATCTTGTTGCATTTAAAAATGATAACTTTTGAACGCGACCCCATGCCCAACAGACAAAAGACATGAAAGATAAATTTGCGTTCAGTGAACGCAGATAATGTAGAGTCCGATTTTCCAAATAGTTAATTAAGGTGGTAAAATCTGAAACATATAAAATTTGCAAAACACACCATTGGAACTCCATGCTTCAATCGAAAACAATGGTTATAACAGACAAAAGGTGTTTAACGTGCTAATGGTTTAAGGAGAATTCAAACGAATCATAAAATTATGCAAAAACAATAAAAAAAAAAAACATAAAAGACTGAACGATAACTTTTTAGTGAATAAGATCCTGGTAAAACTTCTCCAAATAAGAACGGACATCGCTATAAACATCCTCGACAATACTTAAAGTTCTGTCAATGAAATCCAGAGCGATCTCTTCGCTTGGGACGGTAAGTGCACCATCTCTACTACGAAGGGCACCATAATTTTGAATACGTTCACACACATTTTTCATTTCCGTAAGACCCAAGGCTGCAGAAGAACCTTTCAAAAAGTGACCCAAAGAAGACAATTTTTTTAAATCCTTCTGCTTGAGAGCCCCATGTAATTCCTTTATAGTTGTTTCAGCTTGCTCAAAGTAATTGAATACAATACTTTTGCTAAACTCGTGCTGGTCATCATCATCCATTTCCAAGAGCTGATCAAATGTTGTATGGTCAATCATCTGCGGTTTTTGAAACACATCGTCATCAAAAGAGATGTCATAAGCGACGAAAGAAAGCTCATCAGAAAGAACACCCTCTTTCACCAAAGCCTCAAGGGAAGCAATGGGTAGATTTTTCCGGTTTAGATTCTTTTCGCTGAGATAATTCGATATGTCAATTTGTTCACTTTTATTTTTGTCTTGCCTTTCACTCCCTCCTTCCGAATATTCGCTCACCAAAGAAGTGGAACTTGGAGATCCTTTTGAAGAAGACATCCGAGAAGCCATAGCTAGGTAAGCTGGGTTTGAGGTTATTGGGATTGAAGAATCGTTCGCATGGCCACTACTGGCACATCTTTGATATACATGGGGAACAGCTGAACCTGAAGGAGAGCGAGCCTTTTCAGCTATACCCGAGCTCTGCAAGGTTCTAGCTAAACTTGCTGCCCGAATTTGTTCATTTCTTTTAGAAGTCCTGTTTTCTGTGTTGCGATCATAGCTCGTGTTTGAATTCATCATTTATCACTAGTAAAAAACAAGTAATGTATATCGCAAAAACAATAGGATACGTCAAGCTTCGACCAGCAAAGTTGATGTTACTTAAAAGGAATTATTTAGTCTTTGTATAGTAGCGTTCTTTACGGGTTTAGAATTCGTATAAACTTGGCGATCGTTCGAAATCCAAATTTTAAGCTCAACGTCAGTAAGAGACAGAAATGCTGCGCTCGCTTCGACAATGTATGGAAAACGGAAAACAAATATTTATTTATGAATAGTACCAGTTTTTCACCTTTGCAAATAGAAATCCTGTTCGATGACTTGTTGTCCTACTAGCGAGAACAAAATTTTCAGTTAAAAAACCAAAGGAGACAGATACTTCCCAAAAATCACCCAGAGAAGATCTCTTTTACTCTGTCTTCTCTTTTTTATTCTGCTTTATCTTTTTTTTAAAACTAAACAGTTATAATTACTCTGTATTAGCGCCTTATAAAGATAGAAACACCTATTTTCCCTTTTTTTGGTTATTTGATTTCAAAGAAAATAAGGCGACACGAAGAGGAATCTTCAAGTCTCTTCTGAAACAACTTCAACTCTTTTTATTTCTTTTGAATCGTAACTGGTGAAAGCAAAGGTTGTTGGTTCATCAATTTGCATATAGGAACTGCTTAGTAATGACGTATGCAGCAGGAAATTTAATTGATGGTTGCAAATTTAAATGTATCTGACAAATAATAATCTTCAGAACATCAATAGCAGATGAAAAAATAAATTTTTTTTTCTTTTTTTTCTTTAAAAAAAAAATAGTAATATGAAGGAAAGAGATAAATTTTACCAGAGAACATAAATTTCAGTCAGTGAAGATTTTTGAGGAAAGGGAAAAAAAATAGAAGAAAACGACTAGAAACAAGAGCAATAGGTCTACGATTTTAACAATAACATAGACAATGATAGTGATTGACCATGCGGAAAGAAAAAAGGTGAAAGGATTGAAATAGGAAAAAAAAAGAAGAAAGTTTCAAGACAATTGACATTTGACAGATATTTTGAATTTTATTGATGTTTGTTTGGAATAAACACAAGAAACAAGGAAGTGGAAACACAAAGAAATCCCATAAAACCTGCGAGTAGCTTGCTTACGTTTGTAAGAGAAGGCAAGGAGTGCCTTCTTTTCAACGTTTATATTTTAACAATATAAACAGATTATAGGTTTTAGCAAACCTAAAACATCGACGTTCCGTCGAAACAAGTTCAAATGGTTAGTTATGTACAAAATAAATAGCATAGTCCATCGATGAAATCAGCAAAATATAGATCATAATCAAGCAAGCTCTCCTCACCCAAAAAAAAAGAAAACATAAGACACCCTTCCTTAGTTAGAAGTAACGTTATGAATGGCTTCAGCAAGGTAACGAACGTTGGAAGTGTTAATACCAGCAATACTGATTCGGCCATTCTTGGTTAAATAGATATGATAGTCTCTGCTCAAAGTTTCGACTTGCTCGGGTTTTAAACCAGTGTAGCAAAACATGCCTATTTGATCAGTGATATGCTTCCAGCCGTGCTTGCTTTTCAAGTCATTTTCCAATATGGAGCGTAAGGTTTGGCGCATAGAAATAATACGGCTAGCCATTCCCTTAACTTCGCCAGCCCATTGAGCACGAAGATCACTGTTCTTCAAAATAAAGCTGGCGATACGAGCACCGTGGACGGGAGGATTGGAGTAGGAAGCACGGACCAAGATTTTGAGTTGGCTTTCGAATCTCGCAGCTTCCTCTGGAGAGGCTGTCAGCGAGCTAAAGCAACCTACACGTTCGCCATAAAGACCCATATTTTTAGCAAAGGATTGACATAAGAACATTGGAACATTGTTAGAAGCAAACAATTGGGTGGCATAGGCATCGCGTGCAAAGTTACCACTGGCAAAACCTTGGTAAGCCATATCCATCAACACGAAGTGGCCCTTTTCGCGTACAACTCGAAGAATATCGTTCCATTGAGCATGTGAAGGATCCACACCAGTTGGATTGTGGGCACAAGCATGCAAAAGGACAATCGAGCTGTTGGGGGCTTTTGACAAGTCGGTGAGCATGCCTTCAATATCGAGACCCTTGGTGACTGGGTTGTAGTAACGATACTCTTTGATATTTAAGCCCGCATTGCTAAACACGTTTTTGTGATTTCCCCAAGTAGGATTGGAGATGTAGATATCGTTCGATGGATAAAACTTTGAAAAAAATCGAGACGAAAGGAGCAATGCACCTGTCCCGCTGACGGACTGGGCTGCAACCAAGCGATTGCGGATACTATCATAAACATCACCATAAGCCATGCGTGTAGCTTCCTCACGGAAGCCGTTGTCACCCGTAATGGACAAATACTCTTTGTCCAGGTCTTGTTTCAGAATTTCAGTCTCCGCGGTGCGAACGCTAGGCAAAACATATGGCTTGCCAGCGTCGTCACGGTAGGCACCGACGCCCAAGTTCATTTTCTTTGCAAAATCATCTTTTTTAAAAGCTTCCGAAATACCAAAGATAGGATCGGGAGGGCCCATGGGTACGTTAGCCCATCCTTGGAATCCACGTTGCAAGTTCAAGCCGGCGGTTTTCCCACCGTTTTTAAATGCGTTTTGAAAACCAGCCTTATTCGCAACTCTACCCGCGGTAGTCTTTACACGCGAAGCACCAAAAAACATTATGGAATCTCAAATTCTTTAGTCGCTGGCTCCGGCGACTCAGTGGATTGCTCTTGCTTAAATAATTACACTGTTCGAAAATTATGTCTTTCGTTTATTACGAAGCTTATCGAGCACTTACGAAATGGAACGAGTGCATGTTCCTATCACAAAACCATCAAAACAGATTCGTATGATGATAGGATAAGGAAGTAGCCATACAAAAAACCTCGAATAAATAAAAGGACTAAGAAATATAAAGCATTAAAAATAAAAAATAAATTATTCAAAGCTCGTTCTTAGATGTTAACGAGGGTAAAAGAAAGGATTATTTTTTTCTTGTCCGATTATTCTTCAAATGCGCTAAGATTATGACAAGTGAATCGCTTCCATATAAAAATAAAAGAATAAACAAAAGATTTTTGACTAAAAGGAAGAAACCTCTGTAAATCTTTATTGACGAATATAAAAAAGGTATTCATAAAAAAAAAAGAAACAGTATTATTATTCAGATAGAAAGACACTCTTCATACTAATAGGGTCACTGATGTGTCTGTATTCGAACATAAACACTACGAAATCGTAGCTTTCTTTTCTTCTTTTTAGGTTTCTTAGTATTAGTCTTTGTATTTATTTATTATTTTTTTTACTTTAGCTTCTTTTCCATAAAGAAAGGAAGGCAGTAAATTATTGTCATTTATTCATGTACTAGAATTTCATACTGCGTGTCTCGAATTCGACAAGCGTATTCAAGTATGTGCACCGTTTTTCTAATAAAAAATTTGCTATAAAGTGTTTTAAAAACTATTCACATCTACTCAGTCTTTCAGCCTTGTTTTATTCATTATATGCCGCCTGTAAGGAACATATATAGAAGTGCTGTGACTCTTTATTTTATTTCAAATTTTCTTTTCCTTTATTTTTTTTATAAATTTGCATAAAAAAAGAAAGAACCTGCTCGTGAATTCTGTCTTTATTTATGCCTCACTACTGATATACTATATACATAATAGAAAACCTCGTTCTTTCCAGCATTCCTCAAGGTGTTAGATTATCCCATGAATTATAAAGGAATATTGGAAATAGTATTTATGAATTATCAGTAACATCAATTGATTTTTTTTTTGAATAAATTTTTATACTTTTTACCGTTGTGTTTGGTTTCCCTCTGCATTGAACTAACCATGTCCAAATCTGACGCAGTTTCTCGCTTGTTGGCAGAGATTTCTGCTCAGCAAAGCCAAAAACAAGTTACTCCAGAACTTCCTTATCCTACGTCTAGTGGCATAATAAACTTGAACGATCCTAATCCATCATTGGGAACATTCGTCCGTCTTTATGATCCTACTTTCTCTTCCCAGATCTATCAAGACACCTCGACGGGGACCGCTCCTGTAAACCCGTCTGCCTATCATCCACCGAACCCATCTGTCTCCTTAAAAACTTCGTATTCGTTTCCTGTCAAAAGCTGCTATGTGGGCATGCTCATTGGAAAACGCGGCGAAAAGCTCCAAAAAATGGAGTCTGCCACAAAGACAAGAGTACAATTTATGCCTGAAACCACTTCCAAACCAGGCGAACGAACAGCTATCATTACCGGCCAAACCGATAATATTGACATGTGTCGTCGGGAAATTTCGCAAAAAATAAAGGATTACCAAGATGTACTTACAGCTACAGCATTTCCGGCTTTAGCCTATGCCGCTGGCGGCAATCCAAATCAAACATATGAGACTCCAGATCCGTTTGTCATTCCTGAACATCACATCGGGCTTGTTATTGGAAAGGGCGGTGAGAAGATCCGCGATTTGCAGGAAACAACAGATACAAAAATTATTATTAACACTGATACCGATTTAATGAATCCATTGCGTCCAGTTTCTTTCCAGGGATCACCAGAACGTGTTTCTAGAGCCAAGTCGATCATTCAGGATATCGTGATACAGGAACAACTGAAAATCAACTCTCTTTCAACTACTTCCAATCCGAACAAAGTGCACACGGATGTAATGGCAGTACCAAGAGAATCCGCGGGGATGATTATCGGTAGAGGCGGTGAGACCGTTCGTGAAATTTATGCCAAGACCATGTGTCAATTAAAAATATCCCCCGATGGTGGTCCTTCAGTCCCTGAACGTGAAATTACATTTATTGGAACTCCTTCTAGCGTTGAATTGGCGAAATGGGACGTTTTAGACAGGTTAGAGAGAGCTAGTGTTCCACTTCGACGCCTTGCTCATCAACCCATTCTTCCTACAGCATCTTTACCTCAGACCATACCGCCAACAAACATTCCCGCGATGCCCATGCCTATGCCGGAAACATTCCCTGCTCCATACGGAGATTACGAAAATTACATGAAGTCATGGCAACAGTATCCTTCTAATCCCATGTATCCCAAGTAATAAAGAGCCGTCAGTGAACCTTTACTGTTACGGTCCATGCGCTCAAGTCTGCTTTTCCTTTTTCAAGATAACACTATAAACTATATTACGGACATTCATGATTTACATATGTTTTATAAAAAAAGGATCTCTACACGACACTATTAACTTTTATCGTCACGGAGAATGGTCAACTTTAGAATTTTATAGTCTCCGTATACCGCTTCCATCGTTGCTTTCCATGATACAAGCATTCATAAACATTGACGGTGACCCGGAATAATTCAATAGACGAAGTTTACCTATCTATGAATTGCTTCCATTTCTTACTTATTATTTAACTAACTAAATTGTTTTATACTTTTTTCTGAAGTCTTCTGAAGCGTAAAACAGTAGTATTTTTTCTATTAAAATCTTCATTTAGTTCTATTTATCTTTTAGTATTTTATCGAAAATTTTACGTAAGGAAAAGATCTATAACGTAGCGGAAAGAACTACACTATATGGATTACACCACAGGTTACTACGCAGCTTTCGCCTTCTATGTAAGCTGAATACTACCATTACCAGACCTTCTTTCAAACAACCAAATTTTTAAAACAAATGGTATGTAAGCTTGGATCCATATAATTTGGACGGGAAGCATGTTAAGTGTTTTAGTTTTGCCATGCTTTCACATGCTTTGAAAAGCAAATGTTCATGAATATGTGATGTTAACGTTTTATGTAGGGTCAAGCGCAATCTGGTGGATTCTCCAATTTTGGAGATGGAACAAATGGTGATAAGAAAAAAGATCAAAAGAAGGATAAGCCAAAATACGAACCTCCGGTCCCTACTCGTATCGGCCGCCGCAAAAAGAAAGCACAAAGTGGACCAGATTCAGCAACGAAGCTGCCGGCTGTTTTGCCAAATACTCGATGCCGCTTGAGGTTGCTGAAGTTACAACGTATACATGACCACTTACTAATGGAAGAAGAGTATGTACAAAACCAAGAACGCCTTAAGCCCCAAGATGAGAGAACCCAAGAGGAACGCAATAGAGTGGACGAGATTCGTGGTACGCCCATGTCTGTCGGTACTCTGGAGGAAATTATTGATGATGATCATGCTATTGTTTCTACTGCAGGTCCCGAATATTATGTCTCCATTATGTCCTTCGTTGACAAAGACATGCTTGAGCCTGGTTGTAGTGTATTGCTTCATCACAAGGCAATGAGTATTGTCGGTATTTTGCTTGATGATACGGATCCTATGATTAATGTTATGAAACTTGATAAAGCCCCTACCGAAAGTTACGCCGACATTGGTGGTCTCGAGTCTCAAATTCAAGAAATCAAAGAAGCTGTAGAATTACCTCTTACTCATCCCGAGTTATACGAAGAAATGGGTATTAAACCACCAAAAGGTGTTATTCTCTATGGTGCACCTGGTACTGGTAAAACTCTATTGGCTAAAGCCGTTGCTAACCAAACATCTGCAACATTTTTGCGTGTTGTGGGTTCTGAATTGATTCAAAAATATTTGGGTGATGGTCCACGTCTTGTTCGACAATTATTTAATGCCGCTGAAGAGCATTCACCTTCAATCGTATTTATAGATGAAATAGATGCTATCGGAACCAAACGTTATGAAGCCCAGTCAGGTGCCGAAAGAGAAATTCAACGTACAATGTTGGAATTACTAAACCAACTTGATGGATTTGATACCACCAACCGTGATATCAAGGTTATTATGGCCACCAACCGTATTAGCGACCTCGATCCCGCCCTTATCCGACCTGGCCGTATTGATAGGAAAATTCTTTTCGAAAGTCCTGATGAAGCTACTAAAAGAAAGATTTTCACTATTCATACCTCAAAAATGAATTTGGGTGAAGATGTTAATCTAGAAGAATTGATTCAATCTAAAGATGAATTATCTGGTGCTGAAATCAAAGCTATTGTTTCTGAGGCTGGTCTGTTAGCACTTCGTGAACGAAGAATGCGTGTCGTTATGGAGGACTTCCGACAAGCCCGCGAAAAAGTTTTGAAAACGAAAGATGAAGGCGGTCCTGCTGGCGGTCTGTATATCTAAGAAATATTCCATAATGATTACAAATTACTTAGAAAGATATATATATCTTGTTTCAATGCATGTTCTTTACGCTGTGATAACGGAAGCAAATTATAATTGAAAACGTAAATTAAAAAAGTTGTAATATAAGATAATACTGCAACAGTGTAAACCAAAAGTAACCTCATTAATGGGGATTTGCAATCCATATCAGTGTGTTCTAATAAATATGAATGTTTTAAACGCGGTTCCAGCGATGGTATGAAAAATGAAGGATGCTTATGATACATTCTTATATAAAAAGAAAGCATGACTTTTTGTTCCCATTTTATTTTACTTCTTCACAGGCTTACACATAGAATGGTAGTCTTCAGGTTTCAAGGCACGGACAGCATCCTTAAAAATAGATAAAGGACATATAGTCTCATTTCCCCTGTAACCTTGTCCACGACAAGCACCCATAACTACATGATTGGAATTGTAAGTAATTCGAACATACCAGTTTGATAGTTCATCTGATGGAAGGTTTGAAACACCATTTTCCTTGGATAATGTATCTTGCTTCTGGCTCGATTCAAAAGAAGTTTCGGGTTTTCCAGCAATAGCTTTTGGAGTAGCATTGTCGGAGGTATCTTTAAAAAGTTCCAATTCAAGATGAGAAGTGAATGGAGGCCATTGGTAATCAAAAGCATCAAGTGAAGCCAAGATTGCAGCTAGTGTTACATCGTGAGCTCCATACAAAGCCAAACGATCCGAAGGAGAGCCACTTTTATCAGCTTTAACTTGAGTTTCCATGCGCATGAAAAGGTCATTCAAAAGACTTCCTGCACCAAGTTGACGCATCAACTTGGACACTTTATATCCGCCAAACCATTCTTCCGAAACTGCCTGTCCAGATTCCCGCAACCACTGTTCATCTACCAAATTGGGATGAAGTTCAAGTCGATTTCCGATAGCAGCATTAATTGTATCCAAAAGACCACTAAGACGAGGATGACTGGAGACAACACGAACAGGTTGACCGTTCATGAACTGACTCATCATTTCTGACGCTCTTCCTGCAAGAAGAGGATCGTAAATTTTGGCAGCTCTTTCTGCAAATTCCTCATACAATTGAACGAGCCTGGGGCAGTTATTTTCATTTGGAAGTAAGTTTTCGTGAGACCAATTTCGGGTATAGATGGTAGGCACAACACCATGGCGTTTCTCGTCAGGATAAAGCCCCGTAAAAACATGCTCCAACGATTCAAGAGCACGAGTCATGGGCGTAGCACGCATGTAAATTCCGTTGGCATTCTGAATGCTGTCTGGCAGGAACCCGAGTTTGTTAATATAACGCTCTCGGAGATATTCACCAAGATTACGGGTAGTAATTCTTCCAATATCTGTTAATTCACCGTTAATGCAGACCCCGCTCTCTGCTTCTTCTTTGGGAGGAGCGGCTAAAGACGAATCCACAGGATTCTCTGTTTTTCTTTCAAATCCGAGTACGGACCATTCCTTAGCTCCTTTAATTTGAGCGAAAAATCTTCTAGCATTGTTACAAAGCTTCCAATCCTTAGGAATACCAGCGGACTCCAACCTTGCTTTTACGGGAGCACGCTCACCATGTCGAAACACCACCTGTAAATACTTAAGCTCGAGTTGCTTAGGAAAATCCAAACCCGCTACTGGATCTGGATAATGAACGGAAGTTGCTGACATTTGTGACATGGTGATGGATATATTCCTTTTGGATTTTTGTTAGTGAAAAGTTGGTTTTCACTTGCTCAAGTTCCAGCTAGGTGGGGGCCCATATAAAGTACCACAGATGAAGAACAAAACAGTAAACAACAGTGATGAATGAAATTGGAAGAGCTTATTTCAATATCGATTCATTTGTGTAGAAAATTGAAAATTATAGAAAATTTTTTATTCAATATTAAGACACATCTGAAAATTTCAATGAATGAGCAAATCTTCATATAGTACAGTGTAGGATTTGATACTAAGAACGAAAGCCAACTATTACTTTAGAAGGTACGTTTACAAACCTCTGTCTCAAATTAAGAGAGCAAGTTCTTCGGATCTTTCAAATATCTTTTTTCTCAGCAGTGGCACACATCCATATTCATCTGTAATACTATTTAGAAAATCATTTGAGCATTACGGGAATTATTCAGGGACGCTGTTCCATAGTCCATCATCGACCAACAACAATTGATTGTTTGATTAGCCAGTTTGCGACTAAACAGGACAGGTTTGAGAAACGATACTCATCTTCTAAATTTTTCCTGGGTAAGATAAACCTTTAGAATAAGTATTTATAGTTATCCCTTCTTTATAATTCGTCCAAAATTCCTGTTTTGAGTATTCATAAACGCTTTGTAGAGGTGTACTTGCACTCATGCAAAGATCATGATCGTTACAAAATGAAATTTGCTTCTTATCTTTCTAACCACCGTTCTTTCCAGCATTTAACCTTTCCAAGAAGAAATTGGAGATGTCTTCTTTTGTAACTACCTTGTTTTCCCTAGCAAACGGAAGCAAAAACTCTGTGAGTTCATTTTTTAATCGATTATAGGCATGGACTCCTTCTATTGCTTGAACACGGGGAAGTTGGTCTAAGACGTGAAGCACATCTTGCATGGTGCTGGACACAACATCATCAAGTGAACGCGCGTCTTCTACTTCAAAGTTTGTTTCTTCATCCATATCGGAGTCCTCTGCTTGCTCATAAACTGGTTCATCCTCTATTAAAATAGGCATTTGAGTTTTGCGAATTTCCACACAGGAGTTACACTGGCAAAGATGTTCTCGAAATTGTTCATCAAAAAAATGAGGAGCGACTAGTTCTTCCTTCTTGTAAGGTAACTCGTGTTGGGGATTCAAAAGGCAATCTCTATATTTCAACACGCAATCTTTACAGACCACCCATTCAAATGATTCTGAATCAGGTAGAGACTTTCCTTGATTAGAAGCCTCTAAGCAGCGATCGTGAAACCAATCTTCACAAAGTATGCATTGGAACATAATCCCACTTTCTTGTTCAGGGTCATAAAACGTATCGCAGCTACAAAATCGCCCCTCAAAGTTATGATTGTAATGATTTTCTAATGCCCGATCATCTCTAGTCTTTCTAATCGCACAAGGCTCATGGCCCGTTCGTGAGGTACCACAGTCGCACTGAAAATGTCGTTTATGAAACAATTCTACTAATTCATGATCAGCATGGCAGCTGATACTGCAACTGTAGCACACTCCGTTTAGGCTATCCGCTTTTCTTTGGCAAGTTAAACAAGCGTATAGTGTTTGCTTCAAGTAACCTTTGGAGTATGTACATTCATCAAATTTGTATGGATACGCCTCACGGGCCTCAATCTCTAGTTCTCTTTGCCTTTCCACATACTGTTCCGCTGTTAGTTCCTCCAATCTTGAATCCATCCAGAATACTTCTTTGACTACGGACGTTTATATGTAAACAATAGGTAATTTTTGTTAGTCTCTTTTCATTTACAGAAAGTTAAGAAAGTGCGTTATTAACTTGTTTGAGCAAAGGAGCGAAATTTTGGAATGCAGTTTAGTGTTCATATGCAGCATATCGTTAAGCTCTAGTCCTAGGCGAAATGTTTGTCTAAAGAAAAGCCAACAACAGTACTCTTTCGAAACAACATCTTAACATCCATGGATTCTTTCCGAAAACGCGGACGCAGGGACTCGGAAAGTCTTCCTGTGGGATCAGATCATTCTTCAACAGGGAATACTCCTTTGTCGCTTCCTCCCTCTTCCCCTCCTCCAGAATTTTCAGATGAAGCAGCTGAAGCCTTGGTAGAAGATGAAATTGAAGACGTGAACAGTGATAATATGGATCTGGAAGAGGAAGATGGTGAGGATTTGTTTGGCGATGACATGGAAAGGTAAGAAAACATTGCGATTATTGAGGTTATTGCAAGCCTAAAAGTTTTCTTCGATATCAAAGAAATAGCCTTTTGATTACTGCGTACCCGTGCGCCCAGTATAAAGGAGAATAGCATATTAACAAACGTTTAGAGATTATCAACAAAATTTGGAACTTGACCGATACGATTTGGACGAATTGGATGACGAAAATGATCTGGAAGAGTTAGACCTAGGCGATCGAAGAATTATTGATGCAAAATTACGACGTCGCGACATGGAATTAGAGGCTACAGCTGGACGAACAAAACCCGCAGCCTTTCTTCAAGACGAAGATGATGATTTGGATTCTAATTTAGGCCTTGGTATTCCAAGACATCGTCATCGTGTATATGATGAATTCGCACCGAACGCAGGAGCCCTAGACGAGACCGGCGAGCTTCCATTAGAATCCATTGCAGATGTAAAGGCCGATAGTATTGCGGAATGGGTGACTTTGGATCCAGTTCGTAGAACTATTGCCCGTGAATTTAAAAACTTTCTTTTAGAATACACTGATGAAAAAGGAACGTCTGTCTATGGTAACAGAATTCGAACATTAGGTGAGGTAAACGCTGAATCTTTGCTGGTTAATTATGCTCATCTGGGAGAATCAAAACCTATCCTTGCTTATTTTTTAGCTAATGCTCCTGCTCCTGTTTTAAGGATATTCGATCGAGTCGCATTAGAAGCTACCCTTTTGCACTATCCTGATTATGAACGAATTCATTCAGACATACATGTTCGTATAACTAATCTTCCTACCTCTTTCACATTAAGAGAACTTCGTCAAACGCATTTGAACTGTTTGGTACGTGTGTCTGGTGTAGTAACTCGAAGAACAGGCCTTTTCCCTCAGTTAAAACACATTCGGTTTACTTGCACGAAGTGTGGTGCTACTTTAGGTCCTTTCTTTCAGGATTCTAGTGTGGAAGTTAAAATTTCTTTTTGTCATAATTGTTCTAGTCGTGGTCCTTTTGTTATTAATTCCGAACGGACAGTCTATAACAATTATCAGCGACTCACCCTTCAAGAGTCTCCAGGAACCGTTCCTTCAGGACGTTTGCCTCGTCATCGTGAAGTGATTCTCTTGGCTGATTTGGTAGACAATGCCAAACCCGGTGAAGAGATAGAAGTAACTGGGATTTATCGCAATAATTTTGATGCTAGTCTTAATACGAAAAATGGGTTCCCGGTTTTTGCTACAATCATTGAAGCTAATCATATTGCTCATGTTGATAATAGTGGTAGTGCTGATGACGACTTTTCTCTTAACCGACTTACAGATGACGAAGAACGAGAAATACGCGCGCTTGCAAAGATTCCGGATATCCACGAAAGAATCATCGCCTCCGTGTCACCTTCCATTTATGGTCATCGATCTATAAAGGTTGCCATTGCTGCAGCTTTATTTGGTGGTGTCCCCAAGAATATCAGCGGAAAACATAAAATTCGTGGTGATATCAACGTCTTGCTCTTGGGAGATCCTGGTACAGCTAAATCACAATTTCTTAAGTATGTTGAGAAGACTGCCCACAGAGCCGTTTTTGCTACTGGTCAAGGTGCTAGCGCTGTTGGTTTAACAGCATCTGTCCGAAAGGATCCTATTACAAATGAATGGACTTTAGAAGGTGGTGCGTTGGTTTTAGCCGACAAAGGTGTTTGTTTAATCGATGAATTCGATAAAATGAATGATCAAGATCGTACTTCTATTCATGAAGCTATGGAGCAACAAAGTATTTCAATCTCCAAGGCAGGTATCGTGACAACCTTGCAGGCAAGGTGTACGATTATTGCAGCTGCCAATCCAATCGGTGGACGATATAATACAACGATTCCCTTAAGCCAAAATGTTGAATTAACGGAACCCATCTTGTCTCGTTTCGATATATTACAAGTTGTTAAAGATACCGTGAATCCAGAAATAGACGAACAGCTTGCCAGTTTTGTTGTCTCAAGCCATATTCGATCTCATCCATCTTTTGATCCAGACTTTGATATTTTGACAAAGGCACCTACTGAGACGGGTATTGAAGCAAAAGCTATTCCTCAAGATTTGTTACGTAAGTATATACATTATGCAAGAGAACGGGTGACACCTCGTTTGCTTCAAATGGATGAAGAAAAAATTTCAAGGCTTTACAGTGATATGAGACGTCAATCACTAGCTACGGGAAGCTATCCTATCACCGTTCGTCATCTTGAATCTGCCATTCGTCTAAGTGAAGCTTTCGCCAAGATGGAGCTTAGTGAATTCGTTCGACCTGCTCATATAGACAAGGCTATTCATGTGATTGTCGATTCTTTCGTCAACGCCCAAAAAATGAGTGTCAAGCGCAGTCTTTCACGTACTTTTGCAAAATATTTACTTTGAGCTTGTTGTCAACTTCAATTTTATCTCACTTTCGTTCAAGTTATACTCTGTTTTCTTTTACCTTTATTATTTCTGTTCTACTATCATTTAATTACAGTCATTTACGTTTTCATTAGAATTCCGCCCTCTTTATCTTTTGATATAATAGTATTGCATCTTTAAGCATGCGTATACCTATTGTACTTGTATACCTATGTCGGCCTTTAATTTATTGATACAAGGTCAGTGTTTAATTAAAAATGAAATTAATTTTCAAATACCTCACGATGGCAATATATTCTAGTCTAAGATAACTAAGCAATGTAATGGTTTTTTACTATATTATCTCTTAACAAAAAACTAAATAAATTCAAACAATACTTCGATACTTAGTGATTTTAGTATGTACCGTACCCTTACTGCTTTCATATCCTGAGTCTAGAATAACAAGAACCTAACGAAAACACTATGGCCTACAGCGGGCAGTATGGACAATATGGTACTGCTATGAATCCGGAAGTTAATGGTGAAAGACACGATAGTTTATTTTTTAATGGCGATACCCCAGATGCTCAGCTGGCATCGCAGGTAAATGCTCAAATGAACTTAGGGCCGCAAATACCTGGATATCCTCAAGAGAGGAAAAGGACACGTCGGCATAGAGATGCCCATGCTTATGATTTGTCTTTAATGGAACCAGAAGCCAATTATTTACCTCCATTGACACCTTCCACTCCTTTAGCACCCGCTGCACAACCTCTTGATACGAGTGGTGTAAGTTCGGAAGCAGTACACGAAGATACGAACCTTTTAGATCCTAAAACATTACCTTCTGTTCCTGATGCTCGCTTTCAAGATCAGTCGACCTACAAAAACTACATTTTTAACTCAATGGACAAGGCCAATCCACCTTTGTCGACCACTGACTTTATTGGATATGAACAAAATAATTCGTCTTCGAAATTTGTGCAGATGACTACTTATGCCATTCCATCTTCTAACGATGTTTTGAATACTTCAGGTTTACCATTGGGTATGATCGTGCAACCATTTGCTGAGACTCGTCCCGATGAGGCTCCTGTTCCCGTGGTTGATTACACAACATCAAGTCCCCCTCGCTGTAAGAAATGTCGGGGGTATATTAATCCATTTGTACAGTTTACTCTGTCACGTAGTGGTTGGACCTGCAACCTCTGTGGTTCCGAAAATAGTCTCAGTAACGATGTTTACAATCCTATGCTCTTTACGAACCAACAGAACGGTTTCAGTTCTCAACCTGAACTCAATGTGGGGACGGTTGATTTTGAAGTTGGAAAGGACTATTGGGCTGCTGAGGAAAGCCCTCAACCTGCTCAATATGTATTTGTAATTGATGTATCCTATGAGGCTACCTCAAAAGGTATCCCCAAGATAGCCGCTGAGGCAATTCGAGATATACTTTATGGTCCTACCCCGTTACATCCCTCCATTAGAGTTTCTATTATTGCTTTTGACCGGAATGTGCACTTCTTTTATTTGACACCAAACTTGGAACAGCCTCGTATGATATCTGTTGCTGACTTGGAGAATCCTTTTGTTCCTTTTAAAAATGGTTTATCAGTTGATCCAATGGAATCGAGAGCTGTAATTGAGCGTCTTTTAGATACTCTTCCTTCAATTGTAGAGGACATAAAAGTACCAGAACCTACTGTCGGTAATGCAATGGAATGCATTAAGCACCTCCTTAAGGAGACTGGTGGAAAATCATTTTTGTTTGTAAGTGCACTCCCTACCATGGGATTAGGACGACTAAGATATCGGGAGGATCAAAGACTTTATGGTAATCCTGAAGAGAAAAATCTTTGGAACACTCAAGACAAATGGTATTCCCTCTTAGCAGATGAGTTAGTTACCTCAGGAATATCTATAGATATATTTTTTACGCCTACTGCTTACGTCGATGTCGCTACAGTTGGGAGTGTTGCTACATTAACAGGAGGACAAGTATGGTACTATGGAAACTTCGTGCCTGAAAGGGATGGACCACGACTTAAACAAGATTTATACCGTAGTGTTACCCGTGAACAAGGTTTTCGAGTGATGCTTAAGACTCGTTGCTCAAATGGTCTACGCGTCTCTAGATATCTTGGTAACTTTTTGCAAAGAACCCCACAAGACATTGAATTGGGTGGTTTAGATGCCGATAAAAGTATCGGGATGTTGTTTAACTTAGAAGGAAAATTAAATAATGCATTGGACGCTCATTTCCAAACAGCAATCCTCTACACAACACCGATGGGAAGTCGCAGGGTACGTGTCATTAATTATTGTTGTGCAGTGACTTCACGCAACTATGATACTATATCTCTTGCTTGTGTTGAACCGTTAGTCGGAATCTTCTCTAAAATTGCTTCCATGAATATGGCGACGGAGTCTTTGAAGGCAATCGCAACCAAACTGGTAGAAGGTATTGTTAAACTTTTGTCTTGTTATAGAAAGGTTGCGTCTAGTCGGTTAACCCCAGGACAGTTGGTGCTTCCAAAGCATTTAATTTTGTTACCAATTTACATGTTGTCAGTGCTAAAGTCTTCTGCCTTTCGAAATGGCAGTATCCATAGTGATGTACGAGTATCACAATTTAGATTTATTCGTGCATCTCCTTTATCTCAATTAATGCTCAACTTGTATCCTCAAATCTATGCTTTACATTCTTTGCAACCAAATGAGTGCATCCCCAATGCGGATGACCCTGGATGTACACCTATTGAATACCCATTATGTGTGAGAGCTTCAAGAAAATTTATCGAAGACGGAGGTGCTTTCTTAATCGTCACTGGACAAAAAGTTTTCTTGTGGTTGCACCAAAGAACTTCCCCATTACTGTTACAGGATTTGTTAGGAGTGAATCAGTTAGAACAAATTGATTCCATGAAAGCTTGTGAATTGCCAGAAATGGATAACCTACTTTCTATCCAAGTTCGAAACTTGCTGTCAGCTTTGAAGTTGCAATATCCTCATATATCAATGCAACCACAAATTGTCCGCCAAGGTATAGATGGGAGTGAGGGTGAAGTCTTTTCTACTTTAGTTGAAGATCCTTCAAGAGAGGGAGTGGGCTACGTTGAATTCTTAACCATGATCCATGAAACTTTACATAGTCAGGGTTTTAAATAGGCTTCTATGCAATTCACTCTTGACATCATTCTCTCTTTTAAAAAGAACTAGAAGTTACGAGATTCGTTACGAAGTTAATATTAGTTTGTTTTTTTTTTTTTTTTTTTTTTTTTTTTTTTTTTTTAAACCCAAGAAAAACTCTTGCAATAGCAGCTCATGAAACTTCTTGTTTGGAGAGCCGTAGAACATTACCACTTAATTACAGTTTCCGTACGTTCGTGAAATGATGTTCTTTGGAATTTGTTATGGTTCTTGATCTTTTATCCTCGTTTATCTTCAGGTGAAATTGCTTCGAGTCATTGCTGTTTACTAAAGAAGTGGTTTATCGGTATAGTTTGTTTATTGCTCATGCTAGATTATTTCCAACCAAAATTCAATTAAAGAGCTTCGAATTAAATGGAAATGTTAACAAGTAGACAGAGCAAGAAGATGGATCGTTCCTTTAAATTGTTACAATGGAATTGATTACAGGCTTCAGGCTGCTTCAATAATCGTCCTTGACGATATTCTAAATAAAAGAAAAATTTCAATAATAAATACCGAATTTTGCAAGCATGGCCCATTGTTTACTAGCAAACCTTTTGTAGCATATTTTTTTAAAGAGGATATACGTGCATAATGTCACAAATACATGGTATCCTCCAGTTACACAAACCAACCTTCGCCGTATATGACTGTAATGAACTAAAAATATATATTATTATCAAATATAGTTATCTTCAATTACCTTGTTTTTGGAAAAAAGAATTTTATTTATTACGCTGTTGATTCACTGTAAGAGGCCTTACAACTGTCATTCTATTCCATGAGTCCGATTTCGATTAATGGCCTTGAAAGTTTTGATTTTAAATCCTGGGGAAAACCGAATAGAGATATTTATAAAGAATTGCATATTTATGATTTTGACAATGTAGGAAGATACGATGCCGACTTGATTGAGAAGCTAACTTACGTTACAGACATTGTTTCAGACCCCTTTGCCCAATGCGAACATTTGGAGTAATCAAGCAATTCGTGTCTTGATGGCGTTTAACAGTAAGTTTTCATGTAATGTACGAAATGAATGAGAGGGTATCGGTGAAAAAGTCAATTTGGTTTGTTTCATATAAAAGGTTGATTTCTAGAATTTTATGACAGATGATCCTAATATGTTCACTTCTGTCAATTGGTTCTGTTGCCTTTTAGTACATTCAGCTTTTATAGAGTCGCTTTCCCTCAACGTTCGAATCGTCATTGCCAGTTCGTAACTAACAAATTTTTAGTTCTCGCGAATGGAGGATGGTTTTTTGATCCCCGGGTATTGGCTTCTACGGGTGAAGGTGTTGAAGTAGAAGAAAAACGCGCTTGGGATGGATGGTGGAATGAAAAGATGTATGAATTTTTTCTCTATTTATTCAGTGTTTGCTAATTTTATAGTGTTTCCCAAGCTAGAGAGTCTATTCGACGTCAGGACGTTTTAGCTGTCTTACTTACTGGTCGAAATGAGCAATTCAGGGAGATTACCGAGAAAATAGTAAAGAGCAAAGGATTAGACTTTGATGGAGTTGTATTCAAGCTTCAGACTACAACCGGTTATTGGCCTCAAACGCTGACTTTTAAACTCTGGTTTTTTGAACAAGTATTTCTCCAGTACCCAAATGTTCATACCATTCGTGTTTATGAAGATCGACCTTCTCATGTTGAATCCTTTTCCAACTGGCTAGCTCGTAAAGCAGATGAAGATGAAAGATTCAGTTTTGAAATCATTGCAGTTACCGAACCTCCTAAGTATCTCAAATTTACTACTGAGATAAAATTGGTGAAAAGCATGATAGCATCTCACAATGCGAAGGCCCCTACTTTAAAACTTCCAATGTATAAATTTGTAAAAAATGTTACGTCTTCTATTATAACTGTTTCTCCAACTGAGCTACATCATCTTCGAAACGCATTTTTCAGTGTTCCCATTACAGACATCATGCAAAGTGTTTCCGCTAATTCTAGAAGAACCTCTATTGATGACGAGCCTCGTATTGCTGAACCCGATTTGCCTCCAGATACTCCTTACAATTCTTATCCAGAAAAAAGCTGGATTGTAACTGCCATTGGCCGCTATCGCGACGAGTATTGGGCAGTACGCGGAGAAACATGTGATCCACACTTCAAGAATAGAATTCATGAACCAGACACCGCCAATATTCCCTCACTTTACGGTACCATCATGTATATTTCCATGTCGACGGGCATAGTAACTTCCGAGATCACTGACATTGGAGCTCAGCAATGGAAAGTCCTTCATCCTGACGAACGATGGCTGATGAGAACTAATATCAGACGAGAATGTACACATGATATCCGTTACAAGCGACCCTATACGCCGGCTCGCAAATTTACAGATATAGTGGGCTTGGAAGGTCAGCGTGCTTCCCCATTTACTGGTAGTATGCATAAACCATCCTAGAATGACAACATAAATGACTTTACTTAATTTATTATTATCCGATCATGACTTTCGGTTCCCAAAATTAGCCCATCCTTCAAATTCATTTAGGAGCGTTAGTTAAGCTTATGAAAAAAAAAAAAAAGATTCTCTTAGATACAATGTTTTCACTGAATTCTATCTATATTTACTCTTTACTTAAGATTTAATGTAAGAAAAGCTTTAAGATATAATGAATAGTAATTTGTCATTTCATTATTTTTTGTTTTATAAACATTCTAAAAAACACCCAGTCATGATAGAAAAAAGTAATAAAAAATTATTCGCGTCATATCCAAAAGTAGAATCGTCAAGCAACAGAGAAGCAGATAACGTAAAAACAATAAAAGTCTATAAGAAATAATTTAAACGTTTAAGAATTTAAAAGTACAAAGTCGTTTAAAGGTTGAATGTTTGGGCAGTTTCCTCTAATAATTTTAATTTGTTTCTTTCAATTGTCCATAAGCCAAGATGTAAAACAGAAAATAAAAAGAAGAAGCTGCTGGAAATCCAACCAAATACGGCACTAGGTATGCCAACTTTAGATACTGCCTGGTGAGTCAAGTTCAGTCCAACGCTGTAAGAGTTTACAGAAATATTTGCCAAACCCATCTGAAGAGCCAGCAATAAACAAGCAGATGCACTGGTGAAGAGACAGCAGATGGACCATTGTCGAATATTAGAGGGAAAGACGTACTTCAATATAGTGAGCACAATCGAAACTGTCCCCACGAATACAACCATTCCTAGCAATACAGGATGTACTTGCTGCCATGCAAAGCGAGCAGCATGGTAGGCCATACCGTTTGAAGGATTCCAATGACGAAGTTCATGGCAGGTGTTTTCCGTAGAATTAAAAGGCTTACTGCAGACGCCAAAAAAACCAACATCCACGGTGGACTTGGGAGATTGAATTTGTAAGATTCTAGAGAAAGTAGCTGGTTTAGAGAGGCAACCACAACAGAGGAAAACGAGAAAAAGCCATGCAATCCCTAAAATGATATTGGATATCAAATTGGGATTTGGAATGTAATTGTAGACCCTAGCTACTAAACCAATCCACGTGAATTTCGGTCTTACTTTTTGATCCTGTTTCATTTGTTTCAAGTTCTATAGAGTCTTTCTATACACAGCAAATGTACAGATTGATTTCTTGGAGACAACAAGTTTGATGGTTTTCCGTCTCGTTTAAGAAAAGAAAGAAAGTAACGATGAAAGAAGCCTTTCATGGAGGACACCAATTTATATAGTATTTGACAACAAAGAAAGGGAAAAGTTTTCGTCATCCGACAATTTCTTTGTTTCACTTTCGGTTAAGTTAAACTAACAAGTATGACCTTAGATATAAATTCGTTTTTCTTTTCTTTGACATATTCTATCATAAGGTACAATTAAGATTGTTCCTAGGTGCCCGAATCTAGCAGATAAGTTTATGTTTCTATAAAAAGTTAGTATTATAGGTGTGCTTCTACTTAGAATTGCACACTTGTTTGTTATGTTTTTGATAATATGAAGCTTTTATTTAGTGGGAAAATTCTTTTATAGAAAAATTAGAAGGTTAGGATTAGAATGAATAGATATACTTTTATTGTATTAAATATGTAAAGATCCTTCCATCTATATTTTGTAACTAACCTTCAATTTTGAAAACCTCGTATCCAACTCCAAAGACAATTAAGCTTGAGTTATGTAAAAACATGCCTCCTACATCTGCAACAAACGTATCACGCTCTGACTGGATTGACCACACTCCTTCCCGATTTATCCAAGTCAATATTCGTTGGTCAACGGAAGTAGATAAAAATAAGTCTTCTCGCAGTTGAATCACACCTGTTACACTGGAGGCATGGGCTTCAGGGTGGGAAAATTCTTCCAGTACTGCAACGTATACGATCTCATTCTTCGCGTCCGTATTTATTTTCAATTTCCTGTGACAGACGGCCCCATCGTCACCTCCTGTGAGAAGAGAAAGATCTCCAGTATGGTCGTTTAAATGAACATCTAAACTTTTGACACAAGATTGATGTACGCTAGCAGACCATAGGCATCGAGGCGTTTCCTCGACATTTAGTGGATGCAAATCCCATAACGTGATGGTTCCATCTGTCGCCGTCACGACTGAGAATATGCGTGTTTCGTAGACAAGAAGCTCAACGGAAACTAAACAACAACGTCTATACTCCCAAGATTTTAGAAACTGAAAATCACGTTTATTCTCATTGTACAGATATAACCTTGAGGTCGAATTTGAAAGAATAGTCATAACTAACCAAACGCTCTCTCCTAAAGATTCTATTTTTTTGGTAGAAACGTCAGTAATTCGCAAATCACCATCCATTTTCCTTTTTGCAAGCGCTTTTGGGCAGGTAGCCTCATGCATGATATGAGCTGTAGATGATTCTCCATTCGGTCCATGTGCTATTCTAAGTGCATTTAGTTCTTCTAAACCTCCACTAGAAAACAAGAGCTCATTGTTAGCCCAACAGAGTGTTTGAATGCCTGAATTGTGTGCCTTCACACTGTTTAGCACATCTATTTGATCTTCCTTTTCAAATTTGGACAACAATATATTGGTATCTTCTGCCCCAGATACAGTTAAGTTACCCTTTGGGTTAGAACACATTGCTCTAATTTCTCGACCATGACCCCCTTTTCTTAAAACCTTGTTACATTCAAACAAGTTCCTGTAAGAATCACAAACAAATATTTGATTGGATTTATAATACGCAAAAGCCTGTTTCGTTTGATCGATAGAAAACGACCATGGTCTATGGGAACCGCCGCATTCTAATGTGTAGACATTAGTTCCTGTAGTTTCGTTCCTCAAAAAGAAATCCGATGCATGAAAACCCCAGACCCATAAGTTTTTATCACCATTTGGAAACCTAAATTGTGTTCCCTATAACGTAAGTAAACATATACCATCGAATTCTCAACATACCCCACTTAGAATTCCTTCAACAGCCTTTTCTGAAGCAACTTTTTGGAGGTGAAAACCTGGGCTGTACTTCAAAACAAACATATTTGCAAATCCGTCCCTGCCAATAGTCTTCAAACTCACAGTGTTGTCCATAATGCTTTCAAGTACGATACTACATATGGTATCAAACTCGTGCAATCTTCTCCAACAGAACAAACTAGATGAATCACCTACTTTGTATATAGACAGGGAACCACTCCTGGATCCAATGAAAACCATATTATCGCTAACTGTGAGACAGGTTGGATCAAAAGTAGCTGGAAGATCCAGCATCAATGAAAAATCCAAACTCAATCTTTCACTCTTGATAGAAAACTGATGAAGGTAAACCTCGTAGGCATTCTTTCCGACGAAAGCTTTAGAAAGAAGGTAATAGAAACCATTATCAAAAGCTGTATATAAATGCTGTATTTTAGAGGTATGGACCTCTACTGAACAGCAATTAGAAGGGTTAGCACAATGGAATATCACGACAGATCCAATTTTAGTTCCCAAAGCTGCTATGTTCTTATTTTCCCAAGAGCATAAAGCTGTCGCCTCAGAATCCAGAGAAAAAGGAGGTAACGATTTCCAAATCTTGTTGTCCAGAAGACTGATTTCTCTAAATCAAAGTCAGTTTGTACTTCTAACTGTAAAAAACTCACCCATTTTTTGCGACACATAGTAATTTATTGACACTAAGGAAACAAAATGATGAAAGGGAAACGTCGCCATTAAAAATAGAAGAAATGTAAAATGAATAAGTATCGGTATCGTTATTATTTTTCCATTGACGAATAGCACCATCGTTTCCTCCCGTGAAAAGTAAATCATGTTTTATAGATGTAGCTATGGACCATATATGCTTACCACGATGACCCGTAAATGTTTCGGTATTATCCAGTTTGGTACCGTTGAAAACCCATTTTCTTAAAGTTAAATCCTCCGATATTGTGACTAAGGAAGAGTTGGATAGAAAACGGCATTTCCATACGCGTGCTGTGTGACCGAATCCTGTCGCAAGTAAACGGATTTCTTTCTTTATATCCCATAATCTAACGGTTCGATCTTCGGAAACTGTACTAAGGTACTGACCATCGTCAGAGAACCGTATGTCAAAGCATGCTCCCTCGTGTCCTCTTAAAGAACCGTATGTATTGATAACTCTAGGAGGGTCATTTGTAGGAAAAGACCACAAGTAAATTTCACCAAAGGCTGATGCAGAAGCAACGGTAATGCAGTCGTCTGTCAATTGCAGAGCAGCGAAAAATAAAAGAGGACTGTCTTCACATGAAATTGTTGAAGAAAAATTCCATTTATTTTTTAAATATGAATAAATCAACACTTCATTTTTGGATGTTACAGCAGCGTATTCATGTTTGGTGTTTAACTCAACCACGTTAAAAATCCAATCCGTCGTGCGTGTCCAAAAAATCTCCCATGTATTCCAGTCGACCATACCTATATTGTAACCTCCCCAAATAAGCAAACCATTTTGACATGCCAGCATGCCATGAATCCGATTTCGAAAAGGCAATCTCAGCGTTTTCCAGCAAATATCCGCATTCGCTGATTCTAAACAGTAGATTCGTAAAAACGATCCTTGAGCAGCACAGAGATACTTGTCATCGTTAAACAGAGTCAAGCTCGTTACGGGCCCTAAAAAGTTCACAGAATTCAAAGAAATTTGCGATGCCGCATTTGATGTTGACATTATATTAAAAAAACCGAAGTGATAAAAGAAAAGAAAAGGTTTAAGTTTAAATACAAAGTGGTAGGGACCAGAATTCAAAAAAAAATAAAAAGAGTGCACACAAACCAAACTAGAATCGATTCCTTTAATCTCCCAGTATTGTTTAATTGATATTGCTAGTAATTAGAAAGATAGATTATCAAAACATATCCAAAAAGGTAACTGACGATCGAAAGTCGAATTTAGTAAACTTTCAGTATTGTTGTAGTTTGCAACTAGGTACTCCTATAGTTTCCCACTGTGGTGGATTCCAGCAAACAAGATTATGCTTTTCGCGTTTTACTATTTTCATAAAGATCTTTTAGATATTTGTAACTTTTCACTCTCATAAGACTCAAATTTTTATCATTCATTCAAAAGATCCTTCTAATTCATACAATTCTGAATGTGTAAATATTTATTTGTAATATAATAAGTAGACAACCACCAAAACAATAAAGCAGGTTCGCGCTAACAATAGAAATAAGTAATATAAAGAAAGTCTTGCTTGAATTTTGTTTTTTGAAATTATTCTTAACTTCTATTGATCAGTAAGAAGCACGACACAAAGTTTACTTTTAGAAATTTTTAATTCTATGATAATATTGATATAATTATTAGCTATGCTCTTGTTTAAGCGAGATGTTTTGGAAACAGGTAGGTATCTGATTTTTCGAGATATCTTTCAGAAAACTAATACTTACTTAATTTAATTGATTAAACGGATTTCTTTTTTTTTAAAAAAAAATCATCATTGTCTAAATCATAGTGTATTTCTTAAGACGAGATGGCAACACTAAATAACTCTCTATAATATTACTTTCCTTCCTTCTTAATATTATAATAACAAAATAAGAACTGAATTAACCGATTGCTGTTAAAGCCTATACTCCCCAGGTCTTTTGATCCGTGTCGCGAAATTCAGCTACACCACTTGTCCTTCCACCAAAACTCCCCCTCTTTTCAAGTCAAGCAGGACAGAAAGAATTCTCTCTTTAACATTCTCTTTGCATTTATGAATTGAATAAAAATGTTAAAGCTCCCAATTAGGCAGCTAGCAACGCGTTTCCCGCGAACTTGTAGAAGTATTTTGGGATGTCGCTTTGCTACCACCGATACCACCAAACCAGAAGAATTGGAAGCATCTGTACAAAGCCAACTTAGCGAAAATGATTTAAAAAGGTTAAATAACATTCGTAACATTGGTATCTCTGCACATATTGACTCGGGAAAAACGACGTTTACTGAACGCGTTTTGTTTTATACCGGACGAATTAAAGATATTCACGAAGTGCGTGGTAAAGATAATGTCGGTGCTAAGATGGATTCAATGGAATTGGAACGAGAAAAAGGAATTACCATTCAATCCGCAGCTACCCACTGTACTTGGAGTCGTACTCTTGATCAAATCCAAAGTGAAAACCAAGAAAACCATGCTTCCAAAGAATTCGCCGTAAACATTATTGATACCCCCGGACATATTGATTTTACCATTGAAGTAGAACGTGCTTTGCGTGTTTTGGATGGTGCTGTTCTCGTTCTCTGTGCTGTTTCTGGTGTTCAATCTCAAACCATTACTGTAGATCGACAAATGAGAAGATATAACGTTCCTCGTGTTTCTTTCATTAATAAAATGGACCGAATGGGTGCTGATCCCTGGAAGGTGATTCAACAAATTAATACAAAGTTGAAGATTCCCGCCGCAGCAGTACAAGTTCCTATCGGCGGTGAAAGTGAGATGAAAGGTGTCGTTGACCTCATTTACATGCGCGCTATCTATAATCATGGAGACAAAGGTGAAAAGGTTGAATATTCCGATAGTATACCTAAGGACTTACAAGAGCTTGCTCAAGAGAAACGTTCTGTTTTGATTGAAAAGTTGGCTGACTTGGATGAACAAATTGCAGACATGTATGTAATGGAAGAAACGCCATCACCTGAGCAATTGGTACAAGCTATTAGAAGAACAACCCTCGCTCGTAAATTTACTCCTGTCTTGATGGGCTCTGCATTGTCAAACATTGGTGTCCAACCAGTCTTGGATGCTGTCTGTGATTACTTGCCTGCGCCCTACGAGGTAGAGAATGTTGCATTGAATGCAGCTGAATCTGAGAAGCCTGTTACCTTGGTACCAAGCAATACAAAGCCACTCGTTGCACTTGCATTCAAGCTTGAAGAGGGTCGCTTTGGTCAGTTAACATACTTACGTGTTTATCAAGGTTCTTTGAAGCGTGGTGGATATTTATACAATGTAAATTCAACTAAAAGAATTAAAGTCTCTCGTTTAGTTCGCATGCACTCTAATGATATGGAAGAAGTTGAAGAGACTGGTGCTGGTGGAATTGGTGCCATTTTTGGCATCGAATGTGCCTCAGGAGATACATTTACTGATGGTTCTGTTCATTATACTATGTCATCAATGTTCGTCCCTGAACCAGTCATTTCTTTGTCACTGAACCCAAAGAGTAAAGACACATCCAACTTTTCAAAGGCTTTGAATCGTTTCCAACGTGAAGATCCAACTTTCAGAGTGAAACTCGATCCAGAGTCGAAAGAAACCATTATCAGTGGAATGGGAGAACTTCACCTGGAGGTATACGTCGAGAGAATGCGTCGTGAATACCGAGTAGAATGCGATACTGGAAAACCACGCGTCGCCTTCCGTGAGAGTTTGACCAAAAAGGTACCATTTAGTTATTTGCACAAAAAGCAATCTGGTGGTGCAGGTCAATATGCTAAAGTGGAAGGATATATTGAATACATGGATGCAAAGGAAGACGATGCTGGTAACGTCGTTGATTTCGAATTTGTTAACAAAGTTACCGGTGGTGCTATCCCCTCTCAATACATTCCAGCTTGCGAAAAGGCATTCCGTGAAAGCCTTGAAAAGGGTTTTTTGATTGGACATCCCATAAAGAATTGTCGACTAGTTTTGGAAGATGGTGCATACCACCCAGTTGATTCTTCTGAGCTTGCTTTCCGTATGGCTACCATAACTGCGTTCCGTGGTGCATTCTTACAAGCAGATCCAATTATTTTGGAGCCTATTATGAATGTCAGTATCACTGCACCAGTTGAGCACCAAGGCGCTGTCATCGGTAATGTCGATAAGAGAAAGGGAACCATCGTTGACAGTGATATTGGAGAAGAAGAATTCAGTTTGTTGGCTGAAGTTCCCTTGAACAACATGTTTTCTTATTCTTCTGATATTCGCGCATTGACTAAAGGAAAGGGTGAGTTTAGTATGGAATTTTTGAAATACTTGCCTGCACCGAAATACGTTCAGAAAGACCTGATTACCGAATACAACAAGCAACAACAAAAGTAATTTGAATTTTTGCAGTTAAAATTGAAGTCTTTAACTTGTCTACAAAAAAAAATAGTATTAAAAATATTTACATGGATTTTGATCATTGCATACCATTTTTATATAGTTTCATCTTCACCTAATAATAGATCTTAGTCTCTTGCGAATAATATCAATTTTGGCTGAAATAAAGAATTAGCTTTCATTAAGAATTTAAAAGAAAAAGATTCGTCTATATACAATTTTCTTTAATTAGACCAAAGTGTAGTATGCAAAGGATGAGAAAGGCTGATAGAAAGGTAGGAAAGGTTGAAAGTGAGACATGACATGTAGATGGAAGCGTTGGTATATGCATAATTTCACTAGGCGTTCAAAGCGATAAACCCATTCGCTGGACTTAATTTAACATATACGAGTCAAACAAACGAATGTTGACAAAAACCACAAAGGAGGAAAGAAAACAGCATGATATAAGTTTAGATCCGGGAAAGCCAAGAGATATAATAAACTTTTGGTGTTGCTGACCATCAATCGAACCCTCTTAGAAGACGCCCAAATCTTTTTGGGCTTCTAAACGGCGTTCATTCTCAGCTTCTTCATAAAGTTGCTTCTCGCCGGACCAGCGAATAGAAATTTGTTCCAAATCATTAGGTATTTGATCAATATGTTCAAGGATTTTTTCGTTTTCAATAATTTCATTGCAGGTTTGAAAAATAAATTGGTTCCAACCAGGTTGTAAAGAATTTGCAGTCTTAGCAATGTCCATCAATTCCAATTCAGTCTCTTTCTCTAATCGACTAAATTTACGAACCAAATCATCGCCAACACCTCCTCGATTTAGCAAGACATTGAGAGCCATTCTAGACGACTTTAATCTCATCAACTGACGCAGAGCTTCCGTCGCACGCAAAACTAATCCTGCTTTTATGACAGTATCTGGGACAGGAGGATTTTGTTCCAAGAGTCGAAAAAAGTAGCTTCTTGCGGAATTTTTTCCAAACCATTCTTCTGAAACAAATTCATTTGGTATGGTTCTTGATTTTCGAACAAACACAGAAACGCCGTACATGGCGCTAATCAACACCGCGACATATACTAATGGTGCATAAATAGATATCATTTTCCTGAAATTTATTGCCCAAAGATTTTCTAGTCTTCCATACGAAACTTTGGACTTGTTTGTAATGGAGCTTGTGAAGAAATAAGTCTTACTTGGAAAAAAGTTGTGAATTCTGCACCGGCCAAATGCGGTAAATACATTAACGTCTTGGAGTGAAACAAAGTCAAAAGTGCACTAGTAAACAAGGATTTTACTGGGAAAGCCAAAAGAGCCAGAGAACCAAAGAACCAAAGAAAGCTAGCTGTCCCTCCAATCTCATATGTCTTAACTTTTGTTCGTTTGAGATGATGGACTGGTTTGGCAGCAGCGAAATTGTACGACGAAGTAGCGCTTCAACCGGTTCAACATTACAACGACGGACTGGAATAAAAAAGCAAATGAAAAACAAAAAGAAATAGAAAAAAAACCAATTTCTTAGTTATATTGCAAGTGCTAAGTAGCGGATTTTGTTGGAAAACATGTCATCTATGTATTTAGTAGGTATGATGTTACGAAATGTGCATAAGTATGAATACGCAGTGGAATATAAGGAGAACGCTGAGGGCTTGGAAACGCTGGAATGGACTTGACCTAAACCACAAAGTCAAGTAAGAAAAAAACAACGTTAAGGAAAGTAAATCCTCATGAAGAAACCCGCATTTCTCCGTTTTGTCACCGTTGAAGGGTTGAAAAACCTTTCTAGACTCGGTGTTTTAATGAGCACATCTTTTTGCTTGGCCTTGTTGTTTGTCAGCGTAAGTTCCCTTATCCTTTATAATATACAGGATAGAATGGTTGAAGAAGCATGGACGGAAACATTGAAACCCGTCTTGATATAGGAGCATTCGATCGTGCTTTTCATTTCATGCGTCAGTCCTTGAGCAGCAACTAGTGCTTATTGACAATTCCTTAAAGAAAAAAAAAAATGATTTCATGTTAATATCTTTGAAATGACTAGCAAAATTGCATGGAAAGCATCATTGGATTGCTCCTATTTGATATGCTTCCTTCTAGCTTGTATCTATATAAACATTCTTGGAGATCTTTGAAATTAATCTAACTTGTATAGAGTATTGTGGATTACTACACCTTGTGGAATCCCGGACCAGAATCTTCGTTTACCTCAGCTGAGACTTACTATACACTTTTAGCCAATGCAAGCGTTTACCATAAATACTTTTTTTACTTTGTTGTTGCTTCAGGAATGGTATTTCATCTTATCCAAGCCAACAAAGTCACCGGTGACGACCGCCTGTATTACTATTCCAGCACTCTTTTGTACATAACCGCAACTGTGATATTTATCGTCAACGTTTCTCCTGCTATCATCACTGCAAAATTACGACGATATGTTCAGTTTGATAGAAACATGCATTTTATGGTTCTTGGTGCTTCCCAAGTTTTGATTGGTTTTCTCTTAGCCGGTGTCCTTCTTCTCCAGCTTGGTCATCTATTTGCCCTTCATGTAACCGCCATCGTTCAAAGTGAGTATACAGAAGAACAATCTAATGAAGCGGCCGAACAGGAAATCTCTACTACTGACAAAGAATACACTTCCAAAGTCAGCTCCAAATATTCCAGTCAAGTGCAAAACAAAAAGACAAATTAGGCTTAAAAAAAGCCCCTGAATTATTTTTTGGTATTATGATCTTTATCTGTTATATTTAGTTTGCTATCTACGGTATTTTTTGGAAAAATCAATTCACAACTCACATTCTTCCCAGTATTCTGTCGTTTCATCGCATGACATGGATCACGATTTCGTAGCATATATGAACTTTCTTCTACTATTATTTGAGTTTACTTTAATTGTCAATTGCTCTTTTATTGTATTTTCATTCTCTATTAATCCAAGTAACAGACTATTGTTACTTCCCCCAGAGGAGACTTAGTTTAATTCTTGCAAGATCGTGTTTCTTCCGTATTGATTTTGGTATAGAAAGAACGTAATATTCCAATTTAATCTCCAATATCTTCTACCAACTTCTACATAAAAAGAGTTTCCAGTGTCATAGCGTTCAGGAATTAGAACTCGTCAAGTCGTTACAACATGCTGCAGTTATTCGTTTATGGTCCAGGACTGGGCTTACCAAGTTTAGATCCAAGTTGTTTAGCAGCAATTTTGTACTGTTCACTTGCTGTCCCCAAGGACGAATTTGTGATTTATCAGACTGCGAATGCCAGTATGAGCCCAACGCAGAAGCTGCCCGCTTTGTGGGACGGCCATACGTGGGTAGGATCGTTAAACCCAGTTCTATTTTATTTGAAACAAAAAGGATATGATTTGGACAATCAATTAGACAAGGATGCCCTCAGTAAGATTACCGCATTTTCCTGTCTTTTGCAGAGAAATGCCTACGATTTATGGCTCTTTAAAGCCTACGTTTGTGAAGATAATTATGTTCGTGTTATGCGTCCCGAGTGGTCCAAGGTGCTCGGATTCCCTTTCAATTATACGACCCCTAATGCATTTCAAAAATACGCGAAAGAACGCTTAAATTTGACATTGGGTATTAATGAAGAGAAAATGTCCTATGAAGCTTCAAAAATGCCAATTTCCCATAAATGGACGAACGCTTCTCGCCAGAAGCAAGCATTGTTACAAGCCCAAGCGTTTCGTATCAGGATTTCTTCCCTAGCTCGACATTTATACGGCTCTTTAGAATTGCTAGTTGGAGATTCTGAATACCTATTTGGAGAACGTCCTACTTCTCTTGATTGTCTCCTCTATGCGTTCCTCTCTTTTCATGCTCTAACCGAGAATTTCGATCAATTAACCTTACGAAGCACAATGCAATCATCTGCTCCGAAACTGTTTCGGTTATTAGAATCCATGAGAGCGAAATGGTCTCCGTCTAAAGAGGAAGACGGGTTACTTTTCAATGTTTCCATCGAAAAGCAACCTCAAAATCTTCTAGCCTTAGCACGAGTTGCATGGAATAATGTGTCTAAAAAAGTTTGCGAAACAAAAAATTCTTTTCAGAATGTTTCTATTTCACGTGAAAAGCAATTGTCGTTAGCTAGAAACGGATTTTTCATTCTAGCTTCCACCTTTGGCTTTGTTTGGTTCGTTTTAGCAAACGGCATAGTAGTCATTGAAGATGAGGAAGATGTAGATTTGGATACTTTAAGAGAAGAATCATCTTCCTTAACGAATGATGATTTGCGCTCTAGAGAGGTAGAGCAACGCTTTGACGACAGTTCCAAAAACGAAGCTGCACCAGAATCAGAAGAATTAGATACTCCATCTATGTCGGCAGAAGATCTTTTATTTGGTTTTGAAGGTGAAGACGAAGAAGACGGCTATGATGAATGGGAAGAAGATGAAATGGATGATGAAGAAGAAGAGGAGGAAGATTTTGATGAAGCTGATGCTGATATAGCTTAATAAAAAGACTTATGGAACGGATAAAAGCTCCCATGTGGATTATGACGGAATTTTGGATTAGTACTACATAAATATCCTAAGAGCAGCAATTCAGTTAATAAATAATTTTCATGTTTTCTTCTGTTGAATAAAATATTATGTATATTATGCGTGTAATCATTCATAATTCATGGCTAAAAAAAGAGTGTGCTTGATGATCAGAGAATAGAACCCGCTAGCTGTATGCATTAGCGAAATTCTATACCATTTCTTCTACAACTCGTCTGCTATCCGAGTTACCATCATCAATCTCCAGTTGAGCGTATGGAATGTTAGCCAGAGCATCATCGACTGGAGGGAATATTTGTCGATAACAAACATATGCAATGGCCATTCCCAGAAAGCCACCAACGACAATATCTTCTACGTGGTGTCGGTAATCCTCATTACGACTAATGCCTATCCAGGTAGCGAGCATCAATGGAAGAACAGTAATAATAATCGCCCAAGAAGAGGTCTTTTTACGAAACATCCTCAGTTGAGAGGCAATAAACAAGGAGAGATATCCAAGTCCTGCAAAGGAAAAAGCAGTGTGTCCGGAGGGAAAGGATCGTAATCCATCTTGCAAGATATGACTCTCCCAAGAAGTAGTACAAACATGGAGATCCACCAATCCGGTATGAGGAGATGAACTAAGAGGATTACAGCGAGCTATAAAATCCGGGCGAGGTCTTCCTACTGTGTTTTTAATGACGGTTACGATAAGACCGGAAAGCATGGTGGAGTAAAGTAAACCCATCAAGCTTTTCCAGAATAGAAGAGGGCTCTTTCTGAATCTACCAAACCCATAGAGAATTAATCCAGGCAAAGGAAGTGCAATAATCTAGAAAATAAATCGTTAGTCAGTGAAGAAAAGAAGGGGGGAAAGGAGCTTATTGCTCAATGGCTTGACAATTTGAGTGCAAATATGATAAACTTACTCCTAGGTACATTGTAGGTACTCTTTCATGTTTAGCATAAGGATGAGAAATTGTTAAATCCTCTAAGGAGAATTCCCTCTGAAAGGGAAGCATCGTAACATCTAGAATGAAATAACACAACGCAACTAGAAGCAATACGCCGTAGTCTCCATAAATTATCCATAATTCTTTAAATCTTTCATACTTCTCATTATTTCCGGGAGACATCTTGGCATAGCTCGAATTGCCAAGTGTGGAAGTGGAAAGTGGCTCTATATTGAGGATGAAGTCAAGTCTTGAATGTATACAGAAGAAGCTTTGAGATCCATCTTTGTTAAGATATAACTGAATAAAAAGGAAAATTTATTATAAAATTAATCCTAAATGTAAATACTACCGATTCTCATTTGAGCTGTTCTGTTCTGTGTATGGTATTATGTGTTTTCCAATATGTTTCCTATAATCCATGAAAGGTGATTCAATTTTTCATTTACTATAAAAACCTTTATTAAAAAAAAAAAACCATTCCTTCTATCGCTTCCGTTGACAAATTGAGCAGAACAACGTTTCCCTGAGAATGTGCTTCTAATAAGAAGGAAAATGAATGAAAGAAGAACCGTTTAAGCTCTTGACAATCATTCTAACAACAGTTCATTAAAATATTAAACAATAGAAGGATGAAAGAGTCTTCACAAACTGCTTCGATACATTCTTCTTTTGCTCATCATAACAGATATTCCTTATACATTTCCACTAGCAACTTTCCCGATGAAAGGGATCTGAGAAATTTAATAGAAATAAAAACATGAATTCATCCTTAGTTTCTTTCCCTAGCTGAAAAATCATTTAAATGTATTTTTCGCCAATTTGTAAACAGACGTTAATTTTTAGCTCTCTCGTTTAATACGAGCTTATCAACAGAAGTCTTTACAATACCTTCTCTTGTAAATACAGACGAAAGCAGTCGCATCGCATAAAATAACAAAAAAGCAACAAGAACATAGAATTATTTTGAAAGGAAAAGCTCCACTGATCTTTTATTCTTTGAAGCTCTATGTAACTTTGCAAAGAATCGGTTAGTTTGAAGCTTTTTTCATCATAAAGGAGTTAGACCTTTGTACGTACATACGTATACACCTATGTTGTCATTGACATTTATATCGTGTTCCTTTGCTTTTGCTCGCTTCTTGGACACATTTCCAGTTTCGTAGCTGGAATTGAATTATTTTTTCAAGCTGAACAGTTTCTTGCTTTCATTAATTCGACCTCTACGTAGCAACATGAAATGTTCACTGATTGTTGGCTCACGTAAAGAGGCCATCGCAATCAATGGTACACCAAGCTTTGTAAAGTCAAAGCAGTTTGAGGGACAGGTTAAAGTACGGCTGCGGGATTATGAAGTTTTGGATCAAGAATACTTCTCAAGATCCAACGATACATGCTCCATCATGATTGCTGGAAGATTTCTTCCTACGCAGGGTGCATTAACAGCGGATGATATATTGTTTGGTAATCAGTTTGATAAACCCTTACGGGATATTCTTCCAACTGGATCTTCTTACATGATGAAGGGTCTCAAACTGGTAGACCCAGCGATTGAATACGATTTGTACTGTGATCGACCATGGGCATTTTCTCCGTTTTATGCAACGATGACCAAGTTTACAACGGCTAATGCTCAACCTCCTTTGAAATATTTCGATGAAGGTTCTCCTGGAAGAAGGAAGGAAATGCAAGATCCTGAGAATCGTAAAAAAATTGTACTCAGTCCAAATCAATACTTCGTTGCTGATTTTTGTAATCCTTTCTTTGATCCCAGCTCCATGAGTGTCTCCATTCCATATACCAGACTGAAGTTTTCTGTCAAAAGTTATTATTCTGGTCAACCTTTGCGATATGTTTGCAAAACACGGGCAGGAGAGACGATTTTTGCTATAGAGTTTGACTTATAAATATAAAAATACAAGCCTTCATAGCTTGGATTAGATGAAAGGAAACAATTCATCCTGTTCGTTCTGTTCGTTAAATAACGAAAACAAAAAAGAAAGAAAAGGTATATGTTTGGTAGCATTCTAACGATTTCTGATAAGAAAAGAAGAATTAAATGATTATAAGATTCACTTCCCATATTTCAATTAGAGCAAATTATAAGGGTCCAATACTTTTCAGGTCTTTACTATTCCGTCCATGCTTTATAAGACTTTCATCAAATTGGCCTTCTTTATCAAATGTAGTCTTTTTTTACTTTTTGTTTGTTTTTATAATCCAAACAATATGTAGACTCGACTCGTGTAGAATTGATTACATACATGCATATACACGCAGCTCATCAATCCATTTCCATGAATACCACAGACAAAATTGTTCGACTACGACACAATCTAAAATGTCATGTTCGAATTCATTTTAATGATAAATATCCGGTAGACATCAATGATTTGTTGTTTTCTGTTCAGAGGGATTTACACGCGGTAGCTTTTTTAAATCAAGGAAATGTTCGTACAATTTATGGTGAGTAACTAACAAAACTACAATTAGTTAGACCATGCTAATAATCATTACAGATGGAAAAGTAATAGACGTGTATTCTGAACCTGTGCAAGGACATGCATTGGTAGAAATAGGTCGAAAATTTGTACAACCAAAAGAACCGCAAGATGAAGAGGAAAAAGACCTGAAGCCAACGTTGGAACTTCAGTATCAAGGTTCAATGTCAAACAAAATCATTCATGTCGCTATAAAGGGCGCCTTTTCATCTTCGTCTTGATCCGGACCGGAAATCTAGATATGATTTTTATAGCAAGAACAGAACGTAACTCTTGAAAAATAAAAAATAAAAAATAAGGATTGAACGAAAACAGAATGCCTACTGCCTTTTTGTAGTTTTAATGGCATGTCATATCACTACTTAACAAGAATATATGGTTATTTGAATTTTGTAAACAATCGTTTTTTTATTTTATTTTATTTCACCCTTTAACCCTATTACCATAACAATTTTTCTTTTCCTTTTCCCTATAGACCAAAACAGAGCACGGAAGATTCAAGCCATTACTCTCTATAAATATGCTGCACCATCATAGATTATTTTAAAGGATTCCGCAAAAGTAAAAAAAATCTCCTTAACGACGTTTGCGTTGAACAACAGTGAAACCATCGTCGTCAACAGTTGGAGCCTTTGACTCTTCTTCAGAGGGTTCGGGAAAGTCTTCTTGCATCGATGGTTCGCCTTCAACAAGTTCGGGAACGGCAGAAGATGATGACTTCTTGTTCCTATTTTCTTCTCTCTCTTGCTTTTCAACCATTGGCTTTCCTAGGTGTTCATGAATGTCACGAATGGGTTCAAAATTATCTTCCAGGGTCGCTTGCCAGACACGATGCAAATCTTGAGCCAACTAAAAAGAAAGAAAGGTTAATATCTGAAGGTATACTAACTCCAACGAGCATAGATGCGATTTTTATACATCTTCAATCCCGGTTTGTCAATTACTTACAATGTAAGGAGAGTCGTCTTCAATAGAACCAACGTTGAACTCGTCCTGCAAAATTTGCAAAATGAGTTCTTCAATATCATAGGGATCAACGTCTTTGGCAGAGCAAATATAATCTACTATTGCTCCGGCCATCCAGTCTCGCTTGTCAGCTGTATCGACATCTGCCCATTCTTCTGCTACAGCCTGTCTCATGATGGGCCAGCAACAGATCAAAACACCAGCAGCATATTCAAAGTACGTCAACTTTTTTGAAGGATCGTCAAACATGGCGAAGGATATATATGAATTTTCAAGTTTGATAACTTCTTACCTCCAAAGATTCCACTACCTATCGTTAAAACAACGTTACTGAATGTGGCTTCAAGTACACTATATGCATTACGAAACTGAACGAAATGTAGTAAAATGTTCAGTGCGATATTTTCAGTCACATTAAATTATACTGGAAACGAAGTTGAGAAACTCTTTGGTGAAGTTGGCCTTTATTGTTCCCTTTTAAATTTGCATAAATTTGGTTGGTTTTGGTCGAAAAAATGAAGTTGAATTACTTTGGAATTGTTATCTCGAACTTCATGCCAAAGACGGCCAAAGTACGAGTTGCAAAGGAAAAGTTCCACCCAGTCATCAAGAAATATGTAACAAAATACCAAAATTACATGGTACAGGACGATCGTGGATGTGGAGTTGGTGATGCTGTAGTTATTCAGCCATGCAGACCGCGTTCTGCGACAAAGAGATTCGAAATTATAAAGGTTCTACAAGAAGCGAACCGCGCGTCTCCCAATGCCTTTGCTGCATCTAAGGAGACGCCAGCTGATTCGAAATCATAAACTAGCAGCTGTATTGAATAATTAATAAAGATCCGAAACCCCAAAACGTCCTATGTCAATCGTTATGCCTTTTGAAGAAGCATGAGAAAAAGGGTCTGTACCCTTTAACTGAGAAGTGCGCCATTACATGCTTCTATCATGCAGAATATTGATTCATTTTGTTTGTAGAAAACATCCCTATAGTTTGTTTCCACTTGGCTATTTCATCGGAGGTTTTCTCTTTTTTTTTTTACACGACGATCGGCACTTTCTATCTCTTCTACTCTTTGCATATTTAGGATAATTACGAATTATTTTTATTTTCGTACTCTGGCATTAAGATTTGACTTGTCTAATGAAAGTATGATAATAATTTACTAAGGTACTTTATTAAAAGATCCAAAATCTCTAAGCAAACAAATCTACTAGAGGATGATGATGAATTCAAGATGAAACTCTGCAAACTGAAAAAGCTAAAGAATATTTGTTCAAATGAAAAAAAAAAAGAATATATATTTATGATGAAACTCAAACAATTCATTCAGCCAAAATAAAAGGGACCAAAAATTATTTTAAAGAGATTCAAGGGGTTCATTGCTCTTCATTTAATTACTAAGATTTTTTAAACCCATTTCAACTGCGGCAGAACCCCAGTCATCACCATGGTTATGACCACCATTAAGTCCGGCACGGTAAAGGGCTTGCTCTTCATTCAAAACAGTCAAAAGTCCCAAAATAACAGGAACATTCGAGTCGAGACCAATTCGCATGAGTCCGTGGACGACGGCCTCCGAAATGTATTCAAAATGCATCGTAGAACCCTTGATCAAAACGCCAATACCGATGACAGCATCGTAACTGTTGCTTGCCATGAATGAGCGGATTCCAACGGGCAATTCCCAACTTCCGGGAACACTTCTGACATCGATATTTTCGGCTTTCACTCCATGATGATGGATCATTTTATTCACGGCACCCTTTACCAAAGGCTCGATAGCTTGCAAGTTCCAGCGAGCATGAACAATGAGAATTCGAAGATCGGGTCCCTAATATATTAGCAAACGTTGTTTCATGAAAACTACTTTAAAAAGGATCATTGTATGTTTCAAAATGTTCGCTAAAGGTCTTTATGCAACCGGTCATGGATCAAACGTAAAGGAACTGGCTTTTCGTTGCTATCCATTTTCAATATCAAAAGTAAGAAAACTATTTTAATAGTTATCTACAAGACCTTTCAAGTTTCATGAAGAGAACTTGATAACGTATGCATTGAGAAACACTAGTTACTTACTTGAAGATCAGATGGATTGGGTCCTTTAATTCCTTCAAACATTTTTTAGACTGGAAAAAAAATAAGTAATGAAATCTCGTTTGAACAATGAGAAACTGATGGCAGTTGAACTTTCCAATAATGCTGAAAGGTAAAAGTTGATGATTTGTACTAAAGGCTACGGTAGTCTCTATGACAGGATGATTTAATATCCGTAAAGCGAGATATTTGGATGGTAAGGCGGAAAGAAAGTAGAAGAAGAAAAGAAAAAAGAAAAGAAAAAATTTAATTCAAAATGGAAATGAAAATGATGATTTATATTAGAGAGCGTTAACCTACAAAAGGATTAGTCATCACTGTGATTTTACAAGATTCTTTTCTACAGGTAGAAAGTTAATGAACATAATGAGAGTCAGAGAAATAACAATAAAAATAAAGATCCTATACTAAGCATAACTAAGCATATCATAAATAGTAAAGCGTAATACAAAAGCGTTGATCACATAGTGTTATAAGAAAAAACCACAAACATATTGAACGGCATGGTATCTTTAAACGTAGAAATTGACTCGTTTACGACTTTTTTTAAAAAAAAAAAATAAAGAACAAGAGAAAGACATTGAAAACTGTGTCAGCGATTTCATAATTCCCGTTCAAACTTCCATAGAAACAAGGCGATGGAATTGACGAAGAATATCAGTCACTCTTGAGTCTGTAACGATATTCATAAGAATACCTGGTCATAAAAGGTTTGCAAAGAATGAAGGCATATGTTGTTGTTGCCTTTTACAAAGAAGAAAGTGTTTGCCCCTAAAAACAAATAAAATAAGAATAAAATAATATAAAAAACCTTCCATCCCTTTGAATCCCTAAATCATCAATGGTACAGACACGACAATTAAACGATTCCACGACGATCTAACCAGCGAGCCCAGACTAAAGAATACAGGTTAGTAAAAGTTCAGCTTGTTGACAGACATCAAAGAAAAGTCTTTAGCGGTAGCTGTTACTAGGGAACAAGACCTCTCTGCGCATGAGAGATAGAAATCAAAGTCGACATACCATGAAAAGCGAATTTTCTTCCTAAAAACTTGCCAGCAATGGGAAATATTACTAGACATAACAATTGTTCCAATTGCTCGATGGATTCTTTTAAATCATCATCCAATTCACTAGAATAATAGTCATCATCAGCATCGACTTCTGATGCCGCAGGAGAATGCAAGTGAAGCAAATCGGCCATCCTAGTCAGTCAAACAATAGAAGGTTGATTTTTGAATCAACCAAGCATAAAATTGAAAAATAATGAAATGAGAAATACTCTTCTTGTTTCTATACAGTTAGGAAGTGAGCACTTACAAATAGCAAATCCTAAACTGACGAAGTGAGTAGTTTAAAAGCGAACACTAGGTCAACAGAGCAATGCGCAACACAGTAGATCAACGTTTTGTCATCGGACTGTAAAGAAAAAAAAAATTAAAATTAAAATTAAAAGTATAGTATTTAATGTATCTATAAATCTAATATATTATGAAGGATTTGTATCCATACGCAAAAGTATCGTTCTTGAAATGAGATACAAGCTTCAAGATGCATTTTTATTGTCAAATAACCCTTCAAGTTTCATAAGCCATGTGTTGTTCTTTTTTTTTAAAAATTAGCAAATGCTATTTTTGTTGAGCAGGTAGATGCTCAACGTAAACGGTTTCTGTTTCTATTTCTGTTTATATGTCCATAGCCGTATACGATGAATGGATCTTTGTTTTATCTTTATTTTTATCGTTTTTGATCACTAAGTTTTCTTTTTCGAGTGTAGAAATGTTTCGTTGTCTTTCTATGGCCTAGTAAAATCAACACTCTTTTACGTCTAGTGAAAGCAACCAAAAGGTGATTTCTTTTTTCATTCTATTTTCACGTATTCAGCATTTATTGTAGTCAACGTGTTCAAAAACGGTTAATTATTCTCGATTTTCACTTTATTTTTGGAATCTTGAAACTTGAGGATTGGATTGACTTTTATTGAATTCTCAACATCGCGCGACGTGATCCTTTACGCGCGAGTTTGAAAGGAAACTTTTGCACCCTCTTTAAATTGGAAAAAATAAGCAAAAACAAATATACAATATATGTTTCGGAATGCTGGTTCTAAATGCTTGTAGAAGATGAAGGTATAAACAAGCATTGTACTACTTTGACGAGATGGAATCCTATGTTTATCAACGATGTCTACTCTATCGTCTTTAATGGTTCTACAACACGTATGTTTGCTTTCACATCTTTGAATGGATAAATGTTTTGCTAACCGTTGCTAGAAAACATAGGTTTCTGGTTCGGATCTCCCGTTTGCTGGGTACAAATTGTAGGATATGTGGTTTCGTTAGATGTCTATGAAGATAGATGTATATGTGTAGGTAGGTTACAAACATTTGTATATTCAGGTCGTCATATCCTTTGTTGACCAAGTCATCAATTTGTCAAATTTCTGATGGAAAATGTAACTCTCTAGACTCCTCTACTAACACTTGTTCCTAGTGGATGATTGTACCGGTCAAAGTTTGCGTACCGTTTTCTCAATGCAGGAAAAACCTTCCTTGGCACAGAAGGCAAGCACATTGAATCCTGGAAATATTGTCCGCGTTGGTGGGAAAATCCAACGGTCCCACTCTGTTCATTTGGTAGCTTACAAGTTGGAGTTGCTTGAAGATCCCAATGCTGAATGGAAGGAATGGCTTCAAAGAATCCATTATAGGCAGAATTTACAGAAGATGCAATTCAATCTTAAACAAAAAAACAATAACTTTGGTTTTCCTTGCAAATCGATCGATTCCAGCAAGCACGCCAAGATTCTCCTTTATCATCTGCGGCGATTAAGTAAAGCCAATCCAGAGGCAGGCTTTACTATTGAAGAAGTACTTGGATTTCTAAGAATACATCACTTGGAACTTCCTTCCATACCTATAATAAACGTGGAAAGTCAAAGGGTGGATATGTTAGATGGCATGGATGAGGAAGCTATACGACTTTCACTCTTATCTCTTGTGCAATATGGAAGAGTGGTCTACAAAAAATCACGCGAAGTCTATCGTTTAGTTCTTAGTAAAGATGTGATCAAATTCGTGATGCCCATGATGTCCACTGGCCGTGTTGAGGCCCAAAGTGTATTGGAATTGCTTCGTCAAGGAGATGCCAAGTTTCAAACAGTCCCCATCTACGCCGTTGCCAAGTATATTCGAAAGTTTCTTCGGTCCGCTAGGTGCAAATGGGACGAGAAGGAAAAGTATGTCTGGGAACTTCAAACCCGTAGCTGTGCAATCCCTACCAAGTTAATTTAGTATACATGTCCTGGAAAAATCTAATTTCCAAACAATAAATCGGGAAAACGTAACTCACATTACTATAACCTCTTCATCTTATTAGTGGCCTCAACTTCAGCATTATCTTTTAGAAGTAATTTAAAAGATTTTGTTCCATTGTTCAAGATATATATATACAAAACATTTACTTTAACTAGTTTATGAAGAGTCTTAATCTTACGTCGCAACCTTGACGATTGCTATATATATCTTTTATTTTCCTTCTAACCAAGCCAGTTACGCGTGGCGCAATGGTAGCGCACCTCATTCCTACTCGGTTTAGAAGCTGATCAGGAATCTGAACAATGAGGAGGCTGCGGGTTCGAGTCCCGTCGTGTAAGTTCAGTTTTTTATTTTATTTTTTTTCAGAATCATAATTTATACTTTATTTTACAACGTTACATAACTAAAAAATATTTATCGCACTTGATTTCTTTAAAACACTATTATTTCATTATTAACATTAGTCAAAAACACTGTCTCAAACGCGCATGAACCTTTTAGTAAAGCTATCTACTAAACTTCTATTCCTATATTAACCATATTAATTAATTGCTTTGAATTAATTCCGTAAACAGTTTCTGAACCTGTCGCAGATATTGTAGTCTACGTTCTCCAGATTTTATTACCGGCACTGTGTCTCTTCAACAAAATCAGTTTGAGACGGCTGAAGAAATCGCTCGGCTATAAAACTCATACAAAGTTGCATCTTCAATGTCTTGTTCTTCTCTTCGTCCATAAACTGAAGGTCGTCAATCTCCATTAGTCCATCTTTCATCGTCTCTTCTTCCTTATGTGATCCTTCTTTGCTTGAAGAATGTTCCTTTTGCTGTAGGAAAAGATTAGAGTCATCATAATCATCATCAAATGGTTCATAAAATAAGTCTTCGAGTTTCATTATTCTTTCATCTCCTTCATCTTCGTCTTCCTCGTCGTCTGAAGTATCGCTATCCGAGTAGAAGGGTCGAATGTTTTCGCCGCCATTGGGAAATGTAATTGCTTTTTTGATGTTATTTACTGCACTTGCATCAGGTTCTTGTGCGTTTCGATTCCGCTCTTCCAGCTTCAGTTCGCTTAGGGTGCTATCTTCTTCTTCTAGTACTGTATTATCCAGTCCCCAATTTTCTCTCATATGCTCCAGGCATTCAAAAATCAACCTATTCGTAGTAGAAAACATGTCTTTGCCATCACCCTTTTCTTCTTGGTAATCGATACTATACTTCGGCTCTGGTGACAAAATGTCTCTTTCTTTGTACTTTCTTTTGTTTCCTCTTTTCCTTTCTTCTTTTTCTTCGTAAATTGGTATTATTGGCAAGAAACATGGATCATCCTCCCATCTGATGTCTTCTCCATAAATATTGTTTTCTTCGGTTTGTTCCAAGATGGAATCTTTTTTTAATGCATCACTGTCTATTTTTTGTTCATAAGTTGGAAGGATCGGGAATAAGTTTTCTAAATCAACTTCTTGTGCATCATGAGTTTTGAAATTGCCATAGTCTCCCTCTAGTTCATTTTTAATGTTATTGGAGTATTCCTTAATGTTAATGTTAATGTTGTTTTCAAAGCTAGTAGTTTCAGTTGAGACAAGGTTTGTATCTTCCGTTGAATCCTCAGTTACTGGCAAGAGATTTCTCTTCAAGTTTTCGGACAATTTTTCTGAGTTTATTTCTTGAATTATCTCTTCAAGGATGACATCTCCGTTCTTCTCATCATTGTTAATTTCTGTTTCATCACTCCATTCTAGTATCATTTTTGGTTCATCTTCAAAAATCGACTTCCAATAATCCGTATCTGCATAAGTATCATTTGGGTCATTTTCATCACACGCTTGTTCAATGGATTCTTTCTGAGCAATTCTGAGTTCGCCTGTTGACGTTTCGTATTCGAGAAGTCCCGGAAAAAAATCCGTTTTGATTCCGCTAAGACAGTACAACTTGAAGATCTGATTGCAGCGAAATAGCTGAGTATTTGTACTGAATGCATCATGGAAATATTCACCTACAATTTGTTGAACTTTGGTACTCTTTCCATTCACGTTAAAGGATATTTTTTCACCGTCTGCTTCGATGTATTGATCATTAAAGATTGGAGTCAAATGCTCGAGTTCTCCGAAATGCCAAATTAACTGCACTTTTCCGTCAAGACAATAAATATAGCCAGTAACTGAGGGAAAATTCTGAAAACAACTTTCGTAGTCATAGGAGTTTAGATTATACACTGAGCTTTTCTTTGATAGTGACCAAGCTTGAAGCGTTTTTTGATAGTCCAAGACCCAAGAGGCATAAATAATAAACTTTTGAAGAGCAAGAACAGTTGTGTTTACCGAGAAGCTAACAACTTTGTATAGTACTTTGAATGGGAAAAGAACAGAGATTATTATTGTTTCCAAAAAGATAGCCAGAGTCAGGTATGTAAGGGTCTTTACTGTAGAAAAGCTTTTGGCAATCCATAAAAAAGCGTGTTGAGAAAAGTTAATAACACTTTCAAGGTTCTGAAAGAAGCAAAGGACGGCTAAGATACAAGATGAAATGGTTATTGGTTTCAAAAAGATCTTGCCTATATCAAGATAAAATCGAATTAGTGGAAAATTGATGTAAATCATCTTGGTTTCCTTGTAAGATTGAATAGGGGGGATAATGTCATGAATAACCCATATATATATATTTTTTTTTCTCTTCAAAAAAAAATAAACAAACATCGAAATAAGCTTCGTGAAAACAAGTGTCAACTAAACAATTTGGATATCTGTGTGGTATATAGTAAACAAACAAATAAACAAACCAAAAATAAATTTCAAATAACAACACATAGATTGTAAGATAGTAGTGAGAAATTATTAGTTAAATGAAAACCATGGACATAAGGTATGAAAGCTTCAAGGATTAAAGGTACTTGATGTTTCATCCTTGGCACCATGAAGAGTAGTAGCAAAGGGGTTTAAGATTAATAACTATAATAGCTCAAATTCATTTGCGGTAGGAAAATTATCGAATGAGTTTCATAAGTTAATATGACCAATTTTTTCCGGTAATCATTTCATAGGCGTCCATATACTTTTTACCAGTGGATTGAATAATATGCTCAGGAAGTAACACTCCAGGCTTACCATTTAACTTATTGGAGGTAAGCCAATTGCGTAAAAACTGCTTATCGAAGCTGTCTGGAGATGCTCCGACTTTGTAGTCAGCAGCGAGCCAAAATCGAGAAGAATCGGGAGTTAACACCTCATCCACAAGAACAATTTTATTAGTAAGTTCATCAACGCCAAATTCGAATTTAGTATCGGCAATGATAATACCCTTTTGTAATGCATAGTCTCTGGCAACTTTATAAAGATCAACAGCGGTTTGAGCAACTTGTTTAGCCAGGTCCTCACCAATAATGCTACTCATTCTATCAGGATGAATGTTCTCATCGTGTCCCTCGGCAGCTTTCGTACTTGGGGTGAAAAGAGGTTCAGGAAAAGCCTCGCCTTCTTGCATATTAGCAGGGACTTGGATTCCGTGAACGGTACCATGGGTTTGATATTCCTTCCATGCACTTCCGGTTAGGTAGCCACGAACGATTGCTTCAATAGGAAGGATTTTAAACTTTTTAACAAGCATGCAACGATCCTTTAATTCTGGATGCTGTTGAATGACTTGTGGCATTTCGTTCCATTTGGATGTAACTATATGAGTTTGGACTTTTTCTTTTAAAAGAGAAAACCAAAACTCTGAAATTTTTGTAAGAATTTTACCCTTGTTTGGTATTCCGTTTTCCATAATCACATCGTATGCACTGATTCGGTCGGTCGCAACAAAGAGCAGACAAGAAGGAAACTCTTCACACTCATAAAGATCTCTTACTTTTCCCGAAGCTACCTTTCTGAAGGGTGCAGGCAAAGATGTCTGTGAAACGGTCATGTTTGTGACTAGTAAATGATTGACTTATCTTTCGTTGAAGTGTAGCAAATGAAGCAAAAATATTTGCTTACGAAATAATTAAAAGGTGAATAACTTTAAGGTCAAAAAGGTATAACCAAAGAATTGAAATTCCCTCTCTGCATATAAAAGTTCAAAAAGATTGAGTGCAAAAGATGGAGATTGATGAACAAGATATAAGATATTGAAACGTTAAGGACAATTAACGCCGACGAGTACGTCTATGTTATTCTTTTGGTATAGAAGAAATACATCAACTATAGCAAAACTTTTACGTTGTTGTTTTTTAAGTAAATAAATACTGAAGGCATTAACCTGTGGATATATCCCTTCGAGTAGTTTCGGTTCCTTTCAAAGAGAGGAATAGCGTAAGGAGGACTTTTTCCATTCCATTGCAAAGAATTTTTGTTACATAAAATTGAAATGTCGTGTGGCATTCTTCATAGGGCCGCCAAGATTTGAAGAACTAAAGATGTTTAGCCAGGACATGTGAGATCGCTAATCCTTCTTTTAAAGAATGAAGGATTTAAGAGGAGGCATTGACGATTAAAAAAAAAATAAATAAAAAGGATTTAACATTAAGAAACACTTCTGTAAATAGGAATTGTGAAAATAAAATTATCGCTCCAGGTAGCATATCATTTTGAAGAAGACGATATAGGTATCAGTAACCTTGATTTAATAATATAAAGTTATAAGGCTTCCTGGGTATATAATTTTAAAGGGTACATGGTGAACATTGTTACTTGTTCGTACATAAACAAACAATGGTATAATAAAAAAAAAGTAGAAAAAGAGCAAAAACATCACTGACAATTATAAAAATTAAAAACAATTTAAAAAATATATATATATATATGCTATTTCTTTCTCGCTGAACGATACCGATAGGAAGCTTGCTTAGTGTATGAGAGTATTTATGATTACAAATACGTTTGTTGTAACAGTTTGCTCTTTTGCAAGTGTAAGCAATTTTTCTTCTTCAATTCTGCTCACCCATTTTTAGATTCAAAAAAAGAAGGAGACTTTTATTCCTCTTTCGGATATACCTACAACAACTTTTCAAGTAATTCAGGAATAATTAGTGCTACAATATAGCTTACGGTTTCTTTTTCATGCCTTCTTCTCTTTGATATTATAAAATTAGTATCGATTACGATAGTCCAAATGGCAATTGTAACGATTCAGGGTCTTAGAGTAAACTATTGAAATGAAGATGTCCTTCCACATTTTCTAATTTTTTTTTGTACTGAAACATGAATTGCATTTAGAAAAGAATAATCATCTATTATTTACGACTGCTGCTAGAGACATATATATATTTTTTTTGTTTACCACGGGACTACCCTGTTCTACGGTATTAGGGTAGTAAACAACAGACATTGCAAACTGAGCGTTGGTATAACAAGGGTTAATGAAACGAAAGCAGGAAGTACAGGAAGGATTTACTTTCGTCCGAAAAGGAAAAGAAACTAATGAGGTGAAACATGCGAGGTCCGACACTTCCCAGAGGGAAGAATCACCGACTTCCGAAAAAATGATTCCATTGCCTGTATCAGATACCCCAATAATTAAGAAAAATCAAAAGCTGAGAAAATCCAAGGGAAGAAGAAGCAGCCTTGGCCAACGAGGCAAGCGTGCTAGTAGTATAGGAACAGGGTTTGAAGCTCTTCCTCATGCGGACGTTCCTACTGATGAATATTATCGACATATTTCAAAAGATTTGTCAGAACCTCTTCGAATGAAACAACTACTCCTCTGGGCTTCATACAAGCATTTAAATCAACAGCGGGAGAAGTACAAGGAAACCAAAGAATCTAGTGAGGCCGCAATCGCAAGGTCTATAGTTCAAGAAGTCCTTAATGAATTATTGTCCAACCAGTTCTCCATTAGTTGGTACCAAAGACCTCCGAACGAAATTATCCCAAATAAGCCTCATCCACAAAATTTAAAAAATATACAGCTTTTGGACGAGTTGACGGCTCAACTAGCTAAGCTACAAGATGAAGAAGCCACTTGGAGAGCTGTCGCTGCTGGTACAGTAGAAAATGAAAAATCACTTCACTCTTGTCGACGTTTGTCCGACCAAATTCATTCAGCTACTGATTCAACTAGTCATGAACCGGAAACATCCAATGGGACAAAAGAATATCAAAGTTCTATTAAAGATATAAGAAAGAACATTACTCCTTTAGTTGAGTCTCTATCTCAGCATATACACGCTATTCACTCTTTAACTCGCATCGGCCCAAGTGTTCGATCGGCATTCGGCGAACGAGCCGCTCAAAGTTATCTTCTTCACAAACAAAAATTTTGCAAGACAAATAACCATTCAGATACGATGAATCTTTTAAGGATATTATCGAAAAGTGCCTACCAAAGTCAACGTAATAACGAACCATAAACTTCTTATGCCCATACATTATATTCAAACTTCTACTTTCTATTTTTTGGTTCCATAACGTTTACCATGAGATCAATCAACTAATAACTATTTATGAATCTTTCTATAGAACAATCTAATGTCCAACTTGGCCGACATCTTATATAGATGCCTTCTACTTAATGTATTCTTTCTATTTCAGTTAATATTCTTTCGGGTGACTATATTATTGTATTTATTTGCTTAAAGGGTTATATTCAGCATATTTGCTTGGCTTACTGACGCAAAATAAAGAACATTGAAGAACTAATGAAAAAACCAGTAAATAATATCATTAACTTTTAAATATTTAAAAAAAATGAAGGAGATGAATCAACTTCCTGTCTAAAATGCTCACAAAATTTCCATTCCCAACTATTGTGACAAACCCGAAAAAATATTTCACAAAACTATCAAATTTAAAACATCAATCCGATAAACCGTGTATTTTCATTATATAAATTAAAATAGTGATAAAATACACGGACAGCAGAGAAGTAAGTAAACAATGACATGTTCATAATTAGCAAAGAGAAGAAGACTTTCAGATATTAAAAAAATAAACATTAATGAAAATCCCTGCATATATACATATATGTATATAAATTTTTTCCTGTCTAAAAGAACGGAATTGGCGATGCCTGTTGCGGCGCCCATGTAGTAACAATTACACAGATGAAACGAGAAGGAAACAAATTACGCAATGGCAGCTTTTGATTTTGAACGGATTTGAGCACCATAAAAGTAGAAAATGAAGGGTATAGGAATCGCAGCGACGGCAACCATACCCAGGAGAAAGAAAGCCCATTGTCGGGTCATACCGTTCATCATGTAGTCAATAAATAGAGGAAAGGCAGCACCACCACCGGAACGTACCATTGTCTTGGCAGCTAGAGCAGATGCGCAAAAATTTTGGTAAACATCGATTAGATAGTTATTGGCACTGAAATAAAACAAGACCATACCATAACCGAATGGAACACCACTGAAGGCAGGACCGATCCAAATCAATCTGGGGAAACTTGTCCATCCGAAAATCAGTAAACCAGTAGGAATGAAAGGAGCAGCAATCATCATACCGATTAAACGCCATTCAGGGATTGATTTACCACCATTTGCATCCATACGATTCATGTATTGTCTTTCTAAAAAGGGAGTAGTAGCTAAAGCGAAGGCGACACCGACCAAAACGGGGATAAACATGAGACCAGTAATACCTTCGTTGTAACCCTTTCCTTTCACGAATACGTTGGGATAAGCAAAGAAGTAACCATAAAGCAAAGCATAAATGAGAGCGATATAACAGGAAATACTCAGTAAAATGGGTTCAGTCATCAGTAAAGTGATAGGACGGAGTAAATTAACTTGAACAATTTCCTTTAGAGATAACATTTGTTTTTCCTGAGCAGTGAAAACCTGTCGACCGGTTTCTTTTCGAATTTTTTGAGCACGCCAACGTAAAAGGACGGGGGCATAGGTTTCGGGAATAGGAAGCATTGTGATGTACATGACAAACATATAAATCATATTGACCCAAAAGATCCAACGAAAATCGTCGGTACCTACACCAACCCAACCGCCGACCAAAGGACCGATGGTGGGACCAGCATAAGGGCCAGCAGCAAAGAAGGCGATGGCAAGACCACGTTGACGGGTTTCCCAAATATCAGACAAAACACCACCGGCAAGAGTAAGAGGGGAGCATCCAAAACAACCGGCAAAGAAACGGCAGATTAAAAGACAAGCGATATTATTAGCCAAAGCACAAGGGATCTGAAGAATGATGTATATGGCTAGAGTGACGAGGTAAACAATACGACGGCCATACATTTCACTGAGAGGACTGATGATTAAAGGACCAACACCGAAACCAACAACCATGAGTGAACAAGAAAGATTAGCAACTTCAGGACCGACGTTTAAATCACGACTGACGTGTTCCAAATCGCCAGCAATAACGGAAGAGCCAAAAGCACTGCAAATGACAAGTAAGGAATTAATAGCAGTGATATACCATCTCCAAGTCTTGGACCAATTGTGAGGGTTACCAGGATCATTCATTTCCCAAGTGACAAGTTCTTCACCTTCCTTGTTGATGGTGGGATCGCGGTAAAGACCGCCCTCAGTTTCCAAATTGTATTCTGCGACATCAGGAAGACCACGGGTGGTTGTGAAGGGGTAGTTAAGATCGACACCGTTGGGAAAAAGAGTTTCGGATTGACGAGAGGTAGTACGATTTAAAGGGTTTCCGTAGATATCCAACATACGGGACTGGGTCAGCTGAATGGGGTTTTCAGCTGCCTCAGCCTCAAGCGCATCTAAATCCACTGCATTTGAACCATTGGTAGTTCGAGGTTCTAGGGACATTGCAAAGAAAGGAGCAGTTGATCGAAACCAGAACGGAAGTTATACTTATAGAGAAAAAAACGAAAAATAAAAGTAGAATGAATAATCACAAGACTAGAGGAGAAGAAAATGAAAACGAAAACGAAGAAAATAATGAAAAAGAGTGGAATCAAAAGAAAAAAAATAAAGACTATGAAATCGAAAAGGGGGAAGATTAATAAATGTGTCTCTTTTTTTTTCTCCTATGTTATATTTCCCTTGTAGTGTTTATCAAAGCACACAAAGGTCTTCAAGTAGATGATGATGAGAGTTTCTTGAATGCAGACGAAAGCGATTACACAAGAGAAAATGCTATAAAAATCATTCAAGATCAAAAAGATTTCCACTTTCTTTTGTTTTTTTTTTTATTTGAATTTTCCTCCTAAAATCCAAACGAAGAAAATCCGCAGTCTTGAGTATTTGTAAAGATAGTATAACCAAAGTTATAGACCCTGTATAGACAAATACACTTTGAGAATACCCAAAACGGTTCCCGAGGTATGTATATAAATATTAATATAAATATAAATGTACGTTCCAACAAAAGAACAGTAGCAGTACAGTCGTACAAGATGCGCATATGTATAGTATATATATACATATTTATGTACCCGTCCACACGTCATTCTAGTTGAATACCCAAAACCGAAGCGAAAATAAATTTGCCGAATGTCGTTTCATTTACCCAAGTTCGGCATTCCTTATGGAGGGAATTTAAAGAGAATTAGCGCGCACCAACAAACGATTCTCAATGCACATAACCGAACCAACACTGGCTGCGCAGGTACCAAGGTAAACAAAAGAATACCGGAGAGAAGAAGCAACATCGGAGACAAGGTACGGTAAATAGACGGAGGGAAATGGAGAGAGGAAGAGAGAAAGAGGTGGAGAGATGGAAATGTTTAGAAACGAGGTAAATCTTTGATTCGGAAGGATAAAACGTGAGGGAAAAGGATTGAACGACTTTAAAACGAGTTTTCCAACTTGAAAACCAAATTCCCATTTCCGAATCGTTCGTTCTAGTGTTTTAAATTCATTCTTTCTTTTATAGAGAAGCTGTTTTCTCATAAAACATAAACATTAAACCAAGAAACGAAACAAAAACATGGAAAACTGGTTTTTGTTTATTTATTTCTAGAGGAATGCCAATCTCCCGTTTTCATCGGCATCTGGGATCGGCATTTAGAACATTACCGATGCTCGGGAGAGAACGGGATCGATGGATAATGGGAATGGGGCTCGGTTGGAAAGAAGCAAAAATAAAATAAAGTTGCCGAATAGGGGAAAGCAAAAAAAGAAGCGAATGGAACAGAAACGCACAGCAAAAAGAAAGAAGGCGATTAGAAACTAAAGAGATGTATATATATATATATATATATATATACACACATACAGACATATATGTGTATATATATAAAACATATGTGTTTGTATATGTAGGAAAAAGAAAAAGACATAAAAACAAACTCAACCGCAAAGGAATTCAAGAAAACGGTGTATAGAGGATTGTTTGACATGGAATTCCTCAATGGATGTCTCTGCCGAGTTTTTCTTTTTCTTTTTTCTTTCTCTTCTTAAAATATAAGAAAAAAAATGTCGCTCTCTTTGATTAGCTATAATCGATGAGTGAATCTCATTGGGAAAAGAGAAAAACACATTGGTTTGATGTTTGTTGTATGCGGAATCTTTTTTCCTCACGAAAAAGCAGCAGTCAAACAAGTCAGTCTTTAAATTGAATATGGACAGGACAAGATAAATGTTGAAACATGGGGATTGAGACATGAAATGAATATTGGACATTGCCCTTACTATTTCCTTCGTCGAAATTTTCTCTACTCCATAGAAACGATCCTTTTTTTTCTCTTCCTATCGAATACTACATACCACTACATACCCATATACTTACCTGTTCTACTCTTGTTTATTTTAGCTAGCTGTGTTGTGTGAGTACACATGCTTTTGTTGTCCTTCATGCATTAAGAAACTACCTTGGACCTCGAAAATCAGTCTATTACGTTGCATTGCGTACTACATCACACCACGGTTCTCTGCAGAGATCTACGCTATTTTTTATGTAAGGATGGGGATTCAAGAAAATTCGCATTTTCTTTTCCTTTTCCATTCTCCTCCCTAGCGTGGATCGATTTGGTAGTACAGTGTGGTACACTGCATCATCGTAATCAAACCAGAGCCATCCCCCTCCTTTACGTTCTTTAATTTTCTCCGCTACGCTCCGTTCACAGCCTAGCTGCAGCCTCTTCCATCCGCAAACTTCGACAAATTTCTTCTTTGAAAATTTCTACGTTCCATTTGAGATAGCTTGGCATTTGCTAAGCTTGTTTCAACTCCATAATTATTCCTTGTGGATTTATTCACCTCATTCCTGAGTCTTTTATCCGATATCCGTTTGGTTCGTATTCCCTGGTCTTGTAAAGCAATTTTACTGCCTCCTTTTACTCTTCCTAGTTTTTCGTTTCGTTTTTATTTTATCCAAAAAAGTTTATAGCAATTTTTTTGTGGGATCTTTGGTCATCGTTTTCTCACTACTCTTTCCTCCCAATAGTAGTAGTGTTTGGCTGATATCTTGAGTTTTTTCAATTTTGCTTCTTCTTAGGCTACTTCTTCTTAGTCTGCCCCATATAGAACCTTTTGAAAAAAAGGTGTTTTGGCGCCGAAGATTCTTTGGACGTTAAAAGTGAGAAATTGCTTTTCTTAGCGTTTAGTTTACCGTTTCCTAGTTTTGGTCGTGTCCCCCATCCGGCCTATTCTTTCACCCTATTTCTTTTACTGGTGTGCATGTAAAAATAGTACTCCTACAAAACGGTGTTCGTTGAGTCTTTGATACGCTTGGTTTCTTTATCCCTTGATTTCATTGTCTCTTCGCTTCTTCTTTCCCTCTATAGTTCCTTCCGAGGTGTTACGGCATCTGTGAGTGAATAGATTGACTTCTTTTCTCTCTCAATCTTAATTTTTTTCTATTTCTGTTTATATCCTTATTTTTGGTCGATCGTTTACTATATTTAACTTTTTTTCAAGTTTCGTTTTTCTTAATTTATTCTTCTTATGTCGTCGCCTCCGGAAAATACTTTACCGCGTGCATTGCAACAGTTATCCATATCTTCGGATCCTGCTGTTTCTTCTGCATCCCACCCTACGCCAATTCTCGACGATTCCACTACAAATTCGAATCTTCAATCGCTTTCTCCCTCTTCTTCTTTGTCGCAGCCCTCTAATTCCAGTTCCCACGACTCTGACAGCGTTCCTTCATCCCTGTCGTCGAATTCCGTCGATGACAACAACGCACACAATGTCCAAAATTCAGAGCGTGGTTTTCTTTCTCGGTCTTCTTCTTCTTCTTCCTCAGGTAAATCCTCTGATCAACTAAAATCCCGTCCTGTTCCTCCCGTACGATTAGGACGTCGCTCTTCTAGTAAAAATCGGTCTTCTCTTGCTATTAACTGTAATCAACCAATCGATAACTCTGGTAGCACTCTTTCTTCTCCTTCTCCCGTCGGTTCGCCCCCCAATTCTTCTATGCAGTATCCCGGCGGTTTGTCGTCTGATATCCAACAGAAAGTGAAAGCCTTCCACGCCTCTCGTTCTAGATCTTACCCAGATAGTGCCAATAAAGCAACAGGTGCTCCTGCTTCTCCAATAAACGGTGGCAGATCTAGTATTTCTATCCCTTGCGCTCCTGTTCCTCCCAAAGTCCCCGTTCCCGGGGCAAAAGGCCCAGTTGGTTCTGATTCAACCTTAGCACGTTCACTTGCCGCAGCAAGAACTCCAGCTCGTTCCGCAACATTACCCAAACAAAACAAAATGCGTCGCGCTCCTCCTGGAAAACTTGACCTTTCGAACAATACTACCGCTCCTTCATCTACCGGTGATGATTCAAACTCAAAAGGCAGTATGGCTTCAAGGCGCGGTCTAAAAATACCTCCAAGCCTCCGACAATTCGCGTCTGAAACGCCGTTTTCTACGTTTTCTGACATTTTGGATGCTAAATCTGGAAGTCTTAACTTTAAAAACAAAGCCATCCTCAATGCTGACGGTGTCAACTTCTCTTCGGGTTCTTCTTTTCGGATTAATATGTCTGAAATCATAAAGCTTGCCGAGTTAGGCAAGGGTAATTATGGTGTTGTGTATAAAGCTTTGCACCGCCCGAGTGGTGTTACAATGGCCGTAAAAGAAATCCGTCTTTCTTTAGAGGAAGCCACTTTTAACCAAATTATCATGGAGCTTGACATTCTACATAAAGCCACTAGCCCTTATATAGTTGACTTTTACGGCGCCTTTTTTGTTGAAGGTTCGGTTTTCATTTGCATGGAGTACATGGACGTTGGTAGCATGGATAAGTTATATATAGGTGGCATTACAGATGAAGGTGTTTTATCACGAATTGCGTACGCTGTACTGCAAGGTCTAAAAACACTAAAAGAAGAACACAACATTATTCATCGTGATGTTAAGCCCACCAATGTACTTGTCAACTCTTCTGGACAAATAAAATTATGTGATTTTGGAGTTAGTGGAAACTTGGTTGCTTCCATTTCAAAAACGAACATTGGTTGTCAATCCTACATGGCTCCCGAAAGGATCCGTGTAGGTGGTGGCGGTAACGGTGTATTAAGTTATACTGTGCAAGCTGATATTTGGTCTTTGGGTTTAACCATACTAGAAATGGCAATTGGTTGCTACCCTTATCCTCCTGATTCTTATACATCCATTTTTGCTCAGCTTTCTGCAATTTGTGATGGGGAACCCCCGAAAATGCCAAGCTGTTTTTCACCTGAAGCTCATGATTTCGTTAATAGATGTCTTCGAAAAAATCCTTCATTGCGTCCTGGCTACCAAGAGTTGAGTAGTCATCCTTGGATTCTTAAGTATCAGAACACGGAAGTGGATATGCGAGCCTGGGCTCAAGCCAATCTAGAAAGTCAGGCTGCAGGGAATACCGAGAGGTAATTTAACTTGTTGACCTTAATATTTTGTGAAACAGTGCGGAAATTCGAAGAACCTTGAGAAAGTGTAATTCCTTTTTTTTTATGCGCCTTAAGTTGCTGAACATAATCATAAGGATATAATCAGTTATTGAGTAAAGTCATCGAAAGATGACTGACTTATCGGTAATAATTTTTCGTCTTTCTATGTGAAGTGCCATCACAGCACTGTGTTCAGTTTTATCAAAAATAGAGTAGATGTGAGTTGCATTTGCGGCTCAACGGTGAAAACCATCCGAAAAGTGCAATGAATTAATTGAGTACCTTAAGGTATGGATTTGTCAGTTGATAGTAGGTATTGTTATTACATCAAGACATATGAGTATTGACATCGATTAATTATAAAAGGTAGTTGAAACTATTTGTTCGATCATTTAAATTTAATTTTGCAGTGCTAGTCATAGAACATATGCATTAACTCATTTCTATTTGGTTTTAAAGGAAGGAGTAACGTAAAACCATGGATAAACATCCATGGCGACTGTTAAGTAGTCAATATAACATGGTACTATTTCTCCATAGAATACATCTTCTTAGCTTCTTCTAATGTGGTATCCCAGGTGTTTTGGGCAATACGATCTTTGGCCATCAATTTGGACATCTCAACAATTAGTCCCAAAAAGTTGTGACGGCGCAGTTGGTTTTCACGTTTCCATTTTGCGCGCTTGTCATTTTCAGCAGCTATATAAAATACCTTCTCTTCTTCGCTTAAATTTGAATTATTAGAAATAGTAAGACGCTTATCCTTAGAAATGGCCATTAAATTAAACCGGATTTCACTAGGGTCGTACTTACCAATTCTTGATTGAATGGTAGTAACAGCACGCTTAGAAAATTCTTCTTTTGTGCAACTGCCATGATTAATGGGTGCAGGTTGTAGTCCATCTAATTCATAAAATGTATTGTTAATGTTGGTATATGCAATAAAGTGATAGACATCGTCGTCTTCAGTCGCAACCTTCGTTTCGTCGCTCACAAAAGGGTCTGAGCGAGCAAAAGAATTATGGGCACAGCGGATATCGTCAGAATTGCCCAATGCTTCTCCTTTTAGATCTGGAGGTAACAGTTTAGTGAATTCCCGGAATTCATTTAATTTAGGTCCCAGATTAATCTCCTCACTGTGATTAAGTAAAACCGATAAAAGAGCCTGGGTAGCGCAGGCGTTATTTATGACTTGTTGTCCAAAGAAGATACGATCGATGGATTCATAGTCAAGTTCACCGTCTGGTTTTCCATCAGGTTTTTTCCATTTGAACAAAAAAATAATTCCATATATATCTCTACTCAAAACGATAATTAGTAAGTTAATTGAAACAAAGTCAACTGACGCGCTGTACATACGAAATGTTGCGCAAGGTTTCTTCATCCAACGTATACAGTTCTTCGACTTCAACGCCTGAGACTCCAAGGTTTTCGATCAAATCAGTAAAAACTCCAGCATCTGACTCTATAGTTGTCCAGCTCATTTCGAATAAGTTGAAGGTTTATATTAAAGAACGAGAAGATGTTTCACTTAAGAATATTCGCCCAGTTCAGCACATCAATGAACACCAACTTACATTTCGTAATTATTATTTAATGAATTTATTTCAGTCTCCGTAAAGGAGAATTTAGTAACATCGTTAATAAATAACACTCAACACGGGAGAGCAAAATACAATGAAAATAATACAGAAAAAACCAGGTAGAATCTTTAAAAAAGGTAATCATTCATTAAGGATACTTTTATACAGATGAGCAAGCCAAAAATCCTTTTCATTCAAATGTTCTTTAAATGGGAATTACGTTGTAGTTTCTTGTACAGACATTAAAACAGGATTTACATGGTCTGATATCTCCTTGCAATAGCTCTATATTACGCATCAAGTCTTATAATTGACTTGCAACTGCTAAGGAAATCAACAGAGAGATTGTTGTAAATAGGAGTCTATTCGTTCACCTTTTGTTCGAGATCCAAGTGAAATAGATTGTTAACTGTATCATGAAAAGATTAAATAAAAAGTAGAAATATAGTCGGATGCACTCAAGTAATTACACATTTTCCAAAGGCTTTTTGAGATTAAAAAAATCCGCAATGAAGCTCAATTCTGTGAACTGTTTTAAGCAGTTTACAAGAGGTAAGATGCATAAAAATAAGTAAAAAAAGTCATTGTAAATGAGGTAACAATAAAAAAAAAATACCATTTACCTATCTTCGGCCCATTCGTTTTCTTTACGGATTTGTTCCTCTTCTTCGGGAGTAAAGTCATTGGGAATATTGAAGGTTTTACGAATGTCTTCAGGGCTTTTTCCACGAATCATGTTTGCTACTGTTTTACAACCAGTATCAAGCAATGGCTTTATATCAAGATAATTGCTGGCCAAAATGATTTCAAAAAGCATTTCCTGGTCAACTGACATGAACTTCTTGTCCCATTCGTCGATATCGGTTGACTTTTTAAGTCGAATATCACTTTCTTCGTCTGTATTGGAGTACAAGTCATTCTTATGATGTTCACACCATTCTAACACTTTTCTTAATACGTTGGAAGAAACGTTTGGCAAAGGAATTGGTACGTTCAATTCACCAACATCTAAACGAAACGGGTCAATACAAGCAATCCTTTTTTACGAATCACATACCTTCCAGCATATTGTTGATCAACATGCTTTTTTCAGCAACAGGTCGATCTAATCCTCTTGTTAGCAACGTGATCCTTCTTGATTTTCGACTTTACTGAACCTACCAACAGTAAATTCTTCATTGTCAGATGAAATAAGTTTGATTTTTGACATTGTTTTTTCTTGGGAGTAGTAACTAGAAGAAATTCTAATTTCATTTAACCTTTCTTCTGCGAACTTACTTCCACGGTATTCCACCTTCTACTTCAGTAACCACCTTTCATGCTATTTTAAATATCCATATATGAAATTACGATGTTTTGCGCATTCAAATATTAATAAATAAACAAGCAACACTGTAGTACGCGAAAGGAAATAATTATTCCCTATTTCATCTGTAAGATTTTGTTTTTCGTCTTGATTGTGATTTGTGACAAGCTGGTACTTTTGTAGCAGTTTGACATTTACGCTTAATTCGCATACCTTCCGTACTTACGCACTTTTGCTTCTCTTAGAGGTTATAACTTATTAAGTACTGTCGGTGTCATGGAGAAATCATTGAAATCGTAAGAAGTACTTGCAAAATACAATTTAAAGTCGAGCATATCCACGAGAGACTTTGTTTGACGAATTTATAAGCCAGTTCATAAATTGTAAAGTTTTCATTTTCAACAGATACCAGTGGAGTTGTTTAAGATGTTGGTACAATTATTTGAATTTACTCCTCTCTCTTTTATAGACGACGTGATCAATATTACCAACCAGCTTTTATACAAAACTGTCAATGGTGTTGATCGAGCATTTTCGTCTTTGTCGAGTACAAAAAAGTCTCCACAGGAAATAGAAGAAGGACTACACAAATTTGAAATTTTATTTGAGAGTGTTGTTGATCGATACTATGATCGCTTTGAAATCTATGTGTTGAGAAATATCTTTCATTATCCTCCAGAACTCAAGGGTTACCTTCGTTTAGAAGGCCAAACAGCAGATTACACAGTAACTTTGGAAAAAGATGCTTCCCTTGATCAAGAAATAGAAGATGCTGCACATATACTCACTGAGAAACTCAAAACTCGTCACTCTTTAAGGATGCAGTTACGAAAGAGTGAGGAACGGCGGCAACAATTAAAAAAGCAATTAGAGACTATTTCTTTACTTTCCAACATCCCAAAACAGCAACGAATTACTTTACCAGAAACAACAGACTTTTTGTTGGATCAATTGGTTGGCCTCCAGACTTCCCTTCATTCCGTTACACAGGCATCACCTATTTTACCTTCACGCGATGTAGACGAAAGAGTAATGTATCTCGAAAAGCGCTACGAAATACTGGCTGGTCCGATTGAGCAACATCGGGATTTTTGGTCACATCAATTGATCAAATTAGAATCCATCGCAAATACACAAGACGTTTCAGACATGAGTAAACTTCTATCCTCATCTGATGATTCAAACAGTACTTAGATCGTTCAATATATGTAATTTGGATAATACTATAACATACGGCAAGACATGGAAAGTGTTTAATAAATATTCTAAAGAAAGGAAAACAATAGTATCCGACTTAAAAAAGGAAGACATCAAATAATAGCTCATTATCACACATGAATGTTCATCTACACAAACCAGAAGACCATCTTTACTCAGAAGAATCAACACCGAATCGTTGAAACAATTCTACACTTGTACACTTTTCTTGTTCAGCAACTTTCCCAATCATTCCAAGAGCTACATCTCGGATTTCGTTGTAGGTGTGTAGCAAGTCAATATGCCTTTGAACTGTGTACTTTGCGTTTGGATTCCTAGAACAGTTAGAAATACATATAAATAAAAGAAAAAACAAATAAAATTCGCGTCTATCCTTCCACATGAATTTGCACAAACGCGTTCCATGCATATGGATGTGCTCGACTAAGCCATACTTCAGTTTTGACATTGCCTCTTGTAATTGCTTTTCCAATTGCTGCTTTTGTTGTTCTAACAATTGGACGCGAGCTTCCAGTTGAGGCTACAAGAGGTTAATATCTGATTAACATGGATGCTACTCAAAGAACACATCAATAATACCTTCTCCATTCGATTTAAGCAGAGTTTTCTAAGAGAAATGATGAATAAATAATGAGTTTAAAATAGTTTTCAGCGATAACTATAGAAAAAGGTTGTTATTGCTTTTACAAATGTTATACGCGCGCATCAAGCTGTAATTTAGGGACCTTCACCATTGACTCAGTTCAGTTTTGCAATATCTACTGTGATGCTCTTAAATTATCTTACACATAAAATAGCGTATTATTAAATTTAATAACGTACTCATTAAAGATCGTTATATTCACAGGCAATACGAAAGAAGGTTTATTTGCCAATAGCCATGACCTGAACGATCTGCCTTGTAATACTTGGTGAAACAAACAATTCCCCGTCGTATCATTCTGTAACAGAAGAACGCTTGAATTCGTGCGTATTACGATCTCAATCGGAAGCGTTTGTCGAAATAGCAGAGAATCAATTACTAGAATCTTGTAATTTAGGAAAGGAAACTACCGGTTTATTAAAACTTAATTAAAGAAGAATCATGTTTGCTTTAAAAAACCTGCGATTATCATTCCCAAGGAGCTCATTTCAAGCAGTTAAATTTGGTCCAAGACTTTCGCGACGTAATGCGTTTCCTCTTGCCTTTCAAATGCCCTCATCCAGAAGTATATGGATAAGGTCGGAGGAGACACCAAACGAAAACGCTATTAAGTTTTTGCCTGGACTTGATATACTTCCACCTACTATCGGTACTCTGGAGTATATGAGAACTCAAGAATATAACAACTCTCCCCTCGCTGAAAAGCTCTTCGAGATTCCTGGCGTCAAAAGCATATTTTTTGGTAGAGATTTCATTACAGTTTCCAAAGATGAATCTCAATCTTGGACCCAATTAAAGCCAGAAGTTTTTAGCACCATAATGGAACACTTAAGTAACGGAGAGTCCGTTCTGGCTGGTGACCCACTGAATGGTCCTAGTGATACCCAAATTTTGGAGTCGGATTCTCAAACCGTTGCTATGATCAAAGAACTTCTTGAAACTAGTATTCGTCCATCTATTCAAGAAGACGGTGGGGATGTCGAATTTCGAGGGTTTGATGAGGAGACAGGCATGGTTTCGTTAAAATTGCGTGGCGCTTGTCGTTCTTGTTCTTCATCAGCAGTGACTTTAAAGAGTGGCATTCAACAAATGTTGAATCACTATATCCCCGAAGTGCGAGAGGTTAATCAGGTCCTGGATCCCGAAGAAGAAGTCGCGATATCAGAATTTGAAAAGTTTGAAAAACGAATTCATCAAAACGAACAGAAAGAGGACAAGTAAAAGAAAAATATGCTGTGAGTATGCCCTTCAACGGTTTTGGAAATGATATAACAAAGCAAAAAACATTGTAATAGATTATGACTAATGAATAAACTTCTACATTTTGTTGTATGTACATTTCGAGACTGAAACACATAGTTGAACCAGACAAAACTTGAGGAATAACAACACACCCATACAATTTGATTCGTAAAATACAAAAATACATTTTTCAAGGAAGAAACAAACATCACTATCCACGTCATTTACAAACTCATACGGGTCTTGGCGCGCATACTGCCGGCCTTTGAAGAGTCTTCGTGAGCACTATATTCTATAGTTTCTTTCTCAGAAACGCCTAAAATCTCCTTAAAACGAAGACTAGATATATGTTAGAGCAACTTATCAAGAACGATCAGTCTTCCAAGTAAAGCATACCCAATTTTTTCCAAAACTTCTCTGTCATTACAATTACGCGTCCACACAGCAATTCTGTAAAATCCCCTTCTCATGTTACAAACAACACCTGTGACTTCTTTACCGGTAGGGTCTAAGGTTTCACCTAGAGCTGCAAGGACCTATGCGATTATGTTAGTCCACTAATCACAGAAAACAATATTCCGTAGTAGCACGTAACGACCAACTTACCATATATAACCAAAGCTCATCCAAGTTTGATCCTTTATGCTTGCTTTGAAAAGCCCATTTTCCTCCATTCATATTGTTGGGATCTTCCCATTCTGGACGTATGCCTTTGAGAAAGAACGAATAGTCTGATTTAGCAGGAAGCATGGATGCTTTCGCAATCGTTTTGAATATACCCCAAAATTCTTCTACAGTTTTAAATGATATAATCTCTTTTAATAAATCTCCCCATTCCAAACCTTGCGTAGGAGGCTTCAAAAACCATAGAGTCCATTCATGCTGAAAAGGATGCGTTTGTGTAAAAGCTGTTTCGGCGTTCACAAATTGTAGTCCTTCCAATAATCGAGTAGGTCTCCCTTCTCTTTCAGTTTTCACTTTTGGAGTATCAGACACATCCAATGAAGCAAACTTTTGGTTCATCGCTGCAATATCATTATGTCCTTCTCCAGAACTCGTCATATCCTATATAGAAAGTAGAAGAATCTAGTAATGGTATTACTGATTATTTTTTTATTGTACAAATTCGTGAAAAGGAATGTGTAACTTATTGTTGTGGTGATGCCAGTCAGAGCGATAACTTTTCCACCATATGGCTATTATAGTAATCATAAAGAAATACAATATTACAGTAGTAAACAAATTCTTTTGTTGACCACTTTATTTAAACCTTTTAATTTTATTCTGCTTTCTTTCTTTTATTTTTTATTATTTGTTTTTTTTTTATTTTTTTGTAGTTTTTGAAATTCTACATTCATCGATGTCGTGGATGAGAAAGCAAGGTCCGACATCTGGAAGAAGACATGTCAATTATATACGTCCTCCTTTTGTCTTTAACAATTAAGAATTTCCAAAACAATCTACAAAGTTTGATGCTACTCGTGTAACATTGAATAAGTGATTTATTCATGACAAAAACCAAAACTAAAATCTCAGCAAAACATAGCTCTTGTTTCTCAAATAGGTAACATTATTCGTAAAGAGCAAAATCTAGAGTAAATTCGTAAATTAGCGCGTATTACTATATCTTATTCAAAAGCAGCCTTATTCAAAACGACAAATAAGCCACCGGTGAGGTGAAGACTTCCAGTTACACAGACAAAGGTATTTGTTGATTCTCCGTTAATCTGGTGTACCATTTCAACAGCTTCTTCGACAGTGGGAGCTATTTTTATTGCGTCATTCATACCGGTTCGATTTTCTTTCCACCAAGATGCCAAAGTTTCTTGAACGTGCAAAGCGGGTCGTTTGTCTGTGACAGTATTGACACTCAGTAATTCTGGGTTATAAGTTTCATCCTTAAATGTAACGTTCGTAGAGAAGATTGCATGCGTAAAGGGAAGGTCCTCCCCAAAAGACTCATAGCCCCTTAGAAAAGCTTGTATTAAAGCAACTGGATCATCTCTGCTCTGCTGGTTGAATATTAATACCCTTTTTTCCGCTTCTTTAAATAGCTGTCTCTTTGAAGCCAACCAAACGCCGGTTGCTTCTAAACTCTCCTGTGTGTGCGCACCATCGAAGCACCATTGGATCCCGTCAATAGTCTCCATTTGGCATCTACCAGGCCACTGAACATCCTTTAACCCGTCAAAAACGGCAGAATCTTTATTTAAATTGATAGAGCAAGAGGGTTTAGTTTTATGGATAAATTCATTTACCATTTCCATTGCAAGTGCAGCATTGCCCAACTGATGCGCCCCCGAAAGACCAATCATTTCCGGTTTTAAGAAAAAAGGTGCTTTAATAATCTTTAATCTAGTCTTTCGTTCGTTGGCTCGCTGCTCTAGGACGGGAAGAGCTTCAGGAACCTGCAAACATGTTAATGCAGTTGCTGACTCCTTATAAATTCCTGCTTTTTGCCAAGCGATTTCTGAAATTGACTTGCCAAGCAAAGCGGTATGATCCAATCCCAAACTAGTTACCGCTGTGACAATGGGCTTCTCGATTAAGTTGGTAGAGTCATATTCACCTCCGATACCGACTTCAATAATAGCAGCATCTACGCCTTCAGAAAAGAAAACGTGCCAAGCCAATAGTGTCAAAAAACGGAAATACATAGGTTTCTCTGGATTGGTTGCTTCAGAAGCAGTAGCTTCTAGACGATCCCACATTTGGAAGAAATATTTGGTAAATAATTCTTTGGAGACAGGCTTTCCATCCAGCTGAATACGTTCACAGACTGACCGCAAATGAGGAGACGTATACATTCCAATACGTTTGGGAGCAATATCAGGATATTTCTTTTGAATCTTAGAGAGTATAGAAGATGTAAACGCGCAAGTAGATCCTTTACCTTTCGTTCCCGCAACGTGAATAACGTTTAAGCGATTCAAATCCGATGTCTATTGATACTTTGTTAAAAAATTAATTCTCCTTGAATTTGTAACAAACGAGAGTCCATTAAACCATATCTCCAAACAAAGATTCAAACGGTTTGAAGACTGTTAAAAGTTATCTGGCAAGATGAACGCAGCGTTACATATCCAGATTACTTTTTTGTCATCTGTACGCCTTCATTTTCAGATTATTTGAGTCTTCATTGTATTGCGTCCACAAATATTCAGAATTTGTACTTTGTTGATAGATACATGTTCCTTAGCTTACCTGATACCCAATCCTATTGAGATACTCTTTCATTTGAGTCATTGAGTCATCATTAGGAACTTTTCCTCTATTTCGAAGCGCCTCTAGCACTTTCGCGTTTGACTGTAAAGAGTTGAGACATTCAATAGCATCCTAAAAAGTTAGCAAATACTACAGATCTGGGATAATTTCCGTTCTTACTTCAAAGGTTCTCTGCTTCGTGCTCATGTTCGACCCACCTATCTTTAAGTTTAGGTATTTTCTAACTGTTCTTGTAGTGAGCATAGCATACATAACCTAGAGGAACGAAGGCACGATGCAGATTCTGCAACTGATTTGACATGTAAGAGATTAACTAACTAAAAATAAATGTGATTTAAAATTTTCGATTTTTAAACCGATGAAAAGGTAAATTCAATACTATTGAAGATCATGTGTTTTGTTATTCTATATTCCAGATGTGAACGGAGGGCTATAAAATGTTTATACATTCACTTTCTCTGATTTTCTTGTATCCTTCATTATACTAGACCTATCTACGTGAGAATTGTTCGTGGTAATCTGGAAAATGATGGTCATCTTCGAAAACACTGTTAAAGCATTTCCCGCATAATTTTTTCTTTGATTTTTCTATCTAATGCTATCTCATATATTGAGAAATGAATATGTATGAGACGAACCCAGTTTGAATTGACCTTCATTTCAGAAGCTGTCTTCATAAGTAATTGTGGCCGCTGTACATCAAAAGAGACCAGGTAACTTACAGACGCTCGTATCGCAATATGAGGTTAATATTACGAGTTCCATGACCTGTTTCATGAAACCAACGGGTTTCCCTTTTCGTGCTATTGAATTGAATTATAATGGATATTTCTGTTACAATAGGCGTTCCATGAAATATGCGCTTACTGAAGATCAATACCGCACAACATAAAGAATAAACTGCTTTCTATAGAAGAAAACTATGATATGAAGTTTTGTTCCTCGTCATATTGCTTTTATACCCAGGGGATACTGTTCTTTGAAACAGATATATGCTTTATTTAAACGCAGAACTATCAAAGTTATGAGTTTTTTTTTTTACAATAAGAAATATAGTAATCTTTACGTGGATTGCTTATTGTTCAGAATGACTTTTATAACTACTCTTTCAAGCTAGTGAAATCAAACGGGTCAAATATGTGCTGGCACATATGGTACTTTCGCGAGAGTTAATCCTTGTTTGACAAATTGAATCTTTTATGAAGTCTAAAAAGAGTTATCGGTAGGTCTTTGCCGCCGGTTCAATGCTTTTGGCTTCAATGAAGCAACTGCCTCCTTTTTACCCCGACAGAACCCGCCAAAAAAGGATATATTACTTCACTTTTACAGTGAATTATTTAAAGAAATATTCATTATTGCTCATAAAATACTTTCATAGGTTAATCTCATAAAGTCAGTCTTCTTTCTTAGGGAATCCCAATTTTAAATTTTCGATATTTTGTCTACGCAAAAACATAAATTTAAAACTAATATACCATACTATAAAGAGGAAAAACTAGATTTATAGAACGAACTTTTTAGTTATAGTAGATACACACCCTTAGCGCTACCACCAAGATTTATTCACTTAGATCAAATCTGGCGTTGATTTGAGCAAACCATGCTCAACTACCAATGCTTAGAAACAAAATCTTTTTGTGGAACATCTCATATTGAATTGGATGGGATTCACATTTATATTGACCCAGGAAGTGATGATAGTTTGGAGCATCCTCCAGTACCAGAACAGCCGGATTTGATTTTGTTGTCACATTCAGATCTATCTCATTTAGGAGGATTGGTATACGCATATCATAGATATGATTGGAAAAATGCTCATATATATGCAACTTTGCCTGTGATTAACATGGGCCGAATGACCATGTTGGATGCTATTAAAAGTAACTTCGTTGACGATATTACGAAAGAACAAGTTAATCAAGTTTTCGACAGTATAATTGCTTTGCGGTATTCACAACCAACTTCTTTATTAGGTACGTTTATCCTCAACATGCCCTTACTATAGTAAATACTAACGAATTAACATTAGGAACCTGTTGCGGTGTCTCAGTTACCGCTTATAATGCAGGTCATTCTTTAGGTGGTACTTTATGGAGCCTCATCAAAGAGTCGGAGAGTATTCTCTATGCTGTTGATTGGAATCATTCAAAAGATAAGCATTTAAACGGTACTGCTCTGTATACGAATGGACATATTTTAGAGGCTTTGAATCGTCCCAATACCCTAATCACAGATGCAAATAATGCTTTGGTCTCCACCCCATCTCGCAAAAAGAGGGATGAAGCATTCATTGAATCTGTTATGTCTTCCCTTTATAAAGGAGGTACCGTTCTACTTCCTGTAGATTCTTCTTCTAGAGTTTTAGAACTATGTTGCTTTTTGGATAGCCACTGGTCTTCAACACAGCCTCCTTTACCTTTTCCTATTTTCTTTTTGTCTCCTACATCTACTAAAACTATAGACTACGCAAGAAGTATGATTGAATGGATGGGAGATAACATTGTTCGTGATTTTGGTATTGATGAGAGTTTGTTGGAATTTCGCAACATACATACTATAACGGATTATTCCCAACTTTCCAGTATTGGACCTGGTCCTAAAGTAATTCTTGCTACTTCCTTAACATTGGATTGTGGATTTTCTCAGCAAGTTTTACTTAATTTTATGTCCCAAAATTCCAACGACTTAATTTTGTTTACTCAAAAGTCCAGATGTCAATCATCTTTAGCAAGGCAATTCATACGCTATTGGGAACAAGCATGTAAAAAATCGATGGACATTCCTCCCCCAGTAGGATTATATGCGGAACACAACGTTAAGGTTAAACACATGGAAGCTTTAGCAGGCGAGGAGTTGAAACATTACCAAGAGGAACAGCTACAGAAAATAAGTCGGACCGCTGAGGATAGTGCTTTGGAACTCCGAAATAAGACGATTTTGGACGAAGACTTATCTTCCTCTTCCGATGAAGAAGACGATGAAATGGGGTTGGCTCCCGAAGCTCCTGGTGCGGCTCTTGGATCAGCATTGTTTTTGTCTGGAAAGTCCTTTGATTTAAATCTTCGTGATCATTCGGTCCAGAATTTGCAAACAAAGTATAAAATGTTCCCTTATGTTGAGAAAAGAAGAAGAATTGATGAATTTGGCGAAGTGGTCAGACCAGAGGATTTTGCGACCATTAACGAACCCATGAATAATTTTGAAGTAGAAGTTTCCTCATCTGACAATATCTCTTTGGATCCAACAGGTAAAAGGAAGTGGTCGGAAATTAATGACGGAATCCATGGACAAAATGATGACGATTTTAAAGAAGATATTCCCTCAAAGGTTGTAACCGAAGATTTAATGATTAGAATATCCTGTCAAGTACAGTTCATTGATATTGAAGGATTGCATGATGGTCGTTCTTTGAAAACTATTATACCCCAAGTTAATCCTCGAAAGTTAGTGCTTATACATGCTACGGATGAAGAAAGGGAAGACATGAAACGTACATGCAGTGCTCTCAGTGCGTTTACTAAAGATGTTTACCTTCCGAAGTACGAGGAGGCCGTAAATGTTAGTATAGATGTCAACGCGTTTAGTCTCAAGCTTTCAGATGATTTAATACGGAATCTGATTTGGACAAAGGTAGGAAACTGTGAGGTTTCCCATATGTTGGCAAAGATTGAGAAGCCTTTGGATTCAGAAACCCAAGACTCAGAAGTAAACGAAGAGGATGCGAAGCGGAACGATTCTGACAAGGAGGCGGATCATCTTCCTGTCCTTAACCCGGTCACATTGCGCTCAGATTTGGCTAGAGCACCACGTGCTGCTCCTCTTTTAGTAGGAAATACTAAACTAGCTGAACTACGCAAAGCTCTTCTAGATCAAAGGATATCTGCAGAGCTTAAGGGTGAAGGTGTTCTATTATGCGGTGGGGTCGTAGCTGTAAGAAAACTTAGCGGCGGTAAAATCACCATTGAAGGAGGTTTGAGTAACCAATTTTTTGAAGTTAGAAAGATGATATACAAAATGTTGGCTATCGTTTAAGAAAAGCTGGCGAGTTATTTATATACTAGTTGATCATTTATTCATAGGATTCTTAAAGTCATATAAGCTTCATTGCCTATTTATTTTCTTTTCATTAAGTTTCTATCTTCCAAGTCTCACTTACCACCTTCTCCTCTTACTCGTTTCCAATCGTCGCTACCAGTTTGACGAGCTGGTAAAGCAGAAGTAACATCTTCTTGCTTTCTATAGCTAAGCAATTCTTCTTTTTCTCTCTTATCTTCATCTAAAAGTTTGGACCGATCATCTGCAGTTAAAGGAGAACGAAACTCCTCATTTAATGATCTTATGACATGCTCAATAACATATTCTGGACAGCGATTTCTAGGATTACCATTCTCTGGATTACGGATATAACGACTAGAGACATCACGGACACTGTCAACTAAAATTTGGTAAGCCTACTTTGTCATAAAAAGAGTGTTGATCTTACTTGAGAACCCAATGCAGTATGACATCTTCTTTCCCCATCCTAAATCGCAAGTTAGCAACATTTTCCAGATGAATGGTTTATTACCTTGCTCATAAATTAGTGGCTGATCAAATGATTCTTCACAGGAATCTACATGTACCCATCGGTTTTGTTTGAAACTATAAACTTCAGTCCAAACATGATCTTCCGCATTCCAAACCCAACGAGCTCTGGAACCCAGGGCTCGACATAAAAACGTGAAACACTAATGAAGTTAGATGGTATTCTCTTAATGCCAATGAATACATACGCATGCCCATTCTCCACATCTTCCTTTCCTTGAATGAAGAAGAGGTCGTACTTTGTTGTACCGAGGAAATCTCTGCTGATGAGAACAAGTATTACATTGGTAAACTTCGACGTTGTTACATCCCTGGAAACTTTCCTCTGCATTTGGCCTAGAAGCACCTATTAAATGTGTATCAGACTGCAAGTGAGTTAATAATTATCTGTTATATAAGCAAGTGATAATTACCTGGCAACTTTCACACTTCGGAGAATTAACCCAAGAAAAAAATTCGTGTTTAAACCAAGAAAGAAGTGATTGGATTAAATAATCTTGGTAACCCCATAATCCATTGCCATCATTTTCTCTTTTTGTAGCTTCTTCAAATAGTTTCTCTAACGGTAAGACAGACATAGCCATATCTTGTAACTCCGGGTCTTCATAAGTCCATGGCTCTTGGGACAACTGCCTGATCTGATGGTAGAATGGGAAACTTTCTGGAGGTTGGGATGCATTGCTCAAGCCTTTAGCTTTCTGCTGCATCATATTTTTAAATCGTTCAGTAATCGCTTGGAAATTCATTATGCAAGTTTAGTTTCTTATTTATCGAATCGCTTTAGTAATTGATTCTTATAATTGAAAGAAATTAGTAAAAATGAACTGTTTGAGAAAGAAATTTCTGAAAAATGTGTAGGACAACCAACAACTTAGAATGAATAACCTTTTAGTTTGTTATGAAACAACAAGGTCACTAGTCAGTCATAAATCTGCACAATGATTTCTAACTTCCTAAGCTTGGCGGTGTTTGGATCAGAAACAGCTCGTACTCTCCTCCACTACTACGAAGAGTGGAAGTGTCTTAAATCAGCTACAGCGTTCGGCTATTTCTATTCTTTATTGTAGAATTTTAAGCAAGTGAACCGAAGTCGTATTATCTTGCAGCGAAAAGTCTTATATATACTTGCAGCCATCGTAACATCAACAAAGATATATGGATAGATTATTAACGGAAGCCCATAGAAACGGGTGCAAACTAAATGAGAATGTAGAATTCATTTCTTCCGTCGATGAGTTTTCTACATACGGTAACTTCGTAGCCACCGCCAAGACTGATATTGAAGCAGATGAATTACTTATCTCTTGCCCTTTTGAGTATGCCATTACTTACGAAACTGCTATAATCTCATTACAGTCCATAAACGCCGAGTTTAAATCATTGTCACCAGAAATCGTTATGTATACCTTTTTGGCTTTGGAAAGACTCAAAGCTTCGGATAGTAAATGGGCTGCATACATTGAATATCTTCCTAAAAGTTTCGATACTCCCACATATTTTAATGACGAGGACAAACAATTCCTAAAAGCCACAAATATCGAGTTTGCTCTACAAGATAGACTACATAATTGGCGACATGCTTACGAAGATGTCTTAAAATTGGGATCGTTCTCTGAAAACCAATTCACGCTGGATCTTTTTATTTGGGCAGCAACTGTGTTTACATCTAGATGCTTCTCTTCAACCTTGATTAACTCTAGTATCAGTAAAGAAGACGCAACTCCTATTCTTCTTCCGCTGATCGATAGTTTGAATCACAAGGCTATGCAGCCAATTCTTTGGAAGACAGATGTTCGCGATACTATGTCAATTCAATTAGTCTCTCAAAACACTACTTCTAGAGGTCAACAGATCTTTAATAATTACGGACCTAAGGGAAATGAAGAATTGCTTCTAGGATACGGATTTTGTTTGAAAAACAATGCGTTTGACACTGTTGCGCTTAGAGTATCCGTTCACCCCGATTTACCATATAGACAGGAAAAAACATTGGTTTTGCAACAAGACAACGCTTTTGAGTTGAATAATTTGATCTTTTTCCTCCAAAAAGATGCAGATTTCTCCGCATTTGAGAAAGTACTGCAATGTCTTACTGTGGTTAGTGCCTCATCATTAGAATTAAAACGTATCATGGCTCATCAAGCTTTGTTTGGTTTATCTTCTTATAGCTCGAGTCTGCGTGGCAAAATCAAGTCATTTGAGATTTTGCTTATGTACATTAATTCTCGTCTGCAACTGCTTATAGAGAATAATCCGGAAAAAACTCCAGTCAACATACGCCAGCAATATGCTAGTGTTTACAGAGAAGGCCAAATTAAAATCTTGGAGCAATCTTTAAACCAAGTAAAAAATTTCATGGAAGTAGAACTGAAGAAGGTATATCACCCACTTCCTCATTTATTGCAATACCTTGTCCTGAACTCCATTTCTATTTTTCTGCTCCAGCATCCCAACTTTGCCCCCCTTTCGAAAGTAATCACGGAGCTGTATGGTACGACGGATGCCGAGTCTATTGCTTCTAGTGAAGAGCAGGATAATGTCGTGCTTTTAATGTGTTTATATTGTTTGTCTGCTCAAGAAGCACTTCCTTTTTCGATAGAGATGCTTCAGGAAGGATATCCTGCTTCAAGCACGGAGGAGGGTGATGAAGTCTTTGAAATATTTGACGAAATGATATTTCAAAAATATCCAGACGTTTTTGGCAATAAAAAAATCTTTAATAAAGAAAATATGTCATGGGCATTGCAATTAATAAATGAGGAATCTATAGATTTTTCTGGATTTACATTTGTTGTTGTTCATGCTTAAGTAAAACGAAATCAATATTTAGGGGTAAACTAAAAAATGAAGGATTTTTTTTTTTTTTTTTTTTTGGAAAAAAAAGGGAATGTACAGAACACTTGTATACGGAGCGTTCAGATATGTATGCATAGAATCATTACAGCTTAATAAATAAAACTTAGACTATCTTAGGTAGAACCCGTTTGGACAAATTTGTAAGGCCATTTGTCGGCTCGAGCAGCTTTTACCCACTCACGTAAAGAATCATGAAGCTTTTTATGAAACTTTTGACTGAATAGTGAGTTAGAAAAGAATAACAATCTTCAAGACATACCTGCTTTTTCGAAATCTCAATGCCATAATTCTCTCTAATCCACTAAATTGTAATTCAAGACGCTTTTGCATCCGATCTTTTTTATCTAATGAAGCTAATAAATCATTAGATAGTTGAATGTGCGAGGCAACGTAACTAGTTGCTTCTGTCTCGATGCCCTCAATAAACCCAAGTGGAGGATCATAGAATTCGTTCAGATCAGACTCCAAGTCAATGATATTCCCGTCATGATTCCAAACCCAAAATACGTTCTTTGCAATATATTCTAATTCAATTATCCATCTTCTGTATGGTCGTTTCACGCGGGCTTCCTTTATAAAATCAACTTCTTCAGTTTCTTCTTCTGAGTCTTCGAAAAAGGAAAATACTTTTTTAGCACCGATTTCTCTATTAGTATGTGCCTTAAGGTATAAATTAATTATTTGAATGATGACTTCTCGAGTAGCGAAGTCAGAAGGCTGCTTCTTGGAAAACAGAAGTTGGACAAGTTGCTGGACATGATAAGAGGACCGTAATAAGCATTCTAAGCCAAACTATGGTATATCGTTAGTATTAAAAAATCGATAACTCTCTACAACGAGTGTCGGGGCTCTTACATGGACTGTGCACATAGCTTTGAGGCAAAGAAGAAATTGATCTAAAAGGATATCATGTAAGTTTTCTCTCCATTCAATTCTTGAAATCTTTTCTATCATGGAGAGTATAACACCGAATCCTCCATAATGGATAAAACATGTAACCCACCTAAATAAGTTAGTAATACAGAAATCGTAAGGGAAAAATAAAATCAGCTACCAGCATGTAAGAGAAATAACAATTTAAAATAAAGTGATACATCTCATTCGCGCTTTACGGGGCTTAAGTTGTTCAACTTACAAGATCTGTTCTTTTCGAAGTAAAAGAGCCAACTTATGTATTATAGTTTCATCCATAGAATCAATTGAAGTATTAACGATATAAGAAATAAAATCAATCGGTTCGCTGTACGACGTCTTCTTTTTCTTCCACGATAATATCCGACTCCGTTTATGTTTGTTTCTTTCATTCAGACTATTGAGAATTTCCAGCTTTATATTATCATTCAAGGATAATAGACCTCTGGAAGCTTCTGAAGAAAGTACCTGAGCTTTAATTAAATTCTCAAAGCATTGAGGATTCGATTCCTCCGAAGTCGTGAAAGACGTTTGCGACAATGAGCTAGATTCCTGTCTAGGTAATAGTATATTGTTTGAATTTCCATCAAATTCTTCAGAAGTGGAACCAAAAAGTCTTCTAAACGATCGTAAAGTATTCATTGTCTAGCACTCGATCAATAGAAGTGCAGAGCTCTGTTTCAAATTCACAAAACAAAAAGAGCGGTTCTAACACACCTTATAACGTGTTTGATTCACCGAAACATTAAAAACTGTCAAAGAAAAGATTAAGTAAAAACCGAGGTTAGCCCACATGCCTTCATTTGTCACATTTGTAAGAGAGGGCTGGTATGCTAACAATAGAGAGATTAATTAATTTTGGTTTACCTAAATTAAACATAAAGAAAAAGATTAACCTCTATATATTTTCGCGTATTATAAATAAATATATAGATGCATTTTAGCTTGGAACCCGTTTAAAAAAGTGTCTTCGAATAGACTTACTTCAGTTCTGATGCTTTTCATATCCAAAAACGCTAATATATTAAAATTTATAACTCATGCTAGCTCCGATATTGATTCCATATAGATTACTATATACTTTTGGTCGCTTAAAACGAAAAGGATTCATTAATTCTCTGTATTCTCGTAAAGCCAAGAAGGCAGATTAAGTGAGACTAAAAGTATTTTAGCTCGATAATCAGAAAGTAAGATATATTGTTCTAGAAATCGCATAGTCAGTCATTCATTCATAAACATTTGTTTTTTCCTCGCAAAGAACATAAATCGTATAGCAACATAAACTCATCATCAAAGAATTCGAAAAAGAACCAAGAGAAATGTAAAAGAGTTATTCAAGTAAAAAGAGAGGGAAAAGTAGCAAGTAACGACTATAGAGTGCAGTAACTCTGAATAGACATGGAATACAGATTACAGTATGCGGGTTGAAAAATAAGTGTATACAGAGAATTGAAATAAATGAAACAATTTATTCGATTTTTCTAATATTTGTTCTCCATCTTTCAACCATTGAACAAGAGCTTTCTGTCTTTCTATGAAGATGTTTTCGTTCAAAAGAACTTGCGTACTGTCACAACATGGGAACGACTGGCATAGAAATTTTTGCTGCTCTAAATGATTTTACAGATGGTAAGAAAGAAAGCTTTGAATTTTTGATTTACTAATTATAGCCATTGTTTCCATTCCAGAGTCAGTGTGCAGTAACTTTACGTATTTAAAAGAAATTGATGCCCGGTCTCGAGGTACGCGTCTTTAGCGGAAAACAAGATTATATTTGGCTAATTAAAACAAGAATTAAAAACAAAAGTAACAGAGGGGATCGACTCCATCTTAAGTGATGGGAAAAGAGGAAGCAATCCCATAAATAATCGCTGCTTACAGCTAGAGAATGATATCAAAGAAATGATTCCTTTTTCAGACTCAAAAATATGTCTAGCCACAGAAGCAATGGGAAATATCAACCAGTGTATTGATAGACTAGATGCCGATTTCGAATACGTGGAGCTTGAAATTCCACAACAGTTACGTTTAGGATATCCGGACGGACGAGCTTTATTTAACCATCCTAATAACAATCAAAGGATAGAAGGAAAGAGAGAGACGAGAAGGAATCAACCTCAACAGCATCATACGGATCATCAACATCAAACTCACCATACATCTTATCCAGGACAGCATATTGAAGAACGGTCTTCTGCGCATCATGGAAATGACCATAATGATTCTCACCATGCTATTTATAACACTCCCAGCAAGCGGAGAAAAACCACTGCACAGAGGAAATCATCCTCGCCTCTCCATAGAACAAAACCAAATGTCGTTACTGTTGTCGAGCGAAGACCCGGGCGACGAGGAACTAGGTATGTATTCATTTCTTTTTTCAAATTAGTGAACATTAGCAGAGGGTCAGCAGTACTAACGTGGATAAAGACAAACAACAGACGACCCTTCGACGAAACCAAATATCCTAGAACCGGAGGAATTGAACGAAGGCGAGCAACTATATTGTTATTGCCAACAAGTTTCCTATGGACAGATGATTGGGTGTGATAATGAAAACTGTAAGCGTGAATGGTTTCATTTACCTTGCGTTGGTCTCGTAGAGCCACCAAAAGGCATTTGGTATTGTACAGAATGCCGAGAAAGCATGAACCTTGAATCTTGAAAAAAGATCAACTCAATACTTGACTTATTTATTGAATGGGATATTTTTGTACTTTATTTGCGCATGTTGTTTATAGTATAAAGGTTTCCTACATCGGCAAGGCTCGTTCTATGGTACTATAATCATGGACAAGGCACATTCGCGCCTCATACTCTTTTGCGAATTTTATTGTTATGATAATATCATTGTCTGAGAGATTAAACTTTGTAATGAAACTAGCAAGCTTAAATGCGAAAGATCATAGAATGTTTGTCGCTGATTTAAGAAAATGAAACTTAAGAAGTAAATGATGTACGTGATTGGCTTGACTTATACTTACTGAAGACCTAATAATTTATAATAAATTTATGTTCATTTTTATGGACGAAAACTCGTTTTGATTTTATGAGAGCTGGATTACTTTGCAAGGTCTAACATAACTTCAAGCATCTTCAAAGTAAATGCAAATTCAAAATTTGAGTCAAAAAGAAAAAAATAGGAACTTGTACAATCAAAATAACTGGACCTGGTGCTGAAACATTACCTGTAAACAGAACTTTGAAACTTCCCAGTAATACTTGTCCAAAACAATACATATAAAGGGAACTTTTAAAATCTTGTCCATATTGAGCACTATAGAGAACCTGTGTTGTACCTATTTCTTTTTCTTTTTCTTTTTCTTTTTTTTCATATTGAAAATTGCACTGGTACGTTTGTTGACAGCTTCGAAAGACTAACATTTAGAAACCATGAAGTACTCATTTAATGTTGTGATGACCTGCGATGGATGCAAGAACGCCATCGACCGAGTCTTAAACCGTTTAGGTAAGATTACTTTTTTTTTTTTTTTTCCAGAGATTTCAACAAATGAATTGACTGTTGTGGGCACTACTCGTGATCCAAATGCGATCATATAAAAAAAAAAAAACTAGTTCCGTATATAAAATAATAAATGCTAATGAATTTACATAGGTGTTGATGAAAAGGAAATCTCTTTGGAAGCTCAGGAAGTTCATGTTACTACTGACAAACCATATGATACGGTATTGCAAACTATTAAGAAAACTGGAAAAGAAGTTCTTTCTGGTAAGACAGTTGAGTAAAAGACAAATCGCCTAAGTCTCAACTGCAAATATTTCGCACTTAAGAAACCAAGATTATATCGACAGTTCTATACATATAATATGTTTTACTGTTTGGGCCTTTCGTAGACCCGTATGTTATTCGGTTTCCTTCAGCTATAGTTTTACTCAATGTGGATTATAAACTTGTCCTTATCATCAGAGCTTACATGTTTTACAACTTATGGTTAGTTTCAAAGCATTCTGCAAGCTATGACTTCTAAACGAATACGTACAAAGATTACAGCTAGTTGCGTTAAGGAAATTTCAATAAGGATGAGGAGAATATGTTCCCAAATAAAGTACTTGTATGCACGAGAAATTATGCACATTATTGGTCCGAGCGTTTCCTTCATAGGCGTATAAAATAGGTAAAAAATTTGTGTGAATTTTAGTATTTCCAGCTTGTATATGACTAGAACTGCTTCATTAACTAAAGAATTTATGGATTCAAAACTTTCTTCAAAACGTTGCTGAGAATGGTATCAAGTGTTGACACAGATTTCTTGTAAATTACTTGCATGTGGTTTTCAGCATTGTAACAGTCATCTGTTGTCCATGTACGGTCCTTCTTGTACTTTGCAATCGCCTTTTTCACGTCATTCCTAATAACAGAAACTGTATCTTTGGACTTTTTAGCGTGATTCTCCAATTCTTTTGCTAACCGTTGTCTGCTTTCCTGTGTTGTCTTCTGAGGTACAACCATGATGGTAGATGAATCTGTCTTAGATGCCTTTATCGGGAGCGATGATTCATCCAATGACTTAAGAACATGCTTCATGTAAGATTCTTCGTAAGGGTGAATAATAAGCTGTTGAGCACTTTTTTTAGTAAGGGAAGCCACCTCGCGAAGTAATTGACCCTCATTAGAATTTTTCTTAGATGACCCAATATAAACAGAAAGCTTTTCTAGTTGATTAAAAACTCCTTGATTTGGAGACAAAGCCAATTCCTTAAATCCCGCTTCCAACTTCTTATGAACCTGAGACATTTCACTTTCCATCTTTTTCAAAACATCGCTGTACACTTCAGAATCCTTAATTTTGTCAGAAGATACTTTCTTACTCTTTTTTTCTTTCCATAGTCTATCGTTTACGTGAAAATTCCGGACACATGTTGGCTGTTTCCAAAAAGTGCTAGAAAGCTTTTGCCATTGAGAAGCTCGTGAAAATGTAGTTAAATTATTCATTTCAAATTTCTTAAATTTCTTTTTTTGTAAATTTCCTGTAAATCGTTGTGTCCGACCTAGTAAGAAGCAAACCGTTCCACATTTAAAGTGGTAGTCCTAGATCACTTTTATTTGACATGCTTAGGAAACGAAACCGTTTCCGTAGGTTCGACCATCTTTGACCTTAATCATTGAAGCATAACAAAGTACATCTTAGGTATAAATTACGAAAAAGTAATTACAAGCTTATACGAACATTACAGTAATTAAGAGTAGCATTCAACATTTGTCTTAATGACTTTTATTTTTTCAAAGAGTTGCTAATATATACAATAAAATCATGTGGAATCAAAATTATAAGTAGCTGAGTGATTCATCAAGCTCTACTAAATCGTTCATAATCGTAGAGATTGGTACACCACACTTGTGAGCCATTTCATGTCTGTGAGCAACAGACATATAAGTAAACCGTTCAATTAACGTACCATCCAATACTCTATGAGCAGCGTTGCTCAAATTCGAAGTAATGGAAATCAATCGATGCGACCTGGGATTCAATCCACCAACCGAATCCACTCTATTGGCTAAGTAGTTTTGAATAATGTTGAGTCGACGATATACCCTTTCAGAAACAGGACTTACCATCTGCAAACCTCCATCAGCATTTACCATAATGCAAGAGAAATCGTTTCCTGTATCGTAGTCGTAATCATCTTGTCTTGACTTCTTTTTCTTTGGTACGATCTTCATTGCTGTAATTATATGGCCAATATGAAAATCTCCTCTGGCAACCAGTCGTTCACCTGAATGAGATTCAGGATTTTCAGGATCATAGGCTAACAATCTCATGTCACCCTCAGTATCTGCTACAACAAAATAAAGATTTTCTCCTTGAACAAGAAAATCAGCTGCCGTAACAGAGAGTGCATCTTGACCTTTAGCAAAAAGAGTCATTCGATAAGGTTCTTCTGAAAAGCCAACAAATGAAACGTTTTGTCGAATATCTCCAAACAGGAGCAAATTTCGCAAACATTTTGCTGTAACGGTATAGCTACCCAAATCTATAAAAGCCACACCAACCAAATGATCTTCATCCTCCAAAGCTCGAACAATTATTTTTTGGCCTTGCCCACTCAACAAATAGCCGTCTACCTCACAAACAACAGCAACAGTACCCTTAATCTCTTCCCTTGTAATTAATTTTAGCTTATGCCGAGTTTCTGGTCGACCTGGTTGGGGGACGACGTCAATAATTTCGAAAAGGTAAGTAGCACCACGCACAGCAATGTCTTCACCCTTTGTGATAGATGTTCCAACAGCGACATAGGGTTTCCTTAGTTTTGTTGTTTCTGACACTTCCAAATTGACTACAGACACAGACAAGGGAATTTCATACGGCAAAAACCCATAACTATCAATGACTGTCCATGTCAATGGAGAAATTAAATCCAAAGAGCCGGTATTAGCATAAGGTAAATAATCTTTATCATCATTTTGCGGATAAAGCTCTTTTCCATCCTCATCCGTGACGGTAAATTCTGAGGGCACACAACTACCTACTGCATATATCATTTTAGTTGGATGATATGCAATACCACTAATTTGTTTGTCCAATGGAACCTTTTTATATGCCCAACGAGAATCATAATTGAAATCATCCTGAAATTTGCAAATTCGAATAAAAGAATTTTCATCTACGTAAATATAACCGTGAGGTGTATGTTCAGAATGGAAAGGTGCAATAGAAAGGATGGGTACTTCAGATATAACCGGATAAAACTTGGCATTTGAGTGCTTAGTGCTGAGTATGTAAAATGGTTTACGTCCAGTAACAAATACCGCTGATCGGCTTCCCACTCTCTCAATGGCTACCATCCTTGAATGGTCGATTGAATTGGTCGACTTTCCATCAGCAGTAGATCCAGCATCACGAGGTAATATGTTTTCTACTTGGTACTCTCGTGTCATACCTTCTTGAGGTACTTTTGCGAATGAAAGTAAATTTCTTTGTGTAATTTCATCGTAAAAAACGAACGCTTTATAAACTGTTATCTCATTCATCCTCGAACGCAGGAACAGGTGGGGTTCTTTAAAATCGTCACCTAAATCAGCTACCATTAATTCAACCAACTCTTGACTAGATTCAGAATTAAAGTAAGTCGTTTCCGACTTGAGTCCATTGGATAAAGTCGGTGGTAAATCAAAAGCATCGCATTCCATCAAAACGGAAAAATCTATGAGGTTCAATACTTTAAGTACACCTTCTGCGGTTAAAGCAAATAAAATTGGGTGTTTCTCCAACAACTGCTCATCAAGGTTACTTACATTTTTTTCAGTAACCAAGTTAGCATCAGCTTCAGAAACGCTCTTGGTTTGGGTATTTCCTTCTTGATTATCACCGCTCAAAGAACCATATATTCCGGAAGATTCGTCAATGACAGTTTGACTCTGCTCATGTTCATTCGGGTTCCGAAAAAGGTTGGAAAATATAGTAGAATTTCCGGGTGCAATTAACGAAGCCGTCTTCACGCTTTGGAGTTGGCTATGTAAATCAGTCCTCGTAAGCAATTGTGATCTTAAGTCCATCCGATACAGAGAAATATTACCGCCTAAAAATACGACGATTATACAAGGATCACAAATACTGGTTGATACCACAACCTGATTTTTTCCAAAATTAAAAAGCTGGGTTCTTTTTAGAGTAGAATCGTACACATGTATGCTTGTCGGACATATCTGTACCATTCTCATTCCCGACATCAAGGAGCCTACATCTATTGTTCTCGTATGCTTATTGAAATCCGAATTTTCAACCTCGTCAAATGTTTCACCGGCAGAAAACATAAAAGATTCATCAGCTTTTGATAAAATCAGATAAGTATCTGGTTCCATATTCATGTACGATGGTTGTACTCTTCTGCGAGAGCGTCGCTGTCTACCAGTAAGACTTACGGACCATAAAGCTTCACAACCTTGAAAGCCAAATTCGCCAGCGACAAGAGGGAAAATACTTCTTCGACAAACAACAAGTCCACCGGCGCCGCCGGCTCCACTAGTCCCGACTAGTTCAAGCGGTCCATGGTTGTCTTGTGGATAGTATGCAAGAGACCCAGCTTTACCAATGGCGAAATCAGTTATAGGCCCAACGTTTGTCAAAACATCAAAAATACTCATCCTCAAAGGTCCGTTTTCAAAAGTAACTTTACCAGCCAAATCGTTACGATCGTTGGTTTCATAAATATCGAGCATTTCTTCCATTTCAGCGTCATTATTAGAGTAAAGCTCATCATTCTCATTATCTTCCGTATTTTTTGATACACTGGAGTGTCGATTCCAATGAACCAAATAGCTATCCGTCACCTGGCTTCCTAAGAATATCATATTTTCTTCAATTGGCAGAGCTGTAGTCACGCCAGCTCTCAGAAAGTCTTCATTTATATCCAAATCTAGGTTTCGTAGAGTGAGTCCCTTTACCGTCTTTCCATCCATACTGAAATCTAGGTAGAGAAATTGACCAGAAGTTAGAATTAATAGCACAAACGGATTTCCAATTTTCGAGTTAACTAGTGGTACTGCAACAGTACCCTCGAGCTCAACATTAAAGTTTGATTGATCCTGAAGAGGAAAGTTTGTACACTTAGAATAAAATGTATTTACCCCTATACCAACAGTGCGTCCGGCTGAGTCTACATAGATTAATTCATTACCACCAACTAATAACGCTCCGCCAAGTGGCATGGGTATGGGGACTAATTGGAAAATATCGTATGGAAGATTTTGTATTGTGGTGATCACGGCACTAGCCCGTTGGTCCAAATCCAAGGTAACGAGAGAAAAGCAAACATTGTCTTTAAGGATAGGAAGGGTAACTGTGGTTGTTTGCTGAGGGCTGTACAAGATAGCCAAAGTTGGCTCTCTATAACCATACAAAAACTTAACATCCAGTATCCGTGCGATTGTAGATTCTAATTGAGAGGAGTCTAAAACAAAAGAGGGTTTATAGGGGGTAATGGAATTCCAGATATTTTTAGAGTCGTCTACAGCGGCCTCCTCCATTTCAAGGTCTTCAATCTTTGGGAAAGGGATGATCGCCATCATATCCGTATGAAACCTCAGTAAACAACAGTTAGAATCTGGGTCAACAATTAATTGAGTAGGAGTTTTATTAGTAGATGGCATTGTCGGTTTAACTGCTTCATAGTAATGAAGGCTGGTAGTAACTAGGCTCTGAGTTTTCATATCCCATTCCAATATGGATATTTTAGCATAATCTGTTAACATAACTAATAAATCACATCCCTTATTTCCTTTTCCTTTTAAGATAGAAAGAGCAGTTACCGTTCCAAAAACTTGAAATTGGCTCACAAGACGTAAAACATAGCTAGTATGTTCGTGAGTACGAATCAAATGCATATTCGTCTCCATAAAGGCTTGACTATCATCAATCAAATTATTTGAATAGTCATTCTGTGAAAAAGCGTCAGATTCATCCTTTTGAACTTTCTCAATTTCAAAAACATAAAGAGAGTCAACTTTGCCAACAATCAAATTTTTAGAAGATGGTGAAGATAATTTTCCTTGAACAGCATTTTTAACGGCTGTTGAATCCGTCAAACTTTGAAATATAGTTGACATAAAGCCCAAAACATATATGTTGTGTTCTGACCACGCGAAGGGGTTGAGATATAACGGTAGTGGGTGTGAGCTGTGTATGCTATATAGGCAGAACGTTGATTACAAGATCAAAATGACAAGAGAAATGGCTAAAGTAATGATTTAGTAAATTGAGCTTGGTTTCGCCCAATTTCAACCAAAAAGTTTGTTGCGTGCAATACCTGAAAACGAACTTGTTCTGGCTCTCGAATGTATGATCCAAGGGCCAACAAAAGTTTTTCAGAATCACTACTTATGTTAGTTTTACAGTTTACTCGAATAAACGCATTCCATGTATAACTTACTTAATGTGACATCTGAGATACAGAAGCGACGCGTTCCTGTGAAGTATGTCCACAGAAATGGCAGATCCAAATATTCCAAAGGATTGAGAAAGAGCTAATGTAATAAAATGCCTTAAGGTCAATTCATCTAATTCAGTCTCCATCGAAGAATTATGGAGTCTGGCTTGTTAGCAAGAGGAATCGATACCGAAGAAAAAGCTTACATTTTCACTAGTATATAATAATTTTCACTTTTTAAACGTTGATGTAAGACCATGGTATATCCCAAAAACCAAAAATGTACTGAAATAGAAGTCGAAAATGGTAGTGAGAAGTCTCAAGTTGTCATTTTGAAACCGTGAAAACAATTTTAAGAATGTATACAAGCTTACTAAAATAATTTAGTCAATAAAGTCATTATAAAAAGAAATAAATTGAACAATAATGAATTTCGGTAAGTCGTTTCCAATATTCGAAAAGGACGACTCAGTTTGTATAAAAACTGTTAGAATAGAATAATTATTACTAAAAAAGTAAATGAGTTGTAATCTAAAGGAAATTATAGCTGGAATCCAAAGTCTGCCTCTTCTTCTTTATTTAATGGATGGCATGAAGCATATAAATTTAAGATATTCATGGCACGTTAAGTTTATGTTTCCATTCCTTGTATAAATTTTGCACGTAAGTCATGGATTTTTCTTTATCTGAAGGAAGTATTAATTCAACAGACGTTGGAAGAATTTTTTCCTTTCCAGACATTGTAGTCGCACTTCCCCATTTGATATTCTCGTCCTCGATATGAGAGTGAGTTGCTATCCATAGAAAAGCATAGGCTGCTATGTAAGGAGAGACAGTATGCCATGGACTTCCCAATAAACGACAAAGCCAGAAACCGAGTTTGGCAAAAATTACAATAAAACCTAAAAACGTTTCGTACATATTAGTAGTACACAATCCTGGGTGAACAAGGTATTGTTGATATGGGAGACCGCTTTCGATTTCAGCAAAATGCAAAATATCTAATAAACGTTTAGACGACTGGTACGGTCTTTGGCCATGAAGGCATTCTATATCTTCGAAACTAAGAGATTCCTTTTTGGCTACAAGGCTTCCCGTTAAAACCACTTTAGTAGAAGAACCCAGAACGGATAGTTCAAGAAGACGCGTTTTCTAACATATTAGCATTCAAAGGTAAATCTGTAGTGATGAAAAAATTCCTTACAAGATAATAATGGCCAAATACGTTACTTTGAAAAATATGGCCCATCGAATCCTTGCTAATACGTCCTATGGCTTCCTTATAAAAGGTTGGAAAAGTAAGCGCCTTTACCGGATTCATTATTGTAGCAAATATAGCTTTGATCCAGTCAATACCCTGTAAATCCCATGCGCCTGCATTGAGATAAACGTAGTCTAGCTTAGGATACCGAGCTTTGATTTCTTGTGCAGCCGCTTCAACTGATTGCATATCTGACAAGTCTAAGAGGACATATTCCAGTCTGATTTTTCTTTCAGGGAACAATTCCTTTAATCTTTTGCAAGCATCTTCAGCTTTAGCACGACTCCTGCACGTTAAAACAATTGTAAACGTTTCTGGCTCATCCTGTATCCTTGGCTTATAAAATTCTAGTAAACGAGCGGCAATTCCAAAGCCTAGGCCGCTAAAAAAGAGTTAGTTATTATGTATTTTAATAGCAAATTACCTATTCGAACCAGTAATTAACGCATATTTTCGAAAGCTCATGCTCAAGTTGGGTAAAGAAAGAAGGTTGAAATCGAACTATTTTCATGCAAGTGTCATATCATTCGAAAAGCACACCGACGTATTGAGTCTATATTTAGCAATCATACTTGCAATAACTATGTGAATATTAGCAAACGAATTAAGTTAGATTCTTTTCTAAGAGCATACTACAGTTTATGAGACCAGACTGAAAAAGAAAATAGAATATCATATATACAAAAGAATGCACTGTAACTAAAATTTATAAACGAACAATTACTAAGAAGGACTAGTAGCTTCCGTTGTTTTATTCTTGTGTAAATAATATACACAATAAATAATGACCCTTCTCTATCAGATATTATACTCAGATAGTGACCTCCTTTTTTGTATTAGTACCTTTTATTTTGTTGAAAAGGATATCGTAGAAAGATTCTGTCTGGGAGCCTAAATAATTGCCGGCTTTATTGAGTTCTTCTCGTTCATTATATAAGGAAGCGAGTTCGCTTGAAGTAAAATACAGGATTTGTTTATGGGAACTCGAGGCTTCAAAGGATATTGACTGCTCTTCTTTAGAGCAGATAATTAAATCTGCTTGATCAATTTTCAAGGCTAAATCATCGCTTGAAACACTCGCCAAATTAACTCCATGACTTTTAAATTTCTCACTACAATCAGTAAAATCCTCAGACTTTTCACCTTCGGGTTTGTAAACGAATACCTTCGTAAATGAAAAAGCGGCTAATTGTTTCAGAGTAGCTTCGTTCGAGAGCGCTTTCAAAAGTTTAGAGCTGCTTCCAAAAGCGAACATGATTGACTTTTCACGCTTGGGAGCATATATAACTCCAGAAGCATCTGAATGCTTTTGATCCATAGCGAAAGCATTTTTCAAATCATCATAGCTTTTAGCGCATTGCGCAGCTTGCCTGACATCTTTTCTAAAGGCTCCCTGCATGATTTGAGTTAAGCAATATTTTGTGTTACCAAAATTGTTTTCAACCTCCAATGCCTAAACTCGTTAGATACAGATAATAAAAAAACAGAGAATTCTTGGTCCAAACTTACCATTTTAAGATAATCCAAAGCCAAATCACGGTTGGACAAAGGGCCTTCTGCACGAAAACAAGAAACATTCTTTTCCGCGGCTCTAGCAATCAGTACACCATCTAAACCGTATTTTTCTATAAGCTTTTTTCCTTCTTCGTAACCAGAGACGTCTCCGTTTGCGAGAACGGCAACATTGTACTTTTTGCAAAGGTCAACTATATCTTGCAAATATTCCCGATGAGCTGGTTCTGTGTTTCGCATAGGCGTCGTACGGCAATGAATGGTTATTGCGCGAATTCCGGTAGAACAGAGACGCTCAATCAGAGCTAGGGTTTTCTCTTTAGTTTCCAAAAGACGGATTTTGCAGCTAATTGAAACATTGTGTGGAATCCCCACCTCCTTCACCAAAGCCTGTAAAATTGATATAAGACGATCTGGTTCTTTCAAAAGACCTGCACCCATGCCAGCATGAACAGAGAAGTGTTTGGGACAGCCGCAATTCAAGTCGATACCAGCAACATCGTCGGCTACAAGCTTTGCAGCTTGAACAGCTAAATCTGGAGAAGCAGAACCAAGTTGAAAAACCAATCGATTAGCTTCTAAAGGATGCACACGAAAGAGAACTTTGTTCGTAGGAGGCTTAACAAAATCTATGCAGTTCACTCTATCTAACTTTATTAGTCTCTTTTCATCGTAAATAAAACAAATAAATTGAAAGAAATGAATGTTTGACACTGTCCGATAGAAAAGGCGCGTTGCGCTTTCGCATGTGCATTTGCTTTATTGCAACTAGAGGAATGCCAAGCCGCAATAGGTTGTTTTAAACACTTACCATTTACTATTCTTTGTACCAAGGACCCACCTACCAATGCTTTGTCTACAATTTCTGGACCCCATACCAGATTTGCTCCATAACGAAGAGCTAGTAATCTCGTTGGAAGCTCCCCAATTCGTACCATGGGAGCTAAGCAAATCTTATTACTGTAGTTCAAGAGTCCCATGTTGTAACATAGAGCGTCCAAAAGGGGATTCAGTGCAACTGTTATGTACCAAAGGTTATATCTCGAATTGTCAGTACAGTAAATTTTCGTTAGTGGCCAATTACCGGAGTCACTACCATATTGCCATAGCAAACGAAATTGTTTCTTCGTAAAAGAGTTTCTACTAATATTTTAATGTAAAATTTAAATCATATAAAAAAAATCCATAGTACATTCGAATATGTTGTCAGACTATCATCTACAAGGGTGGCTATCAACACTTATAACGTTATCCTCTCATATACTTATGTATAGTCTTATATTCAACCAAAGTCGCGGTGGTGTAGTTGGGAGCATGACAGACTGAAGATCTGTTGGTCACCGGTTCGATCCCGGTTCGTGACACTTTTTTGTAAAACTATCAAACGATAGAACTTTCTTCAAACAACGATATCCACTTCTGTAGCACGAAAAAATAACGACGAACGTACGCCGTACTCGTGTATAATGACTACCTCGGAACATCTAACATGGAGGGTGCTCGACAGATATTACTATACAATAGAATCACGCATTGTTCTTGATTTAAACTTCTTATTACAGTACCTACAATGTAAACAAATAACTTTAATACTAAAATAGATCCTGGTAATTATTATATTTTGTTTAACCCTAGACAATATTTATAGCGGTATCAAAATATGTCTTCTAATCAATTCCTCCAAAACTATGACATATACGCTGTATAACCTTTTTAACGGAGAGAGGCAAAGGCCTTTTGAACGGTACGCTTAAGGCGAAGTTCAGACTTACGGAGAGCATCAGTGTTAGAGTCTTCAAGCTCCAATTGGGACATGCATTCAGCCAATTGTTGCTCAATCTTAGACTTGTCACCGCGCTTCAACTTCATCATAACATTAGGCTCAGAGATGGTGGTTTCAATGTTGGAGATGTAAGCTTCAAGTTGGCTCTTAGCTTCCAATCTCTTGGCGAAGTCCTTGTCTTGTTGCTTGAACTTGTCGGCATTCTCAATCATTTCTTGGATCTTAGCAGAGGAAAGGTGACCAACAGAGTTGGTGATCTCGATGTGAGCAGTACGGCCAGTGGTCTTCTCGAGAGCAGTAACCTTCAAGATACCGTTAACATCCAATTCGAAGGTAGCTTCCAATTCAGCTTGACCACGGGGCATAGGGGGAATGCCAGTAAGTTGGAATTCACCGAGAGCCTCGTTCTCGCTGCAGTTAACACGTTCACCTTGGTAGACAGGGAAGGTAACGGAGGTTTGGTTGTCAGCGACGGTGGTGAAAGTACGCTTCTTGATAGTGGGGATGGCGGTGTTACGGGGGCAGACAACACCGAAAACATTGCCTTCCATAGCAACACCCAAAGAGAGAGGAACAACATCCAACAAAAGCAAGTCAGCAGTCTTGTCAGAGTCAGCCTTGTTGGTGAGGACAGCGGCTTGAACAGCAGCACCGTAGGCAACGGCTTCATCAGGGTTGATAGACTTGTTGAGAGGACGGCCTTGGAAGAAGTCGGAAACGAGTCTTTGAACCTTGGGGATACGGGTAGAACCACCAACGAGGACAATATCGTGAACATCAGCCTTAGCAACCTTAGAGTCCTTCAAGACCTTTTCGACGGGGTCGATGGTCTTCTTGAAGGTAGTAGCGTTAATGTCTTCGAAACGAGCACGAGTAATGCTAGAAGAGAAGTCGACACCGTTAGAGAGAGAGTCAACTTCAATAGTGGTTTGAGTGACAGAAGACAAGGCACGCTTAGCACGTTCACAAGCAGAGCGAAGACGACGGAGAGCACGAGGGTCTTCGGAGATGTCGATCTTTTGCTTACGCTTAAATTCTTGGATGAAGTGTTCAACCAAAGCAGCGTCGAAATCTTCACCACCCAAGTGAGTGTCACCAGCAGTAGCCAAAACTTCGAAGACACCACCTTGAATCTTCAAGAGGGAAACATCGAAGGTACCACCACCAAGATCGAAAATGAGAACGTTCTTGGCAGCCTCAGTCTTAGCATCAAGACCGTAAGCAATGGCGGCAGCGGTGGGTTCGTTGATGATACGGAGGACATTGAGACCAGCGATGGCACCAGCGTCCTTGGTGGCAGCACGTTGAGAGTCAGAGAAGTAAGCAGGGACGGTGACAACGGCCTTTTCGACACGCTTGTTCAACTTAGCTTCGGAAATTTCCTTCATCTTGGTCAAGACCATAGCGGAGATTTCTTGAGCAGTGAATTGCTTCTTTTCACCCAAGTAGTCAACCTCAATGGTGGGGACACCATTGTTGTCAATAACCTTGAAGGGCCAGTGCTTAATGTCCTTTTGGGTCTCAGGATCTTCGTAACGACGACCGATGAGACGCTTGGCGTCAAAAACGGTGTTACGAGGGTTCATAGCGGCTTGGTTCTTAGCGGCATCACCAACCAAGCGTTCAGCCTCGGTGAAAGCAACAAAAGAAGGGGTGGTACGAGCACCTTGGTCGTTGGGGATAATTTCAACATTAGCAGTTTCCCAAACAGCGACACAAGAGTAGGTAGTACCCAAGTCGATACCAATAGCACCTTCGTATACTTCACTCATTTTCTGGCAACAAAAAGATATAACTGACCCTCGATTATTTGAGAGAAGTAGGTTATTGTAAAGTTTCACTTCCGGTGAACTTACATTATATGAGAATTCGCAGTCACAGAATTTTTATACAATAAAATTTCATAGGCAAGTAGTCACTAATGTACTTCATTGGATTTCGTTATTTTTTCCTCTGGTTCTGTTTTTTTACTTTCATTTTTTCGTTTCATTTTACTTGTTTGGGCCGTTAAAATTTTCATATTTGTGCCACCGGGTTCTTATTCATATTTAGCTCCTTTCTTTGCCCAATGGTACAAATAATAAATTACTAAAATGCCACCGCATAAAAAGGTTTTACGCTTTCTATCATATCAGTTTATATGTTTTAGCGTAGTTGTCTGTAGCAATCTTATCTTATAATACCAAAATGGAAGACAATGTACTTTGTAATGTATAACGTAGTGCAATTGACAGCGCTATTTAGAAATGTTTCGAATAATAGTGTAAACCACTTGCTAGAAGAAAGTGTTCCAATGTAGGAAAATGAATTAGGAACGCAGTTTGGATGCATTTCCAAGAAACTATTCATTTTCACAATATCTATTGATTTTAAAAAAATAATTTTTTTGCAGTGCAATTTGTCCCAAGGGATACACAGTTTTTACATTTTTTTGTTTACCAACAAATAAACAAATAGTCTGAAATTTCAGATTTATTTTTTCATAAGAATGGACTTGATAGTTGAGCTTAGGTTTGACGAAAAAAAAAATAAATGAATAATTTAAAGAAAAAGAGAATAAATATATTTCCTGAATCACGAAGGTAAAGCTTTTGTAACAACAGGTAGGCGGATTAACAATAAAGAGTTACTGAATTCTGAACAGGCTTCACCCAAACCCAATATCTTCCAATTGGAATGTATAATTAGCAGTAAAAAAAGTTTTTTTTAATGGTTTACGGATCATCGTGAAATGGTTTCCTGCCAAGTGTAGTGTAGTATATGAGGAATTTATCAATTTTGACACCCTCCCTATTTATCGTTTAAAAATGTTGTTAAATTTATTTCAATCATTTCCTTTACAATGTTTTTGATTCTCAATTGCTTTTTTGTTTTATAGACTAAGTGCGAGAAGTTCCATACAATTTTTAATACGAATCCATCATCAACCCTTTGAAGCATACATAAGTCATAAATAAAAAGACCGACTTTTGCCGTCCCCGATATCCCGTATATTCCGTCCTGAAATTTCTTTTTTTCTTTTTTCATCTCTTTACTTTTACATTGTTCTTTCGTTGGCCTCTGATTGAAGAATTTCATTTGCCTAGTTACGGACTATGAGCGAAGAGCCTGTAGTATTTTTTGATGTATGCTGAAACTTGACTACAGTTACAAATCAGCTAACTTCTTCTCTTTAGATTGGGATTGGAGGTAATTATATTGGAAGAGTCAGATTTCGCTTGTTTTCAAATACCGTTCCCAAGTAAGTTTATGCGTGTGTTTCCCTCCTTCTCCTACTAATATTCTCGTAGAACAGCTGAAAATTTCAGGTAGTTTTTTGTACAATTTATATACGATGGAAATGAGCTAAGACCTGATAGACAATTTTGTACTGGAGAAGCCAAAGGACCAAATCGAAACCCAATTGGTACGACCAGCGACTATAAGTTTTCTTAAATACTAATATCATTTTTAGGATATAAAAATGCAACCTTTCACAGGATTATCCCGGATTTCATGATCCAAGGAGGGGATTTTGTTAGTGTATGTTATTTTCATCACAGTTTTCTATATACTCTGTTTACAAGATTCCATTCCACCTTTTACGAGTCACTAATATTGTTATTAGGGTGATGGTACAGGCAGCACTACTATTTATGGTTCCCGTACATTCCCCGATGAGAACTTTGCTTTGAAGCATGACAGACCCGGTTTGCTAAGTATGGCGAACGCCGGTAAAGACTCTAATGGGTGTCAATTTTTCATTACCACTGTACCCTGTGACTTTCTAGACGGAAAGCACGTCGTATTTGGTGAAGTAATTGAAGGATTTGACGTTGTAAAACAAATTGAGTCTACGCCAGTTGGTACCAGTTCCCGCCCAAAAATGAATGTAGTTATCATGGAGTGTGGTGAAATGTAATTTTTATTCGAGAATTAGCAAAATTATTAAAAACATCAATGGAAAGTATCTATCAATTCATTTGTGCGTATCCTTTTGTTTCGAAAATTAATTAGATGTTCTTCTTCGTTATAGGTGTGGTAGATGTTAAGACATTTGCTAGTTCCTCTTGTCCAACACTAAAGAGCAACTTTATGCAAAATACAAGTAAGCCAAAGCCGACTATAGCGAACCAAAAGAAAAATTGAAATTCCATCGATATGTCTTGTTTACTACAGGTGTCTCCAGTCCATTGGACAGTTCTGTTTCCACCATTACCAGCAGCGACAACGGTGGAAGCACATTGACAGACAAAGCAAGACTCCTTGTTTGCGTATTTTACACATTCGCCTCTACCAGAACAGGAGTTGGTTGCCTTTTTACACGCTTCCTCCGTCAAAAAGCAGCGTCCGTCGGAATTTCGATAATTGTTAGACACTGCTTGGTCTATCTCTTCACCGAATGCTTCTAAATCAAGTTGACGCTTTTGATATCTAGCGTTCCGCGCTTTAAAATCAGAAGGAGGAAGGAGTACATAATTGATAGAAGAAAACTGTTTTAATTGTAATAAAAGTGAAATTATATTTTCCCGCGCAATTCGATACTTTTCAGAAGATGCACCTTCAGTGTGATACATTATCTAAGCTGTTAGTTTCCGATTTAAGCCCTCCAAAACAGAGAAACTTACCTCTAAAGAGACGATCTGTCCAAAACCGACAGAAGGATCTGCAACGTTTCCACTGTCAGATTTCATTTTCAAATACTCAAGGTACTCGTTCAAAGCAGCAATTTCTGACAAGAAGACTTGATCTTGCTTTTTGTTGATATCAAAAAATGTAGAGGATACTTTTCCAAAAAGCTTTTCGTAAAGATGTAGTAACATCGAGTCTTCATGTTTTGTGGGATGTAATTGAAAAAGCGCATGAACTGATAATGAACCACCCATATCATTAGTATAGAACGTCCTGTGTTCTTTCCCATCTGCAGCATGCAATTGTCTTTGGAATCTTCGAATTAAAGCCGCGAAGGAGTTGCTGGAAGGAGTGTTTTTTATGTAGAATGTTGGGTTTATTTCTTTTACAGGTTCGTCCAAGTTCAAGCCTGAAACGGTAAGAAGCATCTTGCATTTGGGATCAAAAAAAGAAGAGAGAGAGTTTTCTTGGAGCAATAAGTCTTGAAGCAATTTATCGGCCTTGGGATTTCCCTCTAGATTATGAAATTGAGAAATACCCAACGTATGAGCAAAAATGAGCCGAGCTTCAGAAGGATTCAATGAAGGAACATAGTCACTTGTTTTATCAATTGAAGAAATGTAAACTACGGCGTCTGAATGAACAGTACCTAATTTTATGTCAACACATTTATTCGCACCTACTAGCGCTTTCACAAACCTGAAACACATGCTACTACTAGTCCAAGTAGAAATGAAAATAAAAATTTAGAAAATCTCATCTTTATTTCCATAAATTGAATAAAGACGACGACTTTCTTTTAGAGAAGTTGGCTTTCTGTGGTGATGTGTTATTGTATCAATAGGGACTAAGCAATGCCTCCAGTAGAAGCAGGCTCATTGTACAGTTATCGATAAATGAAAGATGATTGTTATATATTAGAATACTATAATTAATAAATTAAATATCATTACATTTTTAGCTGTTTCTTGTGAGAATCAAGCTACTGCAAGCGCTCCTGACAGCACTCCCTAGACTTTCAAATACGAAACTTAATCGGTAGAGCTTGATCGAGTATACATATTTACTGATTCACAAAAATTGGATGAAGAAAAGTACGTTGAGTTCATGGTTCTGTTCAATTCAGCCATGAAAGGATACAGGTACAGTGCCTTCTCAGATAGGAATCTTGTCTGTAGATTTTCTAATGGATTTCATTCAATTGTTTTTACTTTTATTTAATGAGTTTGTCTTCCACATCTTACGCAGATTCCAAAAAAATGTACCAATAACTAGAAATGGAAAGATAAAGCAAAAGCACGGATTTTTGAAACAAACATAACACAGCATTAAAACAATTTATTTATTTATTTTATTTTACATATTTTACTCTAAAATTGTGACCATAGGAGAAGTAGTAACAACTTGTGTTCTATTTACCATGCTTAATTGTTTACGTGGTGTTACCTACTGAATACTACCTAGCTTGCTTAGCGCAGTATGCTCGACATCGCAATACGTTTAGAGAAAATTGCGCAGTGGAACGCATGTCAGCAAACTTAGGGTTTTTGCAAGGAAATTTTACGAATCTCTTACCGATTGTGTCTGTTATTACTACAACAAAATTCCTCAATGGCAGACAAAAGTACTGAAGCTGCTCAGTCTAAGGAGGTCGAGGTATGAGCTATATCGTCGCTATGGATTTCTTTACTAACGTAAACTTAGAATTCCCCAAATTCTCAGGAAACCCCAAGACCCAAAACTGAGAAAGAATGTACGTGATGAAGGAGAAATAAAGCGGAAAATGCTGACTGTCATTGAATATAGTAGAACGTGAACGTCAAAAAGCCGCCAAGCTTGAGAAGTACCATGCAAAGTTAGCTGCAAAGAAGGCCAAGGAGGAGTCCAGAAAGCCAAAGGTTGATAAGAAAGCCAAGATTGCTGAACCTACAGCTGAGTATGTTGAACAGACAAAACTCGGTGAAAAGAAGGTTCTCCAAGATTTAGAATCTCCCGCTTTGAAGTCATACAACCCCAAAGCTGTTGAATCAGCTTGGTATGACTGGTGGGTTAAATCTGGATTTTTCGAACCTGAATTTGGCCCCGACGGAAAGGTAAAAGAGGAGGGTCAATTTGTTATTACCTCTCCTCCCCCTAATGTCACTGGTGCTCTCCACATCGGTCATGCCCTCACTATTGCAATTCAAGATTCCTTGGCTCGTTGGAATCGTATGAAGGGCAAGACTGTGCTTTTCTTGGGAGGCTTCGACCATGCAGGCCTTAGTACCCAGTCTGTTGTTGAGAAGAAACTTTGGGCTGAAAAGAAACAGACACGCCACGATTACGCCAGAAATGATTTCGTCGATATTGTCTGGAAATGGAAAGAGGAATATCACGAGCGTATCAAGAAGCAAATGTCCCGCCTTGGTGGTTCTTTTGATTGGAAGCGTGAAGCTTTCACTATGGATGAGAACCTTACCCGGGCTGTCGTCGAAACTTTTGTCCGCTTGCACGATGAAAAGATTATTTACCGTGCCAATCGTCTTGTAAATTGGTGTACTGCTTTGCAAACTACTTTATCCAACTTGGAAGTTGAGAACGTTGAAGTGACCGGACGTACTGAGATTAAGGTCCCTGGTTATGATCACCTTGTGGAAGTTGGTGTCTTAACATCGATAGCTTACGAAGTTGAAGGATCTGATGAAAGAATTATTATCGCAACCACTCGTCCCGAAACTTTGCTTGGTGATACTGCCATTGCTGTCCATCCCCAAGACCCTCGTTACAAGCATCTTCATGGAAAGTCTGTTAAACATCCCTTCTGTGATCGAATTCTTCCCATCATTTGCGATGATATTGCGGTTGACATGGAATTTGGTACTGGTGCCGTCAAAATTACTCCTGCTCATGATCCTAACGATTATGAAGTTGGTAAGCGTCACAATTTAGCTTTTATAAACATTTTGAATGACAATGGTACATTGAACGAAGCCTGCGGTGAATTCGCTGGAATGAAGCGTTTCGATGTCCGTATCAAAATTGTTGAGCGCCTCAAGGAACTTGGCTTGTTTGTGGGCACTCAAGATAACGCAATGGTTATCCCCGTTTGCGGCAAGACTTCTGATATTATTGAACCAATTATGAAACCTCAGTGGTGGGTTAACCAAAAGGAAATGGCTAATGCTGCTGCTGATGCTGTTCGTTCTGGTGAAATTGATATCGCCCCCGAGGTTTCTCGTAAGGAGTTTATCCGTTGGATGGAAAACATTCAGGATTGGTGTATTTCTCGTCAATTATGGTGGGGTCACCGTGTCCCTGCTTACTTTGTTAAGCTCAGTGATGCAAAGAACCATGATAAAAGTGATGATCGTTACTGGTTTAGCGGCCGAACAACTGAAGAAGTCGAAGAAAAAGCCAAGGCAGCTTTTCCCGGTAAGTCTTTTACCTTGGAGCAAGACGAAGATGTTCTTGACACCTGGTTTTCTTCTGGTTTGTGGCCTTTCTCTACCTTAGGCTGGCCCAACGATACTGCTGACTTTAAAACATTTTATCCAACCGTTTTGATGGAAACCGGATGGGATATTTTGTTTTTCTGGATTGCTCGTATGGTTATGTTGGGTATCAAGCTTACCGGCCAAGTTCCTTTCAAGCGCGTCTTCTGCCATGCTCTTGTTCGTGATGCCCAAGGACGTAAAATGTCGAAGTCTTTGGGTAACGTCGTCGACCCTATTGACGTGATTGAGGGTATCAGCCTTCAATCTCTGCACGATAAGCTCTTGGTTGGTAATTTGGACAGCCGTGAGGTTGAAAAAGCAAAGAAGGGTCAAAAGTTGAGTTATCCCAAGGGTATTCCTCAATGTGGTACCGATGCTTTACGTTTTACTCTTTGTTCTTTGACTAGTGGTGGACGCGACCTTAACTTGGACATTCTTCGTGTTGAAGGTTACCGTAAATTTTGCAATAAGCTTTACAATGCTACGAAGTTTGCTTTGGGCCGCCTTGGATCATCTTTCGTCCCTAATCCAACTGACAAGCCCACTGGCAAAGAGTCCCTTGTTGAAAAATGGATTTTCCATCGTTTGAATATTGCTGTGGATGCCATGAACAAGTATATGGAAGAGATGAACTTCTTACAAGCAACTTCTGCCATTTATCAATTCTGGCTTTATGAATTGTGTGATGTTTACATCGAAAACTCCAAATACTTAATTAGTGATGGAACTCCAACTCAACAAGAGTCTGCCAAGCAAACTCTTTATACTGTTTTAGATACTTCTTTAAGATTGATGCATCCATTTATGCCTTATGTCACTGAAGAAATGTTCCAGCGTCTTCCTCGTCGTCCTAACGACACAACACCCAGTATCGTGAAGGCTAAATTCCCTATGGTAAGAGAAGACTATGCCTTCGAACAAGCTGCTAAGGACTACGAATCTATAATTACAGTTGTTCACTCCAGTCGTTCCATGATGGCTGATAATGGTATCAAATCCGATGCTGTCTTGTACGTTCACCCCGGTCAAAAGCAACAAGAATTATTCAATGCCGAAATTGCTAGTATCCAATCTTTAATCAAAAAATGCAAGTCATTGAAGATTGTTGATACTGATTTTACCGGTGAAAACTGCGCAAAATCGGATATTTTGGAGGGTTGTACTGTCTTTTTGGAAAAGGGCGAATAAGTCATAAATTTAAAAGTACAATATAAGGTTTTTTTATAAATTACAAATAAATGGATATCATTAAACATAAAAATAAATACAAGAATATGTATATGTACAGTTTCCCATGCCTGTCATCAATCAGATAGTTCGTTGAATATATGTACCCACGGAAGCAATGCTAGTGATTGCAGAGAAGCATGTAGAACCGACAGTTTTAAGACAAGCAAATATCATGAAGGCCCAAAATACAAATTTTAAGTAGCCGTTATTTATCGAATCTTCACCCTGGAAGACTTGAAGTAAAATGATTGCCAGAATCAGATTGCTTAAAGCCCAAACCAAGACATATCGAGTTCGCATATCCTGATAATAGTCTTGGGTGGTTAATAAAATGGGGTTAGCATGCATCCTGCTTACAGTTGCATCGCTCTTACAATCATCATCGTCACTGAAGCTTCGAAATGTTGAATTGTAAATAGAATTCAACATTTCTGATTTGGGTATAGCTATCGTAGCAAAGTTACTTTTCTTTCCGCTTCGATATGTTTCGGTTAAGTCATTGCTTGTTTCGACATCGATATCATTAAGAGTCGAAGCATCATTGAGATGGCACAATGCATAGACTTGCTCCATGTAGATGCGACTTGGCAATAACAGGACATATTGCCATAGGCATGTAAAAAGAAAGAGTGGATCAATTGAAATTAGCGAAACGAAAATGTAGCATGCTAGAACGATCAAGCAAGGCAACATCACGTTCGTAAAATAATTGTTGCCTATGATATTATATCCATGAGAGGAATGTATGAAGATGGGAATTAGAGAAACGTAAAATATGCAAAACAAGAAATAAATCATGACTGAAGTAAATATCACCAGGCTAAGCAGGGTGAGCTTTTTAGAGCTAGACGGTTGTTAGATATACATTTGTAGAAAGTAAAAACATACCCTCGGGAACGGTTGCCCATTGCTAAAACAAACTGTGAAAATATAGTACACAGAAATATATATTCAAAAATTAGAAACAATGTTTTACCCCATGGTCCATAAGGGTTGAAATACTTGAATGAAGTGCTATTGCATATAAAGTGAAAAGAAAGAAAGAAGTTTGCCAAGTTAAAAAACCCAAACAGTCTCTCTAGTCCAAAGATAAAAACTTGCATAGCCATCATTAGGAACCGAAGAAAACTATGTCTAGTTTTCCACAGAGAAAAGAAGTCTGAAAGAACATATATAGCAAGACTGAAACTACTGTTGATATCACTTCTCTTTGCCTCTAAAGCTTTAACCATAGACCCAGGAGCTTTCACTTCCGCTTGAGCTTCAGGAACATAATTCAGATACCATCTTGATTGCTTTTTAGTGACGACTTTCCAAAACAAGAGCTGTTCTTGGGCAACGTATGCATTAGCTTCTAAGATACCCTGTTTCTTTCCTTCCGTGTTCTTCCGAGTAAAATATTGGGTCAGTGGACCAGGATCAGGAAAATCATCTAGCAAGGCTATATAGCGAAAACCATAAAAGGCGTTAGACGTATTAGAAATATAGCCAAGAAAACTATCGTATGGAAGCCTAAGATTATTATATATCATTTGATCAAAATGTTGAGCAGCGATAATAGGAGAAAGAAGCTTCTGTCCCCATTTTCCGGTTTTGATTACTGTTCTGCCGCATATTCCTCCAAGTTTAGAATTAACGTCGAAACTTTTCCAAGCATGGTATACCGATTGTGTTTCTAATTTAGAGCCAACCTTTGCGAACAAGCAAATATTCGGTCGAACAAGTGAACAGATACCTTGTAAAAACCACCTTTGAGAATCGTGAGTCCCGCTCTCATTTTCCTTTAAGCAAACAAGCAATTGCATAGGTGTATTTCCATCATTTCGAGTCGTAATATTCAGTTTTTCGTCCACAGAAATAGTACTGGTGAATTCATACATATGAGCTAGAACCTTTTTACCGTTAATCCTACCTTTGGAAATACTAGCTTGGTATGCACCGATAGTGGATAATAAATCCAAAATGCTTCTGTGTACCGAATTCCGGCCATCAAGCACTATACAGGTCAAAACTCTTTTCCAGCCTTCAACACCCCAAACTCTCGATTTGTTACGCTTAGTTAAATACTTCACATTTTCCATAACACTAGATAGTGTTAATGCAAAAGAAGCAAGATCCTCCTGCCCTACAGTCATACAAATGGCAGCTTGGATATCGCGGTCAAACAGAATTGTTCTAACTTTTAGCTCATTTGCCATCATATCTTCGGGATTGGAAGTCACTGCAGTATATCGGATGGAGCTTGACTCTTCGGGGTTGGTTTGAACTATAGAACCAAGCATATGCTTCAAGTCAGAAGGGCAGGGACATTCAACAACCAAGCTATCGTGCATTATGGGAACTTCTTGCATTTCTTGATAAAATGATTTATTCATAACGGATGCGGAATCAAGTCCACTATAATTATCCTCTGACATAGCATAGTCAGATTCATACTCGTTCATAAATTCTTCCTTTTTATCCGCAAAAGATCCAGCGCTTAAGGTTTCTGAGTCGCTGCGTTCAATAAACGTTTCATTGGGACGGGAATACAAATTAGACGGACGATCCTGATCAACCCCAATGCGATGTACAGGAGGAACAGGAGGTGCAGTTGAGCTATTTAACATAGTAGGATTCACATCATAAATAGAATTTGTAAAGGAAAAAGAATCATCTTCAGGAAGCTCAAACTGTTCGGACGACGCATCCTGATTTTCCCAACTGTAGCTCCCTATATGTGATTCCTCTTCACCAGCGAGTTGAGGCATACTCAATTCGTCAAGCTTGTAACTATTTCTAGGAGACCGTGCATGTATAGCACTAGTATTACTGTGATTAGGCAGAGGTTTCCTCATCATTTTGACTTCGTGTATAAAGTACTGATGAGTATTCTTTCAATCAACACTCCTTCCTCTTCCTAAGAGAAAGCAATAAAAATTTGATCAGAACAAAATTTCACTAACGTGATTCGGATATATATGCTTATATGAGTATTGATCCAATGTATAATGTTGCAATTGACGACAGTATTGACTGTTTACACACCCTTTTATTTATTTACTTTTGGTTACTCTGGCAACCACATATAACTTGTGTTTTTAGTGGGACAAAAGTGCATCGCAACGTACAAATCATTGATGATAAACATTAGACAGTTATGAAGAAATCAATAAACATAAAAATCCACTGTTATGGGTTTTAATGAGGGGTTTTCTTGCTTTTCTTACCTTTGTATTTGCATTGTGTATCACTGTAAATAACGACAAAACTCTTCATAATAATTTATTTAGTGATTAACCTATAACCCGCAGTATTTTACCTTAAAGCACTAATAATGAAATCAAAGGAGATAGAAATTGAAAGTAATGTAAGATGGAACTCGAATATTGAGAAGAATGTAAGATATAAATTCTTCTATATTAAAGAATTGAATCTTTGAAAAGTCTTTGTTTTTTGCTGAAGGGTTCAGTTTCAGAGTCGATGGTAAATGGGAAGTTGTTTAGGTAAAGAATAGGTGATGACATTTACTGCAACATGCAGTACTGAATTCTCCCAATACGCGTCAAGCAGAAACAAGTTGTTAGACAACCAAATAATAGATTATCTGTGTTTGCATATATGAATTTCTAGTAATGAACACGTTGAAAGAGTCTACTGACGCGGAACGCGATCATATTGGTATGTTAGTAAAAAACTTGAAGTTTTTGTCTTTGGTTCTCTTGCCAAAGCTTTTCGAAAAAGTGTATGATGCTTTTTCTTTGATATTAACACATGGAAACAATAGATAACGATTTTGGAATAAAAAACTTGAATCCATCGAATACCGCCGATGGACAAAATACGTCTGTCAGGACTGACCATTCATTAGGCACAGCTCAACATAATCAGAATATCATTCCTGAAGGGTCTTTCGACGTCGTCTCTAACAACAACAGAAAACGACAGTTTGATGATTACCAAAAGGAGCAAGCAATTGCCCACAATAACTCTTCCTCAATGCCTTCTCACTCTGGCAGTGTGGAAACAGACGAAGGTCTTGCCGCTATGACTTCTTCAAATAGTCGACCTTTAGATGTCAATGACGCTCTTTCTTATCTCGAATTGGTAAAGTATTATTTTTCAGAAAAACGAGAGGTATACAATAAATTTTTGGAAATTATGCGCGATTTTAAGTCTCAAAGGTAAGCAAACTTTTATCCATCATCTGTCATTAAACTGTTTTGTCTTCACTTCTCTCTATGAACGTTTTCTACTTGATCATTCACTAGTTCTGTCGCTAACAGCCGTCTAGTTTGGATACTTTAGGTGTAATCGATCGAGTTGCGACTTTATTTAATGGGTATCCTCAACTTATCGAAGGGTTTAATACCTTTCTTCCGTCTGGTTATAAAATAGAAGTTCATACGGATTCATCCAACACCAGTATCGTTCGAATCGGCACTCCCATGCACCCACTGACCTCAAACACAAATGTTCCCTTCAACGTTACAACTTCCGGTCAATATGTTGAAATACAACAACCTGCCACCTCCGAAATCCAGCACGAAAGACAGTCTCCAGCTTCTGGCGATAATGCTTCTGCATTACCTTCAAAGCCCCATGTAGATTTTAACTATGCTATTGCTTACATGAATAAAGTCAAGGAAAGGTATCCCCCTAATTCTGAGACATATATGGAGTTTTTAGGTGTTTTACGGACGTATCAAAAAGCTGAAAAATCCATCCATGAAGTGCGAGCTCGTGTATCCGAAATTTTCTCGGACTCGCCGGACCTATTAGATGAATTCAAGCTATTTTTACCGGATAGCTCTGATTCGAAGGAAACACACCAAAATGAAAGTGCTCCAGCTCCTAATACATTACCTCCTGTTGGGAATTTTACTTTACCTTCGGCTGCTCAGGCGCGAGAACGACGATTACGTCCAGCACATTCAGCACAGATAGGAAGATCTATTTCAAAAACTTCAAAAAACATTCGTCAACATCCTGACGAGTTACCAACTACTTATGCTATTCCTAGCTATCAACAGAAAACGAGTCCCGTTTCTCATTATGCCGCTACGCAAGAGGAATTGCTGGTATTCAGTTCAATAAGGCAGCATCTATCTGATAACTTTTCATTTCATAAGTTTATGGAATTACTACACCTTTATAGAGAAAAATTGATGGATAAAACAGACTTATTAAACTCATTTTCTAGGCTTGTCAAAAATGACAATTTAACATTGTGGTTTGCAGGCTTCATTGGATGGAATGATAGCCCGATATTAGTGAAAAACATTCCTGTTGACGAGTCTCGGTACATTAACGAAACTTACGAATCTGTTGGTTATTCATATCGTAGAATCCCTCAAGAAAGAAAAAATGAAATATGCTCCAGTCGTGACGCGCTCTGCAATTCAGTTCTTAATGACGAGTATATTTTGGTTGCTCCTAAATTGGCTGGTATAAAAAATGTTAAGCATTCGGAAAACCAGTATTTGCAAGCTCTGCAATTAGTAGAAGACGAACGTTATGAATATGACCGAATCCTTTCAGTTAACCAGAGAACTATAAAGTTATTGGCAGAGTTATGCGAAGCTGTTAACGATGAAACACCTACGAAGTCTTTAAACAAAGTTTTAGAACAGAAAGCCTTAATACACTCGGCTTTCCATACTGTATATGGAAAAGAACACTCGTTGAGAGCTTTCGACGCTCTTGTTAAAAGGCCCTCAAAAGCAGCTCCTGTTTTACTAAAGCGTCTCAAATTAAAAGATCAAGAATGGCGCCGTTGTAAAAGAGAGTGGAATAAAATTTGGCGTCAAATTGAGCTTCGAAACTCTTCATTAGCATTGGATGAACGTTGTTGTAAAATAGAGGGCAAAGATCGAAGGGCACTTTCTTACAATAGGATTTTACACGAAATCAATGATATTTATCAACGTCAAAAGCATAGCATTGGTCATGCTACACAGGGGTTCCAATTTAGCCAGGTCCTGGGCGACCGGCAAATTTTTTTGAATATCTTAAGGCTAAGTGATGCTCAACTTTCGAACTCTTCCTTTTATTCTTATGCGGATAAAGGGAGGATAAGTGCTGTTCTTAAAGCTTTATTATCACAATTTTTTGGAATCCCACTTCCCAGAGAAACTTTGGAAAGTGATCTTTCTTCTGAAAACATTGAATCTGTGCAAAAACATCGTGATGGATTGAGCAAAATCTTCGTACATCCAGAGAGTGTCGATAACAGCAATACAACTCAAATGAGCATTCAGACTGATGATACACAGACAGAAGATGACACCATGAGCGATATAAATCCGGTAGATTCTGATACTCAGACTAAGATGAAGTTGCAAGGAGAAGAATCAAAAAATACAATTGGATATAACTTTTTTGGGAATGCGACCATGTATGTGCTGTTTAGATTGATTTGCGTTTCTTATTCTCGACTTGAACAAATAAAAAAGTATATTGATGCTTCTGATACAGCAGAGTCTATTAATTACGATAGTGTACTGGAAACATGCGAGAAGTATTTGAAAGGTGCTCTTTCTGGAAACGAGTTTCACGAATATCTTCAAAAACTAAATAATGATGCTTGTTATATGATCAGTTCTATAGAGCGATTGTTAAAAGTGGTATTCTACCGCGTTCATGAAATATTATTAGATCCTAAACTCGGCCAACTTCTCCTTTTATTCGAATCCGACGGAGCCCATTCAGTCACTACCGCTCGAGAACAGATGATTTATAGAAATCATGTTGAAACCATTTTGGCACCCGACACGAAGATTTTCAACATGAGATGGTATCCTTTAGAAAAAAAGCTATGCATTCAACAACTATTTTCCGCTGACCTCACAATCCATAAGTTTGATGATCCGGCTAAGGCATTTATGTATTATGTGGATAGCTATGCAATATCCCATATTACAGAAGGTATTGACTTGATGCAGGTAAGAATGCCTTTTTTGAAAAGGTCACTGCAATTAATATCTCAGAAGGGATATCTCGCTGGCCGAGAGTCTAGTAGTTTGCATTCGCTTTTTAATGAGCGATTTTGCAAATCGAATTTACAATTATTTTTTTCAACAGATACTTATATGATATTTTTCGAGTCTAATACAGAGAATGTTTATATCAACTCATATAATTTATGGGTTGGTCAAAGCTCAAAACGCCGCAACCAAAAGAGAGTTGAACGCTGGAAAAAATGGCTTGGACACCAGCTTTCAGAAAATACAAGTCAAGAGTTACAGTCTGCTACTTCTTTGGATCAGGTTCTTCTTTCTCCGTCATCATAATGTACAATAAAATGTTATATCAGAATGGAAACAAATAAATTTGCATGTTTATTTTGAATGATGATTTTCTGAAAGAATGCTAGCAACGTAAATAGAGCAGAAGTACAAATCGTTCTTTCTCTATGACCGTGAAAGGAGGTTGTGATATATCTTCAGAAGCAGGTTGAATATTACTAGGCTCAGTAGCTGCTATTATGAATTCTAAACAATTCATACCCGGTCCTAATCTTACATCGAAAGCATAATTAACTGAATCAATGTTACAGTACGTTGGGCCGGCCAGCTGTAACAATTGGGGAGGAGCGGCAACAGGTTGACCAAGTAGTTTACCGTTATGAAGTACCGAGATATTATAGTTTTTTATAGACATAATAGGATTGATATTTGTAATAACATTCATAATAGCATGCTGTTGTGCCACATTTACAACAGATATTTCTGATGCATTAGAAGATGGACAAGGAATGTAACCACAAAAAGGATTGGATAACGATGTGTGAGAAGGAGAAAACAAGAAAAATGAATAGAATAGACGTTCTACATCAGCCGTATTTTCAATCACTTTTGTTTGAGGGAAATTAGGAAACACAGAGTCAGACCTACCTAAGACTGACTTATGAGTAGAGTTTAAGAGATCCGGAACAGGCTGTGTAGGAAAAGATTTCATAAGGGCAAATGCACTGTAGTTAGTTTGACAGATTTGATCAATGGCTCGAGGCTTCGAAGGTTGCTGTTCAACATCGGCTGACATTTGAGAAGGAAATTCGTCAGTAACGTTCTCTTTACTTTCTACTTCCATTGAAGATTTTTCATGCAGCAAGTTATCACTAACGACGGAAGGTTCTCGAGTTTGTGGCTCAAGAGATGGAGCGGCGGAAGACATTCTCTGGTTTGGCGATGATTCATGTTTGATACTCTCAACATCCTTTGGAGCTTCTTCAGATTCACTGACTGCCAAAATTGGGCCAGAAATTTTTGAAAGAGCAACCGAGTCCTCATAGACAAAACTTCCAGCTTCATTGTATGTTTGTGCATTTAGATACATCTGGTTTAAATCACTTTCGAAATCCTTTATTGAGCTATACTCATTTTTCTTTACGCGTTTCTCCATCATTTTTATCGTCATTGGCGTTTTAATAATATCGTAATAATCCGGGTAAAGTCGTTTGCTAGGTAAATCAATAAACATATCAATTAGATATCTACCAGTTGAGTCTTGAGCATTCCTCAAAGCATCCATAACGCTAGATATGACCTGGTAAACTTCAGGATTTTTTTCAGAGGCTTGCTCATCAGCTGAGATGGGTGCCTTTGAGTCTGTCATAGGTGGAGGTTGACTAGAGTGTTTGGCTTCTAATTCAGTGAAAGATTTTTCGACCAATAATGCACACTCATAAACAAAACTTCCTGGTGCATTATATGTTTTAGCATTGTTCACCATAAGCCGTAAATCGTCATAGAATTCTCCCATGGAAATATACTGACCATGGCGAGCCTTGCTTCGCATTGTTTTGTAAGCAATTGGTTCGGTAATTATTTGATAGTAGTCCGGAAAGTACTTTTTAGAGGGAAGTTCTTCGAAAACATCGTCGAAGGGATTACCTCTATTTTTCTGTTAGTAACCGTTCAATTGTAAACTAGGATAACTAGCTAAAAAGTAATTACTTACTCCTGGTCCTTTAGGTCTACCAGGACTTGTAAAGTTTCAGTTAACTTTGGTTGCGAAAATGCGACCTGATGGCTGTCAATCGAGGACTATTCGTTCCATTAGTAGTGTACTTTCGACCATTTGACGGATTGTTACAGATACCTACCATATTGCAAACACCACTTTTAGAATTTATGAGCCAATATTTACTGAATTTTCAAAAGAAAGCAAAATATGCATTCACCGAAAATACTACCAAAATTTAAACCAGAGTACTCATCAAAAAATTAAAATAACTTTACGTGTTATATTATAAATAAAAAAGCTTTAAAATAAGCTATAATTCCTCTATATTGAGATTCCCACAGGCTGGCTGGTAGGTAGTTCGTGGTGTTTAACTTCCAAGAGAGATGTTACTTGATACGCGTGTCACTTAACCCGACTGACGGCATCGTCAAAGTCCAAGGATATGTCCAGCCTTTACCAATATCAATAAAGATTGCTGTTGGATTACAGAAGGACAAAAAATGACGAAGACTCGATTTCCTCGCTTGCTGAACGTCTCTGAACGTGAACGATTAGAGCCTTTTATTGATCAAATTCACTATTCTCCGAGGTATGTTGATTTTTTTAGATATCCTTTAAGAATTAGTTCCTTTCCATAGCTTGTTTACTGTATGGTCCATGATTTCCTTAAAAAACAATGCTGAACCATTACTTGGATCATGAAAAGTGGATATACTCAATTCTTATCTAACCCTTCTACTGCTGTTATTTATGAGATTTCCCATACTAACAATGTTACATAGATATGCTGATGATGAATACGAATACCGACATGTTATGTTGCCCAAGGCTATGCTGAAGGTGATTCCGACAGACTACTTCAATCCTGAAACTGGTACCTTACGTATCCTTCATGAGGAAGAATGGAGAGGCCTGGGTATTACCCAGAGTCTTGGCTGGGAAATGTATGAAGTTCATGTCCCAGAGCCTCACATTCTTCTATTCAAACGTGAAAAAGATTTCCAGTTGAAATGTAGTCAACAACGATAAAAAAAATTCGATAATATGTTCTTTATTTCTTATCACGTGTATTTTACGAGGCTTCGGGAGCTAACTTGCTTTCATATGCCTTGGAAACGTAGTACCATCGCGTTTCAACAAGCTTTCTTATGAAGATGATAATTCCTTTGTGGCTTAGTGCTGTTAGTTGATATCCTGTCTGTTTTATTCTTTCATTTATTCCTTTTTTCCATGTTCTCTGGTGTCAAATGGTACGGGTTTTGTATCCTATGTTCTTTCTTTGTTATTTTTTCCCTTACTATTGTCCTAAAAAGCTACATCTGGGTTTTTGTCATCTTTCATCAAAAACACAACAACTCTAGACTTTTCCTTATATTCCTGCGTTTGTTCTTTTCTTTTTCTTTCACTGTCTCATAGGTTTAACCGTAGATATTCTAATAGACTCCCTCATATAATAACTGATGAAAACCCTTTTCGGCTTTTCAGAGAAATATATTATGTCGGTTTATCCAGAATATTTTTATCTTCAATTTAGTCGCTAAAAAACATAAATTCAATATTTTATCTAGGTGTAATAATTCTCTTTACATATGCTGAGGTTTGTAAAGAATGACAGCAAGTTTTACTTAACTAATATATGGATTAATACTAAACATTACTACTGTTGTTAGTTATTATACTTTCTACAAAGATCTTTGTTTAGAACCTACAACATTATCAGATATATAAAGCGTAATTTGTAATTAAGCGTAGGCTGAAAATTGGAAAAGATAGAAGCACAACACAACTTCACAGAGTCTTGAGCACGCACTAGGCGACAGTGTGCCAGTAAAAGTAAGACTAGGATATTGTATCCAGCGTACGGAGCTTGTGTAGCTTATCCCAAAGCATTAGCACCAGTAACAATGTCAATAAGTTCGTTGGTGATCGAAGCTTGACGTTGACGGTTATAGATAGTGGAGAACTTGTTAATCATCTCACCAGCACTCTTGCTAGCATTTTCCATAGCGTTACGACGGGAAGACATTTCACTACAGTGGGCTTCAGCCATAGCAGCGAAGATAGCATTGGTAAAAGCATACTCCATCAAAGGTTGATGAACCTCGCTGCTAGCCTCATAGGCAAACAAGTTAGGAGATTCTGCGATAGATTGACGAGTATAGAGATTCTTCATGACAGTTTCAAAAGATACGGCAGAGGCAAATCTATTGTAGACGATAACGATTCTGTCAAATTCATTTGCATTCTCCAAAATGTTGCTAGAAATTTGCAAAGCCTCTTCGTAAGAAGGGCTGGCACCACCAATATGAGCAAAGGTTAAGTAGAGAGAACCAGGATAGTAACGATAAAGCTGAGAACGAACCTTTTCACCCAAAACGCAAAGGCTGGTGTTTTGCTCAACGTTAGGATCAATCATTTCCTTACGGACAAGACGAGAGATCGAAGAGTGGATACCACCACAAAGACCCTTGTCACTAGAACAAGCGATCAAAAGGGTCTTTCCCTCTTTGGGAGCTTGGGTTCCAGCCTCCTCAAAAAATTCATTAGAAACTGTTTGGTATTTCTTAGCCAACTCCATAGCTCTTTGAGCTCTGTTCAACTTTGTCTGGGCAACCGTCTTGATGGTTTTCGTAATCTTCTCGATGTTACGGATGGACTTCAATCTTATTTCAAGTTCCTTTAAAGTAGCCTCACGAGGAGCACTATTAATCAACACGTTAGCATCAAACTTGTTCCAACTATCCCTTCAATTCACATACCTAGCATGAAAGCCTCGGAATCCTACCGAATTTACGATAGGACGAAGTGCATTTGATTGTTTAACCGTTAAACGTAACATTCTGACAAATAATGCCAAAAGTTAGCAAATTTCCTGTTTCGTGTGAAATATGGGGGAGGGTAGGTAAACGAAAGTCGAAAAACCAGATCCTATAAGCGGAATGCAAACCCGTCAGAACTGATACAAAGAGTTAGAGAACTTTTCCTATTGCAAATTTTAAATTTTTTAAATTAAAATTAATAATAATGAATAAAAAAAGGTATCATTATACATTAGAATCATGGCTCTTCACGTCTGTCGTTTAAGGTAATCGAACGATCGCATTACAATGCCATTAGTGTGCTTCGACGTCTGAGTAAAACGCAATAAGGAAGTATAGCACACTGTACTATCCTGAAAAGCATTACCAGTACTTTCCCTTTGCTTTTGTTTACATATGTTAATTCTTCATTATTCATGAGATGTATGCAGCTTAAAATGGTTTTTTCCAAAAAGCATTTTATTTGGTATCTCGCCAATGGACTATTACTTCTACTTATGGGTTATTATGCTTTTATTACCCCTTATACAAAAGTCGAAGAGTCCTTTTCAATGCAGGCCATTCATGATATTCAAACATATAAACTAGGTCTTTCAAAGGTACTTGCTTTTGAACTCTTCTATTCTTTAATAACGTCACCTTGGTTTAGACAGAAGAATATGAGCATAAAAACTAACGGAAAATATAGTACGATCATCAAAAATTCCCAGGGTCTGTCAAAAGGAGTTTTATTCCTAGCCTATTCATAGCACTTATTTCCTATTTGCCTGCTAAACACTTTTCTTCCCTTCTGGCAGTACGATGGACGATCGGCTTTCTTTCTTGTGAAAGTTTTATGGCTGTAGCAAAAGCATTAAGAAAACGTTTTGGGTTCTTTGCCGGTATCTCATTTATCTTAATAACGGCCGGTCAATTTCATCTCATATACTACATGTCACGACCACTACCCAATGTTTATGGGCTCATGTTTACAAACGCCGCTCTAGGTTTTCTTTTGAATGGTAAGTACTATAAATCCATCTCAGTCTTGGCGTTTGCTGCTGTCGTTATCCGCTCTGAGATCTTTCTACTTTTAAGTGTGCTATCCTTATCCCTTCTTGGTCAACGCAGAATTCATATTGGTCGACTTTTTCTCATTGGTGTCTTATCTTCCGTAACTGCCCTATCTTTTACGGTTTTCATTGATTCCTGGTTTTGGGGAACTTGGTGCTGGCCCGAACTGCAAGCATTCGTTTTTAATGTCTTGGAAGGAAAGTCCTCAGAGTGGGGAACAAGTCCATTCTACTACTATTTCAAAAGAATTCCTTGGATTATGATGAATCCGACCCTATTTGTGTTTGGTCTCGTATCTTTCCTTACTGTTCGTTCGTCAAGAATTCTCCTTTACGTTCCTTTTGCTTTCGTCTTCATTTTTTCATTTTTAAAACATAAAGAATGGCGATTTATCAGTTATATCATTCCATGGATTGATTCATCCTGTGCAGTTGGTTTCTCACGTTTGATGCAATTGAACGGTCAAAACAAAATGAATAATAATATCAGGAAGCTAGCTATCATTGCAATTTTTTTTGGCTTTTCTTTTGGAATTTTTGCAAGTTCTCTATTACTGAAAGTTTTTACATTTGCTTATCCCGGAGGAGTGGCATTGGAAAAATTACACTCAATGAATAATAATTCTTACGGTATGCTAACAATGTTTGTTGTTATAAAACTAATTTCTTTTTGTTTTAGAAACAGTTCATTTGGACACCTATCCTTGTATGACAGGCATCACCCGCTTTCTGCAAAAGCCAAACTGGTATTATGATAAAGAGGAAGATTCTTCTCGTTTAAATGACGACCTATTTCAAACCCAGTTTGACTACATTATCACCGACACTCCGAAACTCTACGAAAGAAACTTTGAAGTTTTACATACTGTTGGAGAAGATCGAAAAATTCCTATAATATCTGTTCAGTCAAAGTTAGCCAATTATTCTTGGAACATTCAAAATTCCGCCTTTCCCGTATACATATTAGCTCAGCAACGCACTATGACGGAAAAAGTTTCCATACAAGATTATAATAAATATGTTGGTCAATCTGTGGACAATATCAAAAACTGGCCAGAGGTGTATCGAATCCTCAAGCCCGGGAGCATTATGACTCGCGATTATCGTGAAGAGCGACTAAACTTTTTCATAACGGAGGATGGAATTTTAGATCATATAACCCGAGGTTAAATTAAAAAGTTATGAACATATTCAACAAGCTATAACTGATTCTAGCTACATTTATCATACAACATTTCACAAAACGGAGTTCAACTTGGTGCATGAAATTTTATATTACTGCGTTGTGTCATCATTACCAGCAAGCATGAGAGTATGAGTTTATATGATATGAAAATAGTATATTGCGACGTAGATTAATTATGTATAGTAATAAACCCAACTAGACATAAAAAGGCACGACAAGCTTTACACAAAACAATAACTAAGATATCCTAGAGGATGTTGTGCCAAATAACCTTCATAAAAGGGGAAAGGAAAGGTAAAGTTAAAACGATGAAACGGTGCTTATAAACCACAAAATGGACCGGTCAACAAAAAGCATTAAGTGTAACAAGATGCTCAAGGATTAAAAGAACGTTGGCAAGGGTACCACATGACATGGAACCACTTTAAGCCTTTTGTAAGTAGTAACGAAAAGTGGAATCCAGTTGATGGTAAATAATCTATTATAAATAACCGAAGAATAGAAAAGATAAGAGCTTACAGTACCATAGTCATTAGTTTACTGTTGAGCACATTGAACACCGGGATGTCCACCATCATTTTCCTCCTCTTCTTCGTCCATAGCAGTAGCAGTGGTAGGATTAACATTGTTGTCAATGCGAACTGACTCAGTGGGGTCAACGTTGCTAAGAACACATTCTTCAGTAACGGCATTCTTGGGAGCCTTCTCGACCTTACGAGGAGGCAAAACTTGTTCGAGGAGAGAAAGCTTTTCTTCAGAAGCAAAATTAGGTTCGGGGAAATCGACGGTGAAACGAATGTAAAGGTTACCGGGTTGATGGTGACGTTGAGAGAGCATACCTTGACCAGGAATAACCTTGAGTTCGTTGGGACGAATGCATTCACCGGGGATGATGGGAACAGTCAAATAACGGTCGTCCAAATGCTCAATAACAATTTCACCACCGGCCAAAGCAGAGAGCAAGTCAACATGGGCTTCATAAAAGAGATGATCACCGCTGCGCTTGAATCTAGGGTGCTCCTTAACGTCGATGACGAAGATAACATCACCAGGAATGATGCCAGGAGCTTGTTCACCTTCTTCTTTGAAGACAACCTTTTGACCGTTGTGCATACCCTTTTCGACATTAACGGTAAGGATCTTACGTTGAGAAACAACCTTAGCTCCATTGCATTCCTTGCAACGGTCTTCGCTGCGGATGGATTCACCTTCACCGTCACAATCGGGACAAGTCATTTGCATGCGTTGGATCATAGGACCCATGGCACGGGTGATGAACTTGACACCGGAACCGCTACAAGATTGGCAAGTACGGACAGCACCTTCCTTACCACCACGGCCACTGCACTTGGGGCAAATAACCTTCTTTTGTAAAGCAAGTTTGGAAGTCTTACCGCGGTAGAGATCTTCAAGAGTAACCTTGATGGTATGAACCAAGTCTTTACCCTTACGAGGGCCACGGGGCATGCCACCGCCGAACATGCCACCCATGCCTCCCATTCCTCCGCCGAAGAAGGAAGCAAACAAGTCGTCGGCAGACATACCGTCTCCACCACCACCGACTTGTAATCCTTCTTCACCGAAGCGATCATAAGTAGAACGTTTGTCCTCATCGGAGAGGATTTCATAAGCACGGCTAATTTCCTTGAATTTATCACCGGCATTAGGGTTCTTGTCGGGGTGATATTTCAAGGCCAATTTACGGTATGCTTTCTTCAAATCGTTTTGAGAAGCAGAAGGATCGACACCTAAAGTCTCATAAAGTTTTGTTTCTCTAGCCATAATGAAAGATAAATCAATAAACGAGAAAAAGAGAAGATATAATAAGAATTTCTAGGGAAATTTGGAGAGATGCTTGTTAATTAAAAACAAAGACACCAACAACAACAACAAAAAGAAAAAGAAAAGAAACTTAAACTGTATAAGTTTAAGTATTTAAAAATACACAGATAAGAAATATGGATGAAGGAAAAAAAAGAGAAAACAATCAAGTTTCTCAAGGAATCAAACACCACAAACGGTTTAAGGAACCGGAAAATGTTTTGCTTTCTTTTATAAAATTTTTATAAAAATTAAAAATTATCCTCTGCTGTCAAAACAGATTTAAAGCTGGAAAAAAGCTTCAAATGTTGCTTTTTATGGTGTATGGTTAAGAGCAAGTTGGATTGTACTAGGTCAAAAGGCCAATATAATGAGCGAAATGTCTCGTTTATGTTTGTTGATGTTCCCAGCCAAAGAACATGGGAGAAAGAAAATTTTTGTCGATCACAAAGCATTTCAGGTAACAACAATGGATTACCGCCTCTCAAGTTACCTGATTCGAAGCTAAAGAACAACAAAGAACAATTTGAACGAACTGTGCGTTGTACTATGGTAAACAATAACAAAGTGAAGTGAAAAATAATGTAAACAAAGGAAGACAAATAAAGAAAAAAAATAAAAGAAGAAGCATCTGAATGAGTTGAAAGGCAAATTTTGAGTCATTAGTTTCTTTTCTTTATTATTTTTCCTTTGTTTACATTATTTTTCAATGCAAACTTGCATGGCAAATAGAATGTAGGTAACGGCGACAAAATTTTAAAAATTTTATTATTTCTCTATCGACTGTTCAATAATCACTGACCTGATATTAGACGGCAATTGCATAAGGATGCTTGATTCGCTGTCGCATTTTAGGCAATTTGCCTCTGTCCATATGGTCATCAATGGTTCACAGGATTTTTGAATTGTCCATTGAAAACAAGGTCGTCCTTGATGTTAGTACAAAATCGGTTTGTTTCTAGATTATAGACATAATCTAATCATCGCTTTATTATTACTTATAATCCTAACACATTGATTTCCTATTTCATCTTCTTCTGCCCTGCACCTTCCTTCAGTTATACTCTAGTTACCCTTGTTTGTAGCGCTTACTCTTTCCTTTACTTCTCAAGAGATTCTGAGACACCCCACTGAGGCCACGTGTGGGATAGAAAGTCATCGTCCGTAGTGCTGCTAGGTCTTGAATACGCTTTTCTATTTTTGGTCCATGTGGTGGTCACAAGCAAAAGGTGAAAAAGAGGATTCCAAACAGTTGGAGGTTCCATAAAAAAGTGGTAGAATCGAGTAGAAACGAGAAGAATGAAAAAATAAAAGTAAATTAAATCGTTTTCTAAAGGGGCTTCCCTCCCATTTTTTTGTTTCTTAGTTTTTTGTACTTTCTTGTTCAAGGTAACAATGCTGTTTAGCAGACCTTGGTACTTCATCCACGATCCTACTACAAGCAAGGCGATGTGATGCTGTCAGAATATTTGACGCATGTAGGTCGTATCAACGTTTATTTGGACCCGAATACTACGCCGCATCCAAAACAGGTGGGTGATATTCCGTATTCACTGCCTCTGGTCCTGGACAAGAACGATCCGATCGTAGCGGTTCAACGTGATGACACTTTACAAGTCGTAATTCGTTGTCCTCCTCGAATCCAGAACTTCGATATCAAAGTCCCCTGGAAAGGGTTGGATTTTGACTCCAATCTCGAACAGGTCGTCCAATGTAGGTACTGCTCCGGTAAGCTTGCGAGCTTTTTCTCCTGTCGAGACTTGCCATCGGCCAATTGGCAAGAACTAATGGATTGTTGGGCCTGTCATGTCGATTTTCCTGCCGCTTTGGCTAAGAATGGTGGCATGCCTTCTTTTGCGCCTACGAAGGACATGTCTTATTCAGGTATCTCTTTTCTTCTCTTACATCCAAATTCATTGGTAAGTTACTTTTTCTCATCAATCAATATGTTAGAATGCGTTACTTTAAAAACAAAGTTACGGACCTAAAAGAAACCCTTGATTTGCTTTTCTTTAACATTCACAAATCCCAAGGAGATACATAGGTCCGATAATAAACCAAAAAGAAACATGGATGCTTCATTTCGTACCCCTGTAAAGAGGGTTGTTGTGATATTCCTGTTCTTACGCTCCTTCTTCACAGGTCGCACCTATTTGAGCTTTGTTAGGTCGCGGTAACTGAAAGAGTACATTCCTTGATTATATTCAATTTTTCTTTTTCTTCTTTGATTTTACTATTAAATTCTTTATTCCTTGTTTTTGTGTCTAACCATCACTTCTGTATAGGAAAATTCCCAATCATACGAAAAAGATTCGTCTATGTATCACTGTCCGTCTTGCCAGGAGCAGCTTGGAATTCAAGATAAACAAGACGTACCTGAAAGCGTTCGTCTAGATAAGTCTTGTATTATGATTAATGGCAATCGCGTTCATCCTTCTTACGTCGTTACCTCAGAATTGTTAACGCTGCGCGAATTGAACGCTGTTCATAAATTCTGCCTCACTGATCAGTGTAATACACTTTATATTTGGTGTTTCACTCCATATTTACCAGTTACCTTCTTTAACAGTCCAAACATAACTGCTTCTTTTCCACAGTCACCCGTTGCTACAATCAAAACTCTCTATTGCTATGATCCACCAGATAATTTGCAGGGTGACGATTGGCAGGATATAACCTTGACACCATCGGTGTTTTTGGAAATTAAACATTTACTAGAACTAACTACTCAAAGTTTTCCTTCTTCTGCTCAAAAATTTCAGCATTGGTATGTCGGTTTACTTCCACGCTTGTGAAATTAAATCCTTTTCTTTTTGGTTTTTTAAATAGCTCGTAGTCTACTTGACGGTTGCAATTCATTACGCATCTTAAAAACATTAACTATAGAATACAAGCGTTATCCGTATGATCGGCTCAAGTGCTCTTTTTTTTCTTTCTTTCAACGTTGTTTTGTTTCGCCGTAGGTCGGCTATAAACATATGTTGCACTAGAACCGAATACCAAACAAGCTCCAAGTACAACAGCACCACTTAGTCGATTACCGAATAAAAGAATACTCAAGCAAAGACTCACAAATTTACGAATATTCAGGATGATGGTTACAGTTAATGCAGAGCTCTGGGAACCAAGAGAATTGACACCCCGTACACACACGTATTGTGCCAATGTGTTTAGACAAATATACCAAAAGGCTGGTGGCATCCCAAAAAAATAGAGATTGGAACTCTTAGAGTCTGTGAATAAAAGCATCCATTGTCTTCGGATGGAACCTAACAGTGGCAGAAAAAAGGGAATTGAAAAGGCGTGAGTATAAAACAAACTTTCTCTCCAACTAGCGTTATATTTCTTGTATGTGTCTTCCAAAAGTAATCCCATAAACGCACCCAGAAGCTGAGTGACCATTAATATCGTGAAGCCGATCGTAAAGTTCGTCGTCGAAGACATGTGAACATGAATATCATTTGCATTCCCAAGAACTGAGATTACAACACCAATTGTTAAGAAGACAACACTTATCATTTGTAAAATAGTATACTTCTTATTCGCTAGCATCCATCCCACAGACATAGTAGTTAGTGGCCCACTACTTCGAAGAATTATATGTACAGGAACAGAAACATCAAACCCCAAAGCAACATTATTTAAGACGTTTATACTAAAAAAAAGGAATACTATGTACATCCAGCGTTTCCTGGGCACATTGGGACTCTTCAATGCGGAAGGGTTGTATAATAAAAAGTATACCAAACCTTCTATTGTTATAAATACAAATTGAGAAAATGTAATTAATAATCCACTTTTTGGATATTCTCTTACAATTGCTTCAAGTGTGTATGCTGTAGAACAACATCCCCCAAATATGAAAGATAGAGCTCCTAGGATCATTGTGCAATTGCCAAACTGCTAAGGCTCTATAGTCCCTGTTGAAATGGTTATATAAATTATGAGAAAGGGCACCTTTGGGGATCTATCCAAGTTTTTTACGTAGCCAGTTGCTGGGTTTAAGGCGACAGCGTGCAAGTTAGAATGAACTCCTTGTTTGTATTAAATTGAATTTAACACACACAGAATAAAAAACAACCCGCTTTTTATGCTTATAGTTTTTGTATCCGTAGTTGGTTGTTATAAATATATATATATTGATAAATAGATATATGTGGTATAGGCTAGTATTGTTTCCAAACCATTGGTAAAAGATGATGGAAAGGCTAATTCAAGGAACTGAAACGCAACCTACTTTAAGAATTATTTGCAGACATTGATAATATATTAAATTAACTTTAATCAAAACTTCTCCTACGTTTGAATTCATAGATTTATCGCTTATTAAAGAAACATTCATTAAAGACAAGACCATGGGATTGAAAAGCTCATAGTGATCCGCAGTCAAAGAAGGTAGTAGCTAACATATACATAAAAATTAATATCGTCTCATTTCCGACATTGATTGCTCGTACAAAACTTCATAATCTTTGCGAGCAGCTAGCAATCGCTCATTAAGGTCCACTAATTCTTCTTTCTGAGAGGCGTATTTTTCTATTAGTCGTATAAGTTTCGGTCGTAAAATAATGGTTTCGTGATACTTAGACTGCAGCTCATCGTCATCGGCAGCTTCAGGCGGTGCAGCCGATAATATGTTTAGCAAATCATCAATTTTTGGAAGAGCATCGAAAGTCTGGTGTTCCGCTTTAAGCATCTGCTCTTTTTGTTTTAAGGTTGGTTCAACAATTCTCTCAACATAATTGACAGGGAAGATTCCGACTTTGTTTTTACAAGAACCTTTCCACCAATCTTTGAAAACGCTTTCCAAAACCAATATGACGTCCCCTTTTTGAAAGGATAACTCACCAGGCTCAGAAGCAGCAAAATCGTACAGTGCACGTACACGAGAAATCGAGGATGCTGGTGTTGCGTTTAAGGAAGTATCTTGAGCTTGAACCGGTTGTTGTGAATTATTCTTGTCATCGGTTTTCTCTTGTTTTTTCGCTTCTTGAGCAGTAGCCTCAGACAATGATAAAGCCAATGCAAATTGTAATTCCTCTTCTTCTTTCTTTAGTTCTGAGTTATTCTTCTTTTGCTTGCTAGGTTTTTTAGGGGCTCGTAGGTCAATTATGTCTAATATGCGGTTAGAATACGGTCTATAAAATATTAACTCAACGTACCTAGCTTCCGAATTTCATTGCATGTTTGTTGCATTAAGTCCATGCTGGGATCATATCGTAGCTCTCTTGCCCATTCATCGACTAATACTGCAATTTTACTTTTGACTTGATTATGAGTGTTTGGATTCCCAGCTATGTGCAAAAGACTATCCGTGAATAAACGGGAAGCAATCTCATGTTGCGTCTTTTGGTCGCAATTTTTTACAATAGCATCTGTCAGCTAAATACGTTTTGTTAGTAAATTCAAATTATAGAATAGTTGGATAATCTTGTGTGCATAGACGATATATCTCATCATATTGTACTGGATAATAAGTCTCAAAAGATACTTCAAAAGTCAACTTACAGTTAAGGTCAACAATTGGACATTGGAATTTACGGAATTCAATCGTTTATTAAGAAATTGGATAGCATTTCGACAACTAGTTGCAGTTTGAGTTAGTGGGTTGATTAAACTAAATCTTGATTGTCACGTACACTTCTTCTGAACTACTTGAAAGTAAGTCGCACACATCCATAATTAAATCCCATTTATCTTTAGTATTATTCTCGTCTGTAGCACAAAGAATTGCTGTCTGAGGAGCCGATGGTTTTTCTCGAAACATGTTGGTAAAGATATAGTCCCGCCAAGTATTGAACTTGCTATGCAGAAACTCGTAAGTTGAACTTCTTATAGAATATTTTAAGAAAAAAGATAAACTGACCAATTTTTGTCGTAATTGGTGAATGGCAAGTATTAACGAAATTGTTTGTGCTGTGAGTTTCCTAGTTGTAAAGCACTTAAAATAAAAGAGCTATAAACCACCAACTGTTTGAACTAAAAGAAAACGATCTCGAAACTTATACAAAATAAAATACTTACATATTACTAGTTGTATGAAGATGACTTACTCTTCTCTCAAACAAGATACACAGTACATTTTAGGAAGGCATCTGCGATGCTGATATTCAGCATATGATTATTGAGTTTTTATAAAAAGAATTTATCATGTAGTCTTCATCATGTATATTGAACAATTCTTAGATCAGTTAGCAGCCAATCCGAATGTTGAGCATTTTAAAGGAATGAAACCCTTCTTACTAGCAATTCATATTACTTCTCTTAATTTATATATTTTCTTTTATTATTTTGTTCTTTTTTTCTTCTAACTTAGTTGTTTTAAAGAATTTCTAAACAGTTTAATGGTACTTGCCTTGTTGACTCTAACACAACACTTAGCAGAATTTACCAACAAGTTTCTATTTTAGAATCATAGCTTGTCTGGTAGATGCAAATAAAATCTGCTATAATTATTAATGTTTTGAAATTACTTAATACATGGGCTGCTTTTCAAAAGAATTGTGTACAATACTGCTTGCGAAATTCTATTCAGGAGACGAACTTTTCAGAAAGGTAGTATCCCATTTTTCTTTTCATTTATATGTGTTTTCTGTCGTTACTAAAAACAAATAAGAGATTTCTGGTTTCGATCTTAGCAATTGTTTGGTCAGGATTACTGACAAATTTAAATTAGAATGGACAAGCAATCAGAAACAACAGTGAAGGCTTCCTTGGACGAAAAAATTTCCAGTAGCTCTTTACATGATGAGGAGAAAGAATTTCAACGCTCTTCAACACATGGACTGTGTTCTGCAGAAAAATTAAGCGTCATCATTAGAGAAGCTTACGTTCCTAGAATATCTGTAATCTGCTCTCGCGATGCTGATGAATTTGCAATAAATAAAGGTTTCTCGCAAGGATTTTGGGAATTACTTTATCCTTTTGGTGACCATGTTCGTGGAAAAGTACGAAGACGTAATATGCAAGATCATATGGTTACGCTGGAAAAAACAAGTCTACAATTCGTTCCCGTAGATTCTTTAGAGTCTCACCTTAGTGATGTTCCCGTAGTCTCCATACGTGATATATTGACAGCCAAAAATCGCACTCTTGTACTTCCTGAGGCACCTTCAAAATATACTTTTGGTATCCACTACAAAAACTTAGAACGATGGGCTTGGAATTTAGCTCATGACCAAAGTTATGAGATGTCAACTGCCATGTACATCCGGCAACTTTTGACGGGTGTGCCTGTATCATCTTTCGAGACATTTTCTCATCCTGTTGCACACCTTGTCGTCGTAACATCACACAACCCGACTCCTTTTGAATCTCTTCGAGAGATAATTAACTCACTTCCTCAAATATCCCTCCCTGCGTTTGTTTCGAACGATATTCTTAATTTCTTTGTTTATGTTCATGATGAAGACCAACATGACATTGAACTATCAATGGCTATATTCGATACGATGTTACAGACGTTTGGTGGAAGAGGTTATTTCCTGAGATTACATTCTCAGAAAGCTACCCTAGATTATGAACACACAATCCCTTTCCCTCGCTCTTCTTGGTTATCGGCTGAAGAGCGACTGCGACTACTTGACGGTTCACAGAAAGAACAGCAGTTGCTTTTTGAATCAGACGCTGAGTCAATAAAAAGATTAGTAAGTCATATTGCATTCAATGGTGTTATTCCACATCTGGATAAATGTGTAAGACAATGGGATGATCAATATGCATCTCCTAGACGCGGTTTCACCGGAAAATTGTTTTTTGCTTCTAAAAAGTTGATATCTACACAAAATAATACCCATAATTCCAATTTTTTTGCTTCTTCGAATGTCTATCGTCCAGACTCGATAGAAGCGTACCTGCGAAGGTTAGCAGATTACTCCTTTATGCTTCGCGATTACACGCATGCCAATCAAATTTACGAAATTGCATCAAAGCAATATGCGAATGACAACGCTTATTTGTACTATGCTGCTTCTTCAGAAATGATTGTTATTACAGAATACATCATACACCTCGACCGTCCTTATATGAGTTTAACTAACAAACTGCGTCTTAACGATTGTATGCGATCCGCTATGGAAAATTATTTAAATAAACCTTTTAATTCCTATTATCACGCCGCTCGCTGCTTTCTATTATTGGGTCAATATTTGAGTAGCTTGCCAAATTCCAGAGATGATGCTGCTAATTGGAACGCTGGCTTGGTGTTTTCGAAACGATTGGGTCCTGTGGGAAGGGCTATAATTTTTCAGCAGACTTATGAGCTTTACAGACAGAGTGAGTCGACAAATTCAGACACATTAACGGACATAAGAAGACATCGAAAAACAGCATTTTGGTGTATAATGGCGGCAGATGCATGGTTACGTTGTCACATTTCTTTCCGTGCTAAACCTTTTATAGATACAGCAAAGAAATTCTATTCTCAGGTAGCTTGGCCTGATTTAGAGGAATGCGCAACCAAGCTGGACGATGTAGATGTATCTCCTAAATCTTAATTAATATAGTTTTGATTTAGTTCTAGGCTTGATTCATAACAAAAGTGTATATTAATATTATTCCTGATAAAAAAAAAAAAAAAAAAAAAAAAAAAAAAAAAAAAAAAAGTGCGTAAGCATAAAACAAATTAACATATGTTCCACGGAAGATTTGACCATAACCCTAAATAATGCGGATGCTAAAGAATTTTTGAAGGAGCGAGTTTAATCCCGAGTCGAATAATAAGACCTTAAACTGAAGACTCATCAACTGCTGTAGAAGAAGTTTGCTCATCTGGTGAAGGAGCATCAGATTTTTTGATTGAATTTTTGGCTTTTTGTACAAGATTTGCGAAATCACCCGCATATGTAGACCCCCATTCAGTCCCTCCAAGCTTTTCCTTCGTAATTACATTTGCATTACTCTGTGTTTTCTCCCATTTGCGAAGCTGAGCTAAAAGTGCCTTCTTTGAAACCGGATGTTTTTGATCCAAATTAGAGTTATACATAGTGACCCATTGAGCATGTCTCCTTTGTAAGACTTGTTTATTACCTTCAGTAGGAAGGCCCATCTCTACTAATTTGGAGCGAATTTTAGATTCAGACAATAAAGCATAGGTAAGCTTGGGAATTCGGACACGTTCTGATTCGGGCAATTGGGGATCCGTTCAACCGGGGAAAAAAAAAAAAAAAAAAAAAAAAAAAAAAAAAAAAAAAGTGCGTAAGCATAAAACAAATTAACATATGTTCCACGGAAGATTTGACCATAACCCTAAATAATGCGGATGCTAAAGAATTTTTGAAGGAGCGAGTTTAATCCCGAGTCGAATAATAAGACCTTAAACTGAAGACTCATCAACTGCTGTAGAAGAAGTTTGCTCATCTGGTGAAGGAGCATCAGATTTTTTGATTGAATTTTTGGCTTTTTGTACAAGATTTGCGAAATCACCCGCATATGTAGACCCCCATTCAGTCCCTCCAAGCTTTTCCTTCGTAATTACATTTGCATTACTCTGTGTTTTCTCCCATTTGCGAAGCTGAGCTAAAAGTGCCTTCTTTGAAACCGGATGTTTTTGATCCAAATTAGAGTTATACATAGTGACCCATTGAGCATGTCTCCTTTGTAAGACTTGTTTATTACCTTCAGTAGGAAGGCCCATCTCTACTAATTTGGAGCGAATTTTAGATTCAGACAATAAAGCATAGGTAAGCTTGGGAATTCGGACACGTTCTGATTCGGGCAATTCTTTATTTGTCACTGCCAAGTTATTAACAGATTTGGATTCGGATTTCTTTTCATCTATTTCTTGTGAAGAAAATCTATTTTCGGTAGAGGATTGACCAGGACTTGCTAGACATGTATCTAAATGCTGATTTATTTCGGACTGAGATACCTCTCTAGCACAAACAGGGCAAACAACCAGGTTTCGTAATTTTCTTTTTTTTCTGTTTGTGTAACTAGAAGGATGAGAGTTTTCACTCTCTTCCCATTCCTCAGTGCTAGACTGAGAATCCGGGACTGAAAGCGCACGTGAATCGTCGTTTAAATTAGCTTCGGAACTGTCATCTTTTCGTAAAACCTGAATTAAATCTAAACGCGTAGAATGAAATGCATCTAAAATGTCTTCAACCACCTTATTTTTTCGCAGGCGGCTTTCCTGTTCTGGAGCACGACAGGCGGGACATATTGGATGCTCCCTTAAATAGTCCCGAATACAGTAAGAGCAAAACGTATGAGAGCAAGATGTTATAACCGGTCCTTTGAAAAAGTCATGGCAGATAAGGCATCTCATCGAGGAATCCAGTCCTTTTAGACGTGGCAGTTTTGTAAAATTCCAGTCGGAAGGATCGGAGGGGTTTTGTTCCTGCATATCTCTAACTATATATCACGAGTTTTTTCTATTAAATAAATATCATGTGCATAACAAACGACTTGAAGAAAAGGTGACCAATGCGAAAAGTTCTTGGTGAATGGAGCTTGTATCACGCGTCTCAAGATTGTCTTAATGCGAATTAAAAGTAATAAATGTTCCAATTTCACTCATTCCTTACTTCCAAAAGGAACAAAAAGGAGAACCAACGAAGCTGGTACTAAGAAGGTGCTGCTTAACAGGATTGACTTACTAGGACTAAACACTGCAAATAAGAGTGGGACATTCGAGGTCAACTTTCAAGCTGAATAAAACAAATATATATACATATATACTTTTATATTTATATATTAGATAATGACGGATGTTGATAAACTCTTAAATCGGGTTGAAACAACCCTTAATAAGGTATGGTATTTTGTACAGCTAAACTGGGCCTTTATTGTAAAGGATCTATATATCTTTACTAAAAAGAGATTTTTTTTTTTTTAGAAAAAAAAAAAAAATAGAGCGTCTGGTACTTCTTTTGCATCCTATTGACCTGTACTCAAAAAAAAATCATTGCAAGGCTAACATATCACAGGGACGCGAAATAGAACGGATAATTGCATCTTTTAAATTGAATGCATATGATGTCCTTGGAATATTGCCTGGTATAACTGTGGATGATATCGACAATTTATATCGCAAGAAATCACTGATGATTCACCCGGACAAAAATAGAGAAAATCCAAAAGCAGCAGATGCATTTAATTTTTTAAAAAAGGCTCAATCTGATTTGCATAATGAAAATTTACGAGATTCTTTAGACTCTGCATATACTACGGCAAGGAACCAGCTGATTGCTGAAAAAAAATTAAAATGGGATTCTGAGGAGGTTAAATCTGAAGAATTTTTATTTGATTTAAGAATCCGTTGGCGTGATATTTTGATTGAAGATGAAATTGCAAGACGGCGAGCCAGACAATTGGAGCTGTCTTACCAGCAGAGAGAACAAGCAAAGAAAGATGAAGAAACTAAGGACCGTAAACGAAGAATGGAATCGGACAAAGTATGGGAAGAAACTAGAGATGAACGTGTAAACAATTGGCAAGACTATCTGCATAAAACTAAAAAAAGCACCATAAAGAAGAAGAACAAAAAACCAAAGGTTTTAGGGTGAATAAGTACCAGCAAATGGTAATTACAGATTTATGTATGCTCTTTCTATTTGAACATGAGCTTTTATTATTTATAATACCAATGACCATAATTGAATTGAAAATGAAATTAATGTAAGTGAGTTTTACAATTTTCGTTCAATACAAGGATCCCTTTCCTTCAACCGTAAAACCAAGAAAAAAAAAAAAAAAAAAAAAAAAAAACCTATATCTTATATAAAAAATTTCGACATTTTTTACTGCATTCAAAAAAGGAGAAAAATAAAACAAAAAAAGGTAAATTAACTGAAATTCAGTCAAAACATATACATAGGCACCAGCGTAAGCTTCTTTGTTCTATACTCTGTGGAGCGTTTCCAGAAACCTATAGTTTTATAACTTTGACTTAAAAGCTTGCCGTACAATACCCAGTAAGATATATCAAATACGTATGGATACAAGCAATTAAATAAAGGCAATTATTATGAGACAAGTAAAAGAAAGACTCTAGAAGTAAATGAATCCGCTTATTAACATAATATGCTGGTAAAATAATTAGAGAAGTAAGCTTTGCGCTTTTATCGCCTCTAGAAAACTAGTAAAATATCACGACTAAAAGCACTTTTTATCGTTTTGAAACATGTTTAGGAACTTTGGTCATTACCATGAGCTAAAGGACCTTCTTCAGCCCCATCGTCATTATACCGCTGAGTCGCACTTTGAGCACGATGAGCTTGAGCTTCCGCTTCTCTTTCGGCTGCCTCTCTTTCCTTCCGTTCTCTCTCCATTTCGGCCATGATAACTTTATCCTCATCACTTGGTTCATAGATATGCCAAATAACGTAGTGAGGTAGGCCAACTACAGAAAAGCCCATGCGCTTGGCCATTTTACCAAATCCCTCAGTTTCAGCATGGCGTTCAAATGAGAAAGCAGGGAAATGACATCCCTCAAAGTAGATCTTTGCCTTAGACATAATTGAGACACCACCAATACCATCTAAACTCATTTCGAAATTAGGGTCGCCATTAGGATCACGAAGATAGGCCAAATGAGGTCTCCACGTAGCATATTCAGCATATCCTTCAACAATAACAGCATCTTCATCAAGTGTTTCAGCTAATTGGAGGGCCGTTTCTGATTCAGACCAAGAATTCAAATCATAAGCTTGTTCAGTGGTACCAAACCAATCTGGAAGAGGGCGATATACATTGGGTACAATAACGTCTTTATCATGACGCATAAGGTCTTCCAAAATGGTTCTTGGGGCAGTTTCAACATCCACATCACGCCAGTAAACCCAAGAGTGATATGGCTTGAGAGCAGCGGACAACAACCAGTTACGTGCGCGAGCCATCAGTTTACGTCTAGGACCTTGTGCAGCAAATCCGTGTCGATCACTAAATTCCTGACCTACTAAAGCACCAAAGTCTTTTAAATAAATGACTGCACTATTGAAATGCATCTTTGGATCATCATCTTTTTGAATAATCTCCAGTTTAGACTTTAAAGAGTCATAGGTGTCATCATTAGTATCAGAAATTAAAAACGCCAAATCAATCAAGTGATGAGGATAGCTCAAGTTCCGCAGATGCTCGAAAAACATACCCAAATGATCCCGAGCATTTCTAAGAGGAGCACAAATGAGAATATGACCGCTTTTAGAGTAGTCTCCAGTAAATTTTACATTCATTAAGTCACGTAAGTCATACTCCTTGTAATTGTAAGAAGGATCATCCTTCATCGTATACAAGGAAGAGGGTATTTGCTCGACAGCTGAGAAGAAAGAGCCATGGAAAAACATAAAGACAATAAATATTAAACCGATCACACTGGCAATTCTAGCACCCTTCTGTCTGAACAAGGAACTTCCGTAAGTTTTGGGGTGAAACCGATTTGATGAGATATTGAAAGGTCCACCATCCCTTCCGTATAGCTTTTCAGGTTTCATCCTTGGAAGAGATTATCTGAACAGTTCTCAGGTTGTTCTATATGGCTAATCTGCCAGAAACTTTGAGAAGTAGGGTTTCGGTGTGGTTGGTTGTGAGAAAGACGCTAGCCACCACCTTACAACACTAGGTTGGAGGTGTACAATTCAAAAAAGCAAATAATTTGAAAGATAAACTATTGTCTTTGGAATAATAACGAAATATTGTTTAAAAATTCACGATTAGATAATCCCTCGTGTAACGGCCTTCCACAAATGTAGCCAAACCGAAGTCTAAAAAGGATAGAAGGATGATGCGGATGAAAGAACTATAGAGAGAGAATCTAAAAAATGAAAGACAAAGATTTCTAACTTGAAAGTAGAGGAAGTTAATAGATTTGTGAGGAGTGTACAAAAAATAAAATGTACTATGACAAATTGAAAGACCAATATGATACGAACATTACGTTACTCTGCAGTTAGCAGTACTTCAAATACAATTTTCATAATACAGTGTAATAGAGGTGTCATAAAGGAGTGAGCTTAGCTTTCCTGACAGACTAGACTGCCCAGTGAGCGTTCAAACCAATTTATTCTTTTTTTATATCTCATTGAACCATTCAACCATAATACATTTATTAGCACTGGCTATGTAAACCAGAATAAAATTACAATTAACAATTATAAATTTTAGTGACATGAAAACTTACCAATATCAAATCAAGGCTTGCTTTCCCTTTTTCATGGAGTAGACAACTTGATAGCATTAGCCATTGCTACAACCTTAGACATTTCTTTGACATCGTGCACTCTGATAATACTCGCACCTTTGAGTACACTAGCTGTCACAGCTGCAGCGGTCCCCCAGACCCTTTTCTTTGGTTCTACGTCCTGGCTATAATGACCGGTAAATCCTTTGCGGCTTGGACCAGAGAGCCATTGAAGATCCATAAACTCGGGCTTATTAACGAGTTGTTCAAATTTGTGTAATAAATAAGTACTTTGTCCTATTTTTTTAGCAAATCCAAACCCAGGATCAAGAATAATGTTATATCGTGGAATCCCCGCTTTTATAGCAGCACAAACTCTTTCGTTTAATTCTTCGAATACTTCTTGAACTATATCTTTTTCATAAGTAGACAAGGAATTCATAGTCTGAGGAGTACCTCTCGTATGCATCAAACAAATCGGAACCTCTGCTTTGGCAGCAAATGAAAGCATGTCTGGGCATTTCTTTCCAGAAGTTATATCGTTTATAATGTTAGCTCCCGCATTGATTGCTTCTTTAGCAACTTCAACTTCAAAAGTATCAACGCTAATCGGAATATCAATGCCCGCATTACGGATGGCATAAATTGCTGGTACAACCCGATTTATTTCTTCACTTAAAGATACTGGAGTAGCATGTGGACGTGTTGATTGGCCTCCTATATCAATAATAGAAGCTCCGTTTTCTACCATCTCATTCACAACCTCAACAACATTATTAAGTGTCACAGAAAATCCATCCGAAAATGAGTCTGGTGTTATGTTGATGATACCCATTATAACAGCACCTTCCGTAACAGATTTATTAAGATAGGAGGCATGAACTTTAACTCCCTGATCTGGTAATTCGTTGAGCTTCTTAAGCAGTAATTGTTGGGTAGCAGGATGTACTAGAGTAGAATCCAGGGCTATCAATGGTCTTAAAACAAACTCTCTTTCCAACATGCCAACATGCGGTATTGTAAGGTCCTCCGACTCATAGATACAGTCATCGTACATCGCAATATCAAGATCTATACATCTTGGTCCTTTATCGATCAATTTAATACGGCCTAATTTTTGTTCAACAGATTGGCATGCTCGAAGGAGGTTGAAAGGTGACAGCCTCGTTTGAATCTTGCAAACACCGTTCATGAATAATGATTGGTTCTCGTAGTACATGGGCTTCGTCTCATATAGGGGTGAAACGTCTAAAAGAGTAATATCTTCAATTTCAGAAAAACACTTTAAGGCAGTGGCTATATTCTTGATGCGAGAGCCAACGTTGGATCCAAATGATATATAAGCGATCTTCGGTAAGCTAGACTCACACTTGAGAAAGGAATCCTGCAAAAAAGTCTTTTTTGAACGATATATTTGAACAGCAGGAGCATCTGCAAATGTTATAGCACTAGGCTTTTCTGCTTTGATATGTACGCAGTCAACTGATTGGCTGAAGCATAGAAACTTGGAAAGCTTGTGCACCAAAGCTTCAATAGTTAGAAAACTAGAAGACTCAACGAAACTTGCAACTTCATGACACAAATCAGAGATCGCCAGAGAGTCGAATTCTTTATCACCGCCTACATTAAAAGATATGTCTATACCTAACCTTTGCTTCTCCTTTCGTTCAAATGGATGAATACCTATGATCGTTGCTAGCTCTAGATCGAAAATTCTGACTCTGTCTTGTTGATAATCTTTATGTCTTTCAGCATCATATACCAATCCGCTTCTGGAACGCAAAACTTTCTTGGGTAATCGAACGTTGACAAAAAAATCACGGAACTCAAATTGATTACGGCAAGCTTTAGCAATCATGTCAACCATGTTTCGCAAGCCCTTGAACTCGTTTTTCTCAATGGTTTCCAAAACGATTTTAGAAGCTATTCCGTAATGGATGGAATTTTTCAAATCATGATTATCTTCACCATTTAATCGAGTATTAAGGTCCATACGTAAATTAACTTCTACCGGCTGCGAGGCAGCGCGTCTCCACTGATCTGTGCCAACCTTTGCATTGGCTCGCAAATTCTGCACAAGTACACTATCGTAATTGTCATCGAACTTCTCTTCGGATTCTCTAAAAAAACCAGTTTTGTTTGGAGAAAGCATTTTGGTTGAAAATGTCCTTAGGTTCCAACACTTGAAATTAGTTGATGATCTTAATAATATTTTGGGCGACTGAAAAGTAGAAACTGTTATGCGTCCCCGGTACCTTGGCAAACTTCCTTTCAAGTTTCGTAACAAATGCTTAGGGACTTTTGATAGATTTGTATAAAGATTGAAGCTACCATTCATGTGACTGTAACTTCAGATGAATTTCCTCTATTGTGCAGTAGTGCATATGCATTGTTTGTTACTTAATCTGATTGTTACTCTATCTTAAATGTTTGATATACACATATATAAACAAATGTTCACTCAGAATTAGTATTAAGTTAAGATGTTTTATTAAGAAGATGATCTATAGTAAATTACAATACAGCTTTTGAAGGCTGAACATACCACACGCATGTAGATTAGCTACTTGTCCGTCTATAGCTGAAAAGCTACCATGATAGCCATTGAAAAACCGTAAATTCAATAGAAAATGTTATTCCACTATTCTATTTCCCAGAGTCTCTCTCGAATCCTAATAATAGTAAGTTATATATTTCAATACTATCGAGTCACAACAGGTAACAACTTTGCATGAACACTCTATAGTACGATGTAAACAAAAAAAAACAATATGCAACACTTCTCGTGGACGTCTTCATATTATTTAAAGTATCCTTAAAATAAAAATAATTGTATTTTCTCCTTTCATACTCAAGTACGTCCGTTATGAATAATACAGTGACTGGTGCTTTCATAGTCATTTATGATTTTTCGATGAGATTGTATTGAGAGAAATCAAATTAATATTAGAGTCACATTATATTTAAAAATATGTTTTCTTAAATTTTGACGATCGATTGATTAGTATAGCTATTCGAGTATCCAGGACAAGATAACATATTTTCTTGTTCCATAATGCTTCATGTATGGAGTAAATCTGTTTGAAATTAATTTACATGTGTTTGGTAAGAAAACGCTGTGTAAAACCAGTAACTTTTTCTAGTTTCGTCTATGTACTGAGTTGAACTAGACTAAACGACAACGTTTTTTAATTAATCCTTTCTATTTTTTTTTTTTGGTAACAGAGTCTAAAGGTTCTTAGAAAGGCGGCATTTTCAATCAACTTTACACTCCACTTCCCTACTATAAGAACTTCACAATTCTTAAAAATGGAAGAATGGAAGAAGTACTTAGAAATAAATATTATAAACGATTCATCAGCGGTAAAAAATCATATTTCTTGGTGGCTAACTGCATTTTACTAATGCTGATAGGTGACGGAGACTGTGCTTAGTTTAAGTCTAAAGATACCTGTCCAAGATGCTCAAAAGTAAGGTTGAATATACTAATTATGATCTTATCTAATACTTTAGTTATTTGAAGGCATTCTACGAAGAAAACGACCAACTTTATCCAGTGTATATTATCCATGGGGTGCCAAAAGACCCTACTTCCTTGGTAGATTTGGACAGCGAGTCAGACAGCCTGTCATCAGATTTCCTTACTCAATATGCTCTTGCAACAAAAGAATCTCTCCCGGACGTATGCAGTCAATTCGAAGAGGGATACAAGACTCAAATTTATGCTCTATCGGCAAATCGAGTCGTCGTAAGTCACTTAAATGTAATAAGCTTCTTTGACTAATGTATATAAGGATTTTGATGAGTTACTGCCCATCATTTACAATTTACGAGGAAATGATGCTATATACCAAAAAGAGCAATGTGAAATATATGGGTTCATACATAATGAAAATTCAAGAGTATGTAATTTAAGGCTTTCAAAATTAATTAACTTTCCATTTTAGCCACGAAACCTAAAAACGAAAGCGATATCACACTCCGCTAAAGCACCTCCTAGTGTCAAAAAGGAACCCTCCGAAGTGGATCTGAAAAAGTCGAAGACAAGCTCTTCAAATATGTTCAGAAATGTGAAACCTTCAAACTCACGGAAGAATTCGACTGACAGTAAAGCATCGGCAGACTCCGAGAATAAATCAGTGCCAGCCGGTTTCTCGAGAAAATCTGAATTACAAACAAATCAGCTGAGAAAGGAGAATGACGATTTGAAGAGTATCATGGATATGGACGACAGTCATGATTCAATTGATGAAGCAAGAAAATCGGCTACTTCTGCCGCTGTCAGTCACGAGGAACCAGAGAGCATTGACATAGAATCAAATAGACCGTCGACGGATACATCACCTGAAGCCCAAGAAACTATAACTTCTATATCCAATGGACGGAAACGTGGTAAGCGTAAAGTTACCAATACGGTCACTACTCATGATGACGAAGGATTCTTAATTACAAAAGAAGAACAGGCTTGGGAATCATTTTCTGAGGACGAAAATGAAAAACCCAAACAGGCTCCTGCTCCGAAGACTAAAGCATCAAATCCCCCTGTCCGTAAAAAAAGTGGACCTCAGCAGGGTGGAAATCGCCAACAGAAATCTATCATGTCCTTTTTTGGAAAGAAGTAAGGTAATTATTTATCCTTTCAATTGAGTTGTATTCAGCTAGCGTCAATAGAGATAGAAAGTAATGAGCAGAGTAGATTAAATTAAGAAGATAACCAGGCTCTTGAAATACTGTTGTTAATAATAAGCGTTATCTGCATCTTAGTAGAACTAGATATTAAACTCTAGTATGCATTGGAATTCAAACATTCTTGACGTGTTATTTTCTAGCTAAAAAGAAAAGAAAAATGTTTCATTTGTATATTGGTTAGCAATGTTTACATCTTCATTCAAATATGAATACAAATTAATCAGCGTTCTGTTACTAATGTTGAGTTAAAAACACTTTTATAAAAAACATCTTATCCTTCTACAGGAAAATTTAAATACCCGTAGGGTAATATACTTTTATGCCAAGTCTTGCGCTTACTGTCCAAAGATTTATACTTCCACCTATACCCATACAACACTTCAAAAAACCTACACTCTGTGCTAGAACCAACAATGGGGAACCAGAGAAAGCCAATTAATAGAAATTCAAATGATGGAAAACAAGTTGTTAATGACCCTCGTTTTCAATCTGTTCATTCTGATCCCAGATTTTCAAAAGTTCGCCGTGGCAATTTAAAAGTTAGAGTTGATGAACGTTTCAAATCATTGAAAGACGACAAGGATTTTAAAACCTCTGCTAGTGTGGATAAGTATGGAAGAAAACTAAAACAGGATAAATCGGCAAAGGAGATTGAAAGACTCTACGATGTTGAGGATAAGGATTCCTCTTCTGAAGAATCTGATGAGGATAAAAATAAAGCAGGTGAAAGAGAAGAAGATGAAGAAGAAGAAGAAGCTTCATCGGAGTCAGAGAGTTCGGAGGATGAAGAGGAAGAGCCCGTTTTTGATCCAGCTCGTGGTGAGGGCGTTGTAAGTACTTCGGAAAGTGATGAAAGTGACGAAGAAAGCGAGACTGAAGTGCAACCAGAAGTTACCCAACTTGCTGGTTTAGAAAGTGAGGATCGTATTCCTCGCGGAAGCGAAACTAGCAGAATAGCCGTCGTGAATATGGATTGGGATAATATCGAAGCGGTTGATCTGTTTGCGGCTCTTTCTTCTTTTTGTCCCCCATCTGGAAAGTTATTAAAGGTTTCTGTTTATCCTAGTGAATTCGGCAAACAACGACTTAGTGTTGAGCACGTCCAAGGACCTCCTCGTGAAATTTTCGCTCCAAAGAATGACAATTCTACTTCCAGTGAACTCCAGGAAGCCCAAAAATATGGCTTTGATGAAAAGGAAGAATCCGAATCTGATGACGATCAAGCTGGTTTAGTCGAAGAGGATTTGGGCGCTGAATTTGACATGGTAAAATTACGACAATATCAATTGGAAAGACTCCGTTATTTCTATGCAGTTGTTGAATGCGATAGTATTCGTACCGCGAAAGCTATATACAATGCTTGTGATGGAGCTGAATTCGAGACAACAGCAAACATATATGACTTGCGTTTTATTCCTGATGGCGTCAGTTTCGAAGAAGATGAGCCGAGGGAAGTATGTACCAAGGTTCCTGAAAAATACGAGCCTCGTGAATTTGTAACTGATGCCTTACAGCACTCAAAGGTAAAGCTTTCTTGGGATGCAGATGATCCAAATCGAAAGGATTTAATTAAAAAGGCGTTTACTTCTCAAGACCTTGAGGATTTGGATTTCAGTGCGTATGTTGCATCTAGCGAATCTGAGGATGAAGATACTGATGAGTTGCGCTCTCGTTACCAGAAACTGTTGAACGGAGATGGAGTAGATGAAGCGGAGCGTAACCCATTTGAGGAGCCTGGTAACTCAGAAGGTGGAAAAGGTGATATGGAAGTGACTTTTACTTCTGGATTGGATGAAACGGAAGATAAAGGAGGTGAAGAAGAAGAAACTACCATTGAGAAATATAAGCGTAAGGCTGCTGAAAGAAAGCAACGTAGGAAAGAGTTGAGGAAGTCTAGACAAGAGGAAGCAAATGAAGGAAAGAAAGAAGATCTTGGCTTTGATGACGAATTTTTCCAAGATAATTCTCTGAAGAACCGTAAGAAGAAAACTACAAAACAAAAAGAAGTTGAGGAAGATCCCAATGCCGCAACAAAAGATGAGCTTGAAGCGATAGTGAAAGAAGATGCGGATAATTCGGAACATCTTGATCATTTTGATATGAAGAGTATTATGAAGGCCGAGAAGAGCAAAAAGGGACGTAAGCAGAAGAAGAAAGCTGCTGAGTTGGAGGGTCTACAAGAAGGTTTTGATGTTAATGTCGCTGATCCTCGATTTGAAGCGTTGTATTCTAATCACAACTTTGCTATCGATCCTACCAATCCTCATTTCAAGAAAACCAAGACAACAGAAAAGATCATGAACGAAAGATTGAAACGCCGAGAGCATAGTTTAGAACAAGTTGACGAAGGAAAGGTGGAGAAGAACGTGAAAAAGCGTGGTCCTGCCAAGCAAGACAAGAGCCAGGACCTCAACAGAATCGTACAATCCATTAAAAGGGCTAAAAAATAAAGGATATGGGTAATAAGTTTTATATTGATCTTTTGGTTTTTTTTTGGAAAATTGGTTTAAAAATCTGATTTTTGGGTTACAAGTAATTAGACATTATAATAATATAGGTACATGGTTCTTGAAATACTCAAAAGTAAGCGAATGAAAGGAATATAATTTTCGTTGAAACATAGTAATGTTTCCCTAAAAAGTAAATGAAATTAACTCAAGAAACATCAGCTGTTTCTTTTATTCTAGGGAAAACCACAAGCGCCTATGAAAGTTTGGTTTCTCATGCGTAAACATAGGGTGTTTGGTATTGTCGTAAAAGAAGAAAATCCATTAATTGGATTTTTTGCCATGATATTGATCACGAGCTGCGTATATTTTCGCAGTAAAAGGTCTATAAAGTTAGTAAAATGTTCGTTTTGTTGGGAAAAATAAAAGTATAAAAAAAACGTACTCTTCAAACATCAGTGCTAGGCGGTAAACAAGGAAAACTTCTAAAGATAATAGGAGACCGGCAGGCTTACCGTAGCGAAGGGCTGTAGAGAAAAAGCAAATTGTAGAGCCATTATACATTGGATTTTCGGTTACGTTGAATGGAAATCCACTGACGCGTGCTGGAAGAAGGAAACCAAAATAGTCGCCTAGGTAGGTTCCAACGATACCCAACTTGTACATACTCGACAAAACCAAAATACTTCCCACATAAAACAAAACCTTAGATACGAATTGGACGATAGGGTGATAAAGCAAGTCAAAGCCAGATTGATACTTTAAAGCGTTTTGGAAGATTAAATCACGAACGATTCCGCCAACGAAAATACATGCAGCTAATGCATAACAGGCTTTCAGTGAGTTCCCATTTGCAAGTTTTGTCAACGTCTTGTTGTTATACTCGGAACGCGCAGCTATATTCCAAAGCAATGGATTCAAGCCAATAGAGATGGCAGCAATAAGCAAAGACTTGTTGAATTCGATTAAAGGCATTCTAGAAAAATTGTATTAGAATAGAAACAGATCAAATAAATGTAAGATAAATCTAGAAATGGTAAGACAATGGATGGGAATAAAGGTGGATATCGCTGCGACTGCGTTTCTTGACATCATCCTATCTGATGTACCTCTGGAGTAACAAGAGCGAATATAAACAAAGAAGGAAGAAGAAAAGAAAGGAAGCTGCATTGAAAATAAAGAAATATCAAGTGAATTGGAGCGTAAAATTATCGAAATCTGTAAGGAAGCTAGTTTTTTCGCGAAAACCTGATCTTTGCTGATTTCAAAAGAGAAAACCAAATGACCTGTGTTTATCCACATCTGCTGACTCTTTAAAGCAAAAAATTTACCCATTTTATAACAAAACAGGAAATAAAAAAGAATATAATGCAAACAGACGTATCCATAATGCAGAGGAAATGCTTATTAGAGCAGCCCTAGAAATCAATCACAACTTTGTCGTCAACATAATCAGTTAAAATCCATGGCTGTTTAATTGTATTTTAAAAATTCGTTTAATTCAGTCATAAGATCTTCTCGTATTCTTTTGTACTTTTCCTTTTATAAATTTCTGTTTTCGTCTTTCACAAGTAAAATGATATTATATTGAAGGAAGTGTTAAAGAAATGTTTTACGCATCGTAAGGAGGAGGATGTTATTTTGTTACCACAAAACGTATGTTAGGATTATTGATCAATTCATGTGTTCTTACCCTCCTTATTCATTTAGTAAAAGACGTAGGAGTTGTCCAAGCGAAAATTAACTTATTTTGTCAAACCAATTTGCAGTTGGAGTGAGGTTTAGCACAGGTTGTCGGAAACGTAAACAGATTCTGCTTTGTTCTTGAAATCTCACGAGTCCGGTTTAGGAAAAATAAGGTCCGTTACAAGCACACTAGGTTTATTGCTTTTAAATATGTTTGTCGCAAAACGTTTCCTTTTGTCTCCTTGGAACCGAACAGTTCCAATGAATATCTTTAGGTCACTATCCACGGCTCCCAAGGAATTGAGTCAACAGGACTCAAGAGTTTTAGACCAAGTCATTCGAGTAGACCAGGCTGGAGAACTCGGTGCTAATCAAATTTATAAAGGACAATACTTTATTCTCCAATTTACCGACCCGAAAGTTGCACCCACCATTCAACATATGTGGGATCAAGAAAAGCATCATTTAAAAACTTTTGATAATTATATTCTCGAGAATCGAGTAAGACCTACTCTACTTCGACCCTTTTGGGACGTGGCTGGATTCGCATTGGGTGCTGGCACAGCTCTTTTAGGTACGAAAGCCGCTATGGCCTGCACAGAGGCAGTTGAAACCGCCATTGGGGGTCATTATAATGATCAACTTCGTGATACCGTTCATTTGAACGATGCGGCACCAGAACTAGAAAAGCTTCGTGATGACTTGGCAGAATTCCGAGATGATGAGCTAGAACATCTCAATACCGCCGTCGACGACTGGAATGCCAAAGAGGCGCCTGCTCATGGCCTTTTGAATAATGCTATACAAGCTGGTTGTCAAGCAGCCATTTGGTTGTGTAAGCGCTTTTAGCTTTCATACAAAACCTTGGCAAGAAGCAGCAATGAAGCTTTATGCTTGTAGATTGCAAGTTCTTCCCTTAAAGACATCATAAAGCATTTAAATTACATATATCTATGATATTTTACAACAGCTTAACTTTTGCACCAATTGTCTATTTTCCATTATACGAGATGCTTAAAAAGTAAGTCATGTCTATATTTATGCAAAAAAAAAAGAAAAAACAAAGACCTTTCAATATCCTTTTATGTTTCCAAACAATTAATTTGATCATAGCATATGAAAACAAACGTGTTCAAGGCCTGTCTTTTATCACTGAGGGAACTGGAGTTAATCTTTCGCCTCTTTTAGCAATTATTACTTTTATTCTTGGAATTTTCGTAAGGTAGACAGTTCATCCAAAATGCCTTGTAAACTCTCATCGTCAATTTTGTTTGACAAACTTGGAATCAGTGTCCGCGCTTCTTCTGCATCTTCACAGCATAGTGTTCCTAATTGAGCACGTTCATATTTATGGAATCGATTTCCTAATATTCTAAAATAAAAACAAATATTAACAATATAGGCTCAAAAATATTCCGAATCCTTCATACCTTTCGCAAGCGTAGGTAGATTCTGCGGTTTTGAATCTTCCGAATACATTAAAATAGGAAAGCGTCTTTTTCATGACACTTTTAAATGTTAGTAAGAATCCTTCATTTTATTTTAATCTCAATGAGCATACTCAGTCATAGGAATTTCTGCATTCGCTTCTCTTGTCCTTTGTGCCATCACCGTATCAATTAGGATTTTGGCCTCCGAAACTGTGAGCATATCTTCATTTTCAAACTCTTCTCATGTTAGACTATTGTACCTTGTTACATTTAACAATAACAACACACCTGGTCCTAATTTTAGTTGGGTTGCATCTTCTTCAAAAATTGCTCTAGGCATTCTGTTTCTTGTGCTTTCCTAAATCTTCCCTCCTGGATATTGCGAAACTGAATAAAATATAAAAAATGCTTCCTTAAATTAAATTGTTTAGTCCCCCTTCACCTTTCAGTTTTTCTTGAGTTGTCTGCAAGTGCCAGAAGGGAAGCCTTGATGATTTACCGAAGTAATGATTCCCTCCTTACTTGGTTTACCGGTGTCTATGAAACCACGGTGATAAACAAATAATATTAGCTAGTTATATTCATATACTTGTATGTATGGAATTCACCCAAAAAGACTATAGTCATTATGTAACAACATTAAGAAACCAAAAATAAGTATGTAATGGTTCATTGAATTTAATCAAGGTATCTCATTGTTGATGAAATGATAGCTTAAGTTATCGACTTCTAGAGCAGCTTTACTTCTTCTCAACAAATCGCCTCCGCCCAAAATTTTTCTTTTTCATGTGATAATTGTTTGAATTTTTAGTTTATTTTTCTTACACTTTAAAGAGTTATAGCCATCACTACGTCTAATGGATTTACGTGGTTTTCTATAAGATAATATATTATGCCGATATTGCTAATTCGGGGATTGGTCGCTTTTTCGTCAGAATCGTTTCAACAGAAGTGGAAAGTATTACTTTCTGTTATCAAAGAGACTTACAATTAGAAAAGTTTTTGAATTGCTCTACTTTATAAATTTTCATTCTCATTAGTCGAGACTATATTCGTTTTGTCAGTGTGCATATAGATGCCGGGGAACTTGCAAGGTTAACGGTTGTATTGATCAAGAAACAGCAACAACCTCAATCCTAATTTAGTACATTTTCTTATTATGAGAAAGAAGGTCCTGTTAATGGGTCGCAGTGGAAGCGGCAAAAGCTCCATGCGAAGTATTGTCTTTAGCAATTATGTTGCAAAGAATACTCGAAGATTAGGAGCTACAATCGATATTGAACATTCACACGTCCGATTTCTTGGAAACTTAGTTTTGAACTTATGGGACTGTGGTGGTCAAGAAGCGTTTATGGAAAACTATTTGTCTGCCCAAAGAGACCACATCTTCAGAAATGTTCAGGTGCTCATTTATGTTTTTGATGTCGAATCTAGAGAATTCGAGAGAGATTTGGTAACTTTTAGGAATTGCTTAGAAGCTACCATAGCCAATAGTCCTCAGGCTAGAGTTTTTTGTCTTATCCACAAGATGGACTTGGTCCAGGAAGATCTAAGAGATTTGGTGTTTGAAGAACGGAAAGCTATTCTGTTAGAGGCTAGTAAAGAATTGAACACGACATGTCTAGCTACTTCTATCTGGGATGAAACCTTGTTTAAGGCATGGTCAGCGATTGTATATACATTGATTCCGAATACTCCTACTTTGGAATCTCATCTTCGGGAATTCTGTAAAGCAGCGGAAGCCGCCGAAGTTGTTTTGTTTGAGAGGACTACATTTTTGGTGATTTCTTCTTACTCTTCTGATGAAACCGTTGCTGTTGATACGCATAGGTTCGAAAAAATTAGCAATATCGTAAAGCAATTTAAATTAAGCTGTAGCAAAATGCAGGCACAATTCACTACTTTTGAACTCCGGGGTGGAAATTTCTCTGCCTTTATTGTTCCCTATACTGAAGATACATACATACTAGTGGTTATAGCGGACCCTGAAATCGAATCCGCTGCTACTCTCATGAATATACAAAGCGCTCGTCGGTATATTGAAACCTCGAAGGCCAACAACTCTCAAAACTAGTTGTTTCACATAAGTTGTATGATCAATGATTTCTTCTGTGTTTAATTCATTTTCTTCGTTCATTGATATATAGATGGTTAAATATAACCATGCTAGTCTTAGTTTATAACATAATTATAATGATGCTTTTGTTGAAAGTGGTTTTCTACTGAACGTATTTAAACTTGACAAATGTAGTATAAAACAACATTCTTAGGCATGTATAAGCTAAATTGATATCATTAATTCCGCATTATTATTCATCTCATTCTATCGACTAACCTATATTAAAGTGTATCTAAAGGGATATAAAATCGATGTTTTCGTCTACTGACTGATTCTCACTTGTTGATTTCTGATCTACACCAGCATTATTAGTAGCTAAAGTTTTTATATCTTTTCGCTCGTCATCTGACTCTCGATCACCATTTTTCTCAAGGGTTCCATGATATAAACGGCATTGGGGATTAGCGCAAGAACCATTCATTGCAAATTCGCTACACTGAAGAACGTGTTTTTCTTTGCACGAAGTACCAAGCTCGCAATAGCTATATTTGGCGAATTCAAAACAAATTGGTGCAGTCTCGGAATAGTGTACATGGACATAACGGCAATTGACATTGTTGCATTTGCCCTGCAAAAAGTAATAGCAAGCAGGAATCCGCTTCGTGTCCAAATCATGCGATAGGCTACACATTTCACCTTTCGAACATTTCTCATTTAAAAATTTTGGACAAATCATTCTCCTCGTAGGATCATGCAAATACATACATGATGAACCGTTTGCACAATAGCCACTAGAATTATAATATCGGCAGTAGACACTTGACGGTGAGCTTCCTACCTCTTTGTACAAATTTTTCTTTGTTTGTAAATAAGCTTTGTTATTCCAATAAAAGTGCTTTGGAGGGCTTGGATTTTCATCAACGTATTCCAAAAAATTAATACCAGAAAAATCAGCTAAGTAGGAGCGCTCATCTATAGTTAACAATTGCTTTCTTCCACTTTTTAGATTGTTTTGTATATAGCTTTGGAGACGCGCTTTTCGTTCTTTCTTGATTTTCTCACGATGGGCCTCTAAACTAGCCTGTCGGGCCTGTAGGTCAAGTTCGAAAATATTTTTACGAATAAGCTGCATATGGCGGTCCTTTTTGGATATAAACTGAGAAGTATCCGAAGAGGAAGCATCGTTACTTTTTAGGTCATGATGTTTTGAGGGAATAGAGTAGGGTGCAGATGAATCCAATGGCCGGCCGGCCTTTAGAGAAGGATTCACAACAAGCGACTGATTTCGAGAGGAAGCACGAGGAACCTTCCTTGTTTTCCATTTTGCGGCCTGATTCTCTGGAGGATCGGCATGACCTAAAGACAATATTAGCGGACGCCAATCGTCAATGAAAGTCACCATACCTTGTTGATTTTTATACGTATTAATTGCACCTAAAATGTTAGTAATGGATGCCTCCATAAATGGTAAAGAAAACCAATGTTCATCAACAGTTGTTGTATGCGTTATGCTACTGTTTAGGAGGGAAAAAGGTTGCAAGAAACATCTTTTGCATAGAATGAACACAAGTCAAACAAATAGCGCCATAAGAAAGGAAGAACAATGAAAAACGACTTACCAGCGAGGGAGGCGATTTGTTGTAGTAATTGCTGTTCGTCCATCCTTTTAATAATTTAATATGAACAGCATATAAATACAGTTTAAGTTTTGAAACAACTAAATAGTAGAACAATAATAATTTAAGGTAGAGAAACAAGAAAGGCCGAAATAAAATAAGCCTGTCTAGTCCAAAAAAAAAAAAAAAAACAACCAAGTTTTTTCAATTAGACCTTTTCTAACCAAAACTAAGCCAGTTTTTGACCTTTACGATTTTCTTTTTTAGAAAAACAACAAATAAAGAAAAATTGTTACAATAATATATGTCAAAACTACACTCTGGATTCTACCAAGAAAAAGTTGCGTTGGTGGTTAATGACAAGTAGTAGTAGCACTATGCCATCGATACTCATAGGATTATGTATTAAACTAAACGCGACAGTCCAAGTCTAGCATCTCATGAAATATAACATTTTGTAAATAAAGCAACAAAAATTAAGGAATCAACTCTTGTAACTGTAGAGGCGACTAAGACATTGTTGGCAAACAAACGCTGAAATCGCCATTCTATAATCAAAAAGAACCTGTCGCTAAAATCGAAATAAAATTCTACTAGAAAGTTATTGAAAGATACTTAAGTTTACAACTATTCTAAAGAGATTGTTTTTGTACTACACAAGGAGTGTTTATAAGTAATGAATGGCAGCTCTACCATAATTTTCTGGAACATTATCTAAGCTATCCTCACACAAAAAAGTATTTTTTTTTGTTTTTACTCTTTATTATTTCTTTAAAGAAGCAAAATTATAGTCACTATTTATTAACCATTGATTTATAAAACATAAACATAGAAGTGTAAACAAACCAATCGACGGAATAACGAGTTAATTAACGTATGGCTGCATAGCACGGTATTCTTTTATATTATGACATAGTGTACAATAACGCAATTCACTGAATTATTGGTTGGTGGTATGTTAGACCTATAAGAAAGAAGAAATTTTTGCTTTACCTAATCAAGATCACAACTGCTGGCAAATATATAGTACAGAGACTAGGCACAATTTTAGTTGACCATTTCCTTAATCTTTCTACTCCAAGAGACGCGGGTATCCTTAGCATATTCTTTCAGGTACTGCTAAAGTAATATAGATAGTATCGGCCATCATCGTTTATTATTGGAGACTTGAAACAAATTGAAGGCGAATAAGCAATTTCTCTTCGAATTGAATTGCTATATATCTGGTTTTTTTTGTCGCCTTATCCTATTCAGGAACAATAGAATTATTTAATTTAATAATCTGCGTTATTAATTTACATTTTCATCAATATGCAATCGTCAACTTTGGTTTTGACTTCCCCTAGTTTTGCATCGTCTGAACAGGAATTAAAGCATGTCTTAAGTCTCATTGATCCCAATAGTGAACGGGAATTGCAAATGATTGACCGTGTTCAGTCAAATTTAGTGACCTTACCGGTGAACAAGTACATTTCCGTGATTGTTGCTTTGGACACAGCCGACTGGTCATCTGTGTTGACTCCTATTTTTCCTCAAGTGTTTGCTTGCGTTCAGCCAGGTGGCAATTTACGCGTGCATTCATCTGTTGGTAACAATGACGGATCTTTCGAAATGACGGCTTTAATGGCTGGTTGGATGATTGAGTCCAAGGACCCATGGATACTGTCTCGCCCTGCTCAAGTGGAGGCTGTACCCATTAAACTAAACCGCTCTAAGGATGGAACATCGAAAGAAACTACAAAGCCATTGGATTTTTCAAAGTCTGATAAACAGGCTGCTTTATCCTCAATTAAAGATGGAGAAGACGAAGAAGATCAGGACGTCATTGACGAGGACGAGCTCATTGATGAAGCTGATCGTACTGGTGACAATGTCCTTCGCCCGCCAGAATGCAAGCCTGCCCCTAACAAGAAGAAGCGTGCTTGCAAGAACTGCACTTGCGGTTTACGTGAAATGGAACAAAAGGAATCTTCAAAGGCATCAGCTCAATTGGAAACCGTAAAACTGAACGATACCAGCGAGATTGACTTTACCGAAAAGTTAAAGAGCAAGAATGCTGTCTCTAGTTGCGGAAATTGCTATCTGGGCGATGCTTTCCGCTGCAGTGGCTGTCCGTACATTGGTCTTCCGGCTTTCAATCCCGGTGACCCAATTGTTTTGGCGGAAAACCGCGATAAGATGTCTTGGATGGCTGACGACCTTTAAAATTTCGATCAAGAATGACTATAGAAACTTATCTCGTGAAAGTTTTCATATGTACATGTAGTTTAGTATATTCCTCCCCTTCCTGTCTTTGTTTTACCTCTTAATTTATGATTCAGTCGCATTCTTTTTTGGTCAGGTGCTGTTATTTTTATTTAAACTGGTTTAAGTAAAGGTGTTACAATCGAAAAATAGATTCATTAGATCGTAGTATGAACCATTATATCGAGATAGCTTGAAGCTTATGCATAAATTTTTTTAGTCTATATTTTCATGCAAAAGAAACAGCTTATATATTTAAACGTAGCCAGCCCTTTAATGAGTTGAGGCTAATCCCTGCATTTGGGTATATGCGCAATCTTTAACTTTAGGCTGTTAGACCAAGATAGGTTTGTTTCTCCTTCGCCATCCAAATTATACTTATGGTTGACACAATAATCGGGCTGAGCAAGCCAGCACCCATGTTTGCACTGCGGAAGAGAAGCCATTCACTCAAAAAATGGAAGCTAGCCAAGTAATAGGTACATTGGCAGATAAAGTAAATACTAAAACAGACAACCGATTAATACAAAACTTACAGTATGCCAAAGTGTTGACTTACTCTGCATTTGACATATGGTAGGCACAGTAAGCACGAACAAGTGCACTCAAAAAAGTCCAAAGACCAAAGGTGCGGCCTTGTAATCCATTTACTATGTATATAAGTTAGTAATCGCACCATTTGGAGGATGATAATTGACGAAAATGGTAAAATCTTTCGACATTTGAAGTCTTACCTTCTTTAGAATTACTGTATACACGCTGCGTAAGCTTGGGAGTTAGGTAGGATTGGATGGTATTGAAAATGGCAGCAAATCCGACCAACAAGTTCCATTTAGCTAATGTTCCTTCAGGAAGATTATCTAAAACGAACGAAGCAACGGTAGAGAAAACCATGATGAGTCAAACAATGAATGGTATGGTAAGACTTAAAGGAGTGGTAAACGAGTACCACTAATGTGGTTGAAAGGACCATGGAAGATCCAACTGATTAACAAAGACACTTTTTTTTTCTATACAAAATTTATTCTTTTTCTTTGGTAGGTTTTATAAAATTCAATAAATTGAAAATCGCGTTGTTTGCACCTTAGCCTACAAAACTCAATCAACACCTTACTTCATAAGCTTCTATGCACACATACATACATATATTAATTAAGAAAATTCAATTATGATGTCTATGGATTTTATTACAAGTACGTCTTTGAACACCTTCTAGTTACGACCCAGTATGAGGGATCTTCTAACAATTTTTCATTTCCCCATTGCGACTCTTGTGGCTCTTACGCTACTAAAAACTACACAGCGCTTTTATTTTCAATTCATCAATAATAAGTACAAATAGAAAAGGCAAACATTACACATAGTATAGTATACAATTCGCACTGAAATCGCTTAATTTGAGCTTGTTCTAGTGAAGCTATAACCCAGTCACAAAATTTTGATCACACACGACGCGTCCATATACTATTTAGTTTTGTTCATACATAACCTGTATTAAATTGTAGTTTCTGTTTCAGTCATGGGAGAGTACGCTATGTGAAAGAATAGCGGTTAGTCAGTTGACGTTTGCGAATATTTGTTTCGACGTTTCTAAAATCTTACGCGACAGTTTTATGGAATGGACTTTCATGAACTTGCCCTGTTGAATTGAACAACAAACAAGTTGATTAGTATTTCACTGAACCTGTCGGTTAAAAGTGCCATGTATACGCGTTCAATGCCAAGACAACGAGCGATTCCTGTCTTTGATACTGAAAGTTGCAACCATTCTTATGTTAAGCAGAAACGTATTTTGGAACTTAACGATATCGACAGTTCCTTTGGTATGCAGTTTAACAACATTCTCGTAAGGTTCAGTGCGAGAATTTAACGGGATATTTTTGGTTTCGTTATCTAGTTAACGATGTTGAACACGATAAATAAGCACAGTATAAAGCGTATTTCAGATGTTAAGTGACGACGTCACCTTCGATTCATTTCAGGAAGCGTGCCACATTCCCTGCTGGCACTAGAAGCTGGGAACAAAGAATGCGGACGAGTACCAGCATTGAAACAGATGCTAAGCGTCAATTGTGAATGCATACATTGATGTTTTTATACATAGTTTTTACAAGGAAAATCAACAGATATGATTAGCTGTATAGAATGGATGATTCGAATGCGGACTGATTATAAAGAAAAGTGGCGTCACCGTATATATATAGGCATTGATCCCTCTTTATCGTGAAACGAACCACATCCTTTTCTTATAATGCAGATTTTTGTCAAGACTTTAACCGGTAAGACCATTACCTTGGAGGTTGAATCTTCCGATACTATTGATAATGTCAAGAGCAAAATCCAAGACAAAGAAGGAATTCCTCCTGACCAACAGCGTCTAATTTTTGCTGGTAAGCAATTGGAAGATGGACGTACTCTTTCTGACTACAACATCCAAAAGGAGTCTACTCTTCACTTGGTGCTCCGTCTCCGTGGTGGTATGCAGATTTTTGTCAAGACCTTAACTGGTAAGACCATTACATTGGAGGTTGAGTCTTCCGATACTATTGATAATGTCAAGAGCAAAATCCAAGACAAAGAAGGAATTCCTCCTGACCAACAGCGTCTAATTTTTGCTGGTAAGCAATTGGAAGATGGACGTACTCTTTCTGACTACAACATCCAAAAGGAGTCTACTCTTCACTTGGTGCTCCGTCTCCGTGGTGGTATGCAGATTTTTGTCAAGACCTTAACTGGTAAGACCATTACATTGGAGGTTGAGTCTTCCGATACTATTGATAATGTCAAGAGCAAAATCCAAGACAAAGAAGGAATTCCTCCTGACCAGCAGCGTCTAATTTTTGCTGGTAAGCAATTGGAAGATGGACGTACTCTTTCTGACTACAACATCCAAAAGGAATCTACGCTTCACTTGGTGCTCCGTCTTCGTGGTGGGTGTCTATAAACTGATTGTGTTTCTGGTAACGCTTGCTTTTCGATTAGTTTTTTGACAAAGTAGTTGATTAAATGGTATCTTTTTCATGACTTTTCAGATGCTTAAAATATTGTTAACATTATTTGATGAATTTCTTTAAGTATGTAAGCATTTTGTTTTTGTATGAGGCTTAATATTTTGTAATCTGAATTATGATGATTCCCTATATTCAACAAATTGATAAGATAAGAATACTTATTAGCAAACAGCTACGTTAGAGTTCGTTAAGTGTAATATGCGTAGTCAATCCATGGAATTTGAATTGTTACGTCTATAAAATTGTCTTTTGAGAATATATTCCTTTTTGAAGGTATTAGTCTGTAATCTATATGCTTAATTGATTTATACGTCCTGAACCACTTCAGCTGTGATTACTATGAGTAGAACGTTGAAACTTTGTGCATATGTGTTTGCACCATTAATACTTTTGATCACTGTTATATGTATTTACTTGGATTTTGGTAACAGTCAAAAGTTTCGCAATTCTATATGGGAACCTAAAAGTTCGAATTGGGAAGTCCTTGACGAAGGATCCTCAGGGATATGGGCGAACATGAATGCCAAATATCAAAACGACCAAGTAATTCGATTTTATCATGAAGGTAATGATGCGACTAGGGAGGTCCTATTGTATGCTGAAAGCCGGAACCTTGACATCTGGAATACGGGTTCCCGCTATACTGATATTCGACTGCGTCGAGAAGTTGCAAAGGAGATGATTTCAATGATCCCTAACCATAAAGTTCTAATATCGAATGTTTCTATGGTACTTGCCAACAGCATGTCTAGCGGACAAGAAACGAAGAACCTACCTCCTTTGGATTTCAATACTCTTTCAACCATGCCCCAAGAACCATTTTCAAAGTTATACCTAAAATACACAGAGGAGTTTTATAAGAATTACCAAAATCTTGAAGCTATCAATTCTTACCTTCGATTACTAGCATCTATGTATAGTGATTTATGTGAACTTACTTCATTGGGAACCACCGCTGAAGGCCGATCTATACTTGCACTGAGAATCCATGGACGAATTCCAAATAAGGATGAAAAAAAGGAGGTGATAATTTTACAGGGTACTGCTCATGCGCGTGAGTGGATATCTATTCCAACATTATGCTACTCTGCATGGAAATTAGTAGCCCAGTATGATTCGGACAATCGTGTGAGAAAATTGCTTGATAAATTTGAGTGGATCATTGTACCTGTTCTGAATGTGGATGGCTATGCTTATACTTGGTCAGAAGATCGTTTTTGGACGAAGAACAGACAAAGCCTAAAAAATTCAAACTGCAAAGGAATTAATATTGACAATAATTGGGGATTCGGATTTAATGGGCAAGGAAATCCTTGTGACGAACTATTTGGCGGTCTTGAACCTTTTGAGGCTAATGAAACATTTGCCATGTTTAATTTAATTTCTAATACATTACCAAAGGAGAAAAAAAGTACCGTTGGATTTTTAGACATACATTCCTATTCTCAATCGGTCTTATGGCCTTATGCGTATAGTTGTGATTTACTCCCTGCAGATGACGAGAATTTTCAAGAACTAGCAATGGGTTTGACGAAAGTGCTTCATCAGGTACACGGTCGACTATATTCTCACCAACAGGCATGTATACCGTTTGATGGTATTCATAAGCATTACCATCCTGGTGCTGCAATTGACTTTGCATACTTCAACGCAGAAGTTCGGTGGCCATTTACAATACGTCTTCGCGATGTTGGTGACTATGTGAGTAATTGTGTATATTTAGTTCTTCGTAATGATATTAACAACATCTTAGGGATACCTGCTACCAGCTCGTGAGATCGTACCTACGTCTCGTGAATTTTATGCCATGCTTCTTTACTATGGTCAATTTATATCAGAAGCTGCGTACTAAAGAGCTCTTTTCTTTGCGTTGTTATTTTTGGTTGTTGTCATGAGTTTTAGATTTTTGACTACTCGGTCTTATATGTTTAACTTGGATATTATTTATTTTGTGCGCTTGTTTATCTGGAATGAAGGTGTCGGTGTTGTTTAGATACTAATTTCAATACGATCTTTTCGATACGTGGAAACTTAATATACTAATGGAAATTTGTATAAATTAAGCTTACCGCTAGCTTCATCCACAGGTGACTCCGAAGACTGAAGACGTATTGAAGGATCTGGTCCCCTATTTTGCTTGTTCTCGCTTTAAAATATATATATGAGTAGTGACTCAATTGAAGATACTATAGGTAATTTTCAAAACGCTATCGTCTCGAAGAAGTCGCTCCAGTTGGATTACCTATCAATCTTATTTGACTTTCCTCCTATTAATTTGAATATATTCCGACTTTTTATAGTTTCTTTTCTAATGTATACTTTTTACTTACTTATATTAACTAAACGAACTGAATGACATGAAAGATTCAGTATATTTTAGCCCATAAGCATACAATAATAATAAAGAGGCTGTACACTATTTTAATATTATGAGATATTTTTCATAAAATCTATAGTAATAACCTTCCTGCACAGTTTACAGTAACTACTTCAAACCATCTAGTTACATACTTATAAATAAAAATGACGACGGCTCATGTACGATAATAAATAATTCTTCTTAAAAAGTATAAACTAACAATGTTAAATAGAGACCACAATTTGATCCCGCTCGGGGTACCTCAGAGATGGCTCCGACAAGAATTACCGCCAGTCGTGCATTGCCAGCCCATTTAAAGCTCAAATACAGAAAAGCAAAGCAAGGAACGCAAGAAGAACTATCTAAAAGGGATTTTCGAGACCAATTACTACGCGCAGAAGCTTCTCATTTTGCTAATCGCGAGCATGGGGCTTCTAGCGATAAACGTCCTGAAGCACCAGCTGCCATTGAGGCAAATCCTGAAGCTAAATCAAATGAATCTGAGGACAAGGTGGATTATGAAGCGCTATTGAGGAAAACTTTGGAAGAAGACGCTGATACTAGTGAAAGTGAGAGTGATTCAGAAGTGGAAGACAAAGATGGAGAAGGATCAAACTCACCGGAAGAAAAACGATTGAAGACTACTAATGAAGAGATGAGAGAATCAATGAGTGAATCTAGTTCTGACGATGATGATGAGGAGGAAGATGAGACAGCACAACTTCTTCGAGAACTTGAAAACATAAAACAAGAGCGGCAGAAAGAAAAAGAAAGACAGGAAATGGAAGAAAAAAAAGAAGAACAAGAAAAACGTGAGCGTGAAATAGCTTATGGCAATGTACTACTAAACAACTCATCTACCGGTTCTTTTCAAGTTAAACGCCGTTGGGATGAAGACGTCGTGTTTAAAAATACCCACAAAGGTGTTGATGATCAACCCAGACAAGGATTTGTAAATGACATGTTGCGAAGTGACTTCCACAGGAAGTTTCTTTCTAGATTTGTTCGGTGATTTCTCTGCCTACGGCAACTTGGTGTTTTTTTTTTTTTTTTTTTTATTTAATCTTCATAACTACTGTACAGTATAGAAATAATGCTATAATTTTATTCCAAATAAGTAAAACACATGACAAGTGATGCCTACATCTAACATGCATAATCCCGTAGTAAGGTTGCATTACTGTCTATTCGTGGTATTCGTCTTTCATATCATTATTGACTTTGGTTGATATAAATTCATTATATACGATTCGTTTGTCAAGTTTTCAACTGATTTTGTCTACCAAAAAAAAGCATCTCATTTCGTAATGAATTTGTCTACAAAATAGGAATGTATGGCGCGTTATACGCTAAAAAGTAATACCGCATTATGTTTGTGCGACGTTATATTTAGTAACGATTTGCAACGAAGGAAAGCATAACTCTACTTGAATGAAATTCCATCGGTAGCTGGGTAACTTTTCTCTTACCACGACCGCAACCCCTGTCTAGAAGCAAAAAGAAATGGCTTTGCGAGTTCCTAAGGCCTCTGGGCCTCAATTATTTCGCGAAGGCTATAGAATCATGCAAGGTGTCGAAGATGCCGTGATTCGTAACTGCCATGCAATTCGTGAATTGTCTGAGATAGTACGTTGGTGTCTTGGAAGACGCTTTTTCATTTTATATAGAGGACCGTTGTACTAACCTAAACAGACTAGAACATCTTTGGGACCTAATGGAAAAAATAAAATTGGTACGCATTCACCAAATAAACTTGTTTTTTGATGTTGTTGGCTAACTCGATGAAGTTGTAAACCATCTTCAGCAAACATTTCTCACAAACGATGCTGCAACCATTATAAAAGAACTAGAAGTCATTCATCCTGCAGCCAAACTCGTTGTTGATGCTACTAAACAACAAGAAAACGAAGTAAGTAGATATTGTTGTTCTCTGCGGAAATGCAGTTGAAACGCGTCATTAATTCTTTCACTAACATCATTAGCTCGGTGATGCTGCAAATTTCGTAATCGTTTTTTGTGGTGAATTGTTAGCAAAGACCGAAAACATGATTCGTATGGGCTTAACCCCTTCGGAAATCGCAAAAGGATTTGATATGGCATATAGCCATGTCACAAAAGCATTAGATGAAATTGTTGCCGACAAGATTGAAGCAGTAGAAAATGAAGGAGATTTAATTAAGGCTATTCGCACTTGTATCTCTTCTAAGCAATACGGTAACGAAGATTTTCTTTCAGACTTAGTTGCTAAAGCTATCCTTACTGTTCTTCCTAAAGATCCTTCAAAATTTAATGTTGATAACATCCGAGTTGTGAAGATTATGGGTGGAAGTCTTTACAATTCTCAAGTCGTAAAGGGTATGGTCCTCCCTAGAGAGCCAGAAGGAAGTGTGCAACGGGCTAAGAAGGCTAAAGTGGCCGTTTTCTCCTGCCCTTTGGATATTTCTCAAACTGAGACTAAGGGTACCGTTTTGTTGCATAATGCTCAAGAAATGCTTGATTTCTCTAAAGGTGAAGAAGAACAAATCGAGTCCCATATTAAGGAAATTCATGATGCTGGTGTTCGTGTTGTTGTTACTGGTGGAAATGTCAATGATTTAGTTTTGCATTATTTGAATCGTTTTGAAATTGCAGTCGTGCGCGTTCCTAGTAAATTTGATCTTCGTCGCTTATGCCGTGTCGTCGGAGCTACTCCTTTGTCTCGTGTCGGTGTTCCTATGCCGGAAGAGATGGGTTCTGTCGACGTTGTTGAGACCATAGAAATTGGTGGGGATCGTGTTACCGTCTTCCGTCAAGTGGAAGATATAACAAGAACTGCTACGATTGTCTTACGTGGTGCTACTAAGACTTATTTGGATGATATTGAACGTGCTATAGACGATGGTGTTAATATTGTTAAGGCTCTTGTAAAGGACAATCGTTTACTTTACGGTGCAGGAGCAAGCGACATGCAACTTTGTACTAGACTTATATCAATTGGTGAAAAAACCCCGGGAATTTATCAGCATGCTATAAAGCAATACGGCGAGGCTTTTGAAGTTGTACCTAGAACTATTTCAGAAAATGCCGGTCTTGATCCTACAGACATTTTGAGCAAGTTATATGCCGCTCATCAAAAGGAGGGTGGTGAATCCATTGGAGTTGACGTTGAAGTAAGTTAAAAGATTATATGTTACTATGCTAACGATTTACTTTTTAGTGTGAGGAAGAAGGCCTTTTGGATGCTAAGGAAGGTCAGTTGTTTGATGTGTTGGCTGCCAAACACTCTGCAATTCGACTTGCAACAGAAGCCGTGTTGACAGTTTTGAACGTTGACCAAGTCGTTATGTCAAAACCTGCTGGTGGTCCTAAACCTCCTGGACCTAATCCAAACTGGGATGATGATTAATAATTTTGTTTGAAATCAAAATTACGAAATTTTCAAGGTACAATGAAAGAAGTGGTTTATTTTTGCATGGCAGTTATTGAATGTTGTAAATGTAGAGTTTTACAATAGTAACAATTAAGTATCTAGAGCGTAACGTCGTATTATTTAATGAAACTACAGGTTACTTGAAATTATCATTAATCCATGAATTCCTTAGTAGTTCTTCAGAGTAAGGGCGACTATCCCTATGTATAAGTAATGATTGAACTAAAGCGCGTGCTTCAATCCATGTATCCAAACGAGTAATGGAACATCCAGCAACTTCATGCTCCTGTTCTTCCAATGGTTTACAACGAATCCAACTATAACTAAGACGAACCAACCTTTGAACATATCTTTTGATACGTACCTGAGGTTCATCTTCAAAGGGCGGCACAGCGTCAAAAGGCAAGCGGCCCTCCATCATTGCAAATAAAAGGATACCCAGTGACCAGCAATCAGCTTTATATCCGTCATGGGCAATACCAAGGTAAACTTCCGGTGCTGCGTATTCTGGGCTTCCGTACTCGGATTGTACAATATGATTTTCTTTATCGACAAATTTAGAGAATTCAAAATCAGAAACTTTGATTAACGGAAACCGGAAAGACTTCAAATCTTCAGCACCCTTAAGCTCTTTATATTTTTTAGTTAATAAAATATTTTCCAGCTTTAGATCACGGTGCACAAGAAGTTGATCGTGCAAAAAAGCGACAGCCTGAACGATTTCACCAAAGATCCTAGCTACAAAATTTGGAGAAAAACTTGAATAGTTGAATCTGGTGCATTCATAAAGGTCACCTCCTTCATAGAATGATTCTGCTAATAGAATATCTGACGGAGAAAGATAATAATTGATGAGGTTAACAATTCCACGATGCCGTAAAGAAGACAATACCTTAATTTCTTGTAAAAACCCTTTGAAAGAAGTAGATAAAATTTTGGGCTTGGAATTGCACAATAGCTTTTTTACTATAAGAGGTTGCCTTTCGGAGGAATCTTTTGAACTTGTAACTAGAAAGACGTCCCTTTGATGACCTGAAGGTAGTTGCTTTTTAATCATCCAATCCAATTCAATATGTGGATCATATTTATAAACAAGCCCAGTTTCGGATTCAGTTGGTAGGCTGTAAAAAAATTTATGATTGCTTGGATATAATACGGAATTCACTTCTAATTCAAAAAGACGCGAATAACTTGATAGTAAATTATCCCTTTGTATATTTGTTTCCTCAATTAAAGCTCTTTTGGAGGAATTGCTTGTATTGGCGTTTGAATACTTGACGGGTCGCAAAAACTGTGGCTTTTCAGTAATTTTCTGTTGACTTTGTTCATTATTATCCAAAAAATTATTATCCTGAAACATCAATTCACATTATTTTGATACTTTTATAGGTTTCCAAACAACTGAAGTAAATATGTACACTAGTTAAAGATAGAAGTTTGAAGTACGTCAATGAGTAATTTATAACAAAGATAGTTACGTTTTATATCACAAGAGACTATAAACTAAGAAGTCGGTAAATTAGAAGAAAAATTAAATATTAATTGTCAGGATAAAGTCCTGCAGCTATAGAATCTTCAGAGGAAGCTGATCCCTCTTTTTGAAAATTTTGAAAATCGTCTGTTGGTTCTTTCTGTTGATGTTCCACACTTTCCTTTGTCGGATTTTCACTGATATTGTTTTTCTCGCTGTGGGTTGAAGCAACTGAAGGAGGAAGTGGAGAAAAGGATGGCTCGACCGGATGAAGATCAGTTGAGTAAGGAGCATGATCAATAGGAGGAGAATAAGAGTCTACTTCAGGAGAATATGCATCATCACTGTTATAACTGGGATCTGTTGAGTTGTTGGTGTCTATAGGGTTCTGATTGATAGAAGGGTTTTTTCCTTCGACGACTGCAAGTATACTTGTCAATTCTGAAATGTTTGCTTCCTCTCTCTGTACTTGCTGTCTTTGATTGTCCAACAATGTTTCTAAAGAGGATATTAAAGCCAGACGAGATTCAACGCTGAGACGGTGTGTTCTTTCGCAAGACGATACGGCATTCACAAGTTGAGCTTTGAACTTTTCATTTAACTCTGGGTCATCGGATGATTTTTCTTCATACGACTTGTACAAGACATCAACAGCGCTTTTGGTTGTCGCAGAAGATTTTGCATGAATTGATGCGTCCACGAAGCGCCTAGAAAGAGACAACTAAAACATAAAAGTCAGAATTTATATCATCTGTGAAGGAGCGAATAAAAATTGCTTACCCATTCGGGCTGATCGACAGCTGAAGGTTGACCAAGGCGATTATAATCGGCTTCCATAAATTTATTTTGAAGATCTGATAGAATTTTTTTTGAAAATATCGCTCTTTGGCACCAAACATCATATACGTATTTAATCTTTGTTTTGATGGTAGAGGGAACACTTGCATATGCTTGTGAAACAGCTTCGACAACGAACTAAATAGCAAAGTTAGTTAAATGAAGTTTTATTTTACCGACATCGGGCTTTTTTTGGAGGTTACACGTACCGGCGCGACAGCGTCAATTAAGTCAGTGATTTTTTTCACACGAGACTGTTGGACGACTTCATTAATCAAATACAATAAAAGTAGTTTTTTATTAGAGGGTGCTGAGTATGTTAATAAACTGAATTTGACGGTAATGTCTTCATAGTTGCAAACCTTCGCGTAGTGATTCTAGCCAAAGTTGAATAATTTCGTTCGCATATCGTTTGTGATAAATAACCCAATGTGCGATTCCTGTTATGCTTTCCTGGGTCTCATTTAAGGTCACCAACTTCGCCGAAACAATTTCTGGAGTAAGTGCCATTCTAGCTTGTGGTGGAAAAAACCATACCTAGTGTCAAAATGGGATGCAGTCATCACGACAAAAGAGGCGACATAGACAAAATGACACGCTTAAAAACCGTACTAGAATAGATGTATATTTATAAAATAGTGTCTTTGTCCTTTAAATTCGAAGAGATGTCCAATGCAACATTGCAACATTGCATACTTCATCTCGACTATAAGAACAAACTAAACTACACCTCATGTCTACTATAATAGAAATCTTACATAGTAATCTTTCTGTCGAGCAGCTAAACAATGATTTGTATTGTCTGTTATGTATGGCTTTATTTACTAATGAAACCCAAGGAGACCTCTGTCATGCTAACTATGATTTCCTATACTTATAATTCATAGACATGGAAGGGTGAGTAATAAAGAGTAAATGTTTCGTATTGTACTTGATTCCTCTTCCTGTAAGACCAAGCCCAAGAGAGCTTGTCGAACTAAATGTTTGCTCCAAGAACGTTTGTTTGCGACTCTAAACACTGCTGAGAAATGAATCTAAACATATTGGATATTAACATGAAGTTTCAAATACCCTACGGAGCCCTGAATAACTATGATTATAAAAGAAAGCCAAAATCTCAATTATAGTCAATTTCATTCTGAGGATAGTACGAATCAAATTAAAAATCCGAAGTGTTAACAAAAGAAAGAAAAACTAATTCCAAAAAAATAAAACAAAAGTCATTATTAGTAGATATTTATGAATGCATTGATGTATCCGACTGTTGGTAAACCGCCAATACAGTACTGCACGACAGTACACTCCCAACTTCAGGCCATACCTACCACCGTGCCCTTATTACTCCTCCCAAGTGTGCTTGCTTTCAAGTTCATATAAATTACCAAAAATGTCTTGTTGGACACTTGTTCAGCAAGATTCTTTCTTAGAGACTCCCTCTAGTGATCAGTTGAAAACAGCCTTGGAGTCCAAAAATGACTTCGTTAAAATCAGTGCAATGAAAACAATCCTGCGGATAATCATTAATGGAGATCCTTTATCTTCTGTTTTAATGCATGTTATTCGCTTCGTGATGCCTTCTAGGAATAAAGAACTCAAAAAGCTTTTATACTATTACTGGGAAATCTGCCCGAAATACAACAGTGATGGTACAATGAAACAGGAAATGATTTTGGCCTGTAATTCCTTTCGAAATGATCTTCAGCATCCAAACGAGTATATTCGTGGAGCTACTTTGCGGTTTCTTTGTAAGTTGAATGAACCGGAACTTTTGGAACCTCTAATTCCTACGGTTCGCCAATGCTTGGAACATCGTCATGCCTATGTTCGTAAAAATGCAATCATGAGTGTGTTTAGTATCTACCAGACTTCTTCACACCTAATTCCTGACGCTGCCTCTTTAATTGAGGATGTACTCGTCGTAGAAACCGAAGGAACTTGCAAACGCAACGCATTAATTGTTTTGTGTACCATCGATCCTGAACATGCCGCAATGTGGCTTACGAATAATTTTGATCATATTACTTCCCTTAACGCCTCTTCTCTCTTAATTGTTATTGAATTTATTCGAAAGATCGTCATTGTCAACTCACCCGACAAAACCAAGTATTTTTCGCTTCTGTTAGAGCTCTTGCACGTGAATTCAAGTAGTGTTGTTTTTGAAGCTTCAACTTCTTTAATGAACATGACAACAAACATTCAAATTATCAAGACCGCTGCATCCCGGCTTTTGGATCTCGCTACTCGCGAAGCAGACAACAACGCAAAGCTTATTATGCTCGATAGAATTTCCGATCTTGTTCAGCATGTAAAGTCCGGACTTGATGACATCGTTACCGACGTTCTTCCATTCCTCGCCAGTACTGATTTCGATGTTTGCGAAAAAGCTATTTCCATTATATTGGGCTTAGTTACCACTAGAAACGTTGATGATATTTTAGAACAACTTCAGAAGGAGTTGTCTAAATCCAATGGTGAATCCGAAAATGATGACGCTCGTCGTCGTGCTCTCACTGAAGCAATCCACCATTGTGCAATTACTTTCCCTCAAACAGCTGCTACCGCGATACAATATCTCTTAAGTCACATTTCTGATTTTCAAAGTAAATCTGCATCAAGCGTTCTGTCTTTTGTAAAAGAAGTTATGGAGAAGTTCCCAGAACTCCGTTCTGCAAACCTTACCAAACTTTTACTTTCCTTAAAGGAATTTCGAGCAGGAAAGATTTTCCGGGGAGTTGTCTGGATTGCTGGTGAGTATTGTTTTACTGAAGCTGATATAAGAACTGCTTGGAAGAGCATTCGAGCAAGTATTGGTGAAATTCCAATTTTGGCTTCAGAGGAGCAACTTTTAAACGATGTGTCAGATCGTCAAGAACAAGAGTTGCTTGTTGATGTTCAAACGGCGCCCTCTTCAAGTCGAAAAATTCTTGCGGATGGAACCTATGCTACTGAAAGTGCTGTAACAAGTGAATCACTTAATGCTGCTAAACTTGAAGCCGTGAGAGCATCTAAAAAACCTCCCTTGAGAACTCAAATTTTAGGTGGTGATTACTATTTAGCGACAGTATTAGCTTCTGCTCTTACGAAACTCGTAATGCGTTTTCATCAAATTTCGGACAATCTTGAAAGATTAAATGCTCTTCGCGCTGAAGCAACGTTAATTATGACATCCATTATCCGCGTGGGACAATCGAAATTTGTTAAATATACAATCGATGATGATTCAATTGAGCGCATATTGAGTTGTATTAAAGTCCTTTATTCCTTTGAAGGATTTCAACCACTACAGAAGGTCTTCCTTGAAGATACTAAGAACGCGTTTTCTCACATTGTTATAGAGAATGAAAGACGCCAAAAGGCCGAAGCTTCTCTCATCAATGAACGTAACGCTATGCAGCCTGATGATACCCTCAGTATTCGACAACTTAGCAGAGCAATCGAGGAGAAAGCTGAAGCCTCTTTTGAGGCTGATGTGATTCAGGCAGCCAGTGACGGTATTGTTGTAGAAGATCTGTCCTCCAAATTAGATCATGTTGTGTCATTAACTGGATATACTGACCCGGTATACGTTGAAGCATACGTGAAGATTCAACAGTTCGATATTATTTTGGATATCCTCATAGTTAATCGTACCGATAGTACTTTGCAGAATCTTTGCCTAGAACTAGCCACCTTGGGCGACCTCAAAATTGTCGAACGACCTTCCCCGCTTAATTTGGCACCTAGGGCATTTAATTCTGTTCAAGCCACTATTAAGGTTTCCTCTACTGATTCAGGTGTAATCTTTGGTGCTGTTTCTTTTGGCGGTAAAGCTTCTGAAGAAGATCGCGTGGTTAATTTGAGCAGTATTTCTCTGAATTTGATGGATTATATTAAACCAGCCAGTTGCCCTGAATCCAAGTTCCGTAGCATGTGGACTGAATTCGAATGGGAGAACAAGGTTGATATCTCGTCCAATGAAAATATTAACTTAATGGAATTTTTGCATAAATTAATGAAGAAGACGAATATGAATTGTCTTACTCCTGACGCCAGTCTGCGGGGAGACTGTGGTTTCTTGAGTGCGAATTTGTACGCCCGCAGTATATTTGGAGAGGATGCACTGATGAGTTTGAGCGTTGAGAAGTCTACAAACGGCCCTATTTCTGGCCACGTTCGAATTCGCTCTAAGACCCAAGGAATTGCCCTTACATTAGGATCTTTAGTTGCAGCTTAAAGGATTTTCTATGACTTAAAAGACCACATTCGCTTTATGAGAAAGCTCAATCTCACACTGCTTACATTAATAGATAAATGCCGTTTTTGATAATCGGCACTCATCTTCTATTTTATGATTTGGAACACTAAGCGCAAACGTCGTTTAAATGAGTATACTAACCTTCATTTTCGAAACCTTTTCCTTACTTTTATCAATTTTTTAACAAAATTTTGCCAATAGAATAACTACTATTTGCACAGATGGATTCAATAATATTCCTTACAATATGCAACAGTATAGTTTTTCTCTCTACAGATTCGTAAGCTTTCAACATTACGGTCTTAATTTTGTATACTAGTTAATGATTTGCAATTCCATTTTAGGAATTAATCCGTTGGAAGGTAGATACAAGCTGCATCGAGAAGTTGCAATATTTTCTAATTCATATCTTGATATTCGCTAACGGTGTGTAATGTTTTACGTTACGGAACTGAATTGTTACTTGGGCCGCTACTTGACTTAGTAAACGTAAGACTGCAACTTGTCGTTAACCTATCTTTTTGTTAGGCCTGAAGTTGCAGTTTATATGGTATGGCTGGTTTATTTTTTAGATATATTTCTAATTCTTTTTAGGCCATTATAAAGAGAGTGAATCGCACGAAGGTTGCGGACGCTAAGGCCCCAAGTGGTACTGGGCAATCCACAGGCGTCCGAAAAGCTGTTTTCCAAGGCAACCGCAAGAAAACTGTTGGCGTGGATGATTTGACATTGCTTTCCAAAATTTCTGAAGATGAAATAAATAAAAATTTAGAACTTCGTTTCCGTAATGGTGAAATCTACACATACATTGGACATGTGTTGATTTCAGTCAACCCCTTTCGTGATCTGGGCATTTACACTATGGATGTTTTGAAGTCTTATCAAGGAAAAAATAGGCTTGAAACATCTCCTCACGTTTATGCAATTGCTGAAAATGCCTATTATCAAATGAAGTCGTATCACGAAAATCAATGTATTATTATTTCAGGTGAATCTGGTGCTGGTAAGACTGAAGCTGCCAAGCAAATTATGCAATATATTACTCATGTTTCAAAGTCTGTTGGTACAGAAATTGAAAAGGTTTCCGAAATTATTTTGGCGACCAACCCCCTACTTGAAAGCTTTGGCTGTGCTAAAACGCTGCGCAATAATAACTCCTCTCGTCATGGAAAATATCTTGAGATGATTTTTAATCCTTCGGGTGCTCCCATTGGTGCTAAAATCACGAACTATCTTTTGGAAAAAAATCGTATTGTTCATCAAGTTCGAAATGAAAGAAATTTCCATATATTCTATCAATTCACAAAGAGCGCCCCTCAAAAATATCGTGACGCATACGGAATTCAAGGTCCCGAAAGCTATCTTTACACTTCGGCAAGTCAATGTTTCTCTGTTGATGGTATGTCTGATGAGAGAGATTTCCAAGGCACAGTAAATGCGATGCAAGTAATCGGTATTACAGAGAGTGAGCAAGACGAGATCTTTAAAATAATCGCAATTATCTTATGGCTTGGTAATATCCAGTTTCAAGAAGGCCCTGACGGTGGCAGTGTAATTACCGACAAAAGCATTTCAGAATTTTTAGGATATCTGATAGGTGCTTCTGCTCCTTTAATTGAGAAGGCTTTGACTATTAGAATTATGCAAACACAACATGGTTCCAGAAGAGGATCCGTCTATGAGGTCCCTCTCAACCCAACCCAAGCATTAGCTGTCCGGGATGCTTTGGCTATGGCTCTTTATAACTGTCTTTTTGACTGGATTGTGGAACGTGTAAACAAAGCATTGGTTACTTCAGATAGATCCGCGAACACTTCAATTGGTATTCTTGATATTTATGGTTTTGAGATTTTCGAGCACAACTCTTTCGAGCAGCTTTGCATTAATTACGTCAATGAGAAGTTACAACAAATTTTTATTGAACTTACACTCAAAACCGAACAAGAGGAATACGTTCGTGAACAGATTGAGTGGACTCCTATTAAGTATTTCAACAACAAAGTCGTTTGTGATTTAATTGAATCTAAGAGACCTCCTGGTCTCTTTGCCGCTATGAACGATGCTATAGCTACTGCGCACGCTGATTCATCTGCTGCTGATAATGCTTTTGCTCAGCGCTTGAACTTCCTTTCGAGTAACCCTCATTTTGAACCCAGACAAACTCAATTTATCGTTAAGCACTACGCTGGTGATGTTACCTATGATACAATGGGTATGACTGACAAGAACAAAGATCAGTTGGCTACAGATATTTTGAACCTTGTACACTCATCTAGTAACAACTTCTTGAAGTCTATTTTCCCTGCTCCTCAAGAAACGAATGCCAGACGCCGCCCTCCTACAGCTGGTGATCGCATTAAAGCCTCTGCGAATGACCTGGTTGATACTTTGATGAAATGTCAACCATCATATATTCGTACGATTAAGCCTAATCAAACAAAGTCACCTCAGGACTATGACACTCGTATGGTTTTACACCAAGTTAAGTATCTTGGTCTTCAGGAAAATATTCGTATTCGACGTGCTGGTTTTGCTTATCGCCAAGCGTTTGATACGTTCGCCCAACGCTTCTCCGTGTTGAGTAGCAAAACCAGTTATGCTGGTGAATATACTTGGCAAGGTGATGATACAACTGCTTGCGAACAAATTTTGAAGGATACTAATATCCCCCCTACTGAGTATCAGATGGGTACTAGTAAAGTGTTTATAAAAAATCCCGAAACGCTTTTTGCTTTAGAAGATATGCGTGACAAATTTTGGGATAGTATGGCCATAAGAATTCAACGGGCCTGGCGTGCTTATGTCAGAAGAAGATCAGAGGCAGCTTCTTCTATTCAGAAGTTGTGGAATCGTAATAAAGTTAATGTTGAACTTCAGCGCGTTCGCGATGAAGGTTCGAAACTTTTGCAAGGGAAGAAGGAGCGAAGAAGATACAGTATGTTAGGATCTCGAAAGTTCCACGGTGATTACTTGTCAGCCTCCAAACCCAATGGTACTTTATGGAGTACCTGTGGTTTAAGTTCTGGTGATGTCGTGATATTCTCCATGCGTTGCGAGGTGCTCGTTCATAAATTAGGCCGTTCTTCTAAACCTTCTCCTCGTCAACTTGTTTTAACCAAAAAGGCCCTGTACTTGGTTATTACTAAGATTGTTGATCATCAACTTACCCAGCAGGTCGAGAAGAAATTCCCTGTTGCATCTATCGATTCGGTCAACTTGACAAACTTACAGGATGACTGGGTCGCAGTACGAAATAAATCCAGTCCAGATGGTGATATGTTTTTGCGTTGCTTTTTCAAAACTGAATTGATTACAATACTTCGCAGTATCAATCGTCAAATTCAAGTTGTTGTGGGCCCAACCATTGAATATTGCCGTAAACAAGGAAAGACTTTAACCGTTAAAACCCAAAAAGAGGAAACTGCAAATGATTATGACTATTATAAGAGTAGCACCATTCGTGTTGGAACTGGCTTGCCTCCAAATAGTGTTAGCAAACCATTCCCTCGTCTTGCTAGTGGTGTATCTCCAAACGTGAGACAGCCTCCTGTACAGGCAGCTACAAAACCAGCACCAGTGAAGAGAGCAGCTCAACCCAAACCACAGCCAAGACAGCAACCGCAGCCCACGCAGAATAAGACTACTACGCCGGTGTCTCAGGCGAAAACAGCTCAGCCATCGCCTCCTTCAGTCGCGGGCTTGTATGAAATTAACCAAACAACGCAGATATTTCCTGAGGAGCAAACAATTTCACCCTCGACAGCTCCGCAGCCCGTAAAATCTCCTGCCGCTACTAAGCCTGCTGCTTCTGCGACCCCTGGTCAAGCTCCTCCTGCTCCTCCACCACCAGCTCCCCCAGCTGCTCCTCAAAAACCACTTTACATTGCTCTGTATGATTTTACAGGTCGAAGTGCCAATGAGATGTCCATAAAGAAAGATGAGATACTTGAAATTGTACTTAAGGAGCCTAGTGGATGGTGGCTTGCTGTCAAGAATGGATTAGAAGGATGGGTACCCGCAACATACGTAACTGAAAGCAAGGGTAGTTCCGTGACCGCTGAACCACCAGTAAACAACGGTGATTCTAGTTCTGGAGTAAACAACTTAGCTGGTTCACTCGCCGATGCACTTCGTATGCGCGCATCTGCTGTACGAGGTAGCGATGATGAAGAGGACTGGTAAAAAGGGCATCCGATGTACATATAATGACTTCCAAATTTTTGCAATCGAAAACAAAGCTCAGCCCTTTACTATCATTTTTTTATGTCTTAGATACTATAAGTATTGCCATGTCAATTAATGAAATAAATCGTTTTATTTTATTTTATTAGCGTATGTTGAGTAATGTAAGTTAAACAAGCATGTCAAAAACTAAGCAGTTTAAATATGTTCTCCCATTTTATTGTAAAACTGATAATAAACTGAGAAAATACATGGGTTTTCATTATTGTACTGTGAACATAATCAATAGTGATCCATTGACTGAATAACGTCTAAATTCCTTTGGCGACCGTGGAAAGAACAGCTTGTTTTAACATGGGACTACGATCGAGGAGTGACATGCCGAGCGAACGTATGCCGTTGACAAAACAATTATCGAAAGCATATAGTTTATGAAACTTATCGGCGGTGCCTAGATAAACGTGATTCCTAAAGTAACGATTTTTAAAATAAGGCTGAAGCGTGAACATACTACCAGGATCTTGACCGTGTTGGATAGCATAAGAAAGGGCATTTGTCAAGGCTTCAGCATCTTGTATACCGGTGTTCATTCCCTGTCCAGCAAGTGGGTGAGTATTATGAGCAGCATCACCACACAATGCAACATTCTCTTTTACATATTCCTCGACATGAGCCATACGAAGAGGAAATGATGCACGTGTATTAGGAACAATTTCTGTAACTTGAGGAGGTCTGTCGGATGATAAACAACGTCCCTTAGTTTCAATCCTCCAGTCCAGCTGCTTTTCCAAATTATCAGGCTTACTAACGTCCATCTTTAAAAGATAATCTAAATCAACTTGATCTAAGATAAAAGCGGCATTTAAAAGTTTGACGAATACAGGCTCAGGCAAACCAAGCAACTTCTTTGCTAGTTCTGAATGAATAGACCAAACAAAAGTAGCATTGTCTCCTGGAAGAGGGAGGTATGCCAAAGGTCCCGTAGGCAGGAAGCGCTGAAAAGCAACCGAAGGTAAATTGTTATGTGAAACCCTTAATGTTCCAACAACACCATGCGAAGAATATGCCCATCCAGGCATTTCTATCTTGGAAAATCGGCGGACTATAGAGTTTCTACCATCAGCGCCAACCAACAATCGTGTGCGAAGTATTCCATGAGTTGATGTGTGTATACAAGGTATGTTGGTATGCTCATCTCTTGTTATTTCTTCAATATTACAAGGGACTAAAAAATCAAATTTGTCTTGATGGAGATCCTTTCTTTTTAAAATCGACCGCAATAAACCGTATTGCAAATTCACATTTTCCGCCATGAAAGCCATCGGTTCCCTGTCCTTTGGTTGATCAAAGTGTATTTTTGAATTAGTTATACCATCATAAGCAATAATATGTTGAAACGGTTGCAATCTTTCTTTGCGCATTAGATCCCATGCTCCGATTCTTTCAAAGAATTTACGACTGCGAGACATCACGGACACACAGCGGTTCGAATATGAAGTGGGATTCCAATCTTGAATCTTCATAGTATTTTGGTTGTCTAAGATAGCTACTTTTAATGACCGCGTATAAGGATTAGTTTGTAATCCCGCAGCTAAGGCCAGTCCAACGGGACCAGTTCCAACGATTGTAATATCATAATCCGATTTTGATATATTCGACTGAGAAGCAAACCTACGAATACCTTTGGGTGAAATTCGTAAAGCAACACTAGACAATTGCATCGTGACAAGATTCAATATTATTAAATGATAAAAGTCTTTAAACAATGCTTAAACTTTTGAAACTCTTTATACGGTTAGTTCTCCAATCTAATACATATCGATGTTGTAAGGTTCTGTGTAATCGTATGTTAGTAGTGTCAGCTTGTAGGACAAAGTACTTGGTTTAAGTGATTAATGGGAGTTAATTGGTAAGACTGAATTTACTCATTACATTTTAGAATTCAATTATTTGTGATATTTATTGATTATAGATTTTCTCTGTACTCTAAGATTATTCACACGGCTGACGATTTGAATTATTACACCAGTCTTTGGATGAAATTCCTTCGTCGTGGAGTACCGACAATTACCATTTAAGGAAACTCTCATGAACTGATACCGTTTTCTTTTTTTCATTACCAAGACTTTAAATTAATAACATCTTGCTTATAGACATTTACCCTACACTACATGACAGTGTCTTAACATCACAAGGAATAAGAATAGAATTCATAACAGAGCGAATAATAAATATAAATACATAATTAGAGACCCGGCACATAAGAATAAACACATGAGAGATCTTGATGAACTAAGAAGGAAGAGAAGCATACCATAATAAATAATACTTCACAAGCCGATGTAAATCCAGCAAACAATCATAACAACATAATATAAATGAAAAATGATACGTAAACAAAGTCATCAACAAACCTAGATAGGGTTTGGAAAGTAGCGTCAACGTCTGTAAACAAAGAGTATTTGTTTACATTTTGTTTTTGTTTATATACAGTATACCACGGATTTGAATTGGCCAAAACCCAACCTCATTTCAAGAAAAAGGTAGGAAAAAACCTTCCTTTTCTTTTCTTATTTTTTGGATAGCCTGTTTTTTTGGTACGTGGGCTGCAAATTTCGAAGATAATAAAGATGTCCAAATCGGTTGCCAGTAATTCCGACATAGATCAAGAAAGTCGTGACGATTTACAGGTTCAGCATCAGGATACTCGTAACGAATTACAAGAAAAGAATGATGCTGGCTTCGATTTGCAGACCAACGAAGGTGATCTACCTGGCTTAACTGAAAATCAGTCGAAAAAGCCTTTGGCGAGCAACTCGTCAATAGAAGAAGGTTCCCGCGTATCTGAAAAACCAAGACTTTATGAAAATGATGAAGAAAGACAATCAGAGTATTATCCTTCCGATTCTGACAGCCAGCTTGCTCGTAGTTTACATAGCGAAGCTTTTGAAAAACCCAGCGGTGCGAAAGGACAACACTTACAAGTTTATACTCAAGAATTCCATGTACAAACTCCTTTAACACCTCAGTCAGCCACGGATAGAACGATCGTATCGCCATCCGACGGCGTATCCCCTACTGAATCAGTTGTTTCAACAAAACCAGATCCAGTTTTTCCAAACAGACAAGGGGGTTTCGCATCAGAATCTGCAAACAATTCTGTGAGCATTTGCTTATACCACAAGCAGTACGGCAAATGGAGGCTAAACATTACTGACGAAGATGACAATCACACAATAGAAGCGTATGCTCAACATTTCAGCAGCGACAACCGTCCCTCCATTTTTTATTTGTTACGAGGTATTTCATTTGGTCCAGAATATGACTATGTATTACGTCCCAAACATTGGTGGAATCCTCTGAGCGAAAAAGTAATGCGAAAGGAGGTAGTAGTTCGAAAAATTGACACTCATCCAGGATGCCGGTCAGTGTATGAACGCTACCATCAGAAGAAAATTCAGGGAGGTGAAGATTTATTGATCGTGCCAGTATATGGATTAAATATGTGGGTTGTCTCCTTAATAGTTGCAAGCGCTGCTGGATCAGTGATAATTGGCTTATGGATGCGACTTTCAGATCCCTTTTTTGCACATGGAATGCTTCTCAACCTCGGGTTAGGAAGTATTGGTAGTTTCTTATACTTGCTTTCGAACACCTGGTGCAGATAAAGTATTATTTAGAATCCACATTTCACCATTGCTTGCTAATTTGATAGAAAGCACTTGTACTGAATCATCTAGGTATAGATTATCTTTTTGTTTAATAACATTTATGGTTGATCCACTAAGTGACTTATATTCTCCATTACCATGAGAAGGACTGGCGGAGATGAAATGGGATTTAATGAAACGATGTAAATTTCCCTGAGCTTGATCTTCAGTAATATGAACTGGCTCAGAAGGCATTTCGAACTTGGCTTCCAATGTATCCAACTTCCATGGCTTTACCTTCATATTTTGGAATGCTAAATCCGTGGGTACCAAGAGCGTAGTATTTTCGTTACTACTTTGTAGTCTTTCAACAAGCTCGGGAAATTGCATAAGAATATCGGAAAATATGTTGCAATCCCTTGAACCAGCTAATAGCTCAAACAAACGGGGTTCGTGAGTAGCCTGCATTTGGAATGGCTTCTGATGGAACGAGAAAGCAGTTGCAATATGCACGAATGTAGTCAAGAAGAAGAAGACGTTTAAGATATATGATGACAGTAGCTTCATGCTAAGACCGTAACTTTCTATAGCGAGACAAAAGTCTATATATTATCGCTATAGCTATGGATAAGGGAAATACTTAATCCCACTGAGAAGACTTCTAAAATCGTTGCTAAATTGCTTAAGGTAATTAATGGTCTCAATATACAGTAACTAAATGAAAAACCGTTTCAATAAAAATGGATGAAACAGTTATGAATAAACAACGGCAGTTTTAACTAAACGTATTCGATGGAAGTCGAATAAAGTGAATTGAAGTAAAGATTTGTTGAAGTGACGATTATAAGAAGCAGTGGTGATCATAAATAGTGTACTGGAGGTTTAACTATGATGTACAGGATGATATGTCAAAGGTTTCCTTAAATCAATTCCTTATTATTTAATTCAATTAATAATTTGTTATATGTAGTCCCATTGTTATGTTAAGAGACGTATCATGTACACTTCTTACTTGAGACTCACCATAAACATGAAGTACTTTATCAAAATAATCCAAAAATAAAGAGAAAGCTAAGAATAAATGTTTTAAAATAATTACAGATTGAAGATTCTTTTTGGACGCATCTTTGGGCATTAGTTATCGAAGTTTGAACTTCGTTACCTAAACCATATATTGAACTAATATTCAGGTTTCGCGTTTTTCGTGTATCTTCTGTTAAAGATAACATTTACGAAAGGGTTCAATAAAACAAAAATTGGTGTCCAGCAATTTCAGAGCCTACTTATTGAGGAACAACTTCGGTTTCATCAAAGTAAGAACTAATTATTTCCTAGCAAGTGAAATCCCTTAAGACAAGCAAGAGAAGAAGATAATTACGATGTTTGAATGATGGAACTATCTCCAAAGGATGATATTACTAATGTATTGAATAATGGGTCGCCGCAGTCAGCGGACCCTTCTTTATGGGCCATTTTTGGGCAAAACTCGATGGAAGATTCGAACGAAAGGCGAAATATTGGCTCTGAAGCAGACAATGGTATTTTTGACCTTAGCCAGTTAAACGAACATCAACTGGCTTCCTCTGTACCCAATCCCATAGGCTTGTCAGGCCATGATGGTCTCATAGCCAAAAACTTTGAAGAAGCTGATACTTCTGGTAAGCAAGAAGCATCAATGTTAAACCAGCATATGCTCAATACCGAAGCGGCTCAAAAAGGTTTGGATGCGAAAGGTCGACAGTCGGTGAATGGCATTCGTAAAGGTAAACGTGTTTCTGCTACCGCTAATTCTCTTGAACGTAATGGAACCCAGTTTGTCTCAAATGAGGCTCCAATTGCCGTTAAGTCTAGCATCCCTGCCCTTCCAAGAACTACATACGAAAGACTCTGTTACGAGTCAGCAATTGCCAGTGGATTATCTCCTAATTCTCTTTCCGACGAAGAAGTGGAATTACTTTCCGAAATCTTAGATAATCCAAATTGGTTGTCCCTATATTTGAAAATACGCAATGGCATATGCTATCTTTGGCATAGAAATCCAACACTATTTGTGTCCTTTAATGAAGCTTTGGGTATAGTCCGCGATAAGATGGCATTTCCCCTGGCATCCCTTGCTTTTGAGTTTTTAACACGCAATGGATATATTAATTATGGATCACTAAACATTTCTCAGAATGTACAACCAGGAGAAACTCTTCCTCGGAAAACGATAGCTGTTGTTGGCGCTGGTATGGCTGGAGTAAGTTGTGCACGACAATTGGCAAATCTATTTGCCCAGTACGAACAAGACTTTACAACACGAGGTGAGCAGCCTCCGCAATTGATTGTATATGAGGCATCAAGTCGTTTAGGAGGTCATGTATTTTCCCATGAGATATCACTGATTGAATCATTAAGTGAAGAAGAACAGGTTGGGCTTCAAATGGACATACCTCAAGCATGTACGGTAAATTTGTCGTCTGATTTTCTATATGGCTTTCCATTTTTAGAAAATGATCCGCTGCATATCATTGTTTCACAACAACTTTCACTAGATGAAGTACTACGCCAAACACAGAATGTAGCTCTGTATGATTCCGACGCATGTCGGATAGATCAGAGGTACATAGACAGAATTTTGATGTTATTTCGGTCCTTACTTGATTATTTCTTTTCAATGAAAAACGATCAGCTTTTAAATATTGTGTCCTCCCCCAAACAAAAGTTTATTGGCGCTCTTCAGAGTTTGGATTGGCATTTGGTTGGTGATATTTTTCCTTTATCTACTCAGGATTCACTAAAAATCTTCTTAGAGGATTCCTTTAGAAATCTTAACCATTCACTACACTTTTCCATTCCCGAAACCCGAGTTTTTGAGTGGTGTGTCGAGTACCTAAAACAAACATCTTACGCGCCGTTAGAATCAATAAAGCCGACATCATTCAATTCTATTAACTTTCCTTTTGGTGAAGATGTTCCTTCGTATGCAATTAAGAATGGCATGTCAACCTTGATCGAAGCACTAGCTACAACTCCTAGTCCTCTACCTATTCTCTTTGATCATACTATCCAGTCAGTCGATGTAGACGATCAAAAAGTTCAATTATCATTTACGAATGAGGAATCCGTAACAGTTGATAAGGTGGTAATGTGTCTACCCATCGACAAATATCGAAATTCTACCGTTTCATTTCGACCAGCGATATCAGAGAACAAGATCAATGCTTTGAATAAATGCTATATGTTAAATCGTAAAAAAATAGTTTTTCTGTTTAACAAGCAGTTTTGGGAACTTAACAGAAGCATTTTTGGATCTTTAACTTCTAGCAAGAAAAATTATATATTTAACGACTGTTCAGACATATATGGATTACCATCATTAAGCGTGTATGTTGATATTCCTGCGCATCAGCAGGTCGTTGACAGAGACATTGTTCATGATATCCTTGCTGAACTTCGTAGTATTTTTAAGGTGGAGAACTTGCAACCTTTAAGGACTGTTATCACCAACTGGGAAAACAATGCATTTTTGAACCATTCTTCTTATACCATCTCTCCCGATTCATCTTTAGAAGATTATTCTATTTTGAGAGAAAGTATGGGCGACACTGTATATTTTGCCAGCGAAGCATTGTCAAAAGACCACCCTGGGACTCTAAGAGGGGCTTTCCAGTCTGGTCTACTGGCAGCTAAAGATATCCTTAGCTCTTTAATTGGAGATGTTGCTGTTCCTAGTACCTTGATAGTGGAAGAAAAACTTGAAGGATCCGAATCCAGTCGTAAACGATCAGCAGGACAGACGTATGATACTAGAAGGAAGGATAATGATGACGATAAAGCTCTCAGTTATTACCATGACTACCTTAGATTGAGGAAGCAGAGACTTGAAAAAGAAGAGCAGGAATGTGAACTTCTAATAGCTGAATTGCTTGGCACTCGCCCTACCGCCCCTGCTAGACCGAGTGCTAATCCATACTTGATATATCAAAAAACTCAATGGCATGTGTGCAGAGCATTGGCAGACCAAGAAAAGCAAAGAAGCACTGGCGATCCTGAAGTACGAGCTACTAAGAATGAAATTAGGGCCAAGCTTGGAAAGACTTGGAGAGCTCTCGATGATTTAGGGAAACAACCCTGGGTTGATGAGGTCACTGCTAGAAGAGCAAATTATTCCAGTCGTTTGGAAGAATATCAAAGACAAATAAATGGCTATAATGTTCGTGCCGCCCAAATCCGCGATGAACATCTTCGCAAGTGTGAATCACAGCCACTGCCCGAAGAAGAAGCAAGGTTAAAGATTCTTTCACAAGAAGAAGATGAACGTGCACAAAAGCGAAGACTTTTAGAAAACACAGCATTGAACGACAGTGACGAGGAATATCGAGACGATATGGATTATGAAGAACAATTTGATGATAATTTTTCTGATACATTCACATAACTACAATAATTAAATAAAAAATGTACGCATGGATCACTGGTGCAAGAATTTTTCAGAAAAAACGATCTAAATCTATCTTCGTAAGAAATTTAATTATAATTTATATGCCATTCTTGTGTAATGAGATGTATCAATTATCATATATATTGCTTTCGTTTGATACTCCTAGACATACTTAATGTTTTATCGAGGTCACTACACAGTACCTGGCATTAAACCAATTGAACTTAATAAAGTTAGTTTTAATAAGGTGTACAGACAAAGATAAAAAATGGCAAAAAAAGTTTCGTCTCAGCTATCGTTTGACCCTCCAGAATCCCTGGACAAGGATCAAGTTGTTGCTAGAGTATTGCAACTTAGGGGTTCAGCATTATTCACAGTTTGTGAACCAAATGGAAAAGAATTACTTGTCGAAATGCCTGCAAAATATCGGAGTAAAGCGTGGATTAAACGAGGTGGATATGTCGTAGTGGACAAATCCGAATTTACAGATCAACAAAACAAAATCGATGGTTCTATTGTATACGTCGTTCAGCACCCATTAAAAAACTGGGAAAAACAATCTTACTGGTAAGCACCTTTTTGATACAAGTATATATACTTACACGAATTATTAACAAATGCTAGGCCGAAAGAGTTCATCAATGATACCGCTGCTGATGTGGATGAAAGTAGCAGTAGTGAAAGTGCAGAGGAGAGTGACTAATACATTCATATCCCTGACAAAAACTTATTTTATTAACCTTACATTAAGTTATTTTTATTGCTTATTAGAACTGAAATATGTACTCCAGAATCTAAAATCATAACTTATAGTACTACCAATAGCATTTGACTCGTAAATAACTCCACTAATAATTTCTTATCGTAAATGCATTATAGATTACTTAATAGTTACCAAGCGTTTGCTTTATAGCAGTCCTAAAAACGTTAGTATTTTGGTTTGATCAGCGATCGTATACACCTACCTCTCCATAAAAAGCAAGAACAATGGTTCTGTCATCAAATTTGTAACCTCGCATTTCTTGCATGGCAGTTACTGCCGATTCGATATCAGCAAACCTAACGTATACTTTTCCAATACCGAGGGAAGGAGTGTCAGAAAATCCTTTTTGTTGGGGAATTTTTATGTCTAAAACTTTTCCATATTGGGATAATTGGGTGCCAATAGCTTCTTGGATTTCTAAACTATGTTAAATTTCGTCCGAAATGTATGCACTTACCTTCACATTCTTTAGGATCTGTAGCTTCATTCTCCGTGACTACATTGTGAATCTGTAAAACACGTGTAGCCTGAGTTTTTGGATCACTTTTGGCTAGTTCTGTTAAAGCAACCATTCCCACATTACTTTCGGGTATCTTTTGGTTTAAACCAACACAAGAAAAGCCAACACTGATTTTCTTGTCATTAAATTCCATCCCATCCAAATTTTGAATTGCCTTCTCTGTATTCTCGGGGTTGCGGTATTCACAAAATCCAAAGCCCCTTGAAGAGTTGTCTGCAACGTCTTTTATCAATTGAAAACTTAATAATTCTCCAAACGGTTTAAATAATTCAATTACATTTTGTTCGCTTAAATTTGAAGGGAAATTGGTGAAATAGACTTTATTTTTGGAATCCAATACTTCGTTTTGCGTAAAGTCTGAGCTTCTCTGATTTGCAGTCTCATCTGTAATCTGTGGGACAATATAATTTTTAATCCTGTTAAAAGTTATTAATATATCTGGAGCATATTGGGCGGTATGTAATCCCCATAAAAATGTTGCGTCTTCTGGTCTTGACAATTCTAAAATTGCGTATTTATCTTCTTTGCAAAAATAAGCATTCGAAAAATGACTTGTTTCTGGTTTATGATATGTTGTGGATATAAACAAATCTTCGATAAATGACTTAAACGTGTTTATGTCAAAATCGGAGGGAAGATTGGAAACAACTAATCTTCGAGCTTGACGGCTAGCTCCTGGTTGCAAGGGAGGTGGTGGGGCCATAATACTTCCAGCCGCAGATCGAGCAAACTCAAGGAGTTTTTCGGGATCACTATTAGCAGTTCGAGGCGCACCAGGAAGGGGAAATAAACCAGACATTTTAGCTTGATCAGCGGTTACTAATTCATAACCAGGAGGCTTAATATCCCACTGAGAATTTTGACGAACCCATTCATTGATTGGCTTCACATCCCTAAGCTGCTCCAACTCGCGTTCTAAAGATTGCAAATTACGGGTTCTGTTTGGTGGTGGACTCAAACTTTTACGCCTAAACGACTGTCTTGAAGAATGGTAATCATGGTCATCATAACGTCTTCTCTTTGGTCGTTCTTCGTCTCTAGGACTTCTCTCTCTATACTCTCTATAATCTCTATAATCTCGATGTCGTCGATAATCATGGTCATCTCTGTGACGACGTCTGTAGTCATCTCGATAATGACTTCTTTCTGTATCGCGAGAAGAATATCTATCCATACGTCCACCATTTTCATCTCGAGGATCACGACTCCTCCTCAAAGAGCGCGATTCCGAAATTCTAGACGATAAATCCATTTTATGACTTAAAATAAAAACAATTAGCGAGAAAGACCTAATACCGTTTGTAGATAATTTATAGTAGTAAGGAAAAATAAGACAAATCAATTGCGAGCAGCGATAGTTCGTCGTTTCCGCAGTCAGTTATAAAATATAGCTTGAACAGTATGCCAAGTCGGAATAGAAAGCAAGGATTAGTAAAATATGCAGTCTTTTTTATATCACTAACGAAGTTGATGCCAAAACCTATTTTCTTGAATGGATTTTTCTAAGAGACGGTGGTGGTGACCTTTAAGGATTAATGTTAGTCAGTTACTGCACAATAATCAAACTACTGTGTTTGGTTTAATTTTAACAAATTGCTTTAATTGAGACTTAATATTAAAGGAAAATATACAACAAATCAACTGTCACTTCTATTTTTGAAATGATCGACGTGTTGGAAAAGTACCATCTTTAGCTTTTTTCAAAAGAAAATAAGACACCTTGGAACCGCATATAAATAGCTGTATCAGCTGCCTATTTTTGTTATTCTATAATTAGTTAACAAATATCTCAGTTTACAAAGGATGCAAGCTAATTACAGTTTATTTTAAGTGTAGGATTAGCTTTAAGTGAATATTTCTAGTATTTTTAGATCGTATTTATGGGTTTGACATAGTTACAAGAACTGTGTACCTGTTTTTTTCCTCTAAAGATTGAAATTCTTTTGTGAAAAAGCGAAATAATGAAACGCTATCTTCAGGATGAGTTAGAAGATGAATACCCGGCTAATGAAAATCAATATCCAGCGAGAAATGCGAAGAATTTGGCAAACCAAAATCCGAGAAAACATCCTAAAACCAATTCAACTGAAAGTTCGATGTACTTGTTGGGGTTTAAACAAATACTTTCCACGGTTCTAGGTAATGAGTCTCATCTCTTAACGCAAGAAGAGCTAGTCGTAATGGATAAATTCAAGGTTCTTTCATGCGATGATCAATATCTCTTTGTTCGCCTTTTCATGAGAAAGCGTGATAAATGGTTTCGAGTTGCGCAGCTCAATTATTTGGATTGCCAGAATATAGCAGAATCCTGCGCAGGACTTGTAAAATTTGGATTTTTTGTTGACGATAATTCGATGACCATTGAGGAGTTATTAGACATAATGACTTCAGAGGAATTGCGAACGGTAGCTCGTTTCAGTAAAATAAAAGGAAAATCGAGAAAAGAAATTATCGAGTCAATTATCGATCTGTCAAGAAAACAATCTGTCCTCCATACTAATGGTCAGTTGTTTCTTTCCTTCAATGGAACAGGAAACTTGAACAACCAGACGAAGCAGCTTAAAAAGCAGCTTTTATATTACAGTGGAAGATGCGTAAAGCCGAAAAAAAGCATTGTGGAACTTTTTCACCGAATACACGTAGTATACTTTCGTTCCACGATGTATGATGAACATTCCTTAACTTCTTTGATCTTAGTTCGAATCAAGAAAACGGTATATCCGACTTATCAGATATCTCGTACATCAAATATATTCGAATCTAGGTTAATTTTAATGGAATATGTTGAGGCGCTAGAGCTTTGTAAAAAGGCCTTACCGCTGTTTGAAAGTCTTACTTTGTCAAATGAAGAAGCTCTTGGGAGTGCTGTTGATCTTTTCTTTGATATTTACCCAAAATGGCTCTCCTATGTCAATAGTGATATGTTAAAGTTTGCAAATTCTTTTGAGGAAAATGTACAACATCTATACAGTTTCATTTTCTCCTATCGTCCAGGAGCCGTCTATACCTATTTGGTTCATAAAGGCACAAATATTTTAGGAAAACTGCGTTTAGTTGAACTTGAGATTGAAGTTCTCGATACTCTACTTGCTCAGAACATTTACTTGACTGGCAAAAGGGGTTTTTGGTATAATAGGAAAGCACTTTTGGAAGGCAATTACAAAACTTCAGATGTGAGTATGCTACGTACTTGGCAACATCGAGCTCTTTGTACCTGTGTACATGGCGTTGAAGACAAAAATACACACATGAAATATCAGTTTGTCCTTCAGAGAAGACTTCTGCGACTTGAAAAGGTATTAATGACGCCCGAAACAGATAGACATGATTTTTCGTATAACTTCCAAAATAAACCCTCAAATATTACGATTTTTGGTAAAAGAAAGGATCTAGCGGATAAAAGTCAGCAAAGAACACTTTGGCTTACATCAAAGGGAACAGTACTGACAGTCGAACAGTTTGCAGCCGAGTATTACATATCACTTGGTTGGTCTGCTGTTCACTCTGAAAGCAGTATTTTCCTGACTTTGTTTGCTTTGGTTTTCTGGGATATTTTGTTTATGGACGTACCTGGTGTTTTCCAATCCGCATTTCAATCAGCACCTTTAGATTTGCCTACAGATTTATTTTTTTCGGCAAGGGAATACGCAATTCGTGAAAGACTTCTAGAAGTTGAATACGGCTATGCTGAAAAGTACATCAAGGAAGTTTATACCCGTGAGTCCGAAAATCAACCGGTATGCATAGGGCTACAGTGGTCTTATTCTCTTGAGATGCTGCTTTCTGTTACACATTGTATTCCTGGTAAAGGCTTAGCTTCTATATTCCATGCTATGGCACAAGATTATAAAAATGCTTCAAGTGGTATGCCAGATTTGTGCCTGTGGAATGCTGAAAAGAAAACCTTTTTACTTTCAGAGGTAAAAAGTGACAGCGACAGATTGTCCGAGCCCCAGAAATTTTGGATTGATTTATTATTGAGTGCAAGTTTACCGGTTGAAGTATGTCATGTGCTCACGGATGAAAACAAAAATTCTTTGTAATCATAAGCGTTTCAGTAAATTTGCTGGAAGATCAGACAGGATACATCGTTGAAGTGTAATTGTAAATATGCTTTTAAGTTGAGTTTTGAATCTTTTTGCTCTTTTTTATTAATCGTTTTAATGTGAGTAACAGATCTGTTCACATTTTATATCCACGTTATTCTCGCCAGTAATAAGGATGATATAATGGATAGGCAGGCTTCATTTCCTCCTTCCTTTGGAAACTAGTTTATATCTTATTCTTACCTCTCTATCGTTTCTAATATTTAATAAAATGTTTTTCTTGTTGAGTATATTTTCGTGTGATCTCTAAGAACACCTTTAATTATTTTATAATACCTAAGACTTGATTGAGGGAATTGAAAGTATCCCTTTCGGTTTGTAATTCATTTCTACCATTTTAATGAAGATTTCCTTAATATTAATAAATTTTTCCCAATCTTGCTTTTATGGATGGTGAATAACCTAATAAACAAACAAGTACTTGATTAAGTACGTATACTGCTGGTTATGAAACTTTTCGAATACATTATTACTGCGCAATTTTATTGTATTAGTTACTTAAATAGAACTATTTAAGTGGGTATCGCTGCTCTATTGAGTTTCAATGTCTTCCAATTCTTACTTTCACAATTCCTGAAACTTCTTTCTTCACTTGAAAAAATAGGAAGCTAAGCTGCTTCAAAGATTCGCCCCAAAAGGGTTTTGTGGGGGTCCATAAAAGTTAGTTGATACACTCTGGGATAGGAATGGCAAATATTGGAAATGGTATTCTATTTACAGTAGTTGAATGAGATACAAGGTGCGAAATGGGATAATGCTTTTGTATATATATTGCTCACACACACCTGTATGCACCACAATCTGTACTTTAAAAGTTATTTAATTCGACTATATTTTTAAATTGATCAAATCATACCATCAGAGAAAGCAGCCTAGAGAAACAGTTACAAAATGGGAGGCGGCGATCTGAATATGAAAAAGAGTTGGTACGTATTAACAAAAATATATTGTGAAGAAACTGAAGAAGCAGAAGCTAACTAAATGTAGGCACCCTCTTTTAATGAGAAATCAAGAGAGGGTGTGGAAAGAAGAACAAACTCATAAGGAAGAGCTCAAAAGAGTCGAACAATTACGAAGAGAAATTGAAGAAGAACGACAACTTTTGGAGCTCCAGAGATTACAGGAAGCAGCGGGAGGAAAGAAAAGAAAAGATCGCGTCGAATGGATGTATGCAGTTCCCACAGCAGAAGGAGCGAAACGAGATGCCTCAGAAATGGAAGAATATTTACTTGGAAAACGGCGACTGGACGACCTTTTAAGTGACAAAGTGGAAGATCAGAAAAATTCTCTTAACAAAACTGAGTTTATATCATTGCAAAATGCCAATTCCGTTCAAGACACCCAATCCAAGATTCGATTAGATCCTCTTTTGGCTATAAAGCAACAAGAGCAGAAACAGATGCAGATATTAGCAGAGAAGAAAAAAAGGAAATTAATGGAAGATGAAAAAAGGAAAAGAGATTCGGATTATCGTGGTCGTCTATCGAACTCACGAGAAAAAGGTTACGATGGACGTGGTCGCTATAGTGACTCTCGACGATACGATTCTTACAAAAACGGTTCGCGGACAGATCGGCATTCACGAAAAGAATATTCTGATCGACACTATCGCGACAGAAGGTATGCAGACGATCGAGACGATGAAAAAATGCATCCTTACCAAGACAGACGGAGGCATGGCAGAGAAAGTCACCGTCCGAAACGACATCTTTCTAGGTCACCTTCACCACAACGACGAAGCTATTATAGGTCACACGTCGACTCCGGTGGACCCTCAGCAGAAGACATTCGTGAGCATCGATTACGAGAAATGCAAGACAATGCCCAAAGTTTAGAACAAAACAGGGTAGAGAAACTTCGTAAATTAGAACAGGAGGAACGGACTGAAACTGCTAAAAATGAGGAGGAAAGATCTAGTACTGCTAGAAAATGGAATAATCAAGGAGATTTCCTTCGTGAAATGAAAAGAGAGGTGTATTCTGGTAATGCTATAAATCTAGCTGATCGCGTTAGCAGTATGCGCCATACAGCTCTAAAGCAATAGACTTTATTTATTACGTGTTACACGACCATCTAACATTGAATGATATAATATTAACAAAGAAGAAAATAAAGTAAAGTAATAGGTTGCATAACTTGCGGCCTAGCCGCTATATCTCACCAAACATGAACCAACGGATTTAGTGAACGAGAAGAGTCGCTTTGGTTTTATCCGGACTTGTCTGGTCCATGCTCTTGTATTGTATAGTCCATGAAACGCTCGTTCTCGTTCTGGTTTGTAACTTCCTTGGAGTCTCCAGATCCTATGATATATGAAGCTGCAATGTCATCACAGGTAGGAACCGTTAGGTTAAACTCTTCGTTGAATTTTCTTTAAAAGATAAGTAAAAGTACTAAGATAAAAGAAGAAGCCTTACCTATGAATTTTACATCCCCAAGTTAGCGCTGATTTACGAGACCCAATCTGAGGAGGATACTTTCGCATTAACTTTTGCGAAACAATGGAGCAATCACCACAAGGAAATAAAGAAGCTGAAGAAATCACATAATGGTATAATGTATTTCTTTCATGCAGAGTAGGCAGACTTGGATAGTTGGCTAAAGTAGTATGTAAGGACTACACAACATTAGTAGATGAGTCATTTAGAAATTCATTTTAGCTTACAGTCCAATAGTATTTCATAATTTCTTTTCTGTTAATAGTTTTTGTTAGTAATGGCAATGATAAAGTGCTGCAGAACGCCTTGAGCAATTCTTTCCTTACTTTGTGTCGTCCTTATAGTTTAAAGGAGTCATAGCAACAACGTTTTCACTTTTTTCTTTTTTGCCGATTTCCTTGAGTTCAGGCATGTAAAGTCGCCATTCCTTGTCAATCATTACGCTGTCGAATACCCATATTACAAACACCATTATTATAACCGTCGACAAAAGTATTTGTATCCTCTTATTTATTAACATTCTCATAAGTCTTTGTACATCTTAGAACGTCTGGTAACTATGAATACTGTTAAAGTCAAAGTAAGACGTACTGAGTCTTTGGTTTGTTTACTATATTATATTACTGAAGTTTGCCTTAAAATTCAGTATGTGTCATTTGGCTCGATTTTTGTTCTATAAACATTTGAATGAATCAAATTGGAAATATAATAGCTATATTTATTGAAAAATATGAACATATTGAGAAGAAAATAATTGCACAAAAAACTTGAAGCTTATTCTTACAAATCCGTATTTATTATGATAAGATTTGAGAAAAGTACTCAACAAAACATATTAAACGAAATTTCGTTTGGAGTTTCTCATTTATTTTATTTTTTTTTGAATGCTAATACACTCTCTCATAGCCGGTCATATCATTAATTAATTTTTTTTTTTGTGTTCACATCCATTTTGTTTACATAAATATTTTTGAAACTAACCGAATATATTTAAACTCAATGTAAGCGAAGTAAAGTAAATAGCACTTGTTCACACAACAGCGCCTACAGCAATAAACTTCACCAAGAAACAAACTAATACCATTCATTCATTTATTCCAACTACATAGGAATTCCTTTTATGTCTGATAAAGGACCTGCTCGTACATCCTCGGTTCCTTCCATTGTAGATGCTACACCAGATCGTGCTGAAAGACCTCGGAAACAAGTTCGTCAGGTAGTAACAACTCCAAGTCGATCTGAGGATCCGTCTCGTATTGTGAAATTGGAGCAGACGCCTTCCCAAGGGTTTCACAGCGAGTTTTTAAAAAAACGCATCACAGACTCCTTACGCGAGCGTCCCAATCTTTTAAACAAATTCATCTCAGCTAACCAGGAAACACCTTCGAAGCCTTCGGCTCCCAATTCGTTAAATTCGAGTAATGCAGAAGATTCTTCTCTTATTGAAGATACGATAACTGAACAAGAAAACCCTGACATACTTGCTCCAAGGCTTGTTGTATACCAACTAACTCTGAAAAATTTTAAATCTTATGCAGGAACACAAATAATAGGGCCATTTCATCCTTCTTTTTCTTCCATTGTTGGACCAAATGGATCTGGTAAATCAAATGTGATTGATGCTTTGCTTTTTGTGTTCGGATTTCGTGCTAGTAAACTGCGTCAAACCAAAGCTTCAGCTTTAATTCACAAATCTGCTGCTCATCCTTCTCTTGAGAGCTGCGATGTGGAAATTTTATTTAAAGAAGTAAATCCGGATTCTAGTTACATAGAAGGTTCAGAACTTTCTATTAGAAGGTCCGCTTACAAGAATAATGTAAGCAAATACTTTCTAAACAACGTTGAGAGTTCTTTTTCAACTATTTCAAATATGCTTAAAGAACGAGGAGTGGATCTGAACCACAAACGTTTTCTGATTCTACAAGGTGAAGTAGAATCTATCGCACAAATGAAACCAAAGGCATTAACGGAAAGTGATGATGGTTTGCTTGAATATTTGGAAGACATTATAGGTACCTCAAGGTACAAACCCATCATTGAAGAAAAAATCAATGAATTGACTGCTTTAAATGATACCTGTAACGAAAAGGAGAACCGTTTTCAATTAGTCGTCGCTGAGAAAAACAAATTGGAAAGTTCTAAAAACGTCGTCCTCGATATCTTGAGGGATGAGAATAATCTAAATAGGAAGCTGCATACTCTTTATCAGCTGAACCTATTTGAATTAAATTCAAAGAGAAATCTAATAACGAACATGTTACAAAAACTGGAAGATTCATACAAATCTAAAAATGACAACTTCAACGAAAACGAGAAAGTCGTTGCACAAATGGTTGAAGAGCTTAATCAGCTTAAGTCTAAAGCTCAAGAATTTAAGAATTCAAATCGTGCGGAAAAAAGAGAACGTCAACGATATGAACAACAGGCGGTTAAGATTGAAGAAAAGTGGAAGCATTTATCTTCCAAGCAGAAAAAGAACCAAAAACAGCTTGAAACTTTATCAGCAAAAAAATCAGAGCTTGAATATTCTTTAGATACTCATGGTGACCTTCATCATCGTTTAACACAAGAAATGGAGGAAATTGTGTCCAAACTGTCTGCTGAAGAAGACGAACTCAACAAAATCCGAGAATCTCTTCGTGGAAAGACTGAAGGAATTTCAAATGCAATTGAGGAAAAGCAGAAATTGATGGCTCCTTCCGAAAAGAAAATCAATGAGCTAAATTCAGTGAAACAGGTCACAAAGGCAGAGCTAGATATGTTATTAGAACAAGAAAAGAACTCAGATGAAGAACAGCAAAAGGCTAAAAGTTCTCTAGAAAAGTTACTGGCAGAACAAAAGGAGAAAACGCAGCTTCTTAACTCAAAGAAGACTCACCACCATTCCATAAAAAAGGAATCCCAAAATCTTGCAAGAAACGTCTCTGATTTGAAACAGAAAAAAAATGAATTACATCGTATCATTGCTCAAAGTCGTGTAAAGCTTGAGGAAATTAGATCTACTCTTAGCTCTTCACGTTCAAGAGGAAATGTCTTAGGAGGACTACAGACCTTGCATGACTCTGGTCAGTTGACAGGGTTTCATGGACGACTAGGAGATCTAGCTACAATCGATAGTAAGTATGATGTCGCTATATCCACAGCCTGTCCTGCATTAAATCACATAGTGGTCGATAATTTGGAAGTCGGCCAAAAATGCATAGCCTTTCTGAGGTCCAATAATTTAGGAAGATCTAGTTTTATAGTTTTGGGTGCATTACAAGAAAAGAACTTGAAACCTATACAAACTCCTGAGAATGTTCCAAGATTATTCGATTTACTTCATTATAAAGACAACATTTTTGCTCCTGCTTTCTTTAGTGTATTGCAAAACACTCTTGTTGCTGATAATTTGGAACAGGCTAACAGGATTGCGTTTGGTAAGACACGTTGGAGGGTTGTCACTCTTAACGGGCAGCTAATTGATAAGTCTGGTACCATGACTGGTGGTGGCACGCGAGTAAAGCAGGGTGGTATGGCTTCTCAGCTACCTGCAGAAATATCTCCAGTTGCCCTTAACAACATAGAGACTCAGACTACTGATGCGGAAAATCGACACCGACAAGTATCTGAACAATTACAAGCTCTTTTGGAGAAGAGTGACATTTTAAAAAATGAAATTCCATCCTTAGAATTGGAGATATCCAAGCTTCATCTAGATTTATCCGCATTCAATAACTTGGTTGAAGGGGCAAGAAACCAAGTTTCTAATAGCCGTATGGCTTCAAAAGATGAACGGAGCTTACAGGATAGAAAGCAAAAGCTTACTTCAGATTTGAAGAAACTTCAGCAACAAATAGATAGCATTAATGATTCAAATGCTGGAGTTGTTGCTGAAGTGAGAGAACTTCAGGATAAAATTATGCAAATTGGTGGTATCAAGTATCGCATACAAAAGTCTAAGGTTGACGATCTACACGAACAGCATAAATTTGTTAAGGAAAAAATAACAAATATCAATTTTGAGAAGAGAAAAAATGAACAACGTGTCCATTCAATTGCACAAGAGCTGGAGTCGTTACAATCTGATATTTCTATAACAGAAAAGGACATAAAGATGAATGAGGATGAATTGAGTTCACTCCGCCAGAAAACAAAGGAATATACCGGTAAAATTGATAAACTAAGTAATATGATTCATGATATAGATGATTCAATTAATGAGCTTAATAGCCGGGTTGAATTCGAATCTAAAGAGATAAATTCCATGAAAGCCGAAAGGTTAGATCTTGAGAACAAATTGACCGAACAAAAAAGCGCTCATACCGACGTTTTGAACTCCGAGAAGAAAATACGAAAATTGCTTTCGGAATTACTACTGCATGACTTGAGAGAATACGATCAATCCGAAACACAGGCTCCTGAGTTTCAGGAATTTTCGGAAGACGAGCTTGCCTCCCTAAATAAACAATCATTGTACGATGGCATATCTGAATTTAAGAAGAAAACAGAAGAGAAAGAAGTAGATGTTGGTGTTCTACAGTCTTATTTGAAATGTACAAAAGATGCTGAGAAAAAAGCGATAGACTTTGAAGCTGAGACCCAAAAGAGGAATAACGTAAAGCAAACTGTTACAGACTTACAAACGCAAAGATTGGATGAATTTATGGAAGGTTTCAACATTATTTCTCAGAAATTGAAAGCTATGTATCAAATCATCACTATGGGTGGTAATGCTGAACTTGAACTCGTTGACAGTTTGGATCCATTTTCTGAAGGCGTCTTATTTAGTATTATGCCACCTAAAAAATCTTGGAAAAATATCTCAAATTTGTCTGGTGGTGAAAAAACATTAAGCTCACTAGCTCTAGTATTTGCTTTACATAGCTATAAGCCGACTCCCTTGTACGTTATGGATGAAATTGATGCTGCTCTCGACTTCAAAAATGTGTCAATCGTGGCCAATTACATTAAAGAAAGGACGAAAAATGCTCAGTTTATTGTCATATCGTTGCGAAGCAATATGTTTGAATTGTCATCACGCTTGGTTGGCATCTACAAAACGGCGAACATGACAAAGAGTGTAACAATTAACAACCGAGATCTACAAATGAACGCTGAGAAAGATGTGGATCATTCGGCTCTACAAGTCAACTAAATTAACTACTGCGAGCTTACACTTCTTAAAAACGTACTGCTGTAAAGAATGTATTTTTATATATAATATCAGATTATTAAGGATTTTCATAGTAAAACTACTCATTAGATTATATTCGTAAGCCCGTAAATGTTCCGTAATTATAAATATTTAAAAAACGTTAGTATAAGAATATGCAAATGGCGATGACACTTCAGATAGCATAAATAAAAGATGAGTAGAACGTTATTAAACTTCAAAAGAAAAGTAAATAACCGTTAAACAGCGAGCGATATGTGGACTCAGTCACTCATGCTTTAAAGCAGCTGTTATATGATATTGATCAGAAAATTCGTAAATTAATGTACAGAGTATGAGGAAATGGAAAGATAATCGAAGTATGCAGTTTGAGTACAAGGTTATAACCAATCGCAAGAATGGTGTTCCCATCCGTGATATTCAGTTAGACCCAAATGTTGGATATTCTTTTTCATCTTGGAACGTTTCGGGATCGACCCATTTGTTCGGTCCTTTACGGCAGACTTAATTCGACTGTAAGCGTTCGACATGCGGGTACCGACGTCCTTGCGCTCTTTGATAGGAATTTTCTTTCGTGACGACAAATCTTCTATGTCAAGGAATTCCAAATCACGGGGAGAGGATTTATGAGCTGCACTTTGTCGTGCAGATTTGATACCAACAACAGAGCTAGTCGAATAATCACCGGATTTTCTTACGTTTAAACTTCTTTCATCAGTTGTAAGAGAAAGCCTCTGTTTAATCACTTTCGGATATTTGAGAGCTCCTGTTTCTTTTGAATACAATTGGGATGCGGGAGATTGCTTTCTGACTCTGGATTTTTTTCTGGACATCATTGACTGGCTTCTGGTTTTCAGATCCAATGGTGAAACTAAAGGAAGTAAAGGACTATCTTCATCGTGAGGTATTAAACTATTCGCAAGCAGCCATGGCGATTGCTGGGAAAAATTCTTATCCCAAGGAGAGCTAGGAGATTTCAGTTCTTGATATATAGCACTGATCAATTTGTCTGAAACATGCCAAGGAGATGTGGGGGATGAAACGGGACTTCTTGCATAAGAAGAATCTTTTACTGAATCTATAAAAGTCAAATTTCTTGGGTCTTGGAGTCTCAACGGAGGCGGTTTTCGCTTCGACAAATCCATAATTCAATCCAAATGCTTGTTTACTATACAGCTCAATTTAGACTTATTAATTGGAAGAATCAGTACGGCAATAAGTTTTTAAAGTTGAAAGAATAGGACTGATTATATGAACAATCTAATGAAAATTAAATATTGTAGTCTCTCTTCAAGTATATTCTAACTGCACTTCGGTTTTTTGAAAAGAGTTCTTGGCATCTGAAATAACTATATATATAATATGAATAGGCTATTTAAAATTCTTTGTTCACCATTTCGCACATTAACAAAGAAAGCTAAGTTTCTTTGTTGTACCAAAAGCGAACGAGCGCCTTACACTGAATAAAGTAAACGAAATTGAACGTCAATCTTTCGTAGTCTTTGAGCCAACTGACTTGTTTATACATATATCAAAATCAAATATAGAAAGAAATGCTGAATAAGTATTGTCTAATTTTGAAATGAGGAGCCTGGGTATTCGTCTCATGGAAAGAGAATAGTAACAAAAAATAAATTAAATACTGCAAAAGCATTCTTTACCAACATAACATTTACTAAACTTAAGCACTTGAAACATATATAAACAACCTCTTGGCATAGTTAGGGAGCCTTCTATTTTTTCATCTAAAAGGTTGTAAATGTTTATAAATATTTGATTTTTTTTTTCTTTACCATCGTGAATGGGTTTGCCTTAACAAACTCCAAGAATTGTCATGAAACTAAATCAAGTAACGGTCATCGTGCTAACACTTATATTACAACCTGCCATATATTCGAGGGATTCATAGAGGTAAATTCATTTATATCCTCTCCTCTTTCTTTCCGCTTAGTTGTTAATTGCTTTTCTCGAATAAAATCATTCCACGGATCATTTTCATTATCAGTTAACTTAACAAATGATTCTTCTTCCGGGATTTTATAAGCAGAATCTGCATCCATTGACACATCCTTCACATCCATCTCCATTCCACCATCAGCAGCTTTCGTTACTTCATTTCCCGCACTACTATCTTGAATACCATCGGCCCATAATTCAGCATCATCATCATATGTAAATTTGCCTTCCAAAGTTAAAATATTAGCTGGACTCAAAGAATTCTTGCCAGCATTGAGATCAGGCGTTGAAGAAGGAATGAAGAATGACTGAGGAGTTTTGATTGCCGAATTTGGTGTTAAACCACTCTTCACAGCCGAAATTTCATCTTCATGATCAAGTGTTACAAACGCATCAATAGCATATTTAAGCGGATTCGCAGTGGCTTCCTCTCTGGCTTTATACGAATCTGATCCTTTTGCCAAGGTATCATTAAACCCATCATTCACCATTGAACTTGAAACCGGAGTCTCGTCTACAACCATGGTACTCCCTTCAGGTGTTCTGAGAGAAGGCTTTTGCGTGGTAGGAATATTAGCCGGGGGTGAGGCATGCTCAAGCTTCTTCCTCTTTCCTATAGGTAACTTCAGATCTTCAGGTCTAAGACTATGCTTCATGACTTCAGATATTGCCTTTTCTTTCAATTGAGCTTCCTGCTGAGCTTTAGTCAAAACATTTAGATTAAGCTGATGTTCATCCAAATTAGATTCATTAGGTGGTTTTGGTACGTTTCGTACTTGTGACGGCAAAGAGGCGGTCTGAGCTTTATTTATAAATTCGTTCTGTGGTTGCATACCAGCATTGCGCTGGTATTGTGGAGGAATATGCTGAGCCTGAGGCTGCTTTTGGTTCCTCTGTTGTTGCTGTTGTTGTTGATGCTGCTGTTGAGCAGAGGAACCTCTCATTGACGTTGAAATCTGAGCCAAAGCAGCGGTTAAACTTTGACCGTTTACCTTAACTTCATGATGCAGTCTGATTAACTGGGTTCTCACATATGCGAAGTAACGGCTCGTTTTTTCTTTAATCTTTGCCATCATTTGAGGTGTGCTGGTAAAGACACCTTGTTGTAGACCTTCTAACTGTAGTTTAAAAATATGACGCATTTGTATTAATTGTACAGTGGCTTCTTCATTAGCAGTAAGGCAGTAAAATAAATATATCAACTGATTCGTCCTACTAAACATTGGATAGGCGGATTTCACAAGTTCAGCAATTATAACTTTTTGGTCATGGGGAAGTTCTAACGGAATAGGTCTGATCATAGAATGCATCACTCTTTCCGTTAACTCACGAATTCGAACTGTCATTTTTTGTTGTCCCATAGTTCCTCCGGATTCTAAAAGCTGCTGTACAATATAGGCGCTTACATTTCCGGAAGTATTTGGGTTTGCAAAAGGCTTTTCTGCAGGTTGATTAGCTACCGGAGGACCACTTGGGACATCTGATGATTTTAAAGGATAAGATGGAGGACTAACAGAAGCATTGAATGTTGGGTTTAGCTCAACATTCGAAGGAGCAATGTTGGGGACGTCAGTAGGCGATACATTTGATTTCAACGACTGGCTAGTTGCACGCGCCGTGCTAGGTGCATAATTTTGATAATTTGGTTTAGCAGAATTAGGAACGGTATCGATGTTCAGCGGGATATTACCGCCTTGCGGGTTTACCGCTTGGTTTGTAACATTAGCATTCCTCATTTGCTGAGCATAAGCCTGTTGAGATGTAGCCGGTACACCAGGATCAACAGGAACATTACCAAATTTTTCAGGAGCTTGCGGAGTCTGAGAAGCTTGGTTCACACGTGCGGATTGCATTTTTAATTGTCGATGCTGTAGTAAAACTTGCATATGCTTCTGATAAAGGATCCCAATTGCTTTCGCTTGTTCAGGTGTTAAACGCTGATTTTTCCCAAGTTCAATTACATCCCTCCATAATTTAATATTTGATGGTAATCCTGGAATTTGAGCAAACAACTGTTTTGGAACAGGTATATTAAGCATTTCCAAATTTTGTCTAACACTGGCATTACTTGGAACATTTGCAGGGCGTGGCTGCTGAGAAACATGTGGTTGTGTTTGTTGTTGGTTAGCCATATTTGAATACGGTTGGCCAGCACTATTAACAGCATTGAAAGGAGCATTTCCTGATTGTTTCGTCTGTTGCTGATCCTGTTTTTGTTGTTGCTGTAATTGCTGAAGTGAACGAAATTTTTGGACTTGATTTTGATAAAGTGATATAAGTCTCGCAGGTGGCATACTCTGCAGTTTTTGCAAAGGTATAGGAGGAGTTCCAGTGCGAGCTAGCAACGTAGATATTTGGGCACAAAGGTTGTTCAATTGTTGTTGCGAGAACGCTGGCGGAACACGAGGTTGAGCAGTACGACCTTGAGTAGTATCACTTACAGGTTGAGGTGGCGGTGGTTGTTGTTGTTGCTGCTGTTGTTGGAGCTGACTCTGCTGATATAAAAGTTGTCTTTGCTGGGGCGTAAGTTTAACATTTCCAGCAAATTGTTGTTGTACACCTCCAGGTTGCATTGGCATAGTTTGGTTTTGCATACGCGGCAGAACTCTAGAATTGGTTGCCATCCTTCCAGCAGTAGCAGGGGGTACTTGGGGAACAGTATTTATATTTCCATTGTTTCTAAAATTCTGTGCTTGCTTCATTTGAGCGGCCTGCAAATGCTCACGTATTTGGTCTCTTAGTTGAGCCGTTTTTTTACTGCAAGTCGTCAAATATTCATGCTTCAATGTACGTTAATCAATTGATCACTGTAATTTAATGACATACCTTACTATTGGCTCCGTCAAATGCTTGCCTTTCGAAGGAAAGTGCCATATTCATTAATTGAACCTCTGAGATGGATGGTGAGATTATCCTCAGGGTCTGAGCTCTATAAATTGTTAGTATTAATTAAAATACCCCATTCTTTCTTACATTTGTAAAGCAATACTTTGTCGTTCATTAGGTCGAATTTGAGTTTGCCATCCTTTCTCAACATTTCTGTTCATTCCTTTGAACGCTTGCTTAGCTTACTTGATTGTTAATATTTCCAAAACTTTCTTTTAATTATCAACCGTCCTTATGATCAGTCGTTTTTTACTCCACTAGCGATGGCCTCCCTATGCGGTATTGGACAAATACATTCCAGTGGATTCACTTAGGGTATAGAAAATATTGTTAGGATGAAATATGCTACTATATTACCAACAAAAATAATTTCTATTTCTTTAGAGATATAGTTGTTAAATTAGACCTCTATAACAATTTAGGAATTATAGATCTTAAACTTACAGTCAACTATGGAATTAACCTACATCTCATCAAATCTTAATCACCATACATAGCAATGATTGTACAACACTAAAACAAGTTTCTATTTGAAGACATAACAATTTTAATTCATAACTAATATATAAGGGGAAATTAACAGAAAGAGAAAGTGGTAACAAAAACACATAGCTTTTTGATGGAAGTTCCTTTTTTTTGGTTAGTGTGAAGTAACTCTAGATCATTAAACGCAAGTCTTGCAGGAAAATTTTTTTGTTCATTTCCTTTCGTATAAAAATCCAGACCTCCTAAGCGTACCTGGTGGACTTCAATGGCAAAGTTCAGAGAGCTTCTTAAATTCAGAGGAACCTCGATCTTCCATCCTCTCCAGTGCGCTAGAAACAGCTTGCTGCAAAGCCTGCCTATATGTCGGTGAAATCGTTTCAATTGTCATAAGCTTATAAAGAAACGAGGGACCATAACTTTGGTCCATTATGATTTTATCCAAGGGAGTATCATATAATTCATTCGATTTACCCAAAATAACTTCAACAACCATATCGGTACATTTGGTTCCTGCTGTAGGCATGGAAAGAATCTTTAACAAAGAGCTATAGGCCAGACGGTGAGTACAAACTCGAACAATATCCTTCGTGAATCTTTGCGTTAAAAGTTCTGCTACATGAGGATAGTTCATGTTTTCTATTAGGTAATTTAATAAAAGTGTACCGTTACCATTCATGGCTAAATGTACCGAATACACAGTTATTGCCGCAGCTACTAACACACGCTGTTCCTCAACAACATCAGGACTTTCTAAGCAAGTGCGGATAGCACGGGAACCGTAACGGCTCTGAGCGATTACCCAAAATTGATTCATAATGGCTTCAAATACAAAGTTGTTCATTGGCGAACCAAATCGTAAGCACGTTTGTACCACGTAATTGCCAAATTGATCTGCAAAAAGAAGAGGCACATACGGCTGTAGATGCTTTGCTATAAGAAGCATTTGAGAATCTGTAGAGGCTACATCAACAATTTTCTGAGCAGCCCAAGTACCGTTTTTATGAATTCCAATTTGCGCAAGATGTGGAGCAATTCTTTCTAACATCATTTCTTTCACAGGATCGGAACAGTAATCAAAGAGTTTCTGTACCACCGTATTGCCAAGATGATCACTAGCAAGATCTGATACTTCATCCAACCAGTTAATAGCAATTTCCTCAACTTCCTCTTGAGTGCAAAGACCATTATCAATACGCTTACGAACTTGTCGAAGTTTAGGAGCATTCAACCGGCGGCTACTAAAAGCTTTAGAAATAGATGGTATTTGGGCTGTAAATTCAGTCAAGTCACAAGCAATATCTAAAATAGGCTGTATATTAGAAAGATCATCAAACCCAAACGATTTTATAACCCCAATAATATCATCATAAACTTCTCGTAATGAGGTAACAAATGACACGTTAGAAAAAGCCTTGTTCAACCCATCCACGGTTGAATGTGCATTTTCAGTACTTGAAGATGAAACCTTGGCAAATCCCATACATATGGGGTTAGAATCCAAAAAAATACATTTTCCATTTAACTCTTCCAAAATATACTTGGCGGTATTGACGCTATCGAAATTAATAAAAGCGGAATGTTTATGAGAAAGCATTCTTATATTAATGACGCTGCCATGAGAAGCAAAAGTTGCAACAACCGTATCCGAAGAGATGCCCGCAGGAAGATTACCAACCCACAAAGCATGTGTAGGTTCTGACTGAGTAAGATTTCCAATGGTGGCATCGCCTACACCACTCCAACCTGAAGTATTAATGTCAGATCCGCTTTTCGACATCCCTATATTACTGACACCAGTGCTACTTGCATCAGGCGTTGAGGTTCTAATACTGCTGGTACTCGTACTAAGAGGTGAGGGAGCATTAGTCATAAAAGAAGGATTGTAAGAAGGCGATCCTCTAGCTCTCGGCGAACCGCGCTCAACGGGTTCAACCATTCCTCCGATCGATGCTAAAGCCGTCGCAGGAGGATGTGTAAGAGTGGATGATAAAGACTGTGATCTACGGCGTGAATTTAGCATAGTCTGAGACCTTGAACTTAATGAACTCACAGGTGGAAGCTCTGGAACAACGTCCATACCACCATGTCGTTCTGGCGATTCAAATGATAAACCTTTAAGAGCCATCGAACTCTGTGGATTAAATAGAGGATTGCTTAAACCATAAGCCTGAGGTCTTTGATACGAAAAACCGCTTTGCAAATTTTTAGAGTGAAAATTATTGTGCGCATCAGCCAAACCAAAATGGGAATCCAAAGACGGGTCTAAACGTTCAGCATTGTGACCAACATGCTTCAAACCATTACCTAATTCTAAGTGGTCATTAATTGGGTTACCCGCAGGAGCATAAGCAGGACGGCTTGCACGCAAACTATGCGATAAATGAGACAAATCGGATGACCATACCTGCGTAGGATTTAGTTGATCCAAACCTCCATGATTTAAGTATGGTAAGGCAGAAGAGTTCATTCCGGAATCCGCAGACAAACCTGTGTCAACAGGGACTGATGAAAACTGTTGATTGTATGAATTATATTGATTTGGGCTCAAAGACGAAGAAGGAAGAGCACTGTTTTGAGCGACAGAAGGAGCCATAAAACCACCAGTGGAATTAAAGGCACGCGGATTCCAAGGCAGTGTGTATGAGCGTAACCGATTGGAGCCTTTGGAGCGCTTATTTATTGCCTGGGCATTTGAGTTTTCAGACGAATTCATACTAATAACCGGATCTTTGTTTGAGATAATTTCAGAAGCAGCAGAACTCGGTATAGCTGTTCCACTGTTTGATGAAGATCTCTGCCCATTAGGCTCGGATGTAGACTGTGTATCCGTAGATGGACGTATATACATAGATGAAACTGGCTGTTTCAAAGAGGAAGCTGTTGAGGGAGGAGCTCCTGAAAGATTAGAAGTCCATGGAATCGAAGGATCGTATTTGGTAGAAGAAGAAAGAGAAGATGTACGAGTCCTGTTCGTAGGAGGAGAGACGGCCAAAGAAGCAGATTGAGGAACCGCCAATTTAGGAACCGTCTTAGCGGGTTCATCATACGCTGACAAAGATGAGCTCCTGTGTCGTTCAACGTTTGTAAGTTCATGCTTGGAAGCAGATCCTGTACCAAGACCAGGCCAAAGCTCATTTGACAAATCTTTAAATTGCGAATTTGTTCCCGAGAGTAAAGTATTATTTTTTAGTCTATGTAGATTATTATTTTTACTGCCCGGAAAAACTTTCTCGGAATTGGATGCATCATAAAATGGAGATGTCGAAGAAGAGTTAGCACCTACTCCGCTACTCTCTAAAGAAGATTCAAGCAAATTGTCCAAGTCGTTTTTCAATTCTGACATGTCGAGCGAACCAGTATCCATGTTTGAAGAGCTCATTGATGAAAACTTCATGCCATCAGAAGCTGACTTATGCATTTGTACCTAAAATTCTAGAATAACAACGTACTATGCCTGCCAAAGGCAAATTATGATATTGAGAAGATGAAGCAATCCCTGCAAAGATACCAAATATTTCCCTTAAAAATTAATTTCCAACCAAAAAAATTTGAAAGACGGTCTCCTTTTTATTATTTTTCTCTTTTCTTCAAGTAGTGGTGTAGTGGTTAGGTTAAAGATGCGCGGAGGGAACGAGCGGATGATGTCCAAAGCGAACGTCAGATCAGATTTCGCGGTGCAATGCCTTTAACAAACAAACTCGGCCGCAAAACCAAACCTCCACTAATTTTCTATGTCTTTTCATTTTCAATTTTTCGATTCTGTGATTTTATTTTTTTTTTCGCTTAACTGAAGATTGAAATAAATTTTTATCACGGCCGTTGATTATAAACCACCATCCGTCATTGGCAACGATGCTACAGAACGCATACCAAACACCACAGCACGTTGAAGATCGCAATTCCACTAAGCAAGCACCGTGAGAGTAAGCAATATAAGAAATTGATGAATTCATTGAAATAAACGATTGTTAGCAACTTTCATATTGGTTTCAGTTTTCTAGAGAAAAAGCATTCGCTCAGAGGATTGCCATGTCGGAAAGCGAGTCGTTGGTTGCTGGTCGCTCGAGACGAGCAAATGCCGGTAATAAGTTACGGGATTTACTAGAAAAAGAACATTTAAGGGCTTCTGTAGAAGAAGAATCGGAAAAAGAAGATGAAGAGTATAGCTTCGAAAGAGAAGTCGACGCTGAGCGTGATATTGATATCTCAAGTGAAGACAGCGAATCGGAAGAAGGTGAAGAAGAGCAGCAAGTGGAATTAGCACAAAAAGAAGAGAAGTTGCTTCGTCAAGAAGAAAAATCAGAGAAACGACGTTTACAAAGGAGTCGAATCACCAACCTACAGAAATCTCTTGGAACTCCCAAAATAAGAGTACCAGAAAAGAATGAGCCAGGAATAGGAAAAAAAACATACAAGAAACAAAAATTGGATCCTTCTTCTAGAAGGACTAGTTCTAGAATGCATACGATTCGTATGACACAATCTACTGAACATAGGCTGCAAGAAGCTCGGCCAAGAAGAAAGTATACAGTTCATGCCGGTGGTGATCGAACAAAGTTTAGACTGACACAACAGCAACGATTAGAAGAGGCTGCGAAAACAGAAGCTTTCAATATCGGTTCGTTGCGAAATTATGTCAATTATGAAGAACAACGAAAGCTTCGATTACGAAGAAGTGCTGCAAAGCACCGACGGCTTCAAGGTCCAGTATTGAAGTTTATTACCAAAACAGAATCCTCGGAAAACCAAAAAGAAGTTGGGAATTATTACGTGGCTCCTCCTGAACATCCTCTTGGCCAAGGTCCAATGGAGACATCTCCTTTGCCGGATAATGTTCTTGCGGAATGTGCAATTACGGGAAAAAGAGCCATCTACATGGATCCTTTGACAAGATTACCCTTTGCAAATGCTGCTGCATTTCAAGAGTTACGCGATGTTTACCGTCAAAAGTATGCTTGGAGTGCATTGTTAAACATCTTTCATTAGTGGCATTTCTTTGTTGTTTTGTTTTTATTTTATGTTTTTTGAATTGCATAGCTTGTATAACATCTTACTTTAGCCTTCATTAATGGGAACATATTTATAGTCAACGAGTGAATAGAAACGGTTCATGATCTGATGATACAAAAATATTAAAAACGTATATTAATAGGTGCATAAAAATTTCATAAGTGAATAATCAAAATATGTAAAGTACATTTATTTCTTGGATATTATTACAACAGGAAATGATCAAGTTACTTCACGAAGTACTTGAAAGCTGCCTGCATACCCAAGGCAAATGTTGAAAGACGAACGTCCACAGCAAATCCTTGCTTTTCAAGGGAAAACAATTCATCCTGAAGAGAAGACAACTTGATAGGGAAATTGGTGATGTACTCGCCTTGGTCCAGCTGTTGTTGCGGATTCTGGTTTTGAGGGTTAGACATGTCAATGTCAACAAGGATGATCTTTAAGTTGGCATTTGTTAAGCCTGGATCATTATACATAATAGTTGTAGCCTCCTTGACGACTCCAACAAAACCAGTCTCTTCACGAAGCTCACGGACAGCACTTTCTTCGGGTGATTCATCTGAATCAACAAGTCCAGCGGGAATTTCGATACAGGTCTTGCCTAGTGGTGGGCGGTATTGTTTTTGACACAAAACGTGAGGTTCGCCATCAATTGGAATAATACCTAAAATGGCAACAGCGTCAATACCACTCTTGGATCGCGTGGTACGTTCAGCCATTTCCCAAGCTCTGGTTTTACCACTCTGATCTTGCCAGGTAATCTTTTTCAAACTAGTCCATTTTGCATCTTTGGTTTCGAGGTCACTGACATCTAAGATTTTGGGTTCTTGTTCTTGACTCATGGTGGTGTAATGACTGTTGGTAGAAGGAGTAGAAATGCGGCTAGAAAATTGCTTTGGAAAAAAATATGCTTTCTTTCGCTGAAACAGTGAATCAAGGGTTATTCTAGAAGATGAAAATCGAGCTTGTTGCTTTCGTATAACACTTTGCAATATACGGCCTTGCTTCAATGGTAACGTAGGAAAGGCGGCAGGGAGAATGGAAATTCTTAATGACAGGTTTGAGAAGTGTGTGAGCAAACAGAGAGACATTATGGTATTAATGTTTCAATTCACAAGTCCTTTGATCATAAATCTTTTGACGTTACATGACATAATAACTCTCTCAATCATCAGTTGACATAATAGTCCTTTGCGAGTTGTTCTTACATATTATTATTGTAAAACGTAAAGACTTTATTTATTCTCGTCGACAATCCATATGGGGTCGATTTTAAGGATATTTCATCCTGCATTCTTTTGCTTCGACGATCTTGATTCTAATGGAACTAAACTGTATGAAAGTAGTTTGTTATAATTATTTTCTGAATACTTCTATTACCAGTTTCCAGTTTGTTGCGCGTATCAAACTAAACTATTACTATACCATGCTTTTAGTATTTAAATTATGCTTTTATTAATACCTGCTCCACAATATGCTTATATAAATACTATAATTTCCGAAGGTAGTTATTATAATCATTATGCTCCTACTCACACTTCGTTTGATAAGCGACGTATGCAAAGAAATGAAGTGTGAAAGATAGTAAGTAGGGTTCTGCTCACTTTCAAACAGCCCAAACCAACCATATCTTGTCACACCAAACCGTTCTTACCCTCTTTCTTGCTTTCTTTACATCCCAATCCGATCCTGTAAATACAAGCATCTACTCTTTTCTCAAGGTATGTTGTTCCTTCTGTAATAAAGATCAACAGAAAAAACGTAAACGTATTCTAGGCCTGTAAGGTTTTAATTACTTTTACGTATCGTTCTTTTCTTTTTAGCTCCGTTTTTGATTGAATTGCTCTTAGTGTTTGCAAGCAATTCTTTCATAAACGAATACATCATCATCGTGCTTGTAGTTTTTTGTTTTTGCAACTTAATAGCAAGAAAAAATAACTAACAATCCAGAATTAGTTTGACTTTGTTTTCGATTCGTTTTGTCGCATCTATTTGACTTTTGAATCTTGACGGTATTCTTGTATTACATACTTTACTCTCATAGTGTGTTAAGCTGTTTCCTATTTTCTATAAGTTCTTCTTTGCAAATTCTTTGAAACGTGATTCTAAATTATTACCTTACGATCCTTACAATATGAGCACTTCTAGTAATCACTCAACTGTCTCAAAATCCAAAGATACGGGATTACAATGTCATATTACTTCTTCTACCAAACTTACTTTTAACGAGAAATCATCTTCCGTGGCTTGTAACTCTTGCCTAAAATTGATCTATGACCAGGTTTATTTTCATTGTAAAGACTGCCTAGACTTTGATGTCTGTCGATCATGTTACAGCAACCAGAAATTTACTCACTCTTGCCTAAAAGCGTCTTTTAAGAAGGTCTCACAGCCGCTAATGAACGCGCCTTCGGCTTTGTCTTCTCCATTTATGAGGTCCTCGGATTTTATGTATTCCATATGCGACGCTTGTGAGCAGCCTATAAAAAATTTGCGTCTCAAATGCGGTACTTGTGATGATTATGATCTTTGTAGCTCTTGTTTTCCTTCGAATGAGCATACAAAAACTCATAGTTTTGTTCGTATAACGAAATCGTATCCCAATGGGATTCAATGCTTCAAATTTCCTCCTTGTTTTTCTTCTGAAACACAATTTTCTAATGCATCGCTGGTTCATCGTTTTTCTCAATGTGATTCTTGTCATGCTCATCCCATCGTGGGAAACCGCTACAAATGTCTAGTGTGTAAGGATTCTGACCTTTGTTTTGAATGTGTAAATCATACCTTTCATTACAATCACGAAATGATTTGTTTAACCCGCTCTTCTACTTCGTGTTACCCATCAGTTTCTAAGCCTAAAGAACTCAATTATGATTTCCAGCTCATACAAGACTATCTTGTTCCCGCAAATCCTGGACCAAACTCATCCTGTATCAAAATCTGGCAATTGAAAAATATTTCTTCTGATGTCTGGCCTACGCCTTTGTACTTGAAATTTAACGGTGGTGATAAGCTGATCAGTGACGATAACAGCTCTACTTTACCTATAACACGCCAAGTCCAACCAGGTGAAAGTGCGCTAATTGCTTTATCTATAAGAATCCCATCGGCTGAAGTATGTAAGAAAACCTACTTCTCTTTTTTCCAACTGGTCACCGAGTCTGGCAGTGTCTTTCACAAAAACCTTTGCTTTTTTTATACGATCCCGAAAATTAATGATTAATGTTTTCGAGTTACCCTTATACTACATGCGGACTTAAATATACGCGATATTAAGGGCTTGTAATGAAAATTTATAATAAATCAACTTAATTTCGTTAAAGAAGAAACCACAATTTTACTTAACTTACTTCATTAGCCCTTAGTTCAATTCATATTGTCTAACATTACTTAATGTGGTGTTTCGGAGAGATGCAAAACATTATATATTCGTTTAATCACTATTATACATCCAAAACTATTTCAGTAAGAATCATACATCTATGAAGATGATCCACCATTCTTGTACAAGTAGCCATTCAACCTTTCGAGAGCCAGCAACTTTGTTGGTAGGGGCTCTCGAGAATTCGCTAACAAATTTCTTAAAATCTTCACTGTTGTAGTGTCTCTGAGCAAAGGACAGGTGTCTTTACCACTGAAGTGCGGCGTACCGCAAAGAAAGCAAATCTCTAAAGGTACCTTGTTCAATGGACACCGACCAGGCACATGTTCAATCCCACAACACTTGCAAGCAATACTTTTATCATCGAAGAAAGTTGCCAGAAAATTGTCAAAAACAAACTTCGGAATTCTATTGGCGACTAAGAGATTCTTATGAGCAAATAAACTGTCATCTTTCTGAAAACTCCTAACATACTGTGGTTTCCAAATAGCCCTTTGGTTGAGATCATTAAAAATCATGGGATTTGATGCTGCCTTCAAACGCGTACAAGCATCTAAGTCATGTATTTCTTGAGAAGGATATTCTGCTAATAAAGCTCTCATCCTACTCCATTCATAAGGGAATCTTTCCTCAAATAGTTCTCCTTGATTAGTTTCAGTAACTGGTAATGGGACATAACGTTCCTTGTTGTTTATCTGTTTTTCAGCTTGCTCTGGAGTGTTCATCATTATATCGTAAGAAGATCCATCGGACGAGACATTATCCGCATTATACTCTTCATCAGAACTAATAAGAAACTCACCTTCTTCATAAACGATTGTTTTTCGTTGCCTAAGTTTTCGACCATCATCATTAGAAAACGAACTATTTGAAGCGACCTGTTCTCGTTGTCGTAATATGTCTAGCCAAATATCATCGTCCTGTATTGGACCTTCGCTCTTATTTAGGCTATCATTTTCTAAAGCCGCGCTCTTTTCCTGATTATTCACCCAAACACGAGTAAACCCGAAAGTGCGATTATTATTACTATCTGACCTTCTGTTAGGAGATACATCCCTCTGTTCTGCGTCAGTTATTAATTCTTCAACGGACTGCTCATCATAACGAATAGCCTGAATATCATCGTTGTCTTCAAAAAGGGCTCGGACACCATGTTGTAGAACATCATGAAGATCCATAACATTATCATTGTTCTCGCCCATTGATTGTACGACAATTTGATCAAGCAACATCTTTTTCTGTGCGGCTTGCAGGATTTTTTCTTCAGCTGAGTTCCTAATTATTAAACTGAAGACAAGAACTTTTTTATCTTGGCCATAGCGGTGAGCCCTTGCTATAGCTTGCATATCCTGATGAGGGTTGAAGTCAGGGTCCAGAATTATCACAGTGTCCGCCGAAGCAAGATTAATTCCTACACCGCCTGCTCTGGTAGTTAAAAGAAAGCAGCTTTTTTTCGAATTAGGGGAATTAAAGGAATCAATTTCTTTTTGCCTATCATGTTCTGTTGTCGTGCCATCAAATCTAGAATAAGATATATCTTTATGATCCATCCAATCTTCAAGGATATCCAATTGTTGAACAAATTGTGAGAACAGCAGGATCCTGTGGCCACGCATAATAAGTTTTGGAATCAAAAGCCGAAGCAAAAGCATTTTAGCGCTAGCTTCTTCCAAAGAACGGATACTTAATTCTTCGGAAACATCTTTTTCTTCGACATCAGGTGAATAAAGGTAAGGATGAGCTAAAGTCTTTCGAAGCTGCATTAATATATTGCTTAAAGAAGCACGAGAACTGTTGGAGTTTGATTTAGCACGGCTTTTGGAAACGATACTCTGAATTAGGTCAACATTTTTGGAGACAATTAATTTATAAAGCTTTTTTTGAAGAGGAGTCATGGTGAGAGGTACGATTACTTCTACCTTTGGAGGAAGCCTCTCTAAAACTTCTTCTTTAACTCTGCGAAGGAAGAAAGGCTTCAACATTTGGTGAAGCTCAATCACTTTTTCTTCGTCGATATGTTCATACTCTCTTTCTAATTCAGAGGCATCAATTTTATCTGGAGTCAAAAACTGGAGCAAATTAAATAGTTCCCTAATATTATTCTGCAACGGTGTTCCGGTAAGTAATGCCTTAAAAGTAGCCTCTATTGAAATGAGATCGTTAAACAAAGAAGACTGATCACTCTTCAATCTTTGCCCTTCATCAATAATCATGCATTGCCATCTAAACTTCTTTAAAAGGCTAATTTCACTGTCAACACTACTCGTGCTAATAATAAGAACATGTGTTCTTATGCTATCAAAATTACCATTCTGATATATTCTGTGTTCACGAACAACTTCTCTGTTACGCTCAGATCCAACTAACGTCGCAACCAATAAAGAGGGGTCCCATTTATGAAATTCACGCTCCCAATTAGCCACCGTTGCATGAGGGACAACAATAAGGAAAGGAAAGCAATGATGTCTATGATATAGTACACTAATGAAGGAGATAACCTGAACGGTTTTTCCTAAACCCATTTCATCAGCTAAAATACAATGTTGCCGTTGAATCCACTGAAAGTATAACCAATTCACACCTTGTATTTGGTACGGCATAAGCTTTCCTCCAGATATATAGGAGGGTTGCTCAATTAATTCTAGTTGGTTAAAGTCGGTATTTTCAATTAAGCTGGATTTGGGATATTTCTCTATCCAACATATCCTAACATATTCAGTATAACCCTCTTTCCAAGCCTTCCATTGATTCAACCCGTGTATATCAGTTATAGATTCCCAAGAAGACATTAAATAAGGCAATCCACGCCATGAAACGTAGGCTTTTTCAACATTAGTTAATGCCTGCAGCTGTTTTTCTTTAGAACCAAACTTTCGAGAATTTCTGTAGCGTACATTCCAAACCTTGTCAATTGTTATATGAGAAGAAGGTATTATTTCAAGAGATCCATTATGGGGGTCCGTTTCCCGTGAATCAAAATTTCGCTTCTTTGTGTTTGAAACGCTGGCTAACCAGGAAGCAGAGCACCAAAAACAATGAAGATATGAGTGGTTTTTAGGTCGAACGTAATATTCTCTGGACCAAATCCCAGGACGATCTAAGGATAAAGGATTCTTTACCGGTTTACCTTTTAGTAACGAAATGGGTAAAAGTAGTCGCCAAGCAAGTATTTCATCTACATCTTCTGGATAAGAGACACATTCTTCACATAATCGTCGTCGTAATAATTTTTGAATTGATGATGCGAATGTATCGGGGTTTTGATCGTAATAGAAAAAGTAGAATACTCTTCTACAGCGCCAGCAACGAAACCTTACGTCTTTTGTATAAGAAACCAAACGAAGATTATCATTGGTGGATGAAAAAGACGAAGGTATGTCCAATGAATCGTTCAATCCATAACCCGATAAGATACAATTATTTAAGAGTACATGAACAGAGGACTTTGAGCAAGAAGAGCAAGAGTAACCTTCGACTGAAATTTCAGCTTGGCGCATTTTAGTTAAAGTTGAAATCCCAGAACATTCCACATGGAAGGTGTTCGTGCACGTTCTACAATATATAAATTTTCGATCATCGCCTTTACTCTCATGGTGGTGGCATTTGACACACAACGACGTATGTGTGAACTTAGCAAAAGCATTTAAAATTAAAGGGATAGGCTTCACCGGACTCTGACTCAAGGCGGCATCGTCTAAATTATTCGGGATCTGAAAAAGGGTATCAGAATCTTCATTGGAAGATATTTTTTCAAATAATTCCAACTTATTTTTTTTATTTGACTGATGGATTCGTTTACGGTCATGTTCATTATTCCGAAATACCGTTTCTGCATTCGGAAGCGAAGATGCAAAGAGGTCTTTTCCTTGACTACTCTGTCCTTTTGAAGAAGACCTACGAAAAGTTCTCGAGGGATTCCGAACAGGGTTGGTAGGTTCTTGTTTGGTAGGAGAACTATCTTGCTTCATCCCATTATAACTATTCACATCATAATCACTGTCATCATCTACAATTCGACGCTTTCGCTTTAAGTATTTTTGGTAACAAATTTTACCATTCTTGTATAAAGAGATATCTTTTCTGTGAAGCGTAGTCTTTAAGCCAGCTAGAAACGCTACGTATAAATGATTTCCGTGCTCCTTCAGGACTTTCACTACCGTAGTTTCATCTGGATTGTAGAATGGTAATAAAAACTCTAAAGGTTTCCTTGGAATTCGCACTTCCTTGGCAAAACCAACATCTTTGGGCATACTTTGCTTAATCTTCACATCCATCAATGCGAGACCTAGCAAGCTTAAAACAAGGCACGATGAACTACGCTAAGGTACGTTAACAAACAAGATGGTTCCTTAAGAACTTTTTCTTAAGTTCTTGAAGAACGTGCATGGAATTGCTTTTTTTGTTGATAGGGATGTTGCTTTCCAGTCATATTTGGAATGTTTTGTGTCCGAGAACGTTGGGCGCTATTTGAGTACGAGTGAGCAACACCAGCGTCGGGCGCTGGATTTGTAACAGGCATGACAGTCGTCATACCATTACTATAAGATGGGTTAAAAGCAGTAGTCGTAGTAGTAGGGATATATGGCATAGGGGTTGCGGTAGGGACTGAACCTCTCGTAGCCATGTACACGTTAGCAGGCACGATATTCGGCGGTGGAGGATAAGTGAACTGAAATTGATATAACTTAGCTAAATTAAATTGTTAGTTTTTATAAAAAGAATCATGCTTCAACCAAGAAGAGTACAAACGTACGGGGAAAAGCGTATGCTAACGGCAGCTGTAATAAACTTGACTCTTTATTTAAGTTTCCTAAAGAAGGATCTTCTTCTAATCTTTTCTGAGCTTCTTCTTGGGCAACTTTTGTATAGTAATCCTGAACGTTTTGTAAATGGGCACGGCCTGCATTATGAGCTTTTCTTACAGACTGACTGTCGTGCGTCAACCAGACCTGACAATAATCGCATAAATCTACATTTGTTAGTTTTGAATAAAGTCGTCTACTAATCTTACATTTTGGCATAGTTTCTATCTAGTTGGTCGTTGTTGAGTAGCTTTCGCGTACTTGGGTGGTATAGCAAACAAACTACTCAAGTAGTACTAGTACCTGTGAACGCGAGGAAAACAAATTGGAACTGAGTTGTGAGTTCTGCTGTTAGAAAAAAAAAATTCCAAAGAGTGTTGATATGTTTGATTTGAAGTCTTAAGAAGTCTTAAAATGAATGACCTGGAACAAATTTTTTCAATACTTCCGAATTCTGAATAGTCGAAGTGTAATATTTTTAACACTTTTTTTTCATTGTTTTACTTATTCCCTTGCTTTAAAGCAGCTAATGAAATGAGTTGACAAGATGCTGTACAAAAATATTGGGGATTTAAGAACTAATACTTTCTACATGTAACAGTTTTTAGTTGTAAAGTTCTTAAAAGAAAAAAATAAAAAAATCGACTACATTATGGAGAATTGACCAAGGCATAACTATTCTTGTTTCTCTAATTTTAAGTCAATTCCCTTCGCACATCTCAAACGGTCTCTTCATTAACATAGGTTTCACCCTGCAAAAATTCGAATTTGTCACCGATCATGGTTACAAATGAGGAATTAGTGTCGGATGATATATCAGAGAATGAAGAATCATCTTTTATGCAAAAAATATTCGCATTGCCAGTGGACCCAAAAATCCAAGAGGCAATTTCAGAAGAGAAACCCGAAGAGGGCGAAAATGAAACATTTAACGAAAATGACTCGTCTACTGAATTATCAGACAGTACATTGGATGAAGTAGAAGACAATGAATGGGCTGATGTACGTACTCAACTTTGTTCTTCCTTGATTGTTTGACTGACATCTATTTAGGTTAGCAGAGGCCGTTATTTTGGGGCAGATCCTTCAGAAACTATTCTTTGTCACAATTGTAAAGGTTTTGGACATATTGCAAAGGAATGTCCTCATACATTGGTGCGTTGTTTTTTTAAACACATCATCACCTGGCTAACTATGAAAAGTGTACGACTTGCGGTGCTATCGACGATCACATATCTTCACGTTGCCCAAGAACGAAACGATGTATTAATTGTGGCTTACTAGGCCATATCGCTGTGCGTTGTCCTGAATCGCGTAGAAAAGGACCCAGAAGATGCCTAACATGCCATACGGAGTCCCATACTAGCGGAACTTGTCCCTTGATTTGGAGATACTATGTTGAATCCGAAAATGGCGTCCGTGTAGATCCCAATGAAGTGAAAAAGTTTTGCTACAATTGTGCATCCGGGGAACATTTTGGTGATGATTGCCCTCTTCCTTCTCGGTCTAATTATCCGGAAAGCACTGCTTTTTGTGAAGCTAATTGTCCAACAGGAAATGATGTTTCAAACTCCTTTTTTAACGAAAATCGAAGAATAGATAGTGCCTCTAAGAATCGAGATTTTGGTAAACCTAGAAAAAATCAAAAGTACCACAAACAGCGTCCTTCAAGTGATCTAGGCTCGCGAATTGATATAAGTGACAGGCCAAAAAGGAAGCGTTTTGCCGGTAATGATAAAAGTGATTTTTCGTTTCATAACCACAGTGGAAATTCTTCGCAAAAGAAACAGAAAAAAATGAAGAAAAATAAATGGTAACATTATATTTTAAGGCTTTTTGGGAACATAAAAAAAAAAAAAATTTTGCGGATGCAAACAGGATATTATTTAGACTGATAAATCACTTAATAATTATGTACTATACATTTGATTGATACATCCATACATATAGTCTTATATCTGCCAGACATTTTTGGCTTACTAACCTTTTTCAATTGACCTATAACTGGGTACAAACAAAATAAACTAAAGTAATTACCATATGACAAAAAAGGAAAGCCCAAAACGAATTATCCATGATGATAAACCCAATATCACCGGTTTCAGAATAAATCAAGAAACAATAAGAAATAATAAAAAATAATAGTACGTTATAAAATTCCTGAGTAATGCAATTTTTTAATTTTCAGTAAATTCATTCTTGTGCTTAAGATAGACTCTTGTGAACAATAAATTGATGAAGAGCTTTACCACCAGGAACAAATGGATAAACATGCTCCTTCTTAGCAACTAACACTTCCATAAGAACAGGTCCCTTAGTTTCTATAAACTCCTTCATGTTTGAGGCAAGATCCTCCTTCTTTTCAACACGCAAAGCCTTAAGTCCCATGGATTCAGCCAATTTAGTAAAGTTAGGATTCTTTTGATGAGTATGAGAATAGCGTTTTTCGTAAAATAGATTTTGCCATTGAGTGACCATACCTTGTTCCTCGTTATTAAGGAGCAAGATTTTAACAGGAATGTCATGCTGACGGACAGTAGCCAGTTCCATACCAGTCATAGAGAACGAAGCATCACCATCAATGTCAATAACAATATCATCAGGATTAGCGACACTAGCTCCAATAGCGGCCGGCAAGCCATAACCCATGGTACCAAGACCACCAGAAGTAACTAAAGCACGAGGCTTCGTCCAGCGATAGAAGGTAGCAGCCCACATTTGATGAGCACCAACGCCTGTGGTAATGGTCACGTTGTCTTTGATATCGACAGTTTGCTTGTCAAGTTCTTGAATAACTTCTTGGGGTTTAGGTAATTCACCGGGAGCACTGGGGGTAAAGGTGAATGGGAAACGTTGCTTCCAAGCTTGGATTTGAGACAACCATTCGACACGAGAATCAAGGTTGATATTAGGCATAGCTTCGTTAAGTAATTTAAGAGACTCAAAGAGGTCGCCTTCAATAGCTTCGGTAGGTTGAACAACTTTTCCAATATTCTTGGGAGAGATATCAAAATGAATAATACCACCACGTTCTTCGGCACCAGCACGCTTGGCTTCAGGTGCAAACAGAGCAACATTACCGGTTACACGGTCATCAAAGCGTGCACCAAGAGCGATGATCATATCAGCTTCTTGCATAGCCATGTTAGCATAACCACTTCCATGCATACCAAGCATATGCAAGCTAAGGTCACTACGTTCATCATAAGCACCCAAACCGAGCAAAGAGGTAGTAACTGGAATTTGGAAACGTTCACTGAATTCACGGAGCAACTTGGGGGCCTCAGAATTATAAGTAGCACCTTGTCCGCAGAAAATTACGGGCTTTTTAGCACGCTGTAACAACGTAGAAACACGTTGAATCTTAGCTTCCACATTTTTATTTCCGAATTCCAAAACTTCTCTCATTCTGCGATTCAATGAAGGAACAGAAGATGTCACAGGGATGGGTTCTCTCAAAACGCCAGCAGTAACGTCTTTTGGTAAATCAACCAAAACAGGACCGGGACGACCAGACGTGGCAATTTCAAAAGCTTCATCTATACGACGAGGAAGATCAGCGATATCCTTAACCATAACATTCCACTTAGTGCAAGAACGAGAAATACCAATCATATCGGCTTCTTGGAAAGCATCACTGCCAATGGAAGAAGTAGCGACCTGACCACTGAAAACAACCAAAGGAGTACCATCCATTAAAGCATCCGCCATAGGCGTAACTACGTTGGTGGCACCGGGACCCGAAGTAACCAAGACGACACCAGGCAATCTTGTAACACGAGAATAAGCCTGAGCAGCATGGCCAGCACCTTGCTCGTGTCTTGGAAGGATAAACTCAAAGTGAGGAGAGCGGTAAATGGCATCAAAAACTGGCAAAATAGCACCTCCTGGATATCCAAAAACATGCTTCACGTTATTTTTTAGCATCATGTCATGAAAGATTTCACCACCAGTTTTCCCAACGTAGGCGCTTTCGTATTTTACAGCATTGGGGGTAGCGGTAGCTGCAGTTGTAGAGCTTGCACGCGCATTTTCAGCAAAGCGTGTATTGCAGTTAGAAGGAACAGTTTTAATACTCCTCCTCAAAAATTTTGAATTGTATGGTTTGTTAAAGCAAAGTACCCCACCTCTGCAAGATGATAATGCCGCCTTCGCTCTCAAACTTCTCAAGGGAGCCAAAGCCGTCATTTCGTACACTGAACAGCCCTTCCTTTTTTAATAAAAAAATCCTTGTACGGGTAAAATATGAACAACAAAAAAAGAAAAAAAGACTTTTTATTTGAAGTGAGAGGTTGCGCTTAGGTTAAGTTACAAACTCGACCTTCACCACCACCATCAATTTTATATCGCATTGTCAAGATTATGGGATTGATATGATAACTGTTAATGATATCTTATATCAAATACCAAAACGTTATTATTTTTGTTTTTGATCTTTCAAGAACTAAAGATTTATATTTTATGTTCGCGATAAATTGCCCGTGGTGAAAAAGAACTGAAGATCACCGTTGCAGTTAGTCACTTGGTGGAATGTACCTGAAGCTCAAGATTAGTTTTATTTGCTAATCCGCTGTTATGTCAATTATATTACTACATATATATATATATATATTTTTTTTAGAATCCACTCTTTATAAAGGATTGTTTCTTACTTTATAATTGACAAAGAATGTTTAGTATTGGCAATAAAACAGACTTTAATGGGAGAAAACCTTTATCGATAAACAACTACCATAGAGAATCGAACAAACATTTGAAATGTACCACTTATCCCCTTTTAATAACTTCGACGGATTTCTACCGCGTACTTCAGTTGTCTCCGCCGGAACGCTGTCATGAAAAAGCAAATTCGGATTTTTGTGAGGGTTATATTGACCCTTATTTACGGCGATTCATTATAGTTGATATTAAAAATTGGAGACTTTTCATATCAAATGATCGATACTGTATGAGCAATGCCATTAGTTACGATATTAAAAGACATTTGAGCGGATTTGTAGACTTTGAGAATGATAATGAGCATTTAAGTGTGCTTTTTAGATTCGTGAAAAGAAACTTCACATGTGATGATCCTGGATTCGTCCTTCTCTTCCCTTCAACTGGTGATATGTTCTATTGGGAAGATATAAACTATATTCGTTTAGTACATGAACTGAATGGCTCCAAAGGGTTCGTACATATTAAACTACCCCTCTTAACAAAGGAAAAGTGTATCGGTCTTACCATGATACCACCTGCTGGTTCTGTTGTTAGCACAACTGCTGGTAGGTTTTTCAACATATATCCAAGGAATGACAATCAAAGGTTGAGTTTGGTGTATCGAATGCTTCCATTATCTGGATCTCTTATTAATATTCAATGCAGTATTTCGAAAATAACTTCTTATCCAAGTCACGTCGTAGCTATACGGGCTGGTTCTATAAAAAGCAAGTATGAAAGAATTGTTTACGGTTTATTTTCGAACGCTGATATATACATTTGGGAAATATCTCGGAAGGGGTGTTCTCAATTGCTTCAAAAGAAAAATATTCGGAATCTTATAATTCAAAGGTTTCGCCTCGACGGGGACTGCGTAAATGAACTTGAATTTCTCGATTTGTCTATCTGTAAGTCTGATCCTTATTCATTGGTTTGCCTTATTGCATGGAACGAAAATGCTCCTACAAAGTACTATGCAATTGCTTCCGTTTCTTTCAATAATGAAATGTTACCAACAATTTCGGGGTTTCACAAAGTTTGTTCCTACCATTCTTTAGTCGATTCAATCTCTGCCCGTATTTTCTGTCCTGCTCCGTGTACTGTTATTTATTGTGTTTTTGATTCGTTACCAGTTATTGTTTGTAACTTTAAGGGAAGAGAAACCAATGAGTTTGTAGAAGAATCCTTGTTTATCAGTAATTCGTATAAACAGTTCCAAGTCATGGATATTGCTTCTGTGGATGCTGTTCTTGAAGATACGAATACTCTTATGCTGGAGTTTCCTGCCATTGCTTTATTAACAAAGGGTAACGGTGTCGTCTTGCTTGAATCAACCAATTGTTCTCTCGATGGGTATAGTGATCTCAGGTTTTTGAAAACCCGTCTTTCGCAATATGCCTCACAGAACTCTTTATTAAAGGTAAATATATCTTTCTTAATTTTCTGTGTTAACCGAATCTTAGAAACAATTTTCTGTCTGCTCTGGCTTTTCGTCAGTTTTACCAAGAGACAGGTTGTTCCCAACGCTTCTTATATTATGTGATGAAATTGCAAGGTGTAAGTAGTTTAATAATTACTTTTGCTAATTAAAGCAGCGTATCCCACTTTCCATACTTCGGTCAGTGAAATCCTTAATTACCAGTTTCATAAACTTATGGAAACGATTCTTGTTTCCTTGAAACATTTTAAGTTAACTTCCACGGAACGACTTCATCTCTGGCTTAAACTTGCCTATGTTAACTCGTTGGTTGATATTTACGATCAGTTAGTTCGTGAAGGGCGAAAGAGCAATATTCTTCATCTTATCCTTCAAGCAATGGTAAAATCCGGGAATATAAATGATCTTTTTTTGAACAAGTCCTTAAATATCAAGCTTTTACTATATTCTCTGCATACGTTTTACAAACATTACGCCAGTACGGAAAATACTTTTAATTTCAAGCTTTTACAGTTTTTAATAACGGTGAATAATGTTTTTGGTGTAAGTTTACCTACTTCCTTATTTAGTCCGCGATGATGTTTACTAACTTGAAAAAGTTGGTATTTGGAAATGAATTGGCGTACCGCCAAGAAGAAGTCATCGGCAATGTGGATTCTACAAAAATTTCCATACCTGAACTATGGAATATTGAGATTGATAGCGTAAATTTACTTTTATCTCAAATTGAAAAATCAATTGCTGTAGACCGGAAAAAGGATTTCATTGGTTTGAAGAATGATCGGAATAAGAAAATGCTAATGAAACTGCAAAAGCAGATTCTTCATTTAATAGAGCACGGCTGTTTTCTTATACATGAGTTGACAAATTCTTACACGAAACCGAATTCAGTGCCAGCTGCAGGGGCAGATGAATATAGCTCACTTGAAGAACATTTCCGAGGAAGAAGGAGAGAATGGCTGAACTATTTAGGTAAGACTACTATTGAATATTTATGAAAAGGGAACACTTACATATGAAACATAGCTCAAATCGGATACTTGAAACGTGCAATCAAAATATCTGAGCATGTGCGAGATTATCCTTCATTGATTACTTTGCTTAATTCATGCAATTTTGAAACACCAGAAGATAAAGTAAGTACACAGAGGCATTACCTTCAAATTTTCAAAGATGACTTTGCTATTGTTCTATTTACTCACTTGGTTGAAACCGGTCAATTACACAGCCTGCTGCATGACTTTAGGAGCTATGAAAGTTATCTGAGAAAATTCCTAGAGACGAATAAACTATATAACTTGTTATGGGTATATGAAGCTGAATCGGGGAATTTCACACATGCGTCTGACATATTATTACGTGGCGATGTGATACTTAAGTCGAAAATAAGTGAGCAAAACATTCTTTTTACCCTGTCAAAGTTATTCACATTGGTAAATGAAAAAGGTTATGATAATAATCTTGTAAAAAAGAAAATGAAGGAGATTGATTCAAACCAAAGGATTGTTTCCATTCAACGAGAATATGCAAAGTTACTCGATTCTACGATAGTTATCGCAGGAAATGAAGAGGAAGCAATAGTACTTCTACTTGAGGCAAATTGTGTCTCATTACATGAAGCTTCAGTTCGTTATAGAATAGTTTCTAATCTTCTAACTCGTCTGTTGCTGAAGGAACATTCTCCACTCGTGGAAACGATTGACTTTTTTACGTCGTTTTCAATTGAAAATAACTATTATGAGTTTCGTTTGGCATGCGACTTATTAGAAAATTCGTCATTTTCTACCCATCAGTTTGTCTTCCTATACCTATTGCTAACGCAGAGATTTCTTTTGCAACTGAATTGGGATGAAACTTTAAGAGCTTTAACAGAGCGGAATATGGACTATTTATGCTCTTTTAGAACTGTCTTTCAGAAGTTGGAATCAAAAGACTTCATACTTGACAAATATCATTCAATTCATCTCTTTCCAAAGATTATATGTCTTGATGTTCTAAAATCTTTGTATTCTACTTTGTTTGAATCTCAGTTGAAAAGCTATAATCACGAGCTTTTAGCAGAACATCGTAGATGTCAGAAACTTTATGAAGAAAGAGATCTTTCTTCAGTTCTTGCTCAATTGTCATTATTGTTTAAAGAGGAGAAGACCACTAATACACAGAAAGAAACCAAGTGCTAATGATTTTAATGACATGAATATCTTATTTGACGATTACTTTTATGATGACTCGATTCTACACGAACTTTCGACGATTAATTTTTCTAGTTTACAATAAAAAAAATAAGTTAAAATTTTGTATGTTTGCTATAGTCTAGTCTGAAAAGGTCCGCTAGTTTTTCATACGAATGAATGGTGAGAAAAGATTCAGTAATAAAAGGAACAGTCGGTTTAAAAGAAAAAAAAGTAAAATAAAAGCAACTTAAATTATAATTTTAAAATATATAAGAGAAATTCATACTCGAGAGCCCCACCCTTACATTGGTAGCGACTGAAGCTCGATGAGCCTCTACTACTTCAATCACTACCAACACATCAAAGAACCCCCAGAAGAGGTGAAGATTAGAAGTCTATTTATTTGGGAAGAAAAGTTTTGAATTTCAAATAGACAGGTACACACCACTAAGGCATAATTCAAGTGTTTTTTTTTTTTTTGTGAATAGTTTTTACCTACGATTGGGGTGGTCTGCGCGGTGAATGCCGTAGACAAGATTAGATATTCTGCATTGAAGAGGTGAGCCTCTGGCTTAATCTAGGATTAAGTATCAGACACAGTGGTCCTCAAAACGTTTCAATTGGTCAAAAAGAATCTTCCGGTATTAGAACGAGTGAGCAAAAGATGAATTCGCAAACAAGTGTGGTCGGCGTTCATTACCGAGTGGGACGAAAAATTGGTGAAGGATCTTTTGGTGTGATTTTCGATGGGAAGAACTTGTTGAACAATCAACTTGTTGCTATTAAATTTGAGCCGAAGAAGTCGGAAGCTCCTCAACTTCGGGATGAGTATAGAACATACAAATTGCTAGTCGGAAGTGGTAAGTACATTTCAATGTGAATATTGGTTTATTTTGTTTCTTTTCCTAGGAGTAACTAACATGTAATTTTACAGTTGGAATTCCAAGCGTCTATTACTTCGGCCAAGAAGGATTGCATAATATCTTAGTAATTGATCTTTTGGGGCCTAGTTTAGAGGATTTATTTGAATGGTGTGGCTGCAAATTTAGCGTCAAAACCGTTGCAATGATTGCCAAGCAAATGTTGGATCGTGTGCAAACAATCCACAAAAAAAACCTCGTGTATAGAGATATAAAGCCAGACAATTTTCTTATTGGCAGGCCTTGTACTCGAAATACAAATCTCGTATATGTTGTTGATTTTGGGATGGCAAAATACTATCGGGATCCGAAAACTAAACAACATATTCCCTATAGTGAAAGAAAAAGCCTTTCAGGAACAGCTCGTTATATGAGTATTAACACACATCTTGGTCGTGAACAATCACGGAGAGATGACTTGGAATCATTAGGACATGTTTTTATGTACTTTCTTCGTGGAAGCCTTCCCTGGCAGGGATTAAAAGCTGCCAACAATAAGCATAAATACGAAAAGATAAGTGAAAAGAAACAAGCAACTTCGATAAACGAGCTGTGCAAAGGTTTTCCCAATGAGTTTAATAAATATATGACTTATGTTCGTTCTTTGCAATTTGATGAAGACCCAGATTATGATTACATACAGGAATTATTTGACGATGCTATTCGAAATAGTGGGGAAAGGAATGATGGAGTTTACGATTGGATGTTACTAAATAATGGCAAAGGCTGGGAGTCTGCATCATCTCACTTTTCAGTACTGGCAATGAAACGAAGGAAAAATTATTTGGGATTGAATGTTGTGCAAAATGATGATAACAGGCAGAAGCAAAGTAATGTTCAGTCTCAAAACACACGTTTGAACTCAGCGTATAAGAGTGGCCTCCAGAAAAATTATAACTCATTTGAATCGGGGTCAAGGAATCAGCAACTTTTATGTACCCGACGGGAGCAGTCAGCCTCCAAAAATACCATTTATCCGCAGTCATCTGCCCGAGGGTATGGACGGGTCCAACCAATGTATGCTTCTCGATTGGCGGATCGTCAGGAAGATGCTAATTATGCTGATGTCAATCAAATTCACGAACGAAGGCAAATGAGTTTTTGGGATATTTTTTGCTGCCATTGCTTTTGATGATTATTTAATTTTTCACCAAAATAACCTGTTTTCTGCGATTCCTTCGTTTAATGGCTGTATACAGATGTCCTAAATCCTTAACCGCAAGCACAGCATTTTTGCTAAAGTAATCTTGGGATTTTGTAGTGCCGAACAATTCTTTAATATTTTCAGGTGTCAATAGCGAAATCTAGACTTTTACAAAAGGACTAGGTGAATTACCTTTTACGTACGCTAAAATCGATACTAGACATGTTGTATTCAATGGGTTAGCTTACGATAAGGACAACATTCATTTATGGGAATAAGTTACGTATGAACTAAGAATGAAATTTATTGTATATATAAGTATAGTTAAGATGTAGCAGTTTTTGCATCAGAATATACGTTAAACAAATCCGTCACTACTTAAAAGTAAGAGTTCGCTGTGAACTTGAGAACATTACTAAGCTGAGTGCAACTCAGTCGATTCACATTGTTTCACTATTAATATTTAACTATTTAATTACAGTGGATATAGTTGTAAGCAGTACAAAGAAATTCTTCTCGGGTTTGGGTATACATTCGTGTAATTCAATACTGAACACCATACCACACTCCTAACAAATTTTGCGGGTCACAAATAAACAGTTGAAAAGAACCCAAGTGTAGAATGAAGAGATGCACTCTATGATAGCACTTTTACAGCAAATTAAAGAAGATGAAACACAGTTATTAGACTTATATAGAGTGTATGTTATGTCGACTGACACTTATGGGTGGTTAAAAATAAATGCCTTGCCTTTGTTTCCTAATGATACGTTCAGCTAACATTGGGTATTCAGATTTTTTAGAGGAAAGCAGATAAAATGGCAAGAACTAAAAGTTGATAAGAGCGAGCTTGATTCATACATGATGAACATTGGATATAATAAAAGGTAGGTATCCATATTCTACTTCAGTATAAGTGAAAGCATCAACGAACAAATATACAGAATTATGACTAACTAGATATCTAGAAATTTGATTTTAATTTCCTATGCGCATCATCTTCAAGAATTGCTTCGTCTCACTAAGTTGGATACCCATCAGCTTGTCAAATGTATTCGACAATTGACAGCAGAATGCAAGCGATCTTACATTATTGACAGACAAGAAACTTCTTTTCGTGATAAGAATGTGTCTTCATTGAAGTTAATGTTTAATAATATGTGGAAACCATTCGTGAATGAATCAACAAACAAGGATCTATCTTTGCTCCCAATTGTAAGTAACATAAACGCAGTGTCAGTATATAAGAAAAATATATATACATATTTTTTATTGTTCTGTCAACCACTGATTCTGACCTAAGGTTTTAGTCTTTTGAGCTCAGCTTCTGCTCGGTGTTTGGAGCGTTCCTTTTTAGCGTCAAGGAAATATATTCAATGTTTTATCAAAAATTTGAAAGAATGAAGGAAAGTAAGAAGCCATCTTCCGCCATTACCTTTTTCGGTTTCTTTTCAAAAGATCCAGAATTTAGCTCACTTCAGAACGATTATGAGAGGTTCAACTCAAAAATATGTAAAATACTTGAAATGATACTTGAGGAGGTGTCAATTTGTCTGGAGTTGGGTAGAATATAGAGTAAAATATAGATTAACTAGAAGGACCGTTAAGTCTTTTATTCTTTTATTTTAGTTTCTTTTTTTTTTGTTTCTTAATGAATGAAGTCTTTCGTCCGTAATATATGTTTTCTGAAGGGATGTATTTTCTTGCGTAATTCCATGTTTGTTTACATATCCAAGATTTCAAGTTTCTCCTTTCCATACCACAACAAACAAAAATGGATAAGTCTGTTCCTGTACAATGTGCAAAAGAAGAAGACATTCTATTTATAGAATCATTGAAAAAGCGGTTCCTGAAGCAAAACCGTGAAATTATCAGGTAAGAATGCAAAAATCATAATCAACGCTTCATACCAGGTTCTTGAGTCTAATGATCAGAGTAAACACACAATTATCAGCTAAATTGAGCCAGTCAGAAATAGAAATGGAAAAACTGTTGCAAGATAATTGTCAATTGAAGAATAATCTCATCAAATTGGAATCAAGGGTTCAAATGTATAGTCAGTCAGAAAGTCTTTATCGTCAATATTTCCAAGATTTTCAAAAGATCCGAAACAAACTTTCAGAAGTCCATCATCTTATGATGGAAATTGATGAAAGAATACTTCCACCTAGTGCGGCTATAGAATCATTTACGAATACCTCATCTACATTAAATGATGGCGTTGATGAGACGAAAGGACATTTTGTTCGGAGGACTAGATACCCCGTGTTCAAAGATTTTTCAGTCCCAGACCTGGAAAATCCACCAGGAATGAACTTGCCAGGACGCAAGAGCAAATTTCCACCGTTACCAAAATTACCAAGTAAATGCATTCTTGCTGATAAAACCAACACGTGTGCATCAAACTCAAAAACCATGCTAAAGAAAATGAAACCACCAACTCATGATATTGAAAGCATGAACAACAGTAAAGAGAGTGAGAAGGAGTTCTCACAAAATGAAACAAAATTCCCGTTGGGAAAAGAGGTAATGAAAGAACAGGTGAATTCAAAGCCTTCAAATGTTCGTGTTTGTATTCCTTCTAAAGCTTTTGATAGTGTCACTGACTTTGAAGGTAAAAATGATAACGAAGCAGACAATGGCGACTGCGAGATGGAGTCTACTGGTACAGTGACGATGAGAAGAACGGGACGGAGGAGACGGGCAGTAAAATCTGTAAATTATGCTATACCAGATTTACGGATGAAGCTGAGGAGAAGTTTCGAATTACCAAAGGATAAGAAACGAAGGCGGCAATGTCGAATGTATACAAAGAAGTAGTAAAACAGAAACCCTCCAAAAAAAAAGAGAACCAAGAAAAAGAAGATACGGGATGAGGAGTGAAATGAGAATTTCTTGCCAAGAAAGTTACTTGAGGATAAAAAGAAGAAGAACCATCTAAATTTGAACTATATAAAGAATACGGAATTTATCAACTCTTATGTAAAAATAATATTGATTTATGTTTCTTACTTGAGAGAGAAATCGTGACGAGTATAAACAAGGTGGATGGATGGAAATGGCAGAAAAAACATGAAGAATTGTACAATGGTAAGAAAGGTATGAGGAGAGAGAATCAAGAAATTGAACGATAGACTTCTTCTTGATTTACTTGAGGATGGTCGGCGGGGTTGGGAGCAGACTGGTTACAGTTAGAAAAGAATGATTCTTGTAAAAAAATAAAAATAAAAATATATAAACGAAAGAAGCAAAGAAATAAAAAGACATACCTCATAAATAGTGATGATGGGATTTCCCTTGAAAGGGACAAAAGAGCCTCGAAGACCTATGTAGGCGATTTGAATGGGGTCATCGGAACCGTCGTTTCTAGAGAAGAAGAGATTTAAATTGCGCAAATTTTGGTAAAGACGGGTTTTGACGGGGAATTCGAAAATTTGATTACCGGAGAAAGAAAGAGGAAACTCGAAAGATTCGGTGGGTTTTGAGTCTTGGACGGCAGTGAAATCCAAGTCAGAACGGTTAGGATATAAAGAGACGGAATGAGGAGCGGAAGAATCGGGAAAAATACGAACAAGCAAGGAACGGAGGGTTGCAGAACCGGTAAAGGGAATATGAAACAAGAGTTGATCGTCGACGTCGCTTTCGACAATGACCGAGTCATCGAAGCGCTGGTCCCAGGGCTTAAAGACTTGTTTACCGGTATCCTGTTCGGCCTCGTTTAAAGTGACGATGGCATCTTTGTCGATACAAGTGTAGAGGGTATCATTGGGTCCAGATTCGAAAGGATGGTCATCGCAGTCAGCCGAACAATGATGACGACCAGACATAGTGCAGAGATTTGGAGAAGAGGAAAGAGAGGAAATAGGGAATTTGAAAAAGAGAATAAAAATGAAAATGCCAAAATAAAACTCCAAAAAGAAAAGGAGGCAACCCAAGGGAGAACAGAATAACGTAGACAGATGAGATGAGAGAAAGGGTATGACGGTGGAGAGTGGGATGTTTTAAGGATATATGCTTGTATAAATAAAAGGATATGCTTTTAGCGATGAAAAGTGATGAGAAGGAAGGAAAGAGAAAGAAAGACTCCAAGATTCAAGAAGAATCTAGTCTAGTCAAGTCAAATGTGCAAATAATAAGCAACACTGAATAAATAAGTCTTTTATAAACACATAGGCAAAAGCATACGATAAATAAATAAATAAATAAACAAATAAAAAATGAAAATCAATAAAAATAAAAATAATTCGTAAATCTTACATAAATAAAAAGGCCGAATCTTTAGAATCTATAGAGTAAGTAAGGATCAGATCGACCGGATCAGATCGACCAAAGGGGTAGGTAGTAGTAGGTAGTATCGTAGATCAATCGTATTGTTCTTTACCGTAATTCCAAATGACGCAGAATGCATAAGAGGATAATTCATATGATCATATCACGTTTTATTTATTTGTTATATTTACTTTTTTAAATTTTTATTTTTTATTTTTATTTTTTATTTTAGATTTTTTTTTTTTGGAACGAAGAAGAGAAAAGCGGCTCCTCGTAAATTGTTTTATACCAAGAAAAGAGTCGTAGACGTCGCAGTAGGCCCTGGCTGGCTGTACTGAAAGAGGCCGGGCCGCAGGCTTTACATAGTCGCAGATATATGAGACAATAACAAAGACAAAGAAGTAGAGACCAAGAAAAGAAAGAGGAGAAAGAAAAGAATACGAGAGGGGAAGAGGAGATCGTCAACAATTAAGTGTGGAGAAGGATGCAAAAGTGGAAGTGAGGAAACGAGAGTAAAGATAAAAACAAAAAGAGAAGAGAAGAGAGGAGAAGAGAAAATCTCTTGATTTCCTCTTTTCTTTCATGACTATTATCATCAAACCATATTGTTTTACTTGGTGCTGTTGTTTTCTAACGAGAACTCTTATCCGACATTGTTTGGAGAAAACAATACGATCAAAACAAAAAAATAAATGTTAAAAGTCCTCGGAGTTATCGGACAAGTGCGAACAGCATCCGGAGCTTTTTCGTTTAGCGATAAGGTTTTGCCTATCACCAATAAATTCGTAGAATGTAGGTATTCAAAACAAACCTGTGGAGAAATGCCATCATCGATGCAATCTGTAAAAAGAGGAGAAAAAGAAGGAGAAAGAGGAGAAGAAAACAAATCAAGTATCATCAATGAACCATCTTTCCTATGCTATGATGCGATAAGAAGCAGGTAACATCCAACGCTACCGATTCCTCGTTAGCTACATAAAGTTACTGCTTTGTTTGCTTTTGTACCCTTCCGTCGTGCCGAAAATTCCCGTTCAGTGGCTGTTCTATTATTAAAAGTTTGGTCATGACCTCATATCTAAAGATGTTACCCGAGTTACGGGATCATGTATTTTCTAAGCATAGATTTCTATTAGCAATTTAGGAAGGGGGAGGCGTGCTGATGATTCGAGAATGTCAGATCATTCAACATCATGTCAAGGTTCTCGCAGTTTATAATGACCCCACTTCTCCCAAATACTATAATTCCTCTGACATCCATTTTTATATAAACAACAGAATCCGTTGCCTTTTTCTCTCTACCACTTTTGTTCCAAACGTACAAGTTGTTATTTCTGTTATCATTAGGAACGATCAGGTTTCTTTCCTTTCCTTTTCTTGTTTATTTGTTTGTTTGTACTTGTTGGAACAGGAAATCACTACGTAAATAGTATCATCTGCTTTGATCTGCTCTACTCTGCTTTACCCTGCTCTGTACGTCTTGGTTATTCGTGTTGATAACTTTTGTTTTTCTTGGATTGCTTGTTTTTGGATTCCCGTTGAACAAAGATTTTCCTTTTTTTTTCTTTTTTTTTTCTTTATCTATTCCTCTTGTTGTTGACATTGGATTGAATTTCATTTCATTGCTTCTTGTTACAATGGATTTGGATTACTGTTTGATTTGTGGAATGCCTACTACTGGCAACCTTTATTGCTCTAGAGAATGTCATTTACAGGATTGCCCTGGCTGTGATTCTCAATCAGAACAATGCGCTTACTCTCATGCTGCTAGTCTTCACATGCTTTCCTCACAATATTTGGATCACTTTCGTCGACGCTCTTCCATGCCGTCTCCCTCTACTTCTTCTTTATTATTGAATGGCTATGCTTCTTCTCGGCTGGCCGTACTGTAAGGATATTTACGAAAGAATCTAATCAGGTTGGTTCTTGGTTCTTTTCCATCAATAGCTGGAAAACTCTTAACGGATTTGATTTGAGTTGATTTTAATTCATGGCATTTGGCATTTGGCATTTCTTGGAAGCTCCCTCACTCCCTGGTCCATTCAAGATCATCGGGTGTGTTGACCTTTTTTTTTTTTTTCTTTTGTCTAAGTTTTTTTTATTATGATGATGATCCACGGTTATACAAAACGCTTATGATTTTTCAAATTAAATTAAAAAAAAAATATATAACAATAACAATAACAACCAATGTGTTGATGATTTGCAATGATGATATTAACGTAATGAACCAAAAAAAAAAAAAATATGTCGGCTTTATTTCTTTTTCTTTTTTTTTTCTCTTGTTTTTTACGGGTTTCGTGTTTTTCTTTTTCTTTCCTTCTTCTTCTTCTTTTTTCTTTCTTTCTTTCTCTCTCATTCTCTCTTTTGTTTTTACTTTCTTTTGATTCTTTGATGTGGTTCTCTTTACTTGCATCAGTAGCGTCTGGGCGAATTCCACGGTTCAGGTTGCATTTTATTTCTTTTTCTTGAAATGCTTCGGGTTACTTGCATATTTTGGCTGCCATCATTTTCGCTCTTTCTTGTTTATGGTGTTCATTTTCACATATCATTACCCAAACACATTCATGTATATTTTCTCTCTTTTTCTTTTAGGATGTTTGCTTTGGAATTCTTCTAGTATCATTCGATTCCTTTTCTATTTCTTGTTGCCTTCTTCCTATGGAGACATATCGTTTTTTATACCTTTAACAATATAGAACAACAAAAACAAAAAAAAACCCCCTTTTATAGCATGCTGTATCCTGTTGATAAACATCTTCATGGTAGAAGCAACCGTAAATGACTGGAATACAGGTATTCATTCTATTTATCTATTTATTAATTCAAAAAATAAATGAATTCATATTTTTTTTTATGCATCCCATAAAAATCTGTGTCGCAGTGTCTTGTACTGTTCATTCAATTCCACCCAGTGTATAGTCATTCATTCCTCCATGGCCGTACAATAAAATAAAATTAATTCCAACATTCTGCGATGAGTTCGGTACATCAAGAACAAAAAGTGTGAAAAAATAAACAAGTATTGCCCACACCAGGAATCGAACCTGGGTCGCATCGGCCACAACGATGAGTCTTAACCACTGGACCATGTGAGCTTGTATGGTTAGGAAGAATCTCTTTCATATATAATCATCTAATTTTTAAATTAGGGCAGAAAAGCAAAAACAAAATGGATAGATCATTTCGAGCTACAATGGGAACAGCTACAGACTTTTACGATAACAATTTTAACCCGTTGTTGTAGAAGCTTCAAGATAGTCGAAGGTATGTTTTCTTTTGCTTTCAATATACATTACCGCTTGCGAGCAATTGCGCCTTGGTAAATGCAAAGAAGAAAAGTTTCTTCGTCTCTTTTTGATATCCCTTGTTGTTATTCTATTCCTTCTTCTTTTGAAGTCCCTCGACGATTTTATCTTTCTGAAACCACCACATAGATATATCGTTCATACCTACTACCTAACCAGTTTGGGGGTTTTTTTTTCTTTTTTCCTTTACGCGTATCAGTTAGTGAAAAAGAAACATTCTATTATTGAAAAGTCAATTTTAAAACAACAAAACACAGGACAGAATCTATCGAGGGGGATTGAGATTAGGATTGGATAGTAGCATAGCGCGAATGAACTGAAACTCTCAACTGTTTTTTTTATTTTACCATGGATGCCCACAAAAGAGAAATAGAAGAAAAACGAGAAAAACTGCTAAAGCTTCGACAAGAAAAGCAAAGCTTCAAAGTATCCCATTCATTTGGTTCCATAAACGTCAAGGATGATCTTTCTCAGGTGAGTCGCGCGTCTTTCCGCCTTTTTTTTTTCTTGTTATTTTTTACTGCCGAGACTAACACATCATCCAGGAACATCTTTCTCATTTCCTAACTTCCATCATAAAACAAAAAGAACTTCATCATACTCCCATTTCGGCTCCTTCTTCAAAAAGCTCCTCCATATCTACACTGAAACTTACTCCAGTCTACGAAATTTTCCATGAAACAGCAAATCCATCGAATTTTCTTATAAAACAGCAGTCTTCGCTATCTTTTTCTTCCTTCAACACCGAATTCGAAATGCCAAGCAAACATTTTAGCTTACGCAAAGATGAAAATGCTTCCAATGAATTATTCCAACCCAACAAACACAAAATTTGCTATAAACATGAAATAAAACTCAATGAATTGGATACATTGGATGATCGGGAGTTGGAAAATGTTGCAAGTTTTTTGCAAAGCTCTTGTAAAGTAATTGAAAGAGCCTTATGTGAGGATTCCATGGGCTTGTTTACAAATTACAGCGAAACAAGATTCAATTCCGTAAACAATTTACCATCAACAGACAAAAACAAACTGAAATTGCGCGCGACACTCACTGATAAAACAATTACATCCGACAGACCTATTAATAGTCTTGATTATTCTCACTTCTTTGACGAACTCTTGCTAGCTTCTTACTCCAACCCGGTCGGCGGCCAGCGCTCAGATGGTTTGGTGTTAGTTTGGAATCAGCATTGGAAAAATTATCCAGAGTCCATCTTGAAAGCAAACGTATGTCATTCGATTTAATTTTAATTTTTAACTTGTTTTTAGAGCGAAATCACCATTAGCAAATTTTCCCCTTCAAATCCTCATATTGTTGCCGGCGGCGCTTACAATGGCCAGCTATTCTTATGGGATTTGAGACAAGGATCAAATCCTGCATTGTCCACCAATATTATAACTGGAGGTCATATTGAACCCATTAACGATTTGGCTTTTATGAATAGTTTTTCTACCGAGAACATAGTAACCTGTAGCACTGACGGTTATATGCATATATGGGATAGCCATACCCTTGCGAAGCCTACAGCAACAGTTCCATTGATGGCTGATGCTTGCAAGCCTATGCAAGCGTTCGCTCCAACCTGCATGAGTTACACTACAGATATGAATGCTTTTGTGATTGGAGCTGAAGACGGCCGGCTTCGCATTGGCAATCAGCAAGATATATTTGAACCTCAAACCAATTTAAACTCGTTTAAAAGTTTAGAAGGACATTCAGCTTATGTTACAGGTTTGGATGTAATGCGTGCGAGTATCGATATTGAGCCCCTAAAAAAATCAGAAAATTACTATCTTAGTAGTTCCCTAGATTGGACAGTTAAGCTGTGGTCAACTCAAAAATACAATCACTCAGAACAGTTGACGCTTAATCCCATCGACCAAAACGAAATAACTTGTGTACGTGAGTTTGATCACCAAGACATGGTGTTTGACGTCAAGTGGAATCCGGTCCAGTCAGGATGCTTTGCTACTGTTGATGCTGTCGGCTCTCTTTCCATCTGGGACTTGAAACAAAACCTACAAACCCCAGTAGTTAGCGATACACCCTTAAATTGTAAAACATTAAACCGTATAGCTTGGCAACCAAAATCCAATCAACACTTGGCTTGTGGTGGCCTTGGGGGCAGTCTATTTCTTTATGAACTAAACCTTTAGATATGACTTAAAATTGGGAAAGCTAATGATTAATACAATTAAAAATATTAGGAAGAATTGCAAATAGGATATACACAGCTATGCTAGATTTAATAAAAAAGGTTTATTGGTCTAAAATGATTTATTGTTGCACGACAACTTTCATCACAGTAATATCATGAAGGCATGGAAATAAACACGTACGTAGCGGATTAGCAACACCGGAAATTGGTATAAGAAGCACACATACACAAGGCAAAATCACAAAGGAAAAGAATGTTAATTATATCTAAGTTTTTCCAGATCAAATTCGCCTCAATCCTTTTCGGCAATACTTTGCAAATGTGCATCGATTTCATCGACAGATAACAATCGAAAAGGTTTGTTCTCCTCTACTACACCAATCTGTAGCTCAGTAGCCTTAAAGTCCGTACTCAAACTACTCATTAAAGATTGAATACCGGTTTCGACAGTTTCAGCCAAATTTGGTGGAACACCATTTTTTTTGTATCGCTTTTCTAACCAATTCATAGTTTCTGTTTGCTTAGTACCAGCACTTGTGGCTTTGTAGCCAATATAAAAACCGGCTGGATCCAATTTGTAGAGGGAAGGTCCAAGTTCATCATCAACAGAAACAAGAGTCATAGCAACACCAAGAGGTCTCATGGATGCGCGCTGGGTAGAAACTTGGGCAATATTTGCCATACGCTTGGCTAAAACGTCACAAGGCATAGGATAACCATTTTTGTATTCAAATTCGGCCGCTTCACTACGAGCTCTAGAAACTTGAGCACGGGCATCCGCAATAGAGCCTGTCATAACACAACCAATCCCTTTAGTAATAGGGAAAACATAGTTGACCGTTGAAGCATCAATTAACTTGTCTGGAATCTTTTTTTGAGAAATTACACATCCACTGTTTTGACCTGTTATGCCGACAGAGGTAATTCCCGCCAAATTAAAAGCTTTAAAAGCATACTCTACTTGAAAAAGACGTCCTTCAGGAGAAAAAACCGTGATCGTCCTGTCGAATCCACGAGCTTGAGACATTGTGTAGTTGGTTGAGGGTATAGATGAGCACTATAAAGAACACTGTGCTCTTCTTTAGGACATACCGAGGTTGAAGGAGACCTTTACAAACTTAAGGAATCCGTCTTATAATGTGTTAAATAAATAATACGATATTAAGATATCAATTGCAAAGCACGAGTTTTCATTTGATTCTTTTACAAATCGAAAATTTTGATCAATAATTACTTCTTGTTTAATCATCACTTATATGCAGCTCTACTGTTGTTATAAAGAGTTGATTTTTATTTCCAATTGTTACTTATGATGGCTTTTGATTATATTGTCGTTTGAGCATTTCTTTAGTATTATATATTTGAGTGTGGACCTTTGGTGATAATATCTCAGGTACCCTCGTAAGTAACGAAAAGTAAACAAAAAGATCAGTAAATGCAAACATATTGAGACCAGATACTTCAAAGGAACACCAGATTTTTGTAAATAAACACATTTATATGTAGCAGTTTTTTATATAGAAGAGAATCGATAACACGCAGTGTCACTTACATGCTTCAGAGCATATATCAACAAATGTGGTCCATTTCCTCAAGTGGATTGTTAGAAATCAAAAGACTGTTGCAAAAAATTACTTTTATTAATTTTTCATTTATTTTATTTCTTTGAACTAGAGAGCACATCAACGCATCAAAAAATATTGCCTTCTGTATAAGAACTGTTCATCTCTTGTTGCTGATTTAAATGCGACGTGCCGTGTTTAGATGATTTTTAATTTTTACTTTTCAACTTAAAATTAATTTTTTTTATAATCAATAATAGCTCTTCATCTACTATTTTTATCATTATTATCGTTATTTCTTTTGTATAGACACTCATAGACTAGTACGACTTTTTTCATTCAATGACCTTGAGCCTTTGAGCTCCTGGAACAACTCTTACATTCAAATAGTTTTTAGTAAGTCAATAATCCTTAAAATTATAAAAGCTATAAAACTACACTACAACGGATATTTTACTTTGTTTCACTTGGTTCATACTTTGGCCAGCATTATAAACTCACTACACCGAAAGGAGAAGCACCATATTAAGCTCCTATTTGAATCATTTGAAAAGTTGGAGTTTCCTTCCTTCATAATTGGAGAGTCTAATATCTAGAAGTGTATATACATAGACAAAAGACGTTGGGATTTCACCAGTATAATATGAATGTCTTAAGTGTTTATGAGAAGCATATTCTGGCAGATGAACGCTCCTTTACTCGTGTTTCAGAAATCGAGAAGATACTAAAATACTTGGCATATTTTCTTCCAGCCGAGTTTCGCACCAATGAACTAAGTTCTCAAACGAGTATGATAAGTTCATAATCTATTTTAGCTAACGCATCAAGTCTCTTGTGTTTTATTATTGCTACAGCAGTTCCATACGAATCTTCTGTATCGAAAAATCTCAGAATTGCCCGAGCATGAACAGACGTTACTAAAAAGTGAAAGGACATTATTCATAGAACATTTTAATCACAGAAGTTCATTTTTCCAAACAAGTTCTCAATTATTATTTTTACTTGATAATTTGTCTCTGCCAGCAGAAATTCTGACTGCCAAGCTTTACCCCTCATATCAATATGATACAGTTCTGAGTGTTGAATCATTAAAGTAAGACATAAATACTTGTTTTTTCGTTAACATTTTAGGCTATTACTTCGTTTACACCTGATGTACCAAACAGGCGGGTACTTGCCTTTCAAAAATCCTCTCCTGACAAGAGATTTTAATGCGAAAGACTTCATCAACATATATGCAACATACAAAGATCCAAATAATTACATTACTCTGAAGAAGACTGGAAAGAGAGTGCCCAGATTGCATTCTGTCCCTTCAAGCTTTCAACAGCTAAATCAGAGCACTCCAAAACTACACAATTTGCTTTTACAAAGCTCCTCATTCCATCCTCTTGGATTATTGCGTATTATCTCTAATATTTTAAGAGTTTTTCGTCCGTTCGTATACATGCTTTTAACATGGCATTGGAAACGCACCCAGCTCAGCGGTAATTCGTCTCGTAAAAGACCATGGTTCCCGTGGATTTTGACACTACTAATGGAAATCGCTTCGAATTATCTCAATTCGAAAGATCGTAATAAATCGAGTAAGTCTTTACCAATGCGAGTCGAAGCATGGTCCAATCAGTCAGCATTTAGAGATTATTTGACGTGGTCACTCACCCATGGAAGATTTTTTGATGAATTTACAAGGTACGTTTAATTTTTTATTTTCGCCGACAGAACTAACCCGTTTAGACAATGGCTTAAATGCGCAGTGCGTTGGGTTGAACCTATTCCTTTTGTAGGGCGTTTCTTAAGTGTTTATTTCAATGAAAATAACTATAGGTTGGAAAATTATGTTTCTTGAGAAACGGCTGATAGGCAACTTTTCAGGTTGATTTACTGAAACCAATTCAGGTGGTAACTTATTTATATGTTTCTTCGCAGCAGTAAGGAATAGTTCTCGGCATGGGTTTCTAAAAGCTTTGAAAAAGTATTTCCATAATCCATACATACTGACATTTAAGATCCGTACGAACTGTTTTGTTATAAGTATGAACTAGCAAGTAAAAAAGTTTACTACACAAAAACATGGGTTCTTGTGGTGTTGAAGAAGGATATTTCATGGAAATTTGAAATAAGGTAAACCGTAATTATTAGATGGTCTTCTTTGAGAGTTTGTGTTTTCGGTCTAAAGCTCTATTCAGCAAGCTAGTCCGGTTTGTCATACAAGTTCCTTTTATTTTATTTTATTTTGAAATGACCTTCATAGTCAATAAAATTGCAGTTAATTGACGACTTTTTAGTGATTAACCATCGATGTTTGTATACACTGTACTGCAGCTATGTCAAATTTTTTATTATATTGCTGTTTGATACAACACTAAAGTTGTTTTGTATATAATAAATAACAAATTGTAAGTTATTTTTAATTCATTCGTGGTGATGATTGAAATAACTAACCATTTTGATTGCGGTTACCACTTCATGTTCTCTATTTTTTCGAAATACCTCTTTGTACAGTAGATTTCGTCGAACGAATGAAGACAGACGAACTTCAGAATAAACTCAAAGAATGCGTGTTTTGTAGAGACGAACAAATAGAAAAGCTTGTTTCATTGCTGTTTAATGATGATTGTAACGTCCCTTCTTTAATACTGTACGGAGTCTCCAGCACGGGAAAATCATATCTCTTGAGTCAAGCCTTAAACTTATCTAATAAAGATGTTATTTGGATTAATTTAAAGACATGTTTCACTACGCCCTTATTGCTGTATAGAATCCTTACACACGCGGGCGTTGACCAGGACCTTGCATATAAAAAAGGAACCCAAGTTAGTGGATTCATACATCTTTTGCAACAAAATATTTCAAAAAATAAAAATCATGTTTACCTCGTAAGGCGAATAAATTATCGTGAGCTGGAATACTAACCGCATTGCAGGTTTTAGACCAGATTGATCAGTTCTCAGAGATATCACCAATCCTTTTCTCTATGTTTGCTGATTTAGCGCTTAACACAAATCTCGCTAATCTGTCGGTGGTATTAACTCTTTCAACGCATCCTGCACAATACATTGGTACACTTGCTGTACCTATAATTTTTTTCCCGCAATATATGAAAGATGAAATATTAGAGATTTGTCAAAATACGCCTCCTATTTTGGATTTTATTGATGAGACAGGCGAAGAAACATTCGAGGATGAAATAGAATTAAGTGTTTGGATGCAATATTGTGGGTTTCTATGGAATGTTTTTGGCTCTCATTGCCTTAATAACTATCGAGCTTTTCGAGATGTGGTGGATCTTCACTGGCCTCAATTTGTACAGCCTATTGTCAAGGGAAATGTTCACCCCGCTGACTATGCCCAGCTTCATAAATTAGCAAAGCATGCTTTAACTTCTGATCTTACGGTTAGCCGTCGTTTGCACATTATAGAACCCACAAAGATTAAATACATGCATGATGCCAAATCTGTGGACCTACCTCTCTTAACTAAATATCTTCTAATTTCTGCTTTTCTTGCATCATATAATCCAAGTCGTTTAGATGCTCAGTTTTTTTCTCATAGTAAAGGTTCTAAGCGCCGTGGAAGGAAGCGAAAAAACACAGAGAATCAAAAACTAGAACCAGCAAAAGGTGCGAAGAATGGTACCAGCAGGACGAAACCCACAGCAAAATTATCCCAGCTAACCTTGGGACCTAAAGCATTTGAGCTCGAGCGTCTTTTTGCTATCTACTATGCAATATGCCCAAGTGGAAGACACGTTTTGTCTGCAGATGTCTTTAATCAAATCACCAGTTTGACCTCATTGAAAATGTTACTGCCAGCTCATAAGGGCTCATTACGTTCTTTGGACAGTCCAAGGTTTAAAGTCAATGTATCAAGAGAATTCGTCTTCAAAGTTTCAAAATCAGTTACTTTTCCTTTGGAAAGCTATTTAGCGGATGAGCCTGTTTGACAAATCTTCCAATACCTTATTGTACAAAGTCAAAAAACTTACCCTGTCCTGTCCGTATTTATTTTTAGTCATGCTATTTACGAGAATTCCGTGTTTTAAATATCTTGTTAAACATAAAATGTGGGTCTAATTGTATAACTACTATTATGAGTGTCAATTACTATTTAAAGGTAGCGTTATAGATCGAGTCTAACTGTTGATATCTTTTTTTTTTGATCATTTCTTCGACTAAAGTCATACACGTAAATTTACTGACGTTACTTTCTAAGACCTACCAATATTTGACAACAAAAAAAAAACCAAACTAGTGGCCTAGAAGAAATTGATATCGGATAAATTTTCTCTTCGGTCTAAAAATTTAACCACAGGAAACAATCCATTAGTAGTAATTATATATAGAAAATCCAATAATCAACATCAAAAACATTAGTTGTATAATTTTCAAAAGGATAAAGCACCGACTTAGAAAGCCAAAGATACAAACGTTCACTTTACCCAGCAAAGGTTATTAGTATCAGATCAAAACCATCATAAATATGGAAACATGAGTCACATTGGGAAACAATAAAAGGTAAGACCAGAAACGAAGCCCTCCATTTGAAAGAGGAAATAAGTTAGACAAAATATTCATGCAATTCACCGACGCATACTGATATCACCACTTGCCTTACTATGGCTTCGATGACTGCTGGTACTGCCACGACGTCCATGTCTATGAGAAGAAGCTGGAGGAGGAATCAAGGTACCTTTCATATGTGCATACAACACGGAAATGATGTCCGTTAAACTTACAACTCCGAGTAGCTGGTTCACCTTCACACCTCCACTAGAGCTAGTGAAATGAGAATTGTTTTTAGGGGAAGGAGGACATGAAGGCGATTGTACAAGCCACAAACGATGGCATTGTGTAGCAACTAGTTTAGCCAATGTGAAGGCAAACGTAGAGGATTCGTAAATATTGAAGGCAGGAGCACTGTCTTTACCAGCACGAATGCCTTGTTCACTTTTAATAACACTCAAGAAATGGGCACAAGATTTATTCAGGAGATAAACAGACGAAGACCGTGTAACGTATTTGACGTCGACCAAAGAAATATTTCCTAGTAAGCGGAATTGAGAATCTACAACAGCAAGGGAACCAATACCTGTTTGGTCTAATATAGTGTAAGTAAAACGTGTGGAAGAAAAGTGAAAAAGTACATACTCATTTGGCGTAATGCAAGGGCAACTTTTTCATCCCCTGAAATGCAGGTTATATCACAACTACCGATATCCAAGGAATGAATCTGAGTAAGAAGTTAGTCAAAGGTTAAGTCCGTTAAAATTGTGTAAAAGACATACCGTTCTAGCCATAAGAGGCTCTAAATCTGGAAACGCACGGATATTGTTCCAAAGGAAACGAATAATTGATCTTTGAGATGCCATGAAACTTAACTCGCCAGACTCATTTGTGACAGCGACACGACGAATACCACTAGCTAAAGTCTTTGCCAATTCTCCGAGAGTAGTTGTGGGTGGAATAGTCATAAATACATCTTTACTTTTTCCAAGAAGAGAAACCTCGTATGCTGTAACGACGTTTCCAGCACGAACCTTCTCAGCAAGTTCTTTAAATCTGTCATCATTGAAATCATCAAAACCCACAACCATCAACAAAAAAGCATTTAAATCGGCGTAGTCAAATGTACTAACAATTTCGTTACTTCCCTTGGCGGCAAGAATAGGAAGCGCACTGAGTTCACGATCAATGAGAATTGAACTTGCCTCTTCCATGGACGTTTCTGGGTCAATCAAAGCGATTTCATTATCATGGAGAAAGGTAACTGGTAAATCTTGCCATGATTTTGATGGAAGGCCTTGAGGGACAGGAAACTGAGCCAAAAATTCAGAAACAGAATTGACGCCAAATGATTGACGCCCTGAGCTTGGTAAAGACTCTGCTGATTGAGGTGACAAAGGCATTCTGTATTTTGTAAACTTGTAAGTAGGTATAAACAAAAAAAAGGCTCAAAACGTACGGTATCGTGCGTTTGTCAAGACCAGTAAGAATATGGTTCTTGGATAGCGTCGTACCATGCAGTGACGGAGATGCCTAGTGATACAATACGAAGTGTCGCATATTAGAATACACAACTTATATTCTCATTTTGCAAAGAATATTGTATTATATAAGTTCCATTTATTTTTTATTGGACTTTGCTGATGATTTTTGACGGTAAACATTCAGGATTTACGTAGAGTCAAAAAAGGTGAAGATCATATTCACCTGAGAAGTAATGTAAACAAAAAATGATGTGTTGTCTACGAAAGGTGGGTTTTTACCTTTTTTTTTGAAAAAAAAAAATGAATTTTGTGAATGATGGAAAGACTAGTCGATATTCTTCACCTTGGTCCTACTACCATGCGATTGATAGAAAAAGTCCTTTTGGATGTGTCTGTTTCTCTTGAGAGATATGAGTAGTCGGTTTCCTTCTTTTCAGCAGATGAGTGTTTTTGTTACAATATTTTATATATCGAAGTGCTCGTGGAATTTTCTGCCAAGCTACTATTTATGGTGCACAACATATGATATTCAGAAACCAAAAAATGACCAATTTATCGTGCTACTTTATTAAATATAGTTGAATTCTACGCGTACAAATTCTTGTTTTCTTTTTTAAATAGTTTTTCATATTCATTTACATTGAAACATCTAGACACCTGTTAACAACTATAAATAGCTTTTTATTTTTATTATTACAACCCAAACAAACCCAGCTATGATACCTACCCTTTGTTACTTGTATGAGTAACAATGTCATTCGTTTGTGTTCCTTAAAGTAACGAGACCTTTGAAAATTTCAAGTAACGCTGTTATGCGACATTTACCGAAAGCAAGCCGTAAATAAATAAACAGATAAAAAGGAGATTTAAAAGAGAAAAAAAAATAAAATAGAAAAATGAATGTAGAAACACGAGTTAAATTTTAAACGAAGTACTTTTTTCATTTTTTAGTTGCACGTTAACAATTTTTCATTTCAAATGTTGCAATTCAAGAACCTGTTTGTAGTAGTGTTGAAAGCATAGTCAAGGTGGTGAACATTCTTAACGTTTATGTTGAGATACGCTTTCCTTCTTTTTATTTCTATTTAATTTATTTATAAATTTTCTTTGTTAAAAGTTTCTTGTCCATCGTAACAGTTACAGGCAAAACAAAAATCACAAACAATACAACGCAAAACAAAAGGACTTTTTCATTCCTCCCCTTTCACTGATAATTTTCAATTTTCTTATTTAATATTATTTCGGCAAATTTAATACCTATTGTTTTCTCATGTTTTCTTTGGAATTTGAAGCCATGCATGGTATCGTCTGCCGACGACCCTTTCAACTTTAGCCATTTACTTCGTTTGTTAGCAACGGCTGAAACGGGATACTTGGTATCCGTTTCCATAATATTAAAGGAAGTAGAAGTCCTATTTTTCTTATTTCTTTTTTTTATTTTTCTTCTTTCTCCCTTTGTTCTTTCTCACTGCCTTTGCATTTTTTCTTTTTTTCTTTGAGTACCTTGGAAGACATTTATTCATTCCTTGATTATCGTTTGCTTTTGTAACCTTTCTTTCTTTTCTTTTCTTGATTTTAGTTTTCCTTTTTTTTGGCTGACATTCTTTCTCTTTCTTTACATTCACTTTTACACCGGTTTTTGTCTCTTCGTACGTTCTTTAGCATTCGTTACCTACTTTTTCTGTTCGGGATCACATTCTTTTCAGTTTGTCTTTCGTTTATTCTACATCCATTTCCTTCTTTATATCTTTATATTATTAATTTCAACGTTATTTGGAGTATTGAGAGAAACCCGATACCTTAATCGATTGCTAAAACATTAATTTAGATTGTCATTTCTTTTCACTTTGTTAACTTCTTTTCAATGAACTCGGAGCTAGAACGCTCCGGCACTTTAAAGAACCGCCTTTCGGTTTTACGACATCGTCAGAGCACGTCTACCCTTTATACCATTGATTTAGATAGTGGAACAGAATTTGAAGATGATTTTTACAGACTTGATCGTGAGCTACAAGAACTCAAGCAGAGAATATCTATTCAGTCCAAGCGAAACTTCGTTCTTGAAAAAGATGTTCGCTTTTTGGACTCTAGAATTGCCTTATTGATTCAGAACCGTATGGCTCAAGAAGAACAAAATGAATTTGCAAAACGCTTGAGCGGTTCATACAACGAAGTGAGGGGTGACTTTCCCGACGATCAGAAAATTCAACTATACGGAGCCCTCTTCTTTCTTCTTCAGTCAGAGCCTTCGTATGTTGCTAGTTTGGTTCGTCGTGTCAAGCTATCAAACATGGATGCTCTTTTGCAAATAGTCATGTTTAATATCTACGGAAATCAATATGAAAGCAGAGAGGAACATCTTCTCCTTTCCTTGTTTCAAATGGTTCTTACTAGTGAATTTGAAGCTACTTCAGATGTCACGTCCTTACTCCGTGCAAATACTCCTGTCTCTCGAATGATGACAACGTACACACGTCGAGGCCCTGGTCAGGCGTATCTTCGAAGTATATTATATCAAATAATTAATGAGGTTGCCGCTGATGATTCAAAATCGTTACAGATCAATCCTCTTCAAGTTTATCAACAACTTGTCGATAACGCAACCTTACCTATCGATGATGTTACTGGATTAACCACTGAAGAGATCGCCAGTATACCCATAATTAAAGAAACTATTGCTGAACGTTCTACTGAGTTGAAACAGATAACTCAAAGATTCCTCGAATCTATTTTAAGAAGCTTAGATGCTGTTCCCTATGGTATCCGTTGGATCTGTAAATTGATTCGGTCTTTAATCAATCGCTTTTTCCCCAAGGTACCAGATAGTACTATTTGCTCCTTAATTGGCGGGTTCTTTTTTCTGCGTTTTATCAATCCGGCTATCATTTCGCCCCAGACATCCATGCTACTGGAAACTAATCCGTCAGACAATGTTCGAAAAACTCTGGCTGCTATTGCAAAAATAATTCAAAGTGTAGCAAATGGTACAAGTTCTTCCAAAAGCCAGTCTCCAATGTTTGAGCCCTTTTTAAGATCATACGAGACTAAGGTGCTTGATTTTCTTCATAAATTAGGTGATGTTGATGACTTCTACGATGCCCTTGAGTTGGATCAGTACGTCGCCTTGTCCAAAAAGAACCTGAATCTTGAAATTACGGTTAACGAGATTTATTTGACTCATAAAATCATATTGGAGAATTTGCCATACATACCTGATCCGAATTCGCACATTCATACCTTGATGGATGAACTTGGTGAAGCTCGTGAACCAGTCCCTCAGTTTGATAATTGGTTGGTATCCATCCAGTTATATAATAGATGGGAATCTTCAATCCCGGATTTATCGAGGAAGTTGAAAGTCACGCGTGAAGATATCTTGTTTGATGATGCTAAAACATTATTTTTACAATTACTTCGGCTTTTCCCTAACGGTCACCATGTAACAAAGTTACCCTTGCAGCTTCGAAAAATAGCTGATGCGGTATCTAATTTCAAAAATAGTTCTTTAATTAGAAAAGGTTTAAAAGCTATTCAACTTTTGGAACGTTTATCTGATTTAAATCTTGTTTACAAGGAAAATAATTATGAGCCTTTAGCTTCCGAGGTTGAAAAGGAGTATCTCAGTTTCGATAAGATTATTCGAAGAATTCAAGTCGAAAGAGATGCTTTAAAAGACGTTCATAAAGCTATATGTGATCACAACGAATATTTACGAACGCAATTGGAGATCTATGCTAGTTATTTGGCCAATGCCAGAAATCAAATATCTGGAACAAATGGTGAATCCAAAAGGCTAGCTCGCGGTGTCGGCGTTATTGGAATCAAGCCGAAGCACAACAAGACCGGTGAGGTTGTTCGATTTTCAGCGCTCCAAATGAAAAAGGAATCCATACTATTGGATTTCTCATTTACAAACGCAGATCCAGCCAATGTCTATTTTACGTTTGCTAGGCTACAGGATGGGAACTTCCAAATTTCCATATACGAAGGCAATCATCCACGACCCATAAAAGAATTACAAGTCGCTCTAGAACAGGTGAGTCAAAAGAGATATACTCATGATTCTGTTTTAGATACAAAAGATGTCAAATTTGAAGCAAATAAGCTTTACCATCTTTTTGAACAAGTGTTTTTGAGAAGATAATGGTTTGTTTATTCAAAAGCCCAGCACGTAATACATACACATAATCTTACTAATTTCGGGCTTTTCACTATCTGTTTGTTTATTATACTTTATTCTTATTTATTGCTTAATAGGAAGCATCGCTAGATTATATTGGTTGTATAGGATTTAACTACTCTAGAATATAGTTTAAACAATTTTACTTTCTCTACTTATCGTTTCTTTATCTTATGAGCCCATGTGCTATTAAAAATAACATTCAAAATAATCAACGTCAATACCTATATTCTTTTACCTCTTTACTCTGGGGGTCCTTCCTTCAAACTGCTTCGGCCGGCACGAAGAATTTGGTCCACGCTGATTAAATTGCCGGCAATAACTGTAGCAGAATGCAACATATGGCGAATGACTCTATAGTTATCGTAGATTCCTTCTATTTCAGGATCAAATGGTAACCCGGTTCGAATATCAAGTCCAACCTTATATCCTTCCGTAGCTTCTTCTTGTAAAGCTACTATAGCATCTTGGATATCGTAACTCGAGTTGGCAGCTAGAGTTTTTGGTATAACTAAAAGGGCATCAGCAAAAGCATAGACACCCATTTTAGCTTTTCCTTTAACTTCTTGTTGAGCAAATTTATTACGGAGATGACTAGCACAGGCAATCTCAAAAGCACCAGCACCAGCAACCAAGCAATTATCTTCTATAGCGTTTTTAACGGCGCGAAGACCGTCTCTTGTAGCATCTTGAATTTGCTTGATGGTGTAGTCATTGGGTCCGTGAATAAGAATCGTAACACTTTTAGGTTCCTTAACATCTTCAACAAAAGTAAACTTTTCCTCACCCATGGTTTGCTCATACACAGAACCAGCCCAGCCGAGGACTTCAGGGGTAAGATCTTCGACACTATTTTGAGCAACACCACCGCAAATTAATTGTAAGCGTTCCATATTACGACGCTTGGCACGTCGTAAAGCCATAATACCATTCTTTGCCAAAACATCCAAAGAAAGAGGGTCTATACCTTTCTGATTGATAACTACAAAGTTGGAAGTGGGATCTCTTTCACAAACTTCCTTCTTAAGTTCAACAATTTTACGAAGTTTCTGATCGACAAAGTTTCTTTCGCTTTCAACCAAACGTTCTCTTTGTTCAGAGGTACTATAGAAGAAGCCAGAATTAATTTCACTCTTCTCATACTCCAAAGAAACATTCAGAGTTAACACAAAAGCATTTTTCACTTGTTTGGGCATATCAGGATGACGGGTTCCATGATCTAAAAGAAGTCCTTTTATAATTTTACTATCAGAAGACGAACGGTTTTGCATTTTCATAATTTCGACCATATGAAGATCAATCGGTCCATTGTCCTTCCGTATAGCTAATACAGCATCTACGACTGCGGGAGCCAAGGACTCCACAACTTTGGAAGATATCTTTGTATTCAATGATGTCTTGGCAACGTTCAATAAAACTTCGCGGTCAACTTCAAAATTTGTTTTAAAGTCTTCCAAAAACTTCAAGGATTCTATCTTTGCAAGGTCAAAACCATCGCTAATTAAAGATGGATGAAGACCTTCACGAATATACAACTCAGACTGTTTAAGAAGCTCACCAACAAGGAGACAAACAGATGTCGTACCATCTCCAGTAACTTCATCCTGAGCAGTAGCTGCCTTAGCGATGCAAGAGGCGGTGGGATTTTGAATTTGCTACTTATTGTTAAAAAAAAATTCCATTTGGAAATCGAACTCCAGTCGAGTACTTAAAGATAAAAATAAATCAAAAAGACACAACAGACTTTCAATTCATTTCCCAATTTCCTTACCATTTCTGTAAGAAGTACTTTTCCATCCTTCGTGAGTTTAATTCCACCAGCACCATCAACCAACCTAAGAAATTCGTTAGTGAAATACTTTCAAAGAAGAATACATACATCTTGGTGGTACCCGTAGGACCCAGGTTGCTTCTCAATACATCCTGAAGACCAACTGCAGCGGAAATATTGACCTAACTCTGTGTTAGCAAACGCGCTACTCTGGTAAAATCCAAATTTCTTACCTGCAACGCTTGCGAGCGCTGAATAGACTCTGCTTTAGGATTCAATAACGATAACATTGATTTTTTGATATCCCTTCGAGAGTTTTGTTGTAGTAAAGGATGCTTGTGTCTTTACCTGAATGCGTCGATGAATAACGAGTTGTTGCTATTTCCTTGAAGAAATTAATGTAACGCAGTGGTAGGAGGGAATTTTATAAATGTAAATCCAAATTACGAAGTACAATTCTCATAACAACGGTATTTTACAATACGGTGGTAGAATAACGGTGAGTATGCCTTTAACACCAAGGGCGCACAAATTTTATCCATAGCACCTACATCAGGACTAGTTGCGGCATCTAGTTGCAAACAAGTGGAAAAAAATGGTCGACTACTTGTTGTATGAATCCGCAACGGGTTATTCCCTCTTTGACGTAGTTGGAGCAGAAGAAGTTGCTGGTAAAACTAAGGAAGTCCAGCTCTCTCTTCAAGACCTCTCGAAGTTCGGAAAGGTCGTGCAATTGAGAAGCTTTGTTCCTTTCAAAAATGCTGCACACGCTTTAGAAAATGCAAACGATGTTTCTGAAGGCGTTATGAACGAGTACTTGAAGGGCTTTTTGGAATTAAATTTGCCCAAAGCCTCAAAGAAGAAGAAAATTTCTTTGGGAGTTCAAGACAAAAACTTGGCTTCATCCATTAAGGGTGAGCTTGAAGGTATCGAATGCGATACTTCTGACCTTGCTCAAGATCTTTTGCGTGGTATCCGTTATCATGGTGACAAGATGTTGAAGCAACTTTCTGCTGGTGACTTTGAAAGAGCTCAGTTGGGTTTGGGTCACTCTTACTCTCGTGCCAAGGTGAAGTTCAATGTCAATCGTAACGACAACATGATTATTCAAGCCATTGCTATCCTCGATCAATTGGACAAGGATATTAATACATTCTCTATGCGTATGAAGGAATGGTATTCTTGGCATTTCCCTGAGCTGTCTAAGATTGTCGGTGAAAACTATAAGTATGCCCTCGTTGCCAAATTCATTGGTGATAAGAATTCTGTGAACGACGAAATTTTGCATGATTTGGCTGCCCTTGTCGACGATGACAAGGATGTTGCTCAAAGTATCATCAGCTCTGCTCGTGTCTCTATGGGTCAAGACATCTCTGCCATCGATTTGGAAAACATCAGTGCTTTTGCCGAACGCGTCATTAAGTTGAGTGAATATCGTAGACAACTTCATAATTATCTAGTTCAAAAGATGAGCGTTGTAGCTCCTAACCTTGCTGAATTAATTGGTGAAATGGTTGGTGCTAGATTGATTTCTCACGCTGGTAGTCTTACCAATCTTTCCAAGTGCCCTGCCTCTACTGTTCAAATCCTCGGTGCCGAAAAGGCTCTTTTCCGTGCTTTGAAGACTCGTGGTAACACACCCAAATATGGTATCATTTATCACTCTAGTTTCATCGGCAAGGCAGGCAGCAAGAACAAGGGTCGTATTTCTCGTTTCCTTGCTAACAAATGCTCCATCGCCAGTCGTATTGACAACTTCAGTGATATTCCTTCCACCGCGTTTGGTGAGGTATTGCGTCGTCAAGTTGATGAGCGTTTAGGCTTTTACGATACCGGCGTTGCTCCTACCAGAAACAGCGTCGCCATGTCCGAAGCTTATGAGAAGGCTCTTTCCAATGTTAAATTGGATGCTGACGAAGAGGACGTTGCTGAGGAAGAAGTTAAGGATGATGCCGACAAGAAGGACAAGAAGAGCAAAAAGGAGAAGAAAGAAAAGAAGGAGAAGGGTGAAAAGAAAGAAAAGTCTAAGAAGAAGCGCTCTTCAGATGATGCTGATGAAGACTCCAAGAAGAGTAAGAAGAAAAAGAAGAGTCACAAGGAAGAATAATCTTCAGTTATTCTTTCACTTTTTGTTATATTATTGGATTTCAGTAGGGAGATTTAAAAATGCTTACGGTGTGAAAACTTTGCTTGTAATAAAAAATTAAAGCTTCTTCAGCATATTTCTTCGTAACAGTCCGATTTATTATAAGTAGTTGTACGTTTCGCATACTATATGTCCGTAATTTAGAACATAGTATTATTATCGTGGTAATTCATCCATTTTATGTTGATCATATGAAAGCTCGACGACTTTAAGCAATTTCATCCGAATGGGGTCGGTCAACATGTTGTAGAGTTTGAGGCATACAAATATTATTTTTTAAAAACAATTAACTAATTAGCTTTAAAAGTTAAAAATTCAGTCTAACATATTACTACGTTTTTTGACGAAACTACCGGGAAGCCCTAGAATGCTGGTGGCATTCGATCCTTCCTCCACCACCACACTACTGGTTTTTACTAGAAGTAGTAAAAATGAGTTCTGAAGTTAAAAGCGCAAGCTCTCTTGGTAAGAAAACTTAAATTTTATTTTATACAAGTAAAACTAACCGTATATAGCGGTCAAATATGACTTGTCGCAAAAAATTATGCAGCATCTTGACCGCCATTTAATTTTTCCTTTGCTGGAGTTCTTGTCTTTGAGAAACACACACAATCCTAAGGAATTGTTGCAGGCTAAGTATGACTTGCTTAAGGATACCAATATGACAGACTATGTTGCTAATTTATGGACGGAGCTCCATGGTGGTCAAACAGATGAAGCTTTGGCAAATCAATTTGCTGAGAAGAGAAAAAGTGTTTTGGATGAACTCTCCGAGTTAGAAGAGGAAGTGCAGGGAATTTTAGGTGTTTTGGAGAACCCTGATTTGATTGCAGCTCTCCGTCAAGACAAGGGCCAAAACTTACAACATTTGCAAGAGCATTATAACATTACTCCTGAAAGGATCGCTGTCCTGTACAAGTTCGCCCAGTTTCAATACAACTGTGGTAATTATGGTGGTGCTTCTGATTTGTTGTACCATTTCCGTGCATTTAGCAAGGATACTGAATTGAATGCTTCTGCCACTTGGGGCAAATTTGCTTCTGAAATTTTGACTGTTGATTGGGATGGTGCTATGGAAGAGTTGGGTAAGCTTCGAGAAATGGTTGATTCCCGCAGTTTCAAGGATGCAGCTGTTCAATTGAAGGATCGTACCTGGTTATTACACTGGTCCTTATTCCCCTTGTTCAACCATGCCAATGGCTGTGATACTCTTTGTGATTTATTTTTTTATACACCATACCTGAATACTATTCAAACATCATGCCCTTGGTTGTTGAGATATCTGGCGGTGGCTGTTGTTACCAACCAGAATAATGCTAATCAAAAGCCCCGTAATCCCAGACAATCTTATCAACGCCGTATGCGTGATCTTATTCGCATCATCAACCAAGAGAGCTATGAGTATAGTGACCCTATCACTTCCTTTATTTCTGCTTTATACTCTGAAGTTGACTTTGAGAAGACACAACGTTGCTTGAGAGAGTGTGAAGAAGTTTTGAAGACAGACTTCTTCCTAGTTTCTCTCTGTGACCACTTTATGGAAGCTGCTCGTAAGCTCTTAGCTGAAGCTTATTGTCGTATCCATAGTGTCATTAGTGTCGATGAGTTGGCAAATAAGCTGGAGATGGACAGTGCGCAACTCATTCAACTTGTAGAAAACCAAAACAATGCTGCCGGTTCAACTGCCGCTGCCGCAACTAATCAAGCTAACAATGAAGAATCAGATACTGCCTCTTCAACCGCTGGCACTGGAGATATCATTCCAGAGACCGAGACTACAACAGAAGCTGAAGAGCCTGAACCCGAACCTCAATTCAGTTTCAAGGCAAAGATGGACGGGGTAAGTGAAAATGAAAAAAAAAAGAATTATGTTCGAGTATTGCTAACTGTTATAGGAATCTATCATTATTGAGCATCCCAAGTATTCTGCTTTCCAACAAATTATTGATCGTACAAAGTCATTGGGATACGAAAGTCAAAATTTGGAGCAAACTCTTTCTCGGAGCATTGCTGATCTCAAGCTTCCTTCAGCTTAAGGAAGATATGAAAATACAGTATTCTGTTGTACGGAATAGGACGTTAAAGATCTAAAGAAAACTTTTTTTTCAGGTTCGGTTGATTGGTCCTGCCAGTATAGTATGTAGCTTGGTGTTGTATAAAAAAGAAAATAACGGAATTAATACAATTTTTGTTAAAGTCACTACGAACATGCGATGGAACTCTTGTTATAGAAAACGTATGTTCCGATTTTGTCTTGCATCATTCCGACCCAGAATTTGGGTAGTATTCTATGTAAATAATACTTAAGCATCTAAGAGAACAACAATGTTTTAAAAGTGGCCTTTAGTTTTAGAGAGGTGTAATTTCCTTTTTGTCCCTTGGTTGTAGTTACATTTCCAACATTCATTCATACAAATTTTACTTGGCTGGTTATTTCTCAACTGAATTTAAGGAACAATATTTAAGGTGGTTCAGTGACATGGTTTAACGCGACGGGATGCATGATTACGGTACTCGATTTACCGGGGACAGGGTATGACTTAAGCGTTTGTTTTTGCTTTACATCTGAAAATCGTGCACTTACTGACTACTTTACCTTTACAAGTTTATCTTTTCCAAAGCCACAACACTTGATTGACATTGTAAGTAAAGAGGTTTAAGCGCCGTTAGAATTTGGCTTTGATTTGGAAATAAATAAGAAAATGTCGAAAGAAAGCCAGCTTGAAGTAAAGGAAAATCAAGATCCTAATGTAGCTCCTGAAGAATTTGTCGGCGATGAGGGACAGGTGGAAGGATATCAGAAAGAGGAAGGAAAATTTAAGCTAGTTTTATCGATTTTGAAACAATGTATCGGGGTGAAAGACATTGCATCCTTACGCTTCAGCCTGCCAGCTCAACTTTTGGAACCAGTAGGAAATTTGGAGTATTGGAATTATGTAGATAGACCAGATTACTTTGCAACTATGGGCGATAATGATGACGATCTTGAGCGCATGCTGTCTGTTTTACGCTGGTGGTTCACAAAGGATTTAAGATTTATACGGGGTCGTGTAGTGAAGCCATACAATTCAGTTTTAGGTGAATTTTTTCGCTGCAAATGGGATGTGGATGAGCCAGTTGTTCGTGAAGACCATACCATTGATCCTGAATCATCTCACCTTCCATTGCACAAGACGGAATACACTGAATCAACAAAGTACCCGATAGGAACTGGATATTTTCGCCCTTCCACATCCCGATCACAATCCAGTAAGAGCCTTATGGGAAAGAAGTCGACAAAGAAGAGCTCAAAGTATAATGTTCCCGACGAAAACGCTTCTGCTTCTACTCCCGACTTAAATCAGGATTCCCTTACTTCTTCGCTATCTAATTTACAACCCCCAAGTTCTGGGAGCGCAAACGAACCTTATGAGTCCACGATTCCTACTTCCGATTCCACGCGCTACAATGATGAGCAATCAGGACTCCGTACTTCTCAAAAGCACCCTGTTGTTTTCATGGCTGAGCAAACTTCCCATCATCCTGCTGTCAGTGCTTATATTGTTGCATGTCCTTCCAAGGGTGTAGAAATTTTTGGTCAGGATCAAATCTCCGTTGGGTTTACTGGAACCTCTTTCAAAGTTTCCTCTGGACACCTCAACAAGGGTGTCTATGTACGTTTCAATCATAGAGATAATGAAGAATATCTATGCACACATCCATCTGCTTCTGTTGGTGGAATACTTCGAGGTAATCTTCATATTAATATGCAAGATTCCACATATATTACCTGTCCCAGAACTCGCATCAAGGCTATCGTGACTTATGTGGAAGAACGCTGGCTTGGGAAACCAAAGAGTTTAGTTGAGGGTGTCGTTTTTCGCTATGACCCTGAAAATGATTGTTATGATACTATTAAATCAGTTCCCAATGATTGCATATTGGCTACCCTCAAAGGAAACTGGAGAAATTGTATTTTTTACAATTACGCTGGTGATTCAGAATCGAAAATGCTGGTTGATTTGAATGAGCTGGATTTGGTCCATAAGCGCTGTCCTCCTCTGAATAAACAATTCCCTTTCGAATCTCGCAAGATTTGGTATCCTGTCACTCAAAACATTGTTAGCAAGCGATATCCTCAAGCCACCAAGGCTAAACAAGAAATCGAAGAACAACAAAGACAAGACTCTGCTATGCGTCATGAATCGAACACTGAATGGAAACCACGCTTTTTTATTCCAGATAACGAGAACGGCCATCCCTCTTTAACAGAGTCTGGCAGAAAGGTCCTTTTAGAAACTCTAGGTGAACTCTGAGCAAAAAGTTAGCTCTCCAAAGCTAAAAAACAAGTGTTAAAGCAATTAAAGCTTACAAGTTCTTGTCATTAAGCCATGGCATCTTATATTATTGACCTGGATTTAGGCTTTCTTAGGGAATGGAAGAATAAATTATTACTTATGAGTCTAATTTTTTTATTGGTTTTTCGTCTCGCTTTGTTTTATGTGTGTGCACGACAATTTTTTGATGATAGTAATTATTCTGTCTAGTGAAATCGATATTTTCAGTAATGACATTGTTTTGTGAAGACAAGCAATTTACATTTTGTGAATCTATATCTGTTAATGAATCTGTTATCGTTCAGTCTGTGCTTGCAGTTATTGTGAAGAGTCTCTCAAGCTGTTTCGATAGAGCCTGCTGACAAGTTATTAGCATGGTGTCTGAATTAGACTTTGTTGTTGTTTATGTTAGTATCTACCTATTATGTGGAACATATTTAATAAATTAAATTAACTGTTTATGATCGAATGATTTTTAGTAGACCAAACCTTTAAATTTCATTTACTTCAATATTTGAGCACACATGGTCAATTATTTAAACAATTTTAAGCTATTATAAACAAAACGAATGAAATTAACTCACTTTTGTGAGGCATCTGCTGAGTAGACCTCCGCGCAGGATATGTCTCACGAATGTATGAGGTGAAAGAAACCCAACGACAACACATACCTCAATACAAAAAGTTTGAGAAGAAATGAGTATCAGCTTAGCTTCTAGAGGAAGGAAAATAAAATCCTTACCTAAAAATCTTGAGTTTCCTTTAGATGGTTCAATTGACCAACTGAAGGAAGAGATTTCTCAAAGAACCCGACTACCCATTGAACGGTTGAGATTGAGTACAGTTGATGGTACAGTGCTTGTTCCAGGAAAAACACTTCGAAAGTTTGGAATCGGCACTGGAACGACCATATGGGTGAAAGATCTGGGACCCCAAATTGGTTGGAGGACAGTCTATGTTATTGAATACTTGGGTCCCTTAATTATTCATACTCTTTTCCTTTTGAATCTAAAGCTTATATATCGACAAGAATTCAGCTTATCGTTAAATCAAAAGGTTGCTTTTATAATGATTATTTTGCATTTCTTGAAGCGTGAATATGAAAGCATATACGTTCATCGCTTTTCTTCTGCAACTATGCCATTCCGAAATATTTTTAAGAATTGCTTTCATTACCACGTTCTTTCTGGTTTACTTCTTGCCTTTTTCATCTACGGGCCATGGCATTCCCAAGATTACATTTGTCCTAAACTATTTACCTTCTATACTATTGGTTGGACCGTAAGTTTTCTTAAATTTTATTCATTGGAAGATAAACGCATTTATCCTTTGCTAACACTTGTAGGTGTCTTTATTATCGAATTTGAAAATTCATTTGGAGCTTCGAAATTTGCGACCTGAGGGTTCTTCCAAACGTGCCATACCTTATGGATTTGGTTTCAACTGGGTTTCCTGCCCCAATTATTTCTTTGAATCCCTTGAATGGTTATTTTTTGCTCTGATTACTAAATCTTGGGCTTGTAAGTGAATGACATTTTCTACTTTGACTTCTAACACAACCTTAGCTTGGCTGTTCTTGGCCGTTGGATTTGTACAAATGTTGGTGTGGGCTCAAAAGAAACATCAACGTTATATCAAAGAGTTTCCCAATTATCCCAAGTCTCGTAAAGCTATTATCCCTTATTTCATGTGAGTATTAAGACACACATTCTGTTTTATTCCAATCGATCTTTCCGCCCTTTGCCTATATTCATTTCTGTATAGTGTTCATTCATGGGTTATTAAAGACGTTAGAGGTTTCACTTTCTCACTCATTCGATTTGTTTCAGTCTTCCCATTAAATCTCACACTGCCAACCTTACAAGTATAAGTACAAGTACTTGTTCATACAACGATAACATCCACATTGTGAAACTAATTATACAGTATAGCTTCTGATATTATTCCAACTTTTTACCAAACGGAAGGTTCAAAGTCAATATAAACAAACGTAAATAAACACTACTTTTACACTTAGATATGACGGTTCCTCAAGCTTTGCTTATTGGAAGGTTTAGTTTTTAAAAAGAAAAAAGAAATGTTTGAATGATGTATTTCAGGAGTTGTTTTATTCAATGAACAATGAATATCCCCTTTTTTTTGCAGATCTGTTTGTTTACTAAATTGGTCTTTGTTTACATTTGAAATTACTATAAATTGTAGGATAACCCGATACTATTCCTGTGTCCGTGCCTGCCGTCTTTTACCAAGTCATTCCTTTATTTTATTCCATCAAAAAGCAAGTAACGGTTTATATCCATGGGTAACGACATATGTTGTGTAAAAAGGATACCTCAAAAATTGAAATCCATTAAGTTCAAAAACCCTTTCAAGCATAAGCCATCTTTCGCTTCTAAAGATGCAACAGTGAAGACGGCTGATCTTCCCGAAAAGGCTGTTGTAGCCCACTTTATGATGGGTTTGACAAGCACTTATCAACAAGCTGACTTTGAATGGGATATCAATAATGCTGTGGGTTACGGGTTTGACGGATTCGCTTTGAACTTTGGCAATGATAGTTGGATGATGGAAAAGCTTCAGCTAGTATATAATGCTGCCGATGCAGTAAATAAGGATTTCAAACTGTATCTGAATGTGGACATGGCAGCAATGGGTAATGTTCCCGCTAGTGTTGTGACAAATTATGTCAAAACTTTTGCCTATAGAAATCACCAAGCTACTATCGATGGTAAAGTATTGGTCGGAACATTTGCCGGTGAAACAAATACTTTCGGACAGGCCAATGCTAACGACGGTTGGCAAACGCAAGTCAAGGATGCTTTAGCGTCCTCTGGGATCAATATCTTTTTCTTACCTTCTTGGGCCCTCGATGCTAATAATATCTATGAGACTCATCCCGTCGCTGATGGATTTCTCAAATGGAACAGTTGGCCTTACTACACTGGAACACCCCTGTCTGATTCCGAAGACCAAGTCTATTTGCAGCATGCCAGATCCTCAAATAAGAAATATATGGGAGGTGTAAGTCCTTGTATGTTCACCCACTTTACCTCGAAGAATTTTGTATTTTTCTACGAAGGTTTGTGGTATAGTAGATGGATGCAAATGATTAAACTTCAACCGGATTACCTTCAAGTCATTACTTGGAATGACTATGGCGAAAGCCATTACATTGGTCCTACAAACAACAATGCAGCATTCCCTGTAGATGGTTCCAATGCTCACGATTGGGTTGATGCGTTCACTCATGTTCCATTGGCATCGACTTTGCCATACTTTATTCAAATGTACAAGCAAGGAACAACGGGTCTTCCATCCAACTTTCACGGCCCCTCAACGCTTTTCTTTACTTACCGCGTCCATTCTAAGAATGCTAAAGCGACTGGAGATCCAATTGGAGAACCTCAAAACAGTCAGAACTCTAGAGATGAAATTGACGTGATTGCCTTTTCAAGTTCTAGTTTCACTGTTAAGGTGTCTATAAATGGTACTGTATTGGGTAGCGCTAATATGCAAGCTGGTGTTACGGCGAACAGTTTCAGCTTTGTACAAAACAATGCGGCTGTTGCTGGCGTTCCTCTCTTCCAAATTTTTAATGGCACGAGCGAGGTGTCACAAGCTTCTGGTCCACTTGCTATATTGGCAGATAACCAGGTTACTCAATACAACTTCAATTTTTGTGCTGGTGCTGTATATTGGTGACGGTTAGAAGTTGTAGTTTAACAAGGTGAAATGACCCAGGATATGAAGGATGAAAAGAATACTTGCTTTTGATGGCTTTATTTGTCAATAAAGGAATGCACTTTGGTTTTTTTGCCAAGTAAAAAGGCCAATTTTTACCGATTACGGTTTTTCTAAATTAGATTAGTTATTCTAATTTATGTTTATAAAACAAAAATTACTCTGAGGGATTGGTGAGAACTTCGATCATCATTACTTGTAAGTTCCTTTGCCGCGTATTTAAGACTATGAAGTCTAATATCTTGTAAATGATGTTCCATCTATTCGAATGATTAGGTGCCGTTAGATACTTTTTATGTCTGACTGAAATGTAAGTAGTCCGATTTCTGTATTTCGTGTAATCAAAACTTTATAGAGTTGAGAATTGGAAGACAGTTAATGATTCTTATATTTACATTTTTTATTATCTAGAATAGGTTTATGACTAATTTCAGCTAATAAACAGAGCGAGCAATTGATTTTGGAATTACTGTAACGAGTATGTGCAAAAATATAATAATATATGAGTCATATATTGCAATAAATATGATCCTGGTGCATAACAACGCAGGCGAGGATTACAATACCAAAGGTAGACATACCTATATTGTTAGAAACTCTTTATTAACCACAACCAACTAGAAAACTAGTTAAGTGATTTTACTAAAGAGAACATGTTTTCTGAACTATCGAATCGAGTGGAAGAATTTCGGTGTATGTGCCAGTATAAGTTATGGCACGATGTACCAACTTTCGCTGAAGACGAAGAGCTTCCTCACGATATTCGTCAATGCTACATTCTTTTAGACAAGACATCTAGATCTTTCTCAGCAGTCATTAAGGCACTTCCGGATGAATTAAGAGAAGCTGTGATGTTATTCTATCTGGTTCTTCGAGGATTGGATACAGTAGAAGATGATATGACCTTGTCTTTAGAGAAGAAAGTTCCTATTTTACGATCATTTCATGAAAAAATTGAACAAGAGGGATGGAACTTTGAGGAGTCTGGTCCCAATGAAAAAGATAGGGAGCTCTTAGTAAAGTTCAATATCATTATTTCCGAATTTCTAAAGCTTAATAAAGGATACAGAAGCATTATCCAAGAAATTACGAAAGAAATGGGTGAAGGAATGGCTCATTATGCGACTTTGTCAGGAAAGAATGATGGCTTTTCTGTTAGTACAGTGCAGGACTATGATCAATACTGCCATTACGTGGCAGGATTGGTTGGCATTGGATTATCCCGATTGTTTGCTGAGTCTAAATTAGAAGATCCTGAATTTACCAATGCCGTGGACATCTCCAACTCTCTTGGTTTGTTCTTACAAAAGACAAACATTATTCGTGATTACCGTGAAGATTTCGATGATAACAGACACTTTTGGCCTAAAGAAATCTGGTCAAAGTATGTTACGAACTTTGGGGAATTCTGCCAACCTGAAAACTCCGAAAAAGCACTTACTTGTCTTTCTGAAATGACCGCTAATGCTTTAACTCATGCTACTGATGCTCTTAGTTATATAGCTTCTTTACAGAATCAGAAGGTCTTTAATTTTGTCGCTATTCCTCAAGTTATGGCTATTGCTACCCTGTCAACTGTATTCAGGAACCCAACTATGTTCCAGGCTAACGTTAAGATCCGCAAAGGCCAAGCAGTTCAAATTGTACTTCATTCTGTTAACATCAAGAACGTTTGTGATATGTTTTTGCGCTACACTCGCCAAATTCATTATAAAAATACGCCTAAGGATCCCAATTTCATGAAAATTTCTATCCAGTGTGGAAATATTGAGCAAGCCTGTGAAGCAATCTTCCCTCGTCATTACCGTGAGCTTTATGACAAGGTATTTTCTGAAAAGCTTTTCCAAGAAAAGAAGGGCAATACCAAGGATGAATCTGCAAAAGTTGCTGTTTCCGAAGAAGTTCGTCAACAACATAAAAAAGATATGATTGATCTCGGTGTTAGTGTCGGTATCGTTTTATTGATTGTGTTCAGCTCTATTGGTGTTGTCTTTTACGTGCTTGGTTTAAGCTTTTCCATTTCAGATTTGAAAAATCTAAAATTGATGTAACGCTACACAGGTTTCACGAGAATATGGTTATTTCTGAAATTAATTTCACTCATTTAATCTCACTACTTTAAAAGTATCAATCGCATATTGCCGGCCTTATAATCTTAAATTCATCTTCATTTTAATTACGAGAGACAGTAAGTATACAAAACAAAAAGCTAAGACAACTAAAATATAATCCGAAAATATCATCTGCACTCTAAAAGCATACTAACAGCGGCTATTCCCTTTTCTTCAAATTTTATGCGGTAGAAATCTTTTGACGTTTCATGGTCTACATGGTTAGATTGTAATTCTTGAACAACTTAACTACACTTACTTCATTATTATTACCAGCGTCATTGTAAGATCTCTTTTTAGAGGACTTCGGTTTTTCTTCTCCCGGTTCGAACACTTCATCGGGCAAATTGACACTGAAACGTTAGAAAATTATTAAACATCTAGCATTGCACGTACTTTCTTGTATTTTTTATAAAAACATTCACTTGGGTTTCATCATATCTATCCCACTTTTTACACAATTCGTAGAACTCTTGAGCAGGCCACGATATATCTAACTTTTTGATAGGTTGTCCTTTTTTCTTTTCTAGTTCCAAACCAATGTAAAAAGTAGTAGTGTAAACAGGATAGATCTTTTTCTCTTCCTTTTCATCCTCATTTTCGTTTTGTCCATTAGCATCGGCAGCTAGTCTTTCAAGATCAGCAGTCTGTGAAGCAACATCTAGAGAAATTCCACTAGCTAACTGATGCGCTTCTTCTTCTGATTTGCAGTTATGGATTTTATCGAATCCTTTGTTGAAGGGATGAGCCAAAGCTATAGCTTCGACCAATTCCAATCTAGTAACAAGATGACGAAGCTTTGATTCTACCAAACCAGACCATTTTAACTGTCCTTCAGCAGTTTTAGATGCTGCAGTAATCATTAAATAATGCTTATAACGATGGAAAAAATCATGCTTTTGGAATAACGCAGACCAACCTACTGATCCAACCATAATTTGATCAGCAATTTCTCCAGCACGAACCATTTCACTGAGGATGATAGCTTGAGTTGAAGGTGTAATATTATGGGTTGCACACATCGAAGGGTAGGCAGGTGTAATAATAGGCATCCTATGCGCTTTATCTGAGGGATATAGTTTAGGATTCCATATACGTACTTGGAGAGGGCCATCCTCAATTGGTTTTAATAGAATTGGTTGAGGCCAGTTCCATTGATGTAGGATTCGGAAAAACTTTGCAACAATAACAGAAGATACAGCATTCGGATATAGTTGACAAATTCTAGCAACCATCATGGCCCATGCGACACCACCAGGGAATCCAATCACATTTGCATATATCGCACGGCGCTGGGCCCAAAATTTAACAGCTCGTAGCGCATGCTTGAAAACAGCGCGGTTAGGCACAAGTTGCAAAATTTGATCAGTAACACGAGTACCGTTTAAACTTAGGATACAACGTTCTTCAACACCTTTTAATAAATTATTATCTGATAACTCTAAAGTCCTAGGTACTTTAGGTACCGAAAGTCGAGCGAAAATTAAGTCAATGCTGATATCAAAGTACTTGAACTTAATAATGGGGACATATGCATCTGGAACAGAAGCCAATTCAGTAATTTCTTCTCGTTCGCGTAGCATAGGTTCCAAATCCTGGAAAAAGTTCTCTCGTGAAACGTGCTTAGGTACAACTAATAAGGTATCAATATCCGAACCTGGTCCGTAAACACCTAAGCGATAACTACCATAAGTAAAGATTTTACCACCAGCTTCGTTAGCCATCTTCTCATTCATGTGCTTTGCCAAAGACACTTTCTTCACAAATTCTGTAGCGATCCGTTGCAAGTCATCTAACACTTTAATACGTCTTTCAGATTCAGCCGATGATTCGAAGAGGTTTTGACGTTTCAGTTCATCGATTAACGCGGTATTTAAAGCGTTTTCCTGCTCAGTAGCTGGAGCAGTACTGATGGGAGGAGTAATTCCCCATTGCTTCACACTCATTCCTTCAGTTTACTGTAAATTTCTAAGAATAAGGTTACTTAACAATTAGAAAACTGAAGAGCACAATCCTCTAGTACTTAAAATGGGAGACAGTAGTAAGCCATATACCAAGGACCTAGTGATAGTTGACACATTAACGAAATTTAGCTTCACGTCGTTAGTAAACAAAATTCTATTTAGGACTTCGTTTCATTATGAGTACAAATATAGATAGAGTCTACTGAAAAAGGTGCTGCTTTCTTTAATTCAGTGATAATATTTCGAGAAATTGACAATTACGGTTGACAAATCGGATATTAAATACACATAGACTTCCCCTGTAATTTAACTATTATTCTAAACCCAACTAACAAAAAGCACGGGAGAAAGATAATAAAGAGTTATCGTCTCCATATTGAGAAATAAGTTGTATTCCCATTGGTAAGCCATTATGTACTTGCCCAAAAGGAATGCTTATGGAAGGCAATCCTGCTAAATTTGCTGGTACCAACATACTGTCTGACAAAAAGTCAGAAGATGTCTTGGAGCCAATCGGCATACTTGGTTTTAAAAAGGAGGGTGTCACGATGAAATCAATATCCCCAGAAGGATCAAGAGCATGCAAAGAGGGTATCCGAAAACAAGCATTGAATTCCTTCTGGACGGCTCTTCTTAATAATTGAGCTTTCCTATAAAACCCTATCTTTTTTCTACATATAGGTTAGCTATTTCAATTATAATACAAAATAACTTACCCAGAAGAGAGAGAATATGCTCCAAGTAATAATCGCTTTTTCACCTCTTCTCCAAAATTTGCAGATCTAGGACTTAATTCATGTCTTTTATCTTGTGAAATGGGGCCGAAAATGGAATTATTGTAGCGCGCTAAATTGGAGGCACCTTCAGCGTAAGCCAGAGAAGTATATATACTCACTCCGTAAAGCGAGGATGGAAGGTGGACTTCTTTTATCAAATGGCCTCTAGATTTGAGCAAAGATATAAATTCGTTCCATTTTGATAATACCTCGTTATCCATTTCAACAACGTTCCAATCTGTTGGAACGCCGATGATACTAGGCGTCTCATGGTTTTTATACTTTTGGCAATGTCTATCGATCTTCATCCGCATCTTCTCGCTTAAACAAGTTGCATCTTTTGGGTCTGTGCGATTCAACAAGTCGAAAACACTTGTTATGCCATCGAAATCCTTTGCCATAATCCCCATTGTATCCATGCTATTAGCAAAAGGTACAGCACCATAACGCGAAATTCTTCCATACGAAGGTTTAAAGCCAATACAACCAATATAAGCAGCAGGTAATCTTACTGATCCCCCGGTATCCGTTCCAATTGATGCATAACAAATGTCTGCTGCAACTGACGCTGAAGACCCTCCAGAACTGCCACCAACTTGGTATAACTTGTCTTTGTCTTCACTCAATTGAAATACTGTTTGTCCGTATAACGCATTATTTGTACTAGTACCCATTGCAAACTCATCCATGTTCGTTTTACCAATTATTATACCTCCATTTTCTTTTAAAGTTTTGACTAGAGTAGCTTCAAAGGGAGAGATGTAATCTTAAAAAATTATGTTAATATCCTTGTTATTCAAAAAATCGACCATTGAATCGCATTACCACTTAAATATCTAGAGCCGCAACTTGTTGGCCAGTAGTTTGTACATAAATTATCTTTCACTGTCAATATTCTATTATTCAATGGAAGATCTCTAGCGTTCTTAGTAGCCAGTTCCTTTAATGAGTGTTTTATTGAATCAGCAGTATGGAAAGAAGTTAAAGAGTTGACTTTAGCATCTTTCAAAACCGCCGACAAACACTTTTTTACTAATTCTTGAGCCATGTACTTACAACTTCAAGAGTAACATATGGACTACCTCCAATTAATTTCACTGGCTTCAATGGTAATCTATACGGGTTGTAGTTTGGTAGACGATGTTCGTAAGGCTTCGGCATTTACTCACAAAGACAAACCCATTTAATTGATTATAATCGAATAGTACTAATTATTCAAAAATAAGGAATTATTTAATTTCGATTGAACTTAGCTAGGATACGTTATTTATTCTATTAATTCATTATCTGAAGTTTTTTCTTAGTCATTTCTACCACATAATTCGAGAGATGAATTAAATTTTCAATTTCAAACTTTTCAACAGGATCTCCAATTTTATGTGAAATTGGATATATCTCTCCTGTAGTCAAAATCAATTTCCCTGATGTAGTCAATGCTTTCTCACGAAGAGGACCCAGATGGGCAGCCTTTTTCAAAAGTTCTCTAGAACAAAGAACATATAAACCGTATTGAGTGTGAGATATAGCTTTCGTAAAAGCTTCTAAGGACCATTGCCTTGGATCACCCTCAGAGGAAACTGTTGTAAAAATCATATACTTTACATGTCGTCCCAAATTCTTTACATTATTAACAAGTAACGGCAAACCAAAAAAGGAATTTCCAGAGCAGCGCACGTTCAAAATTTCCCGTAGCAAAGCTACTTGGCTATCATACAAGGTGCAGATTCCAATCTCATCAGCGGGATAACCAAGCATTCTCATATATTGATAAATGGCTACTGCATATTCAGCCTCACCAAGATTTTGCTTGCTTCCTTCAGTTATTTCAGTTTCCTTCGCTCCCTTGAAAGGTCCAACATCAATAAACTGATATTCATTCACAAATCCCGAATTTCCATGCAAGCTTACACTTGTATCTGTTGTATCAACATATTCAATTTCAGTGCCATATTGCCAATCAGTAAGTTCGCCAATTGACTTGCGTGTATTATACTTCGTTTTCAATTGATGACAAAAAACCCCAAATTGTCGAAGTTTTTCGGGAAAGGAAATAACGACGGGTTTTAAGAGCTCATAGTTATGGCATATAGCTGCCTTATCATTTTCAAAACAGATTACCCTTTTTGTACCAGATTTGCATTCATTACAGGTAAGCAATTTAGACACGGTATGTTCTGAAATGTTTTCAGAATCCAAAACAATCAAATTTTCAAAAGAAAATCCTTTTTCAGTCAATACGAGAAGACGATTCAGTATTTCCTCCCACGTAGTCCCGACAATGTTAGCTTGTTGACAAAGAGCATAAACCTCGCAATCTTCTGAACGCTTAAAAAAAGTATAAGGCTGTATCTCACGTATCATTGTAAAAAGCTTAGTAATTTCGTGATAGAATAACATTGTTATTTCTAGAATCCGTGAGGTATCATCGTCAGCTTCATTAATGCGTTCTTGAAAAAAAGCTTTAAAAGGGAAAGCATCCCAAAGAGTTCGAAAATCAGAAGAGGACGAAGAAGCCAAATTAATAAACTTATTCCAAGCTGGATTCACGAAAGCATCAAAAAAATATAAAGCAGTTTCTGGGTTACTGCCGTATGCGCCTACCACATTCATCGATGAAGCAAAGCGATCAACTTCTGCTAATAGATAAGGGAGCTTCGAAATCAAGTACTTAATGCTTCCATAAACGGTATAGTCATCTGCATCGCTTTGTCCACCTAAACACATTATACGTCCCTCATCAAAGCAACCAGTCTCTTCCATCATATGAAAAAGTTTATTTAAAGAATCATTTTCTTTGCTAACAATGAGAGTTCTTTCATTTTGAAAGTTTCTGCTAAGAATCTCTAATACTTTGCAGACCAATGCATGCTTCCCGGTCTGAGAAGGTCCATGTACAAGCGTTAAGCCAGGCTGCAAAGAATTTAGTAGTGCGGAACACTGTTCATCATTATAATATATTTTTTTTTGAGATGAGATATAAGGATAATCCTCTTTTTTCGTCTCTATTATATTATTGTCTCCTTCATAGCGTATAGACATTGGATCCGTCAAATTGTTAAGATTTCGATCTGCATTTGGAAATACTTCCTCCAATTGCTCATTAGAGGAAAATACGTCCTTGACGGTAATATTGTTACTACCAACGTTGGGAAAAGTGACAAGATTTGGAGCACCAAAACCAAGAAAACAATCCAAAAGCCATTTCGGAAAATTTCCCGCTTTCTTTAAAAGTAACCGATTTGCAAGAATTTCACTCCAAATATCTTTCACTGAGGATGAAACAGTCATCATATAATTGAAGTCCATTGCCTCAGGAAACATTCCTTCTTTTTCAACCACATCTGAATAAAATAGAGGATCCATATAAATGTCCATATTCTTAGAACTATTATCCTTAACTTCATTCCCTTCTGCATCTACTTGGCTCGTAAAAGGTCGACCAAATGCTAAATTTATGCAACTTCCAGAACCTTGAAATGATCGTTGTTCTTTGTGATTAGCGATTGAAAGTAAACAAACAAATTTGTTTTTCCTAATTTTGTCAAAAATATCTATCCTTTTTTCGGTATCTATATCCACTTTGCAATGAATATACTGAGGATGTATTTCACCAACAAGTGGAGGCGCCGTTTTTTGTATCCGAAACTTTTTTATTGGAGTAAAAGCACTAGAAAATCGTTTAATTTCATTCCCTTTAAGAAGATTATGATTACAAGCGGAAGAGATTTCATTGCTGACTTCTTTGAGTAAGTCGCCATACAACGCATCCAAGGTTTTCTGAAGAAAGGAAGAGATGGAAAGATTCTGAAATTGATATCCTTGAAAGTCATTAAACGGGATTTTCAGGTTTTGAATTTCAGTAACCTTTCGTTCCCAAAAATTCAAGTCATCGAGAGTTATATGTATTATCTCATTTGATGACTTTAAAAATGAGTTCTGTTGGATTTTTTCAAAAGTTGAGATATATATTTCTTTTAGCAGAGAGTGAGACACTTTTATAGGATATGTTTCAGTAAAGTTAGTTCTCAGATGACATTTTTGACATAAACCCTTTAACTCATCAAATGTAAGACAACCTGTGATTTTCTCTAAATTTTCGCGCTTCTGAAACCAACTTTGAGGAAAAAATAAAAAATCGTGCAAGCGATCTTGATAAAACCTAAAGAGAGTAGTCTGCAAGGAGTGGTATAATAGTTCGTCCCTTTGTATGATTTCTTTTTCCGAAAGATCAATACCTTTCGCATTGTCGTAAGGGTATCTGAGAGAACGTCTAAGAGAATCCGTTAAAGACTTAAAGAGAGCTGAAGTATGGTAAAACAGAGAAGTGCGAGAAAACGCGTCAAAGCATGCATCTTCTATAATCAAATGACTAAACCGTCGAGTAGGAAACGTCGAAAGAAATGCCAAACAAAGACCAAGTACTGTTAAAGAAGGTCTCAGATTAGTCTCATCAGCACTATCTTGCAGCAATAAATCGCATTTCAAGAGTATCTGATGAAGCCATCCAGAATAAGCACCATGGTTTGGATTTTCCTTTAGAATTCCTGGCTGTTTTTGTTTATAAGATACGTAAGCTTTTCGAAATGCCTTTACCTTAGTAAAAACATGATCCCGTTTTTCTTGTGACTCCAAACAATCAAGGATCGCAATATTCGTGAGAGGATAAATTAGCTTTTTCACATGTGGTACATGCAAGGATTCTATACAGAGAGTAATAAATCTAACTAAGCAGAAACTATTGTGAAGATTCTCGTTATAAGACAAAATAATAACTTGATCAAAAAGAATCTTAAACTTGGAGGGATCCAAATCTTTAAGAAATGACGGATAGGAACTTGTCTTATGTAAAATCATCAAACATATTAGTTGCACATGCACAAGTGGCATATCATTAGTAACCGTTGGCCATAAACATGTTTCAAAGAAAGCGGAATCATCCAAAAAGCTTAGTAAATCGATTGAATTTTTTTCATTCAGTAGTTCACTATAAATATTTTCGAGCATGCCCACATCATACTGCTTTTGATGCTCCTTTCCCCAGGATGAACCAATAAATCCCTCAACGCGTTTTCGAACATGCTTAGGTATACCCATTTTTCAAAAGCCGGTTTGGTTTCTATCACCAAAAAATAGCTTTATCACTTCACTCTTCCTAATTAATGTAACCACTTTCAGCTAGGTCAATCAAACTAATAAAAAGAAAATAATTCTTGTTTTCTCTAACAACGAAGATAGAAAAACACTAAAACCAGTTGTAAAGAGCTTTATTTATGTAAAGTCAAATTCACACCTTTCGCTAGTGAACAGCCATGAGTTGGAAGTAAGGAAGATTCATTACCAGCTTCTATGCCCTCGCTAAATATAAGCGTTATTTAAGGTAATTGAATAAACGAAATAGTGTCGCTTAACTATTATCGCTAGGATACTAACTGCTAATGCTAATATAGATATGTACTACCATAGCTACAGTAACGTTTTACAACTTCCTTAACCAGCTCACCTTTCTAAAGAAACAGGAACTGCATTCTATTCAATATAATGAAGCTTTTTTGAGATTTGATATAATGCTAGAATTTCCTGGATTGAAAAGCAGATCCGAAGAAACTCGCAATAAAGCGGCCAACGAACTCTTTGATTATGTTGTGGCTTGCTCTCGTGAGTTGTCAGGAGAAGCCTTAATTCAATTTAACAATGAAGTTAATAAATATGTATATAAATTAGTTCACAGTAATGATTCAGTTGATCGACTGGCTGGCGTCACTGCCATTAATAGACTTATTGACATCGAAGCGGAGGATACTACTCGAATCACTCGCTTTGCTAATTATCTAAGAATAATTCTTCCTGGAAACGACCAAACGGCTACAGACTTAGCTGCTAAAGCATTAGGGCGTCTTGCTGTACCAGGTGGTGCCCTAACATCGGAATTTGTGAACTTTGAAGTGAAACGAGCTTTAGAATGGCTTCAAGGAGAACGGAATGAAAATAGAAGATACGCAGCCGTCTTGATACTAAAAGAGCTGGCAAAAAATACGTCTACTCTCATTTACGCCCATATCGACTCGATATTCGAATTTCTTTGGCATGGTCTACGTGATCCCAAAGTACTAATTCGTACTGCTTCTTCAGATGCTCTTAGTGAGCTATTGGAAATTGTACGCCAAAGAGATTCCCTGATACGCTTGCAATGGTACACTCGGATTCTTGTTGAAGCACAGAATGGTGTCGCTCAAGGATCTAATGAATACATACATGGTAGCCTTCTTGTTTATCGTCAGCTATTCTTGAAGGCAGGTATGTTTATGCACGAAAGATATCGAGAAGTTTCCAATACCATTTTGCAGTTTAAAGATCATCGGGATTCTTTGATTCGAAAAACTGTTACAGAATTAATTGCTACGATTTCTACTTATAATCCGGAAGAGTTTGTCTCTAATTATCTACATGTCTGCATGCTTCATCTATTAAACTTGCTCAAGAAGGAACGTGCTCGAATGCTCGCTTTTTCAACGTTGGGAAAAATAGCGGTTGCCATAACTAATAGTATAGTTCCATATTTGGATCCTATATGTGCTGCTATAAAGGAAAGCTTAACAGTACATATTAGAAGTAAAAATAGCTCTGATGCTGCCATTTTTCAATGTATAAGTTATCTTTCTATTGCTTTAGGTCAAGCTTTTTCAAGTTATGCGTACGATCTGTTTGATTTAATTTTTGCAAGCGGTCTTTCAGAAGCTTCATATGACGCTCTTTCTCATTTGGCCCATAATATCCCTCCTTTACTCCCTGTCATCCAGGAACGTCTATTGGATATGTTAAGTATTATTCTAAGCGGCAGACCTTTTATCCCTCCAGGCTGTCCCCATCAACATGTCGTACGTGTATTGCAAAGTGCTAAGGAAAGTGGATTAAAAGTTGGCCCCTATACAAATGATGTTTATGTTTTGGCACTTCAAACTTTAGGTGATTTCAACTTTTCAGGGTATATATTGAATGAGTTTGTCAAAGATTATGTAGTGACTTATCTTGAAAACGATGATGCTTCCATACGAAAAGCAGCAGCGGTAACTTGCTGTGAATTATTTGTCCATGATCCAATTCATTCACAAACTAGCGATCATGCAATCCAAGTGGTTGCTGAGGTTTTGGAAAAACTATTAACTGTTGGAATATGTGACACTAATCCTGACATTAGACTGACTGTTCTTCTTTCTCTTGACTCTCGCTTTGATAGACATCTGGCACAAGTTGACAAGATCCGATTACTTTTTATCGCTATAAATGATGAAGTCTTTTCAATCAGGGAAGCATCCTTAAAGATCCTTGGAAGATTAAATGCTTATAATCCGGCTTATGTTATGCCATATCTTCGAAAATTAATGCTTAAAACACTGACTGTCTTAGACTATTCAAAGGTAATAAGAACCAAAGAAGAAAATGCACGACTCATCTGTCTTTTGATATCAGCTGCTCCCAAACTAATAGAATCACACGTTGGTCCAATTTTACAGATATTGGTACCGAAAGCTAAAGATTCTAGCCCTTCCGTGGCTGCCAATATTGTTAATTCTTTTGGAGAAATTTGTCAAATAAGCGGTGATACTATACTTACATTTAAGAAGGACTTGATGCCTTTAATCATTGATGCTCTTCAGGATCAGAGCTCTCCAGTAAAGAGAGCAGCGTCTTTGAGAACTTTGGGTAATTTGTCAGTTAGTACTGGTTATGTCATAGATCCTTATCTTGAATATCCTTCGTTACTGGATATTTTGGTTGGTATTATTAAAACAGAACAAGATATTTCGATTCGCCGGGAGACAATAAAACTTATCGGTACTTTGGGAGCGCTTGATCCTAACAGACATCAAGTACTGGAAAAAGGGACAGAAAAGCTAGTACCTGAGCAAAAAAACATTCCGTCCGATATTTCCTTGTTAATGTCGGGTATTGGGCCCTCATCAGAGGAGTACTATCCAACAGTGGTTATCACTGCGTTGATGAGTATTCTTAAAGACCCTTCCTTAAGTATTCATCACACAGCAGTCATTCAAGCTGTGATGTATATATTTAAGACTATGGGCTTACGCTGTGCTCCATTTCTTTCTCAAATTATTCCTGAATTTATAGCTGTCATGAGAACCTCTCCGTCGAATATCCTCGAGTTTTATTTCCAACAATTGAGTATATTGGTTTTAATTGTCCGTCAACATATAAGAACCTTTTTACCAGAACTTTTTAAATTGATTACGGATTTTTGGAACCCAAATTCAAATTTGCAGTTTACTATATTATCACTGGTAGAGTCACTGGCACGTGCTATGCAAGGCGAGTTCAAGCCGTACCTTCCTCCTCTGTTAGCTATGATGCTTCAAGTATTTGACTCAGATGTATCACCAGATTCCACGAGCATGAAGAAGGTTCTGCATGCATTTATAGTTTTCGGTGATACTCTAGGTGACTACTTTCATATGTTATTGGGATCTCTCATGCGATTGTATGAACGGCAGGATGTGTCATTAGATGTCCGTGAAAACGTTATGATAACCATTGGACGTTTGTCAACTGTAATAAATATATCTGACTATGCTTCTAGGATTATTCATCCAATTATGCGTACATTATCTTCCGGTGCTCCTTCCTTGGTTCGTGTCAGCTTGAATACTTTATGTGCCCTTATCTATCAACTGGATGTAGATTTCGCTATTTTTATTCCTATGATTAACAAATCTCTTGTTTCACGTGGGATAACGCACGAAACCTATGATTTGTTAGTTTCAAAATTCTTTCATGAGGAACCTCTACCAAATGAATTAAATCCCTATGAAAAATACGACAAGCCGAAGCTAGATGTGGTTGCTTCTGCCGCTGACATTACATCCAAAAAGCTACCCGTAAATCAAGAAATCCTGCGGAACGCTTGGGAGGCTTCCCAACGTTCAACTAAAGATGATTGGCAGGAATGGATGAGACGACTCGCTGTAGCACTTTTAAGGGAGTCACCTTCTCATGCATTACGGGCTTGTGCTGCTTTGGCTGCTGCTTACCAACCTTTGGCTCGTGAATTATTTAATGCTAGCTTTGTATCATGTTGGTCAGAGCTTTACGATCACTTTCAGGAAGAACTTGTCCGATCTATAGAAATTGCTTTGACTTCGCCTCATATATCGCCTGAGATCATTCAAATTTTGCTCAACCTAGCTGAATTTATGGAACATGATGATAAACCATTACCGATTGATATTCGTACGCTAGGTGCCTACGCAGCTAAGTGTCATGCTTTTGCCAAAGCGTTACATTATAAAGAGCTAGAATTTATTGAAGAAGAACTTGTTACCAAGCCCTCTATAGACACTATTGAAGCCCTAATTTCTATTAACAATCAGCTTCAACAACCTGATGCTGCTATAGGTATTTTGAAGCATGCTCAACAAAACGATAAAATGAATTTAAAAGAAACATGGTATGAGAAGCTTCAAAGATGGGAGGACGCATTAGCTGCCTACGAAAAACGAGAAGCTTCTGGAACTGGTAACTTCGAGATAACTATGGGCAAATTGCGTTGTTTACATGCTTTGGGTGAGTGGGATAGATTATCTCAGCTGGCCCAAGAAAATTGGATTCATGGTGGTTATGAGATGAGAAGATATATAGCACCTCTTTCCGTAGCGGCTGCATGGGGATTGGGTCAATGGGAGCAAATGGATGAGTATATTTCCGTGATGAAGTCAGAGTCACCTGATAAAGCATTTTTTAGTGCTATTGTTGCGTTACACCGGCTGCAATTCGAGGAAGCTTCAGCACATATTACGAGAGCTCGTGACTTATTGGATACAGAACTTACTGCTCTTGTTGCTGAAAGTTACAATCGAGCTTACAGTGTCGCGGTACGTGTACAAATGCTATCTGAGTTGGAAGAAATTATCAGCTATAAGAAAGCAGAAAACAAACCGCATGTTCGTGAAGTAATAAAGAAAACTTGGATTCGCCGTTTAAAGGGATGCCAACGAAATGTAGATGTGTGGCAACGAATGCTACGAATAAGGTCTTTAGTTATTTCTCCAAAAGAAAATATGGAAATGTGGATTAAGTATTCTAATTTGTGTCGTAAATCGGGACGAATTGGACTAGCTAAAAAGTCTCTAGATTTATTGCTGGAAGATGAAAATCACCTTGAAGGTAACGTCCTTCCTAAAAACGCGCATCCATCAATCATATACGCGAAACTTAAGTTCTCATGGACCGTCGATGATAAAAAACGTGCACTTGTCAATATGCAAGAGTTTACTGCTCAATTAATATCTGATATAAACATTGATCCTGCGTTATTCGCTCAATCGGCCATCACTGGTTCTCAAAAATCACAGGAAGAAATTCATTATTATTTTCATTTGCTGGCACGATGTTACCACAAGCAAGGTCAATGGCAGCAGGAAATTGAACCTAAATGGTCAGAAGGTCTGTTCACTCGTGTGTTGCAATCCTATATGTATGCTACACAATTTGACTCGAAATGGTATAAAGCTTGGCATTCTTGGGCTTTAGCAAACTTTGATGCAATTAAACATCTAGAACAATCCGAGGATAATATACCGTTGGGCGCTTATGAACAGTATATAATTCCTGCAATTAAGGGCTTCTTCAAGTCAATTGCCTTGAGCAAAGGTAATATTCAAGATACACTAAGACTTTTGAGCCTTTGGTTCAAATATGGTAAAAATGCAAATGTTATCAACACTTTAAATCTTGGCATAGCGACAGTGAATATTGATATCTGGCTTGAAGTTATTCCTCAGCTTATTGCTAGAATTCATGCTCCTTCATTAAATGTCAGAAAATCTGTGCATCAACTGCTTTCAGATGTAGGTCGTGCGCATCCTCAAGCACTCGTTTATCCTTTGACTGTTGCTGCTAAATCACAAAGTTCGACAAGACAAAATGCAGCCCTCGCAATCATGGATTCAGTTAGGACACATAGCGCTCGGTTAGTGGAGCAAGCTAGATTAGTAAGTCATGAACTAATTAGAGCGGCTATCTTATGGCACGAACAATGGCACGAAGGACTTGAAGAAGCTTCCCGTTTATATTTTGGTGACCATAATATTGAAGGAATGTTTGCTGTGTTAAGACCACTTCATGAAATGTTAGAACGGGGACCTGAAACATTGAGAGAAATATCTTTTCAACAGGCTTTTGGGCGTGATTTGATTGAAGCAAGAGATTGTTGTATTCGTTTTGAACAAACTGGTGATATTTCTGATCTAAACCAAGCATGGGATCTATATTACCAAGTATTTAAGAAGATTCGTAAGCAACTTCCTCAGCTAACAACGCTTGATCTGCAATATGTCTCGCCTAAACTTCTGTACGTACACGATCTTGACCTTGCAGTGCCCGGTACATATGTGAGTGGAAAGCCTGTAATAAGAATTGTTAAATTCTACCCTACTTTTAATGTTATCACTTCTAAGCAACGGCCTAGACGTTTGAGTATTAGGGGAAGTGATGGTAAAGATTATCAATATCTCCTGAAGGGACATGAGGATATCCGACAAGATGAGAGAGTAATGCAACTCTTTGGACTTTGTAACAATCTTTTATCCGCAGATCCTGAAACATTTAAACGATTATTATCTATTCAGCGTTATCCAGTTATTCCTTTATCCCCTGACTCAGGTCTGTTAGGGTGGGTTTTAGACAGTGATACATTACATGTGCTCATACGTGATTACCGAGAGAGCAGAAAAATTCTTTTAAATATTGAACATCGCCTTATTATACAAATGGCTCCTGATTATGATCGACTCTCGTTGCTCCAAAAAGTAGAAGTGTTTGAATACGCTTTAATGAGTACTACAGGTCAAGACTTGTACCGTGTTTTATGGCTGAAAAGTCGAAGTTCTGAGGCCTGGCTTAATAGACGGACAAATTACTCCAGAAGTCTTGCTGTCATGTCTATGGTTGGTTATATATTGGGTTTAGGTGATCGACATCCTTCTAATTTAATGTTGGATCGCTATACTGGAAATATTATTCATATTGACTTTGGCGACTGTTTTGAAGTTGCTATGCATCGTGAAAAGTTTCCTGAAAAAATTCCATTCCGTCTTACCCGTATGCTGGTGAACGCAATGGAGGTTAGTGGTATAGAAGGAACGTTCCGTATCACTTGCGAGCATGTTATGCGTGTACTCCGTGACAACAAAGAGTCTGTGATGGCAGTTTTAGAAGCCTTTGTTCATGATCCTTTAATTAATTGGAGACTTGCTCCTGTTTATTCTCCTACAGTCGACGAAAAGCCGCTAGCCGACACTCATAACATTATATTGGGTGATAATCCAGAAGGTTTACACAGGAAGCGTTTGGATGAAGAGGGAATAACGCTGGAGGAGCGTCAAAAGCCTGAGGTTCTAAACCAGCGTGCTGTAACGGTTTTGAATAGGATCAATAATAAGCTAACGGGTCGAGATTTCAAACCTCAGCAATGCTTGGATGTTCCAAATCAAGTGGAAAAGCTAATCCAGCAAGCTACTTCAATCGAAAATCTATGCTTATGCTACATAGGTTGGTGCAGCTTTTGGTAATTTTTTTGTAATGTCTTACTTTTCAATGCTTATTACTTGTTTATATATATAATTGAATCCTACTAGTTTTTTGATCATTGCGTGCAAACTGACACTTAAACTTGAGTTACACAAGTTATAAATAATTTAAATAATAATATTTGATTAAGCTAAATTACTAAGATTGTATCGGTCTCACTCCAATTCGTATATTTGCTTTATAAAGTAACATATTTATCTTACGAAACTATTTATTCTTAGATACTTATATTTATAAATAACTAATTGGCATATTGCGTTAGAACAATCGATCTTAGGAGGTGCTTTGAAAAGTAGTTATTGAGTCCGTGCAACACTTTGTCAACGAGTTCATATTTCTGCCAATCTACCTAGGGTAGTGAACTTGTCCATGAAACTAAAAATCATTATTATTTACATTTATTAAACAATCTGAGATACCAGTATAGGATAGATGTTGCCTTAATGGAGTTGGATGCGACATTGCAAGGAATTGTTTCAGCCATCGGTGGTTTTGATTACTCAAAGTCAGATTCGCCTTATGTTCTAGGAGAAGATGCTTTAGGTTGTTTGAAGGATTTAAAGCGATATCTTCAGATTATCGATGAAAAGTACAAAGTTTGGCAAGTTCGATTTTTGCTATCAAAACTCCGTGTAGTAGCTAACGATTTATGCCCCATTCTTGCTTGCTGGGATAGAAATATTGAAGACTATAAACACTGGAGGATAGCTTTGGCGGCCTTGGAATTACTTGTTCCATTAACCTGGCCGTTGGAAACCGAACAGGAAACTTACAGAGAGAATGTCGATGTACTAAAGAATTTACAACAAGCTCAAAATGATTATAAATCATGTATATTAAATTACAAGGATGGGTCTGTTTTAAAATCAATTTTGGCTGTGCTATTGAAACCGTTGAGCACAAGCAAAGAGTCGCGAAGTGTGCGCGATAATGGAGTCATTAGAATTACGCTTCTTCTCTTGAGAAATTTAGCTCGGATTAACGAAGAACAAACAAAAAACGAGACTATCCTAGCTTTGCAAAAGTCCAACATGTTAGATCTCTTAGTTACATTGACATCGAATTTATCTGAATTTGAGCATGTTGACATCTATATTCTTGAAATCATATATTACCTTATTCGAGGGATTCGGCCCTCTCGACTTTTTAAAGTCGCAGATGATAATCCTACAAAACATAATCAGCAGGAATTGAATGAGTTGCTCCAAAAGGAATCTAATCAATCTCGATATTTGAAGCGCAATGCTAATACTCGTCATAATCGCTTTGGCACAATGATTTCGATTCAAGCAGAAGACCGACGTTTCACAATTGCAAGTCAAAAGGTAAAAACTGGAGGTCTCGACGAACTGGATAATTTAAAGAAACATAGAAAACGAAGCACTAGGAGAAAACACTTCGTAAGTTAAAGAATATCTTTATTTCTGTGATTATACTAACCATAATAGGATGACATTAATAAGTCTGTAGTACTCAATTCGAATGCATGTGAGAATATCAAATACTTTTTGAAAGAATTTCTTGAAGCTGGTTTTAATCCCCTTGTCCAGAATATATTACGAGCTCTGGAGAGAGAAGATTCGAAACTATTCTCATATCATAAAACACAATTTATGTTTTTGCAAGCATTTTTCTTGGAATCTTTCAAATTTGTAACTAAGAATGATCACAATGAAGATATATATTCGTATGACTATGACTACGGATTAATATCTTCTGTATTAGAATCTCGCAACTTGATTATGCACCAACGGATCTTGGTAGAATCTCAAGAGATGAAATTATGGTCTCAATTTCAAGCATCAATGCTTCTAATGAGTAGAATCCTATCAACTGTTCGTTTTATGTCGTTGTGTTCAATACCTACCTACCAAGACCTAGCTGATCATATATTGTCTAATTTGTTTTATCAAGAAGAAATCTTAAATATCATTTATCATGCCTTGAAAAGTTTTAAAACACAATCGTTCGGTTATCTTGAAGCAATCACTGAATTGACAATGATTTTGTTGAAAGAGTTGGAAAGGTATTCCAGTGCAAAACAATTCATATATGTGAAAAGTCGACGAAGGCAACAGAAGTCGGCAAAATCGGATTTACCAGAATCTGACGAAGATGAGGAAGGCTTATCGAAAATAGCAAACGATACTGTCCAAGACAGGCTTTTCGATGTCAATCGTTTCCAATCAAGGTATTGCGATAATCATTGCATAAATACCTTTACGTTGTACTTAAAATGCTACCAAGAGCTTACTCCTGAGCAAATACATAGGGCTATGTCTTTCTTTTATTTAATTTTTGTGAAATTGAAATGTCAAGTGTACTTATACCGGCTTGACTTCCTTTATTTATTGGAGCACATGTATGAAGACAAAGTTTACTTTCCTCCCTCTCATCCTCAAAGAAAGGAATTTGACCAATTTTTTATTTATTACATGCGAAAACTTTCAGAAGCACTAACTAGGACTCCGGCTATATTTCTTGAGATTCCCTTCCCTAAAATGACTGATACCTTTTATTATTTACAATATGGCAAAATACCTATACAGATAAGTCATGTCGGTAGGAAAGGGCCATTGTATGATACCGTTCAAGGATTGTCTCACGTTGAAAAAGTTGCAGCGGTTATCGCTTGCTTAATTAATGAGAATAAAGGTGATATTCTTGACGAATTAAAAACACAAATAAACTGCATAATAGCAGAAAAACAACTTTACGAGCTTAAAAATGCTAATGATGCCGTACCGAAAGATGAAGATCAACCAGGTATAATCAAACTTAAAGGGGACACACAAGTTTTCGACGATGCTCTTTTAAAAGATGGAAAATTTCGTTTACTTTTAAGTCTATTTGGTTTTCAAGAATTTGAAGAAGTATCTGCCGACGCATTATGGTATGTACCACATGAGTTATCTTACAATGAGCTTATGGAGTCTTCAAAATTACTACGCCGCTTTACAGATGACCCTCCTACATTTGAAGGGATCAATCCTGATAATTTGCTAGTGAGAAAACAAAGAGGTAAAGCAAGGCTACCTTCTAGCAGCGAATCTGAAACAGAATCAGAACAAAGACCACCAGAGTCGGACGTCGAGGATTTGAGCGATCATAATGAATTCGAAAAAGATGATCCTTTAACGTTTGGTACTCGTAAGCAAGCATTTGAAAAGATAGCGAAGAAAAGGAAGATGGGTAAACAAAAAGTATCAAAGAACAGAAAGCTTAACCCATCCAAAGAACTGCGACTGCGTTCGGCAAAATTTATAGTTGATTCTGATGAAGATTCAGATACCGAAGCAGCTTTTTTTAAGGCCGAAGCGGCTTTACGTGAAAGAAATGCTGCTAAAGCTAAAGAAAGTTCAGCATCTGACGAAACAAAAAGAGAAGTCTTACAAGAACTACAATTACAAAATTCGGAAGAATCTGAGTAAATAACCAATCTTTAATTGAAATAAATATTGCATGTAAATCAAAAATAAGCTGCCCAGCCAATATACATTTCAACGAGATTTTTAGGACTAACTGCAGATCGAATTAACTCTTGAATTTGTCCTTCTACCGAAAGAGGAATGGTTTCACCGGGCATATAACCTTGGAATTTTTTTCGAATTGTGTCTAAAACTTCATTGGCTTCGTTGCCAGGATACCTTCCTGTAATTTTTCGCCTGTTCCATTCCACTAAAGGATCGTGAAGGAAAGATTCAAGAACACTCATTAGGGTATCTTGATTCGATCGTAGGAGTTTCATTGTTATCTCGCTTGCCTTACGAAAACCGCCTTCGTAACCGGTTGGTCCCATAGCGTCTACCATATTGTGCGTTAGTCTAAAAGGAACTTTCTCTGGTTTTTCAAATGTCAAGCCCTTATCAAAAAGACAGTTAAAATCCACGTGTATAGCTTCACCGGTAAACTCATCAAAAAGTATATTTTCTCCATGTCGATCACCCAAACCTAAAACATATCCAACAATAGACATTACGGCTAAAGTTCGACAGTAATTTCGACGACTATTGACCCAACTGTTTGGCTCCGGAAATGATTCAACGAACCATTCATAAAAAACGGGAGGAAACTTTGGAAGCATCTTTTTTTCGAAAGTTTCTCCCGGATTTGGACTTCTTAAAGCCATATCCAAATCGACTTTAATTTCCTGATAGGATATAGGAATATTCTTCTGTCGATAGTTCTTCAACAATACATCTCTAAAGGGACGAGTATGGTTAACCCATTCAATAAAGCCGCACTCCTCGTTTAGGGGAATCACAACGTAAGTTCGTATACACAAATTTCTTCTGTTGGCCTCTTGGTCTTTACGTAGTATTTTACAGATCACATTGTTGAACTCCATTAATCGAGCGTCTTTTCTCAAGTCGTCCTTTGGTTTACATAAAAATGGATATACATTACCATCGGTACCTCTAACATAAACTTTCCTCGGTTTTTGCAAAGAATTCATAATATCAACATCATCCTCAAATTTTAAAATCTCAGGCTGATTTTTTGGGAAAGGATGGTGGGTACTTCGATTGGCATCCATAGCAGGTAAACTAATATTTAAAAAAGAGCGGGCAGGTATCACGAGCTCGACAGGTGCATCAAATACCATTCTGAAATGATTCTTTAAACTCATTTTGACAGCTTTGCTGTCTATTCGAGTGTTGCATAAATCCACCAACTTCTCTGTCAGTAATATGGCGGACTGACTTAATACCCTAAGATCAATCTTTGAAGTAATTGCAACCTTTTTAGATTGAAGAACATTCAATATGCTTTTTCCTCGAACAGACCGCTTTTGGGAAATGGATTTGATAGTAGCCATTAGTTGCCAAAGCGTTTCACATGGATAAGTCGCTATAACGTTGGCAACTAAGTGCTCCAAAATTTTATAGACTTTATTATTCGGATGGCAAATCCGAGATATCATTTGGGAAAGAGCAATAAGAAAAAAGTATTGAGGAATTTTGACTGCTAATCGACATATATTAGAGTTCATCAACTCTAATGATTTTTTTCGTGATATATTTATATGTTCACGAAAGTATTTTTCACCATCATCTTTCGAAAGCCGTAATTCCTCAGCTCCGAAATCCAACCACAAAGTCAAAAGCTTGGGCATGCTTTCGTAAATATGGCTGGTCCCGTAATATAAAGAACGACCAAACTCGTTTATTATGCGAGTTACCAGTTCACCAGAAAGGAACCTTTCACTTTGCTCGTAAACAGGAAGTTTCTTTTCTTCCTCAAACATTAGTACACGATGATGTCCTAAATAGTAATGGTTTTTTTCCCACTCGGAATAAATTTCGACAGATTTAGAGTAATGAGTTTCCAAATCCTTAAGTCCTAACTGACCGGCTTTTCCTAGCCATTTAGTAAGCTCCAGATAAACTTTACCTTTAAACGGGTTTCCTGTTTGGGTTGCCTTCTTGTTTTTTATATTAAAAGATTCTCCATCGAAAATGTTGTTTTCCAAAGATGAATGTAATTCGGCTATGGCCTTTCTTTGTTGCCCTTGATGCCACCACCATCTAGCATGTTCAATAGTAGCTTGAGGTTTATCAAGCTCCATAGCTTTTAAAATAGCATTGTAGGCTCTTTGTGCCTGTCCATTCTTTCTTGAAAATCTAGCAATTTCTAAGTAGATGCCAGCTAACTTTTCATGTAATTTAAATCGACTGAAAGCAACCAAGTGTGTCGACAAAATGTGATGTCTATATCTTCCATAAGGGGCCACCTTATTAAGTCGACGGTGAAGGAAAGTCTCGAGATTTTCCTGAGCACTTGGACTTGAATCAGTTTTAGCTATTTTACTGAAGTCATAGAGTGCATGAAGTTTTGAAAGCATTTCATAGCAATCATAAGAAGAATGAGCTCCAATATTCGAAATTATAGAAGCAGCCTCGGCATACAAGGGCTCCAACTGGCGTTCCAGTGTCGCCAAATCTGAATCTTTTAACAAATAGTTTCGGAATATTTCTCCTAGCTTGGCGTCAAAAGTTTGTAAATTACTTTTTTGTATGCATTTCTGAAGGGAGTTAACCGACAGCGAATGCCATGCTGCTTCAATTCCTAAATCAATAATTTTAGATGAAGTGCTTGCTTCAGAATCTGTTTCCATTAGTGAATCCACGGACAACACTAAGGATTCGTAATGTCCAGATTGTAGCATCGCATTCAACAGCCCAACTTTGGCCCTATGATTTTCTGGGTAATTCTGAACGAGTATTTCGTAACAACTAAGTGCCGAATCCCATTTACCAGAATTTTCATGCAATAGAAGTTGTTGATCTAAGGAATAGTCATGAAAATTCAGAGAAACTGCTTCGATCCCATCTGGATCTTCTATACCTGTATAAACGTCTTGTAAAACACGATAATCTGAATCTAAAAGAGATCCCGGTTTTTCTAAAAGGGCAGTCCTGATGTGCTGTTCCCAATAAAATAAAGCTCGAGCATGAAATCCGCAGTTCAAAGATACGAGACCTAGTGTTTTTGAAGGAAAGCGAAGAAGGAAATTTTCTACTTTACTGACAGCGTTCTCTTGAGTAGTCAAGTCATCAACAGACATATATCGGTTTTCTCTTCTAGCTAAGGCAGAACGCCTACTCCAATTTCTCTTTTTTCGCATACGAAGCCAGTTGTTTAAGTAATCAACAATGTTGAAAAACAAGTTGACAAATGACGCATATCGCTGCTTTCCAATAGAATCAAATCCGTTAGGACTGGGTTGATTTATTATATACTGAAATTCAGCAATGACTAACTCAACAATTTCGTCTTTCTCGGTTATCACAACATTTAAAACCAAAAACGGAAGTAAAAAGCAAGGTATTGACATTTCTTGATCCTTAATCACTTTGGAACATATACTGAATATTCTATCGGCATTCTGAGAATGAGGATACTCTGTCAGCTTTAAACAAATTTCTTGAACCCATGAGTGAGTGTCCATATTCTGCTTAAATAATGGAAAGTTAATATCCAATTTAGGGACAAGAGTAAGATGATATTTGGAATTCAGAAAAGGAATAAGTACTCGCTTAGAAAGGTCAGGTAAAGCTTTCCAATGCTCTGCAACTATGGATAATGATGTACTTTTCTTATTGTTTAGCACAGCGGATTTAAATCCCCCTAATTTTAAAAATTCCTGCAAAGCGTAGGCTATAAATCCCTGAGCTTTCGTGTCGGTTGTCACAAGAAATGCAGGAATTAGTTGAGACTGAATAAAATCCAATATGAACCGTAAACTTTCTTCGCCGTCTTCGAAGTTATCTAAAACAACTGTTTGTTGTATATTACTCCTAGCTTCTAAACGACTAGGGTCAACTGCACCGAGTTTCGCAATGTTTCGAGTGCACAGCTTAGCTATCTCAACATTACCATGGGCAAATTTTATACAGCAGTCAAGTAAGCAACGCAGTAATTGATCTAAAATGGAGTCGGAAGCATCCAAGTAGAGAACCTCATGTAATTCTTCTTGCTTGCTTTCTAAAAAGATATCTAGTTTTTGAAGACCTAGGTAACATACCGATTCGTGCTCATTTCTTAGACATTTAATAATATCTTCAATGTTGACGAAAAAATCATCACTTTGCAAACTAGAGAATATACTCCTAGTGCTCTCCTTAAAGCATGGCAAGTTTAAAGTAGTAGGAATCGCCCACCTTAATTCGGACAAACAATTATGAGGGTCAGACGCAATAAAATCAAAGATTTTCTGCACTGTCTCTGCCTCTTGTTCTCTAAGATTTTTATGCAAAATTGGGAAAAGCACTAGGCTGAGACTAGCTATGGAAGTGTATTCAGGTTCATTAATGTAAGATACCAACTGAAACCAAGTATCAATGGCATATGAGCGTAACGTATCATCCTGAAAAGCGTTTTGTAGGCTCGACAATATTTGAGGCAAGCCTAATTTAATAGCGTTACCGGAGAGGGTAAACATTTCTCGTATCCCAATAATTGTGCGTATTTTATCATTAACAGAGGTTTTTCCTTTTAAATCATTCAGAATATTTGAAAATTCAGCTAGGATTCCTAAAATATGATTATTAAAGAACTCGTGAAGCAATTTATCTTCATTATATTCTGAAGTTTCAGGTGATGGCTGAGATACCATCAAGGCTACCTTCTTTAAAGCGTTTTCAATTTTCTCCCTAGGAACTCCAGAGTTATACAATTGAAGTAATTCTACGGTTAGAGCTATAGGATCGGACCTTAATAATGAAGTAAGGTCAATTTTTCGAAAATCTGAGGAAGCCAGACTTAATAACAGCATGACACTTTCTTCCAAATTTGGGTAATCAGCGGTTAGTAAAACGGCCAAAATTTTATGCATATTAGTCAGACATAAAGCTGCAACATCCGTTTGTGATAATTCAGCGATCCGGGAAATAACATGATGGTTTTTTGTTAAGACAAGGTAAGGAAGTGTATAGGACTGAGTGCGAATTAAAAAATCACTTTCAGATATATCCATTGCTTCTGCAAATAGCCCAACAATATTTGGTTTGGAAGTCATACCTCTGATGATAGTTACAGAAATTGTAGGCCAGTAAGGAGATAGTAATTTCCAAACAGAAACTCTTCTTGAACGAGCAATACTTTGAAGGGCATGCAAACAGACACCTTGGTAGTATATGTCAAATTCAATTGCTGTCGAGATAATTTGTAACAGAACCAGATGAAGCTCTTCGCCTTCTGCTAATCGACCAACATTCTCCCACGTAATTATAGTTGTTTCCATTAAAGAAATATCACTCGAAGACATATCCTTTAAGCTCTTCATCACTTCCATCCGGATAATCCGTGGGACATCTACATCCTTTTGAATAGAGTGATTAAAAAAAACCTTCGGAACGATAGAAGCTGCTAATATCCGAAACGATCTGGTCGTACTAGAGAGCAGGGGAACTAACTTCTCTTTTATTTGGTGTGAGACTAGTAAAGACTGAGGATTGGTATGATTTAACCAACGATTGAAGGCCCTCAATGCAAAATAAAACTTTGTTTCTGAGCACCTAGTTAGATCGGAATCTAATAATGTTATAAATATTTCGACTGATGGTATATCCAAAAGTCTTGTATTTTTCTCCCGGTATTGTATCACATTAGAATCGCATACAAGACAGCCTTGAAAAGATAACGACTCATTACTTGCGTTTTGCTTGCATAAACATAGCTCAAACTCTTGTAATTCCTGCTCAGAAATTGAAGTCAAACTAGATAGAATATCCGAAAACTTACAGCTGACTTCATGAATGTTGAAGGTACTGGAAGACAATAACCACTGAAGGAAAGATTTAAAAGAAGAGGGTTGGACAGGTGGTACTTCTATAATGGATTTTGCTGAAAGAGGATAAGCCAAAAAGAACACAAAGGAGAATAGTTGGTTTAAAGAAGAAGATGTATAGAACCCACGTTTATCTGTTTTTTCAATTCCCAAACCTCTACCTTTCTCATAAATAATTTTATAAATATTATCTTTTGCATCTTCCAACAGATATCTGAAAAGTAGAACGGATGTATGAGAATCAGAATGTTCATCATTACAAATGGTCATTAAAGTTTGAGAAGATAGTAGATGCATAGAAAACGAACGAAAAGATTCAAAGCACGATGCTGGTAATATACAAAGAGAAAGAAAGTAGAGAGCGTATGTATAATCGACAAAGCTTGAGACATGTAAAAATGAGAAAAGGTAAGATTTGGCAAACATTAGTAGTAAATCCTTGGTTTTCTGACAAGGTGAATTTTGGATAATAGCAGATTTTAAGAAAAAGAAAATTAAGCATTGTATAGAACGACAGCGGGTATGGATTAAGCAAGAAGTGTCAGTTATAGCTAATTTTTTGAGGAGGAAAAGAAAATTCAAATACTTGGGCTTGATCCAATAACCATTCAAAAAATTTAGAGACACATCGTCAAGTTTATTGGTAGGAGCAAAATACTTGGCGAAAACATGGACGCTTTCAAGATAAAACGAGCAAGCTTCCTGATAGTTATGAATAATAATCGGAAAGTTAGATTCTTCCTTACCATCGAATTTTCCCCCACCCGATAGCAATGGACGTGGGTCGAGAGGTAGCATTCGCAAAGGAAAAGAAAGGTTTGTAGTTTCTAATAAGGAAGAAGAAATTGTATCAATGTAATATTTCCATGTTTGCAAATAAACTGTTTGAAAAGGCCAGAGATAGTCCTTGACAAAAAGCAAATGGAAAAGTGTGTGATGCAATTCACAAATATCATCAAATAAATCAGCTAGCTGAAAATTTTTAAAAACAAAAATGGTACGGGGAAGTAACCAGGTGAGTAAAACACCGCAGGGCGTTTCTTCACATAAAACTTCAGGACAATTTTTCAGAATCAACATTAAACATTGGATTGACTGTTTCGCTTCTTTAAGAAGATTCGAAGGAATTAAAATATTTTTATAGTCATCACTTTCTAACACGAAAAGTCCAGCTTCGACTAAAATCTGAATTATTTCAAAGGTTACTGGGATCGACCTCGAATTTTTCTGCGAAGTTGCATCCTGATCAAACAGGGTAATCTCTTTTAAAAGTTGTTCAAAAACATGTCGGTCATCGCTGTATTTTGGAGTCAAATTTAAGGACTCTGACCTTCGTTGAATGAATTGGCTCATGCACACGCGAAATGAGTTTAGAAGAGAATTGCCAAAGCTATATAAATTGCGATTCCAGCGCTAAGTTTTGAAGCGCTCTCTTTAATGAATTCTCTTGACCCTAGTACTCATTCGTACAGGTGGGTGAAATTTTCTGGTAACGCACTAGAGATATAGAGGGATGGAAGAAGACTTTTCTCACAGACAGAAACTATTTTGTAAATAAGAAGTATATAGCCATCCTAAAATAGTTTTGAAATCTCTGTATTTTAAAGAGTTTTAAGAATAGTCTGATTTGCTTTAGTTAAATTTTTTCGTTATTTGTAAAATAAAGAAAGAAAGAAAAAAAAGTTACCATCGATTAGAGTACGCATAAACAGTAATAACAAATCGTAAAAGAAAAAGGATCTTGAAACCCACATTTATCATGCCAGAAAGCCAGCTCTAAGAATGAATTTTTGAAGACAATCAATCTATTTTCCTTTGTATTCATCAACATACTTCCAGTCATACGTCCAACTATTATTCAATTGGCAAGCTCAGAAAATCATATATATTCATTCAACCGTAAACAAAGAAGAGTAATTCTAGTAACTTGGGCGTCTACTCAGAAAATGATGAGAATGAAGAAGTTTATGAAAACAAGACTTCATTCATCCATTTTGAATCTACGATATAAAAATTAGACGGTATAAACCAGAATTTCAATCTCTAGTGGATGACCACGTCTGTGCGCATATTTTTTTCACATTACGTGGAGCGAATTACTATGAATGTAAATAAATAAACACATAAAAAAGAAAATAAAAAGGATATATATGGGAAATATTTAAGAAGAAGAAGAAGACTTGGTTTTTTTTTTTATACAATAAAATAAAATTAGAAAAAGATCAACCCCGTTTTACATTATTAGCCAAACCAGCAAAAGAACTACAATTACTTTTTTACTAGCCACTTAGTTCTTTTCGTCATCACTTGTAAGAAAACGAACATTCGTACTGACTTAATGAATGTATAAATAAGTTGACAGGACTTTTATCTAGCCACCTTTTTCTCTTTTCAGTTTGTATAACATATTCATATATTTCCTTTCGATTAACCCATTTGACCTTCCATCGGTTCTTCAAAGGTTATACTTCATACCACACTTATATAGGTTCGTATTCAGTGAATTTTCTCGAAAGACCACTTATATGAAAAGATTTTTTCTCAAGAGTATCCCCACATTACAATACCGTTGCTTCCAAACCTTTTTTTTTCAGAAAAACCCATCAACAAATATGAAGTACCCACTGGATAAGTCAGACCAAGAATGGCGCAAAGAACTTGACCCGGAACAATATCGTGTATTGCGAAACAAAGGTACAGAGCTACCAGGTTCTGGCAAGTATACGAATTACTTCCCCGAGAAAGGCGTCTTTGTATGTGCAGCTTGTAAAGAGTTGCTGTACAAAGCTGATACGAAATTTGAGAGCCACTGTGGATGGCCTGCTTTTTACGACAATTTGCCTGGAAAAGTGAAAAGAATAGAGGATGATTCTTATGGAATGCGACGTACCGAGGTTGTTTGCTCAAATTGTGGCGGCCATTTAGGCCATGTTTTTAAGGGCGAGGGCTATGCCGTACCTACGAATGAACGCCATTGTATCAATTCTGTTAGCTTGGATTTCCACAAAGAAGAAACCAATAACAAGTAGGTTGATGCATTTAAACAACATTCTTCTTATGAACTTGTCAATTTTTGTCCTTACAATGTATTAAATAAAATTACTACCGCATGATAATAATAGTATAATAAACATTTTTTTAAAAGTTCACCTTCATATTGTCAGTTCCAGTCTATAAACTCTACGTGAAAATTGTATTACGCATATATCCATTATTACGAGTACATACCAAAGCAACTTCTTTATCTTCTTTAATTTATTTATACTTTATGTAAATAACCTCAAGTTCAAAAATCTGGACAGTTCAAAAATCCTAATCGTAAAATCATAACCATATATACATAAAAAAAAAAATATCAGTACTAACGAACAGTGCCGTTCCTCTTACCTATCGAGAAGTAGGTGCCATTATACAGAATAGGTATAAGAAGATTCTCCTTTAATTATAAACCCAGATATAGCTTTATGAATGGGAACATCACCATCCGTAATGTCAGCAATAAGATGCTTGGACTGTGGGTCCATTGCAAATAGTAGTATAGCTCGAGCAACCGTTTCTCTGGAAATCATACTATTAATCGAGACTTTACCAATGGAAATATTACCATTGCTATCTTCATCTGTAAGCCCTGATGGACGTACAATGGTCCAGTCAATATCAGTGGATCGACGCACCAGTTCCTGATCTGCAATATATTTATAATGATAATAGGTACCAAGAGCTTCGTGTATTTTTAAGCTTAGTTCAATATCCTCTTTCTTATAATGAGGTGGAGCTGGTTGATTCATATCCCGATTGTCAATGGCCGATACCATGATTAGACGTCGAATTCTCGCGATTCTCATAGCGTCAAAAACTTTCACAGATCCTTCATAATCAACAGCTTTTGTCCTTTCAATCCCACCTTTTCCCCCGGAACCAGCTGCGAACACTATTATATCCGGTTTAATTCCTTTCAACAGTTCAGCAATTTGCATTGGAGATGCTCTTTCCAGTGAACACACTTTTGTTCGACCGTTCACTTTTTCAATATCTGAATTTTGCACATAGTCACGAACAACATTGTATACCACGTGTCCTGCTTCTGATGCGATTTTTGTCAAAAGCAAAGATACTTTTCCATGACCACCAAAAATGGCGAACACTGCCATTTTGTCAAATAGTTATATTATAAAATTTATGGAAATAAACGGTTTACTAATCACAGGTTTCTTTTTTAAAGAACTGTCACATCGAGTTAGTTTATACTTTACCCTTTCAAAGAAAGTATTGTACCTTTTATATGAAAATCAGTGAGTGATAAATAAAAGAGAGACCTTTCAAAAGGGAAAACAGAAAAAAAATGTGAACTGCGAACTGTCTAAATTTTGCCATTAGTCACTTTATTCCACCCACGATTTCATAATCAGGTACAAAATAACCATATTCATTTACGTACATTTTATTAATCGCAATGCTTTTTCCAAAATCCTTTTACCAAAAATGGGATTAATGTGAATTAGGAAAGTCCAAATCTCCAGAATAATAATAAAGAAACAAGAATGACGTGAACACCATTTGCTAGGTGTTAGGGTATGCGACGCGCATCGACTTAACTTCGAGTAAAACAATAATGATGTGCATACCATCCTCGCTAATATCCGTTAATAAATAAACAGAAAAGTAGCAGACAGTATTATTTGCGTCTAAACTTTGTCTCAATGAATCATATAATGTAAACGAAAAAGGGAAAAGCAAAGAAAATAGGTAACTTTTTTACTTTTTTTTTTATATTTACCTTACCTGGCTGTATTCAATCTTAACTTACATTACTAGTAGTCCACCTAGCGAATATAAAAATTATGAACTTGCTTTTTGTTTGTATCAATGATCCATAAGCTATCTTAAACTACATAATATGTAAACATTTATTGAAATTTTTTAACATAGTTTGTTATTCATAAGTTAGCAATTATCTTTAAATAGCCAGTTCATTTATCTTCATCAAATATCAAATATCAAAAACACCGCAGTTCAGCTATTTACAGTTCGTGCCTCTTGTTCTGCCAGTAATTAATTCAGTTAGTCTTACTTAGCAAAGGGATTTAATGTTTAAAACATCATGGCGGTTTCGCCGACATTTTAAGTCGTTTCATAACATCTATTTGCTGGAATTATTGGGTTTCATAAGCTTCTTAGGATTGGAGGTATTATATCGTTGTTTGAATAAGGGATCTGACTCTGCAGTATTTTTACGGATTTTCAAATCCCTAAGCGCTTTGAGCCACACCTCATGGATATCTTTGGACCGAGCAGCTATTTTTACCGGTTTTTCGTCAGTCAGTACTATAATGCTTTGATCGTGTACAGCGTCAGGATCATCTAAATAGCTCTCAGAAACAATATCAAAACCAATTATCTTAACCGACTTTATCTCAGCTCTTCTATTGATTCCGATGAAAGGATTGATTTCAGACCAGTACAGTCGCTCCTGGTAGGGATGGATCCATGCGTATCGTAAATGCATTGTCTTGAAAAAGAATCTTGCAAACTTGTTGCGCTTATACTTAAAAATATAGTCACCAATCATAACATGCGCTAGATCTTCACTTATACCTTGCAGATACTCCAAAGACTTGTGTTGCTCTTTAGCTCCGCTATGTAAAGGAACTACAGAAATTGCGGCCATCTTACCTGTGAAACGTTCACCAGTATTTCGTACAGACTGTTTATCCTTCCTTTGACTAGTTTCGATGTTCTGGTAAGGTTCATAATTATCAGATTGGGAAGAAGCAGTTTCTCCTTTTTCTGAAAGAGAAAACATCGAAGGCGGCGGAGAGGCTTTTAGAAACCATGATGGTACACCAGAGTTTCTCCTTCTAAGTTGATTGGTATCTTCAATAATCGTGGGAGAATACGGAATTTCTTCAAAATTTCTAATGACTTCAGGGATGGACTGGGTAAAACTAGAGCTTCGACGGGGTAATATAAGACTTCTTGATCTAGAAGGTCGCTGAGAACTACTACTACCAAACATCAGTTTGTTCCATTGATCCCAGTCACAATCCTTGGAAGGTTTTGTTTTGGGATAGACAGTCCTTCCATTAATGGAACCTTGAATGCTCTTGGCTTTTGAAATACTTACAGATCTTCGAGGTACAGAAGTATTTACACCAACACTGTGGGGTTCATCTTTAGATACTTCATATAACGTTCGACGAGTTATCGGATAACGGTTCGAAAAGCTCGAGGATCTTCTCTTAAGATGATAATCTTTCTTGTAAGTGCTCGTGTCATGTAACAGTAAGGAAGCAGTACTTTTTGCGGTGGCCAATTCTAATCCATTATCCGAATTCGCACGGTTTCTCTGAATTCTCGAATTCTGAGTCTCATTCGAAATGGCCTTAGGTTTATCAGCCTTATTTAGTTCTGTATCAAAACTTCCTAAGCGAAATAACACTGGACTTTTTGCGTTAACAGCAGCATCACGAGCCGACTCCTGACGGCGTTGAGACTGTTCCTTGTTAGTAGAAGCACAATGTTCTGCACCGCTTTCAGAAGCCGTAGGAGCATGAAGTCGTGCTTCAGTTAGCGTTTCGGCTGCTATCCTATTTTTCTGATCATTTTCACTAATTATTAATAAAGGAACTAAAGGTTTGACGGTGGTTTCAAGTTTCATTACGTCTTTTGAGGGTGTTTTCCCTCCTTGATCTGACAGAACTTCAGTTTGTTGGTAAGGTATATCAACAGTAGTTGTCTGACCATCCCGTTGGGAAATTTCGACATTACCTGCCGCATCAATGCTCAAACGCAGGTTCTGCGAAATTGACAGACCTGGAATTTGTTTGATACTCCAGTCATTTTCAACGGCTTCTTGAAACTGATGCGTTGTTAACAGAAAATGAACACATTTATCTCCAAGAAGATTTGAATTCCTGAGTTTAACAGATAGTTCTTCTAGATTCCTAAGACCAAGATTCAGCAATGGAGGTCTTTCAGGCAAATTGAGCTGATCTACCACTTTACTGAGCGCTTTGTTGTCGACATTATCAATTCGCTTCTGGATAACTCCATCGCCCATTCCACTAAGCCGTAAGGCTACCCCAGAAACAGAACTCTTAGATGACATCAATGAAGAAGAGTACTCAGTATCTTTAGTAGGAGAGCCAGGATCCACTGTTCCATCAGAAGTCTTATGGAACGCTGGATTGCTTTCGAAAAACACATCTGAAGCATCTCCTAACTTGACTTTAACAGCAGAATCTTCATTAACTGGATCAACTTCATTTCCATTTTGCAAACCTTCAGTCTTACTTAATAAGCACTGTAGTTGATTGAAAGATAAGCGAAGACTATTAAGCTCTAAAGCAAGCTTTTCTTTCTCACCTATATGCATTTTCATCATGGATTCAGATTGAGCAAGTTTCTCGGTCAGGGCTAGTGAATTCTGTTCTAGTGATTGATGATCAGTCGTCATATTCGACTTTTCGATTGTATAAGTCTTGATCCTATCGTTTAGAGAATCCAACTGAGATAGTAATTCATCATTTTCTTTCAAAACTTTTTGAAGTTCATTATCTTTTTCTTTAAAACGATAGTGAAGGGTTTTAAGCTGTTGAAGGAGATTTTTTCCGACAGTAGCTGCATACTGTGTATTTGTTTCAGTACGCGTCGGCTGATCATAAGGGAACGCGTTTTGGATGACTTTATCGTTGTTTAACTTTGAAGAGGATATACCGTAGGACTTCGAGTTTACTATTTGTACTAGCTTTGCCTCTTCTGCTACTAAACTGTCTTCAAGCTCTTGTAACTGAGTTCGAATTTCATGTACCTTCTCGTGGTCGTGTTCCAAATTATTTTCTTTCACAGAATTTTGTGCCTGTTTAATTTCATTTTCTACGGCGGCTTTCTCTTGTAAAAAAGATTCTCCTAACAAGCCTGCATAAACAAGTCTATCTTTGACATTTTCGAGCTTTAGAAAAAGGCTCTTCTGTTTCATATCTTCTTTGCTTTCACCTTCCATCTTTGCTTTTGGTCATCTACAGTATATGTTCTTGTCAATTGCTCCTCATCTCGTTGAAGCGCTTGTATTCCTAAAACGCGCCGCGTCATAAAAAGCATTTACCTTACAGACATACATTCAGATGTTAAGAAAAAAACAATTATACAGCTTTATATATTTATCAATCCTGCGCTCATTTAGAAACTTTAACCAATCCCTTAAACACTCCCAAACTCGTGGATTTGCTAAAGGTAACACCTCCAACTGCGACTCAGTTCCCATTATTGAAAACAAGTTAAACAAAAATGTTCATTAAAACAAGTCATGTTTTTAACAATTCTATGTATTTTTTTTTTTAATTGAGAATATATTCACTTCCTTCTACATATAAAAATACAGTACGTTTTCTTTTGATGTAAGCGCATCTTTCTTGAAAGTAACATCAACACACTATGCTACTTGAATGATATTTTATACCACTTCACAATTGTGATTACTGTAATACGTTGTACTTTGCAAAATTAAACTCACCACCACAGATGTAGTACTTGAACATAGCACATGGATAACTGAAAGTATATGCCTTAGTGTAATATATTTTGCATTCTGTTAAAGTTGTAAACTGAGCATGAGTTTTAAGAAAGAAAATGGAGAACTTGAAAAAGATTATGCTGAAAATATGAATGAAGACGAATTAGAAGGAGCAATTACCTCTGCATTACAACATGTTGAAGTCCCTCCTATTCCTCGACGTGTCAAAGTTTACGAAATGGAGAATGACAACTGGACGGATTGTGGAACTGGCTATTGTAATGGTTTAATAGAAGATTCGATTGCGTATTTCATTGTATATTCTGAATCCGATAATGAAACCATTCTTCTAAAGACACAGATCGTTGCAGAAGATATTTATACTCGTCAAGAAGAGACTTTAATAGTATGGCAAGAGTTAAATGGAACAGACCTTGCTCTCAGTTTTCAAGAATCCATCGGTTGTATCGACATGTGGATGTTCCTCACAAACGTTCAGAAAGCCATTTGTTCGATAACTGGAAACTTTTCAAACGATGATATTCTAACAGATGATGGTACAGCACATGAAAAGTACTTTCAATCTGTTAGTTTACCCTCTCCTGAATTAGCGAATCTTCCTGAAATCGAAGAAACTGTTTTTGGATTTATGAATTCCGTTCACACAAGAGATCATCTTGTGCGTTATTTATCCAATGAAGACTATGTCGCTAGACTTATCGAACTTTTTCCGTTATGCGAAGATTTGGAAAACACTGATGATTTACATCGATTATGCTCTATAATTAAATGCTTTGGTATGCGTTAAGTTCAATTTTACTTTCTCTTACTAACATTTTTCTATCTTTAGTCCAATTAAATGACGCTCCATTACTTGAATCCCTCGTTTCTAATGATGAAAAACTAATGACCATCGCTGGAATCTTGGAATGTGAGTTAACTTTTCTTCTTCCGTCATGTATATATACTAACCATTAGATGATCCCGAGTTTCCTAATATAAAGGCTAACCATCGCGAGTATTTGACTGATACCTCCAAGTTCAAACAAGTCGTCCCTATTCGAGAACCCCGTATCCTTGCAAAGATCCACCAGACTTTTAAACTGCAATATTTAAGAGACGTTATAATATCAAGGATCGTTGATGAACCTTCCTTTTCCGTTTTGAATTCTTTTATTTTCTTCAATCAAGCAGATATAATCCAATACCTCCAAACTAATAAGTGTTTTCTGCTTGAACTATTCAGTATTTACACAAACGATTCCCATGACGACGAAAAAAAACAAGAAGGAATTTTCTTTATACAGCAGGTCTGTAATATTGCAAAGAGCTTACAATTCCAATCTTGTTCAGCTTTATTCGTGACTTTCGTGAAATATAATTTACTTCAGGCACTGGATTACGCAATGTCAAGCCCCAAAAATAATGTACGAAATGCTGGATCCGACGTTTTAGTCTCAATAATTGATCAGGACCCTGCAATTATTTGGCAAAAATTTGACCAAGATCGTAAAGATGACTCGACTTCATCTTCTTCTGCACGTATCTCACAACATTCTTTATTATCCACTTTAATAAACATACTTCACAGGGAAACAAACCCAGGAGTTCTCGCACAAATCGCAGAAGCATTTCGTATCTTGCTGAGTCTTCCAGGGAACTACGCATTTAGTAATCCTTATCGAAATGCTGATGGAACCACTCGAAGTAAATCTGACAGTATAGTCGGACTTAACTTTATCGATAATTTTTACGACAATTCATTTACATATTTGGCTGACCCACTGTTGAAACTTACGAAACCCGAGGACCTCAATGAAACCAAACTGGATTTGTATGTGCATTTATGTGAACTTTTTAGCTATTTTTTTAAAATTCACGAGCAATGGACTCGACAGCTGGGAACCTATAAAGTGATAGCGTCTAAAATTGCGTTTTTGCTAAAAAGCACGAAAAAATATGTTGTTTTGAGCGGTCTTCGGTTTTTTCGTTCATGTTTGGCAGCCCGTCAAGCTGATATGTCTTCTATTATGTTGGAACATGATATCTTTGGTAAAATTTTGGAGCTAATGATGCAGGTAAAGTCTGAAAGGGGTCTGCTTAATTCAGCAACCCTTGAATTTTTTGAATATATACGCTCTGATGGTTCGGAAGCTATTCTTGATCATTTGAACAAACACTATCACGCTCGACTAGAATCACTGTCAGAGTTTCGTACGTTTTCTGAATTACTACAGTTGATAGATAATTTGGGTTCTGGTTCGGAAAGTTTTAAAAGCGTTAGTACACATGATCCTACTGATCTAGACCTCGAAAACACGAGAAAAAATAACAATGAGAAAACACCAACACCTGAAAAATCATCTGTTCGGAATGGTGATACGGCGGAGTCTTCCGACAGTGCACAGTACTTAGGAAACAAGCTGGATGTTACAAACACATCAGACAGTAGTCGTCAGTCTATACTTGAAGATCGTTATTTCTTGGAGTCCGCTATGCTTAATACCGAATCTACTAATACTTCAGAAATTAGCTTGAATCACCTTCAAAATTCCAAGAGGAAATCAGAGTTAGACTTGGAAAACATAGGAGAGGAAGAAGAATCTCCGAAAAAGAGGGTAGCTTACGAGAATTAAAATATTGAAAAGTCGTAAGCGGTTTTATAGAAATCTGATTACTATTTATAAAGGTTATTAAATCAATCTAATTTTCTTACCATTTACAAAAACCAAATTTTTTAACTTTTGAATTCATTAGTTACTCTATCATGATGATGAAGCCTCCGAAATGCTTTGAGTTGTTTGAGATAAATAAGTTTTAATCATAATGAAGCGGTTGACGATGATAATAAGAAGTTAAATAGCAATTAAGAAATATATTTGAGTCCGGGAAACATTTATTATACAGGCGCGTTAATTATGAAACAACATTCGGATAAATATAAAAAGGAGTAACCAAAGAATGAAAGAGAAGTCGATTCAATCGAGTCCTAAGATGACATTTCACTAAGGATATAAGGAATAATGACTAGTGAAGCTTGCATAAATATGAGCACAGACTCCAGAGCTCGAATGGGCATAAGCATGGAGGGACCACCAACAAAGATATATTGATAAATACTATAGGCGCAGACGGCGTAAAAATGGAAGAGTAAATGAGAAGGACTATGATCTAGACCTCCAAGCAAACGAACAGGACCTTCGATGCAACTTCCACCGCGAAGGAAATATTCGATGCAGCCGTTTCTTAAAGCCTGCATGTAACGGTTTTTGGGAGCGAAAAGTTTGTATAAGGCAATGGAAAGGACGTTAATGACGAAGCTATAACCCTTACGCTTCCAATGAAGCTTATTAGTTTGCGAAATTACATTATCATAATCGTAGAGATCCGGAACAACATTAGGAGCGATGAAACGAGAAAGCAAATAAGCATCGTGAAAGCAGACCGTCATACCACCACCGGTCAAAGGATGACGCATATTATTAGAGTCACCGACAAGAATTAAACCCTTGGTGCGATTGATGGAAGGAGGTAAGAATTGGTTGGGCATAGAACGAAGTCTATCATTATGGACGGCAGCCTTTAGGGAAGGGCGAAGAGACTCGGGCATTCGTGGGACACACTTTTCTAAAACGTATTGTTTAAGGACGTCGCTAGAAGGAAGATTTTTACCAGGATAGTTGATTAAGATTCGAGCTTCGGTATGGGAAATTGGGTAGATGACCATAGGAGCAATATCGCTAAGAATGACATGACCACGACCAGGGACAGGGAAACCTGGGTTTGTAAGGACGAGACCAAGGAAGTGGTCGGTAATTTGAATGGGATGATCGACAAAGCTCTTGCGGAACTTGGAAAAGCAACCATCACAAACAAGGGTCAATGGAGCCTTATAGCTTAAGAGAGAAGCATCAGGCTTTCTTGTGGCGGCAACTCCGCGAATAATTTCACCGGAATCGTCGCGAAGAAGTTCATTGACGGTGGCTTCGACAATGGTAACGTTTGGTGTATTCATGAGAGTCTTGCGCAAGTTCATGACGAACCGACCATAATGGAAACCAATGCCACGATAGGAAGAGCCATCCGACTTTTTGGGATAAGGAACAGCGACACTACTATCCTTATGGAAGATCTGGTAGCCAGACGTGAATTGACCGTCAATGCCTTGAATACAATCCTCAATGCCAATCTTCTCAAGGGCTTCAATACCACCGGGTTGAAGTAACTCACCGACGATTCGATCGGGCTCTGACATGTCACGCTCGAGAACGAGGACCTTTCTGCCTTGACGGCCCAAAGCAGCGGCCAAAGCGCAACCGGTAATACCGGCACCTACGATAATAATATCAGCATCATCGGAAGACATGGTGTTGGAAAAGAAAAAGAAAAGAGTGAATAAAAGGTCCAGAGAGTTGTCAAGGAGAAAACAAGAATGCAATGCACGTTAAAACCCACGAAACTGTAAAATGTGTACAAAACAGTAAAAAAACAAGAAACCAACAAGAAAAAGAAAACAACCGAAAGAGTCAAGACACAAGGAAGAGAAACCAATCAACAAATTCAAGATGGGTAAGGGACAAACAAAACGTGACACACAAAGAGGTTTCCTTTTGGAGAAGAGGAAACAACAAAACTAAGGCGAAAGATGATCGGGACGCTTAAAGCATTTAGCGAAATTTACCGTACATAGATTTGAAAACCAAATGACGGAGCGAACCGTAACGTGTGGAAACAAAGCCGTCTGGTTGGTGGTTGTAGCAAGGTTGGGTCACGCACGGTCGTCAGTAGATTTTATAGGTGGACGAAACCATTTTCAGGGTTAGGGTTAATCAAAAAAGACGACGATTGAAGGAAAAACAGAAAAGCAGACCATACAAGAAGAGGCAGGAAAAATAAGCTAGCCAATGAGAGGCAATAGAGATGGGCAGATTTCGCAAGGATAGGGAGGAAAAGCAGACGATGCAAGATGAAAATAAGGAAGTATAGTACAATAGCGTAATAAACAAGGCGATGGACAGGAGAGTACGATGTGTTGGGACGAGAAGAAGGGTTAGCTAATATGATGTAGATAATTATGAGGATGAATATAAATACAGAGATTCTTCTTCCAAAAGAGAAGGAACCATCATTTGTGAGAGAGTTGCTGCTGTAAAAGAGAAGTCGAATCCCAGGGTCCAAAGTAGTGGTTCTAGTGGGGGTGATGGGGGTCTCTCTTCACCCCACATGGGACTCAGCCATAGTATAGTAAAGTCATGGTCAGAGATGGTCAATGGGGGTCAAGGACAGCATGGGGGAGATGGGGGTATCTGAAGGGTACAGTAGAAAGGAGAAGGAAGGGTAAATGTGTGTGTGTGTGTGTGTGGTAGGTAAGAGAAAAGAGAAGTCAAGACAGAGAAGAGAGGATGATATTCTGTTCTTGTGAAGCAGGAAAAGGAGAGATTCATATTTTTCGATTGATTTTGTTCTTTTTTACTGTTCTTCTCTGTTCTGTTCTGTTCTGTTCTTTTATTTTTATTTTATTTTTTTTTTTGTTGACACTTTCAACACTTAAACTCTGATCCTCCTACCTGCTTTTTCGTTTTGGTGAGCACAATTCCATAGAAACACACAGACGCACGCAGACGCAGGTTTTTCTTGAAATCGTACTGCGGCAGTTCCTGCTCTTTACAACCACTTTGATGCAGCAACCACAAAAGCCTTGATGCGGTGGCTGCTTTGCTACATACATACACACCTTGTTACACTTTGCATCCTATGTCATTCTCGCTGTTGTCATTTATGTAAAGCGGTCGCTCATTTTTGTTGAGTGTTTTCTCCTGTGTTTTGTCTTTGTTTCTTTTGTCTTTTTCTTTTTTTTGAAAAATTTTTCTTTTGTACTTTCGACAGCTGAACGTTTTCATCCCTGCAAGATTCGTCCACGCCCACGCCGACCTCGAATCGAGCGAGAGCGCCTTGGGATGCCATGCCATCCCGTCCATCACTTTCGTAGCTTTCTTTTTTGTTTGTTTACGTCTGCATGGCTGGTCTTTCGATGTTTATTTCTCAATTCTGTGCCTCTAAGCATTCATTTTTCATCATTAGTTATCTCAAGCACAATGACGTCAAAATGTCCTTGTTCTGATGAAAACGGCGCTCACCTACACTACGTCTTTGTCAAAGAACCAGCATTTATATATAGGTTGGTTTTCTACGATACTTGCTCTTACTACATTTGTTGATTTATTGCAGAAAAATAAGGATTTCCTTTATTATAAAACACATTTTCTTTTCCGAAGTTTCTTAAAAGTTTTCAGAATTCACTATGGCTGTTACTGGTAGCGACATTTTCAAGGTATGTTTTCTTGCTTTTTTGAAAGGAAAAAAAGTTGATTTTGGGTGAAATCAGATCCTGAAATGAACTCTTTGATTTTTTATTTTATTTTTTTTCAGAATCGTGTCAGGTTTTCTGTACTGTGTAACAAAGACTTCATTTGAAATGTTCCTTTATTTTTATTTATTTTTTTTTCCTTCCTTCTTTCAATTTATCTAACATTTAGATCATCTTTGCTATTATCCTTCCTCCCTTGGGTGTTTTCCTCGAACGTGGTTGTGGTGCTGATATTATTATCAACATTCTTCTTTGCTGTCTTGGTTATGTACCTGGAATCATCCACGCACTTTATATTATTCTGAAGTATTAAAAGCCCACATGAATTTCGCTACCCTTTCTATCAATAAGAAAACCCCCCAATCATATACTTTCCACTGTTGATACGTTTTCATGATCTCCGGTTTCTGTCTATGTGTATACTTTGTTTCTTAAACTAGGGCAATCTATGTCTCGATCTTCTATTTGAACTAACGTTTGGTCCATCTTCTTGTAAGCTAGGTTATTTTGCTTGGCTTTGCTTGGCTTGGTTTACAAGTGGATATTTGAGACATTTGCTTTCCCCATACTTTTTTATTTCTTCTTTTTATCTTTATATCTCGTTGCTTATGGATCTTGTTGACTTCTTCTTTATTTCAATGCTTTGTTTTTTACGAGAAGTCAATTGTTTCATTGTTCTCTCTTTCTGCAATTTGGACAATCCTGAGTTTTTTAACAGTCACTTGTTTTCTCTTGTTTTGCATATTATTTTTATGCCTGGCTTGATAATTACGTAGTGTACACAAACTCAAGGAGAATTCCGGTGTCAAAACTTGAATGACAATAAAAAGTTACAATGGAAAAAACTATGCTAGTAACCTTTGTAAGTTCTTTCATAAATTCTCCTTTTGTATTCAAATCTTTACTAAAAAAATTGTAAAACCACGCACCATTTGCTATGTACTTAGTTATCCTTGTCAACTGTACTTAGAACTTTTATGTTTGCCGCTGCCCTAGGTATCTTCTTTTACTTGTGTTTAAACCAATATATAAGACAATTCGATGCTATTAACTCTTAAAAGACGTAGCAAAATCAGTATTGTTTCCTATTTCTATGTGAACTGAGTAGGGAAATCGTAAACTTTATTATACAGATTCGAGGCTAAAATTCTTTCATTCATGGTTCCCCATTATCTCGGTAATACTATTTATCGTTTACATTTGCTCAATAAATGTAAACTCACTCCAAAACGGTTTTCTTTGCTAAATAGACACACGCAAGCAAACTCCCCATCCTTAGGTTTGTGGTTGCTGTCCTTGTTTTTCATTCGTCTCTTCTGGCTCGTTTTGTTTAAGTTCTTCCATAAGTCTCTCATGAGCACGGAATACCTTGCTCTGTAAATAAAAAGATCCTCCTGCCTTGGGATCATTGATTTTAAACATCCGTTGAAACCTTTGTTCTAACTCTTCCTTGTTTAACGGATCTGTGTTGACGTTTAAAATGTCACCAGCTTCACGCATAGTAATTTCTCCTCGTCGAGCCACTTTAGCTTTTTCAGCATTCCCTGCTTGGCTTGCACCTGTGTTTTGCTGACTGGCATTCGCTACCATTTGTTTGTAGGCTTGAATAAAAGCCCTGCTCATTACTACAGTTATTCTTTGTTAGCTGTTTTTCATTTCGTCACAATCATCAATTTATTATTCCCGTTTCGTACCTTGCGAGCCCACGATTATAAATTTACCAACTGCTTTCGGTAGAGACATGGTTCTTCAGAAATTATCCGACAAAAGACACCTTTGATATTATATTTTTAATTGGAAAATTAATAATCTTGCTAATTACGATTATTCATATACTTTCAATCCTTTCAAAGAAAGCCTCACAGTGGTGAGTAGACAGACAGGGGAAGGTTAAGGCGTGTTCAGCGTTTTCGCAGGTTCCGTTATGGTACTATTTAAACGTCCTAGAAAATAGGATTTTCTTTTTTCTTTTTTCTTTTATTTATATGATTACGTCTAAAGTTTCATATTTATTAATTACAATGAATAAATAATTTTTCATTTCGCAGGTAAAATCCTGTTTACTAGCAGTATATTTAAAGTTGTCTTGTTCATTAAGCATCCCAATAATGATGATGTTCAGCGCAGATGAGAGTCGAAAATAAAAGAAAATAAAAAAAAAGGAATAAATCCTTTTAAACTTCAAAGGGTACACCATGCGCTCCAGGAAAACCTGTTAACGTCAAATCTATGGATACATTATCTATTGGTTCAAACGTAAAATTGTCTTCATAGCTTCCTCCTGCAGAGAATTGTCCAGTCTGTTTATTTTGCATGTTTTGCAATTCTCGGAGTTGTTGTTGACATTCAGCAAACTCATCCATTGCCGCTTTGTATCTTTCTATGGCCTCTTCGAGGTATTGCTTTTCACCTTTTAGATCACGAACCTGCGTCTCTAAACTTTGCTCCCGTTGGTGCTGATCATCTTGACCTTTGTTTGCTTGCGTATGCTTGTTTTCGCGCTCTGTCAAATCGGATTCTCTCTTGTCAAGGGATGACTGACGCTCATTCAGAGACTGTTGTTCAGAATCCATCCAGGATTGGAACGACTCTTGTTCTTGTTGAAATTGTTTTGATTGGTTTTCCAACTCTTCCTTTTGTCGGTTTAAGCTTTCTTCTTTCGCTTTCAACTCTTGCTCTTTACGTTCCAATGAAGCTTCTTTTTCCTGTCCGCTTTCTGTGCTTTCTGTCGCATGCTGTGATATACGATCTTTCTCTAACTTCAACTCTTCCAACTTTTTTACCGTCGAATCCAAATCACGTTTGGAATTCTCGCTATCATTTTTCAAAGACAAAGCCTTTTTTTCCAGTTTCTTGACTGTTTCTTGATTTGCATTTTCGGAACCGCTCAACTTATCTTTCAAATGTAAGACTTCTTTTCGAAGGCTTTCTTTTTCTTCATCAAATGAATTTTCTTCTTGAGGGCTCTTTGACTTTTCGGCTTCTTCGGTCGCTTCTTCTTCTTTCTTGTCATCTATCGGTTTCTTGGTTTCGTGCTCATTGGAAGCACCTTCAGTGGCATTAGAAGAATCCTCCTTACCTTTTTTTGTAAATTCCTCTTTTGTTTCAGTTACTGATGATTCAGGTTTGGTTTCTTTGTCGGCAGGTTCCGATGTAGATGCTTCCTTTGAGGCCTCTGTAGACTCATTCTGTTCAGAGACTTCGGCATCGTTGGTATTCTTATCATCTACAGTTGTCGAAGCTTCGCTTTCTGGGGCCGGGGATTGCTGAGAGGAAGCCGAACGAGCGTCTTTTGTTTTCGCTTGACGTTTCTTCTTTTTTGCTTCTTGCAACTGTTGCGATTAGTTAGATTTTATGCACTTTAGAATTGCAAACGAACCCTCTGCTTTGCAAGCGCTAACTTTTCCTCTCGATCAGACATGGTAATATATTAAGTATGAATATGTTTGGAAGGGAAGGTGTAACAGGTGTACCCGTAGTGATTTTACTACTTCAGCCATCGACAAAAGGCATTCTTCGAAAAGCATTTTCCATTGGATTCCAATATTAAAATATATAAATAAAAAGGATTAAAAGAGTATAAGTCCCGCTTTGAAAACATGGCTCAAATGTTTCTAAGCATCAACGAAAATATCATATTATGGTTGTATTATGATACACTTATGAAACAAGTGAGAAGGAAAATACAATAAAAGTATGTAAAGTAATTATTCCGAAGAATAGAAATATGTGAAAAGCTTCCTTTTCTTTTTCTTATTTTCTTGGGTTTCTGTCCGTTTTGCGTTTTCCTTCTTCGTTGTTACCTGAGCTGGTAGAAACAAAAGAAAAAAGGAAAATTAGTCAGGTAACAACTAAAAGATTATATAAAGACTGCGTCTGCTGCTCAATTTCCTTGTACCAGCGCTCAAGACAGTGCGATTGGGAAGGCTTTTTGCTTGCATGGTATTTTGCTATGCGTTCCTACTTGCTATTCATTGAGCGCAGAAGAATGTACTGGATCTTTTAAGAGCTTGTGAACTTAAGCTTTCCTACTTGTACACGAGTGTCAGAGGATCCATATATGTATATAGAATATTTAGGAAATGTAAGAAATTATCTATAGTGAATATGGTTGACTTTATTATTGATGTTTTCCAAAAAGTAAAAATTGAATTTTTATATGCTTTATGATGCTGTGGATCTGTGAAGTAAGTTTAGGTGAGAGTCGGAAGGATTTCTGTTTAAAAACATATTGTGAGTAACGAATGTTGAGGAAAGAGGGCCAAGAATCAATTGATATGAAGTTGTTGGAAAATTTACAAGCTACCTCAATTTAGTCCTCACCGAGTGTAATGAAGTATTGAGTATGGCCTCTTTGCTGTTAGGAAGAAAGAAGATGAAGATTTTGCCAGAAAGACGTGAAATCACAACCGATGACAATCATTTGAGATGCAATGAGTAAGTTTGGTAAAAACAATAGTAGATCATACAATAGAAGCAGCCATTGGGTATTTTAAATGTCTTTTATACAAGAATTTCTAGTGTATTATAAGTACTCATAAAGGGCAACGAAAAGCGCGTTGAATGCATGGGTAAAAATGAGCTATACGTTCAATCACTTTTAGAAAAGAAACTAAAAATCCGCCTTCATCGTTCATTTCGTAAATTTCGTGACACTTTTCGAAGCAACTCAGTTAGCAGCATTGCTGACTATTATTGACCATGTATTCATACACAGGAAAGCATTTCTATCGTCAACAGGTACGCAAACCAATTCTATATTTTTCTCTTAGAATAAAATGCTTCCGTAGAGGAGATACAAGTAAGACAATTGAGCCAAGTGTGAGCAATTGGATACATATTTCGTTTATGCTTGAATATACTGCTGTCGTTGAATAGAATAAATGCGTGTGTGACCAGGAGCCCATCCCAAAGAATGAATAAACGCATGAGCAAAAATCTCACCGAAACCAAGCATAATGCCATTTAAGAAAGGTAATCCCAAGTTGATTGCCGTATACTTAAGGACTTGAATTACTTGTGTAAACACTGACTTTTGAACGGGCGATGACTTTCCTTCCATGTTGTTTGTTTCTCAATTTCTAGTCAAAACTAAAATACTTGGTAATGTCTTGGCGCAATTGGGAGTCACAAACGTTTCTTCTATCCGTACGAAGTTTGTAGTTGACTAGTGCTCGCCTCCAGTTCTGTTCAAGCTTTCAGACTTGTCCGTTCTTTACGAACTTTTCACGTATTAAGAAATAAATCCTTTTTTTATAAAGTAGTTTCAATAACGGAAGTGTTTATTTGCGTTATTCTTCGAAATTGATTAATTTTGGATGTTGTCAACATCATAGAAAGCGCTTTCTGTGAGTTGAGAATCTCCTTAACTTACGGTCTGGTTCGTTATATTGCTAAACAGCATTTCAGCAACGGTAGGTTATTAAATCTTTATATGAATTAATGATATTTAGCGAGAACACTGGTTACGTTTTCGTGTATATGGATCATCGATGTACCCGAGCTTTCATTTATTTAATTTACCAGTACACGCTTCCAGTTCAATTTTTTAGTGCGACTCTATTCTTCGTGATTATCCTAAGACTGGCTTTTATTGACTCGACTTTCCTTGATTTGGATTCCTCTTCACTCTGTTTTGACTTCAAATCGTAGAGGGAAGAATAAATATAAGAAGGCGCGCTTTTCTTAGAAAGCGCCTAAAAGGCGGATACTAGGAATCAGAGTACTTTTTTTTTCAGTGTATTCTTCTGCGTATCGTGTTAGGTACCTCTGTCTAGGAAAGCTCACGAATTGTACGAAACGTTCGGCGAAACACTTATTTAAATTTGCACTGTTTATCATGTTTTTTGTTTATTTAGCCTTTTTTTATCTACAATGGCTGACTTTGGCTTTCAGCTTTGTTATAAAACCAATCGCTTCTGACAATTCACAAATTTCCATCACCAATGAAGTAGGAAGTCCATCTTCTGAATCGAAAATCACCAACAGCAAAGGAAAACCGTTGACAGGAAGGTTTCTTCATATAACCGATATGCATCCTGATGAATTCTATCGAGAAGGTGCTAGTGTCGACCACTATTGCCATGACTATAAACATACAAGTGGATTTTCCAAATCGCCTAAAGCTGGTCATTTGTCACCGGGACCTGGATTTGAGTGCGATTCCTCACCATCCCTAATTAATAAAACTTTGGATTGGTTCTCCAAGCATTTCGAAAAGGATTATGGAGGCATAGATTTCATTATATGGACTGGCGATAATTCCCGACATGACAATGATAACCATTTTCCGCGAACAAAAAGTGAAATTATTATTTCTAATGAAAAGACTGTCGATAAAATGGTTGAAACGTTTCCAGACGTTCCTATTGTTGCTGCCATTGGAAATAATGATGTTTATCCACATAATATTATGGAAGGGGGGTCTTCTTCAATGACTCAAGCTCTTGCTGGTGCATGGGATGCTTTAATACCAACGCAGGAAAAGCATGCTTTTGAAAAAGGAGGTTACTATATGGTGGAGGTAATCCCTAACAGACTTGCTGTGATCGCCTTTAATTCTCTGTACTTCTCAGAAAAAAATGCAGCTGTTGACGGTTGTCCAAGAAAGGACCCTGATGACCCAGGATCATTTCACATACGATGGCTTCGGATCCAATTTTCACTTCTCAGGCAAAGGAAAATGTATGCTTGGGTAGCTAGTCATGTTCCACCTACACGTGATCAGTGGTACATTGATTGCTATGACGCCTTCACCGACCTACTGTATGAGTTCCGAGATGTCATAGTTGGTCAGTTGTATGGACATATGAATATAAATCACTTTTTCTTCCTTGAATTCAACAAGCCGCCGGCAGATACTTCGACGTTAAAATCTGGAGGTTTCCAAATCGAAACAGCACAACCTAAATACGTTAAAAGTTTGATTGAGAATCAGTATGGAGAGCTTCCATATGTTCCCGATAAACCAACATCAAAGTTCATGGAAGAAACCGTCGGAAAGTTTTCCCTTGCTAGTGTTGGTGGATCTATTATTCCAGAGATGTTCCCAAACTTTCGTATTTACACATACAATACTTCTGGGTTGAATCCACAACCATCAGGATCGGATGGAAATAACGGTTTGTCTGACTCCATTCCAAATGACTATGCTTCTCAACTTGATGAATTGTACCGTAGTAACTCCGTGAAAGACAATGAAGATCTGTTGCCCTTTACATCAGATTATGAGTCAATGAAGAAAAAATCTAGAAAGAAAAAGAAGAAGAAAAAGAACCGTAGAAAGAAAAAAATTCAACCTGGACCCTTAGGACCAGCTTATGTTCCCATGACATTCACACCGCTGTCGTTTCAGCAAATTTTTCTGAACACGTCTAATTATATGAACGCGACGGATGAAAGTGAAGTTGATTACAAGCTGTTGTATGATAGTAGAGATCAACCGTATAACATGCCTTCACTCACTGTTTTCGATTACATGCGCTTGGCAAGACGGATTGCCGGCGTTTTTGACTCTAACAAGAAAAAAAAGAAAAAAAGGCGTTATAAAGATATTACTTATACTTATCTTTGGCATGCCTATATCGGGGCGGTCCCTAGCTTGGGTAATCCCGATGATTATTAATTTATTTATTCAAAACAAACTATACATTATGAATATCATTAAACTCACCACATAGCGTAAGCTCACTGGTTTTGTTTCATATACATTTCAGCTAGCATTGTATTAGTAGATGCGTCCTCAGGACCTTTATCCGATCGAATTTTAATAAAACGTGGAAATCGAATTGATAGTCCTCGGTCTTCATCAGCTAACCCAATACCTGCTTTGTAAACAGGAGAAGAAGTAATCTGTGCACCCTTGACTTCCCAGACTTCATCAGCCGAAGCTAGTATTTCTATTAAACCTCGCATTGCATGCGGACAAGTAAGCACGCACGGGCTACTATTTCCTGAATCAAGGGAATAGCGATCAGTAATTTCTTTATAGAACTGATCGCTAAAACCGGACATACATTTACATACCGCTTCGTACGTTGCGTTTTCGGGGTTGAATACAGCAAGAAGAATAGGACTGAACCATCCTGCCTTTCTTCCACTTCCATACCAAGCACCGATTGGTACAAGATCTAAGGATTCAAACTCTTCAGAGTAATCCTGTTTAACTTTAATCCAGCCTTCACCTCGTTTGTCAGGCTCATATGTCGAAGGTAGTTTTGAGTTTATCCCGTCCAAAACTTTCACCATCAATCCTTCACATTTACTATTGATCGCGAGATTAAAAAATTCCTGAATAGCAGCTTCTTCTTTCGATTCCAGAGACGCGGCAAGCTGAAACTGATTTGGAATGATATTAAAGCTTTCAATAATATTTCTTCTTCTTACGGACAAAGGGCACTGCAACAAAGACTCTCCTTTGAAGTACATCATATCAAATATAAAGAAACAGACATGAACAGTTATTTCGTTTAAATTGACTTTCTTCCTTTCCCTCGTAGACAGTGTTTGAAAATCAAGAATTTGTCCTGACTTACTGTCAATAGCTACCAACTCTCCTTCTATAATGTAATCGGCATTGGTCTTCTGTGCAATTTGACAAGACTCTATAACGTCAGGATATCGTTCACTAATTTCTTCAAGATGACGACTAAAGATTTTTACTTCCCCCGTTTTGGATTTGTGAACTTGGGCCCTTTGACCATCGTATTTGAATTCACAACAAAAATTGTGACCCTTCAACTTGTGTAGCATCTCTTGTAAATTTTTCGTAATTGACCCTAGCATCGGTTTGACTGGAGTACCCGGTCTTATTGACATACGTTGGGTCAAGTCATTCAACCCCGTAGTCAACAATGTCTTCACAAGAATGTTGTAATCTGGAACTTGATAGAAGCTTTGTTTAAGTGCTTCTTCCGCCTTTTGAAACTCTTCTTGTAAACTAGCAGACCCTAAATTTGCTAGTCTCTCATAATCGGAATAAATAATAAAGGCCTTACTTAAAGCAGTAAGCATAGTATTTTGTACAGCTCCAATTCTAAGGTTTTGCATTATGCTCCTTCCAATGTATCGGACTTCCTCTGCTTTAGCTGATATTAAAAGATATTTTGTCAATTCAAGTTTACGATTTTGAGCCCCATTACCAATACAATCGGCAATCTTTAATAAAGTTGAGAACACCTTTTTGATAGTCAGCGGCTGAGGCTGAAATAGTGTACGCACAGACACTTTAGCTTCATAAGCAACATCACCAGGATCGCCGTGACGATTCCAAAGGTTCTTGAGTGATTGTGAAGATATTCCGCAAACCTCCTTCAGCGCTTTTGAGTACATAGCAGGCCCGACCCCTAAATTTTTTCCGTAAAAGCTGGGTGCTATATCATTGGTAGAAAGCCATACCGCAGACAACAAAGAATCCTTTTCTATATGTAATAAGAACAGAAGACAATTAGTGAGGAGGGTGACTATGCGAATTCTAGATTTTGTACTACTAATTAGCACAAACGTATTCGCTAGAAAAGAATAAGGTGCATCAACTTCAGTAGTTATCGAAACCCTTTCGCGGCAATATTTTTCGAAGGCTAGAGGATCCTGCTGAAAAATATCCTCGTCAATAAAAAAGGTTTCTTTACAATTGCTACTAAATGTAACCCTATCTTCGTTCGGAACATCTTCTTCTTTCATCAAAGAACATGAAGGCTCTTCCAGATGTCCTCTTTGTGGTGAATCCGATACAAGCCCATTGCCGTTTAGGGCATCCCTCTGGTTGCCTCCCACCTCAGCAACTTCTTGATCAAATTCCTTTTGCAGCTTTAACGCAATATTATAATCATCATCCGAAACTACATGTTTACCTTGTTCTGGCTCTGCGTGGCCAATTAATTTATGGGTGTCAGGTATTGACAGTCGCTGTTTTAAGAACAGCTCTTGTATTGTGAAATTCGATTGATTTTCCGCTTTTCTTTTGGAATTTTTTGAAGATCCTTGCACATAACCATTAGCCCTTTTTTTCGGAGGCATAATTACTGAAAGGCATTAATTGTTAAAATCCTTCCTTCAGAAGTTCAATCGACCCAATGACACACTTGTATAATTAAAATCAAGTGAATAAATCAAAAAAAATAAAAAAAAATCTTCGCTTCTCCTTTTCTTATCCAATTACCATTATGGTTGTTGTCACTACGTATTCGTATACTGGTAAACCAAGACATCACCGTGAGTAGTGGTTGCAGCGAAAGAATCTGAAGAAGGATGAGATACTATATCACTAACAATAGACATATTTGGGGTTGATATGGACGTTAATTGTTCACCGGATTCCATGTCCCATACCAAAATCTTTCCATCTTCACTTCCACTAATGACATAGCGTTCCATATAGTCAAGGCAGGATCTAAGTCGATAGTTCATGTTTTTTTTTCCTGAATAGCTTTTAAGTATAGCGCCATTTTCCAAGTCTAATAGGTGGTTAGAACTGTGTAGTATCGAGATTAAAGCGAAAGCTCCTGTTTTAGATGTCCATATTGATGTAATCGGATCTGTGAGTACATTAGAATAAAATCCTCTAAGTATATAGTATACTAACACATACTTGTAAATGAATCAGTAAGTAATTTTCCGTTACGTATATCATAAGTTCGTATGTTTCCGTCAGTAGATCCTGCAATAATTTTGTCTTCTTTAATATCAATTGTCGAAACGCTGTCTTTGGCTTCGTTTAAAACTTGCACAGGAATACTAGAACTTGATCTGTTTACAGGTGGTAGCTCACTTTAACTTCTTGAATGATGGAAGAACTTACCTGCAATCCCATAGGCGCACCTTAGAATCGAAGGATCCTAGCACAATTAGTACGAAGTCGGTTAAGATTTCTTTTATAAAAACCTACCACTAGCTAAAATAGAGGACTCTTGATTATAGCACACAGTATTGACACGAGCAAGGTGGCTACCAAACTTCCTAATTACTTGTCCGGTGGAAACATCCCAAACATGAACAAAGCGGTCTCCTCCACAACTCGCAAACCTAGTACTATCCGTGACTATATCCAAATCCATAATCTCAAAGCTATGAGCCATGTATTCTCTAATATACGCGCCAGTTTTGGAGTTCAAAAGGCGGACTACTCGATCATTGCCGGCACACAGAAGATAGTTACCAGTTGAGTTGTATTTTATAACATTTAAAGGTTCTTTTTCTTTTGTAGAAACCTGTCGTATTAGATTCACCTGCATTGTAATCTGTATTGTCAAGTTGTGTAGCAAACTATTCCTTCACTGGGCAATAATGAGTCAACCATACAACTTAAAAATAAAAAAAAAATCTTAACAAAAGGATTTACTTGAAAAAATAGATATATTACTGTATTATCCAATATAGATTTTATATTGCAAAAAGCGTTATACAGTTAGTATTTGAAATTCTGAACCATAAGTTGCTGCAAAATATTTCGCCCAGCGCCAACACGTCGAAAGTGGTAAATACGATATAATTCTATAAAAAAACAAGCTTAATCCACTTCTTTCTATTTAAAAAAGTTAATTGAGGAAAAATTAAAGACTATTCGTTTTAAAATCAAAGGTCAAGAGTATGAAAACCGAATTCGGGTTTTCGAATTTGATAGGGACAGTGTTCAACCAGGGTAATCTCCTTTTTACTCCAGATGGTTTTTCTATTTTAAGTCCAGTAGGAAATCGCATAACTGTTTACAACTTGAAGGAAAACAAGTCGTTTACCTTACCTTTTGAAAATAAAAAGAATATATCAAGGATCGCTTTATCTCCTCAGGCTACATTATTATTGTCTGTTGACGAAGATGGTAGATGTATTCTTTGTAACTTTGTGAGAAGATCTGTTTTGCATTACTTTAATTTTAAATCACCCGTTGGTGCCATAGAGTTTGCTCCTCATGGCAGATACTTTGCTGTAGCATTGGGTAAACTTATTCAAGTATGGCGAACGCCAGAAGCTATAGATGAGCGTGAATTTGCGCCTTTCGTCTTGCATCGCGAATACACCGGTCATTTTGATGATGTAGTTTCGATTTCATGGTCTGCCGATTCCCGTTTCTTTTTGAGTACTTCAAAAGATTTAACAGTTCGTATACATTCTGTCGACCCTGTTGAAGGGTTCCGTCCTTGCGCTTTGACTGGACACAAGAGTACTGTTGTTTCTGCTTTCTTTTCTCAAGATCAGCAAACAATATATTCTGTTAGCAAAGATGGCGCGTTGTTTTCTTGGAAATATTCACCTTTGTTTCAAGCTGGCGAAGTAATAGACGAAGAGGCCGAGGAAAATAAAGATCGTACACATATTTGGATGATTAAGGATCGCAATTATTTTTTCCAGAATGCTAATCTTCGTTCGACTGCTTTCCATCCCACCACAAATTTGTTAGTGGTTGGATTTTCGAATGGCCTTTTTGGTATCTATGAATTACCTTTGTTCACAATGCTTTATCAACTAAGTATCACTCAGTCGAACATTGATACTCTTACAATAAATAATACTGGTGAGTGGATTGCTTTAGGTTCCAGTAAGTTAGGCCAGTTACTCATCTGGGAGTGGCAGTCGGAGTCTTATGTACTGAAGCAATCTTCGCACTATGATTCTTTGAGCACATTGGTGTATACTCCAGATGGGCAAAGAGTTGTTTCAGGGGCTGATGATGGCAAAATAAAGCTTTGGGATATCACTTCTGGATTCTGTGTAGTCACATTTACCCAACATGCCTCATCAATTACAGGATTGTGTTTCGCCAAGAGGGGAAACGTTCTTTTTAGCAGCTGTCTCGATGGATCTGTAAGGGCATGGGACCTTGTGAGATATCGTAACTTTAGAACTTTCACTGCTCCCAATCGTGTTCAATTTTCATGCGTTGCCGTGGATCCTTCAGGTGAGATTGTCTGCGCCGGATCTCAAGATAGCTTTGAAATCTTTATGTGGTCCGTACAAACTGGTCAACTATTGGAAAGATTGGCTGGACATGAAGGCCCTGTTTCGTCTCTTTCGTTTAACTCATCTGGTAGTCTTTTGGCCAGTGGTAGTTGGGATAAAACTGTCCGTATATGGGACATCTTCAGTCGCAGCGGTATAGTGGAGCCTCTCCCTGCTCCGTCAGATGTTCTGGCTCTCTCTTTCCGCCCTGATGGTAAGGAGCTTTCGGTAGCTTCTCTTGATGGTCAATTGTCATTCTGGGATGTACAAGAAGCGAAGCAAACTTCTCTCATCGATGGCCGAAAGGACTTGTCGGGTGGAAGAAAATCAACTGATGCCCAAACTGCAGAAAATGCCTCAGGAAATAAGACTTTTACTTCCATATGCTATTCTGCGGATGGGTCTTGCGTTTTGACGGCTGGTACTAGTAAATATGTATGTCTTTATGACATTGCAACTGGTGTTTTGATTAAAAAGTTTCAGTTATCGAAAAATGAGTCTTTGCAGGGTGTGCTTGAGGTTTTAAATAGTCGAAACATGACTGATGCTGGTTCTATGGACTTAATTGATACTCAAGGCGAAGCTTCCGACTTGGAGGATCGTATAGATAGAACTTTACCTGGTGCTGCTAAAGGTGATTTGTCGGCTCGTAAATTACGTCCTGAAATTCTTTGTCAGGAAGTGCAATTTTCTCCAAGTGGTGGAGCTTTTGCAGCTGCAACAACTGAGGGACTAATGATATTTTCATTAATTAACGATTTCATTTTCGATCCTATCAATTTAGATATTGACATTACTCCTGAAACAACTTTGACTGTTTGCGGCGAAGGTGAATTGTTGCGTGTCTCAGGATGGCCCTTCGTCTAAATGAGTACAAAGTTATTGAAAGGGTTTATGAATCTATCCCTGTAGCTGACATTGACCATATTACCCAACAACTTCCGACGACTTATCTTGCAAACTTAATTAACTACTTGAGTTCTTTTGCCGCCGAAACTCCTCATATTGAGTTCCATTTAAAATGGATGCGTTCGATATTGTCTCATCATGGTGAGTTTATAAAGAGGAGAAACTTTGAGTATGCAAGTCAACTCACTAGTCTACAAAAGTCTATTGTTGTTCTTAGTAAACGCTTGTCTCAGCTCTCGTCCAATAATGAGTTTTCTCTTTCCTTCATTTTGGACAAAATGCAAACGGAATCGGTTGCAAATGCTTAGGGTTGTTATTGGGAAGCTGTTATTTTAGGGACTTTAATTGCGAAAAGGATAAATGTTTTTTGGTTACTGTAGTTACATTATTTAGAAAATAGGTAAATAGGGTGGTAATGTATGATTTAAATATACATATATATTTATATGTCTAAATACTATTTTTGCAAGGGTTGGTTTTAGTGATTTATCTACGCTCTAAACGTATTTATAGGCTAAAAATGTTAGTTACACAGGAATTCAAAAGTAATCTACTTACGCAGCATAATTCCATTAGGATCAAAGACGTTCTTCAAATTCTTCATTAATGCAATCATTTCGGGGGTTTTTGAATATCCAACGTATGGCTTTTTTAAAAGACCTAAGCCATGCTCTGCTGAGATTGAGCCACGCTGAGAAGCGACCCATTCAAATACCCAAGGCTGGAGAGCATTTTCGACACGCTTATCATAATTTCGTACAGCAATGTTTAAGTGCAGGTTTCCATCACCCATGTGACCAAAGCCTACAACATCAATGACTGGATGATCAGAAGATTCGCCAAGTAAATCTAAATCTATTAATCTTTGTTTGGTGTCGTTTACCAAGTCATATAAAACCCCTAAAGGTAAAGAAACATCGTATTTGTAAACACCAGAACCTGCTTTAGCAAGACATTCAGTGATGCCCTCTCGGCGTTCCCAAAGCACGCGTAATTGACTTTCATCCTGAGCGATTACACCATCAGTAATGATTTCATTTTCTATCAAGTTTTCAATAAGTGCATTTAGCTTTTGCTCGTCATGATCCTTGTTGGAACCCTGGGTTTCGAGCAAAACATAAAATGGATGTTCATCTTCGACTGGACGTTGAGTAGAACTGTGAGCATCCACAAGACGTTGGGATGTATTATCCATCAATTCAAAGGCAGAAAGGATTTCAGTAAGATGAGACTTTGATTCGGAGAACGCTTTCAGAACGTTTTCGTAAGAAGGTACGCCAAAGAAAGCAACGTTGGTTGAACGAGGTCTACGGGGACAAATAATAGTAAGACGGGTGATGATACCTAAATAACCTTCACTTCCGATGAAAAGCTGCTTGAGATCCAAACCAGTGTTATCCTTGCGTAAGGTAACCATGTTGTCAAGAACGGTACCGTCAGGTAAGACGGCCTCAATTCCAAGGATTGTTCCACGAAGACTACCGTAACGAAGTAAGCGAAGTCCGCCGGCTGCAGTAGCAGCACAGCCACCAACTTGACAGCTTCCTTTCGCACCAAGGTCTAGAGGAAACATGTGATCCTTTTCAGCCAGAAAAGTGTCTGCATTTTCCAAGATAACACCAGCATCCAAACTGAGAACACCAGAGAGTTCGTCAAAAGAATGGATTTTGTTCATGAGACCTAAATTTAAAACGACTTCATCAAAAACTGGGATAGAACCACCAACTAAACCGGTGTTTCCACCTTGTGGAACAACCGCGAGTTTTCTGGAATTGCAGTATTTGAGGATTTGGCTTACTTGTTGAGTTGTTTTTGGTTTGATGACCAATTCGGTTTTTCCGCGATACTTGTTAGTCCAGTCGATGTTAAACGCGTCTAAATCAGAAGGATCTGTGGATTTATCAAGACCATTAACAATAGATCCTCCTTCGCTTTTGACAACATTTTTGAAGAAATCAATGTCTGTTTCATTTAAAGTAGCGTACCGGGGATCCCGCTTAAGAAACGGATAAGAGTCAGCAGTAAAGGACGGTTTGTGAGCAAATCGTAAAGAGCAAAATCTTGTGGATGCATTTGCATTAACAGCTGCAAATCTCCCCATCTGGGAGAGGAATCCCTTACGAAGAAATAACATAATTCGCTTCTCTTATGGATAGTCGAGAATAGAAACGATAATCGCTAACAATCAAGATTAAAAAAGTAATGAGCCAAAAATTCCTATTTTTTTAAAGAAGGAGGGAAAAGACAACTAAGAAGGACCACTTTCCTTCGTTTGCAATATTCCGACAGAAGCCAAGGTGTATTATTATGGTAAACAAAAAAGCTACTTTGCCGATCAACTATTCAAATAGTTTCTCGTTATGCAAGCAATTTATTCCTTTTAAGTTGTTTACTTAAATACACAATTGGTATATGTGTCAAACACAGCGATTGAAAAATTTGTCAAGCAGGATCTTTTTTGTGTTTAGTGATTTACTTTCAGATTGGAGATACGGCGATACAAAACACGTGCTTAAATTTTTTAGCGACATAGGTTAGGCTTCATTATTCAATGAAATATGTCTTCATATATGTATAAAATTATAAATTGAAACTGAAAATTGTTGACTATAACTTTCAGTAGAGCTAGATCTACAGATATTAATAAAATTTAAACAATAAAAGCATGAAGATCTATCAAATTCATCCTACTCAATGCTTGGAGTCTACATGAAGAGTATCTCTTGGGAACTGTTTCATCAAATGTATTGCTTAGTACTTTACAAATTTTGGATATTATTCATTTTTTTTAACGAAAGATTTCTTTTATTTAATTTCCTTGTTTCTGTTTCTGTCTCCCTTTTTTTTTTTTTTTATTATTTATTTTTTCGTAAATATTTACATTACTATTCTAAGAACCCATCGAGTCCCCCGCGTTTCTTAAAATAACGATTGACGTAAACTTATGTGGTGGAAACGAGCAATATTAACGAGTTTTGGCACAAGTGCGTAGAACATACTTCTTATACCCATTATTGAAAACAAGTTCATTTCAACCTAGTTAGTGCATACATTGATTTCCAAAACTTCCTATATCGTTTCATTTGGAAAGTTTGAGTGTTACTTGTAGGAATACGCTTCTATTCCTAACATTCTTTCTGTTTACTAAAGACCGGTATCTTTACACACTTTAGGTTTTATAGAATGGTATGTAGTTGCGTTTTATGGATAACTGTAATTCTATATTGATCGTGTTACTAATTTTTTAAGGCAATGTCAAACATTGACGCCGATGAAGTCAATTTAGACAGCAGTATGGAGCTAGATGAAAACTCTCAAGAACCTCTGCGGGCGGATAACTGTAAGTACTCATGGAAAGATGGCCTGAAGTCTTTTTTTTTGCGTAATTTGCTAATACATATATTTCTAGTTGAAGAAATTTATAATTCTCTCGTACAAGACGAACCTGACTTGGAAGAAGAAACCCATGTCTCTTATGCGTGGATTGTAAAAGACTTCAGTAAGCTCATCGAGAAAACATATAGCCCTATTTTTACGGCAGGTGATAGTGCGTGGCGTCTGGTTTTATTTCCCAAAGGCTGTAATCAGACTGAATATGCCTCTGTGTTCTTAGAATACTTACCTCAATGTAAGGTCGATGCGATAAAGCAAGAAGAAAAAGAAATTGCCGAGGGAAAAGAAGTTACTGTTGATTCAGAAATCGTAACTGACGAGACCTATTCTTGTTGCGCACAGTTCGCTCTCTCCTTGTCCAACGTACGAAACCCTGCAGTCATGCAAATCAATACCTCTCATCATCGTTTTCGTTCAGAAGTAAAGGATTGGGGATTTACTCGATTTGCCGATCTTCGCAAAATAGGTGTTCCAAATTCTGATTTTCCAGTTCCTTTCCTTGAGGATGACCAGTTTTGTATTTCTGTAACCGTCCGCGTTTTAAAAGATCCCACTGGTGTTCTCTGGCATTCCTTTGTCAATTATAACTCTAAAAAAGAAACTGGTTTTGTCGGATTAAACAACCAAGGTGCGACTTGCTATATGAATTCCCTTCTTCAGTCCTTATATTTTACCAATGTTTTCCGGAAAACTGTTTATAAAATCCCCACTGACAGCGATGATGCAAAGGGTAGTGTTGCTTATGCTCTTCAGCGTGTTTTCTATAACTTAGAAAAACAAAGAGAAGCTGTTAGCACCAACGAACTTACGCGATCGTTTGGTTGGAATTCATTTGATTCCTTCATGCAGCACGATGTGCAAGAGTTTAATCGAGTATTACAGGATAACCTCGAAAAGAAAATGAAAGGGACTGATGTTGAAAATGCACTTAATGACATTTTCGTTGGAAAAATGAAAAGCTATGTGAAATGCATTGATGTCAATTATGAGTCATCCCGTGTTGAAGATTTCTGGGATATTCAACTAAATGTCAAGGGTATGGCTACCTTGGAGGATTCTTTTCGTGATGCTATCCAAGTTGAAACTTTAACTGGTGATAATAAATATTATGCTGAAGGCCATGGTTTACAGGACGCGCATAAGGGTGTCGTATTTGAGTCTTTTCCTAATGTTTTACAGTTGCAACTGAAGCGCTTTGATTACGACATGTTACGAGATATGATGGTTAAAATAAATGATAGGCACGAGTTTCCTTTGGAAATTGACCTAGAGCCTTATCTTTCAGACACTGCAGATAAATCTGAATCCCACGTTTATTGCCTGCACGGGGTCCTTGTTCATGGTGGTGATCTTCATGGTGGCCATTATTATGCTTTAATCAAGCCCGAAAAGGACAGTGGATGGTTCAAGTTTGATGATGATCGAGTAACTCGTGCAACATTAAAAGAAGTACAGGACGATAATTTTGGGGGTGAGTCTTTGAATAAACCGAAAGGTTATACCGGAAACCCGTTTAAGCGCTTTATGAATGCATATATGCTAGTCTACTTTCGTAAGAGCCGTCTTGATAAAATTCTTTCTCCAGTTACTACTGAAGATGTACCTTATCACGTAAGAGCTTCGTTAGATGAAGAGCACCGAATCATGGAAAAAAAGCTTCAAGAACGCGAAGAGCAATATTATTACCGAAAGGTTCGCCTGCTGACTATAGATGGATTCCGAAACCACCATGACTACGACATGGCTGACTTTTCTAAGGCCACCAAAGAGGATGATCATAATCTGTTGACAACCAGAGTAAAAAGAAATGCCACAATTTTGGATCTTTATAACCACGTCGCTTCCATATTGAAGCGTGACTCAACCTCAATTCGCTTATGGATGATGACCAATCGCCAAAATAGGACAGTGAGAGTGGATCTGCTTTTCGACAAAAAGGGATTACTCGTCGATCAAATTTGTGACACGCACATTCGTAAAGACGCTGATTTGCGTATTTACGCTGAATATGTCGATGACAAACAGGAGTTATCTCACGAAGTTGTTGATGAAACATCTGCTTTTATCTTTTTAAAGTATTTCGATTACCAAAAACAAAGCATTTCCGGTGTTTTCAGCGTGCATGTTGAAAGGGATAGCCCCATATCTGATCTTTCAGATATTGTTTGCAAGAGCATGCATTGGCCCGAAGGTACTGCTATTACATATTATGAAGAAATCAAGACTGGAATGGTGGATATACTAGATACAAATTCTAGTTTCTTGAAATCTGAAATTCAAGATGGCGATATTATTTGTTTTGAGAAGAATGATAAATCACCAGAAGTTCCTCACCAGCAATTTAGTAGTGCTTTGGATTTATATGATTTCTTGGCTCATCGTTTAACTGTTACTTTTGAGCCTCGGAATGGAGAAGAATCTGATGGAACCTTTGATTTGGAGTTAACAACGCATACTACCTACAATGAAATGGCTCAAGCGGTAGGTAAAGTACTCAATACTGACGCTGGTTATTTACAGTTTACTTTGGCTCATTTGCCTTCGAGGACACCTAGAACTGTGATTCGTAACCCTTCAAAATTTACTTTACAAAATGCAATTCCTTATACTTATGCCAATGACCAACATATTGTCATGTTTTATGAAGTAATGGATCTTAGCCTTAGTGAGCTTGAACATAAACAATTAATTCAGGCTTACTTTATTTCTGATGGAATAACCAAAACGAACAAATACGATTTTTACGTAAATAAAGACGGATCTGTCAAAGATATTCTTCAACAAGTTGCCGTAAAGGCTGGACTAGGAAATGAAAAGGTTGAAGATTTGCGCCTTTATGAAGTTTACAATCACAGAATCCTCAAAGCACATAATCTTTCGGATAGTCTTTTTGATTTAACCGAATTTGCTACAATTTACGTTGAAGCTACCTCTAAAGAAGAGGAGCTAGAGCTTTCCGAACAGAATGGGATTTCTATAATTGTTCAACATTTCAGTCGAGACTTATCTCGTCTCCACGGGATTCCTTTCTATTTTACCCTACTTCCTGATGAAGATTTAGGTAGCATGAAGAAGCGTCTTCAGAAGCGATTAGGTTTCAAGGATGCCCAATTCGCCAAGATTAAGCTTGCTGTATTACAAGCTCAATCTTTGGGAAAACCATATTATTTGAGTGATGATAGTGAAGTGCTTTATGGAGAATTTGATCCTGAATCCCATATACTTGGCTTGGATCATCCTGCTCCTAGCTCAGCTGGTCACGGCATGGATCAAGCTATTCGTATGAGATAATATTTGTACCAATCTGAATGCGGAAGTTCATTCAATGTTGTTCCTTGATAGAAGTGAGAAGCTCATTTTGTTTAATGATATATACCTAGAATTTCTTTTCAGTGTTTTTTTTTCTTTTTCAATAACCATTCTGGATTCCGAAATTTTTTATCGTTTTAGTCATATGTTAAACAGTTATTTACTTTATTACTTACTAAATTTGTAATGAAAATATGATATCCTGTTTTGGCATTGATATGCAATGTAAGGTCATATTGAAATTTATATTTGTGCTAAATCATGATTAAATTTAACTTGTTTATTTTTATACTATACTCGAATATGCTAACGCAGCCAGACTTGCGAGTTCGAAAACTTCAGAAGACGTCTCTAGAAATATTGTACTGAAGTACACTTCGGTCATATATCAAGTTTTTGAAAGTCAGTGTAGTTCTTCCACATCTTATGGAGAAAGCCATGAATAGCAGTACAAAAACTAAAGTTGAATCTATTTTATATCAATGCAAGGAACACGGTGATGTACTTAATCGTGAATTGGGAAATGAAACAGCATTTTTAGACGGATCTTCAAGCCCTGGAAAATATTTAGACATTGCTATTAATTACATAAATTATTTCCGTCCAATAAGTTCTTTACGATTTGCCAATTACGGATTATTAGTTGCCAAGAAACGGAATGATACAGAGCACGCAGCTTTTTGTCATATCCTTAGAGGGTAAGGCCATTAGGATGTTAATCAAAGTTCACGATAATAACTGTTCTATAGAAAAGCGTATTGCATGATAGAAAGGTTTGAGTATGCAGCATCTTGTTTTCAGTGGGCGCTAGAAGATACTTCGTTATCGCCTGTCTGGAGAACATGGATAAATGAACTACTTGTTAGGCTTAAATCTATTTCAAAAGGGGAAATAAAAAACTCTGAAAAGCTTCAAAAGGAACCTGAACCCGACGAGTACATTAAAGGCGTTCTTATGAACATGGGATCACCTACGGATAGCTATCAAAATAACTCAAGTATGATAGCCGATGCCAACTCTACCGTACAAAGTAAAGTGATATCTCTCGCAGACAAAACGCGCTTCGATTGGTCTCAGGCATCGTCCACTATAAGTCTGGACATCTATGCAAAGAACGTTAAACCAGAAAACTTAACTGTTAATATAAAAACAACATCTGTACGTTTTCTACTAGTTCCGATCATGACTAACTTTATAAAAAAATAATAGGTTTCTATACATGCAATCTTAATGGATAATTCATGTTATACACTAAATTTAGATCCCCTTGCTCATGCTATTGATACAGACGCTTCTTCATATCGTCTTTTCTCCACAAAAATTGAAGTCATATTGAAGAAGCAGATTCCAGACAAAAAGTGGGAGAGTCTCACAGAAACTAACCATGATACCGATTTGAAGAATCCTCAGATAAATAGTGGAACAACTTCAAAAATCAGTGATAAGAACTGGGATCATCTTTTAAATGAAGCCGATAAAGAAGAGGAAGAGCCTACGGGTGATGCTGCCTTGACGAAGCTTTTTCAAGAATTATACCAAAATGCTGATGATGATACAAGGAGAGCAATGATGAAAAGTTATACTGAGAGTAACGGCACTTCCCTCTCAACAAACTGGAAAGATGTCAGTGGTCGTAAATTTGAAACAAGACCACCTAAAGGAATGGAACCTAAAAAATACAACGATTGAGGTAATGTAGCTTGATAATAAAGACATGTTATACTCAAAAAAAGTAGGAATAAACTCGCGGAAACGTTCAAACTCTTGACTAAGACTTACAAGAAAGTTCACTAAACTCAGGAGAACCAATCACCACAAAAAAGCAAAATCCATCAAATAATATATATGCAATAAATTTCTAATGGAATATAAGCAACTATAAATGTTGCTAGATGCTAATACTAAGTGTTGCTATATATAACTAATTAAAATATCTTTCCATTCGTAAAATTCATGCACAGTAAAAATAAGAAAAGCTAAAATATGATTTATTATTTCTGTAATGCCTTCGATATTCGTCAACCAGGTCTTGGAAGTGAAGGTTCAAGGTCATTATTCTCGTAAGGAGCATGTATCGTAACAAAAGGATCTTTAAGTTTTTCTTTATCATCACTTTCAAAAAAGAGTTCGCTAGATGATTCAGTTGAGGTAGATTTATGTTCATTATCCTCCGTTGAATCGAAGCTCAAATTCTGTTTATTATTCTCGTTCAAATCATTCACGGAAGAGATGGAAACTGTACGTCTGCCAGGTATGGGGGCCAATGGACGTCCCTGTGGAGATTGTAGCGCACCGTATGAAACCGACCTACGTGATTCTAATGGAGGACTCTGAGGATAACCATTCATAGATACTAGAGAGTTCCTTTTTAGGAACCGTAAGCTGTCTGAAGTTGCTACATTACCAGGAGGAGTAATGAAATCTGGGGTATTTATACCATTTTCGCTGTTACGTTTGTCATAATAATAGGAGCCATGGCCAGAACCGATTATAGAGCTGCGAGAGACAGAACCCCACGGAGACGAGTGTATTTGATAGCCACCACGATAGCCCATTTTCTCATGTTCGTTATTTTTTCGCATGGCTGCAAGTCGGCTTTTTTCTTCTTCAAATTGTGTTTCAAATTCTTGTTGTTCAGCCAAAAACCTCTTTCGTTTGTAATGACGAAGGCAGTAAAAAAAGAGAACGACAATAATCAAAGCACCCAAAACGCCGACTATCGGACCAGCTATCACAGCTGTAGATGCATGCTTTGAGGATTTGGAGGACTTTCCTTTGGAATTGTTAGCCGATGCGACAGTTGTAGAAGCAACTGGAATGGCCGTTCCAGTTGTGTAAGTATCGCCGTCACTTGCTCTCGTCGAGACAACAGTAGAATAATAGGCGTGATCCCCAGAGATAAAAGTGTTCTCTGGTCCATCCGTATTATCATTAGGGTTAGCCGTTGAAGTGATTGTTACAAGATTACGGGCTCTCAATGGAACCGACACACTCGGGGTAGGTGTGAAAAGGGGCCTAAAAGAATTATGTTGAAGAGAAGAAACAGTGTCGTCCATCTTGTAGTACGGGACAAAAAGTCAAATCCTAGTTCTAAGAATTGTCACAAATGAATGTAAACTTGTGTATCTCAAACAGTGAATAGTGCAATAGAGATAGAAATAGTAAAATATAAAAAAAAAAATCAAAGCGAAAGTGTTCCAGCAGCAGTGCAGTATTAAAAGTAATTAAGACAGTTAACCGAAAGCAAAACGATTAAACGGAATGAAAATTAAATTATACAACAATAAGCAATATCCAATTTAATAAAGCGAAAGGAATAAATATACTAAAAGAGCTTAAGTGTCCAAGAAAAACAACTTTACACCAAAACCAAAGTTATATAGTCTTAACAGAACCAGATCGTTATATGAATAGTTATCCAAAAAGAAAGCAAAAAAAAAAAAAGAGAGATTAATATAAATTAAATTCTTGATGTTTTCATATACACTCACTTTTCTTTAGGACGAATCGCAAGAGTATCAGTCAAAACCAGTTCTCAACTACCCAAAGAAGGAAAATCCAGAACACGTTCGTCCAAAAATCAAGTAAAGGAAGAAAGGATGTTAGAACCCAAGAAATATGTTGCGGTTACTGTTAATGACTCATATAGAATTGCGTAACAAATATGGTTTAACTGGCTTTTATAAAAACCGATCGTTAAGAAACTTCTTTGTTGATGGTTTTCTTTCGTAAAGAAGTAAGTAAAAGGTAGCACTTGACTTCAATCTGTTCAAAATCCAAAATTACTCAAAAAAGGCCGATTCTAATGATTGTTGTTAGTGTTGTTAAGGTAGTGTAGTTTTCACCACGCAGATAATTTAGATATTATAGTATACTCTTAGAGATAATATACGACAAAGAAACCATCATAATCATATGAAAAGATATGGATACAACTATCTTTTTACTCTAGAAACCATAAATTCTTAAATTCACCTTTTTCCCTTTATTTATCTATTTTTATTATTATTATAATCATCAAATAGCTGTTTTCCCTGTAGTTGCTAAATCCAGTAGGTAAAAGCAACACAAAACTGCCTTCTTCTGTGTATTAAAAAATTAAATAATAATCAGTTTAATTACCATTTTCAGTACCAAAGAAAGAATAGGAAAATACAAATGCTCCAGGATAGCATTTGCGCTGTATTTTTCTCATTTCCCTACAGGGAAAGTCGGTCAATCATTTATGACAATCGTAATTAAGTAGTAAAAGAGAAAATGCCAAGTAAGACACTGTTTCAAGATGGTAAGGAAAAGAGATAGGCAGTTTTAGCTATAATCATAACTGTACCACAAAAAAGACCTAAACTTGAGAGTTCGTCATAGACGCAAACTCAATTCTAGACAAAGCAATCGTTTTCTTTTTCATTCAAGATAATTAGATAGATTAAAGGCAAGATATGTGAAACTGTAATAATTGTTTCCATTAAATAGCAAGGTCCGAAAGAATGTCCACCAAGTCACAGTCAAAATATAAAAAAAAATAACCAAATAATAATTGCATCTGATAATGCAAAACGCTTCTAGTAAATAATCTTTGTGATAATAGCTTTTAGAAACCTGTTAAATTAGGAGAGGAGGATAAGATATAGTTAAGTGCCTTTTAGAAAAGCGAAAGAAGGTAAGTGAATATATCCCTTCTCTTTTTATTCTATTTAAGAATTTGCATCCGATGAAGGTACAGGGAGCTGATGAAACACGGATAGATTGATCTGTTTCAAAACATTCTCAAATCCAAGTTTGCCGATGGATGCTTTTTGACTTATACGGTCTACGGACCATTGCTCAACAATGTTAGCCAAGCGCTTCATGTATGCAAGGGCCTCAATGCGTGCCTCTTGTCGGAACACGGTAGCATTGAGCTCGTAATGGGGAGAGTACGTTACTGTTTCATGTACACGAAGACGATCACAGAAAGTCATATTAGACGAGTAAAGCGTCAAGGTACGTGATTTCAGATCCATGTAGCTAACTTCCCGAACATAGCATTCTTGCGCACCGTCGACTAGCTTGAGAATCCATCGAGGAACACCTTGACGACAAGTAATCAATCTTTCCGTGTACAAGGTTTGCGTATCAGGAAGCACCTTTCGGTCTAGGGTATCAACAGCGACCACATGAGTAGCGTATTCGTTTGGATATTTTTGCCAATGGGCAGCGGAAACCTTTTCAAAAGGATAGTGAAATAAATGGCAATTTTCGAAAATTCTCATTGTAACAAAGGGTTTTAAATTATTTTGAATACCAAACAAAGAAAACTAACGAGAAAAACTATACCCAGGTCCCTGAAAATTTAATTTTCTTTTTTCTTTTTTTTTAAAAGCCTTCGCGGCAACAAATTCAACAAGATGTTTAAAGTATCAACTTTCTTTGTCAGTAATAAGAATCGCCTCACAATTTTTTGATTTTTCCTTTAAAAACTGTGAAAAAGAGAGAATTGGTAGATGGCGGTTTCCAACTCTGAAAGCTTTCTTGGACGAAGAAGGCGGATTTATAGTCCAATAATATTTAACGCTCAACTATAAAAAAGGTAAAGACGTTTAAACGAGACTTCAGTTTAAACGTCTTTACCTTTTACTTATTTTTTTTTTTTTTTTTTGTTTTTGTTTTTGTTTTTTTGAGAAGTTTTATTATATAAATGGTAATTAAAAGAGAACAATCAGATGAAAGGATGGAATTGTACATGCTATGAAACCAAAGTATCAAGAATTGAAACATCTATTTAGTCAAATAAATTTGAATTCCTAACATCCAATGTTTTGACTTTACTAGGCATTATCCAAAAGGATCATTGATGGACGACTGAAATTTTATGTGAATCCACGAATATCAAAAGTATAAAATACAAATATTAGAATACATTAATAGACCAATACAATAGACAGGCAATAAGGAACAGCCAGGGTTTCGGAATCTACAACAACCCTTGAGCTTTCAAATCGTTATAGACCTTTTCGGACATGACATTACCTTCGTCATCTTCCATTTCGTTCAAATTAGCAACGGACGTCTCCTGTTTACGACTGTCTGCCTTGATTTTCTGCCAGACTAAAAGTCATGTTAGTATTATAATCGAAAAAAGAATGAAATATTACTTACGTTGTAAAGCTTCATCGATTGAGACAATCTGATTAAATAGGGGAGAAGGAGATATCCCTAAGCACTTAAGGCCATATATATGTCGCTGTTCTGTAAAGTGCTTATCAAAAGCTTTACGACCCATATAAACATAATTACCACAAATCTCGCAAGGGAATTCTTTTCCAAGTCCATGCAATTTCCACAACCAAAAAGGAATTGGCTTTCCATCCCAACCAATGGGTAACTTGAGTGGATTGTAAATCTTTCCTTCACCCTCTTCGTCGTCACTATTTTCATCTTCTTTTTGTTTAGATTCGTTTTCAACGGCGGAAGCCTCAACAGCTTCACGTTCCGCTGCTAAAATCTCTGCAAGTCGCTCTGATGCTGTCAATGTTTGACGACGTACAACATTCTCCCGAGTAGCTTGACGTTCTTCATTTAAAATATCAAGTAACTTTTTGATAATAAACTCCAAAGCGGCAATCTCTTGTGGACGCCCAGAAATTGATCCTGAAGTCATAATAGAAGATTCACCTAAATTTTGTGACTTTCTAACATCTAAACGTTCTGCTGCTTTTTTATGCTTTTTTGATGTGAGGTGAGCATCGTAAACAGACTTTTTCTGATAATACTTCTCACATGCTTCACAATACTCACCAGAAGAAGAACCGTTACTTTGTTCAAGTCCTACGGCCTGACCAGGAAGTCCAGCTTCCCGTGAAACATCGAACTCAGTTTGAAAGACCGAGACTATTCGATGAATATCTTTAAGAGGATGTGTTCTTTGAAAAAATGAAAAAAGGTATTCATAAAGGTGGCGTAAATACGATACATAGGAATGATTTTTTTCGGATTTAGGGACTAAGTTAAAATCGTCTAGCTTGGAAAGATATTCCAAGTAAGAAATTGGCTGAATTCCTTTCAAATTAACAAATTCGTCGTATAACTCATTCAAGTCCATAAATCGTCCATACATTTCCTCCCCACGGAACAAGGTGTCAATCTCGTCGGTGCCACTTTCCGACGGTTTGATCGCATACATTTGTTCAAAGTTTTCTACTCCGTGATCAGGATATCGATGATGAAAGTCACGAATCTCATCCAACTCTTTATAAAAACCGTCTAGACCTTCATCGCGAGATATGCGAGCTATTTCCTTTTGACGCAACCTTTACAGGTGTTAGTACAGAACATCTTAGTATGGATGCAATGGCTTACTCATTTCCGGTTTCGTAGATTTTCAATAGTCTTTCACTAGTATCGCGTGTTTGTTTTATATAGTGCGAGCTCTGGTGCTCTAACCTCAACCGTTCTCGAATTGCTTTAGGATTCGCAACTTGACGATCTACGATCGCTTGACTCAACCGTTCTAATTCTTCATGTGCATACCGTTGAATCTCTAATACGCTGTCTGACATTGAGAGCGTCAATGGATTTTCTCTTGCTGATTATGGTAAAAGCATAAAATACGTGGTAGCACCAACAGATCTTATGGAATACAGAAGTCCTCAGACATCGTTAAGCTGGATAGAATTATCGTCTTCAATGAAGTGTAATATGATATATTATATTGCGCATATATTCTAGTACGATGGTTATGTGTATCTGTATGGAACTGCAAGCGTCGGTCTTGAGTGATTATTTTTTTAACATTGTTGAAGTTTTTTAAATTCTAACTGGTAGCTAACAGCTTTTAAGTAATATGCGAAGGAACTACGTTACTTGTAATCCTCCATAGCTAAACAGCGTTTATTAATAGAGAAGGAAAGAAAGCTTAGAAGCACACTCGTTCACTCACTTGAGAAAAAAATTAAAAAAAAAAAAAGAGATTACTACATAAAACAAGCTAGTAAGATTCCACTACAGTTTGCACTGCTAAAACACAGGCTAATAAACTACCAATACTCCAAATCAGATCCCTACTAATTCTCGTTATTGAAAATGTCCGAAAAGAATGAGAACAATGATTTGGTTGATGCTTTTTTATCAAATACATACCTAAATACTGAAGAACTAAAAAGAGAAGATGAATTTACTCCTGATGAATTTCTAGTCTCGAAAAGATTTCTAGGCCTTGACGGCCTTATTACTGAGTTAAGCCGCGTTTTTGAAAATGCCAATAAAGAATTAATGGACTTGGTAAAAGATAATTATCAGGATTTCGTACGTTTAGGAGCAAGAATGAATGCGGGTAATCAAAAAGTTGATGTTTTATTGTCTGCAATACAACGTTCCGAAGAACAAATTAAGGTACTATTACAAAAGTTAAACCGATTTTCACTGTCAGACTAATCTTGTCATCATAGAAATCTCAAACCTCCGTTCAGAATTATGAGAACGATCTGAGAGACTTAATTAACAGGAGAAAAAACCTTGAAAAGGAAAAGGTACAATTGCTGATTTTGTATCCATTCCCGAATTTACTGACCTGTATAGCAAATTGCAAGTGAGTTACTCTTGCTTCAAAGACACCTTGATTTTTTAAAGACGTCCTCCCGAAACCACCCTTTATGGCTTGATAGTTTAAACACAGTTCAATGTTTGTCTCAAACGCATAAAGATCACCCTTGGGTGAAGTCACTCCAATCCGAGATACACAATTTTCCGAGAGATTCGTGACCCTTTATATAATCGTGCTAGTCTTACTACTTATTGTTTAATGTTTCCTTGATCCTTACTCAACTCAGTTGATTTTCGGTATTTTTTCCCTATATGTACAAATATTATTCAAAAAACCAAAACCCTTCTACCTCCTAATCTAGATATCAAATATTATGTTACCTTTAAATTAATATTCCCAATTTTTCAAACGGTTTAATTTCCGGAATTTCCGGAGCGACTGGCTGCTCTCCGATAGCTGTTTCGAAGGTGTTCATCGGAACAGAAAGAATTGGTACCACCTTTTCACGGAGTATAGTAATGACATTTGAGAAACCGCGTTGAAGCTCTGATGCTTGAGTATACATATCGCAACGCATCAAAGCTTCTAACAACCTATACGTCTCAGCTCTCATGGATTCCACGCGACTTATCAATCGCTTCAATGAGTTCACTAAATATTCTTCCTCAAAGACTGTGCCCTTCTTTCCTCTAGCCCTCTTTTTTTCTAAACGGCGATTATTCTTTGCGGTATTCCTTGTCATTTTTGTAGAAGCGGTAGATTGAGTATACCTTGTGTAAAGTGATCTATTAGTAGACACACTTGTGGAAGCTAAAGATAAATCGTCAGGTGTTTGATCCTCTAAATTCCCTTCTGCCCAACCTGTCGGATCTTCCTTCTTTTTGGCGCGCAAAACTAAAATTCGTTCTGTTTGAGCTTTAATTTGGCTATTGAAATCAGCAACCATTTCACTTGCTTCACCAAAAGACTCTCCAATTGCGGGGAGTAAAACGTCTTTGAAAAGAGATGGATCAGCTTCCTTTGTTCTTGCCAAGCGAATTGCCTCGCTATATTGGGTTCCCTTGCACATATTAATGATAGCTTCCTTCACGTTAGAAAGATACAAAAGATATATATAAGCGGCATCGACGTAATCTCTCTTCTCCAAGCAAAGATTAGCAAGATTATCAGCAATTTCTTCGACTTTGCTATCGGACGTAGAAGAAAACTGTAAAATAGACATACATTCCCTCCACATTCCAGCGCTTTTGTAAGCTTCAATTGCTTCACTGATCATGCCAACCGATTCAAAAGCTATAGCTGCTTCATTTGCTTTTCCATTTTCTCGAAGATAATTGGCATATATAACCAATATGGATTGCTGCTTTTCCTTGTCATATTTGTATAATTCTAAAGCAGTCCTGTATAATTTATGTTTAACTACATAGTCCTTTAGTTCCTCGAAGGCCCCTTCAATTTCTTTCAGATGGGTCAAACCATGTTCGTATCTCTTTAGATGACAGTCAATATTGAATTTACGTCTGAGAATATCCTGCTTCTGAAAGTTTTGTAGGAAGGGAACATACTCACGAGGATCCTTCTGGGATTGCTGGGCAATCAAGAGCGCCAGTTTCAAGTCGTATAAACCTAGAGCATGATCAAACAACATATTTATATCTACCAAGAAACACATATGCTCGATGACACTATCAACAGAGGAAGATTTCGACTCAATTAATCCCGAAATCATGTTCAACGCCTCGGTAATGTTAGGAGGTGTCTCGCAAAGATAAGACGTAATAATGGATTGGAAGAACTTATTATCTTTTTTCGAAATTAAAACATCACGTACAGCCTTACATATGGTGTTCACCTTGTTTTCGTAAGTAGTTTGGTTTTCGGATAACTTATACTTTGAGGTATCCATGTACATGCTTTGAGTGACATCTTCTGGCTTTAAAGAAGCGAAAAAAAGATCCAAGTAATCGACTCTGCCCAATTGATCAACAAATGAGGATACGTTCAAGAAAAACTTTTCAGGATCATAATCAAATAACATGTTCAGATCCAAGCGATGAGTACGGCATACTTTGAAAGCCGAACTATAATCCGAAACATCAATCAACTTCCGTACCCCATTCAACACCATGATACGTGGAAATATAGTTTCAAGATTACCTCTTGGCATCTGCAATACGACCGCCATTTTCGAGGGCATCATGGTTACTACCTTTGCGCCTCTTTCAACTGCACGGCATCGCTCATCGTGTCTTTCTACACCATCATCTTCAACAACCTTCATATCATCAACAAATGGCTGCAAATGGACGAATTTTAGAATATGCTTATTTGTGGTAAAGGCAAGGAAACGATCTGTGCAGTAGAAAGAAAGCACTCCGGTACTTAATAACCTCTGCTCAGCGTATAATCTTCCGGAAGATGTTAAACCTATCGGTATAACCGAGTCATCAATTAAAACGGTAGTAAACCAAGCGCAAGCTTTGGGAAGGTCACAATGGAATTTCTCAACATTAAAATTATTGATGTCAAGCGAGAAAATTTCACCATTTTCCGACTGTAAAAACAGTTTGGCAAGCTTTTCGATGTAAGAAACGTTTATGAAATTCTTTCCGAGGTCCGTTACGTTGAGTAATGAAGCCATGCACGATTCATCTTTGACACCTGTGGACTGAAACAAACAAATCTTGGTTTTGTTATTTCTGTCGTCTGCCAGAATGATGAATTTCGAGCTCTCCAAAGCTAGAAGTCGCTTAACGTTTAGCTCGCTCGTATATTCAGATATATCACATGCATACGAAAACGTTGGTTTACGTTTTGGTTCGTATTGGTAAACGTGTACTTTATAATTATCGGACAAGTAAATCGATCTAGAAAATGGATCGAGAGAGACAAGCTCTATTTTGAAGGGAAGCGACAGATTACATAAGGACAAGGGTGGTGGAATATTCGCAAAATAAAGCGGAGTAACTAAAAGAGAGGAACCATCGATCACCGGAGTCAGGCCATAATCTGTTGGTGCCGCAGTTTTACAAGTTGGGTAAGCGAATTCAAGATCAATCCTTTCAACATGAGATCCGTTAGTCACGAAAAGAGACTGAGATCTTTCGGGATGCCAACAAAATGAAGCGTGACTTGCAATTGGAATTGTCTTCTTCAAATACCAGTGATAGTTACCAGTTGTCCACAAAGCAATAGATTGGGGAGTTGATATGGCAAGAATAGAGGAGGCGTTGTTCCAAGCTAACCCCGTAAATTTTTCGTTGCTAGGGCATCCCAGAGAGAACTCACCATGTCTTAAACCATTTCTTTCAAAAAAAATCACTTTACTTTCATTCGCATCTCCAAAAGAAGACTGGACAGATGCTAAAACGGAGCCGGAAGGTTTCCACGAAAGAAAACTTTGATGACCATCTTGTGGTTCACTAATACTGTCAAGGACACCCTCACGTGAATATACACGAATGGCTCGACGTGATCCAGCTTCAATACGGTTTATGGCGACATATGCACCATCACCACGCCAACACATATTTACTTTGCCATCGTCAACATCCGAAAGCTTACCTTCATCAATTTGTTCTGGCAACGTAGGATCACGAAGTTGCGCGCGGACACGTTTGCCACGAAATTGGGTTTCTGACCGACCCCATCCGACACTGATATGCTTGTTAAATTCGCTTAAGTCATTTTCGGACAAAGTTGTTTCAGCAATCACATCAAATCGTTTAGTCATATGCAAAATTGTGTTTCCTCCAGTTAGTATACTAAGGACTTGTTCATCTGGAGACCAGCAAGAAGCAATAATGCCATTCTCCACGTTTCCAATTACTTCCACTACTGGTTCTCCAGGTGCTGGTTCTGTTTTGACCATTATGATATCCCCGCCTTTCATGGATATGCAAATTGACATGGAATCACCTAAAAACTGCATATTGCATATTTGATCCCATGATCCATCTTCTTTTAGGTAAGCAGGATCATCATGTTCAGTAAGATATTCCACAACATTGTCTTCGTGTATTCGATAAACTGTAATTCCAGGATTATTATCGTTCAATCCACAAGCTACGTAAATAGTATTATTGACGGTATCAAAAGCTATGCTCTGAATAGCGTTAGAAATTTCAGGATATGCATGATGAGACTGAATGATCAAGTTTCTCATGATATTAAATTAGCTAGAGAAAATTCTAATTCCCTAGTTTTACTTTATTTCTATTTTGATGACTAGTGGAAAGCGAATAGTGTAGGAACAATGTGGTGGTGGTAGAGATAAAAGTCCTTTCATTTTCAAATTTACACCTGCCTAGCAAGTTAAGTAGCTAGTCGATGGCAACGGCAAAGAGATCTGATTATTTTTCCTTTTCAATAGATTAATTTATATTTTTTTTCTTTACTTTTAAAGAAAACAGAAAAAATTACTCGTGGTTCAGTTAACTAAAGAATCTGCTTGAGGATTGATATATCGTTGTCAAATAAAGCTCGCTTCTTCTGTCAAAGACAATACGGAGACATACACGTTCAGTTTTCAATTAACTGAATGAATAAGGTGAAGGGCTCGTGAAATTTCAACATCTTTGATTAGTTGGAAGTCATGAAGCATGATGAACTGCGAGATACAATAAAGGAGGACAGAGAAAAAATAGACATAAAGCAGAAACTTAGGCAGTTGTTCCCCGTAGTCTTAGAGGGTTTAGAACAGATTTTGGATGAATTGAATTGTCTTCAATCTATAAAGAATACTTTAATACCGGTATGTTATTTTACTAAATCTGTACTATTCTGACATCTTTAGTCCTTGCAAAGAAATACCCTTGGTGGTAAAAATAATCGTAGTTTATGCGTTGTTGAATCGCTAAAAAGTCTGCTTGGTCGTGACCTAAGAGAAAACGAGTTTAGAGAGGCAGCCTTGTTGGGATGGTTGATTGAGATCGTAAGTTTCTAAAGTTTTGAAGTATAATGTTTGTTAACAGCGTCGAAGTTACAAGGATGCTTTCTTATGGCTGACGATATAATGGATAATTCAACTAAGCGTCGAGGACTTGAATGTTGGTATAGAGAAGTAGGCGTTGCCCGAGCCTTTAATGATTCTCAATTACTGGAAGCTTGTATACCTTTGCTGCTTCGAAAGTTTTACAAAAATCATCCTTTCTATGTGGAACTTCTGGAGCTTTTCCGAGAGGTAAGCTTTCACGTTTATATCATTACCTTTATTAACAAAAAAATAATTTCAGGTTACCTTTTTGACTGAGCTTGGAGAACAAAAGGATTTATTGTCTTCAGCTGAAGCGCGACGTGTTTTCTCATTCGATTTCGAGAACTATGATTTTATAGTAACGTATAAAACGGCATTTTATTCATTCTATCTGCCCGTTAAGTGCGCTCTGTTGTTGTCTGGTAATTTAAACGAATTTGCGGATGCAACAACTAAGAAATTATCAAAGCTCCTTGGGTATTATTTCCAAGCCCAGGATGATTACTTAGACTGTTTTGGTGATTATGCATCCCTGGGAAAAGTTGGGATGGACATTGAAGATAATAAATGTACTTGGCTGGTCTGTCAAGCGCAAATGATAGCTAATGCTGACCAACTAATGTGTTTAGAGATGCACTATGGAAGACGAAATCAAGATAGCGTGTCGAAAATTAAACAATTATACCGAGAGCTTGATATTCCCAGTATGTATCAAAATTTTGTAGAAGCCATGGTGGAGAAAATTATGACCGGAATCAACGATATTGACGAAGATACTGGCATTAAGAAAATCATTTTCTACAAATTTTTCAAGTTAATTCATAAACGATCTCGATGATTTTCATTTATTTAATTATTCTGGCATTTATTCGTGTTTATTGTTCGTTTTACAACAATACAAAAATATTCTTAATACTTTAGTATCCTAATTAGAAAAGAAACTTTGAGGATTTATACAAGTCAGCTTTAACCAAGTTGTATCAAAAAGAAACAAGTAATAAGTCTGAATATTCAACCCATCTCGTACGCATTATACAAAAAAGTATAATCACTGCTCGTTGATTCTGCTTTTCAGTAGATTTATATAAAAACAAAAAAAGGTAAAACGTTGTTTTTGATACTTGTAACAATATTTTGAAGATTCGTTAAGTCAGTAGCTTAATTAAGCGACAGACCTAGTAATCTGCAACGCGTTTAGGTACAGCAATATTTCACCACAAACAGTTTGTTAAGTAGTTTTTGACTTGAGGCACAAATTGGAAGAAGAAATCAGTCATTCTTTTCTCTTTTGAAAAAAAAATATATATTTATAAAAGGAGCCACCTATGGGATTTGGAAAAAAAAAAGTTTCTTACTTTTATGACGGTAAATACACCCAGTGTGAAAATTATCTAACTAACTTATCACGCAGAGGATGTCGGAAATTATCACTATGGTCCACAGCATCCTATGAAGCCGCACCGTGTGCGAATGGTAGGAAAATGAATTGAGCTGAGGAAATTGGGATTATTAACATGTGCAGGCTCACAACTTGGTGGTCAACTATAATTTGCACGAAAAAATGAATATTATTGTAAGATATTTAAAAGCATTATTCCAGTTATGTCTAACTTCGAAAGACACCTGTGCGGGCTACAATAAATGATATGACTCGATGCCATACTGATGAATATATTGACTTCCTACATCGAGTTACGCCAGATACCATGGAAAAGTTTCAACCACATCAACTAAAGTGTATGTAAGATATTTACCTACACACTTTGTTAACTGATTCATAGTCAACGTCGGCGACGATTGTCCAGTATTTGAGTATGTGGAAGCTACCTTCTTTAAGCGAATATAATTTATTAATTTTATCTCCCAGTGGTCTCTATGAATTTTGCTCAATTTCGGCTGGTGGTTCTATTGGTAAGTACTTCTAAGAGTTGGAATTCATCAACTAACCCCAATAGGTGCGGCTCAAGAATTAAACTCTGGCAACGCAGAAATAGCAATCAAGTAGGTGTTTCATTGTTTTTCTTACTTTTTTGTTTATTAACAATTTAAGTTGGGCTGGTGGTTTACATCATGCAAAGAAAAGAGAAGCCTCGGGTTTTTGTTATGTTAACGATATCGCCCTCGCAGCATTGGAACTATTGAAATATCATCAACGTGTACTTTATATAGATATTGACGTACACCACGGAGACGGTGTTGAGGAATTTTTCTATACAACTGACCGAGTTATGACTTGTTCTTTTCATAAATTCGGCGAATACTTTCCTGGAACTGGTCACATCAAGGTTCGCAAAATAAGTTATTATTATAAGCTAACATAATTATAGGACACTGGTATTGGGGTTGGTAAAAACTATGCAGTAAATGTACCATTGAGAGATGGAATAAATGATGAAAGTTACGAAAGTGTTTTTAAGCCGGTAAGTAAATCTCTTTTTTAAAAGTATGTTATATATATACTGACTTTGTATTTAGGTTGTCAGCCATATTATGCAATGGTTTCGTCCTGAAGCAGTTATTCTACAGTGCGGTACAGATTCTCTAGCTGGTGATCGACTTGGATGCTTTAATTTGTCAATGAGGGGTATGTCATACCCAGCGGAATTCAATTATTAACTTTATCAGGTCATGCTTCTTGTGTCCGGTTTTTGAAAAGTTTCAAAGTGCCTTTAATTTGTGTAGGTGGTGGTGGCTATACAGTTAGAAATGTCGCTCGTGTTTGGACTTATGAAACAGGAATCCTTAACGATGAAGAATTGGATGAAAGTATGTGACTTTAAGCGTCTAATCTGTGTATATGAATTAACATTAATAGATCTGCCATATAACGATTATCTACAGTATTATGGACCTGACTATAAATTAAACGTCTTGCCGAATAATATGGAGAATCACAATTCACGGCAATATTTGGACGCTACAATGTATGATGAAAAATACTATTCTGAATTGCTCTGCTAACTAATATAGTGCGGAAATTATAGAGAATCTAAGGAGTCTAGCTTTTGCTCCTAGTGTACAAATGCAACGTAAGTGTCTAAAAGAAACAAGGAGATGTTTTCGTGAGTTAACAGTTATAGCACGGCCTCAAGATTTTACTTTTGAAAAAAGAGAGGAGCAGAAGGTTGCTACAGAAGAGACTATGGATGAACGAGTGTGAAGCGACCATACTTACTACTTAATCAAGCCCCAATTATTCTTTTATTTTTTAAAACAGACAGTATATGTATACTTTTTATACCTAAATATACATCTGAATATACATCAGCAACATTGTATTAACCATTCATTAAGGGTATTTTTAAACCAAAACATTGAGGAAATAGTAAAGTATACATAATTCAAAAAGAAAGTTCCCATGTATTCTAAGGCAATACAATGTACTTTTTGTATTGGGGTTCAATTGCGTGGTACAACCCCTTAGCTTCCAAGAAAGAGCGACTAAACAATCTTGTGGCGTACTTATGACCTGAATCACAAAGAATTGTGACAATAGTTTTACCAGGACCAAGGATCTTCGCCATTTCGACAGCAGCAACAACGTTTAAGGTTGAAGAACCTCCTAAAAATATACCCTCTTCGTCTAAAAGACGATACAACATATTAATAGACAATTCATCAGGAATTCTCAAAGCATCGTCAATTAAACCATAGGTAGATTGCATATTTCCAGTGATACGACCTTGGCCAATACCTTCAGTGAAAGAAGAACCGCTGTTATCCGGCTTCTCTCCTTTTGTCTTGAAATGGCTGTATAAGACACTTCCAGGAGGATCAGCTACGAAGGAAGAGACACGACCTTCCGATTTTTCCTTTAAAAACTTGGTGATACCAGCAAAGGTACCACCAGTACCGGTAGAACAAGTAAAACCGTCAACCTTACCACCAGTTTGCTCCCATATTTCAGGGCCAGTGGTTTCGTAATGGGATTGCAAATTAGCTACATTATCGAATTGATCAGTCCAAACAGCATTTGGAATTGACTCGGCATGACGGCGAGCTTGGTGGTTATAATTTTCAGGATTAGTGTAAGCGACAGCAGGGACCGGAAACACTTCAGCTCCCAAGTACCTCAAGGTATCGATCTTATTTTGAGATTGGGTGTTGGGCATATAGATGACACATCTATAGCCACGAGCTCTGGCAATATGAGCAAGTCCAATTCCCGTATTACCTGCGGTACCTTCTACAACTGTACCGCCGCGGCGCAATGTACCATTCATTTCAGCATTTCGCACCACATAGTATGCAGCTCTGTCCTTTACACTTCCACCAGGATTCTGGAACTCTGATTAAAGAATTAGAAAACGTCCAGTTCTATGAGTATGACTTACCAGCTTTCGCGAGAATGTTGCAACCGGTCTCTTTTGAAAGAGACTCGAGACGGATTAAAGGTGTACGACCAATTGCTCCAATGAATCCATCAACAACACCAGGAAACTTCGTCTGCAAGATTCGAGAACTCATTATCAAACTCCTACTGTGTAATACGCACTTGGAAACTTCTCACTGCTTTTCCTTAAATAAATTTATTGTGAGAAACTAGAATGACGCAATACCGCTGAAAGTTTCGCAATTACCGTTGCTTCCGATTATAGCCTTATGAAAATTTAGTAGCTTAACGATAGATTTTCCTCAACGGTAAAGTTTAATACGGAGTAGTAGCGATACACTTGGCTAGCTCTTTATTTAATATAACATACTGTTTATACATAGAAATTAAAAAATTAGGCTAAACTGAAAGAAATAGGAAGAAAATATGATAGAAAGCCTTTTTATTCTATAGTAAATGTAAATGAGGTTTTCGTAAAAGTATAACCCGTATCTATTATTGAAACCATAAATAACCCTTTAGATATGAACCATTTTGCCAAAATAATCACCATTACCAAAATTTACCAAATTAACCAATGTTATGCTCAATGGAATAATGCTCCATTGCCTTTTGCTGCATCCTAGCAGATATTGCAGCCGGAGAATTATCCTTTATCTTTTTTGGGCGTGCACTGCTAGTGCCGCCTTTCTGTTTGCTGTTGCTGTTATTCGACATTTTACCAGGAGCTTCACGTAATGCAAAAGACTTGGCAATATGGCCTAAATGAAGATCACGCATATTAAAAATTGATCTTTCTGAGGATAAATGTGTTGCATAAGCACGAACATAAGAAGAAAATGCTTTCTTCGCAATCTCCTTCAGTTCGGAATCCTCTAGGATCATTCGTTCAAGCTCGAGCTGCCATTCAGTTGCCTGGTCTTGCCATTCTAACTCATTTTTAGCACGAGATCCTTGAACAGAAAATCCGCTGCTTAAAATTGACGATGGCCCGTTTGGTTGCTCAGAAATATTCACCTTGACGTTGGCTCGTAACAGATTGATGTATTCAACCTCCTTTGGTAATAAAAACATAAAAGCAGCACCACTGTGACCAGCTCTAGCCGTCCGGCCAATTCTGTGCAAATAATCATCTGTACTGAACGGAGCGTCATATTGCACAACTAAATCAATATTGGGTAAATCCAAACCACGAGCAGCAACATCCGTACAGAGTAAAATGCGAGGGAAATTGTTCTTTTCTGAAGAAAACTGAGACAATGTCGCAGTACGAGTCTGTTGTGAAAGAGATCCATGAAGTCTATAAACTTTTGCATTGTTATTCAGACGATGCGCAGTGTCCACCGCTTGTTCACTGGAAGTTGATATCTTATTCGCATCGTCTTCTTTGACCTCCAACTCATTCTCTGATTTGGCCTGTACACGGCGGAAAGCCTCAAAATGGAAGTTTACGCTGTCTGCACATGACAAAAAGACGATAATCCTCTGATTGCCTTTTAAGTTTGATCGTAGAATAGAAGCCAAACTTACTAGTCTTAACTTCGGAGGAATCACACAATACCTTTGCAGCAATTGGGCAGGAGCAGAAGACTTGTGTTTTTTCTCATCTTCATTGTCTTCGGCAGACGAAGATGAAGACCTGAGATACATTGCGTCTTTTAAAGCAGACTGACTCAATTGTTCAACCGTGTCCTTAATTGTAGCAGAACATAATACATTGACTTTCCGAGACGGCATGCTATCTCCCAACGGATAAGGCGAATTTTGAGAGTCCAAATACTTCAAAATTTTCGTAATTGTTTCTTCAAAACCCATGTCCATTAAACGATCTCCCTCGTCTAACACAACCCACCTCACTTGACTAAGATCCAGTGCTTCTGTATTCTCTATATGGTCGGCAAGTCTTCCTGGGGTACCAATTAAAATATTTACTCCTTTACGGATTCTAGACTTTTCACTCTTTTTCTTTTCACCACCGATCACATTGCAAGAAACAATCCAATGAGCCAAGCGGTTATTGGTAAGATTATTTGCAACAGTATATATCTGCTGACAAAGCTCACGTGTTGGCGCAACGATTACAGCAAATAAACCGCTTGTTCGTGAACGTTTTTCATATGGAAGTCGAATTAACCTTTGGATAATAGGCAATAAATAAGCCAACGTTTTACCAGAACCGGTTTCGGCTTCAATAAACGCGTCTCTGTCATTACCGTTTAATAAGGCAGGTAAACAAGAATTTTGAATGTTGGTAGGTGCAGTTATGTTCATCTTCTCTGCGAGGTGACTAGCCAATTGAGAATCCAACTGAACACCAGCAAAGGTAGTAGTTGATACAGGAGCGTTAGACGGCGCTTCTTGATTTCGTGTATCGAACATGCCTTGGTTTTCGTCACCTGCATCACGAGGGGCCTTAGATAGATGTTCTTTAGAATCTCCCGTAAATAGAGAAGAAACAAAAGTGTTGTCATGCTTCATTGGGTTCGTCGCAGAAGGTGAATTGGACACTGAACCGGGAATTGACTTTCTCCGTTTCGACTCATGCATGGACGGTATATTTTCTTTCCTCTGTGATTTTATTGGTTTTCTTTCAGCAAGAGAACGGTCCGTTGTCGGCATAGAGGAAGCAGCCTTCCTTTTTTGATTCTTTTTGTCTTTTAAACGATCCTTCCATCGCCCACCAGACCTTACAGGACCGGTCGATGAGCCGGGCTCATCAGTAACAAAATTTAGTAACAACGATTCCTCTGCCATTTGTTGATTTATGAAAAATTGAACGGCATGGAAGTTGGCTGCTTTAATTCAAGTACTGTTTTCTCTCACGTTTAGTGGGACTCGTTGTAGTGTGTAGAATGATGACTGCAAATTGAAAGAATGTAGAAAGTGGTGACAGTGGATAAGAAAAGCAATATTTTATAGGAATAGTAAACAGAAATAAAATAAAAAGGAGTCTTAGTCTTTGCTAATCAAAATTCAGCTCATTTGAAATTATGCAAAAATCCTCATTTCTCGATATATACATATATTTATATACTCTACAATTAGCAATTACATGTGAACAGGAACCCTCTGTTAACCTAAAGGATGAATGACCCTGAAATTTTTTGCCCGCATTAAAGATGAAAAGTAAATCATGACCATCGTGCATCAACGGTAAAAGTCAGGACGCTTTAAATTAATACCATACTCGTTCAATGCCGAACTCAAATCATCAACGGTTAAGACAGCTTTGCCACGGTCACCTCTTCGAGTTGGACCACCGGCGGAGGCACCTGCTGCACCATAGTTTGGTACATTAAATCCCGTAGAAGATGTAGAGCTACTGCCAGTACGAATTTTAGAATACTGATAAGCATCCTGTGCAATATCAGAAATGAACTTTTGAGCAGCTAAACCCAAAAGCTTTTTTAGACGGGAATCAGCACATCGAAAACCTGAAAGACTCAAGTAATAGTCAAGTAAAACATCAGGAATTATTGGAGAGTAGTCGTCCATTTCATTCATAAATTCTTGTAGTGTTTTATTTTTTGCCATGTCTCTTAATTCCAAATAAGGCTCGATTACATAGTTGGATCCATTTGCACGTCGAGGAACTTCGTCTTTTCCCTCGTCTTCCTTAGAAGTAGAAGCATCTCCGAAATTTTCTTTTGATTCTGAATGTTCTCTGTCGTCTGGGCGTTGTTCAATAGTGCTCGATTCCTGTAGATCGTCAATGCTCATAGCATCGTTTTCTTCGTCGGATTCCAACTTAGTAGTGAGGTTATCACTTGTTTCATCTCTTGGTTCATTATCACTCATTGTAAATGTTTTAAATTTTTGCAAGCTTAAAGGCGTTCCCCAAGATTAAAGCAAATAAAGGCGATAAGACGATATCCTCTATTAAAAGTGAAGATTCCCCGAATTTTTCTTGTAGTATAGAAATTTGAACAAAACTTTTCCTCTATATAGTCTCCGTAACTATTATAAAATGCCAAAATTCCTAAAGTTAAAATGGAACGATGTTGGAAGAAGCTGACGGTACGTCGTAACCAATTCATATATAGGAGGTCATTACCATTCCCATTAATTCGAAGAGCTAATTAAGAAAAAAGTTTATTACGGTTCTAATAATAATTTTCTCCCCCTCGGTATTGAAATTGGTTTGCTCCAAGACTTTCACTGTTTATTCACTACTCTTTGAAATATTGGTTCACCATAAGCTCAACACAAAGAGCCATCATCTTTCCCATACTAATTGGAAATAAAAGAAAAAATAAAAAAGGATAGTTTTGGAAGCATTTTGTTATTTCACATTTTGCATGCCATATTGACGAAACTAGTTTTTGTTCATTGTATATCTAGATTAAGATGCAATGAATGTATTCTCTCTGAAGCTTGATTCCTGAAGTTGACATACACATACCTGAAAGTTAATAATATAACTTGGTCCTTGAAAATTGCTAAGAAAACATGGGACCCAAGACGCGACGTAGAAATACTAGCCCTGATGAATACATTGCAGAAGATGAGGATGAGAATATGGAAGAGTTTATTCTAGACGATTTTCTTTCCGATGAAGAATCTACATCGAGAAGATCTCTAAGAAATGGTAGAAAGACCAAAGCTCCCACAGGAACAAGAAAGAAAGCGAGTATAGAAGACAACACGGCTTCTCCAAGTGAAACCCATGAAAAAAGGCCCGTCAGTTCTACACGAGGGCGTTTATCTAGGTTAAATGGTGCTTCTGAACAGTCCCCACGAAAGGTCTATTCTAAAGGTCAAGAAGAAAAGATAATGTATACATATGGTACGGATGAATCAACGTTTCAACAAGGTAAAAGTTTAGTAAATACTTGGAAACAGTATGAAACAGCCCCCGGTGCAACGTGTTTTGAAAAGGGTCCAATGTTTGCGGAAATCGATTCTGACGGGTTTCAACAGTCTTCCAAAAAAAAGCAGAATTTTATTGCTTTCGAAAATCAGTTTGGAGATTTCTCTAATAACAATATACCTTTACTGATTGGTAATCAGGAACCTGTCTATTATCTTCAACCGCATCAGATTTTTGACGATGAGTCAAGGCACTCTTTGAGAAAAGGATATTTGGTTAATACTGGAATTCATGTGAGTTCTTTGTCTTGGTTACCTACGACGGAAGAGGCTCAATATGTGGCAGTAGGTGGCTTGTTACAAAGTGGTGAATTAGCTGGATCTATTTTCACACCTACTTCTGGAAGAAATCAGATTCAAATTTGGAAGCTTATAAAGGAAAAGGAGTTGTCTCTATACTGTACCGTTTGGCATGACTGGGGAAGCATTTACCAACTTCAGTGGTGTCCTTGTGTTTTCAAAGAGGACGTACTTGGTTATTTAGGAATTGTTACGAGTGATGGAATAATAAGGGTGGTTAATGTGCCTAGAAAATTAACTCATAAAAATAGTATGTTTGAAATACAGCTCGTCGCCACCTCTAACCCTTTTTTAGTTTTTATCAGCGAAGCAGAGTATATGTTACAACTTCCTAATTGCTTAATTTCCTGTTTTTCATGGGTTTTATCGGGTGCTGAATTTCCAAAGCAATTGCTTGTGGGATGTTCCAATGGTATGGTCAACAAATAATCATTAAAGTAACACAAAATTAGGTTATATAGCGCTTTGGGATATTTTTGACTCCAACAATGGTCCTCTCTTTTATATTCCCATACATGATTCGTACATTCATATGATTACCCAATGCTCAAATGAGTTTCCAACTATGTTTATTACAACTGCTTATGATTGCTACACGCGTCTCATAGATATAAGGAATCCTGAGTTTGAGAATAAGGCCTTATCACATAAACGAGGTTGGTACATTGAATTAAGTAGTTTTACTCTACTAACCACGTACAGATATATGTTACGCCGTTGCTTGGAGTAATCTATTGCAGTCTATAATATCTAGTACTGAATCGCAATTGGTGATGATAGAATCAATTCGCGGGCTTACTACTCAAATTCTAGACGAACGCCATGGATCAGTCATGTGTTTAGGGACAAGCAGACTCCATCCTTTTGTTGCGATTGGATCGTCAGACGGGATTGTGACAGTCATTAATCCTTTCCGGTTGTTAGGATTTTCACATAAACATAGAGCAAATGTTCACAGGATTTTTCAGTTAGAATATAGTGAGAAAGAAAGCAAGTACAGGTTCTCAAACAACTTTCGTCCTGGATTGACGAAATCAAGGAAGCTTGATATGTATATTTTTCCTTGGCAAATACAGATCAATTGCACAGAATGGAACCCGAATTATAGTCATGGGGGATGGTTAGCCAGTGGGATGGCATGTGGACTTTTGCGTTTAGAAGATTTATCTGCTATTCATAGATCCTGAAAAAAGCCATTCATAGGTAAAAAAATAAATAACCGTAACGAATACCAATTTATATTAAGTAATAATCTATTATGTGAAATAACGTAACAAAGATATAAGTACACTTTAGCAAGTAAATATTTATCATAAACGACGTCTCGTACACTTTTTATAATAAAAAATAAAGGTAATTCAAGAAAGAATGCATTAGATCTGATCGTCGGAATCCAAAAAATTAGGATTGTTATTTATTTTTGCCAAAAATTTTGTATGCCAATCTTGGAATACTCTCAAAGGAATGTAGGTATCATTTGGACGTATATCTCCCAAACCAAGAGCATTCGGTGGAAGGTTGGAGGTTGCGAAACTTGCAAGGAAATTATACAAATTTCGCAAAATACGTTGAGCAATTGAGGTCGTAGGAGGAAGGGGTTTTGCAATCGCAGAAGTAGCTGCGGCCTCGCCAGCAGGTGATTCAACAAAATTAACAGTAGGCTCCACACTGATACCCAAAATTGCTGTAACACCGATACAAGGCATGTCATTAGACAGAGACTGAATTGTATTTTTTAAACGAAAGATTGCACTAGGCTTGTCATTAGTCAAATAACCGAGGAACTGAAAGGTTTTTCCAGGCCACTGGAAATAAACCTTGGCTCCCATGCCAGGAGCAAATGGAGCAGTTGGTAATAAAAAGACAACGATATGGTTTAGGCTTTCAGCAAAGTCGAGTTGAAACACAAACTGGTTTTCAGCGACTTGTTGTAAATTTGTCTGTACTATAATTTTGTTAGTGGAATTCTTTTTGATTTGAAACGATGCTCTATAATAACACTTACCTAAACGTCCTGCGCAAATGGCACCAAACATGATTAGGCTCTTGGAAGCGGTAAAAATCACAATAAATTCCTATACAAAAGATACAAAACAAAAGCAGAAAAAGCGCTTTTTGTAGTTGTAATAGCTTTAAAATAACAGAAACAATGAGAATTTGGTAGAATCTAGCAGAAAAATCAATCATATAGTTGCAACCTCCATGTTACCTCTCGCAAAGAAATCGTACATGACGTACTACGCTAATTGTTTACAGTACATTTAATACTTGCAACTTTTAGTTGCACCACCTCAATCTTTCTGGAAAAACGGTAATATCAAAAAATAATATTTTTTTTTGATGCTTCATAAGTGAGAACTACCACTACCTTTCCCAATTATTCCAGCTTCTCCCGAATCCTACTTGATACATTTCTCATTATCTTACAATATTCTGTACTACTACGGTACTATTGACAGAGTTATTTATGGGAAAATTCCTCCAACACTTAATTGATTTGACATATTTTTAGTTCTGCCTACATAAAGCAACTATGTAAATAATCTAGTTTGTACACCAGAAAGCGAACCGATAAAACTATTCGTAAGCGTAAATCGGATTGAGAAAGGTGATTCCTTCTTGGTCTCAAGCCATTTAATTACAACCTCATTGCCGTTAGCCAGGACTGCAATTGGTAAAAGAGACCTTTGGCAAAGGATAAGTAGTTTCAACATCTTCTTATAAGTCAAAGAATGAGCAGTCACACCAAACGGTGATTGCACTTCACTATTACGCAAATAGTGAACTACACTGGGATAGCGTATATAGAATTGTCAAAAGCAATGAGAATAATTAGTAGCCCGGAATGGAAATACAATATGATTTTTCTTTACTAGTCATTGGTATTTCTACTTAATGAATGTACTATGTTTACTGAATTCACGCTGTTAACCCTCAGGTTGTAATACTGGATATGAGAATTCATTAAATGTATTGCTTTGTCTTGTCGTCCTAGTGAACTAGATCGGTCAATGAAGAGTTACAACTCTCATCCTTCGTTTTGAGTAATAAATAGTATTATACAGTATACAAATGAAAAACTTTGAAATAATCTCGTGGAGTAGTTAATTCTGACAGAAATCAAGATTTGGATATCGCAAACGCGACAAGATGAATCAAATTCTTATGTAAATACTTCCCATGTCTATAAATTGTTCCAAAACAAAGCACAACCATTTCATTCCGTTTACCAATTTACAAAACACCCTTTGTGCTGGGAACCTCTTTACTCTCAGTTAAAGTAGTAGCGGTACGCAATGCAACCGCAAAAGATTTGAAGGCACTTTCCGTACGGTGATGGTCGTTGTTACCATACAAGCAAGAGATGTGCAGAGTAATGCCAGCGCTAGTAGCAAATGAATTCAAAAGATGGGGAACCATTTCGCAAGAAAGCTCGCCGATCTTTTCACGCTTCAATCCAAGATCAATGACGGAGTAAGGACGGCCGGACAAATCAACAACAGCTCTGGAAAGAGCTTCATCCAAAGGACAATAAGCATGGCCAAAGCGTTTAACACCGGCGAAATTGCCCATCGCTTTCTTGAAAGCCATACCCAAGGCAATTGCAGTATCCTCAGCTGTATGATGATCATCTATAACCAAATCACCCCGAGAATATAGACGAAGGCTCCAGCCGGAATGTTTAGCTAATGCATGGTACATGTGGTCGAGAAAGCCAATACCAGTGTCAACTTGGATTGTCTGTTCACCCTTTTGATTGGCATGCTTTGAGGTAATGACTTCATCCAAAAAGTCCGATTCCTTAGGCAAAGGAGCCTTGTCTAAAGCAATAGCAACGCAAATTTTTGTTTCATTTGTGTCTCTCTGAAAGAATGCAGTTCTCATTTTATCAGTTATTTTTTATCTTAAAGATATAAAATCTAGAAAGCTAAATATAAAGAACTCTTTGGTCCGAGTTAAATAATATGTTTTATTGTCAAGTTCAAAGACTCAGTTTTGTAAATTCACTCTTCCTCTGATACCTACTTTTTCGATAGGAACTCGGCATATAGTGAACTTGATTTGTAATTTTTAAAACGGATTAACATAATCCCATATACAGTACACTATTGTAAGACGATATCGAATTAGCCCTTTAGAAGTAAGCGACTGTGATGTTTATTTCTTCTGAATGTTATGAAGAGTAATCTATCATATTAACAAACTTTTATCAAGTTTAAAATTTTGTCTTTAAGCATACCTCTTGAGATGGTACAAATTCCAAGGTAAGTGAACACGCAGTATGAGAAGAAATGCACAAAATGGTAACTAACGTCGAACAATGAGAAGCAAATAGATTAGTTTTACAAAAATTACCTTTTTTTCTTTGCTTAGTTTCTTATCTTGGTACTACTGGATTTCTCTGTAATCATTTGCGAGTCGAATTACTTAAGGGCCGCTTAATTGTTTGCAGCTTCTTCCTGCTATAAAAATATGGGACTTTGCTTACATACTACGACTTTACTTCCCTTTTTTATATTGCTTTTCATTGCATTCTACAGCCGTCGTTTTGTTAGAAAGTCAACTCCTCCAAATCGTCAAGGTGGCTCCATAGTGATAACTGGAGGCAATGGAGTTCTTGGACGATCATTAATTTCGCAAGCCATCAACATTGGTCTTCTTGTAATATCTTTAGATGTCGAATATTCTCCAGACTTTTTTCAGGATATCCCAGATGTAATTCCAATCGTATGTGATATTACGGAAGAAGAGAGTATAAACAATTTCCTTAAAAAGTTGGAAACCATTCGTGCGAAGCCATTCGCTCTTATCAATGCGGGAGCAATTGCGCCGAAGAATAGACTGTTTGATATGAGTAGCAAGCAACTTGCAAGGTTCGTTAATTTCAGACGTTATTAGCTAACAATTCTCAGATGTATCCATGTAAATACTATTGGACAATTTAACATAACAAAGATGCTGTACCCGTCGTTGTTTCTGTCGGTAGAGCCTCATATCATCAACGTAACATCAGCTCTGGCTTACTTCAGTGCCTCTGGAGTCGGTATGCATATTCATCTGTTTTATTTATCGCCCCCTCCTATTAACATCTATTTTAGCTGCTTATTCTTGTTCGAAAGCTGCTTTATTGTCTCTGCATGAAACATTAGAAGTGGAAACTAGGCAAATGCATGTACCCATAAAGTTATCGTTATACTCCCTTGGCCAATTCAAATCAACAATGTTTGATAAAGATACGCCAAATAAAATATTAGCTCCGCTGTTGAATTCGAATGACATTGCCCATATAATACTACAAAACCTAATGAATAATCAAAGCGGTCGATTTTATCACCCACTATATGTTCGTTTCATGCCGCTATTGAGATTTATGCCCTCAGAAATACAACGAATTGCTCGTTGGTTTAGTGGAATGGACGAAATTTATTCTTAGAAAAAGCATTCAATCCTATACATCAACTATGGCAATCGTACTTCCCACCTGAATCTCAGCGGACGCCTGGCCAATCCAAAGGACTTTAGGACTCTCGTTTTCGTAATCCGAATTTGTCTGCAAAAGAACTCGTTTAACAATCCTCAGGATTGTACCATATGAGTTTAAAAATGTTCCGTTTTCATACATCATTCTCCAAACTATACATTCTTTTTTCATTGGACTAACTCCAATAAAACATTCACCAGCTGGGTTTGCCGATAATAACTGAAAATCACCATCAACCGATTCCGAGCTAACAATCTTCTTTCGTTTTTGAATATCATACACAGTTAAAAGCCCATTTTCTATGTATGAATATTTTTCAAGTCTTTCGTCAAAACACACGAAAGGAAACCTTTCTGATATTGCTTTTGTTATTTCAGTAGCTTCATTTGAAGAACGATTGGCACTAAGGATTGGTATTAATTTTTCCCTTAATAGATGATTGAATAAGAAAAAATTATGCTCCGTATTTTTAATGGCCAAGCTCATGATTTTCAAAATTGTTTGTCGAAGCTTGGATTTTGTTAGGTCGTAAACTTCATTGCATAAACAGGTTAATAAAAGGATCGAATTACTAGAGGAAACATCAACGATTGATCTAAAAAGCATACTATTTTCGTCTTTTAGATCTTGGTCATGGACTGACGCCGATAATGACATATAGTGAATCAACTTTGCGGGATCAATATGTTTAGAAAAAACCGAAAAGCCATTACTTAATAATCGAAGCGCAACATGATCGTTTTCATAATCAGAGGCTTTTTGTAATAGAAAAGAGGACAAAGATTTTAGTTCATGATCATCAAATACATAAGGATATAATTCTGCCAAAATGGATAATACGTACAAAGAATGCTCAATTTCAGTATCCAGATAGTAGTGTTCTCGGAAAGAGCGGAAAACTTCAAAAAAGTAATGTATAATTCTTTGTAGTTCATCGCTAGGAGTCAGTTTAGCAATTCGCAATAATACAAATCGAATTATCTCTTGAACATTTTTATCGGAATTACTCCATACGTATGTTAAAGCAGGTAGGCTATATTCAGTAGAAGTGATTTCCTCAAGGTTTAGCAATATTCCTTCTTTGATTTGATGTTCACTTAAGCCATCATATTTACATATCGGCAAAAGCAAGGAAAAATATAAATGGAGCAAAAGCGCAGAGCAAAAAGGTGCTTCAGAAGTAACTGACCGCATCGAAGAATTGCATCTTATTATTGCGCTTCCATCATCCTTTCCGACACCAAGATGAATACATGAACGATTAGTTATACTGGACTGATATAACATATCAGCTTCATTTTCTACGTTCAAAAATGGAGGCTGAATAAAATCAAGGAACTCATCTATGCAAGACTTTTCGACGTAGGTCTCATTGGAGAAATTAAGATTGTTGACCAGCGCTTTAGTATTCAAATAGGTGATCAAGAGGCCATCCGTTATCTTAGAATATGTGCCACGATTACTCGTTACTGGGTCACGGTGTTTACCAAGATTGGTTGATACAAAGGACGCATCCGTGACAGAATTATGTCTCACTTCATGTACTTCTTGCTTTAAAATCTCCCATTCTACTGATTGAAAATTCTCATAGGAGACTAGTAGAGAATCCGATGCTTGATAATAATGAATACCTTTTGGCTGCGATCCATCCGACGGTAGAAATCCGAGACTAAACTGTTAGTAGTTAATACGTTATGGTTGACTTACACATTAAAAAGCTCATCAAGTGCTGTTAATGACCCATCTAATCCAATGAAAATATATACTCCGCTTTGTTTTGAAGACATGACCTTCCTCAGAAAAACCACTTGTAAAATACATAAGGAGTTCAGTGTACGATTACAGATATATTGCCAACGCTCGTGATGTAACAGTTTATAAAAATAGCCATTTCCATCCTTAGTAATCACAACTAGCACAATTTCAGAAGGATCATTTTCAAAGATTTTCATGTAGGTTACCAATCCTTTCACGCTTGGAAAGGATTCAATGGGAAACGGATCATTATGTATATACCAATCAAAAAGGGAATACATTGCCATTCCATTTGCTCTTCCCAAAAACAGGTTGAGATTATAGCTATATGCAGATGTGATAACGTCCTGGTTTAGATGAGGACCTAAAAGGAAAGATTGCCGATCGTTACTCATTATCCAATCAAGAGTAATTTTAGAAGAATATTTATTCAGGATTACAGGCTCCTCGTTGTAAAGAAAAGTAGACTTCCATGGATATGTACCGGGGAAAGAATTAACTACATGCAACTTGAAAACTGAATCCGAGGATAATTTTAGCAGAAGCATCTCAGAAAGAGTGAAAAGAAAAATTACCCCTGTTTTTATTAGTAAAACTGAAGTGACCTGCTCTTTATAAAAGTAGCACTCGCATTTTTCTAAATCACGAACTATAGAAATCCCAGACTCGTAGACAAAAATGTGGAGACCTTTGGATAAATCTTTAGCAGATTGAATGGAGACTAGGTTACCAAGTTTTTTATTTGCAATTGGTTTAAAAGTTACTTTTTTTTCAAACTCCAAAGAAGTCGACTTTGCAGACCAAAGAGAAACCGACCCATCGACATAGCCAACAGGAATGTTATTGGATTTTTCTTTGTAGGGAATCATTATAGGCCAGTTATCATGGTTTATCCAGGTGCTGGCTATACTAAAGTTCCCTAGATGTATAATGTAAATTGATAAATAGGTACCACAAACGCAAACGTAGTTTGGATCTAACAAGTATAGTTGTAGACATAGGCCATCATAAAGTTGAATTTTTGCACGACATTTACAGGATTTTAAAAGCCACTGGCATAGGAGTCTATATAATTTGATAGGTTAGTTCGTGGTGTGAAAAGAAGTACAGTCTATAGCATTTAACTCACCCAGACTCGTCCAAGCTAAGGATCACAAGATCGACAAATCCGTCAACCTCAAACGGAAAGCATAGCAGCGAGCTAATAGGATGTTTGTGATATAGAAGGCGTTCGGTATAGTCAAGATCTCCATTCTCTCGGATTGTGAACACCAAAACTTGGCCAGAGGATTCTCCTGCCAAAAGAAGATTTTCATATTGATATACAAAAGAGATCTCGGTTTTTGTTTCAAGCCTAGCTGTAGGGCAATTTTTTGCTACCACCGCCCAATCCATTCTTAAAGTAACTCCTTGATATGTAAGGTATTCATGTAATAAGTGTCGATATGAAATGTTTTTATGTAAAAGGTAGAGCTGAATTGTCTATGATCAGAATCTGTAACACGCGTCAGTATCAACCGATTGAAAGCCAATGATGACTCTACTTAGCCCCATTTCTCTTTAAACGTAAATAAATCCTATAATTACTTGGCTTCAGTATGGTTACCTTTGTTTTAACTGCGTTTCTAACATAAATAGTATTATCAATCTTAAATTTTGGCTAACTATACCATGTTCATGGTATGTACGTAGTTAATCGTAAACAAAAGCGGGTTTGACTCTAACCCTAGCATTTGGAAATCATTAGCTTCGAACAAATTAACAGTTAATAAGTTGAGAAATAATTAATAAATAATATAAAAAAGATTTAAAAAGTACCGGGATCAGCTAGATAGCTACAGTAAGTGAAAACTAATATTGGATCCTTCCTCTAATAGTAAACATTGCATACACCTGAATGTAGTAGTCTATATACCGTTTCCTCCATTGAATGCACACTCTCAATCGACGGATCCTATAGTAAACAAAGCTATTTGTCTCGTTCCCCCAACGTATTTAGGTGCTTGTTTATCTTTTAAACAGATTCCTAACAGCTAGAAAGAGGCAAAAAATATCTGACCGGTGAGGGATTCGAACCCTCGCATCTTTCGATATAGCAAGACTTCAACAGTCCAAGTTCTTCACTTGAGTGCTACGCCATAGACCGCTCGGCCAACCGGCCAATTGTTGAGAGGTTCTAAGCAGAGAGCATTTTATAAGACTTGAGATTTGTTTACTTAGTGCAGTGAATGAAGTAAATACTTATTTCCCGTTAAATCTTCTTAAAATATTTGTTGAATAAATAGGAATAAAATTTAATAAAAAAGAGCAATATCCTAATTTTTTGTCTGTGCATTCGCTTTGTATTTAGAACAGATATAAGATGACGAGCTAAATTTAGAGCTGCTTTGCTTTTGAAACAGTATTAGGTTTGAATATACAAACCATTCATTTTCCTTCCTCACGATTCATCATTGAGGGCTTAGCTGGTATATACAAGTTCGGTGCGTTTTGTGACGATTACATTATTAAGGTATTAAAGATATCCCCTTTTTCGTTCAAATTTTTCTCAATGTTATTTTTATACTATAATTTTCTAATTTATTCAACATTTATATACTTACCTAGGGATTCATTCATTGATATCTTGATTTACGCTATTTTATTTGTTTACTTCTTCATTTATTTATTAAAGCAGAACAGATTTCAACGCTATAGTTTTTACACAACTGTACGGCGTAGTTGATTAACCTATTTAGCGCTGATTGAATAGATGTCTTATTTACCCCCACCTATGATGATCCTTGGCTTTCATGGGTATAGTTCCTAACTGTACTATTAGGCCGTTACTCCAACCTCCTTTGCTCATAACTTACCTACCCCAAAAATTGCCTTTCGACCGTTTCTTGGAAGAACCTAAAAGAAAATGAGCTTGGATGTATGTAACAAAGGTAAAAAAGAAACAGAAAAAGTGCTAACTCTGAAAAGACGGCTAAAAGTGATTTATCAACGGAAGCCCCAGTAATGGGAAATCAACAAAACATTGATCAGACTGCTCCGAATTCTATCTCATTTACAGAAAGCAATGATTCAAAAAATGTTCTGGTTTTGAACAATGGATCGAGACTGCTTTGCATTGCAGACGTTCGTGGTAAGTAAATTGTAAAAACTGAGGCCTCCCACGGTAGCATGAGGTTTATATATTATGTGCTGTTAAGGAATATGAAGCGTATAGAAAGTGAATTCTTCAATTTGGTTCACCATGTTTGAACTACGGATTGTATTTCTACTAGGTCCTTTCCCTTAGTAGGCCATTTTCGTATATGACTAACATTTTCTTTAGGTGAATTAAGCCTTATCAATAAGCTCGCTGAAGAGACTCGTGCTGATTGTGTTATCCACACAGGCGATTTTGGGTTTTTTGAACGATCCTCTTTACCTAATATTTCTGAGAGGTATGTTAAATTGTGTGCATAAATATCGTATGAAACTAACTTCTTAAAGAACCCTTCGTCATATCGTCCAATTTTCGCCTCTCATTAAACGTTTGCCTAGATCAAAAAGTTTTGACCACTATCCTTCGAACCCTATAAGCGAATTAAAAAACAGCATTGCTTCTCATCCTGATTGTCTTCTGTCTGAACTTCCCTATTTCTTGTCTCAGGAAAGGAAATTCATTGTTCCCGTCTATACTGTATGGGGAGCTTCTGAAGATGTTCATGTTTTAGAGAAGTTTGCTAGCGGTGAATATTCTATTCCTAATTTAAATATCATTGATGAATTACATTCCCATCTTCTACAAATTGGCGATTTAAAAATTCGTTTACTTGGTCTGGGTGGTCCTTACGTTCCTTTTAAACTGTTCGACAATGGTGAGGGAAAGGGCACTATCGCAGGTGCTCAGGGTACCACATGGACAACCGTTTTGCAAATGGGTGAACTGATAGAGACTGCGAAGAGTTGTCTTGACAGGGAGGAAACCCGTATTTTTATAACTCATCATCCTATTGGTCGAGAAGGTGTGTTCTGTCAACTCGCTACCATTCTACAAGCTGATCTTACTTTGTCAGCTGGTCTACATTTTCGTTATGGAGCAAGTTATAACGAGTTTTCTGTCAACCCAAATCCAGAGCATTATTTGCAGAAGCTTTCTGCCGGCCGTGCTCAGTTCATGGAGGTTTGGGAAACTGTCAAGTCAGAAGTTGAACGAATGGTCACTCCTGACCAACAGCATTTGGTAAATAACGTTACGCGTCTTGTTTCCAGAATGCCTGATGCCACCAATAGTTATGCCATGAATAATATGCTTCCTGGAACTGCCTTGAAAAATCTCTGGAACTTTAATCTGCTCGATGCCTCTTTTGGGTGGAATGTTTTAGTGGTGGAAAATGGCCACGTCCAAGTTGAAAGTAAATCTTTTGGTTTCAATTTGGGTTATCGCCGTTCTGCCGCCCGTAGAAATGATAATTATAATAGAGTAACCGAGGGAGGTTCTACTGGTGAATCGTACTACAGACCACAAAAATCTGAGATACAATCTAGACCATCCTTAGCTGCGGAGGTGGAGGGCGCTGGCAAACAAAACGCCGAGCCAGTTACTGAAGGATCGAAAGCCACTGTGGAATCAGAAGAACCTATGCAAAAGGAGGAAGCTTATCCTGACCAAGCACCTAAAGAAACTGTTTATGAAGAGGATGAGTCTTTAGCTGCTTCGAAATCTCCTAACGATACAAAAGATATCGAAAAGGGATTAGCAGACACGACAGTTTCATCAGCTCCCGCAGAAGAGAGTACCATTGACGAGAGCAATGAGGCTGGGAAGATTTCTGAAGAACAAAATGCTCCATCTGTAGATGCCCGACAGCCACCCAAAGGTGACTATCAAAGGAATATGGATCGTGGATTCCGTCCTAATTACGGAGAGCGTCAAGAAAGATTTGGTTTCCATATAGCACCTTGTAATACCGAAGAAGAAGCACGGTCTTTCTTCACTGATGGTGCTGATCAACTAATCACTGCTGTTCAAATTCGTACCTCCACGAACCGTAACAGGAACTTAACGCCAAACACGAATGTAACCCCCACAAATTATGCTTATGTTCATTTTGAAAATCAAGATGCTGTGAATAAAGTAGCTGACAAGATTAAAACTCCCGAGGGCGTTCGTGCCAAAGTATTGCGTGATGATTACTACCGACAAAATAGAGGATGGTATAGGGGTGGCCGAACAGAAGGTCATTATTCTGGTATGCGTACAAACCGCGGACGAGGTGGTCGTGGTCGCTATCCTAGAATGCAGCAACATCCTCGTCCAGTCCAATCTGCTGGAGCTGGAGCTTCAATGGCCCCTAACTATAGCACTGAACAAAGCCCAGCTGATCATTAATGAAAACTGTTTACGATCTTAACGATTTACTATTTCCCTTAAAATTCCATTCTTTGTTATCCTTTTGATTATGGATTGATGTTCATGTCGTTTCCGCGTCTTTAACTTTCCTTTTCATGACTGCGTCTTTTGAAAAGATGCTTCTTTTCATAGAATCTGGAATTGGGTGAATAAGGTAGAAAAAGTTTTGTCATAGTAACTCCTTTTCTACACCAGTTTCCGACTTTCTAATTCTACGATTAAAGGCTAGAATTACGAAGTTCGTCTGCTTATAGGTTTATAAGCAAGATTTGAATACTATATAATGACTTTTGTAAAAAGATTGAACATTAATAGATTTGATATAAAAAACGCATTTTTAAACAGTAAAAGCATCTTTCGAACGCTCTTCTAAGATATAATAGAAGGTCTCAAAAACATAGGAATATAAGCTATCGCTTGTAAAAGCATGAAACGAGAATAAGTAAAGCCAAAATAAGCACCTGACCCTTACCAACGTATGAGGTTATAAACACGGGAATTGCGTATTTTTCTCTAAAACACAAATGGCTTCAAAAGTACCCACAGTAGGAATTTGTTCTTCAAAAGAAGCAATTTATTTGTCCCTACAAGAGGGTTATGATTTTGTTGGGGTTAGACTGAGTACTGATGCTTTAAAGCAACGCGTGGAGAGTTTAGAGCCCTTTGAAAATGTGCAGGAGTTCCTTGACAGTGAAATAGATTATCATCCTGAAGGTTTGGACTAAATTTTTGTATTGTTGCAGCTAACGTTATAAAAGAACACGTAAACAAAGTAGTCGGACTCACGTCAGAATGGATTGAATTGGATTCAAACAATGCTTTGATAGCTCAGCGGTCTGAAGAAATCTTAATGAAAGAAGTCTCTTTTGCCTCTTATTGTGGTCTTGCCAGCGTTGTTTGTAACGGCCCAAAAATCGCCGATAACATAATGCAATATGCTAGATCATGCTCAATGATTTTGGATTCTAGTTTTAATATTAATCTACTTCTTCAATTCCCCATTGAAAGTGGGAATGAAGACCTTTTTGAAAATTGGAAGATGTGGAATCTTGTTCGTACTGCTTGTAAATACAATCCGCGATTACAACTTGCTCTTGAATTACCTCCGTCTTGCTCTCCACCGATAGAATTAGTAAATCGATGGTATGCTGAGCCCATTGATATGATTACCCTTTCCTGTATGGCTTTTGTTCCAAACCCAACGGGTTACCCAGTATTGAGCCGTAAGCTTCGAGCTATTTTTTCTTTATACATCAGAAAAAATCCAAAGGTTTTTCTACGAGACAGCGATTTTCCTGACAAAATTGGTGAATCACCGGACTATAGTATATATATGAAACACCTTTTTGATACACAGCCTCCGGCTCCCTTGGTTGAAGAATTCGCTGGCGGATACAAAGACTATTTACAGATCCCACTGCAACCACTCAGTCATAACTTGGAAAATATTACTTATGAAATTTTTGAGAGAGATCCCGTAAAGTATGCTCAGTACGAACAAGCAATTTTTTCGGCCTTAAACGACAGAGATGAAGCTTCGGTGACCCGCATTGCTGTGGTAGGTGCGGGAAGAGGACCTTTAGTAGATTGTGCTCTTCGGGCAGCTATTTCCTCTGCACGCACGGTGGATATGATAGCATTAGAAAAGAACCCTAATGCTTTCGCCATGCTTTTATTAAGAAACAGACAGGACTGGGCTGGAAAGGTATCTCTTGTTTTCGGGGACATGCGAGAATGGAATCCTGATTATAAAATTGATATCTTAGTGAGTGAATTACTGGGAAGCATGGCAGACAACGAGTTAAGTCCAGAATGTTTGGACGGCGTTCAGCGTGTACTGAATCCACATAACGGGATAAGTATTCCTTCCTCGTATACTTCGTACATCACCCCGATTATGTCCCCGAAACTCTGGTCGGAAGTTCGTAATATGAACGATGCTTCAGCATTCGCAAGGCAGTATGTCGTATTAATGAACTCCGTTGATTTTTTAGCACCGAACGACGAGTTCCGTTTTCAACCACTTTGGTCATTTCACCACCCGAACAATGAGACTAAGTTGTTTACAAAAAATCAGCATAATCGAAGAAGCGCAGCTGCAAGCTTTCAAGCAACAAATCCAGGTATATTACACGGCTTTGCTGGTTATTTTGAAGCTATCTTGTACAAAAATATTTCACTCTCCACGTTGCCTACAACAATGGAAGAAAAGTCTCCTGACATGTTTTCATGGTTCCCAATGTATATTCCAATTGAGGTATGACTACATATGTTTTAAGTTTCTGTAATTGCTATTTTTTACTTACCATTAATTTAGAAACCCATGTACATTCCCGAAAACAGCCAACTCCAGGTACACTTATGGAGAATGACTGATGGTGTACGAGTTTGGTTCGAATGGTCCGCGAATACATATTTAATTTTGAGAAATGGGAGTCAGATTCATCTTTCTTCTACAGAAATTCATAACGCTTCCGGAAGGGGATTTTCGTGCCTTATGAATTAAATAACGTATTCATAAAACCTTCATTTTCTTTTATCGTTTGCTTTTTGTTTTGTTTTGTTTTTTTTAATCCTTTTGTTTTTGTATAATTACGGCGATGTGTATGTACGCAGCATAACGTCTACAAGTTTGCGCACACTTCCAATATATCAATGATAAATAATATTTTATACCTATATCAATAGCTTTGGTAAATGTACTTTCGAAGGTTTACTAGCTCATAACAATTCCTTCATTTGTGTTACTATATAATTCGAAACATAGTTAATTAACTTCATCCATTAGTACACTGAAAATCAGTGCAACTCGTTATAGCCACCTTGTGCTGAATTGACTGTTGGTGAAATTTCTGCTTTTTGCCATACGACACTCAGCAAATTGAAGTTGCTGAATTCAGAAGCATACCATGGAACCAGCATTAAAAAAATCTCGTTCTGATTCAAAAAATCCATACTTGTCTCACTTAGAAGATGGTAGCGATGGCTTGGAAAGTGTTTCTTCGAATGGTTTAACAAGACGTGCAACAACGGTTGAAGCTGTTGAAAAAGCAGAAAATGGGCCCAATAATCCTTTCAATGGCATACCATTTAGTGAAAAATACTTTGCTATTTTAGATGGAAGACGTCAATTGCCTGTGCATCAGCAAAGAGATGAATTTTTGAAGCTTTACCATGAGAACCAAATTATCGTATTCGTTGGTGAAACCGGTTCTGGTAAAACTACTCAAATTCCCCAGTTCGTTTTATATGATGAATTGCCACACTTAACGAATTCTCAAGTTGCTTGTACTCAACCTCGACGTGTTGCAGCTATGTCAGTTGCCAAACGTGTCGCAGATGAAATGGATGTCAAACTCGGTGAAGAAGTCGGTTATAACATTCGTTTCGAAGACTGCAGTGGTCCCAATACCATGTTAAAATATATGACTGATGGTATGCTTCTACGTGAGGCCATGAATGACCACGCATTGTCGAGATACTCTTGCATTATTCTTGATGAAGCACACGAAAGAACTTTAGCTACTGATATCTTGATGGGTCTCATGAAGCGTATAGCCCAAAGAAGACCTGATTTGAAGATTATTGTCATGTCTGCAACATTAGATGCTAGAAAGTTTCAAAAATACTTTTTCGATGCTCCCTTATTGGCAGTGCCAGGACGAACATTCCCAGTCGAAATTTATTATACCCAAGACCCTGAACGTGATTATTTAGAAGCCGCTCTTCGTACTGTCCTTCAAATCCATGTAGAAGAAGGCCCTGGCGATATCCTTGTGTTCCTTACTGGTGAAGAAGAAATCGAGGATGCCTGCCGTAAAATTGCATTAGAAGCCGATGATTTACTTCGGGAAGGCGCTGCAGGTCCCTTGAATGTATATCCTTTGTATGGCTCTTTACCACCTAATTTGCAACAACGTATTTTTGAGCCAACCCCAGAAGATACAAAATCTGGCCATGGTCGCAAGGTTGTTATTTCTACCAACATTGCTGAAACATCTCTTACAATTGACGGAATTGTTTATGTCGTTGATCCAGGATTTAGTAAGCAAAAAATTTACAACCCTCGTATTCGTGTCGAGTCCCTTCTAGTTAGTCCTATTAGCAAAGCTAGCGCTCAACAACGTGCAGGCCGTGCTGGTCGTACCCGTCCCGGTAAATGTTTCCGACTCTACACTGAGGATGCTTTCCGAAAGGAATTAATTGAACAAACCTACCCCGAAATCCTTCGAAGCAATCTCTCAAGTACAGTTTTGGAGTTGAAAAAGTTAGGAATTGATGATCTTGTCCATTTTGATTATATGGATCCTCCGGCACCCGAGACCATGATGCGTGCTTTAGAAGAGCTCAACTACCTTGCTTGTTTAGACGATGAGGGTAACTTAACTCCCCTTGGCCGCAAGGCTTCAGACTTTCCTCTCGATCCTAATTTGGCTGTTATGTTGATTAAGAGTCCTGAGTTCTATTGTTCCAACGAAATTTTGTCCCTTACTGCGCTTTTATCTGTTCCCAGTATTTTCGTTCGTCCAAACTCTGCTAGAAAACTTGCCGATGAAATTCGCCAACAATTTGAGCACCCTGATGGTGATCATTTGACGTTGTTGAACGTGTATCACGCGTACAAATCCAGTGAAGGTACTTCTGATTGGTGTTGGAATCACTTTTTATCTCACAGAGCTCTTATCAGTGCTGACAATGTTCGAAACCAACTTAGAAGGACTATGGAGCGTCAACAAGTGGATTTAGTTTCCACCCCTTTCGAAGACAAAAACTATTATGTGAACATCAGAAGAGCTCTTGTTAGCGGATTTTTCATGCAAGTCGCTAAGAAATCTGCTAATGGTAAAAGCTATGTTACCATGAAGGATAATCAAATGGTATCCCTTCATCCTTCTTGCGGATTGTCGGTTACTCCAGAATGGGTAGTATATAACGAATTCGTTTTAACGACTAAGAGCTTTATTCGCACAGTTTCTTCTGTTCGACCTGAATGGTTAGTTGAATTGGCTCCCAGCTATTACGATTTGGATGATTTTGACAACAATAAAGAGGTAAAGTCAGCACTTCAAAAAATTTACCAAATGGCCGCTAGATCCAAGAAGGGATCTCGAAAGTAATTAAGATTAAATTTTTGAATGGGATTTTCGGATCACTTCTTTACTAACTCATTCTTTTGTCTTTTTGTTAATATATTTGAAAGTGTTTTATAATATAGACCTTGCTTAGGGATATCGGATATCAAAATTAGGTAATAATGGATCTTATTAAATGATAAACTTACATTTGTGTAAACTACTTAGAAGATAGACAAGTCCGACATAGATAATGGTTGTAACTGCCACTCTAATATGAATAGAAAAGATTTTGATTGCTGTATGTAAGAAACCCGAACTGAGGATCGTCAAACATGTGCAGTTTTATAGTGACAACTGGTGTATTTTGCTGCAGATATTTAAACCTGCTGGTGAAATCACCTTTTTCACTACCTTAATTTCGAGGAATGCACGGAGAAATCACATAATGGGATTATTGACTTTGGTTAAAAATAAAGCATTACTTTTCTTGGGCTTACTTTCTTTTGGGATCATACTAAAGTACATAGTTATAGAGGACTTGGAAGTTATTACTGAATTTGAAAAATCTTTGGAGAGATTGAATCAAAACTTAATAAAGGATGTGAATAACTTCCAAAGAAAGGAAAATGCAACCCTTCTAACACTAGCACGAAATTCTGAGTTGTATGAAATAGTAAACACTGTCCTCAATTATGAAAATAAGTTCAACGGAATATACCAATACCCATGGGTGTTTTTAAACGATGAACCATTCTCTGATAAATTTAAAAACACAATTACTCGTTTAACCAGTGGCCCTACTTATTTTGGAGAAATCCCGAAAGAGCAATGGGATATGCCAGAATCTATAGACGTTGGGCGAGCTGAAGCGTCATGGGGGGAAATGGCAATGAGAGGCATTATTTATGGAGGGAAGAAATCTTACCGACAAATGTGCAGATACTATTCTGGTTTTTTTTGGAAACACCCGTTGCTCGATTCATACAAATACTACTGGAGAGTTGAGCACGATTCTAATTTGCTATGCAACATCAAGAAGGATCCATTTACTGAGCTTCGTGAAAAAAATAAAACCTATGGGTTTGTCATTACTATTAAGGAAATTGCAGCGACTGTCCCCTCTTTATGGAACACAACCATGGATTTTGTTGCAACATATCCCGAGTTGGTAGCACCTAACAATTTATGGAACTGGATTTCTAAAAACGAAGGAAGAGATTATAGTTTGTGTCATTTTGTAAGCGTTAGTTCCATCTTTCTCTACTAACATACTTAGTGGTCTAATTTTGAGGTAGCAGATTTAGACTTCTTCAGGAGCGATGCATACCAAAAATATTTTGATTACCTGGATAATGCCGGTGGATTTTTTTATGAAGTACGTCAAACCAAAGCTATTCTACGTCCTATGTTGGCAAGCATTTGAACAACTATTAACTTGTCTTAGAGATGGGGTGATGCTCCGGTTCATTCAATAGCTTTAAGTCTTTTTCTTGATAAAGATCAAATTTTGTTCTTTAAGGACATAGGCTATGAGCATTCGCCTATCATTTACTGTCCTACTAACAATAAGCACTGCAGCTGTGATGTTGCCTACGGAGATCGTATGTAGAATCCTTCTCAATTATTCAATGTATGGTACTAATCAGTTGAACAACAGTGAAAGACAGTAATTCTTGCATTTACAAATACTTGCAAGTAACTGAAGGTATTTGAATTTCCCAAGCGAGCTCTACGAATTTAATTTTACTTTAAGTAAGGAATAAATAACCTTTGCGCTTCTATCGTTAAAATTAATGTCTAAAAAAAAAAAAAAAAAAAAAAAAAAAAAAAGCATTACTAGTTATGTAAAACAAACCGAATATCGCTTTTTTTCTGGTTTGAGAATCTTGGATTGCTAAGTGAATATAGAATAAAAATTCAAATAACATGAAAAAAAATTTATTCTGATTTGTCGCCAAAAGACGAAAAAAAAAAATTAGTAGGCGCATAAAATTTACTACGAATAGTTACTCGCTAAGTAACGTTTCTAATTAAAAATAGTGCTTATTGCTAGGTGGCGGTAAAATCTAATAAGGAAATTTAAAAATTTCATACAAAGCGATGGCAACACGTCACATATTCCCTTTTACAAAAGATTGAATTTTTCCAAAATTTGGTTTGTTCTTAGCAAACATGTCAGCAGCACCAAAATCATCATCTAAACTGAGAAGAGAGGTAAGTTGATGAGAAGGTAAAAAAAAAATATTTGATGCCTAAAATCAAAAATTTTCAAGAATTCTCTCAAAAATTATGCTAAACAGTTGCTAACCGCGTGAAACAGGCCAAACAAGCCGAACGTCTTGCTGCTAAGGGTCAGGCTCCCAAGTCGAAGTCCTCCAAGAATGGCAAGGACAAGGAAGTTGACGGTGTGACTACCGACCTTTCCCAATTATCCACTTCTGATCCCATCTTTGAAAGAAGTGCTTCTGGTGTATTGGTTAGTCAACCCATGAGTCGCGATATCAAGATCGACAGTTATACACTTTCTTTCCATGGTCGTCTCTTGATTGAAAATGCCGTCGTTGAACTTAACCATGGCCAACGTTATGGTTTGTTGGGTGATAACGGATCCGGTAAGAGTACTTTCCTTGAATCTTTGGCTGCTCGTGATGTTGAGATCCCTGAACACATCGATGTTTACTTGCTTAATGCTGAAGCCGAACCCACTGACATTAATGCCGTCGAATACATCATCAAATCCGCTAAGGAGAAGGTTCAAAAGCTTGAACTTGAAATCGAAGAATTGTCTACTGCAGATGATGTCGATGATGTTTTGCTTGAAACCAAGTATGAAGAACTTGACGACATGGACCCTAGCACATTCGAAGCTAAGGCTGCTATGATTTTGAACGGTTTGGGTTTTACCCAAGAAATGATGAAAAAACCCACTAAGGACATGTCTGGTGGTTGGCGTATGCGTGTCTCTCTTTCTCGCGCTTTGTTCATCAAGCCTTCTTTGCTTTTGTTGGACGAGCCTACCAATCACTTGGATCTTGAAGCTGTTGTTTGGTTGGAAAGCTACCTCGCCAAGTATGACAAGTGTCTTGTTGTTACTTCTCACTCCCAAGATTTCCTTAACAATGTTTGTACAAACATTATAGATTTGAATACCAAGAAGCAATTGATCTACTATGGTGGTAACTTCGATATTTACATGCGTACTAAGGAAGAAAACGAAACCAACCAAATGAAGGCTTATCTTAAACAACAAGAAGAAATTGCTCACATCAAAAAGTTCATTGCTGGTGCTGGTACTTATGCTAACTTGGTTCGTCAAGCCAAGTCTAAGCAAAAGATTATTGACAAGATGGAAGCCGCTGGTTTGATTGAGAAGCCCGAACCCCCTCGTTCTTTCAGCTTCGAATTTGAAGAGGTCCGTAAGCTTCCCCCTCCTATTATTGCTTTTAACGATGTTGCATTCTCTTATGACGGTAACATCGATCACTCTCTTTATCGTGATTTGTCTTTCGGTATTGACATGGACTCCCGTGTTGCCATCGTCGGTAAGAACGGTACTGGTAAGTCCACTTTGTTGAACTTGATTACCGGTATGTTGATTCCTATTGAGGGTAACGTCTCTCGTTATAGTGGTTTGAAGTTGGCCAAGTATTCCCAACATAGTGCTGATCAACTCCCTTATGAAAAATCCCCTCTTGAATACGTCAGTGAAACCTACAAGTCTAAATTCCCCAATAGAGAACTTCAACAATGGCGTAGTGTCCTTGGTAAGTTTGGTTTGTCTGGCCAACATCAAACTTCTGAAATTCGTACATTATCTGATGGTTTGAAGAGTCGTGTTGTGTTCGCTGCTCTTGCTTTGGAAGAGCCTCACATTCTTTTGCTTGACGAACCTACTAACCACTTGGATATTACTTCAATTGATGCTTTGGCTGGTGCTATTAATAGATGGAGTGGTGGTGTCGTTTTGGTATCGCACGATTTCCGTCTTATTGGTCAAGTTTCTAATGAGCTTTGGGAAGTTAAGGACAAGAAGATTGTGAAATTGGACTGCAACATTGAAGAGTACAAGAAACAAATGGCTATTGAAGTCCAATCTCACGATACCACTGCAAAGGTTAAGCACTTGGTTTAGATTACTTAAAATTTCTTTCTATTATTGGTTGAAAGAAATATTTTTATGTTTTAGTTGAGGGTTATTTTATGTGGATAAAAAATTAATTTAAATTTTTGTTAAGTATCATATGGTTTTGCGGAGTAGATTAGAATGAGGAAAACGTTGAATGCCTTTGTCTTGCGCATGTTTCTAGAAAATCAGTATGAATGTGGTAGTTTGACAAGCTTGTCTTCCATGTATTTTTGTTTGAACGAAACAAACGTAAATGGGTAATCGGACGGATTGAACGAAGTAATCGCAACAAGGATTGGATTTTACACAGTGTAATCGAAGATAAAGTCTACCAATTTTATTCTATACATTCGACTCTACTTCACAGTATGTTTTGCACGTAAGTATGTTTATAGTGCGAACTATGTATGACTAACTAGCTAAACAAATGGCAATTGGATTTTATTAAGCCAGCCTAGTTTAACTTCCAGTCTCTACGTCAATCAAGAGTTGGATGTACCTTTTTGCAATGCGTTGTTTCTTTACTAGAACTCCTGTTGTCTACATTTTGCAACATAAGATTATGGTATTATAAAACTAGAATATTTCAAACTAGCTATGAAATTTCAGAAGTCTGTAAAGTATCAGTAAATCGGTTGTTCCCAATCCTCACTTCCCTTTCATTAGCTCATTCTCCTTTTATTTTAAATATTATTTTATTTTTTTTCCCTCCATCTTCATTGAGAAGTGAAATAGATCGTATCCATTCTTTGCGTTCTGGCTTGCAGCACTTTATCCCAAGACGAGGTGTTGGTACTAACAGTCGGCAACACAACCAAACATCAAGACAACGGAAGCTTTCAGGAAATTGCTCATTTTTACTATTAAGAAAATTAAATAGATGTCTATAGATTCAGACGATGTCTCGCAATCAGTATTCGGAGCTAATAACGTCTCTTTGAAAGATGTGGACGGATGGATCGAACAATTGAAAAGATGTGAACCTCTCAGTGAGTCAGATGTAGAGGCCCTTTGTGAAAAGGTAAGAAATTGCTTCAAAATAAGAATACATTGAAATAGCTCTAGAATTCTGTGAAGATTGGAACTTAGAGGGATCAAAATAATTTTTATGATCCTAACAACAAAGCATGCTTGAAGTTTCTTTTTGGAAGAGGAAATAACTAATAATTTTTTTGAAAACCTTTAAGAAGCTATTTGACGGAGCATTGTTTTTAACATTGGAATAGGCAAAAGAAGTATTGTGTCGCGAAAGTAATGTTCAACCTGTACATAATCCTGTAACTGTTTGTGGTGATATTCACGGACAATTTCACGATTTGATGGAGTTATTTAAAATTGGAGGCGAAGTGCCTGATATGAATTATCTCTTTATGGGAGATTATGTGGACAGAGGCTATCATAGTGTTGAAACAGTAAGCCTGCTAGTAGCTATGAAGTTACGGTTTCCTCACCGGATAACAATATTAAGAGGAAATCATGAATCTCGTCAAATTACACAGGTTTATGGATTTTATGATGAATGTTTACGTAAATATGGTTCCGCAAATGTATGGAAGCATTTTACTAATCTTTTTGACTATTTCCCTTTAACCGCTTTAATTGAAGACCGTATATTTTGTCTCCATGGTGGCCTTTCTCCTAGTATTGATTCATTGGATCAAATTCGATCTTTGGATCGTGTTCAAGAAGTTCCCCATGAAGGTCCTATGTGTGATCTACTTTGGTCTGACCCTGACGATCGTTGCGGTTGGGGTATCTCTCCCCGTGGTGCAGGCTATACCTTTGGACAAGATATATCCGAGTCTTTCAACCACGCGAACGGTTTAAGTTTAACCGCGAGAGCTCACCAGTTGGTGATGGAAGGTTACAACTGGGCTCATGATGGCGATGTAGTAACTATCTTTTCAGCTCCTAACTACTGTTATCGTTGCGGCAATCAAGCCGCTATTTTGGAGGTTGATGACAATATGAATCAGGTTTTGTAAGTTTATATCAAAATAACCTTTGCAATTATTAACAACTATTTAGCTTGCAATTTGATCCAGCACCGAGAAAAGGCGAACCCGTCATTGCACGAAGGACTCCAGGTATGGAAGAGTTCAAAAAATGAATCCTGTTGAAACATTTGCTTACTAACATGATAGATTACTTCCTTTAAAAATCGGTGTTCACGCTTAAAAAATGGTCCTCTGTTTGTATTTAGCATCATACCTAACGTATGTAACATTTATGATGAATCTTTTCTATCCTCAATTGTTCGGACTGTATCGTGTGGTCATTCGCATATATATACATATTCTTTTTCTTTATAGTAATGAAAAGTAAGGTGCGCGTTATATCGCTTGTTTGGGATTACAAGTCGATCAGGCATAATGGAATTTTTGGTTAAAGATTGTCTGTTCCTATATAAAGATTACCTTTTGATTTAATAATATGTACCTACTAGAAAACTACAGTAAATGACTGCATCGTTTAGATATGTTCACGGTAAGGACTCAGTTGCACTCGTGATGTCGGATGGTCAGGCTTTTCTGTATAAATTTTATAAAGGAGACTAAAGGCTAGGTACTAAGATTATTTTGCTAATAAAAAAAAGTACTACATTTCAAATAACGTAGACATTATGCCAACTTTGAGTAAGAATCCGTAGGTTTGGATGAAGCAAAAACTTGAAATAATCTGAAGACAACGCAATCTTCTACTATTGGAAGTGCCAAGAGAAAACTAATGGAAAAGTACAAAAGACTTTTAATTATTTTGGAACTACGAATAGCAGAATGAAAAAGCAAACGTATAGAACTTGGACGAAGGGGAAATGTTCCAGTAGTCAGTTGTAATTTAAGACACTATCCAATTGAAATGATTTATAAAAAGAAAGGAGAGGGGAGAAAAGCATAAAGAGAAAGAGGAGGGGGTACTAGGAGTAGTATAGATTCAGCAACGGAAAGCAAAAGTCACTAGGAGTGTTTAACCAATAATAAGCTTGTCGCCATCAAAGACGTATTGAGGAATAACCAAGTTGATGGGAGCAGGACCACGACGAATACGTCCAGAAATATCGTAGTGAGAACCGTGGCAAGGACAGAACCAACCACCATAGTCACCAGCTTCACCAATGGGAACACAACCCAAGTGGGTACAGACACCAATCATAACTAACCACTCGGGTTTTTGAACACGATCAGAATCGGCTTGAGGGTCTCGGAGGGCGCTGATATCCATGGCATTGGCTTCATCAATCTCGGCTTGAGTACGATGGCGAATGAAGACGGGCTTACCTTGCCATTTAACAACCATATTTTTACCTTCAGGAATCTTATTCAAATCAACTTCAGTCTTGGACATGGCTAAAACGTCAGCAGAAGCAGACCAACTAGCAAGAAAGTCATGAACAGTAGCTTGAGCACCAGCAGCAGTTAAGGCACCAAGGGTACCAACCATGGCATAAGAAACAACACGAGATCGATCACCAGAAGAGGATTTAGTTTGATATTCAGAGAAGTCAGGAATTTCAGTGGACTCAGAATTATATCTACGAGTGAATGCCAAAGGACCGGAAGTATTCACGGCAGAGTTCACAGCGGATCTGGCCAAACTTTGAGAAGCAACACTCGACGAAGCGGGCATCCTTCTCAAGGCCGATGCAACTGATTTTGAAATTAATTGTTTTGTAAACATCATGAAATGCTAAAACGGTTGAGCACGGGGTTGTTGGTGAACGACAAGAACGTCAGTTGGAGAAGGTTGGAAGCGGTGGATACAAAAAAAAGCCAGCGCTGATTTGCCTTTTAGTTCACCGAAGTTGACCGGTGTCTCCCAATTCAGCCGGTAAGCTCACCCATAATTCCGCTCAATTCGGAGAATTCGGTCAACACGGCTGACTGAATTGACCGATGCTATGCATTGGCATAGAAGGAATCTTTTAAGCACACAGCTTTTTTAAATATTAAAGAACTAAATAATTATTTACAATTAGAAATTCATAAAAAAAAAGGAAATTGTAATTTGAAAAGATTATTTGAGCTATTGAATATTACTATACGAATATAATGCTAAGAAATGGACATAAACAAATTATTTAGTAAGAAAAACGCAACAAATGAGAGAATTGTCAAACTTGCTTTTCATTACTCTGTTCTTATGTTGATTTTCATTCATTAAAAGACGATGGCGAATTGAATGTTGTTTCTACCATCGTATTCATCTTCAAATCCAGATCCCATCTAAAAATAAACTCAGATGAACCGTTTTGCTATTGAAACAATGAAACACGACTTTCACCCTTGTTATTATACTTAAGCAACAATACAAATCCATAGCATTAATAGTAATAAATACATTTTTTCGTCCCACGTTACTTTTAGCTGAGTATAGGCCTAAGATTTATGTTAAGTTCAACTACGGATGGGAATAGATGGCCAATACTTCGTCCTGACAGCTGTAAATTTCTGAAACGAATTATCGAGAATTTGCTCTAATTCAAGAATATCATGATAAGAATATCCATACAAATTTCGGTAGGAGTCTAATGGTAGGGATTCTTGCAGGCACATTGGTATGTTTGGTTCACTCTCCGGTACAGACGCTGCAATACTTGTTTGTGCATGTGCCTTTGCGGCCTTTTCCTTTTCTTGCATAAATTGCTCCTTTTCTCTCTTCCATTCAAGTTCTCGTAATTCTGATTCTCGAAAATACGATATTTGCTCGTCCGTTAATGTTCGAATGCTTCCATCCGGGTATCTTTCTACGGCAGAAAACGTAGGGTTTTCATTGTATGGATATGACACATTCAAATCAACTGGAGGTTGAAGAAACGCGTTTTCCCAACATTGCACAGCTACCTTTCCAAAGTGTTCATCATGAAATTTCTGCAAATCTTCTTCTGTAAGACACATACAATTTACTTCAAAGGTGTTGAATTGTAGGAAACTTAGATGTCGCAAACAAAAGCTTACTCTTTCATTAGTGGACTTTTTTGACTCAATAATGCTTATATAACACAAATATCATAGCTTACTTTTTATGAAGATGTCTTTTTTTATTGGCATATGCTTATATATATTTTATTATTATCATATAATACTAGCATAGACCATTGCGATTCTTTTAAGTTTTCACAAAGAGAAAGATAATTATGAGTAATGAGCCATTTAGTCTGACCTTTCTTTTTTCTTTTCTTTTTTTCTTTTACTTTATTATCATTGGGAAACTTCTCGTTTCTTTGTGAATGTTTAAAGCATTTCTTGCTAGGTCATCAACATCCTCATTGCTATCTTCATAGTAACCGACTTTTTTGCATACGTGATACCCAACCTAGGAAGGACGTAGAAGAGAATGGCTGTACGTTATTGACAAAATAAAATTATGTATTATTAACAAAAGTTATAGACAATAACTAATCTGGAGCCATTCGCGACGTAAGTTCTTTATTTTCTCCCATTCGGCGATCCAATTTTGTTCAGCTTCTTTTCGTAATACATATAATAATTTTGCTAACTAAATAATAGAGGAAGGTTGGTTTTTAAAACTACTCGTGGTGATATCCAGTTAGAGTTATGGTGTAATGAAGCCCCGAAAGCTTGCAGAAATTTCTTACAATTGTGCATGGAAGGGTAAGCAAAAGCTAAGTCCTAAATAAAACTAACACATCTTTCTATCAGGTACTATGATAATACTATTTTTCATCGTGTTGTTCCAAACTTTTTAATCCAAGGAGGTGATCCAACAGGCACGGGAATGGGAGGCCAATCCATATATGAAGAAGCGTTTCCCATCGAGACGCATCCTAGATTAAGATTTATGAGACGTGGTTTATTAGGAATGGCGAGCGCAGAAGACGAAGGAAACCAATCTCAGTTTTTTATTACTCTAGGCCCGACCCCAGAATTAAACGGAAAGCAAACGCTTTTCGGAAGAGTTGTCGGTGAAACAATATACAATGTAGTAAGAATTTCTGAATTGGAACTTGATGCTGATGAACGGCCTCTTTACCCTCCAAAAATTCTTTCCGCTGAAATCATAGATCCTTTTTTTAAGGATCTCAAACCACGTAGTACGAAAGCAGAACGTGAGCAGCTGGCAAAGAAGTTTGCATTAGAAGAAAAGAAAAAAGAAAGATCTGAATTGTTAAAAAAGGGCGTACGAAACAAAGCTGTTTTAAGCTTCGGTGATGAGCTCGATATGCCTATTCCTAAGAAGCCCCTTCGTAAAAACCCAATAGTCCAACAAAAGAAAGATCAAGAGTTAGAAGATAAGCCTATCCAGTCTGTATCAAACAATGCTGACTCAGAAGCTTCTTCCGAACTTACCCCAAAAATTCAGTCTCAGAATAAGCCTGAAGTATCTCCTGAAAAAGCAGTTGGTCCTTCGCGGCTTGGTACTTCTGATTCATCCAAATCAGATTTGCAAAAACAAATTTCGACTTTAAAAGCCGAGATCCATTCAATGAATAACTCGCCCGTTACCGAACAAAGGCCACAAACAAGTCAAAAGAAACGAAATGCTCTGACAGAAGAGCTTGAGAAATATAAAAGGAACAAGAAGGTGTTAACAGGAAAGCGGAGAAAGTTAGGAGAGAATGAAGATTTAACTCTTTCGATGCTGTCTAAATTTCAAGCGAAGATCAAAAATGTTGATACCCAAGACACCGTTACAGATACCCAAGGAGTTAACATTGAGGAGCCTTGCAAATTACACAACGTACCTGGCTGTTATTCATGTTTTGACCGTCTTGGAGAAACGAACGCTTCAAACGAAGAAAATGGTAATTGGTTTGCTCATACTCTCGTTGCAAAGAATGATCCTGCAACCAGAACAGAAGATTTGAGGAAACAGCGAGAAGAAGAATTTAAAGACGTTACTCCGGCAGCGGATGTCAAAAAGGAAAAACAATCAAAATTGCACTAAAACATTTATACGCAATTGTAAAATACAATGACATAGCTTGTGAGGTTTCTTATAGAGATATTTATGACATATATTATTAAGGGAAGAATTATACCAAGGTATAGAAATTTTGTTTAAAGGAAAATAAAAGAGAGGCTACGATATCAGAGAGAATTATACAAATCAACATTCTTTGGCAATCCGATTTAGCAAAGGAATTATTAAGTAGCTTTCAACTTCGTCACTTCGGCATCATCGACGCTTCTTTTGTCAGTCAATACCTGTCCATAGCTTGCTAATAAACCTGCAGACTTGAAAGGACGTTTAAGGTCGTCAGTAGCAGGTTTATTGAGGATATGAATTTTCATCTCATTTTCATCAAGGAAACCTCGGACGGCTGAGACAAGTTGGAACAATAAGGGAGGGGCGTATCCCATATATAAATGCATAAACATTGTGGTGCCGATTGTCACAAGCATTTGTTTAAAGCTAGCTAATAGTTTATTCAAATCGTATTCACGAACCGTTGTAGCAATGAATTTCGCATGCTCGCGGCCTGAAATTGGAGTAGCTGGCTCAACATATTTCATTACAGTCAAGTCTACAAACATATAGTTAGTAAAAGTTGGCTTGCATCTATACACAATTTGAGTCCAATGGCAAGCTTACCATTCTTCTTTTGGATGATGGTTCTCGTGTAGTAAAATAATCCGATCTGAAGCAATGTTACAGCTGCATAAGCGATACGCAAGGGCAACAATAAGTATGGTTTTGAGAAGTCTATGACTTTTGTAAGTGACATCAAAACGCCTGTGATCGCTATAGATTTCACCTTTTCGAGTAAGTAAAACATATACCACATCATCAATAGTCTTACCTGAGGATTCTTCTTCACCGTTTCTATCACTGAGTTCATTTTTTATTATTCGTTGTTGGTGAAGCAAAAGTATCAGTCGCTAAAATTCGAGACAAATAATTATTATACTAAGAAAAGGTACATCATCTAAAGAATTCATGATTACTATTTAGATGCCAGTAAGAAAATATTCGTGAAAAAAGCTTGACCATCTAAGTTACTTATATATATTCCTCAAACTTCATGTATCGTACACTAAATGAAAGAACATTACAGAATTAATAACAGTGGATAGATATGCCCATTTTGAAACTGCTTGTCGTAAACCATGATGGGACGTGCTTCCAAGCTATGCTCGTTTCAGTCTGTGAATGGAGATACCACTCCTAACGTTTAAACAATTAAAAACCCAAGAAAACAATAATAGAGGAATCCTTTCCACATATTTACTATATTTGTTTAAGAAATTTATTTTATTTGAACATTTCTTCAATAATCATTTATTGTTGCGTTGACACTTAAAATGAGCAAGATCTCAAACAAAGTAGGCTTCGGTGAAGCTTTGAGGAGGTTCCAGGAGAGTAAGGTATTGACTTCATTATTGTTTATTTCTGATAACTAATAATTTAAGGTACTCCTTGTCGGCGCTGGCGGCATTGGCTGTGAGTTATTAAAGAATCTGTTGATGTCGAATGTGAGGGAGATTTGTATTATTGATTTAGACACTATAGATCTATCGAATCTAAATCGCCAGTTTCTTTTTCGGAAGCATCATGTGAAGCAAGCGAAGGCGATCGTAGCTATGAAAACAGCTCAGTCCTTCAATCCAAATGTAAAAATAGAGGCGATACAAGCGAATATCAAGGAACCTCGTTTCAATATTTCTTGGTTCCGCCAATTTGGGATGGTTTTTAACGCGCTCGACAATCTGGATGCCAGGCGTCATGTTAATAAACTATGTCTACTTGCTAATATTCCACTGGTGGAGAGTGGTACTACAGGATTTCTTGGCCAAGTCCAAGTTATAGCTCATGGGAAAACGGAATGTTACGATTGCAATCCTAAACAGCAAGCTAAGGTCTACCCAGTATGTACAATTCGAAGTACGCCCAGTCAACCAATTCATTGTATAGTGTGGGCAAAGAGTTATTTCTTTCCACAATTGTTTGGTGATAATGAGGAAAATGATGAAGGAATACAAAATATTGCTCAAAACGAGGCACAAAAGAAGGAGATAGAAGAGTTGGCACGCGAGACAGCTGAACTTGCAGAACTTAGAAATTCCCTCGTAACAGACTCGAACGCTTTCGAAAAGATTTTTGAAAAAATTTATCATAGGGACATTGCTCGACTTAGAGCTGTACCTGATATGTGGACTTACCGAACCGCACCTACAGTTTTAGATCTCAATGAATTAGGCCAGAAAGCTGTTCATTTAAGTTCTCCTTGGTTGGATGAACAGAAAATATGGACTCTGGAGGAGAATTTTGCAGTTTTAAAGTCTTCTATTCAACGTCTTTCACAAAGGCTTAAGAATTGTAATAGTGAAGGCTTATCTTTTGATAAAGATGATAAAGACACCATGGACTTCGTTGCTGCATCTGCCAACCTACGAGCGTATTCTTTTGGTATTGAACAGCATTCAGAATTTGATATTAAGCAAATGGCCGGGAATATTATTCCTGCAATCGCTACTACGAACGCTGTGATAGCTGGACTTTGTGTTACTCAAGCACTTAAAGTGTATCAAAATGATAATGATGAATTAAAAAATGTAAGTGTACTAGTTTATTTGCCCTAGTTCCTTATCAATTTCGTTTTACTTACACTTTCTTCAGGTATTTATGGCGAAAAGAGCCGACCGCGTTTTTCACGGAGAGAAGGTATGCAAGCCAAATCCGTATTGCGCTACATGTTCATTTAAGCATATGCAATTACCTGTTGATCATTACCGCTTGCTTTTAAAGGACTTTGTCAAATATATTTTACATGATTTTTTGCGTTATTCTGAAGAAGTTAGCGTTATAAAGGAAGACTTGATTTATGATGTTGATTTCGAAGATAACTGCGAATCGACATTAGCTGATCTTGGAATAAGTGGTAATAATAATACGGTTCTTACTATTCTCGGTGAAGAAGAAAGATCAGACAATGGGAAAACAGCGGATTCACAAAACGTAACTCGTATACCTCTTCTTCTTGAGGTGCTCCCTATGGATGGACATACAGATGCGTCAAACATACCCTATCGATTACCTTCCGAGACTACAGTTATTCCGCTTAAACCTGAGCCGTTGCGGTCTTCAGAAGCTGGAAAAGAGTCGACTGATACTAAAGGTGTTGATGACATATTTGAAGTTATGCCTTCAGAAAACGAAATAATAGATATAGAAGTCATTGATGGTGAAGACGTACCCAATTCGGGCTCTCCAAAGCCAAGGGTTAGTTCATTGAAAAGGAAACCTTCTACAACGGATGAAACAGATACTAAAAAGAGCAAGAACTAGGTAAGGATTACTACTAGAATTCATTCCATGTTTTTACTGGCCTTAACCTGACGCACAGTTAATTTTGAACAATTGGTATTAGTTTGTCAAACGAAATCTTGTTTATATCCATGTCTTACATATCTGTGAAATGAGCTACGAATAATAATTTTTATAACAATCAAAAATATATTTACCATTATAAAAAATGACCTAGTAAATCTAGTCTCATACCTATTTCCAACAAGGTAAAACAAACGTCTATCGTAGACAACATGATAAAAATAACTCAGACACCAAAATAAACAAAGCGGTTCATTCCTAACCATAACTTTAATTTATATTTAAGCAGAGAAAGTCTTGCCGGCCAAAATGTTGACCAACTCATGCATACCGCGCCACCAGGCGTTCTTGGGACGGCGTTGCTCAATTTCAGTTTCATTAGACTCAACTTCAGCAACAGGAGTGAAAGAAACACCAGTACCACGGATACCGATGACGGCAGCGGAGCTAGAATCGGATCCCAATTTGTTAGCACGGCACTCTTCGAAGAAACGAATGGTACGCATGGCAAGGCGAGCAGCACGAGCACGGTCCATGGGAGTAGGGTTACCACCTTGTTGGACGTGACCGGGAATGGCAGTACGAGCGCTAAAGCGGTGCTTAGCTTCTTCACTGATGATATCGCCAATGACATCGGTGGTGTAAACCTTGGAAGCACACTCGTTACGAAGGATAAGTTGACCAGCACGGTTGCGACCAGCTTCCATGGCGAAAGTTTGCTTAAGGTGATCAATATCGGCACGCAACATATCCAATGTGATACCATCTTCAGGAGTATAGATGGCAGAAGCACCGGTAATAAGACCACCAACAGTTGCAACATAACCAGACTTACCACCTTGGACTTCACAAACGAAGACACGACGGCGGCTAGCGCTAGCACTTTGCTTGATGGTATCACAATACTCCATGACGGAGTTAAGGCAAGTATCACAACCCAAAGAGAATTCGGTACCAGGGACATTATTAGAGATGGTAGCAGGAATTGTAGCCATGGGAATACGGAAAGAAGGGTAATTAACACGGGCATGCTCCAATTGAGAGAGAGCGGTGAAAGCTTCAAAACCACCAACAATGATCAAACCATCGATTTTGTGTTGTTGGAACTTGTAGGCACAGTGACCCATATCGAGATCGGGGGTATCACGGTTAGTACCAATTTCACTACCACCGCGAATGCACCATTCATCAACGTCAATCCAGGAGAGCTCGTGGATAGAGTCATGACGTAAGAAGCCAGAGAAACCGTTATCGATAGCAAGAGGAGTATGACCACGGTTCAAGCAGTAACGAACAGCAGCTCGGGTGGCAGAGTTCATACCACCAGCGGGAGCACCGACGTGAACGATGGCAACACGCATTCTTTCTTCAGGAGCAAGGAAGTTCTTTTCATCTTGGATAAAGGTAGTGCCCTCCCAAGTATGCAAGTAGTCAGCGAACTCGGGATCTCTCAATTCCATAGCAGCGGCAAAATCCTTCTTCTCGATGGCATCAGCAACCTTGTGAGTTAACTTGACGGCTTCCATCAAAGGTTTGCGGTTGATCTTGTTACCGTTGATAGCGATCATGGGAGAGGGAGTCTCGGGGGTGGAGGCAAGCACAGCGTCGACGGCATCAACACCTTGAAGAGTAGCAAGCATACGATCGTAGGCACAAGGGACACCACCACGTTGAACGTGACCAAGGGTAGTTACACGGGTGTCCAGGTGAACGCGTTCAGACAAAAGCTTCTTGATGTCTTCAGCAGTGATGTGGTTGAGTTCAGAGTCGATAGCACCTTCGGCGACGATGATGATAGACTTTCTCTTACCTTCCTTACGGAAAGCACTCAAAGCATTGCACATTTCTTCCTGCCACTTACCGACTTGAGCAGGGCGTTCGGGAACGAAAACAAAGTCAGCACCGGTAGCCAAGGCAGCCAAAACGGCCAACCAACCACAGTGACGACCCATAACTTCGACAACGAAAGCACGGGAATGAGAAATGGCGGTGGAGGAAATGGAGTCGACGGCTTCACAGATACGGTGAAGGGAGGAGAAGGCACCGATGGTGACATCGGTAGAGGACATATCGTTATCGATAGAACCGACCAAACCAACGATGGTAAGGTGACGGTAAAGGTTAGCTTGCTCAACAGTGATGGCCTTGGTGTCTTCAAGTTCTTGGACCAAACCGGGCCAGTCAGAGCGGAAGAGATCGGCACCAGTCAAGGAACCGTCACCACCACAGACGATAAGAGAGTCGATACCGGCGGAAATCAAGTTCTTGGCAGCACGGAGACGGCCAGCACGTTCACGGAAAGACATGCAACGGGCAGTACCAATCAAGGTACCACCTTCGGCGAGCCAACCACGGACATCACCCCAAGCCAATTGACGGATCATGTCGCCACCTTGGACAAGACCTTCGTAACCTTCATAGACGGCGAAGGCATCGCAACCACGGTGGATGGCATAGCGAGCGACGGCACGAACGGCAGCGTTCATACCGGGAGCGTCACCACCACTGGTCATGACAGCAATCTTCTTCTTGACACCAGGGGCCTTGGTGGTGGCATTTGTTGGTTCGGTGGCCTTCTTGATGGCGTCGAGGGGAGTAGAGGTACCGCTGGTCATGTGGGATTGAACGCCGGATTCAACAGACTTCTTCATGTTAGCATGAGCGAAGGGGTTGTAGCGGTCGGAGAAGCCGACCAAGTTGCCCAAAGGATCTTCGACGTAAACCTCGTCGGGTTTCTTTTCATCGGGCAAAGATTGGAATTTGACAGATTCGGCGGAGAGCTTCTTGATCAATTCAGGCAAGTTGGGGTAGTAAAAGACGATAGAGCTCTTTTGACCGCGCCATTCAGATTCGTGAGTGACGGGAGAAAGGGTGAATTCACCGGGAACGTAACGAAGCTTCACAGTGGCAGACTCGGCATCGCTGCTTCCTCTGACGTGAAGCCAGTCTTCACGGACAGAGTTGTTGCAGACGCGAACATTATGAGTATCGGAGATGCCAAAGAAAGCCAACTTTTGGAAACCGAGTTTTTGATAAAATTTAAGAGTCTCGTCGTACGCACCCTCGGAGGAAGCAACGAGAGAATAGCAAGAAATTCCATGCACAGCGTTTCCACTCATTTTGCGATGTGATATGCTACAATAGATTTGGAATTTCTGTATTCAAAAGAAAATCTTTCAACGATTCGTTAGATGTGTTTCAAAAACAAAAAATCAAATGAAAATAATCCTCGTCGTGATAAATCCCTGCGCTTGGTAAAATATTCTTTCAACCTGAGCTTTTTGTTGTTGGATATAGGTAGCTTTTAGAACTTTTGATGTAGTGTGGAAGGAAGAGGTAAAAAATACGTTGTACGCAAATTTTATAAATATATGATCAAATCCCAAATCCCCGGAATATATTCCTTTGCATTCTCTACTTATTGCAATGTCTTGCCGTTGCTCTGGTAATGATATACTTACGTCGTTCATTTCCGACAATTCCCGCGCCCGCACATATTTACGTCAAGCATTCGTAATGCAATGATGGAAAAAAAGAGCGACAGAAAGAGACGAATACGAATCATGTTGTTGACTGATTCAACCTTTACGAATAGGTAAAGGAGGAGGATCGTTTGTTTTGTTTTGTTTTTTTTTATATAAGCAGTTTTTTTTTACGTTTTTTATTCTTTTTTCTCGTTTTCTCTCTTGTTTTACAGCGTACAGAAATTTACGGCTTGCAAAACATTCTGCAAAAAGTAGCAAACATGTCAGATACCATGTTCCTATCCAGGTAACATGATTAGCGTGAATCGTAAGCAAAAAAACCGAGGTATCATTCGATACAGGTAACAAGAAGGGAATAGAAGTCTCGGAAAAACAAAAGAGATCTCTTTATTTACAAACAAACACATAGTCGACCTCACAAACCCGAAGCGTGTAGTGCTGCTTGCTACATTTGAGTAGGATGGAAGAGAATAGAATGGATTATTTTTTGATGTGATTTATTTATTTTTATTGAATTTGATTATTAGAAAATGAAGCAAACAAAGCTTTGAGATTTTCATGCTTTTGTTTTTGTTTTTTTTTGTTTTTTTTTCTTTGCGGGATCTGATCAGATCCTCCTGCATTGTTCCTATCGCTGGTTCATCCCTGACCATGCTCGATGTTAACCGATCCAGTGTTCAGCTTAGACAAAGGACGGATGGTCGCATAACCGTCCGGTGTCTAGGAATATCCATCGCTCTGTTTGTGTAGGAAAGAGAAGGGAAGGGAAAGAGAAGGAAAGGAAAGGGTCCCAAGGAAGAAAACCAAGAAACGACGATTCATTTGTTTTTATTTACTTTTTTTTAAATATTTTTTTTATTTTATTATTTCTTTTGTTTATACTTTTCTATTTCGTTTACGAATCTGTCTCGTTCTTTTCTTTTTCTTTCTTTTTTTTTTCTTTCTACTTTTTCATGTCTTGTCCAAATAGTCCATAGTGTGTGTAGTCTGGGTCAGGTAGATTCTTCCGAGGACATTAGGGTTGTGATTGAGTAATCAAAAGAAAAGAAGTAAGGAATCTTTTGTTTGAGGTTTTTTCTTTTATAAAAAAGAATATTAGAAAATTACAAAGAATAAAAAAAAAAGGAAACCTCATTGAAATAAAAAAGAATAGAATAGAAAAGAAAAGAAAAGAAAAGAAAAATTGTTTTTACGATTTCTATACGTTTGCATAAAACAACGTCATCATCTTCTCGTTTAGTGTCGATCTTTTACACTATTTCTCGTAAATTTTGTTTTCGTACCTCGTTGTATTTTTGTAAATAGTCTCTTGCCTTGGTTTGTTTACTTTGCCTAGAAAGATTACGGCATTCCAACAAACCTCTTCCTTGCGCGTGCTAAACTGATTCTATTCGTATAGTGTAGTGTAGCGTAGTGCGCAAGCAATTGTAGTCAAGGTAGTTTTTATCATAGAGTGGTGAGTGTTGAAAATGGAATGGGATAAAACTCGCTTCTTGTGTGTGTGTGTGTTTTCTTTTCTTTTTTTTTTTTTTTACATTCATTTCCATTTTAATATATATATATATATATATATTTTTTTTTTTTTTTTTAAATTATCTATACCGACGTCGGGCAACTTTTTTCAATAGAAAAACCTTAGGAATGCCAAAAAAAAAAAAAAAACATCTTTACTCTTTTCACCTACGACATCCAAAAAATCCCTAGAATCAATTCCTTTCCTATTTCTTCAATACATTGACTCACAATACTTGCTAACTATTATTTATTAGTGAAATTATTTGTTTTTTTCCTACTTGCTCTCTATGTAAACAAACATTTCCTTTTAACGTATTGCAACGATCCTTTTCCTTCCATTACCCACCGAGTAAACAAGAGGAAAAGGTGTTTTGCAAACAGCATTCGTTTAGGGACATTTTCGGGGATTCTTTCTTTTTTGTACTAATTTAATTTATTTCAAACCATTCCTGGATCATTTTTTTAATTTGAAATATCCAAAACATCGTCTACTGTAGGTTCTCTTAATACATCTTATCTTGTTCTTTTTCCTACGTCTTGTTTTCACTGCTCCACATCCTGGTCTTTCTCGCTTCCCCTTTTTTTTTTTTTCTCAAATTTTGTCCTTCTTTCTCATCTGTTTCGGTGTACAATAGTTTGGAAATTTTCAATCTCAAAAAGTCGTTTTCGGTTTGTTGACGTTTCCACCTTGGTTGCCAAATCTCCTTTCTTTCTCTTCGTAGTTACGCTCGAGGAATTCCTTTCATAAAATGTTTACTAATACGCCTGTTGGAGGAAAACGGGAGAGATATAATGGCGCTCATCCAGCATGGTCCCGACTAGGTACAAACACAGAACAAATCCATCAAAATACTACAGACATGGCTGCTAAAATGCATAAACTTCGATACACCCAACTTCGCTCTCCCCCTACCCGTGTGTCCGTTGAGACCATGTCATCAAACCAAACAGCTCCTGCTCCTGCATTCGGTCTTGACGTCCCATATAATCAAGAATACATCAACGAAGCTTCCGAAAATGAAGAATTTGAACGTGCTATTAGAAGTGACCCATCCACCGCGTCGAACGCCTCTTACTCTTCTGAAGAAAACGAAGATGGTATAGAGGATACAAGTATAGCAGACACTGAAGATAATGAAGAGGTTTCAGACTTGGATGAAGACTCTTATAAAGCTTATTCAAAACGTCCTTCCGCTAATCGTCGAAAAAAACAAATCAAGCATTTTTTCAACCAAAGTTCTTGGTTACCTTTTGAATCCTACAAGCCATTCGCCTGGTTTTTCCTTGCTTTATTTCTCACCTTAATCATTATAGGAATCCTTCACAAGGCCCCAGGAATTTCGTTTGGTAAAGACGATTCCATATATCCACCGATCGTCCAACCTTCCCCTCCCAGCCCAACTGATTTAGGCAAGCCATTCGAAACTTTTGAACCAGCAAAAGAACCAGCAAAAGAAAAACCAAAAAATGAAAATGAACCAGAATCTTCCACTCACTTCTTGACAAAGGAAGAATTTCACAATATTATTCACACTAAAATAAATGAATTGAAGACTCAATTAGAAAAGGAAATACTATCGTTTAAATCTTCCGAGTTGGCAGCCATTACACTTAACGATGAGTGGAAACACTTCATCCAAACGACTGTCGAAAATTATATCGGCGACCCTGTCTCGCTTCCCAACTTTGCTCTTTTGTCAACAGGCGCAGATGTATTATCATTTCTAACAACCAAAAGTTATGTTAAAAGACCTTCTTCTTTTCTTCCAAAGGCAGCCTCTTATTTATTCGACTCCTTAACAATTCGTGGTCATGAACCAAATATGGCATTGCAATCCACAAATGGTGTCGCGATGTGCTGGAGCTTCCAAGGATCAGAGGGACAGTTGGGAATCTCGCTTTCTCGCCCCGTGCACGTCACAAACGTTACTGTCGAACATGTGAATCAAAAGGTCGCGCACGATCTTTCCAGTGCTCCTAAAGAAATTGAGGTTTGGGGTCAAGATATCCGTCACAACGGAAAAAAAGGATTCTCTTACTTGGGCAACTTGATGTATAACATTGAAGATGAGCCAATTCAAACTTTCCCTATTCATGTTTCATCAAAGTATCCAACAAAAAGCGTCATCTTCAAAATAAAAAGCAATTGGGGAAATCCCGAATATACTTGCTTATACCAAGTTCGTGTTCATGGTACGGTTCCAAGACGAGAAACAATGGCCAACTTACAGCATGATGAGATCTCTCATTCTGAAGAAGGCGTTTCGCACCAAGAATCACTGTCATAAGTCGATTTTAAACATTCTAAACATATTCATCCCTTAATCAACCATAGGCTTAAAATCGTAGAATAATGTTTCTCGTTTTCTATTCTCTTCGTCAGCTTCCTCTAAAGTCAAGATCTGTTCTATAATATCGGGCGGATCCAATTCAAATCGCTTAGCACGTCGCCAGCGTTCAAGCCGAGTCATCCCCAAGTAAGGTCCATATTTGGCAGACATGTCAAAATGATGCAGGACTAGTTGCACTTTACTCATATCTTCTTCATGGACAGGTTTACTCATACGTTCCGATAATATGTCTTTATAGGCCTTGTCAAGAGATTTGGACAATTCAGGATCATTCTCAATTCGTTCTTCTAAGCTCAATATCTTTGCGCTTTCTTTCTTTGCTCCTTTTTCTGTAACAGTCGATTTCGCATTTTTTCCCGTCGCTGAGCTTTTCCCAGTTCCTCGTACGATTTTGGGAAATGCGTCTTGTACAGTTCTTTTCGAAGCCGAATTTTTAGTCACTTTCGAACTCTTCTTCATTGGTGATGACAGGTTTTTTGAAACTAAGACTTACACTCGATCAAACTCTCAGCTGTTTTATTTATTTTCTTTAAATCTTTTCTTTTAGAGGTGTTTTTTTCTTTTAAGATTTTTATTAATTGAAAACAGTGAAGATATGCTAATATTTTCTGTCTTTAATACTTTCCTTTGTATCTCTTATGCATAGAACACCAGGGTCTGATGCGTCACGCTGACGAGAATCCAATTGCGGCTGCCAGCCATTCTTTTGTTCAAAGCTTCAACAGTTTGATAAAATTGGATCGCTATAATTCTATTCTATTTTAAAAGTATATTTATTTTTCTTTCTTTTGGATGGCATATTCTTTGTCTCAGATAATTTATGTTCTTACATCATCATCACTTTCTTAATCATAGTAAACTAACTATAAAAGTATTAATTACAAGATTATATATACCCTGAAGGATCAACAAAGATATAATACGCTTCGATATGTTCCTGTGAACCAAACATGTAAAGTAGGAATACGTTTTCAATAATCTATAAAAAGATTTACATGAGAATCGACCATAATCTAATTCATATAGCGAAACTTATTAATCAAAGGGTAAAAACAACAAGAAGGTCCTGTCCATATACAACCTAAAATAAGTAATTTAATTTCTTAGGCCTTTTGAGTTTCTTTTATTTTTTACAGCAGTTAAACGAATCGTAACCTACTACGCTATACTAGGTAACACTTTCAAGTCACGTTGGAAGAAGTCCACAGACTGCAAATGCTTCTTCATCAACTACAAAAGAGTATTCGAGCCCGTTTGTAGGGGAACTTGAATCGTGATAGAATGTTTCAAGCACCTAGAGAATCCACTCTCTGTATGTACTATAGCTTACTCAAAATATCTTGCTAACTGAATTCTAGTTTTGAGTGGTGAAAAAGTTAGCGGTGAGGATGTCCGCAATCAAAATGGTAAGAATTGCCAGCTTATTTTTAGCATACAAGTTACTTACAATGTTAGTTTTGGCTACGACTGCAATTGCCAATATCGTGAAGTCTTCCCTTGGCCCTGTTGGTTTGGATAAGATGCTAGTGGATGATATTGGTGTAAGTTAGTTATATTTTCAAAAAGGATTGTTGCCCGATCAAGGAATGAGAGAAATTGACTTCCGGCGGTATCTATACAGTCTGCATCACGAAAAAAAATTTATCCTTACGGGATGTCAACTAACGCTATTAGGATGTAACCGTCACCAATGATGGAGCTACCATTTTATCATTGCTAGATGTCGAACATCCTGCCGGTAAAGTTTTGGTAGAGTTGGCTCAACAGCAAGACAAAGAAGTTGGTGATGGTACCACTAGTGTTGTGATCATCGCTGCTGAGCTTTTGAGACGCGCTAATGAACTTGTGAAAAATAAAATTCACCCGACTACCATCATTACAGGATACCGTTTAGCCATCCGTGAAGCCGTAAAGTTTATGAACGATGTTTTGAGCTCCAGTGTTGATACCTTAGGAAAAGAAAGTTTGATAAACGTTGCAAAAACTAGTATGTCTTCAAAGGTCATTGGTAATGATTCCGACTTTTTCTCGGCAATGGCTGTTGATGCCATGCTTTCTGTAAAAAGCATAAATCCTAAAGGAGAAACTCGTTATCCTGTTAAGGCCGTTAACATCTTGAAGGCTCATGGTAGAAGCTCTCGTGAATCTGTTTTGGTCAAAGGATATGCATTGAACTGCACTGTTGCGAGTCAAGCAATGAAAACAAGAATTCCAAATGCAAAGATTGCTATTTTGGACATGGATTTACAGAGAACTCGTATGGCATTAGGTGTCCATATCACCATTGACGATCCTGATCAATTAGAAAAGATTCGCGAACGTGAAGTTATGATTATCTTGGAACGCATCAAGAAAATTCTCAACTCTGGTGCTAATGTCATATTAACGACAAAGGGAATAGACGACTTATGCCTGAAGACCTTCATAGAAGCCGGTGCTATGGCTGTCCGCAGATGCAAGCGTGAAGATTTGAGACGCATTGCAAAGGCAAGTGGTGCTACTATGTTAAGTTCCTTGTCCAATCTCGAAGGTGACGAAGTATTTGAAAGCTCCAATTTGGGTTACGCTGAAGAAGTTGTCCAAGAAAAGTTTTCCGACGATGAATGTATATTGGTCAAAGGTACTAAAGCTTATTCTTCAGCTTCTTTAGTTTTACGTGGTCCTAATGAGTTCACTTTGGACGAAATGGAACGTTCATTACATGATTCTCTTTCAGTTGTCAAACGTACTTTAGAGAGCGGTGCTGTTGTTCCCGGCGGTGGTGCTGTTGAAAGTGCACTTAGCATATATTTAGAAAACTTTGCTACTTCACTTGGTTCTCGTGAACAATTAGCAATTGCTGAGTTTGCTCAAGCCTTATTAATTATTCCTAGAACCCTTGCTGTAAATGCTGCGAAGGACTCCACTGAACTCACAGCAAAACTTCGTGCTTATCATGCTGCAAGCCAGAATGCTGAGGTAACAGACACAAAGAAGCGTGGCTATAAGAATTATGGTCTTGATTTGTTGAACGGTGTTATACGGGATAATATAAAGGCTGGTGTTTTGGAACCTTCTATGTCTAAGTTAAAGAGTCTGAAAAGTGCGGTTGAAGCTTGCATTGCCATCTTACGAATTGATACAAGTATAAAATTGGATCCTGAGCAACAACCTGAAGATCCTCATGCCGGTATGCATTAATTTTGACATAATTAGTGTGATGTTTGACTTCTTGCATTTGACCCCTTTAAAAGGTTATGATTACAAGGCTTAAATAGGAGACTTTAAAATATATAAAATTTTCCAAAACTAATTTAAAGTAAAGGTAACTATTCATAATGGATGAAAGATCGTGAGACATTATTCATCAAATATGTTATTGCACTATGCGAAGTCAAAAAGGGAGGAGGCATCATTTCATTATTTTATTAAGACAACAAAATTAAAATAAAATATTACAGCGAACTTTTTATCATGTCAGGTAGAAAATATTACGCTTTAACAGATGTTGAATCATCATGGCTGAAGTAAGAAAAACCGCGGAATTCCTCCTGCATTTTATCGGTCAAAACTGATTGGACTGGCGTCAAAACAGGTAATTCTCTAGTAAATTCTTCATCAAAATATTTGGTATCCGTCTGTGAATCAAGTTGAGGGATATAAGGTGGTTGGGTTTGTTTATGATAAATATCATCCCAATTAATGTTATTAAAGAAGGGATGGGCCATAACGTCTTCTGCATCATTCTCACCGGACCCGAGACGCTTCGTAGGATCTCGCGTGAGCAGCTTTTGCAAAATAGAAACAGAATCTCTAGGCATATGGATTGGATATAAAGGTTCATCAGACAAAATAGCATCAAAAATTTCTTCTTCATCGTCTCCTCTAAATGGGGATTGACCAAGAAGCATTTGATATATGAGTACACCAAATGCCCACCAGTCCACGCTGCGAGTATAGTTTTGTTCCAACAGAATTTCAGGAGCCATAAATTCAGGCGTACCACAAAATGTAGCCGTTGTGTTGTTGAACCACATATCTTCCTTGCAAAGTCCGTAATCTGCTACCTTAATATGACCATCAGGACTTAACAAAATGTTATCCAACTTCAAATCTCGATAGACGATGCCATTATCATGGAAATATTTTAATGCCAAACATACTTCTGCAGCATAAAATTGAGCACGACGTCTAGAAAACTGTTGTTGTTGAATGTGTAACATTAAATCACCACCACTAACAAAATCCATTACAAAATATATTCTTGTCTCTGTTTGGAAACAAGAGTGAAGGTTTACTAAAAATGGATGGCGCTCACGGTTAGCCACAAGGAAAACACGTTTTTCAGATTTGGTACTTTCAACTTCATCATTTTCAAGAATAAACTTTTTCTTCAACACCTTGATTGCGTACAATTCCTTGTTGCTTTTGTATTCGGCGAGCATAACCTTTCCGAAATTTCCTTTTCCTAAGACAGTCAAAAAGTTGAAATCTTCCAAGCCAATTCTTTTTTGTTTTCCATCAGGAGTCACATCAGGGACAGAAGCGTCGCGAGAAGAGACTATAGTGTTCACACCCTTCACAGGGACCTCTTCTTCCTTTTTATTACCTTTTTCTTTAATATCTGATTCATCGGGAACTTGTTCTTTTGTATCCTTTTTACCTATTAGCTCTATTGCACCAGCCTGGACCGGCTTTCTTTTTATCGGTTCAATTGAAAACTTCTGAGATGTAGGGGTAGGAGGAGATTCATTTACCGTACTCACCTGGGAAGGTTGACTAGCTTTGTCTTCAGAAAATGCTGTCTTTGAAGTAGGTGCAAGATTGTTAGGCTTCTTATTAAGATTAGTCGCTTTTTGTTTAGTAGTACGGATTTCAGAAAGGACACGATTAGCCATTTCCATTGACATTCCACAAAAGTCAGGAACAAGATGGACACACTGAGCATGTGCTGTAATCCCGCATTCTGTGCATTTTCTAGCATTTTTACGACCGAAAGGTAGAATATAACCACAATGACAGCACCAATTTGCTCCAATATTAGTATGAGATTCAAAATGGTGTGGTATCCTGTGATTAATTTTCTCATACTCACTTGAAAATGAGTCACTAGACTTAGAAATGCACTTCGTTACAACCTTGGAATAACATTTTCTATGGCATGTGTAAAGACAATCTTTACATTGCATACCTACGGCACTTTTCAAAAATTCACCACATAAAGCACAGCGCATAATTTGATAAAATTGGTGTTGTAAGAAACGGTGTCCGTAAACCTCATGCACGCTCTCTTTGCGTTGACGAATTGCACCTTGTCGACCTAGGCCTGCATCGAAAGGACGTTTTCGAACATTGTTTTTCGTAAAATTCATGGTCAAATGAATTTGACCCAAAGGCTCCAAAGAAAACCAAGCATTTACAGTAGAATTTCCTTCAGGAGATTTTGAAACGGCATCCTCTGGCTTAGACGAAGATAATGATGACGGTAAAAACATGGATAACCTTTGATTCTGCATATGATCTGCGCTAACCCAACCTTTGTCGGATACTTCTTGCTCAACTTTTTTACGACGTTGTTTTTCAACCAAATCTGATAGACGGACCCATAGCAATGCAACAGGTAGTAATACTTTCTCATTCTTTTTTTCATAAACAATAATCTCCACTTCGTTAGTTTTTTCGAGATTTATTTCGAAGTTGTCATAAAATTTACCAGCACGACTACTTCTCGTCCTCGCGCGCTCAAGGTCTTCAGCACGAATGACTACAATTGTCTCCGTGTGTTTAGATAATCCAGCAGAATGAGAAACATTTCGTATGGAATGCACACCTATTTTGAGTAAGCCGGATTGAGGTCGTCGAGCATTCAGGTTTAATCGACTTTCATTTGTGGGGACATCATCTTCATCAATCTCAATATGTAAGTCATGGTAACGTTTTAATGAATGTCGAAGTAAACTGATTTTTTGAGCACTTTCTTCATACTTCTTTTCAGCCTCTGCAATGCTTCGCCGATCGTGCTCTCGTTCGTATAATTTTGCCATTTTTTCAATACCTCTTCGATATTGTTCCTCAACCGAAAGCTTGAATTCCAACTGTTGCAACAGAAACGAGATTTTGTTAATCGTCAAAGGTGCATCATAGTTCAACAAATCCAAATTGGAGTCAACATTAGATAGACTTGAAGATACACTTTTAGATGATTTTGGATTAGAATATTGAGGTTTCAGCGTCTGTTCTGAGGATCCCTTCGAAGTGACGCTCCCTGACTTTCGAAGTTGCAGTTTTCCGAGACGTTCTTCAAGATAAATTATGCTCTTTTTTGCTTCCTCAATATTGCTATGAAGCTGTTGATGAACCACCGGATTTTGCGTCAAACGTTTCATCGAAAGGGCTCCATGAATCACCGATCTTTCCCTCTCAATTTTTCTGTTGACTTCCGTAATTGCTTCATCCAGCATATCCATGGTCGTCGCACCCTTCTTTCTTGTAATTACTGTTTTTTGAGGGTATTATTCCACTTCTTAATGTCCCTATAGGAGTGCACCTATTGTTGGTTGTCGGTGAATGAGCGACCTTTGACTAGTAGCACAATATGTAAAACCCACACTACCACTGTAAGTTTGTTATTTAGTTATATAAAGAACATTAATTGATAGTGCTTCATCTAGTTAAATTGAAATATATTATTTTTTTTCATAAATGAATTAATAATTACGCCCTTAGTTAGAGAGCCGTTTAGCATTCGCCAAGTAAAGTCTACAGCTTTAAGCGACCAGATACTAATCGTAAAAGTTGGATCTCAAGACATCGTACTTTCAAATTTTGAAAAAGCCTTTTGGGTAAACCAGCTAGGAACTCCTAAAAAGAATCTACTTATTCCTTTCTCGTTATTCATTCTAGACTTTTAAAAAAACCTCAATCATCGACAATACGTTAAAAGTGCCATACGAAATATCAATCCATTCATGGTACTTGTTTTCGCACGCCTGTATATCAATCCTTGCAATTATTGAGTAGTGTTTTATTTGTAGCTAATTAAAGGATTGAATAATGGCAACTGAGGATTCATCATGGACAGTCAAACGTACGTGCTTTATGACTTACGATTTTAACACAGTTCAGAATGCATTCAGGTCTTCCGTGAGTTTTGTAAGTGATAACTACTTTTTTTTAGGAATCTAATCAAGAATTCAGTAATTGTCTGTATTCATTGCATACTATGCAATCGTCACTTATACCCAGAAAGTAAGACAGCTTAACGTATATTAAAAGCATTGATTATTTACAGAATTAGGCCTTTTTATCAAATCTAGAAAGTATAACACTGTTGTTTGGCAATCCCGCCATCCGATACTATGCAATTACATTAAAGACGCTGTTGAGGCCTGCACTCAAGAATTGCAAGAGGTATAATATTCCATGACCTTTATTAATTTTTTGTTGATAAAGCTTCTGACCTAGTAGGGAGCAGTGGAATGTATATATCTCTCTATTGTATCGAAAGATCAGGTGGAACTGGAACGTTACATATTCTCAGCTTATTCAATTCCAAGAATCCCAGACTTTCTATTGGAAAAACCGTAAGGATAGAATTAATAATTGTAAAATTCCCTTTCTGACCTAGTCATCAGCGTATCTCCAAGGATGCCATACTCTGATTCTTTTGTAGAATCTCTAAGAGCAGCAATGATCCGAATTCAAAATACTACACGTTCTTTACGAAATCTCCCTGAAGGTAAAGTTACTTTTATTTTTTTTTAGAAGTTATTTCTGACATTTTTAAGATTGCTCATGGTCGATTCGGCTCACCTTGAAAGAAAACGACACTAGACCCAGAGCTTGGGAAAACTGGTATTTATCAGAAAATACTCCGGAATCCAATTTGGAAAGAAGATACAGAAATCTTACAATACCTTTAAGAAACATTTCTATTGGGCCAATGGATTCTGAAATATGGCTTGAATCACACCCTGACGCATAAAAGAGTGGGAAATATTAAGCTGACTACATAACTGCAATAGGTTAAGGATTTTAATTATGCTTGATGAACTTATTATATATGCGTATACTAATTAAATGCAGTAAGTTTCTTGGTAAGCAGTTTTTCTAGGCCGATTAAAACCATTATGATAGTATAAATTTATTTAAGTTATGTATACTCTAAAATTTTCTATAGACGTGCCTATTTTACTTTTATTCATCCAAAATCATAAAAAATAACGTGAACAATTTCTAAATTTCTATGGAATTATTACGAATTTGTTTTTGGTCGATGCCAGTTGATTTCTTCTTTATTTATCAAATAAATAAATTGTTGTTTATTAAGGAGATCTGATTGTCTGTTCATTAATTCCTACAACGAATACTAACAAGGGCCGGTAAGTTAGTTAGTATGAATAACCATCTCATTGATTCGAAAAAATAAATGGTTACTACACAGGGAAGTAAATATACCTATTTATTTTAAAAACGGAAGTATTTAATTAATCAATTAAAGGATTGAAACCTACTAAGCTATCGTTCATGTCCTCTAGAGCACCGATTCCATCTCTTGAAGAGATTGTTAAAAACAAAAGGACTCGCGAAGAACGAGAATCCAAACCAAAGTTTTTATCTAAAGCTGAGAGAACACGTTTAGCACTTGAGCGAAGGAAAAAAGAAGTAGAGCAAGCTAAAAGCAGACAATCCACCGAGTTGTCAGACTTGAAGAATGGAATAATTAATCAGTACGAAGAAGGGGCAAACGGTCTTGGGTCTGAAACTAAACTGGATAATCCAAAGTCGGTAACACCAGTAAGTAATGAAAGCAACTATGAAAATACCGCAGATGAAAGTTTCGCTGCTGCTGTTCGACAAAGATACATGGGAATTCAACCCCGACCTCAAAAGAAACGACGAAGAAATGCAGACAAAAAATTTGTTTTTGATTGGGATGCGACGGACGATACAATGAAGGATGCGGATTTCTTGGTTTCACCTGAATCAACGATTGCTGTGTTCGGTAGAGGCAAACTAGGAGGTTTTGACGAGAAATCTATAGAGAGCGTAAAAGAAAGATCAGGATTAATTCAACGATTATTACAAGGATCAGATGAAGACAAAAAAAGAGCGCATGAACTCTTGCACCTACACGAAAGAAAGTCCCGCAAGGTTGACTGGGATGATGTTCCTTGGAGAGAAAAACCTTTGGAAGCTATGAAGCCTCGTGATTGGAGAATTTTAAGAGAAGACTACAACATTTCCATGAAAGGAGATGATGTTCCGAATCCTTTGAGGAACTGGGAAGAAGCCAACTTACCCAGTGAACTGATGAGTGTTTTAAGGAAAAATAATTATAAAGAACCAAGTTCTATTCAGCGTGCATCAATTCCTGTTTTATCGCAGGGAAAAGATTTGATTGGAATTGCTGAAACTGGTAGTGGTAAAACAGCAGCTTTCATGATACCTCTGATACAAGCCATTCTGAAATACCCTCCTTTAGATGAAAGAAATCTTCATCTTGGACCGTATGCGATCGTATTAGCACCAACACGTGAGTTGGCACAACAAATTCAAGCTGAAGGCAATAAATTTGCCGAACCTCTTGGTTTTCGCTGCGTTTCTGTTGTTGGTGGTCATGCTTTTGAAGAACAATCTTTTCAGTTGAGTCAAGGAGCTCATATTGTTGTTGCTACTCCTGGACGTCTAGTTGATTGTCTTGATCGAAGAGTTTTTGTTTTAAGTCAATGTTCTTATGTCGTTATGGATGAGGCTGATCGGATGTTAGACATGGGTTTCGAAGAAGATGTGAACAAAATTTTGGAATCTCTTCCTTCCTCAAATAGTTCCGATAAAAATGCTATCATACCTGCTAGTGAGGGTCAGCCTTCCTCAATGCGTCGAACCCTGATGTTCAGTGCTACATTACCTCCGAGGGTTGCAAACCTCGCACAACGATATTTAAATAATCCGACGCTACTGACTATTGGTAGTATTGGACAAGCTGTTGACAGAGTTGAACAAATAGTTGAAATGGTTTCTGACGACTCTAAGCGCATGAAACGTCTTGAAGAGCTTCTTGAATCCGGTAGGTTTGCTCCTCCTATCATCGTTTTTGTAAATTTGAAAAGAAACATTGAAGCCATTTCAAAACAGCTGAATACATTAGGTTGGCGTGCTGTTACACTTCATGGAAGTAAAAATCAGGAACAAAGAGAAAAAGCTATTGAACAACTGCGTGGCGGAACAGCTGATATTTTGGTTGCTACTGATATCGCTGGTCGTGGTATTGATATACCTAACGTATCTTTGGTACTTAACTATAATATGGCCAAAAGCATTGAGGATTACACCCACAGAATTGGCCGTACAGGCCGTGCTGGTAAGTCTGGTGTTGCGATCACCTTTTTGGGCTCCGAGGATGAAGATGTCTTTTACGACCTTAGGGTAATGCTGTCAAAAAGTGCTAAAGCACGTATCCCGGATGAACTGAAAAATAATGAATTGGCCTTCTCGAGACACGCTCCTATCACCCAATAGTTTTTATTTTCTGCAAGTTACTTTTGGGGGTCTGTATATTATTTATTTTGAAATTACATAGTAATGAATAGAAGGGCTTTGGAATTAAGCAAGCAGATAATTTGCTCAACCAACTTAATCTTTTCACTAGTATCTACTTTACAACCTAATGCTTGAAACCGTATTTAAAATAATAAATAAAAGAATTATAGTTCCAAGCTCTAAACGAAAGAATGTATGTTTACCTAAAAATACCGTTACTAGTACTTCATTGCAGTCCCAAAAGACTTTTTGAATTTTCGTATACCAAGTACGAAATTGCCACGCTAGGAGCGACTTTGAGCAAATTAGGTGCCAGACCCTTGTATAGAGCTCTAAAGCCTTCTTTCTTGGTGGTCTTTAAGAAACAATCAGCGAAGCCTGTATATGAAGCACGATGACCAGGAGTGCCTTGGGTCTGAAGTCGTGTACGTATTACGTTTAAAGGAAAAACTAAAGTAGCACCTATGCTACCGGAAAGAGCACCGAAAACCATGACCAACCCGTTAGGCAGCTTTACATCTTGAGGATCAATGTTGTCTTTATTTGAAAGTATACCAATCCAAGTCTTCTTCAAACCTTCGAAGGTACCTAAATCTGTGGCACTGTAGGGAAACATACCCAGTACCCCAATCAGTATTCCCCGATAGTAACCTCGTACACCGTGGGATTTATACAACTGTTTTATATTATCAAAGACAACACTACGTCCTGCCTTTTGGGTATTATAGTCACTGCATTGGATTCGGAATTTTAACGTATCGACTGGATAAATAAAAAACTGAGCAACCGTTCCGGCGAACCCACCTGCTAGATATGAATAGAGGGGATTATGTTCTTGAGTACTAGAAACACCAAAGAGGGTTTTCATAGCCTCATATGATCCAAATTTTATTGATGATTCTGGCATAACCTTTAAGACGTTGATGCCATTCCCTACAAAAAAGCCTCGAATTCCGCTTCGACTGTAAAGACTCTTAGTGGTGTGTAATAATGTAGAGAACGGATACTTAGAAGATGGCTTTGAACATGTATCAGAAATTAACATTACTTTTAAACGATCCAAGGGAGCTGTGCATGTACGAGACACGATACCTGCAATCCCACCGCTAAAAAAGTAACCAATTCCATTCATAACATCATGGCTCAACAAAAAGTCACCATCCGGGAGATTTTGCAACCGATGGAACAGAAGTTTCATATGTGGGGTATCATGCATCCAACTCTGTGGAATTATGAGGTTTTTATGATTATCATGATGAGAGGCGTGCAGTTTCCAATATCCATGTTTCGGATAATAAGTTTGCTGCTGCTTTTGAATCAATTTAATACCATGAATTGCTCGTTTCTATAATGGAGTTACAATTAGAAATAGTTCCATTCTAACTAACTTACCAGCTCTGTTTCGTCTAAAAAGGATTGACAATACAAATCTTTACATTTCAGCAAAACGTTTACAAAATTAGGATCATGAAGCTTTCCTGGGTAAACATTATCTTTTAAAGTATTCAATCCACATGGAAGAGGACTTTGTAAAGGATTTTCAATTGTTTCTATTCGCATCCTTCCATGTCGATTTTTCGTGTGTATTATTGGAGAGTGGTAGTTAGAAGAAGTTTGCTTATACCACTTCACCAGTAACAGCTTGGGACAAAAATTGTCATTACAGATGAAATAGTTTTCTAGCTATAGTCTTAATTGTATACGAAAATTATTTGAAGGCAAGATTTATGTTTGGCATATATGTCAGGTAATTATTGGTCTTCTAGTCAATTGTAAGTTATTATCTGAATTGTGTTTGCGTTTGTTTTTCTTTTTTTTTTCTTTATATATATATATATATATATATATATATATATATTTTCCTTTCATATCGAGAAGAAGGTTTGAGCTTGGTTTGTTTGCGGATTTTGAAGCGTACGCGCTGGGAACGAGGGGAAGAATCTCCTTGAAAGCATCTTCCTTCTGACCTATAAAAGATCTTTCTTGTTCTTTATTTATTGTAGAACAGAGAAACGCTGCTCTCGTTGAAGTAGTTTACGAAACGAATGTTCGGTGCGTGGATATTCTTGCTGGCTTTCTTGGCTATAAACCTTTTCTTTTCTAAATCTAACAGTCTACAATTTGCTAACCTTTAAGGATACAATTCTACTTGCCAGCGAAGCCAAAGTTGTCAGAGACCAATGCATTTAGCGAAGAATCGACTTTACATTGGGAACGTAAGTTTGAATTAATGGATCGTTATGTACAGGATTCCCTAACTATTTAAAGGAATTCAGGAGATTGGGGATAAAATCAAACTCCATCAAAGGGTTATGGCGACTGCTTCTGTCCTTTTAAAGCGATACCTTTCAAAGAGAAAAGGGAAAGTTGAGCATACTTTGGAACAACATGTTTCGGCTTGTGTGTACTTAGCTTGCAAAGTAGAAGAGAGTCCAGTTCATATTCGGACAATCTGTAACGAAGCGAATGCACTTTGGAATTCTTCGCTACCAATAGACAGATCACAAGTAGCTGCTCTGGAGTTTGAAATAATTTCTGTTTTGGAAGCATATCTTATTGTTTATCATCCATATCCGACATTAGAAAAGATCTTTCGAGATGGGTTGATTACGAAAACTCAAATACAACTAGCATGGTAAGGCAAATTATAATGATTAGCACTAATTTTTTATAAGGAATATTGTGAACGATTCTTACGCGACTGATTTATGTCTTCTGGCTCATCCACACCAAATTGCCTATGCTGCTTTGATGCTTAGTTGTTGTGATGATGAAGGCACGATGAATCGACTGGTAGACCTATTTAAGACGTCTGATCCCTTGAAGATTGTACTATGTATACAAGCTCTACTATCCTTTTATAACCAGGATGAAAGGGACTGAAATTTGAAGCATACATGGGTATGTACATGGTGGTATATCTAAACAATTGTTTAATATTCCAATTGTCCTTTAGCACCGGAAAGAAATTAATTGACATCCTTTTACGTCGAAACAGACTTTGCTTTACATTTAGCACTGGCACGCAGATTACATTCTACGGATACGATTGAGCACTACACGACAGTTAAAAGATGCCTTTTCATGATTGAGAATCCGTTCAACGAGCGAAAATGAAAAGTAGTCGAATGAGAAAAAAAAAAGGATAATCATTGAACAATGAAATGAGATATTCCCCCTTTTTTTTTTTTTTTTTTTTTTTTATATTTTGTTATTTAGAAAAAAGAATACTTCTCATGTAACGTGATATGGATAAGGACATGGACAAACAAGTTTTTATTTTGGTTCAAAAAGGATTATGAGGTTTCATATTTTGCGAGAAGGCCATTGATTGCGCGAATGTCTGCACCAACGATACGGTCTAATTCTTGACCCTTTTTAAATAAAACCACGGTAGGAAGTGCATAGACCTCATTTTTTTGAGCAAGTTCGGTGTACTTATCGGCATCTACTGCAATAAAAGAGGATTTCGAATGGCTGTTGCTCAACTTTTCCAATAAAGGGCTAAGAAACTTACAGGGTCCACACCAGTCAGCATAAAAATCTACGACAGTGACTTTGTCAGCGCTAGAAAAAATGAGTTAATACATTGTGAAATTGATAAAATGACCTACTTGACTCTTTGGGCATAGTCCTCCAGTGACTTGACATGTTGAACTTGTTTCATGACTGAAGAAGTCTGAAATGTTCTATGGGCTAAACCAGTCTTGACATGGTTGAATGAACGAAGTCCTCTGGAAAAGCGGTAAAAGGAATTCATTTTATGGGAACGAATGCTACAAAATCGGAAACAACTGTACGTTGGTCAAGGAAAACTGTAACATGCAGGAGCAGCCAACAGTGAAAAATAACGAATATACTCTTTAGGATGATATGTAATTTCGTAAAAAGGTTCTACACTCTCGTTAGACTCATGACTCGTGTGGACGAGGGGTTTACGTTTTTGTTAACACTTTCATTCTATTTATTATTTCCTTCGTCTTTCTTTATAAAAGACTTTTTCATTAAACAAGTTCTCTTTCATCAAAAAAGAAAAGTGCCAAAAAATTATTGTAAAAACTATTGCAATTTAATCAAATCATATAATTATAAAGAAAAAAATAATTACTACCACTACTACTACTACTCAGGCTCTGCAACATCCCACTTATGTTCTCGGTTACCAACTAGTCAATCGTAGGCAAAGTGGGGGGATGTCCTAGCTTTTTTTCCTTCTTGGACTAAATCGAATGACCCCCACAAGGTACGATTTCCCATCAATTCAGTACAAAGAGCGTCAAGCTAAGGAAAAGGCTCTTTTGTTTCCTTGGGTGTTTGTTAGCTAGTGCAAGAAGAAGCAACAATGTATGCAGCACTATGTTCAAGGTCTCCTCCAGCCCAAGAGATATATGAAATGAAAATTACATCTAGACTAGAAAACTTTTATAGTACCGTTTATATAGAGATAATAAAATCACTCAACGATCGACCCTTTATCATTTCCTGTCTTTGATCCTCTTCTTACCATAACCATACCATACCATGCCATACTTGACGAGCGACCGGAGGTGACCGAGTACGATAGCTCATTTAAACATCCATGTAAACGGGTGATCCTCGTTCTTGATTAGAATTGTACTAACATTCGTTGAAACATCAGTCAAGACTTTGGCTATTCTTTCCTTAAATTTTCACCCAATTAGCTAGTTCTGGGACTTTTCCAATATCGGCTTTCTCAATTCCTTCACCATACCTAGACGAATAGATTTTTTTCTTTACAATGCTTATGCCGATTTCTCTCACAACACTACCGTCCATTGTTTTCAAAAGGAAGGGAAATTCTCGTTAAAAGAATATAACGTGCTGAAACCCAGGTTAGTACCTTTGTTGATTATGAAGCGAACATCCTTACGTCAGTATGTTTTTGTGGAGGAGCCACTAAAATGAGTCAGTTGCGTCTGCGTTTACTCGAGACATCCATTCAGTTTCAGTCTTTTTTATGCGTCTTATTTCATTGGATCGGTAATCGATGATTTGTCCATGTTGAACCCTATTTGGAAGTGAAACAGAATGATAGCTGAAACCCGTTTTTCAAAACTTTTAAGAGCAAATATTGACTTGCAAGTTCTTCTTCTTTTCACTTGTATTTCACCTTGTCTTTATTTTGGTACCTTGCGGCTTGTTTCCTTCGCCCCGTTATACTACTAGCTTTTCTTTTACCTATAACCCATTGCATCGGGTTCATTGCTTGCATCATCTTGGGATAGTGAAACCCTGTTGGATCGTCCTTCGTGAGAGTACTAAGTGTTACCTGCATATTGTTTCCTGCTACCTCATTCGCGTGCGTGTGTATACATATCGCCGGTCTTGTCGTTACTCCCGTCATTATAATAAGTTGGTTAAGGATTATCAACCTTTCCTTTACAAACCCCAAATTAGGATCCAAGTTGTTTCTTTGAGGGTGAATCCACTTTTCTGTGCTGGAAAACGTATTCGTCCTTTCTATTTTTAAACTTGGTATGTTTTTACTTCCTAGACAGTTTATCATTGATTCTTTGTGGTCTTTTTCGTTGGGTTCATGACTTTTCAATGGATTTTTAATGGTTTCTCTATGAATTCAACCGTTAATGGATATAAAAATTGAAACGTCAGCTTAGGTGGTTGTTGGAAACGGTGTACTTGCTTGTTCTTTCGAGTAGTTTGTTTCATAAGACTACTTCCTTTGCTTAAATTCGAATTCCGTATGCCGTGCTTGCTTCCTTCTGGAAATGTAGATAGTTCTATTTTCTTTTGGGAAAGCAAAGCCACCCAACACAATTTCTATTGAACAATGATAGCCTTAGGATTCTGATTCTACTCATACAATTCCATTTTTAAATTCCTTGTCTTACTAACATTTTTTCCTCTAGATCGATAGTATTCAACCTTTTTCCTTCTCTTTGCGGTTCAGTCCATTTCCTATTCAGCAAAGCGTCGACTGAATGGTTCCACGGGACTTTCTATCATTTTAAATCGAATCCTCTATATGAACTCCCCCCCTTGTTAATCTTTCTCACGTTTCTTTTAAGTATTCGTATTTGATTGATACATTCTTGTTTGCATCCTCTACATACAATTCTGTATCTGTTGCTTATTTAAATTTCCTTGCATCTTATTCAATTTGGATTATTTCTTCAAACGTAACGATCTCTAAGTACGTCTGTCTCTTTCAAATTTGATCTTAAACCCCTCTCATATTTCGGTTTTCCTTTCCAGCTTTTTGTTTTTCTTCGTAGTGACCACTCTTTAAAGAAGTCATTAATTTCATCATGTTGCGTCTATCGAAGACCGTTCGTTATTCGAGGGCCTCTCAAAGACTTCGTCTTTCAAAGATTGGCTCTCTTCGCCCTTTTGCCTCTCAAGCCCCTACCGACACTTTCCTTACTGGAAGTGCTGCCGATTATGTTGATGAAATGTATGAAGCCTGGAAAAAGGACCCCAATAGTGTCCATGTTTCTTGGCAAGCATATTTCAAAAACGTAAAGTCCGGTAAATCTAATCCGTCGAATGCGTTTCAACCCGCTCCTTTATTAGATTATATGGGCGATTACAATGATGTCGATTCCGCTTTGGCTAACAACAAAAATATCGGCGACGTCGACGTCAGCGTCTATATGAAAGTTCAGCTCTTGGTTCGTGCTTATCAATCTAGAGGTCATCATGTTTCCAAAATTGATCCTTTGGGCATCAATGTAAATACACGACGCCCTTCTGAACTTACATTAGAACACTATGGATTTACCGATGCCGATTTGGATCGAGAGATCCGTCTCGGTCCTGGTATTCTCCCCAACTTCCGTGATGCTGGCTACGAATCCATGAAACTTCGTGACATTGTAGATGTCTGCGAGCGTATTTACTGTGGTAGCTTTGCTGTTGAGTATACCCATATTTCATCTCGTACTAGATCAAACTGGATTCAAGCTCACTTGGAAACACCAACTCCCTTCAAGTATAATCATGATGAAAAAATGATGATTTATGATCGTTTAAATTGGGCTCACAGCTTTGAACGCTTCCTTTCCACAAAATTCCCCAATGACAAGCGTTTCGGTTTGGAAGGTTGTGAATCTATGGTTCCTGGTATGAAAGCGTTAATTGATCGCTCGGTGGAACACGGTGTCAGCAACGTGGTTATTGGTATGGCTCACAGAGGTCGTCTTAATGTCCTTCACAATGTTGTTCGTAAGCCTGCCCAAGCTATTTTCTCTGAATTCCGTGGTACCCAAGACCCCGAAGATGAGGGCTCCGGTGATGTTAAATATCACCTTGGTATGAATTATCAACGTCCTACTCCTTCTGGTAAGCGTGTTAGTCTCTCTCTGGTTGCAAATCCTTCTCACTTGGAAGCTGAAGATCCTGTCGTGCTCGGAAAGGTGCGTGCTATTCAGCATTATACAAGTGATGAAGCTTCTCACGATCAATCTATGGGCGTTTTGCTTCACGGTGATGCCGCCTTTGCTGCTCAAGGTATCGTTTATGAGACTTTAGGATTACATTCTTTGCCTGGTTATAGTGTCGGTGGTACTATTCACATTGTTATTAACAACCAAATTGGATTTACTACTGACCCACGTTTTGCTCGCTCCACCCCTTATTGCACTGATATTGCTAAGACTATGGAAGCTCCCATTTTCCACGTCAATGGTGATGATGTTGAAGCCACTACATTCATCTGTCAATTGGCTGCTGAATGGCGTAAAACTTTCAAGACAGATGTTGTAATTGATATTGTTTGCTACAGAAGACACGGTCATAACGAAACCGATCAGCCTTCCTTTACTCAACCCCGTATGTACCAAACTATTTCTGAACACGAGCCTACTTTTAATAAGTACACTGAAAAGCTTTTAAATGAAAAGAGCATTACTCCTGAAGAAGTGGAAGCTCAAAAGAAGCGCATTTGGGAAATCTTAGAAAGTTCTTTTGAAAGCAGTAAGGATTACAAGCAGGACCAGAGCGAGTGGCTATCTAATCCTTGGGTTGGCTTTGCTTCTCATAAGGACTTGCAAAACAAGATTTTGCCATCTTATCCCACTGGTGTTGACATTCCCACTTTACAAAGATTAGGTAAATCCCTTTATGAAATGCCCGAGGGATTTGAGGCCCATCGTAACTTGAAACGTATTTTGAACAATCGTTTGAAGGCTGTTACATCTGGAAAGCAAATTGATATGCCCACTGCTGAGACCTTGGCCTTTGCCACACTTCTTGAGGAAGGCCATCACGTTCGTGTCAGTGGACAAGATGTTGAACGTGGTACATTTTCTCAGAGACACTCTGTTTTGCACGACCAAAAGTCTGAAAATGTTTACATTCCTCTCAACCATCTCAGCGATAAACAAGCTAGCTTTGTTATTCGTAACTCTTCTCTATCGGAGTATGGTGTTCTAGGCTTTGAATATGGTTATTCGTTATCTTCTCCTAATGCATTGGTTGTATGGGAAGCCCAATTCGGTGATTTCGCCAACAATGCCCAATGTATCATTGACCAATTCATTGCTGCCGGTGAAACTAAGTGGTTACAACGCAGTGGTATCGTACTTTCTTTGCCTCATGGATATGACGGTCAAGGTCCTGAACACTCTTCTGCTCGTATCGAGAGATATTTGCAATTGTGCAATGAGGATCCCCGTACTTTCCCCTCTGAAGATAAGTTGCAAAGACAACATCAAGATTGCAACATCCAGTGTATCTACGTTACAAAGCCTTCTCAATACTTCCATGCATTACGTCGCAACATCCACCGTCAATTCCGTAAGCCTTTGATTGTATTTTTCTCGAAGTCTTTGCTTCGTCATCCTGTCGCTCGCTCTGACATTGAAGAGTTTGAGGAGAATCGTGCCTTTAAGCTTATTCTCGAAGAAGAAGAGCATGGTACTAAGATTCAAGCACCCGAGAAGATTGATCGTCTCGTATTGTGCACTGGTCAAGTTTGGGTGGCCTTATCGAAGGCTCGTGAAGACAATAAGGTTGACAACGTTGCTTTCACTAGAATTGAGCAATTACATCCTTTCGGCTGGAAGCAAGTTGCTGAGAATATTTCTAAATATCCTAATCTCAAAGAAATTGTTTGGTGTCAAGAAGAGCCTTTGAATGCTGGTGCATGGTCTTACATGGAACCTCGTATCTACACAATTTTGGATCACCTTGGTCGTAAGCTTCCCGTTCGTTATGCCGGTCGTGCTCCCTCTGCTAGTGTTGCCACTGGTAACAAGCAACAGCACATCTTAGAATCTGAGCAACTCTTAAATGAGGCTCTATTATAAACGCTTATAAAACGGACAGGTCTATGAAATGAACTAGAGCTATGCTATTTGTTCATATACATCGTTTGACTGGCTATAATCTGTTAATGAAAAACTATATGAGATAGAGGAACACTGTTCCGTAGAAAATTTCATGAAATATTCTAATAAATCACGCCTTATCTAGATATAAGTCCTTGCTGTATTATTTTGCAAATCCACTTTGTAAATAAATAATAGTGCTGATTGATGGAAGTTTGGGATTTACCCGATGATTAAACTGCTACTAACGCAAAAGAAGTACGTACAACAACTTCATAGCGGAATGAATACTGATTATAGAATTGCACTTACCGACTTACGAAAGCAAAGATAAACCAAATTAAAAATCATTAAATTCATTAAACATAAACTTTTTAAGCAAGATAGATATATAAACGCACCAAAATTTTCCAACTTCAGTAATAATTCAAAAATCATGTTACTGGTTTATCCTTGTTCTCTTCCACCGCGACTGACTCCACATTATTGGGGTCGGTTTCAGTTATCTGTGGCTTGTAATTTACGTCCAGTACATTTCTGTGAGAAATATCAACTATCGCACTAGTAACGTCCACGTGGAAGAATGGGTTTTTCGTTGAAATGACAGGACAGTACTCCCTATGCGAGAAAGCGGATCGGAATTGGCTACCGCCATCCTTTTTGTCATCAGGATTAGAAACGGAATCCGAATCTTCTCCTTCATCAAACTCCTTAGCTGGTGTGTTATTTTCAATTGCTTCCTCTTCATCGAGTTCACGGCGCGGTCTATTCATTCTCACTGTACTTGGCATGTATAATTGGGAAGAATCAGTGACCATGGGGTTTTCGATGTCGCGCAATGGTGCAGCACTACCGACTTCAATTGACCGGCTCGTGTACTTGGTAGCGTCTCGAGGCTTTCCAAAACCAGCGGCAATCAAAGTCCGCTTAATCCAACCATTATTGATATCGGTAAAGTGAAACTCAACTTCATCATCAGCATAGTTTTCTAATTCTTTGCGAGTATCTACAAGAGATTGGACACCAGTTGTATCAATGTGGTTTACGGCACTAAAGTCAAGAATGATAGCTCGAAGAAGAGGTCGCTTATCTTCAATTTTAACACCTTTCTTTTGCTTTTTTGGTGGGGGATCATTCCAAGCTCTATCCTGTTTTTTCTTGACTTGAACGTTCTTTCCTCGCCTAGTGACATCTTTTGCTTTCGTGGTGAGCATTGAATTGACGTGTTGAGCATTTGGGTAAGTAAAGCTTTCCTGTAAGCGAAATATTAAAACTCCCAAAGGAGGATCTCGGATAACTAAATTAGGATTGACTCCTTTTTGATCGAGGGGTACATAGATATCACGGATAACACCAACATCGTCACCTACAAGACTCTTATTCGCTATTTTAAGGGTTCCCAAGAAAGAGCCTGAAGGCTTGGCAATTCGAAACAGCAATAAAGCAGCAGATAAGCAAACAGCTGTATAAATACCATTTTCAATAGACGAGAAAACAGACACAAGAACAGAAGCTAAAAAGATTAGAGCCTCGAGAGGCTGCATACGCCAAAAGAGAACCAATTGGCGCCAAGGAAGAATAAGATCAAAGACAGAATGAATAATTACAGCTGATAGGACAGCATTTGGAATATAGTAAAATGCTCCGGTAAGACAATACAAAGCTAGAATGACGACTGCTGCGGTAAAGATTCCAGCTAATGGAGTGCGCACACCAGATTTAGCTTTGATTGCAGAACGAGAAAAGGAACCAGTTGCTGGATATGCATTGAAAAATACACCAATTAAGTTGGTAACACCCATTGCAATTAGTTCTTGGTCGGGGATAACCTTGTAATCATTAACACGGCCAAAAGACTTTGCAATCGAAATATGCTCCAATAGTAAGACAATTACCGACACTGGTAATTCGGAAGCCATATCGGCACAAAGCTTTTTGCTTATTTTTGGAACACCAACATGTTGAAAACCTCTGGGAACGGAAAGTAAAATATTAATGGGGGGATTTTCTCGGCGACCTTTGCACACGCCGTAAGAAATAGCAGTACCTATGATAATAATAACAGCACTACGTAAAACATTAACCAAGAAGAAAACTCGCTGACCTCTTGGGTAACGACGAGTTAAAAACTGGCATGAATAACGAATTACATACAGAATGAACAAACTGACAAGTCCGAAAGCAGCATCTACCTTAGTATGAGGTAGGTTCTTTAGGGTACCAATGATAATTCGGTATGTTGCACCATGAGTACTGACAAGTTTTTTATAACCCATTAATGAGGGGACTTGTCCTGAAATAATATTAAGTGCAGAGCCAGTTGTGAAACCAGCGACAGCAGGAATGGGAATAAATTCAATAATAAAACCAAGACGCAACAAACCGATACCGCAGGTGACTGCACCTGCCAAAAGAGCTAGACAACTACCGATTTGAGGAGCTGAATATGTGGGATCCTTGGCAGAGACATTTTTAATAACTTCGGAAGTGACCAAACTCATGACAGCGACGGGACCAATTGAAACATCTTTGGAAGTGGCAAAGAAGCAATAAATGGCAACACCGACAAACGAAGAATAAAGGCCATACTCAGCAGGAAGACCGGCAACCTTAGCATAGGACATACCTTGGGGCACAACAATGCAGCCTACTGTTACACCAGCAATTACATCAAAAATTAGCCAATGAAAGTTGTAATTGGGAAGCCATTGAATAATGGGAAAAAGGGATTTCACATAGTTAAGCGAACGACTTCCAAGATTATCGGTAACGTGTGTGCGAAGCCAGTCGACCACGGTGGGAAGTTGTTCTTCATATTCGCCGTACGTGAGCTCGATATTTCTATCGTTGGAGGAGTAAGAGTAAGCGTTCTCATTTGGTTGGTTTAATACAGTATGACGAACCACACGAACAGTGGGGCCCTTTTTGCTGGATGGAGAAGGCTCTTCTTCGTCGGGACGAGCGGTTTCAGGAGGATAAGCAATTCCTGCGTGTAAAGGTTGAGCATTAGTATCTGGGTTGGGTATATGGCTTTGTGGGATATCCACGGGCTCAGTAAAATACTGACGAAGACGTGAAAGTAACTTCATAATTATATATTAAAATGAAAGGTGACCTGATTTTGTTTTGGTGGTAAGAAGGGGGGGAGTAGAATTAAATAATTTGGAACGTGTCAAAAATTGTTTTGGAAACGTTAATAAGAGAAAAAACAAATCTTCAGATGAATGGTAAGAATGTAGGGTAAAAAAATATAAACGAAAAAGTGAAAAAGAACAAGGATGCAGGGAAAACGAAAGTGAAACGTTAAAAAAAGAAAAAGGAATAAAGAGGAATCTGTAAGAACGTTTTCTAAGTCTTGAAAACTTTTGTATGCTTGTCAAATGGGTAATTTAACAAAGTTTTATAACGATGCTAGCAACCTAACTCTCGGATGGAAAGACGGTAGGAAGACAAAAGCAAAGGATACTAAAAATTAAACACTTTTAGCGTTCATAGAATGAATCTTTTACTGACAATTTGACCGAGAAGGATTCGTCACCAGATAGAAAGTTTTTATGAGAATTGAATGGAAGGAACGAACCCAAACGAAACGACAATCCTTTCCAATAAATTTTTTTTTAGTGACAACAGAGATCTAAAAGGAAATTACTCGAATCAAATGAAATTAGATGTCAAAATCCGTTTCGAGAGCCAAATGAAATAGCACGGAATTCGCGACCTGCAAAAATCTTATACCATACGAATATGCCAATAATCAAGCGATTCTGCAATATATAATACACCGTACTTGTCAGAAGGATTCACGAAAAACAGCAGTTTTTTTATAGCCGTTAAAGTACCTTGCTGAATCAAGAGGTTGTGTTAGAGAGCGAAATTTTTCTAAGCGATGGGTATTGTTATGGAGAAGTTGGACTTTTTATTATTTCACCTGAGTTGCGAATCCTCCTCACCGATGGTGCAATCGCCCGTTTAGCAATGAAATTGGATCATTATTTATGTGGCGTACCATGTGGGGGTGGATCATTCGTAAGTAGGTAGTTGGGAAGAAATGGATCTTGGTAATCAATGGGGGGGGAAAGGATGAGGAAACATGTTGAAGGGAAGATGACAAGAATCAAGAATTCATAAAATAAGAGTAAATAGAGTACAAATTTATTAGAAATAGATCAATAAATGGATGAAAACGAATGACTTGAATGTATGTTTTTAGATAAATTTTAAGGAATTACTCTAGCTTTCCTCATTGTCAACAAAGATCTAATGTTCTTTCTATCAATGGATGATACGATGTTTTGACGCTTTTTGTTTCAATACTACTACGGCAGTGAAAGAGTTGGGAATTGAAAGGCTGATTTCTTATTCTCAAAGATGAAATTGCCACGGTTATTTGTTATGTTGGTTCGTTCATGACAATATTGTTGTTCAAGTTTACACTGAAAATAAACAAGAAATCTGTGATACAGACGCTTACCACTGAGAATTTTATGTTTGATCTAAACGTTGGGGGGAACAAAACCAAATTACATAGATCATGTACTTTTTCGCGTTGCATTGCAGCAATAAACATTTATGTAAAAGACGAAAGAAGCTCGGTTGTATATTATGAAGTAAGTGAAGTAAAACGAAACGAAATGAAATGAAATGAAATGAAATAAGAGATCCAAGAGAATTGCTACTGAGCGTTTGCCGCGCATTTGAATGTGTATGGGATTTTATAGAAAAGATCTATGTGGTCTAAATTAGGATGAAGAGCGTTTAACGGCCTTTCTTTTTTTTCTTTTTTTTTGAAAAGACAAAACAAAAGAAACAAAAAAAAAAAAAAAAAAAAAAAAAACAATATATATATAATCATTTCGATCAAAACCTGGTGTTATAGAAACATGTAAAGAAAAAGAAAAATCACTTTTGTTTACATGGAGGAATTTCTAATTGTGCACCTAGAAATTAAATCTATCAGGAATTGGAAAAAGCTATAGATGGCATGCATTCTCTGGCCAGGGAATAAATGATGTATATAAAAGTAAAAAACGCCAATGATGAATGGTAACATAAGAGAAAAACGAATCAGTAATCCAGGGTCTTCAAGTTGTACTGTGCTTAATTGCTTATATTTGCCAGAGTAATGGATGCACAATTGACCATCGACAGAAACGCTTGCAAGAATCTCGGAATCTGGGGATAGTCTCATGTCGGTAATCGGAAGGTGATGTACGGTGTTACTAGAAAGCGTCTAAAAGAGAATGTTAACAACTGGTTGATCCAACACTTCAAGATCGTTTTTCACTTACAGTCAAATTCAATGTCATAAAGCGCACTTTGCAATCAGCAGTGGCTACAATAATCATCCCACTTGAAGGATCCATGCAAAACTTGGTCACTCCTTTTGCATTGCGTAGCGTCTTCATAGAAGCAAACGTCCATGACTGTTCTATCGTAGAATAGTCAAACCTAACCAAACCTGCAATTCGTTGGCCGTTTCTAACATAATAATAGGCCGCGACAATGTTTACTTCGTTTAGCATCCCTATACCTCGGACGACGGCATTTTCTTCGGGCATATATAAAACTTGTAATAGTCGGAACGTTTTCCAGTCGTAAATCTCTACTCTATCATCTATGGCAAGTGCAAACTATTTTTAATTGTCAGCATAATCAATGCAAACGGCGCTTTCAATCCGCTCGAACCTTACCTTATTTTCACCAAAACCAACATCATACACTGTACAGTTATCTTTTTCAAACAAAATTCTGTAATCGCTCTCTGAGATTATAAAAAACTTTTGGTTTGTGCACGAAACATATATGACAGAATGATAGGAATCGTATTTACAAAGTCGTTGATATTGTATATCATTGCTGAATTCTGTAATCTGAAATTTTTTTGTTTCAGCATAATTCTTTGCTGATCCATCCTTGCTCTCAAACACTCTGAAATGCTTGTTTTTTCTTCCCTCCGGTGAGCTATTGATTCCTGCGATTAAAGACTATACCAGTAAGTGATTAGCAATAGCAATACACAACAAAGTAGTTGTAACATACATTTTGAATATAATCTAGAGACATGACTGCATCGTCGTCGGACCCAAGCTCTACCTCCTTTTCTAGTTCAATTTTGGTATGACCTTCGCCGGTTTCGGGCTCCGTCTCATCATACATTATCAATTGCTAAATAAAAATAAAAGGTTAATAGAAATTGCATAAAAAATTCTTAAAACTTTCTATAAAAAAATGGCATCAAGCACATTTTATTGCGCAAGGTCATACCAATTTGTTTTTGATTCCTGATTTCGTAGTACCGCCTCCTCCACCAACAGCAAGCAGGTTTTTGTTCATCCAGCAAACAGTGTATGCTGGGAAAGACAACTGTTTTGAATGACTCATCGTTCACACCAAACTGATATCCTCAAACGTTTTTAAATTGCAGTAAAATTTATGGATTCCCTATCCGAAAAACAGGAATGCTTCTCAAATATCCTCTAAATAAAGAAGAAGAAAAAAATTCACTTTCTTCAAATGAAGAATCGTCGTTAACTTAAAATGAGAATTTAGTATCTTCTATGCTGTCTATAGTAATGCATCAAGTACTCAAATGTTACTTCATTGTACCCTCACAGGCATTATCAAGGATTCGTTTCATTTCAGGTTTTATGTAGAATCAAAATTTGATATAAACATTAATAATCTTAAATGTCACTAAAATCTATTTAGACTTGCCTGTATCATAAGCCCAAGTGGTTTTCCGGTATTTGCATAAACAACATGAAACCACTTCATTCGCCTTTTAAACTGTTTCTCTTGCCAGATATAGAAGCGATTGGTACTTTATACTGTTCAGATTGAAACAAAAATGTCTACATAACAATTGCTCTGTGAAAATCTGTGTTTTCTTGAACATTTTGGTTGTTACTCAAGCTATTTAAAGCTACTTATTTTGAATACCTGTGTAAATACATGGTTACAAACGAGCAAAGAATAAACGCAAATTGCAAATTTCTAGCTGACGCTTAAACAGTTTTCGAGCTTGGAATCTTACTATGAGTAAATGAATAATCAAGTCAAAACACAGTCTCTAAAAGGTAAGTGGATTATAAATTTGAGTGCCTTTTTCTTAATACTGAAAATCTTTCAAGGTCTATCAATCCTTTCTTTGTGATGTACTTGTTTCCTAAATGGTACATAAACAGAATGCTCTTTATAAATATGAAAGACTAGAAGACCACAGTAAGAATTGCAACAGTCATGAGGGTTTGAAAGAATATATATATTATTTGCAGTGATTATAAGAAGTTTCATGATACTGTTTAAGTATGTTTTTAAAAAGACTAGCGAGCTGCTAAAGTTTACCTGACTGAAGACTTTTCTTAAAAAATGCCCAATAACTATATAGGAATATAGATGAAAAAATTTAAAGAGTATAGAATAATTATCGGAAAACCCGTAGAAACAGTGAATAGAGTTTTCTTTGTTTTTCATATAAAACCCATCGCTTATTTGTTTTTGTTTACAACTATCTACTATTATATGCAGAATAGTCTTATATACGGATAGTATATAATAATATTAAAGATTTCATAATAATGAATTGCATTTTTGGTAAACATGTTCAGCCCTGTTTCATTAAGGATTCCTCTGCTATAAGTTATAGAAAAGCCTGGTCTGATTTACAATGCGTTTCAGCACCTTGGTGTCGCTGTTTCTTTGCACTACTATCCTACGGATGTAGGAGTTGGAATTTGAAGGCTTTGGTAATAATCCTCATTCCACTTTCGCCAAAGGGATGCATCCACTACTGTAAAGAGCAAACAAAAATTATTTTCCAGCTTCAGTCATCCGGCTAATGAAACAGTTCCACCGTCGCTTTTGTCATAGGTACTTCAAATATTACACCAACTCATCTCGCGAGAATAATACTATCCCGACATTATCTTATACTTACGAAATCTTTCACCGAGATAGACAGAACGTCAAGACGCAATAGAATATTAAGTAATATTAAGACTTATCGTTTTACAGAGTCAATGAAACTGTGGTTGGAATACACATCGCTTATAACCTCTTGTTTTCGAAACAAAAATCTTAGTTCCCTCAGACTAATCTTGGAACTCATTTGGCATAGGATGTTTGCTATATAGAATTTTTTATATTAATTTTTGAGAAGTTTTTAGCTTTTGGAATACATTTTTTCATTTACCTTACGTTTTCATTGAAATCAAAAATATGGCGGAGGACCGGTTTCGTCAATCGAGTCATTTCCGTGATTGGATTTTTACGGAAGAGGGATTACAGAAAAGAAGATCAGATGTAAATGAAGGATTTACAAAGGTTGTTCGTCAGCGACTTCTGGAAGACTTAACTCTTCAAAATAAAGATGCTTCAGACAACCATTTGCCTCCTACTTTAGATCAAGGCGAAGAATTGGAGTTGGTTAACTATTATGCATGTCAGCTAAATGCTCTTTCATCGACAATGTCTTTGCCGACTCACATCCGTGTATGCATCTTTAAGTTCTAATTCCCAATTCTACTTAAACTAACTTTTCCAGGCTACAGCAACGCTTTTCTTCAAGAGGTTTTATTTAACCAGTTCCGTTATGGAATATAACCCCAAAATTATCTCGTACGTCCGCTCTTATGCTTGTATAATCTAACTTCCAAAAAAAAAAACAGATTTACAACATTATACCTGGCAACAAAAACGAACGACCATTATCTTCCGATCGAGCATTTTTGTAAAAATCTCCCAAAAACTACACCGGACCAAGTCCTGGAATACGAATTCGATGTTTGCCAAGCCTTGAATTGGGACTTGTTTATATGGCTTCCATTCCGACCACTTCAAGGTTTCCTCTTGGACTTTCAGGTTGTAATTCCGGAAACTCCGGTTGAGATTTTGTTTGAATGCCATGACCAAGCTAAAAGGTTCCTGGTCGAAACATTACATTCAGACGTGTATTTTTATCATTCTCCAAGCATCATTGCACTATCTGGAATTTATCACACAAATCCTTCTCTTTGTCTCAGTTATTTACAAGCGAAGTCCATCAACTCTACATATGATTTAGTTGTTTCGATATCTAACGCTCTTGATTCCACCAAAAATGCAAGGTTGGATAGAGAAAAAGCTAAAGACTGTGGAAAAAAGCTTTACTTCTGTATGGATCCTTTAAAAAAGAAGAACAGTGCTTTATACCAAAAACGAAAGGCCACGGAGGAAGAAGCTTCATTAAGTAATAAGAAGCAGAAATTGAGTAATTCAACAGATCAGTTAGATGTGAATCCTTTTGCATAAAATAATTTCATGTTATTTATATTATGATTGTGAATCTGTTCACGTTATTCATCAACTAGTCTAAGTAACTGTTTCTATAATTGTTTCTTAATGAATTCAGCACCTTTTTTTTCATTTGCTTCAATATATAATAATTATTGCTTGTTATTAATAAACCCGTTAAACCAAAATTAAGTAAATCAAAAAAAAAGGCCATTAAATCCACGGAGCCCAGAGTACATCCATCTGGGCTAAAACTTTAGAACTCGATGCCTGAGTTAAATAGTCAATAGCGGTCTGATTGACAGGTAAGTTACCATAAGCTACCTGACTTAATGACGCTACCCTGCGAACAATTAAGTCAGAATTGCTATTCACTTTCTCTCTAAAATCAAAGCTAGCAGTTTGGACCTTAGTGTGTTGATTAATCCACCATTGCACGTCATCCGCAACAAAGATGCCTAGTAGCATACTTAAATCAAAATCTGGTTTGGATAGGGCACGAGCAATGGCCATTATTGAAGGACCAAGTAAACCATCCCTACATGTTCTTCCGATAAACTCGTTGATGTTGGGAGTAAACCTGAAAGGAACCACTTCTCCATTGTGGTAAACGGGAGATGAAGAAATCATCGCAGGCAAAGCTTCGCTACTCCAGACGCTACCAGACTCTTTAGAAAAATATATTTTAGAAGGAACCCGGCTATTTATACTTAATATATAAGTCAAAAAGCTAAAGCACGCATATTGGTAAGAGAAACTCTTCCTGAAAAGCCAGAAATCAGAAAAATTCGTAAAGGTATTGTTAAAGTAATCTTTTAACATCGTAGTAGGAACAAACAACTTCTGGATTTCTTCAAAAATTGTGATCCGTTTTGCAAATAGTTCTTTCCTTGTAGCTAATTTCTCACTTTCGCTAGATTCAGAAGTAAATCGCGATGCTGCACTTTGCATCCACTTTGACAATTCGTCAGTAAAAACATTTGCTGGTTCATCTTTTGCAAACTTTCGGACGTCACTATAATCTTCATAAACTGTCTGTAACGATACAGAAGATGGTTGATCCTCTAACAACCGTATATGAGACGATAGTGGTACTGCCGAAGGTACGTAAAAGTTTAGACAACGACGTCTTGTTTCTGTATTAGCGTTTAGTGCATCGTTTAAATATCTTGTAAACTGCATAATTCGTTCTTCACGTCGACTATTCCTACCAGAAGGATATTGGACTATGAAGGAATGAAGCTTTCCACCATTGTCACGAACAGTTATTTTCCGATAACAGACACCGTGTCCGACGACAAACTCAACTTCAGGCAAGAACCGTTCGATGCACGAGAAATTGTTGTTGTTATCTTTATGTGATAGATATTGTCCAAAAACTTCAATTTCTTCAAACTTCTGATGGTGAAATTCACATAAGAAGGAGCTATAATACTCCAAATATTGTTTTTTAGAAGCTTTACCAAGAAGACTTTCAAAGTAGGATCTCCACTTTCTCAATTGTCTGATATATGCTTTCAATCCCACTGGAGTGTCTATAAATTCTTGCCTAAACTTCTCCTTATATGGAAGTGGTAAAATATTATCCACGAATAAACTCAAATTCGATTCCGTTGAGGATGGACGTTTAGTTTCTTCAGTCAATATACCAGACCGAATACTATGCTGCATAGCATCATTTAACAAAGCAGTTATAAGTCTAAATGTGTCTTCATCATTTTCTCCTTTAAAACGGGATTGGATTTGATCAACCAAAGTTTCCATAGTTAAAGCCATCAATGGATACGCCGTTTTTAGAATTGACATTATTTCATCAGCATAATCCCAAGAAGGTTTCTCAAGAATATCCTCTGCTGTCTCTGATTTTACTGCCAGTTTTTCCTGGCCTTTAGATTCAGCCCGTTTCAATTGAAATAACTCCTCTCTAGAGGTCCGCAAAAGGAAGAATAATGCTTGGGGATAAGACTTGGCTATCTTCTTTAAGACTTGCGGGGCAATTCGTTTATCATTTTTAGCAAGGTTACTAAGAAGCTGCGGAATAAAAGTAAGCCAGTGCCATCCTGGAATTTCGCCTTTGTAAGATTCATAACTCTTCGTTATTAATTTCTCGTCATTATCCAAGCTTAAAATCCACAAGACTCTAGCTAACATTTTCCTAGCGTGATAAGTCTCATAGGTACCAGCGGCTTGAAGATAGCAGCTAACTGCGTTACATGCAGCATTAATGTTTTCTGGCGACTTCCGGAAATTTATATCGTTGTATCGGCCCCATTCTGCCCACGCTTCCGACAAGCCCAAATCAATTTGAACAGCTGCAGCGTAAGTCTGGTTAGCTTCATCATCTTTACCCAGCTTTTCCAAAAATTTTCCTTTTAGGGAGTAAAATTCAGACTTTTGACGAGAGTTAAAATACATAAGATTTGTATTTGAAACTATCTCCAGCCCATTTTTAAGCTCTTTTGGATTTTGCAAATAGCAAAGGACCTGCTCTCGGAGCTTATAAAACGCTTCTTGAATTTCAATGTTCGGCAAAGAATAAATCTTTGTAAGTTGGTTCAAGCAAACGGAAGGAAGCTTATGTTTTCGAGCGACGTGTGCAAATCGGTTAATAAGCCAAGCTGTTTCATGGTAACCGCGAAAGAAAAACGAAGTATTGGACGATGCCGGGGAATCACTCCCAGTTGACTGAACCTTCGGAATTAAAGGAAGATAAATTCGGTTAACCATTGAAAAAATTATTTGTCGCCAAGATAATAGATCTCTCCAAAGACTAATATCGTCCCAAACATTTGGTAAACGTTCTTGCCACACCTGTAAGGCACTTTTTATACATTGAACATTCGTAGGAAGATTTTGAGTATTTATAGAGCTTAAATACGAGTATATGTTAGAAGCCTCCTGTAATTCAACGAACTGTTGAAATAAATGCAAAAGAGGAAAATGTGATTGATTGATTTTTTCAGGAAGCTGATGCCACTTTAACAAACCTAAATGAATAGCTTCGGCTAGAGTCTGATGAAACTCTTTCACTGATGCTGGCTGGTTAAGAGATTTCTGTAAGGTCATAAAAGATTGAAATGTCAGCTTCCTGGGTGTAGGAATGTCAGAAAGACTTTTGATGGCAACCTCTAAAGATTCTCGGTTGCTAGACCAATCGCTGATTCTCCAGGCACATTCCAACAACAACTCTGATGAACCTTCATGCTTTGCCAACTCTGTTAAAACATCCCATTGTTGTAGCTTTTGAGCGCATAGTACCCAATGATCTTCCCAAAGATTGTATTCGGACTCTGAGAAAGGAAACGCTTCACTTCTAGCTTTGGTCTGTGCCTGCTCGTATAACTGTTGAGCTCTTCCCCACATACCCAGTTGTTCATAAGATAAAGCAACCTGCGTTTGTAAATATTTTGATGTTCGCCGACCATGTCCATAGAACATATCTTCCTCACTTAAGGAAGCATACAATTCAGATATGGCATCATTACGGCTCTCTTGGACTTTGGCACTCTGGTAAAGATCAGCTGAATTCTCCAATTGACCTTCCAAAAATATAATAGCATCGTGATATATACCGTATAGTTTTCCCAGGTACTTGACGAGATGCGGAGGTAATTCAATCTTTGGTGAGCAATTGCAAAATGATGAAACAAGCGTTCCGATAACGTTCGGACGACTATTAACTTGCTTAATGTGGAATTCACGTGTGAGTAAATATATTAGAGATTTTGATAAATCATCACGATCATAAGCATCCAGTGTAGACCATGCCAGTGGGAAAACTTCCTTCCACAACTTATAAGCTTCCTGATCACTTAACAATTGTAGATGCATTAATGGAATTAACAATTCTGAAACTTTCAGCCCCTTTATCTGTTGAAAAAACGAATTTTGTTGGCGGAATAATTCAAGTTTGACTTGGGACTTTTCAGCATCTCGTGTTTCTGGATATTCCAATTTGGTGCTGGCTATATCCCGAGCTACATCGTCAATCGAAAGAAACTTTAAAGAATTTTCTGACACCGTAATCTTATCATCGGTATTAATAGCACCAAGTAATATATAGTTAGCCTGTTTGATCCAGTAGAAGTTTGGTATTGTATCCCAACTACTGGCTTCAAATATATATTTCAACCTTGAGTAAGCATTTCGTGACATGCTAGAATCAAGAATGGTCATGAAATCTAATCTTGTCTCAAAGTCACGACATGCTGTAGCTAACAGAAATGCCTGCTTTAGGCGTGCTGTTAACTCTGTCTGAACAAAAGCGGGATTGCGATAGATCGAGGATACCAAATTATTCGCCTGTTTGTGCAATTCATTATCAAATCTTCCTTCGAATGTTTTCATCTTTAAGAGTAAGGCTGTCTTTTCTTTGACCGTGAGGAATGAATCCCTTTTTATGACTACCCATTCCTTGGTAACGTTTAAAATATGACAACAAAGATGATAGCTAGCACTTTTCTCAATAAGCTGAACAATAACACTTAAGAACCAGCGTCTCTGATCACCCAAAGCAGCCATTCTGACTTTTATAATGTCAATTAACGCCACTAGTAGGTTTGCTGAATCGTTAATTGCAGGAACATTTGTTTTAGTTGCTGATTGATATGAATGCTGTAAACAAGCAACTATATGATCCTTCGCAATTTTTTGAAAAACCTTGTTTAGTGCCGTTAGTAACGCGTCCAATGATTCCGGCTGGTTCTCTTGTATAATTTGCAAATAGCAAATTGTCGCTTCCACATTTGATCCATTCGAAAGGTTGTCATGCAAAAGTGACGTGAAAGACTGTTTGAATTCGTCTACCTCTGTTACTTCATCCTCATCTTCCACCACAGTTGGTCGACTTTCTAGCAAAATAGTTATAGTCTTTTTTAAAGAAGATGCAATATTTAATCGTCCAGACCTCAAGTTTTTGTCTATTAATTTAATTATGTTGGTATGCTCCCTTTGAACAAAATTCAAGTCTTTATGTTCCAAATATACACCCAAAACTTGCCATAAGTTTGCTATGATTGTAGCAGTCTTCTCATCATTATCTGTCTTAGCTAATAATTTCTCAAAAAAATCCCAGCCAAAATTGTATTCACCCCATCTCGGAATTTTCAAAAATTGACTAAATATTTGCAAAGCCCTCTTAGACAAACCAGCAGACTCTACTTGCTCCGGAAAAAAAGACAAGTATTTAAGGAGAAATGACAACACAGATTCAATCACAGAAATCGGAAAGATGGTATCGGATGACATGTTGGGTATGTCTGAATCAAGCATATTTTTTTGCCATAGGTAGAGAACATTAACCAAATCTATAGCAAGAAAACGAGGTTCATGACTAGGTAAGGAAACCAGCTTCGGTAATGCATTAATTATTGGAATAACAAAATGCTTTGAGCTTTTGAAAAACAAATCAGGAGCTTTGCAAATGACTTTATAGACATTCAAAGACTGAGAAACGTTTTGCGCGTCTTCTGATACAACAAGACGAGGAAGCTTAGCCCAGAGAGGGAAAGAAGCATCAGACGGGCTTGCAAGACGGGTGACAATTACAGGAAGTAAACAATCCATGGAAAAATCCAAAAATGATCGAACTTCTGCTTGATATGCTTTTAATAAAGATATATATACCGGGGTAACTATCTTAGCAGGAGTATCATAGATAGCAATGAAACAAGAGACTGCTGCATAAGCCGCTTGCTTCACCATCGGATCGTCCGACTTGAAATAGTTCCAAGCAGACATTATGATGCTTTTTCTGTAATCATTCAGCATATCAGCATGATATTTACAAAGACCTGTAGACAAACACAGAATTCCCATTCGGAAAGAATCTGAGGTTGTTGAATTGTCACTGACTTCCCGGACAGACAACCGCCATATGTTACTATAAACTGAGTGTATAACTTCCTTATCGACAAAATTATTTTCTTGAACTGCAGAAAACATTAGAGGATTTACTATCTTTTCAAGCAAAAAAGATTTAAAAGAAGGCCTGACAGATTTGTCAGCCAGTATGCTGGAGCAGATGAGAAAAACGTTCTTTTTAGCAGAAGCGTTTCCTTCAAGTAAAGATTGGCATAAAACATCAATATAGGTAGGCAAGAAATTGTGAATGTCCTCCGCTTTAAATCGAAAAACCTCGAGAGCAAATTCTAACTTCTTGTCAATTAACTCCAATAGTGATAGTAATAGTTTAGTTATCGAATCCAAACAGGACGAAAGACATAGATACGTCCAACCATTAAAATTACTTAGGATTTCATATATCGATTTGGATAGTACAATTAGCTTAGCGGAAACAACACCTGCATTCTGAATCGTACCAACATTGGAAAATATTTCTGCCATTATACTCACAGCAAATACTGGTGTCATATTATCAGCACTTAAAGTCTGCGAAACCAGCTCAACGATCTTGTCCCAAAACGAGGAAGACATCTCACGAAGTTGATTACAAGCTGGATCTTTTAATGCTTGCAAATGCCAGTTAACTATATCAGGATTGTTTATATGGTTAATGACGTAAATCCAAGAGTCTTTAGCATGGAAGTCTAAAAACTCATTTAAAGGACGTCGCAATGGGCTTGACAAAAATCGACGAACAACCTTTTCAACATTTCCGACTGATGTTATTAAATCACCCAAAAACTGCACTGATAAAGGAGGCAAATCTTTAAAAACACTGACAAGCGTAACAATCATATCTATCTTTTGATTGCCATTTAAAGAATATACTGACAAACGTTCCAACTCATTTGTTTCCGACAATGCCGAAAAGTGCTGTAGTAATTTTCGACCTATTTCAACTTTAAAATAATTTGTCAGCAATCTTAAGAGCCTAGAAAGACCCTCGAGACAACTTACAGATAGCTTATTATGATCTGACAAATTCATTAGGACAGGTCGCAAACCACTTTGAAGCAGCTCTTTCGGTAGTTTTTGATTCTGCGTTAACACGTATTTCAACGCAGGTATAGCCACAGAGTATATATCTTCCTGAGAAGAATACAATGATTTAAAGAAAATTGCGATTATTTTAGTCCTCGTCGGAAAATGCTGTGGATGGTCAAATTTTAAGGTTACAAGAGAAGAAAATAGTAATTGCAAACAAGTAGCCCTCAACTTTCTTAACGAAGATGTATCTTTACTTTGTGAAGTTTTCAACATCGTAACTAAGGCATCGTCTTCCGCGTCGGCTATGGCTATAGTTTCTCGAAATAGTCTAATTAATTCGTCACTCAAGCCCAGAAATGATGGTGCCTGCTGTAAGCAATAATTTATGGCATCTATATGCCCAATCTGAATAGTAAAGGGAAGTGCTCTCAACGGCTTTCCGAATATTGGACCAAGTAAAGCTTCCTTAGCTGGAGATAATAGGGTTTCTATGGTAATATTACAATCTTTTGAGATAGTATCAATTAGCTGCTTAACAGTAGCTCGTATTTGATCATTTGGATGGGGTAATTCGAGACAAAACGGCATAAAAACTGATAACAGATGTTTTACTTCGTCTTCAGTACGTGTACTATTATCGGTGCAGTATTGTCTTACCACATCAATTATAAAATTCTGAACTTCTGTTAGCCGTAGAACACCAAAATCAGATGGAACATCCTTCAAGATAAAAAATAAAGCTCTCAATATTTCTGTCAGTTTAAATTCAAGCCAGTGCTTTTTGTCTATCGTGCATGAAAATAAAGACCTCAATCCTAAAAACCCGGCATTTTTCTGGTACCATAATTCCATATAACAATATTGACATAGCGTTTTGAAAAGCTGTTGGAAGCTCGGAAGCTTCCAAATATTGGATTCGGAGTCCATCAAAACTTTATGGGTATCTAAATAATGATTTATTAAAGTCAATGAATTTTCTCTCGTTCTGCTATCTTCAGAACAGAGAGAGAGTAAAATCCCATCAATAAAACATGTAATGTCAAGATAGCTTGAATTCGCTTCTTTTTCAAACATCTCCTGTTGATTCTTCAAAGCTAAGCTTTCATGAACTTTTAATATACTAGTAATCACAATCCATTCAGCAGAACGCTTGAGTACAAAACCGGCTTCATCTTTAAAGTCACTTAAAGCTTGAGCTTCAATTAAAGACTTGAAGATCGTAGATACCATTAGGTTTTGCTGATAAAACTTCTCATTTTTAATGGGGCCCAAAGTATGAAGATTTAGGTTCTCAATCTGTTCGCTTGAAATTTCAGCCAAATGACGGGATATTATATGTACTTTGTCCCAAATGATATCAGAATCAATAGAAGAGTCAAAAAGGGCTAATAAAGAATTTTTTAAAAATCGAAATGCATCAGATCTTTCAGTTCTGGATGATTTCTGATCATTGATAGTCGAAGAAGCAGCAAACAGGTACTGGAAAAAGTGGAAGTCCATTGACTTATTTGAATTCAAGAACGTCAGTTTCAATGCTGAAAGATCACTCGGTCCTTTAAGATTATCGAACCCAAATGTGCCAATAGAAATTTGTCGGTTTCTCCCACCCATTTTTCCTAAAATGCGAACAGTACTTTGATGTAAATGCATGTTCGACTGAGTTAGACGTAAATGATTCCAAAGTGACGATAGCAAATCAGGCATTATTGGTTCTAATAAAGCATCAAAAAACTCCTGGGTGAGATTGTCTAGACATAATTCAAAAATCCGAAGACCCTGACTGGCAATTTCAGGAGAGCCTTTGAATGCAATGACAAGAGGCTTCATTAGATAGTTCATATGTGGAAGAAGAACACTGAGTCTAATAGGTAAAGTCAAGCACAGCTCAGCATAAAGCTCTTTGTGTGAAGTAATGGTAGCTGTATACATTAACCTATTAAATGATTCTAGCATTAGTTGTAATAATGGCAATATTTCTTTGTAAAGAGAGTCAAATTTACCTCCGCTAATATTTCGAAACAACGCCTTCAACAGGTAAGCATAATTTAAAGGATGTGAAGCACTAGTGGATAATTCTAAACAATTAGATATAATAAATGAAATATGAGGACGTAGCACTTCCTCATTTTTTTCAGGATAGATATTGACGGTCATAAAGGCAAGCTTAAATAGACGAAGTAAGACAGAAATTTCCGAAGATTGATCAGTACCAACTTTCACAATCTTTTTGCATAAAAAAGAGAGAATAATGTTTGTGCTATTTAAAGACGTTATCTCGGCTGTCATCCATGACTGAATTAAGTGCAACAAAGCAAGATTTTCGACTAAACAGTTAAAAATTTTTGGAAAAGTAGTTTCTAGAATTTCAACAAAACTTGACGGGTCCATACGAATGTAAAGAGTTGCCAAAACTTCTATAAGTTCTTTCTGTTCTACTAATTTCGTCGTCTGAGCTGGAGGAGGAGCAGGTTCTTGGGAAGAAGAAACGGACTTCTCACTCTTCAAGAATTCTTCGGACTCTTCAACTTGATAGTATCGGAAACCCTTTAAGCTTTCAATCAATATATCGCTTATTATGCTTAATTCAGATTTCGAGCCAAAATGTAGTTTTGAAGACCATTCTTGCTGCGTAAATATTGATCCGGGTGGAACAGGCAAATTACATTGCTTCAACCCATAGAAGACTGTCTTTAATCCAAGCACAATATTTTTAAATAGAAACAGACGACCTTTTATTTTTTCTGGAATAGAAACCTCAGGTGAAGCACCTGGGTTTTTGAACATTGGTAAATCATGGATTTGAACGTTAACATCATCAGCATCATCAGCCTTCTTCATATTATTTTGAAGTTGTTCCAAATCAGAATTTAAAAGTTGAAGCTTCCTCAAAAGGTTATTAAGTATTACAAATAAAAGAGGACGACGAACCGAAAAATCGTTAAAGGCAACAATTGTTTCAGTCATATTTAGTATCAATTTCGTAGCCATGGCTTGTATTGCAGAAGTATAATTTTCTTCCATAATAACACCAAAATAAATATTTATAGCTTTGTATACTTGGTTCGGTGTAAGGTCCATTCGTACGTGATGAAGTAGGTCAGCCAATGTACTAAAAGCCATTGGTTTTAAGCAACGCTGAACACTTACACCTTGGCCGACTAATATTTTAATATCCAACAATTGGTCTATGTAGGGAATAAAGCTCCTCAAATAATCCGTTGAAAGAATATGCCTCGTAGCAACAAGCAATTCTTTCCTTGTATGATATAACTCAGAAGGGCAGTCAGTAAACAGCTGCATTGTACAATGGGCAATCGAATTCTCAAATTGCTTTAAAGAAGGACCAAAACCACGTACTAAGTATGCAAGAAAAGAAAAAGATTTAACTTGAGCAGACATCAGATCGTTATATTGAGAGTTTCGTCGCAAAGACGGTACAACCCCCGAAAAGACTTCATTTTGCGAAGCAGCTAACCTGTGAGCCTCAGCTTGTGGCGTGGGACGAAGAGATATAAACTGCACAGCTAGGGATGCAAGTATAGGTAACCATCTTGGAATTAAGTCTTTGTAGGTCTGAAATAAAAGAAATACTATAACGGGACATTCGTTAAGCATCTTAAAGCTCAAGGAAGCTTTAGGAATGGATTTCGAGCCCGTAGACTCAAAACCAATCTCTGTAGGTGAAGCAGACAAAGGCCCAGAGGCAGGATGAGAGGAGGGAGTACTTGGGCCAGACCGTGAAGGGACGGCTTCTGCGATAACAGAAGGCATTGAATTGTAAGCATCGGCAACAAGACATAAAAAGTCGTTAACATGTGCTTTAGAAGCTATGCTGAAGTCTTTGAATAAATGAACTATTAGCTTCAAAGCTAGAACAACCATTTCCTCATTATCATTGACTATAATAAAAAGTAGTAGCTTAAAGGTTCTGTTAACCCAAGCTTCAAACTCATTATACATTGAGATTTTCTTCAGTACTTCTAGTAATGTAATGCGAAGCCGGTGAGTAGCTGCTAAGGATGAAAAGACAGGTTGTTCTTTCTCAAGAAGAGTTATAATTGCTTCTAAAAGAGGCTTTAAAGGTTCAAAATCTCTTCTTTGACTAAGTAGTACATCGTCTAATGCATCTCGAATTTCAATTGCAGTGTTTGTCTTCTGTTTCGAATCCAATCCAACATCACATAGCCGATTACACCAATACTCACATTGTGTTCCGTCCATGGAATAGATGGATCCAATAGCAGGATAATAAATATGTTAGTCCCTGCTCTTCTATTATTATATGTCTAAAACCGTCAAAGGTGGTGGATAATAAATAGGATAAGACCGAAGGGAGCGGAGCGTATAGTAGAGACTCGGTTACAATTTGTGAAGTTTTAGAAGAATTTCATTAAATCATTCAGTGATGGAAATAACAACCTATTTATAAAACTCATAAAAAAGCACCATTACACAAGTTTTCTCTTTTTCACTATTAATTATAGCGTTTAGAACACTAGCTTTTCTATTTTGAACAGGCAAGTGTGAGCATTAGTGAGCACACTATTCATTATTAATGAAGCGCTGCCTCCCTTGAAATGGATGAACAGTCTAGGGAACTTAACTAATAGAAAAGTTCGAATTTAGAATAAGAAGTTTTGAAGTACCTTTTGTCACTACAGCTATAAAAAAAAAAACCCCCGATCTGATTATTAGAAAATTTATAGTATTAATTCATTCCAAAGATCGGCAAAATGAGTAAGGCAATGGCACTACGTCGCTTGATGAAAGAGTACAAAGAGTTGACCGAGAATGGTCCTGATGGAATTACAGCAGGACCGTCGGATGAGGATGACTTCTTTCATTGGGATTGTTTGGTTCAAGGGCCCGATGGCACTCCTTACGAAGGCGGGTTGTATCCTGCGTCTCTCAAGTTTCCACCGGTATGGTCTTGATTATGCGAGCTCTTATAACTGGGGTAATCTATTGTAGTTATCCAATTACTTCTAAGCTTCTTGATGATGAGCAGGTTAATTGGACATAGAGTACCCAGATCTAGCTTCAAAAGAGTATCTTTTTCAGAGCATACTCGGAGCGCTGACATGAGAGCTCAGTTAGTATCTAGCACTTAATTTTGCTAATAAAATTATAGGATTATCCTTTAGGTCCGCCCACATTAAAATTCGAGTGTGAATTCTTTCACCCTAACGGTAAGAGACATGAGTCTGTTGTCATATATTCTTTAGTCTTTGGGTTAACAAATTTCTAGTGTATCCAGATGGTACAGTCTGTATTTCTATTTTGCATGCTCCTGGAGATGATCCCAACATGTATGAATCATCTTCTGAAAGATGGTCACCAGTACAATCTGTCGAAAAGATATTGCTTTCCGTGATGTCGATGTTGGCAGAACCAAACGACGAGAGTGGTGCCAATATAGACGCTTGCAAGTTGTACAGAGAAAATTATGAGAGTTATTGCAATGTCGTTCGGAAGCTAGCTCGTAAAACGTTGGGTCTTTAAGAATGGTTATTCTAAAAGTATAGATGTTCTACCTACCCTTTATTTTTAACGCTTTCTTGTTTCACTTACTCGCCTTTCTTTCCGACGCCCCTCATATAAGTCCTAAAGATTCTGCATTTGCAATTATTTATATACGAACAAACAAATTCATCAACTATTTTTAGAATTTTATTAAAGCTATTGTTGTTAATTATCCAAGAACTAAAACCAAAAATAAAGTCGCAGTAACTTCTATTGTAAGTGTTTATCACAAGGCTTCTGAATGTTTCCTTAAAGAGCATCCTGTTCATTCGACTCTGTCCCTTCGGTTTCATTACTCTTCGCAATTTCATAATCAAGAAACAGCTCCATCACCTTTTGCTGATTCCGCACATCGGCTTCATAAATTGCGCTTTTATCATGATTGTTTTTAAGATGAAGATCTGCTCCTGTCTCTAATAGTAACTTGCAGATGTCAGCATGTCCATTTAAAGCTGCCCAATGCATGGCTGTATTTCCGCTTGAGTTTTGAGCATTCACAGTCTCTAAGGATAAATGAGGAAGGATTTTTTGAACAATGTGAGTGTATCCATTAGCACTAGCCATATGGAGTCCAGAATTTCCATTCTCGTCTCTACGATTTAGTTCGCTGGGACATTTTTCCAAAATTTCGTCCAACATCTCATCGTCAGGAGCTCGACATGAATATATGAGATCTTCGACATCCATTATAAATCGAAATTATATTTACTGGCAAAACTATTAGCTTTAGAACTCCTTTGTTTACGTTGGAAGAGGCCCAAGAAGTTTTTTATGGTGGTTACCGCGGCCAGTTACCATAGTCCGCGGCACCTCCACCAATTCATCAAGAATTGGTATTACTGCTGAATACAAACAGCTTATCACCGTGTGAAAGCTGTATCCTGTACAAATACTTTTTTTCGAATTTTTGTATCATTCTTAGAGTAATGAATTTAATCCCGAAATAAAAAATTGCACATTCGACATACTACTGCTAACATATATCTAATAATTATTGACATTCCAAATATTAGCTCTCATGGACATCACAAAACGTGTTTTTGTTGGAGGACTTTCCTCTACTATTACAGAAGATGATTTAAAACCAAGATTTAACCGTTTTGGTAACGTTACAAAATTTACAATTGTTGAAAAGCAGCTTCCTGTAGGAACGTCTCAGAAATTTGCATATGTTACATTTGAAACCAACGAAGATAATTGGAAGAAATGCAAAACGTATCTCTCTAAAGCTACCTTTAAGGGAAGCGTATTGAGGATTGAAGAAGCCAAGCCATATTTCAAGGATAGGTATGGATGGAAAGCAGCTCCTTTCGTTTTTATTTTTTAGCTAATCAAGTGGTAGATTGAATTTGGAAAAGAGCCTCGAGGATGAATCTAACGCTCAAGCTTCTACCTCTAAGCCGTCAGAAGCAGAACTCCCAAATGACCCTGTTTTTCATGGCGAAATCATCCTACCCGGTAAACATGCTAAAGACATGACCCCTGTAACTGATGCAGACGTTAGGAAGGATACGGCTCGTAAAGGATGGAAGAAGGGACCTTACGGACGAGCAATTGCTTTACTGAAAGTCTACAACAAGAAAAGTCGTAAAGTCAAGCTCTTCTATCCTTTGGGTAGAAATTGTTTACAGAAACTGTGGGGGAAAATCGATCCTAATATGGATAATGCTACAGCGGCTTATGATGCTGATAACGACTGCTATCTTACTTACTCAGGAAAAAAGATCGCTCGTTCATTCATTGTACAGCAAGCGAAACACCAAACTTTAAAGACCAAACCTATTGATGAAAATGACTTTGAAAACCTGCAAGGAGCTGGTGAAGTTCCAGAACAACAAGGCGTACTTACAGATGAACAATTAAACCAGCTTCGGGAAAAAGAGAAGGACACGGCGCAATCTGTTTTGGCCGAACTGTTCGGTCAGGAGGCATCAGCTGAAACATTGAAAGAAGAATCAGAAGCTACTATCACCTTTGAAGATGATAACAAAGCTGAAGAACAAAAGACCGCTAATATTCCGTTGGATGCTTCCCTTGAAGTTTCTGTTCCTCAAGAATTTGAGGCCTCGGAAAAACAGGCAGCTGTCGTGAATGTAGATAATCTGAAAGAAATGTTTACAAACAATGAGAATGAAGCTGCTGGTTTTTCTTTGTTCGGTGGTGGTGATGAAGACCTCAGTGATGAAAACGAAGCAGAATATATGGAAACGGAAGAAACTCAAGAACAGCCTTTCATTCAAGTGGAATCTACTTCCACTAAAGACGAAAAAGCGTGGCCTATGCTTTTTCCTACCTCATCAAAGTCTTTTTCGTATTTTCGTCCATGTGGTGAACAACTTGTACAAAGACAAGCTCTGGAAGCTTGGTGGGATGAAAACCGATTGTTTTTGACTAGGGACTACAAACGGAAACGCAAAGATGCAGTAAAACGTCTTCGTCGAGCTCAGCAAAAGCAAATCCGAGCATAGTTTTGTTTCGTTGAAGGATGTTTTCCATAAACGCTTTTTATGAACGGTATTTTAAAAATGGCAGTTACTATGTCATAAAGGTAATTAGGACAACGGGTATATATCAATGGTTCTGTTTTTTAAATTTAATATTTTTTGTGATCAATGCGTATCTAACATTTGTAGTTAAATATTTTTTTAATCATAGCCTATTCACCATAATAGTAGAACCAAAATCAGAACTTACACTTCATTTTTTACTAATCCAACATCCTTTAATTCAAAGTAGCGAATCCTCTCACTATTCCTCGCTATTAATGGAGTCTGCAATGTTTAGCTGCCTCTAATGTTTCTCAAGTGACCTAGATACCCACTCCCAGTATTTCATACAATGGCGTCTGCTGTGTTCATTTTAAATTTAAAAGGGAAGCCCATCATATCTAGGGATTATCGGTACGTCTTAACCCCAGCGACAGTTTCAGACATGCAAACAGACTGTCTTCTTCATGGATCAATAACTAATCGATATAGAGCGGATATCCCTATGTCAGCCGTTGAAAAGTTCACACCTTTAATAACGGAAGTCGAAGAAGAGAATGGATGTGTAACGCCCTGCTTAACTCATGAAGGAATTAATGTATGTAAAGAGCGGATAGATCATGAGACGTGTTTTGCTTCTGTTTTTCCAATTTTTCTTTTTACTAATTTAAAAAGTATATTTATGTTCAACACAACGATGTCTACCTCTTAGCTTTATCGAAAAGGAATACGGACGCAATGGAGATGCTGGTGTTTCTTAGAAAGTTAGCAGATCTCTTTATAGACTACTTCAAAGAATTACAAGAAGAATCTATTCGGGACAATTTTGTATTGGTATACGAATTGTTAGATGAAGTGATGGATTTTGGATTTCCACAAACCACTGAAACCAAAATCCTTCAAGAATATATAACACAAACTTCTAATACTTCTCAAACACAAGTGGCGCCGCCGATTGCAATGACGAATGCTATTTCTTGGCGTTCAGAAGGGATTCATTACCGTAAGAATGAAGTATTTTTGGATGTTATTGAATCCGTCAATTTGATTGCTGCACCTGATGGTACTATCATCCAGAGTGATATCCTCGGAAAGGTTCATTTGAAATGTTTTTTATCAGGAATGCCTGAACTACGTCTAGGTCTTAATGACAAAGTACTTTTCGAAGCGGCTGGTCGCACTATTAAAGGAAACGCAGTTGAGATGGAAGACGTGAAGTTTCACCAATGTGTTCGGTTGGCAAGGTTTGAGAATGATCGAACTATATCTTTTATTCCTCCTGATGGAGAATTTGATCTCATGTCTTATCGTCTAAGCTCAAACGTATGTTTACCAAATATATGTAAATTTTAACTAACATATTTAGTCGCGTCCCCTCATTTGGGTTGAGTGTGACTCAGTCGTTCATTCGGGTTCTCGTGTGGAATATATGGTAAAAGCAAAAGCCCAGTTTAAGAAGAGGTGTATCGCGAATAATGTCAAAATTATTATACCCGTCCCAGAAGACGCCGATAGTCCTCGATTCCAGTCAAGTAACGGCCATGTACAATATGCTCCAGAACAAGCTGCTATGATTTGGAACATTAAAAAATTCTCTGGAGGAAAGGAATGTTTTATGAGAGCAGAAATGGGATTACCAAGTGTCCAGGGAGAAGAAACTACCAAACGTGTAAAACGACCCGTGCAAATGAGTTTTGCAATTCCATATTTCACCACTTCTGGAATTCAAGTACGATACTTAAAAATTACTGAGCCGAAATTGAATTATCATGCTATGCCGTGGGTTAGATATGTTACGCAAAATGGAAAAGAATACGCCATTCGCCAGTGATGAGGCATACATAAAAAGAACTTTATAGACGCAAGCTAGCATACTTATTTACGAACATTTAATTGTCACATATATTGTTTACGATCCTTAACAAATATAGTAATGACATTTGCAAAGTAATTTATACTTTGAAAAGAACAAATTCCCAAATTTTAACTGCCAACTAAACAATAAAAAAAAAAAAAAAACGTGTATGAAAAACCAAGCAATACGACTGATTCTCTATGTATTGAGTTTGTACTTCTAAAATGGTTAACAAAATTCAGGCAAAACTTTTGTAGTATTATTTTTTTTGTTCAAGCCCAAAAAATTTAGCACGGATATTCCACATGTCTTCTCTGATTTTGATCTCTTCAGGGCCCCAGTATGGTGAAGGAAATCCCTCTTCGGGGTTCGGATGAGCTTGCAGCGTTAAGTCATGAATATAGTTGATGTACTCGGCATCTTTAGGAAAGTTCATTGAATGGTATAAGCTCATGGATCCGTCCAAGGAATTTACTAGCTGATCTTGCCATTCTCGTTGCTCTTGTGGATGTGGAAGAGAAAGGCGACCAGACCAAACTCTGGCCAGGTAGGCAGCTTGCGCTTGGCTTGTTGGAAAAGGTACAACATGAAGAGCCAAACCAACGAATGCAAGGTTTGGATCAGGGATATAAAAGATATGTTGGTAAACGTTGTGAACATGAGTGCCATCGGTAACCAATTTTGTTTCAGGGTTATCGTTTAATTTGTTGAGAGAGGGGAAAGGAATGTTGTACAAATAACCAGTGCAATAGATGACGCGATCAATTTCTTTTAAGATCTTACCATCCTTCAAAAAGATTTCTCTTGTCTCGGGATCAAATTTCATGATTTGAGGGACCTTGATGAGCTTATCATCAACGCTTTCCTCGACGTTCAAAAGACTCTGATAGATGGGGTTCTTCGCGAGTGGTTGTAAATGACGGACCAAGTCATTGGCTGAAGAAGCACCACCTACAATAAGGACGCGCTCGTTGGTAAAAAGTTCAGGCTCACGAAATTGCGAGGCATGAAGGACAGACCCAGGAACCCGTTCAGCATATTGTTGAAGACCAGGAACATTTGGAATAAAAGGGATTTCATAATGACCATTGCAAATGGCGACGGCGTCAAAAGATTCTTCGTTAGAAGGACTACCTTCCTTGGTGTTGCGGTAAGTGACATGCCATTTATTATTTTTCTTTTCTACATCGATGACTTCAGTAGCGCGTTTGATGAAAGGTAAAAGAGGTTCTGCAAAGGTGCGCTGATACTCCTGCACTGAAGTACGGTGAGGGAACTGAAGGGTTTCTTTGGGGAATTGATGAGTGCTGTAGCCCATGAGCTCAATAGGGGTGTTGGTTTGTAAATCACGGTATAAGGGAGAAGGATAAACGGGCAAGGCGGAAGGTTGTAGAATTGGATTGCTACTTAGATTTGGCTTCGTGGAAGGTGTTGGGATCTTTGATGGTAATGAAGAGGTATAATTCCAAACACCACCGGCGGAACCACGACGTTCAAACAGAACGATGCGCTCGAATGCCTTTTCGGCTAAAAGAGATTTTGCAGTAACTAGACCAGAAGGGCCAGCACCAATGATGGCAATACTGCGAATGAGAGAAGAACTCATTAGGCAAAACTTAGGTAAGAAAAGAAAAAGGGGGGAGGAGAGATGTTGGAAACGTGTATGTATCCAAAAAATAAGAAATAAATAAACGGTAAGAAGAGACGAGATTCTTTTATAGCAGAAAAAGTTCAGATACGAAATTTAACGTGACTAACACGGAGTCTATTGAAATAAAAAGATGAAAGAAGAGAAGGAGTACTTGTCTACGTGATGAGATGATCACCAAGGTCTATTCTAATGGGAAAAAAAAGTTAGTAAATGAACAAACCAAGATCCTTTTTTTCTTTCTTTTTCTTGTATTCTCGCATTCCTAGCAATTCTTCTTGCGCGAAAAAATCCAATGGTCTTCAAAGGAAAACCATCCCCAAACAAATGTATGAGAAGACTCTTTTTTTTTCTATACTTAGCGTCTTCTTTACTTACCGTTCCTCCTTACTGTTACTACTATATATATATAGAGAGAGAGAGCAAATTCAGTATGAGTATGAATAAAAAGATGCTCTTTACAAACAGTGGGTGAGAGAGCCTTTATAATAATAAACCCAGCGGGTCCATCTTTAGTAATTTCTGGATTTAATGATCAAATTACTCACAAAAATTGCATAAGGCATTTTTGGATATCGGCGTCTCTGATTGGAAAATACAAATATTAAAAGCGCAACTTGCGATCCAATCATAAATTTGGAGCATGATAAATTAACAGTCAGCCACTTAGATAAGTCTATCTTGCGTAAGTTCTGTCGGTACTTTAAAGGATAATTTCCGGGGGATGATGATAATGGGGAGGCAGAGAGAACTGCTGTTTACATGAAGAAACCAAGGCGAGAGAAGAGGAAAAGATAAAAATAAATATAAAAATAATAAATAATAAATAAACTCAATAAAAAAAAGCGAAAAAAAACTTTTGAAACTTGTTGTTCTTTTATTGCTAATTTCCTAGTCATGGCTAATTTGCAAAAGAGAGTAGATAGATAAACGCATGTCCAGGCGGAGACTCGGCTATAAGAACTCAAATATCTATGGGGGATAGATTTTAGATAGGCTTGCAAGTGCATTTGAGGAAAGAGAAGAAAAACAAACAAACAGAGAAAAGAAATAAAAAAATTAAATGAAATGAAATGAAATAAAAAAAAAAACACCAACCGTCAAAAATGAATTTGAAAATAAATATAAAACGAAACACAATTTAGTTTAAATCTATAAAAATTTTTATTGTAGGTCGTACTGGGAATCGAACCCAGGTCTCGAGAATCAAAATCTCATGTGCTAGCCATTACACCATACAACCGACTTGTTCACTAGCTGTATTATATCCTATATGAAGAGTGAACAAGTGTAAAGTACTTGGAAGTAGAAAGAGAAGAGATGAGAACAAAAGGAATAAATCGTGAATGTGATTAGTACAGCAAACGAGGATGAATATGGAAATAGATATGTATTTATGTATAATTTTGAAAATAATAGAAAAACAATAGCATTTAATTATATAATAATGAAAAGAACAAAATAAAAAGAGAAAATATAAAAAAAAAAAGACAAATGTGGAGATTTTAGATTTGGTTGTAACAATTCGGTGCAAGTTGGATGCTGCCTAATCTATAAAAAAGCACCGATTTCAAAGAAGCGGATGAAGCGATTGATTATATTCTTTCATTCACAAATGTACTGTCATCAAAAATAAGCGTTTCGTTTTCGTTATGCGGAAATTCTTGGAACAACAGAATTCAGGTCTAAACTAGGCTCCAGGATGGGTGGCTTTGGCTTTTGAGCAGATCTCGATTGAAGAAAATCAATCGAAGGACCAGCATGCACTGTGGGAGCATCCTGGGCAGAGTTATGAAGATCAATAAGTAATTGTGCATAGATCTTGGTTTCATCGGATTCTCGAGCCCGTTTCTTATTCATGGATTCGGACGAGTACAGACATCCATCCACCCCGTTACAAATACCTTTCTCCCGAATCCGCTCAGTAATCTTTGGGTTTTCTGGGGTGAAATTTATTTCGTTGCCAACACGCCCCACTTTCAAGGGTACCGTCTTGGTCGACACATGCCCACCATGTCTGTTTGCCAAGCGGACTCGCTTGGACGAGTCTCCCAAGAAAACATGAGGATCCAACTCGATCGGCACCTCTGTATAAATGGCGTTCTTGGAACATGGAGGTTGAACAGGACAATTGTGACGTTGTAGTTCAGCATTTTGGATTTTGGGGGATTCTGAGTTATTGGATTCACTCGACAACTCCACACTCAATGGAGGTGTAACGTTTCGTTCAAGACATACATTTCTCATTTGCTTATGCATTGCTTCTAGTTGCTCCAATAGCAGATTGTTCTTTCGTTGAAGTTCCCCAATCAATTCCTGGTACTGTTCCTCGCGCACATGAAACTGCGTCTGTTCTGTTGTACCTACCGTCTCAGACGCAACGGGTTTAGGCTTGATGGGAATCTTTCTTTTTCCTTGCGCATTTAAAGCGGGCTTGCGGCCCGGCTTGGGTCGAGGTGGTACGACCCATTGCTTTGAAATCTTGACTGTAGGTGCTTTTGATTTGTCCAAGTCTGAAGATGAAACATCGGTTTCTGTCATTGTTTCGTGCTTCTCCATCCCAAAAATCTACAATGAAAATCGCTATCCGCGTTCAGTTTCAGTTTTCGTTTCGAAAAAGAATAACGAAACTACCAAGTTTATATAACAAATCACTCAAAATCAACCTCTGTAACTAGAACCAAACCAAATAAACCTTAGTGTTTATAGTATATTTTGGTTTTGGTGGTGAAGTTTGATCTGATAGATCTAAACAGATCTGATACGACTTGTTGGAATCGATGCAAAAATCTTACGAACATTGGAAGTCACTAGTGAGATCCAACGATAAAATCTTTATGATTCCTTCAACATGCATGATCTTTTTATATTTATGTTTCATTTATTCGAGTTTCTTTTCTTTTCTTTTTTCTTTCATTATTACACTTATCCTTTATCTAATTCCTTCAGTGTATTCCTCGTCGTTTAGCATGCTCTGTCAGTAGAAAATATCCAAATCTTAAGTATTTACGAGATGAATAAACAAGAGATAAATTTCGCAAAATTAGTATATTATCAGATGCCCGAATATTCCGTATCAAAGTATCTACAAACCAGATTTATGAGCCATACTAAGCAAAAGTCTGAATTGTTTATTACTGAATCGCAACACTGTATCCTAAAACAGTTTTATTCTTACGTGACTGCTTTCCAATAGTTGTATATAGTATGAAGAATATGCTTCTTTTTCCCTATCTCACAATTTATAACATGACCGACGTCGAAGGAGTTGCATGCTTCTGAATTGTCTACTGTTCATAAAGAGAGATTATTCAATGGGTGCAGTCCTTTTCCATATTTGGAGTCGGTGTAGATAATGTCGGATGGACCGACAGCATAGCTAAAAACCATCGTGAAGTCGTCGCTTCGTGCCATGGCTCGTGATGACCGAATGCTACGTACATTTGTATTAATACTTAAAGATAGTTTATATTTGGTATATGAATATGATTTATTTACAAAAAATTTATTACGCTTGTGTGGAACACCTACAAAGCTGTATGGATTTTAAAAAAATGTTTTTGACATTTTTGTAAAAATTTAAACGGATGTCCTTCTCTGTATAGCATCTAATTACTAAGGATAATTAAAAGTCAAAAAATAACAAAAGAATGGCAGCAAGATGGTACACTTATGTCAGAAATAACCTCCCGTTCAATCGTACATAGTGCTTTACGTTCGCAGTATTCGTTTGTAATATATGCTTTCATCCACTCAAAAAGACTCAATGTTTTTTCTCAGAAGATGCAGCCTTCTCTTCTGTATGATTTTTACTCTTGGGTTGCTCATTAGAATTTGACGTGTCCTCTTTCTTCTCATGCTCCACGTTCTCGGTCTCTGCACTCGTAGTTGTGTTTGCATTTTCATTTATATCTTTCGTCGTAGGCTGCTTCTCTTCTTTATTATCTTCGGTCTTTTCGCTAGTAGTTAAAGCATCTTTGGATTTCGCTTCAGTTTCGTCGGCATCAAGGTTTTTCGTCATACCTTTCTTTTCATCTTTTTTTACGGAATCCTGCTCTATCTTCGGAGCAGGACCATATTGTTCTTCAGAAACACTTTCAAGGTCACGAGTGTTTTCCTTTCGTCGACTGTTTTCATCCCTCTCTTTTTTCGCACTAGCAGTGGAATTCTTTTTACCTGTCTCTTCTTCGTAGGTGGATTCCAAATCACTATCATCTAATGCAAATGCAGAATTGGAACTTTCTATAGCTCCATTACTATCCAAAATTAATGACTGGCCTCCAGCAAAAGCCGAAGAGCTTGATTCAACTGACTTTCTAGTAGACGCTAAAGAAGAACGACCCATTACAGGTGATGATGTAGACTCTAATTGAAGGCGCTCAAAATCTTTTTCATTCAACATGTGTGGATCAGCTTCATAGGGAGGAAGGGATATTTTAGAATCTGGTCTTACGCTTCTCCGTGCAGGCGTGGGTGGAGGAATATCCTCGTATGCAGATTCCAAATCGGTAGCAGTAGAGGCTGAATTCTGGAATGGTTTATTATAAACCGGAGGTTCATTTATATCATCTTCGTATTCGTCACTTCCTTCGAGTTTGGAAGCAACTTTGTCCATCCATGCCATGCTTCGCTGCTTAATTGACTGAAATCCACGAACAAAATTATCTTTCAGAACAGGAAAATCATTTTCAAGAAATGAATAGTCTTCATTGTCTTTATCATAGGAGTACATCCTGTTTTCACTTCTTGGCATTGCTCTTCTATCCGTCATTGGTTTACGATTTGAATTACGATCACGGTTTGATGCAGGATACTTCTGATATCGCTTGGCTAGTCTCCTAGCACATAGTTCATCTTCTTCTGATTGCTTTTGAGCGGATTCTCTCGATAGCGTCTGGGGATGGGCTGAACTCAAGTGTAATTGTTCTAATTCATCTGCTACACTAGGATCATTCAGTCCTACAAACGTTAGACAATGCTAGACCTGGAATAAACTTGGCTAAATCAGAATACATAGAATAACAACCAACCGAAGAAAAGTCGAGACTATGACTAATTTAAATTCACATACCTAGTAAAGCATTAAAAGCTGGCTCAATATGAAATCCACTCGCTGCTAAAACTGCTCTAATGATCGCATCCTTTGAAGCTGTTAGTAAACATATCAGAAATTGCTGGAATGTATGTAGCCATTCTATAAAGTACGTACATCTGTATCAGGAAAGGCTTCTTTCAAGGTAGCTTTAGCTTGTTCATGTCTATGAGGAGGCCTAGTCGGTAATCTAGGAGCACTGGCTTCTGAATTCATAATTATGGTAAATTACTATGCCTTCAATAGATGAAGTTGACTAGTAAAATAGCAAGCTCGAATGACTGTTAAACAACTAAATATTTGAAATAGCAATCTCGTTTTTAATAAACAATACGTATAAATGCTGATGTTATACAGAAGGTATGTGAGTAATGAGGTACATTGTACATCTATCTAGCTTAGCACTTTCAATACAATGTAAAGTCTAACAACGAGTTGCAGTGCGACTATTTGGATTGAAAAGAAAAGGAAGAATTGAATATCATGCAATTAAATTTGGTAATAAATAACTTTTTCATTGTCCTAATTTAAATGGATTTCACCGATCTAGTTTCCGTGTTATATTAGCATAATTTTACCGGTAGACGACGCGATCAAAAGTATAGGGGAACTAGACAATTCATCACCATTGATTATCATGGTCTAAAGAGCCAAGAGGAATTGTCTTTCCATTAGAAGTCAAAGAGCATTCCAACTCAACCCAATGAGGTATAGGGCCAAAGCGTTGACTCTTGTAATGAACAACACCCAAGTTTTGAGAGCCGGTTACTTCAAAGGATATATCTATTATACCATATCGTTTATGAAGTTTACCTTTAATCCAAGGGAATGGGTATCTAAATTGGATATTATCGCCTAGAAGTATCAATGCTTCATTAGAATGTTGTACTCGATACATTACAATTTGTGTAACATTGGAGTTTTGTTTACCATAATGAATGGCATAAAAGGCACATGCAGCCCACACAACACAAAAAAAAGCAAAGAGAGATGGAATACGTTTGCTATTTGGAGAGAATTCAGAAATATCGGGAACTCTTCTGCGGGGAGACAATTCAGAAACAGAAGAAACACGAGATGTATGGAAGAAAGCAACTCCTTGGTGCAAGTTATATTTGAAAAGTAGGTCATTCGTTCTAGAAAAAAGTGCCGGTTTAAGATTCTTTGGATGCCAAAACAAATTATGATTAGTATTAGAAATTCCGTTGCTTAGATTATAAACATTTGACTGCAGGCGACTTGAAAGGGAAAAGTATTTCAGATTCGAATTTTTCATGCTCCACGTACCACGACCTGAAGTTAACGTGGGTAGACCGACTTTTGGATTTTTAAACCGTAGTAATGCAAACATGTTTCCATTAACTAAACAGGAAAGTGGAATTTATCAAGGGATCCAGCTCAACTGTCTTGCAATGAAGTTTGGTGATCAAAACACTCTTATAGTGACAATGACTGGAAAGATAGGCCAAATGGTAAGGAAACAATGAAATACAAGGGTTCTAAGTCGTTCGCCTTCAAAAATTCCTTAAAAGACCCTATAAACTAGTTTGATAACTGTGTTTTTTTTTTTTTTTTTTGCTCAAAGAAAAAGGGTTGTAAGCCAGAAATATGTGGGGAGTTGAAATATCATAGCCAGTTTAAGAGAAGCAATCCTTCCAAGTTTTATTTCTTAAGTGAATTTTTGGTTATTACCCTTTTTTTTTTTAAATTAAAAAAAAGTAATGATTGAGTTATGCTAACAGAAATCCTCATTGCAGTTCATGGTAACTTATGAAAGAAGTGTCGTTTCACCTTTAGTGCTTAACGAAGACATGTCTTCCTTACCAGAAATAGGTGTGAGAACCATTCTTGGTGATAGAGATGATTTTAAGGCACAGTGGGGTCAGTTGCTTGCTAGTCAAGTTGGTTCGCTACTAGCAAAGCAACAAATACACAATACGGGTAATTCGAAAGTACCTAAATTATGTTTAGGTCTCCATGTTCCTTGGGACTTATCCGATGAAAAAAATGGTGACTTGGTAGTCTATCTTATGGAGCTGATTCAAAAAGTACGAGTATGGTAATATTGAATCCTTGCTATGACTTTGTTCACATTTACATGGATTAAAGTATATATGCTCATTTGTTTCTATCGTAATCAATGGATTTTCATCAATCTATATCCTAAATATCATTACGAAAAAGTCACTCCTCGACATAGACCTCCCAGAAAAGATCAGGAAGTAGGAACTAATAATCTAACTGAAATTTTAAATTATCTCTATATTTGGGTTGTTGTATCCTTCCATGCCGCTGTTTGACTACAAGACTCACTGTAAACAACTCAACCTTGGCTAACTGGCAAAGTCCCTCTTCAGTAATAGTAATTCAATTGAAGAAATCAATCACATAAAAGAAATGATTGCTTTTCTGCTCTATTGACTGTAAAAAGTCGCTATCGTAATACATAAATAGTCTTTATACATTTTGTCAAAGATGGACTTTCACTCTTTGTGAAAATAAACAAACCAGTGGAAAGATGTTGTATTGTTTTGAAGAATTGTGAATAGAATTGGTGGATTTCATACTACCAGAATGAATATTAACAGCTTCCAGATATCTGATTGATTACATATCCTATGTTGACTATAACTAGTTAGATCAGTCAATTTTCCCAATGTGAAGATTTATTCTCTCAACTAGATGTATTTATATATATAAAGAAAAAACGAAAAGAAAAATAGTTAGAATGACACCTTTCTAATTTTAGACTCCTATAAATATGTGTTTTCGGTTATGTATCTTTTAAAATAGGGTATTTAATAATACAATAGTATTCTTGTATAAGAATATTAGTAATATCGTATAAGGGTTATGACAGTGACAAATTACCAACGTCTCCTTTAATTATTTTAAACTACTTGTTACACTGCGTTATGTGGATATAGAGACGTATGTTGGGTTCGACAAAACACTCGAAAGAAACTTGTTGATTAGACTTACATACAAAACAGTCTCTCCTTTGTCAAACTTGCTTGAAGATATTTATAAAAATGAGTGAACAAGATGCCATGGATACTCAGGAAAAGGTAAGTTCAGTGTTGGATACGTAGTTGACTAATCTTCAGGAACTTCGTGAGATGAAAGAGCGTGTTGCTGAAATGGAAGCTGAAGCAGCGAAGCTTCGAGCTATGCAAGAACAACTTGATAACGAAAGTGAAGCATTGCGAAACGATCGTGAATCCATTGACGCTCAAAGTGTGTACGTTGGAAATGTCGATTATAGTGTTACCCCCGAAGAACTACAAAGTCATTTTGGTAGCTGCGGCTCTATAAATCGTGTCACAATTCTCTGTGATAAGTTTACAGGACACCCAAAGGGGTAAGCGAGTGCTAAGAAGGAAAGGTTCGTCAATATTCTAACTAGCTACTTTAGTTTTGCCTATGTTGAATTTTCTGAGCCAAGCTTAATACCCAACGCTTTATTATTAAATGGATCGATGCTACATGAGCGTCCCTTAAAGGTATGATACTAAATAAGGAGATGTAGAGGTTCTATAGAGACGTTTGCTAACAAATTCATAGGTGACCCCAAAACGCACGAACATACCCGGAATGGCCCGTGGACGTGGTAGAGGCCGAGGACGTGGTCGTGGACGTGGAGGCTATAGAGGAAGAGCCCGTGGGTTCGCCCCGTACTAGGAATATTATCTAGAACCTTTTTTGTCTTCGTGAAAAAAAAAAAAAAAAAAAAAAAAAAAAAAATAATCGATAGCAAAAGTCTTTCAGTCTTTTCCAGAAATTATATTCTAGATTCTCATTTCAAAGATACATTTTAACATGTCAACTATATCCCATTATGAACATCAATTTTTTATGGACGGCTTTCGTTACTGCAAGATACTGAACGAAGTGAAGTTAGTCCTCGAATGAAAAAGGCTTGGATTGACGACTTATTTTCGGTTAAACAAGACAAGTTGTATTTATACGTTATATACGATACGTTACAGGGTTGTGTACGACAGCACTTTAGAAGAAGGAATGAGTACTAATATTGTGTACCCTACAACATATGAACGAGTCACCAACTATAGAAATCATACATACATGTATCTATTATTGTACACAAACGGCTATCTAGCATGTCTTTATATCGTAGTTAACAACGGATGCAAATAAGACGCTTGTCAAGGAATTGAATGATTTTTAGAGTAGATGCAACCATGACAACAACGCCAGAATATTGTATTGAAACGTTTCGCTATTTGAAATAATTGAAAATTTCAATCAATTGCAGACTATTGTAATCATGACTGATGATTTATTATATAATGAATCAATCCAGGCTTGCAGATTTTATTTTACTAAGCTGAAATACCAATGATGCAGCAAAGGTGTCATTACTGAATTAACTAATGAGACATGCATGCTAAGCAAGCATAAAGAAGTAAAAATGAGTAGAAATTTTTTGAATTTTTATAAATTAATTTAATCAGGTTTTTTTTATTTTGTTTTTGTTTTCGTTTTCATTTTTATTTCATTTTGTTCGGTTTCACTAAGTTTGCTACGCGCGGCTAAAACCATTTTAATTTTGCAAAAATTTTTTCTGTTTACAATTTAATTAAGCGACACGGAAAGGGCTAGTGCACGGCATTTTGTTCCCTTTTTTTTGATGTAAAAGTCGCATTGCCATACAACAGCTGATTTTAATAGATTAAAAATTTGCAGTTTTTTTTTTTTTGTAATTCTCTCAGCTTACTTCATCTGCTTTCCTTTGAAATTTGAGCCTACCTATATTAGAAATTGTAAAGAGGCTTCGCTATCCGGCTCCACACTTATTCATACTCGCTCTTACCTTTAGCCATTACCTTTCTACTCACAATTGAAGGTGTTGTGAGGTTTTACTAAACCTTTAGTTTCTTTTTCCTTTGCTTAAAAGTGGATTAAGTACGATAGAATAGGAGTATGGAACAAGGAACAAAAAGGATCCGATTTTCCATCATGGCCGCTGAAGGCCTAGCCAAGAGAGATTTGTTTCGTCAACCGGATCCTTTTGCTATCCTTACAGTAGATGGAGAACAAACACATACGACGAGAGTAGTAAAGAAGTCTACGAATCCGTATTGGAATGAAGGATTTGATATGTAAGTAATCGGTTATGTAAAATGAACAATTGCGCCTGAGAAAAAAGGAATAACAATATAATTCTTATTAATTTAACAAGAATTCATTATCTTCTGATTGTTATTTTTACTACATGTTCCGAAACCTTCATACTGTCTTTCGGTTTACAATACATCGTAGTTAGGCAGTTTGAAGGAAGAATGTATCTCAGGGACATGTCCTCAATCATCATAGGAACAAACATTGAGTATCTTTAATTGAAGATTTACTAACAACTTGCTTTTAGTGTTGTAAAACCTTCCAGTGGAGTCTTAATACGATTGTTTGACCAAAAAAAATTTAAGAAAAAAGATCAAGGATTTCTCGGTCTTGTTTCGTTTCAAGTTCAGGATATATCAAACCTACGATCTTCTCGGGAATCGACGTTCACCCGACCTTTAAAACGGTCAAGCACTAGCAGTCTTTCAGTCGTTGGGAATCTTGTCATGAAACTTGGACCTTCGAAGACGAGAGGTGCTGTCGCCAATGGTACAAATGCAGGAACAAACAGTACCTTAAGAACTTCAAATGCTGCTTCGACGCAATCGAGTACACAAGGATCTTCAGCATCAAACGTTGCTGCTGCTTCAGCTTCTCAAAATACTACAAGTAACAATGCTTCTGCGTCAAGGAGTCAAACGGATGCAAATGGTAGCAGTATTTTATCATCCTTTGAAGACCAATACGGTCGCCTACCTCCCGGTTGGGAGCGCCGTGCCGATTCTTTAGGTCGAACATACTACGTTGATCACAATAACCGTACAACGACTTGGAATCGTCCGTCCATGAATTCTGGTAGTCAAGCATCTATGAACACCGAATCACATCGTTTGCAACATCAAAATCGGTCTCTTCCAGATGACTCATCTACAATTAACGTTTCCAGTAATGATTTGCCTGCTGGTTGGGAACAACGTTTTACTAACACCGGTCGACCTTATTTTGTGGATCACAACACGCGTACGACTACGTGGGTGGATCCCAGAAATCAACTCCTTCGCCCCACTGGACATCCTTCACCTGGTTTGGGTTCCTTAATGCAACCTCAGTCGCTCTCCCATTTAGGTCCTCTTCCAAGTGGATGGGAAATGCGTCTCACTAATTCCGCTCGAGTGTACTTCGTTGACCATAATACAAAAACCACCACATGGGATGATCCGCGGTTACCATCAGCTCTGGATCAAAATGTACCTAAATACAAGTGTGATTTCAGAAGAAAACTTATTTATTTCCGTTCTCAGATGGGCATGCGACCTCTTCCTGGGCAATGTAATATCAAAGTTAGAAGAGATCATATATTTGAAGACTCTTATGCGGAAATTATGCGCAATTCTGCTCAAGATCTTAAGAAAAGACTCATGATTCGGTTTGAGGGTGAAGACGGTCTTGATTATGGTGGATTGTCTAGGGAGTTTTTCTTTTTATTGTCACACAAAATGTTTGATCCTATTTATTGCTTGTTTGAATATTCTGCCGTTGACAACTACACGCTTCAAATAAATCCTCATTCAGGAATTAATCCCGAGCATCTTAACTATTTTCGGTTTATCGGTAGAGTTATTGGTTTGGCTATTTTTCATCGACGATTCCTTGACGCCTTCTTTGTCGTTAGTCTCTACAAAAAGCTTTTACAGAAAAAGGTTACACTTGCTGACATGGAAAGTATTGATGCTGATTTCTATCGTAGCTTGAAATGGGTATTGGAAAACGATATTACGGGTATTCTTGATCTTACTTTTTCTGCTGAGGAAGATCATTTTGGAGAAGTAAGGACAATTGAACTGAAGCCTAATGGTGAAAATATTGAAGTCACCGAAGAGAATAAAAAAGAATATGTCGATTTAGTAACTGAGTGGAGAATATCCAGACGTGTGGAAAATCAATTTAACGCCTTCTATGCAGGTTTTGTGGAACTGGTGCCTCCTGATTTAGTTAGTGTATTTGATGAACGCGAGTTAGAGTTGTTAATTGGTGGTATATCAGATGTTGATATCGGTGACTGGAAGAGTCATACTGAGTATCGAACTTATTCTTCATCAGACCAAGTTGTTAAGTGGTTTTGGGAAATTATTTCAAACTGGAAGAACGAAGAACGTTCAATGTTGTTACAGTTTGTGACTGGAACATCTAGGATTCCCGTTAATGGTTTTAGAGATTTACAGGGAAGTGATGGCCCTCGTAAATTTACTATTGAGAAAGCTGGATCACCAGATCAGCTTCCTGTTGCGCATACATGTTTCAACAGGCTTGATTTACCCGAATATCCAACAAAAGCCAAACTTGAAGGTAAGTTGAGCTTGGCTATAGAAAATACAGTTGGATTTGGAAATGAATAATGTATCTATATTATGACGGTATGCTTTTAAAAATAATTAAGATGATGATTTACAATTTTGTTGACGATAATGATCTGCCTTGGAGCATGATACAAACATTACATGAAATAAATTCTTTTTAGTCCATTATGCGCGTAAGTCGTTGTGTCGAAAAGGTTCCCTTTAACAAGTATGCAAAAATAAAAATATAAGGGTTCTTTTGTAATTTTTAAATTGTCATTATCAGTGTAAATGTTGAAAAATTTCGCATTAACCAAATATCATATAATAAGATCTTGCTATATTGGTATAATATGTATTACCGCTCAATCTTAGACATAGATTGTACATTGGATAGTCTAATCTACAGGGGTTAAACACATACTTTAGTAAATGCATAAGCATGTTTAGCATTATAAAGACAATGCCGGCGAGCAAGAGGTTGCTATTACAAAACCATCCTCTACAATAGCAATTAAATAAATTTCATACTTAATATATTTTAACCTACAGTTTTATTTCCAAACGTTAATCCAACCAAATGGTTTACGCTTAGCTGAATCGACCTGAGTTGGTGTTCGTGGTGGTGAGTATAACAACTTGCGTCCACTGCAGGTCAAGGAAAATTCTTTGCAGTCTGGTTTATTCTCTTCAATTCTCCTGAAAATTGAATTAGAAAAAATGGGGAGATATGGTGGTAGCCTTAGTCGTGATTTAGAACGCAAAATATACGATCGTTTGTGTTCTATTCGTGACCCAACTTGCCATACAGATATTGAGGAATGGCCTATATCGACGAGACGTGCAGTACAATTCGTTCAAGAAAGAGACCTAACTTTAAGAAGGTTAAAACGTCCTGTCTTAGAAAAAACTGTAGAGAAGGTCTTGGACATAATGAAGGCAGAAGACGATGAATCCTCTGCCGCAGATCAAGACGCTGTTCTCGTGGAAAGTGATCCTGAGGATTCGAATTCATCAAGGTTGATGGAAGTAAAGGTTTGTTAATGGCGCTTTCATGCAGTTACTAATCATCTATAAAGGACACGAATGTTGTGAACAAGAGCATCACTAGTCTTTGGAATACATCAAACCCTACTACTGATGAAGATAAAAAATCAAGTAATCAAGAAAATACAAAGAGAAAAGATCGACGATCGAAGACTTCAAGCAGTGCTAAACGACTCAAAAGTATGTCTCTTGCCTTGCTCAGTTACCTTTCAGCTAACTTAAGAAAAAGGCACCGAAACTTCAAGGGATCCACCGACTGGTATTTCTTTAAAAGATGTTGGTGGTCTTGATGAATGTATAACCGAATTACTTGAAACGGTTGCAATGCCAATTAAACACCCGGAAGTTTACCAACATACTGGCATTCAACCTCCAAGGTTAGTTAAATATTCCTATAAACTTATTTCTAACAGTTTTTAGAGGTGTTTTGTTACATGGTCCACCTGGTTGCGGTAAAACCATGCTCGCCAATGCTCTTGCCGCTGTATGTATCATTTTAACTCATATTTTTCTCTAACATGGTTTTAGGAGCTTGGAGTACCCTTTCTTTCGATTTCTGCTCCCTCTATTGTTTCTGGAATGTCCGGTGAATCTGAGAAAAAGGTTAGAGATGTGTTTGAAGAAGCGAAGCTCTTGGCTCCTTGTCTAATGTTTATTGATGAAATTGATGCAGTTACACCAAAGAGAGAAAGTGCTCAACGAGAAATGGAACGAAGAATTGTTGCTCAATTTTTGACTTGCTTGGATGGTACGTTATATTTCCTCGAAAACTATTATTAATGCGACATCAGAGCTATCTTTTGAAAATACTGGAGGAAAGCCTGTATTGGTGATAGGTGCTACCAATCGTCCCGACTCTCTTGATAGTGCTTTAAGACGGGCTGGTCGGTTCGATAGGGAAATTTGCTTAACTGTCCCAAATGAAGAGTCGAGAGAGAGGTTAGTATTGTAAGCTTGGAAATTTATCTAACGATGTTTAGAATTTTGCGTACAATGGCAAAAGGCCTGCGTTTAAGTGGTAACTTCGACTTTCGCCAGTTGGCTAAACAGACTCCCGGTTACGTGGGTGCTGATCTTAAAGCATTAACATCTGCAGCTGGTGTTATAGCAATTAAGCGAATTTTTAATGAACTGACTGCTTTAAAAAAAGACGCTGAAGACCCCAATGCTATGCAGACTGATCAAGAGGAAATAACTTTAGACATGGATTCTGCTGATGATAATAATGAAGATATGCACATGTCTGTGATTCAAAGATATTTAAATACCCATCCAGATCCTTTGACTCCAGAAGAATTGGAACCATTGGCCATAGGACCTCATGATTTTGTAGAAGCTCTTTCAAAGGTGCAACCATCATCGAAGCGTGAAGGATTTGCTACTGTGCCTGATATAACCTGGTCTGAAGTGGGTGCTTTGAAGTCCATACGTGTAGAATTGCAGATGGCCATTGTTCAACCTATAAAAAGACCAGAACTGTATAAAAGCGTGGGTATCACAGCACCATGTGGTGTATTGTTATGGGGTCCACCAGGGTGCGGTAAAACACTATTAGCAAAGGCTGTCGCAAATGAGAGTAAGGCAAATTTCATTTCAATCAGAGGACCTGAACTTTTAAACAAGGTACGTTCTTATATGTACAATATCATACTAATTTTTAACAGTACGTTGGAGAATCTGAAAGGGCAGTTCGTCAAGTATTTGCTAGAGCTCGTGCTTCTTCTCCTTGTGTAATTTTCTTTGATGAATTAGACGCTATGGTCCCCAAACGTGATGACTCCTTATCTGAAGCATCATCTAGAGTAGTAAACACATTGTTAACCGAACTCGATGGATTAAACGACCGTGCCTCTGTTTATGTCATTGCAGCTACAAACAGACCTGATATTATTGATGCAGCTATGTTAAGACCTGGACGTTTGGATAAAACACTGTTAGTTGATCTTCCTGATGCACATGAAAGAGTGGAAATTTTGAAAACCATAACCAAAACCACGCCTTTAGATTCGGACATCAACTTAGAATTAATTGGTCGTGATGAAAGATGCAGTAGTTTTTCTGGTGCCGATTTAGCTGCGTTGGTCCGTGAAGCAGCGGTAACGGCTCTTCGTTCAGCGGTTTTCCAAGACATTGCTTCAAACGAACCGGAGATGACTCAACATACTGCAAATGCACCCATTCGCGTAACAATGGCCGATTTCGATCTTGCCTTTAAAAATATAAGACCTAGTGTTTCTGACCGTGACCGTCAAAAGTACCAACGACTTGCGAAGAGATGGTCATCTGCTTCCCAGGAAGTTGAATAATTATAAAAAATTGAAGAATTTTTGGATTTAATAGGTACAGTGGCATTTCATAGGAAAAAAAATGGATTTTAGGTATAAGCTTTTATAATTGATTGAAGGATATTAATTTTTGATTTACTTCGAGTTACAAATGGTTTGTATGTTGACCAAGGTAAGACTGATTGTGGAGCATTTTACGACGTCCCTAATTTATACAAACGTAAGAAAATATAAGTTTTTTATTTTAACATAAAAGATTAAAAAAAAGAGTAAACCATGATTTTTCAAAAGAAAGAGATGCTTAACATTGTGGAAGAGTAAACTTGTTTACTGTACCCTTGACAACCTACTAACAACCCATACACGGTTGCAAAGAATCGACAACAGTTAAGTGAACAATGAGGTTGTTAACCGCTTTTACCTTTTTATTTGCTTTGTTCTATACATCAAATGCTGTTTATTTTTACTTTGATGGTTCTAAACCGAAATGTTTCTTGAAAGACATGAGCAAAGGAAGAATGGTTACCGGTTCTATACAGCCTGAACAGTGGAATGAAGAGTTGAAGAAATGGGTTCCTAATGAGAAAACTAAAATCCGTGTTCAAGTTGATGTATGATATAAAGAATGAAATGCAGTTTACTAACGTTATGAAGGAAACATTCGCGAACAATCACATTACTTATCAGAAGTCCTTAATGAATAAAGACAAGCTTCGTTTTACTCCTCAGAACGAAGGTACACACCGCATTTGTTATATATCCGATAGTGATGGTGGATGGTTTTCTTCTACAAAGACTAGGCTACATGTTGATATTGGTTCTGATGATAAATATAATCTAATAGCATCATCAGAAGACGAAGCAAAAAGTAAGTGACAAATGGCACTCTGAAAGCTGACAATTTAGATGTTGCTGATCGTGTGGAAGCACTAAATTCACGATTGGAAAGCGTTTATAAAGAACAACTCAAGCAACGTAACCGTGAAATGGCATTTCGCGATTCCAGTGAGCATGCAAACTCTCGAGTTGTTAAATGGACTTTCGTTCAGATCGTCATACTATTAGTAACTAGTGCTTGGCAGTTATCTCATCTTCAACGTAAGTTAAAGCACCATTCATTGTACTAACCCAATAGATTTTTTTGTAAAGGAAAAGTTGGTCTAATCAACTCTTTAAGAGTCAGTATATTCGCCTGCTGCTACTAAACTGGAGGCAGAATGTTACTAGCCAATGATAGAGCGCTCGTCTTTACTTGTAATAGTGTCAAGCTTCTCTAAGATCCGTTTATATATACAAATAAACTATTATGTTGTTATTACCTAGACACGAATTATCTTCTCTTATTTGCAACAGAAATCGTAAAGGAGAATTATGAATCTTGGACTACCAGAATCTATATAAACATTAAATTAAGATATTTATTCATAAGCAAACAGTTTCATAAAGCTTACAATTACATCTAAGTTTTTAGGTGCTCAGTGCTGGTAAGTAAACGATGGATAGTTCGTTTTGCAATCCGTACCTTCCGTTGAGTCTAAGAGTTGCATTTTTTTTAAAGTATCTTGGAATTCATAATGAACCGTCTGTAAACTTCCAATAGCAATTTGAAATTGGAGTAGTTCGATATTATATCTTTCAAATTCAAGAACTTCTTTCCCGAGCTGAAATTTCGATGGATCATCTTTATCCAACTCATAATCGTAGGTACGATTGGGCTGTTCCTGAATTACTTTTTCATTAATAGTCTTGAATGGCTCAGCAAAATCACTGCATGTAATAGAAGAAAGTGAGGATTCGCTGTTGGAAGCATCCGTTAAGTCGTTGCTACTGCTTTCAGTAGCAGACCCCGAAAATGACTGTGAAGACGTTTCCTGTTCCTCAAATTTTTTGTCTTCAGAGGGAGAATCATTTTCTTTAGAAAATTTCTCTTTTAAAATTTCAGGTACCTGTTTATCAACTGCTTTTTGGGAAGGTTCTTTAGAGATTACGTCCACCGGTTTAATGTTTTTGTATAACTGGAGGGTTAAATTATTCATTTGAAACTTGGGATACTCCTTTTTTCCAAAGTATGACACAAGAGAAGTGCATACATTGCAAAAAAAGGTCTGGAAACTGGGTATAATGTTCTGGCATGTCTCCTGAAAGTATTGAATCTGGTTAAACATGAAGCTTGAAAAAGTAAGTTGCAAACAAAAGAACGAATTTGCTTCTCTTTTTATTTTAAAGAATGTTTTCTTGCAGCTCTCCAGTTCATGGAGCAACTGTTCCCTGAGTACTTCCTGATGGATTGAATAACTTTGAAATATTGGCTTTTGTGAGAATAGTATTAGGAAATTTATAGAAGACATGGAAAACTCAAACATGTCCTTTGCTTTGGTCCATCCAAAATGAACTAACCCATTTGTTTCCAATTCTTTGATCCAGAAATTCAGCTGCTCGTTAATTTCGTGAAGAGGTGAAACTGCATTCATTTTTTTTATAAGTTCAATTTTAGATTGACTTTGACTGTGAAATGGTACAGGAAATGACATAGCGAAAAAGATGTTAAACACATTTTTCAATCGAAAGAACAGCTGTAAAAACTTCAGACAAATAATCGTATCTTTTTCGTATCTACTTAATTCCATTATGAATTGCGATCAAGTATTTGCAGACGATGTCTTAAAGTCTTACATACCCATTTTTATAAGGTTGTACTATGTAAACAAAAGATGTAAACAATCAATGAAACAAACGAAAGCGTAAACAAACTCTGACAATTTAGATCACCCTAAGGTTTTTGATTATATGGTTATAATTCATTATTTACGAATATTAGTAATAAATCAAGAAGGAGGGCTAAACTGTCGAATAAATTATGAAATCAATGTAAGTAACTTCATTATCAACTAGAACAACAAAAGTTTGAAGGGAAATATTGTAAGTATTAATGTGGGATTAATTTAATTGTTTAAATATAACTTTCATTGTCCAATAGGTATTTTCTAAAGGATACTTTTTCAAACGTAAAGTCCTTTTTTACTTCTTCCTTTGATCTGATTTCGGATAAACTATCCAAAAACACTTTGATGTTTTCTTTTCTTTTTTCTAAGTCTAAATTTTCGATATAATTTTGCTGCTCAAGCTGGCCAGTTTTTTTAGAAGGGTATTTGCATTTGATCATCGTGTCTGCCATAAACTCATAAATGTTGGGAGAAGCAGCAAATCTGAAAGGAAGCTTAAATATTGAATCCCATTGTAAGCAAAAAATAAAGAATACGAGAAACAAAACGTTCTTGCTCCATGTTTCAGTAAGCTTCAATTTCACGAAATTAGGGCTTTCAGCATGTAACGAGAATTTGTGGATGATGAAAATTATTGCTCGTAGGAAAACTAGGATAATGAGATATTTTATGGCATATTCACTTAAAAAGCTCCGAATCTTTTTGAACCCTTTCTGAAGGCTTCGGTTGTATGTCGTATTTGCAGCCATTAATCGATTCAATTTGCATTGGGATAATTTACAACTGCATCCCGTTTTATTGGTAGTTTTTTTTGCTAATCTTTTGAAAGAATATTTGAAACGTTTATACTCAAGTAGGTAGCAAATTCCCGAATATAATCGAGAACGTAAGTTGTACTTCTGAAAGTCCAGCGAAACTTGTTTTTTCATTTGATTAATCCTTTGATGAAGTAGAAAAAGGTTCCCCTCTAGCATAACACTTACGGGTGATGGTTGATTATGTTCTTCAAAACAGTTAATGGCTTCTTCCAAAGAAGAAAGCTTTAAGTAAACAGTCGTTTCTACATCTTCAATAAGAGATGCAAAGAATGCACTCAGAAACCCGCATGATTTGAAGACGTTATATGAGGCCGGTCTTGAAATTATCCATACGACGCATATAAATGTCAGTATAAGCCAAAGCAATGATTGCAGTTCCATTTTTCTACCAAAGTTAAGATTGCTTGTATATGATTGTGTTTAGAATTGGTCGACCTTTAACATACACTTGATTGTTTTTCCATGTCCGTAAACAAACAAATTGTAAACAAATCTTTACTCCGTTATCCAACCATAATAAGTGAAAAGGCTATGGAAATAACATAAATAATTGATTTGTTAAAATGAAGAAAATACATTATCTCCTTTTTTTGTTCTTCAAAGGCTCAAACATCCATAGTTCATACCCTTTGTTTCCATCATCAGTTGTACAAAAAGTTCCATCCTTCAAGTTAGAAACACCTAAGTTCCAAATATCATCTAAATCATCTAAATCATTCTTAGTTGCCTATATTTGAAACCACTAACCAGTTAACTAGCACGAATGCACCAGGTTAGTATTTCCTTGTCTTTTGACCTCTGAATTAATTTCATTAGAGACAAATGGAGTTTCTCACGAAAAAAGAATCGTAAAGAGAAACTTTTACAAATATTGAAGAGTATAAATTCTTCCTGACACAACTTAAATCATAGTAAAGAGGATTTCTTTGTTTGCCTACTACGATAGGTTTGATTAAATCGTGCATCTTAATTGCTACACCAAGATGAATAGAGTAAATAGGCATCCGCTCTAAATAATTGGAAAAATCCTAATCAAGAGATCGGTATTCAAAAGGGGGTTAGCATCGCGGCGAATTAGTCATTTATCTCTGTTAAACGTGCTTGCCAAAGTCGCTAGTAACCTGTAAACAAAGTGTATTACAACTGAAACTTAAGGTCGATCGCTTTTCATTCCAGAAAACTAAATTAAAATTAAATTTGTTTTGTTCAAAGGCTCTCAAGAGTTATTATCTATTCATTGAGTTTACCATAATGTTCAAGAGACGAAAGAATCCGAAAGGTTTGATGCTAAATCCTAATGCAAAACCAAAAGATGAGCTAGTCGATAATCAAAAAACCTTTGAACACAACATGGAAACATTTATGGAGCAGTGTGCCAACGTTAATCAGCGGCCTGCGTGTATCTCCGATTTAAGTAATCAAAACTTAACGGTAGTACGTCGTCTAGGCGAAGGAAATGGAGGAGCAGTGGCTCTTGTCAAGTACAAGAATCTATATATGGCTCGGAAAACGGTATATGTGGGCGCCAATACAAAACTCCAAAAACAGATTCTGCGTGAATTGGGAATTCTGCATCATTGTCGATCCCCATTTATCATTGGATTCTATGGAGCTTTTTTGAATGAAAATAGCATTTGCTTATGTGTTGAGTACATGGACTGTGGTTCTTTGGACGCAATTCTTCGTGAAGGAGGACCTATTCCATTAGATATACTCGGTTGCATAATCAATTCAATGGTAAAAGGACTTATTTATTTATATAATGTGATGCATATTATTCACAGAGACTTGAAACCTAGTAATGTCATCATTAATTCATTAGGTTATATCAAGCTATGCGATTTTGGTGTCTCAGGCGAACTGGTAAATTCGATAGCTCATACCTTCGTTGGCACATCCACTTACATGTCACCGGAAAGAATTTGCGGCGGTGATTATTCAGTGAAAAGTGATATATGGTCCCTTGGAATCACTATTATTGAGCTGGCTACACAAGAACTTCCATGGTGTTTTTCCGGCGTTAATGAACCAATGGGTATTCTGGACGTTATGCATTGCATCGTCCAAGAAGATCCTCCTAGACTGCCAGATTCCTTTCCCGAGGACCTCCGCCTGTTTGTCGATGCTTGTTTACATAAGGATCCCAATCTTCGAGCTTCTCCCCAAGAATTATGTGCAATGCCTTACTTTCAGTATACTCTGATGAAGAATGTCGACGTTGCCTCGTGGGCATCTCAATTTCGTTCACTTTAGCTGATTGTTAGTTTATTAACAAGCCTATCAAAAATAACCAGGGCTTCATATAGCTTTAGATACATCGTTAAATTCTTTTATTTTTGATTAGTTATACATGTTTAGAAGGTTTTTTATTTTGTCATACCCAGAGTTATCGATTTGGTTGCTTTTTCTTTTTAATCTCAAAATTTTCAAAGCTGAGCCATATCTATACATAAATTCATTACATTTTCGTTTTAGCTATAATATTTGAACAATGAAAATAATCATTAGATATGTGTGTATTGATGAAATGCCCGTAATTAATTTCTTACGAAGTGATATCCCAACTGGAAAACCACAGATTCTGCAGAGAATCACCACCGGCTGTAATTTTAGGATTTAAGAACAGATTTGAAGGAAGTCTCTATTCTTCTCTTTACTCGTTCTTCTTTTTATTGTTTTTCTACAAAATCCAATTAAACAGAAATTTATCGGTTTTCTGTTTTTCACATGTCTAATCCACCGGATTCACAAACTCAGCAAGGGACAGGTACTAACGATTATAAATCAAAGATAGCCTTATTGTTTACTAACGTCTTAGAATCAAATCATTTATCTGAACAAACACGCATAAATGCTGAAAACATAGTTCACCATGCTGAGAAGCTCAGCGAAAGACCAGAATTACTAGAATCTCTACAGGATACTATTCTTTCCTCCATTGTAGATGATAAAACATCAATTGAAGATGTTGAAGCTACCTTAAAATACGTTTTGGATATATCGGGGGAACATAATGCGCTATTGACTACTTGCCTTGTAGATTTGTTTTGGCTTTTTGATAACGAATTAGAGAACTTATGCCATTCAGAAGGATTGCAGAAGTCAAGGGAAAGACTCAACTACTTAGTTAATAGCCTTAAATCTCTCCTTCCCCATGAAATCTTGTTGTCTCGTCTTGATAGTAAATTTTTGGAAACGATTAGCTTGACGTCTAATGGAGACTTACTTAATAGAAAGATTGCCAGAACGAACACAACTTTACTTTATCGTCAAAAAAAGTTTAATTTATTGCGTGAGGAGAATGAAGGATATTCAAAATTAATGGTTGAAATTATTGACGGTTACAATTGCTTTCGTTCTAAAACTTTGGAAACACACATCCTATCTTCACATATTAATGAGCGAATCAAAACAATTATTGGATCCTTCAACTTGGACCCGAACAAGGTCTTGGATACCATCTTAACGATATTTTCGACCAACATTGTCGATGGTTGGAAATTCTTTCTTGAGTTATTAAGCGACAGTCCTTGGAAGCCCGAAAACCAAAAAAAGTTTTGGAAGGATATGTCAGATGATGAACAAGAAAAAGAACTAGGCAGTTTTCTTTACGAAGAAGGAAGCCTTTCTTTTTCTCCTGTTTTTAGCGGTAAAAAAAGTACGATGGCCCAGATCCTTGGCCATGACTTGCAATATTTATATAACGAAAACGACTCTACTGATGAATCGATATATTACTTAATTGCAATTCTACTGAAGTATGGTTTCTTTGGACTCGATAACATTTGGCCTCACCTTTCTCCTTCAGATGATGATATGAGCAAAGAATGGGATCGTTACAAAAATAAGGTTGACGATTTATCATTTAAAGCTAAAGGAAATGCATTGACTATGGCTGCACCGTTGCCAGACGAGGAGACAGAAACCGGTGTAGCAGCAAGTGATGTTCCAGAAAAGCAACAAGAGCCAGCAAAACCGAAGTCCTCTCAAAAGATTGGCGTACTTAAGGCTTTACTGGCAATTGGAGAGTTGAAAACGTCGCTGGCAATTTTGGGAAGGTACCCCTTTATTTTACGAGCTTTTCCCGATCTTGCAAATTTATACCACAAGCTGTTACACGTTTCATTTGCTCCTGTGTATTCTTTTTTTAGTCCTCAAAATAGACTTTCGAAGGAGACTAAGGAACGCTTAAAGCAGCCTAAATACGTTCCTACTGACGTCCGATTACGTGAAATTACACTTCGTCCTCCTGATCGGAAAAAATTAGAATATGGAATTGATCCCTTCGGACATCGCAGAAATCAAACACAGCAAGAGGTATTTTTTTACGAAGAATATAAAGATGAGAATATTCCTTTGCTGAAAACGGCCGAAGATTTTTATCAGATCGGCATTCCTTGGTTAGAATTATCGGGAATTGCTCTTCATTACGATCCTACTTTAATCATTAAGCTCTGCCGTATAGCTAAAGGCTTTCTTGGGAAAAGCTCAGAGAGACGTGACCTCTGGCTAGACGTTATTCGCGTTATTTTACTACCTGTTTATAGTTTAGTAGGGGTTAATATTGGCTTATCGAATGAGCTTTATGATTTGTTGACGTTATTCGATCCTTCAACAAGATACTCGCTTTATGGAGAGTGGTCAAGTACTACCATCAAAAAGTACCCAGAATTAAAACTTCAGCTAATCAGCACCGAGCGCGAAACTAAGGGAATTTTGAGACGATTGACAAAAACAAATGTCAAGCAGACAGGTAGATTGCTCGCAAAAGTTTGCCATAATATTCCTTACCCCGTATTTTCTATTGCACTGAACCAAATAGAAACATATGACAACCTCGTGGAGGTTATTGTGGATTCGGCTCGCTTTATGACTGCCCTTGATTTCGATGTTTTGACATTTGCAATACTTTCTTCTTTCTCAAATGAAATGAAAAAGAGACTGAAACCCGATGGAACAAGTATCGCACATTGGCTACAAGGTTTAGCTTCCTTTTGTGGAAAAGTCTTTCGAAAATATTCAAACCTCGATTGCACATTTATTGTTGAATATTGCATAAAACAATTGAAATTGAATCAGATGTTTGATCTTATTGTACTGAAAGAATTACTTTCTCAAATGACTGGACTACAGCCTTGGACAAATTTATCCGATACTCAGCTTCAAGGAGCAGCTGGGGGTCCTTTTCTTCGAGAAATTAGCCTGTCATTGATTTATGAAAATAAAGAATCAATGAAGAAATGCTTTTCACGGCTGTTTATGACTTTGAGAAAAAACGGGCTTGTTACTCAACTAGTTATACTACTTGCTCAGAAATTTAGTAGTAGTGTTTACGATGTGACAGAGGGAAATTCACATTTAAAACTCGTGTCAGCTTTATATGATGATTGTTGTGATGTCCTTTATTTACTTATGGAATTCCTGAGTATGACTTGTGACAGACGCGATTATTACGAATTATTGCCTTCCTTTGATGAAATGGTCAAAGAATACCATATCCAGCCTCACGTTGCATTCTTCATACTAAGATATAGACACCTGAAGTCAAATCATTCCAACTTGGATGAATATGTGGATGATCCTATGGACATTGACAATGATGCTAAGGCCAACGCCAACGATGAACACTCAATTGGGATGATAAACTTCCCAGTCTCGACGTCGTCTATAATAAGTTTACTTCCCGAGAATGTTTGGGAGTGCATAAACCCTGATCTGTATGAACTATTTTGGAAACTCTCAATTTATGACATCTATGTTCCTTTAGAGAGGTATGAGTATGAAAGCAATCGTGCTTTTGAACAATTCCGCCAGGTTGAGGTTTCTGGTCAACCATATTCCAAGAGTAAACAAGAATGCCAAAAGTTGACGACTTTATCGGATAATTTACGAAACGAATTGAAGGACCACATCCAGTCGCTAGAAACCACCAGGAAAGACTTACAAAGTAAGTGTACAAAGTGGTTCCTTCCTATGGATACACAACGTTTGCATCCCAGGGGCCTTGCATCACAATACTTTTGGAGTTACTGCATTGCTCCTAGACTAAGAATGGGCCCTCTTGATGCCCTTTACTGTGCTAAATTTATTAAACTACTTCATTCTCTCAATGCTCCTAATTTTTCTACCATATCTTTCCTCAACAAGCTGTTTGATTCTCATATACCATCTTTTGTTTTTGCATTAACTCCACGGGAGTCCGATAATTTTTCCAGGTTCCTTTTCCAAATACTTAATGACGTGACACATTGGTACAAGGAAAAAAATATTTATGAAAAGGAATGCTTAGGAAATGGTTTACTTACTGGTTTTCGGGTTGATTGGCTTGACGAAAATGGTCCCTCTCTTTTGCAACACAATAAGTTTGTACTTCTTGTAAGCAAATGGCACAAACAATTAACACAGTATTTTGAACAGTGTTTGATGTCAGGGGAGTACATGCATATCTATAACGCGATAATCATCTTAGAAAAGATTCTTCCATGTTTCCCTTTGATCCAAGAAAGTGGGCAATCATTAAAGAAAGCAGCTGATAACCTTAAAGAGAATGAAAAGCGAGAAGACATTAAAATCTTAGCTTTGGGCTATTATGCTAAGCTGTGTAAAAAGGAACCAACCTGGGTTTCATTCAATACATTTTCTGGGACTATAAAACCCAAAGCCTCTACTCCAGTCACTGAAAAGCAGCCTCCTGTTGATAGTGCTGACAAGTCTGAAGAATCAAATAAACCAACTGGTGGTTCAGGATTGAATGTTAATGCTTCAGAGTTTGTACCTAAGACTGAGAATACCGAAATACAGCAAATGAAAACAGCAACTTCTGATAACGTTCCTTCAATGGAGGATACTAATACCAAGCAGGAAAACGATACGGGAACAGTTAAAACACCTAAATTGACATCAACAGAGAAACCCTTATCAAGTGAAAGTCAGGAAGGTATTCGTAGTCAACGTGGAAAGGTTTCACAGACAGAGGAACTAAGAAGAAAGGAAAGGGAACGAGAAAGGAGGGTTAGAGGCACATATAATAGGAATATTGAGAGGCCTCAATCTCGTGGTAGTGGTTCGTCAGAAAATGAACGAAACTCACCTCGTTATGCTAAACGTGATGCACCAAAGAGAGAAAACAGGGTTGAGGATGAGAAAGGAGATCGCCGGTTTTCCAATGGTATTCAAAATAGAAATATTCGCTCTAATGAGAGTCAAAAACGTAAAGAGGCAAATACCGATGAGTCGTCTGAGCTTGGCCGATCAAGAGTTAGAGACGATGATGAAAGAGAAGCTCGTCGTCAAGCTTCGTCAAGAACAAATCGAAACGGTAAAAGCAATAGGAATAATGACGCAAAAAATGAACTTGGTCGCCGAGTCTCTACCCCGTCTTCTGAAAGACAAGCTCGATCGACTAATGCTTCTAGTGGTCTTGCTGATGAGAATAGAAGAGATGAACAGCGAAATACGGGCATGAATAGACGAGCACGCCAAGATGAAAGAAGAGATCGTGATACTCGTTTACAAAAAGAACGACAGCGTGAAAGATCGTCTATGCGTTCTGGTAGGGATGAAAAGAGAAGACGATTCCAATAAAGGATCCTCCAAATTTATTAACTTTGCTTTTTACTCTCAGCCTCGTTAATATAGTGTAAATTAATTTGCAATTCTATAAATTAAATAAACGAAGGTAAACTAAAAATGTAATGAAACTTTTGTATATATACATATATTCTATATACATCAAACATATTCAACGATATGGCGAATAATTTGTGTCAGCTGATCGCCGTGATGGGCTCGATCGCAATTGCAAAGGGTCATTCCGCATTAGTGTCCTACCATGATATATACCCGTAAATAATGAACTACTGTTCACTGAACTGGTTGAATCAGAAGGTTTTTGAAAATTAAGCAACTCTTCTAATTCAGCTTGGGAATCAAGAAATTTACTTTCAAGGTTTCTAAACTTCTTCAAAAGCTCATCGTACTTCTCTTTCACGTCAGTATACTGGGCAATATAATTATCGATATTTGTGTTAAATGAGCCATGCATTTCTGGAATAGTTGCTTGAGAAGACAAACGTTTCTCGAGATCATAAATCTTTGCCTCGCAAACAACATTCAAAGCTTTCAAATCCTTTGTAAGGAAATCTATTTTGTTTTGCAGGTGTATATTTTCCGATTTCAAATTGGTGCAAAGCTGTTCACTTTCAATCATTTTCTTCTCGTGTTCTTCACTCAACAGTGAGTTAGACAAAATGGTACTATTTTCCATAGCTGCATTATTGATAGAATCATTAACGGCTTCTTTATTTCTTTTCGACAAATTCGTCGAAGAACCATTTTGTTCAAATTCATCAACTTTTGATTTATAAAGCTGAACGCGGAGCTCAAGTTGATTTTTTTCGTATGCGATTTCAGTTTGTACTCGTTCAAACGTCTTCAATTGGTTGGTCAAGGATGCCAGACTGCTTGATAGACTCTCCTCTTTCGATTTCCATGCTTTCCGCTCTTCACGAAAAGCTTTTAGTTTGTTATTGCAATCTGTTTCCCACTGAAATCTCCGATTTAAAGCGGCTTGAGACTCAGTACGCTGTTGCTCTAGCTCTTGTGTTAACACATCAATTTGCACTTTGTAACGTTTGTTTGTAAGAAGCAGCTTTTGTCTTTCGGATTCAACAGCCATATCCTGGACATGCTCACGGCGCAACTTGCTAATATTTTGAATGTGCTGTTGGCGCATATATTTCTCAAAATCCAACTCGTTCTTCAAAAATAGAAGTTCTCTTTGTAACCGCAGTATAAGGGTAGTTGTATTTGGAGAGATATCTTCAGAAGATTCGGAAACGCCAGGAACGGATTTGACGTTTCCGTGGAAATAAGGAGAGGCTTCGCTTATTGAAGCACGTTGAGAATCATTTTCGGAAGACTCATCTACGATAGCTGGTACAGAGCCTTTCATATCAGTAGGTTCTAGAGCAAAACTGGAGTTTATGGAATTAGGCACCGATAGCTGCTGGTGCCAAGAGACAGAAAGGGGATCTGTGCAAATATCGTGATTTTCGTTGGGATAAGCTAAAACACCTGTTGGGGGCCCTAGATCTTCTAAAGGACGGGTGGATTGGTGATAACCTAAGTCGGCGTTACCTTCGGTCATTCCGACGGTATTAAGGCGATTACAGAGAGCAACAATAGTAGTAGAATCAAGCTTCTTCCATCTGGATTTATCGGACAGTTCGGAAGAGGCTGTGAAGCTTAAGAAGTTTCGGTGAGCCAGATGATTTGAAAGGAGAGGAGTACACTTGGAAAGAATCATCTCAGAATTGTAACGATGGGGAATAGTAAAATTATGATTGGCAGCATACGTTGTTGGATCACGCAAAAATTCCAGAAAATTGATAGGAAAAAGGGCGTAGAGGAAGGTAAATAATTGGGAGTATTCAAGCGAACTAAAGTACTCGGAATGAAAAGTATCGGACAGATTGGATTTAGCTTTACCATGAGCAGACAACGGAGAAGGAGAAGAGGAAGTAGAAGAAGAAGTGGTGTATGTAGAAGCAAAATTAGGAAGGACTTCCCAACCATTAGTGTTAGGGGCTTTAGGAGGACCGGTGAGGGAATCAATCATGGAAAGACGAAGAAAACAAGAAAACAAACGGTAAAGCAAATTACCCAGATCATTACAAATGTGAGGGAGAATCATGATGACAAAAGAGAGGGAATAGGAGAGGGCGATAGGAGAGCAATCGTAGTCAAGGCTGTTTAGGACGCAATCAAAAAAGCCGGTTTGAGGAATTTCGTAAAGACGAGGACCTTGTCGACGGGCGACACTGACCATGACGGAGAGGATGGGAATGCGGTTTCGGGGTTGAGAGTAAAACTTTGTAAAGCATGAGGCGAGATCTTTTGGACGTTGGACACCGTAGCTAATAAGGATGTCGGTTAGACAGTCTAAAGTTTGACTTCTTTGTATTTGGGTTTCGACGTGTTTAAAGATCTCAATGGCGTTTTCGAGATAGAGGTCGACAAGGCGGTAGCAAATTTCGGTCGCGGTTTGTTGACGGACATTTTTCCCCCATTCGTCATCATCGTGATAAATGAGGATGTAGGAAAGGATGGACTTGAGATCATTGAGAACGGGTTTAATTTGAGTAGGAGAGTTCATAAAAGGATGAAAAATTTGGTCCCACCACTCGCCAATGGCTTGACGATGAAGAATGAGGAGAGGGAGAACGGTTTTGAGGACGGCGAGCCATAAAGCACGTCGTTTAGAATTGTTGAAGGGGATTTTTTCGTACAGTTGGCTGAGGACTTCACGGATTTTTTGGGAATTGGCGGCGTTTGGAGATGGATATTGCAACTGATACGCTTCGACTTGGTCGATCAACTTGGAAAGGTCCTGGTTTCCACCTACCTCCTCATTCTCAAAGATAGCACATAATGTCTTTAAAAGTTGTTGTAAGGGCATACGTGAGTTTGGACGGGGAGAAAGGAGAGAGTAGTACGAAAATTCCTAGCTTCTTTGAACAACAGAAGCTTTAGTTTTACAGGAGTAGTTTAGAAAGTAATAATATTCGATAGAAGGGATGATGGAAAAAGAAAAAGAATAAGAAAACAAAAAAAAAGAAAAACAGGCAAAGAATGGAAATTAAAGACACAAAGCGTTTTTGGTTGTCAACTACAGGATGATCGTTGTATTCAGTATCGTAATATGATGTTTGTTTTGTTTTTTTTTTTTACGGAATCGATAAGTATAACGATAACGATTGCGATAGCAGTATTGGAGTATACTGAGAAGTATCACACGTAGTAGTAATTGAGTGTATATAGCAGAGAGATAATAAACAAAAACAAAGAGAGACAAGAGAATAAGAGCGAACCTTGGTAGCTTCAAGGTTTAATGGAAGAGAGTAGATATAAAAAGAAAACAAAGAAGGATGGTTTCGTAAGAAACGAGACAGACGTCACGTAGAAATTCAAAGTGAAAACGAAAACAACGAGACTCGAAGAGTCTGCAACTAAAAAAAAATCGCAAGCCGTAATAGTAACAATAAGGGTACTACCAATTATACGAGTAATTCATAATATCCTTGTTTTACTAGTTTCTCTTTTGTACAATGGGTTTTGCGAATAGTGGATTTCTTCCACAAAGAAATGATGTTCGTCTTCAACAAAGCTTATTCAAAGCCGAATGAGTAATTCACTTACGCATAAATTTGGGTCTTTGACGTGTGTACTGAACTAGTTAGTCATAGTTTTCGTCTCTTCAACATTCTTTGTTTTGGGTATTCGGGTATGTTTCCTCATGAAAGCGCCATGCACCACGTCAAACAATGTTGCAATCTGAAAATCTAAGACTAAGATGTTTCTGCATTGAATATGTGTATATACGTCTGCCTGTATCATCATCATTATCGAATGGGTTGTTCTTTTTGACCAGACATTGATCCTTCTAGACTTGATCAAGGAATTCTTTCGTTCAATCATCCAGTCATCCATCATTGATATTTGCAAAATAGAATTGTTTTTGATATTGCCTTTTAGTAATAATCAGAACACCATCATTGAAATGCCACTTTTCGTCTCATCTCAACTCAACTCAACTCGTCTCGTCTCATCTCCTTTTTTTTATAATCATCGCCTTTTCTAATCAATCGTGTCTTCTTGTTTATTCCCTCTTCTCTCTCTCCCTTTCCTTCCCTCTACTTCCCTCTCTGTCTCTCTTTGTTTGCTTTTTATCGACAAATAACAATTCTCTTTAATTTTGTTTTTGATCCATTCAGGTAGCATGTTTTATTTTTGTTACTTTATCTCTCTCGCGAATTCGGAAACTCGGTCTTCTTTGTCTATGCTGATCTACTACTATTGGATCATTCCATTTTCTCTTTGTTTCCCGTTTCAATAGTCGTTTCTTTGTTTTCAAGCTCCCATATAATGCCAGTGTCTTTCTTCTCTTCGTTCGTTCTTCGCTTCATATTCATTCCTCTTGCAATCCTTCTTTTTCATTTTTTCCTGTCGTTTCATTCCGCTACGGTACAGCATCTTATTCCAAGTCTTTCTTTTGGTAAATATACCACCAATTCCTTAATACATGAACACTTTAGAATTTAGGAATTCCTTTTGATTTGTTTTTCTGTTTCTAATCTCAATTATTTTTCTTTTCCTCTCTCTCTCTCTCTCTCTCTCTCTCTCTCTCTCTTTTTTTTTTTAGACCACTAGACTTTTTGTTTTTGTTTTTGTTGTTTCTCGTTTTCTTACGATCTGTTTGTTTTCTCTCTTGTAATTCTCTTTTTCTTTCATTCTATTTTTTTATTTTTATTTTTTTAATTTAGTTTCGTCAGTTTCTTTTAACTTTGGTGTTTACTATCGGATTTTGCATTTTCTTACTTTCTACTCTCTCTTTCATTGAATTTAATTTGACTTGAAATTTCCTATTTTTTATTTCCGGCTTCATTTTCATTCCTTTCCGTTGATTTCTCCATTTTCATTTCCTCTACTTTTCTCTCTTTCCCTTGGAAACGGTTTCTATCCTTTCCTTCTTTCTCTTTTCTCTTCCTTTTTTGTTGTCTCGTCTCCTCTGTACGTTTTTGAGACATAACCCGTTTCCTCTCATTCCCTCCTTCTCACCTGCAATTCTTATACAATGTGTTCCATGGTCGAACCTCAAACTCCCCCTCCTTGTTATGATAGCATTACAGCAGCCGATGCCCATCGAGTCTCTGGCGTTGACTGGGGAGTCCGCGATCGACGCCAGCATTGTTCTCGCTTTATGAAAATGACTTCCTACGGGCGACCTTTTAGTAAAGACTTTTTGGAATTGTATTCCGCCATGATCATTTCCACTCCTTTCTCCAAAAATCGTTCCCGTTTTCGTACCATCGATAGTTCTTGCACCCTCTTACAGCTCTTCGCTACCCTCGAAAACTTGGAATTAAGCCAGCTGAACCGACTCAAAGGAAACACGGGTAACAAGTTGCTAAAGTCTACCACAAAATTCACCGTTCCTAAAAAAGCCGCCAAATGTTTGTGTGAAATGTTTTTGAATGCACGCTTGCTTCAAGTCGTTCACAACCCCATGGCCAGAAAATTCACCACTGAAAAATGTGTTCTCCAGCTCACAAACAAAGGTATCTCCGTTGTTGCTCGTTTCTTACAACACAATGGTGACGATTCCATTCATGCTAATGTTTCCCTTCCCTCCAACGATTCCGCTCCAGTCATCATCCCCGTTTCCCGCTTCTCTAGCACTGATCAAGTTTTACAGGATGCTTCTTTTCCCGAAATGCTTTTACAGCGCATGCTCGGTCCTTATCCCAAGTGCATGCGATCCCGCGACGAGTCCCTAGTCCCCATTTACTTGAATACAATTCACGGGAAAAAACAGCCACCACACATCACAAAGTACTTACTCTTTGGAATTGATATTGCAGAGTGGCTCATGAATCATACTATGCTGTTAGACTGGAATGAGGTTGTCTCGGTCGCAAACAACTTGCTTCTTTATTCTTACTTGTCCCACTCACAGCCCACTAATGAACCGTATTCCTTTAGCTTTGAAAAAGGTGTCTCTTACTATTTAACTCCAAAGGCTTTAGAAACGGTTGGTTGGATCGAAAATCCTTCCGGCGCGTCCGTAATTCAACATATCCAACAATTAGATTCCCATTCTTCCAACAAGGAACTCTTAGAATCCATTTTAAAGAAGCCTAGCTTACAAACCTACTTTTTCGAATTTTTAAAGAAGAACTTTTGTGATGAAAACCAGCAGTTTTACTCTGAAGTTTGTGAGTTTAACGACTTTTTCTCTCAGGCAAGTCAAGCAAACGATATCATTGCAGTCCGTGAAAGTTTTGTTCATGCTTGTGGGATTTATAACTGTTTCCTCTCCCCTGCTGCTCCAAATGCCGTTAATTTGCCGGGCGACTTATACGAACGAATTTCCAATCATATGTCTTTGGCAATGGAAGTGGAACCATTAGATGAGTGGTTGCGTATTGTTCATAAACTATTTCTGGAAGCTCAAGCTTTAATATTGGATCTAATGGCCGGTGATTCTTTGCTGAAATTTCTTGAATCTCAACATCCTGACGAACAATAAATTCGTCTTGTATGAATTTTTCTATCACTCCCTTGCTTTTCTCTACTTTTCCTGTAGAATGTTTATATTTTGTTGTTTGTTTTCTTGTTCTATGACTTATCTAGCATAGCTTTCTCATGATTTTTATATGATCTTGTCACGAATCGTTTCACGATTTTTATGTACTGCTTGATGGTTTTTTTTCTTTGGCAATTTTATAAACAATATGTTTCGTTTTTTTATGTTCTATCTTTACCTTGATGACAAATTATCTAAAAAGAACCCCAATGATGGATAAAATTACAGAAAAAAAAGAAAAATAAAGAAAACTAAAGCAAACAAACTATGTAGTCGCTCATTCCTTTGGTGTAAAATGTGTATATAATTTCGGATATCTGTGGAATAAACATTGAATTAATTATTCTTAATGTGTGGAATCTAAACTGCCTTTGGTAAATATTTCTTTTAGTTTTTTTTTGGTACAAAGCTGTACTTTGCTTGTCATTCATTGTTTAAAATAGCTTATTTTCTTAAACATAAATCATTTCATTCTTTGAAAAAATGGGGTTTCATGCCAAATGAACTTTTTTTTTTCATCTCTAAAGTGTTTTGCATTCATATTCATATACATCGTTTGTTTACATCTGTCGTCACTTCAATCAACGCGCCTCACCCTTACCCGACCACAGAGTACACCTCTTCTCAAAGCAAAAACCTCATATAGATCAAATGGGCTTCACTGGCAGTTGTTTTCACAATAATTATTATTAAAAGTGTGTAAATAAATCCAACCTCATAGAAAATGGAACATCAAAAGAGTCATGGGGCTTCAAAACGACCGACTAAAAGCAGACAACCAAATGTTGTGGGAGCCAGATCGGATAGTATAGGCGTTGAAAAAGATATTAACAAAGTGAAAATCGTTCCAGCTAATGCTTCCTTTGGAAGACGTGGACATGGAGCTGGATGGTATTGTGAAGCATGCAACGAGACGTATAAGGATTCGCTTAGCTGGGTTGAACATTTAAATAGTACACAGCGTATGTAGGAATTAGTTGATGGATCTTTATAGTTACATTGATACAAAGACCCAATGCTAACTTTTCATTGACTAGATTTGCGAAAAACCAGAACTATTGTCACCGATAAAAGGGCGACCTTAGAAGAAGTGAAGGAGAGAATGGAATATTGGCGTCAACAACTCCTACAACCACAAATTGGATCAAAGGAATATAGCTTGCAAGAGCGTACAAATTCCTACAGAGAGGAATTGCGAAAGCAAAAATTAGAAAAGCAAAGAAAGAAGCGAGAGTTGGCGAACCGAAAACTGGAGGAACCGTCGGGTTCAGAGGACTCTGAACTAGTTCAGGTGATGGGACTTCGAGGATTCGGATCCACAAACCTCTAATCAACTTTGTATAAAATTTGTACGTACGAGATTTAACATAGAATTTACAATGTTTCAGTTGCTCTTATATTATCCCATACTACTTTTTCTCTCTCGCCAAATTGAAGTTTATTGAACATGCAATAAGGCGTGTTCGCTTCCAATCGATAACGCTGTGGTTCGTTATTGGCAAGATAGGTCGCTAGCTTGCAAATTGTTACTTTCCATGGTAGTAAAAGCTGCTGTAGACGAATTTGATGTAACCAGATTATCACGTAATCATTTACTTCCAACCTTCGCACTCTACCACTTTTGGATTTTTGACTTAAATAGATATTAGAATCCCCAAGATTAACAAGCGTTGCATTCGTTGTTAGATTCAAAGCGTCCTCCAAAGGTGTTTTCTTCGTTATTTCTGAACATTCATCAAAATCATGGGTCTCTTGGTTCTTGGAACACCGTTAGATTGGCCCGAATCCGAAAAATTTCATGACTATGTCCGCGAGAATGGCATTAAAGTATGTAAACAAGCTGTGTTTTGAAGATTCAGAGATATTTTGAAGCGAAGTCTCAATCTTTAGCATGCCATTGTGTTTTATAATAGCTAGAAACTAACGTAGTAGCAATTCTTACACATGTATGATAGTTTTATCTCCAAAAAGCAAGATATTTTGTTATGGGGAGACGAAATAGAGTATATAGTCGTTTCCATGAATAACGACCAAAAAGCAGCACGTGTCAGTCTTAGACAAGAACAGATCCTAAAAGCTCTTGGAGATTATGAAGAGCGCTTCAAGCATGTTGATTTTTCGCCTATTTACGCCGCTCTAAAGAACACGAATTGTTCCAAGCAGACCGATGCCATTTTAAACGAAGCTGCTGCCAATCCTGCGAAATTTGTTGAGCGGTTAGTCAAGGAAAACCCTTCCTTTGCTTCAAATAATGAAGATATCCCTTTCAGAGCTCAATTCACTGTCCCGACATTCCATCCAGAGTATGGAAGATATATGCTTGAAAGCACTCCGGGCGCTCCTTATGGATCTCTTTTGAAGGATTTTTTATACGTAGAACACAATATGCTGTTAAGAAGGAAAATAATTGAAAATCATTTGCTTTCTCATGAGCATCCCCTTACGATTACAAACTTCTTCCGTTTAGGCACAACGCATTTCACAGATCCCGAAACTAAAGCAAACGGTCATATTTCAAGGTCCTTCTTCTTACCAGACGATATAATTAATACGCATGTACGCTTTCCCACTTTAACTGCAAACATTCGTCAACGTCGTCAAAGGAAGGTTGCAATGAATGTTCCTATTTTCTTTGATAAGAACACACCCAAACCTTTTCGTGACCCCACCGTTCCCTGGGACAGAGATTTATATCCAGAAGACAAAAATGCAAAAGAAGGGGCTGCGTTGGAAGATCATATATATATGGACAGCATGGGTTTCGGTATGGGTTGCTGTTGCTTACAACTTACATTCCAAGCAAAAAGTTGCGATGAAGCTCGGTTGTTGTATGATCAGCTCACTCCAATAACACCTTTAATGCTTGCTATATCGGCCGGTACACCTGCTTTTCGAGGATATTTGGCTGAACAGGATTGTCGATGGAATGTTATTGCAGGTGCAGTCGATGACCGTACAAAGTCCGAAATGGAAACTGTTCCAAAATCTAGATACGACTCTGTTGATTTATACATTTCAAACGATCCTCGTAATCTTCCAGAGTATAACGATGTTCCGGTAGTCACAAATGAGGGTTGCTATGAGCAATTAATTAAAGGAGGAATTGACGAAAGATTATCAAGGCATATGGCTCATATTTTCGCGCGCGATCCTTTGGTCATCTTCAGTGACAACATTCAGCAAGACAACAGTACTTCTAATGGTCACTTTGAAAATTTAAACTCTACTAATTGGCAATCCATGCGCTTTAAGCCTCCTCCACTCAATAGCTCAATTGGTTGGCGTGTTGAATTCCGATCAATGGAAATCCAATTCACTGAATTTGAAAATGCCGCTTATTCTGTTTTTGTTGTCATGCTTTCCAGAGCTATTCTCTCTTTTAATTTGGATTTTTATATGCCTATTTCTTTGGTTGATAAAAACATGGTGAACGCCCAGGCTCGCGATGCAATTCATCGGAAAAAGTTTTGGTTCAGGTGCAATCCTTTCTCTGATACTGAAGCGCCTCCGGAACGTGGTCAGTTTAAACAATTAACTTTGGATCAAATATTTAATGGAGAACAGACTGAAGACGGATTCCCCGGATTGGTACAAATAGTGCGCAGTTATCTATACACCTGTAACCCCGATGCTGAAACGTTATGTTCATTAGACCGTTATCTTCGTTTGGTCTCAAAACGTGCAAGTGGAGAATGTTTAACTGAGGCATCTTGGATACGCAATTTCATAACTACCCATCCTCTTTACAAGCAAGACAGTGTGGTTTCGCCAGAGATCAACTTTGATTTGATAAAGCGGATAACGAGTATCATTAATGGTGAAAGTGATGAAAGTCTCTTCGGTGATTGTCGCTGTTAATATTGGTTTTCATTCATTGAGAAGTTGTCATTTCCGTTAATCATATTTACAGACAACGAGGTTCTTAGCATAAAAACTACTGTATTCTTTAGATAAGACTAATCCTTGACATTTTCTAAAATTTTGTTTTTCATTCAAAAATCTTTTTGTTACTACTTATATTAATATACGGATTTTTCGTAAAAAGCCTATTCAACTTGTTTACCAGTTCAAGGCTTCCGACTGTAGATGTGCCTCACCCTTCCTCTCGATAATTTGTGTATAGCACTCACGCAAATACTTTACAAACGCGCCTTCCTAATTTCTACATATTTAATTTCCTAATGGCGCCACGATCAACGGCAGTACACATTGCCGTTTACTCTGGAGTGGAGGTGTATGAATGTTTCATAAAAGGAGTCTCAGTTATGCGGAGGCGGCGAGACTCATGGTTGAATGCAACACAAATACTTAAAGTAGCCGATTTCGATAAACCACAGAGGACACGTGTGTTGGAAAAAGAAGTTCAAATTGGAACACACGAAAAAGTCCAAGGTGGATACGGAAAATACCAAGGTAAGTAGCGAAGTTGTCGCGTCTTAGAAAGTATATCAAGGAAAACGAAATTTCAGCGATTTTGGGAATTCTTTTCCAAGAAACGGATTCCTGTTATTAATTAAAGATAAACACACGTTAATTGTTTGTTTTGGACTGCTGTAAACTAACTTACAGGCACTTGGGTACCTTATGAACGCGGTGTGGATCTGGCAACTCACTATAATGTCCTCGAGATATTGGGCCCAGTCTTAAATTTTGAAATCACCGATGATGATCCTCCTGCTCAGAAAAAGCGGGTTACGAAACCAAAACGACCTTCTGTAAGAGGTAGAAGAGGCCGTAAGCCTTCTTCATTATCGAATGCTACCAATCACCAAGTTCAGGATAACTTTGAGTCTTCTCCTGCCTCACCTATGATTGCCTCAACAACAAACAACTTATCCAGTGCTGCAGAGGAACCATCATCAGTGACGCCTTTACCTCCTTCTCCGTCCACTACATTATTATCTCCGGATGAAGTGATTCAGAAGGAAGAAGAATCTAGCATGCTAGATTCTTCTTTGGATAAATATGAAGAGTCGCTTTTAGACTTTTTTTTGCATCCAGAAGAAGCACGAATTCCGTCGTTTTTATATTCTCCTCCTCCTGATTTTCAAGTCAATAGTGTAATCGATGATGATGGTCACACATCTTTGCATTGGGCGTGCTCTATGGGACATATTGAAATGATTAAGCTACTTCTAAGGGCTAATGCTGACATTGGTGTTTGCAATCGTCTAAGTCAAACTCCATTAATGAGGAGCGTCATATTCACAAATAATTATGACTGCCAAACTTTCCAACAAGTTTTGGATTTGCTTCAGTCAACCATTTACGCTGTTGACTCATGTGGACAGTCAATTCTTCATCATGTTGTGCGTTCAACATCAACGCCTTCGAAAGTGAATGCTGCGAAGTATTATTTAGATTCTGTGTTAGAAAAACTTGTGTTAATCCAACCTTTTGAGAATGTTGTTCGTCTAGTAAATCTCCAAGACTCCAGTGGTGATACGGCATTACTCATAGCAGCTAGGAATGGAGCAACGGAATGCGTCAATTCTCTTCTGAGCTATAATGCCAACCCATCTATCCCAAATCGTCAACGCCGTACTGCGTCCGAATATCTCGCTGAAACGGATAAAAAATCACAGGCAATTGTGCCTGCCTCAAATGGTAATTCACTACGGAATTTGCCTTTCTCCTACTTTGCACCGACGATTATAGCGCCTTCTTGTTCTTCACATGCTTTTGGTAAGGCTATACCTTCTATTTCAGAGAAGTTTTCAGAACTCGCTGAACAGTACGAAGCAAGCCTTCGGGAAAAAGAAGACGCTTTAGCAAGAGCAAATCGCTTAAAGCAAGATACCCACGGAGAAATAGCCAGAACATATCAAGAACTTATATTATTGCAGAAAAATGACCCTGATCATTTGGATACCTTAGAGCGGCTCAACTTAGCGGAACAAGATAGGTGTCATAATATGTTTTTAGAATTACAAGCCTGGATAGAAAGAAGACAAGAGTTTGATCTAAATGAATCAATCAAAGAAACAAGGCTGTCTGCTGGTAATTGGGAAATTGAACCTCAAGCTGAAGATAAGGCTTCCTGGGATAATGTTAAACAAAAATATGGAGACGTGGATGAACGCACTGCACTTTTAAATCGACTGAATTTGTTGCAAACTTCAAGGAAACAAATGACGTTTTATATAAGCAAGCAATACGAAGAAATGGGCATCGATGATACTGTCAATAATTACCGTCGACTCATTGCTATGAGTTGTGGCATAAACCCGGAGGAGTTAAGTCTCGAAATTCTTGATGCCGTCGAAGAGGCATTGGCTCGTGACAAGTAATACATATGTTTGTCATCATCTATGTTCTTTTACGTTCATGCTACTCTTATGACCGTCTCTATTTATGATTTTCTTGATGTTACATTTCTTATTTATGATTACTTTCCTTTGATTATTCGCATCTATTTACTCGTTATTGGCCCTCTTTTACGGTACACTTAGCTCAAACCTCGCATAATAAAGCTTTTAATGTTGCATAAAATAGAATTTTTAAAAGTCCTATGGTATCTCCAAGATTAATGAATATACGTTAATGTTAATTGATGTATTTAATAATACATGTTGAACAGGTTCAAAAAGAGAATGTTATTATTTACCTACGTATTGTAAACATATTACCTTAGTGTAGTATAGTGTAGTGATTTACGATTTTATACGTTAATTCTAAGATAATAACATACTAGCATGTACTTAGCATTCGTGTCCGAAAAAAAAATGTGTCTTTAAACTAATAAATGGAAAACTAGGGATTACGGAAAAAAGGGTGAAATTCGATTTTATATTTTTGCTAATTATTATTATTATTTTCTTTTAAAAAATTTTGTTCGAGGATTCAGTGAGAGAATATAAATAAAAAATGGACGCATTGAAACTTCTTACTACGAATGTCAAATTCAAGCATAAACCAGTGGAGAAGGAAGTAGAAAAGAAACAGGAAATAAGAAATGAGTTATTTACTGGTGGAAAGGTGAAGGTAACCGGGTCCAATCCCATAGATCCTGTGGTTGAATTTCCGGATTCCATATTCAAAGAAAATCTGGATAAGCAACATGTTGAGGACTGCTCTGCTATTCAAAGGTATTCTATCCCTATTCTTTCAATGAAGCGCGACTTGTTAGCTTGCGCTCCTACTGGATCAGGAAAAACAATTGCTTACCTGTTTCCTATTCTCTACTCTCTTCAGTCCCATGTTGAAGGCGGTTACAGAGCACTCATAATTGCTCCCACAAAGGATTTGTGCGAACAAATTTATAAGCAAGCAAAAAGACTTACAACGAATTCTTCTATTCATGTGACCGAGTTGAATAAATCGAACGAAAAGATTCAAGAAAAGTCTCCTCAGTTGCGTGAGAAGTATGATATATGTATAAGTACACCAATGAGACTTATTCATGCCTTGAGGAGTGGATTAAAGCTGGACAAAGTCGAATACATTGTGATGGATGAGGCTGACCGCCTTTTTGAGGAAGGATTTGTAGAGCAAACAGATGAGATTTTAAGTGCATGCACCCATCCAAAGGTATGCAAAAGTCTTTTTTCTGCTACTTTACCTTCTACTGTTGAAGAGTTGGCTCAAACTATAGCCCGCGATCCTTTGCGTGTCATCATTGGTACGAAGGATACCTCAAAAACAATTGATCAAAAGCTTCTTTTTGTTGGTTCCGACGCTTCAAAGATAGTTATTTTCCGTCAAATGATAGCAAACGGCGAAATTAAACCACGGGTTGTTATTTTCGTCCAAGATATAGAGCGCGCGAAAGCTCTTTATGCAGAATTAATGTTTGATGAAATTCACGCTGGCGTTATACACGGTGAGCTTCCTGAGGTTAAACGGGAAGAAGTCCTCAATAAATTCCGTCATGGAGATATTTGGGTACTTATAGCCACCGATCTTTTGGCAAGGGGTATTGATTTTCATGGCGTCAAAATGGTAATTAATTTTGATTTTCCTCAAAGTGTGCACAGTTACATCCATCGCATTGGTCGTACGGGCCGAGCCGGTCACTCAGGTAAAGCCATCACATTTTTCACCAAGGACGATAGTGAGTATGTAAAGCTTGTTGCAGGAGTTATGAAAGCTTCTGGTTGTGAAGTTCCTGAATGGATATTGTCGCTTCCAAAACCCTCGAAGGAAACAAAGAAAAAGCTTAAGAAGTCTCCACCTAAGAGAAAAAAAATAACTACTCGAGCCTCTTATGACAGACATAAAGAGCTGAGGAAAAAAGAACATATCAAAAAGCTTAAGCGCGATGCTTCTATTGCGAAACAAAAAAACAAAGAAGGATCTCCTTAATAAAAAACCAGAGTATGAGTTACTGTCTCTATCCAAGTTTATGTTTAGTTGGGATTGTTGGATTATATATAGGTTTTGTAGCTTCTTATGGAATCACGCATTTATTCCATAGAGTTTACGGTAATTGATTTCATATTTGACTACTTACACTAAGATACCAAGATTTATGAAAGAGAGAAGCTTGGCAATCTTGTAGCGTTTATAAATTTTATAAGAAAGAAGAAAATACAACTGTTAATTCATACCGTATATTAGCTGAACGTACTGCAGATCACACATATGTGATCGGCCATTGATTGCTAAGTTACTTAGGTTATGTCGGCAAAGCTTTAACAACTTTTGAGATGCTCATTGTTTTATTAAACAAATATTGTTTCAATTCAATAGCTTCGTCTAGTGAACTCAACAAATCTTAATTAAGACACTTTCTATCCTTATACAAATGTTACCTTAAACTTGTTACTTACCACAATGACTGAGTCCGTTTCCAGCTGGATGTTAGTAGTACCTGACATTTCCCATCCCCTCCTCTTTGGACCAACAGCATCGTTTTAATATGATTTTTAGAAACCGGGCATTCCTCAAGTTTACTTCTTCTTCCTTGAAAGGTGCTCAATTCTCCACAAGCACGGCTGCTTCTCAGGCAAAAAGTCGATTCCAACCCTATGCTCAAAAGCTAGCCGGTACGCGATTAAATAGTCCAAAGCGAATACTAACAGGATGTTTAGGTGCTTTTGAACCAGCCACTTATTGGGCCACTGTCGGTAAAGAATTGATTCAACAAATTTACCATTCTCAAAAAATGGCCAATCCTTCCAAGGTTCATGTATGTACTTTATGAAAAGATTTTTGTTAAGATTTTGTTCTAACGAATTTTGAAGTCGCCATTCTTGTTCTGGAAGAGTCAATCTTCTGAAACATGGGGTCGTAACTTTTACTTAGGCGTTGAATTGCTTGGTATTTTTTGCGTTGGACAAATGATCGGTCGCAGAAAGGTTACTGCTTATAGCCATTAATTTTCTTCCTTCTTTTACTTTCCAAGTACATGAATGGCTATGAAGTGACTGAAAGATAGAGATATCTCTTCCGCCAACCTAAATAGGTGTACAACTAATCTCTTCTACATACTGTTCGAAACATTTTGTTTAAAATAATAAAATTGAAAATCATTCAATAGCTTGAAGAGTGTCCTGTTGATATCCTATTCAATTGTCAACATAAATGGGTTAGCATGGAGAACGGTATACCGTATAGATTATGTACCGTATTCTTTCCAGCATACTCTTTGAACTAAAATAAATTATTAAGTAATATTTCATACTTTGTAGGCTCTAGAGACGGGATTTTTTTACTCTTGCTAGTAACGATTGACATACTGAATGAGTGAACATAGTTCTCACAGATTTCCGTACACATTAATCTTACCTAATAAATTATGTGGAATTATACTATAACTGAGAGGATAACTCTCCAAAGTCCTTGAGCTAATTCTAAGATACAGACTGTACAGAAAGGATTTGATGGAAGACAATCACTGTTCATTAGCTTTTGCTTTTAGGTATGCAGGATTTTTTTTTTACAATTTTTCGTAACATAAAAATATAAAAAAAAAAGAATAAAGAAGTTTGAAGCTATTGCGTTGCTACCTTTAATTGTCTTTGAGTGTAAACAAAATCCAAGAGGTGTTTATTTATAGACGAAAAAGAAATAATTAAAATAGTACTCCCTGTCTGAAAGCATCGCTTTTATGGAAAAAATAGTTGTAAAAGAATTAATTAAAAATAAAAAAAAAAGTACGAAAGATCATGGGAAGAGAAAATAGAATATTTTGATAATTCAATTGCGGAACAGATATATGATTTCTTACTTTTATATAAATAAAGCAGTATTCTTATTTTATATACTCTTCTATCAATTATTTTTGTTATATCTAATTCTTTGAAATAAACTTAATACTTTCATCTGTGCTGATGCCTTTCATACACCACTTCTCATTTGGTTCGATTTTCTTCATCTTCCATTTATAAAGTCAATATGCAATCATTGTTGAGACCTGTTTTGATGCCGATGCGTTTTCAATATCGCTGCATTGCTACTAATAATGGTAAATAAAAGCTATTTCTAGGATGAAGGTTTTGTTAATGTCTTGTAGTGATGCCTGCTTTGCAATCCGAGATACGAAAAAAACTAATGGAATCCATGAGAAATAAAGACAAGAAACAGACTAGTACTATAAAGGTAAACTTCTGAACAGTTGACTGAAGACGTTTTCATCGTCGTTCTTCATTGCAAGGAAAAGATGTCTGACGCTGGAAATGTTCAACTTTCATTAAGGAAGTCATAATGTGGAAAAATTCAATACTAATTGAACCCCTTAGTTATTTTTATCTGAAATTGAAATTGCCAACAAATCTAGTCGTCCTGTCACGAATGATTCAGAAGTTATTCGACTTTTGAACAAGAGCATCAAGAAGAAAAAGCAGGCTATAGAACAGTTTCTGTCAGCAAACAGAACAGATCTTTCTGATAAAGAAAAGGATGAAGTTGCAATCTTGCAAAACTTTCTTCCCCGGGAAGCATAAATATCATCGATCATTTGACCTTTTTATTTGTTGCTTTTCTCGTAAAAATAAATTAATCCCCTCTTATGGAGCTTGTCACTATGATTGCTCTTTGCAATAGCATCTAGCATCTCAAAATGAATTTGCTTTCTTCATCTAACCTCTCTTGACTCTATAAACATATTAGGAAATAAGTGTATTACACTTTGTTCTACCGTTACTCTTGCCTTAAAATCATTAGTCTGTCTTTCTGGCTTGCTGAATAAATATATGTACAAATTTACTTCCGTCACAGGCACCTGTTCTATTACTGGATAAAGCACATCCGGAAATGAATTCAAGCATATTCAGTAGCTTTTAAATAATTAAAAAGGTCTGCTCGTTGTTTTCGTTACTTGCGGGTTTATTAGCACACAAAAATGAACCAAAGCAATCATGAACGTTGAAATAATCATTCAAAGTTTTTATATTAGAAGATACTTCCAAGAAACAAATAATTAAATTATAATCTGTACTGATGGCTGATTTAATTGCTCATTGCATAGTCTAAAAGTATGTTCTAACGTACAATATCCAGCTTATTAAACTAGAGAATTTATTTTCTAGTATAAAGCTAGCTAACTACTTTTACTATTCTACATAACAATCAATTAAGTAATAACTTCAAGTAAGTCATTTGCTGACAAACTATCGACCGTAATGTGGTGCTCATGTTCCAACTCTGCTATAACCAACTACACCTCCCATACCTAAAACAGAAGTTAGCTGTAAAAAAAATCATTTACTGTATTTACTGCCACTTGGCATTAAGTTCTCTATATAATCTTCATGATTACACGCCTTTCAAGAGCCTGTTTGAGGCGATCAGGCGCTAACCGCTGGAAACGCGAACTGTTCCATAATCCCTCGTTTTCATCTAACTTTTCTACGTCTTTCGTTGTCTCACATTCAAATATCGGTCCTTTTCGATATTCACAAACTCTTTTACGAGGTAGGGATTCGAAAAATGACAAAATACCTAAAAATGATAATGAAGCAAAAAAGTTGCCATCATCAGAGAATGTGTCACCTAAATCCAAGGAGCTTCAGTCGCATAAACAGACCTTAAAAAAGAACACAGAACGGAAAAAAGATGAAGAAGTTACAGAGTCAGGTAAAACAACTGCTAAATCATCTTCCAACAACGTGAAGGACGAAAATGAACAAGTCACTGAGTCTACTGGGTTAGAAAACTCTGGAAAAAAGAAAGACTCATCTAAAAATGCTATACCAGAAGTATATCCTCAATTGCTGGCTTTACCTATTGTTCGGAGGCCATTGTTCCCTGGCTTTTATAAAGCAATTGTCACTAAGGATCCATCTGTTTCAGAGGCAATTAAGGAATTAGTCAAGAAAAGACAACCCTATATTGGTGCTTTTCTTCACAAGGATGAAAACGCAGACACCGATGTAATAACAGATATTAACCAAGTTTATCCGGTAGGTGTTTTTGCTCAAATTACAAGTATTTTTCCTACAAAAAATGCAGGTGAAACAGCTCTTACGGCTGTTCTTTATCCCCATAGACGTATACGCATAACAGAATTAATACCTCCTAAGGATCACGTTGTTCCTATTGCAGAATCCAAAGAACTCAAACAGGCAGATAATCCCAAAGAAATAACTACTGCTCGCAAAAACAAAGATGAATCTGATGCGGAAAGCACAGCTTCTATGTTACAAGATTTTAATGTTTCTGTGGTTAATGTCGAAAATGTTTACAATCTTCCTTTTAATCGTCAGAATCCAGTGATTAAAGCACTCACTGGTGAAATTATGAGCACCTTTAAGGAAATTGCAGCCTTAAGTCATATTTTCCGTGAACAAATTGCTAATTTTTCAATCTCTACAGGAACAAGCAATGTCTTTGATGAACCTGCTAGATTGGCAGATTTTACTGCTGCAGTTTGCTCTACCGCCCTTCAGGACTTACAAGGTGTCTTAGAGGCTCAGAATATTGAAGAGCGATTAGAAAAAGCTCTAATAATTTTAAAACAAGAGCTTACCAATGCTCAACTGCAAAGTAAAATTAGCAGAGATGTTGAACAAAAATTGTCTCAGCGTCAGAAAGAATTTATATTAATGGAGCAAATGAAGGGGATTAAGAGAGAACTCGGCCATGATGACCCTAAAGAGTCGTTACTTAACGAATTTAAAAAAAGAGCCGAGGAGACGGAAATGCCTGAACATGTGAAAAAAGTTTTCAATGATGAGCTTTCTAAGTTTCAACATCTGGAACCAATGGCTGCTGAGTATAATGTTACTCGCAATTATTTAGACTGGATAACTCAATTACCATGGGGTAAAAAGTCACCCGAAAACTTTGACATTCAATATGCCAGAGATATTCTGGATAGAGATCATTATGGTCTGAAAGACGTGAAAGATCGCATCCTTGAGCTTGTTGCAGTCGGTAAATTAAGAGGTACCATGCAAGGAAGAATAATTTGCTTGGTAGGACCTCCTGGTGTAGGTAAAACATCTGTTGGTAAATCAATTGCATCTGCACTAAATCGGGAATTCTTTAGATTTAGTGTTGGTGGTCTCACTGACGTCGCTGAAATTAAAGGACACCGTCGTACTTATATTGGCGCCATGCCTGGTAAGGTTGTACAAGCCTTGAAGAAAGTACAGACAGAAAATCCTTTGATCCTAATTGATGAAATCGATAAAGTTGGAAAAAGTCATCAAGGTGATCCACATAGTGCTTTACTTGAACTTTTAGATTCTGAACAGAATTCTGCTTTTTTGGACCACTACATGGATATGACTTTAGATGTTTCCTCAGTTTTGTTCGTTTGTACTGCTAATACCATTGATACGATTCCTCCTCCTTTGCTAGATCGCATGGAAGTTATTGACGTATCAGGTTATGTGGAAATAGAAAAGCTTCACATTGCCAGAGATTATTTAATTCCCCAAACTAAAAAAAATTGCGGATTAAAGGACGCGAATGTAACAATGTCTGATAACGCGATTAGAGGCTTAATTCAGTTTTATTGTCACGAAAGCGGCGTACGAAATTTGAAGAAATCAATTGAAAAAATTTTCCGAAAAACATCATATCAAATTGTCCAAAAAATTGGAGACGGAAACGAAAATACTGTTAAAGAAACACAAGAAGTTTCCGCAAAAACAGAGCAAGATGAAGCAAAGAGTACGGATCAAGCTGCTGATCGTTCATCTGTTGCTCCTCTTACTGTACCAAACGAAATTAAGGTTGATATAGACGAAAAAGATTTGATTGACTATCTTGGGCCTCCAATACACACCTCACCTCGTCTTTATGATAGGACGCCAAATGGAGTAGTAATGGGTCTGGCTTGGACACCAATGGGTGGTGTACCATTGTATGTTGAAACCATTGTTAAGAACATCTTGTCTGCTGCTTCTGCTCCTTCATTAGAAAGAACTGGCCAACTTGGTGATGTTATGAAGGAATCTTCAGAGTTATCCTATTCCTTCTGTAAAAGCTTCTTATCTAAGAATTTCCCGAACAACAAGTTCTTTGAGCATGCTCGTTTACATATGCATTGTCCAGAAGGATCTATATCAAAAGACGGCCCCTCTGCTGGTATTACCATGGCTACCTCATTATTATCATTAGCCTTGAGCATGCCTGTGCCCGCTACTACTGCAATGACAGGCGAGCTGACCTTAACTGGCAAAGTTCTTCGAATTGGTGGTTTAAGAGAGAAAGCCGTTGCTGCCAAGTTATCAGGTATAAACGAAATTTTATTCCCAAAAGGTAATATAGCCGATTGGGAACAACTTCCTGATTATGTTAAGGAAGGCTTAACAGGTGTTCCTGTTGAATGGTATGATGATGTATTTAAGAAGATTTTCCCTAATATCAACATTGAGGAATGTAACAATCTTTGGCCTACTTTAACGACTAGTGCTTCTAGTCAAAAGTGATTCTCATTTTTTGTACAAAGACGATGTTTTTGTCATTTTACATAGCTTACGAACTTTTATTTCCTTTGTTTACTGTTCATGAATAGAGATAGTAATGCTAATGATCCATACTTCCTGGAGTTGTAAGAAATGTTGCTATGATAAGTTCATCTTTCATTTATTCCATTAAGTGTAGGTTCCACGACGAACGTTTCGTGTCAAGCTATTTAGCATATATACTTGAATTGCTCTGAGTTAATCAATCAAAGACACCAACATGGTGCAGTTATTAGGGTAATAAAGTAATGATTGATCTGTTTGAAATTCATTTGAAAGTTATCGATTGCAGAGTAATTTCAGAAAATATAATTCAACGAATGTGATTACTTTACACCGGTGCCTTCAATTCAACCGTATATTTTAGAAGTTTTCTACTAGTTACTTTTCGTGTAAAATGGGAAGAAAAACAATAAAACCCTCGAACAACCATCAAAGCGCCATTAAGCAGACTTGCTTTACTGTAAACAACCTGCACCGAAAATTACAAAAAGCCGATGGGTTTATTAACTATACTACGAAAGCAGAAATGGAAAGAAAAAGAGGCTAGAGTTCTATTGTTGTATGTATTTGTTAATCAGTAAAAAATAAAGGAAAGATCCAAGACTGACCTACAAAGAGGTTTAGACAATGCAGGTAAAACGACTATCTTAAAGCGCCTTTTAAACGAAAACGTATTTAGAAAAATTATTTTCTTTTTGATTTTATACTTATTTTTTAGACAAATACTGTATCTCCTACGTTCGGGTTCCAGATACGTACTATAAACGTGGAAGAACTACAATTGACAATTTGTAAGTCATTGGAGTACTGAAAACATGGTATTCTAATATAGTAGGGGATATAGGAGGCCAGAAAACGTTACGAAGTTTTTGGAAGAATTATTTCGAGTCCACAGAGGCCATTGTTTGGGTCGTAGATAGCCTTGATGAATCAAGATTAAAAGAATGCGAGCATCAATTACATGAACTGTTGTTAGAAGAGGTAAGCTATCATTTACTTGAAAAGAAACTAAATATTTCCTAAGAAATTACTCAATGTAAGCCTGTTAATTCTTGCAAATAAGTCCGATGCTGCTGGATCTCTAAACGCCAAGACAATAGAACAGGTACGTTGCAAGTTCATTCCCTTGTTCCTAACTTCTTTATAGCTATTACACCTGAATGACTTGAAATCTAGACACTACTGTATTTTTTCGGTATCCGCTTTAACTGGAGAAGGTATTCAAGAAGCTATAAAGTGGTTAGCCTCTGATTTACGGGAAAGTAAAATGGGACTATTATCAAACCGATAAAAATTAAACTCACCTGCGGTGCTTTCGCTGTTAACGTAGAAATCGTCGCTTCTTTGGGAATGATTAGAGGACGTTTCTTGACTTATCGAAAAGACCTTAGCTATATTTCTTCAAAAAGTCAGCTTTTATGATAATTATATCCATCGTCCTTACATTCTACCCGTGATCCATTTTTTCAACATTTCGCTTCGTCTTTTTTCTCCGGTAGCCCAACGCAGTAATATACCTTGAGGAACAAATACAACGTTATCAACTATAACCTTGTGAGTTACCAAAACGGTGGAAACTATAGTTGGAACAAGACTTGTTAGTTTCTGCATGTTATGAACTTCAACTAGCAGCGTTAATTGATCCGCTGCATTGAAAATCAAACTGTTCTTTGTTAATTAAATGACTTTTTCGATGTTTTGCTTACCATCCTTCTTTACAGATATTGGGATGTACCTGTTCAACTGTTTCTTCGATATCAGAGGCAAAATGGTTCAAACCGTTCTTTTCGAATGTATTCCAAATAGCGCCTAAAATGTAAAGAATTTTTGAGAATTTCTCAGAACTCTCTGAGCCTAATGATTTAGGGTGAATAAATCCTAAATATCCAGTTCTGAAATATTGTTTTTTTAAGTTTTCTTCAGTAAGTAACTCAGACCCAACATTTCGATGATCAAATGTGCAATACGACCCGCGCCTTGCAGCAATCCAAATTTCTCCCACTTCTCCTTCATTGCAAATGCGTTTTGATTCGGGATGGACTACACAAATATCGTTTTGCAAACAATTCTGTTGATGGTTAACAAGTTCACGCACTTATTCAAACGACTTACAGTCCCCAAACCATATATGGTGTTTGCTTTGTTAAAGTTATCTCCTTTTAAAGTAATCAATCCTTTCTTTAAATCATTAGTATCAAAATCGCTCTTCATGTCATTAATGCCTAATTCATCACTCCAGCAGATTAATGGGTTTAGTGGGTGACAATAAGCGAGTTTTATCATTTCAGTTTTAAGATTTAATCGAAACATATTATCAATAATTGCTCTCACTGGTCATATTAATATAGAAAATCGACTTGAAGTCTCTTACCTTTTGAAGTTTCAATCTTTTCGTAACAAGGAACAATTATACATTTTACCATTTCGTTTAATCCTTCGTATTCACAAATTTCAGTTTTCTCGAGAGTATTTAGAAGATAGTTCATCGGCAAGACAACCTTTGGTATACGCTTGCCTAACATTGTTTGAAGAGTGATCTCTTTTTGGCAGCGATCACCAGATCGACGAACGAGGACCGTCGGTAAACCTGAAATTATTAATATAATTGAAATCACACCCAACCGCCTACCTGTATATATCCCCAAAAATGCTGTATGAAGCAAGCCAATTCCTGATCCAAACTCAATACCACCTAGAAGAGACGAGTCGTTATCACCAAGTATAAATTCTTTTTGCTCTCGACAATAATGCAGTAAATCAGAATGTGAAAAATTAACAGAGAAAGTAGAGCCATCGGTTAGTCTACTGACAGTTACTAAGGCAACCTTGTCCTTGTTATAGTGTTCTTTTGATTTCTTCGAAATCAACTTCTTTAATGGTCTTTTTGCTGTAGGCAAGTAATTTGTATTGTACATTTTGGGAACCTTCACTCGTTTTTCATTACACACCTGCTGTAAGTGATGGAAACTATCACGAGATTTAATATTGATGAAAGTACTGTCGTCGAGTAGAATAAAATTAACAGGAAATTGATCGCACAGTCGCATGATTTCTTCAATTTCCTTTACGACATGATTTACAGCGTGGATCTGAAGAGGAATAGCGCATATACCCAGAAAAAAACATCCATAAAGGGATACCACAAATTCATATGGATCATTATACAAAAGCAGTGCGTATTGATTTTGCCTGATCTTAACATTTGTTTGCATGTGCTCTACCAAAGAAGCAACTTTGTTTTCAAATGCACTCCAACTGATATTGATAGTTTGTTTAAGAACAGGCTCACAAAGGGAGAAGGAAATACCACCCGGTGATTTCCATGCTCTATTTTTGAAGAAATCCAGTATTGTAAAATAATTCAGCAGGTGATCGGTAGCTCTACTCAAAACATAATTCGGTTTAGAACAAGTTATAAACTGCTTATTCTGGTCCCCTAACAAACCTAGCCGTTCGATTTCAAGTTCTTTGGACCAAATGGATTTTGAAATAAGAGTACTAGGACTAAAATCAGGAATGGTCTCTAAATAAAACTTGTAATAACTTACTGGTAGAGTTCCAGATAAAAAAGAAACTCTGCAATTTTCTGGACTAATTGTTTGACTTTCTGAGAAACGAGTTCTGGGCAATGATTTAGATGGAGTAATTAAAACGCATAAGACATCAATACCAAAAACCGATTTCATACAGTTGTATGTATTCTCAGCGATTTTATTTAAAGAATCCGTTAAAGAGCCATCATCTTCAATCGTGTTCACAAGGTGAACATAAGATGGTTTTAGCAAAGGACTCTCAAGTATAATAACTGGATGAGCGTAATCATTAATTTTAATATCGATAACAACACCATCAAAAATCCAAGGAGTAAGATTGATCAATGTCTTCATCAGATAGAAAGAATGGTATGTTCTGCTTTCTATAGTCACTAGACCACCTTCTAGGACCTGTTTGCTTAACTGAAGTTGCTCATTTTCATAACCAAGAATAAAAATTTTTTTATTGTAAAGAAATCCTTTAAGCCCAGAATCTAGGAAAACATCGCTTGCCTGACTAGAGTCAGTACTTACTTTATGCGAGGCATATAAAGTACTCCCTTCTTCCAAGTAAATAGGAAGACAATTTGAATAGACCCATAAATTACCAATTTTCCCTTCCTCGCATATTTCCTGAGTTGGATTGCTAACTATTGCGACAGAAGACTCTGGAATCGGGTACCAAAAAGGAGATAGGCAAAGTATGTCGTTAGCTGAATACTTTCCTATTTCGAGGAAAGGTATTATATCGACCAATCCTTTCTCAATGGATTCTCGAAGAACTAAAATTTCTTGGTGACACTCGTCGTCTTCCGTTCTTCCCATATGTTGCTCGTTGGAATTAATCATCCAATCTTTGAATGAGACTGGAATGCCTCCAAATTTTTGTAAGCAAAGCAGAGGAGTGATCACCTCCTTTGAATTTGTATTTCCTAAAGGATATAGCCATCTGTCAGATGCTATCATCTTGAATTCTGGATCGACAACTGTACATTCCACCATGCAGATTTTAAGATTCGAAAGATCAGGAATATAATTTTTCTTGTAATGCAGTGTAGACATTGGATCTTCTTGATAATTATATATTGTTTGTTTTAAGCTTGCATAATCGAAAAGCGCATGGCTAACTCGATACTTACTTAGAATATATACCAATAAACCAGGGGTTTTTAATACCTCTGTTTCACAAAAGATAGTTTGATACCCAGAAAACATAGCATTAAAGACACCCATAATGAGACCCAACATATTATGAGGTTGAAAGTTGGTTATAAAGTTATCTCCAGTAGATTGCACATCGACAGATACGCATTTCCGTCGACTTGAGGGGTGGGTTATAATTGAGGAGGTGAGACATTTGACTTGATTCATAATAGTGTGATGTTTGTATACAGCTTTCGTTGGATGTGACGGTGACTCAAATATATAGTCAATAAGAGCAACATCGTGAGGTGAAGGCTGAAAGGTCAACTGCGAATTGACTTCGACTTTGTAATGAATAAAATCAGTAGATTTCCACCATTCAATTTCATCTTTACTTCCTAATTCGGAGTCCTTCACAAAAATTCGGAAAGTAGACTCAGTAGTAAAAGCAACTTTAACTTTCTCATTTTTTACAACACAAGCTAGTTGGTGCAGTGATAGGGACGGATGAACCGGAAGGACGATGAGACCCAGAAGAAGACAGCCAAACAAGCTTATAAGATATTCGGCCAATTCCAGTTTTCGATAGTATAGGATCACCTTCGTACCTGGCAGCAGACCAACCTGTTTTTTAACAACCTTTGCAACCCGAGTAACCTTATTGAAGAACTTTTCCCAGGAGAACTGCGATATTTCTCTTCCTTTCTTGCCCAAAAAAATATGAGCAATGGCCTTCGGGTTGATATGACTACGGTAAGAAAGGACATCCAGGATTGTTTGGAAATTTAACATCGAAAAAGATGGATTTTTTGGATCATTAATTTCAAACTTGGCCTTTCGTTGAACCGTGTACTGTAAATGAGGATTTTGCTTAGTAGAGAAAATGTCCTTAACTAGCTTTCGCGAAATTTTCTTCGTCAATGCGAATTTCTTACAACGAATCTCTTCCTCATCAATTTTCAAAATGAGATTCATTTGGTTTTTGTTAAATTGATTCATGACATCTTGGTATTTTGAACCTAAAGCTGGATGAATCTTTATGTTTTCGAGTTTTTTTGTGAATTGAATGGTAATATTTTCGTTTAGCTAAACAAGAGTTAGTAATAAAACGAGGAACCAAGTATACCTTTTGAGAAACCGTATTGCTGGACGGCTGTAATAGCTTTGATAGTTCAAATGGCTTCTCTTCATCTTTTTCTTCTTCTTCGACAAACGCATCCTCGATTGCATATAATGGTGTTTTTTTATGAAATGCAAACATATTTTTAAAGCTCATATTGGTATAACTTTTGTGTAGGAACAATGTCTGTTATGCATAAGCGCCCCTAGAATGATTTGTAAACAAACAATTCACAATGGCCGCGCAGTACACCCTTTCAGTAAACAGTCTCTTTAAAACAAAATATAATAAGATTATCGAATAGATTTAACTTACTAGGCCATAACAAGTATCCACAAATCACTTGCAAGATGAATGCTGTCAAAAAGAAAAACCAAAGAATGTCGAATTGATGAAAGCAGACCGCAGCGAAATTTGTCATCAATTGAATCAAACCACCAGCCTTTTATGCATATGGTACAAAGGACTCGTGAGCGATATTTCGAAGGCACTTCGTACAAGGTAAGTAAACTAGGAACAAGTAGAGTCGACTTTCCGTTAGATAAAAAAACATACAAAAAAATAATGCATCTACCAGGGATCGAACCTGGGACCGTCTGCGAACATATCATGTAAAGCAGAAATCATAACCACTAGACTACAGATGCTTGTTGATACTATGTTCAGGTTGCATAATATATACCAATTTGTTTAAATTGCATTGATTGAATATATGCCACTATACTTGACGAATTGTATTCAATGTAATATATATAAACAAGAAGACGTATAATTGAAGGCTGTAGCAAAATCTATTATGTTGTTTTTGAATACTTCTATAAATATCTGTTTTGTTGACTGAAAGAAGATATATATTTATTGGTGTCTTTTATGAGCATCATATAGTAATCTGTTGATAGTTGAAAGGCGGTAGTATAGGTGAAAAGATATTTCTAATACTATTTGAAAAGCAAGAAAAAAGTTTTTGTAAGACTTTCTACTGGTTTATGTACTTTCGTGTTTTTTTCCTTTGTGAACAATAACTTGCAAGCCGACAAACTTCGATAATGGATACAGTTAACTACATAACTCGAGTTTGCTTACAATGAATGCATAATTACTTTGTTATTATAGAATACTTTACCCAAATTTTCTAGTGTTAAGAGTAGTAAACAAACATGTAACAGTCAAAGAAGTTGTATAGATCAAGGAAAACCCGCTATTCTATTAAATCTAAACACAAAGATTTTATAACATTTCATGTTTTAGTATTTTAATTATAGGCTATATCAGTTGAAGAATCGTACCATTTCTAGGATATCGCAGTCTTGCACACACTTATGCTAACGTCGCGCCAATCTTCCTCCAACCACCACCTCCTTCTTTAGAAGAGTATTCTCTTATAAATTACCTGAATCAAACAATCTTTGGTGTTATCACTGATTCAGGATTTTCATTCTTTAAAACAACTTCTTTCACTCGTTCCTCTGGTTCCTTTTAAGAAAGATTTTACTCAAGGACGCAATAACTGTCTTAATTACAACATAGAAGTTCTTAAACCCCCTATTCGAAAACTAATAGACCATGGCCGCCTCCACCTCTGCTATAAATCAAGATCAAGAGTTATCTCACCGTTTACATGGAAAAGACGGTGAAACCAAGACCGGGCTTTCTGCTATTGCTTCTAAAGATATCCAAGAACAAAAGAAGAAGCTCTCAGAATACTTTCAGTTTTGGGATAAGGGCTATAAGGATGAATCCCAAGATGACCGCGATGTGCGTGTAAGTGACTATAAGAAATTGGTCAATAACTACTATGACTTGGCCACGGATTTGTATGAATATGGCTGGTGCCAAAGCTTCCATTTCTCTCGTTTCTATAAAGGAGAAGCTTTTGCCCAAAGTATAGCACGCCATGAGCATTATTTGGCTCATCGTATGGGAATTACTCCGGATTCTCGCGTCTTGGACGTGGGTTGTGGTGTTGGTGGTCCTGCCCGAGAGATCACTGAATTTACCGGATGCAATTTAGTGGGTCTAAATAACAATGATTATCAAATCTCTCGTGCTGTTAATTATGCAATTAAACGTAACCTTGACAAGAAACAAGTTTTCGTTAAGGGTGATTTTATGAAGATGCCTTTTGATGACAACACATTCGATTTTGTCTATGCCATTGAAGCAACCGTTCATGCTCCAAGTTTGGAGGGAGTTTACAGTGAAATCTACCGTGTTCTTAAGCCAGGTGGTGTTTTCGGTGTATATGAGTGGGTCATGTCTGATGACTATGATAGTACCAATCCTGAACATCGCAGAATTGCTTATAACATCGAAATTGGAGATGGTATTCCCCAAATGGTACGTAAATGCGACGCCTTGGAAGCATTTAAGAAGTCCGGATTTGAGATTCTTGAACAACAGGACTTAGCCGAGAATGACAATCCTGAGTTACCTTGGTATTATCCTGTTACAGGTGACGTTACCAAATGTCAAAATGTATGGGATCTTATAACTGTTTTCCGTACTAGCACTCTTGGTAAGTTTATAACCCGCCATAGTGTTAAGGTTTTGGAACGGTTAGGAATGGTTAGCAAAGGTACTAGCGAGGTGAGTGATACTCTTGCAATCGCCCAAGATGGTTTGATCGAAGGTGGTAAAAAGAAGTTGTTTACTCCTATGTATTTAATGATCGGTAAGAAACCTGAAAAGGCTTAAGAAATTTAATTTTACTCCTCGAAGAAGGGGTGCGCTTGACACATAATCATGAAAAGCTGTACACCCTTTACATCAGTTTATGTCGAATAGATCTGATTAATATCCACTATTAGTTGCTTTATGCTTGCATAGTTGTCAGTTTTTCTTTCAACGAATAGTTTAGCAGTTTTTTAATCATAAACTTTGCATCATCACTTTATATTACTTGCTACTATTTGAATTTTAACAGAACATTCATTGTAGATTCTATGCTATCCAATATGTCAGTCTACTGCTTTTCAATTTCTTGAGGAGTCTTCGCAGATGTTATTTGCAAAGCATGTAGTCCATTCTCAAACTCATCTTTTAGAGACGAGTAAACCAGACGATGTCGCGCGACCCTTGTAAGCCCTGAAAATTTCGGTGAGATTATGTTCAGTCGAAAATGAGTTTCGTTTTTGTCTTCTAAGCTTTTCATTGCAGCATGATGAGCATGCTTGTCGCTATCGTTATATAATTCAATTTTGTTGGCCTCTAGTTTCTTACTTAGGGTACTTAAAATTCGATCATGCCTGGACATGCTGTGAAGAAATCTTTTGATCATAAAATGACTTTTTATATTTTATTTCGTGAAAAACCTTTAGGAAGATTTGTTATAGAACCTTGAGCAATATAGAGTGATCTTTTGATCTTAGGAGGTAACGTGCAAGGAATGTCAATTATAGATATGAAGCTTGACGGTAACTATTTAGTATTATGAAAGACATCAATTTATTTTTCATATGATAAAAAAGGTTCATAGATTACTACTGTACAAACAAGAAATACAATAGAGTCATGATTAGTGACTTTTGAAAGCTTTATTGAAAACTACGGATCAAGGTAGTTTGGTTGGATACAAAACAATTTCGTACAGTATACCCATCATTATTAGAGGTTTCATTTTTCATGATTTATTTTTATTTTTTTTTTTTTCTTGATAAAGTTTTGAAATTTGGGGTTTCCTCATTAAGTAAACTAGTATACAAGTGATAAATTATCATAATTCATTTGATTTATGTCATGTCGATATCCATTTCTTCGTCATGTTTTTCAGTTTCAGCTGTCTTCATTTTAAGACTTTTCTTTTGATGACTTTGTAAATCCTCGAAACTCCACCAGGATATTCCCTCCTGATCAGCGGTAGTGAACGGTTGTGCCATACTTCTTAAAAACTTTTTAGATAACGCGATAGACATATCGGTACTCAAATTTGTAGCACCCTCCGTTATGTACTGCTGAATCCACTTGGGCAACTTCGTCCGTTTATCGGACCGACCGTAACGCTTGTCGGCCAGAACCATGATACCATGATCGTCTTTACCACGTAATACACGGCCTAGACACTGAGCAGCGTGTCGCATGGCATCGAAGGTCAAAAAATCGGCTTCCCGAATTTGATACGTGTCTCTTAAGAATTCTAAACGGGCTTTTAGAATCCTACTTTCTGTGTACTGGTAAGGAATACCAAACATAATGACAGCTCTTCCATAATGATGGTCAAAATCGACTCCCTCCGAAACTTTTCCTCGGGCTACAGAAAGTAACACTGCACCACGGCCATTACTGCACGCTGCACGGTAAGTTTCCAAAGCCAAAGTCGTTTCATGCGGATCTGGGGTTTCTACTAAAATTAATTTGTATTTCCACACTTCGTCTAATATACCCATGCTTTGCCAGCTGGAGACGATACTTTCCAAATATAAATAACTGGGAAAGAATGCGACTAGTCCATCGGGAACTATTTTTGAGTATTCGATCAATATGTTACCATAATTCCTAACGACGCTTGGGTCATTACGAGCTTCAAACTTGGATGATATGGAAACTTGATCACCGCCTCTGGTTATGACCATAGGCAGAAAACAGTTCCTTGCCAAAGACATACCGTAAGATTCTTGAATAACGGAGTTGAATTGAAGCATTTTCGGATACATGTCAAGGGGAGACAGCGTACCACTTGTGATGATTACGGAACGGAATCTGTCAAATACGGGTTTGATGGCTATAGCGGCATCTAAACAGGAAAAATGAAGAATCGGGTTGGGCACGGTAGCATTTTCAGTTTCGAATGGTTCTAAAATTAAGACAAAACCGCGTTCATAGGTAGAAACGAGAGTAGCAAAGGTTGCAACTTGTTGTAACGATTGAAAATCGTCAACAGCGGCAATTTGCAATGCACGGACGAGACTGTTTAATCTTTCAGCGCAGAATCGAAGCGGTTTTGCATCAATAAATGTCAAATCTTTTACGTGTTGCAAAAAAGAAGTCGGGGTTTCAGCAATTACATGAAGAACTTTCATACGAGTCTTTAGATATTCAACAAATCTCTTTAAAAAGGCAACAAAATGCTCAGCACGGCGAATATTACCGGGAACAGCTTCCTGCAATAGGTCCTCGGGTAAGACGGGGTTTGACATGAATTGCTCCTCATCGGAAGCGGTATTAGCACCTTGAAGACCGCTTACGAGCTTTTGATATTCATCCTGAAGTTTTTTCGCATCAGACTGCTTAACTTCGTTTACCTTTTGTTCCAGAGCTTGTACACCGCGGGTAGCTTTTCGCAAAGAGGAATCAGTCAAATCGATACTAAGAGATTCTATACATACGTTATCGATATTATGAGCCTCATCGAAAACAACAATGCAGTCTTTACTAAGTTCTTTGGAAACTCGTTCAGCAATTTTTGGGTCCAATAAATAGTGATAGGAATAGATAATAACATTGCAAAAAGGAAGCATTCGACGGACGGTGAAGTAAGGACAGCGAACATGTTTTGTACCATAGTCAGTAATATCGTCAAGAGTCCAAACGCCATTTGGGACCAAACTATGGGGTTCCAAGTCCTCCAAATTTTCATGGAAATCACATAGCTGCACGTCCATGCCGGCTTGTTTTTGCTCCTTGACAAAACCGGCAGTCATAGATCGGCAACGTGCATCAACAACGTTTCCGTTCTTTTCGCGGCGTACAGAGGGATGGAGACATAAATTTTTACGACTGGACAAACCGAGACCAAGAAATGGTTCTTCATAGCCAAGCTGAGAGGTACGGTATTGCATAAGTCGCTTCAATTCTGCCAAAGCTTTGTCAATCTCCGACATGGTACGGGAGCAATAAATAAGTTTGCGATGCTCGGGGTAATGGGATTGATAAGAGATAATCAGAGACAACAAGGAAATAGTCTTTCCGGTTCCTGAAGGCATCTCTAGTAAAGCGGCACCACCAGCGTCTAGAGAGTGCTTTAAATCGCACATATATTGGTACTGTTCAGGGTATATACGGGGATAGGGAAAGAGCACAGGAAGGTCATCGATGTAAAACTTCATTATAGGGAATTTGAAAAGATAACAACGTAAAAGAGATCAAGAAAAGAATGGGAAATGTAAGGTCTGAGAGAAATAGGAATCAAATTTGTTTAGCAAGTCGCGGTGTCAGAGCACAGAGACAAATAAAAAACTGTAATTGTGATGGAGAGTTTATTAGAAATTGGCTATTTATTACAAATACAAGGAAAACGAGAGAAGAATGCCAACAGATGCCAAAAAAAAAGCAAAGGGATGTCGTAGTCCTAATTATGGATGGTAACAGAAAAGAAATGAAACCGACTAAAGAAACCCACAAACGCACACCAAAAAGAAATAATTACCAAGACTTTGGAAGCAGGTTTAAAATTTAAATAAAAAAAAAAAGAAAAAAGATGAAAAATAAGAAATGGATAGATTGTCTCCCCGGCTCTTCCTCAAGCAAATGATGCCCAGCTTGGGGTGGTAGTAGTAGCTAGGAAGGAAGATGGGGGTTTGCTTTGTTCCTAGTGACCACTACTAGTACTATGTGGGGGTAAGGTAAGGTCGGGCAAGGTAAGGGAAGAGTAAAGCAGGTAGTTTATGAAAGAGGAAAAAGAACGTGTGACCCCCACTAGGAATTATAATGTGGTGGGATCCTAGACAGTGAATGAAGGAGGAATTGAGTAAGAGATTTCAAGTTGGGAATGGACGGTAGTAATGATGAGAAACCAACCAAAGAGAAAACGAAAAAGAGGATTTTTTTCTGAATTGGGTACATTTTTTTTTGTGATGAAAGAAGCACGTTTTATGTGAGGTTATTCATTGTACCTGTTCATTAATATGATTTTTGTATTCATATTATGATCTTGAAAGTACCAGAGGTTGTTGGATGCTGCTACAAGGTGGTTATTTCATTGCAACAAAAGCTGCAACTTTGAATTGAATAGTTATTGTTTTGGGTTGTTTACTTTTGGTGTTTAATATTTGGGGCCAGAACAAGGTCGAAAGATTGCAACAGGACCTATGACTAAATACATTATATAGCAAGAAGAGCATAATTAGTGAAAGAGGCTCCATAAAGAAATAAATTACAAATTAAAAAATAATATAAAATAAATTAAATTAAAGCAAAACATGTGTCGTATCAGTCAGTCATTTACCACATCATTTGACAACATCATCTTATTCCGCAATAGTCTAAGCACCGAGGTTGGCTATGATTAGTGTATCGGAGAAGGAATTTACAAGCAAGCGAGTATGAAATGAAGGCTACATACATAACAGATGGTCAACAGACAAGACTTTTATGGGTGCATGATGAAAACTAGGAAAAAAGGAGAAATTGAATGGAAAGGAATGGAATGGAATGAAATGAAATCATAAGACAATAAAAAGAAAAAAAGAACCGTTTTTTTTTCTTAATGAATTCATGAGTTTGAAAAAGAAAAGAAAATCATTTTACATAAAGTGTATACGAAATTTCATTGTTTACATTTCAAAATGAATGATGACATGGTTTCTATTTCCTTGTATTCATCATCATCACCATTATAATAATAATGAAAATAACAAGAGTAGAGAAATACCAGTGACCGGGTTCTAGTCATGATTGCAGTAAAAGAAATTTGAAATGAAAAAATCATTACTGGACCATGGTTAACAAATAGGACATGAGATCCAGCCGTTCTTTTTTTTTTTTTTTTTTTTTATCTTCTTTTTTGTTTGTTGAGCTCAGATCTTGATTTCAACACTTGAAAATTTCGATAGGTTTAAAGAGTTCTATACATGGAATATACACTCGGTGATTGAAGTCAATCCTACGTAGGGATGCAATTTTCATAGCGAATAATGGACCCTGTTCATGGCAAAGTACATAGAAAGGAGGACAACACCATCCAAACAAAGTGAAGCCAGTAAACACAAGAACCGGATTCGCTAATTTTCGTCCTTTCCCTCTTTTCCTTTTTTGTCTTTTGGTATCAAAAGGAACCATACATGCATCCATGGAAACAGGATTTGCTTACAAATTTTAACAAAGGAATCATGACATTTCTATATCCAGCAAGAAACGTTGTATGCGAGGGAATTCAACAAAAGAGAATAAAAAATGAAATGAAATGAAATTAAATTAAATTAAATTAAATTAACAAAATGAACTGAAATTTTAGAACAGAAAACAAAACATAAGCTAAATCATCATATGAATCAAATCCTTTCTACCGAAAAGCCAACCAAAATTTTTTAATTATATCTTTATGGTCAGATTGTTTACCAACTACAGCCACTTGCACTGCACTTGCATGGTCTAGCACTCATTCCCATTCCCATGACATGGGTCATACAACAGTCCAGTGTCAAACAAACGAGAAATCTTTCTTTAAAAAATTATTAGACTGCTAGTAATAGAAAACAGAATCCATTTACATGTTGATTTAGAAAAGGAAGAAGAATACGAACATAATTGAAATAATAATAATAATAAAATAAAATAAAAAAAAAAGAAAAGAAAAAGTCAATTTTATCTCGAAAAAACCTCATCAATAAACAAAATAATTAAACACTCTGACACAAAGCATAGTGAACTAAAACTAGGCTAGACTAAGAGTAGGCTATAGGCTAGTCTTGGATTAATTTTACATCTCACTCTTGCTTGCAAGTTACAAACGAGACCCGGGAAAAACAAGAAATACGCATTAAAAAGAAAAGAAGAAGAAAAATAAATAAATAAAAGTTCTTCCGGCCTGACGACAGTACGATCACTGGAATTGCGATTCAACAACGACAACCAACACAAAACGCAAAAAGCGATTGGCATCAAGTCCCAGTAACGCGACTGGAATCAACATCGTCAACCTCACGTACATCATGTCCGGTAATTAATACGGTCGCCGGTAGCATCACTTTTTTTTTAAAGTCCTGGATTATCAAACAAAGCATTATACGTCGAGAGGCAAAATCATTCAACTATGTCTTTTTCTGCAGAGTCTTTCGAATCATTTTAAAACATCTATCTATTTCCCTTGAAAAGTAAAAACCTTTTTTTTTTTCTCTCTTCTTACTTCTCTTTTTGTTTTTGCTTTCTCTTAATTCTTCTTGTTTTTGTTCATTTACATAATTTGGAATTCATTTCTCCTTGGATTTACAAAAACAAGACCCATCGACATTGTCTTTTTGTCTCATTTCCATTGGATCTGTCGATCAACCTTTTTTTATTTTTTATCTTTTGCCTTTTTCCTTTATACTTTTGTTTTGTTATTGTTTTGCTTTGCTCTGCTCTACTCTACTCTATTCAAGCGAATTGCTTTCTTCCCTTCCCTTTTCTTTTCTTTTCTTTTCCTCTCTTTGTTTCTTATACTTACTTACGGGTTTGTATATCCATATACGCACGCCTCCCTTGATTTCGATTCTCTTCGCGGGATTTGATAAAATTTTATGTAGTGTGATTGTTTTTCCATCGTAAATTGACTACATTCCATCATAGAAAAGCCACCGAAATCTCGACCTTTTTTTTGTTTTTTTTTTTCTTTTTCTTTTTTCCTTATTCCTTTCGGCTTTTCTATCTACGTTCTTCTAGTTTGTTTTCTTGTCGTAATTTACGAAACCTTCCGAGCCGTTGACTGGGAATCTCCTGCTCCGTTTCGTCCCTTTTCTTTTTCTTTTTTTTTCCTCTACATTGAAAGACTTGCTTTGCTGGAAAGGTGTAATTCAGTTTTCAAACGGTAATCGCTTGTTCTTTTCTGTTTTCAAACCTTTCTTTTGTTGGAAAGCAGTCCTTTCTTAGTCTTTGGAAGTTACCTTAATAGACCCGTTCATACCCTTTTCTGTTTTAATTCTTTTTGACCGTTTTATTTCTTCTTTTTTTTTTCTTGAAAAGGAAAAAAAAAAAATTCCTTCGAAGTTATTCGTTTCTGTTTGGGAGGTTGGTTAAGTCCTTTTTACTTCTTGTTGAGCCTCTCCTGTTTTTTTTTTGTTTGTTTTCCTTTACCTTTGCTTCTTCTTCCTTGAAGCTTTTTTTTTCTTCTCCTTTACTCTTAAAGAGTGTTTACGTACTAGGACTTCGTTGGCTTCTTTCCTTTCCTACGTTGGTTTCCAGTCGTGCTTTGTTTGTCCTTGTGCGCTTTGAAAACACTCGTGCTTGTAGTCCAGTTTTTCTTTTTCTCTTTTCCTCTCACGTTTAGCGGTTTTGTTTTTCCGTAAACTGCTATTTTCTTTTTTGTTTACCGTTTATCTCTATTTGTTGGTTTCGTTCCAAAGTCGTTGTCACATGTTTATTTAGCTGTTTACTTTTAGCTTTTTCCTTATCCTTAGTGTTTTCTTTTTTTTTGACGGTTCCTCTTCTATTTCTTTTCTCGTTTGTTAATTGCTACCTGTTCTTGTCTCTCTCATATATAAATTATGAATGCTTACAAACGTCGCAGGAATCAGGCTCCCGATTGGCAGTCTTACTATAAAAATGGCGTTCCTCAAGAAGTCATTGTGATTGAGGATTCTGCTTCTCCTCGTCTTTCTCCAGCCATGCCTACTTACTCCTCTCACCCAATACAACGCTGCTTCGCTCCCGCTGCTCCCCCTTCAATACCTTCCCCATCCATGCATGCTCCTTTTATGCAACCTTATCCTTATCAAAATCATCCTCCTTCCGACTCCCAATCTTCCCGTCCTCTTTCCAATGCCTCTTCTCAGTTCTCTCATCCGTATAATCCTTGGCTGGATTACAACGCTGCTGCTCTTCCACACCCTTATGTAACGGCCACTCAACCAATTCAAACCCATCCGCCTCCACCACCTCCTCCAGCTCCTTCATCGACCTATCTTATTTCCTCTTCCAACCCTATGCCATCGTATCCTCATCCTCCTTCTCCTTATGTTCAACTTCCCAACATGCCACTTCGTCCCCCAGCGCAGCATCAAGTACCTCCTGCTCCTCCTTCTGTTAATCAGCCATTCCCCGTTTCTCCTTCGCAAACGGTATTGCCCCGAATTTCTTTAAATTCATCAAACGCTTCCTACCCCAAAATGCAGCTTCCTCCAGTTCAGCGTCACAACAAAGGAAATCATTACGATTCGCCTGCTTCTTATCCTTCATTTTTTCCTCCTAATGTCTCCCCTCATCAAAAGAATAGTCAAATTCTCCCTACCAATCCCGTCCCTCAAAAGCCCAAGGAGCAAGTCAACTATTCTACCATTCCTAATTCTGCTTCGACTGCACAGGCTGCCGTTCCTCTTTCTCCGACCTTAGCCGTCTGGTTACCAATGACCCAAACTAATTTTCAAGCACCTCCCACTTATACATATCAACCCTCTAGTATTACAAACGATCCCATTGTCGTCCCTGATCCTCCTCCGCCCGCAAAAGCACCCCAGCCTAAAAAGCGGAAGCGTAATACCAATTCTACGAAAAAAGTTAACTGTGTCAACGTTCCCTTGGTAGCTGATAAGTTGAGCTTAAACTCTTCCGTTTATGATGACGATGATGGTCATTATAAAGTAATTCCAAATACCAATTTTGCGGAAAGATATACGGTGATTCGGCTATTGGGTCATGGTACTTTTGGCAAGGTAATCCAGTGTTATGATCAGGTTCAGGGGAAACATGTTGCTATAAAGGTAACTCGAGCTATTCCAAAGTATAGGGAGGCAAGTCTTATTGAACTTCGTGTTCTGCAAACCATTGCACAAAATGACCCTACGAACGAGAACAAATGTATTGAGCTGAAGGACTATTTTGATTACCGTAAGCATATCTGCATTGTTACTGATCTTTTTGGTTGGAGTGTTTTTGATTTTCTGAAAAACAATAACTACATACCATTTTCATTACTCCATATTCAGTCTTTAGCCCATCAGCTATTTAAAAGTGTGGCCTTCTTGCATGAGATAGGATTGGTACACACGGATTTGAAACCAGAAAATGTTTTGTTGGTTTCGAATGCGTCTAAAAATGTCCGTTTGCCATATCGAAATTACTCTCAGAAGATTCTAAACAATACCGAAATACGGTTGATAGATTTTGGCAGCGCCACTTTTGAGGATGAATACCATTCCAGCGTGGTAAGTACGCGACATTACAGAGCCCCTGAAATTATTCTTGGTGTAGGATGGTCCTATCCTTGTGATATATGGAGCTTAGGCTGTATCATAGTTGAACTATTTACCGGTCAAGCTTTGTTTCAAACACATGAGGATAATGAGCATTTGGCTATGATGGAAAAGGTTATCGGTCCTTTCAACTATGACTCTATTTCTAGGGCAGGCCGTTCAACACAACGGTTTTTCAGGACAAATGGATCCGTAAAGTATCCCATGTCTAACACACCAAAAAAAAGTATAGCCTATGTAGAGTCTTTACAAAGTTTGGATCAGTTATTTTCCTGCACCACCTCGTCAGGTGTAGCTCTACTTTTGGATCTTTTAAGAAAAATATTTGTTTATGACCCTGCAAAACGGATTACTGCAAAGGAGGCTTTATGGCATCCCTTTTTTAGTAATGCTTTATCTTCTAATTTTTAATCTAGAAGTTGGAATCCTTTCTGACTATAGAGTCATTCTTTTATTGTTCATATATATTATGATCATTACTAGATAGTGAAAACACCCAGCAATGGGTGTGTTTTCAGTATTTATTTACCCGCTTGTATTTTATTCAACTGTACAAATTTTTAATGAACATAACTGGTAAATATAACTATAATAGATTATGATTATGGTTGGAAACTACTAATGATACTCTCGTTTTCTAACAATCTTAAGTTTGCGCAATGAATTATCAATTCTAACTTTCATGCCATTCCAGAATGAAATTATTAATTGAAAATAGTAAGAGTAAGGATAAAACAATGATGGAATTAAACTTTTTTAGATTTAGGTCGTTTATATAGACGTTTGTTTCTCGTAACCCTCGAACCTTCATGATATTTATTTTACCGTTTCAACTGTCAATGACAGTCATCATCAGCAAATAGATGTGCCAAAGGTTCTATGTAATTCTTGAATTTTGGAATTTCATACGATTTAAGACACATGCCATCAAATGCCAAGGCGACGTTCAGTTGTTGATCGCTGAGATTCACCTCAGGTAGCTTCGGATATCTTTGGCTAAAATGTGTCAAAATGATGCTTCTTGCATTCATAAGTTGACCTACTCTTAAAGCTTCACTATAGGTAGAATGTTGTTTCCGTACGGCTATTTCTTGCATCGAATCTTCTAATGTAGCTTCGTGAATAACAACAGTAGCATCTTTTCCTATTTCGATAAATTCTTCCGATGGTCTGGTATCTCCTGAGTAAGCGATTTTCCATCCTTCATTACCGGTAAACTGCATGCAATACGAAAAAGGACAATGGACTGCTGCTACAGTTTCAAAGGAAGTGAGATCGAGTTCCTGCAAAAGCAATCGATACTTAATTAAATCTTCATCAGTTAAAGTTCTATCTCGTCGAACAGCGCTGTTGGAAAGGAAGACTATTCTGGACAGGTCTAGCTTATCTAGTTTGGAATAATCTTTTAACCATGACTCAAATTGAGGAGGTGCACATATAAATAACTTAGAAGAAGTGGTTGATATCGAAAACCACAGCTTCAAAACTCCAATCACACCAGCGTGATGATCCGCATGCATATGAGATATATAAATCCATCTCAATAATGAGATCTCATCATTTAGACTGTCACCATATTGTCTAGCTAATCTTCCAAGAGTACCTTCACCACAGTCAAGTAAAATATTGTTTGTTAAACGTTTACTCTCAATAAAATCTTCCCGCTCTGTTGCCCTTTTGGGAATTTTGATAAAATTAGAAGAGACGTTCCTGTATAATGATGGCATTGCGGAACCAGTGCCCAACGTACAAAACTCAATTTCGGAGCCTGCAAAGTCATTTGGAAGACTGAGTGATTCATTCAACAGTCTGGACTTGTTAAATAATTCCTTATAATCTGGTTTTTCTTCAGAAATGTTGTTGCGGAGCTGTGACACATCCATTCCAGCTTCAGGGTACTCTATCCCGGGTTTCTTTCCAAACATAAATTTCATCTTTGGACATGCGATAACATACCCATCTCTTTTTAAACTATCCAGGCTTTCTTGATAACAGTTTTTACCAAGCGGAAATGTGTTTTCATCAAGCATGTTCAAAGCTGTGATTGCAGATGCGCTTCTCGTATAATTAACAGTTTCTAACTCACTTGTGGGTGACAAGATATTGGAAGCTTTGTTAGATAATGAAGAAACCCAATGTTTGTATCTTTGATTGTTGAAAACTGCATCTGTTACCGAATGTATTATACAAACTGGCTCTGGAGCAGTTGACCATTGAGGCTGTTGAATTAGAGTGTCAATTAAAGATTCATGTGTACAATGTATAAAGAAGAAAGTCGATCCTGGGATAGGAGGACCTATAACATCATCGGGATAAACAGTTGAGCCATTATCTAGAGTTACTGATTCACCTTTAGCTAATTTTCCACAATCGACACCTTTAGTGATCCCTAACGACTTTGCTTTCTTGGCATCAAACTTTCCAGGAGAAGGATGGGATTGCACGATATAAGAGATAAATATCTGCGGACTCTGTTCTTCCAATGGGGGAGGTGTATTATACAATGCGTTATCGACCACGAAGGCTGTTTCGTTCGAAGAATGTGTAAACCAGTGAGGCGTAGAATCGGACGTCGCAGAAGTATTTTCGTTACTGGATAAAGCAGGACTATCAGAGTATTTTCTTTTCCTTCCGCTTGACGGTAGAGAAATTACAACGGGCGTTACACGAATATTTTCATCGACGTATTCAGGTGCTTCAGAGGAAGAATATCCTTGAATAGTTAAATCCACATTAGTATGGTAAGTAAAGTGACGCATACAAGACATATAATAGTGTATTTCGCTTGGACCATGAAGAGTGAAAGGGTTTTCACCTTGAGGAAGATCGCACGCATCATTCATGGACAATAGAAAGCCTGTTATTAGTTAGCTATCGTATCGCTTTGGCAATTATGGAAAAACTAAACACACCTATTAGGCCACCACAAGAATCCCACCAGTCAACTTGTGAATTAGTCTCTGAATGCGTTAAAGGTGAAGGACTTGAAACTGAAGAAATCGATAAAGGGGATACAGAAGAAGGAGATTCTGAAAGGATACGGCCCCCATGACATAAAAATACATCCTTTATTTTTGAGAGCTTCAATTGCTGGGATAGAATGGCTCTTTGGCATCCTTCTCCAATACTTCCAAATATATATCGTTTAGAATCAAAGAATAGATGAACGCAAGGAATAACTGAAGTATCTCGCGAGTTCACAGTTAAAAATTGAAGGTGAAAGTTTTTTGTGGCACGAAAGCTTGAATCTTTAGACATTATGGAACTGTAAATGAATTTAAGAAATATAAGAAACCAATATGTACCCCTGGAAACCAAAAAATAAGCCTTTTTTATATGTATATATAGAAATCGAATTTATCACTGTAGAGCACCGTACACTTCTAACCTCCAACCGTGGGAGAAAGATTTATTTATTAGTAGACACTAGTAGCCAAGTAATGTAATTTTAGTCTGCTTGGCCTTGATACCCTACACATGCATTTATTGATTACAGGAATAAAGGTATATTGCAAACTGTCTATGGTTTGTGAAATAAAATTATGCAACTTTTTTACAGTTGGTAAAAGCGATTTATTAAAGTTCGCTAAATGGAAGGATAAAACCAAGATTACATTTACGTGCAAATTAAAGTACTTGTAACATGTAAAAAGTAACTTAGAGGTTCAAATATTGTATCCTAAAATCTCTTTAAAAATTTAAAAGAATAATAGACCAAATAATAACCTGAAGCTTCTTAACTAATTCTTTTTCGATTTCGATTTGTGGTAACCGAAATCATGATCAGTAGGTAGTAGATGACCAGAGAAAAGCCGATGAAAAAGAAAGTAGGAAGAAAACACAGACATGAATTTGGTTTGTTTATTTACGATTTTCTTTGAAAAATCTGGATTGAATTGAGAACTGGATATTTTCTTTCAACTTCGGTGCTTTTTATGTTTTGTTTACATTATATTATACTCGTATGTCGATAATAATCATCTTCCACACTTATCTTAATACGATGTTAAGGTACATTGGCAATATATGCGAACGACTTTCCATTTTTTACTACTTTTAAAAAAATGGGAAATGATGGTAAGATATAAAAATGGATTAAAAAAGAAGAAATAATTTATTAACAAAAAACAGGAGGCTCGTTACCGACGCGAAATGAATTAGTCAAAGAGCCACCAAAATCGCGTCCACTCGACATCGATCTAAAGCGTTCTTTGAAGCAGTCGGAAATAACCCAATGTTCAATAACCGGTGATAATTTATCACCTCCAATCGTTTCTTGTGGACTTGGAAGACTTTATAACAAAGCGTCGATATTACAAATGCTCTTAGATCGCAGCAGCGTCCCTGAAGCACCTACTCATATTCACTCGCTGAAAGACGTTGTTGAGGTTCATGCTGAAAATGAAGAAGAAAATAAAGTATCATGGGTTTGCCCGATCACAAGACATGAAATGTCAAGCGCCTATCAATTTGCTTATATCGTCCCATGTGGACATGTATTTGAATATTCTGCTGTGAGAGAATTTGGAGAAAAGAATTGCTTTCAGGTTTGTAACTGTGGGTTACTAATGTACTAACCTTTTTCAGTGTAATGCTCCTTATGAACAAGAAAACATAATCCCCATTAATCCAAACGGTGAACAAATACAAGCATTGAGTAAGCGCTTATTAATGCTTACGAAATCTGGAAAATCGCACAGTCTTAATTTGAAGAAGGTATGGTAGATTTGATTTTAACGTGTAGCTAATACCCTATTCAGGTATCAAAGAAGCATAAGAATCAAGAGAAAAAAAGGAAACACTCTAAAGAATCCGATGAAGTACCGTCCCTCACATTTATTGATTCTGATTCTTCCTTGGCTAAAAAAAGAAAACCTGATTATGATGGTACTTCAAGCACCGATTCCGTCAAAAAAGAACGGATTAAGACGTAATAATTTCGTTTTTGAGTTTTACTTGCGTTTACATATCTTAAACTGTATTTATTTCATATCATGTATCTACTTATGGAACAGAGGATAGATTAGTTATACCATTACCAATAACGCGTTGACAACAAAAAATTGGAAAAACTGAAATTACTACTAAAGATTTCCGTTATAGTGACCCAAAAGCCTTCTTCCAAAAAAGCAAACAAAAAAGCTTGATATTTCCATTGGCAAATAATTAAAGTTTTTAATAAGCACAGCATCTACTACTACGCTGTCTTACTAGGAAAAGACATTATAAACTTTTTAACATCAATCAATTATAAAGCAGAAAAGACAGTATTGAAGAAAAGTTTTGTAAAACGAAAGCTATGCACTAACTCACGAGCGCTTAAAGTATTCCTTTATGCCATTTAAATTCGTAGTACCATATAACAGTCTACTTCGTTTTCTTACTAAGTTTTCTTTGTTCAATGTCCATATCGACAAGAGCGTTAGAAGCATTAACAAGTTGGACGACATTGATTAGTTGCTTGAGAAAACAAATGGGTCCACAGAGCACCGTCAGAACCGTAGGATACGAGAGTGGTAGATAGCCAGTTGAATAGACAAAGGTAGGTACACTGACAAAACCTAATCGGGGAGGAGAAGCTGGGGTGAATGAAAGCAAGTACAGAGCAACAAAAAACATTTCGTTCGCTGCACAAAAAATAAAAAGAACGTTGTTGTTACTATAATACATGCGTAGTAACCAAGAATGCTTGTTGGTCATTGATTTATGAGATTTGGCACCTTGGTGGATTGTGCTGTACATATGCATGTAATGACTAGCCAAGTCCAAACTTACAAGCAATTGAAAGATGATAGCATACTTCGGGTAAGCGGCGCAAAGAAAGCAAAGCAAACAAGAAGTTGCGCATCTGTCGGTGACCATGTCTAAGATCGCACCAAAATTAGTCGACTGGTTCAGCTTGCGAGCTGTCCAACCATCAAAGGCATCTAATAAACTAGAAAATAAATACAGAATCGTGCAATAATTTGGATGCCATGACATGAAATACAACGAAATCAAAACCAAAAAAACTCTAGTAAACCCTAAGCAAGTTAGAATGAATCTCCAAAAACGTCAATCTCAGGGGTGTTTGAAAAAAGGGCTATGCGAGGTGATTCAAGACGGCCATTGAACGATTTTGTACGATATACGAAGTATTGTATAAGAAGACTAGTAATGAACACTAAAAAAAAGGAAAGCATAAGATAAAAGTCCATCGCAGGAAGTAGTCTTGATAGGAAGATGTACGAACTTGCAAACTTGTTTCCTGACGCAAACAATGGGCCTGGATTATTATTAAAATTCGTATGCCAAGCTTCGAAAGGAGCCAACTTCGGTTTGATGAAGCGCTTTCTTTAAAAAACCGTAGAAGACTATCCGAAAACCTTTTCGTCTTCCTTCAAACTGTCGTAGGAAAGCTCATTTAATTATAAATTAAATGATTGTTTGGTATAAATTCAAAAGTTATCCACTAATCAAAAAATTATGATCATGTCAATACCGATATCGAAACCGCACTTTGATAACTTGCGAAAATGAATCGTCGGTTAATGTTGTTTGTTTATTTGTAACTGATCCTATATTTCCTGCCCCGTAGCTTCTTACTAAAACAACCCACTCCAGAATATTTCCACAATTCGATTTTCTCATACAAAACCATTTTGACAATGGATGAAATGCATCATCCATGTTTCTTAAACACGCCCTTTATAGATGTGACGACAACTAACATATAGCCATTTTCAGGAAACTTACCAATTAGATTGGGAGCAAACAAATAGACATTGGGATCTTTTTCTACTTTAACTGCCATGATTATAAGGTGAGTGTCTGGCTAAGGTGAAATGCGATATCCGTGGCTGGAACCCACGGTTTAAACACCAACCTGAGAATACTTAAATAGGGAGAATGGTATTATTCGCGATGAGGGATTTACTGCATTGCTGGGATTTCAGTAATGCATTTACGAAAATAAATTAGCGTTGTTGCGCGCTATTCTTTGTGCTCGTTATTATGAATTCATAGCATCAGAGAAGACTAGTGCTAGTCACCAAACAGTATAGCTTTCGGGATTGTCTAAAAGGCCAAGGGTAAGGCCAAAAGAAAGTTACTTACTTGAATCATTGATTTGTTAGAAATAAGGATTCTTTGAATACTTCTATAGTGTCACTAAGAAGCTCTAGTATCTTAGCCCTTAAAACAGCGTAGATCGTTTCATTGTTTTACCTAAAATCATACCCAAAAATTCATCCAAAAGTAAGTTATTTAGAAAAGGTGGACTTTGGTTAGGTTTCTTGCTTCAATGCGTGGAAAAGAAATATGGGATTCTCTTTCTCAAGTTGAACATCTGTCAGATGGAACTATAAGTGAAGTGTATGTAGGGGTGAATAAAAGAAACAACATTGCATACGTTGTAAAAATTCAAGAAACTAGGTTTAAACGTCCACCTCATGATGCGGTACGCGGAAGAAATATTTTGAAGGAAATAGAGCATCCTCACATTCAGCGTCTGCTTGGGTCATTTTCCGAGCCATCTACTTCCTGTTTACATTTGATTACGGAATATCAGCCCTTTGTACTTTCTGAAATTTTAAACAAATTATCCAAAAATGTCAAAATTAACATCGTTTCTCAGCTCGCCGATGCACTCCAATACCTCGAGAACAATGGAATTTTACATAGGGATATCCACCCAAATAACGTTTTGCTAGCTTCCGAAGAAGGACCAGCTTATCTTACAGATTTCAGCATTGCTTGGTCAGAAAAATATCCCGGCGACGAAAAGGAAGAATTAATATCCCAGGTAAGCCAGACTAACAGTAGCATATATTATTTGCTATTTAAAATAACTTTAGACTATTTCTAACGATTATTTCCAATGATTAGATTGGGACTAGCCATTATAGAGCAATTGAAACTTTGTTTGGTTGTCGAACATATCGGCATGAAGTGGATCGCTGGTCTTTCGGTATTTTAATTGCAGAGTTATTTTCAGGTGTACCTCTGTTCGACGATGGAAGTTCGGAGGGTTGGCCAAGTGAGTTACGACTTATCAGCAATATATTTCAAACACTTGGCACCCCGAACCTTGAGATGTGGCCGGTAAGATGAAGTGTCATTCTTAGCTCTATTTAGTAGTACTAACCTATTCATTATGTTTTAGGAGCTTGCAAATTGTCCTGATTGGAATAAATTCATTTTTCACGAATATCCGCCAAAGCCTTGGGAGGATATTTTACCAAACGTTGATCCAACTGTCCGTAAAGTGGTTTCTAAGCTTGTTAATTACCCAAACCGAGCATCACCAACTTATGTTATAGAAAATATCAATCTTTAATTGACTCTGTTCAAAACAACGAACTCCCGAAAATTTCCGACGTAATATAAATTTACACTTGTAATTTATTTGTTGGTTTTAGTCTTCCAACTATATGATTGTTCATAATGACGGATTTTACGAACTCGTCGTTGAGAGCTTTACTTCCCGGTGTTTGTTTACACCACCACAATGACCTAGGCATACCTAATATATGGCTAATTGCAATGTGAACATCCACAACTCTTTATGAGTTTAATACTTCTAAAACAAGTATTCGAAAAGAAAGAAAAGAAAATACGCTTTCATAATAGTTGAACCAATTCCTAAAATAATCTGTAACAATATTTAAAGTGAGGAAAGTTTGCTTCCAAAACTTCTGAGACAAATAAATATTTCAGCTATGGATTTGGAAGTTGTTGAATTTCCACTACATCACAGACTGGCCCTTCCGTTTCGAATTGGACTCTTATTCATTTTGGGTATGAACTAACGCCATCACTTAAAATTCTAACATAGCTTAGGTACATGGCTCTGGTCTTTATGCTGCCATTACATATATTATTTAAAAAAACAGGATCTGGAGGTTTATAATGCGAGAAGTAGAGTGCGGCAATCTTCAATGATGCCAAGTGTTAACTTTACAGATACTCGGACCGATCTGGAACAAGCGCCAATAAAAAACTCGATTATAAAACGAATCAATTACGAAGCAGGATATTGCTTCTCCACTATTATTTTCATATCGTGGCTCATAGGCTTTTTGCTTTTCATTCTTAACACGCGCGGTGATGTGAAAGGTTTATATATGCATCCTTTGTATCCAACGTTATGGATGATCACAACTGTTGTTTTGGTGGCTGTCCCTTTTCCTTGGAGATTTCGACCAGTGCAACGATCGCTTCAAAACTCTATTATACGAGTATTTTTCCTGTTTCACGCAAATTCTTATTATCCCCACAAAGACTTTCTTTTGTCAGAAATATTTACGTCTTATGCGAAAATGTTGGGAGATTTTTACGTTTTTGGTTGCGTTTTGAAGGGTCATATAACCAAATACACACTTCGTCCTGACTTAAAATGTGATGGTACCCTTTTTGTCCCATTAATAATGACATATCCCTTCATCGTTGCTACGCTTCAATCATTACATTATGCAGTAAGACATAGAAAGGCAGCTCTGAAAATAAGCTTACTAAATGCTTTTAAGCATGCGTTGGCTTTCCCGCTTATTTATTTATCTGCGCTTATGCATGCTGAACGATCGAAATTTAAATTGAGTTCAAATCATGGCTATCTTTTTTGGTCTTGGAATTTACTCGCTCTATTAAATTCTGTGTACACTTTCTGCTGGGACACATACGTTGACTGGGGTGTAAAGTTTCCTTTTGAGAAAGTCCCATCAAGAAGGTGTCTTCCTTTTGTTGCCTATTTTTTGGCTGCTATATTAAATTTTATTCTTCGTATTACATGGAGCTTAAAACTTTATCCTCGATTGTATCAATACCATGATTATGAAATGGGCATGTTCTCATTCGAAATGCTGGAAGTCATCCGAAGGAACCTCTGGTTATTGTTTCATTTAGATGCGATCGTTTAAGTGAAATCAATTGATTATTTATTTGTTTAACAAAAAATATTTTAATAAAAAGGTTCCCTGAAGCATCTACTAAACAATCATGACCTCTTAGGATACAAAAACCCTCGATAGACTTAAATTAGAAACACCTAATTTAAATGCGTTACATTTTTTTCTACATACATGTACTAAAAACATTCTTGTCCAAATAAGTAGCCGTGTCTATATAAGATTAGTCAAAAAATTTAGACCAATATTTGACAATTTTCATAGAAATCACATCCTTTCACGAGCTCTAGGAGCAGCTCTCAAAATAGTGTCAACACGAAGTAAAAGTTGAGCACCCTCACTGCCACTTGAAACAACTGCTTGTTTTAACTTCAAGGATTCTAAAATTCCCTTTTCACTCATATCAGCAATTTCTCCCTTGTCCATGTCAAGACCCATTTTGGTTTTACCGTCATAGTGAGCAGCCTTTAGTTGTGCTACTAGTTCACTGGAATCATAACCTGCGTTATCCGCCAAAATAGTTGGAAGTTGAGTAAGAGCCTTAGCGAAAGCGGAAACCGCAATAGCACGTTTACCGGGTTCATGAGCTGCTGCCTCTTCAACAGCACGAGCCATAAGCATCTCAGCACTACCACCGCCTAAGGTTACCCTAGATTCGGTAATGGTTTGAGAAAGAACGGCAAGAGCATCATGTATGGCACGTTCAGCTTCATCAAGCATTTGGTGAGTAGCACCACGGAGAACAATTGTACAGGCTTCACCAGCAGCAACACCAGAAAATTTGATCATTTTGTCTTCACCGATTATAACTTCTTCAATTCGTTTACAATGACCAAGCTTAACAAGCTCAGGATGCTCAAAGGTTGAAGCAATTTCACCACCAGTGACTAGCGATAGACGCTCAATACCGTCGAAGTCAGCATGCTCAATAGACATAATTCCGGCATCTGCAAAAAGCTGTTCGGGCCAATTATAAATAAGTTGGCGGTTGATAAAACAGTTAATATTATGGTTTTTGATTCTTTCAACCTTAGCCTTCATCTTCTCACGCTCAGCACGCTCTAATTCAGCAAGTTTTCCGGTAGTGTCAACGCGAAGTCTAGCACCAAAAACTTTAACTTTGTCGGTATCCATTGGGGTGTTTGCGATGAGTATATTAGCATCCTCCATAACTTTAGGACAGTTTACACCAATATTTTTGTTAAGAATGAAACCTTCATCCAAGAAAGAGTCTTCCATTTTACCACCAAGGATTTTCATAATTTGAATGTTATCCAAATTGATGTTTTGTTTCAATCGAAGAACAGCATCAACCGCAAGCTTTGCAAAGTGGTCTTTACTTTGAGAAAGGATTTTTGACGATAGCGTAGTCTTGGCAATATTTTCTAAATCTTGGCGAAATAATTCAGGGTCTTTTGAGTTGTCCACAGAAGACGCTTGAAGAGCCTCAATCGCCTTTTTAGCACCAATACGGTATCCATCAATAATTACTTGGGGATGAATCTTAGAATTTACCAAGATTTCGGCTTGACGAAGAAGCTCGGCAGCAAAAACACAAACGCTAGTAGTTCCATCACCAACCTCATCATCTTGAACCTTCGAAATATTTACTAAAACCTTCGCAGCAGCATTATCCAAAGCAATTGCTTTCAAGATAGTTGCACCATCATTGGTGACCACAATATCACCGGAAGTACCAGACTGAAGAATTTTATCCTAAATTATTAGAATATACGAAAAATTTCAAAATATACTATTTTAAATAACTTACCATTCCCTTGGGTCCTAGAGTACTTTTTACCAAATCGCCGACTGCAATAGCGCCGACGAAGGACGACAAACGGGCATTTTCGCCTCGTTCTTGAGTTCCTCGATCACTGAAAATTTGATGAGGATTAAAAGACTACTTTGTTAGTGTCATCTTGACGGTCTTCTTACCATTTCGTAGCTTAACGCCTATGTGAAACGTGTTGGTGGTGAAAGGAAAGCCAAAGAAACCTGTTCTTTAACTCATGAAATTACCACCACTTATACCCCTATAATAATTACACTAAAATTGTAGTTTTTTAAAGAAAAAAAAGGAATCCTAATTGTATTTAATTTTCTGAACTCTTCAATTCGCCAACGTATAGAGATGTATCTCTTTACCAGAGTTTCAAATTCGACAGTAGAAATGTAAAGAGAAACCTATTGCTAACACATCCATAACGAGAAGTAACTATCAATATCCAAACATAAATGATTATGAGCTGAAAGCATGTTTAAAAGCTGATTCGGTCAACCTAAAAGAAAGTGACTTTCCTCAGCACAAGAAGCAGCTTACAAAAAACAAACAAAATAAAGACTTTCTTTTATTATATTAGTGTTTAATTACTTTTTACGAAGTGGCTTGTTTCATTTAATTTAAACCTCCCTCATTTTTATAGAGTAGACAATAGTTCTCAGTACGCTTTGAAGCCATTCAAGTATAGATTTTAGACTTTACTTTAATATAGAATCAAATGTCTTTGGATTACACCGGAAGCTGAATTGTAACTTCTATTCGTGCAGAAATACGAACAAACTGGAGAGCCGACTACTGCATCAAGGGTATATAGGGTTATAAATTTTAATTAAGATAAGAAAAAGAAAAAATTTATTCAGTATATATGTGATAATTGTTGAATCATGCCTACAACTAGCTTACCACGACAAGCCTGACTTCTGCCTGTTACAATGGGTCTTGTAGTCTCACATGGAACAACAACCTTCGCAACATTCTTTAGTCCCATCAATTAACGAAGATGTAGGAGAGGAGAACGTTCAAGCAAATAGCTCTACTTTACTGAATGCCGATGAAATTCCAGCGAGTTTGCCTTCGTTGGCATCAAGTGATCCAGATGTTCAGGTTTCCTTACCCGAAATAAAAGTAAATGGGGATGATGTACAACAGATGCTGTCTGAGATTTTGTTGGAAGATTCATCACCTCCAGTCAATGAGATAGGTTCGGAAGCTCGTTCAGCAAGTGAAGTTTATGATGACAAGCTTCGAAAAGCCATGTCATTTGATTGTATCCTTGCTAGGCAAAAGAGAAAATACTTGATTTTCACTTCTTCTGGCAAGCCAGTCTTTAGCAATGTTGCTGATGAAAACCTTGAGCCTTCAACTGTTGCCGCTTTGCAGGCAATTTTAAGCTCCTTTGAGGTTCTTAAGGAGGATTTAACTTACTTTGAGACGTTTTCTACAATTATCGTGGCTTATTCAGCCGGACCTCTTTATTTGGTTTGTATCTCCCCATTGACCACGCTTTCACCGGATTTTATGAAAAATGAATTGAGACTTTTCTACCATCAAATACTAAGTACTATTACAAGTAAGTCTATTTCATCAATTTTAGATTCAAGACCCAATTTCGATTTGCGACGTCTCATTGGAAGCAGCGAGCAGTTTTTAAAAGTATTATCAAGCGATCTAGAAAATTATGAACCATTTTCATTTCTAAATGCTATATCTCCTCTTCCTTTACGTGTTTCATTTCGAGACCAGCTATCTCAATTGCTATTGAAAGAGAAACCCAAATCCCTGATATTTGCTCTTTTGGTCGTACAAGGTCGATTAGTTTGTGCTATTAAGGCAAGAAAACTTATGCTACATGCAAATGATATTTATTTAGTTTTCCTCTCGGTGTTTAATACCCAAGCTTTTAATGATTCCATGGAGCATTGGGTCCCCATCTGCTTACCCAGCTTGAATCCAAATGCTTACCTATATATATACAGTCATTTTATCGACCACGAAGTTGCACTAATTTTAGCGAGCAATGAAAGTTCGAGTTTCTTTGATTTGCAGGCAATGAGAAACATCGTTTCTATGCGTTTATACGAGAGGTATTGGCTCAAAAAGATACTACATGCTGCAGAGCTCGATCAAACTTCATTTCGAAATCCAGGGTTTCCTTGTATTTTACATTACCTGTTTTATTCCAAAAAGTATTCTCAATTTTATGCTCCAGGATACAGATTTAATGCAAAAAATAATGTGAAGTAAGTGTTTGTTTATTTCCTCATAATTACTTGTTCTAACCGCTTTAAGAAATCTTTATGCTATTTACGCTAGCTTGCATGATCAAGTGTTTCACAGAAAACGATCTTTATCTATTGACGTGGAAATTCATGGAAGTTTAATGCTTTTTACTTGGTCTACTTCTTCATTTAATTTTTATTGTCTGGCCAATGCGAATGAAAATTTGCAAATTTTAATCGCTAATATAAATAAGGTTCTTCGATGGATTCGGAGAGAAGAATCACGCTTATTTATATGTACGAACCTTTCGTTTTAATGAAGAATAAATAATGATGAACATAAGTACTTACGGGCCTGTAATGAACATAGCCATGCATCGTCTTTCAAAGTAAATATTTTGTAAATCGTGTACGTACACATAGTCATTCATTTGTAGGGTACCAAATTTAAAATCGAATTTTTTTTAATAATCTAAATTTCCATTACGCCTTTGAATGGTAATAACATATAGAATTGTTTTGATGCTGCAAGTTATGCACAAGCAATGGTGTAACACAACCATACAAGCACCGTCTTGCCAAGTCATCGTATACTTCCTCCGAATAAGGAATAATACTATAATGTTTGGTGGTTTGAAAAACTTTTTGAAAGAAACTTCTGAATCAATAACAGGAATTCACCATGATTCCGCAGAAGAGTATGGATTTCGGGTCCTAAAGATCCAAGAGAACTCTCTAGCTGCTAATGCAGGAATTGAATCGTATTATGACTTCATTACAGCTATAAATGGAATTTTGCTGGTAAGAAAAGAATAATTTTCATAACAATTAACACACAGAATGGGGATCCGTTAATGTTTCGTTCTTTATTACGGGATTCATCTCCTGAAATAACCCTCGAGGTTTTCTCATTAAAAGGACAAATAGCCAGAAAAGTTAAAATTAATGTTTCAAATGCAGAGCAAGGTATGTATCCACTTCATGTTTAAATCATCAACATGTATAATCATCACTAGATTGAGCTAACACAAGCAGACAAACTAGGGATGACGCTTCAGTGGGCATCAATTCACTCAGCAATTGATGCTGTGTGGCACATTCTTAATGTAATTGAAAATTCCCCTATTGCTCTTGCAAAAGTGATTCCTTACCAAGATTATATCGTAGGCACTCCTGAAGGAATGATGACCGGCGAAAAGGCGCTGGCTGACTTAATTGAAACGGTATGTCACCGACGCTACATTACGAAACTAACTTCATTAGCATCTTAATCGACCTTTACGTCTTTACATATACAATCAGTATCAAGACAACACTCGCCAAATTACTATTGTCCCAAAAAGAAACTGGGGAGGTGATGGAGCCATTGGCTGTGGTGTCGGGCATGGTGCATTACATCGTCTACCGGCATCTCTCTCAGGACCTCCTCCTCAACCAGGCGACGTGGCCTTTTCAAATCCTTTACTACCACCCACAGACTACTCCGAATCTGTAACAAACAATGAGAAATCACTAAATAGCATTCCCTCTCCTCTAGTCCCCCAAGAGTTTTCATCCCCAACGGCTAACTTAGATGGAGAAATGCCCATTCCTCATTATCACAGACATAAAAAGCACGGTCGCAATGCTATACAAGATTCTACAATCCAAAACTATCTTGAAGAAGAAGAATTGCTCAGTAAACAGTTGGATCACAAGGCCCGTAATCCCGTCATGGATGCTAATGCCTCCAATTCAGTCCCTCCTCCACCTGTTGCTGCCAATCCAAGGGATAACGAACAAATGTAATTTATGACACAACGTATTACTACATAGCTATTCACCCAACGAAAATGTAGATTATATTGTTTAGAATAATAAATGACCGTTTAGAAAGCGTTAACCAAGAGCTTCCATCTAGCGAGCATCATTTTGACCTAAAACGGCGATATGATTCGTCTTCCAATTTTGCAGAACTCGTTGACGATTTCAACATATCCTCTATTAAACGATCTCTTGCTAGATCTGCTGAAGATCTAGTAGATGTAGGATTCGTTTTATTTAACCCTTTACGTTTCCGTTTAGATGCTGAATTTTTTGAAGATTCCAATTCTGTGCTTGTGATTCCAACGTCCACCTCCGGAATAGCATCCGACGCTATTGAATTATTTTGCACCTTGTTAGGCAAATCAGATACAATTGTTGGAGCTTTCTCGTGACCAGCGTCCCTTTTGGGAATAACCTCTGCATTGTTTTCATGCTCTGTAGAGGGATGCGAACTTTGCTTATCAAAATTAATTTTAGATTCAATGTAGGACAACAAGTGTTGATTGACATCTATCTCGTTTGTCGGTTTCGCAAAGCGATCCTCTACAGTAGGCAGTATAGCATTAATTAAAGCTGAATCCTGTGTCGTATCTCCATTAGCAGGTACTTCAGAATTTGAATCATTCACGGAAATCTTCTTTTCTTTTTTCTTTCCTTCTATTAAATTTAGAGCATTCACTCCGGAGGAAGCTAATTTTGTTTTTCTTTTTTTGGCATCTTCCAAAATACTACGGACTTTTGGGGCGCTGTCCTCACCCTCAAGGTCAATTTCATTTAAAGGATTCGGTTCCAATACACGCTTTCTTATATTTGATCGATTGCCCTTTTTTTTATGATGGAAGCCACACATATGGAGGTAATGGCATGAAGCTGTTATTCAGAAGTTCCACTCCCAACCTCACCCTCGAAGATCATTTTTCTTGATCTCATGTACAGGTGAATTTAGGCATAAAATGCTTACATTGAAGTCGTGCTTCAGGAATACTGCAAAAGCTACTCGTTTGTACCGGGTTTCTTGTTCAATAAAAGCTCGAACCTTTATTACAACTCATAGACCATGCGGTGAAGATCAATTGATTAAGGACGTGTTCGATCAGAAATGTTATGGGAACAATTCTAAATATGCAAATAAATTAGAGCAAGTCGGTCTGTTTAAAAATCGATTCTTACTTGACCAAGATCAAGGGTTCATAAGGTTAGCTGAAACTGCCTCGATGAACTGCAAGAAGCTTATTGAAGAGATTTTGAATGATGATAATAGTAATACTTTAAACATAATTCGCTGCTTTGATCGGATTTCGAATTTGCTTTGTAGCGTGATTGATCTTCTGGAATTTGTACGATGCTCTCATCCTCAAATGGAAACCATTGTCAAAGCCGAAGAGGCATACAATCTTTTATTCGAACTGATGAATATTCTAAACACGCATCAGGGACTCTATAATAAGCTAAGGGAATCAGTGTTACTTAATCCCTCTTTAGCCAGCCAAGATCCTGAAGCTTATAATGTCGCAAAGGTCTTCTTACAGGACTTTGAAAAGTCTGGCGTAAATCTTGATGATTCTTCACGGGACAAGTTTGTAAAACAATCCATGGAATCGTCAACATTAGGAAGAAAGTTCTTTAACCGTAGTATGAACAGACCTCAGCGATACATATCAGTTCCCTTGGATCTGTTGAAGGGTTCTGATCCGTATTTTGTAGGTAGCGTTTATGATGAGAAAGAAAAAATCGCTCTTATACCTACTGTTGGGTATGAAGGAGCACAAGCTCTCGTAAGTATTGCTAATCCTGAAGTGCGTAAGCAGATATATATTCAAGGACATAAAGGAAGTGACCAGGATATATCTCTTTTTGAATCTTACGTTGGTTCAAAATACAAGCTCGCAAATATTGTCGGGAAAAGTAGCTTCGCTGAACTTCAACTACTTGATAAAATGGCCCGATCACCAAGTTGTGTTATCAACTTCTTAGAAAATCTATCAAAAGAAAATTTACCGAAAGTACGCCAGATACATTCACTATTTTCTAGGATGAAACAAATGGATTTAGGCCTAACAAATCTTCCTGAAGTTAACATATGGGATCGAGAATATTACGTTACTAGGTACAAGCAACAATTATTCCAAAGGAAATCATTCCTTACTTCATCCGTTAATTATCAAAGGGATTATTTGACTGTTGGTACCGTTATACAAGGATTATCACGCCTTTTTAATTCGCTGTATGGTTTACGCTTTGTTCCAGCCGAAGTTATGCCTGGAGAAATCTGGGATTCCGAAGTCCGTAAATTGAATGTCTTAAATGAGAAAAATTGTTTGATTGGCGTCATCTATTTTGATCTATTCACTCGTCCAGGGAAAACTGACGGTGCCGCTCATTTTACCATTCGTTCATCTAGGGAACTCGACAGCATCAGTATAAACGATTCTTTAAGTTTGGGATTCTCTGACTATATATCCGAGAAAAATCAACAAGTTGCATACCAAATACCTATAATATCACTCTTGTGTAACTTCCAAAAGTCGAATGATGACCGTTCTTCCTGTCTTGATTTATGGGATGTTAAAACATTGTTTCATGAGATGGGACACGCTATGCATTCTATTCTAGGAAGGACCAAATATCAAAATTTAGCCGGTACACGTTGTGCCACAGACTTTGTAGAATTACCTTCTATTATTATGGAGCATTTTATGGCATCTTCTGAAGTGTTACCCTTATATGCCCGCCATTATCAAACTGATAAACCTTTCCCATCTCAAATATTAGAACACTATAACCAGGTTGAAGACAGTTGTGTGGCATTGGATCAGCAATCTCAAATATGTATGTCCATGATTGATCAAGTTTTCCATTCTGGTGCTGTCTCTAAACCTGACTTTAATTCCGTCGATGTTGTCCATCAGATTAGCAACCGGTTCAGTGGGTTTGAGTCAGTTCCCAAAACTTCTTGGCATCTTCAATTTAGTCATCTATACGGATATAGTGCAAGCTACTATTCGTACCTTTTTGATACAGCTCTGGCTTCTTTGGTATTCCGGAAGTTATTTTCCAAGAACCCTTTGAAGCGTGAAGCTGGTGAGAAATTTCGAAATACAATCTTAAAGTGGGGTGGAAGTCGCAATCCATGGGAATGTATAGCTGAAGCATTAGAAGATCCAGTTTATGCTGAAGGTGGAGAAAAAGCAATGCAAAGGATTGCAAATAATGCTTTCAGTTTTGGCGATGGAAAAAATTAATGATTATAATATTTGACATGGAGAAGGTGATGAGAGGATACAGTCTATTTAGAATGTGTAGTTATGAAACCCAAAAATTATGTATTATTTTTCCTGTGTAAATGTGTTTTTTTGTTTTAGGTAAAATCGTAAGGCTTAAAATAAGATTTGAAGTCTTCTGCATCTTTCTTTTCCTCTTCTTCCGTTTGATTACATTGTCGCCAATCTATCCTTTCCTCAATACCCATAAGTTTTGCAGCGGCTCGCCTGCCAAATTGTAAATCAAATCTTTCTCGAAGGGAAAGCGTATGAACGAGGACTTCACCAGAGGGAAGGAAAACTCGAAAATAGTTTAATTCATGGGATCGAAGATCGCGTTCTTCAAAAGTGAACCCGGATTCTTTAGCTTGGTTATTGAAGTACTCTAATGCTTTTGGTGAAAGATCCTTTGGAATAGGAATGACCTGCCAATGTACGTGAACACCGTTTGCTCTACTAATCTCGTAGACTATAGCATCAGAGTTGTGCGCGTTATACATTTGAGTGACAGCTTTGCGAAAACGATGTAATTCATCGACGGTATTTTGGTAGGAAGAATCGGATAATAAACTTAAAGCAGAAGTGTGTGCGATTGGAATAATCAATACATGAGCAGGGAACGGAAGTTCAGGTACATTTGTATCTTTGGTGGTAAGAGGTCCTTTTGGTAAAGCTAAGAAAAAAAGTTGATGGAATTAGCTTAAATTTCTTACGCAACAAAATAATGAGGACGCATATATTATTACTAACATACCCATATAAGCTTCATTGCCAATAGCAACGATTAAATGAAGTGAAATAGAGGAATTACTAAGACAAAAGAAGCAAGCATCGGCTAATAAATAAGTAAATTAGTTGCGATGAAAAAATCGTAATGAAGGAAAGCGTAACTCACGTCCAACTTTAGACTTCTTAAATCTAGTGAAACCTGATTCAGTTGAAACAGGGCTATCAGGAGGAGGGATGACTTGTTCACTGGAGGCACGTTTGAGAGGAATGGGTCTTAAGACAAAGGGAGAATCAGTGCAGTTTGGAGGAATATCTCCTATAAACTCACCAGTTAATGGATTCAAAGTAAATGCATAAGCGAATTTTTCACCAATTGGGTTTTTAAAGGGTGCAATGCCAAAAAAGCGAGACACAGTACCAGAGGGAACATTGACTGCAGAGTTTCTATAAGGTTCGCGTTCGTAATAAACAGGACTTGGTACAAAGAAGTATTGGGGCATACAGTTTGCGGCCAAGGCAGCAACAGGAGCATTACCTGAAGGGAGGTTTCTACGAGGTAAAGAAGATTTGTTTTGAACATTTTCAGGCCAGCTATTGGAAAAAAGGATGTCACATCGCTTGGAAAGAGTTTGAACATCAGTGAGATGGAAAGAACGTTCAGTCAAACTCTTTTCACGCTTATTCATAGGTTCATTGAACTTGACTTCGTCGTAAGTACCACCCAATTGAGCGATGGTGAAGCGGGAATACGTCTTCATGAAGCCGCAAATACCCATGCAAAACAAGTTGGGGCAGATTTCAGGACCGTACATTGCCATGTGGGAGGTCACTGTTTCCGGCATACCAGCCGAACCGACGCCGAAGTAAACTGGCAAAGGAACTGTATAAGATGTTAGATTAGGGAGGTTCAGGCTACAATGCATATGGAAGGAAAATAAACGTACCCAAAAACTTTTCACTCTTCAATTTAGTAACGACAGAACTGGCTGTCTTTCGAGTAAAAAGGTTTCCAAGACAGATAGCAAATTTGAAATTGTGGGTTTTGTGGAGGTCTGCAATATACTCAAGGGCTTCAATGGCACGGCCCTCGGCGGATCCAATGACCAAACTAAACGAACTTGGTTAGTAGATGTTCATAAATTTTGTTTTTTCCTTTTTTAAACAATAATTAAGTGAAAAACAAACACTATAAAGCAATTTTGTATACGAATTCAAACTCAAAAGAAGATGCGCAAGTGAATTTGAATCTCAATTCGAATTCAAAAACAAAATCAAACAATATAGGTGTTTTCCAAAAAATGTAGAGAAAAACTCGTTACATACACTTTAGAAGGTTTAGGAGTCTTCATGATGAATCAAGGAAAGTAACACCAAAGAAAAATTAGAGGGAATATAAAGAAGGTAATTTTTAAAAAAGAACACAAAAGATGTTTGTTTTTTGCTTTATTTTCCTCGTTGGTCTAAAGAATCAAAAGGAAAACGAATAGCAAATTGGATGGAATAAAAAGTCAAAGTAAAGTATGAATAGTTGTTTTTCTTCACGTCGTTTAACGTTTTGAAATGCCTAAACAACAATTCAACAAAGCAAAAAGCACTAGTTTACTAGTACTAATCACTAGTAATCAATGTAGAAGGTAGGGAGTCGTTGGGCTACCAAGTAGATAGAAAGAGAGAGAGAGAGAGAGAGAGAGAGAGGGAAAGAAGGACGAACGATGTAGAACCTAATCAGGGTTCAGGGTTAAAGAAATAAACCGAAAAAAAAAAAGAAATTAAGATGAAAATAAAAATAAAAAATTTAAAAAAATAAAGAAAAGAGCCGGTCGTAGGAAGAGAGAAAAAATCCAAGGATAAAAAAGATGAGTAAGTCAAAGTCGATGAATCAACCGATGGATAGATACCTAGATAGAAATGAAAGCCACTTGTTTTGTTTAGAATTGAATTTAACAGGACAAGTCTGGTCTGGTCTGGTCTGGTCTCAACGTAAGTAACGGTTTCTTTCGTTTTTTCTTCTAATTAACTTTCTCTATAATAAACAGCGAATGTCAAAACAAAAACAAAAAAGAAAAAGGGAACGGAAGGGAAGGGAAGGAAAAGAGGAATATACAAAAGGAAAAAAGAATAGAAAAGGCACTATACTAACTAACTGTACCAAAAACTACCAAAGATGATTCCGGTATTGTTTATTTTTTTAAATTATTAAAGGAAAAAAATAAACAAAAAAAGTTGTGGAATAGAAAATATTTTTTACAAAGATGGAAGAAGAAGAAAAAAAAAAAAGAAAAAAGGACAATTACACTACCAACTAAAGACTAAAGAGTCCAAAAGAACAAATTGGCATACGGGTCAGGTCAGGGACGGTCGTAGTAGCGATGGGAAACCCCGAACCAGGATAACACTTGTGTTTAAAGGGAATTGAAAGGGGAAGGGTTAAGCTTGATTATTCATTGTATATATTGCAAAAATTTTGATACGTATGTATCTCGTGTTTCCGCTATTAAGGTTGTACCTTGTCGTCAATTCTAGTAAACAATGATGTCTAATATGAAGTAGTAAGGTATCTTTGTGCATCAAAAAGGTCCACACAAATTGATTCCGAGTTTAATGGAAACGAATAAATAAAACAAAGTTTGAACATTTTGGAAAGAATTCATTTTATCAGGTGAACAGTGAACCCTGATTGCTTTGCATTGTTTACTGTTTCCAATTCATCGAACCCTATCCCTGTTCCAGAAAGTCTAGATTTTACAATTTTGGGTCTCGTAAATGGAATCAGCGTATGATGTCTTGTTTTTCTATGGACAAGCTTCGCCTCGTTTTTAAAAGAGGAGAGGAAGGGAAGGGAACAAACTTTCCGATCCCCTCCGCTCCTCTCCTCCTTGCAGCGTTACTTTGTGTTCGGAAGATGTCAAGTCAAGCCGAACCTAGCCAAGCCGCATAAAGATTGGAGAAGGAATGGTTTTGACAAGAAAAGGGTTTCGAAAGAGGAAAGGAAGGAAGGAAAGACTGGGTCATACTGAGGAAATCAATCGAGTCATATAGTCATTATGACCATGGTTTGTATATGCTATAATGTTATTTTTCTAATATTCTATAATGCTATATACGATAGTTTATGCGGTCTTAGTTTTTACTTTTTAAAAAAAAAGAGTTTGTGATTTCATTTGTTATGATGTGAAACTCGTATTCACATATTCAAAATGAAATTTTCTTTTTCTTTTCGTGTTTTCTCGGTGAGTGATGCGAAATAACAATACTCTACTCTTCTTTCCTTACCTTACCTTACCTTACCACTAACTACTCTATACACTTTACTCTTACTCTAACTCCTATGTGACAACGGTGTGTCGGTCATTTCTAGTTGTATGATGATGTCATTATGTTGTTTCGTACCCATCGTAACTTTGCTGAATCCACGTTTAATGCAATAGAACGTATCGTATAATAGTCTTACAAATATTCTCAATACTCGAAAACAACAACAACAAAATTTAGCAAAACGACGAAATCCCTTGTTCCCCAAGAGTCCAATTTACGAGTCCAAGCCCTGCTTCTTCGTTCAACACTTTAAAATTTATTTCGTTCGGTTTCTGCCCCCCTTCCCCAGCGCAGCAAACTCCAAGACCTTTTGGATTTGAAAAAGAACCATCCTTCCTGGTTGCACTCTTTCCTTCACGTTTTCTCCTTTGCTTTCCAATTTATTTATTTCTTTTATTTTATTTCTTCTTTTTTGTAGGTAATTTTTTTCGTTTTTCTTTTTTCTTTACTCAAATTTTTTGTATTCTCGTTTCCTTTTCATTCTGTCATCGCGGTTTGTTCTGTTGTTTTGTCTTGTGTTTCGGTTTTGTGTCCTTCTGCTTGTATTATATTTTTCTGATTATTTTCAGTCCATTTCTTTCCGGTTCTCATTTTCCAAACCATGGAACATGCTACTTGGCAACCCTTAGTTGTCTCTTTCTTGTCCTCCCTTCCGGCTGGATCAAGTTTACTAACCAGTACGAAAACAGTCTCTGGTGAACCTTTGGAAACCATCCTGAATAACCAACAATATACTTCCTTGCATTCATTCCTAAAAGACTGGCATTCTATTTGCTATCAAGGAATTCATGACCATAATCCTAGCGAATCTATCTATTGGGATATCGATCGTACCTACTTCCTCCTCAAGCAAGCTCTTTCAACAAATACAAGCCAAAACCCCGAAATCGGTTTAGATAATGCTTCTCTACCACAGTCCACCACCAGCCCTTCCTTATTTCCCGAAAATTGTATGTTTTTGAAACTGCGTTTCGTTAAGAATTCTATGCTAACCCCTTTTCTTTAGCCCTTTATCCTCAATTTAAATCTCATGCCTTGATGATGCTGGGTCCAACGGGTCCTTTGTTCACTTCTCCCGCTCACCTTTCACGGTTAGATTCGCGACTTCCAGATGGTGGTATTGTTGCAAAGCCCGTAGCCGTCATGTCTTCTCCTGCATATGGTTCTGCCAACGATGTTTCCCTCAATAAAGTATCCACTCCTCCTGCTTCTCCTAAACCTCCCAACCCCGTAGTTAACGTTCATCCTTCGTCACTTAAATATCCAACCCCAAAACTCCTTTCTCTTGATCCCTTTTCATCTTTTTCTCCCAATCGAAATAGTTCCTCAACCGTCATTTCCGACAATACTTTTAAAACCGTCTCTACGTACTATCAGTCGGATAGGTATCAAAAATTACTCGACTTTGAATCCGTCGATGCAAATTTTATCCAAGAAAATCTCGATCTCGTAGATGAAGATGTTCTCTCTGACGCTCCTCTTCGCCGAGACTTGTTGCATGTTTATACTTTACTCCAACGTCTTCAGAATATCCAAAATGTCAGATTAGATTCTCCTTCACCTCCTGATGCTCCTTCATTAGAAGAACGTTCAATTGCCTCTGAAGTGGGCGCCTTGCTATCAAAACTTATTTTATTCTACAATATGTCCCCTTCCGATTTAGAGATTCCCAATATGCAGTTTCCTTTCACAAAGTTTGGTCCACAAATCCAAGGTTCCTTACCGCCAACGGCACAACCATTCGAAAGTCCCGCCCAAGCTCAAGCAAGAGCTAGCCAAGTTTCCGCTCGTGGAAATTCTGTCTTAATGAATGGTACTTATGGTCAGTATTCTTCTGACACTCCTATTCAATCCTACAAGCGCAGTAAATCACGGCGATAAACTCGATCTTCATCCCATGTTGTAATTTTTTGATACGTTAGAGGACTTTAATATCTATTCGTTCTTTGTTTATTTCATTCATTCAACCATTACTCCTGTAGTGTTTTGACTAAAGCATTTCGAATCTTCTTCTTTTTTCTCAATTATTTTTTCTGATTTACGCAAAATACTTAATTTCTCCATTAGCCCAGTTGTAACATTCAGGCATCTTTGAGTTTTCTTCATTCATCTTAAAGTGGGTAAACATATGAGTTAGAACAACGTCAAACGAAAACGTTCAATGAATGCATTTGAACAGGTATCGGTTTATTTACAGAATCGTAATGTTGAAACTGCTATACGATATTACAAATAGCGTGATAAGATAATACTATTTTATTATCGAATACGTGTCGGTTCATTATATTATCAAGGTTTTTCGTTACAACGAGGAAATTTCACTATCTTCGCACGTTAAAAGTCATAAACACTTGGAATTTCAACCACGACGCGTCAAGCAAGAGCTGTTTTAGTTCACAGAGCCCATGTCGAATCAGACGCCCACGTCTCCTCCACTCTCTGATTCGGAGGATGATTCTCTTAACAGTGTTTTAAGTCCAATATCTCCTTTTGCTTACCCAGATTTGGAAACGCCAAAACCTCCAAAACCAAAAGTTTCTGGTAAACATCTGACGGAAAACAACAACGCCCTTAATCAAGACGATTTATCTACCCCTACTGCTCGCCCAGAGAAAGGAAGAAGGGTATTGAGCGAAGGAGAGGCCCCTCTCAGTAATGAAGTTGAGGAAACTCACCAATTAACCCCCCGAAGCCCTGGTTCGACTTCTAATACTAGCTGGATGCTAACTCGAGGAGGGTTGTTTGATAGTCCTATTTACGATCTAAAGACCGTTACTCAAAATTCCAGTTTAATCGCCGATCTAAAGGCCGTCCGATCAAAGTTGGCAACTTTGGAACATGAAAATGGACTCCTTTCAATGCAGTTAATGTCAAAATCAAACCGAGAAGGTTGGGAAAAGAATCCTTCAGACATGGATGCTTTAACGTCTAGTGAGGATTATCAGTATTTTCAAAAGAAGGTTTCAGAATTAGAATCAGCTCTGTCATCTAAGCAATCCGAAGCGTATGAATTATCCAGACAGCTCCTAAATGTCACACAAAGGCTTGATCAAAAGGAAAAAGAATACGAGACTGTGATTCAAGATGTGAAATCAATGAAGGATAAGATGAACCATGATCAAGTCTCAAATTCTGACCTTCGAGCTGAGCAAGAAAGGCTACAAAGGCTGTTGGTTAGCTCGAATAATACAATTGGATCCCTGAGACAAACAGAAACCACCTTGCGTAGTCAATGCAAGGATGTAGAAAAAAAATTATCAGCTCTTAACGAATCAAATTCCAATAAGGATGAAATCAAAGATTATCAAGAGAAACTGCAAGCTCTTACGAATCAACTAAAGAAAAAGGAACATATGATTGAGGCCTTGAGAAAAGATACTCAATCGCTAGAAAATACCTCCGCAGACAATGCTGAACTTATTGAGAAAAATAGAAAACTTGAAAAGATTCTCAGAAGCTCCATTGCTAGCTTAAAAGATTCCAAAGAAGAAATTACAAGTATGCAAAACAAGATCAATGAGTTGGAAGGTCGTTCTAGTGATCTACAGTATAAGCTGAACACTTTGGAGGATGAGTCGGGTGAATTTGATTCCGTTAAGCATCATTTACAAGCTACTTTAGAGGAATCTAACTATAAGCTTTCGGAGAAGACTGAAAGTCTTAATCATTCGAATCAACAGCTCCAGGAGCTCGAAGCTCGTATTACCGAAACTAATAAGCATCTCGTTTTGGTCACGTCTGAGCGAGATCGAAATTCTTCGGAAGTCAAGGATTTGCACGAAAAAATTACAGAATTGCAGAATTTAGTGACTTCCTCTTCCAAGTCTTTGGAAGATAGTCAAAGTATTATAGCACAGAAAGAAAATGAGTACTCTAAACTAACGTCTTTACTTGAGGAGAAGGAACGCTTACTGTTTGAATCTAAGAATGAAAGCGTGAGCAAAAATCAGTATGTTGAGACGTTGAAAGATCAAGTTAAAAAGTACGAGGATAATATCGAAGATTTAACTTCAGAATTGAATGAAAGAAGAAATGTTATAGCCAAGCTAGGTGATGAATATAAAAGCTTGAGTGCATCTAGGAATGAAGAACTAGCTGAGAAGGAACAAGCTCAGAAGGCTCTCGCTGATGTGCAAGACTTATGCAAGGCATTCCAAGATAGATTAAAGGATTCAACCCTGAGTTTGCGAAATATGGAAAAACTGCTAGAAGAATCTCAAAATTCTAACGGAGAAGAGGTTCATACCCTCAAAGCGGAACTCAGCAGGATAAAGTCATCTCTAGACGAAAAAGATTCCTACGTTTATAAAGTGAATGAGCAGATTATGTCTTTAAATAAGGATTTTAATGATCTTCAAGCCAATAATGAAGAACAAAGCCGAAGTTATGACTCTCTCAACGCAAGTTTTGCAGAGTTACAGAAGAAGTTCAATGATTCACAAGAAATGAATAATAGCATGGAAAGTGAAATTAAAACTCTAAGAGACTCCTTATCTAAGTTAGACGAGACCGAAGATTCTCTCAGAAAGCTGGAAGAGCATAACCGGGATTTAAGTGACCAACTAAATGTTTACAAGGATCAGGTAGAAGAAAAAGAAAACTTCATCATTTCCCTTGGTGATTTGAGAAAATTGAAGGATAATCTTGAAAGTAAGCTTGATTCCTGCCAAAGGTCGTATGATGACTCACAGTCTGAAGTAACCTACCTGAAATCCATGAATGAATCTTTAGAGGCTAAACACTCTACCTTTAGTTCTTCTTTCGAAAAGATTTCGACTGAATTGCAAAGCGTAATGAAAGTGAAAGATGAGACTTTTGGAGAATGTTGTCGACTTAAGCAATGTCTCACATCTTTGACCGAAGAATATAAAGAGCTTTCATCCGATTATTCAGGATTAAAGCAAGCATACCAAAACTCTGAGGAATCAAATAATAATCTTCGGGTTAATTCTTCTAAACTTACTGAAGAGATTGGACACCTTAAATCTTCTCTTCAAAATGTTGTGTCATCTCTTTCATCAAGTAAGGTAGTGATGAATTCTTTGACAGATGCAAATAAAAGACTTCAGGATGAGCTAGCTGTTTTGCGAAGCAACCACGAAGGCGTTACTAAACAACTTAATTCTGATCGCGAAAAGCTTTTTAAAGCTAGCGACTTGTACGAGTCCTTATTGCAATCAGCAACAGAAACTGAGAAGAACTTACGATCTGAAAACGACGGGTATGCTGGAAAAATTTGCGCATTAGAACAAGAAAAAGAAGGATTGTTTAAAGAGAAAGAAGATTTGAATCAAAAGGCTCTTTCGCTAGCGGATGAAGTTAAGGATAAAATAGAGAAGCTTTCTAACTTGGAGGTTTTACATAGCTCTCGAGAGGAAGAATTTAAGAATGCACGAGACGAGCTATCTGAAAAATCTAAAATCCTTAGTCAGACTATGGAAATTGTGAAACAGCTTGAGGAGGAGAAGTCCACTACTGGCAAAGAAATTAAGCATCTCATGTCTTCGAAAGAAAATATAGAAGAAGAGCTACGTACATTGAATTCGAGTTTGGCAAGCTTACAACGGTCTTTGGAAGATCAAATTGCTGAGAAGGAAAATCTAAGTGAAAAGCTCGTTAAATCTCAAGATAGCATATCTGCTCTAGAGAAAGATCAAGAAAGCGTACTGTTAGAGAAAAACAACCTTCAAAAGTCTAAAGTGGATTTAGAACAGGCCCTTGAATCTGTCGAACGTTCTTACGCTTCTTTATCTGAAGAACATCGTTCAATTCGCGATGAATATCAATCCCTGGAAGATGCTTTCTCTAAGTTAAAAGAATTGAATCAGAAACTGATAGAAAAAATCAGCCAATCTGAAGATTTAAGTAAGCAGCTCAAAGAAAAGAATGCCGCTGTGGATGATAAACTTCTGGATACCACGAAACAACTAAAAGATACAGAAGCTATGTTGGCACAGAAGAGCCAAGAATTTTCTGATGTACAAAGTGAAAAAAATCTTCTTAATCAACAACTCTATGAGGCTGAAAATTCTAGCAAAAAGCTTGAAGAAAAGAATACCGCTATGGATAATAAGCTTTTGGATGCTATGAAACAACTAAAAGATACAGAAGCTATGTTGGCACAGAAGAGCCAAGAATTTTCTGATGTACAAAGTGAAAAGGATCTTCTTAATCAACAACTCTCTGAGGCTGAAAATTCTAGCAAAAAGCTTGAAGAAAAGAATACCGCTATGGATAATAAGCTTTTGGATGCTATGAAACAGCTAAAAGATACAGAAGCTATGCTGGCACAGAAGAGCCAAGAATTTTCTGATGTACAAAGTGAAAAAAATCTTCTTAATCAACAACTCTCTGAGGCTGAAAATTCTAGCAAAAAGCTTGAAGAAAAGAATACCGCTATGGATAATAAGCTTTTGGATGCTATGAAACAGCTAAAAGATACAGAAACTATGTTGGCACAGAAGAGCCAAGAATTTTCTTATGTACAAAGTGAAAAGGATCTTCTTAATCAACAATTCTCTGAGGCTGAAGAGAATATTTCTTCGCTTCATCAAAGCATTGCTCAATTTGAAAATGATAAGAAGGAGTTGTCGGCAAAGATCGATTCCATAGGTAAAGAGAATGAAGAACTAAACAGTCTAAGGATAGGATTCAGCGAAGCATTTAATTTCCTTTTCAATATGACCAAAGACGTATCTTCCTTTGACGTTTCAGAATTTAGTCTGAAGGACCGTTCGGAAATACTAGAAGCAACTTCTTTGTTTACAAACTGTTTTAAAGAATTAACTAACAAGTTACGGAATAAAGAGACAGAGTTACAGGATAGAATTCAAGATGCTGACACGCTATCCAACGAATTGAGAAACGTCAGATCAGATCTGAATTCGCTCTCACAGCTTTTCAGTGATACTAAAAAAGATTATGCTTCCCGTGAACACGATCTGATTACCCAGCTGAACGACTTGAATTTGGAGGTTGATTCATTCTCAAAGTCAATTGAGAGTAATTCTTCGGAATTACAAAGAAAAGAGGAGTTGATAGGAGGCTTGAACCAAAAAATAAACAATCTACAGAGAGATTTGGAAAGCAGCTCTGAGGAAGCAAACACTCACAAATCAGACTTGGAAAATAAGCGATCACTCGTAAACAAGTTGACTGAGAGGATTGAGATTGTAACTAAAGAAAAACAGTCGGTCTCAGAAGAATTAACCGGAATAAAAATGTCATACGAAAAGGCTAACAATAAATTGTCTGCGACAGAGGCAGAGCTTCATTTTGTTCAGGATAATCTATCAAAGAAGGAAGATGAATCTAAGAAATTGAGTTCTAACCTGCATACTTTGAAAAAGAAGACTGACGAACACATGGTTTTGATTAAGGGTTATGAAGTTGATTTACAGAACTCTGCGAATACGATAAATCATCATTTAGCAACTATCGGTTCCCTTGAAAAAGTAATTTCTGAAAATAAAGAAAAGTTGGAAGCCTCTTCTAAGGAAACTAATGCTGCAATTCAACAGTTAGACTCCGAGAAAAGAAAAATATTAAAGGATTTGGAACAAAAGCGCTTGTTGATAACAGAGAAGAATGAGATAATTGAATCCCTTCAAAAATTCAAGAATAACTCTGAAGATAAGTTGGCGAAATTAGAAGAGGAACTGCATACTTTGAAGAATTCTAGCGAAGAGTATGTTCAGAAATTGCAAGATGCCGAATGTAAGGCAAATAATCTTCAAAACTTGTTAAATAGAAGCAATGAGGAGCTTTCAGTTAAGGATCAACAATGTAAAGAACTACAGTCTACCCAACAATCGCTAACTGTTGTCCAAAATGAACTAAAAGCGAAGTGCAGTACGCTGAGCTCGTTAGAGGACGTTTTAACAGGAACTCAAGCACATAACACGGAGCTTGAGGGAGAAGTTAAAAGGTCAATGGAGAGGATTAAGAGAAGAGACGATCGTTGTGATCATCTTGCTTCGAAAGTAAAGAAGTTACATCAGCAGTTAAGTCAACAACATGATACATTTTTCGAAGCTGAGCAGAAGCGTATCTTACAATTGACCAACTTGAAGGATACCGTAAAGAAGCAAGATAAGCATTTAAAGAAGCTGATCCAGAAGCAGGATGAATTGGTTCCTAGAAGCACTATACTAGTCTACGAGGCTTATATAAAGGATATTGAAAAAGAAATTATAATTCTTCAAGAACGATTAAATTCACTTGAGTTATCACAGCAAGTACCGAAAGGATTGGCTAGATTCTTGGGGCGATCGACCAACACATTCGAACCGGAAGTTATGGAAGTCTTTAAGCGACAACTCGGAAAGTTGCAAAACATTGTCGGTCCCAACTTTTCCGATAAGTTCCAGGAAGATCTAGATCGCTGCATAACTGACGAAAAGGAACGTCAAGCTACTTATTTCGATTACACGCAAAAAGTGGACCATTTAGCAGAGTGTCTTCAAGCTTTACAATTCGCTTTGGACAGGGAGATTAACTTTAAGAAATCTTTGGCATTATGGAAAACGGCTTGCTATGATGGATTGAAAAAATACTATCCTGAAGTTCAAGTTGAGAAGTTGCTTGATGGTTCTCTTAATAGCGAAGAAATTAAGAAGCCATCTCTACGCTCAATTTTTCTCTGCGTCATGTCATTACAGCGATTAAAGTCCTTAGGAGGAAGTTATTCTCACTATGGAAAGACAATTAAAAGTATTGCATATTAAGGCTTCAGTTTTTTTGGTTGCAACTAATAATATATTCATGCAAATTATTTATATCTTATTAAATGGTAATGGTAATAAATGATTACGAAATTTTAAGAGCAGGTCGGATAATGTAAACAGTAGAAACTTTATTACATTGTGAAGATGTACGTCTATTTAAAAATCGATTATCTAGATTTGAAGAGGTAGATAACTTTCGCCAGAAGCTTCCTGATTATTGAGGTTAGCCATCCAATAAGAACGCCAGCGAATTCGTATAGATTTCTGATCATTACTGACACCAGAAATATTCATAGTCATATAGGCAGCGTCCTGCTTTTTTGGAGCTATAGTAGTTTCTCCAACGAGGGGAAGCATCTGAAGCTTTTGGGATTTCATGACAGCCACCTGAAAGGTAACATTTGATACAGAGGACGCAAAAGAGTCGTTAGATAGATAGACGGCATATGATGCCGTACCGCTCGCTGGATTGTAGCTGACTAACTTGGCTGACAGTAGCAAGGAACCAGACTTCAAAATGGGAACAGTAGCTTCAACGTTCGAAAACTTGTGCACCGAATTACCATTAGCTACCGGTTGATTAGAATTGAATGCATCAGGAAAGCCAGCAAAGTCTGATGCAGTACTGGAGGAAACGCCATTATTAGATAAAATTAAGTTATCGTGACTAGGTTCATCAAGCAGATCAACTAAAGACTCGTTTCTTGGGGGAGCATTATTACTCTGCTGGGATGAATTGGAGGAATAAAGAAAGGATTGTTCATTGAATTCATGGTTAATTCCATAAGCATGAAGTACATCGTGAAGCAATTCATTCAAAGAAATAAGCTTATGAACATAATATTCATCGTCATCCTCGGTCTGCAACAAGCGAACGACTTTATTCTTATAGACTTTCAAGGACTCTATAGCGGACTCTAGCGGTTCATCAAGAGACACCGAAGTTGGATTTTCCAGATGATGTTGAACACGTAAAGCTTTAGCTTTGATAGATTCAATTTCAGCAGATGCGAGAGCAGAATAATCTTCTGTATTTTCTTTATCAAAACCTGCAATTACTTTCATTAGTGCATTTGCTTCAGCCAAATCCATTGGAGTGCCACGTCGAAGGAGTTCTTGAAGCTTAGCTTTATGTGCCTCCAAATCTTCCATAGCCAACTCATGAGCGGAGCGTAGATCATTACTAGGATTCATCACAGCAACCGAATCTTCATCAACTTTTGGAAACTTGTAGCCTTGAAAAGCCATCAATTCACGGAGGTCGTGAATTTTGGAAAACTCTTGGCTATGTCTATTGTTTTTACACAGCATATAGTTCCACTCTTCAAGCATTTCCAAAATCTTTTTCTGGATCTTATTCATATGAGGGAGGGGATATTTAGGAAAACGCGAAACAAATCCATTGAGAAATTCTTGGCTTCCAATTTGTAAATGAAAGGGAAAGCCGCAGTTTTTAACACATATATCAAGAAGCTAAATGAAGTTAGTATCCAAGTTCCATGTATAGATGGGTAGAATCAGGAATGCTGATAAATTCAAAACACACAGAAAGCTCTTTTTTCTTCCTGATTTGGACTCCATCATCACTCCTATATCCTGAGCTCGAGCAATATATAGATGAAGCAGCTTCGCCGCGTAGCTTGGATTACTTACGTTTAAAGCCAAATAAGTCACTGTTGGATTGGCACTATTGATACGCTTCAATATGGTAAAAGCTGCCTCTCTGGGTCTATACATAGATAAATTCGATTAGAAAAAAAAAAAAAAAACCCCACTTGACTAAAACACATACGCATTTCCCTTCTTGGCATTAATGTAATCAGCAATCTCCAAGTTTAAGGCCAAGTTCGGCTCCAAATTGAATTGGTCCGTTGCTCTGTCTGGTCCGTGTTAGTACTTCATTTAGAGCAATTCTTTTAAAAATAATTTAAGCATCATGCATCTTGGTAGTAGGATTACATACCAATATATCTTTCTATCGTCCGACTGACTTTAGAGGAATGCATGTTGACGAAAGCAGATGTGCTGATTCAGATTGAGTACAAAAGAAAATAAACCAAAAATCCAAAGGATCCAAACGAATTCAAAAAGTAGTTATTTTTTACCAAGACTTTACATTTAATGCAAGAGGTTGTTGAGTTCAATTGTATCTTGACTATTGATAATATGAAGCGTAATATCATAGCTTTTCTTCCATAGATGATAGAGATATAGAAAGCTCCTCGTTATACCAATAGGTGATTCGTTCCCTTAATGATACTACTATAAAGAGTATGTCACAAGACTAAGAAAGACTACTGAATGAACAAACTGAGATGTAATGTGAGTAAAAATCATGATAGAGATGAATGACTACAACATTACAGGTAATTCATTCATTCTTAAGATGTACAAATGTATGAATTCATTATTACCTTTATGAGCTTCGCTGAAAAAGAGAAATGAACCTACCTCCAGGTGGGACAGCTCCAGTTCTTACTTGGGTTACTTAGATGCTGAGAAAGTGCATTTCCAAGGAGAAAAAAGAAAAGAGCAAATATATCATACACTGAACGTCCCGGATTCACTCGTTCAAATGAGAATGCCTTCTATTTATTCGAGCATGAGTTTAGGTAACAAATATTTCAGAAAATTATATTACACAAACGAGGATTTATGTTTCTATAATGACAACTATAATTTTACCGACATTAAGATTATACAAAACGAAAAGTTCAGCTGAAATAAGTATTTTTACTGCAACACCTATAAATAACAATTAAATTTTGGTTTTCATAATGGGTCCTCGAAATTCAGGTAAAGGTCATGACAAGCACAATTTTAAAGGACAGAAAGCATTAAAATTTCCTTTGCCTCTTGCAATGTGGGATTTTGGCCATTGCAACCCGAATGCTTGTTCTGGGAAAAGGTTAGAAAGACTTGGTTGCATACGAAATTTGCGAATTGGTCAAAAGTTTAAAGGAGTCGTGGTCACGTAAGTCAATTTTTTTTTCTGTTTTTTATTTTTTTGGCGTTTTATTTTATTCTTGCTTCAAGGAGCAGATTATGGGCGAAATTATGTCTCTAGTTTGTTGCTTGTTGGTATAAAATTCATTTTGTTATCTTAAAAAGCATTTGTATTTCAGTTAATTGACGCTAACTAATTCAGACCGAATGGCAAGTCACCAGTTTCTCCTGCTGACCGGGAAATTTTTGACAATGGCGGTGCGAGCGTCGTCGAATGTTCTTGGGCTAAAATAGATGAGATACCCTTCTCAAGAATTGGAGGTCGGTGTGAACGCTTATTACCCTACTTGGTCGCTACAAATCCCATCAACTATGGACGTCCTTGGAGACTGAATTGCGCAGAAGCTTTGGCAGCATGTATGTATATTGTTGGATATAAGGACGAGGCCCGGTTGTTGATGGAAAATTTCAAATGGGGCCATGCTTTTTTTGATGTCAATGAAGAGCTTTTAGATATTTATGCCTCCTGTAAAGATTCGGATGATATTCAACAAAAACAAAAACAGTATCTGGAAGATATGGAAGAATCTTATCGAGAGCAGCGAACTACAGACTTTGGAGACATTTGGACTCAAGGAAATCTGAACCATAAGCCAATTGCTGTTAGTAACGATACATCCAGCAGTTCCTCAGATTCGGAGAGCATTGAAGAAACAAATCTTGCGGAAGAAACTACGAATACTCGCGAAGATTCCGAACAAATTGCAAATGAACCAACTGAAGAAGACGATGATCTTTGGAGAAATATTGTTCGTATGAAGCTAAAAGCATAAAATTGATAATGTTTTAAACAAAAAAGAAAAGTTTTAATTCTCGAATGCAAGAATGTTCTTTGCAAACATTTACATAATACTTTTAATAACAATGGAAAAGAAAGGTTCGATCTTTCAAGGAAAGATTTGTAAAAAAAGAAAAAGAAAGAAAAACTTTTTTATTCAACATTCAAACTCAAAATCAGTAAACTTAATGTCTATGGATATGAAATCGGCTAATAAATAATGATTTTAAGGCAAATAACTCTTTAGTCCTGAAATCAGCAAATCCTTCTTCGTAGAAGCTACTGACTTCTTGATCTCGTTCAACCAGTCTGCACTCATCTCTTCTAAATCATCCATCGTACTTTCAACATTTCCAAGCATCCTACCTCTTTCAGTTAATTGTTCACTCATTTGATTGAAATAACTCTTTTGTTGAGGGATTCGCCTATTCTCAAATTCTTTCGTGCTGCCGCTGGGAGTCGTAGTCTGCGCGCTTGAGTTTTGTTGAGGGGATTGCTGTGGCCCTCCTAAAGCTTGAGGTCGTATCAATGGCTTACTAACTGGTCTATGTTCGCCCCCGAGTAGTAAATTTAATTCATCCGAAGTCGTGGTCTGTCCACCCATTAACCATTTCCAAGTAGACAAAGTGGGTCTTGGCGGCAGTACTAAAGGATCTTTGGTAATAAGGTTGCAAGATATAGAAGCAAACATTTTCCTTCCCATTCCTAGCACGGATCCAAATGCTAATTCTGTACCTCCGATTGTTGGAAACACAAAATCTCCATCTTCTGTAATATTACCAAATCTCAACCTAAAGTCGTTAGCACATAACATAATTCTTCTTTACGTACATTCTTTCATCTATGTCATCCGGCAACCTTGCACGTCGTTCTTCAACTAAGTTAGGTAATGAAAACCAGTAAACATTTAAATTTGACATTATACATGCCACCGATCCCATTTGTCTAGAAGCAGATGAAAAGATGACACTAGCCTTGTAACAAGCATGTTTGCTCCAATCCGTCGTGCTTGAACATTTACTAAATCGGGAATATACACGCATTCCTGTTTCGCCAATGTATAATAAATAAATCTTCTCGGATTGAAGCCCAACCATCTGCAACGAAGTCCCTGTAGCAATCGCATGTTGCCCAGATTCTGTTAAGGGTATTATGCTATGAACGTTAAAAATACCCAATTTCTCATAGGACAAGAATGTTACAGAGTAGTTTCCTGAAGAGGTCAATCCAATTTGGAAGGATAAAACTATTCCTGTGTTGGTCACAGCTATCAGATGGATCGAAGCTAGCCCATCATTATTCAAATTCATAATTACAAACTCAGCAGAACTAATATAATCAGTCGATGAAGATGACTTAGATTTTCTTTCGACACCAAGTTCTGATAAAGAAGTATTGCATAATATGTGAGGACCCCTGAGATCAATGACAGCTAATGAGCCATTCGCATATCCGATACATACAAATCCAATATCACTCATACAATTGGTTGTAATTGGCCCTTGCTTTAGATCAATACAGAATTGACCATAAATAATACCATCTATTGCAAAGCTGTCATCCAAACGGAAAATACCCGAAGCCAGTTGGTACGGAAGCGGATTTAGTGAATCTTTTACACGACAAATGATGACCCGACCAAAATTATCTGCGGTAGAGAATTCACAGTTGGTAGAAGAAAGTGATACACTGATGATTTTTGCAGTTGGCGTGAGATGTTTACGCATAACTTCAGAAAAATCAATAGTTATACAATTTTTCGGGTTCATGAATCCTTTGGAAATATCCCATAATGAGAGACTAAAACCGGAAGAAGTTGTAAGTATATTCCGTACGTCTAACTTTTTTAAATAACCAGGATGAGGCGATCCTCCAGAAAATGAAGAATAATGAGGATGCAAAGAAATAGAGTCCTCCATTTTATCCCAAATACTTTTCTTTACAGCCTGAAAGTCAACGATTTGAAAGTCAGGAGCTAGGAAACATAGGGAGGGTGGAAGAGACATGTTTAAATTCATAGGCTCGCAAGTAACCAAGTCAATGAGAGCAAGAGTTCTATCACGTGAGAACATCAATAGATATCTGGGATTATGAGCACCATTGTAATATGGCGACATAGTTGAAATCACTGTCATATCAATAGCCGGTGGGATGTCAATAAAAGGAAAAAACCTTTGAGAGCTTGGATTAGCAAAATGTTCTGCCAATCCAGTAACGTTTTGCTTTCCAGGAGTTTGAGGAAAACTAAACATTGAAATACCCTTTACGGGTGATTCTTTGGGTAATCCACCTAACATTAGCAAAAACGTTGAATTAGGATCCTCTCGACAGCACCAAATTACAGATTGGATTGCTTCTAAATCAGTTTTAGGAGCTGGTTTTTGCATAGCAGTATATGTATGGATATAAGAGTCAACAAAGTTTCTGACTTGAATGGGCATTTCTTTCTCAGTGTCCCAAAATGCTATAGAAGAATCTTCATAATATGATAGAAAATATTCACCACAAGGACTCCAATGGATTCCTTTAACCATAGGACGTCGATAACTATGTTTGGTAGACATTGTTGCCGCAGTGCTTCCAGCCGCATATTCTAGTTCATAGAATTTCAATACTGTTTCGGTCCTAATAGAAAAAAGTAAAACACCTTCAGGATAAGCAATTAACAAAAGACCAAGGTCTTTCGGATGAATCTGAATACCTATAACAGGCGACAATCTACTTGACGTGGGTGCATAAGGATATCCTAGACTGAATTAGCTTTTATAAGTTCGAGTATCCGCATTACTAACCCATAAGCTTCCATTCGTTCATTCTTTCAATATATAGGTTTGGTATTTTATAAACACCAGGCCGATGTCTTGTAACGTCCCATGGGACGATTGTACCGTCGCTCATTCCCAGATAAACCCATTCTATTGAAGGATCCGTAGCAGTAGAGATAACTCTCAGCCTCAAATAAAAGGTGGAAGTAGGTGTATGAAAGTTTTTGGATCTTAACAAATTATAGCTAATTATTGTATTCTGACTGTCGATAATGATTAGGTGACCTGCACACATAAGAAGGTGCACGATATCGCTGCAATTAGGTATAATAACAAGCTGAGTATGTAGTTTTCCATATATGTATATTCTTTTGCTTGTAGAGGCTATTTTTGTTAGAGTTTCACGTAGCTAATGTTATTTTTCCCTTCGTAATTACTTACCTACGGCTAATAGTCCTTGCTGATGATCAATGCACCATTTTTCTGGGATTCCACAGAATCCGAAACGATTGTACTATTAAGAATTGGTTAATTGCCATTTCACATGAATAAGAAGGAAGACTTTACTGTCTTGTTTATACTAACATCATCAACCATGAAAGCATCTCCTCTGTTATCACTCTTTCCTTGATCCTTTGGAAATGAATTGAAATTGGGAGTCTCTTTCTTCTTGCTAAATTTCTTAAAAAAAGACATTCTCACATGCTTTAATATCTCGATGCTATTGAAGAAAGCTCGATATATCTTTAAAATAGGATTGTTGGATAGTACCAATATAACGAGTAGTAACGAAAAAACTGAAATAATGTGCTTCGTTGTATTTTCTTAACTGTTCTTCTCTTTCTTCTCAAGTTATCAAAGGAACGCTGAATGCGAGATATACACGTCTAACCAATTCATCCCTTCATTAAATCCATACTCCTTTACAATCCTTTTATAGTATAGATAAGTAAAGTTTTTCGTAAAAAGCTGCTTTATAAAAGAAAAACACGATATAAGAGAAGCTAAAGACCAGGTAATGGAATGCGGATGGTTTGAGTAACTGCTTACAATTGAATCAAAAGTAAGTTTATAACTGTAAACAAGGATCTCCATATTCTTCATTCAACTGGATTGAGGTGCAGTATTGTTAATGTCAAGTCCCATATTAAAGTAGTCAGGATTTATTCGTTATTGTTAACAGCCCAGGAGGAAAAAGTATCGAAAATTCTTACTTAATTATTCAAATTTTATTATTCTTCGTTTGCTTCTACTGGTGTACCCGACATGTCAAGTAGGGCAAGCAGTGCATCCAGAGTCAGTGATGGAAGAAATTCACCCGCATTGTTTGCCGATAGCTTAAGAGTTCGAAGTACCCTGAATGCTGACGACTATTTTTGGAACGAAGAAAATGTACTTGAGTTCTTACAAGATCATAATCTTCTAAATATTTGGAAGGATGCCCTGCTAGCTGAGAAAATTGAAGGACAGGCCTTCGTAAGCCTTGTCAATCATGGAAACGCGTTAGCGTTAGCTCAAAAGTACAATATCCCTGATGAAGAAGCTGCTCAGCTAACGAACCAAGTTCGGCAGGCTTTATTTTCATCTGTAGACCCATCTGGTCTTGAAACCAGTAGGAAACTGAATTCCCCAAAATCATTAGATTCCCCACTAAGTAAAGGAGACGATGTATCCTCTGTCAATGACTTTAATGTTACATCTTTCCTGAACAAAATTGGTTATAGAAATAGAAAGAACTCTTCTACGGAATGGCTGACTGGCTCATCAGACGGGTTTCCTGGACAAGATGGCCTTGTTGCAACAGAAGAATTACCCCGTAATTCAAGTTCGAGTTCAATGGATTCTTTGAAGCAATCGGAATACTTCTCTACAAATGATGCTCAAAAAAAGCAAACAAGCCTAGGGGATGGTAAACTTTTTAGAAGTAGGAGTGTTAACAAAAGACAAAGCACCGACTATAAAGAAAAGTCAAACAATTTTTTAAGAAAATTTCGCGTCCCGGGATTTTCACGCGAGAAAGAAAAGGACAAGTCTAGAGAAAAGTTGCCTTTTCCAACATCACCTTCTGCAAAAGTTTTCTCTAAATTAAGTTTGAAAAATACTCCTGAATCCTCGTATACTGAAACTTGGGTTCCTCGTGTACACCGGTTGGAAAGCCAAATTGGTTTAGGCGTGAAAAAGCAAGCGTTTGTTCTGGCTACTACAGATGATGAAAACTTCATTGCTGTTAATGTAACTAATGTTAATTCAGCTTACCAACTTCGTGAAACGCTGGCAAAAAGTGTCTCCATAGATAGCTCTCCAACGGAGAGTCATATTTACCTTACCGAAGTGGGTGGTGCCCAATATATTGAATCTCTTGACGACATTAAACTGGATATCACCAGACGCTATGTTGATGAATTTGGGACAATAAAATTTTTTATAACTCCTGCCAAGGACGCCTCATTCCCTGAAAAGGTGTCAAATGATACAGTTTCTATATCGTCAAAATCTTCCAACAATGTCAACGTAAAGTATCCTTCAGATGAAATCAGGTATTTTCAAAATATCAATTTAAGTTCCCAATCGAAAAGGAACATTAGGCATTCAGTACTCACGTCCGATTTTGACAAAGAAAGTCCTGTCAACGCAATACCTCCTGGCACTCATAATGATAAAAAGACTGGCTCGGCTCCAAATTTAGCAGTTCTACAAGAGTCCCCGTCTAGGCGATTTCGCGGCTTTGAAAAAATTAGGGGTGCGAAAGGAGAAATGGCTGCTAGAATTCTTGATGGCACTGAAGAAGATACTGGAAAGAATAGATTTAAAGTTTTGAGGCCTCACAAGAAAATTACCTTAAAACTTCCTTCGAGCTCGTCTTCTAAATCATCTGAATTAAGTCCCAAGCCGTCATTATTGGGTAGAAATTTTATAGCTCATAGAGACCCGCCTTCTCCTCCTCTAACAAATGATACTGCTCCTAAACGTACAAGTACCATAACTAGACAATCTAGCTTGCGTTATGTACATTCACCTGTTTCTGACAGTCCTGAGGATTCAAAAAGCATGGGTTTTAACTTATCAGTCAATACTGGCGAATTCACAGATTGGGAAAACGATCTTTCATTTAATAATGCCCCTGCTTTCGATGAGTCAGAAATTCCAAGTGATACGTTTTGGGCTGTTCAACCTAAAAACCTTCAGGACAATAACCCGGAAATGCTGAAAGAAAGGAATTCACTTAAAACATCACCAGTTACGACTGATAGCCAAACAAACCAGCGTACCGTTCCCGAATTTTCACATGGTGATGATTTAGCTATAAATTTATCCCCGTTGTCTCATCATATAAGAGGAATGAACATAAACAATAATGCACCTATTTCATTACAAGACGAAGAGCAAACAAAATGGGAGGTTCGCCCTTCTGCTGATGATTTGTATAGAAACGTTGATCAATTTTTCCCTCGATATAATTTAGACAATGTGTTAGTTTCCGATAGTTCGAAAGCTGTATCTTCACCTACGAAAACTTCAATTAGACCGAAAGTGAAGTCTGTGCGCTATTTAGCACGTGAAGTCTTTGAGGCTCGTAAAGCACTATTGAGGAATAATAGAAAAAATAAAGGTGTTAATTTACTACGACGGTCAAGTACAAAATTTTGGGGTTCCAAGATAGAAGAGGTAAAGCCTGAAGGAAACGATGCCTCAAGTTCAGTTATAAGTCCAAGCAATGATACCTCTACATTCAAATGGTTAAAAGGTGAATTAATTGGAAACGGAACTTACGGCAGAGTATTCATAGCTATGAACGTTAACACCGGTGAACTGATTGCCGTTAAACAGGTTGAAATTCCCCAAACCGTCAATACATATCACGAAAGACTTTGGAAAAATATTGTCGATTCCATAAATTCTGAAATCGAAACAATGGCTGATCTGGAACATATCAACGTGGTACAGTATCTTGGATTTGAAAAAACCGATACGGATATAAGCATATTCTTGGAGTATGTCTCCGGCGGTTCCGTTAGCCGTTGCTTGAGGAACTATGGGCCTTTTGAAGAATCTGTAGTGCGATTTATTACCAAGCAAGTTTTGCAAGGGTTGGCTTATTTGCATTCAAAGGGCATTATACACCGTGATCTTAAAGCAGATAATTTGTTGATTGATTTTGATGGTATGTGCAAAATATCCGATTTTGGTATCTCTAAACATAGCGAAAACGTCTATGGTAATGATGCAAACCTTTCCATGCAAGGTACTATTTTTTGGATGGCACCAGAAGTCATCGATAGTAATCATCGCGGCTATAGTGCCAAAGTTGATATATGGTCACTTGGATGTGTTGTATTAGAAATGCTTGGAGGTAATCGACCGTGGTCAACTGAGGAAGCGATTCAGGCTATGTTTAAATTAGGAACTGAGAAGAAAGCACCTCCCCTTCCTTCTGAACTCCGTAAACGTGTCTCGGAAGACAGCATAAATTTCCTGAATGAATGCTTCACCATTGATGCTGACAAACGACCAACAGCCGAAGAATTGTTGAGTCATCCTTTCCTTAAGCTTGATAGTGCGTTCACTTTCGAAAGCACAGAACTTTATAAATTATTACATGAAAGACACCATAGGTGATAGCTAAGAATTTTCCATGATATGCTGCTATTTATTTAATTTTGCAAATATCTTAATATGAGCTTAGATAACTACCATTAAATTCCCAACGTAGATATTATAATCAAAAAAATCTCTAATATTAAAACTATATCCCCGTACCAATAACGCAAAACAATTTATAGATTGTTCAAAATCAGTTTTTTTTGAAGGAGGTACTTTTACCCTCAGGCACCTTAGGCTTCTTAAGCTCTTTGACATTCCGTCTAACCTGAGTGGCTCTATTCAGTGGATTAAAACTCTTTTCATTTTGATTTCGTACAACCCGTTTTTGTTCATCCATTTTCAGAAGGAAATTGTCTTGATTGGAATAGTCAAAAGCTTCGCTTGAAGGAGCACTTTCTTTAGCCTCTGAACCAGCAACAGACAAATTTGAATTTTGGCTTTCCTTTTTCTTTTTCTTCCTTTGTCTCTTTTTCTTGGATGAACTCATATCCTCGCTATCGTTAACGACAGGCAAAGCTTGATCCGTTGGATTTACTACATCATCCAACGATGGCGCATTTGTATCCACTGCAGAAGATGGACGCTTCTTTTTATTTATGCCAAGTTGTCGGACGATTATGGCATCCTGTTCATTCTCACCTGTCTCGGGTTTCTCTGTATTAGCTGCTTTGGCTTGTAAATTAGACTCATTGGATTCTTCTTTAAGATTATTTTCTTCTTGCACTTCAGTAATCGGATGCTGAACGATTGGGCTAACGTTTAAGGATACCTTTTCGGTTACTGACAATAGTTTTTCTTTTCTATCTTTCAGGGTAGATGGGAAAGTAACTTTAGCAGCAAAAAGATCTGAAGAATTGGCCATAAATTTTTTCAGAGCTGTAACGTTCTTTTTCGTTGGCTCAAAAATATCAACGTTAGGAGCAGTCTTATCATACTCTTCAACGGCATTGTTAGCGATGGAAGCTTTGGATGAAGTAGCTTCATTAGTTCCAAAGGATTGCTCTTGTTCAATTTGCTTATTAAAAGTATCTTGAGCATCACGTATAACCTGGACAATTTCATCAGCATACATACGGACGAGAGGAGTGAGCTGCTTGCTTATAGAAAGCAGGTCTAAAGTTTCCATTGGTTTATTCGCAGCAATAGTGGTTAATAAGTGGTTGGGCATAACGTACCGAACACTTTCGTCTTCCTTGCGTGCAGTACTATCACGCCAATCGTGTAAAGCTTTGAAAATTGTTATAGCCTCCTTTCCAATAATTTTTGTAGAACCAAATTTGGAAAGGACATTACGCCAGCCATCCGTTCCTAAGCCGTACACAGGATCGTATGGTTCAACCTCGTATTTACGGAGAGCAATTTGTTTACTGTTGTTCTCTACAGACTGTAAGAGATTCTCTTTTCTCTTGGAAGAATTCTCGAGTAATTCATTACGAAGATGATCCCATATATACAACAAGTAATGAGTGTCAGACTGTGCATAAGATAACATCTCCTTTGGTAAAGGACGAATTCTCCAATCAGCCATTTGGTATCGTTTGTCAGCTTCATAGTCACAATACTTCTTCAAAAGGAAAGCCAAACCATGGCCTTCAAAACCTAATACTTTGGTTGCACAATATGTGTCAAAAATGTTCACGATATACAAACCGAAATCACGTTGCAACCAAATAATATCCATATTAGCGCCATGAAGTACTTTAACAATCTTAGGGTCTGTAAAGACAACGTTTAGACACTGCAACTCGTCACGAAGCTGTAAAGTGTCAACCACCCAATCGTATTTGCGATTACTTATTTGCATCAGGCAAACATATCCTCGAAAGGATCGGTAATCGTGGTGTTCCAAATCAACAGCAATAGCATTGCTTTGTTTTAATTCTTTTAGCATATCCTTTAAGGCCTCCTCGGTATCGACCCATATAGGTGTAGTTTCCTCAACAGATCCTGTATCGGTTGGGTTCACCATCTCATAAACCCAAGGAGGATACCTATTATTCTTTATTTCTGTTCCGTAAGGATGAGGCAAGGAGTGGGCTAAAGTGGGGTCTGTTTCAACTTGTTTCACAAGTTTATCTAAAGGCACAAGCGCGTTTGGTTTTTCAGTAAGCTTCCAAAACCAATTGAAGTCTCTATCATTATTTGGGGAACTTTGGAAGCGTAACTGTGGCTTTGGTAAATGAGCAGCATGTATCATTCGGTAGGGAAGCTTTTCTTTTTTCTGTTTCTTTGGAGCGGCAACAGGCAAAGGGCTAGCTTCAATCTTTGGTTTCTTTAATAAACCTTTAGCTTTGTCTAGGCAATAATCCTGCAATACTGTTAGCTCGTTTACATAGGAGGCCCATAATTAACGTACTGTCTTCTCAAATAAAATATCCAATGTATCAGAAACTTCCATCCATCTATTGTCGATATCTTCAACATCTACAAAATCGGAAGCCCTACTCTTATCTACCTTTGAAAAAAGCAGCTGAATATTTTTCAAAATTCTCAAAGAAACATTTTTCAAATTTTCGCTGAATTCTGAGTCAATTGATCTGTAAAAAGGAATATCCAATTTCTCCAACTCAGAACAGAATGCCGTAGTATTCATAAAATTCTTAAATAATTTCGTTTCATCCATTGTTATTGAATTCTGCTTTACCTTACCCTATACCATAAGGGTTGGTTGAGAGCAAAGTTATTAGGAGATGCAACACCACAATTATTTAAGACACAAATCAGCATAAGTAGGATTTTCGTATTTGACGACAATTTATATAACAGGACCAGAGCAAAATCTTACAAGATCCTTTCCAAGCCACAAAAAAAGAAAAAAAAAAAAAAAAGACTTTAATGACATCTTATTTTTGATGAATGTTGTCAACAGTAAAACGAACGGTTTGCTATGCTATACGTTTGAAAAAGTGTTTTGTAGATGCAAAAAACCTGATGGATATTTTATGCAGCATTCTAGTTTTGTTCGATTTATTAAACTATAAAAACTTGTAAGTGTCATGAAAATGATGTACCAGGTCCGTTTGTAAGATTGTGACCATTAAATAGAAGAGACAAGTAATCCATGAGCTAACTAAAAACAAAATAAAATTGAAAAATTGTAGAAACAAGTACCAAGCAAACCCGTATAATTAATACGATAATAGGTAAAATATATGGTACTCATCTCGGATGCAAGAAACACAGACGCCATACAAAGCACTTTTATCTGTTGATAGTTCAGCCTACAAATTATTCATTGTAGAATAGGATGTGAGTCATCCGTTAATCATTTATCATATTATAAACTATTCTTTACTCATCCATTGTTCTTCATGCCATGGTCCAGCATCAGATAATTCACAACCTCCAGGGCAATGGCAGGTTCCTCCTAAACTAGCGGGAAGGTGTTCTGCTGGAATTTGCTCTAATAAGGCACTCTTATAATTCGAACCTAAAACATGAATCTTTTTCACAGTATTTTCATCAAGGTAACCTTTGATCAAATTAAAAGCGGATGAAAATCCCCATGGAGCATTGATGAGGTAAAATTTACCCATTCTTTCCGGATAGTAATCCTGACTCTGTTCACCTTGTTAATACACATGAAACAAAATAAAAATAGCACATACAATACTGGAGGCTTGGCGGATATAACTATATACAGAATGAATACTAGTGATACCAACACCTTTCAAATCCATAATGGTACAGGAAGTTTCGATAAGGCCATTGTATTTACGGGAGCAAGCGGGCTATAGAGAGTTAATAACGTTTCTTCCAATAAGGATTCAAAGCAATGCATATAACTTCCATATACAAGAAAACAAAAAAATGCTTTTCATGTACGATTTTTGAGTAGTTACTTACAAAACGCTTAAGAGCCAACATTTCATATTCATAAACAAGGTTTTGAAGCATGCGTTCGGTGGTAGTTATTTGATAAAGCTTTTTCAAATCAACGTTGCCAAGTTGCTCAATATACACTGGACGACCATCGATATCCGTTTTGTGGTAGTATTGAGGATAATACTTGGAAACAAGAGGCTTTTCAACATACTGAAAGTTTTTGACAAGATCAGCAACTCCAAATTCCTTCCTCCATTGCTCGGATTTAACGAACATTTCCAATGCTTGTTGCAAATTAAACTTACGGGCACGTAGAAAACGCAACTGTTCCATTCAGTTAGCTCAACCTACTGTTTTCAAAGAATCCGTTATACACATACCAATGTAGCATCGTCCAATCTAAGAGTATAGCCCATCTTTTTCAGTTCCGAACGAAAGCTATTCAATGTCTCCTCTTGGGACGCAGTCAAATGTCCAGGATAACCCACAGGGTCATTAGGGTTAGTGGAAGGATATGGATCAGAAACCAATTCCGACATTTTTCTATTTTGTTTTGTTTTGTTTATTGAGCAACTTTCGAACTCTCAGGAGTTAATCTCTTGAATGGTTAAGGAGTGTGAAGTTTGTTGTGAGATGGAAATTGTAAAACTATGACATGAAGCACTTGGCCCCCACTTGACTCTCCATAAATATTGTACTATTGAAACAACGATGGTAAAATTCGTGATAAATGTGGATATATGTTAGTGGGGGCGCGAGATAATGAAATTTCACCTTTACGAAAATTTTTTGTAATATTACATTAATTCTTGAATGCAAGGAAATTAAACAAACAAACAAACCAGTCGTAAAGTAAATATAAGGCATTTTGGGATGTCTTATGATTAATAACTATCTTTTGCTATACATATAAAACGTATATTATGAAGCAAGAAGTACCTGAAATGGTAGATACGTGATGATAGCTCATTAGCAGGGTACTTGTAGATGGAATCTAATAGTAAAAGCAAACAATATATTTTTTGTACTAGTAATCTAGAAGTTAAGAAAGCTTTAGTCAGTTTATACTACACAGAGAATCTGCACGATCTGAAAGGAATCTCATGTCAATCAGTTTACGACAATAGTTTCGACAAAAAACACCAAATCAAGTTATATTTTTTATATTGATTTTTTTTTAATTACTCCTATTTGATCTAGAAAAAGTAAACTGCCTGAATCAGTATATAGGTTTTTTTTTTTGTTTTGTTTTGTTTATTTATTTCTATATAAAGTCGCTTAACGTAACTTTGTACAATTCATTTTCTTTACCGAAAATTAGAAACGGGTCAGAGTCTGCTCAAATTTCTACCTTGAGAAGATATTCACCTACCTGACATTGAAGTTTTGGATTCAACAATTTCCGCTACCGTTTACTGTAAATAATTGGAATCTCCAATCTTTAAGAAACAGATTAACATCAGTCGATGAAAAAGTATTGCGGTTCGACATAACTGGTTTATAAAATAATTCATTGGGGTTTTGGACATATTTGCTATATTTGGTAAAAATCTACATTTAAATAGAATTTTTCTGTATATTGTTTTGTTCTTTAGCTCATTCCCACTATATTATTTCGCATTCTAAAAAAAGTTCAAAAAACTCCAACACAAGCGCTTTTATTGATGCGTTTCTAATAATTTCAAGAGTCAAATAAACGCATTTAAAAGCATCTTTCATTTCTTGGAATAAAATTTTGTAATGGACCCGACCAGAGAGAGTATCCTTACTAAGGGCGATGAACCTTTGAAAGAGCAAGTGGATTCGTCAGAACAGCCTTCTTCGCAAATGCAAGCTCAAAATTTAGAAGAAAATGGTTCTGCAGATGTTACTGCCATTTCCAATCCTGAAGTTAATAAAGCAGAATTGCCCCCAAGACAGGAAAATCGACCTGAAACTGACGAAAGGGAACACGAACCCGCCTTACCTTGGAATAACGATGGCTCTGGAAAAGCTGAAGAAAACGAAGAAGAAGAAGATGATGAAGACGACGTTTATTCTCCTCCGGAACCTGCTTCAGAACCATCTACCCAAGAAGAACATTATGTGAATGAATCAAAGTTTCATACGGATGAGAAACCGGCCGAGTTAAATATTGAGCGTGGTAATTATCCATCTTCAAATGATTCTCTTAACGAAGATAAGAAAGTATCCATTCCAGATCAACCCATTTCTACAGACCCGTCTGTCCCTACTTCTGGTGTCGATCCTAAAATAAAGGAACCAGCACCAGATAGAATGTATGAGCCAACTCCGATGAACGCTACTAATAGCATACCGCCCCAGTTCTCATCGGTACATCCATTAGCTTCCACTCCTAATCTGGATAGTATATTGAAAGGAATCGATGTTAACAAAGTGTTGGCTACTGTAAATAACAATAACAGACCAAGCAACGTTGCATTTCAAAATCTTAATGTCCAGGATAGGCAGTCAGAGAATACTTCATCGTCTTCTGTAAGTTTAAGCCATTCTCCTAATTTTAGTGAAAGTGTCACCATACCTAAAAACTTTGTTCCTTTTTCGGAGTACGATCCAGAAGAAGTCCCAAAATCTCAGGATGTTGAATATAATGGCAAATTCCCTGGTCCTCCGTATTCTGATACACACCCACCTGAACCATGCTTACGGTTTCGCCCGGAAGATGAAGAAACTTATCAACTGTTTTTACAAGAAGAAGCAAAAATTATGTCTAATTGGTTTCCTGGACAATTTCCGTCATCTTCTCGGCTTTTCCTAGGTCATTTGCAAAAAGAGAACAACTTATCCAAGCGAGAAGTTTGGAAAACGTTTCAAAACTATGGAAGACTTGCTCAAGTTGTGCTAAAGCCGACCTATGGTTTCGTTCAATTCTTTACTGATGAAGCATGCGCCCGAGCTTTAAATGATATGCAAGGAAAATACATACAAAATCAGAGACTTTATTTAGAAATCTCCAAGCTACAAAAGAAATATCAAAACCAAGTTGATTTTTCAAAAAAGGGTCCAACTAAGGGATCGTCTGCTCCCATTTATGGCTCAGCCAATCCTCCAACATGGTAAGTATTTATTTTTTGGATTATACGAATATATAGCTAATATGGACAGGAAAAAACGATCAAGATCTCCATCACTTTATAGTGGCAAGCGACCGGAGAAAAAGCCTGCTTTAGAAGGATTACCCAGAGTTCAAGTTGACTGTCATATATTTGTCGTCGACGATACTCCAATTGAGTTTGTATATAGGGTAGAAAATGCTTTTCGTGAAAGATCTTTGAATGTTGCACTGACATTTTTAACTCCCAAACTATCATTACAAGCACTGGTACATCAGTGTATTGTAGATGGAATTCCAGCTATCGCGTACGTTTCGTCTCGTGTGAGTCAAAATGGTTGCGTTTCTGTTCAGACGTTTCAACGAACGGAAAATCCGAGTGAAATTCGATATGATGGTAAGCCTTTCCTGATGAATATGCAATATTAATTGTTGAATAGAATACGCAAATGTCGGAATCTACACAGCTGTGGAGTTGGTTCTACGCTCAAAAAGTGCATGGCTTGTGATGAACCCTTCAGGATTTCCAACAACAACTCCAATCAATTCTTACCAAACACCATCAAATGATCAAATTTCTAAAATCGTTAGCTATTCCAACCCACATCTTTCATCGATACTTGGGTCCCTTGATTCTAACTCTCTTCATCAGTTGTTGGACGTTATTAAAACCAAGCCATCTTCCCTTTCAAAACCCAATTATAATCCGCAAAACAAATATTCACTTTATGAAGCTTCAAATAGTAATCCAACATTAAGTGTAAACGAGCATGGACTCAATAATCTACCAGTTGCTGGTGCACCTTCCAACCACTATCCTGAGCAAAACCAAAAACAGTTCGAGCATATATTAGAACAATTGACAGCTCTACAAAATCCGTGATCAATATAAATTGATTATAATTTTTCTGGTTTCCTTTGTGATGATCAGTTTCATGATGATTTATTATACTCATATTACGTTGAATATTGGTTTTCTTTTCTTTTTTGAATTTTATTTAAAGAAATAAAAATAACATTTTGATTAATTAAATATTACTGTTATGTCAAGTGATTAATAGATTTATGTATCTTTTGGTGATCGACTGCGTGCTTTTCTTTTCTCCAGAGCCAAACATTATCTGAAACCTGACACGGTAGTACAGGTTTTAAGTCCAAAGATATTAATCTAGTGTTCACTGATTATAAACAATGAAGGAAAAATTACTGTTTCGAAAAGTAAGAAAAAGAGTTTAAAATTGTAAGTTTACGATTTCAGTTGCTGAAACTTGTCTGGGGCTAAGCCTACTATGTGAAGTAATTAACTAACTAGAAAAAGTAAAAAAATATATATAAATATACAAAAAAATGCCTGCTTCAAGTACACTAAAAATACGCAGGAGAACCCCTAAATCATGCCTCAATTGTCGACGTCGAAAGTTGAAATGTGACCGCCAGCATCCATGTTCACGTTGTAAAGAACGGTCGGAGCGATGCGTTTATGCAGAGGGATCAGAAATAGAGGATGGCTCGCCTGAAGCAAACGATCAATTGCAACGTACGGTTACACGTGAAGCTGTGAATTCAGCAACAAATGTGAACAAAAAACCTCCAGAGGTATTTGAAATAACACAAAAGAAATTTGAGTTTTATGGTTGGAAAACCTTTCTTGAACTTATCGGCAGGAAGAAGCAAGATCACAAAACCGCTAATCAAATCTATTTAATGGGACGTAACATAAGGCTGTCTGTTGCTCTCCCGGAAGACATACTCTCTTTGTTTCCCCCATACTTTGTGTCGAAGGCCTTAGTGCAGCGGTTTTTGGACACAACGAACGAGTTGTTTCCAATCTTCTATCGCTCTGAAATAGAAAATTTCTTAATGTCTATACAAGCTTTTGGGTTGGACTCTATTTCTTCCGACGGTATTCTTCTTTTGTTGTGTATAATCGGCCATGTACTTGAGGTAACTGATCCACCATTAGAAGCAAAAGAGGATTTTGCGAGTGTTGATTGTAATCCGGTGGACTTATCTGATTTAATCAGGAAGAAACTAGATGAAATCTTTTTTAGCTTCGACAATTGTCAAGGTTCTGTTGGAAACTTGACAAGAGTTCAGTACTGTATCGTCCAAGCTCTGTATAACCTGCAGAAGCAGATAAAAGGGTTTAATGTAGCTCTGTGCCATTGTATTAACCTGTCCACTCGCGTGAGTCCTATCTATCAATTAGATACTGTCGCTAATGAAGTAAATACCGATTTATGGCTCACAATATGCGAGATTGATGCTATGGAACATATCTTTAAAAGCAAAAATTCTTGGGTTCAACGGGACGTTTTTGGGCGACTTCAGCCTAGGAGAGATTTTTTTTCAGATGAGAAAACGTTTCAGTATCATTCATTGCTGGGGAAACTATTAAACTGCGGACTCGACATACAAAAAGCGGTGCATACTTTAACAATACAAGAATATCTCCAAAAATTAGACGAATTCGATGTTAACTTATCCCTTATTTTGACTTCTATTGAATCATTATTTTTTGGTGTCAACGACACGGCTAATACGTGTCGTTATGACTTTCTGCGTTTGATCTTTTGGACTATAAGAAAAAATCTTTATCAATGTTTTCTCACTGTCGAGCATGACAATCTGCCAGAACTGAATCAAATTTTTGAGAAACTGACTATTGCTTGCCTTCAAGCATGTCGCATTGCTACTGGCTCGAGCGAAAGTTTCATTCGTTTTGATCTTCTTAGAATAGCATCCTTGGAGTCTATTACTTGCTTGCTTATTATATCTTTTTGTCAGGAGCGTGGCTTTAAATTACCAGATAATTGCATCGAGGTGGTATACGATGTAAAACATTTAAATTCAATTGTCGATAAGGAAGACCATACTAGTGAGGGTTTTGAATTCGTGTTTGATTTTATTCTTTCTACGTTGGAATCATATCCTTCTAAACCTCCGGATATGGAATCCGAGCACTTCCTAGAGGATCCTCTGAGAGTCTTTTCAGATTTGTTTAGTATTCAGTCTCACTTTTTCTTTCCTCACTAACACAAGTTTTCATAGTTAGTCTAGAAGCTGTTAGTATAGTAAGTCTAGTGTAAGTATAGGGTAGTAGGAATAGGTTACATTTTTTATGATATGCGGCGATATAGCTTTTAGTTTCGTATATAGCTAAGTGCGTCCCGCAGAGGAAAAAAGTCAGCTAAATACTAAATCAATTTATTACTTTATTACTTTTTTTATCATTTCTTGTTCGCTCTCTGCAAATCATGAATAAACTACTACTCAACTGCTTAACCCTATGCTTGTCGCTCAATCTTTAGGGACTGTCCACGTACCCAGTGTCAATCCTTGTGACCCAAAATTTTAATAAAAAAGATGGCGAATTCGTACGTTGAAACCGATCAGAATTAATATGATGAAACTAACATAATTAGAAATCCTCGAGGAATTCCTGGTGCTCAGTTTTTTGAGTTTACACAGTTATCCATGGAAGATGCACAAAACCATTTGGAGAAATTTCAAGAGGCAATTGCGTATGTGCAGATCTTTATACTTGACTTATACTTACATGATAGAAAATACAAATTTATGGAAACAAGCATCGTTCGACGAGTTGCTGGTTTGGATGACAAAATCCCAGACATCACTAAAACTTTGCAGACAGTGCAATTTATGAAAAAGAAAAAAGGTGAATCTTTTAATGTTTTATATGAACTTAATGATACGTTATATACCAAAGCAGAAGTGGAAGCTAGCGAAAAGGTATACTTATGGCTAGGAGCGAATGTCATGTTGGAATATTCGGTAGAAGAAGCGGAAACTCTACTTACTCAAAAGTTGAATGCTGCTCAAGAAACTATGATGGTTTGCAAAGAAGACTTGGAATTTCTGAGGGCTCAAATTACCACCATGGAGGTTAATACAGCTCGTGTTTACAACCATACCGTGTCCCTAAAAAAGGCAAGTGCTTCCCAAAAATAAACTAGGGTGTTCTTCTAATGATTTCTTTTTCATTACTTCTGATAAGGTACATAAGTTGATATTATTACGTAGCAGACCTAGATAGATTTCCTTTTGGTAAATAAGTGAATTATACGAAAGTATACCGCCAACAGACAAGTATTTCAAGTTATTAAAAATGTCAGGTAGTGTTATTTAAGTGTGCTAAATTTAAAAATTAAGTAAGACTAGCTCGGACAATAAATTAACTTGACCCACGTCTTAAAGCAATTTCCTATCCTTAATATGCTAGTTTTATGTAGTAACAACGATGCAAATTTATTTGTATTTTTCGCGTCAAAAGACCAACATATTTAGGATTATTATCTTCAATGGAATGGTATGTAACAAAATTAATCAGTAGTTAATAAATAGTTGAATCAACCAATAGTAGTACAAAGAATAATGATCTAACGAAAGATTAAGCTGTCGAAAATAAAACCTTTTCAAATCATCCATATTAAAGATAAAATTATAGCGATGAACGAAAAAGAAAGACATGTCAACTTTGTGCAGATAAAGTCCAGCACAAACCTTCACACCATTCACAGATTGAGAAATATTAATGTACAACTTCGTCTTCCATGAGCATCGAAATAGACCTAGTAGCGTGAAGACGAAGTTACTGTACAGGTATGAAAATGGTGATAGCTTCCGTTAAGGTATGTGACTAGCATCAAAAATCGAAGATGATACGTTGGAACCTTTACCTATGGAAGCGTTGGCTGGGCTAGGCAATCTTGAAGATGAGGAAGAATCAATTGACCAATCATGGTCGACATCAGCAAGTTCTAAATTGTTCAATCCATTCAAAAATGCAACAGCACTAGGATTTTGTTCGAATGAATCTCTTCCAAGAAGATAGGGACTTCCAGTATTAACCATATTGGAGTTGGACTTCTCAGATAGGCCATGACCGTGAATAACAAATTCATACTCCCAACGCAAAATTTTGCCAGTTTGCACCTGAGGTAAACGCAATTTTTGAGCTATAACAAAGCAGGTGAATGCCAAGCACATGCCACCCACTAAATCAACAAAATAATGGTGATTCAGGTACATTGTACACCAACAGAGCCAACATACGTAAAAGTAGAAAGGAAAGCGATACGCAGGAAAAACATGAGAAAGGAACAAAGCTTCGAGCATAGCCCATCCAGCATGTAAGGAAGGAAAAGCACCAAAAACAATAGGTGAATTGTTGAACCCAGTCGTATAGGTCGATGTACCAAATAACGCATCAATTCTGGCAAGGCCACCAGGGGAACCGCGAATTGAATACGTAGCAGGTGTAAGTCCATACATGTCCTCATACCAAGGAGGAGAGCAAGGAAATACCATTTGGATGAAAACACCGGTCAAATTCATGTAACCAAAAGTACGAGCCCATACGGGAAGAGTTCCTGGTGGAGCAAAAATGAAAAGAATAAACGAAATAATGATGGGAGCTGAGTAATGAACGACACCATAAGGAAGCCAAGCAAGGACGTCTAAAATGCTATGTGTGCTTTTAGATAAAATATCTGAGAGGTTGGACCCGTAAAGAATGTTTTCAAGCGTTGGAAGGACACGGACCCAGATAGGAGGTCGCCAGCCCTCAGGAACAAACCGACAAGAATAAAACAATATGGCCCAAGTAATAATGACAATAGCAGGGAAAAAGAGTTGACGGGTTAAAGGAACAGTCAAAGCGGTACCTAACAAAATTGTAAAACCTATTTTTCCCCAAAATCCTGGAAATTGGACAACGGCAAAACAGAAGGCGAGAACACCTAAGAGAAGAAGATACTGAAGGTGAATCCACGACCACTTTGTATTTTTCAACAAGTAAAAAGTATCCATTGGATTTAAACTAGTTTCCAATCGAAACTGAGAAGGCCGACGGCAAGCGCTAAGACGCTTTTTCAAGGTTAATAATGCAGACATAATTAAGACTTCTGAGTTAGGAAACAATTAATGAAATGTCTTTAAAAAAGAAAAATTAAAAAAAAGAATAAAGAAAAGGTACCCAAAACCTCCAAAGATCCTTAACCAAACTAAAAACAGCAGATTTCCTTCTTGTCTGCAAGCTATTAACAAGCCTTGAATTCAAGAGTGTCAAATGAATGAGGACACGGTCTTTTGCTGTACGTCTAAGTAATTATATGCAATAATCGAAAATGCTCCTATTTCCTGCAGTCTTGAAATAAGCTCCAAGATATTTTCACTGCAAACAGTGGTCACGCAAAAAATCAAGCGGAAATTCAATTCTATCGATACAGACTCTTATTACCACTTTTATCAAGCTTTGTATTAGTAAATCTTCGCCCAAAACGAAGCAATTGACAAAAAAACCCAACTCTTGAGATTTGTTGTAGCGGGCTAAAGGATGGTCTGCATTTTCAATAGAACACCCTTTGAATTTTCGGAAGTGCAACAACCACGGTATTCGGAAGCGAAACAATGATACCTCCCGATAGAAAGCCGAAGTAACATCTCTCGTCCGACGCCTCTAAAATCTCATCATAACCATTAGTTCAGGTAACAGCTTTTTGCCAGTCAATCTTTTTGTTTACAAAAAGAAATGGTTTGTTTACATGGCTACGAAGGCAATGAAAGCTGAGATAGTAAAAAAAAGGATACAATACGAAGTAAATTTTTTCTTTAAAAGAAAATATAACAAAAAATCTGAAAACTCGAGGAAAAAATAAAGGATTTTGTTCCTATAAAATTTCGGCGGTCGTAAGAGCTTTTTCTGGAGTTAAAAACTGTCTTACAAGTAGTATAATGCTTTTAATTAAAGTAGTTTAAAAATTAAAAAACATCAATAAAGAAAAACTGAAGATAGAAAGAAATTCAATGCTTATGATTCTGTATCATATTTAGATATAATAGTGCGCTAATATGATACGTGAAGCACAGTGAACGAACATCTCTAGAACATAGCGTTGCCTTGCAAGCTTTTAGCTGTCTAGACATTGAAAAATTCAACTTGCTCTAGTTCTACAAAGTTAAGACTCTGCACTGTGAAGCTATCAAGTGAAGCCTCGAATACATTTACCTTTTACGAAAGAATGGCAATCTAGCATCATTCGCATACTGACCAAAGTCGTTATTGGATTATTTCATGTACTAATATTCCAGATTTGCTTACAACTTTGTTAGAATTGCAAGGACAGCATTGGTTTGTGGAAGTTGAAATTCAAAATCTGAGAATACATTCACCATGGAGCTAATTCATCCTTCAAGTATGTTTTGTTGGGCTTTCTTCATTGGACATTATGAAGAGATGCCACTAGTATTATTGGGATCTCCGTCTTCTCTATTGTTAGCTTATTTCAGTACGCAACATGGGTTGCGTCAAGTGGAATTGCACTCTCTCACCGTCCGAGTGCGGGCTATGGCGTGGGTTTCATCCAGACAGAAGGTATCTTCTAGAGATCGTTTTTTTGGATATTTGGAGACTACTACTGATGCGGGCACTTGTTGGACCTTTCAGGTTAAGCTTCAAAACGATGGTCGCTTTTTAATCCAACGTTGTAATGAACGATACATCGATCCTACACGTTCTTGCGAGGAACAACTTGGTAAAAATATTGACGTTTGTCCAAATGCTCCCTATTTAGCTACGAGTTCTTTCTCTGGAGAGTTGCTTATCTATTCACAATCGTTTTTGGAAGACAAGACGCCAACGACCATCAAGTTAAGTTTGGAAGGTATCATTTTGCATAGCGCCTTCTTGTTTCCTAAGCGTTCCTCCTTAACTTGTGTGACTCATGTATGCTTACTTCTTGAATCCAACGGAACGCCTCGTATAGTTGTACATCGATGGATTCATGGTATTTCCTCTTCTAATGGCACCTCCTATACATCATATTCAATTCCAGTTCCAGTAGAGTTTGCTGTCGTATCACATATACTAGCTTGTCCCGATTTACCAGATCATTTTTTGTTGCTGTTGGAAAACAAACTCTGCTTACTATCTGCTTCCCAAATTGAATGCGGTGATTTAAAATTCTTACAAGAGACTCTTCCAACATATCATTCCCCCGCTTTTCCACTTTCATTAGTTATAGATCCAACAGTTCCTAATACGTGTTTTTTGATATACGAAAATGGTGCTCTCGTCCACGTTCGCTTTTCAGTGGTGTCAATGGACTTCTTCTACATGGGTTACCTGAATAGCCCTTTGGGTGATTGTCTTCTTCCCTTTTATCCTTATCTATTATGTTGTGGTGATGGTTATGACACTTCTGTGTATGATATTTCCTCTTTAAATCCAAGTCTGGTCACCACAATGCCTAGTTGGTCTCCAATGTGGGACTTCGTCTACACGGATGATTTCCAAAATATTCTTTTGGACAATGAAGTTTTAGATAACTCATGCTACGCTGTTTCTGGAATTGGAGAATCTGGAGCTCTTGTGAAACTGCGTCATGGTTGTTCGGTCTCGGTTCTATTAGAAGCGCTAATGACAGAAGGAGCTCTTTTAAAAGGTGTTCTAGGGTCTATAGAAGACTCCGTGTTTTATGTTTGGCTAAACTATCCTTGGCAAACTCTGGTTCTGAGACTTCAAATGGACGGTACCGTCGAGGACATTTCAGAAAGCCTTGCTTTAGAAGATTCATTGTCCCTGGACGTTGCTTTGATTAAGGAAACATTTTTAATCGTTACCGATCGATTGGTTTACACACTAACTCCAGACGTCTCACAAAATATTCTAATGCAATGTCCGGACGCTGAGGATTTTATTCTGGCAACGCATACACAAAACATGCTTTATGTCGTTAATAAAAACAAAGAAACATCAGAATCATTTTTATATGCTTTTTATTTTCATTTTAATGAGGGTAATAATTTGAGCATACAAGGATTAAGTGATCCTATAAAAGTTTCTTCTATTCCTCACTGCATAACATCATTTACATTAGGTGGATGTTCTGTGATTACATTGGGATATGCTGCATTAGACTTTTTGACGTATATTGTTTTCTTGGATGACTCTCAGTTCTCTGTATATGATGTTCCTCTTAGCGGCCACTCTCTAAGGTTGTTTCCACATGAGATTTCCTTCATAAAGAAGAGTGAAGCAAAAGTACATATACTGTTCTCAAGTTATGAACACATTGTATCTATCCCTCTCACTATGAACGTTGAGCGTAGACTAGAGTTTGGCTTTCCTTCTATAAAAAAGTTGGGAACACTCCCATTGTCCTTTCAAAACTCTTCAAACAATCTCGAATCCATTTATGGTTGGGATGATAAAGTATACACGATAAGCGTTGATGATGATTCTAATGAGCTAAATTTGAATGTTCTTAATGATGTTGAAAACTTATTTCATTCTATTGCCGGAATTTATGATCTTCCAAAAAATTTCCAGAAAAACAACTCTAAAATAGTAGTCTATTTCTCTAACAGTACTCTTTATCTTTCAGAACTGTTACTTCCTCAGAGGACCTTTGCTACGAAATACAAGATTGGCGCTACTCCTAGAAGAGTGTTACATGATAAATTTACCGATTTTCTTGTAATCGGTTGTAACCATGTTTATATAGAAGGTAAAAAAACATCTGATTTATTATTTTTTGACTTGAAAAGGTAAGGCATTCTTTGTCGCAATTCTAATTCAGCATGTTTAGCTCTAAATTTTTGGAAAGATCATGGCCTTCTATTGATCTTAAGGGAAAACGGGTTTTCAAAAATAATGAGACGCTTTATGCAATGCACTGTAAGTTAATCCTGCAAATCCTCTTTGCGCTAATAATACTTGTCTAGTTTGGATTATTAGAGATTCAAAAAGACGAAAATTCAGATATTTGTGTTTAGGAACTGGAATTACTGGCTCCGAATCAAATTCAGGAAGACTATTGATTTTAACTATGATTGCTAATGATTCGAATAAAGTTGAACTTCGAAGTGTGATAACTTTAAGTATGCCACAACCAGTGTATTCTGTATGTTCCCTCGAGAATAGTGGATTGTGTTATTCAGTAGGCCGTCGCCTAGGAATTAAAATATTAGATCTCGAGTCTAAGAAGTTCTCTAATGGTGAATGCGAAGTCACTACAAGATCCCCAATTGTTTCAATGCACACATACAAAAACTACATATTCACGTCTAGTTTACGAGATTCCGTTTCTGTTTTTGAGTATATTAAGGAAACAAATTCATTACATTTGGCATGTAATGATATATCTCCAGCTTTGGGTATTGATTGTTACTATCTGCCGCAAGAAAAATTACTTTTCGGATGTGACAAAGAGAAACACATAACTTGCTTTAAGTATGAAGCTTCGCTTCGCACTTCACAGCATTTACAAAAACTGGAACCAATTTTATCCCGAAAATCAAAACGGAAATTACCCAGCATTACTAATAGACTGAAGTACGGCTTACTTCGAAGAAGTGATAACCAAGAATTATGGGGTATAGTTGGTGGAACTATTGGAGGCGACATCTATAAGTCTTTTTGAGTGTTTACTAAAATGAAAGCTTTTTTTTTTTTGAAATACGTGTTGTCTGTCCCTAAACACTAGTTCAAACGAACAATGATATTAAGTCGTAAAAAGTTAGAGAATAAATTTAAACATATATCAAGTCATAAAATAATCATAAGAACATAAATGTACTGCTTTGTCTATTACACCAAGACGAAAGAAAGTACAGGAGTAAATAAAAAGAGTTTGGGTAGTTTTCATCGATACCAAAATGTAAATTAACAAAATGCTTCTTAGCCAATCCATTATCATCCGGATTCAAAACGCAATACTAAGGATAAGGTTGCTTGTTGACCACTACTGTATTTTTGGAATTCAGTAATGAGCAACTTGAAAAAATGACTCTCTGAACCCCATGCAAAAAATATTGATTATCGAAAGAAGAGCGGACTTGCAGATGAACACCATACTTTAAATGTTTCGAAGAAGATTCTGCACCATCACAAAATGGATCCAAATATATTGTCTGACGTATAGACGCGCGCGACTCAGTAGGCATATCCGAAAGGTCGTACTGAATTAAGAAAACCTTCATGAGTATACCATCCAAGCTCTTAATTATCAATTGCAGTTGGCCAACCTGAGGAATTTGATATCCATATACTGTTTTTCTTTTCCTATGTTTTTGAGTTTTGTATTCAGACACATAAAACTGACCAACGTAAGGCGATTGAAAATCGCTGTCATCGGTTATATAATACGCAGACCAAAAGCGCATCTTGAAATGAGGTGGACATACTAATGAAGAGAGACATTTACAGCGAGAAATGACCCCAATATCGACTACAAATGGAAGATACTGTGAAGGGTTAAGAGGCATTTTGCAGTTAAAAAGCGTTTCTTCGTATGAACCCACAAATCTTCCCCATAGCACCTTTCGTTTCGATTGTAACTGAAAATCAAGTGGTGAACCAAAGAAATTGGAGTATACAGACTTCTTTGAGCGTGAGATCCAAAAGCGAAATTGGTCTTCAAATGTTGAGGTTTGGTGGTCGTTAATTAAATTAGGATCATCAAAATAAGGAACCTGATTCCTCAGAGGTGAGCTACATACGGGAAGGTGTGGATGCGGTTTTCTTGCTTTCACACTCTTTAAATCGTAAAAGATATTTTTGAGTAAGTCGACTTGTGCAATTTGAGAATAGGACGAGTTATTCTTTAAAGGTCGAAAATATTCGTCCTTTTCATACTTTGAAGGTAAAGTTAAAAATTCTGATGAATAACAAGCAGGCATTGATCTTTTGTTTGTGTTCCAAAAACTAATACACTTTGCAAGGCGCGAAAAGACACTGAGGCGGGGATGAATTGACAGTAAAGAAAACAAGGAAGAAAAGTCAAAGAGTACTATAGACTAGAGAATATTCTTCTGTAGCCTATGTTCAAAAATGAACACTTGCATATCTCACAGCAAAGAAAATGTTTATCAAGTACCCCTATAAAAAAAGTAAAAGAGCATTGGAAAGAATATTAAAATATAGTAAGAGAAAATAAAAAAAAGGAAAACAGAAGAAGGTGAACAATCCTGAAAATGAAAACACAAGAATACCTACTGAATTTGTTTAAGCATTTATAGGTAGGTGCTGTGAATGAAAGACTATAGATGTTTTATTCGGAAAAGAGCTTATTACTATAATTCGTTAAAATTACTCTTTGTAGAAAGTTCTTAAAAGATTTTGAGTATTGAGGTTATGTGGAAGTCCGTTGAAAACTCGGGTTCAGTACTAGCTTTCAGAAACATATAAGCAACACACTTAAATACGCCGGAACCAAGATTATAAAGCCGAACTTAAAGAATATATTTAAAATAATATAGTAATTGTCTATCTTTATATTGATGTTTGTTTCACGTTCAATCTAGTACACTTTTCTTATGATTTATAAACTTCCATTCATTATAAAGAAATTGTAATGTACCTAAAAGGACAAACAAATTAGATTTATTCTTGTATTAGATATTAAAAAGAAAAATAAAAAAAAAACGAGAAGGAAAAATTTGGTTTTGTGCTTGAGTACGTGAAGTATACTTTACAGAAGATAGAGCAAAAAGCGTATCAATCAATTCAATTATTCCAACAACCTACTTTAACACCTCCTACAATGGTCTTTCCTGCTTTTCGCCCGTTATCAAATATATTCCATCTTTACCTTGGGAAATATACTTTTTGTCTTTTTGACCCTAAAACCCATGGTCTTGGATCCATTGCTTTACGCGCTGAGAGTGATTTCCCTTAATAACAATCTGCTTCGTCAGCCGGTTAATAGAAGCATCAGCTTTAGGGATCGCAAGATCAGAAATTAACTCCTTTAGCAAAGCCTGTCAACTTGTTAGTAACTTCTTCGCTCCTTAAGTATGAGAAATAACATCATCAAACAGAGAAAAAAAAAAGTAATTGTTTTGTTCAAATGTTTTTTACCAACGATGTTCTACCATTAGGCCACTTATTAAACCTATGTGAAAGTTAAATCCTCAATATTATAGTCTTACATTATCGTCTCCTTCAATCCGACGTATTATTGTCTGTACTTGATTTCCACCACTTTTATAATCAATATAAACCGGGTAATTCGCAGTCTTGCTCCTTGAAATCGCAAAAGGCAGGGTTTTTGAGGTTCCGGTTGAATAATGCCTTAAAATACCAAAACAATTTTTTACGAAAACCATATTTGCTTTATTTTTTTTTCTTTCAACTATTAATGAGATGGGGATTTAAATGATATAGGGTAAAGCTGGGTTTCTGAAATTAATGTGCTACCACTATGATATACGATGGACAATATAATTTCTAGCACCTCAAGAAATGAAGTCTTGCTGCGTGAAGTGCGAAGTTGATTTATTGTTGCTTTCAACGTTCTCTTTTTGTTTCTTTTTTCATACTAATTGAATAGAGGGATTATCATCGTTTACTAACACTTGGCAATCTATATGTAGTCAGCTTGTATTTTCATTGGAAGCAATACATAAAATCTATATATCATATGGTTTAACTCCTTGCAATTTTGTTTTGATTCGAAGGAAATCGTATGCGAATCATTTGTTAACAATGGTAGTAGCATAAATTACTTAGCTTGTTAAAGAATTATCGAATGCCCATTCATTTAAGCTATACCACTGTACTTCAATAGTATAGATGGCAATAAATACAGTAGTGAAATAAAAAGAAAAGCACATCATAGCCAAAAGTTTTTTAAAAGAACATAAATGTCGAGGTTTTTTATACATTGGTTGCTGCCGTGTTTACGACAGCTACCCTATGTTAAATTGTGATCAAACTTTGTAGCATATTTGGTTAAATTGTAAATTAAAAGAAAGGCTTAACTGATTAGTGCGTGAAAAGGGAAAGAGCGTTATTATTTATACAAGCAAGGGCTCATCAATAAAATGGAAAGAAAGCGGAGAATGCGAGAAGATAGTATAAAAAAATAAGAAATTTGATAGCAATTATGTCTGCAATGCGTAATAAGATGAAGTTTCTAAATGTTCACTCCAAAGAAAGGTCAACAGAGGAGTCAAAAGGGACTTGACAAGTAAAAGATGAAAATGTATCATTCTTGCTTTCATTTCCATGTTATAAATTTTCTTCGTTAGTAACTCCAACCACGGGCTCTCCTGCTGTTTGTGTGCCATCGTTAGTCATAGGTTGATACAAATAAACTGGATGAGAAGATTTGGGGGCAATTAGACCCATACGGTCATAAACGGAACGTGCTCTAATATACTTATCCAACGACCAATACGATTCAATAAGTTGACCAGCAAGCTTACGGCGTCGCTGTTTGTCCTCAGGATTACCATTAAGAATCCAATCAACGGTAGCTTCTTCGTATTCCTGAGCAATCTCATCTTTTTTAGTCTTCAGTTTTTGTCTCTCATTAACATTGTTTAATGGCTCTGATTCATTCTGACCAGGTTCCGGGTAAGTGTACTTCCAAGGGTTGGGTCCGCCAAATTCCTTCAAAATGCTGTCTGCTTTGATGTATTGCTGCAAGTCTTTAACATTTCTGGTAAATTTGATCTTTGAAGCGACAACTGGATCTAACCATGATTTAATAAAAGACCAAATACCTTGGAAAAGCCAAGGGGCTTTGTGAACGATACATTCACCTAAGCACTCAGGATAATGAGCTTCGAAGCATTTAATCATAAACTTCAAAGGACCATAATCCATATTTGAAAGGCTAAAGTCTGTCATATCAAATACGATCGTAGCGGTTTCGATGGGTGGCTTCAGAATAAGACGGGCGGTTTCCATGACCCAAACGGTAAGTCGTTCCACAGATTCAGGAGAAACATCACCGGCTTTGTGTAATCGAGCACGAATATAGCAAACAGGACGGTTTTTTTTATCTTCGCCAAAAATGAAACATTTACCGATTCGCAACTGACGAACGAAATCGTCGTCTTTATCAAGATGGTCAGCATGATAGATAATATCGTTAACGTTCATTTCACGACTACGCCAATGAACAGTCTTAATAAACATTTCTAAAGCGGCTTCAACGTTCCATTTCCTAGCTCGTAGGAACCGAAGCAAAAGGCCATCAGGGTCGTCACAATTCACGGTATCCCAAAAAGCAAGTCGTAATTCTTCTGGATCCCATTCAGAGGCAATTTTGGCGATACGTTCAGCGCAACATGTGGACTTGGATTTTGCTTCTCTAGGTTCCGAAGCATGAGAAGAAGAAAATGCATCTAATTGTGATTTTGTATAAGACACAAAGCTCGTTTCAGAAGAATTTCCACGATATTCAGAAGAGCTGGGGCTGGAAAGATGAGTTTTCGCTGTTGACCAGGAGTTCGTTCGTTCGAGGATGGGCTTATCAAAGAGTTTGAAGAGGAGAGTCCAAAATAATTTTAGCTTTTCCTCTTGGGCTTCTGTAAGGTTCCAGGGTCTACCGGCATCTTCAGGCATTTTGTTGGATGAAAGTTTAGTGTAATTACACGGTCAAAATAGGACTTGACAAAAAGAAAATAAATGAAACAAAAAAAGAAACAGGAGTTCTTCCTTCGGATAGACAATAAAATTAAAAGAGGGAGGTGTAAAAAGAAAATGGGGCAATGGTACAATCAGTAACCTTTGATTCCTTTGTAATAAATTAAACAATCGGTTTCGTTTCTGGAATCAAAGACAAGAAAAAGAACAATCTAAGCAAAAAATCAAAAAAGGCCCAAAGAAAGCAAAAGTAATGGACGCAAAGATCTTCAGGAGCAAGATAAATAAATATCTTCTTTATTTATTTAAACAAAAAAAAAAGGGAAAGGGAAAAGAAAAAAACGAGATTTCACCGAGGTTTAGTGAAAGCTCAAGCAATCTCTGGAAGCAAACAACAAAGAAACCAATTCTATTCAGGAGAAAACCAGACAAACAAAACAAAACTGATCGCTTCGTTTTTTTTTGGTTTGTCAGTTAGCTAGCTGAAAAGTCTAGTGAGAAAAAAATAATAATTCTCAACTTCTATGAGGAGTAATAGCAGCCAAACTGGAAGTAGAACTTTCTAAAAATGACGGTCAGTATTTGAACTATCATATACTTCTTCAAAAAGAGTTCCCATATAAATAATGAATCCTTTGGATTATGAAAAAGGAGACCAAACTACGAGACTTGGAGGAGTCTCACATACATTCGAACGCCGTCAAAAAGACAGCCACAGTACTCTCTTCTTTAAAAGAAGTTTCTTATAAAAGAGTTGTTTACCTCGAAATTTACTACCAAAAAGAAAACCCGCTTAGAAATGGGATAAGGCTAAGTTCAATAGCACGGAGGAGTGAGTGAGGTTTCTAATTGGGATAGTACCTTGCGCATTAAGAGCCAGTACGATATACCGGTAACATGACACTAATGAAATCACAGACGGAACAGTGAACGTTGGTAAACAAAGAGAAACAATGTATTTTAAAGAAAAAATTGAGATCAAAACAACTATGCTTCTTGTTGCTTAAAGAAAAAAAGAGCGGCTCTTGGAACCATAGTATACTAAGTCACCTGCAAAATGTACGGAACTGAATCCAAGCAAGCTAACGATAACTTGAAAAACAAAAAGTTTCAAATAAGATACTGCTATAAAATCCTTAAGAACACTTTGTTTTCACCTTTTTCTTTGGACTTTATTGATATCTAAATCATACTTTGCAGCATGACATCAAGTTCGTTTGTTTTTTCTACGCAGCGTTCCTGCATAAATCACTGATTACGAGCTAAAGCGTGTTTGCGCTATCAGTGAAATCAGATAAAATTGCAAATTTGATAATAATACTAGTAAAGGCTTTCGTACATGAAAAGAAGAGTGGGATAGAAACGTGTTGAGAATGGGATAGGAATATCTTTTGCTTGTTTGATTTAAGAGCGACTTGGTTTCTACTACAGCTACGACTACTATGGTCAAAAACTACAGCACTTTCATAATAACGGCTTTACAAATTCGAATTTACAAATAATATGAAATTCATAACGGAAAATTCGTACATCATAAGTCATTCATATAAAGTCCATGGCATGGCATGGCTATTGCTCGTTGATTCCGCAAAATAAATGTTCATCCAAAGCAAGACGAAAGAGTAATCGCAATCTGCGTCGTCACCATTCGCAGGCTTAGTTGGTTTACTCCTTGTTAATCTTGGATGTCATTTTTGCTTGTTCTATCAAAATACGAGGTGCGTCCAACTTGGGCATAATCACTTCTACGAGTTGAATCACATCTGCAGAAGCAAATTGCTTGTCGTTGAAAAGCTTCTCGACATCTTGAGGAGTCTTGACACGATAAGAACGTGATTGTTTGGCACCAAAGAACTTGAGCAAGTCTTGGTATTGCCATTGAGTGTTGATATCGTTGTAACCGGCATGAAGACCGTGAATAAGACGCTCAATGGTGTAACCATCGTTATTGATGACAAAGATAATAGGCTTGAGGTTTTGACGGATACAGGTTGAAATTTCTGTCACCGTCAAATGCAAAGAGCCATCACCGACCACCAGAATGGTACGACGATTGGGTTCGTCCGAATCCCTAACTCCCAAAGCTGCACCAAAGAATGCACCAACGGAATATCCGATGGAACCCCACAAAACTTGTGAAATAGCTGTAACGTCAGGAGGGAATCTGCAATCCAAGATACCAAAGTTGGCTGTTCCTGTTTCGGTGACAACCACATCTTTGGCCTTCAAAAACTCACTAAACTTAGGCCAGAACCAACTTTGTGTGATATCGTTCTCGGTGTAACCGGATGCATGCTTGGGTTGAATATGGTAACCCAAGACAGGAGCTGCTTTAGCGTGACATTTTTCAGGGTTCAAAACATTCAACAATTTACGGATCACATACTTCATGGAGACGTCGGGATAGTAAGCATAACGAATTATCATATGATCAGAGTGGAATTCAATTGAATTCTGTTGACTCAAGTGGTAAGAAAAGGAACCAGTGTTAAAATCAGATTTCAAAGCACCAAAGGAAAGCAGAAGATCGGTTGATTCAATGCGCTCCTTCACATCGGGGTCACTAATGGAGCCAACATAGACACCATCAAAGTATTTCGAAGTTTCATCCAATGCAGACTTACCCATAGGAGTCACATAACTAGGAAAACGTGTGAGCTCCATCAATTGTTTAACTTCAGGAACGACGCGATGGCGAATTGCGCAAGCATCAACCAAAATGACAGGCTTCTTTGCCTTCTCGATCATGTCGACAATGGTAGTGAGAACTTCTTGCTCTGAAAGTGGATCGTTCTCGGGTTCTTCAATCTCCAAAGGAAATCTGAGGGGTTCCGAGGAAGTCTTGAAATAACCGGCATCAGCAGGCACACCAATGTAAACTGGACGAGCCTTACGGTAACAAATAGTCAAGGCTTCATCTATAACCTTTGAAGCATTCTCTCCATCCGTAATGACGGTGGTATAAGCACTCACAGGACGGTTCATTTCGACAAAAATTCCAAAGTCACCATTACCCAAGGTATGATGGAGAAGGGCACCAGTGCGTTGTGCCTTAGTAGAAGGCATACCGACGATGTGCACAATAGGGACATGCTCAGAGTACGCACCAGCCAAACCATTAATGGCGGAAAGTTCACCAACACCAAAAGTTGTGACAATGGCAGACAATCCCTTTACTCGAGCATAACCATCAGCGGAGTAAGCACCGTTAAGCTCATTTGTGTTGCCCACCCAGCGGAAGCTTTCATCACCCACATTCTCAATTAAATCGAGCAAGGTTAAATTGAAGTCTCCTGGAACACCTTGAATAGACTTTACACCCAATTGGCGGATTCTTTCAAAAAGATACTCACCAACGAAGATTTCACCGGCCATAGTTATGATTCTGTTATTTGATAATTAATGAAAGCTTGAAATCTCTCAAATGTCGGAAGTAAGTGTTTATATCTAATATTTTAATTTTCTTTCAATGACTATTTTTGAATAGTCTCTTGCTAATCTCGGTTCCTATCGGTTACTGCGTGAGTATGTGAAAAAGCTGATTCTGCCCAAGTTGAGGTCTTTCCCTCTATATATGAGTGCTCTTATGTACAGCCCTCGGCATTAGCAAACATTCATTATGCATTCATAGCATACTTTACTATTTCTTTTCGTCGTCAATGTGCGTCAGAGGTATGCAATTGTGATATCGATGTCATGGCCACAGCAGCCTTAATTTTACTCTTACTCCGCTAAATGATTGTTTATGAATTTAGATATAGGATACTCAAGATTTCATTGCATATTTACTGCAAATCAATTCAACGAACGGCTGGAATTCGACGTTTTTGGTACTCTGCCCTTGCCCTAGAGGTATCGTAGTATACTACTACGATGTTGTCACTTATGATTCCTTCCCTGAGGAGTCTTAACATCATACATAGTAACTGGAAAAAATGGATGACTCACTCCTTTATCTCGTTATTTCATAATTTCTTTTCAGTATAATAGTTCAATAAGACACTTGACGATTCCACTTGTGATTTCTGTGTAAAGTAAACAAACTAGTAAATGTTACTTTTATGACGACTATGTCATATGGAAACAAAGTCTGCATGATTCTGTAGAAAAATTTTAATACCCTCTAGGTCTTTGTAGTGAAACCATATTACGCTTCTCTAATGTCATTTCTTATGTATTTTCTTTTAATGACGAAGCGTCTATCCCCCCTGTTTTATGTAAAAGAGACAATCGAATGGCGACGGAGGAAGCTTAGTATTTTTTTTGCTATAGAACCCGAAAGAGAAATAAACAAAAGGTAATGTTTGGTAATAAAATGATTTACTCCCTGATTGTTTGGAATCATTCTCTTCTTTGGAAATGAATTGGAGAATGTAAGAGGATTTAGATTTTGCCCTTTAGACAGATGAGATGATCCACGCAAGCGTTACTTAGTTTTAGTTTTGCTTCCAGGTGAAAAGAAAGATAGAAAGGAAAAAGTTTTTTGTGTTTGTCCTCTTTATAGGCTGGCTTATGGATCAGAAATTTTTATTTCCTCTTTGTCGTGAAACAGTAGATTGATGGTACAAAACAGTTTTATACAAGATATTATATTCTATGTTGGATTTAATATTTACGAGCCAATTCAATGATTGTACGAACAGGGCGGCCACTCATACCATCACAGTCCCAGGCGTTCAATTTCTTGTCCATGACACCAGCAATATCAAGATGGGCGAAGGAAACATCCTTTTTGGCTAAGAAACATTTGATAAAAGCAGCAGCAACGCATGCGCCGCCACCGCTAGCTCGATTGACATTGCATAAATCTGCATTCGAGGAACCTGTCAATTGCTTCAAGTAAGCATCGTGGAAAGGCATACGCCAGAAAAGATCATCAGCAGTTTCGGCAGATGCTTCGAGGTTCTTCCAAAGCTCTTCGCCTTGAACGAACGCTCCGGTATAAACGTTGCCAAGTGCAACCAACATGGCACCTGTTAAGGTACTAGCTTCCAAAACGGCCTTTGTAGAGTAGTTGGAGGTAACGTAGTGAACAGCATCGGCAAGGACCAAACGACCCTCAGCGTCGGTATTGTCGACTTCGATACTCAAACCATTTCTCATGAATATAATATCACCAGGCTTGACAGCAGAACCGGAGGGAAGGTTTTCTGTCAAAGGAGTCACAAAAACGGTGTTGATGGGCATAGAAAGCTGACTCATTGCGTAGATGGCCGAAAGCATAACTGCGGCACCACCCATATCAGCACGCATTTCCTTCATGTTCATTGAAGGCTTAATGCTGATACCACCAGCATCAAAAGTGATACCCTTACCAACAAGACCAAGCCATTCCTCAGCGGCAGACTTGTCGGCTGAGTTAGCAGCACCACGATACTTGATTTCCAAAAAACGAGGGGGAATATCAGAACCAGCGTTGACAGACAACAAGCCGTTCATACGTTGTTCATCAATCCATTTCTCGTCGTGAATTTCAACATCGACGTTTGGACAATCTTTGAAAAGCTCTTTAGCAAAGTTGCAAAACTCGATAGAAGTCAAGTAATTGGCAGGACACTCCATAAGGGAACGAGCCATGTTTTGAGCAGAAGCCTCAACTAAACCTTCATGGAATTTTGATTGAGCAGCCAAGATTGCTTCTTTTGAAGCTGAAGCAGGAGTAAATAGCTGGAGAGAAATCTTTTCAGGAGCGGGAGAAGAAAACAATTCATTTTTGGGGACAGTCTTTCCATTTTGCAAAACAGCCAAGTGATCTCTTCTCATAGAAAAGTCAAAAGTAGCCAATGCTGATGCGAGAGCAGCATCTTTAGGAAATCCCATACCGTCAACAGCAATTGATTTTGCACCATTTGATTTCAACAAGCGAGAAGCTTCGGCAGCAGCGGTTCGAATAGATTTCTCAGTTATTTGATCACTCAATTGTACAATAGCTAAACGGGTATATCCATGGACGTTCCAAAACAAACGAACATCATTATCTTCGGGCTTTGTCTCAAAAAACAAGTCAGTCACTTTACGAAATTCTTCCAAGATAGAGGAGTTTTTGTCGCGACGAACTCCCAAAATTATAGAGTCTGCCTTGGCTGTAGCCAATGGAACTCTGGGCAACAATAAAGAAGAAATGGTAGACCAACAAAAATTTCTAGTACTTAATCCTGTTCCTTTCATGATGTACACGGATGTAGGATAATGAATAAAGAAATAATAATAATAATAGGGATTTTACGACTTAATTCAAACGACAATTAGTCCCAAGTTGAATTTGCGAATATATTAACACAAGGTAGACTATTAATTCTTTGCACAAAGAAAAAGATTATTAATCTTCTCGTATTTTTTTTCCGAGTAGTGATTTGGAAGAGAAGAAAAAGTTAGTTCACAATATAATCTCAATAAGTAAGAATATAATATTAAAGAAATTCTGGATTAAATATTCATGTAAACAAACATCTTTTTGTATTTACCCTACTAAAAAAAAAAAAAAAAAAAAAAAGTTAAAAGGGACCATCTTTTAAAACTGTATCTAATTAGAATTTAATTTTCGTGATGAGATATAGGCGTCAAAACATAAATACAACATACATGCTTTCAATCTTTCACTGAAGAAGAATTTGGTGCTTGGAAGGCAAAAGGCAAACTTCAAATACAACTGAAATTAAGCACAGTAACGCTAGATTTTTCCACATTAATAAATCAATTTTATCGAAAACGATATCGCGAATACACGTCTTCTCTGTACTTGCTTTTCATTGTCGCAATTCTATAGCAGCAGCTATGATAACCCAAGAAACCTACCTAATACAACAAGGAGAAATATACGGTAGCTGCTGGTACTGTGGTTATATGTACATAAAGAAATACATAGTATAAATTGTATACATCCTTAATTTTGTATAATGACCTTGAACAGAGAGCCCTTTCAGGTTCACCACCAAAGAATAAGGAATGTAATGGGATTGAAAATACACTAAAGGACAAGAAAAGGTACTTTGAAGGCTTTCCTTATTTTTCAGTAAAATAAAAAGCTGGATTGCACTAAATTCCTAAAAAGTTCTTCGGATCCTTTCTGTTCTATCTCTCGTTCGTAGCGATTTGGTTGACTACAGTTTTCGGGAAATGGTAAATGATGTAGAGACATGTCCTCACGTAAAATTGCAATCTTCATTTCTTGAATCTTACCATAAAATATGTGCGCAGATATATGCTCGTAATGTACGTGATGGTGCTAATTTAGTTGGATGCTAGGGCTTTTTTCTTCAGAAACGAGTAGAACAGGTTATTGACCTTTCCTTTAGAACCTTCGACGTTGCTGCCGTGTCTGTAGAAAATCAAATAAACGAACATTACATTGTTTAGAATGTGAATTTACTGGATGCTTATGGGATGAACATTTTGAGCAACATGTCAAAGAATCAAATCATTTGTTTGGTAAGTTAAGGAGTAAGACGAAGAATACTTTGTTAAACTCGGTTTGATATCTCCTGCGATTTATAAGCATTATTGTTTCTATAGAACTTGGAGTGGAATAAAAAAAATATGGGCAATGACTAACATCTTCCAGGCGCGGATTTAAAAAACTCTCATCTATACTGCTATTCCTGTAAAGACTATGTCTATCATCCGCGTTTAGAGATGTTACGAATAAAAGTTCAAAATATCCGCAACTGGCAAAATAAACATAAACGCTTGCCTGATCGTTATGAGCAAACGATTTCACTTAATCCATATGAAAAATATCCTTCTATTTGCTCTACCGCAGGCCTTCGAGGAATCCAAAATTTAGGTGCTACCTGCTTTATGAGTGTCATTCTTCAAAGTACGTTGCATAATCCTTTACTTCGAAATCTCTTCCTTAGCGGGTTCCATACCTCTGAAAATTGTAAGCGCTCTTCCTGCATGACATGTGCAATTGATAATATGTTCGCTTCCATCTATGCCTCTAAAGAGAAAACAAGCTTCTATGGTCCAACCGTAATACTGAACCTCATGTGGAAACTGAGTAAAAGTCTTTCTGGTTATTCTCAACAGGATGGGCATGAATTTTTGGTGTACCTTCTTGATCAGATGCACTCCGAAAGCGGCGGAGATAATTCTTTCCCGTGCAATTGTCCTATTCATAAAATCTTTAGTGGATCAATGAAAAACGTAATTACTTGTTGCGAATGCAAAACAAAAAAGGTTGCTACTGATCCATTGATGGAGGTCAGCTTAGATTTGCATGAATCTTCTATTCAAGGATGCTTGGAAAGGTAAGTTAATTGCTGGAAGAGGTGATTGTTGACTAGTACGGTGTGGGTAACCTGTTGCATCAGATATATTTCCCCCGAACAAATTCAATATACTTGCAGTAATTGCAATGCAAAAGTAGCTACAAAGCAATTGTTTTTCGATAAACTTCCCCCAACGCTGTGTTTACAACTGAAGCGTTTTGAGCAAAATTCATTTGCCATGTCCACCAAAGTTGATAAGTTAATTACTTATCCTATGCTTTTAAAGATGCAGTACAACTTCAATCAGGATTCTGTGGATTACCAGTTGTATGCGATAGTTTGTCACAAAGGCACTTTGGATACTGGACATTACATTGCATATACTTTATTCCAAGATCATGTATGTGAGGGAAACAGCCGTTTACAAGCTAACGAATCCTAGTGGTATCTGTTGGATGATACTACAATTACAGTTGTGCCAGAATCAGAGGTAATGAAAACACAAGCGTATGTACATACTTAACCTACAAAGAAAGTAGGAGCCATGTGAGACCGTTCTAACCATTACTGTCAGATATCTTTTATTCTATCACGAGAAAAATTTGGTTTACGATGATGAGCATGTAGAAAGAAAGTAAAATTTGTCAAAAGTTATTCAAAAGTTTTTTGGCGATCAGATATCCGTTCATACGCATTTTTCATTAAAACCTCAAAAACAGCACAAGAAGCTGCTGGGTTCCTTCGTAGGTAAATATATCATCATTTCGCGCAAAAAAATATCTGAACATCTTCGTCGAATTATAACAATAGAGAGGAAGGTTGAAAACCAATATAGGATGCGTATAACTAACTACATAACTTGCTTGTGCGTTGAAATGAATTTCATTTTTCATCGACATAAAGTCAACACTTTCACTAGCAAATTTTTAGATGTCAGAGTATTTTATGGAATAAAAGTATGGTTTAATAAATTGTTTAAATCTCGGAGCTGTTGTATGGTCAGACTACTAATCTTTCACGGGTAGAACTAGTTCATCTAAGTCTTCAGGTATATCGCACGCCTGAAGAACTTGTGGAAGTTCAGCGCCCATATCTCTGCAAAATGAAAGCAAAGAGTGTATCTGATCCGTCCATAAATTGGCAGCTTCAAGATACTTCATTGTCATTTTTTCTTGCAAAGCGATTGTTTCAGGATTGCAATGGTTTAAACTGGCAAGCTCGGATTGCAAAGATTGAAGTGTCGATTCTTTCTGTGCTAACATTTGTGGTGTAAAAGTTTCATCTTGATCATCTTCATTCTCAGATTTCCGTTTAGCTGTTTCGTTCTCGATGGATTCAGAGACTTGAAGGATCTTTTCGCGATAGTCCGCCAGTTGTATTTGAAGAGACTCAATCGTTGTTTCACGAGACCGTTTTGCCTCTGATGGAAATGACCAGTAATAGTTGCTCGTTCCAATCTTTTCAGACTTCACGAGGCCATCGTCAACCAACGATTGTAGCACGTCTTTTACTGTTTGAAGGACAATTTGTCGTTTGGAACCCAATTTTTCAATTTCTTTCAACTGAAAAAAATCTTTCTAAAACCATTGAGTGTCAATAATAAATATCTTTCTTACTTCCAAGCACTAGTTTATCATAATACCGTTCTTTCTCTAATGTTTCTCTCTCGCACTATGTAGTTTTCGTTCAGTACTTACGGATTCATGAAAGATAGTTTCTAAACGCTTTCGCTTCTCTTCCAGTGAAAGTCCTTTGGGAGGCATTTTTGGTTCTGGTTTAGTTAATATACACGACGGATGGAGGGAGTGTTTATGTACTACTGTACTACTTTTCTACCCTTACCGTGAAGACCACCTTCCGTTGCGTTCCTTCATTTTATGCACTACCTTCTACATAATACCACACTACGCAGCTGTAAATTGTGTAGTATGGAATATGAAAAGTAAACATTAAGTAGATGGTATATAGATCGTATATGGTATAGCGACTGTAGTATGGAAAAGCCTTATAACGAAATACAGAAATTGAATCAAAAGGACTCAGCTGTATGTATTTAATACAGGATTTTAAAGAAATAAGTTGAAAGTCCCTCAACACCAAATATGTTGAACCTCTTCTTAAAAAGCTGTGTGGAATGATTTTTGTAAACAAAGCCTCACATTGTAAAAAACCCAGTCCATTTCTCTAGAAACTGATCATTTCTCAAGTCATAAAAAAAAATAAAGATAATAAGTTTCTCTTTGCTACTGCTTTTTTCGAATGGTTTTTTTTTTGTTTACAAGTTGCTACGTTCGCTTTTATTCCGTGAAATTACCGTGTTTCCGAACGCCATCGGGATTTTTTTTAGTTAATATGTACATAGAAACTAAATTATAAGAATAAATAAAAATAACTTAAAGCAAAAAATGGAAATAGCTTTTTTTAAGAACTGTTTTTTTTTTATATATAAACAGTAATTCTTTGTTTACATTTTTTATACGAGAGTTTAAAATTACCAAGTGCTTCAGGCCAATCAAAACTGGATGGTTCGATTTCGCTCTCTTGTATAGCAGTCGTTTCATAAGCTCAGCAAATCGAATGATTTTGTTTTCTTAGCCTTTTTTTATTGGCTAACAAGTTAAAGCTAAGGGATATGATTGGCTGACAAAATCTGCCTAGGTAACATAGGAAACATGCACAGTCTGATCGTCGATAGTAAACAAAATAGGTTACAATTGCTTTCATTCCTATATATTCCTTACCACCACCAATACCTAACTGAGGACTTTGGGAGCACTTGAATTATTCCAAGTACCTATCTTACCTTTTCCGCGTTTGGTTTGGAATTTAATTCTTCTTTTACGTCTTGCAAAGAAGAATCTGGTCGTCTTTTTAGTGTCTGGAATTTCAATTCAATTGACGTCCGTTATCATAATTCCGTGTTTCTTTGCATAGGAGTATATCCTTTATAGATTCGTTTTTCTTTTTTTCTATAGAAAAAATTGTACCGTGTAGAGGGTTAGATTTCGCGTTTTCTGACTCAACATTGTTTCGTGTATTTCCTAAGATACCATTTTCAATCGTTATCCACCAATTTTTGTGTGGTAGAATCATCTCCTAGCCGTCTTTTTCGTTTTTGTGTATTCAGTATGGCTATCTCTTTATTACCTCTCGTATTGTCCGGAATTTTGGCCTGGTATGTGGGTTACATCCTAAACCAAATTACCAACCGTAATCCCAAGCGCCCTCCTATTGTTTTCCATTGGGTACCATTCTTTGGTTCTGCTATCCCTTATGGTATTGATCCTTATGCCTTTTTCCACGAATGCCGCGAGAAATATGGTGATGTTTTTACCTTTGTCTGCATGGGAAGAAAAATGACTGCTTATCTTGGTGTTAAGGGTAACGATTTCCTTTTCAACGGTAAACTCGCTGACTTGAGCGCCGAAGAGGCTTATTCTCATTTAACCACTCCTGTGTTTGGCAAGGACGTCGTTTATGATGTACCCAACCATGTTCTTATGGAACACAAAAAGTTTATTAAATCCGGTCTTGGTTTTCCTCAATTCCGTTCCTATGTGCCTCTTATTCTTAACGAAATGGACGCCTTCCTTAACACTTCTCCCGAATTTGGTCCTGGCAAGGAAGGTATCGCTGATTTGCTTAAAACTATGCCCGTTATGACTATTTTCACTGCTTCTCGTACTTTGCAAGGTGCCGAAGTTCGCGAAGGCTTCGACGCTGGTTTTGCCGATTTGTACCATGATCTCGATCAGGGTTTTAGTCCTATCAATTTTGTCTTCCCCTGGCTTCCTCTCCCTAGAAACAGACGCCGTGACAGAGCTCACAACATTATGCAACAAACTTATCTCAACATTATCAAGCAACGTCGTTCAAGCCCCGAAAACCCTGGAAGCGATATGATTTGGACATTAATGAATTCCAAGTACAGAGATGGTCGTAATCTAAAGGAACACGAGATTGCAGGTATTATGATTGCCCTCCTCATGGCTGGTCAACATACTTCTGCTGCTACAATTATGTGGGCCCTCACTTTACTCGGTAGCAAGCCTGAAGTTATTGAGATGCTTTATGAGGAACAAAAGCGCGTCTTGGGTGAAGGTGAAAACTTCCATGTTGACTTTGACAAGTATAAAGACTTGCCTTTGTTGAACTATGTTATCCGTGAAACTCTCCGTCTTCATCCTCCAATCCACAGTATCATGCGTAAGGTGAAACGCGATTTGCCTGTTCCTGATTCTAAGATGGTCATTCCCGCTGGTTCCCATTTGCTTGCTGCTCCTGGATATTCTGCTACTCATGAGGATTTCTTTACTCATGCTAAGGAATTCTGCCCTGAACGCTGGGGCGAACGTCCTGATGACGAAGAAAATGCTGAACAGATTGATTACGGATATGGTCTTGTTAGCAAAGGTGGCTCTTCTCCATATCTTCCATTTGGCGCTGGTCGTCATCGTTGCATCGGTGAGCAATTTGCCTACATGCATTTAACTACTATTATTTGCAAATTTGTTCATGACTACACGTGGACAACTGTTGGTAAGGTTCCCGATGTGGACTATTCTTCCATGGTTGCCCTCCCCTTAGCCCCCGTTAAGATTGCCTGGAAGCGTCGTGATTAGATTTTGTGCATTTGCTTTATCACCGAAAAAATGTCCTAAACTCTGAGTATTTTAGTTTTTTGCTGTTTAGGATGTTGATGATGTTTCTTTGTGTTGAACAAAATTATCTTATTGATGAAGTTTACTACTATGGATGGATGCAATGTATCTTGAATCACTCACATTTTTTAGTGTAAAAGAAGCAAAGAGTTGTTTATGCAATCTGTTAACCGTTAACCTTAGATCGACTTTCTTTACATAGAATAGAACCTTTATAACCTGTAAGTTATATTTAATCAGATTTGAAATAATCAAAGAGTGTTTTCAGGATAATTTCTTCATTTGTAAATTAATTTTCATTTTTTACTAGTAAAAAAACGAAACAATGATTTTAGTCATTGAATTTCATTGTTCGTTTACATATAATATAAGCCTTCAAGAAGTCAGTCTCGGTATTTGGAACGTGGCCCACTTTTGCATTGTGAATTCATTTGACAACTCTCAACACTAAAACTGACACTCCTAGCCTCCAATGGCAACAATATCAAGCTTTTCAAACGGTTTTTGGAGTAAAGATTACGCTACAGGTATCAACACGCTTTTTGAGCGACTGAGTCTTGGTACCCAAGAAAATGAACAAGGTAAGAAAAACATTTGAACAATTCGGGCGAATAAGGACTAACTTGTAAGTCAAAACATTAATCAAACTATATAAGCAAGCCAATGAAGATTTCGGAGAAAGATTACAAGAAATAACCAAAGAATGCATGAAGAATGGCAACAAAGAAGAAACAAACGAAGATTGCACTTCCTCAAGCAAAGCTTTCGAGGGTTTACGAAGCGAAATTGAGACGCAAGGAAAACAACACGTTAGAATTTCAAACGACCTACAATCTTTGGTGTTGAGACCACTTTCAAAGATGTCTGTTGACCATGAACAAAAATTGCAAACAAGCCAATACGTGTTGACGAACCATACAAAAGAGTATGAGAAAAAATATCATATCATGAAAAAGGCAAAGAGCACGTATTATAATAGATGTCGTGACGTAGAGGATCTTGAAGAAGAAGCCAAAAGAGAAGAAGAGCAAGAAGGATCGTCCGATCTCAAAACGTCCAATAATCAATTTTCAAGTGGTTCTTCTGGAGCCTACGAAAATTCTGAATCTTCAGAACAAAATGGACCTGTACAACTTGGGTTTATGGAGTTTAAATTCGATGAACTCCAAAAAGTCATGTCCCAAATATTAGAGGAACTTCCTCTTCAAGATAAACGAGTCCCTATCTTGGGAACGTATCAAAATACTTGCTCAGGAAACATCATTGTTTCCTGGCTTCAGGAAAATCTTCCAGTTCCCACACTAGTAGCCGCCGAAGCGTTTGGTCAAGATTTGATTGCTGAAGGATTTTTGCGTCAAATAGGTCAAATTGGCGTCGGAGGTACATTTGTCAATAGCACAAACTTTTACTACCAGTGGAAGGAGAAGGCTTTTCAAGTAGCCGGATTAGATAGTCATGATGCTCTTGTTGAGAATGCAAAATCTCTACCTTTCCTCGGTGAATATTTATCCGACTATATCCAATACAGAAAGCAATATGCGATGGAATCCCCTTTGCAACGTGCCCATAGGGAAGCTGTTGATGCTAATACATCGTATAAGGAAGCTGTGTATGACCTAGACAAATGTAGAACGCTTTTAGAGGAAAATATTGTTGATCACTTCCAATTTTTACAAAAATGTGAAGTTGAACGTGTTAAATATTTCAAGAATACCTTTATGGATATGTCCACTATAATCTCTAACTTCTTACCCTCCATGAAGTTGCTAGCTGACCAAATTATTGTATATCAGGAAATTATTCAACCTGATAGTGATATCCGTTATATCCTTGAGTCATCAGCTACTGGCCCTTTCTTGCCTCACGTTGAAGTTTACGAAGACTATTATAACGATATTAAGGACCAAGTGTTCGGTATTGACATGGAGTTCCTCTGTCATCGTGATAAAAAACGTGTTCCTATAATAGTTAGCACTATTCTTTCTTTCCTTGATCAGCTATATCCTACCCTTCCTTCAGATAAAGTTCGACAACAATTGTGGTTAGTTAACTCTCCTTTATCTTCTATACATCAACTTAGAGAGGCTCTTAATTATGCTCCAAATGTATCAAAGGATATCCTAGTACAGTACTCGCCTACAGTCGTTGTGGGCACATTGAAACTATTTCTTTTAGAACTTCCAGATTCAATTATTCCTTCATCTGCTTTTGAATTAATCCGTTCTATATATGCCAATCATGGCAACGATGAAGTTTATCGGGTCCGCTTGTTACAGAATCTTCTTTCCCAACTTCGTAGAGTGAATTTGGCTACTTTGAGTGCTATAATCACTCATTTGCATCGATTAATATCCTTAACGACGAAAGAAACTAATTTTGTCGGTGATTTGGCTAACTCTCTCTGTATGTGTATATCCAGACCGACATCATGGACGTTATCAATTCAACATGATAAACATCCTTCACGGTTCTTAGAGGATCTTCTGACTCACGGTCCTACATTATTTGAAGAATTGAGAAAATTAAGTGCTGCCAAACGAGCTTCTGATCGAGGCCCTTCCACTCTAATTGCAGGTGACAAGCAATCAGCATCTAGAAAAGCCTCAGTTTCTTCTACTGCTTCTGCACCTACCTCTGCACCATATGCTTCGCCCAGATCATCTTTAGATGAAGCTCGTCCATCTGTCAGTGAAGCTGAATTTACAACAGATAATGTTCCTTCCACGCTTCTTCGTACTTCATACGCTTCAAATGCCAGAAGGGGTAGACGAAATGTTAGTCAAGCTTCACAAGTTAGTGATACCAGTGAGTTTAGCGAGCAAGAGTTCAAGGATCCGAGTACAGACGATACCGAAAGGGGTGAAATATGGCAATCCTTTGGAAATCAAGAATAATTTGTACCGTATATTTTTTCTAATCTACAGTAATTTTTTATCTGTATTTTCTAACTGGCTGTCCAGCATTGCATTATTTGCATTAACTTACGTTTATGAAAATGGAAACAAACATATTAAAGTGTGTACATGCCTGGCTTGACTTTGGACGAATATTTCCTTGTAGCATAGATTATTATCTAAATAAATTAAGTCTTTCTGTAGGCGTGAAATAAAAGAATGTTATTCAGAAAATTTTTAGATATCCAGCGATGTAAGTAATTGCTGACGATTCCATTTCCTTATTGTTTCCAAAAATTCGTCGAATTTATTTGTACCCTCCAAGAAAGAATCTAAATTATGATAGCTCAAACCTAACCGATGATCTGTTACACGATTTTGATTGTAATTATAAGTACGTAATTTTTCGGACCTAGAAGAAGAAGAAACCTGAACTTTTCTTTTCGCTCTCTCTTCTTCCATTTCTTTTGCTTCCTTAATAGCAGCCAAACGGGAATTCAAAACCATAAATGCTTTCTCTCTATTTTGATGTTGTGATCGAGAATCCTGCATGCTTACAGTAATGCCAGTAGGTACGTGCGTTAAACGGACAGCTGATTCTGTACGATTTACATGCTGCCCTCCTGCACCACGCGACCGCATCACTTCTATCTTTATGTCGGAAGGACTGTACAAGGAAGACGAATCTTCTTCGGGCATCTGGGGAAGAACAATCACAGAAGCAGTGCTAGTATGTACTCTTCCCTTCGTTTCAGTAGCGGGGGTTCTTTGGACACGATGGACACCTCCTTCAAGCATCAAGTGGCCATAGGCTCCTTCTCCATCAACTGAAAAAATCATTTCCGAGATACCTTCAGTTCCTTGAACTTCGCTGCTTGAGATTATTTTAGTTTTCCAGTTTTTGTAGTTTGCATACTTCGTATACAAATCTGCTAGCTCTTTTGCAAATAACGCCGCCTCGGTACCTCCTACGCCAGGGCGGATTTCTATAAGTGCTGAAGATTGGTGTGAAAGTGGTTGTGAAAGTAAAGAGTTCTCTAATTTTTCGATGGAGCTTAAGAGTAATGGCCGCAGACTATCCGTTTCCGACCGGGCCAGCAGTTTCAACTCTGCATCGGCTTCACAAGCTTCCATTGATTGTAATTCCTCTAGTTGCTTTTTCAGTTAGCTTCTTTTGTTCTTCCTGTACTATGATCATTTCTTGCAAAGACATCCCTCCAAACAAGACTATCCAAAACCTTGCTGAAGGAGGATTCCAAGTCTACGCATACAAAGTAGTCATCTTCAAAGCACATACCTTGTAAACCGATTCATAATTAGAGAAAGAGTTATAAATCTTCTGTAACCTCACAAACCTTTTGGCCAGGTCTACATTATTAACGTTATTATGTGCTTCCTGAAAAATTGTTAATTAAAAATTTCAAAAACTATTCCAATCCGCTATATGGGTCCTAGTATTTCTGAAGTGTAAAGGCACAGCCTTTAATCCCAATTCGCTAGATTTCCACATATCCGCACCCTACATACGTTTTCCGATCGATTAATCTCAATCTCCTTGTATTCATTTGATAATTTTCTTGCTTTCTCTATTAATGTAGCCGAAAGTGAATGGTCAATGGACTCCGGTCTGCTCGCATAAAACCGGACTGGCGTTACACGGGAGAGCCGATTTTTCCAAGATCCAAAATTTCTACATCTTGTAATCGTTGAGAACATATTGACTCATATGTTACATAGTAAAATAAACCTATACTCTGTCAAACTCGCGCCTATGGTGGTTAGGATATACCGCAATACAAGGATGAATTATAAGATTTTGCCAGGTGTCCTTATTATGTTTATACTTTGCATTCTTTTTGATATTTCTCATAACTGTGGCTCAGGTAGAAGGATTTCCGCAGAGAATACATATCAAGAAAAATCTAAAAATATCATTTTGTTCTACTTATAATCTCTTATGATCTCTAGCGATGCTGAAGAAGACATGCTTGGTTGAAAGGCAAGGGACGGTTAGATTTTTCAATCCAAAGTTCCGAGTGTATGGAAACTGGGGTATACAATTCTAAAACTTTGAGCCTATAGTCTAGCAATTTAATTGTCTAAAAACAAACAATTGCCTCTTTTATGCTCAGTTTTTCGGTTCAAATCTTTGTTTACTTTTAGTAATACGATTTTCGTTAGCATTATTGTCAGCGTTGATAAAAGAATATTACAAATTCTAAATTTATAGTTATTTCTATAATTAAATCAAGCTTCTATCGTGATTTGTGGATTCAGTTTACGAAACAACGAATGTAGCAACAAGCACACTGCATATAATTAATAGCAATTTGATTCAGTGATTCCATCTGACTGAATAGCTACTACCCTCTTTTGAATAAAATTGGGTTTCTTTAAGAAACCTGGATTTCTCGTGTGGATCCATAATTCATTGTTTATCTGAGACACGTTAATGCAAAGAAAACCATAATCGAAAGCAATGTCCTTCACTCAAGAAGTTTCTATAGAGAATATTGATGGTAATAATGTGGATACTGACTACTTGAATTCACAGGAAGCTGTAGTTGAATCGGAATTGCAAAATGAAGATAATGAATCAATGCATCAAAGAAGAGGGACTGAACTACCTTCCACGCAGTCAGACTCTGCGGCTCCAGTGACTCAAGATAGGACTCCTGCTCTGGCACGGAATTTCTTAAACAAGCTAAGGGCAGCTTCATATCATACTGCTTCAGAAACTCCACAGAACCAAACGAACGCTACGGCGAATACAAATCTTGAAACTTTCTATGAGGCTCCAGAAGAGATAGACCAGGAACAGCAGGATAATCAACAAGGATCGACTTTTCTAGCTCCTCCAAGAACTGATGTCGATGAAACAGCTAATCCTAACCGGGCTAAAAAGCTTGGGGCTCGGAATATGTGGATGCAATTGATGGCATCTGTCAAAAAATTAAAAAAGGAATCTGAAAAGGGAAACAAAGAAGCTCCCTACATTTCTGCTCCTGATATCTTTTTGGCTGGTGCACCTTCCACATTGCCGGTTGCAAAACATTTCATTCACGATCGTTCTAATAATCACGTCTTACCTGTATTTACAGGCTACTTACGAGTGTCGGTTGTTGATGTAGAGCCAAAACAAAATCGGATTCAAAGTACAATCACTATGCAGGTCGAATATGGTTCAGGTCCAAATGCCATCCGCTGGACGATCTACCGTCAACTTCGGGATTTCATAAACTTGCATTCTCATTTTCTTGTTTTTGAATTTCAGCATCATTTCTATGGTAAGCGCATGAAGCTTCCTAAGTTTCCCAAAGAAGTGTTGCCCTACCTGGTAAAACTGCGAGGCTATAATAGGGCTACTTTTGCTAACCCAGATGATCCACTTATTGACGAGACTCAGAGCTTATCCAGTATATCAATAGAATCGCAATCCGCTGATATCCCACAACAAAACAATAATCGGGGTAATAGCGGTGTCAAGAAAAAAGTTGCAAACTTTTGGACTATACAGGGTAATACACTTGGAAAGTATTTACAAGATATGATTAATTGTCTTCAATTTTTTCCGGAGGTTAATGTTTTATACACATTTTTAGAAATGAGTAACTTGGGACTACGTTTGGCTAGTTCCCGAAGATTTCATGGTAAAGAAGGTTACGCTACTGTCAGGAAAAACTATTCTGCCTCGCAAAGTATACTTTGCTGCTCTGGACCTTCAGTCCGTTCCCGTTTACATCCCTTTTGGATCATTGTCTCTGAAAGCTCTATTATATTTTGCGATAGCATGCACTCCTTTGAACCAATGGACGTATTTATTTGGGACGTTGATTTTGAAATCACTAGGAAGAAGTTTAGAAAGTCACACCCTAAAGATACACAAGAAAAAATCCGAGTTTCACATCACACCTTCAAAATAAAAAATAAGCAAAAAGTCATTAAACTGTCTGTTCGAAGCGGACGTTGGCTTCAACAGTTTATAAATAGTGTTCAAGTTGCTCAAGGTCTAACCTCCTGGTGCGAGCTTCATCGATTTGATAGTTATGCTCCTGTTAGAACAAATGTCGCTGTTCAGTGGATGGTAGATGCTCGAGATCACATGTGGAACGTCAGTCGTGCATTCAAAAATGCTAAGCATACTATAATGATTCATGGATGGTGGCTGACGCCGGAATTGCAAATGCGAAGACCATACAGCCTTGCTGATAAGTGGCGCATCGATCATTTACTACAGGAAAAAGCCAGAGAAGGTGTAAAGGTTTATATTATGGTTTACAGAAATATAGATGCTACCGTCCCTATCGATTCATTTCATACAAAAAGCTATCTTCAATCGTTACATCCGAACATTTTTGTCATTCGTTCTCCATCCCATTTTCGACAGAATGCACTTTTCTGGGCCCATCATGAAAAGTTAGTTGTAGTAGATGATGCCATCGCTTTTATAGGTGGAATTGATCTTTGCTTTGGTCGTTATGATACATCCCAGCATATCCTCTATGATGATAAATTGGTTAACCCTCCAGATAAGAATGTTCATAACGAACAATCTTGGAAAGGAAAAGATTACTCTAATCCACGTGTACATGACTTTTTCGATTTGACGCAGCCACAAAAGGATATGTATGATCGAACAGTAATACCCCGTATGGGTTGGCATGATGTTTCCATGTCGATTCTAGGACAACCTGCTAGGGACGCAGCCAGACATTTCGTTCAAAGATGGAACTATTTGATTGAGTGTAAAAGACCCGCTAGGAAAATCCCCATATTAATTCCTCCCGTTGATTCCACGAATGAACAACTTATAGATAAACAATTGACTGGAACATGTGAGGTGCAACTTTTAAGATCTGCTGGTCTGTGGTCATTAGGTTTGGCCGATTCTGTTGAGCAAAGTATACAGAATGCTTACGTTAAGTGTATTGAAAAAAGTGAACATTTTATCTATGTGGAAAACCAGTTCTTTATAACATCTACAATCAGTGATGGTACTGTTATTGAAAATCGTGTTGGTGATGCTTTAGTTGAGAGAATTACCAGAGCACATAAAAATAATGAGAGATGGAAAGGTGTGATTATAATTCCTTTACTTCCAGGATTTCAGGGTCAAATTGATATGCAAGAAGGAAGCAGTCTTCGCTTAATTGTTGATTGTCAATATAAAAGCATCTGCAGAGGAGAAAATTCAATATTTGGTCGACTAAAGGCAAAAGGGATTGATGGATCAAAGTACCTTAAATTTTACGGTCTTCGAGGTTGGGCACACATAGGACCAGAGCATGAACTGTCTACCGATCTTATTTACGTACATGGAAAAATCATGATTGCTGATGATAGGGTTGCCGTCATAGGGTCCGCAAACATTAACGAACGCTCCCTCTTAGGAAACCGTGATTCTGAGATTGCAGGTATAGTACGAGATACTCTGACGATTGATTCTAAAATGAATGGAAAACCTTATAAAGTAGGCAAGTTTGCTCACTCATTACGAATTCGCCTGATGCGAGAGCATTTGGGGATTGAAACTGATATACTAGAACAACGTGAATACAATATGGATGGTCTTGATCGGCAAACGAAGTGGAAACGAGTAGACGCCTGGAATCCTGACGAGGATAAGCATGTGGGTGGCTCAATATTTGATGCTGATGAGCTTAATCTGCGCTACCGTTCTGATGAAAAGTTTGGTGAAGTTCCTCCTGAAAAGCTTGAAGAATGTCATAAGCATATTGAAGGGTTTGATCAACGTGTTAGACTTTTTTCAAAATATAGTGTTGTACCCAATGCAACTCCTTACGAGAAGAAGTTTGGAGAGGAGCGTTATAAGGACTTTAAAAAAGGGCCGATTCTTACAGCTAATGCGTTAGTAGGAGGAACACCATCTTATCTTAATAGTGATGATAGTACTCTTCATGAACTCTCTAAGTTTCCTGAATCTGGTGGAGATCAAAGACCCATGATACGGAAAGACCCTCATAATAAGGTACTTGAGCCTTCCAGACCGCATTGTGGTAACGGACTTGCATTTTTTGATGACATTCCTTTGCTGGAGGTAAATCCTTTGACGAATGAAGAAATTCCCAAGTTTGATGCTTCAAGTTTCGAAGATCCTGTTTCCGAAGATTTCTTTGACAACATTTGGTGTAAAACAGCTGAGAATAATACTCTTTTCTACAGATACATATTCAAGTGTGTACCAGACGATACGATACTAACTTGGGATGCCTACCACGAGAGTAAGAAGTACGCTCAACTATTCAAAGAAGAGCAAAAACGTTGGCGAGAGCAAGAAAATACTGCAGAAAAAGACGAAATGGAAAAAGAAAGTTCTGATTTTCTGTCTGGCGTATCCTCAGAAAACGGTAATTCCGAGGAAAAGAATATTAAAAGACATTTTAGCAAAGGTACCAAAAAAAATCCAATGAAGATTCCGGATAGACGAGCGGTCTATCAAATTCTACGAGGAATTCGAGGCCATTTGGTGGAATTACCCATTCATTGGATGGCATCAGAGGATGCTTCGAAAAACTGGTTGAGTGGTTTTGACAAGATTCCACCATTAGATATTTATGACTAAGGTGTAATAACGTTATAAATTAAGACACCGTGATGATTATAATAAATGATAGCTACACATCAGAAGATCCTACTTTTAACTGTGTAATATGAGAATTGGTATCTGTAAAATGACTTTTCATCTTATTATTGCTACTCCTTTTCAGTAGGCCCTTGTAGAGATTGTTCCAGCCAAGCCTTCGGGAAGCGCAAATCTTGCTTTTTCTTTTTTACATGTCGAATGTCCAAGGGAACATCAGCGAATTTGGTTTTTAAACGCTTGGACTCGGAAATCAAACTATTCAAGCATTCAGCAAGAAAGAGCTTGTTCTGCAGAGAGGAGGGGTATTTATTGCATGACATTTTAACTTCATCGGTTTCCGGATTGTATCTAACGCCGCTTAAGAGCTTTAGTACATGACGTTCGTTATTCTGTAAATGAGGAAGGTTGGAAACTTTGAACTTCAAAACAACCTTTGAAACTGGTGTTGCAGTTGACGACATTTCAATAGGAGATTCAAAGACAAGGACTTGGTCGACACTTCTCGGTCGGTAGGGTTCGGAATACACTATAATAAAGTTAGATACGAATAACAACTGTATAGAAACATACTTGTAAGTGAGGGAAGTTCATAAGCTGCCTTTCTGTAATATTGGCGAACCTTGCTATGTTCCAACATGAGACCTAAACTCACATTGTTCTGATGTATATCATTCTCCAATTCGTTCATATAGGCCTCATCTCTCGGCTCAAAACTGCTGGGAGGTTCATAAGTAGCTCTTGAAAATTGAAACCTTGAGAAAGAGGTAGTCGAAAAAAGACGTCGTTTTAGCAAAATATTTCTTAACATTTTTTCTGCGTGTACTTTAACAAAGGTAAGATAATGCAGGGGAAGTTCACAATCGCTTTTACAAGCTACTGTTTAGGAACAGCGATTTATTGTACAAGCTTAGAGTGGGAATACAAAGAACGACTGTAATGTTCTATTTTTCTTTTTCATATAATAATGAATGAAAACAAAGTACAATCCTTCCAAACCGAGCAGTCTGTTATATTCCAAGTTCCCAGCTGTTCTTGTTAAGTTTAATGAACTTGGATGGAGACTTCGCTAAAGAGATGACTTCGTTATACGAACCCGAAGAAGAGAACACCGAGGTTTCATTGTCACACTGTCCTTTCATTCTGAAGTTTGTTCTTCTAAATAAAAGAAAAGAAGGATTGGTTCCCCATACATACATTGTAAACCAACAAAGCGTGCTATCCTCACTTGCAACCCACAGCAGCATTTGATTACGGACGGACACTGCTATATACTCGATATAGTTATACGCCGTTACTGTATTGTTTGTTGAAGGAATTGGAGACAGAATAGGAGCAATACTAATCGGTTGAAATAGATTATATGGCAGAAAATCCAATATGTAAAGTATTGTGCTCTTTATTTCCTATTTTCTTTCCGGATAACACTGCGTAAGAAGATACTATGCGAAATATCTTTGAACGTTCGACGACAATAATGCTAACGAAAATCGTATTACTAAAAGTAAACAAAGATTTGAACCGAAAAACTGAGCATAAAAGAGGCAATTGTTTGTTTTTAGACAATTAAATTGCTAGACTATAGGCTCAAAGTTTTAGAATTGTATACCCCAGTTTCCATACACTCGGAACTTTGGATTGAAAAATCTAACCGTCCCTTGCCTTTCAACCAAGCATGTCTTCTTCAGCATCGCTAGAGATCATAAGAGATTATAAGTAGAGCAAAAATATAAATACGCTGCATATACTCTAAAACTACGATTTAGAAAATTACACAGTCCTTTAAGATTATACATGCCTAAAAAATAATATTATCGTTATATAGCGACTCCCATTAAGATGATATTTAGAAGATGTACCAACCGTGAAAAAACCATCAAGGATTTTGTATTTTTCTTTTCCTGTATTTTCTCAAATTCATAATTCCAATATTCTGTTTTTCATCAGCAGTTTGGTTTAAAAGTACTTATTTTTCTACAAAATATAAATTGCCTTAGTCAAGGCGTTCTCAAAACGCAAACAAACTACATTTGTCATTCTGTTCAAATTTTGTAGTCGGTGGAGCGAAATTGTGAATTACTCTTTTCCTATAAATAAGATTGGTACACATAACTGAATATGGTCACTATTCTAAAACCAGAGGAGACTTATGCTTTCACAAAGGAGTACGAAAGAGACGAGATAGATGCCAAGATGGTTATGTCTGACGAAGAAAATGAAATGGAAGTTGATGAGGAAGATGAGTATCCTGCTGAAATGGAATTAGAAGACGAGGCTGCTGGCGTAAAGAACATGGTTGCCCCGGGTCAACTCATCACCGATGATCCTCAATTCATGCGTGGTCATGGAACGTATTTTGAAGATGGAGGAATCTATGCGTCTGTTACGGGCGTTGTCCAACGTGTCAACAAATTGATTTCCGTCCGTCCATTTAAAACGAAATACGTACCTGAAATTGGTGATTTGATCATTGGTAGAATTACAGAGGTTCAACCCAAACGTTGGAAAGTTGATATCGGGTCTAAACAAGATGCCGTTCTTATGCTTTCTTCGATTAACTTACCAGGAGGTGTTCAGCGTAGAAAGCTAGAGACTGATGAGCTTCAAATGCGAAACTATTTTCAAGAAGGCGATCGCTTGGTCGCTGAAGTCCAACAATATTTTTCTGATGGTTCAGTTTCTATACATACAAGATCTTTAAAATATGGTAAGCTCCGTAACGGAGTGTTCCTGAAAGTCCCCTCTTCTTTGGTCGTTCGCTCGAAATCTCACATCTTTAATTTGCCCGGTGGTGTGGATTTAATTTTGAGTGTAAATGGTTATGCTTGGATTTCAAAACATAACAAAAACCAAGAATCGTCCGTCAGTATTACCCGCTTAGAAGAGGAGGCTTCCGAAGCCATTTATTCTAATGAGAATGATGAAGTTGATGTCTACACTCGATTAAATATATCTCGTATCTACATATGCGTCCGTGCCTTAGCAAATCGTGGATTACCTTTGACTGAAGCTGCTATTTTGAATTTCTATGAAGCTTCTTTACTTTATGGAGACTTACAGCAATTGACATCTCCTAAAATCCTTGATCAAATTGCTGTGGAGGCAATGCACTAGTCTTTTTGATATATTTAAGGATACTACTTTTTTTGATTTTACTTTTTTAGTATTAGGTTTATGCTGGCCATAAGCAACTGGTTAGACTGTTCAATAATTATTTCGAAAGCTGGGTTCCATTGATAATTAAATGCGGCATGGTAATTCATTATCAAGTACGTTTATTTTGTAGCAAAAGGTATTTTTCGAACAATTTGCTTGTATTTTGCTTAGCAGACTTGGCGATTGGTATACACAATCATGAACGTTCCAACATATCTAGAGTTCTTTCTTCATACCAAAATTTCATTTGATTTTTTATTATCTCTATTTTTTAAATAAAGTAGATTGTAAAAACAAATCTTTTCAATGTAGCAGATCTTATTATGGCGATGGTTACTTACCGCTCCTTAAAACTTCCTCCAAGTGACCACGGCAAATTTTTCAACGAATAACCAACTTGGCGAAATATAATAAAAAATGTCGGGTCAGGAACAAATAGTGACTCCCTGGGATGTTCAAGGATCTATTGTCGATGGTGAAGAGGTGGGAATTGACTACGATCATTTAATTAAGCAATTTGGTACTCGAAAAATTACTGATGAGCAACTTGAAAGATTTGAGAAGCTGACTGGCCGCAAGCCTCATATGCTATTGAGAAGAGGCCTTTTCTTTTCACATCGTGATCTGGATTACATTTTGGATCGTTATGAACAGAAAAAGCCTTTCTACTTGTATACAGGTCGAGGACCTAGCAGCGACAGTATGCATCTCGGTCACTTGATTCCTTTCTTATTTTGTAAATGGCTTCAAGATGTTTTCCAAGTTCCTATTGTCATTCAAATGACTGACGATGAGAAATTTCTTTTCAAACAAAACTTAAGCCTTGAAGAATGTCAACGTTTCGCTCGCGAAAATGCCAAAGATATCATCGCATGCGGATTTGACCCAAAAAAGACTCTCATTTTTGCAAATACTCAATATGTTGGTGGTGCTTTTTATCAAAACATTGTTCGAATTTCAAAGTGCATAACTGCAAATCAAGCTAAATCCTGCTTTGGCTTTAATGATAGTGACTCTATCGGAAAATTGCATTTCGCTTCAATTCAAGCAGCTCCTAGCTTTAGCAGTTCTTTTCCCAATATATTCAATGGTGCCAAGGATGTTCCTTGTTTAATTCCTTGTGCCATCGATCAGGACCCTTACTTCCGTCTTACTCGTGATGTCTCAGCTCGTCTTAAGTTTAAGAAACCTGCTTTAATTCACAGTAGATTCTTCCCTGCTCTTCAAGGTCCTCAGTCTAAGATGAGTGCTAGCAAGGACAGTTCTGCCATCTTTATGACGGATACCCCTAATAAAATCAAGAACAAAGTTAACAAGTACGCATTTTCCGGTGGTGGCGCTACTGTTGAAATACATCGTGAAAAGGGAGGAAATCCCGACGTTGATGTTGCTTATCAATATCTGTCTTTCTTCCTTGATGATGATGCAAAACTTCAAGAGCTCCATGATAATTATAAGTCTGGTACTCTTCTCACCGGTCAGCTTAAAGCTGAATGCATCAAAATTCTTCAAGAGGTGGTAAGTAACTTTCAGGAAGCTAGAGGAAAGGTTGACGAAGCTACCTTGAATCTGTTCATGGATGGATCTCGAAAATTAGAGTGGTAATATATTTAAATCAATGATTGAATTTCGTTCATTAATTTTGGGACAAAAAGGTGTCGGTCACATAGTGGTTTTTAAATCGGCCTGTTTCCTCTTAGTTGAATCGTCATTATTGACAATTTACCATTCCTATACCTTATAATATGTGCTGTTTGATGGACGCTCATCTTGCAATTGAACGAAAAAAAATAGAGTTTATTTGATTATATAGGAATTTTTCGACTACCAGTTACGTTCATATATATTAATAAAAATAGAAGATGATACCAATCTTGAAAACAATTGTCGTATTTTCGTCGCATACGGCATCCTTCATCAAATTTACTATCCAACTATGTAAATAAAGTAAATGGTAAAAAGAAAAAAAATTCGAAGAAATAAGTAAAAGAATTCCTTGACTACAGCCAAAGAATTGTCAAATCTGAAGAGTTGAATCCAATAAAAATGCAGGAAAGCAAAAAAATAAAAGTGAAGACTAGACTGTGTTAAATTCAGTAACTATTTAATAGTTTTCTTGGCAGTTCAAGCCATCAACAAGTCTAAAGGTCTTCGTAGGTGAACGCCAATTTGAATATTACATAATATAGCAAAAAGAAAAGACTCACAAAAGGCAAATACAAATAGAATTAATATGCAAAGAAAAAAAATAAAACGAGAGGAATCGATCGAAGCAAAACGAAAGTTATTTATAAAGCCAGATAAGCTATTGACTACTGAGTCAATAGTTCTCATATATACAAGGGTTATTGAGAAAGAAGAAAAAAGCGAATTAATAATGTAAAGTTGAATGATGAATGTAATGCCATAGTTTTTCTTTTTTTTTTAAAAAAAAAAAAAAAACAATGTAATAAAACGAGTGTGAATCATGACAAACAAGGGAAATTAAACGCTAGCATTAGCTGGCATAAAACCCGGTATGGTCGATTGAGGCACAACGACATCGATAGGCATGCTCATGTCAGAAGAAACAGACAAGACGTCAGATTTCGAATTTGTCCTTGGTGGGTTACCGCATCTGTCTTTACCATAACTGATACGGAAATTTTCGTATCCACTCTTCTGTTTGATGCATTCCAAAGCATAAATGGCATTGGAAATAGAGGTAAAGTTCACAAATGCACAATTCTTTTCGCGGAAAAGGTTGATATACTCTATCTCGCCATATTCCTCGAAATCTTGCTTAAGTCTCTCTACCGTTAAAGAGTCATCAGCGTTGCCAATATAGATATTACGACTAGCTCCACCAGCAACGGCAAGAGCAATGTTAGAAGGAAGTGGACCGCTATGTTTACCCCATCCAATTTTTAGACGACGATTGCGAATGACTAACCCATTAATGCTAGTTAATTCGAAAAAGCGATAAGCTGAAACAGGGTCGACAAATGTTACAAAACAGATGTGCTTTTCGGGAAGAAAACGGATATTATGAAGCAGACCACCACGAACAGTGTTACAGATTTCTTCAATAGTGGTATCTGCATGGATATTACCGATATAAACAGTTCGATTGCCAGTTGTTATTATGTCAGGTTTGCCCATAACAGGACTGGCAGGTGGATATCCCATGAATGGATAACTAGGAGATATGACACCTAATTGACTTTTATAAGACTGCTGCTTGGAACCACCGGCACATCTGTCACGACCATAAAATATTCTTCGCTTGGCCCACTTGGGATTGGATGGTAAATTTTGCACAGCCTTGATGGCGGCTGCTATATTGAGAAAATGAACGAAAGCAATATTCTTATCCACAACTATTTTAATTTGGTCAATAGGACCAAAAGGCTCCAAGTCTTCTCGAATTTCCTCATCGGTGATGCCGCTGGGAAGATTACCAAGAAACACGTTTCTGCAAGCTCCGGACTGTTGAACAGCCATTAAAACAGAAGAATTAGAAGCGGAGTTCTTACCCCAACCTACTTTAACGTCTGCTCCTCGGATAGTGAGACGCTTCATATGGGATTCTTGTAAGAAAGCAGTAGCATGGGTGGGGTCCAGAAACGATATGAAAGCACAATTTTTCTCCGGCAAAATCCAAGCTGACTCAATAGGGCCGGTATGTACACAAGACAAAATTTCATCGATGGGTGTTCCAGATGGCAGGTTTCCAACATACACAGTCTTCACGGGTTGTTGTCCGGTTGGATTGCTGGGCACAGGGTAATAGCCAGGAGCAAAACTTGGAACGCTTGGACTCGTAACGTGAGAGACGTTATAATTGGGTATAGGATGAGGTGAGTGTGCAGCCATTTGAGGGGCACCAAATGGCAAACCCTGCATTGGAGTATAACTCGTAGGACTTTGTACAAAAGGGCTTCCAACGAGAAGACCTGTAGGTAAAAGTGCGTGAGGTGTATTAGGAGTAGCAATGTTGCCCTCTCCGTTCATACTATGTGGAATTGTCAAAGGGGGTAAATGGGGCTGAGGAGTCCTACCGGGAACGGAAAGACGAGATTGACTAGAAGGACTACCAGAAGACATCAGGAGTGAAGCAAAAAAGAAAATAGGAAAAAAGAGAAGAAGAATAAAAAGGGAATAGAGAACGTATGCCGTTAAAGAATAAGAAATATATGAATCGCAAAAGTTGCTTTTTCAAAAATGAAAACAAGAGCGAATCCAAAGTTACAAGAAAAGATACTTAGATCTTCAAAATATACAAAAGGTATATAGTGTATATACAAGATAAATGCAAAACTGCAACAAAGGCTCTTTTGGGTGAAAATCAGAGCAAGGAAAATCAGAGAAACTTCAAACTCGTTGCTGCACGCTTTTCAAAAGAATATTTCGTACAAAAAGTGGGAAAGCGAACTAGAAACTCTTTGGGTTCGTTTAATATTATCCAAAGATTTATCAAAGTAATCAACGGACGATGAATTTTTGACAATATATGTAGCAAAAGTTATCAAATACAAAAGAGTGAATAAAAATGAACGAATGGAATGGAAAAATTCAAAGGAGCAGGTAGTGTCTTGTCAAATTGCACTTTAATAAAACGAATTGTGCAAGTAAGACTGGAAGAAAGCAAGTGGAACAAGAAAAAAGTATTCAAGTTGAAAAAATATGAGAAAATTGCGAAATTAAAGTGCTAAAGAACAGCGTTTGAGAAGGGAATGAAGATATCCAACACAGACAACCAAAATCTTTTTTAGGAAACCAGCGTAAAACAAGATGGAATCCAACTTAATTTTTAAGAAAAGAACTGGTTATTGCTGCAAGGATTGTAATGAATTATCTCAAAAAGAAAGCGAGACTATTCAAATGATCAAAAAGTTATGCCCTTACACAAATCACACGTGAAAAGGAAGTGTAAATAAAAGTATTAAAGAAAAAAAAAGAAGAAAAATAAAAATGAAAATGAAAGAACAAACGCGACGAACAAAAACTGTTCTACCCGTTTCAAGTGTTGACGTTCAATATGTTATAGGTAAATGAAAGGATCTCCAACAACATTGGACTACCCTCTCATATGTTGGTATGAATATACAAAGCCACGGGATACCGAGGACAAGCGCAGTACCAGTAAACAACAGACACCAAAAAAAAGGAAAAAAAAAAAAAAAAAGAATAGAAAAGAGAGAGAGAGAGAAATCTATTATTAATTAATTCTTGTACTCTATGAGTTTATTGAATATATTATTTATGTAGTGTGGCTTGTTCACAAAGCAGGATTTCTAAAAAGATCCATATTCGCGCTTACTTCATTCTTGCCAAGCCACAGTAAATAAATAAAAAAAAAGAATATAAATAAAAAACACAAAGAAAGAAAGAAAGAGAAATTCAGCAGACTGAAAATATACTTCTTTACAAGGGTAATTTGCTTAGTACTACTTTTCAATTGTATAGTGTGTCAAATGACGCCTTTTGTTTACTTTTTTTTCTTCATTTATAACATTGCCATAATCCAGTCGAAAGTCGTTCGTAACAAGCATAGCTGTCTAATTATGCAAGGTGTATTTGTCCTTGGTCCTGTTGTATCATTAATAACCATTCATTATAAATAAGTAAGTGTTCGTGTTTTCAACTGCGGATACCTGTGTTGTGTTCACTTGAAATGTAATGTAAGCAACAAAATGCACACAGAAATCACTCTAGTAGTATTCGTAAGAAACGAGAAGGATACGAGAAAATCGGAAAATCCAAGGGGAATTATGCAACTATGGATTCAAGTTGGACTCTATATCTGTCTTTTGTTCATTCGATAGTCCGCGCCAAAAGTACATACAATTTTTGTACGCACCTTCTCTACCGTGTGGATTCACTGAAGATATACTGAGATCCTGCGGGATAGAGGAATAACGATTGTTCCTTCGGCAAATTAGAAAACGAAACAAATCACGAGCGAACACCACGTATTGATCTAAACCAACAAGCGCTACAAGTGTTCCTATTAAGCTATGGTGATGCTTATTGGGATTCCGAAGAGCCATTCCTTGACTAGTAGGAGCAGAAAACGATCTATACTTTTGGAATAGTCTATACTCAGCAGTTGTGATATTGTGAGCCACCTGCCATAGTTGAGTAAAACTCAATGATAAGACCCAAATCCAATTGATGCAAACAATAAACATGGAATTGATGACAAACATGTCTTTCAGCATCCACTCACAAATCGTACCCCCCACCCACAAACATTTATATGATTTGTATTTTTCCTGAATAGGAATCAGTGTGAGATAAACAAAGCCGAGATAACAGTAAACAGGAATCAGTATAACAAGTAATAACGTATATATAAGAAAAGACTTATGGTTTTTCATACCAACACAATTGCTGATCCAGGGACAATGATGATCATACCGATAGATGCAGCGACCACAAGAGAGACAATGGAAAGATCTTTCTGGTTTCAGTTGAAGACATTTTATGCAATAATGATTCTGATCGAAAGTCTTTTTGGAAAGCAAATTTTCTATACATTCTCTTCTCTGAGTCACGCCGCCGATTGTAGGAATATAACCAGGATCCTGATAAACAGAAATCACATAATAAGCAATACAAAGAATAGAAAGAAATAAAAAAGAGATAGATAAAAAGAATCTTTTTGGGTAAAGGACGGGTAATATATAGACACATGCATAACTCAATACCCAGAAGAAGATCGAAGAAAACAAACCAGCTAGGAAGGGAGTTTCAACGAAAAACGAGTTCACCTCTGAAGATGATTCTATGTAATAAATAAGAATATTAGACGAAAGATACAGCCAAGCTGGAGTTATGAAGATGGATAGTATAGTAGGACAAACACTCATCATTAACAGGGCAATCCCCATAATGGGAAAGCAAGTCAGAAAACATATTCGAAAATACGTTCTTCTAGAAAATCGATGACTGAGAGGAATTATCCGATATTTTTCCGCAGGTTCGTTAGTATTCACTTGCACTTGGAATCCGTTCACATTTAAGGCTTCTTTAAATATTTTAGATACCCCGAGTTCTATTGACAAAGACCAAGGCGTTTTTACCTGACCAGATAGGTTCGCAACTGCCATCGTTTCAGGCAAACCACACTCTTGAAGGATCAGCCTCATGCATTTGAGATTTGCACCTACTAATGACCAATGTAGAGGAGTCATCTCTTCACTGTCCGTTGCGTGAACATCAGCTCCCCATTTCAATAGACAATTGGTTACTATCTCATTGCCATGGTAGACAGCCCACATAAGAGGAGTATGCTGGTTTTCATCCGGAGAGTCAACTGGAATATCCAAATGCAAAAGATAAGCCACTAAAAATGCATTGGAGGAATGAACAGCCAAATGCAGACAATGAAATCCCTGGCTATCATGCATCAATGGATCACCACCTCGTTGAACCAAGTAATGTACCATTTGAACTAGACCTCGTTTTGCAGCCCAATGAAGAGGAGTTGCTCCTAAGTCTCCGGCAGTACTGTTTATGTCAATGCCATTCTCCAGCAAGTAGTCGCAAACTTCGAATTGCTGGTTCAACGCCGCCCAATGGAGTGGTGTCGCTCCTCCTTCATCAATGTCATTAATATTAGAGCTTCCAGATTGAAATTCATTTTTGATAGAGTCAACATCTCCCTGACTTGCTGCGACGAATATATTTGCCATTTCTTACAGCGGTGTATAAAACAACCTAGCAAGCATGTAAGAAGCCCAAGCTTTAAGAAATCACCTCACAATGGATATGTCACTGTGCAAAAGAGCGAAAGACTGCCCTTTTTCGAACTTGTGTTACGTTTCAGGTATCGACCAATTTCACTGTGTTTTGGTAATTTTGAAAAGTCTGCTAACGCTCCATTCTCACATTGGCTCTCGTATGATTAAATACTCTATATAAAAAGAAGATCATATCGGTGAACAAGAACTACTCTCTCAAAAATACATGCTTGGCATTTTCCGTCGTTCTCCCCAGTAAGTTATTCAATAAAGCACTAATGCCATATTAATTTTCAATCTAGATTGATGAAATATAGCTTCATATAAGAAATAGTATATTCGGTTTCCATTTAGTATTTTTACTCATCGCTCATTTTATCTTGACTCTACCAAAAAGCAATTGCTAAAAACGCTCAATTTAAGGTATCATTTCTCTGATTTTTCAGAAAAAAGAAAAATCGAGTTCATATAATTTTTAAGTAATTCATAGTAAGCATATTAGCAACTGATCCTTGCTAGATTTTGTTAGTATTACAGAAACCGAATTATTACAAAATAGCCTCTGCATTTAGCAATTGTTCGTCAATGGTTTTCCCTTACGGTCTGAAGTAAACAAAAGAGAATAAACTTCAAAAAATGTCTAAACAAAATTTTTGTCGTGGATGTGGCCATACGCTACAGTCGTTAAATCCAAAAGCCAGTGGATTTAAACGCTCGCTCAAACCTTCTGTTTTACATTTGAGCCCTCAGAATCCAAGGTCAAACTCTCGGAAACTTGAACAAAGTATCTTTGAAGGTTCATTCTCCAAATTGGATCCTAAAATTCAGAAGCTGTTTCCTAAAACACCTTCAATTCCAATTGCCAAAGAAAAAACGTTCAATACACATTTATGGTGTGAAAGATGCCATGATATAAAATTCTATAATCGCTTTCATGAAGAAGATTTATTACAGGAGCCTACAGCTACGCTAACTGAAGTCATAAAGGGCATAAATGCTGATTCGAAAACTTCTCTTGTTCTTCAAATTACCGATGTCAGCGACCTCAATCCCAATCATTTTATTTCAGCTAAATTACTGACCCAATTTCCCGTGTTCCACGTGTTTAGCCGCGTTGATACTCTCCCTCGTCCTAATGCATCTTGGTTATTTCAGACACTTGGTTTGAGTCCCGAAAATGCAATGCTACTAACAACGTGCCGTAGCTCTACTGAAACCATGCGGGAACTTCTTTCAAGTATCCAGCCGTTCCTTAAACCAGGTGGTCATGTATACATTATTGGAGAAGCTAATTCTGGTAAGTCCAGTCTTATTCAAAGCTTTGCTAAATACGGAAATGGTTTGGTAAATGAATTGTCAATGGAAAGTTTACTTCCGGGAACGACATTGAAATATATGCCTTTTACGGCTTCTAGTTTTGGAAAAGCCTTTACGGGTCTAGAAAATGGCAAAGTAATAGATACTCCAGGCTACTCAGGGATTTTAGGATCATTATTACCTTGGATAGACTCGAAAGTATTTAAAGAGTTGGTTCCTAAAGTCCGTTCACGAAAAAAGCAGCTTAAATCTAAACCACTTCAGGTATCAATCTACTCTGCGCAGAGCATTTTATTTGGTGGCCTAGTTCGTGTTACACCAATGGAAATCTCAGCCGAGGAATTCGTTGACTTAGAGCAAAGACAAGTTTGGAAAAATCAAGAAATCAACCTACCGTCCAATGACAAAGGTGTTTCTTCATTTAATATTCCTTCTTATATTTCCCGTCCAAATTATAATGAGCCATTACTGGCTAAAATTTTTACTACATTACCGTTTCACGTCAGTAGCACGGAGAAAATAAAGAAGCTTGAGCAGAAATGTTCAGCGAATTCTTCAATAGAGCTTGTCACTCGTTCTCCCAGCAGGCTACTGCCATCATTTCTCGCGTATATACAGCCTAAGAAACTTCATTCACATGTATATGATTCTTTTTCGAATGGAGAATTACTGATTCACAACTTCGGGTTTGTTTCCTTCGATGCACCCCGGCCGTTTAAACTACTTGTTGAAGCAGTGAATCCTCTGGCTGTATCGTGGAGACCTTCGTCGTATGTATTGGGAACGAAAGAGTCTAATTCATGAAATCAATATTCCTAAATATTATGATAACTTAGATACTCTTTTTGTAGAGCCTGCACACTGGATTAAAAAAGATGGATATCATCATGTGAATTAGACATCTGGTTTAATACACCAACATTAAAATAGAAATAATTAAACAATTACTTAAAAATCTACTCAACGAACAAATAGTTTCTTAGTGAAACAGAAAACCGTAAAGGCTCCTTACATCTAAAAATGCTGCGGTACTCTAGTCTGTGCGCAATTTTATCCAAAGCCTAATGGATGCCAACTTACTGCATTGTCTTTCTTCAGATCAAGCTTATTTATCTCAGATATCGGAAAATCAATTAGAAAATAGTATTTTTAATACCACGCTTTCTCGATACCAGAATGCGCGTGAATTACTGTCCTTGCGTTCGGGTTCAGAGGCAGCAATAAGTAGATTTGGCATTGGTTATGCAGGTTTTGGTAATGGATGGACCTCCGCTAAATCAAAAGTTGTCTACCCTAACCATAAAAAAAGAGTGCGAGGTCGGTATTGCTATTCATTTGACAGGAGGACAAATGGTACTCAAGCTGAACTACCGGTGGATTTAGTACCAATAAGACTTGAGATCGATGCAGATAGATATAAATTAAGAGATTCATTTACCTGGAATGTCTATGATAAATGCGTTCCTTTAGATGTTTTTGCCGAGCAGCTATGTTTAGACTATGACATTCCTCCAAATCATATGCATATGGCACAAAATATATCGAAAAGTATACAATCACAAATTCAGGATTACCGGCCTATTCGACAAGCTCTTGATTCGTCATTACAGGCTAAATTGGAAGATCCTTTTCAACGGCGGCATCTTTCATTATCAGAAGGAGTTTCAACAGACGTATCAGCAAATACAAGAAACGACGAAGTTAGTAATTGCAATACAGACCTTCGTTTTATGGTAAACCTTGATATTACGATAGGACGTTTAAACCTCGTGGATCAATTCGAATGGGATCTATTTTCACCATCTGGTAGTGCCGAGGAATTTGCTTCAGTTATGTGCTTCGATCTTGGATTAAGTGGAGATTTTTGTACCGCAATTTCGCATTCTATTCGTGAACAATCGCAGATGTATTTGAAGTCTCTGGTTTTGGTTGGTTATACGTTTGATGGAAAAGAAATTGACGACGAAGAAATAAGATCTTTTATGTTACCTTCTTTGAAAGAAGCTTTTCGTTGGAAAGACATGAACGCGAAATCTTACTCTCCGATGGTGTATGAATTATCTGACGCTGAAATGGAACGCCAGGACCGTGGATACGACCGTGAAGCCAGAAGGATGAGAAGACGACAAGGACGCGCGAAACACGGCGTGGCACTTCCTGATTTGAATGATATTCCGAAAATACATAGAACGTCCTATAGAAACTCATCTGTTCCTTTTGATGATGATTGGAACCAAATGTATGCTGATGCAATTGCACAGAAACAAGCAACGCTTAACTATCAAGCTTTCATGGCCCCATTAAAGGAAAGTCTAGTTCTTAGGCTTAAGTTGTCACCAGAAAAACTTAAACAGTCTCTGGATCGTTCCTCAAGCTCTTTTAAACTCACGCCCTCATTTTTGCCGCAATCACATCCCCCCAACGCTTTACAACCTGGCTACCCTTCTATTGAAAGTGACACGCTAGTTAATTCTACAATTAATCCATACTATAATTCTTCTTTGGCTTCGCCAAAATCAACCGAAATTTCAACGATACCTCAAACGCAAGGAAATCCCTTACCGAACTTCACCCCAGATTGGGTAAAGCAGTGTGTCGAAGAAATAAATTACAAGTATCCTAATGAAAAGTTTGATCTCATGATAAAGCAAGCTGAAAATCCTGCTGAGCAGATTTTTGTACGGATTCGTTGTCATTACTGCACTAACGAGATTTTTTCTGCTGGTCCCGGATTGTCTTTTGGAAATTTTGAAATTCATTTGCTTTCTAAGGCTCATCAATTAAATAGAGAATCTCAAATGCTGCAGTAAAACGAAGACTGGTTAGTTGCTTCATGTTTAACTTGGGATTTTAATGAGTGAAAATCTTATAATTTTACGCCTGGCGGCGTGGTTTTTTCTGCACGTCCTTTGTAATATGCGTTTCTTCTGCAAATGCTATTACGATCAATGCATAATTATGAGCTTAACGAATTTACATCGGCTGGTTTTTTTGAATTCTAATTTTGGAAAACGGTGATTATTTTTAAATAAAAATAGAAATACTTCGGCAATAATCTATTATACATATCCTATATAGGATGTCAACCTTCGTACTGAGCAGGTAGGTCTCACTTAGTTCTTAAACGGGAAGTTCTTCGGTGTAAGTATATTATTGTATATTAGATGACAAAACAAAACAAAAAGAACTCTTCTATATTAATTCTTTTACCTAGGTCCATATGAAAGTATACCTTACCTCTCGTTATTTGATGGATATGCACCTGACTGAAGGAACAACGAACTTCCCTTGGTGCACACGACTGAGCTGGTTTACCTTAAGATGGATTTGAAGCCATGGAATCATGTAACAGAAGCTCATCAAGCTTCTATATTAGAAGATATAAAGGCTATTACTGAAGCCGGAGAGAAGAAATCTTCGGCAGACCGCGAATTGGCGACAATAAGCAAACCAAACAAACTTAATCATAGAAGATCCACCGATTTAAAGAGGGTTAGAAAAGAAGAACCAGAAAAAGAAGAAAGCAGTGGTTCAGATTACTCGCCTCCTGGCAATGCGAAACGGAAGCAGATCAAAGTTAGTCCTCGTCCATTACATATGGAAGATGAGAAACCATCAGTTACGGTTAAGGAAGAACCATCAGAAAAATACGGAAGCAAACGATTAAGAAGAAAATCAGGAAGAAATCAAGAGAAGCAAGAGGATTTCCTACCTTGGACTGCTGTCGACGACAACTTCCAGCCTATTGAAAGCCGGGAAGTCGAGAAAAAGACAGGAGAGACTGGCGAAGCTCCAGTACTCAAAGAAAATATACCTCTTCAGGAAGGGTCAGCGAAGGAGAATCCGAAAACCAAAATTCCTGCAGCGAAATCAAAATTTCAAGGAAAGTTAACATTTAAAGCTAACCCACCTTCTGAAAGAAATCAGAAAACAGAGAGTATTAGCTCATCGGAAATTACCGAAAAGAAACCAAAAGAATCCGAAGCGTGTAGTGATTCAAAGAGAACTGGACTGGACCCCTTTACTCAGGAGTACACATACAGATACAATAACGATTTCTGTTCTGCATGTCATGGATCTGGTAATTTCCTTTGTTGTGAAACTTGCCCTAATAGTTTTCATTTCAGTTGTATCGACCCTCCTATTGAGGAAACAAATTTACCGGATGGTGCTTGGTATTGTAATAGTTGTCGATACAGGTCTTTATACGGTGAAGGTTTCGAGCAAGAAGACATGGAAGATAAAATGAATAATGAACAAGACTCTATGGTGAATGTTTGGATGCGTCTTTGTACAGATGTTGACTCAAGTAATCCTTGTCAATTCCAATTGCCATACACAATACGATCTTATTTCCAGGGAATTGGTATTGGTGTTTTTGGTGAATACTTGGAAACGGATATCATAAAACCATCTAGGACGGGACGTAAAAACATTATGGATGATAGAGATGCTTTTTTGCTAAGAGATCGGAATGGAGCACCTGTGCATTGCTATCATTGTCAAAGCTCAGTTCTACCATGTCAAAGCATGGTGGTGTGCGATTACTGTTTGACTTACTGGCACCCGGATTGCCTTTCTCCTCCCTTATCTACGTTACCTTCTAGCGTAAGAAAATGGAAATGTCCAAATCATGCTGAGCATGTAACACCTCGATATCGATTACCGAAAAGAGCTAGAGTAATTGATGTTGGATTGCCACGAGGTTTTAAGAACAGAGGCAACATTGTAATCGACGATCGCGAAGACAGAGAATCGATTCAGACTATTCAATGGCAAGGAAAAATTCGGGTTGTCCCTACAAAAACTTTCAAGCTGAATTTTTTGGAACAAATAAAGGATAATATAAAAAATTTTGATAAAATGTATAGGGAAAACGAATCGCTTTGTCTTAAGATACTTCCGCAATTAGCTTCGTTTGCTTCTCGAGATTGCGAGTTTCCCTTAAGAGCTCTATCTGATGTTGCAAACAATAACCTTGCAAACGATGACTACCTGCTAGCATTGCGAGATTTACTTCGGATATTCCGATGGGATCCTTCTAAGCCTATTCCAAGTCCTTCAGAGCTTGTGGATCTTTCTATACGCCATTTAATATAGGCTACTTTTACGATTTCAGCGTGGTTTTTAGTCTAAGTGATATCTAATGATTGCGCGATGTGGTTTAAATTGATTTGACATGGATATCGTAGGATTCATGTTGTTTGCGGCTTCTTAAAAAGGAGAATGCGGGCGTTCTTCCATGGTCAGGGTTGAAAACAACAAATGTTGCATGATTAATAATTTAAATGATTTTTTTTTTTTCGAAGCTATAGAAGTAGTGAAGTCAATTCAATTAGCGAAAACAGTTTTAAGATAATAGGTACAATAATTTCCAGATGTTATGTTATACACATTCATTCAAAATAACACTTTAATACTGAACAAGGATTGATCCAAGCGACTATTGTTTTCTATATTACTGATGATTTCATCATTACCATAAATGGTAGACATTCTTAATTTCAATAACTTTTTCTGGAATTTCCTTCCAAAGGATAGTGTTTTCTTCTAATATTAATAATTTTTATTACATTTTCAAATTCAAAACGTTTGAAAGACATTTATGGGGTTTCTTTCAAACGCAACAGCTTATATTCTACCAGGACGATTACCTAAACAACAGTTGCTGGATTATCATGCGAAAATCCTTCATCTTGGTGGTAAAGTATTGTTAGAACCTACAAAAGCCGAGTACATATTTGTAAACTATGTACAATTAGGAAGAGTACGACGTGAACTGAGAACCATAGGAACGCCTTTGGAAAGTTGTACACTCTGCAGATACGTGGTGAACATTTCTTGGCTGAACGAGCCAAAACATCCTCTCTCAGAAACTCATAGCAGTACTTTGTGGTATAATGCAAGAAAGTTTCAAGAAGAGAAGCGTCGATTACCTGAGGAGAGTGAAGTCAAGGATAATTTAAAGGAAAACGAGCAACCCGTCGATGACTCAAAGGAACGCTCGAAAGCAGAAATAGAAGCCTCTCAGGAATGCGAAAATCAAGTATACCCTACAAACAACACGTTTCCGTATGTGCTACAAATGCCGCGCTATGCTTGTCAGCGAAAAACGCCTTTGACTTCTCTAAATCAAGACTTCGTAAGTTCCTTAGAAGTATTAAAATTATGTAGAGAAGTTAACGGTGAATCTATGCGAGCTCGCGCATATGGTATGGCTATTTCTTCTATCAAATCACTCCCAGTCAAAATTGATGATGGTGAGTTCCTCAGCAAACTTCCTGGATGTGGTCCGAAAATTGCTCATTTATGGAGGGAATTCTCAACGACTGGTAGATTAAAAGAAGCAGAACGATATAAAAGTGACCCGGCCGCAAAGGTCATCCGACTCTTCTACAACATATTCGGGGTTGGAGCGGCTAAAGCTCTAGAATGGTATCAAAAAGGATGGCGCACAGTTGAAGAAGTAAGAAAGCATAAAGACACTTTTACAAAACAGATTCAAGTTGGGCTTGAGTATTATGAAGATTTTTCAAAAACCACAACCATAGAAGAAGCTACGAATATTTACAGGACAGTTCTTGCTTCATTACCGGATGCCATTCAAGTACATTCTTGTCTCGTAGGAGGTTTTCGACGAGGAAAACCCGTGGGTGCTGACATTGACATGGTTTTAAGTCCTTCACCGGCTCACACAACTAATCATTTATTTAATGCACTACTAGAAATTCTAAAACAAGAATTCTCCTTTAATTTAATTTCTGTTCAAGAACACTCTTGTGGTGGGAAAAAGGGATATGTTATCTTAGCGGTAATATTGTCACCAGAGTCTAATATACACAGGAGAATCGATATTATTGTCGTTCCTCCGGCATATCTTGGTTCCGCCGTATTGGGATGGAGTGGTGGTATCTTCTTCTTGAGAGATCTAAAGGTCTACGCGAATGAACGCCAGCTTAGTGTCGACTCATTCGACATTACTGATTTGAAGACAGGAAAGGATATCTGCCCTACAACATTTGGTGAATGGAAGGATCCAGTTTCAGCAGAAAGGGACGTGTTTCATTTGCTTCAGCTTGATTACATTGAGCCAAAATACCGAAATACGGGTTAAACTCCTCGAAGTCAATATATGTAGGAATTATATATTTCTTAATAATTCTTTGGATTTTACACATCTATTACGTGAATCCTTACGATATTGAAGTCCTTCCACATTTGATTTCATTTGTGTTTACTAACGCACGACCAGAGCACTGGACAGGTAACATCGTTACTTTCAAAAATTCTCTCGTGTGACTGAGAAAAGGCCGAATATATATACCTAATGCTAACTGACCTTCAGCCATATTCCTAAGCACCAGAAAAACACATACCTTTGGAAAAATAATAACCAAAGGAATTTTCATGTTTGAGATATCGAAAAAAAACAGAACAGTGCTGTTTAGTAAAGTTTACGAAGTGGCCACCTAAAGGAGCTTCGAATACCTGAGTTATTATTATTAAAGGATAAGTGACTTGTTATGCGATTTCAAATCAGTAAATAAGTCACGAGCACCGACCGCTGTCAAAAAAATTAAGTTGAGCTAACTTTGTATTACCGGAAAAGAAAAGAATTATTCTGAATTAGACTGAAACGATACCATGGCGACTATTAATATTAGACGTGATGTTAAGGATAGCTTTTATCGTTACCAAATGCCGAAGCTACAATCTAAGATTGAAGGCAAAGGTAATGGTATCAAAACGGTCATTCCCAATATGACCGATGTTGCTAAAGCCTTGGGAAGGCCTCCTTTGTATTTAACCAAGTTCTTTGGTTTTGAACTTGGAGCGCAGACTACCATTGTCGCTGATATGGATCGTTACATCGTTAACGGAGCACACGATGCTGCCAAGCTTCAAGACTTGTTGGATGTTTTTATTCGTCGTTTCGTTTTATGTGCTTCTTGCCTAAATCCCGAAACAGAATTGAGCATCAATAAGAAGGATCAAACCATCACTTACGACTGCAAAGCATGTGGTTATCGTGGAGAAATCGACGGCAGACACAAGCTTACGGGTGTTATTGTGAAAAATCCACCTGCCAAAAAGTCCCATAAGCACAAGAAGGCTTCCGGTCATGGAGAGGAAGATGATGCTGCTGAAGATGAGCTTACCCGTCGTATTCGTAAGGAAGCTGCCGAATTGCCTACTGCTGAAACAATCAATGAGGAAGATTGGGCTGTTGATACAAGTGAGGAAGCTGTGCGTGCTCGTGTTCAAGAATTAGAAGGTAATATTGAAAATGTGCTCTCTTTGAATGATTCACGTGGAGAGGATGACGAAGCCGATGCTCGTTATGATGAATTTGGTCAATGGTTGGAGTTACGACTTCCCATGTCTGACGTTGACATTTACAAAAAAATGAAGGAAGAAAATATTCATCATAAGAGTAAGGCAATTGCTGTCTTAGTTCAACGTATTATTCGCCCTCCCTTCGTAGGTCAGTTTGAAAAACATGCTGCCCTTTTCAAAAAGCTTTGCAACAGTGATAAGCACGAGCGAGCTATTTTAGGAGGCTACGAACGTCTCATTGAGTCGACGAAGCTTCAGCACCTGGACTCTGTATCTAAGGTTTTATTAGAAATCTATGAAAGCGACTTGGTTTCTGAAGGAACCTTAGAGAAATGGGGCGCTAAACCTAGCAAAAAATACGTTAGCCGTGAAACTAGTAAGAAGATTCAGGAATCCGCTCGTCCTTTCTTGAATTGGCTTGCTGAAGCCAGCGATGAATCTGAAAGTGAAGACGAGTAAACTTTGATCAATTTAATTGGTCTTTTGGATTTTTACAAAAGTTTAGGTTTTTCAGGCTCACCCTAAGTACTGCAAAATAAGATAGGAATATTGCTCGATTACTCCTAGCAAATACTATTTTTTTATCATTGCACATTATATAGTAGATTGTATATTTTTGAACAAAATTGGAATGGCAAACTCCAACACAAGACCAATGTTTAGTGTTTTCTGAAGCATTTTTTGTATTTTCAAAGCAACATCTTCACTTGTAGGAGTTGACCCACATGCGATGGAGTTTAGTTGAACAATACCATTTGGAAGGACCGCGATATGGGCGATGACTGGATCCACGTTAGAGAGTTTATTCAGCTCTTGATACTGAATATGAATGATAGGATACTGCTTCATAATTAGGTTCAAACGAAGGGAGGCTGTAGCGGTAATTTTTGTTGACCAGGGTTTCACATTTTCAAGAATAGTCTGCAAAGTCAGGTATTGTCGAACATATTGAAAAATACCAAGAATTTGTCGAGGATGACTGTAAGGGATTCTGTGAACAGAGCGGGCAGGAATGTCAATTCCTCCCAAATAAATTATATGACTTTTGTTGATAGACGGATAGCCCGCTGTCGTTTGGTTCGGAAGATCCAGCTATATGTTAGAATCTGTTCGAGAAAATATTATGTTTATCTTACCAATGTTTTATAAGAAAGATAATTTCCAGATTGGTTTACGTCGCCGATCTGAAGAAAATTAAGTAACGCTTGCACACCAAATTCTGGAAACACGATGTGATAGTCTTCAAAAAGAAGTTCCATAGTAGCAGGTATTTGTGTTAAATTTGTTTCGGGTAACCAATTGACTTCACCTGAAGTCTTCAAGGGGATCTCAGCAACCAACTGAGATCCATAAAGCGTGCGTGGTAAATAATTTAAAGATAGTTCATTCATAGATATTTTCGCATTATATAAACAATTTTGATATTTCCAAAAAGCTAGTTGAAGTCCTAAATTCCCGTCATTGTCGTTCAAAGGTTTCCCCTCTGTACTCATAATGAGTTCCATCTCGTTTTCAGAATCTTGGTTTTTTAATCTAGAATTGTAAATTATATTGAACGTCGATTTCAAAGTCTCCAAATATTGAAAACAGCTCTGTTGAACCGACGGTGAACAGCGATCAAGCATCGCCAACAAAGCAACATTTCTTTCCAACAAGGTAGTATTGTTTTCATGAATGGCACTCTGAAGGATCTCTTCTGCTGTCGTATTCTTATACTGTTCACCTGTAGCATCAGCAAATGCTAAAGCAATTTTTATGTCTCTATATGTTCCATGGGTAGGGATGATAACCTAAATGATATTTGTTAGCAAATTCATGTAGTAAACAATCTTATATTGCCCATGAATCAGGAAACAATCAATGACATACATCGATGAGAATAATTTTTCCAGCAAGGCTAAGTAAAACTTCATTAGGATTTGACGTATCTGAAAAAACGTCCAGTCGGTACTTTTTCGCCAGATATTCGAATCCAGTTACACTGATGTCGTTCCAAGGTATAGACAATAGAGAAGATATGCAGTAGTGAGTCAAATTCAACTCTTCTGGATTAAAAGGGCTTTGCTTATAAGGAATGCTTGAAAGAATATTTGGAGGTTCCATAGTGGACATTTAGCGTCTAGAAAACTAGATAAATAGGACTTCGATGAGAACGCTGAAGACAATCGATTGGATATAGGAACGAAGAAACCAAAGTCAGCTAACTAGGTCAAAATTGATCAGTTTTGAAGTAAAGGAATGACAATTAATTAATTAATTCTACTTAAAAAAAGTTAATTGATGCGAAAGAAAGAACTAACAGAATGATAAGCACGCGTCTTGAAAGGGCGATCGATTTCGTGAGGTGTGTATAGATTAAATTTTTTTAAATTCAATAGTAAAAGGATTTTTGTATATGCATTCGGAAAGCATAAGTATCTGCTTGAAGCTTAAACGACTGACTGTAGCTGGGCGTACAGTAGTTAGGTTCGCTACACGATCCAATATTAATTTTTACCACACACTAGTGGAAAAAGGACTGATCAAAATAGTGCATAATTGAGGATCTGAAGTAAAGTAAAAGACAGAAACAATTAATTTGTTTCAATTTTACCCTTAAATAATTCTTTATTTTTGGGGTTTTGGATTGTGAGAAGCAGTAATCATGATGAACAACTTCCAGTCCACCAAAACCGTACCCCATAATAATGTGAACGAAGAAACAAATTTAGAAACGTATCAGTCTTTTCGGAAAGTTCCTAAAATGTTTGGAATTAATAATCAAATGCTTAATACATCAGATTACAAGAACACAACTTCACTTTCTGGAGGCATGGAACCCTCTAAACGATCAAGCTATAGCAGTTCTATGACAGATACTGCTTCCTCTACTCATACTTCAAATGCAAATGGTAATTTAGCTTCTGACTGGGCACAAGGCGGTAATCATTCTGATCCGTTTGTGCATAAACCGTCTGGTACATTTGCGGAGCCCCAAAATCCAATGCCATCATCTTTGCAAACGAATGGCTTTGCGCGCACGAGCTCTGAATATGAATCTTTTTCCAAGAATAGCCCTGGATCTTCATTAAACCGTCTGTCAAATCTAAGCATAAATAATAACAGCCATCCTCATGACTCTCCTTCAACCAACACAGGATCATCTGCCGGCTCTTCCCATCGCAGGACGACTTCTATCACAAATGCTAAGGGATTGCCTCCTTCTGTTTCGTTCTATAACAAGTCTACGAAGCCAGTAGATTGGAGTTCACTAAACAATGGTGCTACTTCTACTCAAGATTCATCGAACTATGTAGGATTGACATCGCCGAATGGTAATAATCCTTCGTCGATACATTCTCCAGCATTACCGAGAAAGTCATCAGGCATTTGGCGGAATACTGGTTATCCTTCTCGTAACTATCCGCCTTACAGCAAATCTGGGATCCCTCCAGTTCCTAATTTACCTTCTTCGTATGAAGCTCTAGGAAGGTATCAGACGCCATCTACTGGAAACAATTCCTTATCAAACAAAAACAATCCCATGGATGTCGACACAGTTCTTCCCGAACATTCAGGGTCTTCTTTCTCTCCAAACCCGGCTTTTGTTGTCAATTCTCAAGCTTCTAGTCAAAATACGAACCAGAGCAGCGATCATGTACATCCTCCTAACAGGTTGAATACCCTCTCTAATCTTAATTCGTCTAATGATCCGTCTTCCGTAGCCTCTGCTAACACTGCTCCAAAGTCTCCGTTTTCCGGGGAGAAAGTGTCTCACAATTTAGAAGCTCAGACACCCAATTCAAAGCAAGCATATACTAGTTCTCATCGAAAAAGCCAAAGCTCCGGTCGTCATTCTCCAAAAGGAAAAAGTTTAGGCAGCCAATCAAATACAGAAAACAAGCAAACAAAGTCATCTGGAAAAGAAGGAAGGTCTTCTCGAGGTGGATTTTTTAGTAGGCTTAGCTTTTCTCGAAGCTCATCTCGAGCAAAGAAAGCAAAGTCAAAAAATGAAGAAGCTCCTGAGGTTCCATCTATACCTCAAGAATATCTGAAAGATGGAAAAAAGACGCCTACTAGGACGAAGAGCCGAATGCAACAAATCATTAATTGGTTTAAATCTCCTAAAGATAGGTCAAACTCTTATACTCCAAATCCTTCCTCTCCACCTCCACCACCGGTTCCTCGACTTCCTTCCACTCAGTCCGAAGCTAATAACAGAAAAAATCATTCCGAAGATAATGTCCCTCCTGTACCACAAATACCTTCAAATTTTGCCTCTGGCTCGAGACAAGGCAATCAACAACGTAGCGTCTCCTATAATCCTAAACGAAGCTCGCTTAATAATGATTTGCCGAAAAATGAACCTACTCCAGCCGCTGCTCCTTTAGCGGAACCATTAGACAATAAATTTGCAGATCTTGCTATGAAAGCCATAAATAGTAAACGTATAAACCGGTTACTAGATGAAGCCAAAATAATGCAGTCTCTGCTTGATCGTGCTTGTAAGATTACACCGGTAAAGAGTTCTGATGTATTGCTTATCAATACTGCACCTCTTACTCGGTATGAAGAGGAGGAGATAAAAGCTTACGACAACATTTACTTTACAGGTTTAAGAAACGTGGATAAATCCAGATCGGTAGATGAAAGTTCGACAAATTATGGCTTCGATGATGAACGAGGCGATTATAGAGTTATTTTGGGGGATCATATTGCCTATCGTTACGAAGTAGTTGATTTCCTTGGTAAAGGAAGCTTCGGTCAGGTTCTAAGATGTATTGATTATGAAACTGGAAAGCTCGTTGCCTTAAAAATCATTCGAAATAAGAAACGGTTTCATATACAGGCATTGGTTGAGACAAATATTCTACAAAAAATTCGTGAATGGGATCCTATGGACGAAGCTTGTATGCTTCAATATAGCGACCACTTTTACTTTCGCGATCATCTATGTGTAGCTACAGAGTTACTAGGAGTGAACTTGTATGAGTTAATCAAAAGTAACGGATTTAAAGGATTACCAATTGTCGTTATCAAGAGTATAACAAAGCAACTTTTACTGTGCTTAAGTTTACTGAAGCAAAAAAATGTGATTCATTGCGATTTAAAGCCAGAAAACATATTGTTGTGTCATCCTTTTAAGTCCCAAATTAAAGTTATTGACTTTGGGAGCAGTTGTTTTGAAGGAGAATCTGTATATACATATATTCAATCTCGATTTTACCGTTCACCAGAGGTCATTTTAGGAATGGGCTATGGAACCCCTATAGATATGTGGAGTCTTGGATGCATTCTTGCTGAAATGTACACGGGTTTTCCTATTTTTCCTGGTGAAAATGAACAAGAACAACTAGCTTGCATAATGGAAATTTTCGGTCCACCTGATAGTTCCATGCTTGAGAAATGTTCAAGAAGGAAAGTATTTTTTGACTCATTCGGAAAGCCTAGACCATTTGTTTCTTCAAAAGGAGTAAGCAGAAGACCTTTCGCTAAATCTTTGCATCAAGTATTAGAATGCAAAGATATCTCATTTTTGAGTTTTATAGCTGACTGTCTGAAGTGGGATCCGGAGGAACGAATGACTCCTTTTGAGGCTATTCAGCATGATTTTATCACAGGAAACCAAGACCGAAGACCGAATACAGCTCCTGCTCGTCAAAAGATAGTGAAGAGTCCTCCTACGTATCTAGAGTCACCCCCATCAAGACCGCTGCCTAATTTGCCCAATAATGAAAAGAGTAGCGAACACGCCTACTCACATGCCTTTGGGCCGAATGGACAAATCGGGAGTACATTACGGGGACCGGTAAAAGATCCAGATGCGTTCTCGACAGTGAAGAGTCCTGTGGTCTCGGATAATATGTATTTCTAAAAAAGACCTTGAATAATGTAAGAGATCGGGTTCATCTTGTTATTTAATTATTTTTCATCAGTTTTCATTTGTTTCATGGTTCACAACTTATCAGTTTCACGTTTCTTCCTTGTCCTTCTTTTTTTTTTTTCAACTTCTGGCAATGTGTAAGAATATATATGTATATGTATATATTACACTAATAGCGCTTCATTTCGAACTTCACTCTCAAGTCCGTGGATGGTTATTTCTTTTTTTTCTATTGTTATTTTTTCTCTTTTCACAAGACATCTATAGACGATTTTACTTTTATTAATATCTTTCAAAATAACGTTAATAATGAGAACTACTATTTTCTATTCACCAGTGATGTTACAGTATGAATATGCATTTACTTTTCGTGGTTATCCTTGTGTTCAAATCACTGTTCAATAAAGATTTGTGCTCAGTTTGGAACAATAGCACAATTTTGTGTTTTGGAAAGCTTATAGAAGAGTAGAATGGCCTAAATAATATGATATTGCCGACTTGAAATCACTGCCAAATTGCAGTCCACATTAGAAATAAAGAAGAATTGCTAAGAGTAGTCTATGATTCTATCAGACATGAACTATACCTGTTGTAGCTTAACGTTAGGAATCAGTAGGAATTCATTCATTAGTAAACAAATCCAAGTTCAGTACTTGGCTTTGTCTTTCCTATTGCACTGTTTGTTTACTAAATAATGTGACGCGCGTGCACTTCGCTATTCGAGTTCGACCTAGACGACACGGTGCTAACATACGCCCAACTATTTTTAAAAGTTTTTTTGTGAAAAAGCAGGAAAAACCTGGTTTAAATTCCTGTATATACAGTGGGAACGATGAGAATAAATGCTTTAACTGCTAGTTATAAGAATTTGGATAAGAAATAACTTCTCGGCGATTTGCCTATTCAATTGAAACATATGAACAAAAGCATAGGCATAACAATTAAGTAAACTTATATTATTTATAATAAACGAAAACCTAGTGAATCCTGTTTAAGTATTATGTCGTCGAAACCACAATCGACAAGATCCGGAAGACAGGGAAAACCATCGTTTTTTCGAAAGTTTTTTGGAAATTTATGCTCTTGTATTCAAGGCGCACCCACTGAAGATCAAAATGAAAAAGCTACTATAGTTTCCGAATCTAGAAGGCCATCGCAGTCACCTACTCCGAATACACCTCGCCGGTTAAGCCGTACAATTCAGAGTTCAGATTCGGATACGCATACGCATGCAACTGGTCACGCTCCTGTGCATGTGTTTGAGTCGCCCACTCCTGCACGCACTTCTGTATCTTTAGAATCCGCATTTACTCCCACTAACGGCAGTGAAAGAGATGTTAATGAAGACGCAGACTTAGAAAGCAATCATGTTCATTTCCATGAGCAACCCACTGAAGTCAATCCGCCTCCTGAGATTCCTTTGCCTGAAGTTAAGAGATATGGTCCTGAACAATATCTTCTACCTCCAATTGCTAAGGAAGACGAGGGCAAAAAATGTCTTATTTTAGATTTGGATGAGACCCTTGTCCATTCCTCATTTAAGTACCTCGAGCCAGCTGATTATGTCGTCTCCATAGAGATCGATGGGTTATTTCATGATGTTAGGGTTGTGAAAAGACCCGGAGTCGATTTATTTTTACAAAAAATGGGGGAATTATTTGAGATTGTTGTCTTTACTGCATCCCTTGCTAAATACGCGGATCCTGTCTTAAACATGTTAGATAATTCTCAAGTTGTTCGACATAGACTTTTCCGAGAGGCTTGTTGTAACTATGAAGGAAATTTTGTCAAAGATCTTTCACAATTGGGTAGGAACTTGGAGGATGCGATTATTCTTGACAACTCTCCGTCAAGCTATATTTTTCATCCCTCCAATGCAGTCCCTATTTCTTCCTGGTTTAATGATATGCATGACATGGAGTTATTGGATCTAATCCCGTTTTTAGAACAATTATCTAGGGTTCCGGATGTCTCTACTGTGTTGAACTTGCAATTATAATAATTCTTATGTAAAATTGTGCAAGCTTTTATTACCTTTCTTTTTGCCATCCTTAATATGATGTTACGGTTCTCCTATGGACATTGATCCAGCTGTTTCGGTGAAATCTAACTTACAACATCTCAGCTTTTTAATCCCTTCTCCTACCATACCCATGCTGGTAAACTATATCTATTCCATAATCTTTTTTTCTACGAGATTTGCGGTCAATACTCGATTTGGTTGCCTTCCACATTACAAATTAACATTACTCGATGATGAAAACTCACTCTGATTATTAATCTTTTTTCACGTTCGCAAAGATGAAGCATGAGCTAGCGACTGATCCCAAACCTAATTCCTAATAGTTTTTGTTCATTTAATTCATGTACTTTAATAGCATGGAACTCGGGAAGTAGCATAGGTTACGAAAAATGATCTTTTTATTCCGTCTTTTACGTTATAACCTGTAATTATGCAGCAAGCGCTGTATTTGTATAATCTACACAAGAACGATAATATATGTAACAAAAATCCCACTAGTAAAAAATAACCAGTATCGCTTTTGATTTTGATTTAAACAAAAGTTCGTTAAATCAAAATGAGGCGGACAGAGATAACATCAACCTATTCAGATTAAAGCTTCTTTACCATTTCTTCGTAAAGCTTCTTAGCTCTAACCCAGACAGGTGCGTGGTTTACATCCTTCAAAGCAAACAAACTGGGAAGAAGGGCCTCGCTGAAGGCTTCAGAAGACTCTCTAGGAAGCAAAGTGGGAAGATGATCAATAGAAATTACTTCAAGAGGCAAAGGACCCTTGATACCATCAACAGGAACGGTTGGGTGATCAAACGACGTGTTCACATTGTAGATGGGAATAGGATTGTTAGGATTGGTAGTATCGCAACTAACGTCGCATACTACGCGCAACTTACGATCAGATACATTAAGAGAATCAACGGTGCAAAACTTGGGGATAGGGGCACTGAGATAGATGCAGTTAACAAAAATGTCAGACTCAGTAATTTCATGGAAGGGACCACCCTTCTTGGTTTCATTGATATCCCATCGAAGGATATTCTCTTCAGGGATACCAACTTTTGTTGCCAAGTCGCAAGCACCACTACCGCATCGTCCACGAGCACCGATAACCAAAATGCGAGGATACTGGTTGTTATTTTTACGAAGAGCAAGACGAACTTGTCGAGCGACGTGACGCACCAGAGTCTTCTCGTTAGGGAATGGACGGACAGAACCAAAAGGCTTCTTGGGAGATAATATTTGGTGAGCCCAGACCAAACAAGAAAGGGCAGATCCAGCAAAACCTGCATGGTAACCAAATGCAGCAACACGACGGCCGCTGTCGTCTTGCAAAAATTCTAAATCGTAAAGGAGACCGTTACCCTGAGGAAAACGAGACAAGACTTCCCGCCAACCTTCTTGATTCTTATAGCAATGAGCAAATTGGATATGGGTATGATGAAGAGGGCTATTATCGTTTTCAGGAAGCTCCTTCAACCCATATATATAAGCATCGCGAGGTGCATTTCTCCATGATCCTTCAGGAACCATTTCGAATCCAGCACTTTCGAACTCAGAATCCTTGAATGCCCGTTGAGAGGAGCGTTCAATAGTGACACGGAAACCAGCGTTTGCCAATTTCTTTGCAGTCGTAGGCGTCAAAGCACTACGCTCTTCCAAAGGCTTACTTTCGGCACGCAACCAAATATGAGGGCCAGACATTGTTATTAAATACAAGAAACAATTATCCTTCTACGGTTAGCCTATGTCCAAAAAATGAGAGAATTCAAAATTCTATATCAAAAACTTCTCGTTCTGTGTGGTGGAGAGATAATCTAGTTGATGAATAAATACCTGCTTTCGAGTATAGATTCAAGATACCGTGCATACCTTCCAGCTCTTTAAGCGAATCGCGAAGAATAGCAGAAGCTACGCGCGCCAGGCATTGAAACCTTTTGTCTTTTTGAATGCATTAAATTTTATAAGAATGGAGGAGAAAAAACACGTTGAAAATGAGCAATTGAGGGAATCTATGTACCTGAAACCAGGATATCAGGAAGAACCATGCAGTTTACAATACTACTTTGATCAAATGGCAATGTGCTTGACAGTTACTTCGCAGATTCGACATTATTACCGGTATGGAGACTATAATAAGTGTAAAGGAGCTTTTACAGACTTTAAGTGGTGCTTGTCCACAAAATCGAAAAGCCCTGAAGAGGAGCAGAAAATGTTGCAAGAACGTCGATTGGATCAATGGGTAAAACTACGAGAAGGACCTAGCAGTGAAGACATATGGAATGTACGGACCCAACCAAAACACTAGGGGTCGTTTTTGTTATTATTGGAATATTCATTTAAAAGCAACATGTTACGGTAAAACGATTTAGGTGTATGGATTACTTGGTGTGAATTTGGAAGCGAGTCTTTGATTCCTTTTCTTGACGTTTGCTAATGAAGGTAATTTCTACTATAGTCAAGTCTGATGTAGAAAGTTACATGGATTAAGTAAGACAAAGCATATGATAACCGGTGATTCCTACAGTCACAATAGGGAAGGATTATGTGGAGAAAGATTTCTTACATGATTAATAACAAGGATGGGATTATCATTTCGAAGAACTGTGTGATGTGTATATCCTCCCAAATGGAACTCTGATTAAAATAAGCATTTTGCTTCATCCAGGGTGAAGCAATAATTTATGAATGTCTCATCTCGCACCAAGAAATCAGAGAGAAGATTAGCAATTGAATGAACGATTTCAGCAACCGACCAAAATGTCTGGGTTATGTAGATTGATTAAACTCATCATCATATTCCGGTGCGCGTTTTCGAGACTTGATTATTGTCGAATCATTATTTATTTTCTTTAATTGTTCCAAAGATTTGGTTCTACTTATCCAAGTTGGCTGTAAACATTAAAAAAAAAAAAAAAAAAAAAAAAAAAAAAAGGTATAGAATCAGAACCTTTACAGAGTGAACTGATCAAAAATACATCTCGGGGAAGCATGCAATCTCCTCAAAATATTTTTTAATTTTCCATATTCTCTACAAATAAACAAATTCAAATTCAAGCTACTGTTCTTGCTTTTGCTCGTAAACCCAAGGTTAGCAATCCATGATTTGAAGCTTTACGCTTGCACAATCATAATTTCATACTTACTTATTAGAAACAATGTTTTAGTTGTTTAAGGTCTTTAGCGTTAAATTCCGTACGTTTTATTGCCATTTTTCTTTGCTATGGTGGTAGATATTCATTGGAAGTATTGGCGTAGGTCATACCGTCGTGCCTATATGTAGAAGGAACTGACAACGATCAAGTATTAATTGTACTGTCAAGAAGATATTGAAACTATTGGGATCTTGAACACTAAACTTTGAAACGAAAGAATTTATATTCAACAGAGTATACTCAAACTCTCGAAATTTTGACTGGAATCCAGCATTAAGAATTCCTATCACTGGGTCACTGGGACGGTAATTCGTCTTGATTAACGAAAAGAAAGATCCTATTGATTTATTGTAAAGTTAGCTAAGACTTATATTTAAAATTGGCACCAAGAGCGAGAGATTGAACGCCATGAATTTCGACGAGTGGCAGCGAGTGGAGGAAACGGCAATTGGAGACAAATGTCTTCAAAAAATGGATGAATTAGAAACCATTTTATTAGCTACCAAAGAAGCATGTATCACAGATCCTGCCAATGTGTCGAAGCAACTCAGCAGTTCTTGCACAAAAACAGAGCAAGTCTTTGATGATATGAAAAAGATAGAAAAGAAATTCAATTCTTCCATGAATAAATTTGGAAAAGTATTAGATCGGAAATTTAACTTCAACCTGGAAGATATCAGCTTACAGTCTTCGTTTGAAGACAAGAAGAAAGAGCTAAACACCGCATTGGCATTGCATTTCTTTCGCCAAGGAGAAACTGAAATTGCTCATTCCTTTTGTAAAGAAGCTGGAATCGAGGAACCACCCAACATGGTTCGGGCGTTTACACTTCTCAACACTATCCTTCAGGGAATCCGTCAGCATGATTTACAGTCTGCAATTGATTGGGCGCTTCAATGCCGTGGATACTTGGAAAGAAAGGGAAGTAATTTGGAGTTTATATTACGTCGACACCAGTTACTGAATGAATATTTTCAAACCAAGGATGTTTTAGCGGCTATCCATTACTGTCGCACATATTTGACGGAATTCCAAGAAAAGCACTTGAAAGAAATTCAAAAGTTAATTGGTGCGTTATTTTTTAGTTCTAGAAGAGCTAATCTTGTTTCCTCCAAAACGAATGGATTCCACGATGGTCTTCCCAGAGAACAATACGGAATAGAGCAGATTGCGAACGACGTTCCAGAAGATTATCGAAAAGCTTTACGGCTAGATTGGAAACATTTGGAATTAATTTTCGTACGTGAATTTTGCGCTGCTTTAGGAATGTCTTTAGATTCTCCCGTGGATATCGTAGTCAATGCTGGCTCAATTGCTTTGCCGGTTTTGTTAAAGGTGTCTAATATCATGAAGCAAAAGCATACTGAATGGACTTCCCAAAATGAATTACCGGTTGAAATACATTTACCTACAAACTACCACTTTCACAGTGTATTTACATGTCCTGTCAGTAAAGAACAAGCTACCGAAGAGAACCCTCCCATGATGATGGCTTGCGGCCATGTCATTGCTCAAGAAAGTCTTCGACAACTTTCCCGAAATGGTTCTCAACATTTTAAATGTCCCTACTGTCCCAATGAAAATGATGCTGAAAGCTCTACTCGAGTGTATTTTTAATGAATTCTCTAATATGATCACTCTGACTTTTCTTATGAAACTCTTAATATTATGATATAAATAATGAAAGAAATTATAAAAAAAAAATCATTCTTTCAATGCAAGACACGTATCTCATGTTTAATTTATTGATTCCATGCCTTCTCACTGATCCTTCTTGTTACTTATTTCGAGTCTGTTACCTAAGTGACGTTACCCTTGAAATGTTATGTTCCTTGCAAAAATTCGTGGAACCCATCTTTTTCGTAACTAGACGTTCCTCTTAGATTTGGAAAAATGGCGGTGTTACCATTTTTTGATTTGTCGAAATTTGAAGGTGATGGAATTAAGACCCTCAAGTGGCTTCAATACGTCGGTTGTTTGGAAACTCGGGTGTTTCCTGAACACTTTGAAAAATCTTTAGAAAAAGTAAAAAAGATTTCGGAGTCTGTTGATTTGATTGTCGATATAACAACGGGACTGTCCATTGAAGAATGTATTAAAATTTTGAACGCCGGTGCTTTAGCTATTTTGGTGAATGAAGAAGTTCTGCAAGAACTGTCTGACATTTCTCCTAGCCGTCTCATTTTAAAGACAAATACCACTGACATAAAAAAGGTTGAAGAGCTTTGTAAATTTGCTGGCTCTTTTCAATGGATTGCAAGAACACAAGACTATCCTCCTGATTTTTTTGAGAAAGCTAGTAAGCTGATCCACAAGTCAGTCTTGCCAGCTGGTGGAAACCGCATGCTTTATTTAGAATTTCCTGTCAAACCCTCTGTTGACACATTAGCTTCTATCTCCTTGCATTCTGTTGTTCCAGTTGTCACCAGTGAGTTTCTCACAGTTAACAAAGATGCTGAACCAGAAAAATTACATCTCTCTGATATGGTTATGATTGACGCCAAGACCGATCGAAAAGATGGTCTCTACTCCACTTTGGTTGTAAATGAGCTTGGCGTTGCTCTTGGTCTTGTTTACTCCAGCAAAGAAAGCGTTGCTGAGTCTATGAAAACAGGTACCGGTGTTTATCAATCCCGTAAGCGTGGCTTGTGGTACAAAGGAGCGACCTCCGGTGCTGTCCAAAAGTTGTTGCGCATCGATTTGGACTGTGATGGAGACTGTCTGCGTTTCGTCGTTCATCAAACCGGAAAAGGCTTTTGCCACCTTGACACTTTGCATTGTTTTGGTCATGCCTCTGGTTTACCTCAGTTGGAATCTGTTTTGACAGATAGAAAAGAGAATGCTCCCGAGGGCTCTTATACCGCTCGTCTCTTTTCCGATCCAAAATTGTTGCGTGCCAAAATTATGGAAGAAGCTGAAGAACTTTGTGATGCTAAAACCAAAGACGAAGTTACTTGGGAGATGGCTGATTTACTTTACTTTACCATAACTCGTTGCGTCGGTTCAGGTGTTACTTTAGAAGACATCAGCCGTCATTTAGACTTAAAGCATCGTAAGGTCACTAGAAGAAAAGGTGATGCTAAAAAGGCTTGGGAAGAAAAGTTGAAAGATAAGGGAGGTGTTGCCAATTCTGAGTCCTCATGATTCCTTTAATTATTGAGATTACGTTTTCACTTGGTATAGACAATAACTGAAAAGAACAAGTAAATAGACCACTATCTTAACGTCCTTTAGTCAATTGCATAAATTAAGCGCATGATATTACAACAAAAATTTATTTCCTTCTAACGCTTTCAGCGTCGAATTTCTTTAAAATTAGTTTTACCATTATTAACCAAGAAAATAAACAAAATAAAAACAGTGAAACAGTTTTTTAGACAATATACTTTAACAGAGCGGTGTAGTAAAAAAATAAAAGGTGGCATAATTATACTTGATTGTCAACCCGCTGATAGCTGTTTTGCGTAGAATGCATGTGTAGTTTATTGCGTAAAGAATCCCACAGTTTTCGAAGCTTTTGTTTGAAAGTATCCCCTTCGAAATCCGATGTCTCTTCGATGGTATCATATTGTGAAGGCCTCTTCCATCTCTTCAACAACAGACTGCTTAGAGTCACACTGAGACTAGAGAACATCATTGCTGCACTTGCCCACATTGGGTTCAAATATATATTCCACGGTAAAAGAAAACCCATAGCTACAGGGACCATTAAAAGATTGTAAGTGCATGCCCATACTAAGTTATAACGTATTCTTCTAACAACCACTTTGGCAAGATCAAATGCAACCGCAACGTCAATTAAAACGTCTTTTCGAACAAGGACAACATCGGCGCTTTCTAAAGCAATGCCAGATCCGCTGCTTGGAGCAATGCCAACATCAGCTAAAGCCAACGAAGGAGAATCATTGATGCCATCTCCTACCATTGCAACACGATGTCCTTCATCCTTCTTCTGTTGAACAATAGCTGTTTTTGTAGTTGGAACTGCCTCCGCATGAACATCTGAAGCTAAAATGCCAACATCATAAGCAACTCTTCGAGCGGTAGGAAGCTGATCACCAGTAAGTAAACTAACGTTTTTTTTCATCATTTTTAAGGCTGATACACAGCGAGCGGCATCCGGTCGTAATTCATCCATGCACCCGAAAAATCCCAAAAACTCATTATTCACAGATATCTGTACACATGTTAATCCATTATTAGATGCAAAATTCAATGTGTGATCAATCTCAAGGGGAGTATAAATTTGGTTTTCTCTTAAAAGCAGTGAATTTCCCAACAATAGAGTAAAAATACGGTTTTTGTATAATACTTCAGCCTTAGCACCTTGACCTGGAATTGCAAGAAAAGATTTGAGCTCCATTGAATAGGTATGTGAAAGCTCTTGGAGTTTTTCAGTAATTGCTTTGCCGATGGGATGCTCACTGGCAAGTTCTGCAGTATAGACTAATCCCCAAAGTTCATCAATAGAAATATTCAATTTTTTTGTATTTTCCTCAACAACTTCCATTTGGTTAACTGTTAATTCACCGCGAGTAAGGGTTCCAGTTTTGTCAAATATAACAGTGTCAACTTTGTTGAGCGCTTCTAAAATATCACCCCCTTTAATAATAATACCATTTAAAGCTCCAACACCTGTTCCAACCATAACTGCAGTAGGTGTACTTAAACCTAAAGCACAAGGACAAGCTACCACAATAACACTAATGGTTAATTTCAAACAAACGGCAAATTTTCCAATGCTATCATTGAATATCGGGGGATATGAAGATGAGAAAGTGACGAAAAGGTACCAAAAGGCAAACGTCGACACCGCCAAAGTTATGATTACAGGGACAAATATTCCAGCTACTTTATCCGCAAACTCCTGAATAGGCGCCTTGGATGTTTGAGCCTTTTGAACTAAGTCAACTATTACCGCTAATTGCGACTCACGAGGAGACTTTAGAGCTCTGAACAGTATACGACCATTTCCATTGACAGTACCACTTAAAACATAGTCATCCACTTTTTTAAAGACAGGCACAGGTTCACCTGAAAGGGAACTTTCATCTATATAGGAGGATCCTTCAATAATTACACCATCGACAGAAATACGATCGCCTGGTCGAACTAAGACTGTATCACCGCGCTGTACTAAATCCGTTTCTATGCTAATCTGTTCGTCATTTTGAATAATGGTCGTATTGGAAGGGGAAAGATTGAGAAGTTGGGAGAGAGCAGCAGATGTAGAGCCTTTTGCTTTGCTTTCGAGATATCTTCCCAGAGTTACAAAAGACAGAAGCATATCAGAGGTATCAAAAAAGATTGGAGCAGTTTTATAAGTATCAGAATGGTGAGCTTTATATAGTAACATCAGGCAAACGCTAGCTAAGAAAGCTGCAGTAGAACCCAGGCATACTAAAACGTCCATATTTGCCTTATAGCGCTTCAAAGAGCGAAATGCGGTTTTATAATACACTCTTCCAACACCGAACTGCACAGGGATGGAAAGCAGTAGACTTACCAAGTCAGAAGCACAGATGCCAAACAAATGAGGCACAAGAAAAACGCTACGCATAGTTTCGCAAGAATCGAAAACTTTAGGAAGCAACATAACAAAAAAAGAGAAAATAATACACACAATAAAACGAGATCTCCAAACCTTTGCTTGATCCAAGCGTTGAAATGAGTGAAGCCTGGAGGACATGGAATCCACCGATTTGTAAGTACACGTGATATCCATGGATTCTATTTCTTCCAAAATCGTCCTAGGGCCAGTAATTTCGGAATCATAGCTGACATGAATGACAGCATCCGGCTGCGTTTGTTGTCGAACATTTAAAACACCCTGTAAATCGTTTATTTGGCTTTGGACCTTTTCAAGTAATTCTTGGTTTAGAGGAGAAGGAAGATAATACAAAGCAGTTTCTCCATGCTCCCCTTCTGATGTGGAAATGATAGAAGCATCGAATCCACAGTCTTCAATCCTTTCTATAATGTCTTCAGGAGATAGCGTGCTCATATCGTGAACAGCAACGGCCCGTTCCAGCAATAACGACACAGTAAACTGCTGCATACCCTCAACGGATTTTAACATTGCCTGAATCGAAGCAACGCAACTAGTGCAAGTCATCCCTTGCACATTAATAATTGTAGTAACCATAATTTGACTTTATTATTTATTTTGAAGAAATCCAGAGTAACGATACGGAATATGGAAGCCGTGAAATGATTCAAAAGAGCTAGCAGAAATCTAAAAGCAAATTGATGATAGAAAAAAAACCAAAAAATAAACAATGGCGGATCAATAAATAAGACCCAATACGCCTATGAATAGAGTAGCTGAGATGAAATTGTTGCAGAGAGGACAACAACAGAAGATTTTAACAAAAGAGCAGTGTGCCTAGGAGAATTTATTAACACACAAAAGAGAGATTCGTATTCGAAATTGATTTGAGTGATCCTCCTATAAACGAAACTCTCGCAATGAAAAACGTCTCCAGGTGTTTTCCGACCTGTGTGAACAAACAAGTGGCCAGCCCGATGAATAGTTTAGGATAAACGGAGTGAAATCACCTTTCAATTCAAGAAAAAAGAATGAAAAGTAAGAGAAAGCGGGAAACCAATTGAATATTGGAGGATTCTTGAATTCAAGGTGTTTGTGAGAGAATCAGATAACCGCTGCGAAAAAACTTAAAATCATGTTACCCGATAATCAACTACGCAAACAAACAGAATTTATACGATTAATCGGATAAGAAAATATACAGAGATGGATTGATACATTTAAATTTTGATTTCCTATGAAACTATCAAATTGCAATTACTTAGTCAATAAGCCTCTCATTCAGAAGTTCTGAAATACAATTCTTCCTTCCTTATTAAAAAAGATCGTTCGGCTGGCGTATCTCATATAAGAATCCATACCTTGAACTTCAGAATTAAGCATTACTGTAATGCAAGAAATTGCTGTGAAAAAGATATGAACGAGCTAAACAGAAATAGAAATGATGTCCTCTAGGAAAACAGTTCCAGCGTGAAATGGAGCGAAAGTCTGATTGAGGTTGAGAGACAGAACAAGTAGCAGAAATAGCAAATATTTGCAAAAATAGAAGAAACGTCGAAAGTGCGATGGAACCTGAATGTATGTATGTCTGGTGACTACCCAAATGGAGAGAAACATTCAAATCGCCTGTACGTGTATAGAAAATCAAAAACGAAGAGCGACGAGGTGAGGATTAAAAATCGAGGGGGGGAAATGGTTGAGAAACGTTAATCTTTTCATTGAAGGGGGAAATTGAGAACCTTTAATTATTATACTAGGTATAAGGCAAATAAGACACCTACGAGAGGAATTTACCAAGAAGGACACATGAAAACACAAAACTAAATAGATCATGCCTTCCAAAGCTTCTTAATGCCCTCAGTCAAGCCAATATCATTAGTGTTAAATTCATAAACACCGATAAAGGTGAGGACTGTGAAGCCACGGAGGATCCAGTGCACAAGAGGGCCAATACGATGGAATCTGCGCTTAGGGAAATAGTCAATGACACATGATTCAAAACCCAAATGAGCATGCGTAATCATGGTGCAAGCAAGAGCAGCGTCCAAAATGGGATGAGAGGTACCGGCGAAAAGTGGCATCACGACTTGAGGGACCATACCAATTGCGACAATACGCTCAAAATTCCAGTGGTAACTTCCGTGAAACTTACTAGGAGGAGGGAATACTGCAGCATCGTTGACAGTACCTTTGATGGATTGAGGAGGAGGAGGGAAGATTTGTCTTACAGCGCTAGAAGTAAAGGGTCTTGCAGCAAAGAAAACAGAGCTTTGACGAAGAGCACCAAATCCAAGGCGTGTCTGCAACATATTTCAATTTCCAAAATGGTTAAAGGCAGCTACTACAGTATAGGCAGTCGGTGAGTTTATATTGGCGGAATCCAGTCCTACACCATTGGTGGATATGACACTAAGCGTGAGCGCTAACGATAGCATACCGCACAGCAGTCGGTAAATTCATAACGAACTATAATGAATGACAGTGAGTATATAGATATAGTTGTTACAGGTAAATAAACAAATGTAGTCGAAAAAAAAAAAAAAAAAAAAAAGTTTAGGTGTGTTTAGAAATAAGTAAAGGAAATATTTGAATAAAATAGAATTAACGAAGAATTGGTTTGCTGCAAAGATTATTCTACAATTGCTAGATCTGTTTTATTTGTTATGGCTCACATAACACCAGACATATCGACACAATCTTGCATAATATAAACGTCTAAGAATTCATACACATTCAATAATAAGAAACAAATAAATAAGGACTTGCATTTTTCACTTCATCAATCAATATCTCAAAACGAAGACGCTTAATAAAAGATTTATCCTCTTACTAATATAATCATATGTTCTTAACGAGTAGTAAAATTAGACCCAATCGAGATTCGAACATTGGAGTTCTAACAAACTTCATTGGTAAGAACATTAGCTGGATATTGTGTGGACGGCTCCGAAACGTCGTTACTTGTACTTAACCTTTCCCATCCACATTGAAAACCACCCACCCCTTTCGTTTGGATTTGTTTGAACATTATCATTTAGGATGCTGAGGCTTTCGAATTTGCCAAAGCTTGCCCCCAAGCTTGCACGTCGGTTTGCAACTTCTGCTTTACCAAAAACGGAAACTACAACCTTGAAAAATGGATTAACCATTGCTACTGAACATCATCCTTATGCTCAAACAGCCACCGTTCTCGTTGGTGTTGATGCTGGATCAAGAGCCGAGAGTGAAAAGAACAACGGTGCTGCTCATTTCCTTGAGCATTTGGCTTTCAAGGGCACCAAAAACCGCTCCCAACGTGCTCTTGAGCTGGAGTTTGAGAATACCGGTGCTCATTTAAACGCTTATACTTCTCGTGAACAGACCGTTTACTATGCCCATGCTTTTAAAGAAGCTGTTCCCAAGACCGTCGCTGTGTTAGCTGACATCTTGACCAATTCTAGCATTTCCTCTGCCGCCGTTGAACGTGAGCGTCAAGTCATTTTACGCGAACAAGAGGAAGTCGACAAGATGGCAGACGAAGTTGTCTTCGATCATTTGCACGCTACTGCCTATCAAGGACAAGCTTTGGGTCGTACCATTTTAGGACCCAAGAAAAACATTGAATCTTTGACCCGTGATGATCTTCTTACCTACATTAAGGACAACTACCGTAGTGATCGTATGATCCTTGCTGCCGCTGGCTCTATCTCCCACGAAGAACTTGTCAAGCTTGCCGAAAAGTACTTTGGTCACTTGGAGCCTTCTACTGAACAACTTTCTCTTGGTGCTCCTCGCGGCCCTCAACCCCGCTTTGTTGGCTCTGAGGTCCGTATTCGTGATGATTACTCTCCTACTGCCAACATTGCAATTGCTGTTGAAGGTATGAGCTGGAAGCATCCCGACTACTTTGTTGGTTTGGTTATGCAAGCTATCATTGGTAACTGGGACCGTGCTATGGGTGCTTCTCCCCACATGGCTTCCCGTTTGAGCTCTGTTGTCCAACAAGACCAATTAGCCAACAGCTTCATGAGTTTCAGCACCAGTTACAGTGACACTGGTTTATGGGGTATCTACTTGGTAACTGAAAACCTTGGACGTATTGACGACTTGGTCCACTTTACCCTCCAAAACTGGGCTCGTCTTACTGTTGCCACTCGTGCTGAGGTTGAACTTGCCAAGGCTCAACTCCGCGCTTCTCTTCTTCTTTCTTTGGATTCCACCACCGCCATCGCTGAAGACATTGGTCGCCAGTTGCTTACCACCGGCCGCCGTATGAGCCCTCAAGAAGTTGACATGCGTATCGAGCAGATTACTGAGCATGATGTTGCCCGTGTTGCCAATGAAATGATTTGGGATAAGGATGTTGCCATTTCTGCTGTTGGTGCTATTGAAGGCCTTTTGGATTACAACCGTGTTCGTAGCAGTATCTCTATGAACCGTTGGTAAGCGGATCTTTTTGAACCATTTACCAAGTATTCCCTTTTTGTCTTTCTCCTTGATTCTTTTCGGTATATTTTCCTATGCTTCACCGTCCTTACGATTTGTACGCCCCCTGCTTTCTTTTTAAGTTCAAGTCCTCCCTTTACTTCTCCTTTCGTCAGACGATTCTACAACTTGTCTTTTCAGACGCGGTTATTCCATCAGAATTGTTTTCGAAAACGAAAAGTTTCATCTTGAATATGAGTTTCTTGGCAAGCTTATCTTTTTGATGATTAGATCATGAGCTAAGTTGTTGTCACAGTTGACTTTTCTTGCTGCAAATTCCTTCGAAGCCCATTACAACGACAGATTGCTTTCAAGTCTTACAATCAATTCCTTTTACTCTTTTCGAGCTTCCGGTATCTCCTTTCTACATAATCTCCCTTCTCCTATAACAGAAAATATCATTATTTCTAAAACACGGTTCCGTGTACTGATTATCTTCGCGTAGCAATAGTGTAATAAAATACAAAGTAACCGTACTGGTATCCCATTGCATGGTTGAAGAATCGTCGTATTATTGTTACATTACAAGCCATGTGGTTATTTAAATTGTAAAAGATTGGTATATGTAGTAGAAAATATAGAAAGTAAATGTTCGTGATAGTATTACATAGAAAGCAAGTATAGTTCATAAGCCTAGTGTATGTGTCCTTTTACATTACGTTTGAAAACCACCAGTCGAGGTAGAAAAAAGAATCTATTGGTGTGAATAGGTTATGTACATTAAGAAAAAGATTTACTCAAAAGATTTATAAGTGAATATATTAACTTCTGTCATTCTTGAACATGCCTTCGCGTTTAAGTTTCAAAGGCGATAAAAAGGTGTATGTTATACTTTTATCAAATATTTTCAGTCAGAACTCTAACATTACATTTATCAAAGTCACAAAAAAGGAAGAAAGTCTGCAAAATCTTTACAATCAGCCGTGGAGTCTCAAGAGAATGATCCAATATGGACCGACGCTAACTTAGTGGAAGACATCCATGGTCCACTGGTATTATAGTAAGTTTTATAAATGTTAAGATAATGTATATCTAACGGTTCTTTAGTCAAAGGCTGGATACAACTGTCATTTCCTTGGGAATAGAAGAAGTTCAAGGAAGTTGCGTAGGAATTTTCTTGGACCCTCTTTCTCTAGAACCGGATAACACAAGACAAGTATTTGTGGCTTCTGATATGAATGGTAATGTTGTTCTGAAAAGCTTCCTCATGAAGTATCTTTCCGCTGGTAAAGAAGGAGACTTGTTTAGCAAACGAGAAGCCATTGGAGCTGAAGAACAATGGCAACTTCAATATTTGCATGATGGCTATTGGGCTTGGAAAAGCATGTCTAATAACAAATATCTCGAGTGCTTGCTAAATGAGAACGACACCTACGTATTTCGTTGTACCTCTGATACGGTGACATTCACTTCAAAATGGAGAGTACGCGTTCAGACTAGGTTTGTGAAACGACCATCTATTCAAAACATAAAACAACCGACAGTGCATTCACAACAATTGGAAGCTATGTATGTTTGTCCTTTTACTTTCGTTAACTCACTACTAACGATTTTACAGGGTTGGAAGACCATTATCTTCAGACGAGAAAAAGATTTTAAAGCAAGCTAGTAGAGATGGTTCTTTGCATGAAGCTCTGCTTGATGTTCGAGTCTCCAAAAAGAGCGACAAATATGGATAGGCATATAAAGTAGAGAGCTGAGGGAAGAATTGACAAAAACGATACTGAAAATTGGATTACATGATCTCGTTATGAATTCTGTAGATTAGATATTATGGAAAAATATGTTGGAGCTACTATGACAATATATACTAAATGCTCATGGGATTGAAGCATCAATTGAAAATTGTAGTTTTTAGGTTCTTAATAGCTTTTCTAATTATTTCTTAAAATAAAAAATTCTTTTTTATTTTTACAAAAGTATTATTTACCAAGAACTTCTGGGTAAATATTTTTGGAGTAACATAATGCGTAACGTCTACAAAACCCGAATACCACCCTAGAAGATTTACTTTCAATACATTGCATAGTCTTTTGAAGATACGTTCGATAAAACTAAAAAATTTAACTGTACCTTTATACTAAACGCTAGCGGGGATGTATTTTCTTTAAAATTTGACATGCGTGTATCTCCAACAGCAGAAAATGTGTTTCAGGACACTTCGTCACACTACACGGTTGACCAAAAACATGACACTTCTAAAAGTGACTTTAATTTGAACGAAAATAATGAAGACGACATTTTAGTTGACGATGAAGGATCCGATGAAACAGAATACAATTCAGCTGAAGAACCCCCATTGGACATTATTGATAATGAAAACGAAAAGGATGATTCGATGAATGATTATACGCTTTCTCCAGAGAAAAAACAATCAGAAAGCTTCAACGACAAGAATTATTCGAATGGCATTGATTCAAACCGATTAGACTCGACAAAACCCGAGCACAGCGTCAGGGACGAAGCAGAACACTCAAAGGAAGAACGTGAAGCAGAACCTGTAAAACGTGGACGTGGACGCCCACGAAAATACCCGCTTAATAATCCTCAGGAGAATGGTCCCGTCATCAAAAGAAAAAGAGGAAGGCCGCGAAAGACTGCACAAGGTTCCGAAAATAACGATGCTATTCATGAAAGACGTAACCGTGGAAGGCCTCCATTAAAAAGAGGGACTGAGGTTTGGACGACGGTAAATGAAGAGAATTCAGAAGAAAAGTCGGTTCATGACGGTATGCATGAGTTTAATGCTGATGGAGGTGGATCTGACTCAACCGTTGATTTAAATATGTTTTCTCCAGAAGAAAAGAAAGTTCGTCATTCCCCTAACAAACAGGAAGAACGGGATTCTTTGTTTCCGGTTGCAGGTACAAGAAAAAGTGAAAGAGTGTCCAAGAAACAACCATTTGTCGAGATCATAAATCGCCCAGGGGCCGAACAGCCCAAACGCGGTCGCGGAAGACCACGAAAAATACAGCCTTTGGATCCTGCTTCTGACGATTCTAACGAAGATGATGATAATACTGAGGACGATGAGACCGAAGAAGATCTTGAGTTTGGGGAAAATCCAAAGACTTCGCCGATAAATAAGCAAGAATGGTGGAATAATGCTCTAGATCAACCGAATACCAACGATATGAATATCAGACATCCCGATATTCCTCTTAAACAGGAACCCTTGCGTATTCCTACCATGACATACTCAGATGTTCACTCTGTTCAGCCCTCTACGCCCTCTTCTCCATCTTCATCTTCTACCTCTTCTCCCCCTGCTACACCTTCATTCAAAACACCAAACCCTCCCACGAATATATTAATGCCTTCCAGGAATCAGAACTCAATTCCTGAGAGTCCCTTGACATATGGTCTACCTAGAAAAGCGACTTTTCAACTTAGCGTAGTTTCTCCAAGAAAGCCGAAACCCGTTTCGACTCCCAAAGAAATCACAAACAATCTCATATCTGAGTTAGGTCTTGATAAACTCGACGCTGAGTTACGAATCTTTAAAACAACTGTTACTAGCAGATTTACGGGAAAGGCAAGCATTCCACTTATAGGTCATGAAGAAGAAAAATCTAAACTTTATCGTTGGATGCAACAGACTGTTGTACTAGGTGAGGGAAATTCTGTTATAATCGTGGGTCCAAGAAGTTCTGGAAAATCATTATTGGTTGAAAGCGTCCTTCAGAAAGCTAGAGCTGAATTACCCGAATCTTTTTACACTGTTCGACTAAACGGAACTTATTTGCACGATGACAAAGTAGCTCTCAGAGAAATTTCACGTCAGCTCTCAGTTGAATTAGAATCTTTAGATTCAGAAGATGCCATTCGCTCTGAAAGTAGTTTCGCAGACACTTTAACAAGACTTCTGGCTACCCTATCGCACCCTGCAGATTTGGGAATTACGAAGGATGGGTTGACGACTTCTGCATCCGTTGTATTTATTCTAGAAGAGTTCGATCTATTTGTGCAACATCCACGGCAAATGTTATTATACAACCTGTTTGATATTGCACAGTCGAGGAAGGCTCCGATCTTAGTGATAGGATTAACTGCTCGGTATGATTGCTTTGAATCCCTTGAGAAGCGTGTTAAAAGTCGATTTAGCCATATGGTTATCCATACTCCTCCTCCTTCCTCATTACAGGAATTTTTGAAAATCTACCGAAGTGTTCTTACTATAAAAGATGAAGAACCCATATCAAAGCTAAGGCTTGAGTGGAATAACCGAGTGAATGACTTACTATCGGATTCATCTAGTAATATGCACAAATTAGTACAGTATCATTATTATTCCAGCAGAAATTTACGAATGCTATACGTCGATTCCTTAATTCCCGTTACGTCTAGATCGCCATCGCAGCCGCTTCTAAATGACAGTGATTTCCAAAGGTTTAACTTGAGGGTGTCTGATCATAAGGTTGAGCTTGTTAAAAACTTGAGTCTGCTAGAACTGGCACTCTTGATATGTACCATCAGATTTGAAAATAGAGATATTCCGGCCTGTAACTTCAATAGTGTTTATCAAGAATATCGTCACCTGCACCAACGTACCGTGTTAGATGCGGTGGCTTCTGGAGCTCTTGTACATAGCTTTCGACTTTGGGGAAGAGATGTTGCTTTAGAAGCATGGGAAAAATTGGCTTCGGTGGGATTGATAGTTTCTTTGCAGCCGAATTCAGAAATTAGTGGTGCTTTATCGAGGGAATGTCAACTATGGCAACCAGAAGTTGATCTTTCTGTTATTACTGCAGCTTTACGTGAACACAAAAGGCTACCTTCTCATTACTACCGTTGGTTAAAGGATATTGCCTAAGAGGTATATGTTTAGGTGTTTTTGCGGTTTGGCCTGAAATTGGCTATCTCAAAATTCAATGTAAAAAATCGTGCATGCGATTATGAGGTTATAAAGGATTCATTTAAATTAAGTTATATTAGGTTCTCTCTATTCTTTAAGGGTTATTTATCAGTTATTGTATAATTATTTTTGTATATAAGTATCAAGAATAAATAAATTCATTCCATGAATGATTATTTTTTTTCCTTTAAAGCTCGTCCGCAGTTTGACGATATATATATCTCTACTTTTAATGCATGTCCGAGCGTAAGTTAGTAAAAACAGAAAGTTGAATTCGTAATCAATTATTTCATAAAAAATCAGAAACTACAAGTAGAAAGACACGAAAGGCTCATTTTCTAAACCAAAATTGATAAGGAAAGTAAGAAACATAAATAAAACAGGACTCTTGATTAACACATGATGATAGGTAGTAATCCGTGTTAATTGAATTTCACTTCAAGTTTAAAAATGTCATGCTCATCATTAATCATGTGCACACGAAAGTACCTATATTGGTTGGTCATCGGACGCGGCATAAAGAGTATTTTTCCAGCTTTTAAGTTGAGAATGCAATGAGATCAGTTCACTTTGCAACGTCGAAAAATCAGAATTGTCCGTGTCGGCATTATTATAAAGGTATGAAACTTTTTGGTATAATTTTTTATACTGAGGATACGTTTCCCGAAAACGTGATGCTAAAGCTTTTATTTCTTCTGTCGTGTACCGTTGTTGTCTTCGTTTTTTCGGTTTTGATAAATATTGTTCTTGCTTTTGATGCTGATTTAAGGCGTCTGAAACATCGTTGGTCGAATGCATGCCGGCTCGAGCATTCGAATGACTGTATGACGGGGAATATGTTTTACGTTTCCCTTGAGGAGATGACAAGTTGGAATAATTAGCGGAAGAAGTAGGTGAGGGTATATCGGAGACAGGAGTGCTCATGTTCCCTGCATCACTTATAGACACAGCTGAGCTTTCCGAACCAGTACGAGACAAGTTGGTTGAGACTTTATGTTGAACAGAAGACGGAGGTGAATCAGTCGAAGAAGAAGACTTTGGAAATTTTTGACGAGGAGAATGTGAGTTGTTATTTAGTAAGGCATGTGAAGAGGAAGACGAAGGTGAGTTTGTGTCCACAAAGGAGGGTGCTAGTACCGACGAAGTAGGAGCATGATTAGAGAACATTCTTTTGTCGACATTGTGTTTTGACAATGGATTTGATGGCTTTATACCCGAACCCAAGGATAGACGCTCCGGTGCATCCTGTGGTAGACCTAGTTCATTAAAGGCAAGAGTAGCCCGTTGGATTACGGCACGTCGATCAGCAACACTGTAAGGCCGCCAGTCGTATACCCTAACTTCTTTGTAAACCTTCGGAAGCAATTCCCACCTTCCGTAATGGTCTTTTCGAGCGATATCGGGCAGTAAAGAATGCAACTCAGTGGGTAAAGCTTTCGTGCGTTGCAAAAGAACGTCCTCCTGTTCCGCCGCGACAGCTAACAGTTGAATGATTCTGAAACGAAGATCAAGATTGTTCTTCGTAGATGAAGAAGAAGAGGATGCTGGATAATTAGATGACGATGTAACATGTACAGGTGGAGAAGAGGAGCGAGTAGGGACTGATGAAGACAAACTATTGTGAGAAGATGTCTTAGAAAGAGTAGATGAATTTAGGGGGCGATTAAGTTTTTTTTGAGGTAATCGATGTGTTTTTGGTTTTTGGGTGCTTTGGGTAGGCTTGGAAGCCGTATCATGAAGGGTAACAATTCTATAGATGGTCAGTTAAAACACCTCAATACAGAATGTACACATACCTTTTTTCTTCTTTTTCTTTTTGTGCTTCTTTCGTTCTACTCTTCACCCGTTCTGCCATACGGCTATCAAATTCTCGACGCAATTGGAGACGTTGATATACTCGGCCTACAAGTTGGAGAGATCGAGAATCATTCAGTTTGTACACTTCATGGGGTGCTGTTTCTGGTATTGAATTACAGATGTAAGACCTTCCTCCTGTTATGACCGACTGTAAAAATTATTAGTTACCGCAACCAAGGACACAGGAGTTATACATACGACGCCTGAATCAGTGCAATTTAGATGAGTGTTTTCCAAATTTCCTGCAAGATAATTTTCAAGAAATTCTTTTGGCAACTGCACTGACATTAGCAGAGGGGATTCCTCTGCTGTTCCGTCTACTGTTACAGGAAGAGCATCACGGATGCTATTTTGGCTAATCATTCGAAAACAACAGAATTCGATATAATAATCTTATTTTCTTCCAATAAGCCAAGCGGTTTTTTGCGGAAGGACGATATCCTCAGTATAAATGATACAGTAAAGACAAGGTCTAGTTTTTCTTATTCTCTTAAGCTCTTGCTAAAGGGAGACAGACCTAATGTAAGTGAAAAGTAACATAGGTAGCAAATGTTAACTAAGGTCCGCGAAGACTTGCAATAACTAGAATTGCTTTTTTTTCTTTTTTAAATAATAAAAAAAACAAACCAAATGCAACGTTAAAAATAACGTCGTTTCATTAATAGGAATGATTTTGGAGGGGCGGAGGTAAGTTCCAACATTTACCAACATTCGGGATTTGTTTACATGTCGCGTTGATGTAAATAAACACGAGAAGACTCAAGTGAGAACTGTTTTTTGTAATCGTACTTCATGTTACGAGGATCCAACGAAACATAAAAAAAAAAAACAAAAAACAAAAGAAGACTTTAAATTTGTCTGCAATTAAGCGACTGAAGCAACTGGAGGTTCCATCACTTCATAAGTGATGAAGAAAAAAAAACGGTCAGAGAGGGACTCGAACCCTCGACCTCATGATTAACAGTCATGCGCACTAGCCAACTGTGCTATCCGACCTTGTATGATTATACCGTCAAACAATATTTATATATATCATATACATAATTTTCGTTGAAGAAAGCAATATTGGATTCGACTCATCTTTCGAGATGCATAGAGCATGCTCATTGTTTTTGGAGACCGGAGATCATCCAAAAAAAGGATGTTTTGCTTCGGCCGGGAATCGAACCCGGGTCGCTTCGATGGCAACGAAGCATTATACCACTAAACCACCAAAGCAGTTGATGATTCTCGAAAGCGAGAGAGCTACATAACTGCAGAGAAGTTGAAGCGATCGATTTGAGTAAACAGTAATTCATGACTCGTTACTTTTCTGTAGGTTCTCAAAGAATATGGTGTGCCTCTGAAAACTTGGTGAATTTTGAAAGAATTGATCTAAACTAATCAACTTTTTTATTCATTCAAAATGTAAGCTAAAGATGAATGTTACTCGGCTAGCCGTGACTTGAATGGAAAAAACGACAATGCAATAAGAATTAAGCAGTTTGTTCTGAGGTTAGTATTTATTAAATATTTGTATATATATATTATACTCTGCGAAATGGCTTCGGTAGTGTAACATATGAATATATAGGTGGCTTGTTCTACTATTTATGCTGTTCCCGTTTGTAAATGAGGTTTACAATAACATATCGCGACACTTGAAGAATTAGAAATATTTAGAACATATTTTTTTTTATTTTTTGAATTAGTTTGGAACTCAATATCTGCAAAGAAAAGGATTGTTTACATTTTTATAAACAAACCCAGGTTGGTGCGAATTTTTGCTTTGTGAATATATGCAGATAATGATGACTTTTTCAACGTTGTAATCTTGTTCTCTTTTATTTTCCATTCTTCTTTGATTGCCATTGTAAAATATAGTAGTTAGGCATCAGCTTTCTTTACTGTGTGATGCTGGCTAGGTAATGTATTCCTCAGATTTAGCTTGCCTTGGTAAACTCAACAAGACATACAGATTCGCCTGAATTTCGAATCGATTAATAAATGGAGGAGATATCTACTTCTCTATTGACAGAGACAAGCGAAGAAATGCATACGGACCAACGCTGACCCCTTCACTTGTTTTCTTGCTCTCTGTTACTTCACAAGGAACATCCCTCAAAAAAGGAAGGAAAAAGGTGTTTTCAAGCTTGAATCTATATAAACAAATAATCAAACGAAACAAAGAAAAAAAAAAGAAAAAGAATAAAATAAGTAAAAAGCCTACAGCATCCCGGATTCCCATGTTGTCTCCAACCATAGTACTAACGAGACCCTCAGACGCTTAACTGCAGTGATCGGACGGGAACTGGTGTTTTCGCCTAGGTGTGGCCGTAGACACTTACAATGTGTAAATAAAGGTATTTCTGCTGGACATCCTACTTCAAGATGCAATTTGTTCAGTTCCATCTGCGTCTGTTTACATGGCTGCATGGAAGTTGTAGTCTGATAATTCGTGCTTCAATTCATTTACTTGACTCTCTAAGTAGACGCCAATTTAATTCATTAATCTACAAACGTCCGATCATTCAGTTAGAAGATATGTGCTTTCTATGCTGTGAATGAAATCATTAAAAAGGTTGCATGAACAAGGACGTTCGTCACAAAGAAAACGAACGATTCATAAATAACACTATTGCGAGATGAATTTAGAGATTCATAAAAGAGTGAACGTGAAAAGCAATCAAACCCGTCATATTAAGCTTATGCTTACTTTTGTGGACGCGACTGCAGAAACTTGAGGGATTGCAATCATTATGGATGCTTCTAAGGAAAATGCGATTTATAGGAGGATGGGATAGAGAAGGTTCGTTAGAACTCAAACTTCAGCGCTTTGCTCAGCAAGAGGTTGAAGCTCGATTTCCTCGTTACGAGGTGCTTCATTTGCTAAATCTGTCGGTCCTAATTAGGTTAGTCAGATGCTAAAAAAGAAAAAAATTATAATAAACAGTACATACGAATATAATTCGAAGCGTCTCTTATGCCGTTTCCTATGTTTCCCATGCCATTCACCATGCTTCCCATGCCGTTTCCTAAATCAGCAATGAATATTCGAAGTTGTCTCGTATCCGTCGTACCTAGAACAGTTAGAATATTTCGCAGGTTGTAAGACATACTCCAAAATAAAACAAACACGGCAACGTTAACAATGCAAACAAAATAGAAAAACCCTTTGTCCATCTTTTCAAATCCTATTACCTTCTTTACAAAATAATACACGGAATAGCAAGGGACATTCAGAGAGGCCGTACATAATACTGCGGCACACATGTTGGACAGCACTCTACCAATTTGCTTGAACCATTCTTTAGAGCATATGCGCGACTAATAGTTAATAAAAATAAAAGATAGCGCTAGCTTACAATAGAGAAATACTACAACGGATGCTCCACAAGCAGCAGAAAGTCCCCAAAGGGTTTTCGCCCTCAGAGGAACCTTGACATAAAAAACACCACGAGAAAAATAACATAAAATATAATATACACAAAAGATGCAAAAAAAGAAGATAGCTATTCGAATCCACTTTGAATATGTCGAATCCGATCCAGCGTTGTTAGTGGACTCTTGGGCAGAATGCTGAGTGGATCCATCAGCCATTTCTAAATCAATAAATTTATTCGGAGCTAATAAATGTATTAGTGATGAATGCTCTTGTTGTTTGAGAAAGGATAGAGCGTTCGTCGGGTTAGTTTACAAGGAATTGCAGACATTTATAGATATTAAAGCAATCGACATTCGTTTGTTCCTTTCTATTTCAACAAATCTTACCTGAGTACGGAGGAGGCGTACCAGTACCATCTAAAGATCTAGCATCTGACTTTTCATCATTTAGCACTTTGAAAGAGTCATCAGAATCTGAAACTGGAGCGTAATTATTCTTCATTTTTACAATGGCAGCTAGAAACACGAAATAATGCAGATATATACATCCAAAACGATACTAGCTAGATTTACCAAATAAGTCCGTAGGAACTGGTTCTACCGTTCACGGATCTGTCAACAAAAGGAATTTCTCCTTTCTTTTAACACCGTTAAATAAAAGCACTTTTACAACAAAAGCTCCTCTTAAAAGATGAAGCGTAGTTGTAAAACTCATGGTAATGGCTTTTCGCATGTCTCAAGTTCATAAAGCAGCGACATTATGTCACTGACTGGTCATATCCTTGTTACGATTATTCGACTTTCGTTATATACCATACTTTTTCGTGATAGTATAATCCAAACGAAGTTCGTATTACAAAAAGTAAACAAAGAACCTATCCAACAATAAAACCTTGACGTTGGATTTTCGCAGTTATTTTCAGCATTCACAAACACTCATTATTTGAAACAACTTTTTCTAAATTTTTTCAAAGATTTGGGAAGAAACCTGCCCATCTAACGGTTCTTAGCTCAGCTGCTCAGCGAAAGTTGATTTAGATGTAATGGAAAGCATTGTTACGTTGGGTCCAATCTTTTAAAATTCCTCTAGCTTGGGCTATGATTTCTTACATAATACTAATTAAATGGCTTTGTCTATGAAAGAAAAAAGGAAAAAGAAAAGTCTACAGCACCCCAAATTCTCATGTTGTCTTCAACCGCGGTACCAACGACTCAGATACTCATCTGCAATGATCGACGAGAATTGGTGTTTCTTCCTACATGCTTCCATACAAAAACTTCATTGAAAGAGTTCAAAAGTGAGTAGAAACTGACACTATGAAGACACCATCGTGCTGTTTTCGACAAACAAAGCAAACAATAAACTCGTATTCAAACCAGTACAAATTAGTTTTAAGCTACTAATTTGCAACTAAGACACTATGCCTGAGTGGTTAAAGGGATAGATTAGAAATCTATTGCGGTCTCCGCGCGCAGGTTCAAATCCTGCTGGTGTCGTCCTTTTTCGTACCGTTTTTTGTTTGCTTTCCCTTTCGCAACTCTTCACATAATGAAACACGCCAAAGTTCTTTAAAAAAAAAATACTGTTGTTTTCGCATCGTTGGTTTTACTGTACATCCTTTATTGCCGCTGCCATTTGTTTGCATTACCCACCCGGCCATAGATCAAATCAAGCCTTGACGTTTTTTTCCAAGACGTTCATCTGCGTTTAGTTGGGCAATTCTCGGTTGCTTATTCGACTTTACCGTCGTAGCGTTTTGCGGAACATCTACCAGACAAGTAGCATTGCTACCCGAGTGGAGTTATAGGAGCGGATGAATGGAATGAAAGTGTTTCGTCTTGCACTTGTGGAACGGTCATTCGTAAGGTGTTGAACTTTCAACGACCAATCCTGAAGGATCATGAAACCCTAACCACATTGAAGGATTATACAACTGGGAACATACCGCTGCTTTCTTTGTTTACCTCTGCCAAACTCATACTACTTATTTGATTCTTGGGAAAACTGCAGTAAATACCTCCTTTTTGGGTAGTTTATACGCGTTTCTTTTTCTTTTACACTCTTTTGAATTTTTGTCTCTCTTTTATTCTTACTTTTCTTCTCTCTTTTTTTTCTTTTTTTTTTTTGGAATCTGATTCCCTTCCTTTCGTTTTCTTCCTCACTCTTTTGTAGTTTGGTCTTATAATCGTCTTTCGTTTTCTATTTTAACTTTCTTTGTATACCTTTCGTTATCTTTTGGTAAGCTATCGTTCTTTCGTGGCTTACAATAACTTTCTTCATACGTGGCTGGCTGGACTGTTTTATACATTCCATTTAAATCCCCCATTTGCATTGCATTAAGGGATTACTTTCTATTAACACCAATAAAAAAATATATCGTGTATCTGCCATCCTGTGCATATACGGTATTATTCACCAATTCGTCAGTCGTTTTTGAAGTGTTTCGTTAAACGATTGTCTGTTTACAACACTTATTGATTCGATTTTTATATTTCTGAAACATATATATATATATATATATATACATATATACTCTTTTATACGCGTTTTTTTTACTGCGGTTTCCCTTGGTTTTCTTTGATTACTTTTTCTTTGTTCTCAAGTCTTTATAAGGTCGCTTACTTTTGCACTTACGAATTGTTTTCTCTTCATTCGTTCTTTTACCATTGTCCTTCTTTAGACAATTCTTTGGATCTTTTATTAAAGTCACTCTTTCTTTTATTTACCTATTTTTAAGTATTTTATTTTAATTCGTTATGATCGCTAAATCATTATTATCTACGCTTTCTTTTCTTGCTATTGCAGTTTTGCAAGTTTCTGCTGATGGCTGCTCTCAGGACAACGGCTACTACTACTGTAATCAGGCCTCAGAAGTTGAATTCAAGGGCGTTGGGTTCTCTTCTTCTTACAACAGAATTACCGGTATGGATTCCGAAAGCTGTGAATGTACCAGTACTCCTCAATCCTTTGGTGGTTCTTTGGCTCCTTTCGATGAAGAACTTTCTTTCCATTTCCGTGGTCCTGTTCAATTGAAACGCTTTGCCGTTTACTACCCCGACTCCAACAAAGCTTTGTCTTCTCTGAGAAAGCGCAGCAACCATAATCATATCAAAGCCGCTGCTAGAGAAGAAGGTGCTCTTAAGAAGCGTGATGACCCCGCTGAAAGTACCCGTACAGTTTATGAGACCATTCTTCGTACTGCCTATATCAATGCTGATGGCTCCCCTGTCACCTCAGCTCCTGAAGCTTTCCCTGCTTCCACTGCCACTGGTAGCAATCCTCCTCCCACTACTTCTTCAAGCAGCTCCTCCTCTTTGGGAAGCAGTGCTGCTATTAGCATCTCCGCCCCTAATGATATCGGCAAAGGTTTAGCTGCTTCTAGCTTCGTCACTTCTTCCACTTCTTCTGCTTCATCTGCCTCCGCTAGTCCTACTTCCTCCCCATCTTCCTCTGGTTCCTCCGACTGGGTTCGTTCTTCTTACTATGACTCCGAATCTTCCACCTCGGATAACATTGTGTTCATGAATAATATGGGTGGCACCGCAGGCAGTGGTGTTTGGTCCTCTTGCTTTGGTAACTCTATATCCTATGCTGCTTCTAACGGCGTTGACGGTGCCTCTTCTCCTCAAGTTCTTTCGGACACAATGCTCAAGTCTGACAAGGAAGTTTCCATCTGGAGTGCAAACAAGTGCAATGGTGATGACTGTGGCTATTATCTTTCTGGAATTCCCGCTTATCATGGATTCTCCGGTACTAAGGTTGTTCTCATGGAATTTGCCATGCCTCACGATGATTCCACTAATTTTGTCAATGATATGCCAGCTATCTGGGCCTTGAATGCTCAAGTTCCTCGTACCTTGCAATATGGTAAGAAGGAATGTTCATGCTGGGACTCTGGTTGTGGTGAGTTTGACATCTTTGAAGTTTTGAATTCCGGTAATGAGAAGATGGTTTCCACTCTTCATAGCAAGCAAGGCAGCCAAAACGGCGCTGGTGGTGGTGCTGGATCAAGTGACTACTTCTCCCGTCCTACTGGTTCTACCATGGTTGGTGCTGTTGTTTTCGATACCTCCTCTTCGGCTGTTTATGTTATCGATGTCTCCAAGAGCGGCGTCAACTTTGATCAAACCTACTCTGCCTCGGATATTGCTGGTTGGTTGAAGTCTGATGCTACCGTTGTTCAACTTGGTTAAACAAAACTATGATACCAATAATGTATATACCTATCGATTTTGGTTTCCATTTCTTTATTTTTTTTTTCTACACATATATCTAGTTAGTTATACTTAACTTATTTTATCTTTTGAAATACCTGATATTTTTTATTTCATACTTATATACTATTTGAGTGACAGATGGTGAGTACAATTACCACTCACAAACTTGGATTTACTGATTGCTGAGGTTCAAATCATAATATTGTTATGTACATATTTGCAATAAATATCCTTTGTATGCTAAATAAATTGATAGCTTGTTATAGTAGACTCTTCCATGCCCCTAAATCGTTGAGAGAATCCCCATTTTTGACATTATGTTGGTTGACGGTGGATTCATTAATTTCAGTAGGTATAGAAGGAGGAAAAGATGGCGTAGATGTCAAGTTCTTACCAGTCATATTTACAGTCGTATATGAGGGAAAGGATGAAGCGGTCTTCATACTTGAAGATTGCCATGTAGAAGGTAGAGTTTGTTCTTGCATGCGGGAAGACTGACTACTAGCGACGGCATTATTTAAGATCTTGACACTATGTCTAGAATCGTCATAAGCAGACGAGGGGCGGGAGCATAACTTCTTTTTATGCTCTATTTGAATATAATCACTCAACTTCCGGATTTCTCTCATAAATTGCGAATATTCTTGAACACTCAATTCGGATGATGCACTCAAAACCCAAAGCCTCGGCATAACCAGTTCGTGAACGGATTCCTCCGGGATTACTCGTCCAATATCGATATAAACTTTCATCATAGCCATCACTACAGCAGAAACCCGTGTTTTCACTTTTTCAAGTAACGGTAGCAGTTTTTCTAGAATTGCAAACGAGTCTAACAGGTTTGCTTGAATAAAAGCATGAAAACATTCCAAAATAGAGACCTTGACTTCTAAATTTTTGGTGACAGAGAAGCAGTGATATAACTTAGGGCAAATTGCTGATTTTACAATTTTTTGGTCCAATATATCTTGAAGAGAACAGAAGACTCCAATAGCAGATAACTGAACGTTTGCATAAGATTGCTCAACGCATGCATAAACAAAAGGCAAGACTTTTTCATTAAATGTTGAACGTGGAAGCTTCACTTTGAAGCAATCAATATACTGTAAAATTATTAAAAGAGGTTTTTCGGAATCCTTTGAAAAGGAAGTGAACAGAGGAAGAAGTACTGGAAAAACTTTGTTAGTAAACACAGAAGAATCAATAAATTTGGATATTTGGAAGACGCAAGACAGAAGAGGTGCTGCTATTTCGTTATCGTTTAAGAAATCCAGAAGAGTAGGTAAAATTTTCTGCGATTGTATCCGAAAACTTATTTCTGGTAACCTGTTTATCAAAGATTCTAGGAAAGCAACTTTTTCGGATTGTAATTTTTCGGGAAAAGCTTCTAAAAATCTCAATGTTGATATAATTCCATTCGTAAAGTAATCAGAAGAATCCATGAAGGCAACATCGACTCTATTTTTTGGATTTGGAGACAGTAACTGTAGCAGTAATGAACGTAAGGAAGGCGATTGGATACTCCCTACATAAAACTGTAGCTTATCATTCAAGTTATTTACTTCTCTCTCATAAGTTAAAAGATTGTTTTTCGCACTAATTACGCTTTTCCCTTTATTAAACACGGCATAAATAAGACATCCCAAAGAAAAAACATCGTTTTCAGGTCCTACGATTTCATGCAGAACGTACTCAGGAGCTAAAAAATCCAAAGACTGCTGTAAAGAAGAAGGGGTCGAAGTGTCGAAATCCATTAACTCGTAACGAGGGGATTCAGATGACTGACAGAAACCAAATCCGCAAAGTTTCCAGTCGCCCTTTGAGTCGATAACTACAGAGCGTGGTTGTATATTTAAATGCAATATATTTGCGGAATCCTTTAAAAACAATATACCATTCATAACCTGCAATAAACCTTTTTGAACTTCAATTTCATCCAAAGCAAGATGATTATCAATGTCACCTGAGTTACCAGCAATCGGAGTAGAAATACAAATAACATCAGCAAGAGAAGACTGAATCCTCTTCGTTACAAAGGTTAGTCTTGATCTTGATTCCTCTAGTGGCTCCACAACCTGAAGAAGTGAAGGGTGACGAAGCCTTGATAGAGAACTAACATCGCGTCGTAATACTTCAAGAATATAATTTTCTTTCAAGCTAGCATTTACAACAGAATTTCTTATTATCGTTGATAAAATCCGCTTCTCAAACGAGAAAACCGATACCTCAATATTGGTGCCTCGTTTCGTAGCAGGATACACTGTCCAAGGCCCTACATAAATGGGACTTTCCTTGTCTATATTATAATCATGTTTTATTTTTTTAGTATTGGATACTATATCCTAATGTTAGTAAATTTCTCGACTTTTGCTAGTTTCTCATAGCATCTTTTCCGTGCTAAGATTTGACTTTTGTGTAAACAATCCCAGAAAAGGGTATACACAACCATATAAGAAACTTTTTAAATACACAAAAAATCAAACCAGCCATTGAGACTTACCAAACCGAATCGCATTGGCAAACATCGAAAACCCACTAGAGAACCTTTATGAAATACACGAGACAAGACGTTATCTTGTTTCAAAAGATTATGAAAGAATATTAAAGATAAATCCAGGTAATTGCATAAAATACCAGCAAGATTCAATGAGTGAACGATCTTTACTTCTTTCTTGCGGATATATTAGTAGAGTCGAGTGAAGAATGGAAAAGTTTGGTTTTAGTAATATAAGTCTCTTTGTTTAAATGATTGAAATAAATACACCGTCAATTAAAGAAATAAAAAGAAAATTAAATCTAAGAAAGTCTAGCAAGATAACCCTGCGCGATCAAACGTTCAACATCTGTCGCTCGGATGTACAGCTGCGAATTCTTTGTGAGACTAATAGTTCCAAACTCCGTCTCAATGTCGCCTACGTCTTTTAAAACACGAACATCTATGAACAAATTTTTTGGAGGCACCACAGACGCTGTTAAGTCCAAATCTACCCATGGTCCTTTGTATGCAGCAACAAGTTCTGAATATCGAAACAGATATTCCTGTTCAGCCTGATTTAAAGAAGTATCAATGCAAGCTTCCATTCTCTTACCACCATTCCAACAATATTGCCGTATACTTCGAAGCCTTAGGTTGTGATATGCCATCAAACATCTCTTATTGTACAAATTGGAAGTGTGAAACATGAGCAAAGATGATGCTTCAGAAGGATGTTCCATAGGATTGAACGCAACTTCTCCTCCATTTGTAAGTGCTTGTAAAATTCCAAGCGACTCTCGCTCTGCTGTTCGAATTTCTCGTATAACTTCATTTACAGTATCCGTTTGATATGGAGGAAGGTAATCTAAGTATAAGGTACGTCTTGAATCTTGAATAAGTTTGTTTGACTGATTTCCTAGCCCATTTTCCATATTTTTTGATTACACGAAAGTGTTGGTGTTTAAAGCGAATGTTTACAATAAATAGCATGTACCGATAGTCGTCAGAGCCGGTAGCAAAGAGTATTTATTTTTATTATATTCATTTACTAGTCTAAAGAGGAAAGAATAAACGATTTATGTTTAAAAAAAGTTCATTACTTGTGAGTTAACAATGTAATGAATGTTCTATTGAAGACTTCAATCATAATCAAACTTATGGCTTGTAACCCTTAATTTGAATCTTTGTTCTTGATGATTTAACTATTTATGCAGAATTACTAAACTTCTAATGCTTTCAGTGGTTATTCGCGAAATACTTTAAGCGCTTCAACAGTTCGAATATGCTTAAAGCCGATAAACGCTTAAAAAAGAAAAGGAACAAAAAGGAAAATTAGTAGTAAGGATATTTATAACGGAAAACAGATTATATGTTACAGTAAGTCAAACTTGAGCGTTTTTAGAAATACTAGTAAGCTTCTAAAACAATGTGTGTGGTACTCAATTTCATAAAATGAGTGCGTATAGATTCGTTCATGTCATTCGTAGGCAATGCAATGCTTTTGTGAATTTATAATACCCAATTGAGAAATTCATTCTTGTTGTAAAATCCTCAAGATTAACATTAGATAGTCATATCTCTTTTGAATTTTTTGCAACAAAATGAAAGCCATCCAAGGAGGTTATGAATAAAAAAGACAAGCAAGTGTCTGAAGATAAAAGATAAACTTCAGGACATTGAACGAATTAAGCAATACGAACGAGAAGCCAAGTAATATTATTCAACAACATTATTTACACCGCTTTTCAATCAAAGCCAGACGATCAGCTCCATGCTCATCGTATTCTTGTCTAGAAATCCATAATTGATGAAATGTTCCCAAGCTACTAAGGATCGATCCTCCTAACCACGATGCATAGCTACGTTCAATGATATGACCAGAAGCATGTATTTTTAGACGATTGCCGGGGTATATTTTTGACAAATCGTTTTGTAAACGAATAGAAAAGCCTTGCAATAAACTTGTGCCGCCGCAAACGACGATATTGTTAAATAAGGCATTCCGGATATCAACGTCGCATTCGGAAATGCAGTTTTGGAACAACTGACATATACCCTTAGTTTTTGGATTACTCGTATTCTTTTTCTCTTCATCATCCCCATCCCCATCTCCATCCTTCTCATTTTCATTTTCATCATTTTGCTCGTTCATCGTCGTATCTTCAGAAGGTTTGAATAGACGTTCCGGAATTTGGTAGCGATCAGCCCCGAACACTACTCTCGCACCGTCAGGAAATTCAAACTCTGAATCAAGTATAGTGTGGTCAGAATCAAAAGGAACGTCAGCTGTCAAGGCGCACTCTTCTTTCCACTCATCGTAAACTCTTTCTAATTGAAAACGATGAAATGATTCGGTAGTATTAATGTTCGCACGCTCATACTTTGGAGATTCACCAACACCAACGGGATGCTTGCTGCGTACGAGATATTTTGGAACGGTTTCATAACCCTTTCGTCTTAATGTGTCCGCTATAATTTCATCTAAAGCAGCACCAGCGAATTGCTGTACATTATAAGGTTTTTGGAGGACAAACCCATCGTGAATAGCAGAAACAGAAGCTCTATCATATCCGACATCTATTAAACAGGCTGTACCTTTTCCACTTGCAAAGGCTGCACATGCTTCTTGTCGTGCCAAGTATGTAGCTGGACTACCCAAAGACTCAAACACCATTTCCATGGTTTTGACTCGGTTTTCAGAAGGATTATCGAATGGTTCAGTGACTAGAATTGGGTGCTCTGAAGGATCAGTCTTTAATCGTTCCTTCAACGCATACTGCCAAAGATCCAGAGTGGCATCCCACTGTTGAATCCATCCATTGGAGACACACCTTTTAATTTCCATTCCTTTATGTGGTTGATAAATATATTCTTCTCCAAAAAGTCTTCTTCCATCTTCAAACTCGCCATAATTACTTGGCAAAACGCATTTCGGTATATCCTCTCCAGAAAACCCAATTCTCGTCCATTTACTACCAGGATCTATCACAATAGCTGAGACTTCATCTCCACCATAAAAGGCGTTACCGCTCATTTTTTTTATTGCAGCTTCTCCCTAGTATACGGAAGGAGGACCGTGCGTTAAAAGGTAGGTGGTACTGCCTAGTGTAATAGAAGGGTAGCAGTAAGGGTTTTACTTCATATTTAAATTTTTCTATAATCATAGTCTTTTTTATTTACAATTTGTAAACTCTTGATTAACTGTCAAAATTTATATATGACTATTTTGTTATTGTAAAAGTAATGCGGAGCCGCATTTCAAACTTAAGTGTCTACCTTCAAAATGCTTGTCTAGAAAATTATTATTAAATCCCACCTAAATTTGTTAAGCATAAATGCCAAAATTATTAACTTCTAAAAAAAGCACATTCATAGTTGTACACATAGGACGATAATAACCTTGTTGACATCTCACAAATGTACATACTTATATCCGCTTAATCCGTTGTCCTTTTGTCCTTTTTATTTTATCTAGCAAATTGTAAACAATCAAATTTACTTCACGTCTAGCATCATCTTAATGTTCATAGCTGCAAGTTCAGCAGTAAGATAATTGAACACACTAGGAAGTGCAACAAGGGTAGTGTTACTTCCTCCTACAAATTTGTGTCCAGTACCATCTTCCCATGTTAAGTTTGCATCTTCTAAACCACCGGCTGGTTTAGCACATGCACGGCATTTAACTTCTGAAGAAGCTCCACTACCACTCATCGAAATCGTAGACATAGGAGAGATTATAGAGCCGCAATCACGACAGACCCAGCTTTGAGCATAATCCGAACAGTTCATTAAACGATCTTGCATCAAGAATGATGTCCCGTGACCAATAACAGCATCACGTTCCATCTCACCAAAACGGATACCACCAGCACGCTTACGACCTTTAATAGGCTGGCGTGTAAGGTTATGAATAGGACCAGTAGTACGAACCTGAAATTTATCGTTCACCATGTGACGAAGACGCTGGTAATAAACAACACCGATATAAATATCAGCATGCATCTCTTTACCAGTAATACCACTGTACATGGGCTCATTTCCGTGATAGTTGTAACCAGATTTTACCAACTGTTCACCAAAATAGTCTGAAGCCGTTTGTTGCTCAGAGAAAATAAATGGTGTACTATCTTGTGCAAGACCTTGGCACGCACCAGCTTTACCAGCCAAACTCTCGACGAACATACCGATTGTCATACGTGAAGGAAATGCATGAGGATTAATGATAATATCTGGTTGCATACCACTTTCAGTAAACGGCATGTCAACAGCAGGCCATTTTTGAGAGCAAATACCCTTTTGACCGTGTCTAGAAGAGAATTTGTCACCAATGATGGGACTACGGGTGATACGGAACTTTATGTGAATCTGTTGACATTCAGAATCACCTACATCATTACCAATCAGACGGACTTCATCAACAAAGCCAGGCTCAGTACCATGGTAGGTTTCTACAAAGTTCTGACCAGTTGATTCATCGTAATAAGCAACCATAGGATCGCCATCTTCAAGCATCGTACCGACATAGGGGAGACCATCAGCATCAACCTTTTGCAACCATTCACGACGAGGACTAGAACCAGGGGCAAATCCAAAGTGGTGCACAACAGGCTCACCACGTCTACGCTTCTGGCCTAAATCGACGGATTCTCCCTTATAAACGGTACCATAACCGAAACCGCGCTCATGAGCCGACTTGTTCAAAATCATTGCATCTTCCATATCGTAACCGGTATAAGAAATGACAGCAACAATTGCATTCGTACCGTTAGGAAAGTGGTCCATTCCGTATGTATTGTGCAACTTGGGACGAACAACGGGGGTTTGACCGGTTTGCAAGCGATACAACTTGTTATCGGTACGATAGCGTAAAGCAGTTCCAGGAGTACCCATGGTTTGTTTACCCATTTGACATTGATACATGTTACGAGGAGATTGGTTAAAGTCAGAGAAAGGGGTCATGTTTGCAACGATTGAAAGAACATTTGTAGGAGAATATTCAACGTGAGTTGAAATCTTCGGAACAATTTCTTTTGGAAAACAGGCGACGTCCATATAGACTTGTTCAAATGGACCGAGTAAATCCAATTCACCACTTCCAATGTGCTTAACCGGGCGAACCATACGTGCAGTATTACTAAACAAAAACAAACCAGGGAATTGACCGCCATGAGAAGGAGGGACCAAACCGATTTCTAAATCCAAGGGTACCTTTGGCTTCTCAGTCAAAGTTCCGTTACGTTCAGCAGCAGCATATTGAATCTTCAAGTTCCGCAAAACATTGGCAACGTGAGCAGCTAGTCTATGAGTACACCAGCCAACTATCTTACCATCTAACTGAACGCTAACCCAGTCAGGTTCATGAACCATTGTACTAGGTGGATCCACACCTAAAGATAACAAAAGTGAAGGAACGGAACTCACGTCCGAGGTATGAGTTATGATATCACACTTTCTAGCCAAGTGATTGAGCAAACCGCAAGGTGCACCATCAGGTGTATGGACAGGGCACATAAATCCCCAAGCTTCCGGCAACAACTTACGAACTGTGGTCGTCTTAAGTTCAGCAAAGAAAGCACCACGATGAACCATTCGAAAATGTGAAAGGAAACGGTAGAAGTTTAGTTTTTCTGCAACAACAGTGTAGCCGGTAGCTTGTTGTAAATCAAGACCAGTATTAGATATCAAATTACCAGTACTCAAGAAGTATTGAAGCTTCGAGCCGATATCATTGTTAATTTTGGAAAATACTTTAGTCAAATATTTTCGATCAGAAAAGTCAATACCAGGGACATTACGACGCATGTCCATATTAATTTGAGTGCGAATACTGTTTAGCCAATCCTCAATCTTTTCTTTCAAAATTTGACCATACAGAAAACCACCAAGTAGAATTTCCTGATGTTGGGGAGAATCCGGGTTGTCCGCACAGCATTCACCTGCAACCAAAGCGTATAACTTACGGATCATAAACAATAAAAGTCTGAATTTATCCCTAGGTTCGGACAAATGAACCAATACCACCTTTTTAATAAGGAAGCGACCAACTTCGACGTCAGTTAAATCTTCAGCAACGCCAAGGACGACGCGGAATTTGCTTCCAAGATATTGGAGAGTTTCGGTCTGTGTATAAAGACCATAGGATTTGTATGCACGAAGCATAAGTTCCACACGATCAGTTAAGAAAGTGTTTTCCAAGTCATTACCGACAATACCTTCAAAAATTTCCTTATCACTAGTCTCCACTAAAGCTTTGAGAATCATCATCGAGGGAATCAAGTATTCGTTTTTGCGCCAGTGAAAACGGAACATAGTAACACCGTTGTTCAAATAATGAAGAGTGTTTGTCAAACTAGACTCATCCGCTCGTACACAGCGAATGGAAAGACCATATTGACTATAACTGTTACCACGATTGGCAAAAGAAGGACGAATAAGAGCGGTAGGGTGGTTGCGCTTGGGAAGAATCAACATACGAATGAGCTTTTCAATTCCGTTAACAATAAAATAGCCACCCATCTCTTCACTTTCTTCTTTATGAGCTATCAATTCAGCAGGAGGTAATCCCTCCAAATGACAACGGTTGGAGCGAACCATAATTGGCAACATGCCCACTTCACGCATCTCTGTCTGACGAGGACCATTATTCACAGACCAAGATAACTTCAAGACAAGGCGTGACTTATAAGATGTCAAACGCTCTCTTGCTTCGGCAGGATAAACCTTACGGTTAATAGAGGTACGCTCTCTGCTAGATAGCATGGGTTTAGCAATTTGAACCTCATCCACACGAAAAGAAAGCTTGTTTCCAAACTTGAGATTTCCATTTTCTTGTGTGATAGAGTCAAAAATCGTTTTTTCGCCGATTTCCTTGACAGCAAGGTTCAGCAATCCAGCATCCGTTAATGCATTAAAGGACTGGACATGAGGCTTCGTAGCAAATTGCAAATCTGGGAAGCTAGTTCCGTCCGTAGGCGGACATTTAAATGTCTTTTCTCGCTCTAAGGTATGGAATGACATCCCAAGTTTGCAAAGAAAATTTTGGTAGAAAGCACAAGGATTTTGAGTCAAAATCCAAATTTTTTCAAGCGACTACGAACGCATGCGTAAACCCAAATAGGGTATCGGAACAGATTGGAATAACGTCGATTAACGCAAGGTAACACGTTACGCAAATTGGTAAACGATGGGATTATTAGAGCAGGTAGGTGAATGGAACAGAAGGCAGATGTTATTTGCTTTTGCTAGACATATACTGTATTGTACACCATTAATTTCATTTATTTTCCGTTCGTAAAATATATAATCCAAAAACTAGTTTTTATCCGTAGGAAGATCCCGTGAAACGATGATAGCTTTAGGCTAAATCGAATTATGTCCCAACCTAGTTTTCTTTTTTTTTCTTTATATTATTACATCAAAACCATAATAAAAACGAAGGCGGAAAGCCTTGAACCTGATACTGGGAAGATTCAGGTTAGTAACGAAGCGCTTTGTAAGACTCTTGAAGAAATAATAATAGAAATCAGCTGGTAAACATACAAGCTTTGAAATTGAATCCCATAGGGATATTAATAGAGGGCCTGTCCGATATCGTAAAATTCTCATTATAATGGAATTAGCAGAATAAATATAAGAGCAAAAGTGAAGTTATTAAAGGCACGTAAGAGAAGGGAATACAAAAGTGGTAGGCGAAAATATGACACAAACAATCTTAAGGAAGAATTTGAACTTTAAGCAGATTCGGAGAAATACTTCTTGGTAGCATGATACGTACTGATCATGATAGCACACGAAGGCGCGACTTTTACACAGCGAGGCAGTGTTCCTTTCCATAATGCTCGAGCTCCACCCTTCGAATATAATGTAACTAAAATTTGACCTCGAGAGACAGTATGACCATGGACTTGTCGAGCGGTTTTTGAAACATCGAATGGCTGAGTAAGTAAAGTAGCCATAACACCACTAATTCCTCCACTCATAAAATTCACGTACAGATCCTTTTTGGAGTTGTCGTCTGTTGACGGTTTGAAGGTTGGATGTTGAAGGAAGAACCAACGTGTACGTTCGTAAGCCCACCAGTAGAATGCACTAAAGGGGACATCTCGCCAAAGAGTGACACCGACGCCATTCCAGAGACTTAAGTAGCCTTTTTGTTGAATCATTCTTTGCAGGCCTTGAAAGACTTCCTTTGCAATATCGCCAGTATGTCCTGGAGGATAATGACCACCAGCAGCTTGCACCCGTGTCCGAAAAAGCTCAATTGGGGAAACAATACTAGCTGACACAGTGCGCGCTGAAGCGCCAGCAATAGCAGCAGAAGCTGGAAAATTCCAATCGGTGTATAACAGCAATAGCCGCTCATACATCAAAAACTGAACAACGTTGGCTGGAATTAACATCGTCAGCGAAGGAACAAGTCCTCTCCAAAGGTTTCGAATACCTTCATTGCGAGCTATCTGAAATAATCCCGATACTGGTCCTGTTAAATGTCGTGCTTTTAGGGGATTCTGAACGGCAGTGGTTTTTACTGACGATTGAATAGCATTGCCTTCTGTGGAAGTGAAAGCGGACATCGATTCACTTTGCAGACGAGTCTTTACTACATCAAACGGTGTCACGGCTAACGTCGTAATGAAGCTTCCAACACAAGCCGAGACCATTTTGGCCATAGGCTTGACATCTGGCTCTGCATTCACTGACAGGTCCGCTTCTGAGCTACTCGTCTGATCTGCTATTTGCATGAATTTAAAGTAGACACTCAATGCACAATCCTCCAACTCATTTCTAGTGTAAGAGTGCTACCAAAATCCTTACCATTCATCTTTTGTTGTACCACGTTATATCTTTTAAGGAGTAGCAACATGCACCTAATTTTTTTCGTTAAGAAACAAAGGAATGTAGAGCGCATTGAAGGGAATCGTCGTTTTTTCCCATTTCTGTTTTCTTAACTAATTACAAAAACTAAAGCGTACTTTGGGATACATTTCTCTTCTTTGTTTTATAATAACGGTTGAACTATACGATGTCTTATTTCCGTAGCGGGTAAGGAATTGTGCTGTGGAGACACCTTGATGGACTTGAAAGACTTGTACACTAACAAGCGTGTTTTCTTAGTATCATTGGTTTTTTGTCTGGCTTGGGACTTAGTTATGCTGGCGGTGTCCAGTCACTATTGTTGTCAAGTAAACAAACCCAAACGGAATTACAAGTTACGACAGAATTAATTCAAGAACAAGTAAAATCTCAAAAGGAATTGGAGAACCGAATTCGAATATTGGAAGAAACGGCTTCAAGGTACAATACTGAAGAACAAGTAAAAGAATGGAAAACGATCGTCCAAAATATGCACCTTGACCAATTGGAATTACAATCACGACAAAAGCAAGTTGAAGAGGCTCTTGGACACTTATTATTAGAACGACAAACCAAGCTTTTGGTATGAAAAATGTAAGATAGTAACGAGAACTTATTTTGTGTAAATATTCGGATAGAACGATATAAACCCATTTTATTCATATTCATACTCATTCTTTTCTCTCTCTAATTAATGTACATTCCGCTTATGTCGAAGATGGTCTGTGAAGTACTCGTTCCCATGGAACAATTTTCGCTTGGGCAAACTCATTTAAAGAGCTCACTACTTTTTGATAGTCCTCCCAACTATCCATATTTGAGCATTCCTTCAGTTTTTCCGAAATAGTATTTGTATACGTGAGTTCTCCCTGTAAGCGTTGATATTCTTCGTCTTGCTTTACCAGTTGAGCCTTTTTCTCTTTCACTTCATTCGAAAATTCTTCTAACGACTTTTTAGTATCAAACACAGTAGGTGGCTCGATGTCTTTTGCTGCTTGTAATGTCAATAAAATCTGGCTCATCCATTCCGTATTCCTAACAAACCGCGCAGTGCATATTTGCTGCGGTGTCAATTTGTCCATGATGTCTCCCTTTTCAATTTCAAGATCTTCCGGAGCAATTGGCGGCGTCACCCCATTCTGTATTGTTGTCTTTACTGATGGGTCAGGTACTTGATTTGGGGGAACATTCCCTGAAGGTGCAGCAGCATTCGCAGTAGAAGGCGTCCGCGAACGTGCTCGTAATTGAGATGTAGCCGAAGATACACTGGCTTCATTCATTGGGGTGTCTACTGAGACGTTTGCAGCTGGTGTCCTCTGTTCCCTAAGTAAAAATGGAGGAGTTCGTATATCAGGAAGAGGATATTGCCGTATTTGCGGTGGTTTCGCAATTGAAATGTTTGCTGGCACAGAATCGTTTTCTGGTGCATGTATATAGTGAATTAACCAGTAATTATCAAACCCAATCCCAAGCAAACGATAACGAAACCGAGAATGAACTGTTTTAGGTTCTGATAATGGAAAGAAGCCATGTTTCGCTTCGTGGATCTCGAGCACCTGTATCCATAGTCAATATCAGTTATCTAAAGATCAAACTAATTGATCCATCATGCTTCTTATTGTTGACTTCCAGTCGATAGTAGATCTGTTGTATGGCCAATCTAAAGAATCCTTCCTCAAAACACTTACCTTTCCAGTTACCTCTATATTAAAGACACGTTCATTACTCATAAAATGCATACCATCTGGAGGACAAGGTAACGTTGGTGCTTGCCAAGCTAAAAACAATGTTCCATCATTGGGTTGGTCGACTAGCGTCCATGAAAACGTAATCTGTAACATTAGAAATGCTTTCTTATCTTAAAAAGAGAATACCTGAGGAAGCGCTTGAGATGCTTTCGTAAGAATATCAACTACCGCAGGAATTGGTAATTGAGGAGCAGGTGGATAAGGCAAATTTGCACGACACCATACTTGAGACCTGTAATCTAAAGGAATAGACAATAACGTTTGGGCCGCTGTAGTAGCAGACATCACCCTTTCTATTGCAATTTCGTTTTACAAATCGTCAAGACCACAATGGTGTCGTAGCCTAACATTTAATAACTAAGTGTTACTCTTCAGTATATAGTATAAGGAGCTTTTACATTTTCTTTAGTAAACATTTTCAACATTTAGTAAATATGTAAATTCATGCTTTTTCATTAACATTAAAACAAATTTATTTTCATATTTCTTTCCGATGCATTAAGTACTCGGATATTAGTAAACAAGACCATTATCCGCTTTCACCTTCATGTAATGAAATAATCACATAAATTGGCAAAGCATACTTTCATTATATAGAATATTTCGTAAATATGTGAGGAAATCATAAAACCTGCATCGAATTTAGAAAGTATTTATTTGAGTTTATAAGCACCTCCAGTAAATTCCAGCTTATCTTCTTTGACCATCAAAGCAAGAAATTCTCGTAATTCATTCTGGGTTCGATTGTAACCATCGGGGGGAGGTATAAACATTGTCAACATATTATGAATTCTTTCCAATTCCAAAGATCCAAGATTTGTGAGCATACCAACCACAAAAGACCTAAAATGCGTTAGTACTTTATGCATAAATAATATGAAGAGTCGAAGGTCATACCAATAAACGCGCATTTCCGAAGCTGTTGCATCCGACTGCGACTGAACAGCCGATGCAGGTTCATCTTCAATAGCTGTATCAATTACTGCTGCTTCTTCTTGGGTTTCTCGGACGCGATAGATATCGTCTTTTACCAATGTTAACACTTGATGATGAACCCAAAAGTTGATATGCTTTTTCACTATTTCTGTGGGCTGACCCAATTGGTTTGCAGCTTCTTCTAGTCTAAGAGTTGGTGACTCTTCAAAAAAAGACAATAACGTAGCTTGTTCAGGAGTAACAGATATGTTCAATGTTCGATCTTCAAGCTCAATCTCCAATTCCACAGTTCCTAGATTTTGCAAATAGACCAACTCGCGTTTATTTTGATTTTTAGAAAAGCTATTCGCGTACTTGTCAAGTTCTTCCTGAATTGCTTTGGGCGTTCTGAATGACCGTACTATAAGATTAGGCCAAAAAATTCTAGATAGAACAGTAGCATGGAAAACATCTGATTCATTTTCCCTTTCATGGATGAATGAATCGATGTATTTCGATTTCTTTATATCTTCAAGCATGACATTACACATTTGTAGCGTGGATTCCCCGAATCGATATTTCAGGAATCCTATATTTTTTTCCTGTGGAAATCGTTAGTACTATCATAATGTATATACTTACTTCATGATCGTAATTATAATCCGTAATTTGTAATAAACGTTCTGCAAGCAACAGTTGAAGTTCCTTAATGAGGGTTTCCTTGCTTTTGAAAATAGAAATTAGACTCGCGATAATATCTTTATCTGTCGGTTTTCGAAAGTCAGGAGCCGCATCAATGGGATCTGGCATCCACTTTAGGTAATCATTACGATCGGAAGCAGCATCCACATTGCTGGCAGGAAGTTTTGAAAGCTCATTAGACAAGCCATTTTCAGACTTGCTGAAAAGAAGATATACCAATGATTTACTTGTATCGTCTCGCTCATTTAAAAAACTACGGATAGGTTTCAAGGCCTTATCCAGTAAAACACCTGGCGGATCCAATGCGAGAAAGCATCGTATAGTTGAGACGTAAAAGATGAGGATAGAAGATGTATCTTTACTTGGTCTCAATATGTTTTTTTCACAGTTAGACATGAACTTTTCTACTAAATACTGACGTTGTTCTGGCTGGCGAGCAGCGAGTCTTAAGTCTTCAATAGCACCGGACGATCGAGGATACTCCAAGACTATTTCAAAAATAGAATCAGATCGTAATCGTCCAAGTAAATTTGAAACTAACTGATCAAGTTGAATATGTACGGAAGCAGTGGAAAGAAATGAGACATGTTCAACCAAAAGTGTAAGCTCACTTCGGATCCACTCAGCTGCCTCCTGGTAAACACCGTAAGACCAGTGATAGCCGTAACGTCGATACAAAAGGGTTTGTACATGATCTTTTAAAGAAAGCGCAAAAGTTTCCTTCAACTCTGAAACCAAACCCAATTGTCTTAGTCTTTCACAAAGATGGAAAAAATCTTCTAGACCGAGAGATGGATTAGATTCGTTTTCTGACCATAAATTTAAGATTTTTTTTAGGTAAGCAAATAAGGGCTTCCGAATTTGATCAAGCGGTAGGTGCCTTCTACAAAGACTCCAGAAACATTGCTGGACATGGTCAAGTTGGATAGTGGGATCTTTCGTAGCATAATCCCTGTAAGAAAACCAAAAGGAATAGAGGTTTTGGATGAGACCCTGCAGTTCTTCTATAGTAGTAGGACGATTATCAAACAATTGCGTTTGAATCGATGAATAAAAATTGGATCTTAATGTATCTATGAGGGTAGATTCTGATAACGTTTTGGTGCTTTCTTGCTGAGGAGTTTGGAAAAATTGAAAAACCTTTACAATGGACGCAGAACGATCTTTGCATTCCATAATAATAAATATTTAGAAGAATTCTTCAAGTTTTCCCTTAGGAATATTCGTTGTGAGTAGAGTTTTACGAATGTAAAGACAGCAAAAATGTAAACAACTTGGATGAATGAGCGAAAATAGTTGGCAAGCGTAAAGGAATTTAGGATTAGTAGTTTTTAAAAAAAGATAAAGGAAGAACGAAAATTAATTAAATGGTGAATATTGAAAAACACCTTACATTGAGTAGAGACGGACGGAACTGAATGTCAGCGAAGGCAACATGAATGGAGTTTCACATCCACCACGAAGCCAAAAACTGACATTGAAGCTGTAGGGTTGTAAAGGGATAAAAAGAAAAATATATATCTTAGAAATACAGGATGAACGGTGTTACAAATTTGCTGAAAAAGAATGCACTGACGCCTCCGATTCCTCTTTATCGACGATTGCTGCGAGTTCATCGAGTTATGCTTGGTCCACAAGAACGAGCATTGGGTGATGAATACGTAAAAGCCGAATTTAGACGCCATAAGAACGTTACAAACCCACTGCATTTAGTAGGCTTCCTGACGTCTTGGCAACGCTATGCAGAAACACTGGAAGCTGATGCATGGAAAGAACAACGAGTTGATAATAGAGACTTATTAGAATCATTGAATGAGCAACAGTTAGGACAGGTAAGTGTTTCATCTTCCATGAATTAAAGACCTATTAAGCGAAATTGCTTTGATACAGTTGCATTCTGTTTCAATTGAAATGCAGGATTTTGTATTTCATACTGGTCTATATAAATTCTATCTAAATTCTGATGTTCTATCAAAAAATACCTTGCTAACTTATTTAGCTTTACGAGCTCTCGAAGGCTCTTCGCGAAGAGAGAGATTCTGAATCTGATCCAGTGAAGAAGTAGTAGGTCTCTTGGTTTGTTCTTTTTCGTTTCGAGGTGGACGTTCGGATGTTGTATTACCTTGGACACGACTATGAGCAAGCTCAACGAGAAACCTGAGTATTTTGTTAGTTGGCTCAAATTTTCGGAAATGAATTATGCTGTACTAAAAATATCTTTTTAAACAGAAAAAGAAACAAGAAAAATCGAATGAAACTTCTTTATCTATTTGAAATGCTTCCTTACCATGTTAACGATAACCAAAGACACAGCGTCAATAGTAAGAGAATTATACAATGCACACTTTTCGTACTAATATACAGGGCTATGAATAAGACAGCTAGCACTGCACAGGCGGCATGAGCGGACTTTGCTAATACTGGGGTTACGCCTGGAACGAAAATGCTCTGCCACAGTTCTTGAAAGTAAGATGCCATTACTCCTTTATGATTTGTAACTGAACTAAAGCCGTTACAAGTAAATTTATCCTTTTCTTTGCTACTCAATTTGGGTTTGAGTATTTCAGATGACCCTGCTTTTTAGGTACATGAATGCAAGTGCTTGGTATTGCTATAACAAGTAATATTCTAATTCATATCTTGTTTAAGATAATATCCATCCAAAAAGAATTTGAAAACACCATGTTTGAAGTCAAACATTTCTCTTTTATTTTATTTCTGGTGAAACGTTACGGAAGAGAGAAGGAGTCCATATCTGTTTTGGTTTTTTGACAACTTCTGAGCGTGGTATAATTCGACGAGCGAAATCTAAGATGAGTTGATGGGAATGCTCAGTTTAGAATACCAATCGCTTGATCTATTTTATGTATAAGAGGATGCTTTTTTTTTGTATCTACTTGTGTTTATGCTCACTACTTTTCGATTGATAATTATGCCGGGTCTACTCATACCAAATCCTGTCTAGGGCGACGGGCTGTGAATTACTAAAATACTCATCTCATCTCTAAGTAGTTTTATTTTCTAATGTATATTTAAAAAACAAAACAAAAAAAAAGCGATTCTTTAAAAATTCTTGAGAAACAATAACTATATTATCATCATCATACTACTAGAATATTTTTTAAGGCAAGTATTGTACTTCGTTATAGCCGTTTAACGATATAATGTAACACTATTCGGCGCTTCATTCTACAACAGTGCAGACCTATTAAGAGGTTTAATGTTCTCATTATATGGGTTCGCTTGATTTTCATTAGATGCTAAAGTCCTGTAAGAAACGAAACATAGTTTTGTTTCATACTAGTTTGAATATACGGATCCTTTTATTTATTTTTTGTTCATTTCATTCCAAGAGAAAGTTTCGGTTCTGCGTAGATGGTACATTGTTGAAAACAAGGACTTGCTTGCGTTTCATGCAATGAATTATGGACCCACCTGCGATTCCTCATATCACTCAAGGTTTTTATCCTCTATTTAATATTGTAGAAACATATTCGCGTCATGTTTTAAACGAACTAGTTTCTCTGGCGGAAATATTACCGTCTATGTCGAATGTTGACAAGAAGAGAAGTATATTGGATTGGTTACTACGGTCTCGGACATACACTATAAAGTTACTTATTTTAGCAAGATGGATGCATTTCTCACCTCTCGTTCATCGTTGCATTGATGTAGTCGCATTCTTGCAAGGTCAAAAGTTTTGCTATCAAAATTTAGTACACGTACTACAGACTATTCGCTATCAAATGTCTTTTGCTCGTTTAAGAAATGCTGATCTTTTGACTGCTTTGGATCTCTTATCAACTGGAACCAATGTTCGTCTGCTAAATGCTCCCAGTTCTCGTACGTACGTTCTGCCCCGTAATGAAATTTCCACGAAGCAGGTATTACAAGCACTGCGGACTATAAATATGATTCTTCGAATTCGTCTTGATTTGCATGAAGTGATTCCTTCCCCTTTTCGAAAATTCGTAATTAATAACGGACGATGTACGTTCACCGTTCCTAATGAATTCTCAGTTTCCATGACCACCAATTCACAAGACCCTACCTTAAATACTTCTTCTTTTCAGTGGTTCGTTGTAGATTTCGAATTTCTACTCCCAAAGTACTCTTCCACCCCTTCTAAATTCAAACAACTTGTCGAGCATCATGTGAACGAGCAGATTGCACTACGCTTGGCTGAGCAGAACCCTATTCTCCCTCTTGTTTATAATATTATTCACAAGTTTTGTGTATTTCAGCAACTAAACATTCTTTCCCAAGAAGCCTTTCAGCTTTCAAGACAGAGCTGGCTTGGTCACCTACGCACTGTTTACGACGAAAACGTCCCCCAAATTCGCTTGTATTATTGGCCCCAATTTACGAAGAAAAAAGATGGAAATGTAATCCCATCGAATCATTCTATATGTATATGTACAGAAACACAGGATACCCCAGCTTTAGAACGTATTCTTAGTACTAGGAAATCTAATTGTGACTATGAACACGTTTATCTGAAAGCCAAATGGTATCACGATGAAGAAGTTGAAACAATTTCTTTGGATGCTTCCGCCAGTACGCAAACGTTATTGCTGAAAGTAACTGAGATGCACGCGCGATTAATACTCGGACAAATCCAAAAAGAATTGCATCCAAAAATTTTCAGCGAGCTGACGGATAATGAATTGAAAATTCGCCTGTTTGACCATGACATCGTTGTCAAGGTTAACAGCGTATCAGGAAGACTAGTTTTGCTCAGCTCTAATTCTCCTTTATCACCACCTCGTTATTTGCGTGCAGCTGAGAAAAACATTGCTTTGAGTTCCCAGTCAGCATCTCAGATTATAAATCGACTTTACTTCTTTTGTATTCAGACCGAACTTACTGAAGTAGCGTTGTGTGCCGACTTGAGTGCTGTCCAAGGTTATATTTCTTTTCCGGAATTTGCTTTTACAAAGAAACTTTGGCGTCGGAGTGATGATTTGCTTTGGATTCTGGCTTTTAATGTTGAAACTATGGAATGGTTTGCAAAATTAGCCAACTTCGCTGGTCAAGTTGTATATTCACAAGAAATTTATACCACTGAAGCAAATTTAAACATAGAAAGCTTCCATCGATTAGCATATCTTTTGGAAATACAAAGCTTACTTTACCATGCTCAAAGCGCCTGCTATGAACGTCAAATCCCTTTTGAATGCATACCTACACCTTCAAATGCTCTGACTGTAAATAACTATACTCCTTTTGTCAGAACTGGAAGTTTGAGTATATCTATGCCTACGAACAATGCTGACATTTGTCCACTAGTTTTCATCCGAGCCCATGATGGTATGATGATTTTTGAAGGCAGAATCATGCATCGGCCTCCATTCAAAATGGAAAAAGAGACTTTCAAAACATGTACCATTAATTGGAAAAAGGGGAGATTTACAATGCATTCTACAAACTTTAATGATTTTGAAGAATTCTGGAATAGACTATGTAAAGTTTTGTCTTTGTCAAAAACAACTTGGTTTGAGGTCAATTTGTCCACACTGAGGTTCATCGATTTTACATATCTAAAGCAATACAAATTCAGGCTATCTATCAATGATCGCGGAACTTTTTCAATATACTTCTTTGATCCTGAAAGTCCTTTTCAATTAATTGTGCATTACTTGAATAATATATTCACAGATAATGCATACGATATGCAGCCCCTAAAGATTATTATGGATAGAACTAAGGGAGTATTAGAAGCACAACAAATGGGATATACTGTCTTGGCTCGTTCACTTCGAGAGTATCGAATACTCTTCTCTCCAAGACACGGTATCCAGGTTTCGTTAAATCGTTTTGGTTGTTTGTTGCAAGATACTTACTCTTTATCAACGCCGGCTGTAAAGTCCGAATATTCACAAAACCCCGTGCAACGGTGGGAACCGTGTCAATGGTTAAACTCTGTTTGGGAAGGCGATTTAGGCGATGATGAACTGAACGGCCAAGTTGAGGCCTCTCCGGAATTACACTTATTAAAGACAATGAAAACTGCAGACTTGAGTGCTATCCTAAAAAAAATTTTATCTATTCCACAGAAATATTAGTTTCCTGTTTTTTTTTTCTGTTTAAAAATGAAGTCAAATCAAGAAAGCCGTTATGGTTTTATGATGTTTTGAATTCAATGTTTTAGAGTAAAAAGGATATATAGACGGTGTTAATGACAATTACAGTTGACGAGTACTACGGCATAAAAAGTACAGTTAACCTAAATGTATTAAGTAAAACTAATAACGTCCTGTAATAACCTGAACCCTTAGACCAAAAATTAACTTATTTCCCCTTTTTGGTTTTACATTTAAGACGACGAATCACGTAGATTTGTCATAAGAAAACGCTGATCACCGCTAGATGTAGCACTGCGAGTTGCTTCACGCAAGGCCATAGTCGCATATGAGGAGGAAGGTAATTGAAACTTCAATACCAAAGCCCTGTATTTTCCGTCGTCAGTAGTAACGGGAGCTTTATTCTCCAAAACATCTTTGTCGGTAGTTGTAATTTGCTGTTCTAAAGAGTCATACTTTATAGTATACCATTCCATACCCTTAGGGCGAACCACTAATTTGCGATAATCACCTGGTAAAGAAAGCTCCCTGTCTTTTCGAGCCATCTGGCATGGATCAAGTGAATGTTCACTCATAATCCTCTTGTACGCATCAAAGGTTGAATTATTAGGATATAAAATATTACGTCCGGGTAGTGGTAAAACAATGTCATAAATTGTGTAGTTTCCTAACTCTTCCTCTTTCAAATGTCTTGCAATAGGCTTAGAAGTTTGAGGAATATCTTCAACAACATCTGGCGCTTCAGGATCAACAGGAATATTATCATTAGATTGATTTCCTGTGGGAGATTCCAATACTAAATCACCGGCAACTGGTTTGTCGCCTAACTGCTTAATACGCCAAGAAACTACCTTATTCCAAACATATGATTGGTAAGCATGTGGATAGATACTACGCAAGTGTCTCGGAATTCTTTGAAAAGCTCCCAAGAAATCATTTTGGTTTCCACTTCGTAACCAGGTTTCCAAAATGCTAGTCTCGGCGATAAGGCGACGGGGAAGAATTTTCAAAGTGGCATCCGGATCATGAGTAGTATGCCAGATATTCATAGCTTCACGAACGGGACCTGTATGCTCAGGACGAGGAGAAAGAATGAGTTCTACAGCTTTTTTCCAATCAGATTGCAGTAGGGCAATTCCGATGGTGTGTGTTCCCACCGAAGATGTGCCAAATCTTTGGAGACCGAAATAGTTGATGAAACCATGTTCCTTGATGGAAGACATACAAAGCTCGATTTTGTCTTCTGGGGTTGAAACATCACGCAAGACCACTTGGAATTCATTACCTTGCAAATCACCGAGTTTTAGTGGAGAGTTTCCGTAAGAGTAGTTACCCAAAAGGAAACCGTATGTTGAGTTGGAAAGAGAACCAGCGTTTAGTTGGGCAAGACGAGAAGCACGAACATGACGGACGGCAGCGCGCTGACAAGTAATACCCCTTCTATCTTTTGTACCTGCAATAGAAAGCAGTTTCGTAGGGATTTTCAGAAGACGAGCAATTTTTCCTAGGCAATCCATAGAATCACGGTTTTCTTTGTACAAATGAAAATAACAATATTCACCTCCCAAGGCCTTCCAGCTAAGTCGAGCATCTCTCTTTGGTCTAGGTTGATTGCTACGCGTAGACTTATGAACTTGAAAAGAACCATCTTTAGTGGTGGTTGATTCCAACCCAGAAAAGTGTTTGCGAATGAGTTGATGCAGAAGCGTGCGTTTCGTCTTGTCGAGCGGAGTAGAAAACTGAGATGATTCTAGCACTGCAGTTTCGTTTGATTTACCAATTGAGAGATCTTGAAGACAACTAAAAAACTGAGAAGCCGCATCTTGAGGAATGCATTCTGAAAGCTCTGAAGGTAAAGGAATTGAATCAGCAGGAGTAGCCGCCTGTCCTTGTTCTTCTAAAGTTACATCTGAATGGGGAACGACGGACTGTTTCTCAATTTTATCCTCCTTGGCCGATGAAGATGCTTCTACCTCCGGCAAAGGGTCATGAGATTCCATATCTGTCAAAGTAATAACTTTCCCTTCTACGTCCACTTCGTGTACCATAAAGTCTGTAAAGCGCGCTTTTAAAATCCCATCTATAGCAGGAAGTCCCGAATCTAAGAAAGTTTCAATTCCGGCATCTTCTTCAGTCATGTAGAACCTTTGGTTTTCAGCATTCTCGACATCATTGACTTCTTTGGCTCCTTTGGCCTTTTCACTGTAAGCCTCTATTTCTGTCTGGTTCGAATACTCCTCCGTACGAAGTCTTTTTCTAGGCTCTTCTGCAGACATAGTATAGTTGCTTCCAAAGGTGTTGAGTTTGTTCTTCAGAAATTGAGTGTTTCAAATATTAATTTCGTTATAAAGATTTTACACTAGTTAACGACGATGTCACAATTTAGGAAAAGGTAGGAGATTGAAAAAAATGTAGGAAAAAAAAAAAAAAAATAGGTAGTAAAAGAAAATTATTTAGATTTGGTTACCAAGTCGTTCTAGTACAGCTTTTTTCTTCCTTCTTTGACTGAATGCAATGCTTGTTGATTAACGCAGTGAAGAGCAAGAGTACAAGAGTAAGAACCAGCCAAAGAAGCATCGTAATAAACAGGATTCGTTCGTATTCGGACGCTTTTGAGGAAGATTTTGTTTTATTTCACTTTCTCCTTTATCGTTTTATAACGCTTCGTCCTGTAAAAGAACTGACAATACCTCTTTCCCTTGTTTCTTTTGACAGTGTTTTGAAAGTTTGTTGCATTAAATGGATCAGGAGAAGAATTGGATAGATGAGTTTCATCCTTCATCTTTTACAAATCCTATAGAAAAGCTAAACGCAATTCTCCCCAAGCAAGGGACACCTCAACAGTTGGCAACTTCGTCGCAGCAATTACTCAATCAGTTTCAGTCAACCTTGAACAATAACCTTTCTGTATTGAATAATCAAATCCAGCAAATATGTGGGAATTTACCTCGTTTGCCAACCATGGTTTCAGCCTTAGATCATGATAGTCGACTTCTTTCCCAAACTTGCGACTCATTTCCTTTCAAGGAGGATTCTTTGAACGCTCTTCAAGAACTTGAAGAAATTCGGAAGAATTTAGGACTTACGATTGCTGAAATCGACAAACAGTTTTAGGTAAAACTTATTTGTACACTGTCCTTATCCAAAAATTTGTCGTAGAATGATCTATTTTTTATGTCTGTGCCTCTTTGACTTATCCTCTCTATTTTATTAATTTCCTTGCTTTTTTTATATTCAACTTACGAAAGCGAAAGCGCCTGTAAACTTTTATTATTTTGCATATTTCCCATTTACACAATCCTACGTTTTTTTTCATAATAATCTAAATTTAATAAGAAACTCTTTGATTTCATACACATCAATGCTATTTCCACTTACATTCCCGTGTAAGTCTGCTACATTTGCTGTTTCCTTTCTACTACTGATCAAGACATAACCTTCATCTCAGAAACGTTATTCTTGTTTATTGTAAAATTCGAGTAAACTTTCTATAGAGATTGCTTTAGGAATTGGAATTCAATAAGCGGTCTTCTCAGTTTTTTTTCCATAAATCTTTGGCAAATAAAAAATGTAGATTTGGTTTAGTACAATCTTCAGTATGAAGAAGTATACAGCACGCTTTTGAATAAAATAAACAAAATAGTAGCCTAATGCACTGATTTAACGAAATGAAACACTTTATCCTCCTCTTGCTTTTTTTTTCTACATACAGTATTCTTTGTTTTTTAAAGTAAACAGTAAATTTGTCTTATCTAAGATATCGCAGTCTACCGCTGTCACTATAGCGTTGGCTTTCGATGGTAGTTGCTTTAAATTAAGAGCGAACATCGCTGCTGTAGACTTCGTCTGTCCTTCGCCAAATATGCAGTCTCCTGTATTTGTGATGAGTAAGTAAATAAATATGAAAAATGGCTAACAAATAGACACAAATGCCAACCGTCAGGTTGGTTACAAGGCACAGATGTCTAATATTCAAGCGGCAAAAGCCGTTGCTGATGTATGAGATTCATATTGATGACTTCCTTTATTTTACGAGGAAAACTTTATAAACTAACTATAAATAGGTTATTCGAACGTGCTTAGGTCCTCGTGCCATGCTGAAAATGCTTCTTGACCCAATTGGTAGTGTTTTGCTGACAAACGATGGACATGCTATTTTACGAGAAATCGAGGTCGCTCATCCTGCCGCAAAGAGTATGATTGAACTTGCTCGTACCCAGGACGAAGAAGTTGGTGACGGTACCACATCTGTTATTATTTTGGCTGGTGAAATTTTGGCTGCTGCTAGCCCTCTTTTGGAGCGGAAGATTCATCCCGTTGTTATGATCCGTTCATTTAAACAAGCTCTTGAAGATGCATTGAAGGTTATTGACAAAATTACGTTACCCGTGAACGTTGATGACAATGTTGAAATGTTCCGATTAATTCGTACATGCATTGGCACAAAACTTGTCGCTAGATGGAGTGATTTAATGTGTCATTTGGCTCTCCGAGCTGTCCGTACAGTTGTTTCTACTGCCAATGGAAGAATGGAAATTGACATCAAGCGTTATGCCCGCGTTGAAAAAATTCCTGGTGGTGAGATTGAATCTAGTTGTGTTTTAGACGGAGTAATGTTAAATAAGGATATCACTCATCCTAAAATGAGACGTCGTATTGAAAATCCCCGCGTTGTTTTGTTGGATTGTCCATTGGAATATCGTAAGGGTGAATCACAAACCAACATTGAAATAACCAAGGAATCGGATTGGAGCCGTGTGTTAGAAATTGAAGAAGAACAGATCAAACATATGTGCGACTGTGTAATTGCTGTCAAGCCTGATTTAGTAATTACGGAGAAGGGAATTTCTGACCTTGCTCAGCATTACTTACTCAAAGCAAATATTACTGCTATTCGTCGTACTCGCAAATCAGATAACAATCGTATCGCTCGTGCTACTGGTGCAACCATCGTAAACCGTGTCGAAGATTTACGTGAAAAGGATGTTGGAACTGGTTGTGGTTTGTTTTATGTTGATAAACTTGGTGATGAATACTTTACATTCCTTACTGGTTGCAAGAATCCTAAAGCTTGCACAATTGTGTTACGGGGCCCTAGCAAAGATATTATTAACGAGGTTGAACGTAATCTTCAAGATGCTATGGCGGTTGCCAGAAACGTGTTCTTCCATCCAAAACTTGCTCCTGGCGGTGGTGCTACTGAAATGGCTGTTAGCGTTTGTCTAGCAGAAAAGTCTCGTGCCATAGAGGATGTTGCTCAATGGCCTTATCGTGCCATTGCAGATGCTATTGAAATCATTCCTCGTACGTTAGTCCAGAATTGTGGTGCTAACCCGATCAAATCATTGACAGAACTTCGTGCTAAGCATGCCGAAGGTCACTACAGTTTCGGCATTGACGGTGAAACTGGTCGCGTCGTCGACATGCATGAGTATGGCGTTTGGGAGCCTGAGGCTGTGAAATTGCAATCTATCAAGACTGCCATTGAAAGTGCTTGCTTATTGTTACGTGTTGATGATATCGTCTCTGGTGTCCGCAAGCGTTCCGATTAAGTTATTTTAGATCTCAAGTTCCTTGGTTGGGCGGAAAAAATTCAAATGTGAATGTCATAGATTGCTTGTTAAACTCATCAGATATTTCATATTCAGTGTGAAATCATTAGTATCTTAGTATGCACTTGTAAATTTAGTTTTGCACATTTTATAAGTTATCATCTTACTCTAAATATAACGATAATCCTCACTGTAGCGCGCTAAAACCCAAAAGCCAACAAGTGCAGTACTTTCTTTTCGTTTGGAACGAACCAACCATGAAAGTAAAAACAATTACTCGAGGGACTTCGTTAACGCGTCTCAATGATCAGAATCCTGTTCAAAGGAATTTGGACCCTGCGCTCCATCCATTTGAACGTGCTCGTGAGTATACGAGAGCACTGAATGCCACGAAAATGGATCGAATGTTTGCCGCTCCTTTTCTAGGCCAGATGGGACAAGGGCACCAGGATGGTGTTTACTCATTAGCACGAGATACCAATTCTTTAATTGATTGCTCTAGTGGCAGTGGTGATGGTGGTATGTGAATTTCTAGGTGTGGAAGTTTAATTTTCCCTTATTAACTAATTTATAGTCGTAAAACTTTGGAATGCGGGTGAAAGAGAAGAACGGTGGTCTACAAAGGCTCATGATGGCATTGTCCGTGGATTAGTATTTTCTAATAATGGAGATATATTGTCATGTGCCTCTGACAGATATGTAAACCTTTATGATAAACAAGATGGTTCTGTTAAAAAGTCTTTTTTGGGAGATGCCTCTCTTTTAGATATTGATACTTGTAAAAAGGGACATACTTTTGCTACAAGTGGCGCAAACGTCTCTATTTGGGATATCAATCGTGACACGCCGGTATCGAAGTTTGAATGGGGTGTAGATACATTACCAGTAGTGAAGTTTAACTATGCTGAAACATCTGTGTTAGCTTCTGCCGGTATTGATCGTTCCATCGTAATTTACGATTTGAGAACGTCATCTCCATTAACTAAGTTGGTTACTAAACTACGTACCAATTCTATTTCATGGAACCCTATTGAGCCATTCAATTTTATTGCCGGAAGTGAAGATCATAATGTTTATCTGCACGACATGAGAAATATGAAACGAGCTCTTCATGTTTACAAAGATCATGTGTCCGCTGTTACCAGTGTGGATTTCTCTCCTACAGGACAAGAGTTCGTAAGTGGTTCGTATGATAAAACAATAAGATTATATAATGCTCGTGAAGGCCATAGTCGGGATATATATCATACGAAGAGAATGCAGAGGGTTACCAGTGTCCGTTTTTCGATGGATTCTCAATATGTTTTCTCGGGATCTGATGATAGCAATGTTCGTCTTTGGAGAGCTAAAGCATCTTCACGTGCCAGTATTCGCTCCACGAGAGAAGAAAACCGTCTTAAGTATTTGGATGCTCTGCGTGATCGTTACAAACATATTCCTGAAATTCGTCGCATTGCCCGTCATCGTCATGTTCCTTCAGTTGTTAAGAAGGCAGGCGAGATTAAGAGAGAAGAAATTGCTTCGCTTAAGCGCCGTGAAGAAAATCGTCGCCGTCATAGCAAGAAAGGTGCTGTGCCATACGAAAAAGAACGGGAAAAGCATGTTGTTGCTCTACAAAAATAGTTGGTTTTGGTAATTTAATGGTGTTAATTCTTGGGTTTTATGTTTTTGAACAATGGGAAAATTTGTACATTTTTTAGAAGATTATTAATAGAATGATACAATAAGATACGTCTGTATTTGGTTAAAACATTAGAAGAGCATTTCAATGAACTGGAAAGTTCAGCGAATATATTATTGAATAATATTCATACCACTACTATGAAAGGACCTGCCGTAGATTTGATCTATAAGCGGCTGCTATTTACAGTAACATACATTTATTGACGCATTCTCTTTTTTGATAGGAAAGAAGTTTATTCGTAATTATTAACATCAAAAAAAAAAATATAATGCTCCCTAATTAATGCTAAAATTAAGTATTACAGACAGGTTATTGTATATAAGCTCAAATCCCAAAGGATAATAGGTAACTATGTAAGAAATTTCTATCCCCAGAGCTAATCCGTGAAAAGAATGATTTTTAATAAAGGTCTGCTGTCAGCCTCGAGGTCCCGGCTGAATTTTCTGAAAATCAATACACGTCTTCATAGGAGGTATTCGATTTACGATTTAGTAAACCAGGATTTCTCAACGTATGAAAACCAGAAGCTGCATGTTCAACATGACCTAAAAGTTCGGCTGAAGGATTTGCTGAAAACATTTAATGCTCCTATACAAGTCGCAATAGGATATGGTAGCGGTGTGTTTCAACAGGCAGGTTATCAGTCATCTGTAGGTATTTTTGTATAAAAGTTGATTTCTAATTTCGCAGGCGAAACCAATGGTTGATTTTATTTTCCAAGTGAATGATCCAGTACGTTGGCATGAATTGAATATCCAGCAAAATCCCTCTCATTATTCTGCATTGAAGTACTTCGGACCAAAAGCAGTTACGAAAGTCCAAGAAGACTATGGTGCTAATATTTATTACAATACACAAGTACGAGTGGGGAATAGCATTATTAAGTACGGAGTCATAAAAAGAGAGTCATTGATGGATGATTTGAAAAACTGGAATACCCTTTATACAGCTGGGAGATGTCAAAAACCTGTAAGATTGCTGGCTTAAATGTAAGATAAACTAACATCGACAGGTGGCTTTATTTCAGGGAGAAGAGTTCTTTTACCCACTTAATCGTCAAAACTTAGAACAGGCTACCTCTGCTGCTCTATTCATGCTTCCGAATAAGTTTTCCGAATTTGAATTTTACAAGACTATAGTAAATCTTTCTTACATAGGCGATATGCGCATGTCACTATTTGCAGAGAATCCGAAGAAGGTGGATAATATTGTTTCAAAGCAGCTTTTTTATTTTAGAAAGTTATATTTACCCATTCTGTATACTCATTTTAATGTCAGCTTCCCCTTTTACGATTCAAAGTTCCATAAGCTAAATGGTCACGACCCTACTTTCCTGCTAGAAATTGAACATGAATCTACTGGGAAGGCAAATCACTACTTTAATAATTTGCCAATTAACTATCGGAATTTAATTCTGGCAGCTGCTTATAAACATGGTTTCAGTGAAAATGATTTGTGGTTACGGACATCTATTCAAACCCGGCAAATGCTAAGCATCATAGCATTGAAACGTCTTACACAACGGCCAATCTTAACACAGAGTGCCAAGGGCGTATTAACCGCTGGTTTGTACCGTTCTATAAGCTACTCTTTGGAAAAGCTGAAAAAGGGACTTTCTTTTTCAAAATAAAATCACCAGCGGAATCCCTAAATAATACGTCTCTCCTCTGACTATGTCTCTTTCGAAAGTTTGATTACGATATATATTAGAAGGTAGATTCAAACTCATAATGAACAAAAGTTTTTTATTGAATGTTTAAAATGTAGAACAATTGTGCTGCTTCTGGAATACATTTTAGCAATATTATGAAAATTAAATATTTATCTAAAAATTATTAAATGTCAACCTTTTGAATCCGAAAACTTGTTCCCAAACAGTAAAGGAGCGTGTTCATGGCCGAATTGTCTCAGACATTGAATAAAATACACACAGAAACTATGTCATAGTTAATGTGATTGCGACTGAATAGTAGTCGAGCGATATAGTGAACAAAAGAACGTATGGGACAAGCAGCTTTTCACATTTTAGAGCTAAAACTGCGGTTTGTAGAAGGTGAAGATAATTTTTTGCTAGTCGGGGAATTTTTTGGATGTGCATCCTTTTCTTCTGAGTGAGGACCTAGTCCTAATGCAACCACAAAACGCCTTGACCAAGATGGTTTTCTTTTATCGGATGATGCCGTCGCCGGACGATTCATCACTTTTGAAGAGCCAGAAAACGATGAAAACCTCTTATTCGGTGTTCTTTGCTGATCCAACGTTTCTAAATTCGTAGAATTTCTAGCCGTATTGTAAGGAACACGCTTCTTCTTATTAGTTAAACTTGTTTGATCAACAGGTGGAGGAGTTACCACTCGAGGAATCGGTTCGGAAAATGCATTTGTATTCTCTTGTGCGAGTGAATTAGTGGACCATTTTTGTAGCATTCGAAGCCGTTCTTCGAGACGGATACTTCTATTCTCAAGTTCTTGGACAGCAGTCTGTTTTGAGTTATAATGACTTCGAACCTTATCATAGTCCATATTTAGTTGCGTGTAGGAGAGTTCCAACTTGTGGATTTTTTCAACTAGTGAAGATTCTTTAAGTTCCAAATTCGCGATATTATCTAAAAGTGTATTGTTTCTAAGGGCTAGTGTGGAGTTCAGATGCTCATGGAGTTCCTGATTATTTTTGTTTACATTCTTCAGTTCCGGAGAATTATTCTCTTTATCGACTTCTTTTTGCATCTGCTCGTCATTTGCAGTTAGGAGACTTAGAGTCTTTGAAGAGAAAGATGACCCAGTGTAAAGCGAAGACATTCTGGATACCTCATTCTTAAGAGTTTCAAGATAATTATTGAGGTCGGTGGTAATACTTTTGAGATTCTCTGTAGCACTTTCTTTAGGTTTTTCAACATACAATTTTCTGTGGAGGAGGGCCAGAATATCATAAAGACTTTCACCGGTCGATAATGCTGGGGTCTGAATTTCTTCTACGTTAAAACTGCTGGGATATAACAAACGATCGATTAGAGCTTGGAGCTTCGTGACTAATTCTTCTTGTTTTAACGAAAAGTCAGTATTTTTATTTGGATAATCTCGAAAGGAACCTAGATTTTGTTGGACATTAAGAAGGACTTGCGTATTTTCCCTCAGAATATTACTAACGTTTTCGTGACCCGCTTTCAAATCTTCGATCTTGTGAGCAAATTCGCCATTAGCCAATAATGAAAAGCTATTCACAAGCTTTTCAAGATCTTCATAAGTTGTATGGAATTTGTGAAGCAAATCAGAATCATTTTGGTGAGAAGCCACCATCTCTTTCCAATTTTCGTATAATAAGCTTTGCTTTTGATACCATTCGTCTTCATTTTTTTGATTGCACATGAATTTCTGTAATTTGGTTATTAAATCCCTCTGTACGTCTGTAGCTTCGTTGGTAATCATCAGTTTTTGGGTAATAGTATGCAATTGATTTATATATTCAGCACTTCTCGTTGTAAGGGAATCCAATTCGGTATTTCTTTCAATAAGAGATGCATTGATATTATCCCATTTTTCTTGAGAAGGAAACACTTGTTGTAAATTGTCACAAATACCCTGCAGAGTTCCTTGTAACAAATTGAGGTTTTCATTCGTGCTTCGAAAAGATGATACTTCATTTGACTGTTTTTGTAAAGAAGCCTGCAGAGCTTGATCGATGTCAAGGGCTCCTTTTTTTAAATGAGCAAGACAAACACCTAATTCCTTCCGGATTTCCAAACTTGTAGCTTTGTTCATGTCTTTCACAAGCTCGGATACCTGATGATTCTGTGAAGATGATTGTTTTTCTAAAAGGTAATGAAGATCTTGTACAGATTTTTGAGATTCCATATTTTGAAAGGGAGTATCAGACAATCTCTTAACTACCGTTTGCAATTCTTGAAGAAACGAAGCATTATCTTTACTCCTTTGAAATAGTTTATTGATTTGGTTGATTATGGAACTGACTGTTATGGAAATATTGTTCAGTACTTCTAAAGTCCGTGAATCATTTTCAGATAAACCAACATAACTCTTATTGGAATAGGGAGAAAGTCTGGTAGATAAATTCGGAAGGGCCGCTGACCTTGGAATAGATGGAATTCCATCTTCTTGTGGAAGTGGTGGTAAATTCATCGCATTCCTATGTGAGTTGCCTGTCTCCCAACTAACAAATGTTAAAAAACACCATCATCGAATAAAAGTATACTTACTCGTTTTCTTTCATTTGAAGCGGAGCTGGAGTAGGCAATTTGCTCATACTTACGCCCCGTCGAATGATATGGACAACCTCAAAGGTATTTTGGTGGTGAAGACAGATTTTAAAACGTCTCTTTGAGACGGTGAACGGAGAGTAGATTTATAGTATACTAAAGCAGTGATTATTTCTATTAAGATTTTAGATTTTTTTGCAAGTTATTAATCATTTGCTGTGGTAAACGGGATTTGTGGTCATCCAAGTTTGTCGCATATCTTGATCGAAGACATCATCAAATCCGCCTAATAAATTGAATTATTATTTCTTTTCAATATTATATCATTTATCTTCTTGTACCTTTAATTTTTAGCTTCAATGATAAACGATACAAATTCGAAATAGCAGTAGAGAGCGCGATGGCTTTATATGCCACAATAAAAGTAAAACAAGACAGGAAAAAGAGAATATATTATCTTAATAAATATAACAAAAAAATATTAGAACTATTACACAGTAGAGACCAATTGAATCTGATGAATGTTCAAAGACATGTGCATATACACATGAGAAATCTAAGACCTGATTATAGAAGCACCATGTCAAAATGTAAGTACTCAATAGGGAAATTATCACAAATCTTTATAATCAGGATCATAGGCATCGTCGTCAGTAGCACCCAGTGCTGTTAAGCCAGAAGTCAAGTTTACTGATGAATCGCTCGCGTCGTAAGTTGGTGCATTTTTTTTTGATTCCATTTCTTGTAAAGAATGTTGTGCTTGTTGAAAAGCTGATTGAAAGTATGAATCATCGAATTCAGATAGCCGATCAAATTCCATATTTTGAAGATGGGACGCAGGAGATTGGTATTCACTAACAGATGATGAGAAACCATTTGACCGAAAATTTTCAGAAGTAAAATTGGGATAAGGCATTGGACGCCACGATGCCTGACCCTCTGTGTTGGGGGTATATGTTTGTTGCTTAGTGTCTTGCATGCTGTTGAACTCATCTACCCATGGCGAGTCCTTTTTAAAATAATGTGCGTTTCTTTGTGAAGACAAAGGCGTATGAGAAGTATTTATCCGTCCAGGCGAATTTACAGATTCTCGTAATAGCTGGTATTCTCTAGCAGAAGCACTTGATTCTTTTGCTGTAGCAACATACGGCAATCTTTGTTTAGATTTATGTATACGGTCCGATGTAATAAAAGATTTAGTATCGACGTTTGAAAGTGACTGTAAATTCGATCCAGAGCAAGAATCCATTGGAAGGTCAACTTCTATTGGGATGATTAAAATTAATGAATGAAATGTTAGATTAGACAGTGAATCAAAAAGAAAAATTTCAAAAGTCAACTACGGCGGATATGAAAGATGATTCGTAAAAAGTATAGGTATCGTAAAGACTATTTTTTAGTGGTAAGTAAAATGAATCTACCAATTTTTCCTAAAAAGTTAATGTCACAAAATTATTTTAAGCTACTTACAATAATTGGGTTCTTTTTTTTTATTTTCTGTCGAATTTAGTCAGAAATCTTTCGACAATTACGGAAATATTTATTATGATTTAACAGTTCTAAACAAAATTGGGCTAGATTAATACAACAAGAAAAAATGCTTTATTCTCAAAGTAGCTAAATCTTATATTAAAAATATATTATTATTCATTAAACCGGTCTTATTTCCTCTGTTTACACGCTATTTCCAGGTTATGTTCGCAGACGCGAAAACTTGAACAACGTGACTCGAAAATACGACTCAGATAAAAAAACATTTTAAAATAAAAAAAAAAAAGTTATTATTTTAGTCAAATCGTCCTAAATTGTGTTGCAAAATATAAGAAAAAAAGGAGTAAACAAAGCATTTCCCTATTCGAGAGTAGCCTTCCCTCGAAAGCCGATTTTCTGTCTTCTCCCTATACTGATATATGGATTTCATGTAAAGGGAGAGTTGCATTCTCCTTTCATTTTTATAAATTTATCAAATCTACATTCATTACTTTCTTTTATTATACAATACTTAATTTACAGAGTAGGCTGCTCATTGAAATTTTTGGTTAAACGAACCAAAAGACCAGTTTTTATCTCACTGTGAACTGTTTTTCGTTAATTACTTTCAAATTTGAAGTTTGATTGCCATATATTCCCTCGTTTATATCCAATTGTGCTGGAAAATCTATCGTTGCACATTTAATTCTACTGGTTTTATTTTGCATTATACCTCTTCAATTTACTTTACCTTCTTTTTTATTATTATTAGTTATCTTTTAAAGTTTAATAACTTGAGTGTTTGCCAAAATGCCATCAGACGATGATTTCGTGATGTCCAACTCCGAAGATGAGGTTGTTCCAACGACTACAAGAAAGGTATGTCAGTGAGTAAACGTTTTTGATCGCTAATAAACATAGAGAACTACCTCTCAGTCTCGTACCAAGAAAAGTTCTCAGAGTAGTAGGAGTGCTTCGCCTTCTTCGTCGTCTTCCAATTCTGTCCCCACTGCGACAAATGCGGAAGCTAATGAGACCAGACTTAATGCTTCTTCACAATACCAACGCTTAAGTCCTAGAGAACACGTGCTTAGACGTCCTGATACTTACGTTGGTAGTATTGATCGTACAACTTCGAACATGTGGGTATACAATTCCGAGAGTCAGAAGCTTGAATACCGTGAAGTCAATTATGTTCCCGGTCTCTACAAAATTTTTGACGAAATTATCGTTAATGCTGCTGATAACAAGGTGCGTGATCCAACCATGAATACCTTAAAAGTCACTATAGACCCAGAATCCAACGTAATTTCCGTTTTCAACAATGGTAAAGGTATTCCGGTTGAAATTCACGACAAGGAACAAATCTATATTCCGGAGTTGATTTTCGGTCATTTACTTACGTCTAGTAATTATGATGACAATCAAAAAAAAGTTACCGGTGGTAGAAATGGATATGGTGCTAAACTTTGCAATATCTTTTCTTCAGAGTTTACCGTTGAAACCGCTGATAAATATCAGATGAAAAAGTATAAACAGGTGTGGACTGACAACATGTCAGAAAAGAAAGATCCTATCGTTACGGATCTAAAAAGGCCAGAGGAGTATACGAAAATAACGTTCAAGCCTGATTTACAAAAGTTCGGCATGCCTATGATTGACGCCGACATGGTTGCCATCTTGAAACGTCGTGTCTACGATATGGCCGGTACTGTTCCTGATACAAAGGTATTCTTAAATGATGAGCGCCTGAAGGTTAGTGGATTTAAGAAATATGTTGATATGTATCTGTCTTCAAGCACGCCCTCTGATACCGAAAGTCCCACAGTTATTTATGAACGAGTCAATGACCGATGGGAAATTGCGTTTGCTGTATCCGATGAAGAGTTCAATCAGGTATCTTTTGTCAACAACATTGCAACAATCCGCGGAGGTACCCATGTTAATTATATAGCGGATCACATTGTGAAAGCTGTCAACGAAGATGTACAGAAGAAAAATAAAGGTGCGCCAGTTCGTCCTTTTCAGATAAAGAATTTTATTCGCATTTTTGTTAATTGCCAAATTGAGAACCCTTCATTCGACTCACAGACTAAGGAAACCCTTACCACTAAAGTTTCGAACTTTGGTTCGACTTGCACGCCAAGCGCGAACTTTATGAACCGTGTTAAAAAAAGTGAAATAATAGAAAAAGTTCTAGATTTAGCTCGCTCGAGGGCAGACAAACAACTAAGTCAAACAGACTCTCGTGGATCACGTTCTCGAATTACTGGCTTGCCTAAGCTCGAGGATGCCAATAAGGCTGGTACCAAAGAATCTCATAAATGTGTACTGGTATTGACGGAAGGTGATTCCGCTCGTTCTCAAGCCCTTTCGGGTTTAAGCGTGGTTGGTCGTGATTACTACGGGATTTTCCCGCTGCGAGGTAAGCTATTAAACGTCCGTGAAGCTTCTCATACCCAAATTATGAATAATAAAGAAATTCAAGCAATAAAAAAGATTATGGGGCTTGTACACAAGAAGAATTATACAGACACTAAAGAACTACGATACGGGCATTTGATGATTATGACCGATCAAGATCCCGATGGTTCTCATATTAAAGGTTTAATCATCAATTACCTAGAGTCTACCTACCCATCGTTGTTGCAAATTCCAGGATTCTTGATCCAATTCATTACCCCAATCGTTAAGTGTAAACGAAACAGACAAGTTATTCCGTTTTACACCCTATCCGAGTATGAATACTGGAAAGAAGCTAATAATGATGGTCGTGGCTGGGATATCAAATACTATAAGGGTTTGGGTACAAGTGATGCCAATGAAATGAAGAGTTACTTCTCTGATCTCGATCGTCACATGAAGTACTTCCATGAAATTAAAGAGGCGGACAAAGGCTTAATTGAAATGGCGTTTGCCAAAAAGAAGGCCGATTCACGAAAGGAATGGCTTCGTACATATCACCCTGGTATCTTCATGGATTACACGGTTCCTCGTATTCCGATTGATGATTTCATAAACAAGGAGCTTATTCAGTTTAGTATGGCTGACAATATCCGTTCAATCCCTTCCGTTGTAGATGGGTTAAAACCAGGCCAGCGAAAGATTATTCATTACTGTTTGAAGAAAAATATCACTCGTCAAATTAGAGTCAGCAATCTTACAGGATATGTTATGAGTGAGACAGCGTATCATCATGGTGATAGTTCCTTAACTCAGACGATTGTCAACTTAGCTCAAAACTTTGTCGGAAGTAATAACATCAATCTTTTAATGCCGCATGGTCAATTTGGTACTCGTTTGGAAGGCGGTAAGGATGCAGCAGCTCCTAGGTATATTAATACTTGCCTTTCTCCTATAGCTAGGAAGTTGTTTAAAATTGAAGATGATCCTTTGATGAATTATCAAAATGAAGAAGGTCAGTGGATTGAGCCTGATTATTACGTTCCCATTTTGCCAATGATTCTTGTAAATGGTGCAGAGGGAATTGGTACAGGCTGGTCTACTAACATTCCTAATTATAATCCTAAAGATATCTCTGCTAACATAAGACGCCTTCTTAATAATGAACCCTTGTTTGAGATATCTCCCTGGTATCGTGGTTTCCGTGGTGGTATGGAAAAGGTGGCATCTGACAAATACAAAGTTACTGGTATAATTAATCAAATAAGTGATTTGAAGGTTGAAATTACTGAACTACCTGTTCGATTTTGGACTCAAGATATGAAAGAATACTTAGAAATGGGAATTGCTGGTAGCGACAAAGTCAGTCCATTCATTAAAGACTATGAAGGGTTTCATGGTACTGGTAATGTGCACTTTCGAGTCACTCTCACGGAGAAAGGCATGAGAGAAGCACTGGCGGAGTCCTTGGAATCTAAGTTCAAATTAGCCAGAAATCAAGCTACCAGCAACATGATGGCGTTTGATCCTTCCGGAAGAATTAAGAAATACGAGAGTGTTGAAGAAATTTTGAGAGACTTCTTTGAGATTCGTCTGCGAACTTATCAAAGAAGAAAAGAGCTTTTGGTAGCTGAATTAGAACGCCAATTCGATATGTTTTCGAATCAAGCGAGATTTGTCCACATGATTATCGAAAATGAACTCGTAGTTTCAAAAAAGAAGAGGGACGTTCTTGTGGCTGAACTACGTGAAAAAGGATTTATGCCGATTTCCAAGCCTAAGAAAGGTCGTGAGGCTGACATGGAAGCCGAGCGTGCTCAACTACGTGGTGAAGATCCCGCTGAAACACAAGGTTCTTCTTCTGACTATAATTACCTTTTGAGTATGGCAATTTGGTCCCTAACGTACGAAAAATATTTGGATCTGTTGAAGAAGAGAGATGATACTATGGCAGAACTTGATGCTTTAATTAAGTTGACTCCTAAGGATTTATACTTGCAAGATTTGGAAGAATTTGAACGTACTTGGGACGCTGTGATGGACGAAGTAAACCACAGCATGGTGGAGGATGAAGAAGCTTCAAGAGGGTTTGTTCTTGGATCTAGTGCATCTTCAGTTTCGCGTAGGCGAAATACAGGTGCAAGGAAAACAGTAAAGTCTGAAGAACCTTATGATGACAGTGCAGGATCTAGAGCTGGTAGACCGTCTTCGAAGACGACGGCGAGGTCAACAAAAGTTAAACGTGAAGAAAAAGAAGAACCAGCTTCAAAGTCTCGCAATGGCAGTCAGCAAACGCTCAATTTTGCGAAGGAAAATGGATCATCTTCTAATAAGCACCCTGATGAGGGAGAAACAAAAACGCCGTTTTCTATTGCAAAAGGAAAGGGTAAGAAAACAAGTTCGCCAAGCGAAGGTGTTGAAAGTACAAGTAAGGGAAAGAAGCGTTTATCTTCTGATTCAGCAAGTGATGACGAGAATCCAAAGACAAGAAGAAAGGCAGCTCCTCGACGTGGGCAGTCTAAAGCTACTCAACCTAAAACATTATTTTCTTCTGATGATGAAGAAGACTTACCTACTAGAAGTATGCCTGACAAGTCGCAAAATAAGTCGAAGAATCCGTTTGTCGACCTTACCAATGCTAAAGAAGCTTCCTCAAATGGAAAAACAACTTCAATTATTGATGACGATGATTTCGATGACTTGCCAGATACTTCCACCCCGAAACCAAACAAGACCGCCGACATGAACGGAGAAGGTAATTCGAAAGAGTCTCCTACTAGGCCTCGTAGAACAACCACCCGACGTGCGGCTTCCGCGAAAAACTCCATTTATGTTGACTCGTCGATGGATGAATCTAGTTTTAAAGACGATTCATTCGTAGTTGGAGATAATGAGGATGATGATTATGAAGATGATCTTTAAGTTTCATTTATCTTATAGGAACGAAAGCTATTGAATTACTATGTAGTGTAACTTTTGCTAGATGTTATAGAAATAGACAATATTATTACTAAATTACTGTATAGCATTAGACTAGTCAATATCGAAAGTTATCTATTTCAGATATGCATATGCATGCATTGGAAGCTTCATTTATTGTAATCGTTCTTAATCTTCCTTAAAATTAAAACATTATGTTGGTTTACGCCTGAGACGCATACCCTACTGAAAAAAGCTCTTTACAGATGATCGAAGAGATAAAAGTAATTCAACCACTACCATAACCAAACAACCATTTGGTAAAAATGTCTGTAAAAAAGATTGTTGTTTTACCAGGAGATCATATTGGACCCGAGATTGTTTCTTCTGCGGTCGAAGTTTTAAAGACTGTGGAAAAGAAGTGTTCTCACCTCAAGTTCGAGTTTCAAGAACATAAGATTGGAGGAGCCTCCATTGATGCCTTTGGTACACCTTTGACCGATGAGACTATCAAGGCTTGCTTAGAAGCTGATGGTATCATTTTGGGAGCAGTTGGCGGCCCCGAATGGACAAACCCCAACTGCCGTCCTGAGCAAGGATTGCTGAAGCTTCGCAAAAGTTTGGGTGTTTGGGCAAACCTTCGTCCATGCACCTTCCCTAGCAAATCTTTGCTTAAATACAGCCCCTTGAAGTCCGAGATTGCTGAGGGAGTTGATTTCTGTGTCGTTAGAGAACTCACTGGTGGTTGTTATTTTGGTGAGCGTACAGAAGACAACGGCTCTGGTCATGCTATGGATACATGGCCTTATAGTGTAGAGGAAGTAACTCGTATTGCTCGTTTGGCTGCCTGGCTCGCTCAAACATATAACCCTCCCGCGCCTGTCACTTTGCTCGACAAAGCCAATGTCTTGGCTACTTCCAGACTTTGGCGTAAAACTGTCGCCAAGGTCTTTAAGGAAGAATTTCCTCACTTGACCTTGAAAAATCAACTTATTGATTCCGCTGCCATGCTTATGGTCAAAAACCCTCGTGCTTTGAACGGTGTTGTGTTAACTGACAACTTGTTCGGTGACATTATTTCTGACGAATCATCTGTTATTCCAGGAAGCTTGGGTCTTTTGCCTTCTGCTTCTCTTTCTGGAATTTATGGACAAACAGAGAATCTCAATTGTCTTGTTGAACCAATCCACGGCAGTGCTCCTGATATTGCTGGCCAAGGGATCGTAAACCCAGTGGGAACCATTTTGTCTGGTGCACTTTTACTTCGCTACGCTTTGAATGCTCATAAAGAAGCTGCCGCCATTGAATCAGCCGTTGAAAAAGTCCTTAACGATGCTTCCATTGGTGGTCGTGGTCTCTATACTCGTGATTTGGGCGGTGATGCCAAGACCGTTGACATAACTAAAGCTGTTGTTGAGGAACTTGAAAAGATTTTGTAAAGCAAGTAACAGTTTACGTGCTATGTTGCTGCCGTTGAATTTTTGGAAGAAAAACATTAATGATATTCTCCTTTTCAGTACTTACTAATTGAGTATGAACAAAAATACACATGTCTTTACTCAATCACACAAAAATGTAAAAGGGGGGACTAAAAGAGAGATTTACCTAGTCTAATATCTTAATGAGAGTTTAAGCGTATCAGCTTTAAATTAGGCTTACAAATACTCGTATCGTAGTCTCGTAACACATGGATTTGAATCATTAAAAAATAAAATTCGTTTCCAGCCGGAGATACCAAAGAAAAGAATTACCGTAACTGGTTTCGGCTTTTGAATTGGGTGCTTGTATATGGAAGTTCATCAATGGAGAAATTGAAGTGCCTAGATTCAAATTAGTATAAGCTCTTCTGGTAATTACATACGTTTCTGGGGCATAAACCTTCATAAGGCGAACATGACTATCTTTACCGTTTTGATGATTTCCGAGGATTTTAACTTCAATGAGATTAGCATCGAGTAGACCATTCCGACCAAAATCACCCACTGGGACATGAACCCATCCAGTCGGTTCTTCCAGCTGAACGGTGGTGACGAGCTCTAAATCGTGGAAACCTGTACCAGCCGAGATACGAAGTCTGTCCGGGGTATAGGATTCATCAAAGGTATATTGTAGATACAGACTTATATATTTTACGGAAACCCGTTTCACGAACTTGATATGAATGTCATGTGGTTGGGATCCGTCTGATCTGTAAGAGAAAGAATTTAGTAAGCATTCTTTGTAGAATTCCTAAACATACTGCCAATAAGTCTCTACATTATCATCCCGAACCAAGCGTATAGGAAAGCCACTTTTTTCGCTGGAACACGTCCATTGAGCTAGGTTTCCAATGTCTACTAATCCATCTGTCAACTTTTGGGTTTCTGATTTTGACTTTTTCATTTCAATCCAGCTATCCAATTTGGGTATAGTTACGGCGCTCTTCTGCAAGTACGAGGTATCGCAATAATCGTTGTAAGGTATTTTCCAGGGACTAAAACTCACTACTGTCGCGGTTTATGTCAACAAATCAGTTATTCTAATGTGAGTGTGTCGTTCTTGCTTGTTTAATCGATCTGATGATCTGTACTTACAGGATAACCCAACCTTAGTTGGACAAAGATCGCTAGAATAAACAAGAGGCAAGGAAGAGACAAACAAAACATATACATACTTTAACATAAATACACAAAAATTGGAACTATAAGAATTCTCTACTTTCCACAAAAAGAAAAAGATTATAAATAAAAAATTAAATTGCTAAATGAATGCTTAGATGTTGCTTTATATTATGATCAAAAAAAAATGCAAATAATAAAACCCGATACATAAGTGTGTAATAAATCAACAATGTAAATGAAAGACAAATCTCAAAAGATGGTTTTTTTTTCTTAATAAAAAACAAAAGAGCGTCTACTTGGATTTCTTTCGGAAGTCTTCGAATAAACCGCATATTGTTGCTCCATAGATTCTGCTTAAAGGAACATAGTCACGGCAGAAACAATACCAATAACAGCAACGACATTATAGCCAGTCTTCACGAGAGGAGAAGCGGCAGAGCTGTGGGAGCTAGAACCAGAACCAGAGGAAGAGGAAGAGGATCCACTGGTTGACTTGGAAGAGCCGGAAGTGGAACTAACAGAGAAACCTCTGCTGGCGGTGCTGGCGGTCTTACCAAAAGCAGAAATGATAGAACCACTCTTAGAACTAGCGGGAGCAGAGGACGAGCCAGAGGAAGACTTGGAAGAACTGCCAGATTGGGAAGAACTGACAGGAGCAGAAGATGAACTTGCGGAGGAAGACTTTCCAGAAGAAGAAGAAGAAGAAGAAGATGAGGGTTGAGAGGAGGTGCTGGAAGCACTACGTGTACCAATAACAGAAGCAGGAATAGAGGTAGCAGACATGGATCCACTATAGCTCAAGTCAGTGGTGGAAATTGTACAGGTAGAGCAAGCTTGAAGGGTGAAATACTTGGAGTAGCTTTCACCACCGTCCCAAGAAACGGATAGCAAATAGTTATCAGCAGAAGGGAAATGGGTAGGAATATCCCAACCGTAAGTACCAGTGTTCTTAATGTTGGAAGCGATAGTCTCCAAAGGAACCAACTTGTCATTACCTCCACTGAGCAAGGTCAAAGTTACGGTATCACTGGTCAAGTTGGACCAAGACACCGTGTAAGCACCACCTCCTTCTTGGATAACGGCATTAGTAGCGGGAGCAGAAAGCTCGTTGTATGCAAAAGCAGCAGCGAAAAAGCTGGCGACAAAAGGAATGAGCTTCATATTATATAGAAATTTAGATAAAAAGAGAGATTTAAGAAACAAAAAGCAACGGCACGAAAAGTATATAAATTATAAATTATATAACAATATGCTATTAAATATTTTTATAAATATTTACCGCGAAATAAGAAGTTGTTCTTTTTACACCTTTGCTCGGAGTTCTAGCGCCTTATATATGATTTCCAGACTACCCCGCAGGGTTGAGGTTTGGTATCCATGCAGTTGCTATGTTACTTGAACGCAAGTTCTGGATGAGTCGGTGGATTGCATCTAGGTGGCAGGAATCTGAGCCTCATAGGATATTCCAAACTCTTCAATATTACAGTGGGAAACTTGTTAGACTTATATAGATTACAAGTTTATTACGGAGGAATACCAGAGATCGTTAAATCGCAAAGAGAGCATAACGAGAAAGTAATAGAAAAATAGAAAAAAAATAATAAGGAAAAAGGATTAAAAAGAAAAAAGAAAACAAGTTTATAATCAAGATATAAAAGAGAAAAAGGTTTTATGAGTTTCTGGTATAGTAGGAGAAGCCACAGCAAATTACGGTTTGTTTACATATTACGTATAATGTAAACAAATGGGTTTGTATTTGTTCTGGATTTTTTGTTGAAATGAATTCATTCTTTTTTTCGTATTCTATAAAAATAGTATTTATTTAAGTGTTTCTTTTGTATACTTTAATAAAAAAAATGGAGGATAGGAAGCATACTTTACGGGTTGAAAAACGTACACTCGTTTGCACGTCTTGGTCATTGGAGTTGGTTTTCTTTACTTGAAAATCTGAACCCATTTACGAGCATACTTTTTCAGCTTTGAGTGAGATTTCCTTTTTTGCGCTACGCTACTAACGAACTAGTTTTTGATGAAGTTTTGAATTTCTCCTCCAGAATCCATGTTGTCATGGAATGCCCTTTCTCAATTGTTCCTTTAAATAAATCCATGCAAAGCGAAGTTTTGGATTCATTTCCTTCATCAATTTTGTTCATTTTTCAAAAGCTTTGTGTTGAATTGTGGATTGTTTACACAGCCTTTTCAAGCAATGAATATGTAATCCCCATATCATACAAAAGTAGACGAGGCGAAGGTCGTCAAGTTAGACAAAACACAACTCAACCGGTAGCTAAAAAGTACTTTAGTTTCCATTTGTATTGACATTTCTTTCATGTTATTAAAGAGAAAAAATATCTTTTGAATATCTTAATCTTGTTTCTTGCTTTCTATTCTATTTGTTTACAGCTAAGAACAACAGAAACAATATCTTTTGCTTTGGATCCATTTGCACTTTTAGGAAAGTCATTCTGTTTATGTAGGGCCTAGTAGCCTTACAACTGCTATTACTGCTTATTACAACTACTACTAGTACTAGTACTAGTCCTACTTCTTACTACTACGACTACTCTCCTCTCATACTACTTGCCATTCCAATTTCTAATTCCTCTTGGCAACATTGACTGCTTTGTATTTGTATTTGTATTTTAAAACGAATTAGGTAAAGAGGGAATCCTATCGATTCTACAAGTCTCTAACCATTAATTTGTTTCCTCCTTACTTCAACTGCAAATTAAAGCAAATAAGGTACTTCTCAAATTCACTCTCATTGTCGTTCTTTTTTTTTTGTCATTCATTTTCACATAATTGTCCCTCTTTTTCCCTTCTTAGAAGTTGCTACTTGTGCTTCTAACCTTGTTATGATTTTTTGTATCTTTCCAAATTATGACTAAAATCATGTTTCGAAAGCGTATTGTGAAAAGGTATTTATTTATCATTGCGCTCTTTATAGCAGGCACATTATTCTTACAAAACACTCCGGCTTTCAATACGAAGATTCCTTCGCTGGATGTACATCCGAAAACCCCTGTTTCCAAAAAATTTCAAGAGTACAGAACCAATTTTATTTCTTCTTTGAAAACAGCAAAACCTCCTTCCAATACCATCATGTTTGCAGCTTACGGTTTGGAATTTCCGACTCATAGTCTGTTCATGCTGGCCTGTGACATGGCTCTCAAGTCTGAATCTCCAGTCAGCTTTTTGCTTTTAGTGGATGGTAGCCAACCTCTGGACTTGCTTGAACTCAACCGAGAGACGGAGGCTTCATGTCCCCTCAATTTATCTTTCGTAAATGAAATTAACAAATTTGCCAAGGAGCTTACTTTAGAAGAATTGATCGCGCTTCAATTCCAACAAGCCTTAAAAAATTTTTCTCCCTCCGTAATTATCACTTCAAAACAATCTTCTCAAGTCATGAAGGATGCTATTGACCCCTATCTCGCTAATAACTATTACACCCATAATGTCATTGATACAAATGCCTTAGAAGAAAATGCTTGGGTTTCTAGCCTCGACACAGAATCGCTAAAGCATTTTCGGACTCCCAGAATTAACGTCGTCCTAATCGCAGAAGAAGACTCCTACAAGGAAATCCCAAATATGCTGTCTGATTTAAAAAAGGATTATCATTCGTTCGATGAGTATCCATATGTCTTCATTCACATATATCTTCTCAATACTTTCCCTGACCTAAAAGCCATACGAAATAAATGGCCACAAGATCGTCTTTTTGTGCAACTTCATCAAGGAAAAAAACCCCAAGAATTCATCGAACTTTGGGCTCCTCCCAACGATTACACTTACGCTCTTTTTGTTGACATGACAAAGGATTTTCCTATTGAACTTTCCTCCAAATTACTTACATGGTACAAGTATCTTATTTTAACCACATTTTATAAAGAAGACTCTTCCATTGTTCGAAACAACATTATGTCTATCGTTTCCTCCAGCGAGGTCGTATCCGAAAATCCTGTCACATTCTTTCAAAGAAAATTGTCAAGTGTTTCCCTATTCACTCCCATAGCGTTTCAAAAGTTTCAGGAATATGTCTTTGCAAGAAAGTTTGTTCCCGATTTCAACGTTCCAAATATAATACAAGATGAATACGATGACGATCCTACTGTATTTAAACAGGTAGGCAACTTACTGACTGAATTCCAGTCGCTGCTCGGTCTGTACTCTTTAGTTGTTTCCCCTATGAATGATGGGCCCTTTGATTCTCTAAAATTTGATAGCCTTGTGTCAGATTTTTTAAAGTTTCCTCCCAACATAAGCTTTCCTCAACTTTCTCTGGCTCCCGTTTTTCACTCATTTGACGATGAATTACTGAGCTTTTCCAGCGCAAAGAACAAGTCAACCGATCTGTATCAAAGCGTTTCAGGCTGTGCTCAATCTGATGTACTTTCAACTTTTTCCATACAATCCATATTTTGTCCAAAAAGCTCATGACGAAACCTAGTTTTATTTATTTACTTTCAGTTTGTTGTGTTTAGAATCTAGACTCGGGATTTTCGAGTAAGCGGTTTATAGTTTAATTTATTTAGGTTATAAGTGTACTAAAGGTTGATGAAGTCGATCTATAATTTATCATTATTGTACTACATGTTGTTTGACATATCCAACTAGCTTCTTGGGACAAAACTTGAAGCAAAAGCAATCAAAGTACCCCTTACTGATCTAAGAATCCTTTGAAGTCCAGTGGATTCTTCATCTGTCCTTCTTCGCTGTGACTCTGAATTTGCGTCTTCATTTTCAGCTGAGTCATTCACAACTTCAACAACTTCAGGGTTGCTTCTATTACGACGTTGGCGATATTCATTCTGAACATTCCGAACATACTCCAAGACTGCTTGAACTGTCGGATTGTCATTTATGATTGGGCTAAGTGCGCCAGTCTGTAAAAGAAAAACAAATGCCATAATGGACGTTAATAACATAGTTTGGGGTAAAGAGTCATTATAAGTAGCCCAGGCACAGAATAACGCCAGACGAATAAATAAACGGAAATGTCTTCTTATATTTTCAAAGGTATGGGTAAAAGGAGATAATACGCTAGATGAGAATGATTGAAGGCGTCTAAGATTTTGCAAAGTCATTGGTTGTACTTGTAAAGAAGAATGACTGGGAGTTGGTGACAATAAGTATGCGCATTCTCCTGTTTGTTGATTTTGAATAATTCCATAAGGAGAAAGCACAGGGGGAAGTCCGGACCTCATAGGATGAAATGACAAGTGAGATGCATGGGTAGAGGGAATCTCTTGTAAGTAGTACGATCCATTATATAATACAGTTTGATACTGTACCGGAAACAATTGGGGAGCAACAGTTGTAAAACCATTGGTAATGGGGAAATTACCATTCATGTATGGAAGATTTGGGGAATCGCCATGTGGATTTGAATCTACTGAAACATGTCCGGGTATTCCATTGTGAAACCTGCTGGGAATATTTGCAACGCTTGGAGAAGAAGAGTTACCTATAAACGAAGGTGTATGGAGATCATGAATACGTTGAATATTGTCAATGTTTGGTAGTCCTTGTCCATTGCTTTGTGGAGATGGAGAAGCATAGTTCGCGGGTATTGGCGGAAAATTTCCTTCAGCATTCTGACTAAACGGGAAGGTACGTGCACCATTCGGAAGAGGATTTGTATGTAATATGTCATTTGTACCCTGCACACTCGATGAAGCAATCATAGTGACATTACGGTGGTGAACAGAAGTTATTGAAGTTGTAGTCGTGGTAGTGGGATTGGGGACGGGGATTTGTCGCTGGAAGTTTGGAGACTGAATAAAAGGACTCGTTGAAGGTTCATTAGAAGATGCATTGTTTGGTTGTGAGGTTGGTGGAACAGCACTTGCTAGTCTACTGCTTTGAATACGCTGAATCATATTTGGCAACATTCCACGTAAACCAGGAGTTCTTTCGACACGTTGATAGTTCGAAAATAAATGTTGAGCTTGCTCACGCCGAGAGAGTTCTTCTGGATTTAAACTGGTGATCGTTCGTGATGGCTGAGCAGAAAGAGAAGAAGATGAAGAAGGTGAGGCATCTTGTACTCTAGGGAATGAAGGGGCCAATTGTGAAACTCTCTGTTCAGTAGAAGCACTTGTTGGCAATGGCAAACTGCTGATTATGCTTATAACCAAATGAAAGGTTACCAGATCGGTAACATCATTCAAAATACTAGACAGAGTTGTTTCGTCTCGTAAAACTCTTCCAGCATAAATCAACTTGAGACGATCTACCGGTGCTTCGAAGGTAGGAGCAATGATGTTCTTTAAATCCAAAACTGTTTTGTCTCGCGCAACCTGGAATATTCCCACTTTCTGATCAACGGTGGTTACTCGAATTTTATACTCACTCATTTCCGTCATAGCTACTATATACAATGCTCATATCAGAGCATGAGTATATTAATTTGTCGTAAAATATTGTTCTACGACCAAGTGAAGGGATTCTCAAATTTAAGAATAACAGATTCCGTTTACCAAGATCGAACGTATCTCCTTATTCTATCGTGTTTACTTTATCGTACTCATTCTTTTTAATAGTATAATAAATGTCGTTTTGAACCGATATACATTTTAATTTTTGAATTCATAGACAGTAAATATATGAAAAAAATCAATGTTTATTTAAAAGTTAAGAAGAGCTCCCTTTTGAAGGAGTGCACTTGCTAAATCAAGAGATCTGATAAAGTAACGAAAACAAGAACGCGCTGCTGAAAGTTTTTTAGGATATAAAAATAATTTTTTTATGAGAAAAAAGAAAGGAAAAATGGATGATCTGAAACCATACAATTCCTTTTTAAAGAAAATGTCGAAAGCATATGCGATAAAATTCCAAACAAGCGAACGTAAATTATAGCTTATTTAACGACAGTCACAAGAATTTATATAAACACTTACCCAGTAATTTTACATATTGCTAAACTGTTCTTCTAACTTATTCTTAGAATGCTGGTATGTGAATAAATGTTTCTTTGTAATAAATGTGTAAAGTCAAGTTGAATTGTAAAGATATATGATAAAATTACATGTCTCTTTCTAAACTCTCTTTGAGGATTCAAGTATTGAAGATCGAGTTGGAAGTACCTATTATGGTATGAATAGAGACTAGAAAAAATTAATTGCGCTGTTGAGTACGATTGCTCCTTATGGGGTACTCGTAATTTTATGGGCAAACAAGTATTTTATTATATGTTTAGAATTATCATACAATTAATAACAAAAATTCAGATTCCAAAAGCGAAATTGGTAAAGTAACAGAAAAGAAAGGATAATGTGTGAAGTAAGTCTCATGGCTCTGATTTTAAGTTGCCTATTGATTGGCCTACTTTTACATGTTGACCTCGTTGGATATCAAATTGAAAGTTCGCGGGCGCCTCAAAAACAAGGACAACGGTGCTTCCTAACTCAAAATTTCCAATCTCCTCGCCCCTTAGTAATGGATGTCCATGTAGAATTGCAGAAGATTTCGTATATACCGCCTCGTCATATGTACCAGTGGGGCCCAGCTTTCCAAATTGATTTGTACAGAGTTCTTTGTCAAAGTTGATGCGGATACTTCCAACATTTGTAGCACCTACTGGAATCATGCTCATGAATCCGTACTTGTAGCGTCCAAGCATAGCAACTCTTTCATTCAAAACGAAAAGATTTCCCAATTTACTTACCATGTAGGGCGAAACACTGAATAATTCTCCAGAAAAATGCCTTCTTCGTTCTACAACCCAATCAGTAGGCGAATGGAATCGGTGATAGTCACCAGGAGCTAAATAGACGACAGCATAATACAAAAGGTTTTGATCTCGGGAGCGCAAGAAATCAAAAGTAGAGCGCATGGCGACTTTCGTAGAGTTCAACAAATCGACTTGGTTAGCACTAGCATCTTTGATAGAATTTTGAGAATATTCGTTATCATGCCCCATTAGATCTTGTAAGCTGTACTCTATACCATTTACAAGAGCGAATTCCTCTTGGCTAATATGTGGAATGTGTTCTGGCGAAGGAATAGCATGGGCCTTTTTTAAGCGGGCCAAATGTTCTTGCCCTAATAGTGCCTCTAAAGAGTAAGTTAATCCCTTCACTTGTTCCAAGTGACCTCCCTCGATGACTCCGTAATTAAGCACTTTTCCATCTGCTGGGCTAACAAGAATTGCCTCAGAATCGATAGGGCGACAACCGGGCTTTAGCTTTCTTGTAAAGAATTCAGCAAGATTTCTATATTGCTTTAGGTCTTGTATTTCAGCTTCTTTCAAATCACAGTTAAACAACCATGAATATAAACGGAATCCGGGATTCCTCAAATACAGAGGAATTTCCACTCGATTCACATATCCCCACCACCTGGACAGCGTTCTTAAAGGTAATGTGCTCAATACATAAAAGTGCCATGGACCTTCCACGCTCACTCCAGTCTTTGTTGGCTTTTTCTCGTGTCGATCTTGATTCCAAGCGTACCCAACCAAACCAACGAGACCAAGGCCTGTTATACTTAAACCAAGGCTTAATGCCTTATGCTTCCTTCCCAAATGAGCCTTCGTGATAATGGGCCTGGTAATATTCAAAGAATGAAGTTGAAAGCCACGAATTTTATGAGGACGCAGCATTATAAGACTTGTTTTTGTAAGCAACGACTAAACGATTATCCTTTAGCTAGAGGGAAAACCAAAGTTTGCTCATAAAACCATGGATTTTGAAATTGTGGTGGGAGTAAGTCATTCATTCTCGTTTAATAAGGCTCTATTATTTTTCTAACTAGATACGATGCTAATTTTTATTCATCTTTATTATATTCCTTTTATTTGGCTTATAAAGACTATGTTTCATTTTTTTCCCTCTTAATACGGCTGCAAAAGCAGAGACAGTCAAATTGTCCTTCTACTGAATAGTTGGAAACGTTATGAGTGAGTCTTGTATGAATGATTTGACTGAATCACAAAAACATTAGTTATTGGGCTGTACATCTAAAGTACAGATGGTACCGTAGAGAAGAAGTTCCCAAGAGTGTAAAAATTTCATTTAATTTAAATTTTTAGTTTCGTATTTATCAAATAGCCCTTCTCACAGACTGAAATCATCACAATCACTACGTAAGCTAACAAACATAGATGTTCGAAATGTAAACAAACAAACCTTTCCTAAAAACCTGGGTGTTCAATCTACGACTCAACAACAATTCAAAACAAATAATAAAAAGACGGAATACCTTCATTCAAGATTACATTGAATTTAGCTGCTTATGATTTAAACTGAAATACAGGTCGGTATATATGAGTGAGCCTTACATTTTCCAAGAAAAATGCAAACAAGCTTAGAACGACAAGCCTTAAAAGAAATCAGTAACCAAGAAAAATCAAACGTTAAAGCCTCTACCACAGTAAAAGTGAAAGAGCTCAAACGTGTATCGTCTGATTATTCGGACGTGGGATATCCATATACGGAAGAAAGGGGAAGATTAACAGCAAGAGAACAAATCAACGAACAATTCAAAGAAATATTATTTCCTTACTCATCTAATGAGAAATCAATTTTAGAAGAAGCCATTGACTTGACGTTTCATGAGATTGAGTCGGATGAGGAAGAAACAAGCCCGGAGGATATCTTGGAGGACACTGAACAAGAAAGCAGCTATATTGATGAGACAGAAGTAGAATCGTATATTGAAGAGAAACTCAAAATTGATTATGAAGCAGATACTACGGTTTCCGTTGAATATGCCAAAGACATTTTCTGCCATATGAAACACTTAGAGGTAAGCGTATTCCATGCACAAATTTAGGAAGGAAACCAACTAACTAAAATTGACAGAATCGACTTATGCCTGACTATGGATACTTGGCTTCTCGTCCATTTCATGTTTTGGAAATGAGAACCGTGGTCATCAGTTGGATTATAGGGATTCATTACGAAATGAACCTTTTACCGGAAACACTGTTTCTAGCAACCAACATTTTCGACCGATTTTTTTCGCTGAAAAATGTAGCCATTTCAAAAATGAAACAAATCGCCATGGCCGCTTTGCTTTTAGCCTCCAAGTACGAAGAAATTCATCCCCCGAGCAACAAAGAAGCATGCAGTTTGCTTGGAGAGGGGACGGTTGGTGATTTGTGCAAAGAAGAAACATACATCCTAATCGTGCTGCAATATGAATTAGGATGGCCGGGCCCTATGCCATATATGCGCTTACTTAGTATTTCGGATGGCTGGGATGCTGATATGCGATTAGCGGTTAAGTATTTTCTTGAAATCTGTATGCTGGATCCAAGATTTCTAAGTCAAAAGGCAAGTCAAACAGTTGCTACGTGTGCATACACGGCCTATTGTATCCTACACAACGGAAACTGGAGCGGTACATTGCACAAACTGACGGGCTACCACTGTGCGAACGTTGCTCCTTTTATGCACTTATTGCTAGAGTGTTTGCAGAACCCAGCTGAAAACCATCGATGCGTTTATGCAAAATATTCCACTAGGATTTCGCGATACATAAGTCAGCGCATTCATGAGTGGATTCGTATGAATATTCAAGTGTCCTCGCCAGGACCGTATATGTAATACCATGTAAAGTATAGCATAGCATAATATACCAATTTATTCTATTCTACCCTATTGCATTTGATCGCATCGTAAATCATGTCGCGAGTCATCGCGTCGCATCGCATCGCATCGCATCGAATCCCCATGAACCATCAACACGAGTGAAAGGGATTTTGAGCTTGGTGAAAGCAAAACCGACTAGGTAATACGGGAAATGAATCCATTTTGCTTACATCATCCAGTTAAGCAATCGCATCTGTCAAAAGTTGATGTTTTGCAAAAATCACATGCACATGGACGCGTCTCGTACCGAAAGAAAATCATTACGTTGTACGTTGAAGTTCGGAAAAGCATTGTCACTTGAGAAGTGTCACTTGACAAAGATCTGTAAGAAAACAAAACAAGTTTGTTTTACTTTATTTTATTAAAAGTCATAAAGAAAAGAAAGTAATTTTCTTTTTCTTTTTTCTTCTTTTTTAATATAAAAAAAAATGGTGAAAAAAGCGGTAAAAAAGAAAAAGAGAGACGAAATTCGTTGTCACTTGATTCTTAGTTGTTTGCTCTCTCTCTCTCTCTATGATTTTACCTTCGAAGTACCCCACGTACCCCCACAACGTCCTGGAAAGTTCGTGTTTGGACTCGGTTTGACTGACTGCATATGTTCCAGTACCCCCATGTAGGACATCGAGCTTGATGTGGGGTCCTATACATAGTAGTACTAGATGGAGTAGGGTCAAGAGGAGCAGAGCGTTCCTAAAAAAAAAAAAAGAGAGAGAGAGAGAGAGAGAGAGAGAGAGAGAGAGAGACTGGCTGGCTGACTAACGGACGAACTAGATGAATGACGGACTGATCAAGATGGTTGGTCGTGCTGTCTCGATCAGTCAAGGGAAGCAAACGATGAAACCATCGAGCTTATTGGGTATAGACGATTGCCAAAGAAAAGACAGGTACCAATATTAAGACGAAGACCCCAAAAAAAAAGTAAACAAAGATGAGATTGGCAATTTTTTTAGAGCAGGAAGGAAAGGTCGATGACGGGAAAGTGGATATTAGTGAACAGATGATGGGAGGGAAAGAAACATATCGGATTTTTTTTTCATTTTTGTTATTGGCTCAAAAGGCGCTGGGTAGGAGGATGATCGGAAAGCGACGATAAAAAAAGAAAAAAAGAAAAAGAGAGAAAAAAAAAAAGAAAAAGAAAAAGAGAGAGACTCGAAGAGTCTGCAAATAAAAACGAAAAGGGCGACACAGCAGGCAATCTGAAAAACAAATTACCGACGGCGGAGACTCTTGCTTCCTTTTCGATCCCAGTCATTCGCATAAAAGAAGAACAAGGAGGAGGGAGAGCATGAGGAATGAATGTTATGACATGATCCTTTGAGAAATCCTAAATGACGGAAGAAGGACCAAACCAAACCAACCCAAGCCATCCAGCAAACCAACCAGCCCCTTCCATCCACCTATGCATCAAACCAACCTCAGTCTCAATGCAATGACTCATTCATTCATAAAGAATACCAGCATAAACTGCAAGACTACTATAGAAAGCAACAAAACATTAGCGAACCATGATGTTTTCGTCATGATTTCGTTAGTCTTTCCTCTATTCTACATCATCAGAAAATATTCCGGGGAACCAATCTTTTGTTGTCTATTTTTGACGTCACTTATCGTTGTGTTACTCTGCAAATAACCTACGCTTAGTCTTATCTTGATCAAGATAAGAGAACCCAAGTTTGATCGCGCCCAAATCATACTCTACTCCATTAGTATGATAGAATATCCTAGTAATGTAGAATATATCATACTATTCTCTACTGTGGTATAGTATACGACGAATAAGAGCAGGCAGAGATCAAGAGAAACCAAAAGTAACCAAGTCGCCAAACAATCTTGCATTCGGTGCTGCTACCTTTGCTTACCTGCTGTTGACACTATTTTTCATCTACATCTATATCTATACCATAAAAAGAAAAAAAAAAAGAACAAATAAAAACGTTTCTCATGTTTTCTTTTTCTTTTTTATCAGCTCTTATTCAAAGCAACTCCTTCCCACGAAACGTACTCTGCTAAAAATAGATCCAGCTCCCCCAAAAAAATATCTAAGAGGTCGACGGAAAAATCCAAGCGCTGACTGACTGACTGACTGGTAACTGAGACACGAGAAAAACCTGACAGTATGAAACAACTGGTAGTTTTTGTCCGTATGTTCTCTCTGTCTCTTCTGATGTCCGTTTGCAGGGCTGTAAAAGCTTCCCTGGCTTCTCTGAATGTTCCATCCACCTTGTCGTTTTCGTACCAGTTGGATTACTTGATAATTGCGTCAGTCCATACTTCCTGACGAGACAACAAATTGTATAAGGTGAGTAGAATCATTTCAGTCTTATTGAGTAGGATCTTTTTCGTTTCGTTTAAAAGAAGGTGACGTTACAAATCATACATCATGTGATGTAAGGTACCGTCGAAGCTATATATATGCATGATGGATGACACGAAAATACTACAGTACTCAATCGAAAAGACTATTATTATTTGGAGAATTTTGGGTTTTTGACTATTAAAAACGAAAAGCAAAGACTCTTTGTTCCCTCATTGTTTGATTTCATTCATTAACGAGATCCCTGTTTCCTATTTTACCCTTTTTACTTATTCCACACTACCAACATCAAACGATTGGAGAATTCTGCATAATAACTGCGTTTATCCCATTCCTGTTGATTTACAAAGTGCTGTGTAGTAATTCTTTTTCATTTTAATCTAATACGATATCGACTTATCGAGTTTGATTTACACAGACTTATTATTTATTTTTTTTAAAAAGCTATTGAGAGTATTTCTGTGATTATACAAACACTGTATAGTTGTCTTTCTTCTCTAGCTACTGTTTTATTTTTTTTGACGACTAATTTCGCTTTTTGTACTTTTTCTGTTTTTCCAACACATTTTGATTTTCGACTATGGACGCTCTGAAAAACGCTGGAAAAATTAACAACGCCAAGGGAGAAGCCAAAAACCTTGGTCAGAAGCCTGAACAAGCCGCAAAGGGTGGTGTCGAAAACGCCAAGTCTGGTGCTAACAAGAACGTTCAAGACATGAAGAATGAACCTTCAAATGCTGCCAACAAAGTCAAAGGTGAATTCACCAAAGATTCCGCTAAAAACAACCTGAACCAACACATGCCCGGTGGTTTCAACAAGGACGAAGATGCCGCTGGTAAAGGTGCCTCTCACGTAGGCAACCAAGCTCAATCTCATGTCCCTGGCAAGGGTGGTGCCTCCGAGATGGGCGATCATTCAAACTTACCCGGTAGAGGCAGAGAAGGCCAAGGCATCCAAGGCCTTGGTGGTGGAGCTAATGCAGCTACTAGTGCCGGTGCTGGTGCTGGTGCCGGAGCTGGTACTGGTGCTGGTGCTGGATCTGCATCTGGTGCTTATGGCAGTCCTCAACGCTCTGCTACCCAACATGAACCTAGCCGTGGATACTCTGGTGTTCACCGTGAACCTAGCACAAAGTCTAGCTATGGTGGTTATGAAGGATCCCGTCCCGTCTCTTCTAGCGGCGGTGACCAACAATATACCAATGTGAAGATTACCGCAACTCAAAACAACATTGATGCCCTAACTGGTGCCCCTGTTCGAATTGTCACCACCACCAATGCCCGTATTCAACCCGATGACAAATCTCTTCACGAATTGCTTGAACAAAGACAACGTGCTTTGCGCGAGGCTCGTGAAGCCGAAGAAGAGCTTCGTCGTGCTCGTCAATTTAATAACCGTTCTAGTTCCGAAGCTGCTGGTCTTGAAGCTCGTGCCAGACAACGTGCTGAAGCTGCCGAACTCGCTTCGCAACGCGCTCGTGACGCTCAAGCCAATATTGAGCGCACTGCTTCTCTTAGAGAAAGACAGGCTCGTGAAGAAGCCGACCATGCTCAAGCAGTTTTGCGTGAAGCTGAGTTGAAGCACCGTCTTGCTCAAAGAGCCGCCAACCGTGACGTTGCCAGATCCAGATTGGATGTTGCTCTTAGAAACCAAGAATTGTTGCAAGCTGACAGAGAAAGAAAGCTTTCTCACCAAAGAGCTATCATTGATAGCGCCAAGGATGACTTGGATCGCGCCAACCACGACGCTGCTCTCGCTGAAGCTGAGAACAGAAAGATTCAATATGAATTCAGTGCTTTGCTCGCTGAATTGGAGGAACGCAATGATACCACCCTCCGTACTGCTTCCATCCGCGAGGCTGAAGCCAGAAACTTGGAAGTTCACATGGATGATACTTTGAAGGATGCCAAAATGAGAAGCAGAAACGCTTCTGAACACGTTGACCGTCTCCGCAACGAAAACAGAGCTAAATACGCTGATATGGACACTGGTGTCAACCAAGCTCGTAACGCTTATGCTCAATACGAGCAAAACATTCCAAACAGACGTCAACAATACGGTGCTGAGCTTGACGATGCTGCTGAGGCCTTGAGAGCTGCTCAAGCCCGCTATGATGCTGCTAAGAGAAGAGTTGACCAATTTGAAGTTGAATCCCGTCAACAATTGTCCCTTCTCCAAAACAGAATCCGGGATTCTGAAGAAGCCGCCAACCGATTCCGTCTTGAAGCTGACAAGAGAGATAAAGAGATTCAATCCAGTGTCACTCAAGCTTATGACGCTGTTAAGGCAGCTGAGAAGCGTAATGAAAAGATTGCCGAAGCTGCTAGAGCCAAGGAATTGGAAGCCAAGGAATTGTATGCCACAGCTCAAAGCATCACTCAAGAATTACAAACTAAGCGTGCTCATCCTCCCTCTCCTGTTAGAGGAAACTACCAAGTCGAGATTGAACGTGCTCAACAGCGCTACAATACCGAAAAGTCCAAGTTGGGTCAATTGGATACTCGTGAACCTTCTGACATCAACAGTGACGTTGAAGCCGCTAGAAATGCTTTGAGAGAAGCTGAGAACAATTATGCCAGTGTTGAACGTGAATATAACTCCGTCAAAGGTTCCAACCAAAACTATCAACCTACTACCTACTCTACTGAGCCTATCGGATCCGGCAGCTATGGTCGCAACTACGAATATCAAAAGCCAGAGGAGAGTACTACTACAAGCCGTGGTGCCTCTCAAGCATACCACTACCCAACTACCACTTCTGGCCCTACTACTACTGCTAAGAGCGCTGGTCCTGCTTATGTAGATGCTCCTAATCCCAGCAGCGGTCCATCAGGATCTTACGCTGGTACTGGTTCTGGTACTGTTCCTGGAACTGCCCTTGGTGCATCTAACATTGGTGGCTCTGCTGGTGGTAACGGTGGCTATGGTAGCAGCGGTCTCGATGGTGTCAAGGGAACTCAGAATAAGAGCGGCAGCAATGGTTTCAAGGATGACCTTAGCGACTCCGATTCCGAGTCTGGTGGCATCACAGGAAACAAGAGTGGCAAGAGCGGAAAGACTGGAAACTCTGGTCGTAGAGGCAGTGCCAGCAGCACAACTAGCCGTGGTGGATTAATGCATAATGTCAAGCATGCATTGGGCATGGAGAAGTAAGCTAATATTATAATGCTCGAAAAGTTTATTATGAGATCCATGAAGTGTTGTTTACCTATATAGGTTTTATAATTATTTATGTTATTGTGTATATATTCGTGAGTCTCTTGACTAGGTAGATTGTAAATGAAAAGTTTGCGGTTAATTAGCGTTACAATAAATAGTTGATGAGTATCTCTAAATTTGTTTTTCCCCAAAAAAAAATGTAGACGTAGACGATAGAAATCTAAGCAACATACACATATACGGACTGTAACAATCGTAAAGTCGAGATCAAGGCCAAAATTCTCGTAACTACGAGAAATTTGCATTCGTTGTTAGTCATTTCATTTGCTTACTTATCGTCTTTGGTCGTAGTTGAAGGATTTGGGGCAGGACTAGTAGCAGAAGGCGATGCTGATGGTGATGAATTGAAAGAAGCCCTCATAGAATCCTCTAAGCTATCAAGTCGATGAGTCATTGCTTCTACTAAATATATAAAATATTAGCAAATCTTTCCCAGCCTAGGTTTGAAGGGCTTACGCTTTTCGAGAAACTGTTTTCGCAAGTTTTCAAACTCATTAGACTAGAATTTGTTAGACAATTTTCCATATTCTAAACATTGGAATAAAAAAAAATAAAAAAAACTATATACGACTTGACTTGTCCATACAACGTCGTCCAACAGTTTATTAGTCTATAGTAGGTTTAGCAATAAACTCATAGAAATGACAGACACAAAAAAATAAAATAAAAAAAAAAAAAAGAAAACTTACCATTGCATTGATGCCAGAACCGGTTTCCGTAGATTCCAAAGGTTCCTGTTTTCCCATTTCTGTTTTACTCATTTTTTGTAATCTATATAACTCGCTCAGAAGAGCAAGCTTCTCAGAAATGAGGTATTTCTAAAAATAACTATGAAATTCCGAAATATACAAAGTAAGGAAAGGCAACCTTTTACCAAATATTTTGGTTATATCAAGAATCCACCAGTTGGTTCGTTCTTTTCAAGCGGCCTTTAGAAGCTGTAATACAATGAAGGCAGTGGAATTTTCAACACGAAAAATTTCTAACACTTTATATATATATATAAAGCAGAAATAATGCAACCTACAAAATTGTATTATGTCGATTGTCATCAATACCATTTATTCACTTTAATTGCATAATGCACAATCTTACTGAAACGACTTTTTCAGTACCAACCTCATCCACTATTGTAATCTTACATTTTTGGCTTTAAATTTTACAAAATATCTATATTACAGTTCATCGTAAGAAACAAAGGTATATTCATTTAAGCATTCCTGTCTTATTTATGGAATAGCAGATTTTGGGTCACCTATCTTAATCGTGCGCCCAATTGATTATGCAAAGTCCTCCTAAGAGTCCGAAACAATCATTTACTTCTATAAAGTTTCAAGAACCAACTCGAGAAAATTCCCACTCTAGTCTTTTTGGGGAATCGTCAAAATCAAATTCACAGGCAAGCGTCAGTAAACTGCTTAATGTTGAAACACGGCCAAGCCATCGAAAAGGGCATCATCATAGACATTCCTTATCCCACCAATACTTTTTACCTCCTAAGAATCGAAAACCTTTAAGCTTTCCTGCTACTTATCCAATACCTACACTTACAGAAACGTTTTCAATTCTTACATGGAGACAAAAACTGAAACTAAGTAGCTCTTTATTATTTTTCTTTGCTTCAGTTTTTGTCTTTTTATCTGGAGATGCTACCGTTTTGCTGTCATTGTCTTGTTCACTAATAGTAGAAGGTGTTTTGATTATATTAAACGTCTGGCGTGAGACTCTGGACTGTTTTGTGGTTTGGCGTAGAACATCGCTTCGTTATCCTTTTGGTTTGCAACAAATAGAACTGTTAGCTGATTTTGCATTTTCTATCTTGTTACTATTTCTTGGACTTAATCTTTTAAAAGAGCCGGCAGAACATGCTATTGAAGATTGGGGAAATATTCAACATTCAGAACATGCTGGAGTAGAAGGAGCTCATATTCAATCTATCTTTTCCATCTCAGTAGCTTTACTTCTTTCGGGAGGTGCACTGCTGTTCGACCGCTCTCATATACATAGTCAACGCTTGGACTCGCGTTTTTTTCATGGTTTGACATTTGTTCCCTCTTCAATCCTTTTTGTCCTTCGGAGTGTAGGGATTCAAGTTGGCTCGTTAGTTAGCCATATTTTCGCCATAAGTATTGCTGTTACCGTTGTAATCGTTGGGTTCTCTATTGCGAAATCCTTGGCTATGTTGCTTTTACTGACGTATTCAAGTAAAGAAAAGGTTTTGCAATGTGTATCTCTCATCAAAGAAGACAGTCGAATAGAGCAACTTAACTCTGCTACAATTTGGCAGCCTCATTACAATACGTGTATTGCTAATATTAGCATATCGGTTAGAGGAAGTGAGCGTGAACAGATATCTATACGTGAGGATGTTACGAAAATCATTCAAAAAACTGTAGGAAGTATATTTGGTACCGGTGTCCAACCAAAGTGGGAAATTACTATTGATATCCAAAGGATATAAATTTTGCTTCTACATTAATGATGTTTACTTTTCTTTTCAGTTTTAGTCATTCATTTATGTTAATTCCATTACTATTTAAGATGGTGGCTTTATGCGAAGCTTTCTATTATTGTTTGTTCAATGTTCGATAAATATATAAAAATATAATAAAATAAATAAACAAAAAGCTACATTATTGATATCTAAGCAAAATAACTTTGTAAAATTGTTAACTCTATATGTAAAGGAAACTAAAGAATCATGAAATTCAATTGAACGAAATACGACATAAAGGTATTTTCCAACTAAAATAAAACGTAAACATAATTAGAAAGACCTTTAAGTATGGCATATGCAAACTGCTGAAAATAAATTATTGTGACTTGTCAATAGCAGCTTAATTAAAGGTCAATGAACATCAGGGTAGCTAATCCAATTAAGCGTTATCATTCCATTGTGAAAGCACATTCCAATCATCAGCAAGTCCAAAGTCTTTTGCATTTAATTCATCATGCGTTCCAAAATTGTCATGACTGCCAATGCTCAGGTTGTCTTCTTCTTCTTCATCCATATCACACCAACTACGTCCAAACTTCAAATGATCTTTGTTGCCCTTGATGCTGTTAGGAAAGACGATGGCTGGTGCACTACAAGAGTAGGGAGAACGCTTGGTATTGACAGGCATAGGAGTAGGCTTACTAATATGCATATTTTTCAAGCTTTCGCCAAGTCCAGAGTCATATGAACGATCGCTCGTGTTAACAGCGGCAGGTGAAATAGGAGACTGGGGTGAAGATGTGACAGACACATTCTCATCTAAATCAGAGAGGGGTTGAAGTTTCGAAGGGAGCAGTCCACGTTGCGTAGTCGCAGCAGGGGTTAATAAAGAAGGTGTGCGTAAAGGTTCTCTATCGGATTGAGTACAGCGAACGATATTCTCATCGAACAAAAAGTTCGAGGGGCAAAAATCATCATCCTCGTTTACAATACTCTCTAATTCTTCACCATCCGTCGTCCAATTATTAACCGCTATTACAGCTTCCCTAGTCTTTTCCAATGAACGTTTTTCAGGTGTAACGCATAGGCAGGCTCTCAAAACTTCGTATGTATCCTGACTAAGAGTAGGAAATACATCAAACAAAGTCATGGGATCAAGTACATAATCTGCAAAAATAGGATCCCGTTCATTTGGATAAGCAAAAGGGTTGCGGGCAAAAATAAGATTCAAAAGGCAAATTCCGATGGCCCAGATATCAGCGGCACGAGGGCTATAACCCATATCGTCGACATCTTCAAATTGCTCTGGAGCCATATAACGATCACTGCCGGTGCCATAATCATGAGAAATGGTATCTCTGCAAGCAAGACCAAAATCACTAATTTTCACAACGAGATCATTGCCATCATCGGAAAGGGATAATAGAAAGTTTTCTGGTTTCAAATCTCGATGATATATACCAAGAGAATGCATATGGGAGACGCCATCAATGACTTGGAGAAAAATATCTTTGATCATTTCCGGCTGATTCTTAGCATTTGGGAAGTCGTCGTTTAGGATACACTCGTACAAATCACCAAATGGGCAATACTCAAGTACAACGTAATAATATACATGGTCTTCAAAAGACTCCACAAAGTGAATAATGTTACGATGACGGTAACGGGAGAATTCTCGAAGAATATTCACTTCATCAAGAAAAATCGGGGAAGGCTTCCTGATGCACTTGATTGCATATTTGGCGTCTTTATAGCGACTAGTCCGGAAAAGACGATGAGCCAAGACAACGGTGCCGTAGGACCCCTTGTTCAAGGGACGTTCCACTTTGTAGCCTTTCTTTTGAAGAATTTTCATAGTCAGTAAAACAGATTCCGAGCTTCTCTTTCTTTAACAGATCTATAACGCTAGGGGATATAAAATCGGCAAAACAGAGTGTGGTACTACAATCGATACTTTATTTTGAATGTTTTTCTTTCTCCAAAGGGCTTTTTTCTTTTACAAAGATTGATATCAATCACAAAGAAAAAGAGAAGTCCAAAAGAGAACTAGACAATAAAAGCAAACACTCAGTGATCACAAACTGTCACTACCCGTACGTTAAAGTTTCAAAGATAAAAAAAGGATGTTCTAGCAGAAGAATTTGAATCTTTCTGAGAACGTGAGAGTCGGACCTGGTGGTCTGAAGAGATGGCGGGTATGAAAACAGCGGTTTCGCGTTGAGAAGTCAAAAGCAATGTTTCGTCTCAATATCAATAAAATCTTATGATATTAGTGTTAGACAAATCTTCTCATGATGATGCGACAAAGGATAAATAAACAGAACCTGCTTTGGCTGTTGTTGGTGGAAGACAAGATTCTACCAGGAGGATCCGGTATTCATGTAATCCAGTGTGCCCAGATACGTTATCTTACATAACGTAAACAAAGATACTACCGTTGTAAACATTTCTTGTTGATAGTATAATATATATATAGTGTATGAAAGAATTTCAAAATATGTAAATAATTAAAATAAAATATATACAGAAAATAAACTAATTTAAAAATTTAATCTTCGATCTTTGATTCTTAAGCAACTATTAAAACTTGCAAGGTACGATTCTCGACGATTTCGTTTACCTTACGTAATGTTTGTTTGTTTACTACTTTGTCTATACTCTGTACCTACGTTTTGAGGATATCATTATGCACTGGTAATGCAAAATCAATCTTATTCAAAATACTTTATTCTATACGTAAGCTACCACGTTTACCTTTCTACCGTTCTTTGTTTTGAATGCCCAGTAAATAAACAGACTTCGTATTACGAAGCCTTATAGCGATAATGAAATTTTCTTTCACATATATGCAATTAAAGATATCAAAGATAAGATTAAAATTTCAAATAATCAAAAAGAAACAAGGAAAACCTTTAATTCCTGATTTGCCTAAAGAACAGGAATTCGACCTGGACTTAGTACGTGCTAGAGCATAGGATATCATCAATGGAATGTCTATACAGAACGCTATCTCAGTTTATCAAATGCATCTCCTAAATTTTATCTTTCGTGAGAGGTTTAAGGGCGTGAAAGATGGCAGTGAAATATCAAGAATTAATTGACTACAAAAAACGTTTTGCTTACTAACTTTGCTTCAATACTCCATAAATTTGGAAGATTATAAGAATCCGTTGTGGTCCAACGGCTAGGATTCGTCGCTTTCACCGACGCGGCCGGGGTTCGACTCCCCGCAACGGAAATAATTTTTTGTTTCATCTCTCGGTGGTATAAGATGATTTTTTCCAAAGGAATTGTAAACATAAGATTTACAGACTTTGTGAAGAGGAGAGTGCTACTCTGTTTTCGGTGGAGCATTTACAGTATGCCGTGTAGCAAACATTTATAATAAAGAAATATCCTTGCTTTTAACATAGCAAAACTACTTTGCCTCTAGTGAGATGCTAGAGCTTATGAAAGGAATTTGTCCTTTCAAGTTCATGCATGCCTTCTTTTGAAGATAACTTGCATGTCCTTTATGATTGTCTGTTCAATGACATTTTGATATATTTCTTCATTAGATATAACTTCTCATAGGAAACAGTGATGAAATTGTTTTGGGCATCACAAACTGGCCTTTCACAGAACGAACCAAACACAACTCACATTAGCAGGACATTGCATTGACAAGTGATTGCATCGATCCTTGTCATAGAACTACACCAAAACCTCTGCGGTAGAATTTGTCTCATCGACAGGTAAAAAATTAAAGAGCTGATAACTTGTAAGCGAGTTTCTTTTAATTATTCTTACGTGCAATTAAGAATCGCGCGAAACAAGTAAGAGAACTTGGAGAGAAGGAGAAAGAAGGAAAGAGAGCAATAATTTATATAAAACAAATTCACAGATTAACGCGCGAGGTTTTGATTGATTACAAAACATTTCGATGGCAGATTCTTTGGTACATAGTTTGGCTTCAAATACTCAAATTTCGGCATTTCAATCTTTTGAACATGCCGAAGAGCTCTGTCTTCTTGGTGCTGAATGGATACAAAAAGCAGGCATATTATTGCAAATGTAAGCGAGCGAGAAAAAAGCTATAGTCCATGCTCTTTAGAAACTAGCTGTTGGCAGGCTCAATTGAAAGACAAGCGTGAACAAATAGTTTGGCTTATTTAATTAATAATTCGGTATGACTTTTGTTAACCCATGTTTAGAAGTCAAAGATGCGTCTATACCTCCCTTATTTTATTTCGTCGTTATTGTACATTATGTCCTCCTAGAGCTGCAGATTTAAATGTTTGTTCGATGGCTTGTTTGTCTTTGGGTAGTAAAGCAACTGAAACTGAAGTTTCGTCCCAAGATCTGTGCAATATTGGAATTTATCTCAAGGAACAGTTCCTGAACCCGGAATCAGAGTACCAAATCCACGACGTGTTTAGCACGGAAATGTATACTACAAAAGGAAAGATTAACGATATGGAGTTGGAGATTCTACGAGTTATTAACTTTGATACTCATACTGTAATACCTCACAAATTAGCCATTCATTATCTACAAACATTGGGATTGATCCACGACAAACGTTTTACACAGTGCACATGGAACCTTTTAAACGACTCTTTACATACTTTACTTTGCATCTCCGTTTTTCCCTTCGGAATAGCCGTCGGCTGCATTGCTCTAGCTAGTCGAGTTTTGAATCGAAAGCTTCCTCAAGAGTGGTATCTGGTTTTCGACGGCTCAGAAGAGGACTTGGAGCAAACAAGAGCTTCATTGGAGGATTTTTATAAAACTTCAGAATCATTACATAACAAAATTAGATTCTTGTTTACAGCATCTTAATAGAAGGAACTATCCAAAACAATAATTTTATGAAGTGATAATAACTACGAAGACGGTATCTTAGACGAGGGATCTAAATTCTCATGGATGATAAGAAAGGAAGAAATGAAAATGTTTTCAATAAGTTATGAGCAAGGAATGAACAAGTAGCTATTTCCCTGCAAATTATGTCCACTAAATAAGGTCTTCTTTTTATTTTAGGCGTTAAACATGAAGAAGGGAGTAAAGAGTACAATGATTTTGGATTAATGGTTCGTTGATGAATTATAAAGATTTGTGGAAACCTACGTTTCCTAACCAGGAGTACCGGTTTCATTAGGCTGACCAAGATCAGCTCGCTTTGTCTGAACGTCATTTAACATCTCTTTCGCTTGACGGCAACTGCTTTCATACACAAAACTCCTTAGAACCCTTTCTTTTATACTTAACAGATAACTTATGTCCGGTGCGATAGCAAACCGAAGAAACTTTAGAAGAGTGTCTAGTTTTTCGCGATCGATTCGGCAATTCTGTAAGGATTGAAGTAATGAGGGAATAGTTGCGATTTCTTCTTCTTCAGCATCTGTGATGGCTGACAGACTCCCAGTATGTTGTGGGCGTATTGAGTTTTTAGGTACCACGTAGGAGGAAGAAATTGTGAAGTAGTCATTCATAAGCCTTGGGTCATCTCTTGTGTATTCCGTCTGTGAGGTTAGTGTTACTGATATATAAGTTTAAGGAAACCTTACCTTTTTTCGTTGTCGAATCCATCGACGGCGTCGAACAAACGACTGTAATGATATTGGTCTTCCATTCCAATTCGAAAATCCAAATGAAAAACCGTATTGCCATCCCGACTCATCTACATCTCCATTCATATCGACGTACCATCTTTGCCAGGCCTATACATTGGATTGCCTTTCCATATCCAAGGTGCACTCTATGAGTCCTAGTGAAGACTCCGTGAACATTGGAGATGGAAAAACAATAATAGTTAGAAAGATATCATCCAACAAGTGAAAAAAGGAAATGAAAAGTGAGAAAAGACTGCGTAACAAAAAATAGCCATTGAATTGATTTTGGTAATCAAGCACATGCTCTTTTACTCTACATATTCTAGAAACCTTCTTTGTTGTTGTATTCTCTTTTCCTTTTCCTTTTCCTTTTCTTCTTTTTTGTTTCTTTCTTTTTTTTCTTTACTTACCCATTCCCAACTCGGATCTGGGCATGTCGCCGTTCTTATATTTACTGGAGACGCTTTGAAATTTCCGTCTACCCAAGGAGCAGGATCAAAATTCAAAAGCGACTTTTCTGAAAAGTAAACAGCTCCACAGAATGTAATCCTATCAAACAATGTTAGTGCTTTTGCTTTCGAATCATCTACAATAAAACAAACCCTCGTTGATTTTCGTATAAGACGTCTAACTGTTGGAAAGAATCCGTTTCATCCATCTATGACTTTTAAACAGCTCTTTGCCATCTAGAAGACACTTCTAAGATAATAATACAATGCAAACAACTATAAAAATACTGAAACCACAAAAGCTGTGATTTGTGGTTGTGTTTACTCAATATGTGCTCTTTTTATTACCTTGCTTTCCATGGGTGTGTGTGTGTTTTCGTAAACAAATTTCGTACATTCCATGCAAAGAAATAAACATTGAAAAATGGATCGTCATATTTCCCAAAAAAAATAATAGTCTTTTTTGTTTCTACCTCTTTAACAAAATGTTCCTCGATTGCCCTCACATCAGCTAACTAAAAATGGGTTTCTATGCTGAATACGTTTTTACATATATTATCGGGATTTCGCTCCATTGCATATTTTAACATAGTAGACTATATAATCGTAAACATGTCTACTTAAATATACGTCTCATGAAAAAAGGTATAATATCCTGTTGTACTAAGATAGGTTCAAAATGTTATATCTTGAAACCGCCCATTTCCAGTTCTCTCGCTTTATTTATTGATTTATTTTTGTCTTTGGATGTGTGAAACTAAAGCAGACGATTTCATACTACGACCTTCATGATGTTATAATGTTTAGGGCACCCTGTTCCTGAAAATACCAGTCTTCTTTGCATGAAGAAATCAAAATACAAGAATACAAGAAAGATAACTCCTCAGGATTGCCATTTCATACCAAAACACTGGCTACCTATTCACAATGGCTGGACATTTTCAAAACTGAATTGTGCATGTGCCTCTTTGTTCTACCAGCCCTACTGAAAGGAAGCCAGCACTTTACTACGATTATAACAAAGAATCAAAACAAAATTTGTGATTGAATTGATTCTTGACAGCCTTTTCTTTAATGCAACCATCCTATTATTGAAATAGTACAATGCGATTCTTTGTCTGATAAACAATAGGACTTAGTATAGTGTCGTCACTGTTACTTTCTTCAATGGGTTTTCAAGCAAGCCTTCTCTATTGTATTTTGCTATTGTGGTTGTATTCACATGGGATAAGGAAGAACAATTGTTCAATGGGCATTCTTTTGCCAGCCCTTCATTGTTTGGAATATTATTTATACATTGACAGAATGGACTCGGAAACTGTATGAACTAGTCGATTCTATAAAATTTTAATCTTTTTGTAAGTGTCTTTTATATGAGTTTTTTTCATAAACTTGTTTAATAGCAACATGTTTTGCGCTATGGATGCCGGGTGTAGTTTTTGGTACATTGCTGAAATCCTTAGTATGATTGAGATTGAAAAACTAACCCATGTAGGAAATTAAAAAAAAAATTAAATTCGAGATGAATTTGGCTGTTCATGTTTTGCTCCTGTCATTTTTGTTGTACACTGTACACTCATTTCCAGCTTATCCTCCTTATCCAATCTATCCTCGTTCTTCTCTAAACAGTAGCAATGCTTCCTCGGTACCAATTCCACAGCCAAGCTACAATTCCTCTTCAAAAGCTATGAATCCTGACCTGGTTACGTCTCTTCCCGAGTACAGTGGTTCTCTTCCAGAGCTATATTCAGGATACCTCAGCGCTGAAAATTTTAAGCAGATTTTCTACACCTTTGCTCCTGCCATCACTCCCACTGATAAATTTATTGTTTGGCTCCAAGGTGGACCTGGTTGTGCCGGAACCTTAGGATTTTTCAGCGAAAATGGACCCATCATTCTTGATCCTAATCATCAAACTCCCCAAGATAACCCGAATTCATGGACAAGATTTGCCAATATGATGTGGATCGATCAGCCATTTGGAACTGGTTATTCACAAGGTTCACCCCTCGCTTCCACAGTGTCCATAGCTACTAGCGACTTCATTCAAACATTGAAGTCATTCTATGCCAAGTTTCCTGAAATGAAGGAGAAAGAATTATACCTCGTGGGTGAAAGCTATGGAAGTGTTTGGGGTGCTTACTTTGCGCAAGCTCTTCGTTCCGACCCAGAATTACATGCTATTCCCTTTGGAGGTCTTGGTATCATTAGTGGTTTGCTTTCTGATTATGAAACCCAAAATACCATTACCGCTTCTATGTGGTTGGACCATGTAAATAAAATGGGCCTGTATTATACAAACGAATCGGCTGAAGTTTCAACGTTTTTTGCAGCAAAAAATCAACAATGTGGCTATGCCGAAGTTTTGGAAAGAATGCAATTTCCTGCTGAGCAAACCCCAATTCCCAAACCTCGTGTCAATTTAACCAATTCTTTTTCCAAGAAAAAACGCCAAGCTGATTCTGATTCCGATTCCGGAAATATCAAAGAAGCGTTCCAGATGATTACAGACTGTGACACATATACACTTACTGACTTTTTATTATATTTGAAAAATCACTGCATGATTACTTATGACATAACATTGGACTGTAGTTTTAACAGCAACAACGATCCCCTTACAACTTACTTAAACAGAAAGGATGTTCAAAAGCAGTTACATGCCATACATGTTGAATCCGCTCTGACATCTTCAAAGGGGATTTTTGGAAACGGCTGCAACTACGATGTTTATGGAGATATTGTTAAAAACGGTGCTCCTTCCATATTAGAAGAGGCTATTCCTGAATTGGTTCAAAATTACAAGGTCTCGTTTTTGGCTGGTGCTCTAGACTTTCAACTTCTTTGGACTGGTTCATTGTTGGCGTTACAAAATACAACTTGGAACGGATGGCAAGGATTTCAGGAAATTCCAGACTTGAATTCACCTTTTGGTTTTACATTAGATGAGCGAAATCTTGCGTTTACACTGTCAAACAAGGTGGGTCACATGGCTCCAAGCAAAGATCCGTCTATGGTCATTGACTGGCTCCAAAAAACTTTACTTGGTTAAATTTAATTCGATAATGGCCTGAAAGTTGTAAAACTATTATGTATAATATATTCTTAAAGCTGTTCCAAGGGTTTTCTTGTTTGCCAGATCGGTTCAGTGATTTAATTCCGTCTTTATGATTGCGATTAAACGTTATGATAGTGTTTTATTAAATGTTTTAATTTACTTAAGTTATTTTAATAAAGAAGTTTGGTTATTATAGTTTGATTTTACCAAAGTAAGACGAAATTCTTTTCTTTATTGTACATTCATTTGCAAATCGGTTTTTAGAACAGACATGAAAAAAAAAAGATAAACAGTGATATCTATGTATCTTACTTACAGCAACGGTGGGCAAAAAGACATCACAAACGTTATTATTAACAACTTGATGGATGCAAGAGAATTAAAAAAAATAATGGATATTATTATAACTACTAAAGAATAGCTGCGGTGAAAAAAAGAGCGATTAATGATGAGATGCATGAGGATCACCATTGTACTTCAGTTTGTAGACAGAACCGCATTCAGGGCAACGGCGAGGCTTGTGCTCGTTCACAGTCATCCAAATCAAATCGTGAGAGCCAGAGGGACTTCCGCTACAGCCAATGTGACGGTAGGGATCAAGAGAAGTGACAATGATAGGGTCATTCAAGGTTCCCTTACGGGAAGCATCCAAAGGCTTCATATCGAAAGCATCTTGACCAGACAATTCGGCCAAGAGTTCCAAACGCTCCAAACCAGTGGCTTGTTCAATATCGGTAGGAACTTCACCTTCACGACCACCAGGGCCGATCAAATCAGAAGCCTCTTTAGCGCTGGCGAGCTCTTGAGCGGCAGACTTTGTAACTAAAGAAAATTGGTTAGTAACAGAGATTCTTTTCTTAAAAGTCTAGCTGGGTTCCCGAAAGAGAAAGACAATAAAGAAACGTATATATTGGACAAATAAGAGTGTCTTAAGATGGATACGAAAGAGAAAAAGCCAGTCAACTGAAAACCATCAAAGCAAGTTGAAGGCATCCAAAAGAGAAAAAGTAAAATCATGTGTTAATCCACTTTATGCCTTCTTCATTCAGAAACACTCAGCGTTTTCTACCTATAAACACATACTTTCTTGATTTTTGTTAAGACGAAAAGCGGTAAAAGAAAGAGGTCGATAGGATGGAACAGAAGCCTTTAAAGGACGGAAGCAAGCTGCTCTTCGAATAAAACCAGTTCTCAACATCCTAGAAATCAATTCAATGGGCTTTCAGCTAAACTCGAGGAGATGGGGGTTAGTAGGTTGTGGTAGTATACGGACTGCTTCGGATAAGTAACCACCACGAGTAATTTCTTTTCAGACACCAAAGTAGGAAACGGAAAAGCTTTTTTAATACAAACTATAATTAATTAGATCTCTTTTACTGTTCTTTGATTGAACTTGAAAAGGTAACAAACTTAGATACAGGTTTTTCCAAGGTCAAGATCAGATCGGTGTAACCGTACTGAGTCCAAGGAAAAGGAAAGGATACAAGGATTAATTAAAAAAGAGAAAAACTCTTTTCTTTCTGGTCTTCCTGGCTTGTGCCATATAGATTCTTCCATTTAGTATAATAAAAGGATATTTGTAACCTGAGATTGTTACCAGATGAATGATATTATAGTAAACCAAATGGTTCTTTTAATTTTCCTTATAGGAAGTCAAACTATTAATTAAGAGCTTAAAAATAAGTAAAAATAATAATAATAATAATAATAGAAACGCAGATAAATGATAGAATCAGTTACCTTAGAAGCTTTCACCGTGGTTCGTCGAATTCAGTTCATTTTTGGCTGAGGTGCTACCATTTTAAGCGCAAAATTACATGACTTGCTAACTTTGTTTCTAATTTAAAAGGAATTGGTACGTAGTGGTACAAAAACCAATTGACTTTCCTGATGTTAATATTTTTCCAAACTAAGAGCGTAATATGGATATTTCATATTTCATACTAAAATCCTCGATGACACAAGTCTTGCTTTCACTGTTGATAGATTGAAATCCTTTTTGCTTTTTTCTTTAAATTTATTAATTTTGAGCAACCCATTTTTCCAATGAGTTTTTCTACCTGGTAGAAGAAACAAAGAAGGTAACGACATTTTTTACTATGATATGGTGCAAGTTGAAGTTTGGCTTCCAACAATTTGTTAGCCTCTCTTATATAGCCTTGTTCATTTGACGCTACTCGTTGATATAAATTTTATTTTTTTTTCGTATACAATTGCATTAAAACTCTGAGACTTTTCATACAATCGGCGATTTCCAACTGTTTTTGACTATTAGCACGCAATGCCTCGTAATGTCTCGCTATATATTCCCCAGCTTGAAAATGCAGATCATATTCCTTTGTCTGCATACTAGTTCTATTGTTGGACGCGATTATATCTGCTTATAAAGATAAAAATAAGAAAGCAAATAGAACGTAGTTTTCCTCTACTCTGTTGCAATTGTGAAACCGTATCCTACTTAAGCACTCCACAGGTTGAACTTGATTCGTAGTAGTTGCAATCGCAGCTAAAAAATACTTATTACAATCTGCAGCTTTATTCTTGGTTTTTAAATACGCTGAATAGTAATGTCTGATTCAGAGGAGGACGTACTTCATGAGACCGTTGCTGAACTAGTACGTGAATCTGATAAATTCCCGAAAATATGTCCTACCCAGATACACTATAACATCGGCGGATATCGAGCAAGGTATTTTGTATTCTAATTTCTTTTTGCATTCGAGTATTCTAATGTTGGTGATAGCACGGAGTTTCTTTCGAGTGCTGCTTTTCGATTAGGGATCATCGCAGCTACTTTGTCTGCAAAATTACATTCACAACCAGTTGGAGGTATGTAATTCACTTATCATTCTCCCTATATACACAGTACTGACAATACCCAACAGTCATGATCACTGCTTCTCACACTTCACCTGGTGAGCATGTTTTAAAAATCGTGAACGTTTTGAGCAGTTATGATACACAAAAGTGGGAAGGCTATTTAGATCAAGTTGTAAATGCTGATTCCGCTGATGAGCTTACGGTTTGTCTCTCCTCTATCTTCAAAAAGTCTCAAATGCCAGCCGAGAAAAATGCTCAGGTATTTGTAGCTTATGATACTAGGTATGAGAATTGCTATCGCATCCAGTTTACTCTTTCTAACTATATAGAACATCTTCAAAACATTTAGTAGAACCTGTTATGGCTGCTGCTAAGGTGCTAAAAGCACGATGCGTAGATTATCATGTTCTCAGTACTCCACAGTTACACTATCTCGTGAAATCTACTCCTGTCTATAATACCGCCGATAGTATTGGTGTACCTACAGAGGAAGGTTATTTTCACAGGCTCTCTGAGGCCTTTCATTCCTTGATGGCTTCTAAACATGTGTGCCCGTCAGTCGTCGTTGATGCTGCGAATGGAGTTGGTGCAGTCAAGCTGAAAAAGCTATTAAAAGAGATTAATCAAGACTTCCTACAAGTAGAAATTGTAAACGATCATACAGATTGCTCCTCGGAATTGACTACCACGGTAATTACTTTTTACTTTACTTTTCTTTTCATTTTCACTAACCTTGAATTTTTAGAGTGGTATTGATTACGTCCTAAACCAACAGAGACCTCCTTCTAACATTTCTGTGCAGAAAGACGTAAGATACGTTTCGTTTGATGCCGACGCTGATCGACTTTTGTACTATTATAATGGTTCTCATAGTTTTCATATTCTAGATGGAGACAAAATTGCCTCATTGTTTGCTCTTTACTTATTAGACTTGATTCGTGCAGCCGGTTTACAGTTGCAGGTTGGGCTTGTACAGACAGCTTATGCAAATGGAGCTAGTACGTCTTATGTTCAAAAAACATTGAAAATTCCGGTAACTTGTGTTTCCCCTGGTCTTAAGAATTTGCAATGGGCCGCTCAAGCATATGATATTGGGATTTACTTCGAAGCTAACGGACACGGGTCGATTTTGTTTTCTCCTTCTGCTTTGTCGGCTATCAATACCCACGAAGTTTTATCTCCCGCTCAGTTTAATGCTATAAAAGCCCTTAAGTCGGTAATTCAACTTGTAAACCCTGCTTGCGGTGATGCCCTAGCTAATATGCTACTGGTTGAAGTAATCCTGGCATATAAAAATTTCTTTTTAAGGGAATGGAATCATATATTTGCTGAAATTCCTAGTCGCTTAATAAAGTGCGATGTTCCTGATCGCTCCATATACACAACGACGGATGCAGAACGCAAGCTGATAACTCCTGAAGGATTACAGCAAAAAATAGACGCATTGGTTGCAAAATATACCAACGGAAGAGCTTTTGTGAGACCTTCCGACACAGAGAATGCTATACGGTATGTGCTTTTTTGTTTCTTTTTTTTTAATAAAAAAAAATAAGTCACTAACAAATAATTCAGTGTATATGCTGAAGCTAGTACCCGAAGTGAGTCAGAGGATTTGGCTCTCCGAATTGTTGAGCTCCTTCAATAGCTGCAAGTAAAGTTTAAAGGAAATTTGTTTCCTATCATTTATGGTTTATGATTAATGGATTGTGAAAATGCAAAACGATGTCGAAATTACTGAATGCAGGATCATATGAATTTGTGTTTTCGTATTAATAATTGTTTTTAATATATAATTTATTCGTTAGGATATGGCGAGTGTAGTTAATCTAAATAAGTAGCAATATTGATTGGCTGTTTGTTTGTTTGTTTGTTTGTTTACATTTTGCGTGTCGCTGATACAGCCACGACTTGTGACACCGAATGAATCCTCATTCTTCTCTAGCAACAGAAGAAAAAGTATTTTAGTAAAAGTATTCTTATCCAACTGAACTCGCTCTTTGTATTGAATCTGTCTTGTCTTGAGAGTCCCTTGTCTAGTGAATCAGTGGCTTAAAAAAATCGAATTCATCTTACCGCTTTGACAAGAAGAGGACGGTAACAATCTCTTTTTTACAGAGAAATTATTATGAAACTATTTAAGACTTTACAAAAGAGTACTATTAACTAATAAACTTTACCTTAAAATGGCGAGCAATCAAGGCAACTTGGCTATGACTCATGAATCAACAAAAGAATTGTCTAATCAAGACATGAGCAAGACCGATGTAAATTCCCCATCGCATGCTCATCACTTTGAAAAAGAGAATAAGTATAAACCATCACCGGCCTTTACCCAATATTGGTCAAATCAACTTATATGGGAAAAGTGCCAAAAATTTAACACGCCTGTTTTGAATAGTTCTCCTTCTCCTTTAACTTCTCAAGAGATAAGATACGACTATGAGAATGACTCTGATTCTAATTTTAGCCCTCCGAATAGCCCCAGTGCTAGATCTGATAGTTCCACAAGCGAAAGGTTTTCTCGTGAAACTAGTTATTTCGAAACACCAGCAAAGAAGTCAATGGGAAAACAAACAGAGGAGTTTCCAAGTAACAAAAAGGCCAGAAATAGAGAAGCAGCTCATAAGTGCAGGATAAGAAAGAAGAAGCATATAGATGATCTACAGAAGCGGACAAAACATTATACGACAGAGAATAAATCCCTGTTGAAAGAAGCCAACAATCTTAGAGAGGAAATTGTTCGTCTTAGGATGCTTATCATGGCTCATAGAAAATGCCCAGTAACCGCTGCTTGTGACCGAACACTTGTGATGATGGGTAAAAAACCAGTCTCATCGTCCGATATTCCTCAAGAATAAATTCTATACATAAAACAATTTATAAACCCTTCATTTTGTGGAATGAGACAACTTACTCCAGCTTCATATATCTCTGAGGTTTGGAAAATCCAGTTCCAATCAGAAAAAGCATTTGCTATGGAAATTAACTCCTAAAATATTAGTATAAAAATATCTAGGAGGTACATACATATTGCGGTACTCGATATTCTGATGCTTTCTTCCACGCGCTATTAGTATTGTCTTCCGATAACGACATCATGTCATGATTATGCTCAATAAAATTATCATCAGTATTTTCACTCTTCAGTGAGTTTTTCTCTTGGCACATAAGGCTCGATTTATGTAGCAACTGGTTGATCAAACAAACTTCATTTTCATCATATGTAAATAATTCCCTTAAATCGTCTGAAGCAAAACAGTTTTGTCTTTGACTTTCATCAGAATCCTTTCGAAATTAGCTTTATTGATACTTAGTAAATGTCTATGTAACTTACAAGGAATGAATCCGACAAACCTTGTTTCGTATTCTGTCGGATATATATACGTTCATCGAGCATACCAGCACTTCAACTTAGTTAATAGTGCAATGTGAAAAAATATTACCTCAACAGTACATAAATTCCCGTGGAATGTCTCTGACCGGTCCGATATATTCGAGAAAGTGCCTGCAAATCCTGTGCTGGATTCCAACCTGAACAGAATTAGCAAATGTTAAATGAATCGTACATACTAGGCTCAAAAAGAATAAGTCTACTCCCTCCTGTAAGATTAAGTCCGCATCCACCAGCCTTGCTGGACAGTAAAAGCACCGCTATATGATTAGTAATTGTACATAAAAATAGCTTCTTACAAGTCTCATCGAAGGTTGACTTATTAAATTTTTCAACAAGACTACCTCTTTCTGAGTGTGGAGTACTTCCAAGCAATGTCAAATACGGAATTTTTAGTTCCAACAATAATCTCTGTAAGAGTTTCAATGTTTCGGTAAACTGTGAAACAATGACGGCTTTTGCTTTTTGCGTGGAAAATAGTTCCAAAAGCGACTTAATAACCTCTAACTTCCCAGAAGATTTAAGTAAATCTCGAATACCTATGTGCTAAACTGTCAGCCGATATACTTTGCAGAACATACGTACTTCCAAGTGCAACTTATCAACTAGAAGAGAACTGTTACATATCTGACTCAAAGTTGATAGTGTAACCAAATGTTTTCCTTTCTTTTCCTCTTGACTGTAGTTCTTATAGTTTTTCAGAGCTTCTTTGTAACTTCGCTTTTGGCAAGCAGTAGGGCTAATGAAAAAAGTAATGTCATCTATCGGTTAGTAGAAGTTGATAAAATGTACATACGCCTGGGAGGAAGATGTTTAGCTAGCACACTCGTTTTTCTTCGGAGGATAAAATCTTTCGTGTATTCCAGTAACTAGGTAAACATTAATAAGGTGCAAGGTTTCTTTTCATACTCTACTTAATCTTGCACTACCCAATTCTTGGTCTCTTTGAGTAGCAAACATTGCTCTACTTCTAACTATAGGTTTCTCAAACTGATTTTTAAAAGACGAAACGCTTCCAAACAATCCAGGGATAAGGAAATTTACCATTGAGTAAAATTCCATCAAATCTACTTGTAAGTAACCTTTTTAAATCATCTATAACGTACCATTTTGCATTGGAGTTCCAGTTAACAATAATTTTCTTTCGATTTTTAATTTATGTAATACAATCCAAGCTTGACTTTGCATGGATTTCAATCGATGGGCTAAAAAATTTCGTTTAGAATGTAAAAACTAAGGTTGAACGTACCTTCATCACAAACCAGCAAGTCTATTTTCCCGGGTAGAGTTGTTTTACGAATACAGCAGCAAGCCTAAATTTGGTTAGTTACACGCAATAACAAAAGGGCCAAAGATCCATACCATTTCATAACCTATAATTAATACAGAATAATTTCGGTTGCGAAAGAACTCTTCAAAGTCTGCTTGACTTTTAGCCATACAAACATAAATGCGTTCACGACCAAGCCACTTATAAAATTCGTCATGCCAATTCTTTTGGTTAAGAATAGTTTAAAACAGAAATATCGTACCTGTAAGAGAGTGACTGGTGTTACTACCATAACATTCTTAATCGTATTGTTTTGACTCGCTTGATAGTTTTGTTCTAAATATCAATTATTAGTTATGACCATATCATGAATAGCATACTTAGTAATGTCCAAATAACCGTTATCGTTTGCAGCGTTTTACCCAATCCCATTTCATCAGCTAGTATAGCACAACGCCCGTACTTATTACTGATACCTGTTAAGCAATTGTAGAGAAAGCAAATTCCTTCGCGTTGATGAGGCTGTAACTGTTTGCTTAGGAAGGTATCCACGACGACATCGACATGTTCCCTGAAAAATCAGTACGAAGATTCTTAACATTCTCGGAGCATACTCGTCATTCCACGACATTGGTCTTTGCATTACTAAAGATCCAGCAGCATTTGGGTCATGCCTTGGCTGTTGTGCGACTCGTGGCCTGCGAGGCAAGTTCGATGTCTGATTAATTGGACTTTGGAAAGAACCCTTTTTCCTCGACATGTACGTATCTGGAAGATGCACATCATTCAATTGGCGATTTGAAAGACATCCACTATTAAACTCTTCTTTTGACATCATATTTTCCACCTGAATTTCGTTAGTTCGGATATGAGAATATAAGAAAAGGTCATGTATATCCCTTATACAAACACTCGTACAGTTATTTCTTTTCCTCCCACACGAAACATATCACCTTCATCAAACGAAAAATCGCGTATAGTACTACTCCCAATTCTAGCACAGACAATTAGTATGTACGATTTCCAACAACTGCTAGTACTTTGACCAATCCGCATTATAAATAGTATAGTTACTTCCTTCACAAACCATATAGCCATCTCCTTCCCAAGTTTTATGTTTTTTCATGGTTATCTTTCGCCTGCTTTGTTAGCATTACGCCTTAAATCACAAAAGTTTTACCAGAGAATAGTGCAATATACTTGGTCTTTTGCAACCTCGTTTGATTCATTATCTAGTTTAAGTTTTGATGAAGCAGTAATTTGAGTTGAATTGGTTTTAACCGTGTTAATGTCTTTTTCAATTAAAGGTGATTGGAAGGTTCCTTTTCGCTTCATTCTTTTGGTTTTCAAATATAGTCGATTCAAATGTTATAAGTTATTATTTATAAAAAGAAAGAGTTTTATAAATGGAGAAAATGCCTAAAAAACGCGTATTGGATATTCTGAAAGTTTATAGAGTATTGCGAAAGGTAAGCAGCGGTAGTGTTCTTCCTATGTGCCTCCCAACGCTGAATGGTTATCATTGTTACTGCATGGTTAAGTGAAACATATTAGATAAAAAAATAATGATTATTAATTAGATCAAATGCATTACAGAAAGAAAAATAAATTAATTGATCATTCAGGAAGGTGTTTTTTGAATATGTCAGGTAGGAGATGATTGTGAGTTCATTAACAAATGCTTCCATCATGCTTATCCTGAAGTATACTCAGCTACTCTATAATTTCAAGATAAAGTAAATTTCGTTCCTACAATCTCTATATCTTTTTATAACATCAGAAACATACATTGGTGAATTACGCATATATATGTAATTTACGAGAGAACTGAAATTAGGATCTGAATTTCCCTTTGGATATCTGTTTTATCAAACTTATGGACGAGTTAACGAATTTGTCATTATCGATATTATTCTTTGCTTTTCAAGAATCTAGTAGAATAAAACTCGAATATGAACTTTGGCGACAATATGTTTAATGGCTTAGTTTTTTCTCGTATTTTTTTTTTCAATCACTTATAATATTTTTTTTGAACATACTTTTTATTTGAAAAGAAAGTAGGCTTCCTTACATATTTAAATTGCTGTTGGATATTTTTTTCTCAATTATTTATTTATTTATATTATATTTAGCAGAATTTAATATGATAAATTATCTGAAAATGACATATATGAATATATATGTCTCGTAAATCTGAGTCTAATTAATTTTAGCTTCGTTAAGCAAATGGTTCCAAAACATCAAAATTGGTAAATCCGCAAGCTGGACCAAGACTATTACCTTCCGTATATTTTTTGATCTATTCCTTCGTGTTTGATTAAATGTAAATCTAAAAAATGGAAACGAAACCTATATATGTTCTTTATGGCTCTGAAACAGGCACTGCAGAAGAATTGTCGGAGAGACTGTATAGAAATCTGATCCGCCTCGGGTATAGAGTAGTTACACTTCCTATGGATGAATTTGATACTGTAAGCCTTATAAACTCTAAAAAGAAGTGTCTAACATGACAGCAAAAACTAATTGAACCTCTCCTTTGCGTGTTTGTTTGCAGTACCACGGGACAAGGTGAAATGCCTTTAAATATGCGGGTATGTATTATATAAGAAGATGGCGGCTGATTTCTTTAGAAATTTTGGAAATTTTTACTTAAAAAACGTCTTCCCATGAATCTTCTTGATGATATGCAATACGCTGTTTTTGGGTGTGGTGATACCTCTTACGTAAGGTAGTAAAGGCTTATAATTCCCTGATAATTGCAAACTAACTTTTAGATACAATTGGGCCTCAAAGAAATTGGATAGCCGTCTTCGACAACTTGGTGCTCAAAGCTTTTGTCCTAGAGGTGAAGGTGACGAGCAACACCCTCAAGGGTATGTTTACTACCATATAATAAATTTTCATACTCACAGCTTTTAGGGTCGAAGGTGGATTTGCATTTTGGTGCACACATTTAAGCTCCGCATTGGCAACCGTCAAAACTCCATCTCAACCAGCTCTCAGAGATTCCGAAAACATACCTCCCTCTTATTCAATTATTCGATCTGGTAATACACATGAATTAACAGAACAACCGCAACACACGAGAGGAGCGATCCCCTCTACCCTCCAAGAAAATAATCGCATAACTGCAGACAAGCACTGGCAGGATGTTAGAAAGGTTGGACTTTCACTACCCAGCTCGGTGAGTTGGAAACCAGGAGATATTGCAGTTTTGTATCCCTGGAATGATGATGAGAGTGTCCATAGTTTTCTGAGGTGTTTGAAGTGGGATTCCTTCGCTGATGATTTAGTATTTATAACCTCTAATATTCCAGAACGAAAAAACCCTTGGCTCCCAAATCCATTAACAGTTTTCAATTTTGTGAAGTACGTTATTTCCATACATTCTGTGCCAAATCGTACCTTCTTTGAATACGCTGCACATTTCACAAATGATGATTTACACAAAGAAAGGCTGTTAGAGTTTGCTAGTCTTGAAGGTTTAGACGATTATTATGACTATGTTACCAGACCTCGTAGAACATTACTTGAAACTCTGCAAGAGTTTCACTCGGTTCATATACCTTTTGAATACGCTTTAGACGCTCTCCCTGTAATTCGTGGCCGGCAGTATTCCATAGCAAACCGCTGCAATCAGAGCGAAGGAAAACTCGAGCTACTAATTGCATTGGTGAAGTATCAGACTATTCTAAAAGAGCCTCGACAAGGAATCTGTAGTCGGTGGTTAGCACATCTTCATCAAGGAATTCATTTTAACATCGAAATTTTACCAGGATTCCTTTCACTTCCTTATACACTAGACAGACCTTTAATTGGTGTGGGTCCTGGTACCGGTGTTGCACCGTTACGCTGTTTGATTCAAGAGAGGGTGAATCTTGAAATCAAGAATAATGTGTTGTTTTTTGGATGTCGAAAGGAATCTATGGATTATCTTCTTCGTGAAGATTGGGAGTATCACAAGAATGCCGGAAATTTACAGTTGTATTGCGCATTTTCTCGCGACCAAGAGAAGAAAGTATATGTTCAACATAAAATCCAAGAATATGAAGAAATGATATATCATACACTACGTGAAGAGGGAGGAATGGTATGTGTTTGCGGTTCATCAGGAAGTATGCCGAATGCTGTTCGTGATGCCATTGCAGGCATTATCTCAAAATTTGCAGGTGAGAGTATATCCGAAGGTTATGAGTTTCTAAAAAAGCTTGAAAAAGAAAGAAGGTTCTTTCAAGAGACATGGTAAATAACTTGGTATTTATTGTCTTTCCCTAATACATTATACCCAAAAAAAGGATTCAATAGATCATTTTACTTTTATAAACAAAATTGGATATTAGAGAACGTAGGAATTAATTGAGTTCATTAACATAATCATCATTTAAAGTTATCTCAGTTAAACTCTAAATAGCATTCAATAAACTAGCAACACTCTTGGGATCCAGCTTATCAGCTCCTTGATGCCTTTCTATAAGATCATCTCCATCATTGGTACTTTCACTTACATTTGAAGATCCATTTCCAGCCTGCGAAGAGACATCAGACTTATATGAAAAACCAGAACGCTTACGATTGTTCCAAGCATCTTGATTTAATTTCTGACTTGGCGGAGGATTGCTTAATCTACGAGGAAAACCTTCACGGCCAAGACGAGACAAACCTCCCATATTATCAATGTTTCGTATGTAAGGTCGAACGGACTCCAAGGTAGCTAGAACTCGACGCTCATAATAAGCCTCCTTCTCCACAAAATCACGAATAGACTCCCGCAATGTAGCGGATGTTTGCTTTTTATATGTTTTGGATTCGTTCATTAAATTCAATGTAACATAAGCCAGCTTTTGGGAAAGTTCCTTTTCGTGTAACCTTGATGTCTCAAGAGCATCTAAAGCTTCATCAGTACGTGCTTTGCTGATCTTTGGATTGCTTTGCAGACGATTTGCAGAAGAAAGACAAGCATTTGTTTGATTCTGCGCGGTAATTAAATCGCGCATTAAAATGTGTCTATTCGAGAGAATTTCCTATGACAATGTTAGATGAATATCATTTACGAATAAGCATACCTTTGCAACAAATGCATTGTTAGATGCATAAGCAAGGGTATCGGCAAACGTAACAAGTCGCGTAGTAGATTGCATCAGGCGAACATCAGATAAAGATTGAAGCATCTTCCCTAAGCGACTTATGGCACTTGCCATACCAGTATGATCTTCAGCAGCAGCATAATCAATCATGCTTTGACCTAGTTCAATATTTGATCGTGCTAAGGCTTTTTAGGTCAGAATAAAGAAAGAAAATATACAAATAAACATACCTTGCTTTTTAGCAACTAGCTTTTTGAGCTTCATTTCAGTTTCTTTCGTATTAATGTAGAAGGATTTAACTACTGGGCGCAACGTTGCCAACTCTTCACAAGAGTCGGGGGGCAAAGGAAGTTGTTTTAGTGCTTTTCTCTTAAGACCGGACGTAGGGTTTCCGGTACTCACTAATGGAGAATACCCGTAATCGCTTTCAACAAATAACTTCAATTCTGGATCATGGAGCAAATTTGGATTTGCTGAAACATAATTCAACCAAGATTGTAAGCCATTTACCATGTATTGCATGTCATCTCTACCACCGATGCCGGCTGAAGTGAAAACCTCTGGAACAGCAGGAATAAGACATTCCGGATGAGTAGACATAAAGTATCGTGCTAGTTTATTAATTTCTCCATGGGTCCTTCGTACATTTTTGTATATTTTTGAACGATACCCATTAATATTAGCCTAAAAAATAAGTGTTAGATAGTAAGGAAAACTATCAAATGAAATTCTTACTCGTATATTCATCTTGACAACAGGATCTTTTGTGTTCTTAGCCTCAATTTCCATAATTCGTATTTTTAAGGTCTGTTGGTCATCTTTGTTTAAAGACTCTCGACCTTTTGTCGAACTAGTCGAAGAATTCATAGTGTCTTCAGCAATAGAGCGATTCGCTTCAAAAAGTGGACCCGGGGAAGCATTATCATTAACTCCTTCCATGTAAGAACGGATTTCAGATTCAGCGTTAGCATTTGGTGCTGAATGATCCGGCGAGATGGATACGTTTTGAAAATCCTGATGATTCAAATCCGAAAATCCTCCTCTGAAAACATCAGAATTTATAAGATCATCTGCATTATCATCTCCAGACATATTTCGTTCCAATTAATTGATTCACGCGGTCAAGGAATTCTTCACCAAAGTGAGTACCCGGTTCTATACCAGGAAGTTGTACAAACTACAAAGGAATTTTTAAACGAAATCGGAAAAGAAACGGACCTCTCTAAAAATGGTCAGAAAGTTTGGAAGACTGTTAGCAATCAACGAATGGATGAAAGATTCCATGGATAAACCTCAGGTAGTTCATGCAATTGACTATTTACCATACATTTGTAAGGGTACACAAGTACTTTATAAAGAGACATAATAGTTTTTGTAAAATGACATTATCATTTATGCACTTACTATCGTAATTAAATTTAATACAGTTAATCGTAGTTTGATAAACTGATTAAGAAAAATTTCGGTAGCAATGAAATAAATTTGTATTATAAGGATAGTAGCAATTTTTGCTACGTATCACTATTTGGATTATTATTATTATTAATTATTATAACGGAAAGTGAGTTAACAATTATTCGAGTACTAAACAAGACAAGCAAGGTGTAAATAATTTTAACTCCCATGTACGCACCGAAAGTGACAAACTATACAGCTTAAGGGAACTAAATATCATGTAAAAAAGCTAATAGAGTGTATACGCAATTGAACCTGTCGTATTACGGAGGTTTCGTTAGTAGTTGTATAACCCCCAGATGGGACACAACTGCAACTCTGTTGTAGTTATTTAAGTCGATTGGTACCTACTGTTTCGTCCATTTAAGATTGATGGATGACTAAAAGCACTACGAACAATGGTATACGGATTGGATTCCCTATAACAAAAGATTCTATTCACGAGCATCAATGAAGAATAAATGACGTATTGTTAAGAGACTATTACTAGCCCAAGTCACGAGAATTGGATAACCATTTAAAAAAAAAGAAAAGAAGAAAAACCTTACATAGAAGCGTATTTTTCACATTATAAACTGAACTACAATTACAATGCTTATCGTATGGTTGTTTGGCAGTAAACATGGAGAGTCGCATTCACCGCTTACAACTTTCCCCATTTGGTGTAATCCTTACAGTAACATAACAGAAGAATTTTGACATCCAACATTTTGGATTGGATTGTAGTAGGTTGAGAATAATAATTTTTTGAAACGTTGCCTTTTGAAAAGGCACTGCCGAATTACTATGTATTATTTTTCATTGCATGAGATGAAACGCTCCGCTTTATTTAGTGCTTTTCTTTATTAGATCAAGTAACATAGAGTCGCTATAAAGTATTTCTCTCTTCACTGACAAATTTAATCTGATATTGATTCATTTAGTTTCTATTTTGGAGATCGAACTCTGAGCAAAAACCAATTCCTACTATTTCTCTAGATTTCTGTAAATAATATTATACCAAAATATTACCGTATCACGTGTATATTGAGACTTGCTACTTCATTACGATATCTAAGGTATAGGGAGTAAATGTGCGCTTACGAGTGTTTTCTTCTCTGTAAACCCGACTTGACCATAGCCTATCCTTACCCAAAACAGTAAAAAAACTTATAATATGGGGATTCATAATCCTTTACCTGCTTCTTTGAAAAGTAATAAGAATTCTGTAATTCAATTGAGTAGTTTTGTTAACCCAGTATAGGTGAATGCAAGAAAACGGGAAAAATTTTAGCTAGTTTTGTGGTATGATATTCCAATTTCACTTTCAACAATGAATATGAGTTATCATTGTTAATATATAAAATCATTTGCTAACATATCTTTCCAGGACCCGAGACAAACACTCGGAGCTCAGGAAGTCATTCCTCCCTCCGTACTGACCAATGCAAAAGGACTGGTAATTATGACAGTTTTAAAAGCTGGTTTTCTATTCTCTGGAAGAATCGGTTCTGGATTAATTGTTGCACGTCTAGACGATGGCACATGGTCAGCTCCTTCGGCTGTTATGACTGGTGGAATGGGTGTGGGTGCCCAAATTGGATCTGAGTTAACTGATTTTGTAATTATTTTAAATTCAAGAAGTGCCGTACAAACGTTTGCTCGTTTGGGTAGTATCACTTTGGGTGGAAACTTGTCTGTTGCAGCTGGTCCTTTGGGCCGAAATGCTGAAGCCGGCGGTGGTGCCAGTGTCGGTGGCATGGCCCCTATATTTTCTTACAGCAAAACAAAAGGTCTTTTTGCGGGTGTTTCTTTGGAAGGTTCAATTTTGGTTGAGCGCCGTGATGCAAACCGCAGTCTGTATAGAGGTGATATAAACGCTAAACGACTTCTCACAGGCCAGGTCCCCCAACCAGCAGCGGCAGATCCCCTTTATAAAGTTCTGAATTCTAGAATTTTCAATATGTATCGAGAATACGAAGGAGATATCTATAATGATGTTCCCATCTACGCAGAGGATGAACCTGAAGATATTTGGGGTCCACCTGGGTCTCGTGCGAAACGTGATACTTTAGATAGTGATTCCGGTTACAGATCGCGAAGATCACAACCTACTCGTAGCAGTCGTCGTTATGCCAGCGACGATGAGGAAGATGACTACGACCGTTATAGAAATAGAAACAGACCGACTTCCAAATTAACTAGTTCCTCTATTCGCTCTTCTCGTGCTAAAAACGATGGCTTCCAGTCTCAATACACTGACACTCCGACTCCTACTTCAACCAACGATTATTACAGTGATGAGGAACATAGTTACGATAGCCATGACGATGATGCTAGTAGCGGCTCCTCTCGTTTCTCATCAAGGAGTTCTGACTATTCTCGCCCATCTCGCCCATCCGCTCCAAAACCCGTGTTCTCTAAAGATAAAATTGGCCCTAATCAAGTGCGTGCATTGTACACATTCACTGGGGAGCAACCTGGAGATTTATCATTCAAGAAAGGCGACATAATTGAAATAATTCAAAGAAGCGAATCCCATGATGATTGGTGGACAGGCAGGATTGGATATCATGAAGGTATCTTTCCCGCTAACTATGTTTCACTAACGTAATCGTTAATTTCCTCTGTGTATGCCCGAATATATTATGATAATTCCCTGAAAGTCTGATCTTCATTTTACTTTGTAAGAAATCAGCTTCTGCTCGCCGATTATGTCTACTTCAAAGGTGGTTAACATTCATTTTTATTATCTTCCTTACAAATAATTACATATTTAAGTAATTCAGAATGATTAGAAGTATAAATAAAAAAGTTCCTTTTGCATTTATTTTACTACATTCTGGTGTATGTCCTGAGGAAACAACTTATTAAGGATATTTATAAGATTACTATTGCCCTACAAAATCAATCAATCAACTAATATTTCACAAAGGACTTGTTTCTTTGGCTAACCACTTTTTGGCTGAGCTTGACAATAGAGGACTTAACGTATCATAGACGCGAGCATGATACTTGTTAATATACTCAACTTCTTCTTTGCAAAGCAGAGTAGGATCAATAAGTTTCTTGCAATGTGGAGCCATAGTAAGGTCCTTCAAACCGTAGTACTCACGAGCAGCAAATTGATATTTGGTATTAGCTTTGGTGACATATACACAGTTTTCAACTCGGAATCCGAAGTGACCGTCTTCGTAAAATCCTGGCTCATTGCTAGTAACCATTCCTGGTTCCAAGGCAACTGTATTGAAGACATCACGTGAACCAATACCAATGGGAAGTTCGTGAACATTAAGGAAACTACCTACCCCATGTCCGGTACCGTGCAAATAGTCCAATCCCCATTGCCAAAGATGCTGACGTGCCAAAGCGTCAATTTGAAAGCCAGTAGTACCTTTAGGGAATACTAAATTAATGATTGCAATATGACCTTTCAAAACCAATGTAGCTGATTGACGCTCAAATTCGGTAGGTTCTCTGAAGTGCCATGTTCTAGTTACATCGGTTGTTCCGTCTTTATATTGAGCGCCTGAATCACAAAGATAAATTTTAGAAGGGTCGATGACAGCACTTCCCGTAGCAGGTGGTGAGTAATGAATGACAGCGCCATTCGATCCAGTGGAACTAATAGTCTCAAAAGATAAATTAACGAAATTATCATTTTTTCTTCTGAAAGATTCAAGCTTCGTGGCTGCGTCGTATTCATTGATTTTACCACCGGATTGAAGAAACTCTTCAAGCCATGCAAAATATTCAACTAAAGCAGATCCATCTCTAACATGGCAATCCTTCATACCCTTCAACTCAACATCATTTTTAATACCCTTGGCATGAGCGATTGGGCTAACGATAGGGTAAACAGTTGCTTCACCAAAGGAAGTAGCAATACACCAAGAAGTTTTAGTAGAAACACCGACATGACTTAAATAACATTCGTTTGCGTCTTTAAAAATTCTTGAATAGGGTCGGATTTCAGCATATTTACTAACATGAGCGACAACCTCAGGAGTAAGCTTGGCTTCATCCACGTAAAAGTAGGCTTTGTCGTGAGTGATAAAGGAGTAAGCATAGAAGACCGGATTGTAAGGAACATCAGCACCTCGAAGATTGTAGAGCCAGGCGACTTCATCGAGCATGGAAACAACAAATGCTTCAAGATCTTCCTTTTTCATCGCTTCGCGTAAAATCTTAAGCTTTTCTGAAACATCCATTCCAGCATACTTGAGTTCTTGGATAAAGAGCTTTTCACAAGGAGGTTTGGGACGAGATTCACCCCAAACTTGGTCAACCAAGTTATCATGATCACCACACAAGTATGAGCCTTTTTGTACATACAGCATCTCACGTAATTTTTTAGCATCAGGGAAAGTAATGAGACTAGAATCAATACCAACTTTCTCGGCGACCCTGGTTTTCTGAGAACAATATGTTTGCCAACTGGGGACACCAGGAAATCCTTGTTTCATCAAAGTACAATTTTCATCCAACTGTTGAGAAGCTTGGTTAAAGTAACGGCCATCGGTAAAGAGGGCTGCAGAGTCCAATCCAATGACAGCACATCCAGCAGATCCATCAAAACTGTTAATAGTTAATAATTGGCATAAACAAAATCGCAGACTTTCCATACCCACTTATAAAAGCTCTTCTGGCGTCTGACTCGGAGGTGTATTCAGAAGCGTGAGCCTATATCCAAAAGGTAAGTAAAAGAAAATTAACTTAAATAAAAGAAATTTTAGAAAATAATTTTAGCAACCTATTATTTGTTGATGCTTTATTATTATTATTATTATTTTTTTTTTTTTCTCTTCAAATCAACGATCTCCTTTTATATCAATACATATATACTTACATCTTCAGAAGGAACCACATAAAAAGAGTATTCACGCTCCTTCATGAGAGCTCGCAATTTAGATAAACGATCAGTCGTATGTACAACCATATTAAATGAGTCGTAGATGCACAATCACTAAGAAATTACACAAAATGGAAGGACAAAGTAGGAAAGCTATTTAATTATCAAAAAAATACCAAAGACTTAATAACTCGAAGTTAACACTGTCTGATACTTTGTTTTCTAATAAATGTAGCCGGCTTTGAGAAGGTCGTTTGAGTAGGGAATTACTGAACGAAGCAGGTGTTTTCGTGCATTGAACGTTTGTATTTAGCGAGGTCACACGGGTATCGTACTCTCGTTTAATTTAGTGGTTAATTTGGTGAACCCACTATTTACTACAGTAAAGGCATTGAAACTCCATGTACACAAAGCAACGTAGACATCAATCGAAGGTCTAAAAAGAAGGAAATACGAAATTACTTATATTTATGATTACATTTTTTGACTAATGGAGGGAGATGCAATAGCATATGCAAATGAAGTACGACTAAACAGAGTGAAGGCAGTGAGCTAACATTTACATCGATTAGCTTGTACATAACCTATATTCTGGGTCTTTAAATCCAGCTTCAATCACAGTTGTTGAAAAGGAACTACAAAGGGTTCAGAAATCCGAGTCTGGATGGAGCATTGGATTATCGATGCTACAAAATTCGGTATGGAGTAAACACGTTATGAAGGGACGTTGAATTTTATTAACTAAACTTTTTATTTTAGGATGTCTACCAACAGTTTTTTGGAGCTCTGACATTGCAAATGAAGATAAACACTCAGTGGGAATCTTTAGATGGAATTAGCCGAACGCAACTATCACATCGATTGTTAGAGAAATTATTGAATAATGAACAACTACCAAGCCTTGTTGAACGTAAAATTATATGTACTTTAGCAGCGTTATCCATTAAATGTGAGATTAACGAACAAGCTCACTTTACGTTCTGGATCATTTATAGTTTATACTACAATGACTATAACGTTTTAACAAACCTTTCAAATTCGTCTGAAGTTCTTCCACCGCTTCCACCTTCCGCATACTCTTCTCAAAATGCATACCTAGCTACGCTTTTCTTAAATGAACTTTTCCTTGAGCTATCCTCGTCCCTATACACGAAAGAAGACGAAAACTTAATTTTTAAAAGATTTTTTAACTCCTGCTCTGACTTTATTGCTCTTATTTTGACATCTGTTTTCCAAACCTGTCCGTTCCAATTATCAGAAAGAAGCAGCATTCAAGCTTTAGAGCAAGCCTTAAATTGTGTAATTTCTTTGTCAGCATATCTTCAAAAGAACTCTGTTTCCATAAGCACCGGGTTTCCTCAGCTTACAGAATGTATAGATTCTACTGTAAATTGCCTTGCGTTGGATCCTGTTTCAGAAAAAGCGATGAATATACTAAGCGATCTTTTAGCAAGTTATGCCCATTTGGTGTCTAAAAACACCATTCAGAAACTTTGGGATATTTTGGTAGGAGAATGGGGCGAAACTCGCTTGAAATTGGAATTAGATCAAGCAGACAGTGAAGAGGAGAATGATTTCTCTTTCTTAAACTTGATAATTGGGTTTTCTGAGTCTATGCTCAATTATATAATCGATAACATTCAAGAGGATAAGTGTGTTAAGGTATTGTATATATTAGTTTCGCTCTTAGGCTTTCCTGGCTACGCAATCGCAGAAGAAGAAGTAAGCTGGCGTACATTGGAATTTTGGACAACTTTAATTGAAGACTTTGCTATGAGTGACTCCTTGTCAGATCCTGTAAGGAACAATGTTTTTCAAGGACTTGCATTTTCTGCGATGGACAAAGTTTACTACAAGATGTTGCTTCCTTCTAGTACCCAGTGGAAAGAGTGGCCTTCAAATATTCGCGATGCATTCCATAGCTATCGAAGGGATCTAGGCGATCTATTAGAGAGTTCTTATTCTATATTTGGAGAGAAAATGCTTACCATGTATGTAACCAATATTGAATCTCTACTGCATGACGATATAAAGGATTGGCAGCCACTCGAAGCTTCCTTTTATTGCTTAACATGTATCCTAGACAATGAAACTAGCGAAAGCGAAAATCTTAATTCTTGGCTGACACGACTATTTAACACTAATTTTCCCGCCAAAGCAGCTGGGTTTGGTAATATTCTGTTGTTAAAAACTACCTCTCAACTTCTGAGTGATGCCTCTTCTTTTCTTCAAAAAAACCCCCAATACCTAAATATTTCATTGCCCATTCTTTTTGATGCTTTGAATATTCCGGACAGCTCTCTACAGATTAGCGCATCCCGTTCAATTCATTCTTTATGTACTACATGCGCTGTACATTTAGTTTCTGAAGTCGAGGGTTTTGTCTGTTTGGTTGAGAATTTAACGCAAGCCCTTGTTGATTACCCCTTTGTCCTTGAACGTATATACAGTTCTGTCGGATTTGTGATTAACTGCTTGGATTCCTTGGATTCCCAAACTTTATATTTAACAAGGTTGCTTTCGTGTTTGGCTTCGCCTTTACAACCAAATAATTATCCGGATCTTGATACCTTTGAGAATGTCATTAAAGCATGCCTTCAAAGTTTGGTTGGTTTGGCAATTAGCCAAAGTCCTTCAAATAATAAATCTATCTTTGACGTTGAGAAGGTTGAAGACAAAGGTTTATATTGGGACAAGCCTCAGATATTGGCTTTTCAGGAAAAAGTGATGTCTTTTCTAACCTATACTGAGTCCTCGGCCTTACAGTATGCAGACGTTGTCGGTGTAAGTAACTTTTCTGAACATTTTATCAAGAATATACTAACGGTTAGTTTATTTGCAAAATCATTATCGCTGGATTGAACGAGCTGGAGCCTTCACCGTTTTCGTTACATATATCTGCCACAGTGCAATATTTCTGCGCTAGATTTACTGAGTTTCCAGCCTCTATCCTGTTAACATTAGCTTCAGCTATTTTGACGTCTCCATATGGTCAAAATTATATGTCGGAGGATTTGCTACATAGCATGATTATGGCAGTACAGAGCCGGCTTATGTCAAGTGATGAGGGTAAGTTAAAATCTGGAAACTTACATTAACAAGTTGCAGAATTTTTCGAGAAAAATATAGATGTAACGATTGAACTATATCACTTCTCTACAATCTTTTACCAGAAATATCCAAGTTTTCTAGAGTTACACCATTTGGAGATCCTACAGTTTTTATTAGAAAAAGCGGTATACACGCTGTGTAAGCCAGAACGCTTACTTGAATCTGCATCTGGACAATTCTTGGTATGCGAGCAAACCGTAGGCTTTCAACTAATAAACGTTATAGTCTTCGTTTATCACTATAGAAATTAATTCCCAGTCGAAGGAAGTACATAATAATTTGTTGGAATCAATCCGAATGCCACTGATCACGAAAATCTTACTGGTATGAAAAACTATTTCAGATAACAACTAATGATAAAACAGGGTTTTGGAGGAGGCGCATCAAGAAGCTCACTCCCTCTTTTGTCCGATATCTTAGGAAAACTAAAAACACAGAATTTTGGGGCTACGAAGACAATTCTTACTCATTTATTGTCCTGCGAAGGCTTTCCGTCCATCAAAGTCAGTAATGAAGTGAAGCGACGGTTCCTACAGGATTTATTAAAGTAAGTTTTTTAAGTGAAAGACATAGCTGACTCATATTAGAGTAAGGATCAAAGATAAAGTCAAAGACTTTTGGATTATAAGTAAGGGTTTCGAGTCTACACCTTATGGTAATTCTAGTTGGACATTCTAAGGCTAGTGATGATGACTGAAGTGGTATGATTAGAGTCTAAAGCCCTCTAAAAGTTCATAATTGTCGAACTGCTTTTGTTGGCGATCTCTGTAAAATAAACTTGGGTAAGAGTATATTTAATATTTTTAGTAAAATGCTTATAAATAAGAAGACTCGTAATCATGTGTATTTTTTGAAACATCAGCATATATAGACCTCTTTTCATAATCAAATGACCAGTAAAATGGAACCATACATCCTTCCCTTTACGACGCCGGATAATGTGACATCTACTGAGGTGGAATACCCATTTTTTATACATTCTTGCAGTATTTCACTTTTGTTAACCAGTCTGATTAGCTGTTTAGACAGAAATGATGCTCAATGTGGTGTATTGATTTGTCCTGAGAAGGACATGAGAAGTATCGAGGAGACCATCATAAAAGAAGAAGGAGCTTTTGACACGTTGTTTTTGGATTCTTCTAATTCAATTGGATACCTTCAGTACCTCGACAAAATAGAAATTTTACCATTGCAGAATGCGAAATCTTTAAGCGACGTAATCAATCAAGCAGCTAATCAAAAAGGAAAGATTGTGGTAGGGATAACTAACATTTCTTCATTGCTAAGTATTGAAGATAATTTGAACGGTGCTTCATTAGCTTCAACACTGGCTAGTGTAATTGAAAAGTGTTCGCCATTGATTATAAACGAAACTGGTGCATTAGACACTCCTATACCCATCAGTGATTCAATGAAGCATGAAATTGTGACTTTAGAGAACGTATACTCATTGTGGATCCCTGTTTATATGAAGGTTTCTATTAATGCTGAAAATCCTGACATATCGACTGCAAGTTTTCATAGTCGTGAGCTCTCTCAATCATCAGAGTGGAAATCTAATACTTTTTTCCAAGGATTAAAAAATAATATACATAAAAAAATTAATAACCCCTAGAAAAATTGAGTTATGTATAAGAAAATAACAGTAATTTTTTAGTCTCTAAACTGAATGTAAGATTTTACGAAATCTATTAAATAGAAAGATATTCATTCCGTAACCTATTATTCACTATGTTCGTTTAAATGTAGGTATTTTTTCTGTCAGATATTCCCTCGTGCATACTCTCTCTACCTTCTAACCAAGTCTCGTCGTCTTTGTATCAATGAGACATGGATGCATGGAAAGAGGTACAGTTAGTAAAAAATATAATAAAACTAACATGAAAGGTTGCTAGGACGAATGAAAATAATGGTATAACAGCATGTTCGTTAAATACAATCTCATTTGACCCCTACTCTGAATTAATATGGTCAGGTCATAAAAATGTAAGAAAGCAAGCTACTTCTATTTTCTAATTTTTTATTAGGGACAACTTAAGTCTTTGTTTGGGCCAGGTTTAAATCCGTATACCCAGTTTGTAGCTCATGAAGGCCCCGTGCATCAGGTCCTGCCTCACGAACGAGGTATCTTTTCTCTTTCTAGTAATTCATTACGCCTTAGTAATCGTACTGGTACAATTAGATGGAGGTTAAGGTATGTACATGATTCCTGCCTAATGTTGCAAGTTGTATTATCCACAACTAAGGATCAAAATGTTGAATATGCATTTCCAGGTTCTAACTTGTAGTGACTCTGATGGCGCTGATTATAGGGCTATGTTGTATCAATCTCGTACTCATCCTGAAATTGTCATGGGAGGATACAATCAAAAGTTGACTGTTGTAAATGCTGAGAGAGGCACTATAACACATCAGGTATAACAAAATTAAAGTCTTCTTGACTAATACATTTGTTAGAGAAAACTTCCCAATGATATATTCATTATGCGCAGAAATCGTTTACTTTGTTGTGGTTCTACTAACGGAGAAATTCTTCTATGCGATCCGAATAGCTTCAATCCTGTTAACAGAATATCCGCACATACAGGAACAATTTCTGATATTGATACATCTGGAAATCTCCTTCTTTCATGTGGCTATTCTTTGCGACACGATTCGTACATGATGGATCCCTTCGTAAAAGTATGGGATTTAAGGAACCTTTCCACTTTGGTACCTATTCCGTTTCCTTCTGGGCCAAGCATGATTAAGATGCATCCCAAACTTTCCACTACAGCGGTCGTTTGTTCAAGCTCTGGGCAAATTAATATCGTTGACACCGGAAATCCACTTGATGCAAAGTTAATGCATATCCCATTGAATTCTTATTTGACGCAGATGGATGTTTCAGTTACTGGTGATGCTATAGCCTTTTCTGACGTTGAGGACACCGTACACTTATGGAGCGCTACGGATACGCCCTCATTCACTGAAATGAAATATCCAGTTCAGCTACCTGATGTTGTTAATGAACCTCCAAATGTTTCTTTTGAAGAGTAAGTCCATTAGTTCTTGAATATGTTTGCTAACTGTTATCCTAGACCGTTAAACAAAATCGGAATGCCTTACTATGATTCTGAACTTCTATCTTCATGGTCAAAATACTTGGTTTTTGATGCTGGAAAACCAAATTTTGATTCAAACATGTTTTTGGCCAGACAAATTGCTAACTCAGCTCTTCCTTTAAACCAGGAATTAAAGTCATTTCATCGTAACCAAATAATCAACTTTCCCTGGTTAAACCGAAAAACAAGTTCCCAAGAAACTACTCCTAAATTTCATAGCGAAAAACAAAAAGACATTATGTCTGGAAAGGATTCTGAGGAAACCTTCTCTTACTTTGAAGAAATGGAAGATACAGTATCAGGCCCGGATTCAATACCCAAATTCTATCAAAAGCCTGTAATCAAGTACAGCAGGTTTGGAATTGAAGATTTTAATTTTGGTTTTTATAACAAAACCAGCTTCGCTGGCTTAGAAACGGATATTACTAATTCCTACTGCAATCCTATACTACAATTACTTGCGTACATACCCTCTTTTTGTAAGTCAGCCATCAGCCATTCTTTAGGCCCTTGTGGTCTTGAAAGCTGTTTGGTATGCGAGTTGGGCTTTTTATTCGCTATGCTAAAGGAAAGTACTGGTAAAAACTGTCAGGCCACAAATTTTTTGCGTTGTTTTTCTTCTTCTCCATTTGCTCAGTCGTTGGGAATTGTTTTTGATGAACAGTCAAATGTCGGTGCTCTCGATTCCTCTCTAATTCAAAAATTCACAAAATTTATCCTAACCGAAATAATCCGTGTAACAGAATATGAAGATAAAAATGGAGGCTCATCGTTTCCTTTGGATTATCTCAGCAAGTCATTTTCTATATGTGAGGTTCAAACTCATCGCTGTGGTATATGCGGAATAACAAGCCGAAAATGCCACTCATCAATGTGTATGATTGATTTAGAATATCCATCGCAGCAGCTGGAATCTATCATATCTTTTGAATGGCTCCTAAAACTTAGTTTGGATCATCGAGTAGATCTACCCCCAAGTTGGTGCGAATACTGTTTGGCCCATCAGCCTGGTTTACTTCGGTCAAATGTACGATCTATTCCTGATATATTTTTTATAAATACTCAAATAAAGCATCATGACCATCTGAAGCTCTGGGCTAGAGAAGGATGGTTGCCTAAGTTGCTATATCTTAGAAGAGTGAATGATACGGTTCAATGCTTATCAGCGAGACAGGTTTCATTACTTGGTAATGATAAATCTTCAGTATCGATATTCGGTTTACGTGGTGTCACATACGAAATTCGGGGAGTTGATTTTGCTTCACATTTTGTTGCTGCAGTTAATGGTAAGTGATGTGTGTTTTCATGTTCTAACTAATCTAGTCACTGATCGCCTAACAACAGAAAACGCAGAAGATAGTCAGTGGTATATATTTAATGACTTTTTAGTGAAGCAAATTTCTGAAGAGGAAGCCTTAAATGTCCATGGTCCTTGGAAAATTCCGGCGATGCTTTGCTATGAAAAGTTAGACATGAAGATTCCTCAGTGGGACGACGTTTCTGATTTCACACTTTTGTATGAACCTTACTTTTTAAATCCCGTGCCACCGGCGATGAATAAAGCTGTTTCACTTTCGACCGAAGATATGTTGTATCCAGGTATGTTGATTGGTATAGACTCTGAATTTGTAGCTTTACAACGCGAGGAAACCGAAGTGAGAAGCGATAGTACGAAATCAACAATCAAGCCATGTAAACTATCGCTTGCAAGGATCTCTGTACTAAGGGGAGAAGGACCTTTAAAAGGCGTTCCTTTTATAGATGACTATGTTGCAACAGATGATGATGTGGTGGATTACCTTACTAAATTTTCTGGTATCCATCCGGGTGATTTAGATCCGGCTCTTTCGAAGTATAATGTTGTTCCTTTGAAAGTTGCCTATAAAAAATTACGACTGCTCGTAAATGCAGGATGTAAATTTGTAGGACATGGTCTACAAAAGGATTTCCGAATTATAAATTTGTTGCTTCCTCCCGAACAGGTTATCGATACAGTAGATCTTTTCTTCTTAAGCTCCCGACAACGCAAGTTATCTTTAAAATATTTATCTTGGTATCTTCTAGAAGAAGACATTCAGCTCACTGAGCATGACTCCGTTGAGGATGCATTGACGGCATTGAAACTTTATGATTGCTATGTAAAACTGAAGGCTGAAGGGAAGCTGGAAGAAACATTAGAGGAAATATATGAGGTTGGAAAACGATATAAATATCGACCTCCTTCCCTGTCATCACTGTCCCTTCAGGATCGGAGTTTTTATGGAGAAGACTCCTTCATAATGGGTTAAACAGAATGTCTAATGGAAATTATGATGAAGCATATTTTCAAAAACTGTAAATGTAGTAGAAATATGAATATCCTTCGCAAAGAACGAAGCATACTTAATTGATTTGGTTGGATTTAATCTGCATTGTTAATGTAATGACGATATTTTTTCTTTTTCCTTTTATTTATTTATTAATTTAAGAGACCATGGAAACTCCATCACTGCACACGAAATATGAGATTCTGTGTGTCAACTTAAATTTACTCCAAATGTTTTAACGATGGTGAATCCATTTTAGGAATCATTACAAATATATTTTCAATTAAAATTTTTTATTGCCTTTTAAACTTAATCGTACTCTACTCAGTCTTAATTTCTGATTTATGGTGGTAAATTTTTTCGCGGTGCTCTCCCTACCCACCTTTCTAATCATCCTCAGTAAACTTCAACCAAACAAACAGTTGCCCCTTCCTTTATTAATTTTCACATTTTTTGTTTAAGATATGCCAAGAAAAAAATCAGCAACTAAGAAAGCACGCGAAGCGCTTGCGAAAGGACAGGAAGAAAAGCAATTGCCTGAGAATAGCGGCAAAAGTCAGTTGATCGATGATAATATTTCAGAAGAAGAAGATAATGTTGATTCTTTAAAAATTAACGAGAATTTCGCCAAAAGATTCGAACATAATAAGAAGAGAGAAGAAAGGCAGAAATGTAAGATTAAGAACCATCAGAGCTAAAGTACTAACATCCAATTCAGTGGAAGAAAAATATGGTAAAGAATTAGCAAATCAAAATGATAGTGACGATGAGGACGAGAGTTCCGAAGAGAGCGAAGATTCTGAAGGAGAATTGGTCACGCCAGAAGTAGATGCTGCAATTCTAAAAATTCTCACTAAAATTCGGAATAAGGACCCTGATATTTATGATAATAGTCAACAGTTTTTTGACGACACGGAAAGGTCTATAAAAACGACAGTTAAGGAAAATAAGGGCCGCCCAGTTACTCTGAAGGATTATCACCGTGATCAACTCATTTCTGGCAATGTAATGGAAGCTATGGAAGAAGACGAAACACCTCGTTCTGAAGTGCCGACACATGTAGAAGAGCAAGAACAACTTCGCAAAGAGACCATTCGGGCTTTCCACTCATCTCGTGACAATGATGAAGTTTCACACGAAAATGAAGATGAACATGACGAGGAGGGAGAAGATTTCCTAAAGAGAAAGGAAAGACCGAAGGAAGAGGTAGAAGCAGAAGAGAAAGCTTACGAGAGGTTTTTATTAGAACACGCCGAAAACAAAGATGCCAGTAAAGTTTTGAAAGATTTGTCCACTTACTATGTAAAAAACCGACCTGAAGTTTTACAAGGTATAGAGAACGAAGAAAATGGGATTGCAGAACAAGATGAAAGCTTTTTGGCAAATTACATGTTGAGTCGTGGTTGGCGTACTTCAGATAACCGCATTCCCTCTTATGAAGAAATTGTCCAAGAGGTTGATGCTGATAACCAATTCGATGAAACAGCGGATAACTTTGAGACGAAGTATAACTTCCGTTATGAAGAAGCAGGTGGATCTGAAATAGCTTCGCATCCTCGTGATGTTCCCGATAGTATGCGTCGAAAAGACGATACTCGAAGACTTGCACGTGAACGTAAGAGGGAACGCCAGGAAGAAGAGAAACGAAAGCGAGTTGAAGAAATGAACAGGTTAAAGAACCTCAAACAAAAGGAACTTGAAGAGAAATTGAATCAGGTTGCTGAAATTGCAGGGACAAATGATATCGATATATCTGAATTGGATTTGGAAGGCGATTTTAATCCCGAAGAATGGGAGGCTAGAATGGCAAGGATTTTCAGTGATAAATATTATAAGGATGATGACTCGAAACCACAATTTGAAGATGACATTGACGTTTCTGATCTCGTACCGCCCGAAGAAAACAGTGGTAAGTCTCAAATAAATGATAATATTGTTGATTTGCCCAATGATGCGGAAACGGCCGACGGAAGTGAATCTCAAAAGAAGGCGAAGCGTCAATCGAGAAAGGAAGCCAAAAACAAGAAAAGAAAAATTGAAGAATACGTTGATGAAAAGTATGGTGTTCCTGAACCTGTTGCTTCCAGCGGTACTCAATTCAGATATCGTCAAGTTGCCCCAGAAACCTTCGGTATGGATGTACTAGATATCTTGAATGCATCGGACGCAGATTTGAACAAGTACATTGGTTTAAAGAAGCTTTTGCCATACAGAACACCAGAACAGGTTGAGAAGGACAGAAAGAAGTTTGGTAAGAAGAAGAGGCTGCGTGAATGGAAAAAGGAAGTTTTTGGTAAAAAGGGTTAGGTTTAGATAAAGGTTGGTTATAGAAATAATGAAAGCTACTTTTGTTAAAAAGCGAACAAATTATTCGCTTATAACATATCAGGTATTTGGATATATGACTCCTGTATTGCAAGACGTACTGAAAGTTGACTTAGTTGATGCACAAGTTAATAAAAGAATGAGTAGGCTGTAAAATAAAAATAAAAAGTAGTTTTAAAAATGTTATTGACTACACAAATTTCATCAAACCTAAGTAAAATCTATCTAAAAGCATGGAACCAAGTATTAGAAACATGGATGAGTTATTAATGGAAAAATTTATTATTACAAATGGATCCATACTCCTATTAACAATTAATATTAATATGTTAGCATTTATTTCTTCTAAAAACGTAACATCATTATGTAACCAATTTCTCAAGCAAAAGATAATCCAAAAAAAAACTCAAAAATATATGGCAAATCCAACCTAATTATGAGATTCACTAGCACCCATAACACATGCCAATAAAGCCATACGAATGTACAAACCATAACGCATTTGACGGAAGTAAGCAGCACGCTTTTGATCAAAATCAACTTCTTCACTGATTTCACGGTTCCTGGGTAAAGGATGCATCACGATGGTGTGTGGTTTGGCGGCAGTTAAGAGGTTGTTATCAACAATGAAGGAATCCTTCAATTCTTCATACTCTTCAATGCTTGAAAAGCGTTCCTTTTGAACACGTGTACAATAGAGCACATCCGATTGAGCAACAACGTCCTTAGAGAGCTCACGATGTTCAACGAAGTTCAAACCACTAGCGCGGAGATCTTCTTTAACATCATCAGGCAGCTGAAGTTGTTCAGGAGAAACAAGATGAAGCTCTACTTGCCAGAAAGCAAGTAAACGAGCTAAAGAATGAACAGTACGTCCATACTTCAAGTCACCAACGAAGGTGATAGTCAATCCATTGACACTACCAAGCTCTTCACGAATAGTGTACAAATCCAAGAATGCTTGAGTAGGATGCTCCTTAGAACCATTACCACCGTTAATAATTGGAACAGGAGAAAATGTAGCTGCGATACGAGCACTTTCAACCGAAGGATGACGCAAAACAACAGCATCGCCGTAGCAGCCAAGAGTACGAATAGTATCGGCAAGACTTTCACCTTTGTTTACACTAGAAGCGCTTGCAGTAACAGCCACAACCTTACCACCTAAACGCTGCATAGCGGCATCAAATGATGAAGAAGTTCGAGTAGAAGACTCAAAAAACATTGTACACAATATCTTTCCGTAGCAAAGATCAATGACACCTTGTCTTTCCACAATTATACGCATTTGATGGGCGATCGCGAACAAAAGATGGAGGTCTGAGCGTGTAACTTGGTGCACAGAAATGATGTGTTTACGATAGAAAGGCGAGCTATTAATCATATTAACCAATTCACGAGAAGGACTGAAACTTGGGGTGAAATTGAAAGTTAATTCAGGACGAGCTCTGTTTTCTGGTGCTTGACCGAAAGCCTCAGCAAGTGAAGGAGCAGCATGAGGAAGGCCAGGACTCATTAAAGCACTAGCTTTCCTAACAGATACTGGCTTCTCGGAATGTTTGGAAGTCGAATAATCACGGCCATTAGTAGACTTAAAGTTAAGTTCACCATCAAAGTAAACATCATGTCCACCAAATTTGACGGATTGGACACTACCAAAAAGCTTCTTACCGCTTAAAGGAGACCATTCAGAAGTTTGACTAGGAATAGGACGATCAGTTTCAATTTGCATTCCCGAGTCATCTTGCTCATGAAGACGGAAAATCTCCTTAGGATTGGTATACAAACGATCAATAACATCATTTAAGGTCAAACGACCATCATGAACAGCTGAGAGCAGAAGAGGTAAAGCTTCACGAATACCATAACCAGTAGAAACCTTATGACCAGTAAACTCTGCTAGACGGACACAAACACTTCCAATTGAAAAACAGTCAATATACTCAAGCTTGTTCCATAATTCCTTTTGATCTTCTGGAGTAGGTAAAAATCTAGCTCCAGGGAAATCATTTTGAGTTAGGAACAAACTGTAAATTGACACATCGAAGGTAACTGGAAGACTCTTTTGTTTAGCCAAAACGATAAGGTTAATATCGTCCTTTGAAGTGACGCTAGCAACATGGATTCTACGGTTGTGCAAACTAGCAAGCAACAATACAGAAGCTAGTGTAGTAGATTTAGCATCGGTGACAACTGCATGGGTCTGGGGCCACAAACTGAAATGAGATGCAATCTCGGTAACGTGATCCATACCAGAAGAAGTGTTTTCAAAATGAAGATAAAGACAACCAGATTCCGCTTTTAGGTCGGCAATTGTTTCTTCATTTACAGAAGATGCGACCACTGAGAAGTTGTAGTCACAATGAGCATTGTCTAAAGCGGCCTTTCTAGCGTTGGCCAATGATTCTTTATCGGCAAGGATTCCCTTTTTACTGAAAGGCAAGAAACGAGTCATGGTAAAACCAGCTGCTATACATTCTTCAGTATAGTCGCTAATAGCCTCAGCGCTGAATTCGGGAAGGTATCCGCCAATATTAATAAGACCAGGAAGATTCTCGGTCTGGAAACTACTTTGAAAATCAACAGAACTAAGACTGAAATCGGGCTTTCTGCAAATTGCTTCAATCATTAACTTAGCACATTTGACATTAGTTACCAGTGGAACAGAGTAGTCAATAGCAAGTCGACGACTCTTATAGCCGCTGCTAATGTAATTCGCGGGACGGCGATAGCGATTATTCGATGGTAAGTTGATATACATATCGATCATGTTGTTCGCAAGATGTGCTGATAATGAAAAGTCGTTATTGGCTTCCTCAGCAGGAATATCGGCTAGATATTTGCAAGGAACACCACTTTCCATGAGGTAATCGGAGGTACCAGCGGTTGCAAAGATATTATAGCCAGCATTGTGAAGTCTTCTGACGTATGGTAACAATTCGGCTTTCTCCTTGTATGAACCTATGGAAATAAGAATATTTTGCTTAGGTAATCTGAATCCAGTGGAAATCATAGCCTTCAAGTAAGCTTCAAACTTGTTGTGTCCAAAGCAAGCAACTTCACCAGTTGAGGCCATTTCGACACCAAGAACAGGATCAGCACCGGATAATCTGCTGAAACTAAACTGAGGAACCTTTACGGCAACATAGTCACGAGGAAGGTTAATCTCAGGATAAGGCTTAATGGGGAACCCCATAATAACTTCAGTTGCCATAGAAATTAAATCAGCACCCATAACTTTAGAAACAAAAGGGAATGATCTTGAGGCACGAACGTTACATTCAATAACCTTAATCTCGTTATCTTTGGCGATAAATTGGATGTTGTAAGGACCCGTAACGTTTAATGCTTCACCGATTTTTGCAGCGGCATCAACAATTCTAGATATAGTAGCAGGGTCTAAATCTTGAGGGGGAAGAACGAGAGTAGCATCACCAGAATGCACACCAGCGTTTTCGACGTGTTCAGAAATAACATGCATAACCATTCTACCGTCACGTGCGACAGCATCCAACTCAATTTCCTTGGCATTTTCAATGTATTTCGAGATTACAACTGGATGATCCTTGTTGATAGCAACAGCCTGCTTCAAATAATTTTGAAGATCTGTCTTTGAATACACGGTATTCATAGCTGCACCAGACAAAACATATGAAGGACGAACAAGCACCGGGTAGGAAACTCTTTCGCAAAATTCTTCAGCCTCTTCGAAGCTGGTCAATTCCTTCCATTTGGGTTGATCAACACCAATATCATCAAGCATACGGGAGAATTTAAAACGATTTTCGGCACCATCAATCATTTCAGGAGAAGTACCGAGAATCTTCACATTCTCTCTATAGAGTGGAAGTGCGATGTTATTCGAAGTTTGACCTCCCATAGAGATGATTACACCAGAAGAAGATTCTTGTTGGTAAATATCAAGCACAGTTTCCAGACTAATGTTTTCGAAATAAAGCCGGTCAGCTTCATCGTAATCGGTAGATACTGTCTCAGGATTATAGTTAACCATAATTGTCTTAATACCTCGATCGCGAAGAGTACGGACGGTACGAACAGCACACCAGTCAAATTCGACAGAAGATCCAATTCGATAAACACCTGAACCCAATACCATCACACCCTTATCTTCGAAATGAATGTCATGTTCAGAAGCATTGTAAGTCGTGTAAAGATAGTTAGTAAATGCAGGGAATTCAGCAGCTACAGTGTCAATCTGCTTAACAAATGTCCTGATACCAGCCTCGGTTCGGATACGTCGGACAGCGAGCTCATTAGAATTCATGAATGAAGCAATTTGAACATCTGCAAATCCTAACTGCTTAGCAGTTCGTAAAAGTGGCACTGGCAGGGTAGAGATATCATATTTGGAAATCTCTTTAGCCATACGAATTAAACCCATTAGCTTCTCTAAGAACCATCTATCAATGCTGGTTAATTTCCAGATGCGTTCGACTGTGTAACCAGAGTTCATTGCATTTGCGATAGCAAAAAGACGTTGATCAGAAGGAGTCTGTAATTCTTGGTCAATAGACATTAAAGCATCCTTAACGTTAAAACCGCCGTTACTATAATCAATTGCACGAATAGCCTTTTGAATTGCTTCTTCAAATGTACGACCAATACTCATGACTTCACCAACGGATTTCATAGAAGAGCTTAATTGCGTGCTAACACGAGTAAACTTCTTCAAATCCCAGCGAGGAATTTTAACGACAACATAATCGAGACTGGGTTCAAAGCATGCACATGTAACTTTAGTAACAGAATTCTTGATTTCGTTCAATGGGATGTTCAAACCTAGTTTAGCTGCAGTGAAGGCTAAGGGATAACCAGTAGCTTTCGATGCGAGAGCAGAAGATCGAGAAAGACGAGCATTTACTTCAATAATGCAATACTCTTTGGTGAAAGGATTAAGGGCATATTGAATATTACATTCACCGACAACACCGAGATGACGAATAACATTCACGGCTGTAGTACGGAGCATATTATAATCCTCATCCGTCAAGGTTTGCGAGGGTGCAACAACGATAGAGTCACCTGTATGAATACCAAGAGGATCAAAATTCTCCATATTACAAACGGTAATACAGTTGTCGAAAGCATCACGTACAACTTCATATTCAATTTCTTTCCATCCCTTCATACTGCGCTCAATTAAAACTTGGGGACTCGTTGCGAACGCACGATTACATAAATCAATTAATTCCTCTTCATTGTCAGCAAAACCAGATCCCAATCCACCAAGAGCATAAGCAGCACGAACAATCACGGGGAAAGAAATGTCTTTTGAAACCTTCAGAGCTTCTTCAAGAGAAGAAGCACTAGCTGACTTGGCGCACTTTTCGTCAATTTCATCCATAGCACGTGCAAACTTTTCGCGATCTTCTGTAGTAATAATAGTGTCAACAGAAGTACCAAGTACCTTTACACCAAGAGACTCAAACTCGTCCTTCAGTTCAATACCGACATTCAATGCAGTTTGACCACCAAAAGTAACATAAATACCATCAGGGCGCTCCTGCTTGATAACCTTTCGAACGAAATCGGCGGTAACAGGGAGGAAATAAACTTTGTCGGCTAGGCCCTTAGAGGTTTGAATAGTAGCAATATTAGGGTTTATTAAAATGGTGTAAATTCCTTCCTCGCGAAGAGCCTTAATAGCTTGACTACCGGAGTAATCAAACTCACCTGCTTGTCCAATACTCAAACCACCACTGCCAAGCACCAAGACACGCTTGGCATCAATGCGAGGATGTTTGGCTTGATTCTCTTCCAAAGTACCACCAGGAAGCTTGAACATTTGAAGTTTGCCGGAGTCAGCAGAGCGCTTAATGGTATCAATGAAAACATCGAACAAAAACTCTGTATCACGGGGACCAGGTGTGGATTCGGGATGGAATTGGACGGAAAAGAATGGATACTCAGTGTTATATATACCCTCGTTGGAGCCGTCGTTAGCATTGACGTATAGCTCTTTCCAGCCAGATGGAAGAGTATCAGCATTAACAGCATATCCGTGGTTTTGGGAAGTAATGTAACATCTTCCTGAAACTAAACAAGTGCAAGGAATATTATGACCGCGGTTACCGAACTTCATCTTAACGGTGGAAGCACCAGCAGCACGAGCCAGAATTTGATGACCGAAGCAAATACCAAAAACGGGGATGGTCTTGGATTCAATGACGCGGCGTACACGTTCTACTGTTAGGTCCATAAGAGAAGGATCACCAGGACCGTTACTAATAAATAAACCATCGTAATTCTCTTTTGAGAAATCATAATCCCAAGGTACAACTAATAGTTCAACACCACGAGTGACAAAACAGCGAATTTGATTATATTTCATACCGACATCAACCGCAATAATTCGCATAGTTTTTCCATCAGCTTTTTTGAGGGCTTTTGAAGCATGGGGTTCATAAAGTTTCGGTTCCTTAATAGAAACCTCAGCAGTTAGGTTTTTAGCATTAGGATTTTTCCAAGGAATATCTTGGAATTCATCTTTCCAATTGCGGCCAAAATCAGTGATTTTAGAGGGTTCAATATGTTTATTATCTTTTTGAAGAAGCAAACGGCCAAGCATAGAACCTTGCTTGCGAATTTTTTTTGTTAAGGCACGAGTGTCAATACCAAAAATACCGGGGATTCCTTGTTCTTTAAGCCAATCGCCCAATGAAGAGTGAGCTAAAAAGTGAGAGTAGTTTTGGGAGTAGGAAGAAATAATTATAGCAGAGGCATGAATTTCATTAGATTCAAAGTATTTGGGGATGCCTTTAATGGCATCTTCAATGTTTCTGTCAGGAACACCGTAGTTACCGATATTAGGGAACGTGAAAACCAGTATTTGACCACGGTAGGAAGGATCTGTCAATGACTCTGGGTATCCTACCATACCAGTTTGGAACACCAATTCACCAGAAACCGACTTGTCATATCCGAAGGAGTATCCTTGAAGGACGCTGTGGTCTTCAAGCTCTAAAGCCATTAACTTGTATTCTTTTCTTTCACCATCAACAGAGTACAGCGCAGGCGAGGGGCCCGTAGCAGGTTCAGTGGCATTACCCTCTACGGGTTTAGGTGCATGAACCCTGGGCATACCCAGAGCTTCGCTCTGAACAAGAGGGAAAGAAGAAGGTAAAGAAGAAGGCAATCCGGACATCGCTTTCAATTAACAACTAAGGCTCAAGACTAGCGATTCCCCTGATTTGCTTTGGAAGCAGTGTTTGTCTCAGGCTACATTTATAAAGTGCTGCTGTGAAAAATTTCTGATCTTCGCTTCAGTATACAACATACATCAATTCTTTCCTTTACTAGTAAATAAAATTCTATAAATTGAAATACATTTTTCAAATTAACGATTATACAAAATAATCCAAACGAAAGAAATAACCACGTTTGGTTGGACCAACTTGAAAAATTACTGCTGCCACGAAACTGATTCCAATGACTGATATCACAACTAGGAACGAATCTAGATTACATACTAATAGTAAACCACGTTAACTTCTTTTATAAGTAGCTAATGACTTTCGTTAAACCTACTTTGCGAAAAACAAAGCAAAACACTAACGTAAATGAAAAATTAAAGGAAAGTATTTGCTGCATTAGCTACTAAGGTTATTAAATCATTTCAGTTATTTGAATACATTATTAGTTAAATTTCTTAGTTTGTTTTTGTCTCCCCAACGTAGCTACCGTTTTATGGATTCGCGGTGCAAAATTTTCGCTTTACAGCAAGGCTTCCAAGAAAACAGTATACATTGAAACAAAGTTATTCGTATGTGAGTACATATCCTCTATTGTCATTTAACAATCGAATTTCTATTTATCCATTTACTTGTAGTTGGCGGAAGAAAAAGAATATTATCCGTCAGCTCCAAACAAATTGCTGCTGTGACTTGGATTTTTTACAAAGTCGCACTCCCTTGCAGTACTGGGTTTGTCATAGATCGTTCGGCCCTGTAATCATTATACTGCAAAACTTCGTCACTACAATAGTAAATAAATAAATATTGTTTTGAATAGGAATAAAATCGAGAGTTGCTTGAAAACTCGTTAAGTTTGACTATAAAATTAAAATTAATAGATAATAGTGATAAAAAATAAATGGCGTCTCTCCTTTTTTTGATGGTCTAGTTTTTTTTGCTATGGTTTATCGTCTATTTCATTGCATTGCCAATACACACTATTCATAAAATATATAGGCTGTTGACCCCAGGTTATCCAATTTCTCGAAAGACATCTGCCAAAAACTTCAAGGCCTGTAGGATCACATTGTAGCCACTCTTTCAGGAACGGGTGTAAAGAAGGTTTTCTAGAATGGTAGTCTGGTACACTAACGAGCGTATAGTTTTTTTGTATTCTCTTAGAATGAGTTTGTAAATATTCCCGCGTAACGCCTATAATTAAGTGTTCCCAGGGCTTGCGCATTCTTGAATGAATGTCAAACAAAGGATCGCCATGTGCAGTTATCTTTAGCCAAATCCAGGTCGCAACATAGTGCAAATTCCAGGAAGCAAACAAAGTATCTTTTACAAAGTCTATGTATTTTTTCTTATTTGTACACCAGACGGCCACGACACCTTTTTTCTTGAGTAGATGTTTGACGGGAATATCTCTCAAGTATCCCAAGTGCCTGTTTACGGGGTATGGGTTTCTTCTGGCAACAGAGCGATTTGGCCAAGGGGGATCAAGAACAAATGCATCTAATTTTATATCTTTTAATGCTTCCAGTAGCACATTGGAAGTTTTTTCAACATCACCCATTATGAAAGAGGCCCCAGAAGGTATGTAGAACGTCGACCAATCGGGCACTTGTTGGTCTTCACTTATAATTGTTTTGACGCCCTTCAGTTTTAGCTTTACTGTCTGACTGCTTAGATTGCATAAATACTGTTGATATAAATCCTCGAGACCATACTCGTGTACTCTCGAATCTTGAAGAGGAACCGTTGACAAAACGGGCGGGATCTGCTTCATAATATTAAGCATAGAAATATATTGTTCAGTTAGCTCTTCTTTAGTTTGAAAATCCGTCACTAAACGGCTTTTCCTATATGGTAAAGCTTCCGGAATCTGCGTTGCAGATAAAGAAGTTTCATTATCAACTTTTCGACGCTTGTTAGTAAATTCCCTTTCGAAAACTCTGCTTGAAGATGTATGGACCCAAGAACATATCCGTCCTAGAGCATCCTGAACTTGCTGTACCAGTGGATCCGTTTCTTCTGATGACTCGTCTCGTTTCTTTTCAGGCAGAGGATATGGTTTCACGGTAGGCTTACTAGTAATAAACTTAAAAGAAGGCTCAAATTGAATAGAAGCTGGCGAATCTAAAAGTACGCATCGTTCATCTTGGTATATAACAGGACAGTCAATTTCCATAATTCTGAAGAAGATCAATCATTACAAGCAAAACTCGGATTTTAATAGATGGATAATAATATCTTTACAATTGGACAATTTACCCAAAAGAAACCTGCAGAAACACGCAAGACATATAATATTACACAAAGTACTGGTCCTTTCTAACCAAAATTATAGACCATTAGAAGCAAAATTCTCTACCAATGAAGCCAAACAATAACAACTGGAATATACCGTCAATCAGGTAAAGAAACAAGAAATATTAGTTTCGCTGCACTCTCTGTTTATCACTATACACGGTCCAAAACCTCGTAAAAGAGTGATAAAGAGCCTCTTAGAACACCCTCAAAAATCGTTACTTCTCATAGTAAGCAAAAGGTCCGTCATTCCCACGAGTCAAATATCTTCTTAAACCTTTCGATATCGTAATCCCAGTAGTGATTTATCAGCATTACAAATGGGTGAAACTACCTCAGCAGATTCCAACTTCTCTTTGGTTAAGTAATGATTTCGAGAGATACATTTCTTTAATTTATTTTTTTGTTCATCTGCATTATTATAAAAGCGTAAAAGCTCGAATTGGAGCGTTAATTCCCTTCTATAATAGATAACCCGTGTGCTCGTGTCCCCTTGGTATTCGTCCCTTTCCATTCGCGATTTCTTGCTTTAGTTTGCTGGCACAATATATCTTTTGCTCTTATTTATTACTTCACTTTATGTCGAGATCAATTATAAGTCTCTTTCCTTAATTTGAATTTCGGTTCATTCTCTTTGTCGTTTAAGCATTCCATATTCCTTTTCTTTATTATTGAAGTTTTGCACGTTGTCTGTTTTTATACATATATATATTTTGTTTGCATCTTATAATTGCTGTATGAATTTTGATATGACTTTGGCTACCGAAAATAGAATTGAACAAACCTTGAATTTCGTGAATCAAAAGCGTGATTCGAAATTGGGATCGGAGAACGAACCCGTTGTTCAAACGGTGTCATTATCCTCCGGAAAGACATTTGGCCATTCTCGAAACTCCACTCCAAATTGTCAACTTGTCCAAGAAAATTCTCTTGATTGTCGTGCTTATGGTGTAAATTCCCATCGCGATCATCTGCCGTTTCCTATGGACGATGACAGTCATCTAAATAGGGACTTAAACGTTAAGCTTTCCCTGCTAAGTCTCGAGCAGGATCAACCAATGTCCTCTGATAATTTGTCACAGCTTGATTTAAATCCGGTGCTATCTAGTTCTGCAAGCTTTAGCGATGATGATGAGGAGTCCTCTCCCACCCAATGTTCTAGTCAAATTCCTCGCAGTTCCACAGATTTATGTATGATGAACAAGAATCGCATAAATCCTTATAGTCGTATTTATCGTCGCAAGGCACCGTCGGATCCTAAACATATTCCTCCTCAATTTCATTTTAAAAAACCTACCAAAAAATTTTATAATAGTATGTATACTAAGATGAAACTAAAAATGTCTGGTTTCCCCTATATCAAAAGGCAGGTATTGTCTTCAAAAGAAAACTTGCCGCGCAATTCAAAAGAACAGGTAACTTGTTATAACCATTCTTCCGATCTGCGTCAGCTTTGTCATCTTCGTACCGTTGGAACAAAATATAAGCTGGTTAATAGGGTAAAACCAACTAACAAAAGAAACATTATGCTCGCTAAGTATGGAAGAATTGGAAAACTTGTTGGGGAAGGAGCTAGCGGTTATGTACGACTGATACAAAAGCCCGATGGTTCTTGTACTCATGTCGCTAAAGTATTTCGACCGCCTATTGACAAAAGATTTTTACGTCGATATGTTCGCTTTTTTATCGCAGAATACTCGATAGCTTCTACCCTTAATCATCCAAATATAGTAAAGGTTTACGATATTATATATGCGAAACATACTATTATTCAAATTTTAGAACATACTCCTTTCGATTTATTTTCTTTTGTTGTAAATGGTCATTGCTTCGCAGAAAAAGCGGATCAACTATTTTATCAATTACTGCATGGCATTGATTATATGCATTCGGTTGGATTGGCGCATAGAGATGTAAAGCTGGATAATTTAATGTTGGATAATGAATCCAACCTAAAGATTATTGATTTTGGCACTGCTTTTGTTTTCCATTACCCTCTGGAATCTACTATGCTTAAAGCAGAGGGATTAGTCGGGTCAAAACCATATGTAGCGTAAGTCTTTGTAATTTCTATTGGAATAATAGGTTTGTCTAACAGTTTTTAGTCCGGAGGTTTTAAGTGATAAACTGTATGATCCTCGTGCAGTTGATGTCTGGTCATGTGCTGTCGTATATTGGTATGTGGAATCTTTACGACTTGTTTACTAACATTTCAAAGTTGCTTAACATTACAGAAATTCCCTTGGAAAGCTCCAGATGAATCCAATAAAAGATTTAAAACATTCTTAAATCAAATGAAGAACCCAGCGCTCGAGATTGAACTGATTAATTCTTTACCAGAAAAATCTAGGACTGCTATAAAGGGCATGCTGGATCCGGATGCTGAAAAAAGATGGGATATTGCTAGTGTCTTGAACACTTCTTGGATGAAAGACACGGCTACTAGTCTCAGACAATCTTATTAAGATAAACCGTTATCATTTCCCTTGTTTTAAGTATTTATTATGAGAATCAACTTCATCTAAGAGAGAAACATTGGTGCTGTAGAATTATTGACTTGTAATCTCTTGACTTCATCATGTACTTGTGCAAATCGATTGCTCAATACCATGAAAAGTTTGTGCTCTTCTTTAATGGTTCGGAGTAATGCTACTAGGTTAATATATCTCTTATATAACGACGCTTAAACATACCATCAGGGCTATTGTTTTGAGGGGTGGTCTCTACCTGTTCCAAATGCTGTTCGAGTTCAGCAATAGTGGAAGCATACAATGCAGTACGCTTATCAGCATCGTCAACGAAATCCTCGAAATAAGACATCAAAGGATCATTAGAAGTATAAGGGTATATAGCGCCGGGAGTTTTAAAAAGATCCAATATACGAGAGCTAATTCGTGCATTCGTAGTGTCTTTTTCTACAAGTTTTTTCGTTGACTCCATTTCATCAGAATCAGTAAGTAGAGCAGTAGAAACGGAAGATAAGCGCTAAAATAGATGGTTAGTAATTGGCCTTTGTGTCATTATTGAAGAAACATACGCGTTCTACTTCGGCTATGTCTAAAGGAACAGAGTTAACTAATTCGGTAACATCTGAGGACTTTGTCTGCAACTCTTCGGCGAGCTGGATCTGCGTGAAAATCTCTTTGCTAAATATAATAGTTAGATCCTTGCAATCAAATTAACTTTCAAAGAAACATACTCCATATCATCAAGGAATTTCTGAACGTTCGGATCAAGACTGGAATAGCGAGTTGTGGGATGAATGGAAGGAGTAGAAAGAGCTTGTCTTAAATTTCTGTTAGCTTGTAATTCATTATAAAAAAAAAGTAGCTTACGCATTCGGTTGTTGATTATTTGTGGATCCGAAGAGAGAAGTATTTGGTTTTTGGAGACTTTGTCCGAACAATCCACCTTCTTGTGCAGGCTTTTGACCAAATAAGCCACCACTTGGCTGTGTTGTTGATTGTGATTGGCCTAATAACCCAGTTCCTGGAGTAGTAGAAGGTTGTGTTTGTCCAAACAAACCCGTAGAGGGTTGATTTGTAGCCGAGGAAGGCTGAGCTTGCCCAAAAAGACCTGTGCCAGAAGGTTTACTACCAAATAAACCACCACCACCACCACCAAATCCGCTTGTTGATGGTTGTGATTGTCCCAATAAACCGCCAGTAGGTGCTGTTCCCTGGATACCTGGTGCAGGGGCAGCGGTTGTTGACTGAGAAAAAAGTCCTCCGCTTTGTGGATTTGTCGTACCTAGTGCAGGCTTTTGTTGACCAAAAAGACCACCTCCAGCACTGCCAAACGCCGGCTGCGAATTGGGGGCTGCAGTCGACGAGGAGGGAGGTTGTGAGAAGAGATTACTTCCAGTAGTAGACGTATTTCCTAGCAATCCATATTAGCTTTATTAAAACAAACATCCGTATTATATACCTTGATTACCTATACCGAAACCTGTCGAAGCAGGCTTATTGAATCCAAACATAATGGAAGAAGAAAGCAAATGTTGAAAGCACGAGTAGAAGCTTAATGTAATATTTACAATCTATAAATCCAAGAGTTAATTGTTAAGAAAAGAAAATAGAAAAGACAAAGATAGAGCATGTAGATTGATAGTAAACAAATTACCGTCCAGCACCAAAAAGAACTATATCAGTCCAAAAAATTTTAGCAAAGAAGCTTACCTAATAAACCGATTTTTCCTGCTTCTTACGACGTTATTACTTATGATACGAATGATTTTATGTTTGGTCTCAAGAGGAATGGAATCGTTCCCAGAAGTGTTCATTAGTGAGAAATGTAGTTTTGGTGTATTTCAGATACGCAAGTTCGTTCTACTTTGCTATCAAATAAACAAACGATCTGAAATAAAAAAAACTAAAATCAATTAAATATACTTAAAGGATCAAAAGAGAAATAATGAATTTACATAAATTAATAAATTAATTGTAGTACCATAGTCATATCGGGATTTACGTTGTAGAATGGAATACTTTGTGCTTCAAGATTACGTTCGATTAGAAATTGAAGAAACAAAACTCATAACTCAGTTGTATATTTCTTTAAAGGGTTAGACATTTGAATTGGTGAATGCTTGCTTTATTTTGCTTCTTACTGTGTCTTAACCTAACCATCAATTAAATTTATTGACTCCAATGCATTTCTGCATTATAAAAAAATTGAAAGAAAATGAAAAAAACAGAACCTATCTAACAACAAGGGACAGTCTTAACTTTTTTCTAAGGCCGAGTGCTTTTGAGCGGCTTAAATCGAATACTAGAAGTTTTATTGTTTGTAAACAAATAAAACTTTTACTAACCTTACAACATTCCGCTTCGAATTCTCTATTCGTGAACGTAAAACTCCGTTTTTATTAGAACTGAAGCAAAAAGAAAACTCTAAAGAATGGAAAATTGTTCCATTATTGTACCCTGTTAAGAAATGTTTCTTTCAAGCTGGCCTTCAGGTAAATAAGCAATGTTCTTTTTCATTCCTGATAGGAACGGGTTTGAAGGTAAAAGGTTTTGTAGAGTATTTATTCATATCAATCAGACACATCCCAGAATACTACTTTTTACTTAGAAAATCCAACAATTACTTGTTTTGTATACAAAAATCTCAAACATCAAATAGCAAGCATCAATAAACATCATTATTATGTTTGATTACAAAGGCTTAAGTATCACTAGATGAGTTAAGGAAATGAAACACACTACAACGAAATGGGTGGAGACAGTCATACATAGGAAAAACGAGCTTGCAGGTCCAAGTGGAGGGTTCACGTAAAGAAGCAAATTCCTTCTCCATAGTGTAACAACAACAGGCCAACGCATTGCCTGAATTTCACGAGATTTACAATGTCAAATGCCGAACCACATGTAGAAGATGAAGAGGATGAATACCTATATGGTGAAACAATCGCGGAACGAAAAGAACAAACCACGCAGGACGCGCAGGCAGAGTCTTCTGCTGAACCCATGAGCGAAGAAAGCGATGATTCGGTAAGAAAAAAGAATAATAGGAAGTAAAATGTACTAATACTTAAATTTAGGATATCGAATTCATTATTGAGACGAAACCGGGAGAACGAGCTGAACCTCCTGGGTAAGTTGTATAGCGTGTCCATTTGTTGAGAATGGAATTGGTTATTTTTTTTAGGAATTTTGAACTAACGAACTGGTTTTAGTGGAACCTCGACCATGTATGGCGTAAGTAAGCCTGGCCTACGAAAGCCAGCAGAACGGCCAACAGTTGAAGTCAAGTCAATGGAGCCTCAGGATACATCGGCAGCAGCGGAGACTGCACAACAAGTAGACATTAATCCAACAGCAAAAATAGACGGAAAGAACATCTTTGAAGTAGATCTGGAGTCCTTGGAAGATAAGCCATGGCGAAAGCCTGGTGCTGACATCTCTGACTATTTCAATTATGGATTTGATGAATTTACCTGGGCAGCTTATTGTGCGAAACAAACAACTCTTCGTGATGATTTTAGCCCTCAAAAATTTATGGCAAGTCTCATGGGAGGCGCTATGCCTTCTGGTGACATGCCTAATGCCCCAGACTTCCAAGCTATGATGCCTGGCTTTCCCCCATTTATGCCAATGCCACCTCCTCCTATTGCTGCAGCATCCCAAGATGACCTGAATTACTCACGTCCTCCTTTTCCCATTCCCACTCCCACACCTCCCCTTGCCGGTAACGTAGATTCTGCGTCGCAAATGAATAGTGGTGCAAACACACCTTCACATGGATACCATGGTTCTAGTGGTGCACATCCTTCCAATTCACGAGAAAATGAAAGTCCTGCCCGTTCACCCAATCACTATGGCAGGTTAGAAAGTAGCCATGGTCCGTATCAACAAAACTCCGGTGGTTATGGAGGCAATACCCCAAATTCTATGCAATCATCATCTGGAGGTAACTATGCCCCGAGTAGAGGTTCATATAGCGACCGCCCTCACAATAGCAATTACTCCGGGTCATCTAGACGGCGACAAATGTCGCCAGACAGATATGGTGGTTATTCAAATTCTAGAGGAAATAGCGGCCGATATCGTCGAAACCGCTACAACTAAGAATCATCAAATGTTATCGTTCACACGAAACAGAAATTCATGTAGAGGAATAACGACTTATGGACTTTGGGAGGAAATAGTAACGATCCATCGATCGTATGTACTAATGATTTTCTGGTTATTGAAGTTATTGATATTGATACCTTTGTAATGCTACTACTACACTTTTTGACCTCTCTTTTTCTATTGATTTGAGAACATATGCATAAAATCCGGATAATTTTATTTCTTTTTATGATTTATGTTCAAGATGTCTTGATTGTAATAACTTAAAAAAACATTAACATAAGCATCGTAAAACCATATCATGCAAAGGGAAAAACTAATAATCTTGCGTCTCGTCATCCAATTCATCTAATACTTCATGGGCATGTTTTTTGGCACCTTCGGAAATATTGGGGTTATGCAAAGTGGCTTTATATCCTCCGCGTACATTGCCAAGATTCTTACCCCGTGAAGACTCTTCTTGTGCGAAATCACCGGTATCGAGTGAGTCTTCGTCTTCATATCCTTCATCGCCCAAAACGTTTTCAACTCCATAGTCATCTACGGGACCAGACGCGCGAGTTGCATAGCCAGATGTTCTTTCGGTTCCAAAATCTTCATCTTCAAGGCCAACAGAACTTTCGTCTAAGTCCTCCTCATTGTACAGATTTGAAACTCTGGGATCATCACGAGCGGACTTTCCGTAGAAACCACCGTAGCCAGAACTCTTCTTAGAAAATTGACCTGCCATTGTAAAACTTTAAAATCGTTTTAGATGCGAAACCGTTGAATAAAATTAACTGGATTGTATCATGAACTTTTCAGTATGGGAGGATATATATATTGTCTTTTTCCAAGGCATGTTTCATTTTACATCACTTCCATCCAGATTATGACAAGGAATTCGCAATACGAAGATGAATTCATTTCATTTCCTACATTAACTACGTATATACGTAAGAAAACGATTCACTCGTCTTTTACTTACGAAAGTTCGTCTCTTGGCAATTTACTATGAAACCATGGTGGCAATTGTGTTACTAAATTTTAGACGTAAAGTAATTAAACATGACGGGAAGGCTAAAAAGTAAAATATTCGAAGGATGATGACTTTCAAGATTTCCAGAATTCTCAAGAAGCAAAAACCTGCTCACGAAACATTCGATAGCTAACAATTCTTGTTGACATAACTTGTGAGGCTTATAGATGAAAATAGCAAATTCAAACATCAATAGCAACTGAAGTCATTTTCTGTTAAACGTGAGAATAATTAATCTTAGTTTAAGCTAAATTACTGTTGAAGATGACTCATATGTTGATAGCGATTACAAGCAAGACTTGCTTCTAGAAGACTGAAACACAGGTACATCAAGAGAATTGAGTAGAATATTCAACTCTACTTTTTTCCTTTTTTTTTTTACATAATTTCACTATTATCCGTGCTGAGGTTGGACGATGAAAAGAGATGTCGCATGTAACATTCCTTATTTATCATGAGCTCAAAATGGTATGGTAGCAAAAAAGTTAGATTCTAAGAAAAGGGAATCAAATGAAAGATATACTCAAAGAAAGTTGAATAGATATTGAAGAATACAATTAGCAAGATTTCTGTCAGTGTAATATGATCGAGCACTCATTCTATCAAATCATATATGAAAAACTCGTCATCAGAAAATGGAAAATACCTCCGTAAAGAAAGCTCATAAACATCTTAAGCACCACCACTAAATTAGAAAAAAAGTTAGCACGGATTACAACTATTGCAAACAGACTCCGTTGTTGAAGCGTAACCAAACACAACCCAGAATTTGTCTTCCAAGCAAAGCATAAAGAACCATTCATAGTCTTGAAGATATGGTGGTTGCTTGCAACAAACTCAATTCTTCCTACTTACACAAGTACTTTGTTAATGGGAATATGAATCAACTTGATAATGTAACCGATGAATCCCATAAGCACAAAACCAGTAGCAACGGCTCTGGAGACACTAAAAAACTCTTTTCATCAAGTTAGAGACTGACAACAAAAATACAAAAATGAAAATGAATCACGTTTCGTAGGCTCTCTAAATATAGTTATAGAAGAAAGTATTCCTTACCTTTACGATCGGGCTTGACACAGCGCTTAATGAAGAGAGATCCTTCTTTATACAAGTCCTTTGGAGCTTGGATTAATTCTTCGAAATTCTCAGCCATCTTGACTTCTTTATACAAATGCCCGCGTGGTTTATGTCTTGGTGGTGTAGCAGCAAGCAAGCAAAGCACCAGCACCCCCTATGAATCTCGAAGGACCCTAGCTTAAGCAATTACACCAGATATCCTTAAATAAAGATAACGAGATCTACGAAAACTTGAGAAAAGACTGCAGCAAGTTTATTTCTTAAACAGTAAACAACGTGTTGATATACTACAGGTTTATTGAGGTGCAGCTTTTTCTTTATGAATTAATTTTCCTTTTATTTACTTTTTTATTTTGCTTTGAGCTTGAAATTACTTCCACGAGTTACCAGTGTAAACATAAAGGCTATACAGCAACATATAAAGTTGAAGAAAAGTGTTACGTTCCAGCCAAACGAGCAAGAAAATATCAGTAAAATAAAGAGATAAAAATTAGTTTTAAACAAAATTAGTAAACGGTTACAAAAAAAATTATTGAAGGATTCAATATATCCTTCATTTGAGCAAAAGTAATAATAAGTTGGGTATAATGCATCGACGTCCAAAACCGACATAGAATCAAAGAGAGATACACACGGAAGCACCCTCTAGGTATCTGATTCTACAAGCGGATGCAAAGATTGTAACAACATCGACTCCATTAAAACGAAAATGTCATCGGACAATCGTCTCTGATTAAAATTAATTAACAAGGAGAAATTAAAAATAAAAAAATAAAAAGATAGCAATATTTTCCCTTAAGCCTTAGCATATTCGGTGATTTTTCCAATTATATGACGCCCATGGCTGGAAGCAGAAATTTTGGGCAATAGAGGAACTAATAAATGGACAATTTTCTCTCTCTCTTCGTCATTAGAATGTATGAGAAAACTTTGCATCACATAATTTGCATAGCTATCGTTTAACAGGTCCTCAATTTTTGGATAAGACAAGAATTCATCCAAAATCCATTTGCGGGTAGATGGGGAAGCGGTACGTATACAGTCTTCGACAGCGTTCGAGCTGAATTTTTGTAGAGACAATTCACAAATATGTCCTTGAAATTGTTGTGATATACTTGCATTATATTGTTCGACGTTCATTTCTAAAATATGTTGAATTACATAATTTCCGTAAGGATCCTGAACTAGAAATAGGGCATGGCTTATTATTTCTTCGACCAGTTGATTTTTCATCAAACCTTTCGTGGCATCCAAGCTACGCTGTAGAACGCAGCATCCATGCCTGTGGGTTGCTAATTTTAAAACATGGCGCTTTATGGAAAAGAACAACAATTCCAGTTTTTCTGGTAAAAACTTGTCGATGCATTTTTGCAAAACGTGGTTGCCATTTCCATCACAAGCTAGTTCTACCAAGAATGGGGTGAGAATTCGCATCAATAACGAAATTTGTTCATTAGATGTAAGTTTGTCAATGATATTTTGCATAGCTCGAGTTCCATGTAAGTCGGAATTAATGCCGACAACATCTTTTCCAATACCCTTTAGCATTGCTAGTTTTTGCTCTCGGTAGGCATAAACGAAAAGTTTTTGGCACATATAGTTGCCAAAGGGATCCTTCATAAGCTCCACGATGGAAGAGACAACTTCATCGTAAACCAAAGAAGCGTTTGTTTTAGGATTCTCATCCAAAAGCTTTTGCAAATAGCGACAGCCATGTTGGTCTTTGCAAATCGATGGAATTCGACCCAACATTTCTTCAAGGGAGGGAAATTCCATATTTTTCAGTTTGTTGGAAGTATATTTTTTGTGTGTATTTGGCTTGTAGTCCTCAGGCTTCTTGTGTTTTCCGGCTTGTTGAAGTGGTTGTACATTTTCGTCTATCGAGGTAACATCGTGTATGTCTCTGGAAACTGACGGTCTGTTTATATTGGTGTTTCGATAAAGAAACCGTTGTCCAGCCTCGTAATGACTTGGCTTTCCATCGTAGGATGGGTCGGAGCTTGTTGCTGTGTTTGTGTTTGAGACAGAGTTTCGCTCATGGAGGAAGGAGGGGATATTCGATTGGGTGGATAGTTGGGGAAGAAATTGAGCGGTTTTACAGCTTGGACAAGTGGGAAAAGGGCAGGTATTCACTTTCGTCTCTGGATAGATGGCAAGTGAATCGGAGGAGGAACAAAGACTAGGAGTATGTACGGAGTCAGTTTCAACGGGAGAATTGGGGATACTACGAGACAAAGACATAGGAGTCAGAGAAGCTTCAGAGCCATCGAGAGAAAAAGAAGGGGAAGTACTCATGTTCCGAAGCAAATGGTTGATGGGAGTAGAGTGTTGGGATAACCTGGAATTATTCAGTAGGGTATTATTTAAGGATTTTCTATGAGAAGAGTATCGTTGAATATTTGGGTTGGAGAGTGTCCGCTGAGTGGAAGATGGCTTAAGAGGAGGTGGGTCATGGATGGATAGGGCTTGCAAACCAGAGAATAAGGGTCGTGAGGAAGGAGACGAAGAAGAAGTAGAAGAAGAGAGAGGATCAAGAAGGGGAGTATTGGATAAGGAGCGCCTTGGAGGACTGAAAGAGTGATGGGTAGAAGAGGGATCGGGTTTGAAAGAAGAAGAATCTAAAGAAAGATCCAAAGCATGGTGGTCATGGGACAAGGAGTTTGCACGAAGGGGTTGGAAAGTCCAGCGGTTCGATAAAGAAGGTGGAGAAGGATTTGAAGGGGTAGAAGGAGGAAATTGGGAGGGAGAGACAGAGGCAGAGATTGAGTTGGTTGAATTGTAAAGGGGATATTTAACTTGACTGGATCGCCATGGAAGTTTCGAGGGATGAGTGACGTTGTCTGCAAAAACAGAAGTGGGAGGGTGAGAGTGAGGGTGAGTGGAAGACTTGGAAGCGGGAATTTGAGAAGAAGGAGAAGAGAAAAAACGGGAAGAAGGATCTTGAGAAGAAGGTTGTTGAGGGAAAGAAGGAGTGGTAGAAGGACATGGTTGATGTGGAGAAAAGGAAGGATCCTCCCAAATAGGCAGGTGGGTAGAAGAAGAGAGTTGAACGGAGGATCGTGAAGTGAAGAGAGAAGATGGATCAGAGAGAGAAGGGGAGGCATCTAAAAAATGTCTGTTGGATAGGTAAGCCATAGTAGGGAATCAAACGAGGCTATATAGAAAGAGGTGGGGAAGTCAACAAAAAAAAAAGTCAAAAAATTGAAAAAAAAGAAAAAGAAAAAGAAAATAAAATTGTGTAAGAATAATGGGGAAAAGGGGTCGAGGAGGAATACCAATTCCTACCTTTTTGGGAAAAAAGGGAGGATAAAGAAAACTAAAAGAAAGAAAAAAATACAAGTAGAGACGATATATATATATATATATATATATATAGTGAAAGAGAGAGAGAGAGAGAGAGAGAAAGAGAAAAAAGAAAGAAAGAGAGACTCGAAGAGTCTGCAAATAAAAAAGAAAAAAAAAGGGCAGGGAAAACTGAGTAGGGAGTCGAAAGAGACCGATTGGTAGAAAAGGGAAAAGCAAATAAGAAAAAGCTTAAAGAAGGAAAGAAAGCAAGAAAAAGGGTCGAGTTACAAAGAATGACTTATCTTCCAGGGGTGAAAGGAATAAAGGCCAACGAGCACGATATAGAAAACACACACACGCAAATGCTCACAGACGCGCGCAAACGCTCACAAAAATGTAAGATTAAAAAGAAAAGGAAAGCAAGCTATAGCAAGCAAACAAGCAACGAATCCAAGAAAGAAATGGAACAATTCTATCCCAAACAATCAATTAGACAAAGTAGAAAGTCTACTCTCAATTGGTCCTTAAATAACAAGAACAAAAAAAAATAAATAAAAACGAAAAAAACAACAGTTAAAGAACCGGGTCAATCCAACAGTTTTTTATTTATATATATATTTTTTTATTTCCACTGTTGTGTATCTGTAAAAATAAAAGAACAATCCACCCAAGCAAAAGCAAAAGCAAGAGCAAAAAGAACGAGTAAGAGCAAGACAACGACAAGGATAAGAATAAGAATAAGAAGCGGGAAGAAAAGGGACTCTTCGAGTCTTCAAGAACAAGGGAAAAGAAGAAGTAGAAGAAGAAAAGAAAAAACG